AACACCCTAACACCCTAACACCCTAACACCTAACACCCTAACACCCTAACACCCTAACACCCTAACACCCTAACACCCTAACACCCTAACACCCTAACACCCTAACACCCTAACACCCTAACACCCTAACCCTAACACCTAACACCCTAACACCCTAACACCCTAACACCCTAACACCCTAACACCCTAACACCCTAACACCCTAACACCCTAACACCCTAACACCCTAACACCCTAACACCTAACACCCTAACACCCTAACACCCTAACACCCTAACACCCTAACACCCTAACACCTACACCCTAACACCCTAACACCCTAACACCCTAACACCCTAACACCCTAACACCCTAACACCCTAACACCCTAACACCCTAACACCCTAACACCCTAACACCCTAACACCCTAACACCCTAACACCCTAACACCCTAACACCCTAACACCCTAACACCCTAACACCCTAACACCCTAACACCCTAACACCCTAACACCCTAACACCCTAACACCCTAACACCCTAACACCCTAACACCCTAACACCCTAACACCCTAACACCCTAACACCCTAACACCCTAACCAACACCCTAACACCCTAACACCCTAACACCCTAACACCCTAACACCTACCCTAACACCCTAACACCCCTAACACCCTAACACCCTAACACCCTAACACCCTAACACCCTAACACCCTAACACCCTAACACCCTAACACCCTAACACCCTAACACCCTAACACCCTAACACCCTAACACCCTAACACCCTAACACCCTAACACCCTAACACCCTAACACCCTAACACCCTAACACCCTAACACCCTAACACCCTAACACCCTAACACCCTAACACCCTAACACCCTAACACCCTAACACCCTAACACCCTAACACCCTAACACCCTAACACCCTAACACCCTAACACCCTAACACCCTAACACCCTAACACCCTAACACCCTACACCCTAACACCCTAACACCCTAACACCCTAACACCCTAACACCCTAACACCCTAACACCCTAACACCCTAACACCCTAACACCCTAACACCCTAACACCCTAACACCCTAACACCCTAACACCCTAACACCCTAACACCCTAACACCCTAACACCCTAACACCCTAACACCCTAACACCCTAACACCCTAACACCCTAACACCCTAACACCCTAACACCCTAACACCCTAACACCCTAACACCCTAACACCCTAACACCCTAACACCCTAACACCCTAACACCCTAACACCCTAACACCCTAACACCCTAACACCCTAACACCCTAACACCCTAACACCCTAACACCCTAACACCCTAACACCCTAACACCCTAACACCCTAACACCCTAACACCCTAACACCCTAACACCCTAACACCCTAACACCCTAACACCCTAACACCCTAACACCCTAACACCCTAACACCCTAACACCCTAACACCCTAACACCCTAACACCCTAACACCCTAACACCCTAACACACCCTAACACCCTAACACCCCTAACACCCTAACACCCTAACACCCTAACACCCTAACACCCTAACACCCTAACACCCTAACACCCTAACACCCTAACACCCTAACACCCTAACACCCTAACACCCTAACACCCTAACACCCTAACACCCTAACACCCTAACACCCTAACACCCTAACACCCTAACACCCTAACACCCTAACACCCTAACACCCTAACACCCTAACACCCTAACACCCTAACACCCTAACACCCTAACACCCTAACACCCTAACACCCTAACACCCTAACACCCCTAACACCCTAACACCCTAACACCCTAACACCCTAACACCCTAACACCCTAACACCCTAACACCCTAACACCCTAACACCCTAACACCCTAACACCCTAACACCCTAACACCCTAACACCCTAACACCCTAACACCCTAACACCCTAACACCCTAACACCCTAACACCCTAAGCAATCAAACTCGATCCAAATAATGCTATATATTATAATAATAAAGGCGACGCTTTTAGAAAATTCGAAAGATATCTAGAAGCAGTCAAATGCTATAACGAAGCAATCAAACTCGATCCAAATAATGCTAATTTTTACTGAAAGAAAGGATATGCTTTAAATGAATTAGGAAGATATCCAGAAGCAGTAGAAAGCTATGATAAAGCAATCAAAATCAATCAAAATGATGCCAAGTATTATAATGATAAAGGCAATACTCTTTATATTTTGCAGAGATATCAAGATGCAATACAATGCTATGATGAGGCAATCAAACTTGGAACCAATAATCCTTTGTATTTCTGCAACCGAGCTAGAGTATTTAATAATCTCAGACAAGAAGAAGCAGCTTTGCAGGACTTTAATAGGGCTTATAATTTGAAGCTAGAAAATGAAGCAAGAGGTGTTTTCACTTGGGATGAATGAAACCTTTCTGAAAAAGATATCAATTTTATTAACGGTTTATTAGAGCGAGATCGTATTGAACTACTTCAAAAAATGCAGATTTAGAATAAAATTTAGTTATAATAAGCCATCATTAATAATAGTTATATGTAAGTAAACATTGAAAATAATTCACATAGTCATCAATATCTTCTTCATATTTTGGGTTAAATCCTTTTGTGAAAGATTTTAATTTTTCATTCTGAACCAAAGATTTTCCTATATGGTTCGTAGTCTCTCTTCCAGATCGAAAGATCTGTTGTGATACACGATCCTATATCTGAAACCATCATTCTCTAGTTGATTATACGCCTTCCAGTTATCGGTCAAAATTTTAGTCGGATTTTCCGGACTTGTCATTGCTGATAGCATTATAAAATTTCTCAATTCTGCATAGGTTCTATTGTTAGAGCAAAAAAATATTCGAGACTTTTTTGTTCCTCTATCGTAAATGCCGAAGGCCTACCTTGTTTCATGATTTCAATTGACAATTTTAGTTTCATCCATTTCTAAAGTAGGATGCCATCTTCCAGGTTCATTTGTCGTTCCTAATTGGTAATCTTCAATATAGCTTTTAGATTCGGATTCTCTGTGCATAATTTTTGGTTTTTTAGTTTGATTATTCAGATACATTTTATTGATTATAAGCCAATAAAATCTAGGTACTTCTTTAATACAAACAAAAATATGCTATTAATGTGTTAATTCTTTAATAAAAGTACTAAATATAATTTAAATATTGCTAGAGATGGAGAAAATAAAGCAAAATAGCATCTTTATATGATTCTAAGGTGATTTAAAAATAAGAGTTTATTGGGCATTGCTGTGCTCTTTTATCATTGTTTTATACTTTCAAAAATTTCACTATTAAAAGGGGTATGTGAGGGGCCTTGTTCTTAATAGCAAGTATATGCACCAAATAATGACTTGACAAATCTTATGCACATCAATTACATGAAGAGATGAATTGCATGCACGAGAGAGAGCTTGTCTTACGGTGTACTGAGATTCAACCTCCTTTCTTAAATTAGCTCTGAAGATTATAGAAAGTGTCTTTGTTTCTAGTTTTACTCGCTCACGGAGGGTGAGATTAAGTATTTGTAAGCAGCAGAATAGAATTGTTTAGAAAGATTCCTCTTAAAGGTATTCACGCTTTATTAATCAAGTTTTGCTCTAAATAAATCCTTTCTTTAGGCTCTGTTTAAACATTTTTTTAAAGGATACCTTTTATTTCCTGTAATTGTTAAAATATGCTATAATCAGATTGAACTCATAAATACCGCGAAGAGAAAACACAAGGAGCTTTATCTCTTCATTGCATATATTTTGAAATTACCTCATACATTTGCCCTTTCGAACTTGATGCTCATTTGGTTTCATAAAAAACTTTATCCCATTCAGTTTCGCTGTTTCCAATAAATTCGACTTTACTGCCTTTAAGGATAGATTATAATTCAATGCTGAGCACATCTAAAACCACTTTTTTAGCCTATATTTCTTTAATATTAAATATTATAAAGAATTTCTTAATATTTTAAGAGCTAAATATAAATTTTAAATTCTCATAATAGATTTCAAATAAAATTTATGTAACTTTTATAAGAAATACGGAACTACAGCTCTAGGAGGAAGACTTTTTGCACTTTCAGGAACCTCTGTGAACATCTTGAACGACGTCGAAAGATCTTCAGCAACCTCAAAAATTGCTGCTTGATTAGCACACCTATAAAAGTAATTAGGTGCACTCCAAACTGTAACTAAATTTTGAAGCGGGAACCAAAACTTATATCCTTCCTGCACTAGTTGATGGGCCCGACATATCAAGCTTAATCCATTAATATAATTGAACTCCTCAGTCACTTTTGATCCAAAAATTCATCCAGCGCCTCTAGGACTCATAGACCATGTTTCAATATCTTCAGGGTCACTCCACATCAAATCACAAAATGCGCCTTCGTGAGGAATTTCCACTTTTCTCTCAATTACTCTCATTTGGTCAATTGTTTTTATTTCCGGAGATAATCCGCCATGCACGCACAAAATTTTGTCTTCAACAACTGCGGAAATATTCAAATAATCAAAAACTTCTGTGCAATATAGCTTATTAGCTTTAATAGATTATTAATGACAATAATTTTTATTTAAAAATAACATTTTCTTTGCCATTTTTTAAAATAAAAATTTTTTATTTATGGTTTTGAGATGTTTATGAAAATTTTCAGGCAAGTGCCCTAGTCAATTTTTTCCAGGCAAGTAGATTGGCTAACGGTCTATTATAATAGACGAGCTATATTTCCAAGGATTTGCATTTCCATATTTTCTTACACATTCATCATAAAACCCATAAACTTGTGTGATTTGTCGACTTTCGTGGTTTCCTCTAAGCAGTGTAATATTTTGAGGGTAATTCACTTTAAGTGCCATTAGGAATTCAAAAGTTTCAACTGAATTATATCCACGGTCTACGTAATCACCCATAAATATGTAATTTTTTTCTGGAATTTGGCCGCCTACTCTAAACAGTTCAAGGAGATCGTAAAATTGACCGTGAATATCACCACATATGATGACAGGTGCTGAAACTGGCTGAACGTTGTTTTCTTCCATAAGGATAGCTTTAACTTGCTCGCAAAGGTTGAATAGGTCACTTTCGGCAAGACACTTCCCTTGCTTAAGAGTTTGGAGTCATTCAGCTTCCATTGAATCAAATTATGAATGTGAAAATGGTGTAGATAATTGAATTAATAAATTAGATAGTGAAAATTTCTAAATCCCCATTTAATCGAAGATATTATAAGCCATTGTAATTATATTTAAAATCAATTTTAATTTTTTATATATTGAAAAAAAGTTATAGTAAACTTTTCATTATTAAATAACGCCTATGAAAAAAATTTTAAAACGTCGGTGCTCAACTTTAAATGTGAAGAATAGTAAGGGCTAGCAGTTTTTTTTGGCTGGTATTTATTTTTAAGATCTCAGGCATATCAAGGATTATAAATTTTTAAATTTATTAAATATGCTAAATCCCCCCCATCCTTGATCGAACGACTCGCCATCGTTCGATCAAGGATGGGGGTTTAAAAAACAATTTTTTGGGAAAAAAAATTGTATATATAAAATAAAAAATATATATATATTCTGTTTTATTTACTTTTAAATAAGAGGGTTAAGAGTATTTAATAATTATTTTTACAGCAAAAAATGAAATTGATTTCATATAAAATACCAAATTTTAATATTTTAATTTATTAGTTACCCTTTTAAACTGTATAAATTTTAATTTGTTCCTTATTAAATTAATTTTTTTTTTAAAAATTTAAAAAATCTCTATTTTATTAGATTATTAAGTTTTTAAGCCTAGATTGATGACTAAATCACTTCGGATGGTTGATTTCGAAGCTTTCTGTCGTCTTAAAGTCTCTGAAAACAACTTCATTATGTACATCTTCCCAAGCTTTTGATAACTAATATATTTTTATATATATAAAAATTGTCATGATATGAAAATCGTTCGATCAAGGATGGGGGTTAATTTCCCAAATTTTAGGAATTTTTACAGTCAATCGTTCGATCAAGGATGGGGGGGGAGTAAATTAATTAACTATGCATTATTTGCAGTCTGATAAGTTTTAATATGCTCACAAGCTTTCTCTATCACTTTGAGGATTTGAAAATTACTATTGACGTTTTAATTAATATAACAATTGTAACATTATTCCGCCATTATGAATATAATTATGTATCATATTAACCTAATTCAGCATACAATGATAACCCATCTGATAGCATTAATTATTTTTTAGTAAAGAAATGGTCAAGTGTCAATCCTTTTTGAGACTTAATTCTCTTATTTTCTCCTTCCAAAGACACTTTTCTTTTTTTAGCCCCATTATCATTCACGCACTCACTGACATGTACACTCATCCTATACTCACTCATTGTAAATCACTGACCGCACACAGGACATTGCAATCTCATTAATTTAATTCCTGTGGGCTTGGCATCCTCTATAACCTTTTTCTCTGGTGTCAGCGGAGTATGTAAAAATGAATTAACGAATTCTTCTTCTGAAGTTGCTTTTTTCTGTATCACTCCTTTTGGTTCAGTCTCTGCAGGTGGCTCTGCAAGGAAACTTTGTATTGATTTCCTTTTTTTCCTTCCAAAGCTCAAATTACCCACTTTTAGTCCTAAAAGCCGAATTTGTCCAAGTGGCTGCAATGTTTCAAGCTGCCTAAAAGCAAGATTTGTGATATCTTCTAGTGTATTAATTAGCTTTTTGGATGTTTCAGAGCGATTAATAGTCTCATAGTTGCCTCTTTTAATAAAAACAGTCACATTTCTGCACTCTGCGTCTTTTTCTTCTAGCTCTTTTGCGATGTTTTCACAAAAGGTAATTAGCTTCTTTCGAATTTCGTCAATATTTTCAGTTGGGGGAAAAGTTCTTGAGATACTTATACTTTTTTGCTCTTCAGAAACGCCAGTATGGCTTGTAGAGCCTAGCCCAAGAGCTGATTTAAGCAAAAAAGCTAATGACGTGTTGTTAAAGACAAAGCTGATTTCAAGCTTCTTTTTCAAGATGTCGCCACATACATCGACACCAAGCTCATTTAAGATTTTTTCTAGTACTTTTCCAATTCCTGGGACTTTTCTGACTTTTTGCTGCTCAATAAATTCAGTTATTTTATCTCTGTCTGGCTGCAAGTAAAATTGGCCATTTGGTTTATTAATTTCAGTAGCCATTTTAGCTAAAAGTTTATTGCAGGCGATTCCAGCTGAAGCTGTTAGCTGTGTTTCAACAAAAATTTTTTCACGAATTTCCATAGCGAGAGCTTGCCTTCCTTCATGTGTGTCTGTACCTCTTTCTCTTAATACAGGGGTGACTAATAAATTAGCTTCATCAAGACCCATGCTCTCAAAATTCGGGTCATATTCTTTGAAAATTTCTCTGATTTTTTCTCCTTCAGCTTGATATTTACCAAAATTGGGAGGAACAAAAATTAACTCAGGGCAAAGTTTTTTGCCGATAAACCCAGGCATTGCACTTCTTACCCCGAATCTTCGTGCAATGTAATTAGCTGTTGTTATCATTTGGGTGTCACCAACAGCAATTGGCTTATCTGCGAGATCAGGTTGGTCTCTTATTTCGACAGAAGCATAAAACATGTCCATGTCTACATGGATTCAGGTTTCTGTTAGAATTCTTTCTTTTTCGAATTCTCTGATTTTCCGATCAATTTCATCTGAGCTTTCTTTTATAAATCTGGGACCTTTTTGAATATTTTTTTGAATTTCGTTTTTCATGGACTTGATTTTCTTTTGAACTTGGTCAGTCTTTTGTTGCTCGTGATTGAAAAAATCGGTATTTTTCGATGCTTCATAAATAATTTTATCTATTTTTTCACGATTTATTCCTTTCATCCCAGCTTTTTCGTGGGTGAAGCTGCTCATAATTTTTTCGTTGTTTGAGAATTTATCTTCTTCTTCCATAGCAATTTTTATAGTTTTCAAATTTTCTGAGAATGATTAATATTTAGCTTATAGAAAGATAGATAGTTATAAGATTTGGCCATGAACTAGTTTTTCTCATTAGCTGTATTTTATAACTCCCCCTTTAAGATCGATAAAACCAGTGGAAAATACAAAAACAATTATATAATATTGTTGAATATGCAATATTTTTAAATATGCAATTAGTAAAATTTATACTATATTAAATAGATTTGGCTTTAAGCTAATATATAAGCTCTGAAATCAGAAATGAATAGAAATTATTTTTTGTAAATGGAAAATTCTCTTTTCGCTTTTATATCTCAAATTGATTTTATTGAAGGCTGTCATTTATTCATATAATTAAACTATCAGCAATTTAAAAAACAAATTAATTATGAGTACAGTTTAACTTTGTTTCTTTTCAATATTGAGGATGAAAGATTATAAGGATTAGCTTGCTTTGAAGCTGATGATGACTTGAATAGCACTCCAAAATCAGTGCACTCTTTAATTTTTTTACCTTTAAGAGATGATCCAAATGGCCCAGTAAAAATTGGAACTATATATTTCGGTTTTTCTGTCTTTTTATTTGTGTTCGATCTTTTCTTACTCTAGAATCCTAATATTTTTGAATGTAAGCTTAGAATTAGGAATAATAAATAATTTTCAAAAGACTATCAATATTTTAGGAATAAGGGATTTAGTGTTTTTGATATAAAAAGTTGCTGACAATGAATGATCAAAGCTTGAACTTAAGTAAGAAGAAGGACTAGTTGGAGAAAGCACCTTCGACTTCTTAGGAGATGATTCTTCTGTCTCGTTTTTTGTGTCATTATTATCACTCCAATTTATTTCAGATTTTGATTGTGAAAGTGTAAACTGGACTGTTCTTCGTTTAATTTTCTTTTCAGGAAAATGAATTGATATCTTTTTGTGAAGCTCACTATTTTGCTTAATAAGAGTTGCTGCTGGCTTTTCGATTTTATCTGTTATAGATGATGAGCTTTGTGTTTCGACTGGGATTGGTTCTTGGACATATAAATGATTATCAATTAATTCAAAAAGATTTCTTACGTCTTCACCAAAGCTCTTTTCTTTGCTTTCTTTCTTGCTATTCTTACTTCCCCCTTTAAATTGGGACAAAAATTCCTGGTCCAATATAAAGGGGTCTAATTTGTTTTTTTATAAAATATTATTTAACATTTTAAAAAAATATAAAGTGACATAATACTTTTAATTTTAATTTATTTTATGAAGAATTAATTAGATATATTTCCAATTCAGTGTGAAACTATTTAAATAACACTCTAATAATATTTTCCAATTAAATTAGTGTTATCGCTTTGTTTTTAAAAATTTTGAAAAACATAAATCGAGCACAATACTTTGAATTTTAATTTATTTTATAAAGAATTAATTAAAAAAATTAATCTATTCAACGTAAAATTTTTAAAATAAATATTCTAATTGCATTTTGCCTATTAGATTAGGTCAAAACTAATTTTATAAAAATAAGTATTTTCATCGATGAAATCTTCCTATTGAAAAAAAAAATTGTTCTAATTTAAAGGGGGTAAAAGTAACTAAAAATGCAAATTTTATCGATGTTTTGTTCAAATTTAAATAAGGGAGTTAATAGTTACTTTTAAGTTTTTTCTTTCAGAGCCATTACTAGAGATTAAGCTTGTAGAAGGGTTTTTCTTTACTAGATCATTACTTGTTTGATCTTGGTATAGCCCTAATATATATTTTTCCGAATGATACCTACTGATTTTTGTAATATATTTAAAGTCAAGTAAATTTTTGCTTAGGTCAGTGCTATCAATTTTTTCGTCTTTTACCAATTCATAAGCTTTTAGCAAAGGATAAGCATTCACTGCAAAAAAAGGCTGGGACTTTTTAAGACGATTTTGCTCCATTTTGCTCTCTAATAGCATTTGCTTTATTTTATTTGGATTACAGCTTGATGATCTTGGCAATTTGCGAGTTATAATGGGCTCAGGCTTACTGATAATCTTCTCAGATGTATTTAAATTTTCGTAACTGCTTGCTTTGTAAAAATAATTCACGTATTTTTCATGCTTATTCGGCACAGTATTTGGCCTTGCGACATTTATATTTAGGCATTCCATAATTAATTATTCTATTTATTTTAAATTTATTATAATAAATTGTTGCAGCATTTATTTTTTTGGATTGACATTCGATTTTTACGGGCAATTTTCATGCCTACTTCTGGGATTTTTGCATTTTCTGCTTTTTCCTAACTCGCTACTTTAATTAAGCAAGAATTTTTGCTTGAAAATGAAGCTTGGCTATTTTTGATAATTTTTATATAAAATAATAGCATGGTTTCAACACAAAGGGTTTCCATGAATTCATTTTTATTCTCTCCACCTGACCTCTTTCCACTGCAGCAAAATCCCTTAATCGAGCAGATTCTGAAGGAAAGCTGGGTAACAAAACCAAGCCGCAACTATACGCTGGCTTCTGAATTATTAATTTGATTTACGAGATTAGGATAAGCGAGCTGGGCTGCCAGTCATTGAGAATAAATAAAAAGGGATTCTATTGATTCTACGCATCTAGAGATCAGCTAGAGGCTATAAATTTATAAAGTAAATTTATAAATAATTCCCATTTGCAATAATTAAAATAGCAACATATTTAATTAATAAATTTATAATAATATTTTGCTTGTGAAATTAAATTTTTTTTTCAAATATTTTTTCCTCAATATATTTCCCTTTCTTGGATGCAAGAGTGTGCAACTTTCTTTTTAAGAAGTGTCCTAGCAATTCTTTCAAAACACAAATCAACTTGATAAGGATCTTTTGCACTAGTTTCAATATATTCCATTTTATTTAAAATTGCTTTCCTTTCCCCTTCAGCAAACTCCACTACACACTTCATGTCTGACTTGTTTCCTACAAGCATTGCTACAAAATTGCTTTTAATATATTTTCCTACTTCTTCAAGCCAAAGTTCTACATGCTCAAATGTCTGTCTATCAGTTTTGTCAAACATAACAATCACTGCATCAGCACCTCTATAATATCCGCTTGCAATGGCTCTATATTTTTCTTGCCCAGCAGTGTCTCACTGATTTATAATTACCAGTTGAAGTTTGACAGTGGAATTTTCTATATGGATTATTGAGTTCTTGAATTCCACGCCAATTGTCACGCTATATCGATCATCAAAGGTGCCATCTGATTGTCTAACAACTAAGTCCTCCCCCCTCCGTGAGTGAACAAAACATTAGAAAAATCCCTATTTTTTGCCCAAAACCCACCCTCTGTGAGTGAACAAAAATTTTTTTTAATAGAAAATTTTTTATGGAAAATAATTTGATATATAAGTGATAATTAGTATAATGAATCTAGAGCTAATTCTGGTTAATTTTAAAACGAATTGCTTTTTAAAACATAAATTTTATAAATGAAATTAACATTTGCTTTCAAATTTTCGCGAATTAGGATTTTTTTTAAATTTCGAAAAAAAAGATTTTTTAATAAAATTTATATATAAAATGTTTTTTAAAAAAAAAAATTAACCCTCTGTGAGTGAACAAAATATTTTTGTTTACTCACGGAGGGGGAGTAAGCAAGATTTCCCAACATGAGCATCACCGACAATTACTATTTTAAATTGGTAATCACTAAATAAGTGTTACAAGCTGCATTTGGATACCATCAGGATATATTAATTATTAGATATGATTATATAATAAAGATTTTATTTCAAAATTTATGAAATTTTGTCCATGTTAATAGAACATAAGAACCTAGAGCAAAATTTTTATAAATTATATTAAATTCCCAAGGTCATTCATTAATACCCTTTATTTTGAAAAAAAATTACATAAATTTTTTATATACCTTTTAACTATGAATAGAAACATTCCGTCTGATAGCGTTATCCTATTCAAATATAGTGAATAGGCTAACAGCTAATTGTAAAGAATGTTTCTATTCACTGTAAAAAGATATGAAACTATAAATTTTTTTATTAAACTTTGCTATTCAAAGAACTAATTTTGTTCAAATAGTCTTTTAATTCACACCAAACCTTAAAATAGAACAATTTAAAGTGCACTTTTTTGGCACATTAAATTGGGCATCAGATCTATTTGAAAATAGATTACCATTTTTACAAGAAAATTAAAAATTGTTCTAATTAGATTAAAATATTCCCAAAAGGAAACTTTCTAATAATTTTTATCAATTTAAAAGGGGGAGTTATATAATTAATCTTTTTAATAAACTCTTGTAATATGAATTTTCTTTAAAAGTAGTTAATTTGCTGTTGCTGAAACAACTAAATAATTTTATAAAGAGTTATTTAAAATAATACACATTTTTTTGCTAATAAATCCCTCATATTTATCAAAAAATAAAATTGAATAAGCAATGCTCTCTCTCAATTTGTCTGATAAAATAGCTTTCAAGTCTTTTAACTTTAATAAATGATGATATTTACTCAAGAAGGCTTTAATACTTTATTTATATTTTAACCAAAATTATCAGTTCAACAGAAAATTAATTAATTTTTAATGGAAAACTTTTTATATCTGAATGATAAGCTTAGTGATAATTTCATGCTCTAACTTCTTGACCTTAATTAATATAAAATTAAATCTATTTTTAATATTTTAATTGTCAAGTCCTTATAATAATGTGTGTGTTTTTTAAATTAATTAAATTATTTTCCATTTCTATTATGATGCATTGCATTTATTTCTTATCATGCATATGTATGCCATTTTGAATTTGGTATTGGAAACCAAATATACGTTTCAAAAAGCAGATTTTAGTGCGGCAAATCATAATTTGAAATTTCATATGAATATGGCATGTATAACGTCCGTAAGAAATTTAGCCAAGGGATTATATTATTTGTGCTAATTCTGCCTACAAATAGCAAACAGAATAAGTATATTTTGCTGATAGGGGATCAGGAGCGTTTTACTTTAATCAATTAAGCAATAAAAATCTATTGTTTTAATAGTCATTATGTCAAAAAATTCAAGCGATCAAGAAACTGTGAAAAAAAGTTCAATAGATCGCCCAAGAAGAAAGCCCCAAAAAAAATTGAAGATTGAAGAAGAAGTATCTCTTGACAATGAAGAAGAAGAGTATCACTTGAAAGAATACGAGGCAATTCGTTCTGAATACACCGAGTTCAGTCTATCAAATACAATCATCAACATCCTCTACAAAGTAGTCCAAACATCAGCCTGCCTCAATGCTGCATACAAAAAAGCTGCAATGAAGCAATTAATTTCTGCTGCAAAAGACCTTGCCCTCAATGAAATGGAAGCTTCTTTGTGGACAATCTATTTACAAAAAATTGACTGGAAAAGCCTTTCAAGCACTTGCTATTTAGACCTTCTTTTTGCAGCGTATGCTTCAAAGTCCTATCTCAATGAAAACTTAAAGCCGTTTAACGTGTATCTTGAAAAAATGAATGCAAATTTCTTAAAAAGCTATGAAAGCTGGCACAGCACACACAAACATTTGCTTAAAATTGACTCCAATATATCTAAAGTAATTGATTATTAGTAACCTTCAGCAGGGAGTCTAATCAGATCTCCTTGCTGATCGCGTTGGGTTCGTTCTTAATTTGACTCCTGCGAGTTTTCTTATAAGAGTCACCCTCTTTTGGTATGTCAAGCAATGCAGCCTTCTAGTGAGGCTATGAGTTACGGATAAAATTCAAGGAAACTAAACACTATAAATAATAAAGAGGGGAGAACTCATTTCATGCGTAGCCATTTATATTATGCTTAAAAACTGGCTCCAAAGAAATAAACAATCGGTTCAAAGAATACAGCAAGCCTTATCTTGGCCTTGGAGAAGTCCAAATTATTGATTACAACCATTGTGTGGACGATATCCTGAGAATCGCAATGGACAGCTCTGTTAAGGAAGAAAAAGAAGAAAAGTTAGAAAATATTGAGGACGGAGAAGGGGGGGAAGAATCTGAAACAAATGAAAACAGCCCTGGAAAGGTTACCATAGGAAAGATAGTAAAAGAGGAGATATCAGCTAGCCCAATTTTTGGGCTAGACGCATTATCCCCATTGCCGCCTGAAGAGATTAGTAAAGATAAAAACCAGATAAGTTTTGATTCCTTTGTGAATCCGATTCCAAAGCTTGGAGAAATTCCAGATTTTCCAGTATTCGGTGATGGGACGCCAGGGTTCGGACGTACACCAAGCATAAACACTCCTGGACTCCCAACTCTGACACCAAACTTCAGCTCAGTTCTGAGTCCTGGATACAGTCCGTTGATTTTTAAAAACTCAGCATTCAATGGATTTCCAAACTTTAATGAATAATTGTAGACTAGACTTTTAACAAGGCAATTAGTATTAATTAAAAATATTTTTTATGATTATATATTGGAAATTTCACTCATAAATGCTTCTGTAAAATAGAAAGATAGAAATTCACTTGTCTAAGGTCGAATTTATTATATTTTTGATTTTTAATGGTTTATAAGATTTATAAGATTTATATATGTTTAACAAAAGGGTATTTATGCTTGAAACGCTTTACATATTAAAATATAAAAGGTTAAATGATAATTGATAACAAAATTTTACATCATAAGCTATCTGCAAGGGAGACTATATTTTCTGATTTTATCTTTGACTGAGGAAATGCTATTTGAATTGATCGACAGCTCAAGCTCTAGCGTCTGTTTTCTCTTTTTCGTTCTCATACTTCGGCTCATTTCTGGGAGCTGAAAATACTCATTTTCAAGAGCAATTTTCTGTTCCTCTAACGATTGAAGTTTCTCTTGAAGATCATTAATGAGGAATCGGTTTTCTTGTAAATCAGAAAGTGCCACAAGCGAATTTTTAATTTTTGGCTTGCCACAAGAAATCAACTCCATAGGCTGCTCATAATTTAGCTCATCGAAATTTTCGTAAAATTCTTCATGAAAAATTGGTTCACTAAACCTCGTGTCTTTCCGCTCATGTATTATTCCTTCAGTTGGCAATGAATTTGTGATTGAGTCCTTAATAAGTTTAATTTCTTCGCTTAAGCTTTTGCTGCTTTGTTTAAGGATGTCAATTTCCATCATACATTTTTCATGGATTTCGCTATTTTCATGGGTATCTTGACTATTTTTCCACTCAGAAACCCTATTGAAAATATCATCAATTTTTTTATCAGACGCATTTAGATGGCCTTCATTGAAGACCATTGTTTCTTTGATATCTTTTATTTCTTTTTTCATGAAATCAATTTCTTCTTTAAGCTGCTGAAGAATATCTATTGTTGCTTCAACAATAACTTGTTTTTGTTCAAATAAATCATCAAGCTTTTTAAAATCGCTTTTCTCTGCCATGTTCTTTTTTATGTTCTCAATTTCAGCTCTGAGACTCTCGTTCTCTTTGTCTGCTTCTTGATATTTTTGTCTATATATCTTTTGGTCTGTTTGGTCTTGTTTCAGCTTTTCCATATCGTGTTGAAGCTGCCTAATCAAGCTTAAAAGCTCTTTTTCATCACTAGCAGGCTCTTTAGCTCCATTATAAAGCATGGCAGAGTCAAGTGAAAAAGGAGCTATATAAATACTATTAGTAGGAGTGTATGATCTTGATTGAGACTGGCTGTTAACAAGGCTTGAAATTTCTGGATGGTTCCCTACTGGGGTGTTTTTCTCAATAACTGTAGCAAAAGAAATGTCTTCTGACAGGTTTAGTAGCTCTCTTTCGTGTTTGGATTCTCCTTTGGTTGAATATGACTCAATGCTTATACTTGCTAATGTAGAAATGCTTAAATTGCACCCTGAAGCAGTTTGGACTCCTTTTTGGTACTTCTGAGGCATAAAGGAGACATTTGAAGAAACACTGATTATTTCGCTTTCCTCAGGAGGGATATAATTTTCTTCAGCGTCAATAGGAAAGTCACAGGCTGTCAGTTCTTTTGGCTTTTCCATCAGGATCTGCACTTTTGGTCCGCTCATTAAGCATTGCATTAATGAAGGCACTTGGACTGGGTCTGCGTTTATTTCTGCTTTGTTCTCTTCTGCTGAAGCCTCTTTAATTCTTTCTGAAATCATTGATTCTTTTTCCCCAACAGAATGCTCTTCTATAATTTCTGGAAGAAATGCATTAAGCTTGGTTTTTTTGTCTTCAATTGGAGTTTCTTTGGGTGGGTCAGTTCTCTTGTCTTCAATTAAGATTTCTTCTAATGATTTTCTTTTCATTGGGTTAAAATAGTCATGACTTAATGCATTTTTAAACAATGAAGAGTGGCTGTCAAGTTTTATTTCGAATTTTTGGGCCCCTGAACTTGCTTTTTGAGGGTTAATTTCGTAATCTTTTAAAGCTATCCCATTATTTCTGGCTATTTCCTTGTCGGAGGTTATATGATAGAAATTACTTCTTTCCATTTATATCCTCTGAATCGTTAATTTTTTACATACTTTTTTTATTATAAATTGATACCGCCATAATGTCAAAAGCCGTAACCAGCCCTCAAGAAAAGCCCAAAGCCAAAATAATTGAAAAATACTTCCCTGGAGTCCGAGTCCAAAAAGATATCAGGAAATACCAAAGCTCAACTGAACTTTTGCTAGGCAAAAAAGCCTTCAAAAAGCTCCTATTAGACGTATCTTTAGGTTTAACCAAAGACAGTTCTTTAAAATGAAGCAAACTTGCAGTAGAAGCCATGCAGCATTCAGCCGAGGATTTTCTCGTCGGCCTGTTTGAAGACTCCAATCTTTGCTCCCTTCACGCCAAAAGGGTAACTTTACTCGTCAAAGATATGCAGCTTGCCAGAAGAATCCGGGGGAGGTTTGAAAAACTCGTGAATATAGTGCAGAAATAATTAAAGGATTAATGCTTAATTTTAGCAACAGGATTTTTTCTTCTTCGTTTTCGATACCACAAATGTTTGTTTTGCTGCTGGCGTCGGCAGTTTATTGTCTTTTGTGAGCTGCTGGATCAGAATATCGAACAGTTGATTTACGTTTTCCCCAGTGTAAGCTGAGCATTCTATGAATGGAATTCCTAGTTGGTTTGCAAGGGTTTTGCCTTGCTCGTAGGAGACTTGTCGATTTAAGGAGTCACTTTTGTTCCCAACTAGGATCACAGCTGAACTCCCATCTGTGTTTTTGTTGTAATCGTCAAGGAATGTGGGGACTTTTTCGAATGAAAAAAGACTTGTGATGTCGTAGACTAGGATCACAGCGTTGCAACCGTTATAATATAATCGGTTTATATGGTGGAATCGCTCTTGGCCAGCAGTGTCCCAAATCATGAGTTTGAAAAACTGGCCATTGTAGTTGTGAAGCTTAGTTTTGAAATCCACCCCAATTGTTGTCATGTAGTTTGAAGAAAAGACACAGTTTTCTTCTGTGGCTCGGATGAGTAAGCAGGTTTTGCCGACTCCGTAGCTACCTAGTGTGATGACTTTGTATGAAGGAAATTCCATTACAAGAAGATTTATTCGACATAAATATTTTGCGAAAAATTGTGAGTTGTTTAGATATTGTGTGGAGGAATTTTATTTTTTGCAAAAAATTAAGGAGGAGAGTTTAGATGTGAAATATCGTTAATTATAAAAATCGGCGCTTAAAATGGCTAAAGCCAGATTTCTAAGGAATTTTGCCTTGCTTCTGTTCGGAATTGGTTTTTTCTTTCGTGATTTTTTTGTTTTAATTGTTCATTAAAGTCTTGGAAGCTAGGGCATGATGCTTGGGCTTTATTTTTTTTCTCTCCTAAAGGAGATCCTTTCTTTATGTCACATCTTTGCTTATTGATTTCAGCAGCCTTTAGTCGCAAATCTTCAAGGGCTTGGCTGACTTGGTTGTTTTCAACTCCCAACTTTTCTCTAAGTTGATTTAACTTAGCTTGATCATGGCTTAATTTCGCCTTCAAGTCATCCAGCTCCATACGCTGTTGTTGAAGAGCAATTTTTTCTTTTTTAAGAATTTCCTCTTCACTATTCAGTGATTTTTCTTGGTTTTTAAGCTCCTTTGACAATTTGATTATCGCCATTTTGTCTTTCGCAAGCTGGAGTTTTTGTTCTTTGGCGCTTCGGACCATATCTCTTAATTTGGATTTGCTCACTTGTAGACCCCGGTTTCTAGGACTTGAATTGGCGATATCGAGTTCTGTACAAGAAATCATGACTTCGTAATCAGATGGCATACGAAACCTATGCATTATTTTATTACAAATTACAAATTTTTAATAAGCATAATAGATGAAAATTATATTTATTTATTTATTAATGCCATTAACTTTTGAAATACTTAAGTTCTATTAATGCTGCTTTAAAAATAATTTTTTATATATTTCTATAGTATCTAGCGAGGATCTAGAGGAGGCTCACATAACGACGGATGTATTTGAAGCGCAAACTTGAGAGGGAATCTCTAAGCTTTCTTAAATTCTCACAGAAGCATTGCAGACATTTCAGGCACAGACGTGGTATAATAAAACAGCATTTAGGCAGTTAAAAGAAGTAGAGAATTATTCAAAAAAATAATTTATTCAGTGCTAACTCTTTATATAATTTTACTTGATTTCTCCATTAAATCCAAGATATTTATATAGATATTAGTATTTTCATCAATAAAATTATCCAAAATTTTTATACCAATTTAAAAGGTGAATTTATCTCGAAAATTAATATTTTGCCTATCTATATTCAAATTTAAATCGTGGGAGTAAAGTACACAAAAGCTTAATAAAATCTAATTTGTTTTATTCATTTCTGGAACTAACTTAGTTAAAGACTGTCTAATCTTTGGCTATCGATGCATAATTGGGAGATGTGCAATTTTTTTTAATATGCGAATTTTTGCTCCATTTCCCCCCTAAAATACCAAAATATCAGCAAAAACCTTGGGTTTTTCCATGAATTTCTGAAACCAGTTTGAATTGTTGGAGCACGATTAAGATATGCATAATTTCAATTTTTTTTTACTTTGTAGAGTCAAACTCCATACCCTAAGCACTCAAAAATCCAGCAGTTTTTTGTCAATCTTTGGAATTCGCTATTCAAAGGGCTATTTGAGCTCCTGCTATTGGCGTACGATTTGGAGATGCATAATTTCAGGATTTTTTCATATTTTTGAAGTCATGCTCTCTTTTTTACTTGCGTAAAATTGGGATGCGCATTTTTCAGATATTTTTTAACTAGATTGTCTGGAATTTTATATAAATAAGAAAAAAAAATGATTTCGACAGTATAATAAAACAATTGCAAAACTAAAATGATATATCTTTGTCCCAAAGACTAATTTATAGAGATAGATAATGCTCTGCTGCTGCCTTAATCATATATATATAATGTTATTATATTTTTTGCAGGCCAATACACTTGTGGCGATAATCCATTGCATCCTAAACACAATAGGAGATCTGTTTCAAAACTAACTCGCCCTTTTAAATTGGAATAAAGAATCGGTAAAATTTCATTTTTTGGATACTTTAACCCCCTTTTAATTTTAACAAATTTGTTTTCCAATAGTAAATTTTATCGATGAAAATACTAATTTTATAAAATTACTTTTGGCCTAATTTAAGAGACAAAATGCAATTAGAATGATATTTAAATGGTTTCTCATGAATTGGTTAATTTTTTATTTATTTATTATTCATAAATATATTAATTGAACTCAGTTTATATTTTTTAATTTTAAAATTTTATTTAAAAAAAATTAATCCTCTTTGGACAGGATTTTTTGACCCAATTTAAAGGGGAGGAATAAGATTAAATGCTTTCTAGCATGACTCTAATATATTACTTTTCATTAAATATTATGACTTGATTTTAAATGGATAAAATTATTATATTGCAAAACCTTAAATAGAATTTAATCTTATAAATTTGTAAGCCCTTAATTTCAAGCTAAAGTATTTTTAATTTTTTGCATTATAAGTCTTAAATTAAACTAAAAGAGAAAAATGGAATAAAATAAACAGCAATCCTTTTGGTCATTAATCCATGCAGACAAAAGTTTAAATAAGTTCAATATAATATTTGACTAGAAAAAAATGGAATTAGCGCTTTATCCACAAAAATTAAATAAAATCAATATTAGAGACAATTTTGATATTCTTATTAATATATCAAAAATTGCCGATTTATCCCAAAATTTTATATCGTTTCCTAATTATATGAAGTAACATATTTATAATAAATTGAAAAATGGGATGCGCAGTGATAATACATTAAAATGGATAAAAAACAGCACAATATTAACACCCTGCAGCCGCTGATAGTGGGATCTTGCGGAAAGGATGATAGCGTTCAGGAATGTGCATCAGGCTATTATTGGCTTTGTAAAGATAAATGTCAGAATAGGCACAGCCAAGCCAAGATTTTAGCTCGTAGAAGATGGAGCTGGAAGTTGGAAAGAAAAGCCTCAACAACACAATTGATATTCATCCTGGCCAATCGAAAACGTTTGCCAGTGCAATGCTGGAGTTGCGCTCTGAATCAAAGTTTCTATTTTCATCGACAGATGGCCAGAAAACTCGTTTGTGAGGTTTTCAGCGTCTCTGACGCGTGAACAGAAAGTGCAAGCTCTCGCCCATGAGTGCTCAGACTTACTAGCAGGGGTGGAGATATATGAATCCCAGCGGGGTCTGAAGTATTGCTGCAGGAGATGTTTAATTAAGTTTAAGGATGCGCGAGTGACTAAAAACAAGGCAAAAAAGTCTGAAGATTCAGAGCTGCCATGTGCAGAGCATAGCGTCAATAAACTTGCACCTGGAGTCATTTCGATCAAAGACGACAAACAGGGAGAAATTCTAATAGAAGACTTAAGTGTAATTCATTCCCAAAGGGTCAATACAAATCCTACAAACCCTTAGTGCTGCAATCTATATAATTTAGTAAATTGTTATTAATTTACCTTAAACCCATATAACTCCTTGCAAAAATTCTAACAACCCCTCGAGAATTAAAAGGGTAATAATGCACTCCTAAGTAGTGCTGGATGGGTGGCGAAATCAATCTTTGAATGTAAATAATTTAGATATTGAATTTTCAATGCTTTACTATAACTGAGGAGGAATTGCTTTTTTCTTATTCCCTGATTTTTGAGATTAGGATCATTTAGACTTGGCAATTCCATCAATATTTTAATCGCCAAACGTCAATCGTCTTGCAGATTCCATAGCTTTGCAGATTATTAATTATCTCCTTCCTGCGTCTCTCCTGATTATTCGTATTCACTCTAATTTCCAAGTCTTTGACATTAAAATTTTATAGTTTCTTTCCTTCCACATAATAATCTTTAATTTTTTCTCCATTCTTCCCCACACCTCTTCCCAAAAAAATCAACTCTGAGCCTACATTTTAGCTTCTAAAATCTGCTATCTTGTCGAATAAATGGAAGGTTCAGAGCCTCAACAAAAGGCAGGTGCAGTTCCTGCAGGTTTACAAGGATTTCAAACTCTTTTCTCCGCATACGATCCTCAGAACACTGGCAGAATTGACAAAGAAGCCATCACTGAAGCTGTCAGCTCAATTGAGATCCCAGCCGAAGCCCAGAAAATTCTTACTAAAGTAGAAGAGCACAAAAGCGACAAAATTGACTTTGAGTCCTTTGTCAACATTTTCAAAGGAGTTGGGGTGTCTGACGAAGTCAGACAGAAGCTGATCCACAACGCAGGAAAAGTCACCAACGTGATGCAAGGTAATGTAGGCTACCATTCCTACTCAGCTGATGAGAAGTCTGCATTCGTGAACGTGGTCAACCACCACCTCAGAAACGACGCTGACTTGGCCAGCATTCTTCCGCTGAACCCTGATAATAACGACCTCTTTGACCACTGCGCGACTGGTATTTTGCTTTGCAAGCTTATTAATGCTGCAGTTCCAGGGACTATTTTTGAAAGGGCCATCAATGTGAGGCAGAATCTGAATGTCTTCCAGATCAAAGAAAACTTGAACTTGGCCATTAACGCTGCGAAGTCGATCGGCTGCACTGTGGTCTCGATTTTCCCTGAGTCCATCATGGAGAAAAAGGAGCATTTAGTGCTAGGATTAGTCTGGCAGATTATTAAAATCCTTACTTTGAGCCCAATCAACTTAAAAGCACATCCAGAGCTTGTAAAATTGGTAGAAGAAGGCGAAGAGCTCAGTGATTTGCTTAAACTGCAACCCGATGTAATACTGTTAAGATGGGTTAACTACCATTTGAAAAACTCAGGCTCTCCTAAAAGGATTAATAATTTTGGCAATGACGTCAAAGACTCTGAAGCTTATACCTTGCTGCTTCATCAGATTGATCCAGCTCAATGTGACTTGTCTCCTTTACAAGATGGCGACTTGTTGTCCAGAGCTGAAAAAGTAATAGTTAACTCAAGAAAGCTTGGAGTTGATACTTTTACATCCGCACGTGACATTATCAGTGGAAACGCCAAGCTAAACATCATTTTTGCAGCTGCCATTTTCAATACCAACCCAGGCCTCTATGCAACTGAGCAAGAACTTTATGAGGCAGCAGGACTCATTAATGATGACGTAGAAGGCACCAGAGAAGAAAGAGCTTTCCGTATGTGGATCAATTCTTTAAACATTGAAGGACTCTATGTCAACAATCTTTACGAAGATGTCAAAGATGGTCTCGTTCTTATTAAAGTTATCGACAAAATCGAGCCTGGCCTTGTGAACTGGAAAAAAGTGGAGCTCAAGACTAACAACCGCTTTAAGAAAATTGCGAACTGTAATTATTTAATTGAACTTGGCCGAGCTTTACATTTCACACTGATTGGGATTGGAGGGTCAGATTTCACTGATGGACAAAAGAAGCTGATTCTTGGGTATGTCTGGCAACTGGTAAGACATGCCACTTTGAAGCTGGTTGGGAATATGACTGAAGAATCTATGATGAAATGGGCCAATTCAAGAGTCAATACTCATGCTGCCTCATATAAGGACAAGTCAATAGCAAATGGAAGATTTCTAATTGAACTTTTCAGCTCAATTGAGCCTAGAGCGATCAACTGGGATTTAATAACACCTGGAGAAGACCCAGAAGGCAGAGAACAAAACGCGAAATATATTTTGTCAGTCGCAAGAAAGCTCGGATCAAGCATTTTCTGCACCTGGGAAGACATCGTTGAGGTCAATCCTAAGATGATTATGACACTAGTGGCGACAACTTATAGCTTGGCAGGAATTTACAATAGAGAAACCAGGGAAGAGGTGAAATCTGAATAATAATTTATATTCTGATAGACTGAGTGTTGAAGCTAAATATGGCTTAAATAAAGATATTGGATTTATAACAATCGGTATAATTTAGACTCCGTTAATTAAATTACATACACTTAAGGACGCTTTGCTCGCAAAATCTTCCTATTGTTGTTAGGCAAAGCACCAATATTAAATGTACCTTGGATCGGTGCGGAATTTTGAGGAAACGGCTGATTTCCAAAAGGATTTGAAATTTCTGGAGCTCGGCTACCTCCCATATCCATATCGTAATTTGTGTTTGCAGGAAAATTGGGCCGATTTGGAATATTATTCCCAGTCTGGAAATTTTGATTAAAATTTGATTGGGTGCTAGGAAAAGGAGGTTGGGTGTTTCCAAAGGAAGACTGATAAGGCGAGAGATGCAGCATAAATAAATGGCGTTCAGTTCAAGAGAAATTAGCTCTGCTAATTTTTCTCCTTCATGGAGTTTTATTTATGGGATTTGGTTTTCCTAGAGAACTTCTGTACAGCAATAGCGGTTGAACTCTTGCTGATAGGATTAGGGTACGTACTCTAATGGCAATGAAGAGATTCAAAGTTTTTCACTTAAAATACCTGAGAATGGTGCTCCTTAGGCAGAGCAAGTGATGGAGCTAAGTCAAGCAAAGGCAACGGCATCACGCCGGATGAGAGACGCTGTTGGTGGATTGGAAGTTTATTTTTGACAGTCGACTTTTTGGATTTGAAATGCTTGTGACGTCACTATTTTGACTTTAGTCCCTATTATGTAAGTGTGGCATTAGAAACCTTAAATACTTAATTTAATGCAATTTAAGAATAAGGCGATACAGCTAGAGGCTGAGAAGGAACCTGATAAGCTATAGGAGATATAGTGGAAGACTGAGAAGTAGGCTGAAATGGATTATTTGGCATAGAGATACTAGGAGGATTGGTAGAGCTTGCAAATGGGTTTGGGGCTGATATTGATGGGGGATTTATTGAACTTCCAAAGGGGTTAGGAATTGATGAGGAAGCAGGGGGCATAGACTGGCCAAATTGAATTGGTGCTGTGGGTATTGATGTTGAAAATGGATTATTTGCAGTTGCAAAAGGATTTTGAGAAGAAGCTGGAGGCTGACCAAAAGGGTTAGGAATAGGGTTATTTTGAGTCGTTGAAGAACTGGGATTTGAACCAAATACAAATAATGGCTTTACCTGGTCGGTTGTGCTATGTGTTGTAGTTAAAGTTGACGATGACAAAAAAGGATTTGACACAGCAGGAGGGGGGTTGAATTTTGGAGGCTCATGACGCTCTTCAACCATAGCTGCTTCAGTTGGTTTTTCGTTTTCCTTTGGCTTTACTGTTGCATCTATTGTTTTACTTATAAATGGATTCTTTTCTTTGCTTACATCTTCAAAAGGGTTTTTAATCAGAGGATCAATTTTAATAGGAACATCAAATTTCACAGCGTTTTCGACCAGTTTTTTAGATGTTTCATCGTCTTTGATTTCTTTGTCAAATTTGGGGGTTGAGCGCTCTGTTTTGACGACATCTTCAGTTTTTTCTTCAGCAATTTTTTCAAGTTCTTTATTTTCTTTGATGTAAAATGAATTTTGGCTTGAGTCATTTAGTTTTTTAGGTGTTTGGGAAAGTGTGTCTGGATTTTGTGATTGGTCGCCGAAACTCATTGTAGGTGATAACGGCTCTTTTATTTTTTGGCTTTCTGATTCTGGGCTTGTTTCTTCTGAAGGCTTTTCCTTGTCATCTTGTATGCTTGGCAATGGAACTGGTTTAAATTCTTCTTTGATTATTAAAACTTCAGGTGCCTTACTCTCTTATGCCATCTTGCTTTTAATATTGAATGAAATACTTTTTTTTCCCTGGTTTTAAAGAGCAAGTATGAAAAATAAATAAAACTTTATAATTGATTTTATATTAAAAGAAATATACTGAAAATAAATATTCAAAGCACTGCAATAAAATTTAATAAATAAATATGATTTTTTTATAGAATTCTAATCTTCATATAGCTGAAGGGGCTAGATTTCTCTTCTTTCTTGACTATTTCTTCTACCTTTGCGATTTCTTTTTCTGTTTTTGTATTTTCCAATTTAAGCACAGGCAAATTTTCTTCAGTTTTTACTGGCTTAATATTCTCACTTTTCACTACCGGAAAGTTTTTTATCTGCCTTTCTCCTACCCGAATTTGCATCTTCTTTCACGGAGGAATTTTTATTTTATTTTCCGGCACAGCTTGTTTAAAAGGCTCATTCACAACGGACGGTTTTTCTGAATTCACTACACTAGGAGCAATATTTTCTTCTTTTTTCAGTCTTTTTGTCTGATAAGGCGTGATTTCTTCAATTGGTCTTTTAAAAGCAGAATCGCTGATTTCAAATCTTCCTGGAGTAGGGGGCAAAGTCCCTGTGTCTATATGAAGAGGCTTTGGCTGTGGAATGCTGTCTTCAATGAACTCAGAAATGGGCTGAATTTTCTTCAGACTAGAAAAAGCATCTCGAGAAATTACTCCGATTTGAGCGGGAGGAAAAATATATTTTCAAAAACTTGAACAAGCTGAACTCAAAGCATTTTTCGCATGCTTTATACCAACTTTAAAGGCAGAATAGTTGCTTTCACTTGAGGTAAAAGGTCCTTCTGCAGATTCTCCTATTCGTCGTGTAACTTCGGCTCGCCGTGGGGTGAGGAATCTATAACCCATTCTACGTGACATTTTATAATTAAAATTACAAAATTAGGAAATTGCTTTAGTATTATAGCAAAAATTTTTACTCCCCCTTTATATATAAATAAAATATACGCAAAATTTCTATTTTTGGTAAATCAAGCCTTTTAAATAAAAATAGAATTTTTATTTTTATTAGTAAAATAATAATTTCTATAAAAATAGCTTAATATAAATTTAATGGAATCAAACAGAAATTTGCCAGAATATGTTCGATTTTAAACTGGGAGCGAAATAGAATATAATCTATTGCACATATTTCTTAATGTACAAGGCATGTGAGAAATTTCTCACATGTCAAAAAAAATTCACATGTGAAGTCTTGCATAAATGCAGGCTTCATATGTGGAATCTTTTTTGACATGTTGGAAATTTCCCACATGCCTTGTACATTAAGAAATATGTGCAACAGATAATACTAATTAAAAAAGTGATCTTTTCAATTTAGAAATTTATGAATAAGCTTTTCTATAAAAAATATTTTGTGTTAATCCCCCTTTAAATTGGAATGGATTTTTTTCTTTCAATTTAAAAGATGAGAACTAGTCTTAATAAATAAACCCTGAAAATATTTAATAATAATTTGCAAATATGCATAATTAATTCATGATATTAAATATTTTAAGCTGATTTCCAGTTTTTCTCATCATTTATCAGTTTCGTGTTCTCCACGATGAGATTGGTGATAGGTCCAAATCTCGGACTCCATCTATTGGGGAGCCTTAATTCTTCCCCTTCATAAATCCTGGGGTTCACATGTAGATCTAGCTCAGCCTGAACCTTCTTTGTCCTGCAGCCCACATTATAAAGCACAAAAACTTGAGCTTTGTATTCAGCTTTAAACAAAGATCCATCATTGCTGCATGGGTTGTCTCCATACAGAATTTTATCCAAATCTGCTTCAAACCTGAGCCCAGCCATATTTATCCCTTCATGTTTTATATTTGGCATAATCCTCGTCACAATAGTGGAGTAAAAATACTCTTTGTCCCCAGGAATCGTTAAATTTATATCAAAAATCACCTGCACGACCATACTAATTGGCGAAACTGGCAAGCTGTCTTTAAGGTCAATCTTAAAATTCGATAACTGGCCAATTGTGGAATGTTCTGACATTTCATTAGCCAGGGTAATTGTTGAGTACCCCTGAGAGAAGCAGAAGCATGACTTTATCGCTTGGTGGGCACTTACCGTCTTTTTAATAGGCAGCCGACTATTTTTGTTACGGAGAGTTATTTCTTTCTGAGAAGAAATAATTATCTGGTCTTGGGATATAAATTCTGCGGTTATTGTGTATTCTACTTTTGCAAAGATCTGGTTGCCTTCAGGGTCTGTTGAGGAAAAGCTGAAAGACGCTGGAGAGAATTGAGGAGTTTTAAAGGTAAATGGAAAACTGAACTGCCCACTTGGGGTGTTTTCAGCCCATTGCTGCAATTTGGAGTCCACTTTAAATATACATTTTTGTTCTTCAGCTGTTTGGCCGTTTGGCTTTATTACCTTAACAGACTCAATGCCAAGAACTTTAAGGGAAACTAAGGATGGGGAGTTTCTGGATGAGAGATTGAGCAAAATATCTCCGGATAGATTGTCGCCTGCTGTAAAGAACAAACTATCGAGACTTATATGCAGAAATTGGTAATTTTGACTCTCACGAGCCGATCGGTCATCAACTAGGAATGTATCACTTGTACTTATTGAATCTTCCATATTTATTATTTTCTAATAATCCTTTAAATTAGCTAAAATATTGCTATGAGTATAAGAAAAAATGATCTTGACTTTCTTTCAGGGCACAAATGTTAATGAAAGTTTAATTGAATAAGTAATATTTCAAATTTTTTTCTTTATGCATTATTTTGCTGCCAAAAATATTTAAATTTTCTTTATACTTGCTAGCCTAAGTATTAATATAAAATAAAAACCTAATTTCCATCTATCTTGGCTAACTGTAATAGAATGGATTTATTTTTAAAAAATTTATATAAATTTTAAGAAATCTAAATCTGTTTAATAAAAAATTCAATTTTAGAACTCAAACCGTTTAAATTAATATATTACCCTATTAATCCCAGTACAGCAGTGATTAATTATATATAAATTTTTTTTACATAGATATTCATATTTTGCTACAAATGAGTTTTTTTTCCCAAAAATGGTTTTGCTAATGTGAGAGTAAATAAAACTTTAGTATAATAAAGCATCATATGCTATTAAAATTTGATCAATTTCGTGGTTTATAAGAAAATCGTATTACTTATAAAAATTCATATAAATTTCCATCTTTTTATGGATTAATTTCAAGACTCAAAATTAACGGAATTATTTAAATTATCTGTCAATATGAGCAACCCAATTGAAATCATAAAAGATCGACTATTCTGGATTAGTGACCGCTACCCTCCTCGAAACAAGCCACTTTCCTTTTTCGTGTGTGTAGACAGCGTAATATTCACGTAGGAACTCCAGTACGAAGCTTTTTGTGAGGACTTTGGTCCTTTAAACCTTGCAATGACCTACAGATTCTGCTACCAGCTAGATAAATTATTAAAAGACCCTAAGTACATTAATCACAAAATTTATCATTACAGCAGCGTAAAAGATGAAAAACGTGCCAATGCAGCCTATTTGATGGGCGCTTTCCAAATCATTATCTTGCGGAAATCTGCAAGTGAAGCCTGGAGGCCTTTTGCTTCTCAGCCTGATTTTCTTCCTTTTCGAGATGCTAGCATGGGGCCATGCTATTATTTCTGCACAATCCTTCACTGCTTAAGAGGCCTGGAACTCGCAATGCAGCTGAATTGGTTCAATTTTCATCGGTTTGACGTCAAATTCTATGAATTCCGAGAAAAAGTGGAAAACGGTGACATGAACTGGATTTTGCCAGGGAAACTTTTGGCGTTTGGCAGTCCTACAGACTCTCCGACTGAGGAAAACTGGTACAGTTACAAGCCTGAGGACTTTGTCGACTTATTCAATAATATGAATGTGACTGCCGTAATCAGGCTTAACAATAAAACCTATGAAGAAGAAAAATTCAAGGCGGCTGGGATACGGCATTATGACCTTTTCTTCCTTGACGGAAGCTGTCCTTCAGACGAAATCGTGAATAGGTTTATTGCGATTATAGAAGATGAGTCTGGAGCTGTTGCTGTCCATTGTAAAGCTGGCCTTGGCAGAACTGGTACTTTAATCGGCTGCTATATAATAAAGAAATACCGATTTCCTGCCGAAGATTTTATCGCATGGTGCCGAATCTGCAGACCAGGCTCAATCCTCGGCCCTCAGCAGCAATTTTTGCTTGACTATGAAAAGAAACTAAACAACATTGAAAACATATCTTGCTACTCCTCAGACGATATGAAAAAATCAGTCCTCGGCGACCATGGCCAAGCTATCCGGCTTCTCTCAGCCAAAAGATCTCGCTGTGCTATGACATCTCCAGGAGAAAGTAACCGGCTTTCTTCTCCTATCGTCGACATATCCAAAATGATCCAAAACGTCGAAAGACCTGTAACCCCTTTCAATTACTTGCTAGGCAACCGATCTGCAACCCCGCTGCGTGACTTAGTTTCACAGTACAACTAATGTTTAATTAAATGCACACATATTCAATTTAAAGCTTATATTTATGCATCAATTCTTCCTTTTTTGCCTTTCGTCGCCAGTACCATACCTTTGACAGGCTTCTTAGAAGCACCTTGAGGGGGACTGATTTGGCTTACAGTTTCAGTGACCGAAACTGTAGTAGGACTCGGGACATTTGGCACGTCTGGTCTGGTCATATAGTCTGATTCTTCCTGGACACTTCTCCTTTCCCGTTTCCTTTCTTTATCTTCTACGGCTCTTTTCTTATCCAGCTCTGACTGTTTTCTTTTTGCGACTTCTTTGGCTTCCTGCATCAGTGCTTTTTGCTTTTCTTTATGCAGCTTTTCTTCAGCGCTTTCCATTTCACAATAAGTCAGCATCTGAGCTAGCGTGATGCTTTCTCTGTAGCCTTGGGAGATCACGTCGTCAAATGCCCATACGATTTCGAAGGAGTTTTTCAAGATATTGCCTTCGTCTAAGCCAAAAGGACAGTAGTGCTGGATTATTTTGGACAGGAGACGCAAGGTCTCGAGGTCTTCTACGATATTGCTGTCTTTAGAAGTGGTGAGGACAAGGTATAGGTCTTCGAATGGGAGATACACGAAGCGAGCCGACTCATTTTCAATGAAAGTGTGTTGGACATTCGGATCAATCATCCTTACAAATGAATTCAGCAGTCCTTCAATGTGTCCTTTGGAAATCTCTAAAAACTGTCGTGCAAGCAGAATTCTCCCGTTCTTGGTGACTAGGCCAGCAGATATTACCACCATTTTAATTATGAGAATGATTTAAAATTGGTTTGGGATAAATGGAAAAAGAGTTTATTGAGCTTGTAGAAGCACTTTTGGGACTTTTTAGACATGCGCTGATGAGGTGCTTTTTCTTTAAATTTGTCAATGCGAATTATGAGAGCTCCGTGTTTAGGGCGACATTGGCAAGTGAACCATTTGAAAATAAAGATCAGCCGACTAAAGCATTGAGTATTGAAGAAAAGGCTGATTATGCAATTTTGGAGGCTAAAGAGCTGTGAGTAAGGTATGGAAAAGTAATTAAAAGCAAAAAAAAAGCTGACACAAATAGCACTGTGGCTTTGGAAGGCAAAATTGATGCAATTGTTCAAGAGGACATGCTGTCACAGTATAAAATCATTAAGTCAGCTTATGAGAATAAGTTTGAGAGCTCTATTTTAAAAACAATTGAAGCCCATAAAACTGAAGAAGAGGCTAAAATGTGCTTTCTGGAGAATTTGAGGAATAAGTTTAAAAAAAAAATCCCAATTTGTGGGATTGACAAAAAGGTATGTCGACAACAAGCGGTTGGGGTTGTTTGTAGAGAAGCGCAAAATATCATCCAAGATGACGACACACTTAAATGCTTTAATCAGCTTATTTTGATTGAAAGCCCTAGATATACTGATGCTCAAGCAGTTCAGCTATACAAAGCTAAGTGCATTTTAGAATGAATAAACTCGTCTCTCTTATCATGCAGCCCAGACCAAATCAACAATTTTAATAAAATAAAGGCTTCTATATTCCAGCTACTAAACTACGACTCAGACCTAATAATTCCTCACGATTTCTTTAAAGGTGAAAAAGTCATTTTATCAGAACTCAAGCAAAACCCTTCCTTAGAAACCATAATCGACCACCAAATTTTCGATTTTTGGCGAGCAAAAGCAGAAATTTTAAAATTTTGAAAAATAAATCAAAGTAAAATCACAAGCATTGACGGACTGAAAATCATGCATGCATTGTCAAGCGACCGAGGCGCGTCTATTTGCAAGCTTTCAAATTAAATTAATCTATTTAAATCTACATTTAAGCCCTATGTCTTGCCAATCCAAAAGGATGAAGTTTCGATTTAAACTCGCTTTGGTAGCTCGTTGTAAAATGCACTCTTGGGACGCTGTTCTGCGGAGAAGCGTCTTGCTTGTTTTCAATTTTCTTATTAAGGTATTTTGACTTCGAAATCAAATTTTTATACTCGCTTCTTGATGTAGTCTCTCCTGAAAAATTATTCAGCAAACTGATCGGGCCGTTTCCTGTCCTTTCAGTTAAGCAGCTTGTAGAAAAAGTCCGCTTTTTAGGCTGATCAAGCTCTTCAAAACGTTTGAAAGAGTCAGTGTAGGTAGACGTAATGTTAGCTCTCAACATACCGCCTCGGTAAGGTAAAGAATCAGGCTTGATTTTTATTAATGCCCCGTATCTCCAGTCAGGGAAATCTCGGGAATAAGAACTTCGGGCTGTCTGTTTTAGCTGATATTGTGGGGTGCTCGGATTTTTCTCGATTTTTGGAGGCGTGAGAGGAGGAGGCTTGAAGTCATTTCGCTGGGTAGTGGTCAAATCTTTATAGGATGGCTTATAGCAACTCGCATTACTGGGAGCGAAATTAGGGTTTGGAGGAGCGTCAGAGAGCTTTGACTTAAAATTTTGACGATATGAAGTTGTTCATATTGATCGGGATGCAAGGTCTTCACGAATGTCAAGACCTGGACAACGGTGCTGGCCACATGTACAATGGTGGCAAAAGCAGTAACCAACAGCATGCTCAGCTTCTCCTACAATTGGCAAATCATCGCGGCTTAAAGGACAGTCCTCAATAGAAGTGTACTCTATTTCTGCTTTGTCCAAGGCTTCTCCAATTACGTCTTCTTCTATAGCAAAAGACTGCGAATTGTTCCCATCGTCTTTTATTGGTTCATTTATTGTTTCTTTTGCCAGTTCTGTTGGGCGGTCTTTGGGTGGCTGTTTTAAAGAGTCTCTAGGTGGGTCTTTTATTGGCTGTGATAAAGTCTCTGAAATTTGTTTGGGGATAGTATTTGATAGTTGTGGGGATTTTTTAGGTAAGTTACTGTCAAAATCTCGGATAAGTCTCTGCAAATCTCTTAAGTTTGGGTTTTCAAGGTTTCTTAAAGAAACTCTGGAAGCTGAGGAAGATGTTTTGGGGTTTCTTCTTGGGAAAGACTCGCCTCCTCGTGATTCAAGTAAATATCTGATAGATGCCATAAGCTCTTTAATTTAATATATTTTATACGCCAGAAATTGGATTTTTACTATTTAGTTTTTTTACTGAAACTTAGCCGGAGTTTTTTCGAGAATTTAGATATTTCATAGACTTAATATTTTTTTTAAGCTTATAGCTTATTTTAAGTGGTCATCAACTGAAAACTTAAAGAAGCTTATTACTAGTAAAGCATCTGCACAATATTTTCATTAATTCTGGGTTTTGATTTTTGCATTTTTTTGATGCTTTATTTTATATACTGTTTTAAGTGTTGAGGTTTAATTTAGAACTCAAAATAAAATTATTTGAATCCTAAAAGGTTATATTTATTACTTTATATTTCTAGCTTAATTTCTATTTCAAGATTGTTATAATCATATATCTATCCTATTATTAATTTAGCTTACTAGAAAATAAATTGAATTATTTATTCATTTTTCATTTATTTTGAATTTTAATAAATTCACAACGTTATTGATTCAGTAAGGCTTCTTTTCTCAACGATATCTTTGCTACTTAGCCTGCTTTCTTTTATCTAATTAATGAAATCCTCCATCCACTTTTAAAGGTTGAAATTAAAGTTAATTATGTTAATTAATTTTCGAAAAGCTGAATATCTTAAAGTTCTCCACACTAAGGCGTAACTCTAAGAGTATGCCTGTTTCTATCAACACCCATGAAATACAATGCGACTGTAATTTAGAAGATAAAAGTTTCTTCACTCGTAGCTATCGGCAGTTTGTCCCATCTCGTGTCTCTACATCATGCAATAGAGCTACCACTTGACTTTTAAAATGTAATCCTCCTAGAAATGCTGAAGAAATTTACCAAGAACTCTTACTCCCCCCCTATGAGTGAACAAAACCATTAGAAAAATCCCTATTTTTTGCCCTCCGTTAGTGAACAAAAATTTTTTTGTGAAAAAAAATTTGAAATATAAGCGATAATTAGTATAATGAAATCTCAAGCTAATTCTGTTTAATTTTAAACAAATTGCGTTTAAAAACATAAATTTTATAAATTAAATTAATATTTGCTTCCAATTTTTGCAAATTAAAATTTCGAAAAAAAATTTTTTCTATAAAATTTATATAAAAAAAAATTAACCCCTCTTCGTAAGTGAACAAAAAAGTTCTGTTCACTCACGGAGAGGGAAGATAGAATCTCCTCTAGAAACCCAGCAATACAAAGACAGCACCAAACAAATCGAGCTCGACTTAGCTCGCACCTACCCTGACGAACAATATTTTTCAGAAAACTCCAAAGGCCAGGCAGCTTTGCGAAGAGTTCTCTATGCTTTCAGCAAGTACGACCATTATCTTGGCTATGTCCAAGGGATGAATTTTATTGTTGCAGCTCTGCTTTGGCATTCCAGCGAAGTTGATGCATTTTGACTTTTCATTGGGCTCATGGAAGAATACGAGTTACGGGATATTTTCTTGCCCAGACTCCCAGGACTATCAAAACACTGTCAAATAATTCAGCTTCTCATCCTAGATTTACTCCCAAACGTCCACAGGCAGTTTGCTGAGCATAGGATAAGCTCAGAAATGTATGCAACTGACTGGCTTTTTACGATGTTTGGCAGTGTAGTTCCTGTAAGAGAGATGGTCAACATCCTTGACCAGTTTTTTAGGAAAGGCTGGTCTTTTATATATAGATTTGTGATTGCGATTTTAAAATGCCTAGAAGAGACAATTCTTCAGGCAAGGGACTCAATTGAAATTTTGGGGCCTCTGAAAATTACGCATCAGAGCCAGAGGGAGTGGAAGCATTTTTTGGAGCTGCTGGATGGAGGAAAAGGAAAAATCGGCTGGGAAGAATTGATTGAGAGATCAAGAACAGTTGATATTGATGAAAACTATATTAAATTGCTGCATAGAAATTTCAACGTTGAAACAGGGCAATTTAACTTGAGGTAAGGTGTAAAGGATTAAATAATTATATATTTATACTGTAATGGCTAAATGATATTTGTAATCAGCTATATTCTGTGCAGACAAAAAGAGAATTTTCAAGGCCATTATACACTTATTTACTGTAAATGATTTAATTTCTGTTTTGTTTATATGATGAGTTTTATTAAACATATTTGCTTATCGCTTAAAATAAAAATTAAATTCTTTTTATATATAAATTTTTATTTTATTTAAATTTTCGCAATATTGTCTAAATATAAAAATGATTGATGATGATCCAGAATCATTTCCAAGAAAGGACACTCGAAATAAGAAGCGCTGGAATAACAATCCCAAAATCCGATGGAATTTTAAGGAAACAGTCATCAGAAATGAGCATATTGCATTTAGAAATCAGCAAAGAGCAAAAGCAGAAGAAATGCTAAAGTCAGCCAAAGAAAAAAGAAGGGAACAGGAAGAGCACAAAGCAATTCAAGACTTATATCAAGCAAAAATCGCACTGAGAGATGTTACAAATCTTAAAAGAGAAATAGCTTCAAAGGAAGGAAACTGCCAGCCAGTTAAAAAAATCAGCAATAATAATGACTTGACTTTGCAAAAAACTGAAGCACAGATAAAAAAATATATTGCTTATTTAAGTACTACTTTATAATTTGAGAGCAATTAATTCAATACACTATTCTATTAACTGCCCCAGAAATAAGTAATTCTCTCTTATTCGTAGGGGCTAAATTTTACAAATAGTAAATTTTATTTGATTAGATCAAAATTTTCAGATAAAATGCAAATTTTGGGCATTTGACCCAATAGTAAGCGAATTTCGATCTATTTATATAAAAAAATTTACTATTTGGAAATTTTGTGCTAACTTCTCACTTTAAATTGGAACAATAAATCTTGCTAAAATTTAAAAGGGTTAATATTGTTAAAAAAATTATAATTTCAACTATAAAATTTTCCCATTGAAAACAATTGTTCCAATTAAAGATAGGTGGTTGAAATACCAAAAAAATAAAAATTTTACCTATATTTAAAGAGGGGAGTAAGACATCACAAATAAGGAAGGATCTCCTTATTAATCGAAGGTAAGATAGATTATTATTAAACAAATAAGTTTGCTAATTATTCTGTGACTTGAGTTTCGGTTGACTCGCTTGATTCATCAGTAACGTCACTTGCGGACTCACTGGAATTTTCGTTTTCTTCCACCTCAGAGGCTTCTTCAGTTGAGTCTTGGACTTCTGAGTCACTTTCACTGTTGTCTTCTTCACTTGTATCCTCATCACTTGATGACTCATCAGAGTTTTCTGTCTCTTCTTCACTTTCTTCTTCACTTTCCTCATTACTTTCTTCTTCGCTATCTTCTTCACTTTCTTCTTCACTTTCTTCTTCACTTTCTTCTTCACTTTCTTCTTTACTTTCTTCTTTACTTTCTTCTTCACTTTCTTCTTCGCTTTCTTCTTCGCTTTCCTCACTACCAGTATCTTCATCTGCCGCCTCATCTTCGCTACTATCTGCTTCTTCTCCATCAGCCTCTTCTGTACCATTTTCTCCTCCAGTATCTGTTTCCGTTGATTCACTTTCTACTTCAGTTGAACTTTCATCATTGCTAGTCCCCTCACTATCACTATTTTCCTCTTCTGAGACTGTTATACTGCTTTCTTCTTCAATAGTAACTTCTGTTGCGTCGCTTGTATCTTCATCATTTGCTGAGCTATCCTCGCTGCTAGTATCTTCACTAGTTTCATCTGTCTCTTCATCTTCATCAACTTCTTCGCTTTCCTCCGAAGTTGTGCTTGCATAGTCCTCTAAATCTTCAGATTCATCTTCATAGCTTACATCTGTTTCGTCATAGTCTGAGTAGTTTTCATCCTCATCACTGTCACTTTCTGAATAGTCTTCAAGATCATATTCTGAATCTTCAATTTCATCAGTACTTTCATCAATTTCATAGCTCTCGCTGGCGTCTTCATCATAATCTTCCTCTAAATCTTCATCAGAGTCAGTATCTGAGTATTGACTTTCATCAGCATCACTGTAATCTAAGTTTTCACTTGAATAGTCTTCTAGCTCTTCTCCATCTTCGTACTTTTATTTTAATGGAAGATTCGGAAAGTAATGTTTCCCTATTCTTCTTCTTTTTGTGAAGAAAACGGAGCTTTACAGGATGAATTTTTCGAACTTTTTACTATTAAATGAACTTATTGATACAGGATTACTTGATAATTCTGAATCAGAGTATGAATGAAATGATAGTGATGCAGAAAATGTTGATACAGATGACAAAATATTGGAGTTTTTAAGTCGTTTAGATGGAAAAATACTAGATGAAATAGATCCTATTCAGGAAACCTTCAAAATATAGGAAGACTGAGGTGATCATTGATGATAAGAGACAATCGATAAGAAAATCCTGAACACCAGAAAAATAAAAATTAGATCAGATTCAAATTTTATCAGAAAAATAAAATTGATATCAGAATCAAACATTATCAGGAAAATAAAATTTAGATCAGATTCAAATTTCATCAGATATAGAAAATTCATATCAGACTCAGAAATCGAAAAAATCGCGGATTACGTGGGTTCAGAAAATTTTACTAAAATTTTATCCAAAGATTTTAGGAAAAGAAGAAAGTTAAAAAATTTTTAATCGGGACATGGCCCTGAAATAAAGGCCTTTAAGTAATAAAGATTTCTCTCTCTCTCCATCTTCGTTACTTTCAGAATAATCGCCCTCTTCTGAGTAGTATTCTTCACTTTCATCAATATCACTATCTGAATTTTCATCTCATTCATCTATATCTTCATCATAATCATTTTCTTCTTCATCTACTTCTTCAGTTTCATCACTACCCTCACTTATACCTTCTTACTAAAGTAATTTAATATTTAAAGATAGATTCTGCATTACGGTTTAATTGCAGCTTGCACTTTTAGCTCTCGTGACATCACTAGCTATCTTCTCCTCTCCCTTTATATTGGAAGCTATTAATCTTTCCACAACCTCATGTGACGCGCTATTTCGCTCTTAATTAACTCCTACATGTGTTCTGACTAAGTGATAACCTCTAGGAGTATGAAGCAGCCAAACCTATGCCTCCTAAAATTCAAGGGCCAACCCTCTACTCAATGCTTTAGGCCTAGCTGATAATAATAAAATTACTTGAGAGTGGAAAGTTCTCATAGAGAACTTATTCTGTCAACACCATTTTATAATTATATCTTCTTCCGTATCACCATCTACATCCTCACTGCTATCTTCTTCGTCTCCACTTTCCTCTTCTTCATTATTTTCACTTAAATCTCCACTTTCCTCCTCTTCACCATCATTATTTTCCTCATCCTCATCTGTCGCTGTATAAGTAGCACTATAATCACTATATCCCCTGAAATTTTATAGACCATTATTGACAACCATCTTAATTTTTAAAATTAATTTATACTTGTCACTTTTTTTGAAAAGTAAAAACGAAAATGATAAATCTCCATTTATTGTTTTAAAGATGCTAAATCAGACTTAGATTGTATAAAAAAGTGTTCTGGCCATATTTTTTCTGATCAGTATTCTGCTGGGATATAGAGATCTATTATGGTGTATAAATTATATCATATTCGCTATAGTCAGCCCTTTCGACATCTTGATATTCATATTCTTCCTCGTCATAATCTTCATCATTTTCATAATATTCATCATATTCATCTCCTTCATCTGTACTTACAGAACTTCCTGTGTATCCTGAGTCGACCAAATCTTGGCTATCCTCTTCTTCTTCCTCTTCTAAAAATGCCAATCCATTATTCTTCATCTCTGGCTGCATTGTTTTCTGACTTGCAGAGGCCAAGACCAATAGAGATAAAGCGCATATTCACTTTATAGTTATTTTCATGGCGAGATTACCGTTTATTATAATTTCCCATTCTCTTTAAATCCAAGTAAAATATGTCTGATAACCCTCAGAAAGCGTATGAGCTGCTTTGGCAAGAAATCAAAGGCGGCAACCACAGCTCGATCTTGGCGATTTGTTCAAATTGTAAGTTTTATGTAGTGCAAGGTGTTTTGCCTAATGATCTTGACTTGCTGAAGACTAAAATTGTCGCTTTGATCCAAACATCAAAATTCCAAGAAGCCTTTGAGCTGATACAAACGGTGCAGGGCTTGGATTTTGAAAGAGCTTATATAAGCTATAAGCTTGGGAATTTTGAAGACTGCTTAAGAATTTTGGATAAAAATAAAAAGTGGGAGTTGGTTTGAGAGAAATTAGCTCTGCTAATTTTCTCTTGCTCATGGAATTTTATTTATAGGGTTTGGATTTCTCTCAAGAACTTTATACAGCAGTAGCGGTTTAACTTTGGGATAGCAAGATGAGCTAATTCACAGTGCGACCAAGAGCTTTAGGGGTTCACACTGAACACATCCAAAGAGGATGACCCTTAAACGGAATATGCGAATAAGCTGAGCTAGGCAAGGGTGAATATCACGCTGGGTGAGAAACTAGTGAGGATGGCAGGCAGTTTATTTAGGATGGACTTTTGGATCGAAAATATTCGCTACGTCACCATTTGGCAGTGTCTCTTGAGTGGGAGTGTGGCGTTATATACCTTAGACACTTTAATTAATGTAATATTGCTTAAGAGTTTGTGAAGGAAAAAGCGACAAAGCTTTTCGTCAGCTGAGAGCTCAAGCTGTATTTATTATGTAGTTCTTTCGCCTGTCGTGGTTTGAGCAAGCAATCGCTGAGTATGAAGATTTGATAAAAAATGACCCAAGTTCACAAGAACTGCTTATTAACTTTTCAGCGTCTTTTTCTGGCCCAGGACTTGGAGATAGAGGTATCAATCATTTTTCGCTTCAGCACGAGGGTGGATGGGAAATTTTGTTCAATAGAGCTATTCTGCAGACCGATATAGGACACTATAGTGAAGCTTTAAACTCACTTCGAGAAGTCGAAAATATCGTCACCAAAGATTCATCATTAGAAGAAGAAAAATGGATCGTCAAAGCCCAAATTGCTTATATTTACCAACTTATGGAAGAAACACAAACTGCTATAGAAAAATATGAAGAAATCTTAAAACAGACCACAGATTTAAATATAAAAGCAATGATAAAAAATAACTTATTGTTGTAAAGGAATAATAAAATGGCATTCGGTTCGAGAGAAATTAGCTTTGCTAATCATGGAATTTTATTATTAGGGTTAGGTTTTCACTCGTGAACTTCTGGACAGCAATAGCGGTTTAACTTTGGGGATAACCAGAGGAACCACTCCTCAGTCCACTCAAGATCTCGGGCTTTTACCTCTCAGCACATCCCCACGGGAGGATGACCCTTAGGCGGAACACGCGCAGGAGCTGAGTCGAGCGACAAGGGCGACGGCAACGCGCCGGGTGAGACGTGCAGCAAGGCCGGTGAGGCAGGAGTTGTTAGAAGGCTTGGACGGGGCTGACCCGTGCCAAGATGGCTCGCCTACGTCATCAGTTTTGCCATAGGCCCTTTTGGGCTGCGGCACTAGACACCTTAAACACCAGATAATTAAGTAAGTAAGATTGTTGCAAAGGAGCATGAAAATAAAGAAGCCTTAAACGAGCTTAAGAGCTCTTTGGGAGATGAAAATAAGTTAACTGCTCTACAAAAAGCTGGGATTTTGCTTAATTATGCATTGATCGCTTTCAAAAGAAAAAAAATCCAAGAAGCAGAAGATATATTAAAAGAATGCGAAAAATATAAAGTCCACGAGAGAAGGCTAGGCTCTATCAATGCTTATATACTGATGAAAGAAAAAAAGAATGATGAATATAAAAACTTTTTATTGGAAAAACATCAGCCGTGGGCTTATTTATTGCTAATAAAAATTCTGTTGCAGCAGCACAAACAGAAAGATTAGATTAGATTAGTTTAAATTATAGTGGGCCATCAGGATTTATTTCAGCCCCTCTCCGTTTCACGGATAGCTTCGTATTGGCGCTAAGTGCTATCCTCACACCACCTTTTTGCTTCTGATGTCACCAAAAAATGGTGACTTCGAAGATCTATTGGGGAGACACCCCTACCCATTGGCATTGCCTTTCTTGGTCCCAACGTTCAGCAAAAGACTCCCTTAACCTCTGACAGGGTTCAAGAGTATGGGTGAATCGTCTTTGCCTTCTCCATGGCCGGTTAGAGCCTTATTGCAGGCTCGAAGATTGCCCCCATGGAGTATTGTGGTACTTTGCGCCGGGAAGAACATCTGCAGGTAAAGAAAAAAGACTTAGGGTCATCTCCTAGGCCAAAACTCCACCCCAGAGAACTATCGTCATGTGGCTCGCCTTTCCTGGGCCGGATCAATTCACGGGCCACCAGGAGTCCACGTCATATCACGTCATTTTAATAATTCTCTACAACAGAAAGAAGCTGCAGAGATTTCGCTGAAACTGAAGTCAGAACAGAGCGCTTTTAATGATCAAGATTTTTATATAACAATGTCTCACATTTTGGAAGACGCTGGATATGTGCAGCAAGCTGTTGAGCTTTTAGAAGAAGGAAACAAATTGTTTTCTGATAGAAAAATCTGTGAAGCTCTAGGGAATTTATTAATGAAAATTGGCGAATTAGATAAAGCAACTAGCGTTTTCCAGCAATTTCTCAATAAAAATGATGATAAAGCTATAAGATCAAGTTTAGTAATTGCCGCCGCTAACTCTTATGCAAAATGGGTAAAAGCCAATCCAACTGTCAGCGAAGCTGAAAAAAACAAAAAGTTCCAAGAAATAGAAAGCTTGAAAAAAGGCCTGATCAATAAAAAAGATGCTTTATATTCCTTACGACAAGGTGACGAAGACATTTTTGGAGTCTGCGACAGGTTAGAATACGCCAACGTAAACTGGAAACAAAAAGTAGAAGAGAAAAAAGTAGCAGAAGTGGCCAGAAAAAAGAGAAAAAGAAAACCAAAATACCCTAAAGGCTTTGACCCTAAAAATCCTAATAACCCTCCTCCAGACCCTGAAAGGTGGCTGCCTAAAAAAGAAAGGTCAGAATACAAGAAGAAAAATTGGAAAAAACAAAAGAAACTTAAAGGGCCACAAGGAGCCATGCCAGAAGTGATGGGACAAGAAGTGGGCTCTTTTAATAGAGGCCCGTCAACTGCTCATATAGAAGCTGCAGGAGAAAAGAAGAGAAAGTAGCTAAAATTAAAAATTTCCTATAAATTTGCATTAAGGGATCATACATATTTTAAGTTCAAATTAAATGGAATCAGACAAGACTGAGCGAGAATTACCAAATATTCCTGCAGACAGCATTTCTAAGCTTGCTTTTAGTCCGACTTCTAACACATTATTAGTATCAAGCTGGGATCGCTCAGTTTCTATTTACAACACAGACTCTTGTGACTTGATTTCTCGATTCACAGGCAATGCGGCGATTCTTGACTGTGCTTTTTATAACACCCCAAATACCGCTGTATGAGGTGGCTTGGATCGGCATCTGCAGCTTCATGATTTTGAAAGGAACCATACTGAAAATTTAGGTGACCATGACTATGTTATCAAAGCAGTCCGCTTTTATTCACAAGTAGGGCTCATCATATCAGGGTCTTGGGATTCTACAATGAGATCATGGGACCCTCGAACTCAAAGCCACTGGGTTTCTACCACAAACTTGCCAGGAAAAGCTTATTCGTTAGCTATAAGTGAAAATCAAGGCTACATAGTTCTCGGGACAAATAAAAAAGAAATATTGATTTTTGACATAAGGAATCTTCAAGAGCCAATTCAGCAGAAAGAGTCTCCTTTGAAATACCAAACCAGGTACATTGAATGTATGCCAAATGGCCTGGGCTACGCTATAGCTTCAATAGAAGGTAGGGTAGGGTTGGAGTATTTCAGTGCAGCCCCAGAAATGCAAGCTAGAAACTACGCTTTTAAATGCCACAGAAAAGAAGAAAACGGGAAAGTTTTGGTTTACCCAGTCAACACTATTGCTTTTCACCCAGTTTTTGGGACTTTTGCAACAGGAGGAAGCGATAACTTAGTCAATGTCTGGGACGGGGAGCACAAGAAAAGGATTTGGAAGCTAAAACAGTACCCAAGCCCTATTTCTTCATTAGCGTTTAATAAGGACGGTAAGCAGCTGGCAATAGGCTGCAGTTATATGTTTGAAGAAGGAGATATTCCTAATAAACCACCTGAGAAGATATTTATAAAAGAAATCGAGGACAACGACGTGATGCCGGCATCTAAAGAATAATGGTTAATTATGTTGAATAAACCCAGCTGAGAAAATCTTTTAGGTCTTCATTAAGTCGTTGTTTTACAAGCGCCGCAAGCTGCGATATTTCTAAGTCTGCGCTTCAGCCTTTAAACTTGTTCCCGTATTTTTTTTCTCTGAGCTCACTATGCCTCATAATTTTTTGGCTCCTCAGTTTATAGGTAGGTGCTGATTTGGGAAAGTCTGAGGGGACTTGGAAAATTAATTGGACGATTTCTGACCCACCTGTGGCTTTATATGGAATTTCCATATGAAAGCTCATTTTTAAGAACTCAATTGAGTCAATCTCTAGAGGGATCCCTAGATTTGCATTGCAGAGGCACTGCATGAATAACGCTCTTAAGTCTTTTGAGTTCCCAGCAGTCTGCGTTTCCTTCTTCAAAAAATTAATTAGCTGGTTTATCAAGCTATAAAATGATGAGTACTGCCAATAAGGATTTTGTGCTTTCACAAGTGCATTTATAGTTAAATGATGCAAATGAGTTGCTCATTGGGGATACTGCAAGTTCACAGTGAATTTTTCTTCATGCGGCAAAATGCTCACATGGCAATATATAGGCAGAGTGCATGACTCATGCGCCAAAGTAATAGGAAACGGCACAGAAATCACTATTTCTTGCAAAACTCCTCCTTCAATGTTGACTTTAATTTCATTTCTTTGCGTTAGGCCTTCAATTTTGTTAGCAATATTATAAATCACTTCAGTTTCTTGATTTTTGTATTCCTGAAATAGCCGTTCGTGGTATTCTGAAAAAGCGTCTTTGATTTTGGCGCTGGCATTGAGCAGACCTCGTCGGTCGCTGATATTCCAGTCGCTTATAACTGAAGAATAAGGAACTTCAATGTCTGTTTGAGGATTCATAATAATAAAGTCAGGTGGGCAAGAAGGATCCATTGCGTTAAATAGAACACGCGTTTTGATACATCCGTCAGAATAAGGAATATCTACAGTGAAACGATCAATCACGTCTAAGCATGTACTTTTGCCGTATTCAGTTATCTTGTACTCTTCTTCTTTCAGAGCCAGGAGCATGTTATGTGCAACAAATTTTGCCATCGTATTTTATTATAATCTTGTATAAATATTATAAAGAAAAATTATTTGAAAATAAAGAATTTGTGGATATTTTTATAAGTTACTGTACATCAGCATTGCAAAGCGGGCATTTTTTGCTTCCTTGTAACCATTTTTTCAAGCAGCTTGAATGATAGAAATGCTCACAAGTCATCACCATGAGAATGTCTCCTCTGATGAATTCTTCTAAACAAATTATGCATGTAGTATATGGAAGTGCCTCTTCGTTTTCTAAGGTGTAGTATGGTAAACTATCTATAGCTTCTACTGAAACCCCTTTGGCTCTATAAGCCTCTATTAAAATATCAATAATGCCTTCATTTGTAGGAGAATGCCTGGACACATCTCCTTCATCTATGTCGTCGGGGACTTCTTCGTATTCGTCAAAATCACTAAGATTTTCTTCAATATCTGGGCTTAGTATTTCTGTTGGATCTTCTTTAATTTCTTCTACACTCTTTTTGCCCTGAATAGTCGCTATAAACCCTGTCTTTGGGTTTATTGATGCAAAAAGTTTGCTGAAAAGCCCTTGGTTTGGCTTAAAGGGATCTAGTCTTTGTATAGACTGATATGGGCTCAAAACTTGTTTTGGCTTTTGCAGAAAAATTGTTTTCGTGCCAATTTCTCTTGATCTACAAATGGAGAGCTGATTCGGATGATTTTTCATCCTTCTTTTAGATATTACTTGAATTAGCCCTAAATAAGATTCTTCAAAGGTTTGATGCATATTTAAAATATGTGCGTACTCCTGACTTAAGCCTAAACCTTGGATTTTTTGTTGAATTATAGACCTTGTTTCAGATAACGGATTTATTTTAGATTTGTGCCTATGAGGGGAATCCTGAGGGATTTCAGGGACTGCTTGCTCAACAGCAATTTTTTCAGTCTCATCTTCTTCGGTTTCGATTTCATATATAATTTTTATATCTGTGTTTTCAAAGCTGGTTTCTACTCTTCGTGCTTCAAAAATTCCACAGTCGTTTATGATATATCAATTTATAATGAATAAAGCTTTCTGCTGATAATCGTTTTCATTATAAAAAATATGAAAATAGGATAAGGAGAATGCTAATATTCATTTTAGACAGCATAGAATTCAGCTCCTCATCAAACCAAACATTATTTTCAATATCTTCTAGTAGTCCAAAAAAATATTCCTCTGTGATATCTTTTGGATTAGACTTTTTCAAATGCATTAGCTTCTTGGGGTCTGTAGCTGGGGTGCGTTACCCTAGACTACGAGATCTATTTGGCCAACAACCTGACCGGAAAATTAATTTTTCAGATTTTTTAAGGGCAACCTTACTAGATATGCAGCATGGTGGCCTATCCCACAACACTCTCCGATCTGGCGCAGCCTAAGGAGAGGAGCGATACTTGGAAAGACGGTAGCATGGAACCCAGGTTAAGCAAGACGGGTATCACAGAGAGCTTCTGAATATAACTAAGAACTAAGTGTGTTAGACTTTTTCATCTCTGTAAACTCTCCGTTTAACAAATATAAATCATCAACTTTAGTATCTAAATTCCCTATCTTATCTTTGACGTTTGAAAGCTTCCTTTTTGTTTTTCTTGCGGTTTTTTCATGGCCTTCTTCTTTCAATTTCTTTATTTTTTTCCGCAATTCCTTTTTGGTTTTTGATAAAATATCAAGATTTTTCTTGATTTCTGCATAAACAGATCTGAATTTTTTCCTTATTTCTTTTCTCGTGGCTTTTGCGGCTTTCTTTATACTTTTGGAATTCATTGCAGCTAACTGGCTTGCTGATTTTCTCATTGTTCTTTCTAATTGCTCTTTATTTTCATCAATATCGTGAGCTGCTTTTGAGGAATGCGATCGTTCATGGTCATTTGCATCTTTGGGGATTTTTAAAGAGCCTTTGTGAGACGACGCTTTGGAATCTTGAGGCTCTTCTGAAGTCAAGTACAAAATTGCATCGTTTATATCAGTGTATTTATTTGCTGCCTGCACAGCTTTAGGCTGAGGATAGCCCATATCTAAGAGTTGTGACAAAAGATGCTTCCTGGATTCTTTTATATTCATTAATTATTATTCAAAATTACATAAAATAGAGAACAAAGGATATTGGCTTAAGCGTTACATTTTGAAGCTATGAAATGCTGTAGAATATTTTAATAATCATCTTCAATATATTTATCCAAAAAGAGCTATTTAATAAATATTTCTTTCCATTAATTTTAAAAATGTCTTGAGCTTTAGTAAATATTTAAATTATAATTTCTATCATCTAAATTTTTATTTAAAAAATATGTACTTATATGAATAATAATCAAAAAATGGTGTCCCCAACCGAAAATTCTCTTCCTCAATTTTTTGATTATGAGGTTTGGCTTTCCCCAGCGAATTTAAACCCGGCAATGACAGGGCTTTAAGTTCCTGTGGTACGCGACGCAGGACTCCTGCCACTCAGGAATCGAATTTTCTGGAAGGATGCCAACAACCTCAGGCGGTGGAGATTGGGACCTTTAGGGTGCCTGACGGACGAAGCTGGTTCTGCCCCAAGAGCCGGAAGGACGGCCGTCGAAATCCGAACGCCGAAGCCGATGGGACCATTCACCTTAAACCAGGTGATGCACTAAATTTTGGTGAAGCAAGGAAACCCAGAAGCAGGAGGAGGCCCGTGCAGGTGATGTGGTATTGGACGTTAAGCGTGCATTAATATTTAAGTAAAATTAAGTAAGTACTTATATGAATAAAAATCCTTGTTGCCATATTGGTCTTAACTTTAAGGATGGAAACTTTAATAAAGCTTAAAGTTGAAAGAAAAGTAGCTAGTATTGAACCATTTATTATTAACAATTCATTGCAGTGCCATTATATTTATTTCTAAAAAATATAAAAATTGCCCCACACGGGAATTGAACCCACGTGTGGAACCATTTTTGGTACGTGGAAGTGGGTTCAATTCCCGTGTGGGGCAATTTGTATATATTTTGACTGTTGATTAACTCATTTATTATTTATCATAGATTCATGAGCTTAATATCATGAATTCCATATTTAGCAGGCTCAGGGGTTGAGAAATTAATAGTAAATAAGAAACGAAAAGCAGAGTTCAATTTTTAAAAGATGAAGAAAGCCAGCTGCTAAATTCAAAAAATTAATCAGCTATAGCAGAGTTTTAAAGCCTTAATGTGCAATTTATATCGCCATTATTTTGCATTTCTAACTTCGAAATGGAATTTTTCTATTTTCAGAATAATGAATTATTGTAAAAATCATTAATTTAATTCTGCCATATCAAAAATGCGCTATCTATAAGACGCGACTTTACATCGGGCGTTGCTATATGACTCCCTTATAAGCTTGAGTTTTTCTTTAACTGAACAGCATCTACTGCTATTTGCGTTAAACCATGAATTTTTTTTAAATAAAATTGATTCCTTTAAAGGAAACCTATTTTTTATCGAATTTTCCAGCGCTCGCTTTGGGCTGCTATCATTTTGAGGCATAGGACTTCTTCTATGAATTTCCATAAACCTGCTAATAGCTGGTGTTTTCGACCTTTTTAAAGTCTCTAAAGAAACAGACTCTGCGACAGCTGAAAAAGTACTGCAACTTTCAGTGTTTTTTTCTAGATTACAATTAGGAGTTTCAGCTGTTTTATACTTTGGTGATTCCTTGACGTTCAGAGACGTTGGAGTATTAACTTTAGGCAGCTTGGTATTGGTTGAACTTGAGCGTTTCCGCACTTCAATTTGTTCTTCAGGCTGGCGGGTTGGAGAAGTCGCTCTTCTTGGTCTTGTGAACTCTTCGTCGTTGGTAGAAACTGAGGTATCAGCGCTTTCATAGTAGCTCTGAATGTACCCATTGTTTTCTATTCTGGCGACATAAATGTTGGATGAAGGTTTTAGGACTCCGTCAATTTTTAAGTCCACCAAAGCCTTAATAAAAATTACTGAGGACGCGATTTCTTCTAATTCCCTGACAGCTTCTTTTGCCCTCATATCTCGGCTGGGGATTTTTCATTGTTTTTTTCTATAAGAAAACTGAGTTGAAAAATACCTCATAGACTTCAACAAGACTCTTAAATGTTACTTTACTGTGGCGCAGAAGCTGCTCTTTGCAGCTTTCTAGAACCAAATAAAATTGACTTTCTTCGGCCATCTTTCAGTATAATCAATGGTAATCAATATTTTTAATTCAAAAGGAGGGCTAGGTTAGAGTACGTAAAGTCAGGAGATAGCCATATTGGTAATGCAGTCACCAAAAACCTCCATATACAGAAGGTTCAACTTCAGCCCAGAGAGTCTAACCACCAATATTGGGTGCCACTTCCGGCACCTTCTGTCTCCTCCTTGCCTTGTGACTTTAGTCTGTTACGGGCAATTAGAGCAGCTTGATTCCAAAGATTCTTGGATCTGTCGTGCCGAAGTGCCTTCATTAGACAGCTCCAGGAAAAGACTACTCCCCTGCATCCTAGGCCGAAAACCCCAGTTTCCCGATAAATGAATGCACATGGGCCCTCAATTTCCAACTGCAAGAAAGTAGTCAAAACCTACCCTAATACACATCTCTTGAATCTCCGCTTGATTCTTGACTTGGATTCCCCAGTTCTCCTTGACCATAAAGCCTGGACTGTTGCACCAAGAGGGCAGGTTGGCACGTGTTACCATTTTAACTATATTTCAAAAGGATCGAAAAGTATTTTTTTTAAAAAAATTATAATGAATAAAAATTATGATATAAATATAAAATTTTAGCATCCATTCAAATAGGAGCAAAATAAATCACTTAATTAAGCTTGCATAAAAATGCTATATAGCATATTTAAATATTGGCAGATGGCTGTGCTAATGAAATAATGAGCTTAATGTTAAACAAACTCATACAATAAAAAAAATGAAGGAAAAGGTAATTTCTCTTATTTACTTACGTCAAAGTTAGCTGGTGAAAATTGGTCAAAAATAATAAAGCGCTAATAAATAAATAATTGTATTTTTAAAATGATTACACTTGGCAAATGCAAATATAAAATACCAAATAATCATCAGTTAGAAATTTTTATCCTTTAATAAATAAAGACTAATCTTCTTTGTTTAAAATCCTGCTTATCTTAAACTATTACACTTTAAAAAAGCCTTCTGCATTATATTCTACTATGTCAATCTTTTTTCGTCTACAAAATCCTCCTCCCTTTCACTTCCGCCACTTTAAGCTTAAATCTTTCTGACACATCCATCTTATTTTGCATCAAAAAATTTCCTTATGGCGGCAATAAGTTCCTTTGCTCAACTTCTAATTTCAGCCCAGTCAGCCCCAGACCCACAAACCCGTGCTTCATCTGAGCAAATCATCCAAAGCTTGACTCAGACTCAGCCTGCTCAATTTCTCTATGACCTTTCCTCTGAGCTTTCTAATGAGCAGTCTTCCAAGCTTGCCCGTCAAATTGCAGGTCTCACCTTAAAAAACACAATTCTTAACGTCAAGCAAGAGGCATTTCTTGACCGTCTATGAATAAGTCTCCCTCCAGATTCCAAAGCGCAAATCAGGAATAATACACTATGCACCTTGGCCACCCAAGATCGCGATGTCCGACTTGCTGCAGCTCAAGCAGTCGCCTGTATCGCCAAGCTTGATATCCCTTTAGGAGAATGGCCTGATATTTTAGGAATCCTTATTAATAATGCCACACATCAAGATCTCAATGTGAAAATGATATCTTTGACTACCCTTGGATATATATGTGAAGAACTCCCTTCAAGCTGTATAACCAAGGTTACAGCTGACCAAATTTTGACTGCTATTTGTGCGAATTTTTCAGACGAAAACTGCAAAGATGACTTAAAAATCATCGCGATCCAAGCTTTGAGGAATTCCTTACCATTTACAAGAAATAAAATGGTGACTTTGACGGAAATTGGACTCTGAGGCGCACTCCCTATGGAGCAGTAGGACTCATTCTGATGAAGTTGAAAACTAGGGTTTCTGTCCCTCTTACAGTAGGCCTTTAGGCTTTTGTTTCTTCTTCAAGGGTTTCCTGTTCCTGCCAGATGGCTAGACAGATTTTGCCTACTACATGGTCTTTCCTCATTTAGACCATTGGGGAACTGGACAGACGATGGCTCCGCCCATGGGAGCTGATCCCCTGGACATATGGTTCAGTTCGGAAATCCAAAATGGCACCGGGCGAGAATTACGGTAGCATCAGATCTCGTTCTGAGGGTTGTTTTGGAGCCGAGATGGGGCAATGGCTTGTGGGTTACTGAGCTCTTATTTTAATTTTACCATTCACGCATGAGAATTTTCAAAAAGCTAATGAAAGAGAATATATAATCAATATCCTATGCGATTTGTGCACAAACCCTAATTTAAATATCAGAATTTCTGCTTTGCAAGTTTTATGTGATATTGCTGGGCTCTATTATGAATATTTACAGACTAATTTAATGCAGCTAGGAACTGTGACGTATTCTACTATAAGGCAGGATGACCCAAGAGCTGCTGTGCTGGGCGTGGAGTTTTGGAATGTAATTGCAGACATTGAAAACCTGAAAATCGAAAATAATTTCCCTGTGCTTGGGTTTATCAATACAGCTGCAGATACACTTATACCGATTTTGTTAGAAAAAATAGCGATTTTTGAAGACGATGATGATGAATGGAACCTGCATAAGGCTGGGTCTACCACAATAGGAGCAGTTTCTCAAATTATTGGAGACTCCGTGGTAGATAAAGTCGCTTCTTATATCCTTTCTCATATAGAATCTCCTAATTGGAAAGAACGTGAATCAGCAGTCTTAGTTTTTGGGTCTATTTTAGATGGCCCAGGGCACCAACCCATCAGCAGACTAATGCAAAATATTTTACTCCCCCCCCCCCCTCCGTGAGCGAACAAAAAAATTTTGTTCGCTCACGGAGGGGGGTTAATTTTTTTTTTTAAAAAAAATTTATATATAAATTTTATAAAAAATATTTTTTTCGAAATTTAAAAAAAATCCTAATTTGCAAAAATTGGGAAGCAAATATTAATTTAATTTGCAAAATTTATGTTTTAAAACGCAATTTTGTTTAAAATTAAACAGAATTAGCTCTAGATTTCATTATACTAATTATCACTTATATATCAAAATTTTTTTCCATTAAAATTTTTTTATTAAAAAAATTTTTGTTCACTCAAGGAGGGTGGGTTTTTGGTCAAAAAATGGCGATTTTTCTAATGGTTTTGTTCGCTCACGGAGGGGGGGGGGGGGAGTTAGGAAATTTATTACAGCTATTAAAAGATGACGTAAAATCAGTCAAAAAAACAACAGCATGGGCTTTATCAAAGCTGTGTGAATTCCACAGTCTTTGTATCCTAAATGATCCATCCTTTTTGCAGATTGTCCATGAGCTACTAGAGGCTTTGAAATCTCACCCACTTATAGCTTCACATTGCTGCTGGGCTGTAATAAATTTAGCTGAAAAATTAGAAGGGTATAATGTGTTTACTGACTCTCACTCCTTTAAATTTGAGCAAAATATCGGTAAAATTTCCATTTTTTAATTATAACCCCTTTAAATTTGAAAGCCTATATATGAAAATATTAAATTTTATAAAATTAGCTTTGACCTAATTTATTAAAAGAGTGAAGTAGAGATAATTTAAAAAGTTTTCATAAAGAATGATTAATTTTTAAATTAATTCTCTATAAAAATAATTATAAAATTCAAAAGCATTACGTTGAATTTAACATTTGAAAAATTATTTTTTATAGAGAAAATCTTATTATAAAAAAATAACCACCTTTAAAATTAGAACAAGATTTTTTGTTCTAATTTAAAGGAGGATCGGAGTAAAGATCATGTGGATGCTATGATTAATGCTTTTTTGATAGCCGCTAATAGACCTGATGCGATTGGGCACGACTATAACTTGCAGATTTCTTCTTTTAGTGCTATAAATACTGAGACAATCATGCAAAAATCGCAAAAATGCAAATGCTTTTCCAATTTTTGCAAAAACCCATTTGATTTTTGCATTTTTGCAAGTTCTCCCTATAAATACTATTATCGAAAAGTCTGGGAAAGATTCAGTGAAATTAATAGAGTCAAAAATTCCGCATTTTATTATAATGCTGAAAAAAACACTGCATTTGGGAAATATACTATAGGAGTAAAATACTATCTATTTTATTAGTATTAATCTAATATAAGCAATTATTTAAAAGAAATATACTGAACATTTGCAAGCTTATCTGTGCTCAGCATTACAAACCTGCTTTGGCCGATCTTCAACAGGAGCAGTCTCTGATGCAGACGCAAGAGAATTCATGGACACTATTTTACAAATTTTCAAAGTCCGAGGGACAGTTATAGAAGAAGGAATCCAAGCTATTGGAGCTCTCGCTCAGAACATCGAAACCAGATTCGAGCCTTTTGTGCAGCCCTTCCACCAATACTTGCTCTGGGCACTTAGCAACCAAGAGATTTCTTCCATCTGCAAAGCCGCCACAATGAGTGTAGGTGACCTTGCCCGTTCTCTAGGACAAAGGCTTTCCCCTTATATCCATGATATAATTCCTATATTATTGCGCAACCTAGAAAGCAATATTGTAAGTACTGATGTAAAAATTATGAGCATTGAAGCCATGGGAGACTTAGCCAGCAATACCAGAGGGATATTTAGCCATTATCTCAATCAGGTTTTACAGTATATAGAAGGTGCTGCAAATTTGAGTGTAAAAGAATTCCAAGATGACAACCCAGACCTGAAGGAGTATTTATTGCAGCTTAGAGAAGCAATCATTGAATTTTATGTGGGACTAATACAAGGGCTACATGAGACAAATCAGACTGATTCAATTTTGCTGAAAATTCCGAATATTATTCAGTATACATTAATTTGTGTAAATCAAAAGCACACACCTTCTTATGCGGTGCATTCAGCTGCACTGGGACTGTTAGGAGATATCGCAAATGCTTATAGGAAAAAGGTAGCTGAACACTTGAAAAATCCGAATGTGTTTGGATATTTGCAAATGCATAAAGAAAAAGGAGATCCGAGGTTGAAAGAAATGGCTGAGTATTCTCTAGGTCAAATTAGTGCCATTTAAGTCTAGAACTTAAGAGTAACTTCTAATAATTAAGTATACATTTCATATAGAAAATGCAAGTAAGAAAAATTATGGGTTTTTATTAAATATTAATAGGAAATTTCTATAAAAGCAGGGCACTGGTTGATAAAAAAGATGTGGCTGGCTATATTCATAATTTTTCCGACTAATAAAATTTAAGTTCTAGCATTCATTTTGTTCATAGAGCAAAGTGAAATTGCTTCTTTTTTTATAAAAGTTCCACAAAATATATCAAAGCAATAAAGTATCAATCCAAAGGACTAAACTTTTAAAATTATTATTTTTAATTTGGCGGTTTTATATTTGAATAATTTCATCTAACACCCCAATAGCTCTTTATACATTTCCCTCCAAAGTGCCCTTATTTCTGATTAGGGGCCCGTTCTAAATATAAATGTCAGAAGATTGAACAGATGTCTACCAAGAATCCTTAAGCAGTGAGAGCCATAACGAAAACGACTGGGACAATATTGAAGAAATTTCTTGTATCTACTGCAAAAATAGTGACCCAAGTTCCTTAGTAAGATGCACTTTTGAGAAATGTGCTTGGTATTGCAACTCGTCAGTGAAAGGGGTGTCGGATTCCCACATTGTGGCGCACTTAACCAAAGCTGGGCATAAAAAAATCGCTTTACATCCTAGTAATAGCTTCAGTGGTTTTCCTATTGAATGTGCAGAATGCTCCCAACAAAACATTTTCTTGCTAGGGATTGTACTTTCACGCTCCAGCAACGAAATTAAGTATTTGTGCAGAAATCCGTGTGGACTGAACTCTAAGCTACAAGAAGATCAGTGGGATTTAGCAGGATGACAACCTTGCATATCAGAGAGATCCATTACTTCTTTGTTAGTATATTTAGTTATATTGAATTACTATTACCTTCAGAAGACTTTTATATTAAAATATCTCAGCTAATTTTGCATAAAATCTAACCAAACAGAACTTTCTCAAGCTCTCAATATTTCAATGAAAAAAATCGCCGTCATTGAAAAAAACGTCAAAAAAGGCTTAGATCCAGAAGATCCAGAACCAGAGTTGCCCCCAGTAAACAAAGTTCAATTAAGATACAAAAGTGCTAGAGAGTATGTGGATATTTTTGAAAGACTAGTTAGGATAGAAGAAAACTTAGAAAAAATGAGAAAATCCCAACAAGTGATCAGTGGGTTTGTTATCACTTGGGATCTCAGAGACAAAAAGAATATTTTAGCCCGTTTTGTGGTTTCTAGAGAAAACACAGATGTAAGACTCGTAATAGGAGATGAAGTGAAACTATTTTACAAGAAACAAAAGGAGTTTTGGATTGGGATAATTTTCGCTTATAATGCAGAAGATGAAGTTACTCTGAAAATCATAGGAAATCATGAAGGGCTACCCAAAAAAACAAAAGGGTTTACACTGAAATTTGTTGAAGGAAATGATACTTATATAAGAATGATAAATGGTCTAAGAATGTTTGAGCATGGATACATGGACACTTATATAGGAAGAACTATATTAGGACAAGACAGAGAAAAAATCAAAAGGAAGGTAAAATTGCCTAACAATTTGACGCCTCCAAATCAAAAGGCACTTAACCATCATCAAACAGAAGCGGTGAGGGCTGCTTTAAAGTCTAAATTTATGATGATACAAGGACCTCCAGGGACAGGCAAAACTTCAACCTCTGTAGCCATCATTTACCACATGTTAAAAAAATTTAATGAACAAATTCTTGCATGCGCTCCTTCTAATAATGCAGCAGACCAGCTTGCCTTACGTCTAGAATCGTGTGGTGTTAAGGTGTTAAGAGTTGTAGCAAGAAGCCGAGAAGCGCTCAAATCTGAAACTGACCATCTTGCACTACACAATTTAATCTATAAAAATAGCGACCGTGACTACAAAAAGCTTCAAGACAAAATTGATGAAGGATCAAAACTCACTGTTGCAGAAAGAAAAAAGCATACAAAGCTATACTACAATACTTCTGATAGATTATTAAGTGAGGCTGAAGTCATTGTTACAACCTGTATAGGAGCTTTTGACAAAAGACTTGAAGACTTCGAGTTCAAAAGAGTTTTAATTGATGACGCTACCTTAGCAACTGAGCCTGAATCGTTGCTTCCTATGCTTGCATGTGCTGAACAAGTCATAATGGTCGGCGACCACTGCCAATTAGGCCCTATATCTTTTGCAGGACTATCCACAAAAGCAGGCTATAACCATTCTTTATTTGAAAGGCTTATACGTTTGGGCGTAGAGTCCTGCTTTTTGAACACTCAGTACAGAATGCATCCATCAATTTCAGAGTTTTCCAATATTCATTTTTATAATAACTCGCTAATAAACGGAGTTACAAGCCAGTTGAGGCAATATTATGGGACTGCTTCTTTTTGGACCAATATAAAAACACCGATTTTCTTCTATAATATCATAGGTAGTGAAGAGCAATCAGCGACTGGGAAATCGTTTATAAATAGAGAAGAAGCAAAAACTATTGAAATTATTGTAACTCAGCTGCTGAAGGCGAAAATCAAAGCTAATAATATCGGAGTTGTTACGCCTTATCAAGGCCAAAAGTCTTTTATTTCTTCATATTTGTACCATAAAGGCACTTTAGGGAAAAAGAAGTATGAAGATTTATCAGTTTCCACCATTGATGAATTCCAAGGGAAAGAAAAAGATTTTATAGTCATTTCACTTGTTATGATAAAAGCATTCGGTTCGCTAATTTTCTCTCCCTCATGGAATTGTTTTATGGTGTCGGGTTTTCTCTCGAAACTTCTGCACAGCTGGTCAAGCATAGATCGCAACCCTACACCCCCACCCCCCTCCAATAAGGGAACCCCCACCCCCCCTAAAAATGGTACCCCCACCCCCCCTTTCACAGATGGCACCCCCACCCCCTCCTCTCGGGTTTATCCTATAGAAGTATTTGATAGGAAATAAGCAGAATAAATTAAATATAACCCAATTAAAACACTATATTTTTAAATTAAGTCCACAAATTACTTTATATTTATGATTAATTAATAAATTTTAAATTAATTAGCAATTAATTAGAGAATATATTAAATTTGCTTTTTATGTTTATAAATATAATGCCAAAGATATAGATAATTGCATCAATTATTAAATTAGCCAAGCACAATAGAATAACTTGCATTAAATTTATGGATTCATAAATTAAAGTTAATCTGATTACCATTGTACAAAGATTGCAGGACTGAATTGGTAACAGGATTCATAGTGGTAATAAAAATAGCATTTGCTATTGTCAGTTTTACTTTTGGATCTCTAATTCGACTTTTAGCCATTGTTCCACAAAGTTCATAAACATATGCAGGATATATTGCTAATTAATACCAAAGATCATTATTAACTTGCTAACAAAATTTTTTCAGATTTGGTGAGCTTACTAGTTATAGGAAATTCTCACCCCATTCCATCTACTCCTTAATCGATTGTGCTACGCTATGTGGATATTGTATAAATCAGTAATTTTGAATATTTAAAATAATCATTTATTTATTACGTCTGCTCTAAATTGGCATTTTTCATATATTTTATGCTATATTAAGGGGGATGGGGGTGGGGGTGCCATTTTTTAGGGGTTGGGGGGGGTGGGGGTGAGGGTTGCTATCTGTGCTTGACCACACAAAAAACAGCGGTTTAACTTTGGGAATAGGAGGAACTGCTCCAAGGTGCAACCGAGAGGCTCAGGGTTTTATCTCTCAGCACATTCGAGGAGGGTACCCGGCACGATGCCAGGTGAGAAGCGCTGGCTAGGGTGGCAGATGGTTGACTTAGGATGTTCCGACCTTTTGGCTCGGAATGCAAGCGATGTCACCATTTGGTTCTGTCCCTTTAGCGGGAGCGGCGTTAGACACACCTTAAAATCTTTAATTAATCTATGCTATTTCACTTGTTAGGTCTAATGGAAGTTCAAAGCTTGGGTTTTTAGCTGATTTCAGAAGAATAAACGTCGCGTTGACGAGGGCTAAATATGGTCTTATTATTTGTGGAAATGCAGGGCTGTTTTCTGGTGACCAGCTATGGAATATTTTATTGAACTTTTTGAGCGAAAAAGAAGCGATTTTTGAAGGGCCACTAAATCAGCTAACTCTAACTCCCCCCCCTCCGTGAGTGAACAAAACCATTAGAAAAATCGGCATTTTTTGCCCAAAAACCCACCCTCCGTGAGTGAACAAAAAATGTTTTTAATAGAAAAATTTTTTATGGGAAAAAATTTTGATATATAAGTGATAATTAGCATAATGAAATCTAGAGCTAATTCTGTTTAATTTTAAAACAAATTGCGTTTTAAAACATAAATTTTATAATTAAATTAATATTTGCTTTCCAATTTTTACGAATTAGGATTTTTTTAAAATTGAAATATAAATTGTTTTAAAAAAAAAAATTAACCCCCCTCTGTGAGTGAACAAAATTTTTTTGTTCACTCACGGAGGGGGGGGAGTAAGCTCAATTCAGTTACCAAAGCCTGTTTTACCGTATGATACTACAAGCTACTTTAAGTATGCAGAGATTGAGGGAGAAATTATCAATGCAGAACCATTAGCGAACACTGAGATGGTGAATGAGCTGGATGGACAAAAAGACTTTTTTTAGGTAAATTAATCAAATTCATATTATGTGTTGCATAAATTGCTTATCTAGACTGGCATGCTAAGATATAGAGAATTCACATGTAGGATTAAGATTAAGATTACGATAACTCTTCGTTGACCCCCACTTAGCTTAGGATCTAACAATACAAGCTCCTCCTTTATGAATTCCATCCACTAGCTAACAGCTCTGAGCAACGGTAGGTGGAATCGGCCTAAACGTCGAACCGTTACAGTTGCCTATGGCCCGGACGAGTCTCTCTTCGTTGCTTGAATGTGATTTAAGTACACTTGGGGCTGCCGGAGCAGTCCCAACACTAATTTCCTTCAGAAAGAATGAACTTCCCTCACTAGGACGAGTATAGGGAACAGAACCCTAACTCATACGTTCCATATTTAATTGTGTCACATGTAGAAATTTCTTCAAACGTTGGAGAAAATTTTGGTGCACCAGCCTATATAAGCAATATAGGCAAAAGATAATATAATTTTCCTAGCAATTATAATGCAAGCTTATTTTTGTGCTGGCTACAGCCACATATCTTATTTAATAGGCAGATATAAAGAATATATTTGCTATCCCTATAATTAAAAAATTGCATTATTTTATCCAAAATCATAAGCAGAAATGGAATCAGCAAGTATATCAATTCCTCAAGATTGTGAATCCCCAAAAAGAAATTTAAGACCTACAGCTTCTGAACCTTCTCATTCTATTTCTACCCGCTCCAGCCTGAGTCTCCCTGAAAAATCAGGCTGGCTTCAAAAAAGATCTCATCACCTATTTCATCGCTGACAGCGGCGATATTTCGTTCTTCGTGACAAAACTCTTTATTACTACAACAAGCCTGAAAGCAGCCAGCCCAAGCTTTCTATAAATTTTGATTTAGTCACTGTTGATTTAAATGTAGACAACCCTGACAATCCTGCCGAAATAACCCTAACCCCTTTTGGCTCTACTAAGCCTTTTCGGCTAAGAGGTAAAAATGAAACTGAAAATAAAGACTGGGCTTTAGCTTTAATCTATCATATTGAGGCTTCTGATGGTTTTAGGAATAGTAAAATCATTGATAAGCCTAAACACAAGTTTTGGAAAACCCCAAGAATAAGTGAAGAAAAGCTAAAAGAAGACGCGAGGACTGGGGATTTGCTGCTATTTAAAAGCAAAAGTCTGAAAGCCAAACTAAAAAGAGGGATCACAAGAAGCAAGTATGATTATATTGCAATGATATTGAAGTGAGGAAATGGGAAGATTGGGATTATTGAGACTGAAGAGCAAGGGGTTAGAATTAATATGTGGGAGGATTTTATGGAAAACCATGAAAATCAAAAGTATAAAAGAATTGTATATAGAAGCTTAGAATTTGATAGAAACGAACCTGCAATGGAAAATTTGGAGATTTTTTTAAAAGAGGTAGAAGGCAAAATGCTTACAGCAAGTCCCCGAAAGAGCTCAAAAAAAGGCAAAAAAGAGGAAGATAGCAACGAAGAAGGCTTTTTCTGCTCAGAATTAGTAGCATCTGCATACAAAGCTATGGGATTGCTGAGTGATGATATTCCAGTTTCTAACTATTTACCTGAACACTTTTCATCAGGGAAGCAATTAAATTTAATAAACGCACAGCTTGGGCCAGAATTATTACTGGATTTTTCACTAGCTTAATTTCTATTGAAATGAAACAAATTTTCAAATTCACTGGATAATTAACCTCATTATTTTTTAAATTAATAAAATGATTATGATATCATCAAAAGTTATTGCTAAATACAGAGCTTTAATATCATAGTTATAAATTTAACTTTTTTATTTAAATTCGTTGATTTTTATAGGGTTTCAGATTTTAAAATTCAAAAATAAAGAATTCGAAAATTTAGATTTTTTTTAATTAATCATTTTTTTTATATAAAATGGGTGATGATATACCACCCGACCTCTCGACCCTATTCTTCAACACTTGCAGGCAACGGCCCCAGTGATGGAGATTTAGGTGGAAAGGGGTTGGCAATCCTTTATGTACGTCAGGCTAGGCTTTTCTCGGGCCTCAGGGAGTAATCTTGGGACTTAGAGTTTTCCCCGAACAGCAATTGGAAAGGGCAGGGTCGGCCAACGCCTGAAGGGCAATATGACTCTACAGGCCCTGAAGACGGTATTTGCCTAACGAGAAACTGGGAGTTTCGGCCCAGGCTTAGGCCTTAGACTTCAGGAGCCATGAAAGTCAATATCGGTATGCGAATCCCTTGTTTGCAGCAATCCTTCGAGCCTCTTCGGGGTGCATGAATGTAGGGGTGGAAATTCCGCCCTGCTAGGCGAACGGCATTAATAATCATAATCATTAATCGTTTATCAAGAGACGTAGAAAGTTCCCTTTTTGAAACCAAAATTCTATTTATTTTTATTATTTTTGATTTTCATTATCGTGGCTCAGATTTCGACTTCATTTTAAGCACCTGAATGGAAATTTATAAAAATATGGGAGTTTGTGCAGGAAAACAGTCAAGTAAAGCGAACCACTCTGTGGTGGATACTAAAGAGAATGATCCAGCTACGGTTCAAGAAGAGCGAAGAAAGTTGTTAATAGTCAAAGCTAAAAAGGCTCCTTCTCTGAAGCTGGACCAAAATGCCTTATATAATCGACGACGAGTAAGCAAGGAAATTACGAGTGTTGAAGTATCCCAGCTGCTTCACGCTATCAGATAAGTGTTTATATGTAATTAAAGTGCTGTAAGTAATAATTTAATTGTATTCACTAATTGGAGAAGATTCAAAGCAATCACCAAGGCCATAAATTATTGGCATTGTATGGATGGTAAAAAAATTGGGGAATAGAATAAATTTTTCCTTTGATGAATTTTATATTTAATCAAGATTTAGCACGATTTTTGCTTTTATGTGCTATAAATTATATATAGTTATAAAATATTATAAAAAGGATATAAAATTAAGAACGATAATTAGAAAAATTAGCCTTCTTTAAAACCCTTACAAAAAAAAATAAAAATCAGCAGATTAAGCATTGATATTTTTACTAGAAATTACTCACATAGGCCATTGACTTCATTTATCAAAATATTTTCGTAGACTATTCTAACAGAATTATATTAAACTTGACAGCAGTGATTCTCTATTCCTCAAATTCCTTGAAATGACATATACATAAAATGGCGGCACGTGTCAACCAGCCCTATTGGCGTAGCAGTCCAGACCTTATGGCTACGGCGAAATGGGACGGACCCGAGCCGAGAATAAATGCAAGCTCAAGACGTGTGCATCCGGGTAGGTTTTGGCTGCTTTCCTGTGGTTGGAAATGGAGGTCCTTTGGATCCGAGGACCCATGGGCATTCCTCAACCGAAAAACTGGGGGTTTTGCTCAGGCCGCAGGGGAGCAGTCTTTTTCCTGTAGCTGTCGAAGAAAGGCACTTCGACATCAGATATACTCCAAAGACTTGATCCTTGGAATCAAGCTACTCCAATCGCCCGTAGCAGCCGCACACTCAAGACTGAAGCCTGAAGGCAAGGAAGAAACAGAAGGTACCGGAAGGGCACTCATAAAGGGATAGGCCCTCTGGCTGGAGTCGAAAAGCTGTAGAACCTCCCATACGGGAGGTCGCCACAAATATGGCTAGCGCCTGACTTTAATAACCCTAATCCTTGAAACTACACTTGCAAACAATGAATCTAAAGCTTCAGAAATCCCTTGTCCATTATTAGCACTTACATCGAAATATTTATACCCTCTGCTCGAGCTTCATTTATTTGCTTCTTGAGCTGTAACTTCTCTTCCATTTAAATCTACTTTATTCCCACACACGACTACATCGACTTCTTGCAAGTTAAGTCCATTGCTTCTGGCTTCTCTTTCCCATCTTGTCAAATTATTAAACGTGTTTTTGTCATTTAGTTCAAAAACTAGTAAAACTCCTTGGGAGTCTCTATAAAAATCTCTCCTTATTTCTTCGTAATCCTGCTGCCCAGATAAATCAAAAAAATTAATAGCGACTTTTACATTTTGTATTGTAAGTTTTTTGACACCATAGTCGACACCAATAGTAGAAATATAACGATTCACAAATCTTCCTTCACAGTATCTTTTAATTATACAAGATTTACCACATTCTGGATCACCAATGCTAAGGATTTTTATAGCTAATTGGCTGATGGATGATGGGTTTGTAGCAGTTTTTCGTTTGGCTTTGTTTTTTCTTTCCCTCAGTCTCTGCAAAAGTTCAGCTTTTTCTACACAGTCATCATGCCTTATGCCAAGTGAGCTTAATAAGCTTTTAAGCTCTTTTACAGATAAATTTTCAGGATTTTGCGGAATTTCGCTTGGGCCAGATTCAGACTGTGGAGGGCCAGGCTGTGTTTTTTGTTTTTTTGTAGCTTGGCGCTTATCAGATCTTGGCTGTGGATTTGCCCCATCAGAAGAATTTGTCCTATCCAGCTGTTGGTCATATAAAGCCCTTTTTCTCGGATCTGACAAAGTTTCAAATGCTTTTGATATATCCTTAAACATTTCTGGATCTCCACCTTTGTCAGGATGATGGACTAAGCATGATTTTCTATATCCTTTTTTTACTTCTTCTTGTGAGGCAGTTCTTGCAATTCCTAAAAGGTCATAAAGATTTGAAACTTCCATTTAAATTCTAAAATTTAAGAAAATATAAAAAATCAATAAATTAATCATTATTATCTTTGGCGTTTTTGGCAGCCTTGTGAATATTGATCCCTTTTGCAGCAAGTCCACGAATTCCCAATTAAACTTCCATTATGAAAATAATCCTCATCTACGTTTCTTTCATAGTAATTCGGTCTATATATTTCTCGCTGCCCTTTCATAGCTTCTACTTCAGATCTCAAATTATCTAGTTTTTCTAAAATATTCTGCTGGAAATCCTTGAATTCTTGCTGGCTTGAAAACACTGAATCTGCAGCTACTAGTAAATTATCAGAATGCTTTGAAATTTCTTTGCACTCTTTTTGCCACTTTTTTAAGTTATCTTGCCTTGCTTTAATAAATTGGATTTCTTTTCATGTTTGGTCTAGATCTTTTAAAGACTCCTGGGCGCCATTTGAAAGCTTTTTTATCGAGGACATAGAAGTGTCAAACGAGATTTTTTGCTGATTCCAAATGTCTTTGTAATTCTGGTATTCTTTTATAATTTCTTCTAATTGAGTTTTAGTTTCTGGTCTTATGCATTCTCTTTTGAGCTTCTCAATGCTTTCTGAATTTTTCTCAATTTGCTCTTTTACCCCATGCAAATAATTCCTTAGCCTGTCTTGTTCATCCCTAATCTGCATATACTCTGAAACTATTTCATTTTTCCTTCTTTTCATCCAAGTCTCATATAATGTTGTTGCTCTTTGGATTTTTGATTTTAATTCTGCGTTTTCTCTAGTCAAATTATTAAGGCTTTCTTCGTACTGGGCTAATCTTTTTTCTAATTCTTCTAATTTTTGGGTGCATTCTAGAGAAATTGGAGGGATATTTTCAGAATTTGCGAGATTTTTCTTGATTTTATCAAGCTGGGATGGGAGATCTAGGACTGAAATAGCGTGAAATTCTTCAGAGCATTTTTTTAAGGAGGATTCTAATTCTTCAAGCTTAGCTTGTGAGGAAATTGTAGATGAAATATTGGAAAAATGAGTCTGTAAAGATTCAGATATGCGAGATATAGAGTTTCTGTCTAAAATTCCGTCAAGAAGCCGGGAAATCAAAAGAGAATCTTCAACACCCTGAGGGTAGCAGCCTTCTTGGCATACTGAAAATTTCAAAAGTTCTAAGCACAAGCATATTTTGCAGCAGTTTGATTTATTAAATGATTGAACTAGGTCTGCTTTGTGCTGCAAAAGCTCTTCCCAGATATTGTCTCTATTATCGAAATCCATTTTAAATTATTACTTTCATGTAAAATTATAAGAATTTAAAATACTTATGCTAATAATGCTTTGATTTCTCCTGATTCTAACCCTTTTTGTAGCTCAACTATGCCTCCCCAAAATTTCCCATTGATAAATATATAAGGAGGGTGCCTTTTTTCTGTTAACTCTACTAAAACACAGTGGACTTGGTTATCATCGTTTAATTTGTCAAGTTCAAAGTACTCAAATGCAATGGAATATTTTCGCAATAAGTTTTTCGCTTCAAAGGACTTTTCATCTTTCGATTTTGAATATATAATTACATCATATTCTTTAATTTGGTCATTAACCACCTGAACAAAAGGGTTTACACAACCATGAAAATCACTATGTCGATCTTCCCCTGAACAATAGCATCCCATATTAAAATTATAGCGCTATTTCTTTCTTTTATTGAATTTTATTAAATTTTTTTTTGGATTAGCTTGGGAATAAAAAATCAAATTGAGCTTCATTTGGTTTCCTGTTAACATGCTGACTGGCTGGCTCTGGCTCAAATATATTCAATGAAGGTGACACCTTAGGTGGAGGAGACTGAGGTTGTACTGGCTTTTGAGGAATCTGTTGAGAGAATGGCTCTTGTCTTGGAATTTGCTGGTTAAATGAATCCTGTCGTTTAGGAGAATGCTGAGGCTGGCTTTCCCAGCTTATTCTTGTGACTTTTGTAATAATTCTGTTCATATATAATGGAACTTTGCAGTCTTCATGGCTTAAATCCATCCAAATAATCGCTTTGTTGTGAGATGTTTTAAATCTGAAGTGGTAACTACCTTCAACCGGAAAAGCTTTTTTGATATCAGTGAGAGTTATTTCCTCTATGCTTTTAGGAATTCCAAATGCGTTTGGCTGTTCTGGATCATCATAATCTTCAGGGATATGATAATAAACCATAGTGAAGCTACTCATATGTTTTTAATAAATTTAATTATTAAGGAATATTATTTGTTTAAGTTACGATCGCAGTATTGATCTAGATATAAGCAAAATATAGGAGTTTTCCTATATAAAAAAAGTTAAAAGGTATATAGAGCAAATTAAAAATTGTAGGTCATTTAAATGGAAAATTTGCAATGGTTTTAGAGTTTCATACTCCTATTTTTTAGAAAATTAACACTGTTGATTCCTTAGCAGAAAAATGCCTCATATTTTATTATGATGCAATCTGATTCTCTTTAAGATGTCTTGAATATTAAATATGAAATTAGCTACGCATAGTGAAATATATTCTTGAAATTAAGCCTACGAAAATACCATCGTTATAAATATATTAGCATAAGTATAATAACCTTAAATCTATCTAAACAAAATTTATTATATATTATAATAAAATGAGGAAAATATTATATACATAGAAGTTAAAGAAATTGCTTCTTTTACTGGATAATTTGGATACTAATGGATACGAATAATATAAATTAGATGCAGATCAGAGAATTATAAAAAAACAAATAAAATATATTAATACTATGAGACCGAAAAGCCTAAATACCAGGTATTTCTTCAGTATAATAATATTTTCAGCACAAATGTTTTTTATAAAAATATCATGGACCATAAAAAGCTGCTAATAAGAACAACTCCAAGTGAAAAAGATTCCTTAAGCCCTGACAATTGCGAATTCAGAGATATTGATTTAGATATCAATAATTGCTTATCAAAAATTAAAGAAACAAACACAAGAATGAAAAGGTTAGTTAGAAATATCGACAATTTCTCAAGACTGAAAAGACCACATTTCACTCAATCGCAAGAATACCTAGCAGGTAAACAGATGATTTATAAGAAAAAACACGAACTTAACGATTTCCAGCGAATCCAACGCGAAAAATACATTTTAAGTCTTTTACAAGATAATGATCCTGGGAAGAAAAAATACATTTACACATCAATGCTATACGATTCAGATATAAGAAATGCTCTAAAGCAGAGCAAACGAGAGTTTGGGTTTAAAAACAAGCAAAGCGCAACATTTGCGTCAGATTATATAGAAACACTTCAAAGTCCTGATTATAAGCATGACCATGCTAGACACTTGAATTATTTAGTATCAAAAAATTTGGATAAAATCCTTTATAATCATACATATTATACGTCCCCAATACAGTGAAAGAAAAGCGAAATGAAAAAAGTCGAAGACGGACTGATATCGCCTATAAGCAAAAATCAACAAAAAATACATAAAAAATCGGCAACTGCATGTGTGAGCCCTGCAGCTGAAAAAAATACAGTTAGAAGAAGGAGAAAAGTAAAAAGACTTACTATGAATATTCGAGACGAAGTAAAAAAGAAGCAAGATGAGCTTTCAAACTTGAAAAAACAGTTTTCTAGACTTTTATTGATGAAAAAATAGCCAAATGGCTATAATGATCTTTGAAAATAATAATTTTATTATTGAAACCTTAATTTTGCATAAAAAGTCTCAGTCAAAAAATCCTATTCGTTTTTCATTTATATATGAAATTTTATACCTTTTTTCCTTGGGTTTCCTATAAGTATTTTATCTCTATTTTCCTATTTATCAATCATAATAAAAAATATATATCTATTTACCTTATTAAGCTTATCGTTAGCTTCCGAGCTCTACTCATACCTTCTAGAGCCACAAGAGCTAACTATTGAAGGAAATGCAGGAATCAAGCTAATAAACGGTGATGGAAATTGTCGCTTAGGCGTTTTCAATTCAACATATCCATTTGGGCTTATTTGTCGTGACTATGCACCTCTTTACTTCGATGACAACAGAAAAACTCATTTTGGGGTCAGTGTTTTGACAGAAGCCTCATTGACTTTTGGAGGTAAATTGATCCTTACAAATGTAGACCAGTGGGCACTGACTCATTATGATGCTTTTGAAGGAGTCGAAGGGGAAGGATGGAGCAACCAAACCATTACTGAATGTGGAGGCGTCAGAATGCTAGGAGGTTACTGTCAGTTTTCAGCTGGAGAATCGTGGAAAGAGTTTAAAGACCTGCCAGAGCATTCACAGTTAAGAGTTAAAGCAAATTACCATATGATAGATGAATGGCGTGGCGAAACTGCTTATTTAAAAATTGGGTCATCTGATGACATGGAGACTGTCTGGACCCAGTCTTATGATGTAAACTCCTCAAAAGACCCTATGAATATCTGTGGAGAAGATGATGTAGGTGAAGGAAAATTTTCAATCGCAGTTGATATAAAAATTGACCATTCTGACAGCAGCGTGATAATTTCTTTTGGCTCAACCTTAGAACAGCAGCCATGTGAGAAAAGCTGGGGGATTTCTGGGCTACAAATTTATATCAGATAAACAGTTTTATTATATTTTTACTAGTAAAACGAGTTTAATTAATAAAGTATATGGTCTTTATAAAGACTGAAATTTTGCTTTGTTAGCTTCGTGATGGATTCAATTGATAGTGGCAGTTTTGTGAATGGGCAGTACCCATTAGTCTCTTTCAAAGCCTGTGTCCACGAATAATACCCAGCCACATGCCCATATGGTGACAGCGCAGGCGCTATTACCGGCTGTAAAGTAATAGGATCTTGATACTCCGGCAATGGGTTATCACTTTCTACCAGGACTTCTGCTCCCATTTTTTCACATCTTTGAATATATCTTTCATTTCTCTGGATCGCAGACCAGGCTCCTCTATAGTTTTCTTTATTGTCGTCTTCGTTTAGCCGGACGTCTTCTTCGTCTTCTTTTCTCCTTTTCCTGCATTTTTTGTCTGATTTTGGGTGGACATTTTCATATAATTCTCTTGCCTTAAGGATATTTTCTTTTTCAGCCCAGTACACATCGCAAGACTTGGTAGGGTCGAGGCTTTCTATTTGTTCAACTATCTTTGGGTCGTTTAATCCAAAGTACTCTGGGCCTGCCACCTGAGTTTTGACCACTGGCTGATTTCTTGATCTGAGAGTTTCATTGATGCAATCTAAAATTTGCTTCCAGCAGGCTGTAGGAGATTTCCCGGCAAAAGTGGTGTTGACTGTATTAGAAGTGACTTGAAACCAAGGCTTACCACCGTTATCTATAATTTCGCAGAGATAAGGGATCTTGATATTTGGGTCGATTATGTCTTTGTATTCGACATTGGCTGTGTAGCCATTAGGGAAAATGTAGCCAGCGTTGTACCAACCTTGTTTATGGACAAAGGCGCCAAGGTTGAGCAGCTCGACTTTCTTGACCTTGCTTCTATTTGCAACTCTAAATGATGGTTACCTTCCTAAAAATTGTCTTTTCCTTCCATATCCCTCATCATTCGCGCGCTTACGTTTAGGCATTTTTACCGCTATCTATTATAAGTAAGCTATGGTGAAATGTCTGCTTATTCATTTGGCTTCAAAAATATTCTAGAGTTATCTGAATATCTTGATCCATAAGAGCCTGATCAGGAGAAATAAAAGAGTTTATCCTTGCTTGAGCTGAGAACTTGGCTTAGGGACTGAAAATATTCTGGAGAGGTCTTAGGAGGTAGATTAGATGCTCTTTTATTTTCTTAGCATAAACCATAACCTTATCTAGCCTTGCTTTGAGTGTAAGAGTGTATGGCTTAAAATTGGGGAAAGTCATAAAAGTGCTTTCTTCCTAAATAGAGTTGTCCAGCAATCGGATTGAAGCTACTTATATTGTTTCATTTAACTAACTCCCCCCCCCTCCGTGAGTGAACAAAACCATTAGAAAAATCCCTATTTTTTGCCCAAAAAAACCACCCCTCCGTGAGTGAACAAAAATTTTTTATGGAAAAAAAAATTGATATATAAGTGATAATTAGTATAATGAAATCTCGAGCTAATTCTGTTTAATTTTAAACAAATTGCGTTTTAAAACATAAATTTTTTTAAAAAAAAAAAATTAAACCCCCTCCGTGAGTGAACTAAATTTTTTTTGTTCACTCACGGAGGGGGGGGGGTAAGTGCTTGATTTTATTTTAGAATAAATTAATTTAAAATACTCAAGACATTCATCGCTTTTATCAGCCTTTATGCTATTTTTTTACCTATTTTAAATAAAAGCCTATTTCATTATCCTAGTCAATAACTACTAATGCAAAATCCGGTGCATACAATTGTTGGCCTATTTTTCATATTATTATCCATTCTTAGAATATAAAAATGCTTGCACGCTTTGCCAGACGAAACTTCGCTGCAAAAATTTGTTCAAGCGTGTCAGAAGCCGTAGAAGGGATCCAATCTGGAGCTTCCTTAGCTGTAGGTGGCTTTGGAAATTCAGGAGTCCCTGAAAACCTTATCAAGGCTTTGGCTGATTTAAACTTGAATAACTTAACCTTGGTCTCAAATAACTGTGCTGTTGACGGGTATGGTCTTGCTCAGCTGCTTGAAAAGAAGCAAGTTAGAAGAGTCGTGGCTTCTTACGTAGGAGAAAATGCCTTTTTTGAAAAAGAGTATATATCAGGCCAGCTGGAGCTTGAAATTACGCCACAAGGAACACTAGCAGAAAAGTTAAGGGCTGGTGGTGCTGGAATTCCTGCATTTTACACCCCAGCAGGATACGGCACTGTGATCGGCAACGGTGGTTTCCCTATCAAATATAAACCAGGTGGCAGCGGAGTGGAAGTTGCTTCTGAGCCTCGTGAAACACGTGAGTTTAACGGCAAAAACTATATCCTCGAAAAATCAATCACAACAGACTACGCCCTCGTCAAAGCGTGGAAAGGCGACAAACTAGGCAACCTTGTCTACCGAGGGTCAGCTATGAACTTCAACCCTCTTTGTGCCATGGCAGGAAAGCTCACAATTGCAGAAGTGGAAGAATTAGTCGAGCCAGGAGAAATCGCCCCATCAGAAATCCATACCCCAGCTGTCTATGTTCACCGTATCATAAAAGGACCAACTTATTTAAAGCCAATTGAAAGGAGAACCCTTAATACTGGAGCTGAAATACAAGTCCCTGGCAAAGGAGAAGCCAAAGTTCTCAGAGAAAGAATTATTCGGAGAGCTGCCCAAGAACTTAAAAATGGCATGTTTGTGAACCTTGGTATTGGTATGCCAACTTTAGTCCCTAATTTCTTACCACAAGGCATTAAAATTTATTTGCAAAGTGAAAACGGGATTTTGGGAATGGGCCCATACCCAAGACCAGGTGAAGAAGATGCTGATTTTATTAATGCAGGAAAAGAAACTGTGACCCTTATAAAAGGGGCTTCTTTATTCCACAGCTCAGACAGCTTTGCTATGATCAGAGGTGGTCATATCCATTTAAGCATTTTAGGAGCTTTACAAGTGTCAAAGGATGGAGACCTCGCCAATTGGATTGTCCCAGGAAAAATGGTAAAAGGCATGGGTGGCGCTATGGACTTGGTATCTTCCCCTACTAGGTGTATCGTCACAATGGAGCATAAGACTAAAGAAGGTCCTAAATTATTGAATAAATGTACATTGCCGCTGACTGGAAAACAAGTTGTGAGCATGCTGATAACTGAACTTGGAGTGTTCGATTTCAAACGAGAAGGAGGAATTACTCTGGTAGAAGTTGCTAATGGTGTGACTGTGGATCACATTAAGGCAAATACCGAGTGTTCATTTATTGTGGCCTCTGATCTTAAAGAAATGAAAACGAACTAAGTAGTTTAAGAAGTAAAAAAAGTTAAGTCTAAAAAGAATATTTTATTTTTTAATAGCTGAAAAAAGGATTTATTTGGAAAAATATAATTACCCATTATTCATTTCTTATAAAATGGAACATAACTACGAACAACTAGGAGAGAATTTAGGAAAAGCTATCTCTCAAGGAGAAATAGAAAATGCAGTAAAACTCATCCACGAATTAGTAGAACTTGACGCTTCATACACTCTTATATTAGAACCAAAAAATGCTGCACCTGAAGAGAAACCTAGAGAAAGAGAGCCAATAGTGCCTAATAATCATGAAATCCCAAAGCAAAATGAACAAATTTTTAATTCCCTTCTTGAAATGGGTGTAGATCGTGAAAAGGCGTATACAATTTCGCAACAGTGCAGCAGCATGGATGAAGCAGTTCAGCGAGCTTTTGATTAAATAACTTTCTATAATTAGTTTTATAAGATGTAGATGTAAATATCATTAGAAAAATCAGCCTGTATAGGATGATCATATAATAACTGTTTAATTTAAAATAGAAATCTGCTGAAATTGAAAATTATAAATAATATGTGAGAAATTTTGGATAGAAAATGAAGAATGGAAGCTAATTTCTGATTGAAAGAAGAGAATATAAAGTGATGATGAGGAGCTTTGCTAAGAAATGTGCTAATTGGAAGCTCGAAATTAAGTGAAAAGTGATGGTGCATGAGAAAATCAATTAAACCTGGTAAAGTAGCAGGAACTTATTGTGAAATGTGAATGTTCAGTTTTTCCAGACATTAGTGAATTAAAATTTCATTTACTTAATTCCCTATTATAGCCTTTGCATTTAATCAAAACGCACTCGTACTATTGATTTTCAAATAGCCCCTGCTTTGATTACCCAAATATTTCTCTTAATTGCTACAAGCTATTTGATACCAGAAACATAATTTTTAATATTTGACGACCCAATAAAGAAATTTCAGCCTCTGCTATTAAGATTTTTAAGGCAGATTTTGTTAGATTACTTCAATGAGAGTCTCTTTTTCAGAGTCGGAATGATAAACAGCATATTATATTTTCAATGATCTTAAAAGTCAATTATTCCTATGTATCGAAATTAGTAAAAAACAGATATTTAAAAAATGAAATATGAGTGGAAAAGATGCTAATTTGGGAGGAGAATTAAACGCGCTGAAAAATTCTATGATAAAGGCATATTTAAACAAATTAATTTGGATTGCGACTTAAAATGCTATTATAATGGCTTTTTTCAACGTTAAACTATTTAATACAATAAAGTCATGAACTTCAACATTTCATGCAGCAAAAATTTACTTAAAAAAGCCAAAGTTAGAAAAGGATAATTCATTAAAACTTGATTGGAGAGCATACACGAACGCATTCTTTTATCATCTGCTCTATATTGTACTCCCTATAATGATAAAATGCTAACTGCAAGACCCTCCACCCTTTTTTCTCTAAATTCCTAATTTTATTTAAAGTTTTTCCATTAATCTTTGTTGCTGGATAAATATAATGATTCGGCCCTTCTATTTCTATCGCTAGCTTATAATCAGGCAAAGCTAAATCAATATAATAGTCATCATAAAATTCCTTTTCATACTTAATCTCATTTTTTTTCAAAATATCCTCCACAATTTTATGAAGGTAGCCCTGTTTTTTGCTAGATACGCTATAGCCCGAGAATCTTTATGGCTCGGGCTTTCCGATCTTTCAAGATGGAAAAAAGGGGTTGGTCTGGCTAACTCCAAGTGAAAAAACCACTTGTTATATGGTTTCTGCCATATGGGAGTTTACCTAACCAACATAAGTTTGTGAAACCAGCTACCCTCTTTCCCATATGGAAAGATGGGGAAACCTGGGCTATAAATGTGCTCAGGCTATATCTGTCGAAGAATCTTTCCAATTTCTGATGATTCTTGGCAATATCGGCTTGAAAATTTCTTCAAATTTTTCTTTCATTTCAATACATAAATGGCTGGAGACGAGCGACCTGACCTCCCGTGAAGGTCACCTTATGTATACTGGAAGTGGTTTTGGATGCGGAGAGCTACTTAAGGGAAAGGGTTAGTCTTGAGGCGAGAGGCCCAGCACAATTCCCTCTGATTTTGTGCTCTAACCCGGGCAGCAGTTTTTCGCATTATTTTTGCCAGTAGCGCCGAGACCCAGACGGTGTCCGAAAGAGGCAGGGTGAGTTACCTGCCTAGGCTACTTGGTGGCTTCTCCCCTAATCCCGTAAGGGGTTGAGTTCTTTCTTGGAAAAAATCCGGGAAAGAGAGGAAGGCAAAGTTCGACTAGAAATCTCAAGGGCACAAATCTCTCCAATTAAAAGGATCCCGATCAAAGATCTGGCCAAGTTGTAGCAGGGTTGGGTCATTCTAGCCTTGAGTTGGAAATGGTGATTCCCGTCAAAATTCGTATGACCCAGGTCAGGAAGAAAATGCCACTACCGAGAAACCGAGGTTTTCGGCCCAGGCTCAAGACGCCTTCAAGGAGCCCACCCTGCAGCAGTCGCTGCAGAATGCGTAGGCTTTGAATTGGGGACTATAAATACGATCTTCAATCTAATCTTAAATTTTCCTTTCATTTCAGCATTATTTAATGTCACATTTAAATAAATTGAGAACAAATAGCAGTCATTTTCATGAGAACCAGCTCGAGAAACGCTCGGAAATCTCTCTAGAAAAATGTCCCAAAAGCGATTGGGGACATTCAAGTGCCTAGACATTATATTAGTCGACGACATTACAAGTTTATCTGTGGCTCCTTTTTGTAATTTAATAAGTAGATCAGAAATTCTCGATACAACATTTTCGTCGTCCATAAACGCAGCATGTGTCAAAAATGCAGAAATATTTGTGACAAGCTCATATAGAAGTTTCCTATGTTTGGCGCTGTAAGGCCGATAAATTCTGATCGGAATTTATCGGTAGGTTGCACCAAATCAATGCTTTGTCGGACCAAAAAGCGATTTGGTCCGACGAACTTGGAAAGCTCCTGGGAAAATGTCTGCGCTTTTAGCGCTATATAGAGGAAACCTCTATATCCATCTCTTTCAGGCAAAGAAAGTATAAATCTTTCTTCATTTAAAAAATTTTGTAATAGTGAAATTAGCCGTGAGTCACAATAAAACCCATGCAAACTTGAAGACCACCACATGCGGTATATTACTACTGACATATCCTTTGCAGATAATTTAGGAAATCTATTAATCAATTCTTCATAATAAGCTTTTCATATCACGTATATTATGTATTTCTGGTCTGAGGAATATCGGAGTTTATATAGAAAAGGAAAGCCATTGAAGTTAAATTGTGTTAATTCGTGCAGTCTTGGAAGAATAAGGCTTTCTAAATGCCGAATAAAATCTTCTGTGCCTGTGTTGAGGGAAATGTAACTAAAAAGGATTCAGTATAAATCGTTGGCATTTGTTGTGTTTGTAATGGATTTTAAGATGATTTTTTCAGAGTTTTCGAAGAGTGGCATAGGGTTTACAATACGATAGCCAATATGAAAGATTTTTTGGTAATAAAGCTTGAAAGCAGAAAGGAGAATCGATAAATCTTTCAAACATAATTTATCAAGAAATTCAGGGGTTAGCAATGGTTCAAGCTCTTTGAATTTACTTTTATAATCAAGACCTAGAGCCTCAAAATTATGTGTCATTAAAGCCACACTGAACAATAATTTCGAATATTTTGGTTTATCTTTTTCAATAAAAATTGAAGCCAAAATAGCTTTTCCTAGCTCCTTGTTTGATAAATTATATCCTTTTTTAGTCGCTTCCATTAAATTTCTTATAATGGTGCACCTGGAATCATAAGGGAACTCATTAATTTTCTCTGCTAGCTCATTTTCTATTTTTTTCAAAGCTACTTGCATAAATTCTTGATTGTTCTTATAATTTATATGAGCTATATAAGTGGCATACACGAGCTGTTTATGATCAAGTCTATTGTGATCCAAAATTTCCTTGAATTCATTGGCCACATATGCAAAATTATGAGATTGTTTTATACTGAATAGCATTCTATCAATATTATCAATATTTACTTTTTGCTTTAATATTTCATTTGTAAATGATCGTTTGCTAATGAGAAAAAGGTTTGGTTTGTATGGCAAAAAAGAGCTGAATCTTATGCATTTATGATAAAATGCCATTTATTAATTACCTAAGAGTTAATTAGGATATTATTCCTGCTCTAAGGGTAGGGGCTACCAATGGTCCATTTTCAGTCCTCAATGGTAGATCTCTGTAAATGATGACTCCTTCAGGAGAAATTCCTAGCTCCCCCCTCCGTAAGCGAACAAAAAAATTTTGTTCGCTCATGGAGGGGGTTAATTTGATTTTTAAAAAAATTATATATAAATTTTATAATAAAATTTCTTTTTAAAAATTTTAAAAAAATTCCAAAATGTAAAAATTGGTAATTTAGTAAAATTTGTGTTTTAAAAGCTCAATTTAATTAAAATTAAAACAGAATAAGATAGAGATTTTATTATATTAATTATCACTTTATATCAAAAATTTTTTCCATAAAAAATTTTCTATTAAAAAAATTTTTGTTTGCTCACGAAGGGCTTTTGGGCAAAAAATGGGCGTTTTTCTTATGGTTTTGTTCGCTCATGGAGGGGGGAGTAAAGACTTTGTAGCGGTTTCCCAATATTTTTTCTTTTCAGGAAGAATTCTCGAAGGGGTGAATGGGATTCCTTCAACGGAAATCAGGTCTCCAGGCTTACTGCCATTTGGAGGAGAAACAAGCTCTACTGTTCCTTCATTTTTGGCAGCCAAGACCATTGCTTCTGAGACCACACCTTTAAGTTTGCTTTTCTTTAAATTGGCAAGCAAAACAACTAGTTTTCCAGTGAATTCTTCTTCTGTGATATGTCCGACAAGTCCTGATACCACTGTTCTTTTTTCTGCCCCTAAATCAACAGTTTCACAGAACAGTCTGTCAGCTTCTGGGTGTCTCCATACTTTTTCTACTCTCCCAACCCTGAGTTCTAAGTATTGGAATGCGTCGCCGCCTTCTTCAGGTGCTTCTTCAGCTTTAGCTGGTTTTTTCTTCTCTTGAGGTTTAGCTTCCCCTTTCGGCTTTTTCTCTTGTGGACCTTTATTTTCTTCTTTTTTCTTTTCCTGAGGAGCTTTTGTTTCTTCTTGAGCCTTTTTCTTATCTTCTTTAGCCTTTTTTTCTTTAGGAGACTTGAACTCTTCATGAATGCTGCTTCTTTTAGAGCTTCTTTCATCAGTGCTCTTTCTATGTGCAAGATCCTCTGGGTTAAGCTTATGGCTTGGAGGTGCTTTCAGCTCTTCTACAGCTGGCCCTTTAACAAGTGCATGAGGAACTTCAAAACTCCTTTCAGGGACTGGGACATGAGGCAGCTTTTCTTTTAACCCAGGCAAGGACTGTAAATGTGAAGCCCATCTTAAGACACAGACGTACTGTAATCTTTCACTATTAGAAAGTGACAAAATCACAGGCTGAATCACTGCATAAGCAGCAATATCAGCAATCGTGATGTGATTGGAGACCAGAAAAGTCCTTGTCAGAAGCTTGTTTTCTAATAGTGAAATAAACTCCTTAGGCGGCATCGTGTTGGCTGCTTCTACCCAGCCACTTGTTTGGGCTTTTTCAATAGAGTTAGCACCATAAAGAATAGGTCCGACTCTTTGGACTTCTAAAAGTGTTGTCAAAATAGACAATGGGAACTCAATTGTCGAATCTTTTACAAGCAAAGGTAATTTTAGTTTCAAATGTTTCGCAGCAACTTTTGATAGCTCGATATTTTTAGCATTGGCCCTTGCATATTCATTTACCACCCCTGCTGCAATAGAAGCTGGTTGATTATCGATTAGAAGTTCCATTTATATCCATATATTCAAAAATGGAAAAAGTGAGACTTTTAGACCCAAAAATTTCTTCCCTCAGACAAGAAAGGCTCAAACTTGAAAGAAAAGCGAAACTTCGAGAAGCCCATGACATGCAGAACTCAGTTCTCCGCACCAGGACTATAGAAAATGAAATAAAAATATTACAAAAACAGCAAGACTCTGCATATTCCCGCAATCAAAAAGTAATTATGGAGGTTTTAAACTCAATAAACCAATTTAGTGAGCAGACAAGTGCCAGTGCTTTGAAAAAATCAAGGGAAAGGCTAAATACCGCAAAACAGCAATTTGGCGAAATGGTCACCGCGCATTATCCACAATGGGCTGAAGCTGTAAAAGATCCTATTGAGTTTGAAAAACAGAAGTATATGAAATCATTTGAAGACCTGAAAAAGAGAAAAAGCATATCTGAAGATGATTTTAAAAAAAAATTGGATGCTCATAATTTGATATTACAAACACAAGAAGAGTATGTAAAAGAACTGAAAAATGACTATGCGATGAGCTTGCAGAGAGAAAAAATTTTAGAAGATGCATATATACAGGAAGAGCAGAGGAAAATTTTTATGAGTAAGCTGCAGAGCTCGATTTATAAGGATATTGAAGATAGAAGAAGACAAACAGCTGAAAATATAAAATTCGCGAGAGAAGTAGCGGAAAAAAGCTTTACGATGGAAACGGTAGAGATTCAAGATGCAAAAGAGCTTTGGAGACCTTCAACTTCTCCAGCTATGAATTTTGATGAAAATAAAGAAAGACTGACAACACCTAATGCACATTTGCCTCAAGAATTTTCACTGAGAAGGGATAACCAAATGAGGCCAGTCACTCCTGAGTATACTTCGTCTTCTGGGCAGGATTCTAATAATGCGTTATATGAATTCCAGCAGATTATCATGAATAAAAAGGCTCAACCACCCCAGCAGGCACCTCAACAGCCTCCTCAGCAGCTGCCACAGCCATCTCAGCAGCCTCCACAAGACACTTTAAGCATCCCTCAGCCCAAACCTGAAGAAGGCCAAGGCGGCGCACGAACTTTTACTTTTGGGCAAGCTGAAAGAAACACCAAAGTCCCTGAAGAGCGGCCAATTCCTGACAGAAGACCTCCATCAATTCCTATACAGACCCCACCTCAGCACGGATATGAAAATATTCCTCTAGAAATTTCCTCACCTTTGCACCCTTCTTTACCTAAAGGAGATTCTATTGAAGGGATACCTATTTTGTCGTCAGATGAGCGGCCTTCATCTCCTATAAAGCCACAAGAAAACCCTTATGAAAGACCTGCGTCTCCTGTGAAAAAGCAAGATATCTATAAATATGACCCTAATTTAGATATTGGCAGTGAACATAATAGGATAGGGTCTATAGGAAGCAATAAAAATGAAGAAAAAGTCAATAGAAGTGGGCCCAGTAGTAAAAATGAGCCTGAGACTAAAGCTTTTAGTCAAATTGCAAATAAATTCGAAGTTGATGATGGAGATGTCGACCTAAACCCATATAGCAAAGGGCAAAATAGATCTAGAAGAGGAAGCCAAGATAATAGTCCTTCACAAGGGTATAAACAAAATGAGCCTGAGCCTAGGCCAGCTCAGAAGCCTCAACAATACCAAACAATAAAAGATCCATCCCCTCGAGGAGTGCCAATTGAATCCCAAGACCAAATCCCTGTAGTCGTCAAAAGCAAAAATCAGTATGAGCCTGATAAATATCAGCAAGAAGTCCAACAAAAATCCAAGCCATCCCCAATACCACTTACAGTCTCAGATCAGGGAAAAGCCAAGCCTCCATCAGGAACCCAGCAAGTAATTGACGTTGATGTTCAGCCCCCAGCATTAATTTTAAAAAATAAAAATCCAGAACAAGCTCAAAAAGTCCCAGTAATCAAGGCAGGTTCAATCCATACAGAAGAAGAGAGCGAGTTTGAAATTTATACGCTAAAAACTGACTCCTCAAGGCTATCACCAAGAAATATGGAAAATCCTTATCAGACACCACAACATAACCAAGTAGAAGTGCAACAGAATTATAATAAGCCGGTAGAAGTCCAACAAAATAGACCTGCCCAGCAAGCAAGACCTGTAGAAGTTCAACAAAATAAGCCAATTGATGTACAGCAAATTCCATATCAAAATAAGCCAAATGAAAAACTCCCGCCGAAGCCAGAATCAAAAACTCAAAAAGAAGGTGCCAAAAATCAAATTCCAAGCTCAATTTCTCAAAATACCTTAGGAAAAATCCCTGAAATTGACATAGAAGCTAGCTTAGAAGACTCAGGGCAGCTTGACAACCCTTATTTATCAAACTTTTCAGAGAAGAAACCTGCAGAACGTCAGCGCTCTATAAGTGTCCACACTTCTCAGCCTTCATTTGAAGAGCTCAAAAAGGAAAAACCCAGTCTGTCACCAATCAGAGAAAATGATAATTCCCTAAATTCCTCACATGGTTCCCGCAAAAATTTAATGAGCATTACAAGCCCACAAGGAGTTTCCCCAAGACCTGAGCCAATGTCTCCTACTCAATCTGAAAGATCCAGCGTATGGAATTCTGAGCCAATAAAACTAATAGAAAATCCTACCTTAAACAGTGTTCCTATCCTGCAAAGAATTTCTATGATAGACGAACTTATAAGATACGCCAAAGAAAAGCTCATAAAACTCGGCAGAAAAATCACCGCCTTCACAGAAGAAATTTCTATGCCAGTCTTAGAAGGATTATGCAATACATATATGAGGCAAAACAATCGTCTCAACGTGAAGTCTATAGAAGAGCTTATTGGGTTTATCCTAGCCTTAGCAAGATTTGTGCCTGAGCCGTTTTTGGCTCCAGAGCTTGCAAGATCAAGAGGGAACTTTACAGAAGAAATGATATTAATGAAGCTTCATGACCAATATGACAATATTTATAGGTCAATTAAGGAGTTTTTATCGGATTCTATTAGGAATGATTGGATTGAGGAAAACTTGGCAGCCATGCTCTTTACTGATGTATTATTAAATTACAAGACTTCTGGCAGGCAGTTTAAGAGATGCCAAGGGCTGATTAAGACTATACTAAACCCAGCTTTATCAAGACCTGCTTCATCAATTTTGAATAGATCTACGGATTCAGATAGACCAAAGAGCTCTAGCTTTATATCAGGTAGCTCTTCACATTTTAAGCAGGCGAGAACTTCGTCAGGTGCAGCTCCTTCGTCAGTACATTCTAGCATTGATCAGTTCCAAGAAGTGGCTGATCTTGACTTTTAATTTATTATAATTTCTATATAATTACCTAGATAATTTATTATGATAAAATTTCTTATAAAGAGGTTCTACAATATGGACAAACAGCAAAGCTTAATCTCTATAAAAGATGCCCTTCTTTCAGCCGCAGTATCAATTTCTCAAATTTTACGTGACAGTGGAGACGTCAGTATGGGTGTTGGCTCACAAAATGCATTCGGCGAGCATCAATTGCGTGCTGATTTATTAAGCAATGAAGAACTTTTCACCTCTTTAAGAGGAAAATGTAGGTTTGCGCTAAGTGAAGAAAATCCAGTGCCACAGGAAATGGGAGGGGAGCATTTTGTCGTCACTTTTGACCCTTTGGATGGCAGTTCTATCATTGATACAAATTTTAGTGTGGGGACGATTTTTGGGGTTTGGGATGTAGAGAATATAATTGGAGCTAGCGGAAGAGATTTAGTGTTTGCTGCAATGGTTATTTATGGGTCAAGAACCACTGTGCTTTTAGAAGAAAAAAGCGATTGGACTGCTAAATCAATTGAAAATAGCACAGTAAGCACGTATACATTGACTAGAGGAGAATGGGTAAAAACAAGAGAAAACTTGAAGATCGCCAATAAAACCAAGCTATTTGCACCAGCTAATTTGAGAGCTCAATGCAAGCATGATGGGTATAAAAACCTTGTTAGACATTGGGAAGACCAAGGCTTCACCCTTAGATATACAGGTGGTTTAGCACCAGATACATACCAAATTTTTATTAAAGGAAGCGGGATTTTTTCAAGCCCAGTTACAGAGTCAGCCCCTGCTAAATTAAGACTCTTATATGAGTGTGCTCCAATTGCTAGACTAATCGAAATCGCTGGAGGAGAAGCATATGGTGTAAACGGCCCAGTTTTAGACATAGTTGTAGACGGCTATGAGCATAAAAGTGCTTTATGTGTAGGCTCGGCAGAAGAAGTAAGAAGATTTATTGAGTTTATGAATAATTAAATCATTTCTAGCTTTCTTCCAATACCGGAATTAATTATAAATACTATCATCTATTTCAAATATAAATTCATAATTTAACTATGTCATCTTTATCAAGAGATTTTTTACTTCGACAAACAAAAATTGCACCTACGAGCAATGAATGGGCTCAATTAGAGTATTCTTTGCAACTCTCTATAGGTTCTACAGCTCCTGTCGTCAAACAAATTTGGTCAGTTGCAAGCGCTCATCAAGCTATTAACTTTGATAAGCGGACACAAGGTGTGTTAGTTTTAGACTCTTGAATTGACACTTCAAGCTTAGATGAAAACAATAGACTAGAAGACGTCTGTAGTAAAGGATTTAAATGCCCTCCAGGTGGGGTTTATTTTCGTATAGGGAATGTGCAGCTTGCGAATGGACCTTTAGCGTATAATAAGACTTATGAATTTCTGCTGGTAAAAGTAGGTATTGGGAAAAGCTATTCAATCAATGCTGCGACTGTAGAAAGTGACTCTCTTCAAGTCCCTCGTGGATATGACTCAATTTACCTTTATAACCCTTCAAGTGAGGAGAGCTCGTATAATCACAATTATGGGATTTTTGACCCCTCTCAGCTTTTGGCCTTATTTGTAGTGCATTTCGAATTAGACCCTAATTTGGAAGAAGGACTAAATGCTCCGATTTGTGATATTTGCCAAGAAGCTCAAGCTGTTGTTTACTGTGAAGCTGACGAAGCTTCTTTATGTTTAGACTGTGATGACGACCATCATAACCGTGGAAACAGATTAATGCAGAAACACAAAAGGATAAATATTTCAGAAAAGCCAAAAAGGTTTGGAAACTGCCCTTATCATCCTGATACCAAAGTTGAGTTCTTTTGTACAGTATGCCATGTGCCAGTTTGTGTTAATTGCAAAATGGTTGGGAATCATTCGACTCCAGAGACTTCTACACATACATTTGCCAAAATTGGCGACGCATATTTAAGAGCTTTAAATGAGTCTACACAGCCAGACCCTGTGCTAGAACAAAGGAAGCTTATATTAAATCAGCTTTTAGAAAGCATTGACAAAAGAATGGGAGAGGTTAAAAGCAATGCTGAACAAATTGAGGCTAAAATTTATAAAATTTTACAGGATGCTTTATTACAGCTGCAAGAGCACACTCAAGGGAAAGTTTCTGCCTTGCTTTGTGCTGAGCTTGAAATTAAGCGGCAGCTAGAACAAATAGCCTGAATTGAGTGTTTTTTGAAGTACCAACAAGAAGTGCTCTCTCCTGCTCAATTTATGCTTAGTTGGGGGAGACATTTGAATTTAAGGAATGATATTTTTACAAGTAATGAAGTTAGTGAGCTAAATGTAATTTTACCTGATATAAAAATTGAAGGAAATATCAATGTTACTACAGAAGCAGCAATTAGGAAATATGGACAGCAGTCAGATGTCCAGTCTGTTGCGTCTTCAACACCGAAAACTAGTACAAGTAAATTCAGGAGCCAAATCTTTAATAGATATCAAGGCAATAATGCATATGAAAAAACGCCAAGCTCAGTGTTAAAACAAATTATCCCTTCAAAGCCAACAGAAGCTTTAGCAATGAAATTTTCATCAGTGTTAAATATGGACAGTGGGAGAAGGAGCCCGAGAAGTGATTATAGCCAATAGTTAAATTATAACAAATAATATCTCAATAAAAAGAGACTTTTTTATTTATTAAAACATTAAAAAGTACAAGCTTTTCTTGGAGTAATAATTATTCTATTAATTAATTATTCAAAATGGACGAGTCTTTATGACTTCAGTTAGAAACTCGTGTCCGGAAACTTGTTAGAGACTTAATTGAGCCTACAATTCAGCGAGGAGAAAAACAAAAGCGGCTTCAAAAAGCAATCGAAAAAACAAGTGATGAATTAAAAAATCGCTTGGATTTATATGAAGTCCAAGTAGCCAAACTTCTTACAAAAACAGATATGATTGATGGATATAGTAGGACTTTGATGGAATTTGAGGCTGGCTTAAGACTTGTGGAGTCTCGATATCAATTTGATATAGAGTTCACACGATTAGAGCTAGAAGGATTTTCGAAAAAAATCGCAAGTGCTTTAGAAACTGTGGCTGTTTTAGATATATATAATTTGGCTAATTTTAATGATAACCTTCCATATATTTCTTATAAAATCATGATAGAAATTTATTAGTATAAAATTTGTTTTAATATCGATTTCAATAGAGGACAGCATAATCAAAGAATTTCTATGGAAAAAGACATAGAAAGGCTCTATAGCACTATTAATACAAATAAGCACGATCTAAATGAAAAAATCAGCAGAGTCGATGATATATTGAAAAATCACATATCAGACTCAGAAAGTCTGAATAAAGAAATCCACATAAAAGTCAAACAATTAAACGAAAATTTGATGGACTTTAGCAATGATTTAGGAGAAACAAGCACAGTAGCAAAAAAGGTAGACAAAATGTATGAAGATTTGAAGTTTCAATTCAAGCATTTCAATAGAGTTTTGAAAACGTCCACAACTGAGTCGAAAGATCATATAGAAAAAGTCCGACAAATGGCCTCACAGTTTTCAGCTAAAGCCCATGATGATATAGCCCTGAGCTGCTTTTAGCTATTAGATAATTTTAACTTTTGGAGCAGGATGGAAAAAAAGGTTGTCAAGCTACTCTAAGAGCGGCTAAGGAGAGCTAAAAGTGGCCCTGGGCTATAATAAGTCATTGAAAGAATATATTGAAAAAGAATACCAAATGAATAATTTTTTACTTACTTACTTACTTAATTATCTGGTGTTTAAGGTGTCTAGTGCCGCAGCCCAAAAGGGCCTATGGCAAAACTGATGACGTAGGCGAGCCATCTTGGCACGGGTCAGCCCCGTCCAAGCCTTCTATCAACTCCTGCTTCACCGGCCTTGCTGCACGTCTCACCCGGCGCGTTGCCGTCACCCTTGTCGCTCGACTCAGCTCCTGCGCGTGTTCCGCCTAAGGGTCATCCTCCCGTGGGGATGTGCTGAGAGGTAAAAGCCCGAAATCTTGAGTGGACTGAGGAGTGGTTCCTCTGGTTATCCCCAGAGTTAAACCGCTATTGCTGTCCAGAAGTTCTCGAGTGAAAACCTAACCCTATAAATAAAATTCCATGAGGGAGAGAAAATTAGCAAAGCTAATTTCTCTCGAACCGAATGCCATTTTATTTATATGAATAATTTTTTACAAATTTCTGATATTTTGCATCAGTCTTTTACGGATTTAAAAAACAAACATAGTTTCGCAGAATATGAAACAGCAAAATATTTAGAATGGGAAGAGCTTGGGGTTCCTAAACATTTACAGATTAGGGTAGGGAAAAATAAAAGGAGAGCTAAAGAGGTGCTGGATACTCCAATCCCACCACCGCCACCACCTGAGCCTAGAAACAGACGAGAAACCCCTAAGTCTAACTTATCATCAAGCTATTCATCTAGAAGACCAGTCCATAGTCGATTCAGCTCAAAAAGACAGGATGGAGAAATTGGTGACCCAAAAGACAGCAGCGTAGAAAAGGACCATACCAAAGCTTTAAACACACAAGAAAGCGTTCAAGGAGAATCTCAAACTAAAGTAGCCCACGAACAAATTTCAAGAGATTCCCATTTTTCTAGAGGCTCCATAAACAAATCTATAACAGGAGCAATCCAAGAAATCGCAAAAGACTCTCAAAAAGACGTTTCTGATATTAATAACGAAGAAATTAGCCAGGACGTCCAGTCTTCAAAATTCCTCACACAAGTTGATATACAGCAAGAAGCCGATTCCCGACCTCAAGAAATTTTTATAGATTCCCCTTGTTCTAGAGATTCCTATGATATAGCGCAAGGGTCAAGAATGTATGGAATGGATACTATGGAAGATGAAGAAGACAGACGAGAATTTTATAACGATTCTGCATTGAATTCTCTTATATCACTATGCAATGATTTAAAGTTCCAATTTGAAGATTTCCAAGGGCAGTTAGGAAATTTGCAAGACCAAGTTAACAATGTTAGGGAAGATCTGCAGAGTAATTTGGAGGAATTTCAGAATATTCGACAAGAAATCCAAAAACAAAAAGACGAAAACCAGACAAGCACAAATGAATTTAATGGGAAAATAGAAGAAATTTTAGGAGTCCATAGAGATATAGAAGTTTCCTATGTTTGGCGCTGTAAGGCCGATAAATTCTGATCGGAATTTATCGGTAGGTTGCACCAAATCAATGCCTTGGTCGGACCAAAAAGCGATTTGGTCCGACGAACTTGGAAAGCTCCTGGGAAAATGTCTGCGCTTTTAGCGCTATATAGAGGAAACCTCTATATATACGAACAGCTTGAAAACTTGCAGCAAGCTGAAGATGAGCTGTCAAATAAACAGTCGCAAGCATATCTTGCACAAATGCAGCTTAAATCTACATGTGAAGAGCTAAAAACCAGCATAGAAAGCATATCAAAAAATGAGAACCATGAGCGAGAAAAATTCATGAAAATCGTAGACCAGCATATTGAAGATATCAATGATAATACTAACGACATACAAAAAACTCAAGAAAAATACATAGAAGAATCCACTAAAAAATGAAACACTTTAGAATTACTTATAGAGCAAGCTGTAAATGAATGCAATTCTGCAGTTGCCCAGCGTAAAAGAGACCATTCTGACAATGCTTCTGAGTTTAAAAAAGTTTTCCAGAAGGCTGAAGCTTTAACGAAAAAAAATGAAATAATAAATCAGTCAATAGAAAATTTAAGAAAAGTTATTGATTTATTGGTGGAATTTGCAAAAATAAATATTGCGCTGGTGGGGCAGGATGAAATTGATAAAGAATCTATGAGCCTTATGGGGATAAGAGACTCCCCAGTAAAAACCAGCCATAGAAGCAGCTCAGTTACAAAAAGAATGCCAGTTGAGCTAGACAAAGTATGCCTTTCTTGCTCTGGGCATGCAAATTTGATAGCAAATGCTTTTAAAATGGCTTGTATATCGTATTCCCCATCACTTGTCCCTTTCAGAGGCTGCCAATATGATAGAAATGAACTTGTAGATCTTCAAAGAAAAATTTTAGATGGCGTCTGGGATCAAATTAACACTGATTCTGGGATTTTTGAAATAAATTTATTGTCGCCCAAGCCAACTGATTGGAAATCAGCAGGGCCATCACCTATGCTGACTCAAACTTCTCGGTTTACCCCAATGTCTGAAACTCTGCCTCCACTTTCTTTATCAAGAAGGACGAATAATTAACTGTATTTTATTTATTTTTTAAGAAATAAACTGTGTTATTTGGTTCACGAAATCTTGAGCAGATGCTAAGTCATTACAAAGCTGCTCTTGCTTAACTCTAGCCCTTTGGAGCTCATCTAATTTTTCATTGTGTTCATCTACTGTGATACGGAAAGCTTCTTCTAGTCTTGGCTTGGTGCTTTCCCATAGAGAGTCAAGATCTTCATTCATAGCTCTATAAACAGCTTCAAGTTCTTCACAAAGACTTTCAAGCTGCCGCCTTTCTTCTTCGACAAGATCTAGAGTCTGGGATAGTGAAGGAGAACTGTGGGGAGTGTTTGACATTTTTATAATAAATCAAAGCAAATTTTATTTAAATAGTGAAAAAAATTATTTTATTGACTAATTTATTAGGCTTGCTAGACAGGTTCTATAAAAATCTCATAGAGTTTAAGATATGGAGGAATAGTATTTATTTTTAAAATATAAAAAATGTAATAATTAGAAAGAATATCTTAAAATGGAAAGTGCGCGGAAAAGCAAAGGAGCTCGCCAATCCATAAATGCTAGGGTAAGCAATATGTTTGGAGCTCGGCATGTTTCAGACCAACGTCCCGTTACAAACAAAGACTTCCAAAATAACTGTATTAGGCGCATTATTGAATATTTCCAGTCAAAAAAATCAGATTTTGTGATTACTCCAAAGCAGCTTCAAAACCCAAGCGCAAAAGACTTTTCTTCAATTTTGCTTGCTCTTGTAAAACAAATAGATGAATCTTATGAATTTACACAAAAAATTGAAGATGAAGTTCCCGCCCTATTTAAAAGCTTAGGATATCCTTTTACCCTAGGCAAAAGTTCTTTATTAGCTGTTGGAGCTCCTAATTCTTGACCAGCCGTTTTGGCAGCTTTAACATGGCTTCTTGATTTAGTTTTGTATTTACTCCTACCTCTATAAATTGTAACCAAAAAATATTCCAATTTCACAATAAAAAAGTTATATAAAATTTGACATAAATCGAACTTTTATATATTTTATGAAGAATTCATTCATAATATTAATATCTGGACAAGCATAGGTCGCAACCCCCCACCCCCACCCCCCCTAAAAGTGGTACCCCCAACCCCCACACACCCCCCTTTTTAATGGTACCCCCACCCCCCCCTAAAAATGGCACCCCCACCCCCCTTAATATAGCATAAATATATGACAAATGCCAATTTAGAGCAGACGTAATAAATAAATGATTATTTTAAATATTCAAAATTACTGATTTATACAATATCCACATAGCGTAGCACAATCGATTAAGGAGTAGGTGGAATGATGTGAGAATTTCCTATAACTACTAAGCACACCACATATGAAAATTTGTTAGCGAGCATAATAATGATCTTTGGTATTAATTAGCAATATATCCTGCATATATTTATGAACTTTGTGGAACAATGGCTAAAAGTCGAATTAGAGATCCAAAAGTAAAATTGACAATAGCAAATACTATTTTTATTACCACTATTGAATCCTGTTACCAATTCAGTCCTGCAATCCTTGTACAATGGACATTAGATTAGCTTTAATGTATGAATCAATAAATTTAATGCAATTATTGTGTTGTGCTTGGCTCATTTAATAATTAATGCCATTATCTATATCTTTGGCATTATATTTATAAATATAAAGAGCAAATTTAATATATTCTCTAATTAATTGCTAATTAATTTAAATTTATTAATTAATCATAAATATAAAGTAATTTGTGGGCTTAATTTATCAATATAGTGTTTTAAATGGGGTTATATTTAATTTATTTTGCTTATTTCCTATCAATTACTTCTATAGAATAAACCCGAGAGGGGGGGCGTGGGGGTGCCATCTGTGAAAGGGGGGTGGGGGGTACCATTTTTAGGGGGTGGGGGGGGGTGTGGGGTTGCTACCTATGCTTGACCAAATATCAATTAGAATATTGATTGTTAGAATAGCATTCCTCATTAAATAACTAGAAAATGAAAAATTTTACCTATATTTTGTTCAAATTTAAAGGTAGGAGCTAGAAAAATCAAATGATGAAGAAGAAGATTTTTATAATCGTGAGCAGAGCGAAAATGAGCTTTATGCTGAACATTTAATGAGATGCTATGAATTGTTTTTAACTGGGCAGGATTATTCTGATGAACTTTCTGATTTAAGGTTTCAGCTGGAAAAAAGAGTCCAAGAGGTGTCAATGCAGACGAATAAGATGAAAGAGCTGATAGTTACATTGAGACAAGAAAAAGAAGGCCTGAAAATTTCTGAAAGAAACCCAAAGCTATTAGATGAGCAAATAAAATATGCGAAATTTTATAGTAAATTTTATATAAATAATCTTATTTATAGAGAATAATGCATTTATAAAAGCTATTTATTCCTAATATTAATAAGAAACATATGCCCTTCTCTCACAGAAAAAATGGCCCATCATTATGAATATATATAAATTAATTAAAAAACCTAAAAATTCCCCAATAAAATTGCTTGAGCAAGAACTCGAAAGTTTAAGCAACATGGACAATATTTTAAAAACCCAAGATCAGCTAGAATCACAGCTAAATTATTTAAAAGACGAAAACGAGTCCTGAAGGTTAACTTTAGAAAGCAAAATCAACGACTTAGAAGTTTTAAAGCTAAGAATCAATGCCCAAGAATTAAGCCTAGAAGACAAAAACAGAATCCAACAAGCAGCAGTTTTTGTAGATCAAGCTATAAAAGATGTGAAAAAAGAGCGCGACCAATTAAACCAAATCCACTGAGAAATGCAGCAGAAGCTACAGCAGCAAATAAATAACTGCTACATTCTTGTGAAAAACTACCAACATAGCGCTAGTGAGATCCAAATAATCCCTCCTGGAGCAAAAAACTCTTATGGGCTAGACCTCAGAATTACTTTTAAACCTGAAAATTTGCAAGGAAACCACAATGAAACTGAAGTAATTGAGCCTCAAAATTTCCTTGAGCCTATAAGAGAATGCACAGAAAAGCTACAAGCAGAAATAGACGAAAAAATCATTGATTTAGATAACGAAAAATACAGGCTTGTCAACGAAAATGACGAAAAAGCCCACAGTCTGCCTGATTTTGACTCAAAAATCCAACAATTGTCAATAAATTTTGAAAAATTACAAAAAATATACCAAAATGTGTCAGAGTATCACAACCAGAAAATTATTGACCAAAAAGCAAGGGATTATGGAGATTTAGAGAAAACTATTGAAGAAATCAAAGAAGACCTTAACGAGCTGCATATGGAAAACACCAAAATTTCTGAAACTTTTGAAGAAGAAAGGCGAGAACTAGCTAAATTTCAGGTAGAGTCGTTAGCAGAAAAAAGAGAAAGCATACAGATCATTAAGCAGGATGTGCAGTTATTGATGTCGCATAAAATTAAGGTTATTGATGTCCTAATGGAGATCCAGAATTTCATGAAAATGCAGGTAGAAAGCTTAATTAATTAGAATGTAAGATACAATGAATGATTTTTTAGGGGTTTTAAGGTAGATTTTAGCTTTATAAGATAGTTGGCGGGGGTTTTTATATGAAAAACTACAATGGTATATAGTTAGAATTATTAAGGAATATAAATTATTGATCTTCTTCAATTCTATGTTGTGAAAAATCTACTTTGAGCACTGGCCTCGGGAAATCTGGCATAACTTTATAAAGCTCAATCAAAGGTGTTAGGTCTAAATACCCTTTTTGTTTGCTTGCTGCATATCTTGAAGAATTTGTACTCACAGCTGAAGAAAACACAGGTTTTTTTTAGGAGAACTTTTGGGGACGGCAAAAATACTGCAAGGCTCTGCAAAAAACTGCAAGGCCAGTAAAAAAATGGCAAAGCCAAGCAAAAAAATGCAAAATTTGCAAAAACATTGTAAAAAAGCGAAAGCAATTTAAAAAAAAGCAAAGCCATGCAAAAATTTTTTAAAAAAATGAAAAATTTCGCAAAGCAGGCAAAACTTTTGCAGAATGCAAAAAAGTTGCAAAAATTGGCAAAAATCACGATTAGAAAATTTAACAGTGAAATTTAATAAATTTATTGGAAGTGTAGTACAATGTTAAATTATTTAAAAAACATATAATATAGAAAAAATAGAAATTAATTTCGTGAAATAAATGCTAAAGTTTAATACAAATATCTTTTAAAAAATTTTCTAAAAACATAACTTAAAAATTTTAAAAATTTGGAAAATTTAATTTTGGCAAAATTTTAAAATGAGATACAACAAAGTGTTTTGCCAAAATTAAATTTTCCAAATTTTTAAAATTTTTAAGTTATGTTTTTAGAAAATTCTTTAAAAAGATATTTGTATTAAACTTTAGATTTATTTCACGAAATTAATTTCTATTTTTTCTATATTATATGTTGTTTAAATAATTTAACATTGTACTACACTTCCAATAAATTATTAAATTTCACTGTTAAATTTTCTAATCGTGATTTTTGCCAATTTTTTGCAACTTTTTTGCAATTCTGCAAAAGTTTTGCCTGCTTTGCGAAATTTTTCATTTTTTTTAAAATTTTTGCATGGCTTTGCTTTTTTTTTAAATTGCTTTCGCTTTTTTTACAATGTTTTTGCAAATTTTGCATTTTTTTGCTTGGCTTTGCCATTTTTTTACTGGCCTTGCAGGTTTTGCAGAGCCTTGCAGTATTTTTGCCGTCCCAAAAAGTTCTCCGTTTTTTTAATTCAATCCTAGGTGGTAGAGGAGGGGTTTTTGACCTATTTTCTTTGTTTTCCTCTTTGTCTCTGTTTTTATTTTTGTTTTTTTCTGATTCTAATAAGTTTTCAAGTTTTTCAATTCTTTCATTCATCTTTTTCTCATTATTCATCATCCTCATTTGGAATTCTTTAAACTAAATATAGCCTATTTATTTCTTTATTTTTATATTTTCCATGCTAAAATAAATTTTGGCAAACAAAATATTCATTTTATTGTTTTAAAATGTAAAAAATCACTAAAACAAAGGTAAAATGAACTATAGACTATAGCTTTCACCTGCTCATTAAGGAGAGATTTTTCTTTAACCGCTTTTTGTTCAGCTTCTTGTGAAATTTTCAGTTGATTTTCAAGATTTGAAACTTGTGCCTCTAATTTCGAAATTTTATTCAAAAGGTCGGCTTCGTCAAAGTTATTTCTTGGAGGGAGTTCAGGGACTGATCTGATCGGAGTTTTGTTTCTCATTTGCTTTAATAAAGAAGTGGGGTCGAAATCCATCATAATAATTTATATTATGGCTACTTGTATTCAGGCAGCCAATGCTATTGTCTATTTTTGCATTTAAACTTTTCCAAATTCATCCAAAAACAGTATAAATTAAACGAAATCATTTTATTTAATGATAATACCCTCTTGCCATCAAATGTCTTCTTCTTATTTCTTTTTTCTTTCTTGAAATATCAGCATAAATTCTATCTCTATACTCTCTTATAGTCAGCTTTCTATTATCATCAATTGAAATTCGAATAGTGTTTGGACAGCTAGGCTCATCATCAGAGTTATGAAACTGCGCCACATAAGGATGTCTTAGCATAGGGTATAAATATTTTTTTTAAAAAAATAGTAAAAATTAATATGTAAAAAAAAATTGTCTTACTCCCCCCCCCCCCCTCCGTGAGCGAACAAAAACATTAGAAAAATCACCATTTTTTGACCAAAAACCCACCCTCCGTGAGCGAACAAAAATTTTTTTAATAGAAAAAATTTTAATGGAAAAAAATTTTGATATATAAGTGATAATTAGTATAATGAAATCTAGAGCTAATTCTGTTTAATTTTAAACAAATTGCGTTTTTAAAACATAAATTTTGCAAATTAAATTAATATTTGCTTCCCAATTTTTGCAAATTAGGATTTTTTTAAATTTCGAAAAAAATATTTTTTATAAAATTTATATATAAATTGTTTTTAAAAAAATAAATTAACCCCCCTCCGTGAGTGAACAAAATTTTTTTGTTCGCTCACGGAGGGGGGGGGGGGGGGAGTTAGCGCTTGCTCAACTGTCAGCCTTTTTTGAGGGTTAAACTGTAAAGTGCGCCTGATAAGGTCTAAAGCATCATCAGAAGCAGAAGGAAAGAAATCATGGTAAGACCTTGCTCGGGTTGGCGGAAGCGATTCAAGCATAGTAGCTGCTAAATTGCTTTGGATTGAGTCTATATCTTCTTGAGAAGGTCTTCCTGTAAGCTCAAGAATTCTATCAAGCTGGTTAAGTGTTGATGTGCCAGGGAAGATAGGCTTTCCTGCAAGCATTTCGCCAACGATGCAGCCAAAACTCCACATATCTACTGCTTTTGAGTATTTTGTGGACCCTAAAAGAATTTCTGGAGCTCTATACCATCTTGTCGCAACATAATCAGTAAGAACCGGATTTGACCCTTCTTCTTGAGCTGCAACTGATCTTGCTAAGCCAAAATCCGCGACTTTCACCAAGCATTCAGAATTCAAAAGTAGCCCATTTCCATTATATGCAATTCTCTTGTTTCTAATATAAATTTTTCTACTTTTTACTGTATTCTTCTTTTAATTGCATTCCAATTTCTTTCTGAAGGCAAAATCTCTTTTTCAATAAAATTAGAAATTATTTTATTTAAAAAATTGCCAAATCCAATAAGATCTATAATAAAATGTATATATTTGATGGCTTCAAATCACGGTGTAGAAGCTGTCCTGAGTGCATATACTTCAGAGCCTTTAAAATTTGGTAACAAATATACTGCTTATGAATTTCTTCCAAAATATTTGCCCTAATTACTGCATGCAAGTCAGTTTCCATGAAATCAAAGACCAAGTATATGTCGCGGTCATTTTCAGCTCTAATGACATTGAGTAGTCTTACAATATTTTCGTGCCCATTGAGTTCTTGTAAGAACATTATTTCTCTGAATGTCCTTTGGGCATCAGTTGCATTTTGAAAAGCATCGAAAACCTTTTTTAGGGCGACAACTTCACGGGTCTTCTTGTCTATAGCTTTCCATACGATCCCATAAGCACCCTTGCCAAGCTTTTGAAGAATTTCGTATTTTCTTAGGATGTGGCTCTCTATTTCTTCGCTCATTTAAATTTAATTTAAAATATTAGCCATCGTAGAAAGTGTTATTAGAGGAGACTAGAAAAAAAGAATTTGCTAGGCAATTGATAGCGATTATTTAATAAATTATGGAAAATAAGGGAAATTCAGATGAGCTAGTTTTACAAGAAAAACCACTTTTTATGTGAATTGTGTCAGGGATAATGTGTTTTTGTGCTATTATATTTTTGATTTATTATTTTGCAGGCTCTAAGTAGGCTTTATATAGTGCATGATGGAAATTGATAATTATGGGCGGATTTTTTGTTGAGTCGATGTTTTATTTGTAAATAAATATCTATTTAGCTCTCAATGAAAAAATTATTTTTTTTTTCATTTAGCCAGAAATCGGAAATTAATATAATTGTTTTTATAGCAAAAATAGAAAAATTAGTTCTAAAAAGTTCCTCATCTGAGACTTCATATATGACTGAAATATGGTTTTTAGGCTTCAGAAGAACCCACCACTTTCAAATAGGGCAAATTACAAAAGTTAAGCTAAAAGAATCAGGCAGGTCAAACTATTGTTTTTATTTAGATCTATATCTGGTAGATGGAAGATGCTTTAGTATATTTAAATCAGGACTCAAAGCAAGAGTCCAAAGAAAACAAATTAGAATTAAATCATTTGTGGAAAACTATTTCGCAGAGAGAAGTCCTTAATATATGTTAACTATTGCAGTCCAAATAAACTTTTAATCTCATTTAAATTCAAAAAATCAAGCATTTCACTAATTTTTGCTTTTTCGCTCTTTGTCATGATTTTTTTTGCGTTTTCAAAGCCTTTTATTTGGATTATCACCCTTAAGATTTCTTCAGCATTTTCATTGGAAATTTCTAAGTTTCGCCTGACTACTCCTTCATATAAGACTCTAAGAATTTCAGAAAATACTTCAAAATCTACAAATTTATTCATTTCTTCTAACTCCCACCTGAAAAAATTTTTGATATATAAATGATAATTATTATAATGCAATATCTTGCTAAATTTTGATGAATTTTAAACAACACAGGCATTAAATTTTACAAATTAAATTATATTTGTTTCCAATTTTTAACGAAATTAGATTTTTTTAAATTTCAAAAAAAATAACCCACATCCGTGATCGAACAAAAGTTTTTTGTTCGCTCAAGGAGAGGGAGTAAGAGCTCTTCTTTATTGATTTCTTGAATTAATTGCCATTTTTCAGCATCTTGTCGGCATCTTTTTCATCTGTTAATAAAGCTGATTTTTCCTTCTTTCCGCTCTTCTTTATTATCAGTAGTTCCTAAATTGTTAAATCTTGTTCGATTCTGCCCTGTCATGCTGAAAATCTCACCTGCCTTAATTGGCTTCAAGTTGGCTCCTAAAACCATTTGTCTGAATCCTTCATAGTCCATATGCTGTGCGACAGCTCTGAATTTAGAGTCATTAATATTTTTTTTGCTTTCTTCTTCTCTAAGCCTTTCTTTCAGTCTTTCTTCTCTTTCAGAAACAGAAGCCAAATTAGGATTCATAATATGGAATTTGTATAAAGAATTATTTAGTAATTTTTTTGAATATTTTATCTAAATAATATCATTTCTTAACAAATCTTATGATAAATAATACCAAGAAAATATTTTCATTATGTGTAATTAATATTATTGCAAGTTGTAAGAAGTTAACAACTGATAAATTGCTTCAGTTTTCTCTGAAATTTCTCTTTTTTGTACTTCAATTTCAGAGTCAATTTTATTTTCTTTTTCAGACAAAAATTCTTCTTTTTTCTTTACCTGCTCTAACTTTTTTAATAGCAAATATTGGTCTCTTTCTATATCTTTTTGCTTTAATTCTAAATTTTGCTTAAGACTTTGTATATAAATTAGCTCTTTTTGTACCATTGGAATTAATTGGTCTGCATCTGGCTCTTTCATTCATGTTTTTTGCAGCATTATTTCTTTATCAAAAATTTCTTTTTCTTTTTCTTTTAAGCGGATTTCTTTTAGTCTTAAATGCTTTTTAAGGGTTTCTATCTCTGCGTCTAAGGCATTAACATTAATTATAGATTATGGCTCTTCCTCCTTTTACGTCTCACTGTATCGGTACCAACTATCTTCGTCGTCGGCACTAGTGGTCTCTGGGGTTAAAAGCCTTTTTTCCCCAAAGCAAAACGTCTTCATTGCTGGACAAGGGACGCAAAACCTAACCGGAACCCAAATGCTCAGTACCAGTAGACTCAGTTTCCTGCTCGATTTGGCTTCAGGCCGCAGCAAAGTCTCCAAACTCGAAACAGGTCTGAGAATGGATGGATCGGTGACATCGCCATTTTATATATGTGTGTCTAAAGCTGGATTTAAATTTTGAACTGGTTTTGTGATAGGAATGGGAGATTTTCTGCAGAAATTTGACTCAGAAAAAGATGCTATAAGCTTATCAGGGGTTGCACACAAATTTTTAGGAACTTGTAAACCGTTAAGAATTTTGTTATCTTTTGGGGCAAAGTCTGAGGGTGTAGATATCACAGCTTTTCTTGGTACTGGAGAAGCTTTTCTGATATCGCGGGTTTCAAATTGTTTTTCCATGGTGTTTATTACATGTTGTATTGAATTTGAATGGGCTTGGAAATGGTTTAAAGCTTTGGCTGACCTTAAATTCGATAACTGTGTTTTGATACGGTTTATTTTTATTACAATAGAATCTGCATTTTCAGCATTTGCGGTCTGTAATAAAGCTTGGGCCTTTTGAAGTTCTTCATATAATGCATCTGCTTCATTGGATAAATAAAATGGCATTCGGCTCGATTAAAATTAGCTCTGCTGATTTTTTTCTTGCTCAAATAATTTTATTTATGGGGTTGAGTTTTACCTGACTCTGGGGATAACCAGAGGAACTACTCTCAGTGCGCTCAAGAGGCTCAGGTCTTTACCCCTCAGCACACCCGACCGAGGTGACCCTTAGGCAGAACACGCGCAGGGGCTGAGCCGTACAAAGCCGTAGCGGCAGCAAAGCCCGTCGAAGCCGGAACGCCTTTACTTACCTGTGTTTTGGCTAATCGAAGTGGATCGATCCATAGGTCCATGGGTCCCGACATATGGATAAATATGGTGGCAGCTCTGGACAAGGCTACCCCATAGAGGGAAGTTAAACGTTATAAATAATATTATTGTATTATTGCATCTGCTTCTTCGTCAATAATTGGCTCTGGTGTTCCTTCTCTAGAACTATAATAACATTTTTCTGAATTTTTTCTGCTTTTTGGCGGTCTGAAAAAATCCCCTGAAGCTCCTCTATTATGTCTGCTAAAAGTATTTCTTATGTCATTTTTTAATTTTGATTGTTTTTCTTCAAAATCCTTTTTTTCCTGGACTAACTTTTCTTTTTCTTTTTCGAAATTTTCTTTATCCTTTTCTAATTCCACTGTCTTTGCTTTAATTAAATTTGCCTGTTGTTGAAAAAGGGCTTGCTGCTGTTGCATTTCATTTATATTTTATTCAAATAAATAGTTTATAATAACTATTATATATTATTTTTGGGTAAATTATTCAAAATCGGCATAATTTATTTTTATACTGATTTTTTGTGATTTGCATTTCATTAATTTGCCATTCTAGCTCTTCTTTCATTTTTTTTACTTCATTATTTCCACGATTTATTTTGTGGAGATCTAAATGCAATACTGGCCTGCTACTATTCGGGAAAAGTTCCATAGTGCTTTTAGTTAATTCTAATGAGTTATCACTATTAAAACTCCCAGAAAATTCTTCAGATGATTTTTCATAGGTCTCTTCCAATTTATGTTTAAGATTTTTGGTAAAATCAAAAATTTCGTCAGGAAACATGCTATTTCTTTTTAATTCCTCAATTTCGTTTTCTAATTGGTTTATATAAGCTTGTTCAGGTGAAATATTTTTTGTGCTTATTATTGGCTTAACAGAAAGATGGGTCAAAATTTCTTTACTTAAATTTGATTTTTCCTGTAAAATCAAATCATTGTGTTCTATCAAAATATCAATAGAAAAATCCCCCAGCTTCAAAATTCCATTATAGCTTTTATTCGTTTCGGTCTCAGTTATTATCTGCTTTGCATCTGAGATTAGTTTATACATATCACTTAGCGAGCATTTTATTTCATGAATAAGCTTATTTTCTTCCATATTTTCATATATTCCCTCAAATCCCCCCAAAAATCCTTAATTTTCTATTAATTTAATTCTCATTCACCTAATCCAGCATATTCAAATTCATTTTTTCTTACCTCACTTGATCTATAATCTTCCGCTACCATCATGGCTCTGTCCAAACTAATTAATAACCCTTCAATATTACTCATAATTTCTTCATCTGCTTCGACTGATTCAAATATTCAGTCTCTTTCAGTTGTAATTAAATCTTGCTCACTCTCCAAAGACAAGACAGAAATTCTGTTTCTTTTTGAGTTCAGTCTACAGCTTGGGGACAAAAAATCTGTTGAGTATCTTTCTAGCGGGTTTTCTTTGTCTAGTGTTTGGATTCCGTTCATCATTGATTGGATCACAGAATTAAGCCGATCTATTTGGAGATCGAGGGCATCGTTGTCAAACTTATGTGTTTTTTCATTAGGCTTCATATTGAATTTTTAACTGAAAATTGGAATTTGAATATTAAGTTTAACTGAAATTTAGATAAGGAAACTATGAAAAACGGCAAAAATTGATGGAGGACAATTTAAATTTTCCTATATTCTGAGGGAGATTGATTGATTTTTCATTAATTTCTATCAAAATTCATTTGAGAATATTTTGCATTTATAAGATAATTAATTTATCACGTCATATTTTAATATTTTCCACACTTAATTCTTACGTTTAATAAAGTGATAAGCCAAATACACCCAATCTCCTGCCTCCATTTGGTTATAAACATTTGATCCTTCGATCCCTGAAAATCTTTTCAGCATTCTATGGAAATAAAAAGGTGTATAGTTTTCGATCCAATCCACTCTTCTGTTGCTATCAAACTTTAAAGAGATCAATATATTTTCTGTTATATCTTGCTTTTCCTGCTGTTCTAGACCTGCAGAATTTAAACACTCCTCAAATTCTGGGACATCCCCTATTGCTAAATAATCAGCCACAAAAAATTGGCCACCTGGCTTCAGAACTCTTTCGACTTCTGATACGAACGCTCTTAGATTTCCAAAACAATGGCAACTTTCAATAGAAATCACAATGTTTAGTTAAGATTAAAGAAAAACTCACTGTTATACCTTGGATAGATATTTATGTATATCTTCTTTGCGACTGCCTGCCGTCTCCCTATAGGCTTGCTCCTCTAGAAATGGGCTCCTACACTAGATGGAGTAGTAGTGGGATGGGCCACCGTGATGTACGACTGACTTGGGTTGCCTTTCTAAAAAAAAGAAAAACGAATTTTCTGACCGAGGTGTCGACCAAAATGGAACTCGTTGCCTAGAGTGCAACTTACGGTATCACACAAGGAAATCGCCTTATTGGCCTGAAGGACTCACCTGGGCATTCTCTTCCTAACATCAAGCTTTCATCTTCCCCAGAGATAAAACTACCTGAAAATAAGCTGCGGTCAGTCTAATCTGACGCTGAGCTCCTCCAAACCAAGTAAAGCCTGACTGATGCACATCACCTAACGTCATCCTCTCTTCCACAAGGCTTCTGGGTCTCCCCATCTACAGTTGTTAAGAGGGTGGGTTGGTTCTCCACGTCATTTTAATGCATATGAAATCACAATATCAGCAAGCTCATTTTTGAGTAAAAGTTTTTCTGCATCCGAGCATACAAAAGTAGTATTTGGGAGATTATAGTATATTTGCACAATAAATTAAATTTAATTATAGAAATAATAATTATTAATTCAAATAGATATACATATAGTTTTTATTACAAAAATCAATTTGGTCTCTTGAATAATCAATCCCAATTGCATTGGCTGGCTTTAAATATTTTGCAACATAAGCTAATCCTCCACCTCTTCCACATCCAATATCAAGAACTGTTAATCCGGCTAGATTTGGGAATTTCTTAAGCCCAGTAGCTATATAATGATAAAGCTGATAAGGATAGCGCTCAGTTTCTTCATCTTCATCTAATACAATGGTGTGCCCGGTCTCTGTATTGATAGCATAGCCATAGTTTATAATTTTCCAGCCAGATTGTGGGTACATGCGGCAGAGAAAATTGTAAAACTTTTTCCATAACTCCCTCCCTTGGTGAGTGAACAAAAAAAATTTTCTTTTATGGAGGGGTTAATTTTTTTTTTTTAAAAACATTTTTTCGGAATTGAAAAAAAAATCCCACTTCTCTAAAATTGGAAGGCAAATATTAATTTAATTTGTAAAATTTATGTTTAAAACGCAATTTGTTTAAAATTAAACAGAATTAGCTCGAAATTTCATGATAATAGTTATCATTTATATATCAAAATTTTTTTCCATAAAAAATTTTTGTTCGCTCACGGAGGGGAATAAGTATTTTCTAGGCTTGTCACTTCGGAAAAGCAGCCAAATATAAGCATCAATAAAGAGGCGAAGAAATTGTGACCAAAATCCTAAACCTTTCAGCAGGCCGTATGCAATTAAGGTAAAGGAAAGCCATACTGGGGAAGTTACTAGGAGGAAGGGTAGCCAGATTCAGGAGGTTAAAAGGACAAAAATTGCTAAAGATATACAAGTACAACCATAAAGCATTTTGGCTTTGATAAATTTTATTAAAATTTGGCGATTTTTTATGGAAAATGGACAGTTTGCGATTGAAAAATAAAATTTATCCACAATAATATAAACTTGGGAATTTAAACAAAAACTGATAAAAAGCACTACACACGGCTCCATGGTGTAAGGGTTAGCACGTGAGCCTACGGAGCTTATAGTCGGGGTTCAATTCCCTGTGGAGTCGCTTTTTATAAAAATAAAAAGATTCAAAATAAGAGAGGTGTAAGAATAATTTGAAACTAAAAGAATACCTGATATCTAATGTTTAATTATAATGATAAGATATATAACTTCTTTTATAATTTAAGTAAACTTATTTATTGCCTAAAATATGATTTAAAAAAATAAGCCTTTTTTGATATAATTCAGAAGAATGATATTATGAAATACTTTTCTGTTATGAACATTAATAAAAGCAGATGAAAATATAAAACTACAAATTAATCTTCTTATAAACTCGGATATTGTTAATTTTAGCCTGCTGAGGTTAACTTGTCATTTTTAGCACATAGAGATATTTATAATAGTCCTTGCTATAAAATAAAATCTCAATCATGATTTAAATTTAGTTATTCTATATATGATTTGTGAATAATTATTTAGTTCAAGATTATTATTCTAAATAATCGAATTTATTTTGCTGTCATAATTTGTTTATAAAACTTATATTCAATTTAAAAGTGTTTACTTATGAATATTTTTATGCTAAACAAATATTATAAAAATTCTTTTTAGTAATACTGCTACTGAAATATAATATAAATTATATAGAAAATCTTACCATTCTTTAGATAACTTTCTTTTCCTTAGATTTAAATCTTTATATTTTTAGTTTTAACTCAACAGAAAATTATCTACTGCTATCTAAATTCATTTTTATAGCATCTTGCTTATAAAATTTCTATATACTTGAATTGCTTATTTCAAGAAATTCTTCTAAAATTCCATAGCTAAAATTATATTAAAATGGGTTGCTGTGAATCAAACACAGAACATGGTGAGCTTAATTTTACCTCGAATCTAACAATAACGAGCCAAGCAGAGTTTCAAAAGCTAAAAAGCGATGATGATTTCGACGATATCAGCTTGACTTCTAATGGAGAATTCCAAGAATATAATAACTGGGTATAGTGTTTTCCCTTCGATTGCCCATTGCAAATTTAAAGCTATTTTTCCTAGAAAATATAAGGAAAAGCACAATAAGCGAAAAAACAAATTCTTCAGGAAAAGACATGGATTCATCCCCAAGTACATCACGCTCTACATGTTTTTCCTTTCATCGTACAGAAAACGAGCTCGCATTTTTAATTACATCAAGCTTTATGAAGAAATCAATATTCCCAGATTTACGAATTAACGAAGTTTAAGATTTACGCGATAATTTAATGATTTTATACGATATAACCATAAGAGCTTTTTATATAAATACATGGCAAAGTGACGTAAACTAACCGATGCACAATTTATTTTAAAAAAATACATCTATTTACAATTAAACCCATACATTTATATTCACTTTTTAAATGGAAATATTATTTTATAAATCCCCCTCGTTTTGCAAGTAAAACTATCGGAAAAATCACTGATTTTTGGGTAAAAATAATTTTTCAATCTAAACATTTCTATGAAAAAAAATTTGATATATAAGTAATAATTAGTATAATGAAATCTCTAGCTAATTTGCTTAATTTCAAACACCTTGAATTTTAAAGATAAATTTCACAAACTAAATTAATTTTCGGTTTCCAATATTGCAAATAGGGATTTTTTAAATTTCAAAAAATTTACTATAAGATTTTTTAAAAAATAAAAACCCTTCCATAAGCAAGAAAATATTTTTGTTTTTCATGAAGAGGAGAGAAAGAATTATTTCCTGTTTCCTAAAAATAAACAAGTAATTTTCTCAATATTAACTTCTATATTCTTGTTCAATAAATATATTACGTATTTCTCTATATTTGAAACTTGCATATTGGACACTGATTACTTCTCGATAACCATTCATCTATGCAATAAGGATGAAAAATATGCATGCAAGGCAACGTCTTCACTTTTTCTTTCTTCTTAATCTGCTCCATACATATCGTGCACGATACATTTTCTTCAGATTTAAACCTCGAAACAGGGAAATTCCTCACTTTTGAAGAATCAGCTGGCCTTTGGACTGGTTTATGGTAGACTCGTCTTGGAGCTCCTGCTCTATTAAATACAGGCGAATTTATCATCAAAAATCCTCGAGGTCTCCCATTGTTTTGCAAAATAATTCTTATTCTCTGGGTGTTGTCCATTCCAATCATATTATTCCTATTTTCTATTCGAGGTGCATTATTTACAGGAGAATTTTCCCTTTGCTGGCTATTTTGAGCTTCTTGTTGGGCCTCATTTTCTAAAAGATGGGCTAATATGTGGTCGTTCATTTCGTCAACAGGTAAAACGACTTCGCAGAGCTCGCAGGAAATTTCTTCAAGCGGATTTTCTTGAAGGACTCTTTGCACCTCTGGACATTGCTCTTGATGGGCTTGCTCTGTCCCGATTGGAAGCTTGGCATGGCAAAATTCACAAGTGAAGTGGTTTTTGGACGATTTTCTATGGGCATGATGTCTATGAACTTCTAAATTACTCATTTTTGAACAATATTAAAATATTGTTTAATGGGATAAGAAAAGACATAATAAAAATGAAATTTCTTATAAATCAAGAGAGATTTTTTTTATATTCTGTTATTTTAATTGAAGGGGTGGCTTAAAGTCACCTACAAAAAAAGTGTCAAATCGCAACTAAGATCCAACTCACGGTAATCTTTAGTAAAAGGCGAAAGATTAAATCGTTTTGAGTTGAATCCTGCGATAGAAAAAAGTCCGAGTTTTTAATTTAAGCCATTTTTGTGAGAGATTATTTATGGGATATTTAGATAGCGGAAAATGTTATTTGGGATAGAAAGAAATACTGATAGAGATAAGAATTGTAGATTTAAGAAGTTATTGATGTTTGGCTGTTAATGAAGCTAGATAAATCGATTAATTCTGAAAGGCTAAAATTTTTAATAAAAACATACCTTTATTTTTGATAATCAAATTGTTGTAAATAATTACATTCCGACTAAATATTTTGTTATGCTTTTCTTTAGAAATCGATCATTTTTCTAAGAAAATCTTAAATTATCGATATTCTCAAAGTTTGATGCCTAATAAAACATAAAAATATATCACTAATTTAGAATCAATGACATTTTTACTTGGCCATATCTGTTTACAATAATTATGACAGAGCCTCTTCCGTTTTGGTGTCAAGTTGGAAAATTCATTGATGCTAAAGACAGCATGAATGACTGATGCATGGCAACAGTGATTAGTATCTCTCAACCTTCACGTACAATTGCAGTCACCATGGATGGGTGGGGTGACAAATGGAATACAACGTACCCATTTAAAACTTCTAAGCTCGCGCCATTCAGAAAACAAACAAAATGCTACACTGGTCCTAAGCGTAAAGCATACCGCGACTGGGAATATTCCTCCACAGAGATGGATTATATGCATCAAATGATAGATTCCCTACTATCTGGGGAGAAATAAAATGAAGGCGTTGACAGAAAGTGGACTCCGAGGAGAACTCCCTATGAAGCAGTTGGGATACATATTGATGAGGCTGAAAACAGGGCCTCTGTGCCTTTTTGAAGAAGCTTTCAGGATTGGAAATGCCTTGCCGAGAAGGGAAGTTTTGTTTCTCCCCGAAGGTTTTCCTGTACCTGCCAGATGGGCTAGACAGGTTTTGCCTACTGCATGGTCTTCTCTCATCGGGACCATCGAGGTATCTCAAAGAAATGGCTCTGCCCAGGAGAGTTGATCCCCTGGGCAGGTGGTTTAGGTCAGAAATCCAAAAGGACGATTTTTTGGAGCAAAGGTGGGGGCCATGGCTAGTGTCTAGATCCAATTATGGCCAGCATAATCGTTTTAACTAACTACTCTCAGGGACCCCTGAAAATGAATCAGCCTTTGAAATCACCCAATTCTACAGGGGAAAGCTCTTTATTTTCATAGAAAACTTGCTGGTTTATGACTTCAAATCAAATAAAGACCATCTCCCCATTTCTGTGTCGCTTTTCTCAAAAACGATTAGCCTAATAGTAAAATGGCTTAAGGAAGCTCCAAAATTATTCCCATATTACTACCAAGGACTTTCCCAGCCTGATTTATTTTTAACTGATAGTAAGGTTGCATTAGCTAATGCTTGGCCAGAGTTATTGAGTACTTTAAATAAACTTTTTGCATTGGAAAATAGGGTTTCAGAGTTTTTCTTATATTATGACGAAGTCCCAGGGGACTATGAGCCAGTGTCAATAACAAATTTAAGAAGTTCAAACTATTCAGAAACTTTGCTATATTTGATAAATCTTTTTGCAAAAATAGGAGGGTTTGATGCAGTATTAGATATTATTAGGAACAACAATGACCAGTCAAGAGTGCCTTTTACGTTTGTTAATCAGATATTGCTGTACGCAATTAACCAGTTTATTGATGCAGAATTTTCAAATAAATTCTTTACGGAGTTCACTGGTTTGATATTTCAGAGGATTAAAATTATAGTAAATTTGGTTAAATTTTTTATGGAAAAATAATTTTAATAATATGAAAATGTTAATTGTAAGGGCTAGAATATATAGCATAGTGCAGGATATTTCAGATACCGAATTAAAAGATCTGAAATATGAAGAAATATTAAATTTACTTGCCAGTATGGGAAAACTATCAGGAGAACTCAATAACCCTGCATTAGAAAATAATAAACTTGGGCTGTTTCTAAAGATGCTGAAATGCAATTATTTAGAAAAAAGAATTAAAGGGTTAACAGAAATAAATTTGGTCATAGAAAGCATTGAAGGAAAAGTTATAGGATTCGACAACTCCAAGGTAAAGGTCAGTGAAAAAGAGCTAGAAGAGTGGCTAATTGCTGAAGGCCTTATCAGCTTAATTTTATTTGAAAGGCCACATATAGAGCTAATCAAACGATCTGGGCCTATGCTTAGATTTTTAGCTCGGCTTGGAAGACTTGAAGGAAAAGACCTAGAAATTTTATGGGAATCTGCCATGTCCAAACATGAGTCTTATATCCGTGCAACCTATGCAGTTATTGTAGAAATTGTGCCATTTTTAAATGAAAACCAAAATGATTTTCTATTTGAACATTTCTTAAAAGTTAAGCTGGAAAATTATGATGAGCAGTTTTTACAATTAATCCATGATTTCTCATCACGCGCTATAATGACTTCTTCAAAAGCAGCTGAAGAAAAAGAGACTTGGAATGAGAAATGATACGGAATTAGTATTTTAGAAAATTTAATGCTGGATAGTTCGCCTGTAAATTTGTGTAAACTTGCTACAAAATATTTAGGGAATATTTTAAATTTAGACTGCTGCAAAAGGCTTATAAAGGAATATAAAAAGAAAGCTATCGGCTTGATAAGGAATAATAATTCAGTGCCTCAAGCATTAAAGTTGTTAATCAGAATTTTAGGTGGAAATCAAGAAGGAAACAAAAAATCATATAAAATCCAAAAGCTTGAGCAGCAAAACAATTTAAGAGATTTAGTAATTGAAAGCTTAAGAATTTATATGATAAAGGCGAAAAATGGAGAAATAGCTAATGAAAGATATACTAATTATAGTAAATTGATTATTATAGCTATTTTGATTTAAAGTATAAATAAATTAGTATAAATAGCATACTCTCATGAAAAAAATATTAAAAAAAGACTTTTGTTTATAGAATTCATATACTACTCATCAGAAAGAAATATTGAAATTACCTCAGCCCATTTAAGCACCTTATGGGAAATTTTAATAAATTCAGGAATTTCAGGCAATAAAGAATCTGATATCTTCTATAGGTGGCTAATGCACGGCTTAAAATACAGTTTCCCAGTAAATACCGTAACTGCAGAAGAGCTATTTAGAAGCAATTTCCTTATTCTCTCTCTCCGAATGAGCAATAAATTTTAATAAATTTAGCTTTAAAAATATATAAGTGATAATTTTGACAATAAAACCTCGAGCATATTCTATTAAATTTCAAAGACCTAAAGCATAATTGTATAAAGAAAATTAATTTATCTTTTCAATATCTACAAATCAGGATTATAAATTTTAATATAAATTAAAATTATTTTTGCTTTCTAATACAAGAGGAGTTAACGAAAGTCACTTTTCTAGTGAAAATGTTACTCCACTTGGGTTTGAAAGCTTCAAATGGCTCTTTATAAATCTTAACAATTGCTATAAAAACATAGACGCTCCAAACCTGAGGTTCAAAACTAGACTTTCTAAAGACGTAATCGCTATCGACAAAATTCTTTTAATCCAGCTCAACGCAAAAAGTGACGATATTAGTCACGACGCTTTAAAGCTCCTTGTAGGTCTTTTAACCAGATACCACGAAAATTTACTTATGGAAGCCGGAGCCATTCTTAACGATTTCACTAATTCCCTTCTCCAAACCATTATAAACAACTCAGAGTCTGACCAATTAGTAAAGCGAGGGCTTACTTTATTACGATATTTACTATGTGAAGACGACGACGATGATTCTGGAAAAACTTATTCAATATATACAAAGGAAACCCACGGAAAAGACTATAAACAAATTTTTGTCAACCAAAACAAAAATATTCGCCATCTGAGAAAAGAGGTCGCAAAAGCTTATAATCAGCCTTTAGAAAGGACAACATTACATATTGTTGATAAAGTCTATGGAAGCTATGAAGACGACATTGAGCTAAAATCGTTAAAATTGTATTGGCTAGTTGCTGATTTTGATGAAGAAGGACCTATTGAATTCAATGCAAAACAAGCCTTATCACAAAACCAAGACTTGATAAAGTCATTGTTTCTATTGCTGTCAAAAGCAGATAAACATTATTCAGATTTAGCTTGGAGCTTATTGGTAGCTTTACCAATAAATGAAAAACTTGTAGAAGACTTAAATAGGCTTGAAAAACCGGTGCAACAGTTAATTGATATGGGGTCTATGCATCAAATGCTTTATTGTTTAAATATCTCTTATTCCTTTATATATTTCATTATAATGTATTTATAACCTATAAAAATTAATGCAATAAAAGCTGGAATATCATTTTAAAGCTAGCTGGAAATGCAGAATGGTCTGAAAAATTCTATAAAGCAGGAGGCACAAAATACTTAACCCAGATTTTCAATAGCCAAAAAGAAGCAGAAGGTGGGAAATTAATTGCGATGAAGGAGTCATCAATGCTAATAGTTTTAGGAAACCTTATAAAATCTCACAATCAAATAGATGATGCTTGGAATTTTGCTAGCTCTTTATTAGGAAGTTTCAGCTTAATCAGCAAATCTATAGTGTCACCAGGGATTTTAACTGATTTAGAGGAGCTATTTAAAGCTATGAGCTGACTTATAAGACTTATAGACAACAATGATGCTGGCGCTTTAGGAGGATTATTGGCTTCTGTTAATGGGCTTTTAAGTAACCTTTTCGCTGACTGCTTGATAAACTGCCCAGACACTCAATACAGCCACTTATCTCGGTCTTTATTAGAAGAAATTTTTGAATATTCAGGAATTTTCTCACAGGTTTATGCTGAGCTTTGAAATCTCACTGAAACTGCTATCAATGAGCATAAAAAATCTTCAGAGTTTTGGGAATTATTATTCCATTCCAAGAAACTGCCAATCATTTTTCATTAAAAAAATTCAAAATATTTATCTCTATAAATAAGCATAGCGTCAGTCATACAAAAATATGAGCCTGAAGGCGACCATTTAAAAAACTCTGTTGAAACTTTAATGGTAAAAATCGAGTGTATGCCAGGAGAAAAAAATAGCAATGAAAAAGACGTCGTTCTGTGTGGGATCATGAAAGTTCTAACATCAGCTTGAAGCAAAACTAGGATAGAGCCTGAAGAAAAGCATAGAAATTTATTTTTAGAAAAATGCTTATTCGAAGTCCCTGATAAAATTGATAGACATGGCATAAATCCTCCAAAATGCAAACACACTGATACGAGAAACTGCACTTTTGATCTGCTGCTTGAGCTTTGTAAACAGAGTCAGAGGTTTTTAGAAGATTTAACTAATTATTTAGGAAAATTCCATGAGGAGCCACAATGGAGAACTTCTAGAAGAATTGACTGGAATAATTCTCCAGCCGCCAAAGAAAAATCACTTACAGGGTATGTCGGACTGAAAAACCTAGGGTGTACTTGTTATATGAACTCGCTTCTTCAGCAGCTTTTTATGATTTCTACATTTAGAGAGTCAATTTTAAATACTGACGTCAGGACTGACCAAGAACCTCTAGCAGAATCTAATTTGTACCAGCTTCAGCATATTTTTTCTGGCTTAAAATCTAGTGACAAAATGTATACCTTTTTTTAATAAAAAATAAAAAATATCTACTATAAAAAATAGATGGTAAATTTAGCTGAAATATCATATATCAACACAAAAAATTTTGCTAAATCTTTTAAAGATTATGATGGAAACCCTATCAATCCAAACGAGCAAATGGACGTTGACGAATTTTTTGGCTCTTTTATGGATAAATTAGAAAATCAGCTGCAAGGCACAGAGTATGGAAATACTATAAAAAATCATTTTGGAGGGCTTCAGGCGACTGAGCTTATAGGCAAAGACTGTGTCCACAGAAGCGAAAGAATTGAGCCGTTCATATCAATCCCAGTCGAGGTAAAAACCAAAAAATCTTTAATAGAAGGTTTAGAAAGCTATGTGGCAGGTGAAATGCTTGAAGGAGAAAACGCGTATCAATGTGATCACTGTGAAGCCAAAGTCCGCGCAGTCCGTCGTGTATGTGTTAAACATTTGCCAAATTATTTGGTTATCGCTTTAAGAAGATTTGAATTTGACTTTGATACCATGACCAGAATGAAGCTAAATGATTATTTTGAGTTTCCAATGGAGCTTAATATGGAGCCGTTCACCCAAGAAGGATTAGAAAGAGCTGAAAAAGAAAAAGAAAAACAAGCTGGAAAAGAAACTGTATCCTGATCCAATATGGATATAAATTTTTATCATAAAATTTATTTTATTATATATCATTCTATATAAAAAGAATAGTTCCTAATAAAAAATTCAATGATGACTATTACAACTATAAACTCAGAGGAATCATTATCCATTCAGGCACTGCAGAAAGTGGCCATTATTATTCCTATATTTTTGACTTAGAGCAGAAAAAGTGGTTTGAATTTAACGATCAATGGGTAACAGAAATCAATGAAGGCGACATCGCAAATGAGTGCTTTGGAGGCGAAGAAAAATACTCATGGAGCTCTTATACAAGTTTGCCAGGGTCTGGAATGAGGGAAAAGTTTGGAAATGGATATTTGCTGTTTTATGAACGTAAAGGCACTTATAAGTCTAGAAGTGCTGATGACGAGTATATAGAACCAATCAGTTTGGCTGTAAAAGAAGCAGAAGATTTGGAGCATTACAAAAAGATTAAGTCAGCTAACCAAAAATACTGGAGGTCTAGGCATATTTTTGGAGCTGAATATTCAAGATTTATTAGAGGACTGTCTGAAATCGATAGTACATCTGATAAATTTTTGATTCGATTTTTGCTGACTATTCTAATCAGAACAAAAGAGCGAGGATGGGAACTTGTAAGTATTTATAAAAGGATAGAAAAAACTCTTATAGGTTCTGATTACTTGTGTAACTGGGTATTAGAAATGATATGTGTCCAGAAAATAACCAAAGAACTGCTATTAAATAATCCTATGCACACGATGAGAAAATTGATAGTAGGATTAATAAAAATCTGCTTGAGGGTTGTAAATGATGAAGCCAAAGAAAATTTCTTTTTAAGATTTATCCAACTTTTGCCTTTCGCGACTAAAAAATACTCGAAAAATTATGCACAATACTTAGAAGTACTAAAAGAAGCAGTTTTTGCAGCTCCAAAAGTTATTTTTGAGTATAAAACTATCGAAATTTTAATCTACCATCTCCTTCGTCAACCTCTGCAATTACCTGAAGCTCCACAGTTTACTTATTTTGATATATTTTTAGGGTATGATGAAAATGATAAATCAGAAGAAGATATAAAAGAAGAGTCAATGTTTTTCTCTGATGCAAAAGGAGCGTCTAGCGCTCATTTATACCATTTGCTTTTTGAAATTCGTAGTCAGCTACCTCTTGAGGCTAAAACCTTCTTAAAGCGGTCTGATACGATTTCAAACACCTTAAAAGACGTCGATTCCAAGCTTTCAGCCCGCAGCATCGGCAAACTTTATGCTGAACTCTGCCAAGATGAACCACAAGCTTCTTTTTCTGTCTTTGAAATCCTCGAAAAGCTTTATCAATCAGCCGAATACTATTCCAAAGCTAAACTTCTCAGAGTATTTTCTCAATTGGTCCTATTCAATGATACTCTGCAGCAATCTCGTATAGACAACTTCATAAACTTCCAATTCCGCAACATGTCTTTTTGTAAATATGCCACTGACGTTGAGCAAATAATTTACCATATTTTCAAAATCTCTTCAAAAAGTGAAGTTTTTAGGCAGATTTTTTATTTTTTTTAAAAAAAAATTTTAGAAAAAACAAATAAAATAAAGGAAAATTTTTTTTAGGCAAATTATTATGCAAAAGACTAATGAAATGGCATGGCTTGCCAATTGGATCAGCAGTAACATGAAAATGACTTATACAACTTATAAGACTCCTGGGGTGCAGCAAACTGAAGAATATGTAAGGCCAACTTATAGGATACTTTTGAGTAAATGTCAGAAATTGGCACAAGGTGAAGCACCGAATCAAGAAAATGAGTGGGATTCTGACGAAGATTTAGGCAGCTGGGAATTCCAGCCTGGTAATGAGGTGGACGTGCTAGATCAGACTGGCCAAAATTATATTAAAGTCAAAATCGAAGCCTGTATTGGAGAACTTTTATGGCTAAGCTCAAATAAAACTGCTAATGCTGACCAATGGGCATGGAAAGATAAACAAAGCGAAGAACTCGCTCCACCTGGATCTAAAAGTGGGATGAGGAGTATAAATACTTCTTCTTAATTTAGGGTAAATTTAGAATAAATAATATTGATTATTCAATATATTCAAGCTGCATTCTCTATAATATTTTAAATATAGTGCATCCATATAAGTGGATCGCGATATGCTTGGCATTCCTGAGATGATCATGGTTGGTTTCACCTACAAATGTTGGTAAAGTCAACCCCTTGAAATAGAAAATCTAAATTATCTGGTCGATTTGCCATTTAATTTGGTTCACCATCGTCTCGGTAGATGCTGGGAATATGGCGATCTGTTTAGGTGGATACCCGATATAATTAAAATGTTAATTAATAGTAAAAATTCAATGAAATCTATAAGGATACACCAAATTCAACATGAACGAAGTAAAAGTGTCCAAGGGCCTCTAAAAATTCTCCAAATAAATTATTCAAGAGCTTATTCGCCTGGAAGCAATTCTGTTGTATCTCATCGCTCTTTAAGAGTTAATACTTGTAAGTTTGCAGCAAAAATTCCAAGGAGATCTGAATCAAAGCGTGATTTAGAAATTAAAGTAATGCTGCCTGAAGTAAATATGCAGAATATTTCGCCTAAGCGAACACCTAAAACAGCAGAAGAAACACAAGAGGATTTGCATGCTTTTAAAGAAAATAGAGAAAAAAGAATGCGGATCTCAATTCCCCTTGAAATGAAGAAACTTGACTTTGATTTATTTTCTCCTATTGAGAGGTCAACTTCAAGCTCATGGATGCCAGGGAAAAAACTGAAGGCAGGGAAGTCACATATGAGATCGAAATCAACTGTAAAATGCCGGTATGAAGTAAAAAATATACACTTATTTGATAGAATTAGCAACTCACCTAACTCGTTTTATCAAAAATGATTTAAATTCTGGAAAATTTTTGATTAATTTTTTATTTTTATTTATTAAGAAGCATTTTTGATGAATTCAATCGATAGAACAATTAAAAATATATCAATAGAGTAAGAAGAAATTTCTTAAGCGAAACAAAAGCTTTGCTCAATATATAAACGAGCTCCGTCAAGATTCAAAATCCTCAGCCCACCTGCCTATCAACCCTGAATCCTCTTTTCAACAATATCCAAAATCTAGCAAAACCAATGATGATGCAAATAGAACAATTTCTTCAAGCTCAAGCCAAAGGTCATTTCTACGGCACTTCAGATCAAAATAGTTCCGTCCTATCTGCCTAATTTTTGCTGACTCCCCCCCCTTTAAAATGGAACAAAATATAGGTAAAATTTCCACTTTTTTGGTAAATTAACCCCCCTTTAAATTGGAACAAAATTTAATTTTATAATAAAAAATTATATATAATTTTTATCTAAAAAGTTTTGATATAAATTAAATGTTTCTTCTTAACTAAAATTAAAAATTTAGTTATATCTTGCTCTTGTTTAAAGAAGAGAGTATAAAGAGCATCTTATTTAAATTAATTTATTATCCTTAATTGCTAAATTTTACAAAACAATTAATTGTTTTTTTTGATAAAAATGATATTTTTTTATTTAAATAGCTTTGATATAAATTCAATGCGGATTCTTTATAAAATTTCAAAATTTAGTTATTTCTTGCTTTATTTTAAAGAATAGAGTATAAATAACATCTTATTTAAACAAAATTAGCACTTTGATCAATAATTTTCTAAAAATTGTTATTTTAATTTTTTTTTATCAATAAAAATAATAATTTTTGTGTAAATAATTTTGATGCCAATTAATAGTGGCATATTAACTAATAATGAAAATTTAGTTATATCTTGCTTTGTTTTAAAGGAGAAAGAGTAAATAGCATTTTATTAAACAAATTTATTGATCTAATTGGATAAGTTTTTGAAAAAAAAATTTTCAATTTTTATATAATTTAATAACAATTTTATATTGATATTTTTTTTAAAAAAAAAAATTAACCCCCCCTTTAAATTGGAACAAATTTTTTTGTTCCAATTTAAAGGGGGGGGAGTGAGTTTTTCCTATAAACGTTTTTAATATCCTCATTAAAAAAATTTTCATAAAATTATAAAAATAAATAATTAATACCAAATTTACTCTAAATAAATATAAGTAAATAATCTTTTGAAACAAGAAATGTTTTTCAAGCCAAAGAATCGAAAAACTCATTGTTTAGAGCAGCTGGAGAATTCTAATAAAATGGAGCTGTCAGATGAAATAAAGCAGGCAATACATTTGATTAACCGCTGTGTGGAATCGTTACATTTAATCCCTCCTGAAGTGGCGCCACACTCCCTGCTTGGAATTATACCAACTTTATTAGGTTTTAAAACTTTTTTCCAGGAGTTGAGAAATAGTGAAACATTGCCTGAAGCCAATGCTACGTCAGTTTCATTGTTTATAGGATGCCTATCAACTTATTTAGAAAAGGTTTGTGAAAACTCGAAAAGCTGACAAAAGGCCTTTGGCAAGCACGAAAAGGGAGACCTGTTGATATTTTATTCAAAACTCCAAACATTAGAAACATTGCTACCTCATATTCCAAACGTTGATAAAAATGACTTGTTTTGCTTGCCAAAAACACATGAACGTTGGACTAATTTGCAAAATTATGTAAATTTGCACTTATACAATGATAAAAATAAAGTATTCTTTTATATATAAATTATATCTTATCCTTAATTTGAACTAAGTTATCATTGGACCCTTTAAAGAAAGAATTAATATTTTTTATGCTAAATAGTTTAGCTAGACAAGAATAAAAGGACATTATAAAAAATTCATGCTACAAGTTTCGGCTAGCCAAGCTTTTGTATCTACCAGTTTTCAAGAGAAAAATAAAATGAAGCGAAAAATCATGCTTGGTTTAGGAGCTATGTATTATAACGTTTTTAAAAAAAAAGCGTTACGGAAAACCCAGTTATTTTATGCTAATCCTTCTTTAGAAGCTGCACAATATAAATAAAATGGCCTGGCGAAGAGAGACCTGTCCTTCTCATGGCGGGGTCCTGGTTTGATGCAAGGAACTGCCCCAAGGGTTGGCGAGCCTTGAAGTGAGAGACCTGGCACATTTCCGCTAATTAGTAGCTTGACCCAAGGGGAGTTTTTTTCATCTTTTTTGATTACCTGCCTAGGATATTTGGTGGTTGCTCCGAATGGTGTTATCAGTTGAGTTTTTTTCTTTCGAGATATTTAAGGGAAAAAGGGAAGACAAGTTTGACAAGACTTCAAGGGCGCAAATCTCTCTAATTGAAAGGGGGTCCCAAGAAATGGGCGATCTGGCCTAAGCTGAGGGTGAGAGGCTATGCTGATGCTTGAGTTTAAAATGAAGATTCCTGGAAAAGTCCGTATGACTCAGACCATGGAGGGAAATGCCTCTACAGAAACCCCATACTACAGCTAACACCGTGGAACGCATGATGCTCAGAAAGTGGTACTATAAATACACATCATTAATCTAACCTAGAAGTTGCACAAACTGTGTGGAATTTAGTTGATTCTTTTATTGTTAAACATTTTATGAAGCTTATGATTGCAAGCATAAAAGTAAATAAAGTTATTTATTTGCCAAGGACAGTATCAAACGTGACACTTCCAATGGAAAGAAAAGTCCGTGAGGATAAGTATTTTACGATAGAAAAAAACCATGGTGATTATGTCATGGTAAGAGTCTTATGTCATAGAAAATTAGCCTGCTTCAAAAAATCAATAATAAATAGAACTAGAGAAGGCTACGAATTGCCAGTAGAATTTACCAAGCTAATTTTTCACATCCATGGAGGAGGATTTATTAGCATGTCAAGCGCTTCCCATCAAGTTTATTCTAGAAAATGGGCCAAAGATCTGCAAATTCCTGTAATTTCTGTAGACTATAGACTCGCCCCTCAGCATCCATTTCCAGCAGGAATTGACGATGTCTGGCAAGTTTATAACTGGATTTTAGATAACGCAAAATCTCAATTAGGTATAGATCCTCAACAAATTATTGTTGCTGGTGACTCAGCTGGTGGAAACTTTGCAGCTGCATTAGCAAGCAAAGCGGCAATGGCCGGTATAAAAATCCCTGACGGTCTAATGCTTACCTATCCAGCTTTATCATTGTCATTGACACATTTCACACCCTCATTTGCAATTTCCCTCGAAGACCTTCTTGTTCCCCATACCTTCTTAAAAATCTGCCTAAACTGTTATCTTAAAGACCCAAATAATGACCCAGAAAATGACCCCTTGATTTCTCCTTTATTTGCGTCATCAGAAATTCTCCGTCAGTTTAATCAAGTCCGCATAGTTGTAGGAAGCGAAGATCCTTTGCATGATGACTGCTATAGATACGCTGAAAAGCTGCACGATCTAGGAGTTGACGTAAAAATGACTGATTTTGATGGGACGCCTCATGGCTGTTTGAACTTGATTTTTAAAGGTGGGGTAAAAGAAAGCAGGGATCTTTATGCCCAAACAGTTGTTTATATGAGAGAAATGTTTAAGTTAGATTAAGTATTTTCATATAAAATGGATGGAAACAGAGTTAAACGAAGACTTCTTTTTCTTTCACCAAGTGCTGCTTCTGGAAAAGAACGTGAATGTAGGGTCGAAGATTTTGAGAGTTTATCAAGAAAAGCTATAGGAGAAGGAGCATTCGGGCAAGTATATAAGGTCAGACATGTGGAAACAGGCAATTTATATGCAATTAAAGTATAATTTACTATAAATATATGGAAAAATTTTTTTTTCTAAAAATTACTATAGTCCTTGGCTATGCTAAATTATTATGGAATAATACAAAAAAGCAGGATTATCGCAAAAGACATGCTTCAGCAGCTGAGAAGAGAAATTAGGATCATGTACTGTCTAGACCACCCCAACATCATAAAGCTGTATAATCACTTTGAGGATGACACAAATTTCTATCTGATTATGGAACTAGCTGAAGGTGGCTCACTTTTCAATAAAGTTGTGAAACTAAAAAGCTTTGATGAACCGACAGCTGCTCAATATTTAAGAGAACTTGCTTTAGCAGTGCAATACCTGCATACGAGAGATCCGCCAATTATTCATAGAGATATTAAGCCGGAAAATATATTTTTAGATGGGGATGGGAGAGCTAAATTAGGAGATTTTGGCTGGTCAAGCTTCAGTGAAGGAGAAAGATCAACTAATTTCTACAGAATAAATATATTTATTTAAATTTTTTTTATAAAAAAAATACAGACCAAAAGATCAACTACTGTGGGACCTTGGAATATCTAGCACCAGAAATGATTGATAGGAGCGGACATGACACCAGACTTGACATTTGGAACCTTGGAGTTCTATTATTTGAGCTACTAACTGGAAACGCTCCATTCCAATCAAAAAGCCAAACCGAGCTCTTCGCCAAAATTAAAGCAGTAAAAATAGGCTTCCCTAAAAGCTTCCCAGTAGCTGCAAAAGATCTAGTTAGAAGACTATTAAGGCCAAATCCAGCAGAAAGAATAACAATTGAAGAGCTCCTTGAGCACACTTGGATGCGGCAACACCCTCCATCCCGCCCTACTGCAAATTTAACAACAGAAAAGCAGCCACTTCCAGAAGTCCCAGAAGATAGCGAAATAAAATTCCAAGACCATGAATACAAAATTATTTCGACACCTGATGAGACCCAAAAAACAGCTATAGGCATATCCTGTAAATAGCCCGATTTGGCTAGGGATAGAGGCAAAACTTCCCACTTGGTTCGGCCAAAATGGATTGGCCGAACCAAATGGAAGGGAGGCTTATTTGTAACTTTCTATTTAGTTCGGCCAGCTAGCACAAGAGCGAACGTTGCGTGTAAAATTGAGAAATAATATTTTGAGGCTTGATGAAGATATCCACAAAGCAAACCAAAATTTGAAGAGACTTGAAGAAAAACAGCAGAAAATTGCCTTGGAATCTCATGCTGTTCAAAAAAATGTAAATTAATTAGGGAGATTTGAAGATTTTATTGGAAATTTATCATAGATTTGGAGAAAAAATAGGGGTTTTATTTGGTGGATTGTATTTTAATGATATAAAAAAGCATAAATGACCTGAAAATTCAAGCACTGCAAAATGATATGACCAGTTATGATAGAGAAAGCTTGGGATCTAATAGTGAAGAAACAAGAGATACCTTGTCCGCTTCACAAGCAAAGCTAAGACAAATTGACTTTGAGCTTAAAATGAAGCGAAAAGAAGAAAAAGAGCGAAAAAATGAATGCTTTAATAAAGAGTTAAGGCTCTTTGTGATGGAAAACACGCTAAGGGGGTTGAAAAATGAATCAAGAACTTTGAAGTGATTTATCATACACTAAATTATATTAATAATAATTATAAAGTTTTATATCATATTTTCTTTATAATTTAGGATATTTTATTGTTTTTTAAAATTTATAATTTAATTTTTTTCAGTATAACTCAATATCAAAATTAAAGCATCAAGTCGTGGAGCTTAGCACTGTCATTGAAATGCTTTCAGACGAATCTCCAGTGCCATTAATTTCTTCTAGCCTAGAAAGCATCCATTTCCAGCTAAGCGCTAAACCAGAAATCCAAAGAGTTATTGAGACTGCAGAAGAAGACATAAAAGCGAAAGAAATACAGCTCAACGATCTTGAAAAAGGTATCATAGAACTGCAAACAGTTTTGCAATTACAAAAAGATGTCAAGTCTTTAATGCGAATTAATGCTGGATAATAGATGATATTTGCTGAATAATTCTTTTAAAAGTATTTTTATTTAATAACAGAAATTTCTGATTTTTATTTATAAATAAAATTTGTTAGATAAGAAGCAATTAAAAATTAAAAAAATTTTGTATTTGGAATCTATAAGAGTTGAGGATAGTTTTATGGCTTAAAAAGCTATCAGAAATTTATAAATAAATCAGATCGTATGTCTGGGTGCAGGTCCAATGATCGTGCATTTTAATAGAGTGTATTTCATCGAGGAAAACTTTGTCGAAAATTTTTAAATATTGTGAAAATTAACGACTTTTTAGTCAAATGTCTCACTATAAAAAATGCTTCGAACAATTTTCCCCTAGGAATGCCACATTTCCAAAATACATGGTCATTTGACTTGGAGCCGTATGTCTTATATTTTGGATGTTCAGAATTAATGTGTGCACATCTGCTGGCTAGCATTACATGATGCTGCATTATTTTTCATCAGATAAGTTTATCTATCATCTTAATAGCTTATATTATTGCTTACTCTCTTAATAAATCTCCTGAGGCAACTGAGGAGTTGGTTTTCCCAATATTGCTGGCAAAACAGCTTTAAGGACTTAATCCGATAAATATTGCAGAATTGCAATCATAAGCTGGCTTACCGTCATTTATAGTTAAATCCCACCATACTTCCTCAGGAGGCATCAGGAAAGACACAAGCCAATCGCAGATCTCGCTATACATTAATAAATTGTTTTTTATTCCATTAACTATCATAACCCCTGCTTTACTGAAAAAACCTCTTAATTATATTTTAACCATATCACTAATCCTCGGCTTTTCTTAATAATTTAATAAACTCCTTAAAGAATGCTTTATGTTTCTGATTTTCATTATATAAATATAAATGCAAGGTCACGTTGACGAAATTGAATATTTGAAAAACCACGGTGACGAAGAAGAAAATGAAGAGGCCAGCGGGGACTCCAAAGACCAAATTTTAAAGCTCCTCAAATCAAGGCTTTTTTCATTATTTTTCAGACTTAACACCTTAAAGGTTGCCATCCCTATTCATTACCACATGGTTATGATTGCGATTGAAGGCCTTCAGCTTCTAACCCTTGTACTTAATGATGGAAGTTATAATAAGCTGGGACCATATGATAGCGATAGTCCTTGAAATTTGTCCCAAACCAATTGACTTATTGATGTGTGCTGGGTTTTCAGAGTTGACCGATATCTGAGAGGCAGTATCACTGGCTTCATGGTTTTGCTTGGGATATGAGGATTTTTACTGGCGTCTCTTGTAGGGATTGGTGTGTTTATTGCTATAGAAAATAAAAATTTTTCCTCTATTATGAGCTTTCTGCTAACTCCCCCCTTCCCTGAGCGAATAAAACCATTAGAAAAATCTCTATTTTTACCCAAAAATCCACCCTCCGTGAGCGAACAAAAATTTTTTTAATAGAAAATTTTTATATGGGGAAAATTTTGATATATAAGTGACAACTAGTATTATGAAATCTCGAGCTAATTCTGTTTAATTTAAAAACAAATTGTGTTTTAAAACATAAATTTATCCAAATTAAATTAATATTTGCCTTCAAATTTTTGAGAAGTGGGATTTTTTTAAATTCCATAAAAATTTTATAAAAAATTTATATATAAATTTTTTAAAAAAAAAAATTAACCCATCAGTGAGCAAAAAGGGTTTTTTGGAGTAAAGATCCTTAAAGCCTTGATAACTTTGATGACAAATCTGCTGTTTATCCCAATCATCGACACCTTAGCTTTTGCTATAAGATGCTCTATTGCAACTGATGATAACTGTTTAGACTTGCCAGTTGGGTATCAATTTATGATGATTTATGTCGCTGGAAGTGTTGTCTATTTCGGAGTCATTATTCTCTGCTCTATGCTGTATTTCGATTTTTGCCAAATCTGTGGCGGCTTTATGGGAAAACCCCACTGCAGACTCAAGCTCTTAAGATTAAGCTCATATGTCGGCTTGATTTTTTCCTACTATTTTATTACAACAGCAGGAAAAGTCATTTTGTTTTTAATTGTATGCTTGGCTCTTGGAATTATCATAAGCTACGCTATGATCCAATATGTGCCTTATTATAACCTTCGTATGTGCCATATCCGCTTAGGCGCAATTGTTTCGTTTACTTCAGCTGTTTTTTGTATGATAATTGGAGAGTTCTTTAAAAGCACTGACCAAACGAATTCTTCAGTCACTATGCTGTTTTACTTCCTTACTCCTTGCTTAATACAGATTACTCAGCTTGCTATGAACAAAAGGTGCAAAAATTTAGCTGAGAAAAAAATCCAGCAATTAACCAATCCTTATCAGGGCTGCTTGTCTTTTAATTACAGGTTTTTTGATAGAGAGGCATGTATTGGGTTAAATTGGTTGAAAATTTTTTATTGTAAGACATTTGCCTAAAAAGACGCTAAATTTTGACCAGATATAAAACGAGAACAAAAATTCGGCAAAATGCCATGACATTTAAAGGTTCTGATAAAAAAGTATGCACCATCTTATCAGGTAGAAATCAAGGTAAGAATGCTTGTACTGAAGCTAGAAGAAGCTAAAAGCAAATATGCTAAATCAATTTATGGTGCTAATAATGAAGAAGAAAATGAGGAGCTTAAAGCGTTGCAGGCTGAAACTTTTACTGAAATTGAAACTGTATATAACGAAGCGTTCAAAAAATTCCCAAATGCGGAATTTTTATATTTGTGGTCAGGGCTGATCCAATTGCATATTTTTGAAAATTATATTTTATCTATGGTCCAATGCTTTAAAGGGACTATGATTGCCAGCAAATTAGACTCCCAATATATGCTTTACCACTTCAGAAAAACCTCAGAAAGCTTCTATAAAGCTCATATGAAAGATGATGCTTATGACTACGAATTATTCGAAAAAGCCTTCCAGAACGCTCAGAAAAATGACGAATCTGTAACAAGGTCTCAGTTTTATTTCTGGGCTGAACTTGAGTCCAAAGCTCCAAAAATCCAAAAATTGAGCAAATTAGCAGGAGAAACTGCAAAAATGATTATTGTTGCTAAAGGAAACTATCAAAAATTGCTGAAGCTGAACTCAAAGAATACTCAGGCACTAAGAATGTATGGCTGGTTTTTAAGCAGCTTAAACAATTTTTCAGAAATGGGACAAAGGTACTTGAATAAGGCTGAAATGCAAGAAGAAGCCCAACAGAAAAACCTCAATGCAAACGTCATGAACAGCTTAAATCAGCCTCTATCCTTTTTTGACGCTGACAACGCAATTATTAGGGTTTCTGGAGATTTTGAAACTTTAGGTGAAATCCAAAAGGCTAATGCATCAGCTTGTCAGCTTTTAGGATATTTATCAGCTGAGTTGATCGGTCGTAACATTTCATTAATAATCCCATCCCCATTTTCAGAGTCCCACGACGAATATATTAAGAAATTCCATGAGTCCGGAAATTACTCAATTATAGACAATCAGCACCTTATCTTGTATTTCGCTAACAAAAACAACAATATTTTTGAAGGAAGACTTCTAGTAAAAGTCGTCCCTAACGACGGGCAGCCTCCTTTCTTATCAGCAATCATAAAGCCTACAAACCCAAAATACGAAATAGTTATAATGAACAAAGACTGGGTAATCACTGGCTACAGCCAGCATTGCTCAGAAATTTTTGACTTAGGCAATACTAAAAACTCTGAACAAAAAATTTATAATATCATCACAAAATTCGAAGACAACAAAGAAGCAATGATGAGCGAAGACGGCTACGACTACACCCACGAGCACGAAAAAACTGTAAATAACCTCAAACTGCGCTTAAGCGAGCTTAAAATTGGTGAACAGTCTGCCCATCTCCTCAAAGTAGAAGTTTTAGATAAGCAAGAAACCAAAAAAGGAGACTACACCCGCCAGGACGAAAAAGAAAGTAAATCTGTAAGCACAGTTCTCCCGAATTCTAATATATTCAACCAAAAATCAGACCCAGTAAACCATATGGACATAAATCTGGAACTTGACTCTACTGACTCTAACACCCAACAAAAAAGTAAATCAGGCAAATCTCCACCGACACCACCAAATATGGGTGGACCATTAGAGTCAAGTGAAAGCCAAGAAATTTCAGGGTCAAGCGAAGAAGAAAGCAGCGAGGAGGACTCTGGAGAAGAAGACAGCAGCGCTGAAGACTTATCAGGAAGTGGGTCTGACTTAGAAGCTACAAAGGTAGTGGGGATTTCTGGGATTGCAGATGAGCTGGACAGCTTAAAAGGCAAAAAATTCGCAGGATTGAACGTGCCTGATGAAGAAGAGAAAAAATATTATGATAAGAAGCAGCTAGGAGAAAACAAGCCGCCATCTAAAGATTTGATTAATTTAGGGTCTAAAGGATCAAATTCTAAGAGCTCACAGTCAAAATCATCAAATTCGAAAAGTGAAGAATCAGAAGAAAGCCAAAGTAAAAGCCAAGACAGTAAATCATCGGATGAAAGTGGGAAAAATTCTTATAGTAAATCTGGATCTGAAGAAGAAAATGGAGAAGAAGAGGAAGAAGAGGAAGAAGAGTCAGAAAAGTCTTCAAGCGAAAATGACGAAGACCACAGTGAAGGCTACAGCCACACTGACCCTAAAGAAGAAGATCACAGTGGACTTGATGGACAAAGCGCTCATAGTTCGTCAAAAAGCATGAACTCTTCTATGGCTTCTCTTGCTCAATTCAATAAATCAATTAAAGCTCTCGTTGCGTATGAATTCAGCCGAACAAGAAAATACGTCCTCCGTTTCAAATTGACCTTGATTTTAACTATTATTGTTCTTATCGTCACTTCTATTATGACTTTCCAGATCATTACCAACTCAGTTGATTTCAATGAAAAATTATCACATTACGTCAATTTGGTAGGATTGCTGAGAATGTACACCCAAAGTATAGCCTATTATACCAGAATTATTTCATTTATGGATTTTGGGTATGTCCCAAATACTGACAGAGAACTATTTTTCCAATGGCTGGCTAGTGACACTACCGATATGCATAATACCAATCTAGTTATGTATACAAAATATGGGCTCCTGAGTGACGCAGATCAAGTCGTGTATACAAATGAAGAAATTTCGACCTGGCTGCTGGAAGGGAAAACTGTCAGAGAAATCCAAAGCAACCTATTTGATGCCACTTCTAATTTTATTTTGCAAGCTTATTTATTGAATGTGGAGTATAATAGCACGCTAGTCAATTTAACTAACAGAAGGGCCTTTTATTTGTATAGAAATGGGAATGGTGAAACTTTGCAATACATCAACCATTCAGCGATTTATTATGTAGATGCTGCCTTAAACGACTTAGAGTCGGAAAGAATTGTGGCTATCATGCTTATTTTGGTATCAATTTTACTTCTCTGCTTCTGTGCTGGCTTTGCAGTAATTCCAGCTATAAGAGTTCTAGAAAAGTCAAAAAAAGAAATTTGGGAAATTTTCTTTGAAATACCTGGGTATGTTTGTAGAGTTATGAAGGCGAAATGCTCTGATAGGCTTACGATTCTAAATGAACAAGCCAATATGGAGCTTGAAGAACTTAATGGAGATGATCAAAAAGATGATGAAGATAAAGCAAAAGATGAAGGCAAAAGAAATGACAGCAAAACTAGCAAAGGAGACAGGAACGGGGATAAGTCAAAGAAAAAGAAAAATGTAGTCGAACAGAAACGTGTGCTAGCTTATGATCCTAAACAAAGGAAAATTATTGTGATTAAGTTGGCTTGTTTCTTTATTATCAGTGTTGTGTACTTTTATTTGATTTATTATACTGGATTTGAGTCTGTAGGCTCAATTCTTCAAGAAGAGCCACCACACGTGAACTGGGCAAGCAGAAGAAGGCAGCTATCAAGGACTATTAATATGTGGGTGACTGAAACATTATTTGAAAATATATACAATTTGCCTTGAAAATGCAAATATTATTATTCAGAGAGTTTTGATACTTCTTATATTATATTAGGATAACTGGAGTTGGTTATAAATATGTTGTACCAATGGGACAAGATGTAGGAACAGGCTACACAGTTGCTCAGATTGCCCTTGACGAGCTAGATTACGTTGAAAACTCATTGATTTTCGGAAACAGTGATGAACGGCTAAGCTCAACCGATTCCAGAAGCTCTAAACATGACAACATCCTATTCGACAACGCTTGTGCAGCTCCGTTGATCAGAAACTTAGAAGACTGCACAACTGCTGGAGATGGCTGTATGATGCAAGGTCTTCACAGCGCTTTAGGGACATATACGACACTAGGCAGAACCTTATTATTACAAATAGAAAATTTGAAATATGCCAACAATTATACCTTATCAGCAGTTCAGTGGATTTGGAATGGTAACGATATGACATTGTTCAGAAATCTTGATAACCATTATTTGTATGATCCATTGACTTATTCTTCAGACTTATACGAATCTGACTATAAAGACCAACAGCAGCAAATGACTGTTTGGCAAAACTTGTTAATGGCCCTTTATGCCATATTTTCATTATTATTCTTCTTTTTTGTCTACAACCCTATGATACATAAAATCGGCCAGGACACCAAAAATGCATGGAGCATGTGCACATTAATCCCTCAAGAGTATCAAGAAGATTTTAAGAAGCTCAGTGCAGCTATTAAAGAAAGAAGAGATAACTTTAAATGGAGATAAGCATATTTTCGTTATAATAAGAAATTAATTATGGGTTTTCCATTCGCTTTAGCTCAACTCCTTCAGTGTCTTGTGACTTATCAATTGCGAACTCAAGCACATGGCCTTTAAAAATTTGCATGATAACTGCAGGCATGAGGGTTATTAATCCGAGAAAGACCCATTCTAATAATGCTTCAATGTTTTCGCTTACAAGTGATAACTCACTGTCAAATGATAAATAAGACTGCTCAAAAATAATGCTGAGTGCTAAAATTCCAAAAATTGCAAGAAAGGTTTCGAATTTCCTAAGCCAAGATTTTGAGTTAGGGTTTAATAAATCTTGATTTTTTCGGAATGAGTAATAAACTTGGCCGATCCAGATTAAGCTTCCAATTTTGAAATATAAAACTAAGTAATAGTTTATCTCCTCAAGTGGAATTGTATGGGCACCTGTAGCTTCGTCAGTTAACCCTATTAGTGCTAATACTACTGATAAAGAAAATCCTAATATAAATAATCCTTTTCTCGTCACTGGTGATACTTTTGCTTTAAAGTAAGAATAGGTAGACAAATTCAATAGAACCAATATTGCTGCAAAATATGTGCAAGCAACAATAAAAAGCCTATCATGCCCCCTAAAGCAGCCTAAGTACAAAGGCGTAGGTAGAAATTGCAAACATGAAAAATTTGTAAGACAGGCAAATGCAATGTTTGCATAGATAAACCCAAACATAGGGAAAATAATAAATCAGCTGATTTTGGATAAATTAAGACTAAAAATAGTAGCTTTTTCTTTTCGACGAATGCTGAAGAGAGGGATTTCTGTGGCTTTTTTGTGTTCTTTTTCAAGCTCTTCCATCCGGTCAATATATTTATCTAAAGAAAAATGAGAGCGATTTCTTTATTAATTTTATACAAATTCCTATATTAACTCATGCTAATTTTAATATAAGAATATATTAAGATAATTATTTCACAAGTATTTGATATTTATTATGGAAGAGGAGATTGGCAATTTAGTTGACACTTTAAGCTTGCTTTATTCAACTCTCAAAGAGAAATCATTTACAGACTCTAAAGAAACACAAACTAATCCTGCCGATTACCAAAAATTGTCAATGATTCATATGATCCCAAAGCATGTCCTTCGAAAAATTTTCCTTTATTTAGATTTCATCACAGATATCCCTGCAATAACTGAGTCCTGCAAATATTTCAATAGTATAGTAATGTCTAGGCGTTTTCAGGTCAGCTTGTATACAATTCTCTCGAAAAGAAGCCCTAGAACAAGAGCATCTACTCTGCCACCATCACAATCTCAATCAGATTTTGAAGAATCCAAACAAAAGCCAGAAATTGAAATATCTTCTGGAGGAGACCCATTAATTTTACTTAAAAAGGCGAATATAGTAAAAAACTTTTTGGCAAATCAAATTTTACAACAAGAGAAAAAAATCGAAGAAATGAATAAAGAGATTGACAAGTTAAATGATGAGCTTCGCGTCCAAAAACAAATAAATAGCAAAACCATTGCTAAAATTGCATTAATCTCAGCACAATATGAAGCTGAAAAGAGCTCTTCAATTGATGCTCAAAGTACTATAGCTTCATTGTCAGAACAGCATAAAAATGAGCTTGAAAGCTTAAGGAATGAAATTGCAGCTTCAGACAAAGAAAAGCTAGAATTAAAGAGACATAAAAAAGTGTTGAGTGCTGAAGTAATTCGGCTGAGAGATGAGTATCAAGCTTCATTGAATAAACTTGGCCAATATAATGATGCTATTTCTAAGATGAAAAGCTATTTTGATGCTATGTTTTCTTCTAGGGTATCTCCAGTACTCAAACAAATAAAAGAACAAGAAAATATTTTGTAACTAAATTTATAGTAACATTACTTTTTGCATATTTTTGATATATTTTATAGTTGAGTTTTATAAAAAATTACAATAATTTAAATTAAACTTACAAGCCATCATCAATATTTTCCTCAGACCAAGGCATATAAGGGTTTGACTCTGATAAAGGCTGCTCTATCCATTTTCTACAGAAAAATAATACTAAAACTCCACACATAGCCATCAATGATATTACAAGTCAAACCATTCAGCATTGTCTTTCTCCATCTTCTGGGCAATATTCATTTAATAGCAGCCCACTAGCAAGTCCTGCAAACATATATCCAATTGATATAGGAAAATTCGAAATCGAAAAATAAGCTCCTTCTCTGCCTTTTGCTGCTGATTCCAAGGTATATTCAATAAGCCTTGGAAAATGAATACTTTCTCCAAATGAAGCACACAATACAAAAATAATCACCGTTGTATAGCTTGCTTCATATAATAAAACTAGTGGAGATAAAGCACTAATAGTGCAGCCTATCAATAAAAGTGTGTATTTATCTATATAATAGACTAGCATGGTCAGTGTCGGGCAAAAAATTAAAGACAAAAATTGATTTAAAGCAATGATATACCCAAATTGTGATCCAGATTTATGCTATCTGCATATAGTTATTATTCTCAGATAAAGCGATAATTTTTGTCGTCGTCTGTAAAAAATAACAAAAAATAAAAAAATTATTAAAAATAATTTTTTAAATAAGAATAATATCTCTTTCCATATATAAAGGTAGTGTAATTGTAAGATGCAAGTACACAGACCTTGCGCATGATACAGCAAAAGCTACAGCCATAACTCTTCAGAAGGATTTATATTGAAAACTTGCTGTTGCTGATTCCCAAACACTTTCACCATTTCATTTTATTTGAAGCTCCTGATTTCCTCTCATATTATAGTCTAGTTCTCTCAGAAAAAATGATAATACCAATGCTACCATCATTAGTCCTACAGCGATTCAAAAAAGGCTAATATAAGTCTCTTCTTCTTCATCACTACCTAAATTCAGCCCAAAACCTACAATAATTCCTGCAATTCCGCCACAGGCAAACACTAGAATGATAAAAATGGAAAAAGCTATACTTCTTGCGTGGGTGTTTGTATATTTTTTTATTCCAAGCTTAGATGCTGGGACATTTATGCTGAGAGGAATAGAAAAAAGGATCAGAATGGTTAGGATTTGGAGATTTGGGTCATTTAAATAGATTAAGAGGAGATAGGAAACTATGCCAGCTGTGCTTGAAATTATCATAGAAAATCGGATACCGAGACGGTCTGGGATTATGCCTAAAGTAAATGCATATAAACAAGACATTCCTCCAAGTCCTAAAGCATAAAGCCCATATTCTTTATCGGATAATCCTATTACTTTAGTCACATATATAGATCCGCATACAGTTAAAATGGAAAATCCACTGTATCCAATTATTTTTATCAAAAATAAATAAAATAAGTCAAATGGGGAGTGTAAAAGTTCAATAAAACTCAATTTAAATCTTTCTATTGGGGTTGGCTCGACATATTCTTCACATTTTAAAAGAGATAATTCAGATATTTGAATTTCATTTTCCATTTAATTTTAACGAAATTTTCATATTTCAAATTTTTAATTTTTAACAAAAAAATAAAATTATATTTTTATTTTAACCAATTTTAATAATTTAATATATTATCTTTAAAAATTTCACAATTTGCCTAATTTTCTATTAAAAATTTTGCAATTCCTATCAAATTTCTTAATATTTCATATAGCCCCACACAATTTTCTTCCGCTTATTTACTAGTGTATCCCATTCTAGATTTTGGCCATCTTTTAATCTCAGATATAATAAAAATGTTGGCTAGGAAACTTCGACTTGAGCATGTTCTTGAACAAATCCCAGGCAGACGTGTCCTCATTAGAGCCGACTTCAACGTTCCTCTAAAAGACGGCAGAGTCGCTGATGCTACCAGAATCGTTGCAACCCTTCCAACAATTAACAGAGTCCTTGAGCACAATCCGAAAAGTATAGTGTTAATGAGCCATTTAGGCAGACCAGATGGCCTTGTTGAGCCAAAATCCTCATTAAGACCAGTAGCAGCTGAGCTGGAGCGTCAATTAGGAAGACCTGTAACTTTTCTTCCTGACTGTGTTGGCGATGATGTCGTCAAAGAGTGCGCTGACCCAGCCCCAGGCACCATCATCTTACTTGAGAATCTTATTCTTTTATAAGAACCCGCTCATTTTTTCTCTATAAAAAGCCTCATTTTTATAAAAAAATATTATCTTTAATCTAGCTAGTAATTTTTTTGGTCTATTAAATAAGTATAGATTCCATCCTGAAGAAGAAGGAGCAGGAAAAGATGCCCAAGGCAACAAAGTGAAACCATCCAAAGAAGCAGTCGAAGCTTTCAGAGACTGCTTGACATCTCTTGGAGACATTTTTATCAACGACGCCTTTGGGACAGCCCACAGAGCTCACAGCTCGATGACTGGTATCAAGCTTCCAGTCCGTGCAGCTGGGCTCCTCATGGGAAAAGAGCTCGAATACTTCTCAAGAGCATTAGAAAATCCAGAAAGACCTCTATTGGTAATCATGGGAGGTGCCAAAGTTAAAGACAAAATCCAGCTCATCACCAACCTCTTAAACATCTGTGACGAAATGATCATTGGAGGAGGCATGGCTTTTACCTTCAAAAAAAGACTCGAAAACATGGAAATCGGAAATTCAATTTACGACCCTGAAGGAGCTGAAATTGTAGAAAGCATCATGAAAAAAGCCCAAGAAAAAGGCGTCCAGATCCATTTGCCGATTGATTTTGTGTGTGGAGATAAATTCCAAGAAGGCTGCAACGTCCAAACTACAGCTGGAGCAGTCCCAGAAGGATGGATTGGTATGGATATCGGCCCACAGTCAGCTGACCAGATGGCAGAAGCTATAAGAAGAGCTAAAACTGTTGTATGGAACGGGCCTCCTGGTGTATTTGAAAATTCTGCTTTTAGAGCTGGCTCTACACGATTTTTCAATGAAATTATTGAAGGAACTGCTACCAGAGGACTAGTCAGTATTGTAGGAGGTGGAGACACTGCAGCCTTTGTCCAGAGCATGGGAGCTGATGTAGCCAGAATTAGCCATATTAGCACTGGAGGTGGAGCGTCCTTAGAACTTATGGAAGGAAAAGAACTTCCTGGGGCGCTTTTCTTATCAGATGTCCAAGCTTAATTAATTAAAAAGCATTAACTAATAGACAAGAATTAACTTGTAAGGTCAGGAGCTCGGTCTTCTTCATAGAGATGCTTTTCTTGTTCATTGAGAAGACCCCAAAGCTCGGTGGCTTTTAAGACTATTTGTTTGTGTGTAAGAGAGGGGTCTTCTGAGAGAAATTCTGATTTTTTAGACTGGACAAATCGTTGGAATGGGGTTATTTTTTTCTTTATTTCAGGCTTGGGGGGTGATTTGGAAGGAGATTCCTCTGGCTTGGCAGGCTGGGGCAGAGTAGTTTGGATAGGTTGAGGTATTTCTGCAGGCTCTTTGGCTTCTGGAGATTTAACTTCGACAGGTTTTTGAGTATCTAAAGGATCTGTAGCCTCAGCTTTTGGTTCTTCGACTTTTTTAGGTTTTTTCTTGCCTTCAACCCTTTCACGTATTTTTTTAAGCGTTTCTTCGCTAACTGTTCTTGGAGCTTTTTGCTCTTCTATAACATTATTAATAGGCTGAACTTTTTCTTGTTCTTCATCTTTATGCACACTAGATCCTCTGGGTTTGATTTGAAAAGGCCCTACAGAAACAATAGGCAAATTTTCTTGTTTTTCTAGCTTTTGGACTTTTGGCTGATAAGATTTTAAAGAAAACATAGGTGGAGCTTTGGAATTCTGGTAGAACAGGTCACTTAAATTGTGAAAAACATATACTTGAGATTTAGAATTTCCAATAGCAAAAGTTAAATTTGGATATTAGTGGGAGAACACTGAAAATCACCTTTTTTGGCTTAAGGAAAACTAAAAATTGCATTGATTCTGGGTTCAAATGAAGAAAATAGAAGCCTGCTTCTTTGATTTCCGATCAGAACTACTCTCTAAGGCAGAGTCGCCATCTCTCTAGAAAATGCCTCTACAGTCTAGATAAAGAAAGACTCTTTAGAAAAATCTGTCTGAGCAGAACAAAAGCTTATTGAGGGAGAAATAGAAATTTCTTTTCGAGAAGGCATCCCAAATCCAATGGCTTGCAATGATATAATTAGCTAAAAATAGCATGAGTATGATTCTACCTGCTCCATAAGGAGTGCGCCTAAATTCCTTATTCCATCAATGTCACCATTTTATTTCTCCGAATAGCAAAGGAATCTAAATGTCGGCAATAGTGAATTGTTGAGGGTTCTCCATCTCGGTCAATTGACGATTTTCCTTTCCATTTGAAAAAATATTTCAGCTGGCTATCATCATATAAAATTTCACCCCAAACAACTTTATTATTAGAAAATCCTATTGCAATTGAATCATCATCGGCAAAAGTAGATATGCCTATTTATAATTTATTTAAACATTCCTACTGATAACTATTTACTTATTTTAAATAAAAAAATGCTTACATTTATTATAAATTATTATATACTTTGTAGCACTATTGGCATATTTCTATCAAAAATCGGTGGGATTTCAGTTGCTAAAAGCTGATAGCCACCTATAAAATCCCATACAAATAAAGTTCTATTAGTAGAATCCAGCCCCACCACAATGTTTCTCTGGTCATAAACAGCTAGCCCTGAGCATCTTCCATTAATTCCTGGCAAATCAACAACCCTTCTATCAGTTTTTGTTGAAAATGCTCTAACAGGTTTAATATTAGCTAGCATTGTAGATCTCACCGATAAATTATCAAATCCAGTTATAATGACTGAGTATTTGTGAGAGTAAACCATACTAGAAACTGCTGTAGGCGGATACCCTGAGTGAAACTCATCAATAATCTTCCCACTTTGAATATCCCACATAGTGACGTCGCCTGAAGAATGGCCAGCAATTAACAAGTTTCCAGGCCCTTCACACATAGCAGTTATTATCCCAGGCAGCAAAGCAAGAGGTTTTATTTCCTTGACGAAGCTTAATAAATTCGAATCCAAAATCACAAAAATTCCGATGTTCAGGGCAAGAATTATATCTATTTAAAGGAAATAATAATAAAAAATAGATTTTATTTACTACAAATTAAGGCTTCCTAGTATAAAAAGATTTTAGTCTATGCTAAAAGATATAGATTGTCATGACTGTAATAAGCAGACACAACGTAATTTGGGTGCTCTAAAATATATTGTTCACGCTGTGTGCCAGACTCGAGAATGTAGCTTGAAGCACCATGAGCATCTACTGCTATAATTATATTATCATTTGTAATGTAGGATAACAGTATTTTGCTTCTTTTAATTTGAGGAATATCAGAGGAAAGCTGAATTAATACCTGACAAGGCCTGTTCAGTACTGTATTTGCTGCACGAGGACGATGCTCCCCACATTGAGAGAAATCATGACTTTGCTCGTTTCCCATGTTGACAAATATAGCTATAATAAAAATAAGAAATAAATCTTTTTGAGAGTTTATTTTTGAGTGAAGAAAGAATAAGGAGATATTAAATATAAAAAGATTAGATATAAATATTATTAATAAATCCAATCAAGTAAGATTCAGATCGTCTGACTTCCCCCTTCCCTCAGCGAACAAAAATTTCATTCACTAATTTTTAAAAATTTTATAGAATTTTTTTTTCAAAATCTAAAAACTCATTATTCGCAAAAATTGGAAGGCGGAAATTAATTTATTTGTAAAATTTATGTTTCAAATTGAAAATTGTTTAAAATTTAACAGAATTAATTAGAAAATTCTTATAATAATACTCACTATATATCAAAAAATTTTTTTGGTCACTTGCAGAGGGCGGTTTTTTAAGCAAATAATAGAAAATTTTTCCAAATTGTTTGTTCGCCCATGGAAGGATGGGTGAGAGAAATAATGAATTATTGTAAGAAACTTGAAAAATATTTATTATAAATTTGGATAAATAATATTTTACAGTAAATTTATATGCATGCAATAGTTAAGAAAAAGAGATTTTCCTTACTTTTCTTAGAAGAAGGAGAAATCTATACAAGAGACTGCACAGGCTTTAGACAGCACCCAGATATGTTTCCTAACCCCACTCAAGAAAAAGGAAGAATTCATCTTTGCTCAAAGTCCTTAACTTAATTAAAATTATAGAGAAGCACCTGAAGGTGCAGTTCTCCACCTTGTATCGCTTAGCCGCTAGCTCCAATCTTTTCCTAGTACAGCTCCTCTCTGGGGTTTCCGTGGGGTCGCCATGACTACGCCTGACTTGGGTTGCTCTTCCAGAAAATTCGAAAAATAAATTTTTCTAGCCGTGTTGTCGACCAAGATGGAACTTGCAGCCCAGAATTCGTTTTCAAGTATCGTACAAAGAAAATTGCATGATTGGTTCTAAGGATCTTGCTGGGCCTACCCTTTCCAACTCCAAGAGTCTATCTCTCCCAAGATGTAAAAACTTTGCCTGGAATGAACTTGGTTGACTAATCTGGCATTGTGCTCCATCAAACCAAGTCAACCCTGGCAGATGCACATCACCGAACACCATCCTGCCTTCCAAAAGGTCCCTGGGTCACCCCAGCTACAGGTGTTAAGAGAGTGGGTAGCTTGCAGAGTTAATTTATATTCATCTTTGCTCAAAATCTTTAATTTTTGAGCCAGAAGATGCCAATTCTGCTATAATAAAGTATGCATTTATTGACATTGTAGACATCCCAGAAGAAGTATTAGCTCCAAGCAGTCTAATAAACCACACAGAAAGCGCAACCAGGCTTAATTTCCAAATCAAAAAAATAACATTTCTTCCTGATGCTAATTTTCCATCCCCATATAAGCCAAATCTACTAGAATCTCCACAAGAAGTATATTTTGATTTACTATATGAAAATATTACAACAATCATTAATTGGGTAAAAGATTTATATATTCTTTCAAGGCAAAATCAAAGCGTAGACCGAGATTTAATAATTACTGAATTGGTCTCTCAAAGAGAAAAAGGAGTTAGATTCGATTTAAGTAGGATTATGAGCTACACAGAAAATCCATTAGCACAAACAATTATGGCTAGAAGAATACACCCTATGACAAATTCTCCTGTACTGCTATATATTACTGATGCGTGCATATATATCCAAAGCATATATAGGATGTCCTCAAACCCAGTGAAGCATGTAAAGTATGCAGATATTTCTAAACTTTATAAAAGAAGATGGAAACTTCAAGAAATTGGATTAGAGTTCTTTACAGAAATGAAAAAATCAATGTTTTTAGCGTTCCAAACAGAAAATGAAAGAAATGAAATTTTTGATTTATTATCAGGTTTAGTGCCTTCGGCTTGTGAAACTGAAAACTCGTTAGATTTAATGCTAATGAAATGGCAAGCAAGGCAGATTTCTAATTATGACTACTTATTATATTTAAATTCTGCAGCTCATCGCACTTTTTCAGACTTCACTCAATATCCGGTATTCCCATGAATCATTTCAAATTACCAATCAGATGATCTCGACTTAGCCGATCCTTCCAATTTTCGAGATCTTTCGAAGCCAATTGGTGCCTTAAATCCATCAAGATTAGAAAACTATAAAAATAGATGCAAATACAGGTGAAGGTAAATAAAAACTCTGCGCTGTTTTCAACCCCCTCACAAAACTTATAAAATGACTGCAATTTTAAAAAAATTTTTTTATATGAAAAAGTAATTGGTGCTTTAAAACAGGAAAAAAATTGCATATAAAAAATCCATATTCTATCAGGACTAAACAAATTTAAGTAAAAAAGCTCAAGATGAGGTTGTATAATAAACAGTATATATTTTATAAAAAATAACAAACAATATCGCCTAAAAGAATGTAAGGGTGACATGATACACAATCATAGATTTTTGTCTTTTTACAATAAGATAAATAAAATGGCATTCGGTCTGAGAGAAATTAGCTTTGCTAATTTTCTTTCTCTCATGGAATTTTATTTATGGAGTTGAGTTTTACCTCGAGAACTTCTGCACAACAACAGCAGTTAACTTTTGAGATAACCAGAGGAACTGCTCCTCAGTACATCAATACGCTCAGGTTTTTACCCCTCAGCACATCCCCACGGGAGGATGGCCCTTAGGTGGAACACGCGCAGGAGCTGAGTTGGGGTAAGGGCGAAGGCAACGCTCCGGGTGGGATGTGCGACGACGAATGGCGGCGGAGCTTTGTAGAAAGCTTGTCCGGTGGGCTGACCACCGCGATTCCAAGATGGCTCGGTGACGTCACTAGTTTAGCTATAACCCTATTTAGGGTGCGGCACTAGACACCTTAAACACTAGGTAATTAAGTAAGTAAGTCTTTTACAATAAGAGGAAAAAAGCATACTGTAAAAAGAATAAAATGATAAAAGTGACTCAGAATAGTGAGTATTATAATCACAGACAATTGTCTTATAAAGTTAAAACATATTGTTTTGAAATAATGTTTATTACACAATTCCATCTTGAGCATTCTCTTCTTAAATTTGCTTAGTCTGGATAAATATAGTATTTTTTCCCTTACCATTTATTTTTTCACCCTTCTGTTTGGAAAAAATTCAAAAAGTGTCGTTTGCACTTTTTCACACCAAAATCCTATTTTTCAAAATTACAGTCAATTTTATAGGTTTTGGGAGGGATTGAAAAAAGTATAGAGTGTTTTATTTACCTCACCCTGCAAATACATGCCGGACCCAAAATTTCTCTATGGAACCCACTATTCATCCCCTGGCTATGTTGTTGGATTTTTATTCCGAAAATACCCAATTTATATGTTCAAATTAAACGTAATTTCAAAATAGGGCGGAAAATTCGATTCTCCCGACAGACTATTTTATGATATTTCTAATGAATGGAAAAGTGTGAACGAAAACCCATCAGATGTTAAAGAATTAATACCTGAATTTTTTTCTGACGACCCCAGTTTTCTTATTAATAGTCTAGGGCTAGATTTTGGCACAAAAATGAGTGGAGAAAAGGTATGAGATGTAAAACTTCCTCCATGAGCAAAAAATCCGAAGGATTTTTTATCAAAAATGAAAGATGCACTTGAATGTGAATTTGTGAGCGATAATCTCCACAAGTGGATTGATTTAATTTTTGGGTACAAGCAACGGGGAGATGAAGCATGAAAAGCTGGCAATGGTAAAGGCTAAATAGTTTTCCATCCTTATACTTATGAAGGGAATATTAATATCGATGAAGTTTCTGATCTAGTTGAAAGGAAATCCATCGAGCAGCAAATAAGCGAATTTGGCCAAACCCCCAAACAATTGTTTACTAACCCTCATCCTCAAAGAAACTCAAACACTAACATAATCCACACATTTTCTGAAGATACATTACTATGAAACTCCCATATAATTGCTAGTAAAACCAATGATGATGTATCTGAAATAACCTTGCATAAGAAAAGAATAAGCTCTATGGCTCATGATCCTTAATAGATACTTAATGTCCAACAACTAAAGCTCCTAGTCTATATAATAAATCAGGATAGAATCTTAAGCGTTAAAAGTACTCAATGACAACAACTAAATCTCCTATCAGATTTTTCTACACTTCACCAGAAAAGTGCACAGTTCTATTCTTTGTTAGTATTCAGATATATATATAAATTAGACAGTATTAATTAATGAAAAGATAATAGTGTCTTAAAAATAAGAATACTCTTTATAATTATTATGCGCATAAATTTAATTTCATTTACTTGGTTGAACCTAAATTCTATAGTAAACAGGAAAAATTAGGTAAGATTTTATTAGTGCCAGTCTATAAAGGCATCTTAAATTAAAAATTAATTTTTAGAATAAAGATATTTTTAGTTTGGCTCTTTTACTTGCCAAAATTTCTTTGACATGCCACTTTTAATTCCTAAAACTAGGCCTAAGCCATTTGCTGCGTGATTGCCAATTTTTAAACGGGCAAGAGAAGAACCATTTTAATTGCAACATATATCTCACATTTATTTCCCGTGCCTTTATGCTCATTATTAAAAATATTTTCGTAAACTATATTGAACTAGTTTAAAACGAATGATTTTTATATTTATATCCAAATATTTTCCCTTCCCTAGAGTAAAGGGTCTGGTTTAAGACGTGCAAGATATAAAGTCCATTATAATAGCTTTTTTTGATAATGGCGATCAATAAAGATTCATGAGCTATATAAATGAACTGAATAATCAAATAATAACCACAGGCCATGATGGATGCATAAAAGTACTTACCTTAAATCCTGTTAAAAAGAGATCATTCCCAATATGTGATTTAGCAATATCATGTAGTGCCATTATTAATGAAAAAAATATTGTTTCAGGATCATATGATAGCAAACTTTATGTATTTAATTTGTCTACAGGAAGAGTTGTAGATAAAATTTCAGCCCATTCAGATGCGATTTCATGCTGCTTGAATTATGAAGAACTGGGATTTATAGCTACTGGGTCTTGAGATTGCCATATTAACTTGTGGGATCTTAGGGATAGTGCAAATCCATTTGACACTTTTGAGAGCCATGAAGAAAGGATATCAGCTATGTGCAAAGATGTGATGGCTTTAAGGCCAGATTTAATGATTTCTGCAGATATTTTAGGAAAAATTGTAGTTAGGGATATAAGAAAAGGAGTTTTAGGAGTGATAGAGACTAATTCACAAATAAATGATATTATTTTTTACCTAAAATAAGATTTTTCTATTAATTAAAAAATTTTATGATAATTCTATATAAAAACTATATCAAATATAGCTTAAAAAATAACCATATTTTATCAGCAGACACAGAGGGTATCAAAGAATACGAAACACAAGGAAAATTGGTAAATTCTTTTGAGATTTCTGATGTTAATTGTTTTGATACTGATGGATCATTTTTAATTTGTGGAAGAAATGAAGAAGGGCTTGAATTATGAAATATTGAAGAAAAACAGATTGTTTCCAGTTGAAAAAGTATCTCGAAAGCCACTGCAATTCATATAGGCCATCACGGCGAAGAAATTTTTATCGGAAATGAACTTGGATTAATATATACTTTTTAATAGGAAAATTAGTTAATTTTATCTCAGCTTGTCAAGCATTTATTTCATATAATTTCTTAATTAAATCCAGATATGTGGTATGAGTTTTACATTTGATTTCTAAAACATTCCAGCCTATAAAATGTTTAACCCTCTTAGTCTGAGTTTTCTACATGAATTTCAAAGCCAGAGCTTTCCAGTTTAATTAAATCCCCATCTTTGACCTCAATTTCTGGAGAATTTTTTTGTTTATCCAAAGAGTTTGCATTGTGTAAATACCTAAAAATCCCATAGGCAGGCAATAAATCTTTGATTATCCAAATTCCTTGGTTGCATTTAGAAATAAAATAATGATATCAACAGAGTCTGCTGAAGAGGGAAATTGTTTTGTTCCCGAAGGTTCATTCATATCCCTGCCAGATGGGATAGGCAGGGACTAACAGGGCATCTTCAAGAGATGGTTCTAGCCTAGGGAGCTATCTTTTGGTCAAGTGGGTTTACGCCAGATAGGTAGCTAATGGTCTATCTTCTTATGGTCTTATATTTTAACTTTACCTTTTCTTGCATTTAATTTCAGCTTGGACTTTTCCTATCGAAAAGTCCTCTATACAAATTTTATTTTTTGGACCCCTGCCAATAGTCCCACCATCTCTACCTAGCATGATTGACTCCTTCATATGTGGCTCAATTTTTAGCTTAATTGACCTGTCTTGGTAGACCTCTTCAATAAATAAATTAGAATGCTGATCTCCAATCTTAAAAGATGCTCCTTTATATAAAATCGACGTTCTTATTTTAATTGACGCTTCATATCAAGGAGATACACTTTCAGACACAAAAAGTTTGTCATTTCTTGCTGTAAAAATCAATTCGTTAGTATCTGCATAACCAAGTTTTTCATCAGATTCCTCGCGACCCCCTATAGTTGTTAATCGTTTGCTTATAGTAATTGGTCTTATTGTTCCTTTTTGGTTGATAAGCAGCTCAAAGTTTGTATTAATTCTTGGGCTATTTTCGAGTTTTTCAATATTTGTAGGAGTAAAATTAGTTTGGGAGCTTTCAGGTATATTGGAGTTTGATGATTCTATCATTCTTGATTGAGATCATTGATTTTTATTTTGATTAATATAATTTGGGATATTCTGCATAAACGCTAGGTCAGGTGAAAAATATTCTTGAGCCAGCTTCTGAAAATTGGCTTTATTTTTTTTAACTTTCTCTATAAATTCCAGATCTCTTTGCATAATTTGTATAAATTTATAAGAAATGTGGGAAGAAAAGGCTTAAAATTAATATAGGTTAAAAGCGTGGAAAATTATAGAACAATTTATAAATGGAGCATATATAAATGAGGCTTAAAATTAGAGAAAGAATTAGCTTATTTCATTGTAGGGAAAGCTGTGGACAACTTATATTTTTCTGAGTTCTCTTCTTTCCATCTAGACGTAATTGTTTTGGCTATGCCAAATGATAGTGGATTTTTGATAGTTTACATTTTGTCGATTTTTTTTTTCGGTCAAATGTCTCATTATCAAAAGTTTCAGCCAATTTTCGACCAAAAATACATCGGTTAAATGCACCCCTCAAAAATGCACGATAATTGGACCTACACCCAATTGTTTTCCATTGAGTGAAGAAATTGATAGCTCCTTTTCCATAGAAGTTCAAGTCTCCTCTAAATGAGCCTTTATTCCCAGTAAAGCTGAACATAGGCAAAGGTACAGGAATAGGCACATTAATCCCGACTTGTCCAGCTTCAATTTCTCTTTGGAATTTCCTAGCGCTGCTTCCAGAGCTTGTAAATATAGAAGTCCCATTTCCATTAGGATTTCTATTGATTAATTCAATAGCCTCTTCCAATGTGTCTACAGTCATTATAGTCATAACAGGTCCAAAAATTTCTTCTTTATAGATTTTTTGGTTTACGTTTACATCAGCAAAAATAGTTGGTCCTACGAAATTTCCTTTTTCAAAGCCATTAACTTTGACTCCTCGGCCGTCTAATAATAGCTTGGCTCCTTCAGAGACTCCACTTGCAATTAAAGATTCAACTCTTTCTTTAAGACCAGCTGCATTTAAAGGTCCTACATCAGTTTTTGGGTCATTTCCAGGGCCGACTTTAAGTGTTTTAGATTTAGCTACTAAATCAGGGATCCAAGATTTAGTTTCTCCAACAAGAACAATGACGCTGAGTGCCATACATCTTTGTCCTGTCGCTCCAAAAACGCTGCTTACTAGTGCATTAATAGCGTCTTCTTTATCTGCATCAGGCAGCACAATGACGTGATTTTTCGCACCCATATTAGACTGGACTCTTTTGCCATAATGTGAGCCTTGTTGGTGGATATAAGTTCCTGCGTCGTTTCCTCCTACAAAGGAAATTGCTTTAATGTCAGGGTGTTTGCAGATCATGTCAACTGTGTCTTTTCCTCCGTGGACAATATTGAGAACACCATGAGGGAAACCAGCTTCTAAGAAAAGTTCGCCCATTTTTTCACAGGTGGTTGCTACTTTTTCTGATGGTTTTAATACATAGGTATTTCCACATGCAGCAGCTACTGGGTACATCCAGAGAGGAATCATAGCAGGGAAATTGAATGGAGTGATTCCTGCACAGACGCCTAATGGGTGTCTATATGAATAAGTGTCAAGGTCTTTTGCGAGATTTTCCATAGATTCACCTTGTAGTAAAGAGCCAAAGGACAGGGTGTGCTCGACTACTTCTATACCTCGGATGACGTCTCCTCGGGAATCAGCCAGGACTTTGCCATTTTCTCGTGTAATTATACCTGCTAGGTTTTCTAGGTTAGCGTTTAAGAGGTCTAAATATTTTCTCATATATCTGAGCCGGGTTAAGACAGGGACGTTTCGCCAGGTTTTGAAGGTTTCTTTGGCACTGGAGACGGCTTGGTCGAACTCGGACTGGGTGCATTGTGGAACTCTTGCGACAACTTCTTGGGTTGCTGGGTCTTTGACGTCAAACCATTTGCTGGCTTTAGAGCTGACCCATTTGTCTTTGATTAAAAGCTTGTTTTCAATGACGGAAGCGAATGATCTGCGTAGCACCGACATTAAACTTTTATAAATGTGGATGGATTAAATAAGTGGAAGATAATGGAGATAATTATATAGGAACTTGTAATTTCTTGCGATCATTTGTAATACAATCATTAAATGTTTATTGATTGCTTAATTATTGCAGAGAGGAAAATTTTCTATCTTAATAATTAGTAATTTTTGAATAATTCAAGTTCTTATTTCCTCAGATAATAGCTGGTCAAGCACAGGTAGCAACCCTACACCCCCACCCCCCCTTTTTAATGGTACCCCCCACCCCCCCTTTTAGTGGCACCCCCACCCCCCTTTCACAGATGGCACCCCCACCCCCCCTTAATATAGTATAGATATATCACAAATGCTAATTTAGAGCAGGCGTAATAAATAAATTATTATTTTAGATATTAAAAATTACTGATTTATACAATATCATATATCGTAGCGCAATCGATTAAGGAGTAGTGAAAATTTCCTATAACTACTAACTCCCCCCCCCCCCCCTCCGTGAGCGAACAAAACCATTAGAAAAATCGCCATTTTTTGACCAAAAACCCACCCTCCGTGAGTGAACAAAAATATTTTTAATAGAAAAAAATTTTTAATAGAAAAAAATTTTTGCTATATAAGTGATAATTACTATAATGAAATCTAGAGCTAATTCTGTTTAATTTTAAACAAATTGCGTTTTAAAACATAAATTTTGCAAATTAAATTAATATTTGCTTCCCAATTTTTGCAAATTAGGATTTTTTTTAAATTTCGAAAAAAATATTTTTTATAAAATTTATATATAAATTGTTTTTAAAAAAAAAAATTAAACCCCCCTCCGTGAGTGAACAAAATTTTTTTGTTCGCTCACGGAGGGGGGGGGGGGGGAGTAAGAACCCCGCATCTGAAGAAATTTGCTGACAAGCATAATGATCTTTGGTATTAATTAGCAGTATATCCTGTATATATTTATGAACTTTGTGGAACAATGGCTAAAGAGTCCATTTAGAGATCTAAAAGTAAAACTGACAATAGCAAATACTATTTTTATTAGCACATTGCTTTTCAAATGAAAGAGATGTTCTATATAAGTTAGGCAGTAGAGGATAAGATATGGAATGCTATAAATAAGCTATCAGAGTTGATCCAAATTATGCTGATGCATACAATAGCATAGGAGTTATCTTCTATAAAGAAAAGAGTTATGAAAAAAACACTAAAACATTGTAACGATGCAATTAAAAAATCCAAACTGTGGAGATTATTATTATAATAAAGGAAATGCTCTTACTCCCCCCTCTTTAAATTGGAACAAAATATAGGTAAAATTTCCACTTTTTTGGTAAATTAACCCCCTTTAAATTGAAACAAAATTTAATTTTATAATAAAAAATTATAATAATTTTTTATGTAAAAGGTTTTGATATAAGTTAAATGTTTTTTTCTTAACTAAAATCAAAAATTTAGTTATATCTTGTTCTTGTTTAAAGAAGAGAGTATAAAGATCATCTTATTTAAATAAATTTATTATCCTTAATTGCTAAATTTTAAAAAACATTAATTGTTTTTTTAAAAATTTTTCAAAAAAATTTTTATTCTTTTTTGATAAAAATGATATTTTTTTATTTAAATAGTTTTGATATAAATTCAATAGGAATTTCTTTATAAATTTTAAAAATTTACTAATTTGTTGCTTTATTTTAAAAGAATAGAGTATAAATAGCATATTATAAATTTTCTAAAATTTTTTGTTTTAAATTTTTTTTTTATCAATAAAAATAATAATTTTTGTGTAAATAGTTTTGATACCAATTAATAGTGGCGTATTAACTAATAATAAAAAAATTTAGTTATATCTTGCTTTGTTTTAAAAGATAAAGAGTAAATAGCATTTTATTAAACAAATTTATTAATCTAATTCGATAAGTTTTTGAATTTTTATATAAATTGTTTTTATAAACAAATTTTATATTGATATTTTTTTTTAAAAAAAAAATTAACCCCCCTTTAAATTGGAACAAAATTTTTTGTTCCAATTTAAATGGGGGGAGTTAGATAGTTAGGAAGAAGAGAAGAAGCTTTGGAATGCTATAAAAAACAATCAAAAAGAATAATGGCAACTCAAGATGTGATATAGGCATGGTATGTAAGAAAATATGAATATAATTAATACTTGAATTCGCAAAAATTTTATTTTATGAATTGATTACTTTTAAACCTACTATTTAAGCTAATTATCCATCTTCTGCATATCCTGCATTAGCTCATATTACATCCATCTTGAAGTTACCTACACTGTATTCATCTTCGCTGCACTCTGTAGTTATTGTATTGTGCTTGATTCATTTAATAATTACTGACATTATCAATATCTTTGGCATTGTATTTATAAATATAAAAAAACAAATTTAATATATTTCCTAATTATTTTTTAATTAATTTGAAATTTATTAATTAATCGTAATTATTAAAGCAATTTATAGACTCCATTTATCAATATAGCGCTTTAATTGGATTATATTTAAAATATTCTTTTTGAGGGAGGGGGTGGGGGTGCCATCTGTGAAGGTGGGGGTGGGGGTGTAGGGTTGCTACCTATGCTTGACCAAATAGCTAATGCAATTATATAAAATTTAGGAAGATATAACTAAAATATATTTAATTATTGAAGTCATAATTAAAAAATATCGTTAGTTTCATGTTTTTGAGCATTGCAACCTACATGTGGAATGTTTTCCACGTGTGAAAAGATGATTCCACATGTGAAGAATCATCTTTTCACACGTGGAAAAGATTCAACATGTAGGTTGCAATGCTCAAAAACAAGCAACTAATGATAGTTTTCAAAAGATTAAGAGCTAGAATAAATGCATAATTACGTAGAATAGTAGGAAAATATAAAGATAATTACAACTGATGATTTTTTGATATCATTTTTCAAATCCAAATATTATTTCAGACCATTAAAAACGGCTGAAAAACTGAAAGTGCATTCTATTTTTCTAAAATTGACTTGAGAAATTAAAATAAAATGAGATAATAATGATAAGGAAATTTAAACTTTTCTGAGTTTAAAAAATTTTCAGCGATTTTGATTACTGCATGTTTTAATGGAGCTTTTAGAAATTAATAATTAACTTGATCAAACTTATTTATGATGAATTACCTAAATTGAGCTCTCCAAATAAGCCAAGTTTTTATGACTTATCCTTCACATTGCTCATAGCAATTCATAGTTCTCTTTTACCTCCCACATCCACCTCTTGGCCGTTCATAGCTATTATTGCCTTGAGAGTTAGGATAATCGTCTTTCTCTTCTTTATCACAACAAAAAATCTTCCTGATAAAACTTATGATTACTCAACACATTTTTATTATAAATTTATTTACTATTGAAAACATAAATGAAAAATACCTAAATTGCAATAGACAATTACTTAGTCCCCCCCGTGAGTGAACAAAACCATTAGAAAAATCGCTATTTTTTGCCCAAAAACCCCCCCCCTTCGTGAGTGAACAAAAATTTTTTAATAGAAAAATTTTTATGGAAAAAAATTTTGATATATAAATGATAATTAGTATAATGAAATATAGAGCTAATTCTGTTTAATTTTAAACAAGTTGCTTTTTAAAACATAAATTTTGCAAATTGAATTAATATTTGCTTTCAAATTTTTGCGAATTAGGATTTTTTTAAATTTCGAAAAAAACTATTTTTTATAAAATTGAAATATAAATTTTTTTAAAAAAAAAAATTAACCGTGAATGAACAAAATTTTTTTGTTCACTCACGGAGGGGGGGGGAGTTAGTTATACCTATTTAATATAAATGAAAACATTCATATTGATGAGTAGCTTCCTGTTTACTATATAAATATGATAAAGGCAGCTAGTAAGATGTTTATATTCTCATAAATTTCATTATAAAATGGACGTGATTTTTTTTATATTTAAAGCAGGCATAAATTATATTTACAATTATTTTAAACGAAAAATTATATAAGTTTAGTAATAAAAGCAATCCATCATTAATCACATAATTTACCAAAAACATTTTACGAAAAAATTAATTACAATGGTTACTCTTGATTTTTAATTTTTTAGATATATTCTTGAATATCTCTATACATAAAAGAATATTGCTAACTTATTTTTTCTTAAATTGCTGTACATAATTTTCCTATATAATTTTTACCATCATATATCTTCTTATTCTAATTTTAATTGCTTCATTTTTCGTCATATGAACCGGCAATTTTTTGCCATTGCTAAATTTCAATGGATCCGCTTTATATTCGATCAATAAATTTATCAGTCTTTCACTTCCAATTTTTGCAGCCAAATGCATAGGAGTTCTATGGCACTATATAAAATTTACATAATCTGAGCTATTTACATATGCTTTATTGCTCAACAGAAACCTAGCCAAATTTACATAATTTCGTATGCAGGCTCAATGGAGCCCAGTCATTCCCATAGAATCAAAAACATGCAGTATATGCTTGTCTTCAGCAACCATTGCCATGGCTTTGATTTCATCACCTTCTTTGCATGCTTGAATAAACTCTTTAGCGCCAGGTCTATGATATGGCTCTTTTGGGATGATTTTGTTCATCCTCCAAATATCATCTGCGCTTAATTTGAGATTTTTCATTTCTCTCACTCCCCCCCCCCCCCTCCGTGAGCGAACAAAACCATTAGAAAAATCGCTATTTTTTGACCAAAAACCCACCCTCCGTGAGTGAACAAAAATTTTTTAATAGAAAAAATTTTAATGGAAAAAAATTTTGATATATAAATGATAATTAGTATAATGAAATCTAGAGCTAATTCTGTTTAATTTTAAACAAATTGCGTTTTAAAACATAAATTTTGCAAATTAAATTAATATTTGCTTCCCAATTTTTGCAAATTAGGATTTTTTTAAATTTCGAAAAAAATATTTTTTATAAAAATTTATATATAAATTTTTTTTTAAAAAAAAAAATTAACCCCCCTCCGTGAGCGAACAAAATTTTTTTGTTCGCTCACGGAGGGGGGGGGGGGGAGTCAGACTTTTTTTGAGGCTTGCAATATATTTTTTTTGTGGCTTATTCTTATGGAAAGTTTTTAAATGTTGTGTATACTTTTGTGAATTTATAGATACAAGCTGAATTTCCTCAAATACCTGAGGAACAATATCTTTGGTTTTTTCTGAAGGAGGAGATCAGTCAGGACCTGATATTAATTGAAATTTTGATCGAGGGATTGTAAAAGTCCCTGCAAATTTACTGGTAAACTTGCCTTCTGTTTGGTTATATTTATTTTCAAAGCTATTTTCTTCTATATTTGGCTCATTATCAATGGTAGGATTTTTACGATGGGCAATTATACGACTAATTTCAAATTGGACTTTGGAGGAAACGGAACTTTGGCTTGTAGGGGATGGGGATTTAGAAAATTTTCAGAGCTTAGGTGTTTGAACTTGGAAGGAAATAAGAGGACTGTGAACTGAGTGTCGCCGTGGGAAAAGCTCTGCACTGAGGCGGCCTGACGGAGATTGCTTGCATTCTTTGAGCATTTCAAGGCAAGATGAGTTTCGTCGCATTATAAAATTAATATTGAAAATGGCAGTGATGTATTTATTATGTATAGATTAGTAATTTTTTCGGGTATAAATATAAAAAACCAAATTTTGTTAATATTTTATGCTTTATTCTTTAACACTTTTAAAATTGCTTTATTCATTTTTTGAACTTCCAGCACATTTGCTTTTTTAACCATTTTTTGAGGAAAAGACCCTCCAAAGTCGATTTTTATAACATTGAAAACTTTAGACTTATTTCCTTCTTCGTCTTCTTCGATTGGCTGTACATAATATCCTGTTAAAAAAAGTATCATTCTTACCATATCTTTTGTAGCTGGGTAATCAGGATGCTCACAGGATTTGCTGACAATAAGCATCCCATCGTCTAGGTGAAATAATTTTGACTCAGAAACAATGTCTCTTTGAGAAACCACGGGGTGTTTTTTCAATTTTGTATGAGTCATTGCATACCCATCATTATCCTTTGAAATTATTCTGCTTTTTACTGAGTTTATCAGTTTATCTCCTTAAATAAAATGATAAGGAGACAGCTTTGCAAAGGTTATCATTATTAATTTAATTAATTATAGCTTGATTTCTTGGATATGAGGATCCCATTTGACTCTTTCGTCTAAATTTAAAAATAGTCCAAGGTATTCAGAAGGTGTATAAGGGATTTTCCATTGGGATTTCAAAATAAATCCTCTTTCAAGGTCTTTTCCATAAATTGTGTAACCATCCTTGTTATGTAGTTCTTCACAGTCATCGTGACTCATTGGGGAATTTGCATAGGCTAAGAACTCTTTTTTAGCTTCTTCTATTGCGACATGTAGGATATTCGTATTTTCCTGACTCCCCCCTTTAAATTGGAACAAAATATAGGGAAAAATTCCACTTTTTTGGTAAATTAACCCCACTGAACAAAATTTTTTGCTCCAATTTAAAGGGGGGGGAGTGAGGCTTTTCTAACACTGAAAGATTATTGTGCTGAGTTTCAGGCCTTAAAGGTTCTTCATGACTTTTGATATCAAGTAGCTCTACAACTGTAGAGTCATTTGAGGTTGGGATATTTTCATATTCAATATTGTCTCTTGAAGGATCAAAGCATTTCAAACAGAGATTAGAAACTTGAGAGCCCATCTTGATATATTTATACTAACTCCCCCCCCTTTAAATTGGAACAAAATATAGGTAAAATTTCCACTTTTTTGGTAAATTAACCCCCCTTTAAATTGGAACAAAATTTAATTTTATAATAAAAAAATTTTATATATATAAATCATAATTTTTATGTAAAACGTTTTGATATAATTTAAATGTTTTTTCTTAACTAAAATTAAAAATTTAGTTATATCCTGCTCTTTTTTTAGGAATAGAGTATAAAGAGCATCTTATTTAAATAAATTTATTATCCTTAATTGTAAATTTTTAAAAAAATTTAATTTTTTTTTGTTTTTAAAAAATTTTCAAAAAAAATTTTTCAAAAAAAATCTTATTTTTTTGATAAAAAATGATATTTTTTATTTAAATAGCTTTGATATAAATTCAATACGAATTCTTTAAAACATTTCAAAATTTACTTATCTCTTGCTTTATTTTAAAGAATAGAGTATAAATAACATCTTATTTAAACAAAATTAGCACTGTGATTAATAAATTTTCTAAATTTTTTTTTTTAATTTTTTTTATAAATAAAAATAATAATTTTTGTGTAAATAGTTTTGATACCAATTAATAGTGGCATATTTAATTAATAATAAAATTTTAGTTATATCTTTCTTTTGTTTTAAAGGATAAAGAGTAATTAGCATTTTATTAAACAAATTTATTAATCTAATTCGATAAATTTTTGATTTTTTTTTTTATAAAAAATTTTATAATGATATTTTTTTTAAAAAGAATTTCTTAACCCCCCTTTAAATTGGAACAAAATTTTTAGTTCCAATTTAAAGGGGGGAGTAATAATAAACGGCTTTAAAACAAGACTATTAAAATTTATCAAGTTTTTATTTTATATGTGTTTTGCTTTACATGAAGATATAGCAACTTTGCCGCGAAAAATAATTCCACACCATTGAAGTTAAAAATATGGACACTGAGCTACTCATGTTTAAAAGCTTATTTATCTTGTAAATTTATGCGTTTTATCTTCAATTCCCTATAATTTTAGATTCTCATTTTTTATATTTTATCTAATACAAGTTAAATATTTTCCCAAAACCAAAAAAATTAAATGAAATCTCTTATAAATGACTTATTTTTTCAATTAATCTAAATTTATATGACACAAATAATCTTGTACTTCTTGTGACCTTACCACGATTTTTTCAGGCAAAAGTAGCAGCATCGACCTTGATAGCTTCCTTCTCCTTTCCTGCCTTGCCAATGCTTTTCTAAAAATAAGGATATAATAAAAGAAAGTTGTTATACAAAAAAATATCAGCACCCACTGCCTGACTAAATAATAAGCGTCCAAAGTATTATGAAAATAATCCAGCACATTGTTTTGGACACCTTTTCCCATAAGCCACAAGAACTTATATTCTAGCTGGAGAGTTCTTAATAAATCATAATCCAAAGCTTCTCATCTTTCTTCTATAGTAGAATCTATCATATCTATATATGTTTTTTTAGCTAAAAATTCTGAGTCAAAAATAAAAGTCATAATAGATTCCCTGTAGCCTGAATTAAGAATGTCATCTAAAGCGCTACAGTCCAGCCCTGAAACTAACGATTCACAGCTATCCACAAATAAATCATTATAAAAATCACTTCTAGATAAAGAGTAAATATCTTTATAAGGCATATTCATGGTGTTATTCCCTACAAGTAAAGCTTCCATGAAGTTTCTTAAATTATCAGTTTCATTTAAAAATTCTTTTGAAGCATAATCAATTGATAAATAAGCGTTTGGATATGTCCCATTTAGTTCTGTGATATTATCATAGCCTTGCATAGTTGACATCACAATGTTAATAAGGAAAAGATTGCTTCTAGTTAGCAGAATATCCATTGTCCCAAAATATTTCACAATTCTGACCCCATGCTCTAATAAATTAAGAGGGATTAACTCCCCTACCCAAAGCTGGAAAACCAGCACATATATAAGCGAAATTATGCAAAACAGCCAAATACTTCTCATAAGCCCATTTGTGAAAATTAATTTCAGCCTTGAAATGCATCTTTTATTATGAGCTATCAGTTTATGTCTTTTATCTGTAAAAGATCCGAGTTCAGCTTTTTTTATATCAGAAAAAACAATTTCATTTCATAATTCTTCTCCAGCTCTATATTGTGATCTGCAGTCTGGGTATGATTTATCTTTTCTCATACTTAATTTATTGATAGTGTCTTCTTCTAAATAAGATACTAATTTTTGATTTATGCTGAAAAATACGCCGACCACTTCTAAATGAATTCTTTCTGATTTAAAAAATAAAGGCAGCACAAATAGCAATAAAATGAAAACAAGCATAACTTCTGCCAATGCGAATCAGACTCCAAATAATAAGGTATTTTCTCGGTCATCATAAGCTTTATCGTTGTATTTGTCAGCTAAATAGTCAAGAGCGGTGGCAATAGAAGTCATACCGTTTTCGAAAACCCAGTAAGATGTAGGGTTTGTTTCTACATCTCAATCGTTAAGGTCTGATTTTATTAGTTTTTTTGTAAATGTGACTTGTTGCATTATGCTATTTATAGGGTTGAAGTTGTCAATATAGTAGCCTTTAGCTGTGTCGTAGCTTAGACAATTGATTTCAGAGTTTTGAAGCCAGGTAAAACTTACATGGTTGCTCATGTCTGAGGCTAAATTGCTTAGGTTTAAAGCTGCATAGCTTGCTTGAGTTATTATTGAATTAGTATCTTCTGGCATTTTTAGGCCTCTTTGGTTAGCATCAAGAAGCCTAACAAAAAAGGATAATAAAACACTATAATTTTGTATATCAGTTAAACTGCTCATATAATCTAACCTATCAGTATAAGTATCAAATGAAACCTCCACAATATAAAAATTCACACTGAAAACAACTATCATAAATACCCCAAAAAGCAAAAAATATAAATTAAGCCTGTTCAGCTCTGGAGAAAAGCCTCGGTTTTTTTCTTCTATTTGTTTCCTAAGCGACATCAATATCTTTTTTGTGCTTTTTAAACCATTTTCTGTGCTCTCAGGGTTTACCACAGCTGATTCAATCCTGGTATTTCTCCTCATAAGTGCAGATTCTATTACTCTTGAAAAATGAGCTAAAAATAAATTAGTTGATTTTGAGTAGGGCGGCGCTTCTGTCATATTACACTATTTGCAATAAATCTGATCACTAATACTATCAGCACTATCCTATTTTTATATAATAAATATGATATCGTTAATCTTCATTCATATTTATATTTGTTCTCCATCCTATAATAATATAAAATACATTTTTTTCTATACAATGCTCAGAAATATTAAAAACCACTTTTAAATATCTCCCATTAGGAGTCAATACAAAGGACTGTACAGGTTCATAGTCTAAATGCCTCCCAGTTCTCGTTTTAATTTTTATTTTAGACCTTTCAAATATCATTTTAAAGTTCGCAATGATTTCTGAAATATCTTTGTGCCCATGCAAATCAGGGATCACCCCGAAGTAAAAATGGGCTTGTCGATTGAAATAAATTATTTTCATGTCTGAATTGATGATTAATAAAGCGACGTCATCGTCACTTATAGAAAATTGGCAGGCTAGCTTGTTGGCAAGATCAGGGAACATAGGCCGCTGGTAATAGGCGATTGCGTCAGCAGTGTTTCCAAGCTTGGAGTCGTCTTGTAAAAGATTGCTGTTGTTAGTAGTGTCATCGTCTTTTAGCAAGTCTTTTGTGACCATACTTTTTCGTCTGTTTATTAGGTCATCATTGGCTATAATAAGCTTGCATGGGGCTGATACTATGTAGCCATCTTTATCAATGAAATATACGTCATCAGGAGAAATTTCGTTTAAGTCTTCCCAATAGTCTTGGAAGGCGTCAATTCTTGCTAAAAAGTCTCTACCGAACGGATCTGGCATAAATCTGATTATGTTTTGGTTTATTAATAAAGCTTTAGGGTACTGTAGCCACAATAGGAAGCTTGAGTTAACTTTTTCAATCAGCCCAATTGCATGGCCTGAGCATGTGATTTCTACTTCAGGGTTGATTAAAAATATATCTTTTGATACTACTTTGACTGAATCCTGGGCTCTAATATCATGAACCCTATTTCTCAAATTTCTGACCTCCAAATCGTCTCTATGCATTAAATCCTGCAAAAAATACACATACATTGGCAGCATTTTCTTATTTGTCCTATCTACATTCATCAAATACTGATAATGACTATACGCCGTATCAAAATTCTTCGTGATCGTCTTCGCAAGCCTCGTCAAGTTATCAAAGCTTGGTGCTTTATTTTTTCCAAGCTCCCTCCAAAACTCAGTCTGCGCCGACAATGACTGTACTTCTGCAATATGGGCTGATTCCAAATAGCTCGCAAAAGTGACCATTGTGATTGCGTCTTTTCCGACGTGTTGCCTTGTTTTATAAATAATAAACTGTTCATCAAGCTTTGGGCTTCTTTCTTCAGCTTGCTCTAGCTTTGGTATGGCTTCTTGGCGGTTTTTATAAGTTAAATGGAATTGTGCGACAAAGATCTTTAAAATGCTTGATTTCGGGAACTTTCTTTCAGCTTGATAATAAAATTCTTCAATTTCGTCTAAAAGCTGGGTGTCTTTGGTCTTATAAGACCCCACTCTGTCTAGTATCATAAATCTTGTATGAAGCTCGACCTCATAAGGATTCCTGATAGTATTTATAGTTTTATTTAATAGCACTCGACGTCTCCAATTGCAAGCTTCACCAATTAAAATCCACCAACACGGGATCCCAATATAAAACATTGTTACTGGGGCTGGATCTTCATGGTTGTCAATAATCAGAGCTATTGCTAACTCCCCCCCCTCCGTGAGTGAACAAAACCATTAGAAAAATCGCTATTTTTTGCCCAAAAAAACCCACCCTCCGTGAGTGAACAAAAATTTTTTTAATAGAAAAATTTTTTATGAAAAAAAAATTTGATATATAAATGATAATTAGTATAATGAAATATAGAGCTAATTCTGTTTAATTTTAAACGAATTGCTTTTTAACATAAATTTTATAAATTAAATTAATATTTGCTTTCCAATTTTTGCGAATTAGGATTTTTTTAAATTTCGAAAAAAATATTTTTTATAAAATTGAAATATAAATTTTTTTAAAAAAAAAAAAATTAACCCCCCTCCGTGAGTGAACAAAATTTTTTTGTTCACTCACGGAGGGGGGGGAGTAAACAAATGCCTGCCCAAGTGAAAATTGCCAAAAACCGAGTTTGGATAACACAAGTCCGATAATCGTAAAAGGGCATATAATAGAGATACAGATAAGTAATTGTGATACCAGACACCAAAAGGATGATATCAAGCATCCAATAGTATTCTTTTTCGTAATAAAAATTAAAAAAGAAAATAATTGCTGCTTTGGTTACCAAAAATAAGAGCTCGACCCTTGCATGTGGGCGTGCAGCTATAGAAGTTTCTTTTCAATAGCGCGATAAGGCGCATTCCTAGGTTTTACCGGATGATCTTAAACATATGAAAACTTGCTATTCTTTATTCATGGGGGAGAAAAATAGCCTAAATAAAGAATTCTGCCTGATCAATCTCGAGAACTTGAAGAGAGGCTGTGAGAAAAATTTACATTTTGGTTCGTCAAATGAATCTGACGAGCCAATTCTGGCCAGTACTTGAAATGAAAAATGGTAGTTGCCAGAATTTTATTAATTTTTTGATGGCGAGTATGATCAGAATTTTAATAAATGGCACAGGATCAGACAACTTATTCCTTTCAAACCGATCTAATAATTCCTTTGGTAATAATTACAACTGCTTTATAAAAGCCAAAGTTTGTGCTAAGCGCTTGCTCTTCTTTACGAAGTTACTAATGACTCATATGGTTTTCGTTAGAAAATTAAAATGGAGTTAATAATTAAAAACTTGTTGATCGAGTTGTGTTTTTGCGGAAGGATAGATTTCTAAATAAATGATGCCGATTTAATTATGAATAACTGCTTTATAAAAGCCAAGTTTGTGCTAAGCGCTTGTTGCTCTTTACGAACTTTACTAATGATATTAAAATTTTATATTCTTATAATATTTTTAAATTTTTTTCAAATGTTAAAAAATAAAATTTTAAAATAATTATATCAATATAAATAAATGTTTTATAAAAAATTTTTATAAAATAAAATAATAATTTTTCAAAATTTATTATATCTTTTATAAAATGGGACTTTAATTTTAACAATATTTTTTAAGTGGGCTGTCTGATCCTGTGCCATTTATTAAATTCTGATCATAATTGCCATCAGAAAATTGATAAAATTCTGGCAACTATCATTTATAATTTCAAGTACCGGCCAGAATTGGCTCGCCAGATCCATTTGACGAACCAAAAGTGTAAATTTGCAAATAGCTTCTCTTTAAGTTCTCGAGATTGATCAGCCAGAACTCTTTATTTTCACTGTATGACTCTTTTACAAAGAAGGAACATCAAATTTTCATGTTCCAAAGACCTTTTAGTCAAACCAGGAAGCACGCCTTATCGCGCTATTGAAGAGAAAGTTCTATACGTCTTCACTTGTGTATTCTAATTCATAAAAACTTGCAGCGACTATAAGACTTAATAGTCCAAATATGATTGAAATTATTGTAGATGAGGCTATAAGCAGCCAGCTTTGCTCTTTCGGGCATCCTTCAAAATCCATTGCGCCTACAGCGCAGCTTAAAATGATAATAAAAAGTGTCTGAAATGGCAAATACAATAATGTCGTCATAAGTGAGGAAACCGATCTGAGGGTTTTTAGTAAAACGACATTTTGGACTTTTTTATTGATAAATCGGTATCCAACAATTCCAAAATTAAGCAAATTTGCAAAGACAAAAAACATGCAGCACAAATATATTATTAAATTTTGTAAGGCATTTTCTTCTGATATATAGAACTCAAATTTTATGTAATAACAGATCTCTGCAAACAGCTCTGAATATTCTTTATTTCAAGGGAACTCGGCTCGGTCATTAAATGGGAAGGAGAGTATCTGAAGAGTGTCTATAAGCATCCCCAATAGATTCATTTTGAATGACACCCTGCTGTCCTTTGCCATCACAAATAAGGTTCCCATAAGTGCTGACTTGAGACCTCTCCACATACGTTGAAAGATGTTTGTTTTATGTTCTTCAGCTTCAGATAATTTTTCATCCTCGACTTCAAGTTCTTTGTTGTCCATTTTTTGATTAATAAAGTTAAGTTTTTATACTTGAATTACCAGAAAATGTATATAAAGTCTACAGGCAAAAAATCGGCTTAATAATATTACTCTTACCTAGTTTTTTAAATAATGAATTTGAAGCCATAATAAATTATTTTTTAACTGTTATATAAGGTCTTGGTGGAATAGTTTTTCTCGCCTCAGCAAGTTTTACCATTAAAGTGCCCCAAATAAGGTGATATTGAATAGTATCATCAGCTTCTTTTCTTGCCATTTCCCAAAAATGAATATTATTAAGCAAAACATTATCTATAGCTACCCTTTCCACTTCTTCAGTCACTTGATGATTCAGATATGCATAAATATTTTTTAGCCCATTTTCATTCCCAAGATTTTTAAGTTCTATTCTTTTATATTCAGAAAATCGGGCATCTCGATCTTTTATAAGATCTTTAATGGCATTAAGCTCGTCATAAAAGTAACTAAAATGCATGCCAAAATATTCTTTAACATTTTTGGCTTTCTCAAGATGCTGAGCTGATAGATCGAGTAATGATTTTTGGATAGAGGAATAGGCCTCTTTGTTAGGTTTATTGCAAGGTAAAATGTCTTGGATAGCTTCCATTTGTTTGATGAGCTCGTTATAGCTGTTTAGAGATTCAGAAACTTGGATAAGGCTGTTTCTGAGGTTCAGCTCTTGTTTTTTGAGTCGCTTTTTTAGGGCTTCTGCATAAGTTATGTATTTTTTGATTTGGTCAATTGATTTTGTTTTGTCTGAAAGATCGCAGGTGACTTTTCCGGTTATGCTTACAATTTCTGGCAGTGATTCTGCAGGATTTAGCAATGCTTTGCATTGCTCTTTATAATTATTAAATACTTCTTGGTTATCTTCTTTTAAAAATCGTAAAAAATACTCAGATCGCCTCGTTAACGGATTTCTAATCAATGCTGAAATATATTGATTTAAAAATTTTTTTCTTTTAAAAATTGTGGTCTCTTTTAAGTTCCCTCTGGCCTTTTTATGAGGAATTGGAGCAATATAAATTCCAGGGAATGCAAAGCAGAGCATTTGCCTTAGCCAGTAAAAGTCTCTATATCTTCTTTTAACATGCCATTTAAATGGCAATGTACAGACATCATACTCTACATAATCTGAAGTAAGAAAGCCGCCTGGTCAAGCATAGGTCGCAACCCTACACCCCCACCCCCCTAAAAGTGGTACCCCCACCCCCCCCCCTAAAAAATGGTACCCCCACCCCCCCTAAAAAATGGCACCCCCACCCCCCCTTTCACAGATGCACCCCCACCCCCCTTAATATAGCATAAATATATGACAAATGCCAATTTAGAGTACAAATAAATTATTATTTTAAATATTCAAAATTACTGATTTATACAATATCCACATAGCGTAGCACAATCGATTAAGGAGTAGGTGGAATGAAGTGAGAATTTCCTATAACTACTAAGCACACCACATATGAAAGAATTTGTTAACAAGCATAATAATGATCTTTGGTGCTAATTAGCAATATATCCTGCATATATTTATGATCTTTGTGGGACAATGGCTAAAAGTCGAATTAGAGATCCAAAAGTAAAACTGACAATAGCAAGTACTATTTTATTAGCACTATTGAATCCTGTTACCAATTCAGTCATGCAATCCTTGTGCAATGGTCATCAGATTAGCTTTAATTTATGAATCAATAAATTTAATGCAAGTTATTCTATTGTGCTTGGCTAATTTAATAATTAATGCCATTTATCTATATCTTTGGCATTATATTTATAAATATAAAAAACAAATTTAATATATTTTCTAATTAATTGCTAATTAATTTAAATTTATTAATTAATCATAAATATAAAGCAATTTGTGGACTTAATTTATCTTTATCTTTATATGATTTAGAGGTCGTAAGACCATTTTATGGCGGAGCCAAAGCTCACCGAGCTAGGCCTTATGGCCTTAATTACCCACCGCTAGCGACGACAAGGTAGTTTATCTCCTCATCTCACGCCTGTTGTCTTGGCCAGAACACCCGTCTTCGATTTGATTACACCCCATTAACTTGCGTCTCCTCCATCGGAGTCCGGTGAGCTGCGGACTTGCTTCCATCTTGCCTTAGACGATCCACCTCTCTGCCAAGTCTGAATTGCGCAGAGACTCGTGCAGCCTACACTGCCCAGTTTAGTCCCACACGCCTTGATGCCAGTCTATCTCGCCAGCCATCCTATCCCAGGAGCCCTGAGTCCGTTGACCCGATGGCAGGGCCCGGCTGAGGAAAAGCTCAAGGTCTGCTGAGCCAAAAACCTCACCTGGGGAGAAATAACTAACTTAATTTAAGCATGCTCTAGGTCGGTCGAGCATGCTTTCTCGGACATTTATTTCTCGGACTTAATTTATCAATATAGTGTTTTAATTGGGTTATATTTAATTTATTCTGCTTGTTTCCTATCAATTACTTCTATAGAATAAAAACGAGAGAGGGGGGGTGGGTGTGCCATTTTTAGGGGGGGTGGGGGTGTCTGGTTGCTACCTATGCTTGACCAGCCGCCTTGCACAACTTCAACTTGGGTGATAGTAACTTCTAAGGTCTTGCATTCAGAAATTTCATTTGGAGGTATTGATTTTACTGATATTTCGTAGACTTCATTTTGATAGTTTTCTGAAGGTATTTCTTTTCTTTCTTCAAGAACTGGCTCAGTTTTGATAGAAATTTCTTTAGGCTCTGGCTTATTTTCAGCTTTAATAGCTTCTTGGCTCTTTGGAGGTAAGTTTTTCTGAGTTGTGCTAGAAGGTGTCTGCAGTTTTGGGCTTTCACTTTTAGCTTCCTTTTGCTTTGGGACTTCTTGCGCTGGCTTTTCTACCATGATATTTCTCCTTTCTGAGCTAAAAGATCCTAGAGGATCAATTATATCTCCAGCCCTATTTCTTGGCTTTTCTTCTACTTTTCTTTCTTCTATATTCTTTTTAACTGTTTTTCTATGAATTTCTGGCTGTTTCGACTCTTCAGGATCGGTGAGTTTTTTACTGAAAAACGGCGTCGTAATCTTTTTCTCTTTTTCCTCTTCTTTTTTCTTTTGTTCAATTAAATCTTCTAATGTTTCTCCTGGACGGTATTTGAGCTTAAACTCTCTTACACATTCTTGGAGTTCATCAAATTCCCAACAGTCAATGTCTGCGGTTTTCTTGCTTTCGCAGAAGTGGGTAAAGAGATTAGGGTCATAATGCATGTCTAAGATTTCTTCACGCAGGAAGTTTTGTTTGGCTTTTCTTTCGACCTCACTTAAAAAGTCTTCTTCTTCGTATTCTAATTCCATGATTAAAAAATTATATGGATTACTGTATTACCTTTGGGTATATTGGGAAATTATTGAACAGTTTATATAGGAAATAGGACAATTAATTAAAAATGGCATAAATTTTGATAATTCAGCAAAATTTATATAATTATATGATGATTTAAGCGAAACTTGGAAAAATTAGGACTGATTTCAATGTAAAATAGAAATTACCGATTTAGAAAATATAAGCAGATATATAGAAAAGGTGTACATTATTTAGATTATAAGTACACGTTATAAGATAAATATGAGTTATGAAAATTCCCTCAGCAAAGAGTCCAGCTCAGAAGAAATAGGAAACTTATCTAATTCAGAAACCTTAAATAGTGACTTATCCAAGAGTATTGAAGAAACTGAAAAAATTATCGAAATTCAGAAACAGCCATTTACAGCTAGCGTCCTCAAAGAAATGAGCCAGATTTCAATGTGTTCAGACGAGTCTAACATCTTGTTTTTATATGACGATTTCAAAGTATATGATGGGCCAGTTGACAGCCACGAATTCGAGCCATCTGAAATTGAAACAAGCAAGTTAGCCCAAGAGATCAAAAAGCTGAAAGGAAAATACGAAGACTTCAAAAAAACAACCAAAAGAATAATCCCTAAAACAGTAGCAAAACCTAAGCCAAAAAAAGCCCCAGTCGTTAAAACTAGCCTAACTCCAAAGCCCAAAAAATCCAGCCAAGATACCATAACATCAAGTAATTCCTCAAAATCTTCACAAAAAACAGTCAACAAAGTATCATTAATTTCGCTTGAAATTGATATAGGGTCAGGCTACACTGTTACAGAAGATGTGCATTCTGGTGACAGCTCTTATGATATCGCTGCCAGAGCATTTAAACAAAAAAACATTAAAGCCAATTATAAAAGCATCAGGGAGCTTGGAGACTTAATACAGCAAGAAATAAACAATTACCTTGGAGTTGTGGCCAAAGAATTGAAAAATTATGAAAAAAAAGTGAAAAAATGTGAAGAGGAAAACTATAAAAAACAGTTAGAAAAAATTAAGCCACCACTATTGCAAACAGAAAAACTGGCAGAAACGAGGAAAAAAGTGATAGGAAGCTTGCAAATAAGTACTGGAGAAGATAAAGAAGAAACAATTACGATTAGAGAAGGAGACATTCCTGAAGAATTAGCAAAAGAATTTTCAGAAACTCATAATCTGTGTGATGAAGCTTGTGAAAGCATAGCGATTTCAATCAAAGAACTAATAGAGCAGACCCTTCACCCTTCAATAAAAATAAATTTTGAGATTGATGAAGGAAAAACTGCAGCAATTGAAGTTTCAAAAGGCGACGATCTTTTTAGCCTCGCTCACAGATTTGTAAGAGATAATAGGATTGGAAGCAAATATACCTCAAAAGTGTATAATATGTTAAGGAGGACATTAAGCGAGAATCAAGCTTAAACAGAAGAATAATGTTGAAAATGCTGATTTGATAAAGAAAACGAGACTATATAAAATTTTATATTAATATCTCTGCTTTAATTAATTTAAACCCTATTTTGTAGGCTCTATCACAATATCAATTACATATTTTAAATGGAATCAGTCGGCAAAACTCAGCTCGGCAAGCTCCCTGCTTCCCTCACCCCTTCTCCAAGTCTCTCCTGCATTTCTTTATCCCCTCAAAAGTCCCTAACCAGCGTCGAATATCGCGATCTCAAAAACAAATGGGCGCCAACAGCTGTGAAGTCTGACAAGATGGACTTCACTACTTGCTTTTGCATATCCCTCTTTATCTTTCTATTAGGAAGCCTTTTTTCTATGGTGTTCGTCCATTTCTGGATAACAGACCACACTTCACAGATCTTACCTATTAAAGAAGTCCTTCAGCCTGTTGTGATAAAAGAGACCCAAGAGGAGTCTCTTGACGCTTACATTAACTATGCAAGCATCACAAATAAAGCTACAGTAATTAAAGAACACTCATCCCCTGAATTTCATGCTTCTTTAGCGTGGCTTTCAAATAATCAAAGGGAATCTGCATTGTCTGATGATAATTCATTTGGAAAATGCTGGGCTTTTGAAGGAGAAAAAGGACAGTTAGCGATACAGCTGGGGTATGAGATATATCCAGAACAGTTTTTTATCAAGCATATAAATGTAAAAAATAGGTAGATTGTTGACTATGCGACAGCGCCGAAGAATTTCAGCGTTTGGTCAATGGAAACTGCAGTAGAAGATAACGAATGCTCACTATTAGGAAGCTACAGCTTTGATATGACGATTAAAGGAGAAAAAAGAAGGTCATGGGAGATTTTTAAATGTGCAAATAACTGCGATACTGCAATTACAGCTGTTTTGTTGGAAATAGAATCGAATTATGGTGCAAATGACACTTGTGTTTATCAGTTTGGTTTGCATGGAAGGCCAAAATAAACCTTAAGAGATGCTTATATAACTAATAATAACCAAAATATTTTAAACATTAAAATCAATGAAAAAGAATGGGTTCCAAAGGCCATTTCACATGCTACAAATTATTGCGTGGACACTTGTAGGGCTGATAACTGTCCTTTTCTACATACTGGTAATCCCAATTTTCCCAGGTGAGCTACAAATTATACTTGGGGTCGTTTTTTCAGTTTTTTTTGCTTTTACATTGATTTTTGGCTTTTTATGCACATATCTTGACCCAACTGACCCTTCAATACATGAAGAACTCGCTGCGAAAAAAGAAATGTAAAAACTAGATAGGAGAGATTTTGACTTAAAAAAATACCCTAAAATCTGTCAAATGTGCAAAGCACATGTCCATGCAGATAGTAAACACTGCAGAGACTGCGAAAGATGTGTGGATCATTTTGATCACCATTGTAAATGGCTTAACAACTGCATTGGAAGGAGAAACTACAAATTATTTGCTGAACTAATAATAGCTTTAGAAGTTTTAGTATCAATTATCACTATATGTGGGGCTGCTGTATGCAACGAAGTTATCAGTGGATCATCATATAAAGGAAGGCTTAGTGATAATTTACACATTTCTGGGGACGGGATATATGGCTATGTTTTTGTTATCTTATTTATGGTCTCCATCAGTGGACTTGTAGCTCTCGCAAATGCGCAGTTAATAGGATTTCATCTATGGCTAATGTGCAAAAAAATGACTACTTATGAGTACATTTTAAGCAAAAGAAAGGCTAAAAAATATGAAGTGGTAGATATCTCAGTAAACCAAAGTAAAATTGTTATGAAAGAAAATCATAAATAAAATGGCATTCGGTTCGAGAGAAATTAGCTTTGCTAATTTTCTCTCCCTCATGGAATTTTATTTATGGGGTTGGGTTTTTTCTTGAGAACTTCTGCACAGCAATAGCTGTTTAACTTTGAGGATAGCCAAAGGAACAGCTCCTCAGTGCATTCTAGTGCCTCAGAGTTTTACCTCTCAGCACATCCCCACGGGATGATGACCCTTAGGCGGAACACATGCAGGAGCTGAGTCAAGGGCAACGGCAACGCGCCGGGTGAGATGTGCGGCTACTGGAGGCGAAGCGCAGATGAAGGCTTGGCCGGCGGGCTGACCACCGCGATTCCAAGATGGCTAGGCAGCATCACTAGTTTAGCTATAACTCCATTTTTATGGGGTGCGGCACTAGACACCTTAAATACCAGATACCTAAGTTAAGTTGAGTTAAGTTATGGAAGAAATCCCTTTAGAAGAAATATTTGAGCCATATATTGATAACCCTGAATATGCAGATACAAAGCTGAAAAGAAATGGGAGAAATGCATCAATAGTCCCTATGAATTGAGATGATTTACAAAGATTTACTGATTTAAATTTCCCATTGCAAAATATGGCTGTAATTGATTTGAAAAAAGAAAAGGAAAGTGAAGGAAAGCTTCAAGAAGAGGAATCTTCTATAGAAGCAGAAAATGCATATAGGCTAGAAGTTGATGATAAATCCAAAGTCAATATAAATGACACAACAGCTTTAGGCCAGTCAGATGTTTCATCTTAATTGTATAATTTTATTCTATAGTAATAAAATGGCATCGCATAGGCTTTGCGGTTGATACTTCTGATATGGGAGACACTTAGGCGTATAGCATATGCAGGAGTCTACTGTTATTGTTTAGGAGTGCTTTACCACCTATTAAAAAGGTTAACGTGCGAGAATGCCATATGTCACTTTGAATTTAAAGTGGCATGCCAAGTGGCAATGTAATGCAACCTACACGACTAAACAATAAAGTAAACATAATTGTATTCTAATTAGCTTTAATAGAGAATTAATAGCAGCTCACAGTTTATAATGCTCCGGCGCTTGCTGGAGGTTTTATTCCTAATGACTCATACTGCTTGAAATATTCTTGGATTTGGTTGCTCATCGAAGCTCTTCCTAATTGAAACAGCATACTCATTATATCCCTAAAAATCGTATAAGCTTGGCTAAAATCTTGTTGAATGTGGCATAGAACCCCAAGCCAATAAAGTGCTTTGACCCTTAAATCTTCATCAGCTTCAATGCCTTCTTTCATCCAATAATGATGAATATTTAAAAAATCATGCAAAGCCTGCACCCCATCCTCTATGAATTTATTATATTTTGCTGCTATTTTTCCAATTTTATATAAAAATAGATAGTCTGAACAAGCTGAAAATGAAATATTAGCAGAATCGCCTATAGGGATTCTAGAGATTCCTAATCCTTGTAATGGAGATTTCTGACTTGAGTCCTCATGTTCTGCATCATTTATAAGTAGTCTAGGGAAGTCAGAGCTTGTCTGTTTATAAGGAGATTCAACGTCACCATCTTCATTTAGTATTGAGGACATTAAATTTTTTCTAGATGAAATTAATCGGGCTCTTTGGCTATCAAGATCTGATAAAGCCTCACTATATAAAAAGCTTGTCATGAATTTTTTTTTCTGAAATGTTTCGTTAGCATTTATCAATTCTTCTTTTGTGGTCGCTTTTTGCAGCTCTTTAGTATACCCTACATCGGGGACGAAGAGATTTGGCTGTATTTGTGCAAGAGTTTTGTATATTAGAATTGCTTTGGAAATATTGTCATTTTTTACTAGTGCTTTTGCGTATATCATATGTGCTCGGACCCAAACTTGTGCAGGGATACTGGAAATTTTGCATTTTTTGATTAAGTTTTTGGCTGATCTTTGGACTTCATTGAAATTTTTTTCTTCTAATAAAAATTCAAGTAGCTGAAAATATGCTTTCATGCTTAAAGAAGCTCTATTTGAGCTGTTTTGAAGAAGCTTATAAGCTTCTTCTTTCATCCCTGCTTTCCACAGCACTTTTGATTCACAAATATCGGCTTCAACATAGTCAAAATTTCTTAGGGAGCTGCAATAAATCTTGCACTCTTCAATTTTGGCATTGTCAATAGTATCTGATTTTAAAACTCTGTCAATTATTTCGTAATTTACCATGTCTCCATACATGGTTTTCATCGTTTCTTTTAGCTCGTTTATTTTTTCAAATATTTTTTTCTCGAAGTGCTTTTCCTCTGAAGAGCTTTCATTGACTTTTTCGACGAGAGAGCTTAGTAAAGGGATAGCTTCTTTCATACAGCTATAAGCGTTGATTTTTTCATTTGCGAGGAGGTAGCCTTTGGCAAGCCAATAGTAGGCTTGACCGTGACGAGATTCAGCACAGACCTTTAAGCATTCAGTGAGAGCTCCGACGGCTGAGCCTATAAAGGTAGCATCTGTGCTTTTGATACAAAGCTTTCCATAGTAATATAAATAAACTGGGTATAGAGATAATTTCATGTATTTTATTTGTAAAAGTTCAAAAGCATTTTTAGATTTTCCAATTCTAAACAGATTTTTAGAGTATTTCAAGCTAATTAATATAGAATACTCAGGAGCTATATCAGAAAGCTTTAAAAATGCAGCCTCAATTATATCTAGTGCACTATCATAATTTTTGGTAACAAAATAGTAATAATACCACAATTTCATATAAGCTTCTGGTCTCTGAGGATTATCACTGATAAGTTCTTTTAATATTAACTCTCCTCTTTCTCTTACTTCTAATTCTCTACTGTCAATCGAAAGTTCACTCCATGCAAGCAGCCCATAGTAATCATCAATTTCTTTGATTCTAGTGGCATAATGCTCAGGACTTTCTATTTCAGTTCCAATTTTCAAAAAATTTAATAAAGAAAGCTTCATCAAGGCCCAGTATATTTCAACACCTTTGGTTCCGTTTTTGATACATTCTAATTATAAATTACTATAGCACGTATTTTTGGCTTCCAATGCTGCTGACTTAGTTTCTACGCTTAAAACCATCATAATGGCATACCATAAAAAATAAAGCTTATCACTCGGCTGCTCTTTTACACAAATTTTCAAATGCTGTAAAGCGCTATCGAATTTCCCTTCATTTGCTAGCAGCTTGGCGATACCAAAATGAGCTTCGGTACATGTGCTAAGCCTAGCGATCATATCTAAGCACACTTGCTTATATTTGACAAGTTCCATGTCTGGGACTACATTTTTCATATCATTTTTTCTTACTACGAATCATATAAAGCAGCTTGAAGAATCTAGTTTTCTCGTGTTGGTTTGGGGTGTTTCCTTAATAGCTTCGTATGACGCTTTCTTGTGTTTTTTTCTTGATTTTTCGAGCTCTCTATCTAAGACTTCTTCAATGATTTCTGTCGTCAGGACTGCTTCAGACAGCGTGACTTCATCTTGGGCTGTTGTCGTTTGACGCTTAAACTTAACCTGAAGCGCACGATTTTTCGATGAGATTTTAAGAGTGTTTGTAAATAACTTATAAAATTCGTCTGATGGCAGCACTTCATTTAAGGTCCCATTTAAAGTTCTATCAACAGAGGTTTGGGAGTCATCGATATTGTCTAGAATTACGACTTTCAAAGAATTTTGCTGGCCAGAAGAATTAGTTTTGTTGCTCATACTGCTGAGGTGTTTTATTAGATATAATAATTTCTAATATATTATCATAAGATTTTGAGTATTTAAAAAATCATACACAACTAGATAGCTTATCAATCTCTTATCTACAATTTTTGTTATTTATGGCTCTGCATTTGTCCTTACTTCATCATCTCTTTTCGGAGTGATACCTATATCGTCTAAATTCCTCCCAAGAAAAGCTTCAGTTTGTCTTTGTCTTTCTTCCAGCTCTCTTCGATGATTTTCCACAGATTCTTTGAATCCCCAGAAAGGGAGAACCAAAACTTCATTATAAAGAGTCGTCCCTATAACTAAAAGAACAAACCCTCCTAATTGTAAAAAATTAAAATCTTCCCATCCTGCCAGCATGCTAAACAGCCAAACTAATAAAGTTCGGCTTGTGTCGACTGTAGACCTTGCTAAAGCATTAGCATATTTTGTAGTAGAAACCCCTGTCCAATTGAAAAACGAAAAACTTATCATAACACCCCACCAGCAGAGCATTAGAATCCAGTCAGTGCCGATTTGATAAAAAGCGTTTAAAGTGTCTTCAACGTATCCTTTACTGCACAAATCTGAGTTATCACAAGGGATTATGTTAAGAATTGGCAACAAAATGATGTAAAAAGATAGTCCTGAAAGTCCTTCAATCCCAACTGCTTGTAAAGGATCAATTTTTACGTTCCCTAAGAATAGTTCTTCACTTACAAATACTCCGCCTGCCAAAAACTGCGCAATTATAAGAATAATCAGTCCTAAAAACGGATTTTCAGCTGATTTAGAAGAATATAAAACAGCTGAAAGTCCAACCAGCGAAACTCCTACAAGTGCAAAAGCTACACCTGTGATTTGATGCCTATATAAAGAGCGCTTTAAAAAGATAACTGAATATACAGCAACAACGACAATGATAAACCCTCTAATCATTTGGTATATTGATGCAGCTGATAATACAAGTCCTATAAACATCAGAGTTGAGGCACACATATCAAAAAATGCGGGGATGCAAAATACGAATTTTCCGAGTTTTCCATATAACCCTGTTCTGGGCTGCTGGGAAAGTCTGATTTGAACTGCTATTATTTTTAATATGAATATGTATATATATAATAAAGAATTTTTTAAGGTATTATGTAATTTATAGAAGCTTATATTGGAATTTTCAGCTTGTTTTCGTTTTTCTTTCCACTGAAGTAGCCCATACATCCCAAAACAGAGAAATTCGCCGAGAAACATTGTTGCACATTGGAAGTAAGGATGAGAGAAGCCTTCTTCGTCCATTAATTTGCTGATGACTGTGTTAGAGGTTCCAAAAAGGAGCATCCCTAGCATGTAAGCAAACAAAACGATACGGCTGATTTGGGCCATTTTAGATTTGTCAACAAATATTTGGTTAAATTTTGGTATGACTATTTATTTAATTTTTAATATATAAAACTGTATCTATTTCTTGATAATAGTTCATTTTATCAGAAATTGCATTTTTTTTAAATTTAAAAGATTTTTTATATAATAATTAATTTACCTATAAACAAAAATTGATACAAAAATTAATTTTAATTAGCAAATCAGACATTTTTAATGCTTCTTCTGCGTAGATCCTTTACAACTTCTGTCAAAACACCATGGGTTTTTAAAGTGCAAGACATGCCAGAGCTTCATATGTCATTTGATGAACCCTCAAGAGAAAAAATGCTAAAATTCACAAAGACACAATTTACAAAAACCTTTCAAACAATTTGTGAAGGATTCGCAAATAATGACAAAGCGGCATTGAAAACAATCCTTGAGCCTACCCTACACAAGACAGTTTGCCAAAACCTAGATGATTTGGAAGCTGAAGGCTACAAATTCCAATTCTTAGGGATCGAAAACCTTGAAATCAATCCATTGTCTTTCGAAATGCATATTGGGGTCAATATAGACCGAAGCACAAACTTCCCTAGCGAGCATTATGTAGAAATTTCTACTTTAGAATCCCTCAGAGCAGGTATGACTGCAGAAGATCTCAATAAAGAGGCAGAAAAAGATGGAGTCACATTTACCCAGGATGTCCTCCAAACAAAATTGGACAATATTTGGCTTTATATTAGTCCTAGAGCTCCTGCTAATTTGCTTATAGGGCTCGACGTTTATTTTAAGCTGTTAAACCCTTTGACTCTGGTAAAAGATGGGGAGGATATTATTTATAAGAGCAGACAAGAAGAAGTCCATGGATTGAAAATGGAAAATATCGCTTCTGTTGTGGCGAAAGATCAAGAACAAGCCATTTTTAATGGCAGTTTTCAGCACTTGATGCTGCCACTATTGAAGTTGGAAGAAAGGACACTTTCTAAACCTTGGACTGTAGCTGATATTGACAATATAATGAATGGAAATCATCACGTTAAGTCTGCACAAAAGAAATTAACATAATAATCATCATTTATTACAATTTTTTTTAAAATCCTAAGTATTTTAGTTGTATTAGTAAGAAAATTGTTTATTTTAGTTAAAAAATAATAATCATAACTTATATTATTGCTTTATTAGGCACTATGGTTTCACTCAAAGGAAAAGATGAAAAAATCCAGCAGCGCCTCTTAGAAGCATTTAATCCCTTAAATGAAAGCAAAATTCTTAAAGGGCCTTTAATAGACCCTCTCAACTGTGAAATTATTAATCAATGTGGCTTATCTTCTATGATGCTGGAAGCATATTATCGTCATGTTGAATACATGAAAGCTTCTGTAGGAGCTAAAAACTTAAAATCTGCAATAACGCAAAATGCTCTGAGATTCTATCGAGATCTATTTGAAGTCACAATTACTATTATTGCCTGCATGCTTTATGTTATAGGAACTTATTATGAAGACTCACATGCAGATTTATTTCAGGTAATTGACACGATTGTGGCGACGATTTTTTTAATGGACTGGATATGGCAGTTTTTCTATGCACAAAATAGAGTTGAGTATGCTTTTTCAAAAATGTCTATGGTAGATTTATTAACAATTATCCCGGTTTATGTTGAATTGATTTTATTTGGGTTTCATTTCAACCTTAATTTTCTAAGGGCTCTTAGAATTTTAAGGATTGTGAGGGTTCTTCGCATGTTTAAGGCTCTGAATGAAAAGGAAGAGGTTGATGGGAAGCAATTTTTATCGAGTGCAGTTGACGTTTCTGGATTTAACAAGCAGATGGTCAGCACAAATCCAACCCCTCTACTGCCATGGGATCCTTGATCCTATCTATACTGAAATAACTCATAAAAATTGTCTTGCATATACACACAATACTAATTATACAAATTACCCCGTATAAGCTATTTTATTTTATATGATATGGGGTGAAGGTAGGGGGACCTGTGCTTCACCAAGCAGGTTCTTATTCTTATTATATCTATTTTTTCAGTAATTTTTATAGGCGCAGGACTAGCAAATGGGCTAAATTCTCTCCAATCAGATTCTTTTAAACTAAATGCAGGAGAGTTCGATTTTTTAACTGCACTTTATTATACTATAGTAACAACTTCAACAGTCGGTTATGGTGACATCTTTCCACAGCGAACAGCTTCAAGAATGGCTATTTTGTTTATGATTTTAGCTATGGCATTCATTCTAAGCGACCAATTATCAAAAATGTCTCAGCTTGTCAGCAATTATTCAAAATACGATAGAAAATACCATCTTGTTGATCATATAATAATTGGTGGATATTACACCCCATCATCTATATATCAATTCTTAAGCCAATTTTACCACCAAGACCATGGAAAAAATAATCACCGATGTGTTATAATTGGTTCTAATTACCCTAGTGATGATATTTTAAAGCTTATTAATAGCAGCAAATATGAAGAAAAAATATGCTACTTACTCCCTCCTTTTGTGAGCGAGCAAAACCATTGGAAAAATCCCATATTTTTTGCTCTCAAAAACCCACCTTTCGTGAGCGAATAAAAATGTTTTAAATAGTTTATAAAAAAAATCGATATATAAATGATAATTATTATAAAGAAATTTCGAGCTAATTCTGGTTAATTTCAAACAACTTGCATTTTAAAAGATAGTTTTTGCAAATTAAATTAATTTTTACTTCTCAAATTTTACAAATTAGAATTTATTTAAATTTCGAAAAAAAAATACTAAAAACTTTATATATAAATTTTTTTCAACAAAAAAAATTAACCGCCTACGTGAGCGACCAAAATTTTTTGTTCAAACGGAGGGGGGAGTTAGAAGGAGACATCTCCAATCCTGCCACCCTTGAAAAAGCAAATGCTCATATGGCTGACTCTATCTTCATTTTGACCAATCAGCATAGTCCCCATCCTGATGCAGCTGACATAAATGCAACTATTGTGACGAAAATGATTAAGCATTATTATCCCTATTCTCACACTTATTTGCAGCTCGTCAAAAATCACCCAGACTCCACAATGGATTATTCGCCATGACACACAGTTATCTCAATACAAGATATAAAAATGAGTATCCTTGGGATGTCAGTTTATAATAAAGGTTTCTCTACCGTTATTACTTCATTGTACACAACATCTAATTCGAAAGTCCCAAAAGCTTAATAATCCCCCCTTCTCTGTGAGCAAACAAAACCATTAGAAAAATCCCTATTTTTTACCCAGAAACCCACCCTCCATGAGAGAACAAAAATTTTTTTATGAAAAAAATAATTGATATATAAGTGATAATTAGTATAACGAAATCTATAGCTAATTCTGTGCAATTTTAAACAAATTGCGTTTAAAACATAAATTTTATAGATAAAATTAATATTTGCTTTTCAATTTTCGCGAAAAAAAAAATTTCTATGAAATTTATATATATATTTTTTTTAAAAAAAAGTTAATCCCCCTCCGTGAGCAAACAAGATTTTTGCTTGCTTAGAAGCATCTTGGCTGCATAAGGCAACTCAAGGGATTGGAAAAGAAGTCTATTGTGTCCAAGCGTCAGAATTTTTTTTTGGAAAAATGTTTTACGATGTCGTAAAATTTGTATATAAAAATATCAATGGGATTTTGGTCATTGGGGTGAAGTCAAAATATTCCAAGGATAATAAAGGTGTCATAATTAATCCTTGCAATTATAGAATTGCTAACGGAGATATGCTTTTTGTAATTGCAGATAATCAGAAAGCAGCTGGTTATATTTCTTCGTATTTTTCGACTGATGAAAATTATGAGGAGAGTGAAAATAGTAACAGATTGTCAGCACTTGAGCAAGCATTTCTGGGAATGAAGCTAAAGGATAACACTTATAAATCTATGCTGGAAAAAGGGAAAATTTATTCACTGTGGAAGGATAATTTAAATGGGTTGGTATCGCACCATATAATTGTGATTGGAGATATTGAAGGTTTTCCGAATATAGTGCAGTCACAGCTATAGCCTGAGCCAAAAGGAGCTCTGCTTATATAGTTTTAAATTGAGTTTTCACCATGCTGATGGCTTCATTTACTTATATTGAACCTTAAAAATAAATTGGCTCGATACCAAATTTAAAATGATAGATTTCAATTTATTTCTGGTTTATCATTTTAAAACCGGCTGATTAAGATTAAACAAACTTAAGCTATATTAGCTTTCTTGCTATATATTGTTAAAGCCTTAAGATCTTATTCTTATCAGCCCATTTGCTTGATAAATAATTCTGAGCCCTCTTCTGAATGAGCAAAAATAACTGATCTGTGCCCTAACTTATATTATTTTAAAGGTAACATGCTAAACCATCAAGACCTATACATGGCTGCTATTAGTGATTGCAGATGTGTTGTCATTTTAACTCAAACTGATAAAAACAACTCTTCGTTAGACTCCAAAGCTATTTTATGTAGCCGACTAATAGATGTCAGCTTTCCAAATACACAAATTCTTGTCGAACTTTCTGATGAAAACAGTGTGAAATTCTTAAGCAACCGTCCTCAAGGGGAATTTTCAAAAATGCATTATTATACTTGACCTCAACACCTGTCAGGAGGCTGCTTTTTTGCAAACTATTTACTCCCCCTCCATGAGTAAACAAAAATATTTTGTTCATTCAAGAAGGGAGTTAATTTTTGTTTCTAAAAAATTTATATAATTTTTTTTTCAAAATTTAAATAATCCCAATTGGTAAAATTAATTTAATTTACAAAATTTATGTTTTAAAATGCAAGCAGTTTAAAATTCAACAGATTAGCTAGAGATTTCATTATAATAATTATCACTTATATTCTTGATAAAAATTTGTTTCGCTCACGAAGGGGGGAGTTAGACTCCTTAATTTGCCAAATTTTTTACAACCCAGACTTAAGCTTAATTTTAAATAAACTCATCGGCTTTGGGACCTATGAAAAAGAGTACCAAGAAAACTCAAAAATCCACACAATAAAAATCCCTACAAGCTATTTCCAAGGCAAAAACTCATGCAGCTACCAGCAGATTTTAATAGACTTTTTAGAAATGAAACCACCTATAATACCGCTAGCAGTGATTTCTAGAAGAAATACAACAGATATATACACTCCCGGCGAAGTTTTGTATATAAATCCTACACATTCGACAACAATTAGACCTTTGGATTCTATAATTTGTATTGGAGGATCTTCTTTGGACTCAAGAAAAGAGTCTTTGAGAAGTGATGGGTCAACAGGTCCAGAGTCAATAGGTGTAAAATCAATTTCAATAGAATCAGAAAAGGCTGATGAAAATAAGGACGTAATTAATTTGCTAATTGAAAGCTTGAAGCATAGATTGAACTCAGATTGGTATTTTAAGAACAAAATTGAGTGGAAAGCAATGAGCATTCATAATTTACAAAAAGAAGTGGAAGATCTGAAATGTGATTTGATTGAGAAAGCTTAGAGAAATAAAAAGGATATTTTTTTTATTTTAATTAGATTATTGCACATTATTGGACCAATTCTTTGCCTTTAATTTTTCACTTTCCAATTTATGTCTAAATACAGTCCTCATTTGAGACCTAACTTAATCTTCCAATTTTCTCCCTCAATTTTTATTTCTGACAATAAACTCACCCCTAGTATTAGTAGATCCGCTGCTGTGCCACCTTCCACCTCTTATTTTTCTATTTTACTTACCAAATTGTAAAATATTTTATTTCATAATTTCCATTTTCATAGTATTTTTGTTTACTCCTAAATTGATCTATGAGGTCCTCTTCTTGACCCATTCTGTGCACCATATTTTCTTGTCCTCAGCTCTAATTTAATCCTTTAACTTTTCTTCTTCACAGTTTTCAATCCCAGATACATACGTTGCAGGCAGCATTATTTCCACGCAATGAGAGCTGGCGGTTGAGCAAAGAGGGATGCTAGTTTCGTTATCCAGCACCTCCCCAACCTGATTTCAAGCCAAAATGACTTGGAACTTGAGCAAAGGGATTTGTCCTAGCACATATAGGTGGCTCAAATAGCTTGGCGCAATGGTATGCGTAAGCTTATTAATAAAATAAATATAATATCAGCTGATAAGATATTTTAATAACTACCCTGGCTCTTAAAATAGTAGTCAAAGTCAATATTGCAACGAAATCCTTATATAATTCAATTGCTAAAGCACAAAGAAGTTTGCCATATTTAATTCCCGAAAGAATCCTTATAAAAGTTTAAGAAATAAAATGGTGACGCTACATAAATTGGACTCTCAAGGCCCACCATTATGGAGCAGGTTAGACATTTCCTGATAAAGCTAAAAGCAAGACCCCTGTACCTTTTTGAAGCAGACCTTTAGGTTTTGGGATGCCTTGTCAAAGAGGTAAGTTTTGTTTCTCCCCCTAAGGTTTTCCTGCACCTACCAGATAGGCTAGACATGTTTTGCCTACCACATGATCTGTTTCATCAAGACTATCGGGGCACTCTACAGGTGGTGGCTCTGCCCTAGGGATTTGATTCCTTGACAGGCGGCTCACTCGGAAATCAAAAATGACGACATTTTGGAGCCAAGATGGGCGACGCTAGTGGGTTTACTGGCTTATGACCACATAGTCGCTTAATTTAATTTATTTATAAAAGGTATAGAATTTTCCCATAGATGGCGCTGTTTGCCCTTGATTTGCCTATGAGAAAAATTTTTTTGGTTTGACCAAACCATATGGGACTGGTCGAACCAAAAAATTTCCCCAGTGGGCAAATCAAGGGCAAACAGTGCCATCTATGGGAAATTTCTATAGTATTAAAATGGTGGTGATTCTGACAGAATAGGGACTCCGAGGGTCACTTTAATATAGAGCAGTCGATTGATTCGGTTGGTGGAGAAAGATGAATTTTGTGAGCAAAGTAGATCATCTCAATGAAAGCCTATGAAGCAGGGTATTTTTTATTTTCTCCTAACTCCCCCCCCCTCCGTGAGTGAGCAAAACCATTAGAAAAATCGCTATTTTTTGCCCAAAAACCCACCCTCCGTGAGTGAACAAAAATTTTTTTAATAGAAAAATTTTTTATGGAAAAAAAATTGATATATAAATGATAATTAGTATAATGAAATCTAGAGCTAATTCTGTTTAATTTTAAACGAATTGCTTTTTAAAAACATAAATTTTACAAATTAAATTAATATTTGCTTTCCAATTTTTTTAAATTTCGAAGAAAAATATTTTTTATAAAATTTATATATAAATTTTTTAAAAAAAAAAATTAACCCCCCTCCGTGAGTGAACAAAATTTATTTGTTCACTCACGGAGGGGGGGGGGGAGTAAAGGTTTTCATTTCCCTATTAGCTGATCTCTAGGTTTTTGCCTACCACATTGTCTTTCCCTATCGGGATCATAGCGTAACTTTACCCTAGGAAAATAGGCGGTTTAGAGACAAGACAAGGAGAAGGCTAATAGTTTACCACTTATTGGCAGAATAATTTTTAAACTTTAACTTATAAAAGCTATTGATTTAATCTGACATATAAAAATATGGAATCAGGTCCTTTAACCCCCTCATTTGATTAACAAATAAAACCTTAATTTATTTTATAAAATATTTTTTTAAATAATTTACCCAATTTTTTTAATTTCTAAAAAAAATTAATATTAATTTTAAACCACAATTATCTTCTAAATAAAATATATATAAATTAATTCCTTTAAAAAGATAATAAATCCTATTTTAAAAAAAAGATAAAATTAATTTTTATAATTTTTTTATATTCCAACTATTATTTTTTATAATTTTAGAATTTTTAAATATAGTAATTAAAATAATTTTGATAATTTTTTCCACTTAAAATCGCTTAAACACTTATAAAACTGAAGAATTTCAGAGAGTGCTTCATTTTAAAGTAAGAAAACTTATACAATATATACTTCAAAAATTCTCATTAGTATGTTTTTATGCTTTTAAAATAAATATTTGATTTAACTTTTTTATTTAATCTTTTTAAAATCTTATAATTCTGAAAAATTTTCAAGATAGATTGTACCCTTATTATAGAACAAATTTTAGGTTTTTAAGTGGAAATTTAGTTACTCAGCATATTAAAGACCCAAGAGAGCGCTTGGTTAGCCGAATTGCTGCCTGCATGCTTCGTGAGCCCAACTACTATGCAAAGGCTGAAGAAAAAATAGCCCAAATTTTGGCTGACATGAATGAGGTTGCGACAATAGACCCCGAGTTTATCTGTCAACTTGCTTATTACACCAGAAATGAGCTTAACATTCGGTCAGCATCAAATTTCCTATTAGCCTTTGCAGCTAATCATCCTGAGGCAAAAAAGTATCTCAAGCAGTACTTTTCAGCAACGATTAAGCTGCCTACAGATCTGATAGAAACTATTGAGTTATGTCAGTCATTCAGAGAGATGGAAGTGGAAAACAAGACCATTGTGCCAGCCTGCCTCCAAGACCTGGTTGCTGAAAAATTCAAAACCTTTTCTATATACCATCTTGGAAAATATTGCTCTGAAGGAAAAAGAAAAAGAAATTTGCTGAAAGTAAGAGCAAAAAAAGCTGCCAACGATAAGAAGCAGGAAGGGGAAGGGACAACAGAAAAAGCGGCAAGCAAGAAAGGAACTTTGTCGTTTAAACAGCTAGTTAAGATTAAGATTGATTAATTCCATAGACTTCGTCATTCAAAAGAGGGAAAATAGAAAAGTGGCAGTTTTGGATAACTGAACTAAACCACCTGCTTTAAGGATCAACTCTCTGGGCAGAGCTATCTCTTGAAAGTATTTTTACAAGGAAAGATAGTGTGGTATAGAAAACCTGTACAGTATTAGGAGAAACAGAAAAAACTTCTGGGAGAAACAAAACTTTCCCTCTTCTTCAGGCATCCTCAGACTCTACTTAAAAGTGACACAGGCACCGAACTCATCTCAATAGGATGAGCCCTATCTGCTCCATAAGATTGCGGCTCAGATTTTATCCTCCGTCAACATTCATTTTATATCTTTATCCCAGCTAGTTAGACTCTGCCACATCAAAGAGCCTTCTAAAAACGTGATGTCAATTCTTGGGAAAAGATACCCAGAGAACTCAGACGTGTTTGCTACATCTGGATTAGTCGTAGATGGTGAGTTTAACCCATCTCTAGCAAACAAAAGAATGAAAATCCCGACTCCAGTCACTTGGGAAACCCAACTAAGTGCCTCTGGAAACAAAGCAGAAGTGTGGGAAGAACTAATAAGATCCAAAAAGCTCCCTTTTATGGCAATGCTTAGAAACATAAGAAACTTGCTTATAACAGGAGTAGACCCACAAGTGCACGAAATAGTCCAAGACAGGTTAAAAGACCCTGACCAAATCCAAAACTCCAAGCTCTTCCCGTTCAGGTTCTTTTCCGCTTACGAAGCTATAAAAATTGATCTCGAAGAGCTTCAAAAGCTAAAAGATGACCCCAGCTACGAGCCTGTGCAGCCAGCTCCTAGACGAGGCCAAAAGCTAAAATACAAACGAAAAAAAATCATCCCGAAAATTGTCCCTACACAAGAAACTATAGAAAGCTACTACCGCGCTTTAGAAGAAGCTGTAAAGCTTGCCACAGCTTTAAACATCAAGCCTGTCAAAGGGAATTCTGTCATTTTTGCTGATGTCTCAGGCTCTATGAAATGTCCTATTTCCGGAGAAGGTGGAATGGGAAGTGTCAGAACCTGTATGGACATCGGAATTTTGCTTGGACTTATGATGAGACATGTCTGTGAAAACTCAGAATTCGTCATATTTTCTTCGCCAAGCAATGATGGCAAATGCTGGAAGAAAATTGATTTGAAAGGCGACAACATTCTTGAGCTAATGAATGAAGTAAAACAAGAAGCTTCAACACTTGGTGGTGGAACTGATTTTCCATTTGACTATATATGCACTGCAATTGAAAACAGGGCCCACTTTGATAATATGTTTATATTTTCAGATATGATGATATCACCGGGCAGCGGAAATATGAATAATACTATAACTCACCTCCTCCGTGATCGAACAAAAAAATCTTGCTCGCTCATGGGGGATAATATTTTTTTAAAAAACTTATATAGAAATTTTTATAGAGAATTTTTTCAAAATTTAAAAAAAATCCCATTTCGTAAAAATTGGAAAGCAAATATTAGTCTAATTTGTAAAATTTATGTTTTAAAACGCAATTTGTTTAAAATTAAACTGAATTAGCTCGAGATTTCATTATAATAATTATCACTTATATATTAAAAAAATTTTTGTTCGCTCACGGAGGGTGGGTTTTTTGGGCAAAAAATAGGGATTTTCTAATGGTTTTGTTCGCTCAAGGAGGGGTGAGTAAGTGGCCAAGAATGGACTGTTGAAGGAATTTTAAGGAATTATAGAGAAAATGTGAATGCTAATATGAAGTTTATTAGCATCAATTTGGGCGGGCACGGAAAAGCTGTAACTGCAGATCTAGAAGATGATATGAAGAATATTCTAGTCTCAGGGTACAGTGACTCCATTTTGAGACTTGTGACAGAGCTGCAGGTTTCCCAAGTTGACGCAGTCAAGCTAGCAGCGCAATCCCTAATTAAAACTTAACTTTCTTATATATGGGAAATTTTTCTATTCTATAATAATTTCTTTATATGCTATATCATCATTTTATATTAAATTGGCTCCAATTTCTCTTCCATTTTCACTAATATAAATTACTCTATTCAATATACATTATCATATCCCGTCAAGAAAGTTCAAAAACCCATAAAAAATTCGAACTTTTTATCAAAGCCAAAGATCTTTCTACCCCTACAACTGTAAGCCCAGTCTGCAAGCTTCAATGAAAAGTGGAGGATGGGAACTGAATTGACTTAAATTCCACAGAAATTGTCACAGCCTCCACCAATCCTCAATGGAAACAAACAATGATTATTGATCATTATTTTGAAAGCAATATCATCCTGCTCTTTTCTATTTACAGTGGCCTCGATTTAATTGGAAGTGTGGAATGCTCCACAAGTAATTTAATCGCAAGACAGCCGTTTATTTCACATATTTTTAGAGGGGCAATAAAAGAAATCACAGGAACTATCATTATAAAAGCTGAAGAAGTAAGGGATATAGAAACTAAACTAGCTTTAGCCTTTAAAGGACACCATTTTGATGGGCTAGATCTAGGAGGGAAAAGTGACCCTTATTTCAAGCTTTATAAGTCATTACAAGATGGAACTTGGCTGGAGTGCTATAAAAGTGAAACTGTTTATAAAACAATAGATCCTGAGTGGCCTCCTTTTGAAATTAATTTACATAAACTGTGTAATAGTGATTCTGAGAGACTTATAAAGATTGAATGCTATGATTGAGACAGATGCACAGCTGATGATTATATCGGCCAAGCCACCATTACATTGAGAGATCTCTTAAACATAGGCACGCAATTCCCACTGATAAACCATAAAAAAGAAACCCAAGATGGTTACTTGAATTCTGGAGTAATAGAAGTCACTCATTCTGAGCTCATCAGAGACTTCTCATATATGGACTACTTGCAGAATGGCACCTCAATTAAGCTGATGGTCGCAATAGATTTCACATCTTCTAATGGAGACCATGCAGACCCTCATTCATTACATTATTCCAACTCAAGCATACAAAATGAGTATCAGCGGGCAATAGAAGCCATTTCTAGAGTCCTTGAAGTGTATGATGAAGAAAAACAGTTCTCTGTATATGGTTTTGGAGGGCGGCCTAATTGAACTCGAGATGTAAACCATTGTTTTGCGCTGACTAGAAATGATGCAAATCCATATGTTGCAGGAATTGAGCAGATTATTGATATATATCTAAAAGAACTCCCAAATATTGAGCTAGCTGGACCGACTTATTTTAGGCATGTTATAGAAATGGCTACTGCAAAAGCGAGAGAAAAAATTGATGGGTCAGTTTATAATGTCCTGCTAATACTCACAGATGGGGATATTGATGATTTTCCGGCGACGAGATCATTGGTGGTGGAGGCTTCAAGACTTCCTATAAGTATTATTATTGTGGGAGTTGGAGGAGAATGCTTTTCTAATATGCTTACTCCCCCTGCTCCGTGAGTGAACAAAAAAATTTGTTCGTTCACGGAGGGGGATTAGGAAATTAAAAAAATCCCACTTCTCGAAAATTGGAAGGCAAATATTAATTTAATTGAAAAATTTATGTTTCAAAACGCAATTTGCTTAAAACTAAACAGAATTAGCAAAAGATTTCATGATAATAATTATCATTTATATATCAAAATTTTTCCAATAAAATTTTTCTATTAAAAAAATTTTTGTTCGCTCACGGAGGTGGGTTTTTGGGCAAAAAATAGCGATTTTTCTAATGGTTTTGTTCGCTCACGAAGGTGGGAGTTAGGCTAGATTCTGATAGTGGAACTTTAAAAGACCGAAACCAAAATGAAGCTGTTAGAGATATTGTGCAGTTTGTCCCGTTTAGACAATTTAGCAGTTCGTATGAAACTTTCCAGCATAAGATCTTAGAAGAGATACCATCGCAAATAGAATCTTACATGAGACTTGCTAATATTACACCACTTACTCCCCCCCCTCGAAGTTCGACCAAGATTTTTTTGGTCGAACTTCGAGGGGGTTAAGAAAAAAATTTTTAAAAAAAAAATTATATAGAATTTTTTTTATATAATTTAGTAGTTAAAAAAAAAAAATTTATCATATTCTTCTGTATGGTTGAGAGGGTGTAAGGGTTAGAAAAAATAGTGCAAAATGGTTTTCTAACGCTTTTTTAGAACTTGAATACAAAAATCGCAAGCTCACACCCACATAGTTTAAAATTTTTGAAAAATTGCTTATTTTCCTAGTAAATTTATATAGGTCTTGGTCGAACTTAGAGGGGAGTTAATTTTCCAAAAAAATAGGAATTTTCCCTATATCTTAGTCGAAACTTCGAGGGGGGGGGGAGTTAGGGCTCAAAATCCATTTGAATTCTAGAGCAATTTAATCTAATTTATTATTGAAATTTGACATAATTCTTTAAATTTTTTCCTTACATAGTAAAAACAATTTTTCTATTATGACTCATTGAATACTTATGCCTTGCATTATTGTCTTTTCTCAACCTCTTTCTTATTTTTCTCATTCTTTAAATCTTTAATTGAACTCCACACAAAATCAATATTTACTTATTTTTACCTAATTTTTAACAGAAATTCATAAGAAAACCCCCAATTTTCCCCACTCCCCTCATCTCTTAATCTTCCATAACATCTTTATATGCTTTCATTAAAATTTAATCTGTGGTAATGCTGCGTGTATTCGCCAGGTCTTTCGCAAAGTATATCCGTGATAAGCCTCACTTAAACGTAGGCACCGTAGGACACATTGATCATGGTAAAACCACGCTCACCGCCGCTATCACACACTACCTCCATCAAAAAGGTATGGCCGAAGAACGAACATATGAACAAATTGATTGCGCTCCAGAAGAAAAAGCCAGAGGTATCACAATCAACACAAGTACTCTTGAATACCAAACAGATAAGCGGCATTATTCACATATGGACTGTCCAGGCCACGCTGATTATGTAAAGAATATGATTACAGGTGCAGCAAGAATGGATGGCGCCATTCTTGTCGTCTCTGCAAGAGAAGGTCTTATGCCACAGACAAGAGAGCATGTCCTGCTTTGTAGACAAACTGGCGTTAAAAGCATCGTGGTTTTTATGAATAAATGTGACTTGCTACCAGACCCAGAACTGCAAGAAATCGTAGAAATGGAAGTCAGAGAAGTCCTTAACAAGTATGAATATGATGGTGAGCATACCAGGTTTGTAAAAGGATCAGCTTTATGTGCATTGAATGAGCCTGACTCAGAGTATGGAATTAAAAAAATCCAAGAATTGCTTGACGCTATGGACGATTCTTTGGTGATCCCTGAAAGGCCCAAGGACAAGCCATTCTTTTTAAGTGTTGAAGGAAGCTACAATATTGCTGGGAGAGGCTGTGTGGTCACTGGGACTATTGAGCACGGAGTTATCAAGCCAGGTGCAGACGCTGACCTTATTGGAATTAAAAAAGACCCTGTCAGAACTGCAGTAATCAGCGTAGAAACCTTTAAAAAAACCTTAGATGTCGGAGAGCCTGGAGATAACGTCGGTGTACTATTAAGAGGTCTAAGAAAAGAAGATATCCATAGAGGGCAAGCCGTCACCCCACCAAACACATATCAAACTAACTTTAACTTCGAAGGGCAGCTCTACGTCCTAAAAGAAGACGAAGGTGGCAGGAAAAAGCCATTTTTCTCTGGATTTGCCCCTCAATGTTTTATTAGAACTGCTGATATTCAGTCAAAAATTTTGTTCCCAGAAGAGAAAAAAATGGCTGTAGGAGGAGACCATTTCTCTGCTAAATTTAAATTGCAGATGCCACTTCCACTATATGTCGGGGCAAGATTTGCATTGAGAGAAGGAGGGAAAACAGTTGGTGCTGGTGTTATTACGAAATTGTTACCTGATGAAGAAGAAGATATACAAGGGGAAAAAAATAGAAAGAAAAAGGCAGGGCCGGGAGCTGGAGCTAAATCTTAACTTAACTTAAAGAATCTATACGTTTTCGTCCACTACGGGGTAGCGGTTACCCAGAGCTGCCACCATTTTTACGTGTGTCGGGCCCACAGACCGCTGGGCCAGCCTGCTTTGTTGCACCAAGGCACGCTTGGAAATGACGTTCCCGGCTTCGACGGCTCATGAGTGAGCGACTTCATCTTGCTTCCTTGACACCGTGTGACGACTAAAGGCTCCTTCGCTGCCGCAGGATGGAAGTGGAAAAACCACAGGCCTTCAAGCTCCCTAAGGGCTGGTCAGACAGACTAGCCTCAGCCGGGATAGAATTCCCATGTAAAACCAAGCCTCATAATCATAAAATACAGAATGAGTGGTGCCGATCGGGAGATCGGTACCGTACGAATGTCGCCATTTTATGATTAAGCTGGAGCTAAATCACCAAGTAAGAAGTAATAAGAACTTTATTGATTATTAATCTTTTTGCGTACAAATTATAAATAAAATAGAATGTTATAGAATTTATAATAAATGGGCAAGAAAAGGAACCAGAAATCACAGTCGAAATACACAAAAAGCAGCTTGAATCAGGGTAAAAGCCAGCAGATGCCATCTGATGAAAGCTCTGCAGGGGAATTAACTCATATCAGGCTAACACCTGAGGCTTTTGCTTATTCTATTCCTGAAAATATTGAAGAAATTCAAGAAGATGTTATAGTATTTTATATAAGCATTTTTATTATATTTATTATTAAAAATAAGTTTCTGTTGCATTTAGCATGCATAATTTATAATGAAAAATTATAATTATGTATTTAATTATATCACATCTATAAATCAAATTTACAACGAATATTTCAACGATTTTCTCTTACGAAAAGAAAAGAGGCTTTCATCGAAATCTCCTCTAGAGCAAGTTCAGCAGTACAACTTAGCTGTAGACAAAAATTTTAGAAAAAAACTAAGAGATCAAATAAAACAACTCATATTTGCGAAACTCTCAACAGAATTGACTGATTCAATACTTGATTGCGTTCATAATTTTATAGACTCATTGGACAGTCAAATAGAAGAGCTTGAAGGAAAAAGCAAAGCCTTAAAAGTTGTATGACGGTCCATTAAAATATTAAAATAATCTATATTTTTTTAATCAATACAAATTTTAGGTCTTTTATATATTTTCTATTTCTGATATAAAATAAAATAATAGGAGTTAATGCTAGGACTTATATTAGTGCAAAGGAATACATTTTTAATAAAATTAAGCCTATTTATTGTAAATGGCATATGCCTTTACGAAGCTTTTCATTCATTACAAAATGCTGCAGCCGAAATAGGGAAAATTGTGAGATATCTTTTTATTGATCCTTCACTAAAGTTTGAGGAAATCAATAAGCTGATATTTTATGAGAAAATTGTGAAAGATCAGTCTGATGTAATTGAATACGTAAAAAATAATCATTCTCAGCATTATCTAGTTCCAGTCGTAACAAAAATGGAAAAAGATTTAAGATATATGTGGAAAGACTTAGAAAATCACTATAAATTGCCAATAGAATGTAAAGAAATAACTATGATTTATAACACAAGCGATAATTCAGATAGTAGTAGCGATATCGAGGACAAAATTGAGCCTCTACACAATATGCCAATTGATGAATTAGTTAACTATATAAATGGGGAAGGCAAGAAAAATTCAAAATTGCATAAAAAGAAAAGAAAAAATAAAAATACCGAAAATCAAATTATTCCAGAAGATGAAAGTGCTGATAAAGAAGTAGAAGATTTTATGAAGAAATTAGAACAAAACTCCATGTGGGAAACACGAATAAAACCGAAAATCACTGATGATTTCCTCAATAATTTAAGAAATCAAATCCGGGAGACGAAATATATATTTGCTTCACCCCCCCTTTAAATTGGAACAAAATATCGGTAAAATTTCCACTTTTTTGGTAAATTAACCCCCCTTTAAATTGGAACAAAATTTTTAATTTTATAATAAAAAATTATATATAATTTTTATCTAAAAAGTTTTGATATAAGTTAAATGCTTCTTCTTAACTAAAATTAAAAATTTAGTTATATCTTGCTCTTTTTTAAAGAAAAAAGTATAAAGAGCATCTTATTTAAATAAATTTATTATCCTTAATTGGTAAATTTTAAAAAAAAATTAATTTGTTTTTTTTGATAAAAATGATATTTTTTATTTGGATAGTTTTGATATAAATTCAATAGGAATTCTTTATAAAATTTCAAAATTTACTTATTTCTTGCTTTATTTTAAAGAATAGAGTATAAATAGCATCTTATTTAAACAAAATTAGCACTTTGATCGATAAATTTTCCAAAATTTTTTTTTTTTTAATTTTTTTTATCAATAAAAATAATAATTTTTGTGTAAATAATTTTGATACCAATTAATAGTGGCGTATTAACTAATATGAAAATTTAGTTATATCTTGCTTTGTTTTAAAGATAAAGAGTAAATAGCGTTTTATTAAACAAATTTATTAATCTAATTCGATAAGTTTTTTGAATTTTTTTTTTTTAAAATTTTATATTTTTTATAAAAAATTTTATATTGATATTTTTTTTTAAAAAAAAATTAAAATTGGAACAAAATTTTAGTTCCAATTTAAAGGGGGGGGGAGTCAGAATAATTTAAAAAATCTTTCAAAATATTTTTACTGATTTCCATATTAATTACTTCGATTAAAATGGGAAAAATATAGATTTCCTTACTCCCCCGGATGTGAGTGAACAAAAATTGTTTTAATATAAAGTATTTTTATATATAAGTGATAATTAGTAACTGAAATTCTAGACAATTCTGTTCCATTTTAAACAGCTTGCATTTTAAAGCATAATTTTGCAAATTAAATTATTTTTTACTTCTCAATTTTTACGAATTTTTTTAAATTTTGAAAAAAAAAATAACCCCCCTTTGTGAGTGAATAAGATATTTTTGTTCGCTTTTGGAGAGTGGAGAGTTAGGCATTATAATAATATCCAAAACCAAAATATAGTCCTAATGAGAATTTTTCAGGAAAAGGCACAAAAATAAAAAGTAGATTTTAATTTAAATATGTAACTTAAAACATCCATCATTAAATTCAGTCTGAGCAAAAGGCGCCATTATGCTCGCCATAATTTTAGTGATTTTATATATATGATAGATAGGAGATAAATATGAATTCATCTTCGTCAATTGTTGATGATAATCAACCCAGAGGCCCGTCTCGCCGAATTAGCCAAGAAAATGTGAGATTCAAAGGAAGGCCTATACAATTAAAATGCAATCCTATATTCAGATTCAATTATTTTGCCGCTTGCTACAATACAAACTATAACATGGTAAATGGAGTTCGATTCCAAAACATCAAAAGGAATAAATTTTATTATTGACTTTATCCGATTTTTAGAGTTAGGTACTTATTTCTCCTTATTAAAAATATGCATTAAATTTGATTTAAAAGGCATTTTTAATTTTAGATTTTTTCTCTTCAAATAATTATTTTAAAATCCGATGAGGTTAGTGATTAACCTTTCACTCAGCTTTGTGCCTTTCTTCAACTTTATATAGCCCACGACCTGCTTTTAATAGCCTGGGTTACGCGTTGCTGGATCAACATGTGGGATTAACGCTGCCAAGCCACCCACAAGTTGACAAGTGAAAAATATACTGACGCTTGCCAACTCATGGGCTTAACTTGGCCACTGATGAGCTAATCCGTGTAACCCAGGGCGATTAAAAGCAGGCTCTCGGCTATATGACTTATAATGCTTTGCGCTATGTGGTGAATTTATGAAAGAGGATATAAAATATACAAAGAAAATAGAGGAAAGATAGAGAACCCCTTTCAGCGAATGGTCTATAACCCGGAAATGTGTGAAAAGTATAGGTGCATGAATAAATTCTTGGAGATTTCACCAAATTACTCTCAAACAGAAGAAAGTAAAGTATCTCAAAGAGATGGACGAGTCCAAATTATGATTTATAATGATAAATTTAAATCAATGTTCTATGGATTTACCAAATACAGATGGATTCACATTATTCATATATGCTTGAGCGTTAGCATCATTCTAGCAAATTATCTTTTCCTTTATAGCTTTGTGGATTTTTATCCTTCAGGCTTAACCATTTAATGCAAATTTTAGTCGCAACTCAAGTCAAAGATGAATTCTATAAGCTTAAATTACTGTATGCGCAATAGTAACGCAGCAGCTCTTAGATTTTTGATATCGTTATTTGCAGATTTTTGAAACTTTACCACCTAAGTGTGGAATTTTTTCCGCGTGTGAAAAGGTTTTTTCACGTGTGGAGCCCTTTTGATTTCACATGTGGAATCCTCTTTTCACACGCGGAAAAAATTCCACACTTAGGTGGTAAAGTTCAAAAACCTGCAAATAACGATAATCTTTCATTGGACTAAAGCAAATAATTCATTTCTTATTTTAAACAGTTATTGAAATTATTAATACACTTGAAGATATCTTATTTTAAAAAAAATTTATTTTAATGGCAGCTTTCCATATAAATCTTAATCATAAGTTATTTATAAGGTTTTTACGTCCACTACGGGGTCGCCTTGTCCAGAGCTGCCACAATATTTGTCCTCGTGTCGGACCCGTGAATTTCTGGATCGATCCACTTTGATTCGCCAAAGCACGGGCAAATACAGCGTTCAGGCTTCGCTGCTGCCACGCTTTATTCAGCTCAGCTCCTGCACGTGTTCCTCCTAAGGGTCACCTTTCTCGGGTGTGCTGAGAGGTAAAGACCTGAGCCGCTGAATGCACTGAGAAGCAGTTCCTCTGGCTATCCCAGAGTTAACCGCTATTGCTGTGCAGAAGTTCTCAAGGTAGAATCTAACCCCATAAATAAAATAAAATTGCTTGAGGGAGAGAAAATTAACAGAGCTAATTTCACTCGAGCGAATGCCATTTTATTTTACGCTTTCCTTATAAATCATCGATGATTGCATTAAAATTGACATCAAATTTAATAAAAATCGTTAGATGAGGGTGTTTAATTGGCCAAAAATATTTATTGTTAGAAAATTCAACTGCATATAGTAATATCTGTATAAAACGATTATTATATGAGAAGAAAATACATACCTTTACCTCTTTAGTATAAGTGAGAAAGAATTGAATTACTAAGAAAAAGCCCATTATTGCAGGGGCAACCAAAATTAAGAAGCTTGCATTCTTGAATTAAAGAAAATTAAATTATATTCTTCTTTGCAAATAAAAGAAAAATACACTAAAATAATATATAAATTGGAAAGAATAACACTTGAAATTTACAAAAACCCAGTTTTGAAATCTAAATCCCAAGTTGAAGCAAATAAGTGAGGATAAAAGAGGCATTAAGATATGGCATAAGGCCATAAAACGCTGACCTTATAAGATACATAAACAACTAATCTAAAAAGCCAAATTTATGTCAGAGATTTTCATTGAAATTTGCAAGATGCAATGGGTGAAATTTGTAAATCCATACATTTATTAATTTCAGATGCTAACTCCCCCCCCCCTCCGTGAGCGAACAAAACCATTAGAAAAATCGCCATTTTTTGACCAAAAACCCACCCTCCGTGAGTGAACAAAAATTTTTTTAATAGAAAAAATTTTAATGGAAAAAAATTTTGATATATAAGTGATAATTAGTATAATGAAATCTAGAGCTAATTCTGTTTAATTTTAAACAAATTGCGTTTTAAAAACATAAATTTTGCAAATTAAATTAATATTTGCTTCCCAATTTTTGCAAATTAGGATTTTTTTTAAAATTTCGAAAAAAAATATTTTATAAAAATTTATATATAAATTTTTTTTTAAAAAAAAAAAATTAACCCCCCTCCGTGAGCGAACAAAATTTTTTTGTTCGCTCACGGAGGGGGGGGGGGAGTAAGAGCTAAGAAAAAGTAGATTTATGACTAAACTAAATTTAGGATATTCTTAAAGATAAAGTTAGAGAAAATCATGAAACAGCAAAGATGATAACTTTTTGAAATTCAATTAATAGAAAGAGATTTGAATAAATTTAATGTAAAGATTGGAAGATTTTAAAAAGTTTAAAATTTAAGACAAAATACTGAAATATAACTCATACATTCTTTTCAATATTAGTGAGCCAATAAAATTTTGTTCGTGGCTAATTTTTTTAAAAAATATTTACAATTTATAGTAAATTTTTTTTTAAAATTTGAAAAAAATCCCAATTGAGAAATAAAAATTATTTTAATTTGCAAAATTTTATGTTTTAAAATGCAAGCTGTTTAAAATTAAACAAGAATTATCTAGAGATTTTTATTATAATAATTAACACTTATATATTGAAATATTATTTTCTTAAAAATGTTTGTTCATCTCAGGGATAGGTTTTTACCAACAAATAGAAATTTTTGCAACGGAGTTTTTTGAAAAAATTCAATCTCTACAGTCTAGCAAAAAATCTTGCTCGGTCAAGATGAAAGATTTAGCAGTATCCAGCATGCATGAATTTTGAATTAGCACAATTTTTTTCATCTCAAAATTTTTGTCTTCAACTCAATAATATTAAAAAAATTTATATTTCCCAGTTAAGCCTTGTTGACATTAATTTTTTATTTAACTTATCTTTTAAATGATAATTAATTTGCTTAAAGCTGATGTCTAGATTTCAAGTAAAAGAATATAGAAGCCGTTTAATGTCAAGACTCATGCGAAAAACTCATGAAGTTGAAAAGCCATGCCCAAAAGTTGAATGTCACAAGGCAAGTTTATCTCCTAGATATTCTGCAAAATCCACAAAAAGAGTTAAAACATGCACTTCTATGGAAGCTAACCAAGGTAGAAGTAAACAAAAACTTGATTTTGGAATCCCTATTTTAAATGAATCTTGCATTTCTATTAAGAATCATCAGTTTGAAGTCTGCACTTCTACGAGTCCTTGAAAGGATTACGAAGATGGTGATATGGCGAATTCTTTTGCTTGCTATGCAATACCTAACCCTTTTGAGAAATAAGCAAAATTATTGAAAAAAAATTAATTTAAAAATTTAACCCCTTTGCTAGCCAAGAAAATTGTTTATAATATGAGATCTCTTGCTGATTATATTAAAGATTGGCAGTATGCTCTCTAAAACATTTTAAATATATTTTACTAGCATGTGGATTTCTTAAATCTAGAAAAATAGATTCTTATATAAAATTTTAAAAAAATTAATTAAAGAGCAAAAGATCTTTCTCACTAACCAAGGCGTAGTAAGATATGTGACCTGAATAAATCAGCATTTAAAGAGCCGATAAAGTTAGACACAGAAAGAAAAAGGAAGACTATAATTATAAAAACTAAAGACACAAAATGAGAGAGACTAGACACTAAAAATGAAGAGGATTTTATGATTTCTTCTACAGGTGTTAGTGAAGTAAAAATAGAAATGAAAACACATGAAGAAATCTCTAAGATTCTGACAAGAAAAACTTTTCTAACTCTTAACCTAAAATTTAATACAACTTTCATCATTATTAATTAAAAAATTGAACATAATTAGCTTGCAAAATAGAGAAAATCATATGAAATACATTATTTAAGTATGCAAAGATATTAATTTTTTTATTGTCATGCTAAAATATTTGTAACAGTCATTAATTGAAGATAAGAAAATCCAAATGCCCTTTATCTTTAATGGAATTGCCAAGTGATATCGGAAAATCAGAGAGAAATGCCTATAAAGAAGAGCCGAAAAAAACTTCTCAAACCTTATCCTTTTATCGAAAAATGGCACCTAAATCACAAAAAGCAATATCGCAGCATAATTTAAATCTTATGTTAATTAAAAGAAAATTATCTTCTGATTCAGCAATGTCAGAAAGAATAGTAAAAGGAAAAGTTTTTGATTTGAATGATATATTAAATGTTAGTAATGGAAAGATTTCAAGGAGACATTTGTAATACACAACAATTAAATTGCTGTAGCTTTAATATAATAATTATTATTAACTATCGAACATTCCATGATGGTGCTACAATGCTTTCATCCAGATCTTCTTCTGATTCTCCTGAACTTTCATGATTTTTTACCAAAGGAGTTTTTTGCAATTTATTTAATCCATCTTTAAATGCATGAACAAGCCTAGCCCATAAAATGCTATTTTCTGAAGATCATATTGAAAATTCAATAGTGAATTAAGTGATTTAGATAATTAAATTGGCATCCTGAGGACAGGTTTGCAGTTGTCAAGTCCTTCAGCTTGCACTAAAATTACTGGTCTTGGCAGGTGTCGAGCAGGTGACCTTGACTTGCTACCCCAAGGACGAGATCGAAATCTCCCCGGCCAATCGCATGTGGGGCAAAACCTCATAAGAGGAAAACCCATCATCAAGGTCCTCTCCAGATGTTGTACTACAATGGCTTCTCTCCCTGCGCCAGGGGATAACTAAAATTTCGGGAACCTTACCAAGGCGTTCCTCACCGTCTGCCTAATCTCCCTTATAGTCTGGAGCCAATTGCAACCTGCAGTGGGAGGCCAGGAACTCTCTAGAACTAACACCTTGGATCAATTTCAACAATTGCCGTCAATTCGGTCAGCCCTCGTTGGAAAACAGCTACCAGATATATCTTTCAGACTTCCCCATTTTAATTATGAATTCAATAGGAATTTTTTCATATAAAGTAATAAACTCCACAGTTTTCTTTGAAGGATTTTCTATTTCTTTTATTTGTGAAAATGATGAGACCATGCTGTGAAGATCATTTAAAACAGTAACCAAATATAGTAAATTTGATGTTAAGAAATTTTGACTTTTAATGACTCCTGCACCTAGTGAAGGAGTTGTAGGTCTTGGCTGATTTTTTTCAGTTGCATAGGATGTTGAAGGTCTGACTAAGTGGGAGCTAGAAGAATTTAGCAATTTGCTATCAATTATTCATGTGGAAAATAATTTTGCTTGCTTTATTTTTTTGAGGCTGATTTCTCTTTCGCTTTTAAAAAGCTCATTAAAATCAATTTGTTTTTCCAAAATTTGAAAAAATTGGTAGCCTGCGTAAATTTTACATATTGATCCAATTATATCAAGAATTCTCTTTTCATTAAAATATTTACAACTTTCTTTATACTCTATGTGTCAATCTAACTTCCCCCTCCATGAGCGAATAAAACCATTGGAAAAAATCCTTATTTGTTGGGTAAAAATCCACTCTACGAAAACGAAAAGAAAAAATTTCTTATGAAAAATATTTTGATATATAAGCGAGAAATCTCTAGCTAATTCTGTTTAATTTAAAGCAGCTTGCATTTTAAAACATATATTTTGCAAATTAAATTAATTTTTATGAATTGAATTTTTTTAATTTCGAAAAAAGCAGTAAGATTTATATATAAAATTAAAAAAAAATAATAACCGCCTTCCGTGAACATTATTTTTTGTTCTCTACGGAGAGGAGAGTAAGCGATAAATTAAGAATTAAAATTATTCTAATAATAAGTTTTATTTTTACCCTAAAAATCCGATTCAATGCCATATTGTATAGCTTTTTCCAAAGATTCAATCAAACTTTTTCCAAACTTATAAGCTGTTTTTACATCAACAACTTTCACCAAATTTACTTCAATCTTAGCTGCATATTTTCACATTTCCTAATTTATTTTTACTCTTGCTTCTTCATACTCTTTTTTCAATTTATTAATTGCGCTAATAAATTTCTTATGGCTTGGAGTGTCCACAAAAATTGAATCCAATTTTGCAATACAAATATCATTGAGTTCTTCCATAATTTCAGATAAAATTTTGCTTTTGTCTTTCCAATAAAGTATAATAGATTTAGGATCTGTGTCTTCTCCTCTGATTTCTTTTTCTTTTATTTCTTTTAAAGTGGATACTAGAAGAGAAGCCCAAGTTTCTAATACTTCAAAGCATCTTCCTGAAAAATTGGGGTCTTTTCTGACAACTGAAGCGCGGTTGATTGTAATTAGTTTTAATTTCTCTTCAAGATCAGGCGGGATGAAAAATCATTGCTTTGGGCATTTTTCTTCTCTAATAGAAATAGATTTTGGCTTAGGCTTTGTTGAAGATTCAGGTCGAGATTTAATGGTTCTTACTCTTACATCTTTTGCTGCCTGTGGGCTTGGGTTATAACCTTTCAGTGCTCCACTTATAGATGAAAAAAGGACTCTTCACATCAATATAGAATCTACTACTTCATTGAAAAATAATGAAACTTTTTTGATTTCTTGCAGTTCTTCTGTTGTAAGATAGCCTAATATATCGACTCCATTCGATTGAAGGACTGATATAAGCATCGCTTATAAAAATAATTTATGCTAATTATGCCATTTTAAATCTTAGAATTAAAAGAGAGTAGCTTAATTCTTCTCCCTTTAAATTTGAGAAAATTTTTAATTTTTCGATACAAGTTTTATTGGTGAATATAATAATGTCTATATTATTATTATTAACCTATCTATCGCTGCATGAGCAGCATTTCTCTCTTTTTCTCATAATCGAATAATAATTTCTGTATAAATTAATCTACTTTGATAGAGAGAGAGTGCAAACAGAATGTTATTTAAACATATGGAATCCTTAATTCTTCAAATTTATGAATGAATTCTAATATAATAAATTAACACCAAAATAATATAATCAATTTATATAGATTTTTTATGATAAAAAAATTCTTATAATAATTTTATTTTAAGCATAAGAATTTTTTGTTGCAATTTAAAGGGGGCATAGTTATGTTCTTTTCCCAAGCTTATGATTTCTCTATAGTGATAATTTTTCTCTATAAGCTCTTATAATATTTAATTTATCTGTAGTAATTAATATATATATATTTCTATATATATTATCCCCAAAATGCTCTGAAGGAATAAATTTTTCAATGAAAGATAGAAAATTTCATAAAAACTTTTATAAGCTGTATCTCAACTAATGCTTATAAATGTTTTATAGGCTTCTATTTAAAATCTTAAAATAATATTTTTTTAATTTTAAATTATTTAAATCATATAAGTCTGGGAAAATAAAAAACAATTTTTATAAATTTATTAGTTATAATTAATATTTATTGGGCTCCATAAGCGGATTTCCCTGGCTTTAATATTGAATTTTGGTTCCACATGCTAATAAATTTTGAATTGTGGAATTCGATCAGATATTAATGCAATATACTACACCCTAATTATCAGCAAACAAAAAAGTGTTCCAAATTAAATCTGGGTAAAGTAAGAGATGTGTTTCTAATACAAAATTGATTTTACGTGCCCTGAAAAGCCTGATTTTTTGGTTAGCACTGAATTTTTTTCATATAAGACTACAGTTAAGTTTTCACCTCTCAGCTTCGCATCTTCACAATCGAGCATATACTTTCTGCCATAATTATTAAGAATATAATTTTTTTTCGATAATTATTTTAACTTTCAATGACTATGATTAATTATGCCTTTTTGTTATTTAAATACGAAATTGATAGTTCTTTTCCACATTTTCTCTTCTGCAGTACTGAAATATGCTCTCTATATTCTCTAATTATATCCAATCTCTCTTTAGGTATCAAAGGCAAAAGTTGTTCAATTCTTTCAATCAATGTTTCCTCTTTCTCATAGGCAGGCAAAAGTCCATTGCAAAAAGATTTGCCAAATTCATGCTCACACCTATTTATTATTTCAATCACTTTATCAAAGTATTGATCTGTAAACGATGCTAACAATTCAGCTTGTCTAGACTTATTAAATCCTGACATTACAGCTTCTCTATCATAATTAGACAACTGCTCACCATTATTAACAATTCTATCCCAAGTTGCTCTCTTTAATTCAAAAACTGGATAAGCGGATTCACAATAAAGAGCGGCAATATGCCCTGTATCCGAAGCATCCTTTTTGCATTCTTCTTTAACTATTGCGTCAGCTTCATAAGTGATTTCTGACTCTCCCCTCCGTGGTGAACAAAACCATTGGAAATACCTATTTTTTGCCCAAAAACTCACCCGAGCAAAAATTTTTTTTAATATAAATATATTTTATTAAAAATTTTTTTGATATATAAATAATAATTATTATAATAAATCTCTAGCTAATTCTGATTAATTTTAAACAGCTTGCATTTTAAAATATAAATTTCACAAATTAAATTAAATTTCGCTTCTCAATTTTTATAAATTGATTTAAATTTTGAAATTTTCTATATAAATTTTTTTAAAAAAAATTAAAGCGAACAAAATTTTTTTGTTCGCTTACGGAGGGGGGAGTGAGTATTTTTTAATGATTGACCATCTGTCATTTTTCCCGAGTTTCCAGTTTGGAATGCCAGTGTTGTTATTTAGAACCCATTGGACTGCTCTTTCGACATCATCTTTACGATAGATAAAGCCTAAAGCTTTATTTTTGTATGTGATGGATTCTTGATCTGATGCTGATTGATTAAGCTTGCTGAGGGTTAATGCAAATAAATCGTGGATGAGATTCTCTTTTTCAGGACAAAGTGGGATAAATGATGATGCTGCACTGGCGTAGTCAAGGATGAAGTTGGCAATTTCAGGGTCTTTTTCAAGAGGAGCTTGAGCTAATGCAAATTCAATAAACTCAACGCCTGACATTCTAATGTCTCTTACCATATCCCATAATGCACGATAAACTAATTGGCGAGTTAAAGGCTGAGGAATTTTTGAGAGATGAAGTTTATATTATTTTCATTGGATATGGTGCTGCAAATTGCTATAATAAAAAGATAAAAATCCATTTATTTTTTAAATGAGATGCTATCTTACTCCCCTCTGTGATCAAGAAAACTATTGGAGAAGTCTATATTTTGGAAAAAAAATCCTTTTAGAGCGAGAAATATTTTTCCTCAAAAATATTTTATTATAAGTATAACTCATGAAATTTCTATAGATTTTCATCATCGTAAAAATAGCTGTTATAATGGGCTTTATATTTGCACACCTTAGACCAGACCCCTCAGTATTTTGAGAAATATTTAGGATTTAATAAAATTTCAATTATTTTAAACTAGCTTATTAATTTCTTTATAAAAATATTTCTGGCAGTAGCATGAAGATCAGTAAAATAAAGTCAAGGTATATTTTACAATTAAACCACTTACTCGAAAAGTGGCAAAATTACATTGGACCAAATCTGGTTAACAACCATTTTGATAAGTAAACGGGGTAAACTTAAAAAATATCTTTATTATAAAAATTAATAAATTCATTATTGTTCAATTTTCTTTGTCTAACTTTAGCGAATTCAAAAAACATTGGCTTATGTATATGCACTAGAAAAAGATTTGAACTGACTATTTTTCTGGTGAAGTGTAGAAACAATCTGACTGAAGTTTTAGTTATTAGACATTAATAATTGCGAAGCTTCAGATTCCAGCTTATTTTGCACATGGATTGCTATTCAATTTTTCTTGTCAAACATATGACTGTAGCAAATTTCAATAATGACTTCTATTTATCTGGTTGAACTAGTTTAAAACAAGTGATTTTTGTAATTTTATAATATTTTGGCGTTGTTTCTGATCGGCTCCCACGAGCCAAAATGGGTTTCCACGTGGAATTTCTGGATTTTCACGTGTGAAATCCATCTTTGGCTCGTGGGAGCCGATCAGAAATTTAAGCAACTGATTATATCTGAATTTTCATATACATAAAATGGCGTATGGCGACCGACCCTCTCAGTGGTGGTTACCCATGTATATCCGGGCATGGTTTTTGGAGCCAGGAATTAGCCCAACAACGTCTGGGACCTCGAAGCGAGAGGCCTAAGCGCGAGAGCCGCTGTTTTTGCGACCAGACCCATGGGCAGTTATTCGTGACTTCTTTTTGCCAGCAGCGCTCAGCTCAGTGAGTGCCCGAAATGAGGCAGGGCGACTTACCTGCCTAGGTTGCTTTAGTGGCTCGCCCCGAATGGCGAAAGCTGTTGAGTTCTTTCTCGGGATGACCGGAAAAGAGGGGAGGCGAGTTAGACACCAGAACGGGGGTCTCTCCAGTTGAAAAGGTGCCCTTCAATGGGCAGATCTGGCGGACGACGAAGCGGAGTTGGCGTAAACTTAGGCGACGATCCAAGTTGGAAATGGAGGTGGTCAGCAAAGCCGGTATAAGACGGCCCTTGACAATACCTCTACCGAGAAACCGGGGGTTTCGGCCCGGGCTTGGTGAACGCTCTGCCACCACACGGGAAACCGTGGCATGCGACCTCGGACGTAGTAGGGACCTTAAATACCCAGCGTAATCTAATCTAATCTAATATCTGAATTTTCCTCTAAAAATTGAGGGTCTAGTCTAAGATGTGCAAGGTATGATGTCCATTAAAGCGAATATTTCTTTGATGATGACGATCTATAAAGGCTCATGAGCTATAATAAATATTGATGAATTTAAACAGCTTACATTCTAATATATGTTTATATTAAAATAACTTTTCAATTTTTATATTCAGGATGCTTTAAAATAAAATTAATATAAACATTATATACAAAATTTTGAAAAAAATAAATGCCCCCACTTCTTGAAGAAGCAAATTTTTTTCGCTGGCTTACGGGAGAATTAGTTAACAATAAAGCGAAATAGCGGCATACTTAATAAAAATGGATTAAGAGTGTTAAATGAATGTTCGTCTATTCTTATTTTGCAATAACCCCAGTCTTCTACGTTTAAAATAGCGCATGATACAGGCAGACCATTAAATTGTTCAAGAACTGTTTCGTCTTGAGGCAAAACTGTTATAGTCGCCTTTTGAATTGAGTTCATTGAAGAATCAAAAAGCTCTACAATTATTTTATGGTCTCTTAAGGTAGGATGCTCTGGCAAAGCAGCAGACTGTTTAATCACAAATTTTGTGACTTTCCCTTCATTATCTCTTTCAATTACTGGCTCTAATTCATTAAGCCCAGCTGTTTTTACCCAAATTTGTGCCCACTGGTTAATATCCCTTAGATTTCCATGATCCCTCGCCTGCTGTGCAATAATTTCAATCAAATCGCTAAATTCAGCATTTAAATACTGATATTTCTGCACATAAATTTTCAAACTTCTAGAAAAAACTTCTCTTCCAACCAAGAAATAAAGCTGTTTCAGCACACTTGCCCCTTTCGAATACGAAATCCCATCAAAATTTGACTCAGTCTGACTCGTGTTTTCTACATGAGTTGAAATAGGATGGGTTGTAGGAAGCTGGTCAGTCGCATATCCCCAGCCTTTTTTCCCTAAAAATTCAATCCACACAGTCGGATGCTCATCAATCAGCTTATCTTCTTTTGCTACAAAAGACATAAAAGTCGCGAAACTTTCATTTAGCCACAAATCATCCCACCATTTCATAGTCACCAAATCTCCAAACCACATGTGAGCCATTTCATGCAAAATAACTTCACATACTCTTGATATCATTAAGCTAGAAGGTGGATCTTTAAATAAAAATTGGTCTCTGAAGGTCACACAGCCAATATTTTCCATAGCTCCAAATTTAAATTCAGGGACAAACAGTTGGTCATATTTAGAGAAAGGATAATTGTACCCGAAAAATTCATTGTAAAATTTGAAGCCTTCGATTGTCCATCTGAAATATTTTTCAAAATCTAGGTACTGCTTTAAGGTTTTTCTACAAAATAGCCCAAGTTCTATGTCGACTTCATTGTTATCATTTCTGAATTCCTCATAAGGACCAGCACAGACAGCAAATAAATAAGTGCTCATTTTGGGGGATTGCTTGAAAATATGAAGAGAATAAGGCTCTGATACAGCGCCAGGAACTGTGGGGATTGGAATCTTTGAGGTGCATTTTTCATTGGAAATTACTTTCCATGATCTTGGAGCAACTATAGAAAGCTTAAAAGTGGCTTTGAGATCTGGCTGATCAAAACAAGGAATAATTCTGTTAGCTGAAAAAGGCTCGCACTGAGAGTATACGTAGCATTCCTGGTCTTCTGGATCTTTATAGTGGTGAAGGCCTAAGCCATCATTAGAATAATTATTTTGATATTCTATTTCAGCGATATTTTCACCCTGCTTGAGGTTTAGAAGGTCTATCTGGCTGTTTTTCCAAGCAATTTCAGAGCTTTCTCCATTAATTTTGACAGAATCAACTTGCTTACCGTGGTATTCCACAAATGCCCTGACTGCTGGATTTTTGCATGTGAAAAATATTTTCACTACTCCTGAAAACCCAGATTCTTTGGTAATAGCTAATGATACTTCATAAGATACCCCTTCAATGTTTTCTGATCTTATTTTTGCATCGTCACACGTAAGCGTATATACTTCTGCCATAATTAATATTATTTCTAGTTAAATTTTCTTAAATTTGGGTTATTTTATTGTTAAATAATTTAGGCTTTTTCGGCAGGCTGTTCAGGCTGGACTTCTTCAGAATTTTTTTGATTTTTGCTCTTTTTCTTTTTATCTTCAGAGGATGACGAATCAGATGAATCTGACGATGTTTTTTCTTCTTTTTTATCCTTTCCATCATCCTTATTCCCCATCGTGAGCGAGCAAAACCATTAGAAAAACCCTTATTTTTTGACCAAAAAAAACCACCCTCCATGAACAAACAAAAATTTTTTAAGTAATAATTAGTATAATGAAATCTCTAGCTAATTCTGTTTAATTTTAAACAGCTTGCATTTTAAACAGAAATTTTACAAATTAAAATTATAATTTATATTTTTTTAAAATTTTATAAAAATTAACCCCTCCCAGAGTGAATAAAATTTTTTTGTTCGTTCACGGAGGGGGAGGTAGCTTTTTTCTTATCATTTTTGGTGAGGTAATCTCTTGATTTTCTGACAGGTTTTTGGCAATAAACAAACTCTCTCAGTCCGTGAGCTGTTAAAAGTCTTGCAGTTACACCATCTTCAAAGTTTTTAACGAACACTGATAAGCTGATTTCTTGTTCTTCACCCTCTCCAGTTCCTAAGAATCTAGCAATTATAGCTGTCTTTGATACTTCTTGGTAACCTCTTAGGTCTTTTAAGTATTTTTTAACCTCATCCTCGTTTGCAACGTGGTGAGGGCATACCAGAATTGGTAGCTTATTTATCGATATATCTAACATTTCATCAACAAGAGCCTGTATAATTGATTTTGGCAAGCTTTTTTGATTCTTGATGTCATATATCTCAAATAGAAGCCTTGCTTTATCAGAAGCTCGGCCCTCGCTTAGCACAAGTAGAATACTATTTAAACAGTTTTACACTGAATCGATAAATCTTTTTATTTAATTCTTCTTTTTAAAAATAAATTAAAACCTAAATTTTTTTTGCTCAATATATATTTTTTTAAAAAGAGTTAAAGATAGAAAGCGTTTTCACACTAATCTCTTTCAAAAAAGAATTAAAATTATCGAGCTCAATTTATATTTTTAAAAATCCTTTTAAATTGGAACAGGATTTTTTTGTTTCAATTTAAGTTGGTCGAGTTTAGCAAACTCCAATAATTAGTAACGATCTAAGAGGCAGCTTTCCATCTATGCTTTTAAAGCTGCTGAAAAAATCTTCAATTTTAGCATTTCTTGGAGTGTTTTCTGATTTAATTAGAAGAGAATTAGAAATGTCTCTTCATTGCTCAGCATTGATTAAGCCAGAAACTGAATATTTTCTGTGGACGAAATCAACATCTCTACTGTATTTATTTCCATATCCCAATTCTTCTTCTGCGATCATTATAGCTCTTTCTTCAATAGAAATTGATGACTTTGAATCAACACAACCCATTTTTATTAGCTGTTTTAGCCACGAATAATTATCTGGTTAATATCGGATAAAAGAGATATTATGCTTTGGGATTTTTGCTTATTGTACTTCACAATTAAAATAATTTGCATAAGAAGATATAAGATTTTGTCAAAAGAAAATAATGTCAAGCATTATATATATAAATAGAAAATTCTAACTTAAATTTTAGATTAGATTAAGATGTATATTTATAGTCCTAACTTCCTGAGAACCATGCGTTCTATAGTGTAAGCCGTCGGGGTGGACGTGCTGTGGTTAACTTGAGTCTTGGTTTCTTGGTAGAGGCATTTTTCTTTCATGTCCAAGTCATATGGACTTCACTGGGAGCCTCCATTTACAACCCAAGCAGCCAGCGTACCCAACTCTGCTTAGCTTATGCCATACCGCCCCTTTAACGGAACCCTTTCAGACTGAAGGACTGTCGCCCTTGAGATTCTTTTCTAACCTGACTTCTCTTTTTGCCCTGGTTCAGTACCAAAAGAAAAGCTCAGCCGATTGCAAAAAACTGCTACTGTATCAGGCCACTAATTAGCGAAAATAGCCTCTCGCCTCGGGCTAGTCTAACTCCTAGGCAGCTCTTTGCATCAAAAACCGCGTCCGATATACATAAGTAAACCCGCCACAGAGAGGCGGATCATTTGTCACCAGCCATGCAAGTATATAAATTTTGGGACTAAATAAACAATCCAATGCATAATTTTAATAGTTGGCTTAATCTAATATAGATCAAATAAAATACTTATTATAATTTCTAAGCTCATATGCTGAAATAATATATTAACTTAAAAAAATTACAAGGCATAGAAAAACTCATTTATAAGCCAAATTTTAATTGTTTCTCCTTGAGATAAGCTTTAATGCAAAATGGTAAATTGATAATTTACAGCAGATTGTAAAAATTGCTTCCAATATGATTTCATCTAGAATTTATAATTAAAATAATAAAGCGTGTAAAATATTCTCAGTTAGTTAATCTTAAATTATTTCTAGCTTTAGATTGAGACTATATTTTATATTTTATAATTCATTTAGATGCTTTTTAATTTACGCAAGCTATTTTTATCTTTAAATTATCCCTAGCTTAAAAATGCATTTTAGCAATAGTTATAATTTGGAATATAGCTCACCCCCTTTAAATTGGAACAAAGCACAAGTAGTTTTTGCTTTTTAGGTACTTAAACTCCATTTAAATAAACAAATTTTTATTTTTTTTAAATGGGAAATTTTATAGATGAAATTACTAATTTTATATAATTAGTTTTGGCCTAATTTTACAGAGGAAGGGCAATTAAAACAGTTTAAACTCTGGAATTGATTGATATTTTAAAGTAATTTTTCATAAAAATAAATCTAAAAGATTGCATTTAAATTTTTTTTTATTTTAAAAAATTAACCCCCTCCGAGAGTTTTTGGTTCAATTTAAAGTGGGAGAGTATAAGTAAAAGAGATCAACATAAATTAAATTTTGCTAATACTTTGAATTAGACCTTATCTTAAGTTCTTCACGAATCATTTTTACTTGCTCATATAATTCCCCAACTACTTGACTTTGCTCTATAGCCCTTCTTGCTAAATACGGAATTAACTTGTCTGAAGGGCCAAAAGGTACATATCTTTGAACAGCATAATTTTCTGAAGCTAAAGATGCGCTCATCATAGATTTCATCCCAAGGAGCTGGCCAAACGTCACCCCTCCTCTTAGTCTACCTATTTTTTTCTCATATAATTTTTCCTTACTCATTTATATAATATAATTTGAAATAATTTATTTTAATTATTTAATAATATTATTTTGAATATTTTTCACATTAAAATAAAAAGTAGAATTAGCAAATTCCGCACTTAACCAATTATGGCTTGCAATACATAGCCGATCACCTTGCTTATAATACTGAAAAATTGCTTCAGTATTTGCATGATATGCATAATTTGTTGCTTCTTTTGAGTCATGAATTGGAGAAGCAATTCCTTTTGCCAAAGCAATATCATTTTCTTCTCTCATATAAGCTCCTCTAACAAGCTTTATTCCTAATGATAGAGATTTTTCTTTTGATGCTTGCAAATATGAAGCTAATTTATTTTCTGAGTCTTTCAAATAGCTTTGAATAGTGTTTAAGACAATTGCAGAATTTTTATTGTACTCATTTTGTAATGTCCAGGTAAAGCTATCAATTGCAGCTTGGAAAAATGTTTGCTCAGCATCAATCATCATTGACACATTTTTGTCTTTACAGATGTTATACTATAAAAGATTAAGTTTAAAGAAATTATAAATTTAAAAAAAAACTCAATAGAATTATTCTAGCAGTTTTCTTCATATTTTCTATCAAACTTAACCAAAAACAGTATAGCAATTCTTCTCAATCTAAACATGCAATCTTCAATCCTTTCAATTTCTTTTTCCTCAAATTCTTTACTAAGTCCATCAAATATACTTTCATTAAAAATCCTTATATATTTTTCATTTCCTTTTTGAAGTTTTTTTTCTATGAAAATATTGAGCTTTTCCAAAAGTGCTGTGTCAATTAATGCAGTAACTTTGACTGCTACAGAAGGATAAGGAAATTCCGTGGCACACAACGCAGACTGAATTATTGCTTTTTCGTTATTATCCAACCCTTCAGTAGAAGTTTCCCCTTCTGCGCAATAATCAATGATCCCACCCATGTTTTGAACAGAAAGTCTTTGCAGAGTTTCTCTTAATTCTTCATAAGTCTCTCCTGCACTGAAAACTTTTCCTGCAGTTTTTGAAATATAGTAGCATGTTGCGTGCTTGCCAATCAAAAGGTTTGATATAGAAAGAAACTTATTTATGTTATTCACAAGATAAGGCTGGGCACAGAATTGAGAACTTATGAGGGTATTGAGTAACTCAAAGTTTGAATGGTTTTTGAATGGACGGATCGCTGATATTGAACTTCTTAGCTGCAGCATTATTTAATTGTGTATTATTTATACCAGTAAATTAATAAAATTCAAATTTAGGAGAGAAAATGAAAATTCAGTGAATAAGAAATTAATGAATAAAGAAATTTTTAATATTATAATGATGAGAATCGATAAAATTAGAAAGCTGATCTTAGAATTAAATATACCAATAAAATTGATATAAATTGAGTGACTTAAAACAAGTCGTTTATTGCATTGGCATTTTAATTTCTTAGGTATTAAGCCAAACAATAGTAAGATTAATAAATTTCATGAATTTTAATTTAAATATGTTCAAAATTTTAATCTACTTAAGTTTGCAAACAAGCGGGATAGCTTTTATTGATGCTATTTAGTTTGGATCATTAAAATTGCTGAAAATTTTGATTTTTAATTATATTTTGACATTAACTAAATCATTTATACACAAGGATGAAAAGTTATCCATTTACTAGCCCAAAGCTACGTAGCCAAAGAATCTTAACTCACCTCTGCAAAGGATTTATTCTTTCAGGCAAATACAAAGAAGGTATCGAGTCTCTATCTTACTTACTCCCTCTTCTTGACAAAAAATCACCTAATTCTGAAATCCTTGAACTTATTGAGATTCTAATAGAAAACAGATATTTTGAGAACGAGATCTCAGATATCTCAAGAAAACTTTCAGATCCTGAAGATTCTATGATAATCAGAGTCTTAAGAAACCTTAAAACCGGAAACTATGAAGAAGCTCAAAACATTATCAAGCCTGTAAAAGATAAATAGAGTTCTTATGAAAATTGATTTATTAATTCAGCCAAAAGCCAAGCTATTTGAGCATGCCTTTGCATGATTTTAGAAGAAAATGCAATTGAATTAGCCTTAAAAGCGTATGAGCTTGATCCGATTCCGATTTATGCTCTGCTTTTGGCTGAAGCATATGCTAGGGCTGAGCAGCTCGATAAAGCGAAAGAAATTTTTGAAAGAGTGATAAATAGAAGTAATGATCCAAAAATGATTTTTTATTATTATAATCGAGTATGCAGAGATCCAATTTTGCTACCGTATCTACATGAAAGAGATCCTAGAAATGAAAGCTTGACGCTTGAATATATGGAATTTTTATTGGCTAATCATAATATAAATGAAGCGATTAGAGTTGGAGTAAGGCATGTTGAATACTTACTCCCAGCTCCCTCTGTAAGCGAATAGAAAAATTTGTTTACTCATGGAGAGGTTGCATTTTTTCTTTCAAAAAATATATATACAACATTTTATAGTCGGTAAACACCCCTTTTTTAAGGGCATCCTTACAAAAAGGGGTGTTTTACCGACTATAAAATATGTATAAATTATAAAGGAAAATTTTTTCTTCAATATTAAAACAAATTATAATTCTTAAAAATTAATTTAATTTGTAAAATTTATGTTCAAAAACACAAACTTAACGGAATTAGACCCAAATTTCATTATACTAATTATCACTTATATATTAAATTTCTTTTTCATAAAATATTTTTTGCTCTCCCATGGAGAGGGTTTTTAACTAAAAAATAAAGTTTTCAATAGTTTTGTCCACTCTCACAGAGGGTAGTTAGGAAATTCAGTAAGAGTTAGGTCTTTGATTCAAGAAATCCAAGGCAGAATGGTTATTAAAAATCAGGAATACGATGAAAAAGTACAAATTTAGTGATTTTCTATGAAATTGGTGGATTAATTAAATTTACATAAAGAAGCTTTACACAAGAATTTTGTTAAAATCTTTTAATTGATTTAAAATCTCCTTAATATTAAACTTCTACTCAGAAATATTTAATTTCCCCATAAAATCTCTCTAATTTAAATTTAACAGTATCGATTCATATTTAAATTCAAATGTCAACTATCCTAATCCTCAAACAGCATCATGCATTTTTGCTCGTTGAATCCTTTTCTAGCCAGACACACTTTCATCAAAAACTAATGGTTTTGCAGAATAAATACAATGACGAGGAAAAGTTTCGGCCAGAAGTCGCCAAAAAAAAATATCTGTCAGTAAAAAATCACGATCAAAAGATATGCTAGACCTCAAACAGCTTTTATACCAGCTAAAACCTGAACAAATAAAAGCTTCCCTATCAAGATACTACTCATGAAAGAACGAATCGCTCGACATCCAAGTCACTCAAAAAGCTTATAAATGTTTTGAGTCTAACGTTATTATTGACGACAAAAAATCAGTCGCAGGCTTCGGAAGAAACGAAGATGAAGCTACATTAAATGCAGCGAGAATAGCATTAGAAGGAGTAATTGACTCAGTGACAGGCGAAGATTTAAAAGCCCTCAAAAGAATATTAGAAGGCGATGATACAAAAATTGAGGAACCCCAAATCACGCAAAACGACTCAGAATTAGTCCAGCTGCTGAGAGAGCTAAATTTGGAAGAAAAAGCAGATATTTTTAAGAGAGAAAAAATTGGAGTTAAAGAGCTAAGAAGAATGAATCGGAGAGATTTACATGATATAGGACTATCAGAAAAAAGTGCTGAAAATGTATTTTGGCATTTTCATCCGCAAGCTGTAAGAGAAAGTAATAGCGAATTGTCAAAGTTAAAGGCTGAAAATGAGGTATTTTTTTACTTACTTCTATTTATTATTAATAATATATGAAATTATTGATTGAAGACAATTAATAGATAATAAAAAATTTAATCTAGAGGTTTAGACAGAAATTGCGCAAACTTTTGAATCTAGATGCCCCACCTAGATATCTAATCTGCCCAATTAGCCACGAGCTTATGGAAGACCCAGTGTTCACAGCAGATGGGCATACCTATGAGAGGTCAGCAATTGATAATTGGCTTCGACTTCACAACACTTCTCCAGTAACTGGTCTTGCCCTTGCAGGAAAATCGTTAAGACCAAACTACGCCTTGCGGTTAGCAGTGCAACAATATAAAGAAATAGTAGAAGCCATCCAAGGGAAGCCCTACCCAAAACTCACCTCAGACCCTTGTCGAGACCTCTATAGGACAGCTTACGGCCATCAGTTCAACGATCCTTTTGAGTCTCCATCTCAAGACGATTTACGTATGATGACTTTAAAAGCCGTCAATACCGTAAATGGAGAATTTCACCTCAGGCTGAGCCCAGCCAAAAACATTTGTGACTAATATATATATTAAATAATTATGAGAAGGCTGTCAAACTTATCATCCCATACTGAAAGAGTTTGGCAAGCTGACTGAAGCCCTTCAGGCGACCTTTTAGCAACCTGCAGCGGTGACAAAACAGTGAAAATATGAAGATCAGCAGATGGTCCATTATCTGCATCGTGGGAATGTTGTGATACCTTAGATTCCCACACAAAGTCAGTACGAAGTATAGCATGAAGCCATAGCGGAGAACTCCTTGCCTCTGCCAGCTTTGATGGTACTGTCGTCATTTGGCAAAAACACCATCACAAATTTGAGCCTATGCTAACATTAGAAGGCCATGAAAGTGAAGTAAAATGCGTGTCCTGAAATTTTGATGACAAGTTTTTAGCTACCTGTGGAAGAGATAAAACAGTATGGGTCTGGGAAACTGATATAGATTTTGAATATGAAACAGTCGCTGTGCTAAGTCGGCATACACAAGATATTAAATTTGTGAGTTTCCATTCAAGCAAAAACTTGTTAGCAAGTGGGTCATATGATAATACAATTATTCTGTGGGGGGAACAGGATGGAGATTGGCAGTTTTTAACACAGCTGATTAGCCATGAAGGGACTGTGTGGAGCTTGAAGTGGCTTGATGATGCTCTTTTGTCAGTAAGTGATGATCTTACCCTTAAGGTTTGGGATAAAGAAGGAGATGGGAATTATCACTTGCAAAGGACAGTGTCTGGGATTCATACAAGGTCAATATACTTTTGTGATGCCAGTCCGGTGCTGCCTGTTATTGCGACTTGTGCAGGAGATGATAGCATTATGATTTTAGGGAAAGAGGATTATCAGCCGATTGAAACTGTGAGGTCTTCTCATTTGACAGATGTGAATTGTGTTAAATTCCATCCAAATTTACCGTTGCTGGCAAGTGTGTCGGATGATAAAACAATAAGTATATGGGCTTTGGAACTAGGGCAGCATATAGTAAATGAGTAAAAATATTTTTATAAGGAATTATCTATATAATGTATAGAAATAATTGGCTAATTAATTGCTATTAATTTAATATATGCAGATAACCAGTAGAACTGTTTTTATTCATTATAAATGAGCATATTTATTATGAGTTCTTAATATTTAATAGGACGCTTTCGATCTATTGCGTAATTAAGAATTCTTTCAATCATTGGTGGCCTATTTTGATAATAAGGAATACAGCAAACCCTCCACCCTTTTCTTTCTAAATTTCTTATCTTATTTATAGTTTTTCCATTTAGTGTGTTAGCTGGAAACAAATAATGCGAGGGGCCTTGAATTTCTATGGCGATTTTCATTGATGGTATAGCTAAATCTATATAATAATCATCGTAAAATTCTTTTTCATATTTTATTTGGTGTCTTTTTATAGATGTAAAATAGCTTATTACGTCCGAACCGTCCTCTCGAATGATGGCTACCTATATATGCCGGGCATGGTATTTTGGGTTGGGAGTCCAGCAATATCTGTTATCCTGCAGAGAAGGACTTAGTCACAAATTCCCATGATTTGTGGCCTGATCCAATGGGCAGTTACTTGGACTTCTTTTTGCCAGCAGCACCCAGGCAGCAGGCTACCGAAATGGAGCAGGGCGATTTCGTTGATCAAGTTGCTGCAGTGGTTTACCCGAATCATGGAAGTGGCTGAGGGATAACTTGGAAAAGAGGAACTAAAACATCACTTATCAAGGCGGTTCCTCCATTTAAGGGCCTCCCAACAATTAGGCTATGAAATGATGGGCTGGGTGAAGTAATTAGATGGGGGAATGAAACAAGTTGGAAATAGCGAGTCCTGCATATGTTTCGACCCAAAAGGGCAGCCACTAGTGAGTAGCCAGAGGCTTGCCTGGGCTTGGAATTACCAGCGATGGAAGCCACCCAATTCGCTTCCTCCATCAGGCAGCTCAAGCCGCACCGAATGCCATTCCGTAGAAGCAGCGAACTTTAAATATGCAGCATAATTTAATCTAATCTGGTGTCTTTTTAAGTAATCCTCGACTACTCTTTGCATATAACTATGATTAAATTCTTCTTTCCTTAATTTCCCTCTGTTATAATCAATAGAAATCCTGCCCAAATGAGGATTAATTGCATTTTCCAATTGATTTAAAATAGGATCATCATGTAGCTTTGTGTTCATATAAATCCTATATAAATAAGTATTATATTTATACGAATTTACCTCCAAAATTTCTTTTATTCTGGGTATAAATTTTGTTCAAAATTCTTCTGGGACGTTATAATGTTTTGCCATAGAAGATGCAGCTGGCAAAAGGAAATTGAGAGACGGATTTTCATGAGAGAGCAATATTTCGCTAATACGTGACAAAATTTCCTCATTATCCATAACAGCAGCATGGGTAAAATATTCTAAAATATTAGTAGCAAGTTTGTATCTCAAGTCTTCTTCAAGAGAATCTATCAATAAGCGATCATTATGGCTGAACACCATTATGGCTTGGGCTTTCTGATCTTTCCTGAGGGAAAAGAGGGTTGGTCTAATCAAATAATGTTGGTTTGGCCAATCTCCAATGGCTAAAACCCCTCATTCATGTAGTTCTGCAAACAATTGGGGAGTCTGCCAAACCAACATAAGCTGGTTAAACCAACTCCCCTCTTTCCTGTCGGAAAAGATCGGAAGCCCAACCAAAAAGGTACTCGGGCTATAATAAGCTCTTTAAGCAGATAATTTAGTCTTGAATCAATTCAGTTCAATTAGATTTATTATTCGTTTAACGTCCACTACCAAGTTTCATGCTACCACTGCTGCTTCCAATGCCGCCCTGGGGCGAATTCACGCCATTTTCCCCCGGTCCACCAAAGTGTGGTCGCCTTGACTTCGTTTCACGATGAGGACGCCAGTCTCTTGAAGTTTGGGCTTTGACGACTCTTCTTGAGCTCAGGCTGCCTGCATGCCCTGAAATCCTAGCCCTTGCCGTCAGGGTTAGATGGTCCTCTTCTGGAAAATTCGATTCCTAAAGTCAGAAGTCCTTTAGTAGAAAAACTGCCTATTCTTGCTTGGGATAAATTCGCAAGGGAAGCCAAATCTCATAATTAAAATATGCAAGAGATGGACTTTCTGTCGAGGACCAGAAAATTCGAGCGACTCCATATTTTATAATACTTAGCCTCGAATCACAATAAATTCCATACTGGTTATTTGACCATCACAGTCTGTAGACTGTAATAGAAATATCATTGATGCTCATTTTTTTAAATCTCCTCAAAAATTCTTCATAAAAACCTTTAAAAAGAAAATTCATTATGTATCTTTGGTCAAATGCATACCTCCCTTTATATAAAAAAGGAAAACCTTTGAAATTTTCATCAGATAACTCACTAAACTTGTCAACTAGAATGCCTTCTAAATGCCGTAAAAAATCTTCACTTCCTGTGTTTAGCGAAATATAATTAAAAAGTGTTCAATATACATCATTGACGCTTTCTGCAGAACTAGACAATTTTTTTATAATATTTTCACAGTTTTCAAAGAAAGGCAATCGATTTTTAATTCTGTAACCAATTTTTAGCTGTTTTCCATAATAATTTTTGAAAGCTACCAAAATATAATTGACTTCACTTACTCCCCCCCTCCGTGAGAGAACAAAATCATTAGAAAAATCCTTATTTTTTGCACAAAAAACACACCCCATGAGTGAACAAAAATGTTTTTTAATAGAAAAAGTTTTTTATGAAAAAAAAATTGATATATATGTGATAATTAGTATAATGAAATTGCGAGCTAATTCTGTTTAATTTTAAACAAATTGCGTTTTAAAACATAAATTTTATAAATTAAATTAATATTTGCTTTCCAATTTTTGCAAATTAGGATTTTTTTAAAATTTTGAAAAAAAAATTTTTTTATAAAATTTATATATATTTGTTTTTAAAAAAAAAAATTAACCCCCCTCCGTGAGTAACAAAATTTTTTTGTTCACTCACGGAGGGGGTGAGTTAAACTTTTTTTTTCAAAGAGATTAGGCGTGATAGAGCCTTCAAGCATCCTAAATGGTGTTTTATAATCAACGCCTAACCGTGAAAACTCGTCAAAAATTGAAGAAAGTGTAGAAAGGATATTTGGGAATTTTTCATCCCTATGAGACATATTGAGAAATTTTAGCATAGTTTCAGCAAAGTTCTTATTTGATAATTTGTAGCCTCTTAATATTGCTTCACAGTAATTTCTAATGATGGCAGATACTGAATCTGATGGGTAGTCTATAAGTTTTTTGGCTAAAATTTCTTCTAAATCGTTCAGAAGCTTTTTCATGATATTTTCGTATGAATTGTAATTTTTGTGGATTAAAAAAGTAATTTCCACTGCGTTATCATGCGAGATAGTTTCTAGATTTGATTCAGCGATTTTCCTGAATTGTTCAATATCAGATATTATGTTTTTGGATTCCTTTATTTTTCTGACTAATTCGTAGAGAATAAACATTTTTTCACGCTCTGAAGCTGCATTACTTAAAGTGCTGTAGTGGGCGATTGGTCTTGCAGAAATTCTTGAAAAGTATTGTGTTTTAAATGCTAATGACCTAAAAATTGTGTATGCTTGATAAAATGCCATAATTATAACATATTTTTAAGAATATAAGATATAGAAATTTTCCATAGATGGCGCTGTTTGCCCTTGATTTGCCCACTGGGAAAATTTTTTGGTTTGACCAGTCCGATATGGTTTGGTCAAACCAAAAAATTTTTCGCAGTGGGCAAATCAAGGACAAACAGCGCCATCTATGGAAAATTCTATAAATTGTATTTGCAATATAAATTGCTAGGGAAAAGTTTAGACAGCAAGACTGGCAAACTTTATTTCTAGATTATAAAAAAAACTACTATGATTTTAAGGTCTATTTTATTTGATTATATTTGAATTATTATTCAATTAAGTAGACTAAAGGCGTCTTTCAACATTTCCACATGTGCTTAGTATTAATTACTGTGAGAGATTAAAAAATCCAAATAAAAAAGCAAATAAAAGACCAAAGTATTTTGTTATCCTTATATTTAAAGTTTTAAACCCTCATATAGCATACCCAAATAGTGAATAAAGTAATCAATATCAGTTGGCAATAAAGATTCAAGCTCTTTTACCTGAGTTACCCCTGAAAATGTCAACATCTTTTTCAGTCCGCTGTTTCTAGCAAAAGACATGTCAGTGTCTAGTCTATCACCTATCATCAATGTCTTTTCTGGTCTGATTTCTGGATGCCTTTCGCGGAGAATATTAAACATAATTGGATTAGGCTTACCGACAACGACATCAGGGCTTCTTTTAGTGAATTCTTCAATAGAAGCAATAAAAGCTCCAGTTTCCGGGTGCTTATGCCCATCAATTAGGTCATAGTCATCAGAATTTGTTGCCAAAAATAAACATTGAGGCCTTGATAGAAGAACACCAGTTATAGCCAATTTCAAATAATTAAAATTTGCGTCATATCCCATCACTATAGCTCCTATATCATCATCCATATGAATTTCATTCAAGAAGTCCCACTTCAGAATCCCGTGATTATGCTGGTTTCCTTCAATTACATTTATTCCTTTTTCCCTCAAGTCGTGATAAAGTCCTTCTTCGCCTATCGCATAAACTTTCTTTATATAAGGATGATAATTCGCAACATAATGTGCCATTACATAAGAGGCTGTAAAAACATTTTTAACCTCTGTTTTAATCCCAATACTTTCTAGCTTCAAACTGATATCTTTTCTAGTCTTTGTCGATGAATTTGAGTAAAAAAAAAATTGTTTTCCCATGTCTCTTACTCCCCCCCCCCCTCCGTGAGCGAACAAAACCATTAGAAAAATCGCCATTTTTTGACCAAAAACCCACCCTCCGTGAGTGAACAAAAATTTTTTAATAGAAAAAATTTTAATGGAAAAAAATTTTGATATATAAGTGATAATTAGTATAATGAAATCTAGAGCTAATTCTGTTTAATTTTAAACAAATTGCGTTTTAAAAAATAAAATTTGCAAATTAAATTAATATTTGCTTCCCAATTTTTGCAAATTAGGATTTTTTTAAATTTCGAAAAAAATATTTTTTATAAAATTTATATATAAATTTTTTTTTAAAAAAAAAATTTAACCCCCCTCCGTGAGCGAACAAAATTTTTTTGTTCGCTCACGGAGGGGGGGGGGAGTTAAGAGCTTATAGGTTTCTTGTACATAAGGTAAACTTCTGGTGCCTGCATACTGCATTACCATACCATTACTCCGTCACAATCACTGATAATTGTATCAATTTCGCTTAAAATTTCATAAATCTGTGTTTTTGGAGCCCTACTGAGGACTTTTTTATAAATGCCAATATTCATTTAATTTTTGGTAATATTATATATGAATCCGTTGAATCAATTGAATCAATTAATAGGAAATCCCAAAAAAGCAATCCAAGGCAAATTGCGAGATACAGAGAAGATTGTCCATGTAATTCCTATGCAGTTCGAGCAAGTCAGTGCTTGGATTGAAGGAAAAGTCAAAAATGCCTTCTTAGTAATTGTTTCAAATTCAGATTCGCCAAACGAACTTGCGTAATTCCTAATCAGCTTATTTCTCTACAAGCCTTCACGGCTGCTTAAAATAAACACAAAAGTGAGCTTGCTTGTTGTTTTTCCACTCACAAAGGAGCTGCGCATAATCCCACGTGAGAAAGGTTACTCAGTAAGATGGCTTGACCATGTAGAAACATCATGAGAAATAAAAACCAACGCCCACGAAACCTTTAATTTCATAGCAAAGCATATATAGCTGCAAAATTTCTCTAGATCTCTATAGGATAAATCTTGTTCATTTTCCATTTTCCAGCCTTTTAAAATTCATAGTTTTCTTAAAGGGCAATAAAAAGAGAAATTAATCAAGCTATAAAGGTTCATGCCCTATAGAAGATGTAGGAAGATATCAAAGGGCTCCTTTTTCATCAGATGCAAATACTCATAGATGGATATGATATTACGAGTCTGTAATCCCTGCACAAGTAAGGACTTTAGATGAAAACAATGAAAGAGACTTTAAGCACAGGACAACAGTCGCTTTATTACCTGAACATTTTGGCTCAGAAATCATGAACACTTATATAAAAGAACAACTGCAAAAGCGAGAAAATGAATTTACAGAAATCAAGGACTTGAAAATTATGGTAGGGACGTGAAACGCAGCTGGAACTGCACCAGCTGAACCTTTGATTTCATGACTTAAGTGCCAGAACTTGAATGAAGACAGTCCTGCTGAAGCTCCAGACTTGTTTTTAATTTCGCTACAAGAGATGTGTGAGTTAAAAGCACAAAATATTTTGGGAAGTGAAGGTAGGAAAAGGGAGTGAACTGAAAATATCAAAGAACAAGTAAACTCTGCATATCCTGGGTTTGAATATGTATTGGTAGCTGATGCAGATTTAGTTGGACTTTTGACTCTGATTTTTGCGAAAATTGAGCTACAACAGAGTATAAAAAATATGTGTGCAGCTAGTGTAAAACTAGGCTTTAAAGGCTACACAGGAAATAAAGGGGCAGTATCTTTTAGGTTTGAAATTTTTGATACCAGCATTTGTTTGATTAACTGCCATTTAGCGCCCCACAAAAATCAGACAATTTTGAGAAATAAGCATATAAAGATAATTTCTAAAGAAACAAAATTCAATTTGGAAGATGGAAGGATAAAGAATTTATTTGAGCATGATTTTATATTCTTCAATGGAGACATGAATTATAGGCTTAATACACTAACCTCTGAAGAAATTTTAAGGAGAATCCAAGCACACGATTATCGTTCTTTATTAGATTATGACCAGCTGTTAAACGAAAGAAGAAAACAACAGATGCTAGCTGACTTCACTGAAGGTACTATAAATTTTCGTCCTACATATAAGCTTACACAAGATTCAATCGAGCTAGTCTACAAGTAATTATAATATAGCCCTAAACGAGACCCAGCCTGGTGTGATAGAATTCTATATAAAGGCAATTCCACTCTTCAAAGGTATGGATCATGTCCATATATTTCTCAAAGTGACCATGTGCCTGTTTTTGGATATTTTATAGTCCCAGTAAAAATATCAAACCAAGAAGCCATGAATAAGCTGAAAGATGAAGTTTTTAAATCAGTCGACGAAGCTTTGCATTCACCATTGCCAAAGCTTCAAATATCAGAAACTTTGATACAATTTACTGGGATGCGATATAAAGTAAGCCAAACCAAACTTTTAACTGTAGAAAATAAAGGATATTCCATTATTCCATTAGAAATCAGACCAAATCAACAGATAAATACATTGAAAAGCTGGGTATCAATTTCTCCCACATTTGCATCTGTCGCCCCAGGGCAGCAATTTTCTTTTGAAATTACTGCTTGTTTTAATGAAAAGCAAGCAAGAAAAGCAAATGCAAAACAAGATTATAGGTCTGTCATGATGATTCTTGGAATTGTAGGGAGCAGTGATTATTTTGTAAATTTTATGTAGATTGAAGTAACATGTGATTTTGTAGGCTCATGTTTTGGGGCAAGCTGCCAAGATCTGATAAAAATTGTTGGGCCTATTATGGGGCTTAAATCATGTATAAAAAATGCTGCCACGTCCTCATCAATGTCTATAGAGCTACCGAAAGAGCTTTATAGGATTATTGAATTTATTAAAGATAAAGGACTTAGAGTCAAAGGACTCTTTGAGGACACTGGGAATTTAGAAGTTTTAGCCCACATAAGAGATGTTTTGGATACAGGGAAACAGTTTAATAAGCAAACTGACGTCCATTCAATGTGCTCGATTTTAATTGAGTTTTTAGAGTCTTTGTCTGAGCCTATTCTGCCAACTGCTATTTTGGATAGTGCATGCCAAATGTCAGAGTCTTCGCAATTTGCTTTAGTGAAAAACCATTTATTCAGGTCGGTAGATCCGATATCAGCCAGGGTACTTGAGTATATTGCATCATTTTTGAAAAATTTGCTTGGGCATAGGTCTTTTAATGGTTTGTCTGAAGAAAGCTTGGCAGAATATTTCTTACTCCCCCCCCCTTTAAATTGGAACAAAATATCGGTAAAATTTCCACTTTTTTGGTAAATTAACCCCCTTTAAATTGAAACAAAATTTAATTTATAATAAAACATTATATATAATTTTTATCTAAAAAGTTTTGATATAAATTAAATGTTTCTTCTTAACTAAAATTAAAAATTTTAGTTATATCTTGCTCTTTTTTAAAGAAAAAAGTATAAAAAGAGCATCTTATTTAAATAAATTTATTATTCTTAATTGCTAAATTTTAAAAAACAAATTTAAAATTGTTTTTTAAAATTTTCAAAAAATTTTTGTTTTTTTTGATAAAAATGATATTTTTTATTTGGATAGTTTTGATATAAATTCAATAGGAATTCTTTATAAAATTTCAAAATTTACTTATTTCTTGCTTTATTTAAAGAATAGAGTATAAATAACATCTTATTTAAACTAAATTAGCACTTTGATCGATAAATTTTCTAAAATTTTTTTTTTTAATTTTTTTTTATCAATAAAAATAATAATTTTTGTGTAAATAATTTTGATACCAATTAATATTGGCGTATTAACTAATAATGAAAATTTAGTTATATCTTGCTTTGTTTTAAAGGATAAAGAGTAAAGAGCATTTTATTAAACAAATTTATTGATCTAATTCGATATGTTTTTGAAATTTTTTTTTTAAAAAAAAAATTAACCCCCCTTTAAATTGGAACAAAATTTTTAGTTCCAATTTAAAAGGGGGGGGGAGTTAGAGCCATTAACCCACGCTGAAGAGCTTCAAGGCAAGAAGAACGCTAGCATTGATACCTCTGCTGACCCAGAAAAAAGGCTTACATTATTAGCTCTCCTTATATCTTCATAATATAACTTTCTTAATTTCATTATTTATGCAGCAAAAAACAGATAACTGTGAATCCTGCCACGAAACTCCTGCAGTATATGTCTGCTTATGCACTGGGATTATTCTCTGCAAAAAGTGCTTACTCCCCCCCTCCGTGAGTGAACAAAACCATTAGAAAAATCCCTATTTTTTGCCCAAAAACCCACCCTCCGTGAGTGAACAAACATTTTTTAATACAAAAATGTTTTATGGGAAAAAAATTTGATATATATAAATGATAATTAGTATAATGAACTCTCTCGCTAATTCTGTTTAATTTTAAACGAATTGCTTTTTAAAACATAAATTTTATAAATTAAATTAATATTTGCTTTCCAATTTTTGCGAATTAGGATTTTTTTAAATTTTGAAAAAAAAAAATTTTTTATAAAATATATATATAAATTTTTTTAAAAAAAAAAAATTAACCTCCCTCCGTGAGTGAGCAAAATTTTTTTGTTCACTCACGGAGGGGGGGGGAGTTAGCACCCCACTTCAAATCAGCTGAAATAGTTGATCATACTTTTGGACCAATTGACAATCTTGAAATTCAGAACATGCTCACAGTAAAACGATTTAGACTGGAAACGTTAAAAAGAGAGCTCACAAGTATCGCGATATTTAAAGAAGACTGTGAAGATCTAATCAAAAGAAAAATCGATAATTTCATGCTTGATCTTTTTGACCAAATTGATGAAGTTAAAGCAAAGTTAAATGAAGCGTGTGAAGAAAAAAGTAAAGAGATTGAAAAAGCTATAAAATTCATAGAGGAGTCGCCACCCAATCATAAGCAGGCAACAGAGATTTTTAATATGCTAGAATTAAGTCAGACTGATTCAAGTAAATTTGACCCGTTTAATATGAGGTTTGATTTTGATGATTTACCAAAAATAAATATTGGGAATTATTATAAATTGTCACTTCAGTGGAAACCATTATGCTATACAGGGCCTAGTGATTATATAAGGGTTTATTCACATCAAATCAGTGATGATATGAAAGAATTGTTATTAAAAGAAAACTCAGAAAATGTCTTAGAGCTGGGAGAAATTAAAAAAAAGGATGCTGAACATTTAAATTATTATTTTAAATTATTTCCAAATATACAGTCAATAAAGTTTAGGAAACAGAAAAAAAGGACTCTCTGTAAGTTTGGAGAGTCTTTTGAAAACTTGAAGAAATTAGAAGAAATTTCTATTTCAGGGGCTTTTGATAATAAGGCAAATGATTTAGGCTCATTTTTTAAAGGAATAAGAAACCTTGAAAAGGTGTCAATACTCAGACTTGAAGTTGGAGCAATTTTGGATTCGGAGTCTCAAAGCTTATCTCAAGCCTTGCTGAATTTTTCTGACTTAAAAGAGCTATCATTTTCTCACTCATTGCTATCAATAAATACTTTGACCCAGCTTTCTGAAGTATTTCCTAACCCCTTCCGTGAGCGAACCAATAATTTTGTTCTCTCACTGAGAGGTTTTGTTTTTATATTTTTAAAAAATTATATATTAATTTTAAAGTAATTTTTTTTTTTCAAAATTTAAAAAATTGTTTTTAAAGCAAATATTAATTTAATTTATATATTAAAAAATGCAAGCTGTTTAAAATTTATCAGAATTAATCGAGATTTTATTATAATAATTATTACTTATATATCAAAATATTTTCATAAAAAATTTTTTATTCACTTATGGTTAGGTTTTTGGAAAAATAGGGATTTTTTCAATGATTTTGTTCTGTCACGGAGGATGGATTAAGCTTCTCTGCTTAGAAATTCTTAACCTCAATGACACTGGGATAACCATGAACAATATTCGAAACATCTCGCCTCAGTTCAGGAGCTTGATAAGCTTAAAAACCTTGATTTTAACTCCTTACCTTGCTTAGCAAGCAAATTTTTCAGTTTGTTTTCTAGGGGCTAATATTTTTACAAATTTTTATATAAATAATTTTTCCCAAAAATTTGTAAATATTTGAATGGTCAATCTAATTTAGTTTATAAAATCTGAGCTTTAAAAGATGCAAGCTGTTAAAAGGAGAATATAAGTAGCTAGTAATATCATTATCATAATGTTTTATATCAATCAGCATTTGCAATATTAAAAAGTTTTTTGATGTTATGCAAGAGATCCTATTTTCATATACACATAGGATAACGACTAATCAGTAGAATTTTTTTATTTATTGTAATTAAATAGGACTTTTTCTAATGGCTTTGCTCGCCAGCCAAGGGGGTGAAGTAAGTAATAATAATATTGGTGAGCAAGGAAGTGTTCAGCTTACAAGAGACATTGCTTATCTTAGGAAGCTTGAAAGACTAGATTTACAGAACACTAGAATTTCTTCCCCAGGTGCTGCTCATTTATCATCTATTTGGAAAACATTAGAAGGTTTAAAAGTTTTATTGCTTTCAGGAAATTTGATTAATTATCAAGCTTGCCAAGCTTTATCCAATGGGATTTCTGAAATCAGATCGTTAGAATACCTAGATCTCTCTAACAATTTAATAAAAACACAAGGAGCCATCATTTTTGCACCTGTATTGAAATCTCTAAAAAATCTAAAAATTCTTGACTTGTCATATAACGAAATAAAAACTGCTGGGCTATTAGGAATTTTAAATAATTTTGAAGAAAATAAAGAAATTCAGGCTATAAAACTAAAAGGAAATTGCTTGAATTTTGAAGCTGGAGACCATGTAAAAACACTTATGGAAAAGTTTGAGTATTTAAATGATCTTGATTTAAGCCAAAATCAGCTAGGTGTTGAAGGGATAAGACTGATTTCTGCCCATATTTCTGAAAATATTGAAATTTTAAATTTAAGCTGAAATTCAATAGGTGAAGAAGGGATCGGACATCTAGTATCTGCCCTTCCTCAATTAAGCTCACTTAGGCAGCTTCATTTAGCAGGAAATTTAATAGGTGCATCCGGAATGAAAGCTTTAGCCCCTTGTTTAAGCTCAATTATGAACCTACAAATTTTAGATTTATCCTATAACGATATAGGAAATGGCTTTAAAACAATTTTCGGCTCAGTTGCCTGCTTATACCAATTAGAAGAGCTTGATATCAGTCACAATTTGATGAGAAAACAAGAAGCCAAAGAAATGCAAAAAATAATGCCATATTTCAAAAGCTTAAAAATTTTCAGAATAGGGAACAATAAGCTAGGCTCTGGAGGAATAAAAATAATCACAAAATCATTAGAATCATTATCAAATTTAAAAGTTATAGATCTAAGCTTCAATAATATAAACTCTGAAGGCTTAGCTTCTATTTCAAGCCTTATTCAAAATATAAGTGATTTATCTGAATTTTATGTGCAGGGAAACCATTTATTTAAGGATTTAAAATACGAAAAAGTGATGAAATTTTTTAATATCATTGCAAATAATAGAAGTTTAGAAGCACTAGATATAAGCTGCAATGACCTAAATGTAGGAATTGATTTAAATAAGCTACCTACAAAGCTAGATGTACTGAAATTAGGAAATGGAGGGCTGTTTTCTGAAGGTCTTGATTTAAGCTCAATAGAACTGTCAAGAGATTTAATTTCTCAGTTGAAGCTTGATATGCTCAATTCTTTAGATTTGTCTTCTTGCAAAATAGGTGCTGTTGAAGCAGCAAAATTTATTGACTTCGGCTATCTTCCATATCTGAAAAGTATAAACTTAAGCTCAAATCCTCTAGGATCTTTAGGGATTTCTATTTTATGCCAATTTGTACAGCTCCAAACGAACTTAAAAGTTCTGCTGCTAAGAAATATACAGATGGGATCTGATGGAGCTTTAGAGCTTGGAAAGACTCTTTTTAAGCTGCAAGGGCTTGAAATGCTAGATATTAGCTGCAATTATTTAAGCAGCATAGGGACAGAAAATATTGTTTCAGGGCTTTCAAGCCTCCAGATGCTACAAAAATTGAATTTTTCGAAAAACCAATTGGGGATTTCTGGCTCTCAGATTTTATCAAACGCTTTAATTAAGCTTAATAGCCTTAGAGTTCTTGATCTAGGAAACAATGGAATTGAAGCTCAAGGGTTGAAAGAGTTAAGCAAACCATTAGCCAAGATGCCAAAGCTAGCTGAGCTTATTTTGAATGGAAATAAATTAAGAATACAAGGATCTCAGCAGCTTTCTATTGTCCTCAGATTTATGCCAGCCTTAAAAGTTCTCAATTTAAGGTGAAATTTTATTGGATATGAAGGTGCAAGGCATATTGCGTCATCTTTACAATATGTAAGTGCTTTAAAAGTCCTAGATCTAGGTTGGAATGTATTACTCCCCCCCCTCCGTGAGTGAACAAAAAAATTTTGTTCACTCACAGAGGGGGGTTAATTTTTTTTTTTTAAAAAAATTTATATATAAATTTTATAGAAAATATTATTTTTCGAAATTTAAAAAAATCCTAATTCGCAAAAATTGGAAAGCAAATATTAATTCAATTTGCAAAATTTATGTTTTAAAAAGCAATTCGTTTAAATTAAACAGAATTAGCTCTAGATTTCATTATACTAATTATCATTTATATATCAATTTTTTTTTCCTAAAAAATTTTTGTATTAAAAAATTTTTGTTCACTTACGGAGGGTGGGTTTTTGGGCAAAAAATAGGGATTTTTCTAATAGTTTTGTTCACTCACGGAGGGGGGGGGAGTTAGAAGATGAAGGCATAAAATCATTGTCTGCCGCAATTTCTATACTTACAGATTTGAAATCCCTAAGTTTAAGCCGTGGACAAATCACTGGCTTTGGGGCAAGAAGCTTTTCAAGAATGCTTTCTACTTTAAGCTCTCTTGAAGAGCTAGATATAAGCTGAAATTCTTTAGGAGAAGACGGGATTTTACAAGTCGCACAATCCCTTAACTCTCTTCCTCAACTGAAAAATTTAAATATTATGGGAAATTCCCTCAAATCTGCTGGTCTTCAAAGATTTTTCGATACATCCCCTGCTATGCCACAGCTGCAGACATTAGATATCAGCTATAATAATATAGAAGACGAAGGCGCAGATTTATTTATCCAAAATCGAGAAAAATTTTCAAAAATAAAAAGAATTGCAATGAAAGGAAATAATCTGTCAAATAGCTGTGTAGAGCGTCTTACAAGCTGTCTTTCAACATTTAGTGCTATTTCAATAGACACAGAAGATATGAAGGTTGATGCAAGAGTGGCTGATATTGAAAATATACAAGAAGAAGAGCTAAGGATATCAGAAAGCATAGCATCCGTGTCCTATTATGATTTTACCATGAGCCAAGCCAGTATGAGGTCATCCTTAGACAAGCTATAATTTGAATAAAGTTTAATTAATGATGTGACTTAGAATTCTTCGAATAATCAGCTCTTAGCTTGCGATCTCGACGCTGGATGTTCTCAAGGATGTCTTTTTGAATTTGAGCTTCTTCTACGTTTTCTTTGATCATTGCTTTTATGTCTAGCCTATGTGAGGAATCTGATGGAAGAATTGATGGAGCAGGTGTCAATATGAATGGTCTATAGTCATTAAATGACCAATATCTCACACCGTCAATGTCTAAATATAAAGTCCAATATCCTTCGATTGAGGAAAGCTCTTGTTCAATGTCGTCAGGGTTAGACATCACTGGCTTTTTACCGTCCTCGACGATGGATTTTCGTCCTTGTTCAGTCATCATTACATGATTGGCAGTGACTTTTTGAATGTAGCCTCGGAAACAGTCTTGAGGGGTATGGGATTTGCTGAACATGCCTGAGAGGCCACCTTTTTTGTCAGGGTTTAGTAGGACTTCACAAAAGTAGCCTTCGTCAGGAGCCATAAAGCTCATAACGCCTTGCCAGTTGAAATATCGTTTGCCCATGATGGTTCCTGTAATAAGACATTGCGGGTAGCTTAGATATACTTATTGTAATAAATATCTAAAACTTATTTGCAATATTACTCTTATGCACATTAATTATAAATGGAATAATATGATTTATCACCAATTGTAACCTGAGTTAAGCCTCTCTGCCTCGCTTTCATTGAATTTGCTGAAGTGGAGGCATTGAACTCATTATAGCCTTGAAGAGTATAGTTTTCGCCTATTACTTGAAAATGAGAAATCGGAGGATGATGGAAAGTTTGCTCACTCCCCCCCATCCTTGATCGAACAATTGACTGTAAAAAATCCTAAAAATTGGGAAATTAACTCCCATCCTTGATCGAACGATTTTCATATAATGCAAATTTTTATATATATAAAAAATATATTAGTTATCAAAAGCTTAGGAAGATGCACCTAATGAAGTTGTTTTCAGAGCTTTGAGACGACAGAAAACTGCGGAATCAACCATCCGAAGTGATTTAGTCATCAACCTAGGCTTAAAAACTCACTAATCTAATAAAAGAGAGATTCTTTAAAATTTAAAAAAAAAAATTTTAATTCAATAAGGAACAAATTAAAATTTATACGGTTTAAAAGGGTAACTACTAAATTAAAATATTAAAAATTGGTATTTTATGAAATTAATTCAATTTTTTGCTGTTAAAATAATTATTAAATACTCTAACCTTCTTATTTAAAAGTAAATAAAAAAAAAATATATATATATATTTTTTATTTTATATATAATTTTTTTTTCCCAAAAAAATATTTTTTAATCCCCATCCTTGATCGAACGATGGCGAGTCGTTCGATCAAGGATTGGGGTGAGCCAGCAAAAACAGGCGTTTTCCCTAAAAACCCTTGAAAAGTTTCTCCCAAAATCGGGTTAAAAGGCTTCAATTGTTCAGTCGGTAAATGGAGCCAAGATACTCCCCAAGTGACAAACTGTTTAAATCGTTCCAGTCCTGTCGCTTTTGCTGCTTTTTCTAAAAATATAGGTGCATACCCATAATACGCACACATTGTCTGCAATATAGATCTTTTATCAAAAATATAAACAGGAAGTGACACTGTCATAATACTTTTCCCGCTTAATAGATTTTTCCCCATACTTCTCAACATATGGCTTAAAACTTGCCTTTGTTTTGTAATCAGCTCTTTATCTTTAAATATCAAGGCTCCATTAATCTCATCTCTTTCATATCTTCCCCCTTCCCCATATATTGTAATTGCCCGAGGATGGCGCTATCTTGCGCCATCCTCGGGCAATTTAAAAAATGGCCCCACACCGGGAATTGAACCCACTTGTGGGGCCATTTTTGGTGCGTGGAAGTCGATGTTCTCCACATACCAAAAATGGCCCCACAAGTGGGTTCAATTCCCGGTGTGGGGCCATTTTTGAATTGCCCGAGGATGGCGCTATCTTGCACCATCCTCGGGCAATTACTATATAAAAAATTCAGAAAAACTCATAGGCTCGCTTGGTTTTAGGCTTTGGATTTCATTTTCATTTTTTGTTTCAGGGCTTAATTGGTCTTCTAAATGAAAATCAGCAGCAGATGCAAAAAATTGCTGAAATTCAACATAATTAATAATGCCTTTTAAGGAGTCTTTAAAATCAGGGATATTTGTAACTCTTGTTAATTGGGAGAGGTTTGACTGATAAGGATGCTGACTTATTAAAAAATATTCCGCAAAATTTAGTTTTGAGGGATAACGGTCATGGGAGACTGTTTCTTGCAGGATATAGATACTAAAAGGCTGCTCTGTATGGATGTATGATAAGAGAACAAACTGTTGTGACTTGATTTTGCCTAAAAACAGCTTGGAATTTTCAGGAGAAGAAATGATTCTGAAAGAAGAAAGCAGCCAATCCCATTCAGCGCGCTTTTCTTGTAAAGCTTCTGCTAGAAGTTTGGAAGGAGAAGGGACTATCATTGTGGTTTTATACCAGCTTTTTGATTTTCATTCCATATCGCCAACTAATTTCCAGTCATTAGTTTCTGTAAATACACATAAAATAACTGGTAACGAGCGATACGTACTCCTTGTGGCGGGTGGTATTATGTATTTCTGGATGTGGCTTTGGTGCAAGAAGCTGCCCGAGAGTTGGGCTAGCCTCGAAGAGAGAGGATCAGCACTATTTCTGCTCATTAGTAGCTTGCCTAGATCGGATATTTTTTGCCAGCAGCGCCCAGGCTCAGAGCAGGTGCCCGATAGAGCCAGGGCTACTTAACTGCCTAAGTTTATTTTGTGACCTGCGAGTTTTCCTAGGAGATAATCTGGAGAAAAAGGGAAGAAAGGCTAGATGGAGATCTCAGGGCTATTCTCCCGAGTCTAAAAGGTTCTATTAATGGGATAATCTGACATAAAATATTAGGGGTTAGGTAAATTTGGCATTTGGTTTGGAAATAGAGATTCCTGGAAAATCTGGCTTGGACCAGATCAGGAAGGAAAATGCCTTTACCAAGAAACTGGGGCTTTTTTGTCTGTCTTAAGCTACCTTGAGGGGCCCGCTCCGCAGTGTTCGCCTTTGAAATACACAGCGCTTTAGGATAAACACCCTCGTGTTTTTATCTGATCTAATCTTTTAGTTTCTTTTAGTTTTTTTAGCCCAATTTCGAGCTCTTTGGGAAACTCGCGAGCCACTCTTTTGTTGGTGAAGAATATTTGTGATTGCCGAGCCTGACCGAGAGATTTTACAGACTGGTCATCAGGAATATCTTCTGTAGGAGAAGTAGCTGGCTTTTGCATAAAGCATTTTGCCCACTCTTCTGCAGCTTCTTTGGAAAGAAGGCCAAGGGTGAGATTTCGTTTAGCATGTTCTTTATGGAAAAGTTTGAACATGTATATTTTCCCTTTTTGGGTGCCTGGCCATTCTGGAGTATATTTATCTATGTCTTCAATTCTCTTAATCTCGTTCAAGAGCGTGCTTTTATGCATTGAAAATATAATTAGTTGAAAAAATTATTATGTTGATGCCTGCTGCATATATAAATGCTGCTCTTTATTATTATCTATCTTACAAAAATAACATTCATATCTTTGACTGGGAGAGATAGGTTTTTCATTCTAGCTACTCTTTACCTTGTACTTTATGAAATAGAAAAACTTGTCTTTAGTCAACACAAAATACCTTGGCTTTCAATTCTTGAGAATCTTACTGCGGCGATATCTGAATAAAAATTACACAACTCCTTCTTTCACTATGTTTCCTATCATATTTACCTATTTCAATATAAACATTAAAATATTAAGTTATTTAGATTTTTATAAATATTTGGATTTATAACAATCCAAACTATAATAAAATTAAAATAAATCGTCCCAGTTTCTCTTTGTAGATATTTTTCTAAACTTCGGCAGCTTCAATCTGAATGATTCTTCATCAGCCTAAATATTTTTTACCTCTAAAATGTCAAAAATCGTCAATTTTGATTTCAGTGCCCTTTCGATTTTCCCAAGATTTACCTTCACTGGGAGCAAATATGGCGGCTTTCGTTGTTTACTTTGGACGTCTTCCCAATTCCACCCTGAAAACCATGAGTGTCTTCTCAATGACTCAATGCTCGCTCTTGATAAAGGCGATTTATCTAGCATTGAAGACATTAAAGAGATCATTCTATGAGAAACTCCCGGTGCACCCATTTTAATAGTGGACAAATAATCGTGCTACATTTTTCTAGGCTTTTTTGATAGAAAACTATATGCTAGGCAGTCATTTACTAGTCTGTCATTTCCTCGAAGGTAAATTCCCCTGCGACATTTGCTCGAAACCATATTCTCGTGTGACATTTGCTCGTGTGATTTACTCGGCGACATTTGCCCGGACGTAAAATTTCTCGAGGACATTTACACTACGACATTTCCCCGGGACATTTTTAATCGAATTACATTTCCTCGAAAATATTTACCCGGCGACATTTGCTCGAAATTATAATTAATTGTTTTTTTAAATATAATATATACTACTTTACTTTTATAGCTACAGGAAAAACTGCATTACTGCTGCTCAGGCCATAACCCCAATATTTCTCGGTAGAGGAACGCCCAAGGGTCTATGAGATGCTGCTGGACATCTTCACTTTCAACCAGATGAAAGTAGTCTAAGCCTAGCCGGATATATATCTCTTGAGTTTGGGCTTGATTCTCGCTTGGAGTCTTTCCCAGTTAGCCTTGGTCGTAATTTTAACTGTTGCTCCTAGATGGCAGGCTAACACGTGCCGCCATTCTAATGTATATCTCATCTTCAAGGCTTTAAGGAAATTTCAAAGCTCAAGCAAACTCTCGAATCCTCTATGCCATCCTTCCTCAGCATTGTTTGTTCGTGGAAGATCCTGTTGCACATTGAAGAAGGAGTTTCATAAATTAATAGAAAATAGAGATTTCTTTCTTACTCCATTTTGGTCAAGAGTACCTATCCACGTACACTTAAAAAAATCTAATAGTTCTATTGTTTTAGGTTCCATTTCCATTCAAATTCAGCAGCAGTCACTGCCCAGGCCTTATGGCCTCTTAATTAATCATTTATCTAATCTAATCTGAAATAACTCTCAATGTATTCCGCTTTGTATTTTTCCTTTTGAAATTCTTTTGCTCTAGCTACTAACAACTTTATGTGAAAGATCTTAAAAGCAAGATCTATTCTCTTCGCTTCTGCGAGTTTTCCTTCATCCATCATCAACTTCAGCTTCTTCTTTTTCCTTTTCCTTTTCCTCTTGCTTCTTCCATCAAATCCCCTCAGTTCGATCCCCGCATTTCTTCAAGATTCTACCCTAGTTTCTCCCAGACTCTCCTTCATTTTCCATTTCGAACTCTTCTTCAGTTTGTTCCTCCTGCTTTTCCCTTCATCCTCCTCCTCCTCTAGTTGCTTCCTCATATTTTCTTTCCTTTTCTCTTGCAATTCCCCTTAGCTTCTCCTTTAATCTTCCCTTTCTCTCCTCCTTTTATTATTTTTCCTTCTCCTCTACTCTCTCTTTTCAAATCTGGACCTTCTCTAACTTTTTTTTTTCTTAGTTCGATTTGTCTGCTTGCCCAGCAGCTGCTCTGCCGTATTGCTCTTGCTTTCATTCAACTTTTTGTTCTGTCCCAGTGGTTTCTGCCTGGGCTTCCATTCTCCCACTAATGAATGACTGAGGTAACTCCCTGCACTTATACACAGCTTGCACCAGTTCTTTCTGAGTCAATCACCGTTCCTTCAATTCCTGTGTCTCATTGAGCACCATTTCTATCAATATCTTCTCATCTTTCTCTTCTTCTATCTTCTTCAACTCTTCCCATTCATCTTCCAATTCTTCCAGATACTCTTCAAGAGCATCAATTTCGCCATATGGCTCCATAGAGCTGTAGTAAAACTCCTTGTCGAACAATTCCGAGAATTTTCCTCTTTCCTGGACAGCTCGGAGATTAGTCTTAGTTGGCATTTAATGGGATATATAAAAAGTCTATTCTTTTAGGTTCATTTGAATATTTACCGTCTTGAATCTTTATCTTTATATTCTTATGGATTATTTTAAATCCTTAACTTTTTTCTAATTTTTCAGTTTTTTCTGTGATAATTTCATTGGTACTTCCCTTTTTAATAATTCTTTTGATATTATTGTGTTCTTGGCTTTTAATAGACCAATTCTGGGTTTTCTGAGTCTTCAGAGTTTCTGAGTTTTCTGGGGCTTTCAGGGATTTCAGGGTTCTAAGAGTCTTCTGGGCTTTCTGATCTTCTAGGTTTTCTGGTTGCTCTGAGTCCTCTAGACCTATCCTTGCTGCTTGAATTCCTCTTATGAAAGCACTTTCCTTTGCCTTTCCTTCAAATCATAAGATATGGCTTTGATAGAATGTGTGGCCAAAATTAATTCTCCCTCATCCATCAAATCTCACTCTTTTTCTCTGCCCATGCCTAGACCTTGATTTTCTCCATCAGCTCTTTTTCTATTTCATCTTCGTCTTCCTCCGCATCTGATTCCTCATGCAGTAAATCCATCAAATCATCAAAGACATCATCAAGACTTCCTGAATCTACATAATCTTCATAAATATCATCTGGAATTCCTGCTTTAAGCTTGCCACGCGTTCACACCATTCCATACAGGCTGTTCCCGTCAGCTTACTGGAAATCCATTAAAGATATAGTTCTTTCCCTTGAATAGCCCGATAACGGGATGGAGTCAGCCCGTTATCGGTCTATTCAAGGGAAAGTGCTATAAAAGTTTACAGTCTTGAATCAACTCCTCAAACTTTTCTTCACCAAATCAAGTGGAACAAAAGCAAAAGCAGAAAGGCATTTCCTTGCAGTGCAAATGAGGGATCATTAATATATTTGTTTTGTAGCCCGCATCTTTATGCGCAAGCATGAAGTGCCTCATGATCATAAATAACAGCAATATTGCAGCATAATCAATCTAAAGCAATTCTAATGTGACTTTTAGCATATTTACTAATATATTGCATATAAGATTTGCCTTTATATACTATTAAATCAGTTACTGAAGAGTTCCCTGCAGGGGAAAAAGTTTCGATTAAAATGTTTCGATTAACTTTTCGATTATTTGTCCCAGGGTAAATGTCCACGAGAAAATAAATTCGGGGAAATATTCCACGAGAATTTGGCGACTGTTAAATGTCGCCCATCATCTGTCTGACGCCAAATGTCGACTATTTTATGTCGCAGAGAAAATGTGAGCGAGAAAATGTCGCCTAGCAAATGACTGGCCAGAAAACGTCGCAGAGCAAAGTGTATTCGATTAATTATTCCAGAGAATAAAGTCTGCCGGGGAAAAAATCACGATTAAAAGACATGCACCCGAAACTCCATTACTCTGTGGGAATTCTATATCCAGCATATTAATATCTTCGTAGATTTTTAAAGGATCGTCTTTGCTATTTCCAAAAGGCACTTCTCCATAAGCCATTTCATACATTATGATACCTAAGCTTCATATATCGACTGAGCATGTATATCCTTTCCCAGATATTATTTCAGGAGCCATATAATGTGGAGTCCCTACGATCGTATAAGCTCTTCCTTCAATCATTTTAGCTGTCCCATAATCACACAGCTTCGGGTACCCAGCTTCATCAATCATAAAGTTTTCCGGCTTCAGATTCCTATGGACTATATTTTTTTCTTGTAAATATTCTAAAATTAATATAAAGCATGATATATAAAATTTCGCATCATGGCTGGGCAAGCTCCCCAGCTTTTCTATAATTTCTCTTAAGTATTTTCCATTCACATATTCTAATAAAAACGTGACTCTCTTTGAGTCCTTAATAGCTTTAACTAATTTGAGTATCATCGGGTGGTCAATTTGCTGCAAAATAGCTTTTTCTGACTGAATACTCTTATGCATTTTAAAATGGTCAACCATTTCCCTAGAGACAACCTTGAGGGAATATAATGTTTTTGAATTTTTATGATAAACTGAGTACAAATTTGATCGGCTGTGCTGGGATTTTTCGAAAATAAATAAATCTGCCAGGTCAATAGTGTCGTTTTGAAGGGCTAGTCTTTCTTTTAAAAGCTGCTTTATTTGAGCATCAATTATGCGTGTAAAATCTGAGCGGCTCATTACCCAGCATTCAACTTCTGTTACAGCTTTTACAGTAGCAGTTCGTTTTTCTTTTAATAAAATTGCTCGCTCACCAAAATAATCGTTTTGATAAAGCTTCCGCAACTGCTCTAGATTTCTGTTAACAGTGACTTTTCCTGATTTTATTATATAAAGCTTGTCTCCTGTGCTTCCTTCTGCGAAAATTGTATGATTTCTTGGAAACTTTTCAGTTGTAAGAGTCTGAGATAGCTGCGCAAGCTTTTCATTTGAAAGAATACTAAATAGATGAATTTTTTTCAAAGCTTCGCAGACAATATTTCTTTCAATATAGCACAAGCCTCATTTTAGATCTCTGAGGACAATTACTTTTAAATAAAATATTATAATTTTAAATTAAAGAAAAATCTGAAAAGTCATTTTAGAATTGACAAATAGGATGTATATAATGACATTTTTAAAATTAATTTTGACTTTTTAGCTTTTTTTTGAATTTTAAACTAAGTTTTTCTTTGAATGGCATTTTCCTTAAAAAATCTATATGGGAGCACTCGCTATAATAGTCGCCAAGTCTCCCCCAATTGTACTTTCAATATCTTGACGAGAAAATTCAGCTATTACTGATTTTTCAGTAGCAATATACGCCTCTCCAATTTGTTCGCTTATAGGGTTCAGCAGGTCATTGTCTCCTAATCATTGAAACAAGTGGATTTCTTTTAAAGATGTCTGAGCTTGTATACCTCCACGAAGAACCACCCACATTTTTGCTCCAATTTGTTCTTCAGGGCTAATAACTGTGCTAAACTGATTAAATTTTTTTAGTTTTGCTTTTTCTATTAAAGCTGCAACGATTTCTTTGTGGAGATGTCTTAAAGACTTGCTAACTCCCTCATCCTTTAAATTAGAACAATTTTTAATAGGAAAATTTATAAGTAATAGTATCGTTAATTGCTTAAATAGCAGCATTACCACCAACATATGGAATATTTTTTCCATGTGTGAAAAGATGATTCCACATGTGAAGCACTTTTGATTTCACATGTGGAATCATATTTTCACACGTTGGTGGTAATGTTGCTATTTAAGCAACTAACGATACTATTTTTTTAAACTGTTTTGACCTAATTTAATAGAAAATGTGCAATTAGAAACAGATTCATGCTAAATATATTATTTTTTGAACTAATTCTTCAAATTAAATATATTGAGCTAAATTTATATTTTTTAAAAATTTTATAAAGGAAAAATTTAATATAAATCATTTTATAAAAAAAATAATTCACCTACCTTTAGATTGGAACTTAATTTTTTATTCCAATTTAACGGGGGAGGGGGATTTAGCTTAAACGAAACTTGTAAAGAATTCTTGTACATAATATTTTCACTTTGGCCTCCTAAAATTAGATTCAAGTTTTCCTTACTTAGGCTCAAAAGTCGAGTTTTTCCCAGTGAAATAATTGTAGCTAATCGTCTTTGGTTATTTAGTAAAGACATTTCCCCGAAAAACTCACCTTGTTTTATTTCTTGTATTTCAACTCCTCCTTTGACACAACTTACTGCACCTTCTTCAATGATATAAAGGCAAAAGCCTTCATCGCCTTCTTTTACAATGGTGTCTCCATCTTCATATTCTTCTAGATTAAGAGCACTCACAATATACATAAAAATGGCGACGACGTGCCGCCCGACCTCTCGACCCTATTTCCTCAACACATGCAGGCAACGGCTCAGTGCTGGGGGTTTAAGTGGGAAGGAGTCGGAAATTCTTTGTGTTTGTCGGGTTAGGTTTTACTCAGGCCCTATGGAGCTAATCCGGATCAGGCTTTTACCTCCAGAACAACCATTGGAAAGGACAAGATCGGCGACAGTCCCGAGCGGAGGCTGACTCCCTCAAACAGGACTCAAGAGATGGCATTTGGCCAACAAGAAACTGGGAGTTTCAACCCAGGTGGTTAGCTCTTAGGCTCCAGAAGCCATGGAAGTCAATACTGGTTGTGCAAATCCCTTGTTTGCGGCAGCAAGGAAGGTGTCCACCGAGGCTCCATCATGTGCGAAGAGCGTGTAGGGGTGCAAATCCCCGCCCTACAAGTGCGAACGGCTAATCCTAATCTTAAGAGCACTCGCAATTTTATTTTTTTGATCTTCTGTAAGATCTCTAAAGATAGGGAATTTTTCGACAAATTTTTTGTGTTTTTCGAAGTTTTCTTTTATTATTGATTTTACAGCTTTATTGAAGCTTTCTTTATCTATTCCCCATAAAGCTGTTCTTTCAACTGTTTTTATTGTAGCAGATCTTTTGGAGTTATGTAATAGCGCCAACTCTCCAAATCCGGCGCCTTTTGCTATTATTCCTCTTATTTCTCCGTCTATAATTCTTTCCAGCTTCCCAGAAGCCACTATAAAAAAATTTTTCCCGCTTTCGCCTTGATTAAATATAGTTTCCCCACCTGATGCAATTGTATAATATTTCAAGCTTTCTATGATGTTATTGATGCTTTCTTTAGGTAAGCTATTGAAAATGAAATGCTTCTTTAAAGCTTCTTTTAAGAATTCTCTGTCTCTTTCAGTCTTTTGCTTGTCAATAATTAATGCACTAGGGGCTTCTATAGGCTCTTGGATGCTTAAGCTGCTTCTGTCACGGCCATGAGATGATCTATCTGTTGGCAACGATTTCTTGTTTTCAATGTCAACTTGGAAGTCTTTCTGGTTGGCTTTTGGAGTTGCTTCGAGAAAAGAACGAGGCTTAACAGGGGAAAGAGGCTGAGAAGCTGAGCTCTCAGAAAATTGTAAACTGTATGCTGATCTTCCTTTTTTGCTAGATGAAACGCAGTTACCCATTAAATATGGAAAAATGTTTATTAATTAGCTCTTTTAGATTATTTATTAATTCTTGGATCTCTTAATTATTAAACTTATAAAATTATCATTAGAGTTTTTTCCATTTTTAATAATAAATGTCTCAATATAAAAATGATGTAGGAGAATATCTAACTCTTCACTAGAAAATCCTTATAGATTTTCTTTATAATATTTTAGCCACTTTTGAATAAATTTTATGTTGCTTTGAGTTTTGTATTTTTTTAAATTTATTTTAGATAAGATAATGAAGAGTATTTAAAGTCCCTACTTACTTGAGCAGCGTGCACTATTTAGCATCATTGTGGAGTGAGTTCCCTCAAAGCATCATAGGCCTGAGCTGAAATCGTCCCCTGGTTTCTCGGAAGAGGCATTTTCCCTCCCGATCTGAATAACCCAGATTTTTCCGAACCTCCATTTCCTACTCAAATGCAAAATTGTCAAGCCTAGGCCAGATCGTCATTTGCAGGACCCTTTTAAACTGGAGAGGCTAGCCCTGAGAGTCTTTATCTAGCCTGCATTCCTCTTTATCGCCAGATCATCTCAAAAGTAAAAATTCAACGCACTTATGCCTGCTCGGCAGGCCATAAAGCAGCATAGGTAATTAAGTCAGCCTGCCTCTATCGGACACCTGCTCTTGGCCTAGTTGCTGCTAGTTAAAAAGATGCTAAAAGCTGTCGTTCAGGTCACTAACCAGTGGAAATCGTGCTGACTCCCCCTCTGTGAGTGAACAAAACCATTAGAAAAATCCCTATTTTGACCAAAAACCCACCATATGAGCGAACAAAAATTTGTTATGAAAAAAAATTTGACATATAAGTGATAGTAGTTAGTATAATGAAATCTCTAGCTAATTCTGCTTAATTTTAAAGAAAATTAAAGTAATTTTAACTTCTCAATTTTACAAATTAGAATTATTATAATATTGAAAAAAAAATAAGCCCCCGTGGGCGAGCAACATTTTTTTGTTTGCTTATAGAGGGTGAGGATTAAGAGACTTAGGTAAAGAAGCAGGTCGGTGGTTAGATTTGTGTCATCTACCGTTAATCAGAGCTGTTGTCCAATTCGAGGCGATCAGGAAATGGGACTTGAAGAGTAGTCTAATAAGCATGAGCATAAAATTTATTTTAATTATAATTGCAATTGCTTAAATACCTTAAACAACGATAATAGATACTTAATATAGTTATTTTCTCAGTCTAAATCTTTAAGATTCTTTTCTTTTAGTTATCCTAACATATGATGGCGAGAGTAAAAGCCTTCGAAAGCAAAATTAAAAGTTTGAAAAAACAAATTTTCAAATCTAAAAAATCAACTAAAGCCTTAAATCAAGCAGTTTATATGCAGGAAGAAAAAGATTTTTGCTTAAAAATAGCTAGAGAGCTTAATGACATGCTTAAATTAAAATCAAAAAATAAAGAAGATGAATTTTTCAGGCTTAAATCAATAAAAGAATTTGAATTATTGCTTAAAGAGCTTAAAAATATAGCTTTAGATGCACAGCCTGAAAATGAGAATATAGAAGAAACAAAAGTTATGGAAACAACAGAGGTGCTTGAAACAGACCCAAATGAATTCAAAACAGTTGGAAATATGGAAGAAGTCATTTCTAAAGAGAAAAGAGAAGAGCTATTGGCACTACAAAGAGATTTAATTGAAATAAACAGTATTTCGAAAGATTTAGCATCTTTAGTTGAAATTCAAGGAGAGCAATTAAATACAGTGGAAATCAATGTTGAAATAGCTGAAAAAGAATCAGGAAAAGGGATGCAAGATTTGGCTATTGCAAGATCTTATGCTTCAAAAGCCTTCTGAAAATGATGCATAGTTGGAGGTGTCGCAATTTTTGGAATAGGGATTATCCTTATAGTCATTCTAAGCGTAATTTACGGATCAGGGAAATTGTAAATTAAGTCTTAATATTAAACATTGTCCTAATTTATATTCAGAAAAGAAAAAGAATTGATGCAAACACTAATTTATTTAAATATCTTATATAAAGATTTATAACACTTATTTTATTAAAATTTTGCGATTAATATATTAAGTTATCTTATAACACACTAATGATTCCCAATGCGCTTTGGCGCTGTGCTTGGCCTGATCTGATCAGATCTGCTCCTCGAGTGCCCCTTTTGAACTACCTTTGCCTTTTTAACAGGAGATCCTTTATAACTATCTCTCAAAGGTGAAGATTCAGTGTTTTCTTTTCTAGCTTCGATTGTGTTGCTTTTCATAATATCCACTTCTCCAAGCGATTTCCGGTTGCTTCGAGACCTATCCTTTGAAGGATGTTGTATTTCTTTATTATTTGCTAATGCAGGAGATTTATCATTAACCCTCTCCTTAATCTTTTGTTGCATCTTATTCAGATCCGCAGCCTTTTCTTCAAGTTTTTTCTTTAAATAATCAATATTCACCGCATTCCTTGGCTCAGTCTTTTTCTCTCCAGCTCTCAGTCGTTCTATCTCATTTTTCAGCCTTTCATTTTCCACCATTTTTTCTTCCAGCTTATTTTTCAGTTTAATGCATTCTTCTTTTAGCCTAATAATAGCTTTATCTTTCTTTTCTGCATCTTCTGCATATTGTTCTATTTTCTGTTCATATTCTTTGATGATTTTTTCACTTGTTTCTTTTTTATTATCAATATGCTGATTAGTGATTTTTTTCATTTCGTTATTAAATCTCTGTTCAATTTGCTTAAGTTTCAAGTCTACATCTTTATCGCTGTGCTTTCCAGAACTGCTCCCATCTTCTAGTTTTTTTGATAGCTGAGAGTTGAGCTTTTCTAGCTCATCTGGCTCCATGTCAAATGTCGGTGGATTTTTGACAGTGTACATTTCATCGAATTACAATTGGTCCAAAATTTTTAAATAGTGTGACATTTGGTTGAAATTTAACGTTTTTTTTAGTCAAATGTCTCACTATCAAAAAGATTCAACCAATTTTCCGACCAAAAGTACTTGGGCGAAATGCACACTATAAAAATGCGCTATCATTGGACCTGCACCCAGCTCATCTATTCGATTTTGTGAAGATTCTATATGAAGTTTAAGCTGATGCTCGATTCGTATATGATTTCTTACTTCAGCTTCTGACTTTTGTAGTAGTGTTTCAAATTGTTCACTTTTTTGTATTAGTTCTGCATTATCTGAGGTTTTATGATCTCTTTTAAATCTCAGCAGTTCCAAAACTACCTCTTTCAAATTTTCAAGGACCTCTAACGAATCTAGCTCTTCCAAAGTCCGCATTTCTTCAGAGGTTACACTGGCTTCGTCTATATGACAATTGCTTGTAAACACATAGCAAAAAAATTCATGAAGAGATTTAGGTAAGTCAAAGCTTTGAGAATCCTCTTGTAACATATTTTCCATATTAACTTAACGAGATCTGACAAAAATTATTCCTTAATTATTACCTGAGTGTAAAGTAAGGAGAATCCATATCGGAGAAAGGGGATTCAAAACTTGAGGCTGTAGGAGGCGTGGAGAGATATACGTTTTCTTTTTCAAAATCTTTTGGTTTTTTAGAGATAATTGGGGAGATGTCTAAAGGAAGTGGAGAGAGCGGGACCCGCAGCCTCAATAATGATTTTCTTGAGAGAGGTGTGTGATAAATTGGTGTGTTCATTTTTATAATAAATATGCCGCATTTTTAGGAAGATTTAGAAAATATAATTTAGGAGGGAGATTTATGTGAAATGGAGATGCTTAATTAAAGCTCAACTTTTGTAAGCTCTTTGACTTTTAGTTCTAACTACACACTTTTAATTGAATGAAAAAAAAAATTGTTCCAATTCAAAAGGGATTTTTAAAAAATATTATATTAATTTTTTCTCATAATTTTAAATGTCGCTAAAGAATCAATATATGAAAAATCATAGAATTTTCCAATGAAATTAATTTATTAAATTTAGCGATTAACTTTATTTAAATATCATTATACTTCATTTCCCCTTTAAAATAGAAGTAAATTTTCAAAGTTATTAGAAATAATTACTTTAGCTTAAATATTAAAATTTTGTTCCAGTTTAAAGTAGGTTAATTTACCTGAAAATAGAAATTTACTGATATTTTGTTTCCATTTAAAGAGAGAGTAAATATTCAATAATCCAATCTGCACTTTTTGGCCCATCATAAACTTCGACGAATTTTCCTTTATGAAATAGGATAACTGTAGGATACCTATGAACATCATATAAAACTGGGGTATTCTGGCTTTCTAAAATATCCATCCTAGCAATAGCTACATTTAGTCCTTTTTCTCTGACTAGCTCAGGCAATTTCTCATACTGTGGCTTGAAATGAATGCATCCTATACATTTTGGAGTATAAAAGCTGCATAATAAAATATCATTTGCCCAAAGATGCTGATACCATGTTTTATCAGTCACTTCAATCATTCCTTCAATAGGGTCTTCTGCAAATGAAAAGGCAATGATGAGTCCTAATAAGAACAGCTTTGACATTTTAATTATAAATTCTAAAATAATCTAAAAATTGCTGCATTAATTAATTTTTATGAAAAAGGGCTATAATGATCATCTTCGTCAAAAAATGGGTCATCTGAGCCATCATCCATATAATCTTCACTGAAAATACATAAATCTTTTCCTCTGTTCCACATAGGATGAGCAATGACTCCTCCTTTAAAAGTTTGACCAAAAGCCCACATTATCCAATATTTTTCGTTTTTCACCAAGCTAACGTCGTGAACAGAATCATATGTTTCTAAAGGTCTGGAAAACGAATAAACACGATATCCATGTTCATTTCTTTTTTCTTCAAGGATTACGTCATTGTAGCCTCCATCTTTAGTATCTGGCTGAGGGGTGAGATGTCCATGAGCCCATCTGTCTTCAACTTTATCTCCGTCAAAAGTAATTGTAATTAGCTCGCTATGGCCCATTGTAGGATCTGGCTCATCGATATGTTTAAATCCTATTCCAGCCCAACGCCAATTTTCGAGAATTTCATTTGGTATAAAAAAATCAAATAGTACAGTATCTTTTGTAGGGAAAGTCCAAATTAGTTTAAACCCGTAGGGTAAATTCTCCATTCCTGCATATGTTCCTGAGATTAGACAGACTAACGTTATTGCTTTGAATAACTCCATAATTTAATTTTCCGTTAAAAAAAATGTTTAAAAAGAAATGCATATTTTTTTGATTTAATTGGAATTTATTAAATTAGAATTCGTAGAATAAATGATTAAGATTAAGATTACGATAACTCTTTGTAGACCCCCACTTAGCTTAGGATCAATCTAAACAAGCTCTTCCTTCATGAATTTCATCCACTAGCTAACAGCTCTGAACAACGGTAGGTGGAATCGGCCTAACCGTCGAACTGTTACAGTTGCCTATGGCCCGGACGAGTCTCTCTTCATGTCTTGAATGTGATTCAAGCACACTTGGGGCTGCCGGAGCAGTCCCAACGCTAATTTCCTTCAGAAAGGTTGAACTTCCCTCACTAGGACGAGTATAGGGGACGAGACCCCCTAACTCATACATTCCATTTTTAATTGTGTAGAATAAATGGAAATAGCTCATTTGATATACATTGATTCTTTTAGAATAACTATGAGTTTCATTATAGTGAAAAACTGCAGCTCAGGTATTGAAATTTATTTTACTTAATTTACTATATTATTTAAGAGATCAGATTTATGCAATCATAAATAATAATTTGATTTGGAAGATATTTATTAAGATTTTCTATACCCAAAATTAAAAATTCTGTCTTAAATTCATACCATTTTATATAAATAACCATATGTTATACTTATTAAACTTCTAATCCTGTATTCCTTGATGGCTAAATCAAGTGCAGAGTCAGACCTTAATAATAAATTGTATTCCCATAGCCGTTAGAACCTCTTCTGCATTAAGCTCAAACAGGAATCTCTTTTCAACCACCAACTGATGTCACTAGTCAAAAAAAAAGTTGTATCTTTAGGTCTAGAACCCTCAAGAATTCCTCTCGCTAGGATCATTTAAGGGGATTTTCACTTCGCTTATCTAATATTTTATATTGCGCTTATATAAATAATTCGATTTATTTAATTGTTAATTTCTTTATTTTTTCTATGAAATGAATTTTTTAATTTCTACACCCAAATATATTCAGCATAAATTAAAGAATATGCATTAATAAGCCAATGCTTATAAATCAATATGGGTGCGTGCAATTGTATGGGTCCGAAAAAAGAAGAAGGAGGAGTTTTGATTGAAGAACGAAACGAGCCAGCTACAAAAAGCCAAACTCAGCAAGAAAACGTAAATGTAGTTGAACAAGTAACAATCCAGCCCGAAGCACAAATAACTTACTTAACTTACTTAATTATCTGGTGTTTAAGGTGTCTAGTGCCGCAGCCCAAAAGGGCCTATGGCAAAACTGATGACGTAGGCGAGCCATCTTGGCACAGGTCAGCCCCGTCCAAGCCTTCTATCAACTCCTGCTTCACCGGCCTTGCTGCACGTCTCACCCGGCGCGTTGCCGTCGCCCTTGTCGCTCGACTCAGCTCCTGCGCGTGTTCCGCCTAAGGGTCATCCTCCGTGGGGATGTGCTGAGAGGTAAAAGCCCGAGATCTTGAGTGGACTGAGGAGTGGTTCCTTTGGTTATCCCCAAAGTTAAACCGCTATTGCTGTCCAGAAGTTCACGAGTGAAAGCCTAACCCTAATAATAAAATTCCATGAGGGAGAGAAAATTAGCAAAGCTAATTTCTCTCGAACCGAATGCCATTTTATTATTGAAGCACAAATAACAGTGATTGCGCCTGCTGTGGTAAAACCTACTCACAATCCTCGTCAAATACTTCAAGTACAGTCTGCCTTTAGAGGATATTCGTCAAGAAAATTATTTATTAAAGAAACAAGAAGCAAGGCTTCAGAAAATGCTAATTCTATGAATTTCCAAGAGTTAAACGAAGTTCCAGCAAATTTGTTATCTCCACAAGCAAAAGAAGTGTTTGATAAGTCAGGCCCTTATCTTTTTGAAAACACTCAGCTGCCTGGAGTCACTTGGAGAGGCCCAACCAAACTTTCAGATGGCTGTGTATATGTGGGAGAATGGAATGATAGAGGCCAACCACAAGGAAAAGGCACAATGTATTACACTGATGGAGGCATCTGTGAAGGAAATTGGAAAGCTGGAAAACTCCATGGTAAAGGCAGAAGAATCAGCCCTGCAGGAGATTTGTACACAGGTGATTGGGTTGAAGGAAAAATGCAAGGCAAAGGACGCATGGAATATGCTATAGGGAAAAATGTTTATGAAGGAGATTGGGTCAACGATAAGCAGGAAGGTTTTGGAGTAGAAAGCTGGCCTGATGGCTCAAAATTTGAAGGAAGCTATAGAGATGGTTTTAAAAATGGGCAAGGAAAATTTGTATGGGTTGACGGAAGCCATTATGAAGGAGGATTTGTGAATAATGAAATAGAAGGTGTAGGAAAATATGTCTGGACTAATGGGAGAGAATATGAAGGAGAATGGAAAAGCAACAAAATGCATGGAAAAGGAAAATTCAAATGGGATGATGGAAGATATTATGAAGGAGATTATGTAATGGATCAAAAAGAAGGATATGGCATTTTTGGATGGCCTAATGGAAAAAAATATGAAGGGCATTGGCTTAATGGAAAACAACATGGAGAAGGCACACTATTTAATGAAAGAGGAAAAGCAAGAAAAGGAGTATGGGAAAATGGAAAATTAGCTGAGAAAGGCAAGAAAAAAGGGGAAAAAGAAACAGAGGATTAAGTTTAGGATAAATTCTCAAGTAAAAGTTTCTTAATTAATCAATATAAATAGCAATTTAATTAAAATTTAATAGAAATTAATTAACCTATATGAACTCCTCTTCATCAGTAAACAAAATTCTCGTCAGCTAAGGAATTATCAGATCTAAATGTTAAGCATAAAATTCGGCTATATGTCTTTTAATCGGAACGTTTTGATTGTATGGCATTTAATAGGGTAAACCTGTTTAAAATTTTTTCATGATGATGCATTTGCTCGGAAAAAACATTAAATTTCAACCTTAATCTTAATTAACATATTGACTTGAATGGTAGTGGTGGCTATGCAGTCACCAAGGATCATTGCAGTTCATCCAATTTGTGACATTACTTTGACGGTTGCAATGACTTGGCTGGGAAGTTGTCTCAGACATCATCTTGCTCCTTCTCCGGATCCTGATGTCATCGACATCCGGGTGTCGTGGGCTAAGAAAGCCTCTCCCTTGCCTTTTCAGCTCCAGCACTAAGTGGGTGGACTATAGACTTCTGCAGCTCTGAATCGGCAATTGGGGAGTTTCATTCTCCAGTGAGGAAAGCCTACACCAGCTACACCAAAAAGACTTAATCTTGACCCAGACCGCAGCCTGGCATCTGTGAAGTCCATCTTAAGAGTCCCGAAGGATGTTGAACAGGTTGCTTCTTTCAAACTACAGGAATAAGCCAAAAATTACCCTGATATAGATAATCGCATACCAGACCTGAATCTCAACTGGTTTCTTTTCCAGTTCAACTTGGCATAAGATTGAGAAAATTGACTCAAGAGTCTGGTTGGCCTAAGCTGCCATTTTATGCGCTCATTAAATTTTAATCAAATGCCTTACAAGATAAATACATATTTTGCCGTAATGGCGAAGTGTGTATATGATGGGGAGCAACTTGGAGATGGAGAAATGCAGATGGTTTCATGGAGATATGCAGGTGAAATTGAAGGAGACTCTTGAATTCAAAGCGGAATCACAGAACATGTGTTACAGTTCGTCAGTCTTTGGGGAAATGAGTTCTTTTGAGATTTTATCAGAATTCGAATTTTACATCAGAATCAGTTACATTTTATTTTATCAGAATTTAAATTTCAGATCAGAATCAGTTATAATCGGGAATGGTCAGATTGAAAAATCTTATGGCCGTAATTTAATTATTAGTTAGTTAGTTACAAGATAAAATATTTTGACCAAATCTCCGAAAAGTGTCTCTCCATTAAAATGTTTCAATCAAATAGCATGCACCAAAAAATTCAATTGCTTTAAAGCCATAAACTTTCCTTTTCCTAAATAATTTCGCTAATTTTTATAAAATTGAGCTTAAAATAGATTTTTCTCATTTTCCAAAGAGAAGTTATAAAGAAATGTCAGAGGAAGTCCAAAAAGCTAAATTTAAAACAGATTTTCTTCGAGCGCATATCCAAGCGACAAAGGGTTGCGGAAGAAATTTTTGCTTAAATCCTAATTGTGCTGCATTCCCTGGATACCCAAGTCTAGATCCAAATCAAGCAGCAGCCAAAATTCTAACTTCTTTCCTTGATTTATTAATTATATATAAATATATTATATCCATATAGTAAACTTTACCTCATTCATCTATAGGGAATAAGCATTTTAAAAAGCGCTCCCAATGGTGACATTGAAGCTTCTTCTGATTTTTTTTTCTGTCCAGAGCCTACTTCCAAGCACTCAATTGAAAACATAAAGGTCGCAGACTCAGCTGAGATCAGAAATGCCATGCAAGATTTAAAGATATTTGGGCTCAATTTTATCCCCAATAATTATTTATCTTCCAAAAATAAATCAATTGACTGGGAAGGATTAAGCAATTTTTTTGGCTACCTATCAAATCTTTGTCAAGAAGGAATTTTAGACAATAATTGACTTTACCAAGCAATAGAAAATTATCCTAGAGACAGATATAGCAGCTTATACATTCCAAGAATAGTTCTAATGCTTTTATTTATGCCAGAGCTGTCAGATATTGAAAATTATAACACTTTAGCAAAACTAGCAGAACTTTTGTGCTTGAGGAGTGAATTTCTAGAAGAATTTTCTTTTTATATAGACGATCTTGATCAAGATAAACTCCAAAATATATTGTGAAATGTCAAACAATTTCTATTGATAAAAATATTGGACGGATATAGAGGAAACAAAAGACAAATTTCATATGTGATGCAGCTGACCAATGCAGTTTATCTATCAAATGAAAGAAATAAAAGGCTGGATTATAAAGAATTCTATAATGATGCTGTAAATATAGAAGAAAGAAATGATGAAAATGACGAAGGTATTGAAGAGTGAAAAGAAGAAGAAGGCAAAATTGATATTAGAGAAGAATACAAAGCTTTTCTGACTGCAAAACAGCAAAATCTAACTATTAATGATCCTAGAGGATTTTCATTTGCATTTTACCCGTGAATTTTAGATGCGAATACAAAGTCAACATTTTTGCAATATGAAAATAAGTATAGAATGCTTCAAGTAATTCATAATCCAATAAACTTGATTTTAATGGATATTTATGCAATCCTTGAAGTAAGAAGGGATAATCTCATTGAAGACACGCTGAGTCAGATATCAAGTGGCCGTATAAACTTCAGGAAACCTTTGAGAGTTATATTTTTAGGAGAAGAAGGAATAGATGCGGGTGGAGTCAAAAAAGAATTCTTCCAATTGGTTATTAAAGAACTTTTTGACCCAAGCTTCAGTATGGGGTTAAGCGTAAAAAAATTCAATGAAGTTTTTTATATCTTTGCTACTATTAACGTGACATGAAATCTTATGAAAAGGGTGGAAAAAACTACACAGAAAATAATACTTATAAAAACTTCATTGGTAAAACAAGAAGCATGCAATTTGAACAGAGATATCGCAATATTGTATATAATATAATATAAAGCACATCGTTTATTATTCAAATTTGAATCAAATATTCTAAACGAATTCAAATAATAGCACAGTGTCGTTTGAATTTTAAAATAGGAAGAAAAACTTCTAACTCCGCCTTTTAGTTTTATTTTAAAAAATTATATATAAATTTTATATTTTCTCGACCATTTTTGCAAAAAAATTGAGAAGCAAAAATTAATTTAATTTAAAAAATTTATGTTTTTAAATGTAAGCTGTTTAAAATTCAATTGCATTCGTTTATAAAATCAATACAGTACTGTGTGATATCTCTATTCAATATTGCAAGTTTCTAACTCCTCCCCCTCCGTGAGCAAACAAAACCGTTGAAAAAATCCAAAAAACCACAGATGGGAGTAAGGATATTAAATTTTTATACCCAGACTTGAAGGTTTTTTTTCTGTAGTTTTTTCAGCTTTAAAAAATTTATCTAACTTTAATGGAAAAAGGTATAAAAAATTTATTAAAATATTATGCTTTACCCTTCAGCATGTTTAACTTATATTTACCTCAAAGAATTTATTGGTTTAACCCTGACACATTGGAGGCGAAAATTAATTTTGAGCTGATTGGACTTGTTTTAGGTCTGGCAATTTATAATGGCGTCATTTTAGATATACAAATGCCGTTAGTTGTTTATAAAAAGCTACTAGGAATACAGACAACTATTGATGATTTAAGAGAGCTGGATCCTGATTTAGTTAAGCAACTAGAGATCATGCTACAAACTGAAGAAAATGTTGAAGAAGTATACTGCCGCAATTTTATATTGGAAACCAAAATGTTTGACCAAGTAATTGTCCATGAGCTCAAAGAAAACGGGTCAAAAATTCCTGTCACTAATGAAAATAGGCAAGAATTTGTGGATTTATATGTAGACTGGTGGCTTAATAGAGGGATTTCGGAAATTTTTGAAGCATTTAAACGTGGATTTTTCAAGGTTTGTGAAGGCGACGTCATTCATTGGTTTAAACCGAAAGAACTTGAGCTTTTAATATGCGGTAACCCAGTTTTAGACTTTTTTGAGCTTGAAAAGTACACAAAATATGAAGGTTTTAATAGAAACTCCAAAACTGTAAATTTTATATAGGTCATTATGTTTTGGGAAATTGTGCATTCGTTTACTGGCTCCCCCCTTCACAAACGAGGGTTAATTTTTTTTTAAATTTATATGTGAATTTTATAGTAATATTTTTTTTTTTAAAATTTTTAAAATCACATTCAAAAAATTGAAAAATAAATATTAATTTATTTCGTAAAATTTATGTTTTAAAATGCAAGCTGTTTAAAATTTCAACAGAAATTAGCAAGAGATTTCATTATAACAATTATAATTAAACTTTTATATCAATTTTTTTTTCATATATAGGGTTTTTCCAATTGGTTTTGTCTACTCATGGAGGGGGGAGTGAGGAAGAAAAAAGAAAATTTTTGAAGTTTGTGACAGGGTCTGATCGAGCTCCAATTAATGGGCTTGGAACACTTGAATTTGTAATCTCGAGGAATGGAGACGATTCAGATCGATTGATGACTGCACACACTTGCTTTAACCATTTACTTTTGCCGGAATATAGTAATAAAGAAACGATGAGGAAGTTGATATTGCTTGCAATTGATAATGCTGAAGGGTTTGGACTTACTATTTTGAACTTTTAAATTGGAAAATTATTAAATTTTAATTTTTTATATTAATATTTTTATATACTTCACTGTGGGACGTTAGATAATTATGCCTTTAAAATTAATTCTTTATTTCTCATATGAAGTATTTCGACATGCAAGAAGATAAGCAAGCCCTATAAATCATGTAAACTTCAGCTATTTCTTTTAGATAGTCTTTTTTCTGCTGAAATTACCCATTTTTATTTTATTTAAAATCATTTCAATTTTTTTTCACTGAATAAGTTTTTTATCCAGATAATTCATTTACTGCTCCTAATTTCTAAAAGTAAATATAAATAATTTAAGCGAGTTTATACAATTATAATTTAAAAATAAATGAGCCGTATCTAATTTGTATGCAATGGATTGCGATCTATATATAGTAATTGCCCGAGGATGGCACTATCTTGCGCCATCCTCGGGCAATTCAAAAATGGCCCCACACACCGGGAATCGAACCCACGTGTGGGGCCATTTTTGGTGTGTGGCCAAACATCTACTTACACGCACCAAAAATGGCCCCACACGTGGGTTCGATTCCCGGTGTGGGGCCATTTTTTAAATTGCCCGAGGATGGCGCAAGATAGCGCCATCCTCGGGCAATTCCTATATTTTCTAGCCCTATGGGTAAAATGAGCTCGTGACAAAGGTTCAATCATCTCATCAAACTCAGGAGTAAAAACTTCAACATCTGCATCTTTAATCTTATTTAGCAGCGCACTATGAACCTTTGGAAAATTGTTAATTGGAGTAATAATTTTTTTACCATCCATAGAAAATATGATTGACTGTATCGCCCTAATATTTTCTTCTAATCGGCTAATATATTTTTCATGATTTGAAAAATCAACAACATTCGTTAAATATTGCTGTTTGGTCACTATAGAAAAAGACTCAAAATTTTTGATTCTTTTATTTATTTGCTGAATTTTTTTGAAATATACTTGACATTCATTGTCCAAAAATTTAAATTTAGCCATCTCCTTATCTTTCAGTGCTTTTACAATCATTAATTCTTCTTTTTTTTGTACTATTTCGTTGTCTTTTATTGCTTTATCATCCTTCATTTTTTGTTTTATTTCACAAATGCTTTCATATGTTCCTTCAATGCTTTTTTGGACTTTTTCGACTTCTTCTGATATATCTAATAGCATGTTTTTCAGTCTAAGTTCTTGCTCATAACTAGAAAGAATTATTTCAGCAATTTCTGTAACATCGTAGACAGCTATTGAGCTTCCTAGTGCATTAAATGCTCTGATAATTTCTTGTAAATGATTATCATATTTGTCCATGTCCGCTTTCTTTGCTATTACAAATTTCACCCAATTTTTTGCTAAAAATTTAGATACTTTTAGAAAATCAGAGTATTGGTTTTCCCATAAATAGCCTATAAGACTTTATTAGATATTTTTATGAACTGCTTATGAAAAACACTATATTCACTATGAGGAGTTCTTGGTCTTTTTCATTTAGTTGGGGTTGTTCTTTTTGATACCTCTCTAAGTGTAGTGTTAAGTGCAGACTCTCTATATGTGTAATTTGTATTTTCTGCTATAAACGACTGATTAAGCTTAGATAGAGCATTTGCATTAAGTTTGATTTTTTTCAAATTTGCAGAAGAAGTCGAACAATATGTTTTTGTTGCACTTTTTGACCTAATAATCTCATGCTTGATATCTTCTTCTCTTTTTTCACATTTCATTGCAGTTCTTCTCAATATTTGAATTTTCTCTTTCAATTCGTTATTTTCGTTGCACAATTTCCCCAATATTGAATTTGTATATGACAAATTCATTTCTAAATCAGCAATTTTTTTATTTCCTTTCAAATCTTCTGGCTTTAAAAGACCTGATTTTGCTATCTCGTTTCTGCGATATGTTATCTTGTCTCTTAGGATTTTGATTTCTTCATCATAATTTTCACCTTTCCTTCTGGCGATTTCGTAATTGTGTGTAAATTTATCCATTCATTCTAGATTCTTGATTTTTGGGTCCTCGTAAAGAGAAGGTGAGTAGTTAAGGGAAGTATTGAAATTGAAGGAAATAGTTGAGTTGTCCATTATTATTTTTGATCTATATCAGGTGGTTAATGGGATTTCTTTTTATATATAGTTTTTTTATGAATTATAAGATTAATTAATACTTTTTGGATTTGAAGTAAAGTCCTTTATCTTCTTTGCCTCTTGACTCGAATGGGAAATACCATAATAATGGATTTTGTCCTAAAGCTTCTTTAAAATTTTCTATTGTTGAAATAGAATAGGGAGATTTTGGTGAGAGCACAAATTTCTGAGGCAAAAGCTCTGCAATTTTTCTTAATGAGAGGTTAGTAAAGTAATTAGATCACATTCAATTAATAAAATTTAAAAAAAAAACTTTATCTTTTTAAATATAGAAATTTCCCATAGATGGCGCTGTTTGCCCTTGATTTGCACATGAGAAAAATTTTTTGGTTTGACCAAACCATATGGGACTGGTCGAACCAAAAAATTTTTCTCATGGGCAAATCAAGGGCAAACAGCGCCATCTATGGGAAAATTTCTATATATACTAGTTTACAATAAATAGTTCACTAAGTAGCATCTTTTGGTCAGCCAGACATTAACTTGCCTAATTAGTTGGCATGTCCTATTTTAGCTAACCAAAAATACTCCTTAGTGGGCTATTCTTCATAAATTAATATAAAAAAATTTTAATCTTAGACAAACTTATACCAGATTTTTCATATCCTGGAACCTTAAACCTTCGTTTTTCACAGAATTCAATTGACGTATAATTATTTGCTATCATCCATGTATGGAATATGCAAAACGCTATTATTGTCACTCCAAGCATCGTCATTAATGAATAAGTGAGAACAATAATGAAAGACATTGAATTTGATGTCTCTTTATCATATAACGCTACCACTACACTTTCCCAGAACGTAGCAATAAAAATTGCCATTGCACTAGCTCCATAAAATATTGTCAGATAAAAATACTTGTAGTTATAATATCCTACACAATTTGCTATCCAATTGCAATGATGGTCCATTTTTAAGCAGCATTTTCCACATTGCTTGCAATGATGGCATCGGTCTGGCTTTTTTATACTTTTTTCCTTAAATAATTGTTTTATTTATATATGAATCCTATGAAATTTACTATTATTTTATATAGTATAAATTGCAATGGACACATATTCTTATTCCTCCGTCCTTCCTATTTTCTGTAGTAAGTGGTGTAGATTCTGACACTTCTTTATTAATTGAAGTAATTTCCCAAGTTGAAGTATTCGGGACCTCTCCTGGACTTGTCATCATCGCTCTGTATACACTTATGCAAAGCCAAAATAAATTCCAACTGCTTAATCCAAAGCAAACCCACCCTCGGAGTTCCGCTGTAAATTTCTCGGAGTTTGAGTGCCAAAAATAAAGATCGGGGGAATCTGAAGTGCTAGATACCAAAGGATAGACGTAAAATATTATATACAGTGAGTACCCAGCAATGGAATAATTAAATATGGTGCTTTAGCTTGAAGCATGGCCTCCCGGCTATGCAACCTTCGGGCACATATTTAATTATATCCGGCAAGGTTTTATCAAGCTGGAAATAGGCAGCTATGCTAGTAAGCAATTTCTGTTGTGCTAGGAGCCTAGCCCTTGCCATTTTTTCTGGTTTGGGTTTTACCTCAAGGACAAAGGGAGCTTGGAAGTTGGAAAGGGGTGGCCCAGCAAAGTTCTTAGGATCAATCGGGGAATTCGCCACCGTGAAACCAGGGGTTACGGCTTGGGCTGCAAGTTTTCCTTTTCGCAGACAATAGGCCAGAAAATCTATTTTTTTGATTTTTTGTGCAGGCAACTTCGTTGCTGCAACCTGAAGCAATGTTCCGGGAACCCGTAGTCTTCCCACTCAAAACTGGAGCTGCCACGAAGTAGCAAGGAGGAGGTGACAGCTAGGCAACCCGCTTTTCCTGCGATCGGAAGTAAACGTTACCCCAAAGCGGATGAATCCCCTGGTGGGATCCTCAGTAACCGAGCTAAGAAAGTGGACTCTAGCCACTTAATTAAGTAATAGTAAGTAACAGTACCCAGCAATGATTATGCCAATTAATATAAGCACAGGTAAAATAATAGCAAGCTTGAAAAAGAAAATTATAAGTCTTTGGAGACCTGACGCTTCATTCCACGGGGGTAGACTTTGTTTAAGGTAGAAGTTTGCTTCGTCAAGAGCTTTGTCAAGAATTGGCAAGCCTGAGTTCTCTGCCATATTAGTCGTTTTATAAAGTATTTACACTTCGAATTCAACTTGAAGTATACTTTCTCGCTAATTGTTTTTCTTATCTAAAAGCAATGAAATTATGAGAATTTTATAATTAATTTAAATATACAATAGTTCTTACCATATAGTAAAGCTGACGGATATTTGCCAAATGAAAATATAAATTTGATGATTAGTCGGCAAAAATTGAATTTTGAATGTTTTTATAGAAGCATTATAACGCTTTTTGCTTTATAAAACTGTAAATATTGCTAAATCATAGACATTCTATATAAATATCCCAATTTTAAATCTTAAAGCCAAAAATTAAGAAAAAATGAGCTTACCTTAAATTTCGGATTATCTAACTATTGTTGTTTTTGAAGTGGCAAGAATAGCTTGAATTCAGGTGGTAGCTCTTCTTCTGAGTACAGTCTATCCGAGAAATAGATTCTTCTCATCCTACAATTGGCATGTATTTGTACCCTGAGTGTCTCAATGTAATTCGTCCCATATGCTCTTCTCGTAAAGTCAGAAAGGTTAAATTGTATTTGGTTCCAACCTTCATCAAGTCTCATAGGCATTGTGCATATGAAAGGCTTTACCCTTGTCGTGCTCTGGTAATTTGAAGCGCGAAACCGTCTCCTTATATTTTTTATCATCCAGTTATAGGTATTTACTAATAAAAAGGCTATTAATTTTATAATAAATTTATTATAAAAACCAATCATCCAGCACCTGCACCTCAAACGTGAAATATTTCTTCAAATTCTTTATGATCATAACCAAAAACGGCAGCTTAATTCCTAACGTGCTGTTTGGGTCTGCCGGACACGTTATATAAGTTGTGCTTACATTGGTTCCCATGATTTCCAGCACCGAGCTTTGAATATCTTGATCAGTTATACGCTTTATGTGTCCGTTCCTTACACTTTTATCCCAAATCTGCAAAGGCTTGCTCCCGATGCTGTATAAGATTGAGAGAAACCCTGACTGAAATGTATTCTTAAACATTTTTATTCATTCACACACAATTTTCAAAATAAACGTTAAACATGGAAGGATATACAGAAATTTTTGCGTGGGGAGTGGATCATTTTGGACAGCTTGGGCTGGGTGGAAAGCTTAATGGGAAAACTTACACAGTGCCAAGGTTTTGTAGCTTTAATGTGACAATAAAAGATATTTCTTGTGGAGAAGAGCATAGTGCTTTTGTGTCTGCAGCCGGGCATGTTTATTGTATGGGCAGCAATAGTGAAGGACGGCTTGGAAATGGAGATAAAGCAATGAGGCAGACTTCAGCACCTTGCCTGGTCGAAAGGCTGACGAATTATAAAGCTGCTAAAATATCATGTGGATGGGGGCATACTGTAGTGGTGACAGAACAAGGGCTGGCGTTTGCGTGGGGTGTTGGAGAGTTTGGAGCACTTGGGAATGGAAGTAATGAAACTCAGTGATTGCCTGTAAGAATGGATATTCCTGAGAATATAAAAATTGTACAGGTAAGCTGTGGATCAAGACACACAGCTTTAGTTGCAGATGATGGATATAGGAGAATATTGCTTACTTGTGGAGCTGGTGAGGCTGGACAGTTAGGAACTGGAAGAAGGGAAAAAGAATTAGTGCCAGTTTGTATTCAAACTAATGAAGATGTCATGTACGCAGCTGCATATCTTTTCCTTAAGGATAAACCTCTAGCAGAGGTCAAAAATAATGGTTTTGCTAGGCAAAATATCTGAAGAGATTAATGCTTCGACTAAATAATGTCAAGGAAATATATAGGGAAAATCACGACCAAAGGCATGCTACGAAATACGCAGCTTCAGGAGTTTATCATACTCTTTTTATTACAGTCAGTGGAAGTGCTTATGCAATGGGTGGCAATTCTTTTGGACAGCTGGGGACAGGTGATAAAAAAAGCTATAATAAGCCGGAAAAAATAAAATATTTTGAAAATATTTATATTGAAAAAGTAAGTGCAGGACAACACTCAGCTGCGCTAAGTGATAAAGGAAATTTATATGTGTGAGGAACAGGAGCATTTGGAGAATATTTATTGCCACAAAGATTTAATAGCAGCAGCGGGCCTATAAGAGATGTAGCTATTGGAGGAAATTTTGGAGCTGCATTGGATTGTGCAAATAATTTATTTGTGTGGGGTACTAATATAGCCGATTGAATTAATAAGGTTTTATTATTTTTTTAAATGGCATTATGATTGTACTAGTTCTTCTTTATCATCAAAAATATCTTTTCTAATATTTAATATGATTTATACATAAAAATGGTGCCGACAGACCACACAGCTTCCTGATCCTTTTTCTTCAAAGGCAAGCAGGCAATGTTCCAGTGTAAAAGAGATGGGCAGAAATAGGCGGCAATCCTTTGTATATCGGGCTAGGTTTTACTCTCAGGCCCTAGGAGCTGATCTCTAGGACTTTGAGTTCTGCCTCCGAGATCATCGTTTGAAAGGGCACGACCAGTAAAAGCCCCGAGAAGGCTCAAGAGGTGACATCTGTCTAATGAGAAACTGGGAGTTCGACCCAGTTATGTCCATAGGCTCAGAAGTCATGGAAGTCAACATGTTATGTGCGAATCTCTTGTCTACGGCGGCGAGAAAGGGTGTCTGTCAGGGTCCCTCAGAGACGATGAGCATTTGGGGGTGGAAATCCCTGGCTTCTAAGACAAACGGTTTACTTAATCTTAGTCTTAAAATTTAATATGATTAGTATACTAATGGAGAGCTGGGTCTTGGAGACTCAGAGCCAAGGACAAGTTTGACTCCCGTTTTAGCATTAAAAGACAAGCAAGTCAGATTTATTGCATGTGGCGGTGGATTTTGTATCAGTCTTGGCAATGACATAAATTCACCATATAGATCAACCAAAATTAAAGCATCAAGATCACGAGCAATAACTCCTCTTAAGTGGCAAGATCCTTCCCAACACATCGAGAATCGAGAAATTAAGCGCGATGTCTCCTTAACTAGAAATCCAAGATCTTTTGATATTACCAACGAAAGAAACCAAGAAATCATGCCAAGGTTTTCCTTGATAGAAGATGAAAGGCAAAATCTGATAAATCGGCCAAGAAGTGTGCTTGGTAACAGGAATTCTATTGAAGAAAACCTTCACCGAAACAGAGCAGTATCACCTTATTCCTTACAAGGATTGTCTGAAAATCAGTACGATCAAGATACAACCGAAATCTTAAAGCAAGACAGAATAAGTATAACAAGAAACATAAAACAGCAAAATTTATCAACAGACACACATTTGTTTCCTCAAGAGCGCATAACCCCTGACAGATCAAGATCACCAGTAATTGGCATAAAAGAAAGAGATTATGACATAGAAATCGAATCCAACAATAAGAGAAATGAAAAATTAATAAAAACTGTAGAATCTGAGTTCAATGCAAAACAAAGAAAATTAGAAGCACAACTTAAAGATCTTGAATATAAGCTTGAAAATAAATGCAAAGATAATGATCGGCTTCTGCATGAGCTTAAACAGTTATCATCACAATACCAGGAGTCGAAAATAGAAAAGGAGAAGCTAGAGATATCTTTTAGAGACGAGCACACAAAAAATGAGAGGCTTGAAATAGAATTTCAAGAAGTAACAGAAAAATTTTATAAAGCAAAAGGGGATCTTGAGCAGGTTCAAGCAAGAAATAAAGTGCTAGCAAGAGAAATCCAATCATTTGAGTCTCAACAGATTTCGCAGATTAAAGCAAATGAATATAAAGACTCAGAATTTGAAAAACTAGCAAATCGAAATAGGCAACTTGAAATAAATACCCAAGATGCCAATATTGAAATTGAAAGGCTTTCAGATAAGCTGAATACAGAGCTAAACCATAAAGAAAGGTTAGAAGTGAAAGTTCAAGAATACGGAAATCAATTGATGAGAATGAGAGACGACTTAGACTACTCGATTTCGAAAAACAAAGAGCTTGAATTCCAAAAGCAAAGTCTTGCTGATGAAAATATAAGTATTAAAAATTCGATTGAAGGCTTAAAAATGCAGCATAACAAAGAAAAAGAAGGCTACATAAGTCAAATTAATGAAGAAAGATATAAAAGAGATCAGTTTCAAAGGATAGCAGAAGATGAAAAAGCTAAGAGAGCCCACATGGAGCAAATTATTGAAGAAAATAAATTCCGAATAATCAATCTACAGCGGCAAATTGATGAAGAAAACTTCAAAAGAAACCAAACATCTAAGCAGTTTGAAGACGAAATGTTCAAAAGAAATCAAGTAGAAAGACAAATTAGTGAAGAAAGCTTCAGAAATACTCAATTAGCAAAGCAGCTTGAAGAAGAAAAAATAAAAAGAAAGCAGCTAGAACAAACAATAGATGAAGAGAGATCTAAAAGGCTCCAAATAGAAAACAATCTTCAATATATATATGAGGAGAAAAGAAAGACTGACGATTTATTAAAACAAGCCCAATCTCAACTTGACAATACCTCTACCAAATTATCACAGGTCGCAAACAGATATGAATCTGAAAAGAACACTTGGTCATTTTCTGCTGACAAAACAACTAAAGAATTTTCAGATTTAAAATCAGATTTAGAAAGGCTAAAAAGAGAATGCTCAGATCTCAAGCTATTCATAGATCAGCTTACTAAAGAAAAATTCAATTTACAGTCAGAGCTTGATAAAAAATCAAGAGAAAACCTTGATCTAAAAGCTGATCTTGACAATATTTCATATGAGCATGGCAAAGCCAAACAATTTATATCAGAAAACCAATCTCTTACAGAAGAAAGCATCGCTTCCTACGAGCAAGAAAACCGGTACCTCAAACAAAGCATAAACGACATGAAATACGAAATTGAAAAACTAGGCCAGCAAATATCAGAGCAGCTTGAAGTCATTGAAATTGCCACAAAAACAGGTGAAGAATGGGAAGAAAAGCACAATAAATTACAAAATGATAACAAAGATCTCCAGCGTGAACTCTCAGAACTTGAAGCAAAAAATAGACATTTATTTGAAAGTCTAGAAAAAGAGCTATCACTGAGGGCGAAGGAATATAAAGAAAGGACGCTATCAATGCTGAGTACACCTCTAAGAAGTACTCAGGCATCTCCATTTATAAGCAAACCTTCAATAATGGTTTCTACATCTCCTTATGAGTCTTTTGGATTGTCAACTCCTATAAATAAAAAGACCTCTCCAGAGCAACAAGAAAGGCTAGGAAATGCTGCCGCAATCCTACTGGAAACTTTAGAAGCAGAGTCTCCTATAAACACAAGAGGAAATTCACCAGCAAGAAGCACTTTATCACCTCTTAGAGGTGGAAACACAATGCCAACAAAAATTATCAGCACAACTTCTCCAAAGCAAGATTTAAACACTAGGGTCAGTTTACTCATGCAGAGCCGAGCTCGCTTACGAGAGCTTGAAAGCGCTAAAAATTTTTAATTATTTAAAACGATTAAAATTTATAACTTATTTATAATAAAATGCTATGCTGCACAAAGAAGAAAAAGCTTCCTATGTTTAAAAAGGCTGATATTTACTTACTTTCTCAAAAATACAGGCTTTCTAATCAAGAATTGCAGTTAAATGAGCAAAGGTTTAACAGAATGGCCCAAGGCGACTCCTTTACAATCCAAGCTTTTCGAGAAAACATGGGCCTTTTAGGCTTGCAGTCTACAAGGATGATTGCTGACCGTATCTTTAAGGTGATGGACAAAAAGAACACAGGCCGCGTCACCTTTGAAGAATTCCTTGATTATATGGATGTCCTTATGCATGGCACTCCAGATGAAAAAGCTTATCAGTCTTTTAAACTTGTAAAAAAGCGGGACCGTGACGAAATCACATATGACGATTTTGCCTCTTGGCTCATCAGTGTTTGAAAAATGTACAATGCCCTTACTGGGAGTGAGGTAAATGCTAGTGAGGATGGGATCAGAAAATACTTCGATTTACTTGACTTTAAGAAAGATGGGGTTATTGATTTTGAAGAATACAAGCTCAGCATGAAAAATAATAAAGAACTTTTTGAGTGGTTTGACTTTGTGAATCGAGGGGTAGCTGAGAAGTTTAATGAAGAGGTCGTTCCAGAAATACAAGAAAAAAACCCATTTGTACAAAGACTTGAAACGGTTGAAAAACAATTAGCAAGCTGCATTGAGCTGCTACTTGGAAATAAAGTTGAACAAGAGCCAGCAGCGCAGGTGAAGCCTCCACCATTTCCACAAATATCACCTCTTTCGTTGCCGTCATTGGGTGGGCAGTCTTTTAAAGCTTCAGAGCCTCCGCTACCTATAGAAAGAGAAGAGGAAGAGCCAAGCTATATCAGGACTTCAGAAATACCTATTGATATTGATGAAGTTGACTTACTCCCCCCCCCCCCCTCCGTGAGCGAACAAAAAAATTTTGTTCACTCACGGAGGGGGGTTAATTTTTTTTTTTAAAAAAAATTTATATATAAATTTTATAAAAAATATTTTTTTCGAAATTTAAAAAATCCTAATTTGCAAAAATTGGGAAGCAAATATTAATTTAATTTGCAAAATTTATGTTTTAAAACGCAATTTGTTTAAAATTAAACAGAATTAGCTCTAGATTTCATTATACTAATTATCACTTATATATCAAAATTTTTTTCCATTAAAATTTTTTTCTATATTAAAAAAATTTTTGTTCGCTCACGGAGGGTGGGTTTTTGGTCAAAAAATGGTGATTTTTCTAATGGTTTTGTTCGCTCACGGAGGGGGGGGGGAGTTAGAAAGCATGCTTTCTTTAGCTGATGAAACCATGGATGATGCCCATTTTATATCAGATTGCCAGCTTTTAGGAGATAAAGAAAACTTTAAGGTGGGAATGCGCAAATTAAGTGAAGAAGAAAAAGTCAAAAAGGAAGAAGAGGAAGAAAAAGAGGCAGAGGAGGATATAGAGCCTGAATATTCAGGCAAAAATGCTGTGCTATCTATGCTAAGAGACCTTTCAGAGAAAATGAAATCTTTAAGAGTTGATGTCGAAGAAAATGCTCAGGATAAGTCACCATGAATAAGGAAAAAATCAAGTGCAAGAACCAATGTGCCTAAGCCAATTCTTGAAAGGAAAAATACTTTTGTTCAATGGGGTGATGAGGATTGGAATTTAATTTTGAATATGATGTTAGGGATCCAAAAAACTGTAAAAGCAGCAGCTACAATCCCAACAGCTGAAGGGCCTCCAACAAACGATGATTTCAAAGAAGTTAGAAAGCATTCTTTGCTGCCTGGTCAGCTTAATGCCCAAAGAAGCATTTGCAGATTTAGAGACTACGCCCCATTGATTTTTGACAGAATCAGGAAATTTTATGGACTGGAAGCTCATGCTTATATAAAATCATTAGGTGTTGAAAAAATCATGAGCAGCCTCTTAAAAAGTGAATTTTCTTCACTCATAATTAAAATATGGCGTCTTCGTCTAGGCATGGCCTCCCGGCCATGCAGCCTCGACTCATATTTTAATTATATCCGGCAAGGTTTTACCATTTCAGAGATGGACAGCAATGCTAGGTAAGCAATTCTGGTAGCTTTCAGAGCCTAGCCCTAGTCTATTCTCAGGGGTGGATTTTTCCTCGTGGGGAAGGAAGGTGCAGGGTTGGAAAGGGGAAGCCCAGCAAAGTCCTCTGGACCATTCGGGCAACTCCCTAGCGTGAAACTGGGCGTTACGTCCCAGGCTTTGCATTTTTCCTTTTTGCCGATAGCCGACCAGAAAAAATCCATTTTTTGGGTTTTTCGGAAAAGCAACCCATGTACAAGCAAGTAGCTCATCCATGAGCCGTCGAAGACGTGGACATTTGCCCTAGAAGCACCTTGGCGATCGAAGCGAGTTTGTCTCCAGCAGGCTGGTGGGCCCGATGCGACGAAAGGCGAGTGATAAACCTGGAGTTGTAACCCCGTAGTGGACGTTAAGCGATATAAATTCCATAAGATAAGATAAGAATTTTCTTCACTCATAGGCTTAATGTCGACAGGAAAAAGCGGCAGCTTTTTCTATTTTAGTGATGATGGAAAATATGTCCTTAAAACCATGACTCGGGAAGAATACGTATTTCTAAAAAAAATCCTCCCAGATTATTATCGACATCTTATAGACAACCCCAACACTCTTATTCCTCGTTTTTTTGGATTTCACAAAATAATGTATAAAAACAGAAAACAGTTCGTTAAAAGATATTTCATTGTCATGGCAAATGTATTTTACAGTGGATACGAAGTTCATATGAGATATGACTTAAAAGGATCGACTTATGGAAGAGAAACGAATCCTGAAGAAGACTATACAGTTGCTAGAAAAGATTTGGATTTTACGAGGTCTCAGATGAAAATCAAGCTAGGGTCTATGATGAGAGAAGAGTTTTTGAGGCAGGTCACCCTTGACTGTGAATTTTTTGAGCATATGGAAATAATAGACTATAGCTTACTGGTAGGAATTCACCATTTAAGGGATGAAACTATACCTAGGACAGAAAATGCACCGCTTGTGGAAAAAGATAATGGGGGAACTGTTTCATTTGATAGGCAAGAACTATATTTTCTTGGAATTATTGATATTCTAACATTTTATAGTGCTAGAAAGAAACTTGAACATATGATCAAAGGTGGGCTATATGGAGCGGACCAAATTTCTTGTGTCCCACCGTCAGCTTATGCGAGCAGGTTCATTAATTTCATCACATCTATTGTTGAATAATTGCCAATATACTAAATAATTTCAGTTTTAAATACTAAAAATTAAAATCTCACAAGAATTATCACAATTTATCATTAAAAAAATAAATTTTCGATCGCAAATTTTTCTGTCCTATCTCTGTATTATGTAGTAATTAAAATTTTATTTGAAATGTCTAAGCTTTTAGGAAGAATAGGCACGACCAAGCAAGCGTTTTCCTTTGATATCACCATCCACTCTCTGCAGCTTCACCTCACTCAGCCAGTCCGCATCAACATAGTTTGAAAGCGAAGTAAACAATAATTAGGGAAAAAACGTGCTGAAACCAAAAACAAGCACGCTCTCTCTCCTGCATCTGGAACAGTCGAAATCGAGGAAACGCTGACAATGATAAACACTCTTTATCAAGAGAAATCTGGCAGATTTAAAAATAAAAAAGCTGTTCTATCAGTCCAAGCCATTATTGGAGATAATGGTATGAAAAAGGTTGGATCCTTAGAGCTTAATATTTCTGAATTTCATAATACGCCTTTAGACCATCATTATTTTACTTTAGAATCATGCCCAGACAGAAGCTCAAAAATTTGTATTTCAATAAAAGCTCAGCCTTTAGGAGACTCAGCATTTACAGATAATGCAAGTGAAGCTTCAGGGTTTTCAGGGATTAGTATGGGAACTGAAGGTGATTATAAAGGACAGCTGTTTTCAGAAGACGATGTTGCTGAAGAACAAGAAGCACTCGCCCCTAAAATTATTCCAGGAAGCCATGGAAAGCCACCTTTAATGAAATCGCAAGGGCTTAAGCTGCCAGAAGCTTTGCCAACCTATAAAATCAGAGTTGAAAACGAAAAATCAGAAGAAGACAGCTTAAAAATCACAGAACTTAAAGCCAAAAACTCTATATTAGAAAAAGAAAACACCAGCATTAGGAATGAAAAAGATGAGCTAAAAATCCAGCTAGGCATTGTATCAGAAAAAGCTATAAAAGAGAGAGAAAATTTAATTGAGCATATCAAAGGGCTAGATGCAGAGCTAGAATCATTAAAATCAAAAAATGAAAAATTTAATAGGAAAATTGCAAGAAGAGACGAAAAAATATTAAATTTGAAAGCAACTAACCAAAATTTATTAGCAGATTTAAAGGAAATTGAAAGAAGAAGTGTTGAAAGCACAGATAATAAAGAAAAATTAAAAAGCGAATTTTCAAGCTTAAAGGAGTGCTTAAAAGAATCACAAGATAACAGTCTTAAATTGCAAAAACAGCTAGACCTAGCTAAATACGAAATTACTAGCTTACGTACCAGCAATGAAAATTTAAAAGAAATAATAGAGCAGCAAAAAGCAGACATTTTGCATCTCAGACAAGCTATAGCAGAAACTCGTGACAATATGAGTTCAAGAGGAAATGAGGAAAACGTTTTTGCAAACTATAAAAAAAATACAGAGCTTTACATAAACGATCTCAAAAGGCAGCTGAAATCTATGGAGCAAGAAAAAGAAGACGCCCTATCAAAACAGTCTGAGCTCGCTTATCAACTCCAAGGCAGCAAAACAGAAAAACTAACAATTGAAGAAAGGCATAGAGAACAAATTCATGAGCTTGAAAACGAAATTCAAAAATTAAAAGATGAAAATATAACACTTGTTGATAAGCTTGAGGAAGAAGGCCAGAATAAAAAACTGATGGAAAGAAGAACAACTATGATGAGCAACGACGCTGATCTAAAGCTAAAAAGAATGACAAGCAATTTCCAAGAAATGAAAGCCAAAAAAGAAGAACTTGAACAAATGCTATATGAGTATCAAGGAAAATTAAAAATAAAAATCACAGAAACTGAAAATGCAGGAATGCAAAATTTAGCTGAGCAGCTGGCTAATAAAGATAAAATCATAGAAAAGCTTAAAGCGTCGCTTAAAGACAAAGAAAAAGAGCTTGCAGAAATATACTCGAATAAAGAAGTTATAGAAAATGAAAATTATACTTTGAGAGAACAGATAAAAAGAGCTACGATTACTGAGTTTTCTGATCCTGCAAATATTATTTTGCAAGAGCAAATTAATGAGCTTGAAAAAAGACTGCAGAGTCAAGAGTTAGCATTTAATAAAGAAAAAAATGAGCTGCAAGGGACTATTGAGGTCCTTGAAAAAGAAATCGAAATATTAGAAATCGGCAAAAAAGCTGATACAGAAAAATTCGAAAACCAAATAAGCAAAATAATTGTACAGAACCAGATTTTAACTCAACAAGTAGAGAGTAATAAAGGCCCAGTTAAAGAAGAGAAAAACACTAGCAGTTTAGAGCTTAAAATAATGGAAGAAAATTGTAAGCAAAGCTTGCAATTAGTGCAGCTAGAAAATAACAGCTTAAAAGCTAAACTAAGCCAGCTTGAAGAAGAGCACAAAGGCTTGGAGAAAAAGCATCTTGATATGAAATTAAGCTGGGCCAATGCTGATATAGAGAAAGAGACAATTTTACAAAAATACAGAGAAGCTCAGGAGCAGTTAAGAGAATACTCCTCACAGTTTACAGCTATGGAAGTTGAGCTTTATAAAGTCAATGAAAGATTTGGGATAACTCTTAACCAAAACAATGAGCTTGAATTAGAGTTGCACAAGCTGAAACAAAAACTCAATGGAAAAGAAAAGAAAAAATAGCTGTTAATCTTTAACGTTATATTGATTAATAAAAGGCTTATTTCTAGAGAAGCATGTAATCTATAATCAATAAAATATTCTTATCTCCATTTAAAGTTATCTCTCCTTTCCTTAATGGCGGCACTAAGTTTCTTGAAGTCTTCTTGGTACTCTTGAGGAATCAATGTGCACATACTCCAAGCATTTTTCGTGTCCTGCCCGATTTTATGTATCATAGGGTTATAGACGAAGAAGAAGAACAATAGTGAAAAGACTGAATAAAGAGCCATTAGCAAGTTTTGCCAGACAGTCATTTGCTCCTGTTGATCTTTATAGTCAGATTCGTATAAGTCTGAGGAATAAGCTAATGGATCGTAGAGATAGTGATTGTCAAGATTTCTAAATAAGGTCATATCGTTGCCGTTCCAAATCCCTTGGACTCCAGTTAAGGTATAATTGTTGATATATTTCAAATTTTCTATTTGCAATAGTAAAGTTCTGCCTAGGGTTGTATAAGTCCCTAAGGCACTATGGAGGCCTTGCATCATGCAGCCATCTCCTGCAGTTGTACAATCTTCCAATTCCTCCTTGGGCAACGAGCAAAACCATCCGAGAATCCCTATTTTTGGAAAATTAATCCTCATTTAGAAACAAAATTTTTTAATTTAAATTATTTACAAATAATAATTAAGTAGATTAAATTTAAAAGCTTGACTCTTTTAAAAGAATAAGTTTTCATTTCACATATTCAAAAATCTAGATTTTTTAAATTTTTTTTAAAAAAAATGAACTCCTTGGTTAACAAGCAAAAATTTTGCTCGTTAGCCAAGTGGGGGAATAAATTTCTCATCAAAGGAGCTGCACATGCGTTATCGAATAAGATGCTGTCATGCTTAGAGCTTCTGGAGTCGGTTGAGCTTAATCCTTCATCACCGTTTCCGAAAATCAATGAATTTTCAACATAATCCAGCTCATCAAGTGCTATTTGAGCAACTGTATAGCCTGTTCCAACATCCTGTCCCATCGGCACAACATATTTATAGCCCACCGCACTTATGCTAATTTATTTATAACTAAAGATAAACATTTCATAACCAACTATAATGCAGTAAATTTTTTAAAATGTTTATTTAGCTCAAATTGTATATATTTTCAAACAATGTTTCAGTCACCCACATATTAATAGTCCTTGACAGCTGCCTTCTTCTACTTGCCCAGTTCACGTGTGGCGGTTCTTCCTGAAGAATTGTGCCTACGGATTCAAATCCTGTATAATAAATCAAATAAAAATACACAACACTAATAATAAAGAAACAAGCCAGCTTAATCACAATAATTTTTCTTTGTTTTGGATCATAAGCTAACACACGTTTTTGTTCGACTACATTTTTCTTTTTCTTTGACTTATCTCCATTTCTATCTCCTTTGCTAGCCTTGCTATCATTTCTTTTGCCTTCATCTTTAGCTTTTTCTTCATCATCTTTTTGGTCATCTCCATTAAGTTCTTCAAGCTCCATATTGGCTTGTTCATTTACTCTCCCCTATGTAAGTGAACCAAAAAATGTTGTTAGCTCATGGAGGAGGTTGATTTTTTTTATAAAAATTGTATATATCTAATTTTTATAGTAATTTTTTTTTTAAATTTAAAATATTTAGTAAAAGTTTTATTTAATTTGTAAAATTTATTTTTTAAAACTGTTTAAAATTAAACAGAAAATTAGCTAGAAATTTCATTATAGTAATTATCACTTATATACATAAAATAGCCGGAGACGAGCGACTCATCCCTCCGTGGCGGGTGTCCTTATGTATACCGGACGTGGTTTTTGGGTGCGGAGAGCTATTCAATGGAAGGGTTAGCCTCGAGGCGAGAGGCCCAGCACAATCTCCGCTGATTTGTGGCCTGATTCGGGCATTCTTTTTGCCAGTAGCGCCGAGGCCCAGACTCGGTGTCTGAAAGAGGCAGGGGGAGTTGCCTGCCTAAGCTACTTGGTGGCTTCGCCCCGAATCCCCCGCAAGGGGTTGAGTTCTTTCTCGGAGCTGATTCGGAAAAGAGGAGAAGGCGAAGTTCGACTCAGATCTCAAGGGCGCAAGTCTCTCCAGTTTAAAAGGGTCCCGATCAAAAAAGGCGATCTGGCTGAGCTCAGCAGGGTTGGGTAATTCTGGAGACTGGGTTGGAAATGGTTGTTCAGGTATGATCCTGATCAGAAGGGGAATACCACTACCGAGAAACCGGGTGTTTCGGGCCCGGGTCAGGCTGCCTTGAGGGAGTTCACCCCGCAGCGATATCACTGCGGAACGCATGGTGCTTAGGAAGTGGGGACTATAAAGACAAATCACTAAACTAATCTAATTATCACTTATACCCTATTTTTTCATAATTCACAGAGGGTGGGTCTTTGGGCAAAAAATAGGGGGTTTTCAATGGCTTTATTCGCTCGCAGAGGGGGAGTTAGGATTGTAAGTCTATCAGAGCATTTTGCCTTCATAACTCTACAAACATAGCCAGGAATTTCAAAGAAAATTTCCCAAATTTCTTTTTTGGATTTTTCCAGAACTCTTATAGCAGGAATTACAGCGAAGCCAGCACAGAAGCAGAGAAGAATAACTGATACTAAAATGAGCATGATTGCTACGATTCTTTCAGAGTCCAAATCACTTAAGGCAGCATCTACATAATAAATAGCTGAATTATTGATATATTGTAACGTCTCACCATTTCCATTTCTATACAAATAAAAGGCTCTTCTGTTAGTTAAGTTGACTAGCGTGCTATTATACTCAACATTTAAGAGATAAGCCTGCAGAATAAAATTAGAAGTGGCATCAAATAAATTGCTTTGGATTTCTCTGACAGTTTTCCCTTCCAGCAGCCAAGTTGAAATTTCTTCATTTGTGTAGACCACCTGATCTGCATCACTCAGAAGTCCATATTTTGTATACATAACTAAATTCGTATTATGCATATCAGTAGTATCATTGGCTAACCATTGGAAAAATAGATCTCTGTCAGCATTTGGTACATATCCAAAATCCATCAATGAAATAATTCTTGTATAATACGCGATACTTTGTGTATACATTCTCAGTAGTCCTACTAAATTGACGTAGTGTGACAATTTTTCATTGAAGTCAACTGAATTGGTAATGATCTGGAAAGTCATGACAGAAGTGACGATAAGGACGATAATGGTCAAGATCAAGGTCAATTTAAATCTGAGGACGTATTTTCTGGTTCGGCTAAATTCATATGCAACGAGAGCTTTGATTGATTTATTGAACTGAGCAAGGGAAGCCATAGAAGAGTTCATACTCTTTGAAGAGCTATGAGCGCTTTGTCCATCAATTCCACTGTGATCTTCTTCTTTAGGGTCAGTGTGGCTGTATTCTTCACTATGCTCTTCATCGTTTTCACTTGAAGACTTTTCTGATTCTTCTTCTTCCTCTTCCTCCTCTTCTTCTCCGTTTTCTTCTCCTTCTTCAGAGCCTGATTTACTGTAAGAATTTTTTCCGCTTTCGTCTGATGATTTATACTGGATATATTGAATTAATGATATAATCTATATTTTTAATAAAATTGCTTGTCAATACTCCAGTCTATACTGTCTTGGCTTTTACTTTGGCTTTCTTCAGACTCCTCACTTTTAGAATTAGATGATTTTGACACTGAGCTCTTAGAAGCAGACCCTTTAGATCCAATATTAATTTGGTCTTTCGAAGGCGGCTTGCTCTCTCCAAGCTGCTTCTTCTCATAGGATTTTTTTTCTTCTTCATCTGGTGCATTCAATCCTGCAAACTTCTTCCCTTTTAAGCTATCAAGCTCATCTGCAATTCCATGCATCCCTACAACTTTTGTAGCTTCTAAGTCAGACTCGCTCCCTGAAATTTCTTCAGCACTACTGTCTTCTTCGCCTGACTCTTCTTCACTGCTTTCTTCTTCGCTTGAACCTGAAATTTCTTGGCTTTCACTGGTTTCTGAGGGGCCACCTGCTCCTGGTGGAGGTGATCTAATAGATTTGCTTTTTTGTTGGGTGTTAGAGTCAGTAGAGTCTAGTTCCAGATTTATGTCCATATGGTTTAGTGGGTCTGATTTTTGGTTAAAAATATTAGAAGGTGGGAGAACTGTGCTTACAGCTTTGCTGTCTTTGTCGTCTTGGCGGGTGTAGTCTCCTTTTTTAGTTTCTTGCTTGTCTACAACTTCGACTTTGAGGAGATGGGCAGACTGTTCACCAATCTTAAGCTCGCTTAAACGCAATTTGAGGTTATTTACAGTTTTTTCGTGCTCGTGGGTGTAGTCGTAGCCGTCTTCACTCATCATTGCTTCTTTGTTGTCTTCGAATTTTGTGATGATATTGTAAATTTTTTGTTCAGAGTTTTTAGTATTGCCTAACTCCTCCTTCTGTGAACGAACCAAACCATTGGAAAATACCTATTTTTTGGTAAAACCTACCCTGTGTGAGCGAACAAAAATTTTTATATAATTATTATAATGAAATCTCTAGATAATTCTGCTAAATTTTAAACAGATTACATTTTAAACACATAAATTAAATTTAATTTTCTTTATGAATTGGATTTTTAAATTTCAAAAAACAAAATAAAGCAAGCAATTTTTTTGGGTTCTTTCAGAGAAGTAAGTCAAAAATTTCGGAACAATGTTGGCTGTAGCCAGTTATTACCCAGTCCTTATTCATGATAACTATTTCGTATTTTGGATTTGTGGGCTTGATGATTGCTGATAAGAAAGGAGGCTGTCCATCATTAGGTACAACTTTCACTAGTAGTCTTCCTTCAAAAATGTTGTTGTTTTTGTTTGCGAAATATAAGATAAGATGTTGGTTATCTATAATTGAGTAATTTCCTGATTCGTGGAATTTTTTAATATATCCTTTCTTAAGGTAAATTATAAAATAATTTTTGCTAGCTTTTTAATAAACTTAAGCAATTAGAATTGAACTTAATTATATTAGCAAGCCATATTCATCATGAGACTCTGAAAATGGTGATGGAATTATTAAAGAAACATTACGCCCAATTAGTTCAGCTGATAAATATCCTAAAAGCTGACAAGCTGATGCATTTGCCTTTTGAATTTCACCTAAAGTTTCAAAGTCACCAGAAACTCTAATAATTGCATTATCAGCATCAAAAAATGATAGGGGCTGGTTTAAGCTGCTCATGACGTTTGCGTTGAGGTTTTTCTGCTGAGCTTCTTCTTGCATTTCAGCTTTGTTCAAGTATCTTTGCCCCATTTCTGAAAAATTGTTCAAGCTGCTTAAAAACCAGCCATACATTCTTATTCCACTTTTAAGAGCAAGTAAAGCAATCAAAATACTGTGAGGTCTCTAACTAATTCTATTAAATTTTAGATAGCTTGCGTCCTAAATAATATAATTTTACAATTAAATTATTCATATTTGCATTTGGATTTTAAAGATCCCAATAAAAAATTTTATATAATATTTTTTATAAATACCTTCCTCCAAGAGTGAGGGAAGCTAGTGCCTGAGTATTCTTTGAGTTCAGCTTCAGCAATTTTTGGTAGTTTCCTTTAGCAACAATAATCATTTTTGCAGTTTCTCCCGCTAATTTACTTAATTTCTGGATTTTTGGTGCTTTGGACTCTAATTCAGCCCAGAAATAAAATTGGGATCTTGTCACTGACTCATCATTTTTCTGCGCGTTTTGGAAAGCTTTTTCGAATAATTCATAGTCATAAGCCTTAGTCTTAGTCTTAGTTAAATTTATAAAGTAGCTCCCGGCCAGGACCGAAAGTCCTTTTCTTCCGCCTTTTGGACGCCTCGCTTGCTTTCCTTGCCCTGCTCCCAGTGTGCACCTAAGTGCCACAGGCTACCACTCAGCTCATTCCGGTTATGGGGCTTGGTCATGCTATCCCGGAAGTAGGCGGACTGGGTCACCGTGCTTCACGTCGCCAGACTAGGGTTAGAGCTAAGGATTAACTCCTTAGCTCTTGTCGGCTCCTGCCATGCCCTCCAAATTGGCACTAGCTGTCCCTAGAGGAAAAACCCTTTTGCCCGTTTTCCTATCGGGACGACCCTAGGATCGTCGTTGCTGGACTGGGAGGGAAACCTAGCCGGACACAAACTACCAGTACCCATTCCAGACCTTTCCCTGGGCGGATTGGCTTCAGGCCGCAGCAAGGTCCCCAACCTCGCCTCAGTTCCGGGAGAGGGCGGGTCGGTGTCGTCGCCATTTTATTTGTGTGTTCATAGTCATAAGCATCATCTTTCATATGAGCTTTATAGAAGCTTTCTGAGGTTTTTCTGAAGTGGTAAAGCATATATTGGGAGTCTAATTTGCTGGCAATCATAGTCCCTTTGAAGCATTGGACCATAGATAAAATATAATTTTCAAAAATATGCAATTGAATCAGCCCTGACCACAAATATAAAAATTCCGCATTCGGGAATTTTTTGAACGCTTCGTTATATACAGTTTCAATCTCAGTAAAAGTTTCAGCCTGCAGCGCTTTAAGTTCCTCATTTTCTTCTTCATTACTAGCTCCATAAATAGATTTCGCATATTTACTTTTCGCTTCCTCTAGCTTCAGCACAAGCATTCTTACCTTGATTTCTACCTGATAAGGATTTGTTAATTGCTGGATTTTTTTCTCAGCTAAATTTTTGCACCTTTTGTTCATTGCAAGCTGGGTAATTTGTATTAAACAAGGGGTAAGGAAGTAAAAAAGCATAGTGACTGAAGAGTTCGTTTGGTCTGTACTTTTGAAGAACTCTCCAATTATCATACAAAAAACAGCTGAAGTAAACGAAACAATTGCGCCTAAGCGGATATGGCACATACGAAGGTTGTAGTAGGGTACATACTGAATCATAGCGTAGCTTATGATAAGCCCAATAACCAAACAAACAATTAAAAACAAAATGACTTTTCCAGCTGTTGTAATAAAATAGTATGAAAAAATCAATCCGACATAAGAGCTCAATTTTAATAGTTTTAGTCTACAGTGTGGCTTTGCCATGAAGCCTCCACAAATTTGGCAAAAATCAAAATAAAGCATGGAGCAGAGAATAATGACTCCGAAATAGACGACACTTGCAGCGACATAGATCATCATAAACTGATACCCAACTTGCAAGTCTAAGCAGTGATCATCAGTTGCTAGCGAGCATCTTATAGCAAACGCCAATGTGTCTATTATAGGGATAAATAACAAGTTCGTCAGTAGAGTTATCAGAGCTTTAAGAATTTTCAATAAAAAGCTCATAATTGAGGAATAATTTTTATTTTCAATAGCGATAAAGACACCGATCCCTACCAGAGACGCCAGTAAAAATCCTCATATCCCAAGCAAAACCATGAAGCCTGTGGAGCTGCCTCGCAAATATCGGTCAACTCTGAAAACCCAGCAAACATCAATTAGTCATTGGGTTTGGGATAAATTTCAAGGACTATCGCTATCATACGGTCCAAGCTTATTATAGCTGCCATCATTTAGTACAAGTGTCAGAAGCTGTAGACCTTCAATCGCTATCATTACCATGTGATAATGAATAGGGATGGCAACCTTCAAGGTGTTCAGTCTGAAGAAAAGCGAAAAAAGCCTGGATTTGAGTAGCTTTAAAATTTGATCCTTCGAGTCCCCACTGGCTTCTTCGTTTTCTTCTTCGTCGCCGTGATTTTTTAAATATTCTATTTCATCAACGTGACCTTGCATTAATTTTTATAACCAATTGAAAAATCAGTGACAGAAATCTTTTTTTTGCCAATTTAAAAATCAATTTAAAAACTATTTTGTCATAGAAATAATTATTTCAAAAAATATGATATAATGTGAATTATGTCAAGAATTCATTACATCATAGACTTGTTTACAGCTCCTTTTTTTCTTGATAAAGAAATACTTCCTTTTCCTAAAGGTGAAGTTTTTCTTTTATTCATCACTGGGGTGCTTGATCTGACCCTTACCTGCTTAACCCTTTCTCCATGGGCTAGTTTGGAAGCGGATTTTATTTTGGCGAGTCCATCAATTTTTTTCTCTTTAATGTCTGAAGCTGGTAAAGACTTTCTTTGCTTGTAAAACCTGTCTGGTTTTTTTGTTGGTTCTGCCTTAGGGGTATAATATTGCTGTGTTATTTTTTCTGTATCTGCAGGAGTATTGTGGAGGACTTCTAATTTTTCGTCAATAGTATACTCCAATTTTTTCTGGTTTTCGTCTTCATGGGTTTGCTTTCTTTCAGTTGTTTTGACTTCAGATACTATTGGTGGCTTCAGTTTATCGATTTTTTTGACGTTTCTTTGGGTATTTGGGTTGTCTTTTGATCTGTTAGAGTCTAGGATTTCATGGATGCTTACATCGTTGGCTTCTTGAAATTCTGGGTTAATAAGTTTAAATACAATTTCTTCACGTTTAGTGACTGGAATATTTGTATCGTGGAAAATTTTATTTAGGTCGTATTGGCCTTCTTTCATCATTTTTTCAAGTCTTGACTTAAACAAGTCACATTGAGCAGTTGATAGTTCACCTTTTGATTTTAACTCATTTAGCCTTGATTTTATTTTTTGAATAGTCTGCTTTTGGACTAAAGGGGTTTGTGGGGTTTGGGGAATTATTTCTTGAGATTCACCCATTTCGAATGTAAAATACTCACTCCCCCCTTTTAAATTGGAACAAAATATCGGTAAAATTTCCACTTTTTTGGTAAATTAACCCCCCTTTAAATTGGAACAAAATTTAATTTTATAATAAAAAATTATATATATAATTTTTATCTAAAAGTTTTGATATATAAGTTAAATGTTTTTTCTTAACTAAAATTAAAAATTTAGTTATATCTTGCTCTTTTTTAAAGAAAAAAGTATAAAGAACATCTTATTTAAATAAATTTATTATCCTTAATTGCTAAATTTTAAAAAAAATTTTTGTTTTTTTTTGATAAAAATGATATTTTTTATTTGGATAGTTTTGATATAAATTCAATAGGAATTCTTTATAAAATTTCAAAATTTAGTTATTTCTTGCTTTATTTTAAAGAATAGAGTATAAATAATATTTTATTTAAAACAAAATTAGCACTTTGATCGATAAATTTTCTAAAATTTTTTTTTTTTTTTTAATTTTTTTTATCAATAAAAATAATAATTTTTGTGTAAATAATTTTGATACCAATTAATAGTGGCGTATTAACTAATAATGAAAATTTAGTTATATCTTGCTTTGTTTTAAAGGATAAAGAGTAAATAGCATTTTATTAAACAAATTTATTGATCTAATTCGATAAGTTTTTGGAATTTTTTTTTGTTGAAATTTTTATATATTTTATAAAAAACATTTTATATTGATATTTTTTTTTTAAAAAATACAATTAACCCCCCTTTAAATTGGAACAAAATTTTTAGTTCCAATTTAAAGGGGGGGGGAGTCAGGCAAAGGCATAGCTAATGGTGTTGGAGGGCCAGAGCCTAGCTGTGCAGGGTTCACAATTTCATAATATTTCCTATTGCATTCTCCTAAAACTTGTATTAAATCTTTAGCAACCGTTTCTAAAGTATTAACCAGCATGCCAATGTGAGCATTTAGTTTATCAATTTGACTTTCTTCGTTCTCGATTTCAATTTCCAGGTCATTCGTCTGGTCAATTTCTTGTATTTCTGGAATCTCTACTTCTTCTACTGTCTCCGGCGGTTTTTTTGAAACTTGTGAAGATTCAAGCGAAGCCACTAAGCTTTCATTATTATTGATCTTTGGAAAATTAACGTTTTCATCAATAACTTTATTCGGAACAATAGGTTTTAGTATTCTCCTAAGGTCTAAATCCATCATTTTGAGATGATCAATAAAGCCAATCCTGCATCTTTCTCTATATTCTTTTACAACTGCCGTAACTCTTTTACCGTTAGTGCTGATGATTTTTCCATCTCTTTTAAGTCTCTCTTTAATATGTATGAGATGCTGTTTCAAAGACTTTGTGACTCGTTTTATTTTGCTTATTTCCAGGATTTTCTCTTCAATTGCTTCAGTAATTTCAGAATTTTCAGTATCTTGCTCATACAGGTCACTTGCAATTCTTGTAAATTCCTCAAAAGAGGCGAGGTCAAAGGCGACTTTGTTGGGATATTCCTGAATAAAAGTTACTTTTACGGTGTCAATTTCAATTGAATCAAGCAAAGTGATGAGTCTGACGTGTCTTTTGGTTGCTCTTGAATGAAGCTGCTTGAGTCTTTTGATAGATTGAATTAAACTTTCGCTCCCCATTTTAGATTATTCTTTTGAATATTTTTGTTCGTATTTGAAGCCTAACAATAATATAAACTAAGCCAATTTTAAGCAGATTTATTAAGAAAATAATAAAGTACTAATAAATATTGACTTTAAATAATGTTTGGAATGCTTTAAGTTCCATCCCTTCTTTAAGTTCTAAATCGTCATTTAAATAGAGCCTAAATAAATTTTACCAAGTTCCATTTGTGCTTGGTCTTTGAGTTTGCAAATCCCCATCTACTAGCATTCAGCCTTTTTTCTGGCTGTAGAAGATTGTGGCTTGTTTTTTTGAAATTAAATTGTCGTCAATAAAAACATTACAGCTTTGATCTCGGCCGACGTAAACTTGGTCCATATGATATTCATGGGCGTCGAAGAATATCAACTCTCCAGACGTTTTTCCTCCATAAACTTTAAGGCAAAGTCTTGGGTATGGAGTTGATGGGATTATCGTAATAAGCAAATGTGATTCCCCAAAGGTAACAATATACTGCTTCTTATATAAAGCTAAAGTATAGTCTATTTTTGCATAGACTCCAGAGCCTACAGCAAAATCTCTTATATAATAAGAATCTATATAAGGGTCATATCATATCAAAAAGTGAGGAGTCCTCAATGAGTTTGCTAATGCTTTATCTGCCAAAGGTATCACAAAATCACATACAATTTGTCCTTTCGGCCTGTCTTTTTTCTTGCAGCCCAAATAAGTGACGCCATCCTTTGCCCCGCGATTGCTCAGCTCATACTTGAGAGGGGAAATGTTTATAACTGAATTTCTTGGTAAAATTAAAGAACTTTTAACTTTGAGCCGTAAAAGTTTGCCTTGCATAGCTACAGTCAATAGTTTTTCAAGCCTTTCTGGGTTGTTTCATCTACTGGGATCATCTGGAGTGCACATTCCTCGCTTGATGAGGGCCAGTGTTTGTTTACTTTGCTCTTTTAATTCATCTACTGAAAGATTCATCATATCAATGTTATCTTTACGAAGAACCTTGTCATAAATTATTTGAACTTCACCGTTTGTTTCGGCTGAGCCTCTGCAACACCTTATTACAGATTACATTTATCTTGCTTCCCATTTTGCAATTAATTTAAAGGTTTTGCAGTGCGGAAAACACTGATAAAATAAAATTATTGGAATTTTGCATTTTTAAGGCAATATAAGATTTTCAAATAAAGAAATTTATAAATAGTTTGATTTTTATTAATGAGATAAATAGGAATATAATATTTTCAGAGAGAAATTAATTATGCAAGATATAAGAATAATGTATAAATGTTATTGTTAATGCAAATAAGAAGATAATTAATTAATATGAAATTTTTCGCCACCATACTTTATTTGAGGCTTATAATCTACAACTCTTCAAATATAATATAAATTATAGAATTTTCCTAAATTTGGCGCTGTTTGCCCTTGATTTGGCTACTGAGAAAATTTTTTGGTTCGACCAGTACCATATAGTTTTGTCAAAACCAAAAAATTTTCTCAGTGGGGAAACCAAGGGCAAACAGCACCATCTATGGGAAAATTCTATACTAGTAAATGACCCGTCTATGGATGATGCTAGCTCCATTAGCGATTGCGGACCTTATCATTGACATATTGATAAGTGATTCCACAGAAGAATACTTTTTTTCAACAATTGCTAATGTGATAACAGAAAACCTCAACAATCCTCAGGTTTTTTCAATTTTTGTAAGGAAGGAAACCGATATTAAATCTCTGTTACATACAAATAGCATAGTTATAGACGCAACTTTTAGTCTATCTATAACTGCTGTAATTAAACAAGCTGCAGAAGACTCACAATTTGTATACTTAAACATTGGAGAACCCACTCATATTTTTAGTGATTGGGAATTTTTTGTTCATTTTGATCACGATCAAAATATAAAAGCGTTGTCACAAATATTTAATCTGTTAAATTGAACAACAGCACTGATTGTGAAAGAAAATAATTATGATGATTTATCTTCAGCTTTGATTGAAAGTTTCGCGAATTTTAATATTCAATATTTTTCATTTATTGATAATCAATCACAGACTGTGTCTGATTTATTTGTTGGTAGAGAAATTCTGCCGACGGGTGTTAAAAACGGTGCAAGTGAAATGATCGTGAACTTTTGATAATGTGCATTTGGTGAAAAATTGTCTGAAACTTTTTGATACTTGACGGAAAGAAACCGTTAAATTTCGACCAAATTTTCTTCGATGAAATGTACACTAGCAAAAATACACTGCAATTTGACATGGAGCCGTTAAAAAACATTGTTATTCAAAATTCAGGAAATGGCGCCCAAAAAATTGTAAATAGCTTGGAAACAAAGGACCTTTATCAAAAAGGAACTGGCGTCATAATAGGAAGCAGGGGTATATGGGGAGCAGACGCAGATGGGTTGTTAATATATGTAGAATCTGAGTTGGAAGATGCAGCAGATTATGCACATTACGAAGCCCTCGCATGTTTAAAAATGCTTAAAATTATTGATGCTCTATCAATAACTGTTTCCAATATTGAGCTCAAAGAAAAGCTCCAAAGTGTTACATATGAACATCAGCCAATATTTAATTATTCTCTAATAAACATAAAGTCAAGCCAAAAAGTCAAAGTTGGGCACATTTTTGATGAAGAATTATTTTTAAACAAAACCTTGATGTTTCCTGGAAATACAACTAAAATTCCGAATACATTTGTTTCTTATGTAAATATATCGATGGCAGATGGAAGAACGAATCCAGGAACATCAAGCAGCTGGTTTTATCCTGCTCTAAAAGCTGCTGCACGAATGGCAGTTAACTTAGCAAATGAGCAAAATTATTTGGGCAATTTTCAAATTGCTGTGACGCATACTGATTGTGGAGCTGAATCTTTTACAACTTCATATTCAGTGCCGTGCTTTGCAGCTTTAAAAAATCAAATGGGTGTTGCTCACTTAACATCCGGTTTTCCATTAGCTTGTTATGGTACAATTCAAGCATTTCGCGCGCTAAAAATTTCGATTCCAATGATATCAGAACTTTGTGGAGAAACAATTTTCAATAATCAAACAACTTACCCAGAATTTATGAGAGTGATGAAGAATTATGGCTATAATTCAAGTATGATGGCAAATTTGGCCTTAATCTTTGGATGGACCAATGTTATTATTTTGTATCAAAACTCAACTACAGGAATAGATCTTTATAATTATTTTCTGAAAAGTGCCCAAAGCTCAAATATACAAAAATTAGCTTATTAACCAAGAATCATAATTTTTTAAGATAAAAAAAGGATTTAATTGATAATTCAATTAACTAGAGCATATCAATATTCTAAACAATGAAACCTCAAGAATAATTAAAAATGGATATGATAAGGCAGACTTCGAAACATATAAACCTTTATTTGAATCAATAAAAAATACCAAAGGAAGAATTTTTATTATGCTAATTGACCCTCCATCTGTATATTATGTTATTGAAGGTCTATATTAATTTTCCATCAATAGCCAACTATAAGCATTTTTTGGTTAGTCAGAAGCCTGCTGACTTGCCAAATTAGTTGCAAGCCTTTGCTATTGGTCAAATATTTAATTTTGCAGACCAAAATATACCCCTTGATTGGCTATTCTTCGTATACAAATATATATGATGTAGGAATTAGAAGAGGAGATGCCATCATGATGTTCTCTATAAAAGTTTCATTTGAAATTGCATTAGAAACTGACCCACAAGCCAAACTTAAGCTTGCAGAACTTATGTACGGATCCTTCGCTGTTTTCCAAGATGAATGAGTTGGTGATTATGGTCTTTATTTAAAAGATTTATATGTCCGTTTGATGAACTCTGTTGACCCAGTCTATAAATGTTTTGCATACGACTCTATGATGACAGTCCTGAACGCTATAAAATTTTCCATCGCTAAAGGGGATAATATAAACACTCCATCTGTTATAAATAAATCTATGAGGCTGCAAAGGTTTACTGGCTGTTCAGGCACTGTTACTTTTGCAAATGGAAGCAACGATAGAAGCCAGGTTGTTATTGTAATTTACAATACAATTTATAATTCAACAAACGGAAAATGGATTGATATTAGAGTAGGGATTAGGATTATTAAAGTCAGGCGTTAGCCATATTTGTGACGCAGTCACCAAAGACCTCCCGTATGGGAGGTTCTACCACTTTTCAGCTCCAGCCCAGAGGGTCTATTCCTCTTACGAGTGCCCTTCCGGTACCTTTGTCTCCTCCTTACCTTGAGGCTTCAGTCTTGAGTGGATGGTTATGAATTCTGTACGAGCGAGTAGCTTGATTCCAAGTATCCTTGGAAAGTATCGGTTGTCGAAGTGCCTTTTCTTCGATAACTAGGAAAAAGACTACTTCTCTGAGGCTTGGGCCCGAATTCCCCAGTTTCTCAGTAGAGAAATGCCCATGGGTCCTCGGATCCAAAGGACGTTGTTGAGCACCTCCATTTCCAACCACAGGAAAGCAGCCAAAACTTACCCGGATACACACCTATTGAGCCTGCACTTGATTCTCGGCTCGGAGTCCATCTCAGTTCGCCGTAGCATAAGGTCTGGACTGCTGTGCCAAGAGGGTAGGTTGACACGTGTCGCCATTTTAATGTATATGATATTAGAGTAGGGACCTATAATATTGCAAGCACTCATCCCTTTACCTTTATTAGCAGCATTACTTGGCCTGGAGGAACTTCAGGCCCACCATCAGACATCATAGTAAAACCTGATGATTGCCCTTTTGATTGGAAAGATGTGCAAAGCTCATTCCAAGGTACAGCCATTTTCTACACTATATCGTTTACGATTGCAGCAGGCACTGCTTTGCTCTCTATTTATATTTTTCGTAAATGATGAAATGTGTATGTGGGACCTTTATTAGTTAAAAAAAATTTTAAATTTGGCGATGGGATTGTGATGTCAATTATTTTTATAGATTTCTTACAGCTGATAGCTATGGGCCCTACTATGAGCGGATACGATAAATTTTCATCTGTAATTGGAGATTATGCATCAGTAAATTTAACGAATATTATTGAATTTAAAGAGAAATATTACTGAATGGGATTTTTCACAGTTTTAGGGCTATGCACTTTGTGGGTGTATTTTTGTGTGATAATATTATACCAAATAGGTGATAGATTTCAAAATTGGTTTATAGACCACTCTGTTACTATGGCAAGAGAAACAATGCCAATATTGGGAAACCTCTGTGTAATTCCTATAGTGTCGATTCTTTTAGATGTATTTAATTGTAGAAATGCAACAGGAGGTGCTTTAAGTGATAGTTTCATAGGAAAAGACTGCACTATGACCTGCTGAAATTATCCTCATAATTTATACGCAAGCTTGGCTTTGATAAGTTTATTATCATATGTGCCTCTTGCAGTCTACTGCAGACCGATATGGCAGAATTTACAGCTTGAAATTAACATAATAACAAGGCCACTTCACCTAATGACCAAAAGTATTATTCAAGTCACAATTGTTGTGCTTAAAGGAACTCTGAAACCTTATAATCAGTCCTTACATGGATTGGTATTTTTATTTATTCTTGCTATTTATTTACTATAATCATTCAATAGCAAACAAATTTACTATAATTTTTTATTCCATAAATTAATCTTAAGTATTATTGCATTTGCTATAATATTTTCTAACCTTATAAATAAGCATATATATTCAAATTCTAGAGTAAAATTTTACACAAAATTTTTATAAGCATATAAACTAATGTTTATTGATATTTTAAAGCTTCAATTAAAATATTTTATATAATTCTTTGATTTTTGTCATTTTATCATTAAAATATCATAACTTTGAAGCATTTTGTGAAAAAAGTATATGGCCCTAATGCCGTTTTGGGCACCATACTGGTGGCCCGCTTCGTATCCCAGACTTGGAAAAATACCAATCTGCCCACCAGTATGGCCAGCATACTTGTGCCAAAAAAAACACAAGGCAAAATAAAATATTTAAAAGCAATAAGTTCCCATATAAAATAATTTAGCTTAACTTTTTAAAAATTTCTAACTCAATTAAAGTATCCATTAATTATATAATGGAGTTAGTAATTTGCATCAAGTGAAAACCTTTCAACTATCATAGATGCAATTGATGGACAATTATTTCGATCCTTGCCGTAATGTGAAGCGTATTATTATCTTCTATCTATTGGATAGTCCCATCTGGCTTTGTTAGCTTATGGATAATTCTTCAATTGACAGGATGGTTTATTTTGCTATTATTAGGAATTTTTGTGCAGCATAAATGGTATCCTAGCTTATTGTATAGAGAAAAGGCGCCAGACATCGGTATTTTCTTCAGGTTTTTATTGTCTTCAAACGTGAAAGTTGATGAAATTACGAAAATCAAGAAAAAAAATGAAAACGATAGCCCTGGGCTTCCAAAAGTTAGCTCAGAGAGCCGAAGTGAAGATAATCTTATTGCAAGGGATATGAAGTTTCAATTCACTCTCCGAACAAATATGGTTAGTACGATGCTTCAATAAAAACTTAGCTGTATTAATATATCAAGATAATCTAATCCCCCTATGTGGCTGAGCAAAAGCATTGAAAAATTAAATAAAAACCTGTTCCAATTTTAAGAGAGTTATTTTTTTAAAAACACAAAATTCTGAAAATTTTAAAAATTAAATTGAACGTAATATTTTTGATTTATTTTTATAAAAATTGATAAAATAATTAATTGATTTAGTGTTAAAACTGTTTAAATAATATTTTACTTGCAATTTTTCATTAAATTAATTTAATAAAAATTATTATTTTCTCCTAAAAATTTTCCTATTAAAAACAAAGTTCTAATTTAAAGAGAAATTAGATTAAATAGGCGCTGAATATTTTAAAGTCCCCACTTTACGAGCGACATTATGCACAGCTCTTTTAGGAGCTGTTTGGTGGACCAAGGGAATTGGGTGAACCCCAACCTCTAGCTCCTCTGAGTCTAGGCCGAAGCCCTTCTGGCTTCGAGTAGTGAATGCCCTATTGGGTTCTAGACAATAGCCGAGTACCAAAATTTCCAATTCAGTCCCTTTCCCCCTATTACTCCATCTTCTGTCTCCTACTTCTGGCCAAATCAACCCACTTAGAGACTCTTAGCCGGAGGGATCATCTAAAAGTCGCCTAGTTTTCTCCCATTTTTACAGGTCATCCCTGGAAAAATAATCAACAGCTTCCGAAATTTGAGGCAAACCACAATAGCAGCCTGAGCAAGTAATTTACCCTGCTCCATTTCCTTCGCCCACTTGCTTGGGTATTTCTGGCAAAAAGAAGTTCAAATACCTTCTATTTAATCAGGCCAAAAAACTGCGGTTATGTACTTAAGACCTTAGCTTCAGGTCGCCAGATACGGCTGAGCCAATACACTGCTCCAAAACCGTCCCATATATATACGAGTAGCCATCACACAAGAGGACGGGTCCGACGTCTTTTGCCATCTTATGTATATAAAGAAAAATTAAAGTACTAAAACTTAGTATTTTGTTCAAATATTAATGAGAGTAAGCAAAATCTTATACATATATATGTTTTTATAAAATATTTTAATATAAGCTAGTAACTGTTATTTAATGAAATTTTCACTAATTTTATATATTAATAAAATTTCATAATTAAATTATAAAATATTTGAATAGTTTGGATATTTGAAATAAAAACAAATTATGAATATATAAATAAAAAATAGCCTACCTAATTAGAGAGTAAAATATTCTTGCTCTTTAATGGAAATGGAAATAAGTTTTCTCGTTATAATAATTTTAGATTCTTTTAAGTTTACAATTTTCTATTCTCATATCATATTCTTGAGTATAGCTTTTATTAACCACAATGGATAAAATTAAAACAGAAGCAGGCCTTATAAAATATGAGTCCCTCGAGGACTTTGTAATTAAACCAGTAAATCTCCAGAGTAATCAAAAATATAAATGTATGGCTTTATTGATTCTTAAAATAATTAATATAATACAATTTCTAATATGTGTTATTATTTGATAATAAAGCTAATTGGAAGTATACTTCACTCTGAAAGTATATTAAGAGATAAAACTTTATATAAGCTTAGTTAAAACTGATAGAAAATATCAATAATATTAAGAGTCTTGAGATCCTAAAGTCTTTATGATAAGAAATTTAGTTAATTTGAAAATAGAGTAAATAATTCTCAATTTTACTAATAATTTAAGATTAGTTAGATTAAGTAAGCAGTTCGTCCTAAACAGGGTCGGGGATTTCCATCACTACATGTTCATCATCTCGAGGTACCCTAGCAGGCACCTTTCCTTGCCGATGCAGATAAGGGATTTGTACAAACAATCTATGGACCCATCATTTGGGTCGAAACTCCCAGTTTCTCGTCAGCAAGCGTCACCTCTTGAGTCCTGTTCGAGGGATTTATCATCTATTAGGAGCTTTTGCTAGTTCTGCCCTTTCCAATTATGATTTCGGAGGTAAAGTCCACAGTCCCAGGATTAGCTGCCTAGGGCTCGAAAAAAACTTAACCCGATATGCACATAGGATTAACGGTCTTTCTGCCCTTCCCCTTCATACTGGGCCATTACTTGCTTGTGTTGAAGAAAAATAATCACTCCCCCATCCTTGATCGAACGATTGACTATAAAAATTCCTAAAAATTAGGAAAATTAACCCCCATCCTTGATCGAACGATTTTCATATCATGCAAATTTTTGTATATATATAAATATATAGTTATCAAAAGTTTGGGAGATGTGCCTAATGAAATTGCTGTCAGAGGCTTTGAGACAATAGAAAGCTACGAAATCAACAACCATCCGAAGTGTTTTAATCATCAATCTGGGCTTAAAAGCTCAATAATCTAAAAAACAGAGATTCTTTAAAATTTAAAATTTTTAATTCAATGGGTTACTAAAATTTATACAGTTTGAAGTGGTAACCAAAAAATCAAAATATTAAAAATTGGTATTTTTTATGAAATTAATTCAAATTTTTGCTGTAAAAATAATTATTAAATACTCTTAACCCTCTTATTTAAAAGTTTATAAAAAAAATATATGTTTTTTATTTATATATAAAATTTTTTTTAACCCCTATCTTGATCGAACGATGGCGAGCCGCTCGATCAAGGATTGAGGATGGGGGGAGTCAGAAAATCAGAAGGTCTATCGTCACCATTTTTATATATTTTAAAGAATTTAAGATAAAAGTGTGCTAAGTGATAATTTTTTCCAATATTTTATTATGACTTAGCAAGTATAAAATTAAAGTTATTTTTCCAGAATTATCTAAAATTATTAAATTTGCAAATGGCTTGACACTCCATATTATAATAATAAAAATGCCAAGACGATCTAGTGGAATGAAATCAAGTGGATTTTCACGAAGTTCCGGTCCTACAAGGACCGCAAGAGCAGCTCCTCAGCCTACACATCAAGCCCCATTAACACAGCAAAGTCCAGGACTGATTGGCTCTATCGGTGGAACTATAATGCAAGGAATGGCTTTCGGAGCTGGCAGTGAGGTAGCTCATCAAGCAGTTAGAGGCTTAATGGGTAACAGCAGTAGCAATTATGCCCAAGAATCTCAATCCCAACCTCAGCCTATCCAAGAACCTTGCTATCAGCAAAACCAAGATTTTCTAAACTGCCTTCAATATAACAAAAATGATATCGGGATGTGTCAGAGCTACCTCGACTTATATAAACAATGCAAAGGCCAGTTTTAATAATTAATATATATATTTCACAAACTGTTTGAAAGCATTGATATATTTATACTTATTATGGATGACTAAAATATTAATCGTAAAGTAATACCAAAAATATTGAAGTCCATAATGGCATCATAATTGTTGCAAACCCATATGCAAAAACAACTACTTTTGACAGGTTTTCTTCTTGATTTTTTCTGTCTTCACAAATGACAAGAAGCTGCAGTGAAATGGGAGCAGCAAAACAAATCTGCATCATAAGTGTCATTATCCGACCCTATAATAAGACTTACGATAACTCCTAGATAATAAAGCCCACCAATCGCGCCGAGACCGATTAAAGGCATGAGTACTAGACGTCCAAGTAGTATAACTGCAATATATACACATAAAAATGGTGACGACAGACCACCCGACCTCTCGACCCTATTTCTTCAACACCTGCAAGCAACGGCCCAATGTCGAGGATTTAGATGGAAAGGAGTCGGCAATACTTTATGCATAGTCGGGCTGGGTTTTCTTCGGGCCCAGGGAGCTAATCCCTTGACTTAGAGTTTTTCCTCCGGTACAGCTATTGGAAAGGGCAAGGTCGGCCAATGTCTGAAGGGCAATATGACCCTCGGATCCTGAAGACAGTATTTGCCTTAACGAGAAACTGGGAGTTTCGACCCAGGTGGTTGACCCTTAGACTCCGGAAGTCAAGACTGGTGAGCGAATGCCTTGTTTGCGGCAACAAGGAAGGGTATCCGCTGAGATCCCTCAGGGATCATGAGCGTGTAGGAGTGGAAATCCCCGACCTTGCGAAAGCGAATGGCACAATCTAATCTAATCTAATAACTGCAATATGAAGACTGAATAAAATTTACTTGCTGATATCAGCTGTGGCAGGATAACCATGACTTAAATTAGAGCCTAGAATAAATGAAATCAATGGAGACGCACACCCTCCAAATGATAGCATTGCTTGAAAGATATTTTTCCTTAAAATTGACCCTGAACCTGTCCATAAATACTCTTGACTATATGGGATAAATGCAAAAGGGATTGCAAAGATTGCAGCCCATATAGGAGGAGTCATACCTCTTTTTATTTTCCAGAGAAGATATCTACTGTGTCCAATGTTCTCTGGAGTGATGTCAGACTTGTTTATGATTTCTGTGCCAGGAAGTCTTGAAGACCGCTTTTTCATCATAATCCTATATGAATCATACTCCCATCCTATGGTCCACTTATATATAACAATAAAAATGGTATAAATCAGCACATATTCAGTAGCTCTGTCTTTAAAATTTTTATCTTTATCTGTAACACTATTTCCTCCTAGAACAATAGCATATGCTAGAGGATAAGCTGTTGTGTCTTGAAATCCCAGGCAGCACATGATCAACCTTCTAATTTCTCTTCTTGCTCCAGTTAACCTTGCTAAAATCCACCCCAACCCACACCCAACAACAGAGTGAAATGTAGCAAGGCCAAAAGCAATACCAAAATTTTTTACATCAGAAACATCAACGTAGAGAAGCATATTTGTAAAAAGAAGGCAAGGAAGCAATAAGTAAATGATAATTTTTCCAAAAGTTTCAGCTCCAGCTCTATCAAGTACCTAACTCCCCTCCTCGGTGAGCGAACAAAAAAATTTTATTCGCTTACGGAGGTTTTTTTTTAAAAACATTTATATATATTTTTATAGTAAATTTTTTTTTCAAAAATAAATTTAATTTGTAAAACTTATGCTTTAAAATGCAATTGTTTAAAATTAAACAGAATTAGCTAGAGATTTCATTATACTAATAATCACTTTATATATAAAAATTGTATGTTCGCTCACGGAGGGTGGGTTTTTGGGCAAAAAAATAGGGATTTTTCAATGGTTTTGTTCGGTCATAGAGGGGGAATAAATAAAAAATACTTTGGCTCTTGTCAAAATTATGCCTGAGCCAGCAATAAAAGACACAACTACAGTGCCGTCAATTGCCGCTATAATTGAGTCCAAAACTTCTGACATATTTGTGTTGTTTCAACTTATCTAATTTTTATGAATATTTTCCCCCTTGTAGGAGCTTTATGATGATTCCTAAAATAAATGTTTAATAAATAAAGAGTCATGACAGTAGTGAATTTGTGTTATAAAAAATGCTGTGAGATTGTAATTGATGAATTTTTATAGTGATCCTCTGCCTTTAAAAAATCTAATTAATATTTAAGGACTTAAAATTTTGCATGCTAGTCCAATTTTGTCAAATTACGACGATAAATGATTAATAAAAATTGAAATAAATAATATTAATAAAAATAAAAAATCGTAATTATTATTTATGCTGATAAGTATATCTTTTACTCAATTTAACCATCAATTAATATATAAACCAAAAGCAGATCAATGCTTAAAATTTACAAAAATTGATTCTGGTTTTCGTTTCGGTGGACTTTTTGATACAATAACGAAAGTATTTCTTCTTGTGTAGTCAATTTGTTTATTAGTTCTTGTCTCGTGTTTTCGCCTTTATTTTTTGTTTTATCTTTATTCTGCACCAGTTGTTTTTTTACCTCATCAAGGCACACTTGAACGACCTGCTCGATCTCATTCTTGTTTTGAATTTCTCTTATATACGCAGTTCTAGCGGCCCTTAAATTGTTTTTCTGAAACTCTATAGATTTTTTTAATTTTTCTATCACCTGCTGATATCTTGCATCTGCATTGTCATTTTCTGATCTTTTTGATGATAAAAAGCTGTTAACTCTTGACCCAGGAGAAACTGGAGGAGATAATAGCACACTTGTGGACGATTTAGGGGAAATAAGTGATTTTGGCGAAGGGACCCTAGGCTTAGGCCTACTTTCTTTCATTTGAAAAAGACGACGTTCTAGGTTTTCATACTCAGATCTAGCTTGTTTAAGCTCTCCTCTCAGTCTTTTGTTTTCTGTCTCCAGATAGCAGTTTTTAGCTTCTATTAATTCTACTGAGCCTCTAAGGATTTCTAGTTCTTTGAGTGATTTATTTTCCCTTTCTGCTAAGCCTTCAATATATTCTAATTTTGCTTTTTTTTCGTTTTCCAGCTCTTTTGAAATTTCTTGAAGTTTGGCGTCAAAAACTGCTATGAGTGAGACTTCTTTATTTACAAGCATATCATCAATTCTGTCTTGTAGCTGCTTTATACAGTCATAAACTTTATCATAAGCTTCACCAATTACATGAACATTTTTTTCTGACTCTTCTGTTGGCATCTTTGACTGGAGAATTGAATTTTTAGAAAGCTCTTGTTGATAGGTCCTTATGAGCTGCTTATATTGTAGTTCAGTTTTGATCGATTCTTTTTCTTTTTTTCGTAAAAGCTGTATGTCGTATTTCAAGTCTGCAATCTCATTTTTTAAAGACTCGATTTCTTTTTGATGCTCTAATAGCTTAGTTGACTCATAGTTAGGACGCAAAACTGGTAAAGAAGGGTTATCACCACTCCTTAATTGTGACACGGGGACATGTGCTTTGTTCATTAAGAAAATATTTTTATTTTAAAACTGTTATAATATATAGATTATGCATTTTCTTCACTAGAATCTGTTGTGTATACAAGGGCGCTTTTAGAAATTTTGGGGGATGGTAAGACAATTTGTTTTAATTTGTGTGGATTTTCGTTTTGTACTGGTTGACGGTAATCTTTAGAAAGTTGCGAGGATGAATCGTTACGCTTTGCATTTGAGGCTGAATAGCAGTTTGCTGGGGTATTAATAAAAGGTTTGTAAGGGAAATCAGTAATATCATCCAGTATCAATGAAATATTCGAAATCTTTGAAACCATTTTTTCTCTCGCTGAAGGTGTTCTTTTTGAAGAAGGCTGGGACTTTATGAAGGAAGCTGGAACTTTAGGCTCGGAGTTTTCTCGCTTTTTTTTGGTTATTCGTGAGCTAATTCTTTGCGAATCACTTAGCTCAAAGGTTTGCTTTTTTCCAGCTCCCGTTGTAGTTTGAGATTGCGGGGTTTTTTGCCCTTTTGGAGTTGATGCCGATTTCGCATTTTTTTGAACGGTTTTCTTACTTCCCTTTTTCCATGATCGAATAATAATTATAGTTAATTTTTTAAATAAATTTATATACAAAATTATAATAAATTTTGTTTTTCGAAATTTAAAAAAATCACGGTTCATAAATAATAAAATTTATGTTTTAAAAAACGCAAGCTGTTTAAAATTAAACAGAATTAGATAGAAATATTTCATAAAGTTTTTTATATTAACGTTTTGTTTGCTCAAGGAGGAGGGTTTTTTACTATAAAAATAGAGACCTTTCCAATTGTTTTGTTTGCTCACCAAGGGGGGAGTCAGGGTTTTTCGGCTCCGCGGCTGTATCATCTATTATTACTGAGGTTTGCTTCGAGCCTTTATACTCGTATTTGCTTGAATTTGTCCTTTCGATGGACTTCTGTTTATTTTCGTTGAATGTGTCTATACACCCAGTTAGTCCAACTGCTGAAATTACGTCAAATGAATGTATTCCAAATATAAGAACTTTTTTCACCATATCAATTTGAGCATTTTCCGGAAATTTCTTTAAGAACGGGCCAATAATTCTATCTTTAAATAATTCTGTGAGCAAATCCATGCTTTTCTTTTATTATATCTGTTGAATAAATCTTTAAAAGTTTAATGAAAATAATTCACATGAAAAATTGCTGACAAAATCCTTATAAATTTAATTATCTTAAGTCAGCTTTATTTTTTGCTATACATTATCTTATAGTACTAAATGAGAATAAGTATTAAAATATTGATTACCATTCATCTAATGGAGGTAACGTTCCTCTACATGTAGGGCATTCCATCTTTATCGTCATCCAGTTCGTCAAACAATCTTGATGAAACATATGGTTACAAGGTGTATGCATAGTTTTCGTAAAATCGACCACGTCATGCATTTCTTTGCCTTGCAAATTCAAAGGTGTCATACAAATGATACAGTCTGTATTGGCTTCAATGATTCTTTCTTCTTCAGGGGTTTTATAGTAGCTATATGCAGCTGGTCTCAGTGCTTTCGGTATAAAAAATCTTGTCCCTGATGAACTTTGTTTCAATAAAATCAAAAATTGGATCGTAAGGTGGGTGACAAGTGAAATGCAATATAATGGCTTCGGCTCATATACAAAATAATTTTTTGGACAGCCAAACACATAAAGTACAATAGAAGTTCTACAAATGAAGATTATGTATAGCATAGACTTCCTGAATGAGTTTTTGTACCCATATCTTGCGTTGTGAATTATTTGAGGGATAAAAAAGCTGTGGAAAATAAAAATTGTGACGTAAAACATAGACTCAAAAATTGTTGACAAAATGACAGATACCATAACCAGTAAAAGATAGCTAGTTATTAAGATAATTCATAAGTAACTCTCTGTTTTCTTAAGTCTTCTACGTAGATAAGACTTCCGCTCTGAGCAACGGATTGGCAGTTTTAGGACCGTTAAAATTTCTACTCACCTCCAGCTTCAATGAGCACTCTTTTTCCCAACTGCCTCCTATATCGGAACCTCCGTTTTAATTGTGACCAGTAAAAGAAATCGGGACTGAAAAATGGCATAATTTCTTCTAAAAGTCTCTGTGCTTATGTCTAGTAGTTCTGTATGTTGAGCCCTCCACACAAATTGCAGCAGTCTTCCTTGAATTATAACAAATAGAGAAAAGGACAAAATTGATGCTATGGTAAAATAGTCAAAACATTTTGGGTGATCAAAAGTCAGCCTTATATTTCAAATACACATAAAGAAATCCATTGCTGCTTGCATACCCAGAGTGACTATTGATGTTTTCTTAGCATGACTCTCTGCAAAACAGTCCTTAGTATGCTTAGCAAAAACTACAATAAGCATTATCGTTGTTGTTGATACTAAAATAATATACGGTAAAGCCTCAGACAATTGTTCATTCTTTGTATGTTCTTCTAGCTTAAAATTTAAGTCTAAAGTACAATTATTGCTTTTCATCGAAATCTGCATCTTGTATTTCTCTTTTTTGTCTTTTTCTGATACAATTTTGCTGGCTCCTTCACATATAGTAATATTTTTATAGTTGCTAGGAATTATAATTATACCATTATTGCTCACAATTGTTTGTGTACTCTCATTAAATTGCGCTCCCTTGGTAATCAGCATATATTTGTCATCGCTTTCTCACATTCCATCACACATAATGAATCGATTTATGGTATGGTTTGAATTATCTTTAAAATGTTTATAGAGCGCTCTCCCTTTTGCAGAATCAAATAAGTCAAGTGCTTTGCCATTTGAAAATGACTGTCATGTCCCTAAATAATCCCTTTTTAACGCTTCAGATTCATATTCTTGTGCTTCAATTGTAACATTATACGTTTCAAGTGTTTCTGAGTTTTGTTTGGTGGTGGGGTGCCTCAATCTTTTGTTGTGAGGACTAAAAAGCTCATCAGTAACGTATATAAACAAAAGGAAGACAGCAATTGCTGCAATTCGTTTTCTCATAGGTTCTGCCATATTAACTTTATTGCAACTAGAGTTAAAAGTTGTGAAAGAAGACTTATAATATCTAGCTTATTGAGGTTTCCCTTTTCTTCATATCATTTGCTTAGAATTTACTTTCTATTTATGTGAATTTTATATAAACCTAGCAAAATGTCTAAATTGAATCTCAATCAAAGCTTAAATTTTAAAAGAAAAAACCCATTATCAAAAGATTAAATTATTTCTCACTTATTATCCTATTGTATTCTTTTTCAACTTTTTTCTCCAGTTCTGCGTGCTCCTCTAATACTTCTTGCTCAAAAGCTTTAATCAAAGCAAGATCAGTGAACCATATATATCCTGTGTGCGCTAAAAGGCAATATCCTGTCCATCTCATCATCCTCACTTGCCACACTCTCTTCCTCAAAGTCTCAAAAATTCCCATTTATCTTTCTAATTATGAAATAAATCCAATAAATATGAGTTTTACTGCAGCACACCACACAAGTATGCGATTTTTGGAAACTTTTCATGTCCCACTAAGAGCATTTATTAGCGACCTTAAATCTAACTCCTTTATTGAGCCTCGAGATTTTCACTTCAACACCCAAATAACTTCTCTTTGTTTAACCTCAGATGATGCTCATATTCTTGCTGGAATAGACCAAGGTCGAGTGCAAATTATTGAGCTAGAAAAAGATGAGGAATATGCAATGAATACAAAAGCCGATGAGGCTCCAAATGAGCACTCGCAAGACGATAGCCTCAATCTTGAATCTATAATAATCACTACAATTTGCGTTACAAGTGACTGCGAAACTGTAATAGTTGGGACTTCTTTAGGAACTGTCAGAATTTTCGAGCTTGATAATCCTTCAATATCAAGCAAAGAAGTATCCGGCCATCAAGGCTCGATAAATGATATAGTTATAAACCATGATGATAGGTTTTTTTTGTCTGTAGGGGAAGATACAAATGTGCATTATTGGGATGCAAAGACTTTTAAAATTGATAAAACAGTGATTGTTGAGGAAGGGACAGTAAAGGCAGTTGATATAAGCAAAAATGATAAGTGAATCGCTGCAGGAGGTTCTGATAGACTTGTACATGTTTGGGGCACCATGGCCTTAGCTCGCGGCTGGACAATGGAAGGGCATGAACTAGGAATTAATGCAGTCATTTTTACAAATGACTCGAAAAATATAATTTCAGGAGGAGATGATAGGAATATTTTTGTGTGGAGCGTAAGAGAAAAAGCTATAGCATTATCGCTTGCTGGACATGATGGGCCTATTATTGATCTTGCTTTAACTAGTGATAATACTTTTCTGGCATCTGCAAGCTCAGAAGGAGCAATATTTGTATGAAATATAGAAATGATGGCACCTCAGCCTATTCCTATAACTGACCAAGAATTCAATATCAATAAAATTTGTATATCTTCTGATGACGATATGCTTGTTTCTAGCTCTAAATCTGATGGTATTAAAATCTGGCCACTCAGGAGATCATTTCTAGCAGAAAACAAAAGATTAGCACATGAGTCAAGCATTATAGCTATTTTTGAAGACGCAAAATCCGAGTTTTTTTATACATTCACCAATAAAGAAATAAAAATGTGGAGAATTCAAACTATGGAGCTTGAGGCTGAATTTAATTCAGATGAGACTGAAATCACAGCAGCCATTTTTTTGAAGCATATAAATCAGCCTTGCATAGGATCTGAAAACGGTATACTCAGGACTCTAAAATTAGTTGGAAAAGAGTTCAAATCTGGTTTCGTTCTCAATGCTCACAGTTCAGCAATTAATTGCTTTGTTGAGGCACATGATTCTTTTGTAACTGGAGGAAATGAAGGAATCATATGCGTTTGGGATAGCACTACAGCAAAAAAACGGGGAGCAATGATAGGTCATTCATTAGGAATTACTTGTCTTTGTCTTACACATGATAAATCGATATTGATTTCGGCAAGCCAAGATTTAGAAATAAAGGTGTGGAATATTATTACAGGAAATGAGCTAACTGCAATTAAAAAGACGCATAATGATAGGGTTTTATGCTTATCTTTTACTGAAAACGAGTTCTTTGCTGTAAGTGGAGGAGCTGATAATTCATTGTTATTGTGGGATCTAAGGGCTAAAAGGCATAGCCCGCCTTTGGAGTCCCACAAAGATGATATTACTTGCATACTTTTTTATCATATATATTTAAAAATGGGGCAGCGACAACCTTCCCTCTTAGCACCTGAAGTTGGGTCTGGAGCTCCTGAAGAGAGGATGGCGTTCAGGAATGCATAAACCTCGGTTTTTTGCAGAGTGGTGAAGCGCAGTGCCATTTAAAGCAAGATGCTCACCCATGAGAAGAGGAAGCTTGATGCAGAAATGGGACATCCCAGCAGGCCAAAAGTTAGTTTCTTGGTCAAGCGGAATGTTTCATAGCATGATACCATGCGTTGCGTCTTGGGCTCTAAGTCTCCATCTTAGTCGTCAGGCAACCAGAAAATTGGACTTTTCGAATTTTCTGTCAGATAGCCCCATCGATACAGGGTATGATAACCCGAGTGCAAGCCCTTGTCAGTGAGTAGAAACACAGTGGAAGGCTGTGCCTAGGTTGGCAAGCAAGCGAAGGAGCGGCCACGGAGACTATCAGTGGCCCGCAGGGAGCTTCTTTATAAATAATTAACACAGCACAGCATGCTTGTTTATCAAAATGAATTTTTAATCACTGGAAGTCTTGACAAATATATAGGAGTGTGGTCAATCAAAGATCAGCTGCTATTAGGAAAAATCTCGGCTGGCTTCAAAAATTACACACAAATAAAATGGCGACGACACCGACCCGTCCTCTCCCGGAACTGAGGCGAGATTGGGGACCTTGCTGCGGCCTGAAGCCAATCCGCCCAGGAAAGGTCTGGAATGGGTACTGGTAGTTTGTGCCCGGCTAGGTTTCCCTCCCAGTCCAGCAACAACGATCCTAGGGTTGTCCCGATAGGATACGGGGCAAAAAAGGGTTTTTCCTCTAGGGATCGCTAGTGCCAATTTGGAGGGCATGGCAGGAGCCGACAAGAGCTAAGGAGTTAATCCTTAGCTCTAACCCTAGTCTGGCGACGTGAAGCACGGTGACTCAGTCCGCCTACTTCCGGGATAGCATGACCAAACCCCATGACAGAAGGAGCTGAGTGGTAGCCTGTGGCACTTAGGTGCACACTGGGAGCAGGGCAAGGAAAGCAAGCGAGGCGCCCAAAAGGCGGAAGAAAAGGACCTTCGGTCCTGGCCGGGAGCTACTCTATAAAATTTAACTAAGACTAAGGCTTCAAAATTACATCTTTAACGTTTATTGATGATTGTAAAGAGATATTAGTTGGATCCAGTGGCGGAGTTTTAATAAGAATGCCAAACCCATTATCAGTTAATTCCTCCTTAAGCATTTTACCTGAGAAATATTCTGGCCTATTCTTGAGCTATCTTCGCAAAGTTGTGCTAAAAGAAACTGATATATATGACCCTTTGTTCACAGATTACGTAATTTTCCCAGACCGGTTTAGCATCCTTCATTTTCTTGCATTTTTAAAAAACGCAAATATGCTTGGCCAAGCATTAAAATCTGGAGCAAAATTCATAAAAAGCATTGTAGCAGAAGACCCTTTAAAAATCTCGCTATTCCAAAGCAAACAATGCACAGAGCTCATATTGCGCTCCTTTCCAAAATATATAGCCCCAAACAATCCGAAAATCTTCAGATATGTAGAGCCGCTGTTAAAAAATTTCAATAATGCCAATTTAATGAATCTTCATTTTTTATATGAAAGTGCCTTTACTCCTTGCACTGATAAAATATTGCCTGAATTTGGAGTGATGGTTGGGTCAAATCCTGAGGTGAGATGAAGCTATTCAGAATTTATAGACCATAGCAAGTTTGTACACGAAAAGGCTAAAAATGATCAGGAATGGAGACAGCAGCAGCTTTCGTTCTCAAGGTCTTTAATAAGGCTGCCTACGATTCCAGGGGCATTGTCAAGTGTCCTGTTCTTACAATCTATTGTCATGTGTAAAAACCACGAAATCTTCAAAACAGAGCTCATAAAATCTTTACTACAGTTTAAATGGAGAAAAACGAAAGCATTTATTATCATTGAAGGGATACTTTTTATAGGCTTTTTCGCAACAATGATAGCACATGGCATATCTGATGACTCTGGGGCCAATTTTACATACGCTCTCCTTGCTTTTAATTGTGTTTATGCAATCAAAGAAATTTTGCTTATTAAGTATGTTGGAAGATATTATATAGGTGATCCATGAAATTTGGTTGGCTTGTCGAAAATCATCATTTTGTACCTTTATTTATTTTTTAGGGTTGGACATGAAACATGGCATGCTAAAGTTTATATTTTCCCATTTGCATTAATGACATCTTTTATTAGAGGGGCTGGATATCTTCGAGCTTACAAGCCTACTCGCAGATTTATAAGACTGCTGATTCAGATTTATATGGATATTGGCCCATTTTTGATTGTCCTGCTATCTTGTACTGTTATATTTGGAATTGTATTTTATGTGCTTAAATTAAATGAGTTTATAAAGGACGCATTATTAAGGGCTTATACTCTTAACTATGGAGAGTTCAATATTGATACAGAATGGTCAGGATTTTCTACATTTTTAGATTTATTTGCTTCTTTTTTCACTACCTTAATCATGCTTAACATCATTATTTCAATAATGGGCGACACTTATGACAAAGTTAGCGAAAACTCAGAAGCAAATGACCAAAAAGAGTTCGCAGCGTTAATCATGGAAGTAGAAAGCATCATGATTTGGAATAGAGAAATGAATGTCCCTTATTACGTTCATCAATGTGCAATTAAGGAGTCTGAAGTGCAAGAAGACAGTTCAAAATGGAGTGGAAAAATGAATGTGATAAAAAAATCAGTTAAAGGGATCCACACTAAATGCAAAAATATTAGGAATGAAATGAAGTCACTGAAACTGATGATCAAAGAATTTCCGAAAAATTTGAAAAGCGAGGTAAATAAGCTGGTTGAAAAACAGAAGAGTGCGAAATTTGCGAAGGAAAGTCTGGCGAAAATTGGATTAGCATTAACGTCATTGCAAAGAGGACTAAAGCAAGCAAACGGGCTTAAAAGTGAAATATTTGATGCAGATGCAGGAATAATAGATAATATGCCGTTGAAATGGCTGAGAAATTCTATCAAGAAAAGTTTAAGAGATAGTTAAGATTAATTATAACATTTATATATGCATTCTAAAAATATGACAAAATAGTGATTAATTTAAAAATGTTCAATAAAACCTTCAATTTAACAAAGTATCTCAATTTTAATAATTCACTGCTTAAACTGAAACAACTATATAAAGCTTAATTTAAAAATTATATTAGGAATTGACAAAAAAAAATTAAAAATGACTTCAAGATCATGCCTTATGGCAACAAGATATTGGAGAGTTATAATCATCATCTTTCTTTTATCTATAAAGTCAATTGAAATTATATCCTTGTTTTCTGCTAACTCCCCCCCCTCCGTGAGTGAACAAAACCATTAGAAAAATCGCTATTTTTTGCCCAAAAACCCACCCTCCGTGAGTGAACAAAAATTTTTTTAATAGAAAAATTTTTGATATATAAATAATAATTAGTATAATAAAATCTAGAACTAATTCTATTTAATTTTAAACGAATTACTTTTTAAAACATAAATTTTATAAATTAAATTAATATTTGCTTTCCAATTTTTTTGCGAATTAGGATTTTTTTAAATTTTGAAAAAAAATATTTTTTATAAAATTTATATATAAATTTTTTAAAAAAAAAAAAATTAACCCCCCTCCGTGAGTGAACAAAATTTTTTTGTTCACTCACGGAGGGGGGGGGAGTAACTGGTTTTACCAGTCAAAAAACTCCAATAATTGACATGGTGGACTTTTCTACCCAAATTCAGACTCTGCCAAATATGCAAAAACTGATAGTTATTTTGATATATTGGACAAATGTGAACGAAACACAACCTCAAACAGTCTTTCTCAGGATGAATGCTTAGTATTTAAGAATTTATGAATTAGTGGGGTTACATATGGCATACTTGAATGTGGGTCAATCCTATTTGTAACAATTTCTTTGGCTATCCTTATTCTTGATATTTTTCGTAATATCAGATGTGTGGGATTCTCAGTGTTCTCGTTTTGAATGGCTTTTATTTTGCACTTACTCCCCCCTATGTGAGCAAACAAAAAAATTTGTTCACTCACGGAGAGGGGTTTAATTTTTTTTAAAAAAATTTATATATAAATTTTACAGAAAAAAAAATTTTTTCGAAATTTTAAAAAAAAATCCTAATTGCAAAAAATTGGAAAGCAAATATTAATTTAACTTATAAAAATTAAACAGAATTAGTTAGAGATTTCATTATACTAATTATCACTTATATATCAAATTTATTTTTTCATAAAAAATTTCTATTAAAAAAATTTTTTTTCACTCACGAGGGTAGGTTTTTGGGCAAAAAATAGGGATTTTCCTCACGGAGGGGGAGTTAGCAGGATTCTGGGTATGGTCTGGGCTAAATGTATTATTTTTTTCTGAGAATTGTGAAGAAATGGACTGGGACTCTATAAATGCATCTTCAAGTGTTTGTGGAGAAGATGGGACGAAAGCTGCATTAGGGTGCTTACTAATGTTTCCTTTTGCAGCAACACTGCACACATTTCTTTATTGGAGCTCGAAAATATATTCAAGACGAAAAGAGAATGAAACGAGTCTAGCTGTGACCCCTGAACCACACCAGACTCATGAACCAGGAAGCATTTCAGTCTGCATAAACAACTATTTTGAAAAGGTTTAATTTAGAAAGTTGTTACCATACACATATATAATCAACCTTTAAATAATTTATTTATTTCGCTTTTTTCCCTTGATTACTAACAGCTTCAATTTTTTTCTTCAGTTCATTTTCATCTGCAAGATAATAATGTCTCATTGGCTTCAAGTTCTCATTCAGCTCATACACAAGTGGAACACCTGTTGGAATATTCAGTTTTACTATTTCAGTATCACTAATCTGGTCAAGATGCTTTACTAAGCTTCTCAAAGAGTTCCCATGAGCTACTACAAGTACTTGCTTATCATTAATGATATCAGGTCCAATATGATCATACCAATAAGGGAGCACTCTTGCGATGCACTCTTTAAGTGATTCAGTCTTCGGTAAAACATCTTTTGGCAGAAATGCATATCTGGGGTCATTTCCAGGGAATCTTTCATCATCGACTTGGAGTTCTGGAGGTGGGATATCATACGAGCGTCTCCAAATCAAGACTTTTTCTTCACCATGCTTAGCAGCTGTTTCTGCTTTGTTTAATCCTTGAAGTCCTCCATAATGTCTTTCATTCAGTCTCCAGGTTTTATTAATTGGGATATACTCTTGGTCTATTTCATTCAAAATAAAGTTCATGGTTTGGATTGCTCTCTTTAATAGAGAAGTGTGAACAAGGTCAAATTTGAAGTTGTTTTCTTTTAAAATTTTTCCACCTTGTTTAGCTTCTTCGACTCCTTTTGGGGTAAGAGGCACATCAGTCCAGCCTGTGAATCGATTTTCAAGGTTTCATACTGATTCTCCATGACGGACAAGGACTAAACGATAGGTTTTCGATATAATAGACATTATTTAGAAATTCACTGATGATAATAAGCAATATCATTTATACACACTACAATTTCATTATTCAATTATTGCAATTTCCTGTGAATGGCGCTGTTTTGGCTTTGATTTTCCCACTGGAAAATGTTTTGGTTTGGCCAGTACCATATGGTTTTGTCAAACCAAAAAAATTTCCCAGTAGGAAAATCAAGGCCAAAATAGCGCCATCCATGGGAAAATCCGATACTTTCATATTTAAAAGGATATGTTGAGTCTTTTATTTTTACCTCTAATCTTGAAACTGCTGATATTAACTCAGGCATCAGCTGTGGAAAGCGATTTCCCTATAGTTGGAATTTTTACTATGGAATGGGATGATTTTGGGTATAATACAACTAAAAACTATACATCTTACATTGCGGCATCATATGTAAAACATCTAGAATCAGGCGGATTCAGAACTATAGTCATCAAATATGATATCCCTTATGAAGAAATTGATTATCTCATGAGCAGGGTGAATGGTATTCGCTATATAGCTATTATGCTGCTTGGAGGAAGGGCTAATCTTGTAAAGCGTAAAAAAGGAAAATATCAGTTCACTGAGTACGCGAATAAAGCTTTATATGTAGTCAATAAAGCTATAGAAATGAATGATAAAGGAGTTTATTACCCAGTTTTCGGGACTTGTTTAGGATTTGAAGCTATGTTTGTTGCAGCTGCAGGAGAAAACGTTTTGGAAAGATTTGACTCTGAAATGTATCGCTCTATTATGTATTTTACAGAGAAAGCACCAACTTCAAGGTTTCTTCGAGGCGCTAACCCAGCCTTGCTCTATGATTTGAGCTATGAGCCTATTGCATTTGAAAATCATGCATTTGGTGTGAGCTATGAAAAATATTTGAATAATCCTAGACTTACAGACTTTTTTGACCCACTCGCAATATCAAAGGATAGAGCTGGAAAAATTAATATAGCAATTGCTGAAGGTAAAAAGTACCCATTCTATGCCATGATGGTACATCCTGAAAAACCGCCATAGTAAATAATAAATAGTGAGTATTATTTCCCTGAAATCAATCACGATATCAGAGCAATACAATTAGGGCATTACTTTGTAAGGATTTTTGCTTCTGAAGCAAAAAAAAATTCAAATAAATTTGATACTGATTTTGAATTTTTAAAAAATTCAGCTAGGAGCTATGATTTGTATTTCACACATTATCCATTTGAGCAAACATATTTTATCTTATAAAATAAGGTCATTTATGATTATATGAATTAAAATACTTGATTAATGAAATTTCACCTGCATTATATTACCTTATGATAAATATATTTAAATAACAAAAATCTTCATTTTCAATAGCTATTTATAGAAACTTGTATATGCTGTTTTGAAATCCATGTATACGCCTTTTTCAAATATACCTTCAAAAGTTTCCCCATTTGGCATTACCAACTTCCCGTGCCCATGCCACTTTCAATCATCAAAATCTCCTTCATAACATTTTCCATCACTTCTTATTTCTTTTCCTCTAACTATATTATTTTCATAGAATTCTCCTTGAAATATGATATTATCCACTGTACACAATTTTCCTTCTCCATACCTCATAGAGTCTTTTCACTGCCCTTCATAATATTCTCCGTCAGGTCTTATAAGTCTTCCCATTCCATGCGTATTGCCATTATTTCAATATCCTTGATAATAAGATCCATCATGATAAAATCTTTCCCCCTTTCCATGACAATGATTTCTAGCCCATTCTCCACTATAAACTGAATTATCTGGCATAAATTTTAAGTTAACTTCCGTCGTATCGCTCTCAGTGGTTGTTCACTCTCCCCATTCGAATTTTGGTAAGCTTTTTTCAATTAAATACCCTTTGCTTTTCTCAAATTGTTCTATAATTCTTTCTACCTCGTCTGATTCTGTATATGCAAAATCTTCTTCACTTATAAACGATGAATTTTCTTCTGGGGCTTCAAATATCTCAATTATGTCTTCTTTGATGTCTTCTCCAATATGCAAAAGAACTCTGCCATCATTTTCAGGCTCTTTGGCGACAGAAATAGCATCTTTATATAGATGAGCTGGGAAAATCCCTGAAATGTCATTTGAAAAAACGAAGCTTAGCTTTTGGATTTGTTGGAAATATTTACGTCGTTTATATGATGATAATTTTTGAAATCATTGCTTGAGGTTTAAATAAGTGATTTGGGAATGAGAATTTGGGACTGCGGTACAGTGATAACTCGAGGTATTTCCTTCATAAACAACCAACTCACATTTGTGTTCAATATTTTCAAGTACTTTTAAAGCATCATTTTCTCCAAATCTGTCAATTATTCAAGCAGGGTGGATTTTTTCAACCATTTCTTGAAATTTTATGTTAAAATCGAGATCTTCAAAGCACAAAATATTAGTTTGTCCTATATCAACAAGCAAATTTTCATCATTTTTCTTTTTTACTATGTTAATGCAGTCTATGCTAGAAAAATTGCACCATTTCACAATCATTTTTCCTAAATTTGAAGAATCGACTATATGTATGATTGCTTTTAATTTTTGATTATTTATATGCTCATTTATCATCAAAACAGTTAGAGGATTTCTCATAAGAACACTTCCTTTTATATAGTCAATATCTTCATTTAAAATAGCGCAGCTTTTTGAACTGCACAGAACATATTCAGACCATGATCCTGGTAAGGTGCTGTCAAAATGATGTCGAAATGGGGTGAGGAAAATTTTGAATTTTCTCAGATGGCGAAAAAAAAACCAAAAAAAAACCCCATAATAAAAAAAAAGTAGTGGCGGAAAAAACCCCAGCGAAAACAAAAACCGTCAAAGTCAGAGGAAAAAACCCCCAAATGGTGCTAAAAACGGAGGAAAAAAACCCCAATATACAATATAATTAAATGCTTAAAATGATAGGCAAATATTAGAGAAAATACAAATAAATATTTATAATTTAGTTACAATAAATCAATTAAAGCAATATTAATATATAGATGTATAGATTTATTCTCAAAGTAACTATAAAGCTATGATTAACAAAAATAATGGAAAAAATATAAAATCAACTATAAATAAATTTACAATCAAAACCTGGCGGAAAAAAACCCGAAACGGTGCAAAAACCAGAGGAAAAAACCCGAGTATGGGGTGAAAATTGGCGGAAAAAAACCAATTTTTTTTTTTTTATAATAATTTTTTTTCAAATAATTATCAGCGAGGATAGATTTTTAATGCTTATTACCTGCTAATTAATTAATTATTAAGCTATTTCATTTTAGTTTGTCAATCTATGAACTATATATATATTGCTAAATCATTCAGCGTTCTAATTATAAAAAGTTATTTGAATAATAAACAAGAAGGTGAAAAATTGACTTTAATACTATCCAATACTTAAATCATATATTTACTTTTCGATGCATCATGTACTAGCTCATCTTGTATTCACCTGCGACACAAACTGCACTAGATCATCTTGCGTCCGCTTGTGGCACATCCTGCTCGCTTATTTTGTATTCGCCTGCGGCACACCCTGTAGAGATCATCCTGCATCCAACTGCGATATATCCTATATAGATCGCTATGAAAGAATACCTTAAGAGGTAAAATAGCGATCTTACAAGTAAAAATGGCAATGACAATTGTTATTTTTATAGCAAGTACAGATTTGGCTTTGCAAACTTTTTCTATAGATTGTATTTGCCAAGCCAAACGTGAACTGGCCATACAAATGGTCTTTGCCATTGTTAGAAGAATTTTTAGATAGCTACTTTTGGTATTTAGATATTGTTCTACAGTACAGGGATCAAAATAACATATAGGGGCTATGCTAGTTCACCTTGTATCCACTACGACAAATCCTGTACTAGCAAAACGTGTATCCGCCTGCAACGCATAAGACTAGCTCACCTTTTATTCATCCTCGACATATCCTGAAAAACACATAATAAAGGAAGCATATAACTTAGTCTTAACCTGATTGATGAGACTGGAGCAAATATGCTAAATTGTATCAGCTTCACTCATTGTATTGAATATTTATAAAATCCACAAACATAACGATGACCTCCCCCTCAATCTTCATGTCTATTGTAACAAAAATTTTCGAAAAAACAAATTTATGCCAACTCAACTTAACATTTTTATAAAAAAGATTTAATGCATTTTTCTCTAGGTGAGTTTCTCAAAAAAAACCATAAAACAGCGCTGCTGTAGGCATGTCAATGACCTTCTCATCGAGATTTGGACGGCTATTGTCATCGCTCGCCATTTTATTAAACTTATCTTGCTAAAAAGTAGGAAAAATTTTAGATGCGCATCGAAAATTTGTTGCAAGAGATATTAAAATTATTTTTTCTATATAGCATTTTATATTAAAAAATTGCATTTTTGTTGCAATAGACATGAAGATTGGGGGGGTCATCATTATATAAAAATCTATCCTCGCTGATAATTATTTGAAAAAAAAATTATTATAAAAAAAAAAAATTGGGTTTTTTTCCGCCAATTTTCACCCCATACTCGGGGTTTTTTCCTCTGGTTTTTGCACCGTTTCGGGTTTTTTTCCGCCAGGTTTTGATTGTAAATTTATTTATAGTTGATTTTTATATTTTTCCATTATTTTTGTTAATCATAGCTTTATAGTTACTTTGAGAATAAATCTATACATCTATATATTAATATTGCTTTAATTGATTTATTGTAACTAAATTATAAATATTTATTTGTATTTTCTCTAATATTTGCCTATCATTTTAAGCATTTAATTATATTGTATATTGGGGTTTTTTCCTCCGTTTTTAGCACCATTTGGGGGTTTTTCCCTCTGACTTTGACGGTTTTTGTTTTCGCTGGGGTTTTTTCCGCCACTACTTTTTTTTTATTATGGGGTTTTTTGGGTTTTTTTTCGCCATCTGGAGAAAATTTCAAAATTTTCCTATAAATTTAACGGTGAAAAAGTTGGCGGACAAAAACCCAGCGGGGTTTTTTCCGCCTCACCCCGGAAATGCCCGGTGACGTAATCAATTGGTGCCTACTGGGGTGAGCCCTTGTGGCTTTGTTAAATCACCCTACGGAACTGGAGAAACACGTTAAACACTCTAAGTAAGTTAATTTTAATGTTAATGCTGTCAAATTGAATAAAGCTGACCCTTTTGTTTTGCATGCTGGTCCAATTTATACCGCTGCCAGTGCTTATTACTCTTCCGGCACCTTCACAGCCTGGGATAACTGATTTGGTGGAGCAGTATTTTAAGACTTCAAAATCCATATGATGAATGGGAGCAATTTCGACCTTTATAAGCACTTGGCCTCACTTTGGAGCTGGGAATATTTTTTTAATCAAGCTCATGGTGAATTCATTTTCGCTAGATTGCCATGAAATTGCCCTAATGTGTCTTTCATTGTTCATTTCAATATAATTATTTTTTGTAAATTAAGAGTTCCCAGCTAGAATGTTGATGTTAATCATCCTTGTCGGGGCCAGAGATTTCCCTCTGCATGCTTATCGTCCCAAGAGGCTCCTGCAGGAAGCCTTCTTCAATACCGCAGGAAAGGAATTCATACGACCGAAACTGACTTCCATGACTCCTGGAGCTTCGGCCCATTACTGGAGCGAAACCCCAGTTTCTCGCTGGACAAATGCTGCCTCTTGAGCCCAGTTTGAGGATCTTATCATCTACTCAGGGTTCTGATGGTCTCGGAGGTAAAAGCTCAAGTCCCAGCTATTAGTTCCCTAGGGGCCATGAAAACCTAGCCCGACTATATAAAGGATAACCGGCCTCTCTCTACCCTTCTCTTTCACACTGGATCGTTGCCTGCAGTGTTGATGAAATAGGGTTAGGAGTTCGAGTGATCGGTTGTCATTATTTTTATGTATATATCCCAGCTACAATAATTCTCTGTGAAAGAAATCTCATAATTAAATAATTAAGTAAAATATTTTGTAAGCCTCCCTACATAGCTTATAATTAATTTGAATTGTGAAATAAAACCTAACTCACCTGCAAGATATTATAACTTTTAAAAATAATTAAATTATTATAAATATTATAAATCTGCCTAATAAAATATTTCTTTCATTCTTCGCAGCAAAAAATTATTTAAAAATTGAGTATACTTACTTTTAGGAGGAATAAGAGATTTATATATATTGAAGCATTTAGCACTTTAAAAGTCTTCTATCTCAAAAATTAAATTCACATAAATTCTACTCAGCCATTTTCTATTCGGTGAAAAAATGAAAGTCCTGATTACTTTAGCAGTTCTTCCCCTAATATTCGCAAACCCGCTGATAGACCATCACAATCAGTATATTTCGCGTTTTATCCCAACTGAAGATATTGATAATCTTAGCGGCACCAGCTATTCTTGTGCAAATTACCAATGTTCCACAACTCCATTGCAAGCCAATCAGTGCATTTCATATAACTCGGTTTCTAACACCTACAACCTTCAAGTATGCCCATCTGGCCAGTATTGTCCTTGGGCCTTATATTCAAAATCGAGCTCTTATTGCCTACCATTTGTCCCTAATCTCCCAGGAGGAAATCCAGGCGATACCTGCAATGTTCCAAGTGATTGTGGTGGCCACTGGCCTAAATGTGTGAATGGAATCTGCATGGCTGGCGATGCCGGTGCCAAGTGTGATGATCAGCCAGATTGTAACGTTGGCCTTGCCTGCTACAACATCCCATCAAATTCTACATGCCAACCTCAGAAATCCCTTGGACAGCAATGTGGTAGCTATTTGACAATGAACAACTGCCAAAATAACTTGGCTTGCAATTTCGGCACCTGCCAAAAGGCTTTTTCAATGGGTGTTGGGGCTATTGTAGACGCCACATCAGCTGCATCCTTATGCTCAACTGGCTTTTACACCTATGTTAAAAACAACTTGAACAAGGCAATTTGTGCAAAGGCACCTAAGAGTCCAAACCTTCCTCAGCCAGCTAAATGCACCCCAGGCACTTACTGTATTTCTGCTGATGGCCAGTATGCAGCTGCATGCGAGTGTGGATTCAACAGCAATGGAAGTGCTTACTGTCCTCTATTCCCAGGTGATGATCTTTATCAGCAGTACTTCAAAGCAGTCGTTGCATATACTTTGACCCCTAATATCACTAAATGCCACTATTTAGATGTTGGACAAGCAAGCTGTCCATATATGCAAGGAGCAATATTGAACAATGTTATAAACGCTGCAAGACAAGTTGAGTTCTTTACAAGGTCACTTGGAAACGATCAGTGCATCAAGAGCATTTATAACTCTGATTATTGGTATCCTTCACCATCATTCTAAATAATGACTTTCCTTAAGAATGGTTTTATTTGGTAAATCTCTAATATTTTTTAATTTCGGCTGATTGGCACTGCCAACGTCCTCGCCCGACTGTGATTGTCTTGTTTTATAATTTAGCCAGCAAGAGTTATATTAAGGCTTACAATGAATAAAAACAAAAAATAATGGTAGCTATTTAATTTAATAGCAACTAGCCAATAAACAACTCTTCTATTTATTGAAAATGGGTATAATTTATTTCATTTAAAGTAATTTCGATCTTTTCATAGTAACGATTTTACGGAGTTAAGTTAAATTACAAAAATTAAGATAGCGGAGACGGTGTTGGAGGATAACTAATATAAATTGTTGTGTTCATTGATAAATTCGGAGAAGCCGTTCTTGGTCTCTGCAATATAGACGAGCACTTATGCCGACGATTGCATAAACTATAATCTACTGTTTCATTGCATAATTCCTTACATTTTGTTCTTTTTAAAGAATGCTGCTGAGAAGACACCGTTCTTTTGGTAAAATTCCAAGAAAGCCTCATCGATTTTTGCGTTTTAAATTTAAAAAATAACGGCACTGGAGGTGTCCCATTTGAATTGCATCTGTTATAAGAAGACTCAGTTTGGCACATATAAGTTCCTGAGCGTTCTAATTGAGGAGTTTCTCTTGGTCTTTCAACAGATTTCCTTCGAGATGCATTTAAATTTGCAGAATTTGATAGATGAGGAATGTGGCGCCTTATATGTATGCATCTTTCTCTTTCTATTGAAGATTCTGTAGGTCTCGAAATTCCATCATTTTTGTATTTCCAAATAAGGCTTTTCACCAAAATCGGATTTGGAAAGCCAAAATTATTAGCATATTGACTCTCAGAAGCATCAGTCATAAGACTCCCCCTTCTTTTTAAGCTTTCTTGTGTGTCTTTGAGTTTATGGCTTTTCCCCATGCAGGAAAACTCTTGTCCAGGTTTCAAAATATTCATAAGGATGCTCCCTTTTTTCATTCCTTTAATTATCATTTCTTTCTTTTTTTTCTTTGATTTCAGCATTTTCCAGAATTTCGCAATTCTTCTTACAGCAATTTTTATTTTTATTTCATGCAATTTGTCTTCAATTATTTTTTCTTCTTTTAAATTTTGGATAATTTCTTCAGCCCTGCATCTTCGAATTAGGGCTTGAACTTTGATTACGGCTGATATAAACGCTGCTTTGGATTTTCTGTACTCTGAGATGACTTTTCTTCATTTGTTTCTTTCGTGCAGTCCTCTTGTGAATTTTTGGATCGTTATTGCGGCCTAACTAAACGTTACTTCTTCTGCTCTGTTTCCTAGATGTAAAAAGCAATCTTCACTGAAGATTTTTAGATCATTTAAAGCAGTTTTCAAATTATTTTCAATTTTTTCATCAGCTACCTGAATAAAATTTACCTTACTCCTCCTTCGTGGGTGAACAAAACCATTAGAAAAATCCTTATTTTTTACCCAAAAGCCCACCCTCTGTGAGCGAACAAAAATTTTTTTTAGAAAAAAACTTTGATATATAAGTGATAATTATTATAACGAAATTTCTGCTGATTCTGTTTAATTTTACGAATTCAATTAATATTTGCTTTCCAATTTTTGCGAATTAGGATTTTTTAAAATATCGAAAAAAAAATTAACCCCCCTCCATGAAAGAACAAGATTTTTTGTTCGCTCATGGAGGGGGAGTTAGAAATCCATTTTCTAACTGAATACCCTCTGAATGTAGCCTGAATTCGAATAGCTGCTGCGATTTCTTTGAAGGCTTGCATAGTTTCTGCTTTTTCGACCTTATAAAAAAATTTCTGCAGCTTTAAATGTTTCTTTATCTGTGTTTTACAGTTCCTGACTTTTACTTTAATTGTCTCCAGAGATTTCCTCTTTTCGCTTAAATTTTCTTCTGTGTATTTATCTTTGTGAAATGAGATATTCTGTGTTGCCAGGCCTACCCATTCACTAAATGACGAGTTTTTTCCATAATTTTCTGGGACTCTCTTCTTGAGCAATTTATTCATTTTCTCAATACTAAATTCCATAAATTCATATAATTTAGTGATTGATGCTTATTATAAGATTCACAGCCAGAGGATTTGCGTATAAGCCAACTAGTAGGCTAGTTTTTAAAAACAGCAGGATGATGCTCTATAGCAGCACTGACGACCCTAAAAAAAATTATTTAAAACTTGCTGGCTTTGGAGCTTTTGGAGCATATCTTGGGAGGAGCCTTTATCTTTACCATTCAAGTATGGGCTGAATTCACTTATTATTTGACTGGACTGGTGTTTTTACGTGTTTATATCAAGTTATTTGTAGGTGGATGTCTAACCAATTCACAATCAAAGAAATAAGTCTTCTTGATAATGGAAATCAGATTGAAGTCTCAACAATAGGGAATTTTTATTTCAAAAGGCAGCTGATTATAAATATTGGCGATATTATTAATCCTGAATTAGATCCCAACTATAAAGAGGCTATGAGTTATATTAGAGCTTGACTATTATTTACAAAACAAAAAGATACATTTTTATTATCTCCAAAAGGAAATATTTTTAATAAAGAGATATTTCAAAAAGTTATAGTTGGGGAAAGAATTATTATAGAGTCTTCTGAAGATGAAAGCAAAATCATAGATATATAAATTTCTTATTTTAATTACAAGTTATTTTAATTGGGCATTTTAAAATTATTCAAAAAATGTCATTCTTGCAATTCTTACACCTCCATCCTTGATCAATCAATATTTTTGAAAAAGCAATTTTTGTAATGGCCAATAAAAAAATCGTATAATCAAATAGGAAGTTAAAGAATTTGAAAATATGGAATTAGGAAAATCTATTCCTGGGAGTAATTCAAAGGCATTGAAATCTGCTATTAGGCCAACATATAATAACGATAAAGAAAACCAGCCTTCTTCATCTCATAGCCGGAGTAAAAAGTCAGTATCAATCAACATATCAAGTGAAACAAACATTCATCATAAATCTCATTCACTAAGCAGCATAATACAAACTCCGATTATTTATGCTCCTGGGATGCTTCCACATACACATATTAATTTAAATGCTAATACAAAGCAGAAAGTTGTGCAGTCTGGAAGCAGCCTGATTTCTAATCTCGACATTATATTAAGATTATAAAATAAAAAAAATAAATTTTATATTCCATTAAATATTCTATTTCATTATTTAGATCAATAAATTGTCTGAAGAAGTAAAAAACTTGTTATGGTTCCCCCACCAAATTTAATTTCATGGAAAAATCAATCAATATCGACTGTTTTGGAAGAAAAAACAAATATTGATAAGCATCTTAAATCTTTTTGTGATCGAAGTTTTCTCTCAAAAGAAAGATTAAACTTAAATAAAGCCTTGTTTCAAGTATTAAACTTAAAATTTCTTTACTTAGAGTATTTAGTGTGTCGTCGGATCTGAAAGATGATTACAAAAGCCATATGGGGTCCCCGAATGGCAGCTAAATTAGTGACATCACCGGCATTTCCTACGCGACCTTTTCATTGGGTCGAAAACCATCCTGAGCAAGTGGTGACTAGTTTGCCTCTTGATCTCATAGGCAGCATTGAATCGTCTTTCTCCAACTTTAGTCTAGAGTGCTTTCCACCTAAGGTTCTCCTTCCTTTGGAGTGTCAAGCAGCAAAAATCTACTCCAGGATCAGAGCCATCACCTTATCCTATGAGTCTCCATAGATATTGTGGATAAAAGGTTCATCGGTAAAACTAAACCCCATAAATAAAATTCCAAGAAGAATAAGAAGAGAAAATTAGTGAAGCAACTTCGCTCACACCAAATACCATTTAATCTAAATTTTGCTTCAAGTCAGAAACTCATCAAGACTTTCCACTAATAAATAATTCTTAAAGCTTTTTGTATTCTAAAAAGAAAATAATAAAAAAAATCAACTTCATATAAAATATGAAAATTTAAGCAATAAAATAAATATAATTTTTAATCTTATTAAAATCTATTTCTGGTCTTTACCAGCCAAATATGATCTGTAACTTTTTCTTTTGCAGCGCTAAATTGCTCAAAATACAAATGAGTATTATTGAAAACAGTCATTCTTCCATACCCAAAGTCATTAGAATTGTAATAATTCCATAAATGAGGGGTTGTACTTATCTCTGCGTTGTGCCCTATAACACTTCCTCCATTCCCGTCAAGAATGTAAACAGTTGCCTGTGGATTTAAATGCAAATTCAAGTCATCAAGTTCACTTTTAACTGTGCTGTTTTTATATATTGGACCCATTCTTTCATAGGTATGTAAATGTCCAGCGAGAAACATGTCAACTCCCTGCTCATAAAAAATATCTTCAAGTTTATCTCTCAAAATTCTTGCTTCAGCTCCACAAATATAATTTCTCTCTATGCTGTGTCTAGCGAAATCATAAGAGCAATACAGAGGATGATGAGTCATAACTATTATTCATGGCCTTTCATTACGATGTGTATTTGCGTCTGTTAAGTCATTTATAAGTCAAAGTTTTTGACTATTTTCAAGATCATGCTGATAACCGAAATAGATCTCTGAGTTTAAAAAAACAAAGTGGGCTGGCCCAATGTTTAAGGAATAAAAAAGGCCTTCAGGAGCATAATTATTTTTTGGCATATTAAATCTAGTACGATAATGCAACATTTTATGAGCATTTTCATGGTTTCCAGGCAAAGTCATATATGGGATAATTGCTGCTGTGCTTTGTATGAAGTTTTCCTATAGATTACTTTTTAAAAATTATCAGTTTTTTTTAATGGAAAATTTAAAGAGAAGCTTTATATCATATTTAAAAAGTCATCGCCTACGATACCATCATTGCTTTCTAAATTATAAGCTATATCTCCCATATGAAAAACAGCTGAAAAATTTCTAGAAATTGCCTCAGCTTCTAAATACTGGTAAGTCAAGTTCCCATATTCGCCTGTCCCTAAGTCGCCGAAAATAATTATAGAGATTTTCCTTGAATAGCGAGATAAAGTGTGTCCTAGGCTTTACCGGAAGAGTTTTGCCACACAATGCCTGCATTACTATCTTTATTGAAGAGGTAAGTGTTAGGACTGAGTTGTTTGCCTAATCTAGTCTCTAGAGCTTGAAAGCAATACGATAACTGAAAAGTTGTGAAACTTTGATCACTTGCTTTATAGCTATTTCGGCCCTTCAAGATGTTCTGACCAGCTGATTCTGGTCAGCACATGAAAATAAAAATATGCTCAATTCATGATAATTATTCAAATTTCAGATAAAAGTATGGTTAAGATAAATTACTTAATATGAATTAAATTCGAAAAAAAAAAATTGTAAAAATGTCAAATTAATGAAAAGTAATTTTTTAAAGTCTAATATTGCAGGAAGTGCTCACATGAAATGAGCATAATAGATAGTGTTAGCTCTTAAAGACCCCTAAAACCCCAAAGCGTCCAGCCGATTTCATCATTTTTAGAATGATAAAAGAAATATGCTCTAAACCCATTTATTTAAATGCGATCATAAATTAAGCATGCTTTTATTTCATGAATCAGACAAATTATCTCGTCAGAACATTTTAGTAGGCCGAAATAAATTAAGATTTCTTTGCCGCGATAAATGTAAATGTATTATTATTTTACTGGTCGAAATAGCTATAAACACTGCTGGCAAGTAATCAAAGTTCCACAACTTTTCGGTTTATCGTATTGCTTTCAAGCTTTAAAGACTAGATTGGGCTAAAAACTCAGTTTCACTACTTAACTCTCCAATAAAGATAAAAATACAGGCCTTATGTGGTGAAACTTCTCAGGTCAAGCTTAGGGCATCATCTTATCTCTCTATAAGAGAGAAAAACCTATAATTTTACTGGATCATTCGAGTTGCTGTAGTTATCTGATGATTCAGGTGTTTTTCCTCCGAATATATAAGTACTACTTGTAGAAATATCATTTTGGATGTAATACTCATAAAAGCAGTCATCTCGAAGATTAGTTAAGACTGCTGTGTGAATAAAAGCAAAGCGATTAACGGAATTTCCTTCATTAAATTTTATGTGGTGGCTTGATATAGCTCTAGGAATGGGATTGATTCCATAAGTGCTATTTTCCAACTTTCAACCTAAGCTAAAAGTCGAAAAAAATCTCACAGTTTCAAATAGGAGTCTATAAGCCACATTATTTTTGTAAAGTTTTTCTAGTTCTCATTGGCTGCTCAACTTTTAGCGAAAATCTAAATTATGGTTAAAATTCTCAACAGTGGCTATAAGCTGATTTATACAAATTCATCCTCTATACGTTCTTAAAATCTAAATCTGCGCTTGCGTTGCACAGTGTTGGACGATATCATAGCCTGCATTCAACCTCTACGAATATAGACCATGTGATTTTCACCTCATGCTCATTTTCTGTCCACGAAATATGAATTTGTTCTGGTTTGGAAAATGATGCTCTGGCTCCTGAGAATAAGCATAACAAGATAAGTAGAAGAAACATTTTTCTAAAATATTTGTAACAGCTGACATTTTGGATATTTATTTTGCTCAAGCAAATTAAAAAAATCAAGAAAGAAATATTTTAGGAAAGTATTTCAAATTGATTGAATTGACTTTAAACAAAGAACATTTAAAGAATCTCCTATTGATTTAGTAAAATTGGGATCTTATAGAAGACTATGTTATAATTTTAGATTTTTAAAGTTTAAAAATTAATAACTAAAACAAAGATTTTTCCTAAATTAAATATTATCTGAGTCTTTTTCAATAAATTACTCAAAAATTTTTACAATTCCATATTAACACTGCTCAATAGCCTATAGAAAATTAATAATGGCTTAAAAATAATAATTATAAAATAAGAAAATAATATAAATCATGGAAATAAAACAAGTCAAGCATCAAAATTTTACTTGTTGAGTTATTAATAAACCATTTAAATTTATTTATGTATATTTTCTGCTAAAAGAAAGATAACTTAAATGGAACTTTGCATTAAGGTAGACTAATCAAGATGTTCGAATAATACATAATTCTTACTCCTCCATATCTATTATCAAATTATCCTCCTATCCTATGCGAGTTATTTTGAAATGAAAAATCTAATTTAATTTATAATTTTTTTAGTAGCCTTCTTTATAGGATGATGGAGGGTCGTTCGATAAGGATGTGGGGAGCTATATCTTTTGTATCTCTATTATTGAATGCAATATAAAAGAATTGAATAAATATAAAAGATCATAACTCAAAAGCTAATAGATTAAATTTTTAAAACACATTAGAATCTATTTCTTGTCTTTATCAACCAAAGAGTATCTGTAACTTTTTCTTGCGCAGCGCTGAATTGCTCAAAAAACAAATGAGTTTTATTGAATATTCAGACTTAATTATCCTTATTTTGAAGTGATACTATCTTCGCAGAATTAATATGAGAGCCTCCCTTTAACTCCCAACTGATAGCGTTAACAGCCATCTTGTCAAGAAAGGATTCCAGAAAATACCATAAAAGTGCCAGAAAGTCTTTTCTGGCCGATCCTAACTAGACTCCAGTGTGTGCTCCGCCTTAAGGCCTCCTTTTTCCTTGATCCAGTTGAAATACCCTATGTGGTTATTCATATTGTCATTGTGGATAAAGGTTCGCCTCGAAAACTAATAAAATCTGCAAGAGAAGTATATTTCCATAATTAGCCATTTTATTACGATTTTTGTTGAATACAGTCATTCTTCCATAGCCAAAGTCGTTAGAACTGTATAAGTTCCATAAATGAGGGGTAGTGCTTAACTCTGCATTGTGACCTATATAGCCTATGCTAACTTTTAGCTTTATATCTATGATTTGATCATAAATTTTCAGATTAATTGGCACTACTCAAATAGTAAATTAACCTAAGAAATTTCAGTCTCGAGTTAGTTTTATCAGCTCTAGTCGAAAATCTACACTCTAGTTGGCTCATACAACTTTAAAAGCATACCGTCTAAAATTCGATATCAGCTATAACGCTTCCTCCATTTCCATCAATCATATAAACAGTTGCCTGAGGATTTAAATGTAAGTTCAAATCATCACGCTCACTCTTAACTGTATTATTTTTATATATTGGACCCATTCTTTCATAAGTATGCAAATGCCCAGCAAGGAACATATCAACTCCTTGCTCATAAAAAATATCCTCAAATTTATCTCTGAAAAACCAGGTATCAGCTCCACAGACAATGTTTCTCTCTACACTATGTCTAAAGAAATCGTATGAGCAATATAGAGGATGATGAGTCATTATACCCGAGCGCTCTATTTTATTGGGCATCTAGATCTTTCCCGATAGAAAAGAGGAGCTTTAGCCAAACCAACTAATGTCAGTATGAGAAGCTTCCCAAATGACAAAACCACTTGCTGCCATTTAGGAGTCAATAAAGCCAGAATCAGTTGGTTTTTATCAACTCCCTCTTTCCCATCAGGAAAGATCGGGAAGCCTAAGCCAAAAGAGTGCTCAAGCTATACTATAATTCATGGTCTTTCATTGCGATGGGCATTTGCATCTGTTAAGTCATTAATAAGCCAAAGTCTTTGATAATCTTCTTCATCATAAGGGTAATTATAATAATCAAAATAAATTTCTGTGTTTAAAAAAACAAAGTGGGCTGGGCCAATGTTTAAGGAATAAAAGAGACCGTCTGGGTCTATATTGTTTTTTGGCATATTAAATCTCATCCGGTAATGAAGCATATTTTGGTCATTTTCATGATTTCCGGGTAAAGTCATATATGGAATAATTGCCGCTGTGCTTTGTATCATATTTAAAAATTCATCACCCACTTCTCCGTCATTGCTTTCTAAATTATAAGCTATATCTCCCATATGAAAAACTGCGGAAAAATTTCTAGAAACGGCATCCGCTTGTAAATACTGGTAAGTCAAGTTCCCATGTGGTCCAGTCCCTAAATCGCCGAAAATAATTACTTTAACAGGATTATTGGAGTTGCCATAGTTATCAAATGACTGAGGGGTTTGTCCGCTGAAGATATAGGTATCACTGGTCGAGATATGATTTTCGATATAATACTCATAAAAGCAATCATCTCGAAGATTAGTTAAGACTGCTGTATGGATAAAAACAAAACGATTAACCCAAGTTCCTTCATCAAATTTTGTGTGTTGGCTTTTTATATGCTTAAAAGCAAAATCTGTGCTTGTATCGCTGCATAGTGTAGGGCGATACCATAACTTGCATTCGGTTTCTAAGAAGACGGACCATGTGATTTTCATTTCATGCTCATTTTCTGTCCAAGAAATATGAATTTGCTCTGGATTTGCTAGAGAAGCTTGAGCTCCTGCTACTAAGAATGGTAAGATAAAGGGTAGAAACATTTTTGATAAAAAATTAATTTCCATTATTGCCACTCTGACATTTGTGCACTGATTTTTACTGAAACAGCTGGAAGGTAAACTAAAAATTAGGATAGAAGAAATAAATAAGAAATTATTATAAATATATTAAGCTGATACTTATATTCACAGATTTGAACAAAGGTCTTAATGATTTGAGAAATCATAAATACCAAAGAGCGTAAAATTAAGATTTTAATCCAAAGCATTTTTATAATAATTTCTTTGTAGAGACCAGCGCTTGAGAATGCTTGATGTATAATATAATGCTATATCAACTAAGTGAACCGATTAGCCCAAAAAACTTAATTTGGCAAATATTTTCATAAATTAATTATATTAAAATTGATAAATTATTCTTTGCTCCCCTCACTTTAAAAATAAGCAAAATATATATTCCTCTTTTTGTAAGGCTTTGAATACTCGCAAAACAATTTTGAAAAATTATTTTTATATTAAATTAAATTATAATCAAAATATGGCGTCGTTCGAATTATCTATTCTCGAAAACAGAATTCTCAACTTTTGTTATGAGGTTTGGCTTTTTACCCAGTGAAGTTATCCTGGCTATAAAGTTTTAAGTGTTAAACATAAAATATTAATGATTATTTTTATTAATAGATTTATAGTACACAAATTAACCCCTTTAAAGAGGGGAGTTATATAATTTCCTAAAATCTTTCTCGTGTTTTAATTATGCTTACTGTGTCTATAGTGTTCCAAGTCAGCGAGCTATACTGTTCAAAGAGCATATGTGTCTTATTATACACAGTGAGTTTTCCATAGCCATAATCATCTGTTCTATACACGCTTCACAACTGAGGAGTATGAGTAGCTTTAGCATTGTGCCTTAATCGGTTTCCGCCTATTCCATCAACTATATGAACTGTTGCCCTTGGATTAATATGTGTATTAGTATCATCATATTGGCTTTTCACAGTAACATTATGATAAATTGGAGTTATTCGTTCATATGAGTGCACGTGAGCAGTAAAAAAGACATCGACAGCATTTTCATTGAATAATTCTTCGTATTCTTCCCTAAGATACTTTGCTTCCGGCCCACAAGTCCTATTTCTTTCTTTGCTATTAGCTAAATAATCATAAGAACAATATAATGGACGATGTGCAAGTACAAATAGCCATGGTCTTTCTTTTCTGTTTTTATTTGCTACTGCCAAATCATTTTCCAGCCATTTCCTTTGAACTTTTGCAGAAATAGTTCGGTTTGCAGAAATAGTTTGGTTTTCAAAAAAATGGACTTCAGTGTTTATGATAGTAAAATGGGCTGGACCAAGATTAAATGAATAAAATTGCCCAAGGCCATCATTATATTCATTTTTTAGCATCTTAAATCTCATTTTGTAATGGGTCTGATTATCAAAGTTTTCATGATTTCCTGGAAGAACCATATAAGGAATAGTTGCAGCAAGATCTTGAACTAAATTTAAAAAATTATCTCCTGTAAGACCATTATCTGTATCTAAGTTATAGGCAAGATCTCCTAAATGAATAAGCCCAGCAGAGTCTCTAAACTTAACTTCCCTTTGAAAAAGAGCTGCAGTTATTGACCCAATATCTCCGCCGCCTAAGTCTCCTATAATTATCATCTTAAAAGGATTACTTGTATCATTAAACGAGTCATCACTTTCTGGCGTTCTTCCATTAAAAATATAAGTTTTGCTTTTCCCAATCGAGCTTTGAATAAAATACTCATAAAAGCACTCAGATCTAATCCCCTTAATCAGTGCATTATGCAAAAAAATAAACCTTAGCATTAGAACCCCTTCGTTAAACATCGTCCGATTTCCAAGCACTTCTGTATACTCATAATTTTCTGCTGCATCATTACACAAAATCGGCCTATAATGTACAAAGGAATCCACAGGAATAAACGTTGATCATGAAACCATCATTTCATGTTCATTTTCAGTCCATGCCAAGTGTATATGTTCTGGAGTTCCAAATGCAGATTCAGCAAGCTGAAATATCCCTAAAAATAGTAAAAAATTAAATCACTTGGAGGCCTGCACCATTTTGCTTATCTAAGAAATATAATAATGATTCTTATTAAACTTGCTAGAAGATTTTGTGTATTGAATGAAAATCAATACTCAAAAGTATCTGCTGCATTTTTGGATGTATGATTTACATAGAAAATTGCAGAACAGTGTGAAGAGCTTGAATGCTTCGAAGATGTTGAGCTGTCTGATGGTGTTGTGACACTAAAGTGCAAGGAGGAAAAAACTTATATTATCAACAAGCAAAGCCCAAATAAACAAATTTGGCTGTCATCTGGTCAAGCATAGGTAGAACCAGACACCCCCACCCCCCTTTCACAGATGGCACCCCCCAAACCCCCCCTCTCGGGTTTATCCTATAGAAGTAATTGATAGAAAGCAAGCAGAATAAATTAAATATAATCCAATTAAACACTATATTGATAAATTAAGTCCACAAATTACTTTATATTTATGATTAATTAATAAATTTAAATTAATTAGCAATTAATTAGAAAATATATTAAATTTGTTTTTTATATTTATAAATATAATGCCAAAGATATAGATAATGGCGTTAATTATTAAATTAGCCAAGCACAATACAATAACTTGCATTAAATTTATTGATTCATAAATTAAAGCTAATCTGATTACCATTGTACAAGGATTGAATGACTGAATTGGTAACAGGATTCAATAGTGCTAATAAAATAGTACTTGCTATTGTCAGTTTTACTTTTGGATCTCTAATTCGACTTTTAGCCATTCTTCCACAAAGTTCATAAATAAATGCCTTTACCTTTACCTTTATAGCTCAACAGGCAATGCCTGCAGCAAAACCCTTTATGGGTTTTTTTATTTTCCTAATTAATCAATCCTCTATTTTAAACTGCCTTGTCCCTTCACTTTTCTTCGTCAATAGCTCGTCCTTCTCCTTTATCAGTTTATGCTTTTTTGCTCTTGAAATTAGTATCTCCTCATGGAAGTGCTTGATAGCCCTGTCTACCGCGTCAACGCTTGCATTTTCATTTTCCTTTTCTCATTTCTCTAAGTTCAGCTCGAATCTATGTCCATATAGTACTGTTTCAGCTAGTCCAACTTCCCATCACGGATATTCAATAAGTTGCAGTCTTTCTAATAGTCTTTTTCTTTTGTCAGCATATTGCGGGCAGCTTTCAACTATGTGTATCTCCATTTCTTCCACCTTACACATTTCACAATTCATAAATATATGCAGGATATACTGCTAATTAATACCAAAGATCATTATTATGCTTTTTAACAAATTTCTTCAGATGTGGTGTCTTAGTAGCTATAGGAATTTCTTACCCCATTCCACCTACTCCTTAATAAATTGTGCTACGCTATGTGAATATTGTATAAATCAGTAATTTTGAATATTTAAAATAATAATTTATTTATTACGTCTGCTCTAAATTGGCATTTGCCATATATTTATGCTATATTAAGGGGGGTGGGGGTGCCATTAAAAGGGGGGTGGTGGTACCATTTTTTAGGGGGGGGGGTTTGGGGTACCACTTTTAGGGGGGTGGGGGTGTATGGTTGCGACCTATGCTTGACCAGTCATCTCCTATCAGTGGGCCAAAAAGATACGATTTTGTGAATAATGGCTGGGTTAATGCTACTGATGGGCACAAGCTTATCGACCTCTTATCAAAAGAGCTTTCTTCCATCTATAAACAAGAAATAAAGCTGCAGGACTAACTATTATAAATAACTAGAAAGCTGAAAGTTGACTAAATTGTAAAGATTTCTCTATAAATGGCTTTTAATTTTTTACCCCTAGAGTACGATCTCGGTGCAGAAGTAACCTTTAATTAGCTCCTTGCAGACCTTCGATCTTTATCATCCCTGCCTGATGCAGCTTTAGAAGCCCTTTCTTCTATCTGTCTCCAATATCTTCAAAATTCTTCACTTCAACCCCAGCATTTTTATAGTGCCCTTGACGATGTAGAACTCCCAGTAAAGCAGCGAGAATCCGCCGCAAGAACATTGATTCTTTTCTTCAGATTTTCAGCTAAAAAGGTATTAAATCGGACCAAGATTTTAGAAGACTTACATCAATTAGGATTTAATGAAAATATTTCTGCTAGAATTGGGACTCTGTGGGACCAAAATAAGGTTGGAGCTTGCAAAGTTATGCTGGGACAAATTGGAGTTGGGCATGAATTGGTAGATATGGAGTGGAAATTTGGAGTCACTTATGGAAATAAGTTTGTTAATGCAAAAGGGGAGTGCTTTGTGCAGCTGAAGTTTGTGATACAGACTCCTGATAAGAAGAGGAATGAAATATTTTTGGAAGTGACGCCAAGGCAATTTTATGACTTGTATGGGGATTTGGAAAAGATTAAAGCAATTATGGATATTCATTCTTAGTTCATAATTATTTATTAATTAATATTAGTATCCAATTAGAAAATAAGCTTCCCTTAGTTTTCTAGTGATATTTAAGCTGGTTATTGCTTTATGTGCTGAGGCATACCAATTACTTTACTCCCCCCAATTTAATAACGAACACTTTTTTGTTTGTTATTAAATGGGGTCTAACTTATAAAATTTTTGGGAAAAAAACATATATAAAATGTATATTAAATATCTATGATTTTTATATAAAAAAATTCAATTAAAAGGGCTAATAATAAGAGGAGTCAAATGATGGCAAGAGAAAGAGAAAGTGCCTAAATGCAGGCGAAAAATAGCTATTGCTAACTCCCCCCCCTCCGTGAGCTAACAAAACCATTAGAAAAATCCCTCACCCTCCATGAGCAAACAAAAATTTTTTTAATAGAAAAATTTTTTATGGAAAAAATTTTGATATATAAGCGATAATTATTATAATGAAATCTGGAGTTAATTCTGTTTAATTTTAAACAAATTGCGTTTTAAAACATAAATTTTACAAATTAAATTAATATTATATTGCTTTCCAATTTTTTCGAATTAGGATTTTTTTAAATTTTGAAAAAACAATTTTTCTATAAAATTTTTTATAAATTTAAAAAAAAAAAATATCCCCTCAAATTTTTTTGTTCACTCACGGAGGGGGGAGTAAAGCACCAGCTTAAGATTAAGCCACTAGTAACTTATTAGCTCTTATTTTTTATTATTTGTTCGATTATGCTTGTCCTTATCTTACTCTAACTACTTAAAATTAGTAAAAACTGTAAAGACTAAATTAGCTTATATAAAATTTTATAGTAAATTTTGTTCGGTATTAAATGGGCCTAAGGAAAAATTTTTAGGAAAAAAAATGACTGTTTTGTTCGTTATTAAATAAGGGGAGTTAGAGCCAGATTAAATAATTAAATAAAAACATTTGGAATTATTATTGTTCAATGTCTATACTAGAGCAAAAGAGATCAGCCCAAGAAGACATTGAAAACTTAGAAAAAGCTATAGTAAAAGCTCTATTTTTAAAATCACAAAGCCCAAAATACGCTGTCTTAGCAGATTTCATGATAAAAGAATTCCTCGAAGAAATTCAATCAAAAAGCGCAAAAGCACTAAAAATTTACCAAGACGAAGACGGATTCAGAAAAAACGAAATCCAATTCTTAGAAGGCTGCAGAGAAGCTGAAGACGCAACAGGAAATAAATCATTAGATGTATGGACTAACTTTTACGAAAAGCTCAATGAAATCAGAGATTACCATGACCGATTTACACCCTATGGAACCCCTGCTGAAAATCATGATGATAACTGATATTTTCTTCATGCGCTGGATGACCGATCAAAAATTCCAAAGTTTTCAGGCCCAGAAGGGAACGGCCGATTTGTGGATTTACATAACTTATATATAGATTTTATTAATCTCAAGAAGCTCAATAAGAATAATCCAAGACTACGAATTACACTGGACTATCTTACATATTTGTCCACATTTGACCAATTTCATACTATTCCAATATCTTGTAAAGATAATCAGTATAAAAAGTATCTGGAAAACTTATTGGATTATCTAAAATACTTTTTTAACAGAACACAACCACTTCTTAACATTTCTCAGCTTGAAGACCAACATCGAAGAGACTTTCAAGCTCGATGGGAAAGCAGATCTATCAAAGGGTGGGAAAAGCTGCCTAAGAAGCATGAATTAAAGACAGACCCCCTTTTCTGCCTTCCCTGCAACAAGCTGTTTACCAACAAAAACGTTTACAAAGCTCACAAAACAGGAGCAAAGCATAGAAAAGCTGCAGAAAACATCGCAGAGCTTATAGATCGTACAGATGAAAGTGAAGAAATAAAGCACTACCAAGAAGTCGCTTCTTTAGAATGCTTCATTTCAAGACTTCGAGAAACTCTAGGCGATACAGTGGAAGATACCATGAATAACATTAGGAAAAAACAAACAAGGACAGCTGAAGAACTTGCAGCCCAAATCTATGAATCTGATGAAGAAGAGGAGCCTTTTTCTCTCCCTGTTGAAGAATTGAAAAAAAAATCGGAAAACAAAGAAAAAGAAGAAAGCAGTTCATCAGAAGACGAGCGGCCTGCTTATAACCCTCTTAATCTGCCAATAGGATATGATGGAAAGCCAATACCTTACTGGCTTTATAAGCTGCAAGGATTAAATGTGGAATATAAATGCGAAATATGTGGAAATTACTCGTATTGGGGCAGAAGAGCCTTTGAAAGACATTTTCAGGAGTGGAGACATGCATATGGAATGAGATGTCTGAGGATCCCTAATACTATGCACTTTAGAGAGGTTACAAAGATTGATGAAGCTATCACTTTGCACAAAAAATTAATCGAGGACCATAAGCTGGATTTGTTTAGGGCAGATGAAGAGGAGGAATTTGAAGATTCTCAAGGGAATGTGATGAGCAAGAAAAAGTTTACTGATCTTAAAAGACAAGGATTGGCCTAATAAGCATAAATCTTTTCATTGTATAGGATTTTAATAAAGAAAGCTTATTTTAATATTGATTATCAATCTTAAACTAGCCAGATTTTGCTATTATTTTAGTTATACTGTCATCTCCATCGCAAACACAATTAGGAATCCCAGCCATATCGCAGCTTCTATCATCTGTGTATTTAAGCAAGCTTCTTCCAAACAAATATCTTCCTCTTCCAGGTGCTTTTAAAGTATCTCATGATTCTTCCTCCAACGTTTTGCTTTCCAAAACATAATCTTCCTGCCCTACAGCTTCTTTGCTCTTCAGCATAAGCTTTTTGATTACATCTTGATAGGCATCTTCAAACCAATACCTCACATCTTTATCTAACAGCACAGTCTCTAAAGCTTTGTCTCTATTATACTTATCATTTTCTTTCGAAATTTCTGAATAAGGAATTGATGTCAAATTTTCATAAACCTTTGGGGTATATTGTAATGATGTAAAACAATCATTTATTTTGGTATAAGTAATATTTAATGGAAATGAATAAAAATCTTTTCTTCATTTTTTCCCTATGAATTGATAAGAGGCTTCCATATAGTATAAATTTTTTTGGCAGTCCCAGGTATCTTCATATAAATTTGAGTTTTCTTCAAAATTTTCAGAAATTTCACCTCCAAATTCTGGGAGTGTTGCAAGATGTCGAAATGTCCAATATGTGTCATAGTGACTTACAAGTCTTTGTTCATTTTCAGCTAAATTTTGTCTGAATTCTGGGTACTTATTAATGAATCATTGAGGATAAATCATAAATAAAGTTGGAAGCTTCTCTTCAAAAGCACCCATTTTACTTCCTGTATAATAAGGCCCCATATGCAAGCCGTGATCAGACGTTATGACTACAACTGTTTGGTTTAGATCTCCAGATTTTTCAAGTTTTTTCAAAAAATTTGTTAAATCTGGATCAAGCACTGAAATGACTTCTCCTGTTCCTTCATGGCCTTCCTGAAAAGGAATTAAAACCACTTTTCCAAACTGTTCATGGTTTTTCCAAAATTGATTCAAATATTCTATAATGTAATTGTGAAGGTAATCTCCATTAATACATCTTCTCAAAATAGAAAAAGGACCAGCAAAATTCCCAAAAGTTCCTTGTAAAGGATGGCAATCAAAATGGCATCAAGGAAAAAACACAGCATAATTAATATCGCTAAATTCTTTTTTTAAAAAAGTTTTCTGTCAATCTTCACAAAACCCATTTAAGAAAAGTGCTGCGTTTCCTTGTTTCTGAAAAATGTCCCAAAAGGGTCTTCCACTTCGGTTTTGCCTTAATTGAGATCCAGAGTACATCGCTCTCGTGTTAAAAGCTGTACTTATTCCATTCGAAATAATCCTAAAAAACTGGAAAACTTGGCTATTTCCAGTCTTATTCAAATTTTCTAAATAATTCGCCAAATTTTGCATTTTTCTATAAACTCTTGCTCTTGATACAGTATCAATCATAAAAACAACTAAATTCATAGGTTTTACTGATCTTTCCTGCATTTTTCCTTCAATTCTTTTTACAACCTCATCTTTAACTACGTTTTGCACATAATAATTTTCTTTATTTTCACAGAAAACCTGGAATCACTCTGAATTTATCTTATAGGATGATCTGTATTTGCATTACGTTCCATTAACAGAATATTTCTTTTGCAGACCAGAGGCAATTTTACTTCAATTTTCCATGCCTGTATCAGTCAAGACGAAAGTATCATTTCTCATAGAAAGAAAATCAGGCTGCTCTATTATAGTTGCATTTGAAGGGCACCATATTGAAAGAATCCCTGACTGGAAACTAGAAAACTCTTCTTGTTCTGGGCATTTATTGCTTCCAGCTGAATAGAGATTACTGAATAAGTTTAAAGTCCTATCAGGAAGAACTCCAGGCCATGGATAGCCAGGTGGCGTAAGTGTACATTTTTCGTGCTTAGAAATTAGATAGCGGTCTCCTAGACCATAATACCAATTTCCCATAGCAATTTCTAGTTGAATTTGGATGAAGAGGATAAAGATTATGACGATTGCTAATAAGCCATATCAAAATCTGTGTAAATCAGTATACCTTCAGAACAGGTATGGCTCGACCTGAAACTCCCCCTCCCTCCCTCCACCCTCCTGACGGTTTTAGTTTGAACGAAATTGTTAATTCAGAATGACAAGTCCCTCACTAAGGATTTGACAAGTCAAATTCAATTTGTAGATTTCAATAAGCTGAAATCGTCAAGGATGGGGGGAGGGGGTTCTCAGGTCGATCTAAAACCGTGCTCACGGTATACATTTTCCAGTTCTTGATTATGTTTTTGATGGTCTTACATGTTCAGGTTGCTGAAAAAATTAGGAAGAAAGGAGACAATATGAGTGCATAGAACAAAATCATATTTAAATGGAAGACATTAGCATTTGTAATTAACTGGAAAAATGATGGCTTTATTATTAGGCGAATAAATGATATAAGAAGTTTTGCTCAATAAAAATTCTATCATTGCACAAGCCAACTGGGCTACTATTTATTTGGAAATATTCAAAATAAACTACATTAGATTAGATTAGATAATAATAGCATATTTTAAGTCCCCGCTTTCAATAGTGTCGTTCGCTCCACAGTGAACGCCGTGAGGTATCAGTCGAGAGACTCCAAAGTCCGTGCCGAAACCCCGATTTTCAGTAGCGCGCGCCCTTTTGATCAGATCCGATTTTTCTGGGGAAGACCATTTCCAACTCCAGAAGTCCCTATTACTCATCCCTGCTTAGCTCTGGCCAGATTGCCCCTCCCACAGGACCCTTTTATATGGAGAGACTAGCCTTTGAGAATGTCTACCATGTCTTCCCCTTTTCCCCCTAATCAGCACCAAAAGAAAAGTTTAATTGTTTACGCGATTCGGGACAGGCAGAGAAGCAGCTTAGGCATTTAAGTCACCCTGCCTCTTTCGGCACCCATTTTGGGTGTGGCAAAAAGATGCAAAAAACTGCTGCTGGCCACTAATCAGTAGAAATACTGCTTGGCCTCTCGCTTCAAGGCTAGCTCCACTCTTGAATAGTGTTCTGCACCAAAAACCATTTCCAGATATACATAAGGACACTTCCCACGTGGAGGACGCGCCGCTCTTCACCTACCATTTTATGTGTATTTGAATTTGAATAGAATTTATCTTATTATTAAAACTTGTTTTCCCCGGTTAGCCTTCATTGTAGGAACAGTGTTGGCTCTTAATAACGGATAACGGTCAAGGGCATTACCGTCAGAACATCTGCCCTCAGCACCGGTAAGCACTCTCTTTCCAACCACTAGACGGAGCGTCACACCTCCAGGAAGTCGTCTCTTTGTCCGAAGACCTTCAGAAGAACCTAAGTTCCTCTTTCTTAGGAACGTTAGAGGAGCTACGACCCCTAACGTTCCTCCATTTAAAATATTGTATATGCGTATTAAAATAAATTACATAAAAATTTCAGTTTATTAGAATTAAATATTATCAAAGCTTCTTAGGAAAAATGAAAAATAAACCCTGCTATTTTTTTATTTATAGCGCAGGAGCTAATATAGACCATCTGAGCTGGAGCAAATCTCCGAGTGGGTTCGCCATCTAAGGTAGATGATCTAACTTGAGGAGTTCAAAGTAATCTAATCAGAGGACAATATATAATTGCTCCTGGGATATATTAATAAATTTCTAATTTCTAGGATTATTGAAAATCCTGCAAAAACTAAATAGAGCATGCAAAATTATTTACTTCTCAATAATCCTAGCTACCTTTAAGATAATTTCATGCCTACTTATAATTATTTTTATTTGATATTTCAGGTTTCTTGCATAGAGATAAATCCTTAAACCAAATATAAATGTTTAGTATAGAATTAGCTTACAGATTCTGACTTAGTTTTTATTTAATTAATGGAGCCATATTCCAAACTCTGCTTCAAAGCTAAAAAAAAATTCTGCTTCTTATGCCAATTAGATTAAATATAAAGATCCTCTCACCAAGCTTCTAAAAATTTTCATCTAATTTCAGACACATGATTTCAGCGTTAACTTTTATTTTTTGGATAAACTTATGCCAAATAATTAAATTAAAATTAAAACCAGCATAATTCTAATCTATTTTTCCTTCCAAGTAGATTTATCCAATTCCTATATATTCTAATTTTCATTTTCATTTAATTCTTCTATCCTCCTTTTTCTTTTCTTCTCCTTAGCCAGCAAACTTTATTTTTCTGTCTCAATCTTTCAAAAATTAAAAGCAGTTAGCCATTATTGGATTAGAATTAAACAATGGCTGGCTTTAGAGCACAATTTGAGAACGAGCTCCGACAAAGACTGAGCCAAAAATCAACAGCGCACGTATCAGAAGAAACAATTCTTCTCAGAGCCTTCAAGTACTTTGACTTAGACAACACCGAAACAGTTGATTTCTCTGAGTTCTGCAAAGCTTTAGAGAAGGTCGGAATGGTTGTGAACCCAGACCAAGTCCAACAGCTCTTCACGTTCTACGACACTGACGGTTCAGGCGCATTGGACTATAAAGAATTCACTGCTGTCATTTTCGAGCAAGACACCTCAGCTAAGAAATCCCCTTCAAAAGGCATTTCCTCAAGCCAAATCAGAGAAGGTGAAGAAGCTCTCGAAAAGCTTCGACAGAAATTGGCATCAAGAGGAGGGAGAGGAATCATTGGGCTCGCCAGACAATTCAAGATCATCGACGACGACAACTCAAAGAGCTTGGACTTGCAAGAATTCACCAAAGGAATCAGAGACTTCAGAGTCGAAATTTCTCAAGGAGATATTCAGGCACTTTTCAATTTAGTTGATAGGGATAGATCTGGACTAATCGATTATGATGAGTTCTTAAATCTCCCCATTAAAATGTTAATCAATTCACTGTTTAAATCACTTTCTACTTACACTTTTTCCATTAAATTAGGTCAAAATTCATTTAAAAATAAATTGAAAAAAAAACTTTGAATTTCATGAAGATTTAATGTATCCAGAGTCAAAAATATTTAAATAACATTCTACTACACTTTTTACATTAAACTAGGTCAAAACAGTTTTCTTCTATAAAAATTGCCTAATGAAAAAAAAATTGTTCCAATCTAAGGTTAAAGTCCCAAAAAAAGAATTTTACTCCCCCCCATCCTTGATCGAACGACTCGCCATCGTTCGATCAAGGATGGGGGTTAAAAAAAAATTTTTTGGGAAAAAAAATTTATATATAAAAATAAAATATTTTTTTATTTTACTTTTAAATAAGAGGGTTAAAGTATTTAATAATTATTTTTACAGCAAAAAATTGAATTATTTTCATAAAATACCAATTTTTAATATTTGATTTATTAGTTACCCTTTTAAACTGTATAAATTTAATTTGTTCCTTATTGAATTAAATTTTTTTTTTTTAAAATTTTAAAGAATCTCTATTTTTTAAATTATTGAGTTTTTAAGCCTAGGTTGATGACTAAATCATTTCGGATGGTTTGTTTTGTAGCTTTCTGTCGTCTCAAAGCTCTGAAAACAACTTCATTAGGTGCATCTTCCCAAAGCTTTTGATAACTAATATATTTTTATATATTTAAAATTTTGCATGATTTGAAAATCGTTCGATCAAGGATGGGGGTTAATTTCCCCAATTTTTAGGAATTTTTACAGTCAATCGCTCGATCAAGGATGGGGGGGAGTTAGCAATATGTTTTTCCCATTTTAAAAGGGAGTAAGAGCAGTCGCTGGCCCTATGAATGCTTTCCGCAAGGCTTTGGTCACTCAAGCTTTCAATAAGCTTGACAGAGACAACTCAGGCATTTTAGATATTGAAGATATCAGAAACGTGTATAATGCTAAAGGACATCCTGATGTAAGAAGTGGCAGGAAGACTGAAGAAGCAGTCTTAGGAGAGTTTTTAGAGACCTTTGAAATGCACCACAATATTGGTGGAGCCAGAGACCAAAGAGTAACTAGAGAGGAATTTGAAGAGTACTACAACAATATTTCCTGCAGCATTGATAATGACCAGTACTTCGAGCTTATGATGAACAATACCTGGAAGCTCAGTGAAGCGCCAGCTTATGCCAAAAATAAAGCTTGGAGAGGTGAAGAATCAGGAAGGAGACCTGCTTCTAAAGGAGGACGTGAGCCAGAAAGAGCTCCTGAACGTGTCCCTGAAAGAGAAAGCAGAGGAAGCGCTCCTAGCAGTGGACTTACCAAAACAGGTGAAGCCTTATGTGAGAAATTCAGAGAAAGACTGGCTGCAAGAGGTACCAGAGGAATCATTGGAATCCAAAGACAGTTCAAGATTATGGACGATGACGGCAGCAAAAACATTTCAGTCGACGAGTTCAAAAAGGCTTGCCACGATTTCAGAGTTGATATTGAAGATAGAGATATTGAAAGACTATTCCAAGCTTTAGATAGGGACAGAAGCGGAACTATTGACTATGACGAGCTTATCAGAGCTGTCAGAGGGCCAATGAATAATGCTAGGAAAGCTTTAGTTAGTAAAGCCTGGGACAAACTTGATAGGGATGGAAGCGGAATTATTGATATCAATGATGTCAGAGGAGTCTATGATGCTAGAGGACACCCAGATGTAAGAGCAGGAAAGAAGACTGAAGACGAAATCCTTGGAGAGTTCTTAGAAACCTTTGAAACCCACCACAATATCAGCGATCTTTCACAAAGAGACAGAAGAGTCACTAAAGAAGAATTCGAAGAGTATTACAACAACGTATCAGCCAGCATTGATGATGACAGATATTTCGATCTTATGATGACTAATGCCTGGAAATTAGGCGCTCAAGCACCAAAAAGAGAAGCTTGGGCTGGAGAAGTCGGAGGAAGAGGTGCAAGAAACCAACCTCCTTCAAGAGGTGGAGAAGTCCAATCTGCAGGACAAGTCAATAAAAGAGACCCAGCAGCCAAAACCCCTTGGGGAACTTCAGCTGAACCTATAGATTACAGCACCAGCAATAGACCTGCCAGCAGACAAGCAGAACCTGCCTCCTCAGGCAGACCTACTGCAGGTGGCCCAGTTGAAGGACTTTTGACAGCTCTGAAAGAAAGACTTGCCTCCAGAGGTGCAAGAGGATTCATTGGTCTCTCCAGAAGCTTCAAAATCATGGATGACGATGGTTCAAAGAGTTTAGACTTGCAAGAATTCTCCAAAGCTATGAGAGATTTCAGAGTCGACATCAACGAGTCAGACACCAGAAGACTTTTCAATTTTATGGACGCTGATCGCAGTGGAACCATTGATTATGAAGAATTCATGCATAGACTGAGAGGAGAACTCAACCAATTCAGAAGACAACTCATCTCTATGGCTTTCAGCAAGCTTGATAAGAATGGAAACGGAATTGTGGAGATCGATGATATTAAAGGTGTTTACAACGCGTCAAGACATCCAGATGTCATTTCAGGCAAGAAAACTGAGGACGATATTTTATGTGAGTTCTTAGATACCTTTGAAACCCATCATGCCGTCTATAAAGAAAACACTAGGGACTTTAAAGTTACCATGGACGAGTTTTTGGAATACTATTCTCATGTCTCTGCTTCTATTGATGATGATAGATATTTCGAACTCATGATGAAGAACAGCTGGAACTTCGAAGGCAAAACTTACCAAAAGGGTTGGGGATCTGATATGACTTCGCCAGCCAAGAGAGTCAGATAACTAATTTAACTTCTTCTTAAAATAAAATAATTTATTTATAACGCTCTGCTATAAAAATTACTATAGAATACTGAATTACTTAATGTTCTGTTTTACAAGAAAACTGTGAAAAATAGGTATGAAAATATTGTCAAGGTGAAGACTCCAGTCACATATGTCCATAAAATTAGCATTGTCACTTCTTGAATTCCGTTATTAAAAATTTGTGATAAAACTAATACTGAAATTGATGGAGGAGCTGCAAAATTGATTGCGAAAATAAAAGCCATCACAACGTCGTCACCAAATGCTTTTAGAACCCAAAAGATATATGTGGTCCCTAAAGCAATTGCAGGGATTATGATATTTCTGACTAGAATGGTGGAGTAAATTAAAGGCTTGGATAATGATACTTTAGCTCTAGCTGATAGAACTAAGTTGCTACCAAGAATCATTTGTCCAATAACGATTCCTGCTTTTCCAATTACTAATCCTGTTTCGGCGACTGGAAGTAAAGGGGCATCAGAGTCATAAAACACAGCATTCAGCCCAGGGATAAACCCAACTAAGACTCCAAGAAGTGAAAAAACAGGGATTGGTCCCGTTAAAATCCTTATCATATCTCTTTTAAATGAGCTTGTTTTTACTTGTACCAAATTTGACTGTGTTTTTGCCATTTCCAAACTATTTTTCTCAGGATCATTTTCTTCCATTTCATCGTTATCTTCGACCTCTTTCATATCTTTTGGATCTTCTTTAGGCTTGCATTTTTCTGCTTCCATCAAATCAGCATTCATCAAGGCATATCCAAATGTAAATATTATCAAGCTTCAAACCATCAGCTGGATTGCGACGTAGCCACCTATTTCTGAGCATTCCTTTTTTTTAGATAGCGGGCCATATGAATTGCAGTTACCGTCAGCAATAAGTAAAGATAGCCCTGCGTTACTAAACCCTATCAGACAGATAAAGGAATATCTTAAATTCTTAGGATGCTTCAACAGAAGGATTTCGATTACTGCAGGGATAAAAGAAAGGAGCACACCTATTACTGGCATCACAAAGTTAGGCCACAAAACGTCGAGTTTGTTGAGATTGACTGTCTGTACAAGGTTAAAAAACAAATAGATAGGAAGCAAAAATCTGGCTAAAGCTCTTGATATTGTGTCATTTGTGCGTTTTGTGAAAATACCGAGCTTGGTTAAGAGAACCCCACTTAGTGTAATTACTGTAAGTGGTGCCATTCCACCAATAGAGGCTCCGAAAATGCCTATTGTGTCCATTAAAAATATTAAAGTTGAAATAATACTTATAAGAGATTTAATTATCTTGCATCTCCCTTTGGTTTACTTCTCTGTATTCTTGGCATGCTGCGCATGGCCCACACAAAAAATGAAGCCAGCAGTCTACGCAAAAAGTGCCTCCAATTATATATTTATCCCGAATTTTGCCTCTATTCACAGCAGCACCTACACAGCATAAAAGTAAAGGGCAACAGCATGCTACTGCACAATGCTCTCCTGTTGCTTTAGAAACTGTTAAGCCCTGGTAAATGCAATAACCTCCAGGAAGTAAACATATGATCAAACAGCTGTAAATATCCCTAAAACACCCAAATAAAGCATGCTCGAAATTTACCATTTGTTTCGTCAATTAGAACATTTATTTTAAATAGTGATATCAGTAGATTCTCAAATTTACTATTGTGTGATGAAATTTCTATTCTTTAATATAAAATTTATTATAAGATTATAAAATTAACTTACTCCACCCATCCTTGATGGGTTTTCGAAAAATATTATTATAATATTATTTTTATTGCTTTAGTGCACTTTTTAAATAAGAGAGTTAAGATATTAAAACTATTAATGAAAAATTATATTAATTTAAAAATTTTAGTTCCTCTTTCCACTCGATAAAATTCTTTTCCTTAATTATTTTTATTTATAATAATTCGAAGCTTTTAGATTAAGCTTTTGAGGAAGGTTGATGGCTGAAGCACTTTGGATAATTAATTACGTGCAGATTGTTAAGAAAATACGTAAATTACTCTTAATTTGCCAATGCAAACTAACTAATCTATTGATTTATTGTATATAAAATTTGCAGTATATGAGTTCATTTTCCAAATTTTTATGAATTTTTCAATGGGTGAGTTAGTTAAAAATAATAATTATAATCCTATGGGAAAATTAATTACAGCATTTCTAATATTATATCCTAAAGAAGCACAGGCACTTTATAAATGTCTTTTTCTTCCTAAATTGATTATTTATATTTTGTTAAGCTTAAATAAAAATGAGTTTAAAATTCCTCAAAGCAAAGCAAAAGATTGAAGTAAGAGGAGAATTTACATATAACTTTGAGCTTGAAGTGAAATACGAAGAAACTAATATATCAGCATTTATAGCAAAAGCCACAAATGCAAGTAATATCCCAATTCTTATGGAATGCAAATGAAAAAGAATAACAGGAGATAGAACTTATTTAATCCCAGGAATTACTAGCAAGTAATTGATATTTAGTGCTTATCAGCCTACATGTGAAGATATAGGATCTTGCATAGCAGTTGAAGCCTCCCCTGTAGATCCTCATGATGGCCAAGGAACAGCCGAAGCTGTATGTGGGCAATTAACATTAGATCCCAATATAAGGAAAAACTTGGAATATATTTTATCTAGTGGTACCTCCAAATTTACCTTATACTACTCTAGTGATTTATTAGACCATTTAGCAAGGAATGACGAAGCTGTATTAGAAATAAACCAAACGATGCTTAAATTAGAAGTTTACCAAAGAGATGGAACTCTTGATACAGGAAATTCGTTTTCAACTTCTTATTCTATCGACTATCCAAAAATTATCCTTCATCACTCAGACAGTAAAAAATTGATTTTTATCTTAAATGAAGGTGTTGCGGCAATAAATGAGACTGAAGAGCTACCTTATAACAGGAAAATGTCAGTGCAATGTATGTCCAGACAAAACCGAGATTTAATTGTGATGACTGTCAGAGCTTTTGCGGTGAGGAATTATTTAATACACTCTAAAGCAATTGATGGGATGTTTTCTCAAGAACTTCCAAGGAATACGAGCATTGACTATGCAGTTGAGCTTGAAATTGCTCTTAATGAGTTGAATAATCTGGCAAGTGAAAATTTTGAATTAAATAAAGATAAAAAAAGGCAAAAAAGAGAACTTAAAGCATTAGAGGGAGAAATGAAAGAAACTATTGAAGCATACCAAACAATGCTCAATTATCAAAATGAAGGCGGCAAAGAAACAGAACTGTCTGAAGAAATTGAAAAGCTCAAAAATGAACTTAATATAGCAATTGTGAATAAACAAAAATTAAGAAAAAAAGTACAAGAAAAAGAAGAAGAAATAAAAGATTTAAGAAAAGAAAACGAAATGCTGAAGGAGAAGCAGATTGGCGCTGAAAAAGAATTGGAAATGAAGATTGTAAAAGAGCAGGATCTAGAGAAATATGAAGAGATGGAAAAGAAAATGAGCACCCAAATTGAATTTACTTCTCAAGAGCTGGAGATTTTAAATGCCAAAGTTTCAAAATATCAAGAAAAAATTAAAAATCTGAAAAATGCGTTAGGGGAAATGCAGAAAAAAAATGAGATATTAGAGTAAATTATATATAGAGAGCAAAATAAAGAGCTAGGAAAAGAAAAAACAGCTCAGCAAGAGATTGCAAAACTGAAGCAAGAAAATGAAGCATTGCTAGGCCAAAGATCAATTTTAAGTAAAAAAATAGGGAGTCTTGAAGAGGAGCTGGAAAAGCTTGAAAATGAATTAGAGTCTGAAAAAGAAAGCCATAGCCAAACTAACTCCCCCCCCCCCCCTCCGTGAGCGAACAAAAAAATTTTGTTCGCTCACGGAGGGGGGTTAAATTTTTTTTTTTTAAAAAAAATTTATATATAAATTTTATAAAAAATATTTTTTTCGAAATTTAAAAAAATCCTAATTTGCAAAAATTGGGAAGCAAATATTAATTTAATTTGCAAAATTTTATGTTTTAAAAACGCAATTTGTTTAAAATTAAACAGAATTAGCTCTAGATTTCATTATACTAATTATCACTTATATATCAAAATTTTTTTCCATTAAAATTTTTTCTATTAAAAAAAATTTTTGTTCACTCACGGAGGGTGGGTTTTTGGTCAAAAAATGGCGATTTTTCTAATGGTTTTGTTCGCTCACGGAGGGGGGGGGGGGGAGTAAGAAAATGTATGAGGAATTAAATAAAAATATTCAAGAAGAAAACAAGCAAGAAGAGCCTATAAGAAATGATAACGAAATAGAAGAGCTTAGAAACGCTTTGAAATCAACTGAAGAAGAAGCCCTGAAATACAGACAACAGTGCGATTCTTTGTCTGCGCAGCTGAGCAGAGCTCAGGCAGCTGCAAGAAAAAAGAACGGCTCCCTTATGTCATAAATTTTAACTGATTACTTTAGTGAATAAATCACAATTTTAAATTATTAATGCATATTTTACCTGATTAAAAATCAAGATCTCAGTTAAGTAAAATTAGTATAAATTCATTTTCCATAATTAAATTTACGTTAAGTATTAAGAGCCATCGTCTATACGCGACTCAAGATACCATCAACAAACTCTTTAATGCTGAGAACTCCATCCCCATCACGATCAAAATCTCTTATCAGTAGATCCACCTCTTCTTCTGTTAATGCCTCATCTCCAGTAGTCAATATATTTCTTAATTCTCTTGCATCTAGTGTTCCGTCTCCGTTTTTGTCAAGTTTTCTAAATTGAGCTCTTATTTCATCTTCAGTAACTGATGTAGAGCTTAGGCATCTTTTATAAATTCCGCGAAACTCTTCTTCGCTAAGTGTGTTATTATGATCTTTATCAAATTCAGTTAACAGCTTCCGAACTTCAGCTTCTGTTGGATTCAAGCCAAGCCCTCTTAAACCTTTTCCGAGTTCTGAAGATTCTATCACTTGGTTTTTGTTGTAATCAAGAAGCTTGAAAATATCTTGACAGTCTTCACGCTCTTCAGTATTTAAGACAGACATATTTTTATTATAATTTGTTGAATATAAGTTCTTAAAACATTTCAAATTATGATGAATGAATATAAATTAAAGGTGATTTTTATGGCTCATATATTTTGCATTTTCACTAAAATTTGAATAAAAAGATCAATTCCAATTAAAGATCTCAAATAGAAAAGTTTTATCTAAAGGGTCAATTTGCATTATTATCGAAAATTATTAAACACGCTTTTTTTATTCATTCCAAAAGAATTTGCTGTAATTATCTTATAAAAGAAGTCATTATTTTCAGAAATGAAGCATTATTTATCTAAAAGTATATTTATTTGAATTTTTTCTTGATTTGTGAAATTTCTTTCTTCCTTTCAATATCCAATTGTTCTGTCACAAGATTAATCTCACTTTCCATATCCTGCTCCATCTGATTCCTAAGAAGTTCCATAGTTTCTATATGTCATTTACCATTATTCATTCCTGCAGCTAATTCATTTATTTGCTCTTTATACTTGCTCTTAATTCCTTGAATTCTTGTAATTTTTTCCTCAATATATTTTTCCATTACTTTTTCAATCTCATCCTGATATCTTTCAAGCTTTTGCTCTGCAGTGATTTTCATAACAGCTTCTACAGGTGCTAAATTTGATTTATGCAAAATTTGAGGACTATTGGCCCTCCTCTGCTTTAATCTTCTCTCTAGATGTTTTCCTTCTTGGCTCCTAAGGTTTTCACATATTTTTTCACTTGTAGAGGTATAGCTCGAGAACTCATTTAGATTGCTGAGGAGTAATACCTTAAGAGGTAAAGTAAAAACCTATAAGTCAAAATGGCGATCACAACTGCCGTTCTTCTGATAAGTACAGATAAAATTTAGCAAATTTTATCTATAGGTTCTGTTTTCCAAGCCAACATAAACTTGCCATAAAATATTGTTTGTCATTTTGAGTCTGATTTTTCAGATCACTATTTACCTCTGTTAAGTATTGCTCCAGAGAGATCCAAAAATATGTCTACGTTATACTTGTATTGAGATGTTGATTTATTATATCTTCTGCATCTTTTTTAATTGCTAAAGGTGAAGTAAAATGTAAGTTTATTTGGTCAGATTTCGGAATTTTCAGTTCTTCTAGCTCAAATTCGTTGCTAGGAAGCTGATCTTCACTTCTGCTGCGCTCCAACTTTGTGGGCTGATTATGGTTCAAAACATTGATTACATCATCTCTGGCCAGCAATTGCTGGATGCGTTCTTTATAATGCAAATATCGGGTGTCTTTTATTGAACCATAATATTCTACAGCAGCCTAAATAAAAATCACTGAGTAGAGCTCGACTAATTTTGATGCACCAAGGGCGGTACAATTTGTGTCGAGGTCAGACTCAAGGTCGATTACTTGCTCAGCAAAATGCTTTGGTAGCTTTGGAAATGCAGAAATATTTTTGTGCTTCGAATGGTTATGTTTTGAATTGATCTTCCTAGACATTTCACTTTTATTCATACATTTATCAACTCACTCCCCCCCCCCCCCTCCGTGTGAGCGAACAAAACCATTAGAAAAATCGCCATTTTTTGACCAAAAACCCCACCCTCCGTGAGTGAACAAAAATTTTTTTAATAGAAAAAATTTTAATGGAAAAAAATTTTGATATATAAGTGATAATTAGTATAATGAAATCTAGAGCTAATTCTGTTTAATTTTAAACAAATTGCGTTTTAAAAAACATAAATTTTGCAAATTAAATTAATATTTGCTTCCCAATTTTTGCAAATTAGGATTTTTTTAAATTTCGAAAAAAAAAATATTTTTTATAAAATTTATATATAAATATTTTTTTTAAAAAAAAAAATTAAACCCCCTCCGTGAGCGAACAAAATTTTTTTGTTCGCTCACGGAGGGGGGGGGGGAGTCAGGAGAATAATTATGACAAAATAAATAATAAATCTATAATATTGGAAATAGCTTTGCTAAAGATAATAAAAATTTATTGAGTATATGGCAAAACATATGCAAAAAATTTGCTCATTTTAATTATGAATTTCAATATAATGGATAAATCATTCGAAAAAGGAATGAATTCATATAAAGAGCAATATATCTCGCCAAAAAGCAAAATGCTGCAGTCTTCTCAAAACCCAGAATTTAGCTCCTATAGTCCTGATTTCAGATTTGACACATCCCCAAGTCCTCTTCAAGATTTAAAATCATCTTCTATGTTAGAAGATAAAAAATCTAACTCAAAAGCAGTCGCTAATTGCATTAGAGCTTTAACAGAAAAAGTAGCTGCTCTTGATAAGGAAAATCAACAATTAAAAAGACAAGTTATAGCTGAAAGAGAAAGAGCGCAAAAAGATAAAGAGGAAACTATTAGACAATTAGAAGAAACTCAGCAACAAGCTGAAGTAAACAATAAAAAAGTATATGATTATGAAGATGAAATTAAAAGGTATGGGCGCAGAATTTTGCTTCTTGAAGATCAAAATAGACAGATATCAGCAGAGCTTGATAGAGTTAAGCAAGAATCAAATGTTTTAAAAACTGATTTAGACTATGAGTCTTCTAAAACACAAAAGCTAGAAAGCACAATAAATAAAATTAAAACTGAGGTCAAAGAAAATGAAGAACATACTAGTGGCTTTGAAGTAGAAAACAATCAGCTTAAAAGTGAACTTGAAGAAGCCCAAAAATTCATAGCTCAATTGCAAAGAGAACTTTCTGCATGTAGAGGCTCAGATAAGCAAAAGCAAAACAGAGCTCTATATGAAAGCCACAAAGTGAGAGAAATGGAATACAAAAACAAGTTTTTACAAGACTTACTCCCCCCCCCCCTCCGTGAGCGAACAAAAAAATTTTGTTCGCTCACGGAGGGGGGGTTAATTTTTTTTTTTAAAAAAAATTTTTATATATAAATTTTATAAAAAATATTTTTTTTCGAAATTTAAAAAAATCCTAATTTGCAAAAATTGGGAAGCAAATATTAATTTAATTTGCAAAATTTATGTTTTAAAACGCAATTTGTTTAAAATTAAACAGAATTAGCTCTAGATTTCATTATACTAATTATCACTTATATATCAAAATTTTTTTTTCCATTAAAATTTTTTTCTATTAAAAAAATTTTTGTTCACTCACGGAGGGTGGGTTTTTGGTCAAAAAATGGCGATTTTTCTAATGGTTTTGTTCGCTCACGGAGGGGGGGGGGGAGTTAGCAGACACCCAGCAAAAAGAAATCGAACAACTAAGAAGAGAAATTGAAATCCTAAGATCTACTATAAATCAGCTAGAAGAAAGCAAAGACGTTTTAATCGAGCAGAATCGGCAAAACGAGCAATATTTTAAAGAACTCTCTGAAAAACGAGAACATCGAAAAACCAAGAAAAAGTCTGAAGACTCCTCCAAGCCTCCCAAAAAATCACACACCCACTCCCATCATACCAAAAAGCCAAGCATCCAAGAGAGAATCCTCGACAAAGAAGTCGAAGAAATCGACAAAAGATACCAAAGCTTAATGAACTCAGGCAAACTAATGAAAAGTGATCTTGATCAAGATTCCTTTGCAAGATCATCTGTTTTAAATTCTTATAAACCATTTAACTAATTTTTCATCTAAAAGTATCTAACTTTTTAGCTTACTTGGCTGATGGCTCCACTTGAGATTGCTGGCCCAGCCTGCCCATCAATAAGACTTTGATCATTTCTCCCATATCCAAGGTCATCTGGATTTTCATGAATTGCAAGAATTTTTCCAATAACAGAGAACTTCCCACTCAATTTTACATATGGGTCAGAAACCTTTAAAGCTCCTTCCCCTTTTTCATCTCCCTTGATGTTTCCTAGATCTCCTACTTTTCTTTCTGTGCTCCAAGGACCTCCATGCTTTCTCGCAAATGGGTTGTAAATCTCTGCGACTTGGCCGTCTTTTCCAGCCTCATGAATTTGTAGACCGTGTGGCTTATTTGGGTTAAGTCCAGTGGCTTTGATGGAAATTTCAGTGTTCAATGTATAACGAGGCTGGAAAAATTCAGCTTCTCCTGAGACGAGTTTCCCTGTTAAAGTTGCACGAGCTTTGACTTCTGTACTGACTCTTTCGTTGGAGGAAGATAAGGTGGAGGAAGTGAATAAGAGAGTAAAGCCTGCAGCTATTCGAGTTAATGCCATTTTATTTAATCCACGAATTAGTTATTGAGAACAGTCTAATTTTAAATTTAGAGGAGATAATTGAGGGGAATAAAGGATTTGGAAGATATTTAGGCTTTTATGAGGATTTATATTGAGAGAGTGACTTGGGGCTTTACCTTTAAATGAATTAAACTAACTCCCCCTCGATGATTGACCAAACCATAGAAAAATCCCTATTTTTTGCCCAAAAACCCACCCTCCGTGAGTGAACCAAAATGTTTTATGGAAAAAAAAATTGATATATAAGTGATAATTAGTATAATGAAATCACAAGCTAATTCTGTTTAATTTTAAACAAATTGCATTTTAAAATAAAATTTTATAAATTAAATTGGTGTTTGTTCCCGATTTTTGCAAATTAGGATTTTTTAAAAGTTTATATATAAAAAAAATTAACCACCTCCGTGAGTGAACAAAATTTTTTTGTTCACTCACAGAGGGGGAGTAAGTATATTGATTATGAGAATTTTTAGTTTAATTAGCTCGAAAATGATGATAATTTTATTTATTGACTTCTCGATTCGTTGAGAAATCGTTTATTTGTATAGACTAACTACTGTTTTGATAACTTTTAAATCAATTTTGCATAACTTTTTTGCTATATGCGTAAAGATTCAATATTCATTTATTATACTATACAAATTAAAATTAATTCAAAAGAAATCCTTGCTTATGATATCCTCTCTTTATGAAATTGAAAAATGGCATTTTTTGCTATAATTTCCAGTTCATTCCTGCACTATATTTTTTATTGACATTTTTCTTCACATAGTTTCAACTGACCAGAATGAGTGTATATTTTACCCTCAGGGCTTTTTACTAGAACGATATTTTCTCGAAAAAATTTGGTCACTTTTGTTTCCTTGAAAGACATTTGATCGAAGTTTTCCTAACAAATGTCTCCCGGTTGAAAAATTCGACTAAATTTCCCAAGAAGCATTTCATTAGCAAAAAGTCCTGATAAAATGGATAGAGCTGACCAGAGCAATATAATTAAATAAAAACTCAGTTAGTTTTTAAAAAAGAATAATTATGATGATTATCTAGCTTACTCTATCCTCAGAAATCACTAAACTTTAAGTGATCCCTTCACATAGATATTGAGAAGTTAGAAGTATTTTCTTACAGCCTCCACAATTTCCATTGGTGCATGTCTTGGGAAAAAGTCTGCTCCTTTTCTGCTGATAAATAAAATGGACGAACGAGAGAAATTAGCTCTCGCTAATTTTCTCTCCCTCATGAATTTTATTTATGGGGTTTGGTTTTACCTTGAGAACTTCTGCACAGCAAAAGCGGTTTAACTCTAGAAATAACAAGAGGAGCTGCTCCTCAGAACATCGAGAGGTTTGGGCTTTTACCACTTAGCAAATCCCCAAGAGGAGGGTGACCCTTATGAGGAACACGAGCTGGAGCTAAATCTGACGAGAGTGACGGAACCAGCCGGGTGAGATGTGTGGCCCTGGCTACCGCTGGGACTGTGGTGTAGCCATCTTCGGTCGAAACCCGTACGTCACCAGTTAGATTAGCCCCTATTCATTAGGGAGTGGACACTAGAAACCTTAAACACTAAGTAATTAAGCAAGCAAGCTCCTTTTCTGCTGATTACGGTGTGGGATTGTCCACCAATAACAACGTCGACTTTGAGTTGTCTTGGCTCACCTGGCATGCACTCGATTTGAGAGTCTGATAAGTTTAGTTCTTGCACTAAAGCTTGTTTGGTTAAATTGGCCTTACTCCAGTAACCTCAAGATCCACAGATCCATACCCGAACCTTCTTGCTTTCCATATTACGGTTGGATATAAAATAATAATGGAAGCTTTCAAATCAATTTAATTACTATATTTTAGATCTGAAATTCTATCAGTCTTTTATCCAGAATAAGAATTTTTTATTGAAATCTTTCAACATGGAAAATTTTTTTAATTGTTTTTGATATTAATTTTAGGTTACTTTATTTTTATAGTATAGCCTGGTATGGATATGAGAGAAGAAAGTGTTTGCGATACTAATTGAAAAGCCTTATAAATAATTATTTAGATATGGCATATTTGCGAATATAATACAGTAAAATAAGTAGCTGGCTATTATATTGAAAATAGCCACTTTTATAAGTGGCAGTTCTTTTGGCATATAAAGACTAGCATAGATAATAAATAAAGAAATAATTAATTCTTAATGCTATTTATTCTTTCATCAGTTCAAACCACTGCTTTATGACATCCAACAAAATTGTAACCAGCAATCCCGGATTTTGTACCACAACATAATATTCAAAAGGAAAATCTTCCAAATATGATGTCTTCTTCACTAAATTTTTCCCGTCCTTTTTCTCAAACACAACGCTCTGCATATCCATAATAGAACTTTCTTGGTTATCAACAATTACAAATAAAAAGAAAATCCCTTCATTTTTTCTCACCCATGGCCTGACTGGCTCGTTTGGCTTTTGAGAGATACGGGATGTCCATAAAATGAAGAACCAATATTTAATGAAAAGAAAAGAGTTAGTATCTCTTATAAATAAGAAAACATCATGTCCTTCAGGTAACTCATAATAAGGAGCAAAAAAACCATTAAATTTGACTGTAAAAATTGTTTTTATATCACAAAAATAGAAGATTCTAGATCTCCACAAAAATGGAAACAGTTGAGTCCTTAATAAAAAAGACCTAGTAACTAAGCAAAATAGACGATACCAGCAATTCATCAATGCAACCTAACGGTCTAGATAATTTGCGAGAGTCTAATGAAAATAAAAAAATTTCGATAAACGCTTGCTTCAATAAAAAACGGAATTGTTATGTTTATAAGTCAAAGTTCATCCAGTTAAATAAAAAACGAAATCCATCTCTTTTTCTCAAGAGATAACGGTTTATTAGGTGCTGCAAAAACCTGCTTAAAAAGACCGTTATATTTGCGCAAAAATTAATATAATTTCTGCACCGATTTGCGTTGCAACACACATTAATATAGTGAAACGATGCTTTATTTTGAGCCTTATTTATATCAGATTTTATGTCTTATATAAGAGAATTCAATATGATCTAATATTTCGAAACTATCAGCTCATGAAAATGCGAAATCGTTTGCTCAATGAAAAAAACATTAAACAGAGCTCCTTAAAATAGAAATTTATTTTTTTAAGAAAATAAATTAACATTTTGTTATTAAATACTTTTAGAGCAAGCTTTGCTTATTTATTGCGCTTTTTTGTATAAATAATAACAATATTTAAGGTAAATCATACTTATTTCAGTTCTAAGTGTACCTCTTTCAGTGTCTATTAAAGATATTAAAATTATTAAAAAACTTCTAAAAACCTTTTTTAAGGAAATTAACTCAAAAAATATTGCAAATTTTGGTCATCGTTTTGATATATTTTGAAAGAATATGTCTTAAAAAACGGTTTTATATATTTTTTAATAATTTTTAATATATTTAATAGCCACTGAAAGAGGCACACTTAGAACTGAAATAAGTATGATTTACCTTAAATATTGTTACTATTTGTAAAAAAAAGCGCAATAAATAAGCAAAGCTTGCTCTAAAAGTATTTAATAACAAAATTTTAAATTATTTTTCTTAAAAAAATAAATTTCTATTTTAAGGAGCTCTGTTTAATGTTTTTTTTCACTGAGCAAACGATTTCGCATTTTCATGAGCTGATAGTTTCGAAATATTAGATCATATTGAATTCTCTTATATAAGACATAAAATCTGATATAAATAAGGCTCAAAATAAAGCATCGTTTCACTATATTAATGTGTGTTGCAACGCAAATCGGTGCAGAAATTATATTAATTTTTGCGCAAATATAACGGTCTTTTTAAGCAGGTTTTTGCAGCACCTAATAAACCGTTATCTCTTGAGCAAAAGAGATGAAATTCGTTTTTTACTGAGATGACTTAAACCCAATTTAGTGACATAATGATTTATTTTTTTATTAAGAGAAGCGTTTATTGATTTTTTAATATATTCAGAATGGAATTGCAAACAAGGTATAACGTCAGTTTGCTATTATATGAAACTGTCAGATCTTATTTCTAGTACATATAAGTTGCTTATTTAATAGACTTAACAGTATCATAGTTTATATAGCCAACAAGCTTTTTTCATTAAGACATAAAAAAAAAAATTTTACTGTCAAATTTAATGGTTTTTTTGCTCCTTATTATAAGTTACTTATAGTACATAATGATATCTTATTGATGTAAAACACTGGCTCTTTTCTTTTAATTACATATTGGTTTCTTATATTGTATACAGCCCGTATCTCTCAAAAGCCAAACGAGCCGGCCTGACTTTGTTTTTATTGAGTCTTCCATCAGAAATAATAATAACGAGCTGCATGTTTTGGTTTCCACATTTTTCTAAATAATCATAGCACTGCTGCATAAATCTTGGATATGCTGTATCAGAGCCCACATCTCTTCCATATTCAAAGTCAAGCTGAGACATAATAAAGCCTCCTTCGTCGCTTGAAAAAGGCCGGCCAAAGTCATGTAATAAATTCATACCATTTCTGATGCCTGCAACCCCGAGTTCTCCTACTTCAAGCTTATGCAAAGCTTGGGCCAAAATTGATAAGCCTTTTTTCGCAATATCTCCTAGTCCATGCTGCTTCATACTAAAAGAATCATCAATAGCTAGAAGTACTTGATATTCTCTTGCAGTAGGTCTAGTTCTTCTAAGCCAGATTTTATCTTTTCTAAACTGGCTTGCAATGTAAGCAATGACTTTTTTCATATTGATTCTTTTACCAGTTTTATAATCCCCTTGAAGGCCTTTTGCTTTTGTCGGCTCGAGGATGATTCTTAACTGTTCACATAGCTCTTGTGCAATATAACTAGTTTCTCTTTCGTAGTTTTCCCATTCAGCAAGTCCTTTTTCAAAAGCTTCCATATTTACTTGATTTCTAACCCTCCCCATTACGAATATAATCTATAATATTTTTTATAAAATTTTTGGTGACTCTTAATAAGTATATTTAATGTCTTTTTAAATTTTTAAAATTTATTTTGATTATTATTGAAATTTTTTTTAAACCATCCTTTAGAGCTGATAATTAGAATATTTTATTTTAATCATTTGTTTAAATCACAAATTTTCAATAAAAGAAACCCAAATTGATAACGACAAAGGAGAGCGCTGCTTAATAATCGAGAATAAGCTTTTCAAGTTCTTCTAGTGGATCTAAAAGGCTATTATCAATGCTCATAGGGACTTCTTCTCCTCCAGTTCTATGAGTTCCTTTTCTTCCAACATTCCCTTCATTGAAATTAATCATATCAATTTTTGGAATTACGTTTCTCTGCTCATCTCTCTTTGTGCTGTCAAAAGTTTTGAAGCTTTCACTTTTGACTTCTTCTCTAGGCCTTTCTTTGCGTTCTGACTTTTTAGGCTGGACTTGTTTGCCTGCTTCTTGCTCGGGATTATTTTTTAAGCTGGGAGCTGAGGTGACATCATTGAAATTTTCGTCAAAGGTGTAGATATTTGAGGACTCTGGCCTGTCTATACTCATATCATCTGGCATATTTACGGTTTCTACATCATTAACAGTGGCTTCTATTTCAGTTTCTGGGTTTTGACCGGTTTCACTCTGCTGCTGTTGCTGCTGGGAGTTTCATTCACCTTTCATCTGGCTAATGACATCTGTATAGCTTCCTTTATCTTTGGAATTTTGCTCTCCTTTATTTTCATTTCCTTTCATTTTATCAGTGTTTGCAGCTTGATTGTCAACCCCATAAGCTTCTTTATCATAATCTGTGAATTCTCTGTCCTTGTATTCTTCTAATCTTTTTTCTTCTTCCTCTCCACTGGATCCTTCTATTTCTTTTGTCTCTTTACCTTCCATTTCTGCTTCATTTAGGTTGGGTTCATTGGTTTGGTTTTGTTCAGCTTCGGAGTCTTCTTGCATGCTTTCTTCTCCGCTGTCTTGTTGTGAACTTTCGTAGTCTTCGTTTCTTTTATCAACGTTTATTAAGTCTTCTTCTTTGGCGTCGATGTCCATATCCATGTTTTCTTCAGATCCTGACTCTGGTGGGGCCATTTCAAAGTCTTCAGCTTCACCTTCTCTATCTTGAGGTTGAAGTCCGGCTTCCATTTCTGATTCTTTGGTCATCTCTGGGTTTGCAGACTCCCTTACTTCTCCTTCAGCTTTGCGGGCTTCTTGTTCTTCTTCCATAAGTTTTTCGTTTCCTTCGGCATTTCCTTCTATATCTTCGCCTTCACTGCCTTCAGCGCTTCTTTCTTCTCCTTCAAATTCTTCCCTTACATCCATTCCTCCTTCTTTGTCCACATCTTTTTGTTCGCTTTCTTCTTGGTTTTGAAGTTCTTGGAACTGTTCTTCATCAATTAATTCCTCTCCGATATCTTTATTTCCTTTGCCTTCTCCAAGTCCAGTCCCTTCAACTAACTGCTCGCCTGACTCTTCACCTGCTTCTTCTTCTTCTTCAGAGCCGCAAAATCCTTTTGAAAAAAGACTGGAAAATATTGAGATTAAAATGTATAAGAGCTTTCCAAGACTTTTATAATAAGAGCATATAGCTGGCAAAGGATAAGAAGTGAGATCCTCAACATAAGTGTCTGGAATTTCAGATTTTTCTAACTCCCTCATAAGTGAGCGAACAAAACGATTGGAAAAATCCCTATTTTTTGGATAAAAGAACAAAAATATATTTTAATATAAATATTTTTTATGATAAAAAAATCCATATATAAATTATTATAATGAAATCTCTAGCTAATTCTGTTTAATATTAAGATTGCATTTTAAAACATAAAATTTCGGAAATTAAATTAATTTTTATCTCAATTTTTGCAGAAATGGATTTTTTTAAATTTCGAAACAACATTTTATTATAAAATTTATATATTAATTTTTAAAATAAAATTAAGCCTGAGCTATTTTTTTTTCACTCATGAAGGGGGAGTAAGTATTTCGGAATCGAACGCGGCTCCGGAAGAATTGCTGAGAGGCTAGAAGCAATTTCTGAATATTTTGGAATTTCTGAAAGCTGGCTTATTGAGTTTTTACGTTTATTAGAGTTATTGAGGAGCCCCTGCAATTACCGAAGGACTACCCCTATCCATAGAGCCCTATTCACCTGCTTGCCAGTTTTAGAAAACCTTAAAAAGGATGCTCCTCCTCGAAAAGAGCCTGCACTCGCTCATGGTAGTTGAGTGAGCTATGTCACCTCGCCAACTAAGATTGCCACCATGGAAAATTCAAAATTTTGAGTTTTCTGGTAGATTTCTGCAAAATGGAAATCCGAAGCCCACAGTCCCGTGGCCAGGATAAACACCAATGACACTAATGGGAGATCTCTTTCCAGCTCTTGGCTCCATTCCTCTCTAAGGCAAAATCTTGGTATTTGAGTAAAGCATGCGTTCAGCTAACCCTACATTGCGCTTCGCCAAAGCAAGCAAAACCTGGCCGGATACACATTACCGAACGTCATCCTTCCTTCCTCAAGTTACATGTGCGCACCCTGTGAGATGCCAGCTACAGGATTTAAGAGTATGGGGTAGCTCACTACGCCATTTTAATGTCTGAACTGGCTTAATGCAGTTTTGCATAAAGATAGATCATTCATAGTGCCTGAAACTTTAAAGCATGATATCTTGAAGCCAGTATCTTGATCTATTTCTAACTGAAGATTTTCAAGAACAGCTTCTTTTACTACTTCATTAATTTGGCAGACTACTTTCATTTCTTCATTATTCAGTTTTGCATAAGCCTTATAAGTTTCTAAAGAGCTAGCTAGTGCTCTTCTTGCTTCAATCAAAGAATACATAATAAAAATTGCATACCCTAAACATTTTTCTTTATCCTCTAGCTTAATTATATCATTAATCCCCATAAGTGAATGAAGAATGGTCAATTTATCAATGCATCTATAATAATACTCTTCTCCTTTGCCAATCACTTCTTTCAACTCTTCTGGATAATAATTAATTACGGGCTGCTCACTGAATGACAATTTTTCTGTATCTTTTGAATGGTAAAACTGGCTAAATCCTAGCTCTTTCAAATTATTCAATAAATCAATTAAAGACCTATATTTAATCCCTTGTTCATTTTCTATATTTTTAATAGTCTCAATCCTCTCGAAAATTCTTAATGAAAGTTCCTCAAATACATTATCAGGCTCTGCAGTCTCGAGAACTTGTATAGGCTTCTCTAAGATACTTTCTGAATAGTCCTGCCTGATTTTTCTCAAAATTTCGTCTTCGAATTTAAGGACTAGCACATCTTTGTATTTTTTTATCAAGGTATTCAGCTGCCTATGAGCTCTGAATGCAGTTTCTCTCCATGCATGATAGTTTGAGACGTTAAATCTGGCGATTTTTACGATTTCTTTAAGCTTGTTTTTTATAGGTTCTAAATAAAAATCAATAGTCTTATTGAAGTGCTCTTGGAATTGGGTATAAAATGCATAAATATGGTGAAGAGATGGGACTTGGTCGGCGTCTACTTTGTCTTCAAATAGTTTCAGCACTCTAAGCCTGTTTTCGAAGCATCCTAAACTTGATGACCGGATATACATTTCAAGAGCTTCATAAAGTTCTTTCCCTCTAACTTTTTCAACATAAAGAACTCTAAACAGCCTAGCCCATAGCTTGGCATCTTGTCCTATCATTTCTGACTTTTTAGCCTCTAGTAGCCCTTCCCAGTTTTGGAGTTCACTTTCTCTCCATCTTTTAAGCAAATCGTAAATTTCATGAAGTTCTGATTTTAGAGAATATTCTGAGCCTGTATAGTCTTCCCAATCGTGGGCTAGTTTCAGAACATTGTCAAATCCTGAAACTAGCTGCATTAGAGGCGTTGAGAAAAGCGGTCGAGAAAGGACTTTATAAGCAAGGTACTGAGTTTCCTTAACTCCCCCAAGGTTGATTTGTTCTTATACATAAATTTTATTCTAAATTTTTTTTAATAATCTCAATTCGCAAAAATTGGAAAGCAAATTAATTTAATTTGTAAAATTTATGTTTAAAATGCAAGTTATTTAAAATTAAACAGAATCAGCTAGGAATTTCATTTTAATAATTAGCACTTCTACATCAAATGTTTTTAAAAAAAAAATTTGTTTGCTCACGAAGGGTGGGATTTTCCAATGTTTTGTTCGCTCATGGAGGGGATAAGGATTTCGTGGTCTGGGAATAATTTAAGAAAATCTGCTAGCTTGCTAATAAGTTTCACTAAAGGTGTATAAGCTGCCATAGCTTCTTTTGGATTTGGATCTAAATAGAAATTGTATGCTTCTTTTTCAGGGGTATATTCGAATTCATTGCATAAATTTTTTAAGTGGATTTCTAAAGGTTTGCTTAAGAAAACTCCTGCAATTTCTGGGTTGATCAGCCCTAAAAACCTTTTTTTAAGCTCATTATCCCTCGTCCCACATGCAAATTCCCAGTCTTTCCAGGCTTCAATAATTTCTTTCCTCTTCTTCATTTCAACAGGTATCCACGCCCTTTCATCTCTGTACTTTGGGAACAATTTTTCTATTTCTCTCTTCTCAATTTCTTCATATTCTCTAATGTTTTCTTCTCTTGTCTGCTCACCAATTGTATGAACAGTTTCAAGCTCACTCCCACGATCTGTAGGCGAGTAAAATAATTCGAAGGAAAAATAATTTGTTTATAAAATCTTTGTTTATGAATGCGGATTGTTTAAAATTCAACGGAATTAGCTTTATATATCAATCATTGATATATCAAAATATTTAAAAAAATTTTTGTTCGCCACGAAGTTTTATTTTTTTAAAAATTAGGGGTTTTTCAATAATTTTGCTTACTCATAGATTTGAGGAGTCAGTAGTTTTAACAATTTTTAGCTTTTTTGGCTCTTCAGATTCTTTGATTTCAGTTAAATCAAGAATAAGCCTTACTCTACCCCTCCGTCCGTGAGCGAACAAAAAAATTGGAAAAAATCCCTATTTTATGCAAAAAACCTCTTTTAGTTATCAACAAAAATTTTTATAAAAATATATTGATATATAAGTGATAATTTTTATAATTAAATCTCTAACTAATTCTGTGAAATTGTTATAAAACATAAATTTTATAAATTAAATTTGCGAGATAGGATTTTTGCAATTTTCTAAAAAAAAATTATTACAAAATTTATATATAAATTTTAAAAAAAAAATTAATCCCTCCTTTAGCGAACAAACTTTTTTTGTTAGCTCACACGAGGGGTAGTTAGAAATTCAGGAAGGAATGAAGAGTCATAGAACAGGTGACCTTTAATAAGAGAGGACTGAAGAGAAATTGGCATGCTTGAAAAAGTAAAAGGATAGATAAATTCAGGAGATGGAATAATTGAAAGAGATTTTAAGCCATATTGAATAAGAAGCAATGCTTCTAACAGTGGAGAGCAAAGGTCAGGGAAAATGGTTTGGTATGATATGAGTGTTGATAGAAAAGATTGCAATAAGTCAAATAAATAACGAGTTCCTTCAGTTTCCAAAGATGTTAAGTTGTGAGAAACAAGCTGAGAAAGTCTTTCATAAGAAGGCAGCTTGGTAATATAACTGATAATATCTGCTGAGTTTGCTGGCCTGGGTATTATATTTTGCTCAGCTTTATTTATTTTTTGTGATAGCTGCTGGATGGATTGCGAATAGAAAGTGATAATTGGAATATCAAAATTGTACCCATATCGAAAAGCACTGTAGTCTTGCCTTATCTCAACTCTCTGTGCCATTTCTTGCTGCATTTGCTGATAATCAATAGACAAGCCTTTATAAAGCTCTGAAGGATCACATATTAAGCCTTTATAAAGCTTATAAAGCCATAGCCCAAGACCAACAGCCTTATAGCTTTCATTTTTAGTGAAATATAGTTCTAGCTCTGAGCCTTCAATTTTATTTGTCAATTCATTAAATACTAGCTCTAAATACGAATTGGGAATTGCTAGAGATGACTTGACCTGAGGCCATTTCAGCAGAGTTCTAATTAAAAACCAATGCTTGGTAGCATTGAAAATTGTTGTTTCTTTAGAATCTCTATATATTTTCAGAAAATCAGTTTCTGGTACAATTGGAGCTTGCAAGATAGGTAAAGCGATTTCTCTGATAGAAAAAGGAAGCCCTACCTTATACCTCAATATCCATAAAGGCTTTAATAGAGAAGTTGGTATATACTCATTATTCAAAAATTGAATGACATCTAAATCAGTGAGTGAAGATGAGTCTACCATTCTTGATAATGCTCTTAATAGCACCTGCTCATATAAATCTTTTATTTCTTCTATATAAAACAGCTGCTCAGCTTGGCATGTTTCTTTATCCATTATTAGTCCGATTTCTTGGTCAATAAACTCTTCTCCAGATACAACTACCACTCTTCTTTTAGGGAATTCTTCAGAATAATTTATGTTGCTCATTAGTTTCTTTACAAAATTTGATGATAGCACAGCTGGAAACTTTTCAAGAGGAATTGGGCAGGCTTTGATTGATGTTCTGACACGTTGTTTTCATGAAGATATAAGCTCTTTCGAAAGAAGAGGCTTTTCATAAGATAGAGATATTTCATCTGGTATAATTGATTTTGAAATTATTTTGTGTTTGGTGAAATCATCTCTTGCAATATGATAAAGGAATAAGTCGACTTGCTGCTTTAAGTTAATATCCACCTTCCATGATAGGTTGAAAATTGATAAATTTAGCATTAAGGCATGATGAACTTGATTTTCATAAGGAATATATTGAGTGATAGGGCAAATTGGGTTCAAAAGAGGTGTATAATAGCCTATTGAGATACCCTTATTGCTGTATTCATTTCATATGTTTTGAAAATACTCAGCAAGACTACCATTTTTAACTTGATTTGCTCTTTCATTGCAATCAAAGTAGCAAGAATTTGTAAAAAAGCATGCCTTAGCTTCATTATGGTCATTTCACTTTTCCAAAAACTTTAAGTCTTCATTTAAATACGACTCGATCGGCAATTTAAGTATATTGCTTAATTTCTCAAACATCAATCTTTCTTCTACCTCCATTTCATCTTCTATGCTATCTCCAAACAATAACGAATAGCTTTTTTCTTTATTTTCTATTGATCGGCTGAGTTCTTCCCACTTCAAAATTTCCCCAAACCCATTTTTAATTAAACGAGCAAAGCTCTCCTTTGTGACGAAATGAGAGCCAGTTATTCTGAGCACGTCCATATAGTTATAATGCTCAAGCATTGAAATCTCAATGCATCTATTACGAAGTGCTCTTGAAACTTCTCCAAGCTTTGGATTAAAAGTAATAAACATACAAAAGTCTGGATGGGCTCTAAGGATATAGCTTTCTCCATTTACTTGGCCGCGCTCATTTATAAGCAAGCTTCCATTTGGTTCCATTAATGAATTAATTCTGTCAAGAACAGACGCAGGACAAAGATTAGCGTTTTTCAATAAAATCCAGTCACCATTTCTCAGTGCTTTTGCTAGCGTGCTTTCATACCACTCGAATTTACCGTTTTCATTCTGTTCAAATGAGCCTAAAAGTTCGCTTGAGTCAGTAGTTGGGCTTAAAGTATATTCATATAAGTTTTTATTCATCAAAACACTTGCTAGCCTGCATATTGAAGTTTTGCCTACTGAATGATCTCCTACAAGTAAAATTGGCCACCTTTTTTCAATAGCAAAAAGGACTTGTTCTAAAATGTTCATTTGGCTTGGAATAAAGGCTAAATTAGTATTGGGTTTAAGATTTGGAATTTTGCATTTTCCTATTTCTACGTAATCAGGGTTGACTCTATAATAAGGGACTGGGCTAATTACTAGATGGCAACCAAATACTTCATAATAAATTTCTTGGATTTTTTCTCGATGTTCTGGTGTTTTTGTTCTATAGAAGTAAAGAAGTTCAATTGAAGCACCTTGGCATCATCTCAGCATATCTCTTAAATTAAACTCCCAGGGTCCTTGGATTTGAGTCTTTACCTTTTCATTGAATTCTACTATTTTGTCGATATTAGCTAAATTAGGATAAATGTCTGAGATAATTCTGATGTAATCTTCTTTTGTAAGCTCACTGATATATATTTTTGTGAATCTGTTTAAAAAACTCTTTGGAAGACCTTTACGGCCTCCTCCATGAGCTACTGGGTTCTGTGCTGCAAAAATTCTGAATGAAATAGGGCATTGGACTTCTTTGTTTATTTCTGGGATATAGACAGTTGCTCTATGGTCTAGTAATGCATTTAAGCCCTCAATCACTGGTTGAGGACACAAATTAAGCTCATCAAGAATGACCCAATCTCCAGCTTTGATAGCTGAAAGCAAAACTCCGTCACACCACTCAAATCTTTCTCCTATAGGAATGTCGCATCCTAAAAGATCAATTAAATCAGTTTCTTCGCTAAGATTAATCCTTGTAACTTTATGTCCTGTAACTTTGCCAAGTGACTCAACAATACTTGTTTTCCCGACTCCTGGGGGACCTTCTAGCATAATAGGCTTATTCAACTGTATTGCTCTTAATAGCCTATAAAGACTTTTCTTTATGTTTGGTGCATTGAAAGAATAGTTGCTTAATAGAGATAATGAATTGGTTTCAATGAAAAAAGGTGAAATCCCAAATAGCTGAGGTGTAGCTGTAACATTATACTCAATTTTTGGCTCTGGGATTTGAAGCTCTTCAATGATAAATTTCATGCATTTTGCTTTATTCGCATCGTCTGAGTAATCCAGCAAGATCATTGACAGACCTTCCCAAAAAGAAACAGAAAACTCTAATGAAGAATTTTTGATGAAATCACATCATGCTATAGCATCTCTAAGAGATAAAGGAATCCTTGCAAAACTGTTGTACCATTCAATAAATCTTATAAGGAATGTTGTCTTCTCAGCATCTAAAATCGTTATCAGCACTTCGTTGACTTCCTCTATCCCAACTCTTACCCACATCTCAGTAAATCTATTCCTCAATGCAGGTGAAAGTTCTTTTTTACCATAATCTCCTCCAGGATTCATAGTTGCGAATAGCTGAAATCCTTCAGCTGCTGCCATTTCAAGGCTGCATTCTCCTCCCTTTTCAGGAACCAGAAGCTTTCTATCAATTTCTAAAACACTGTTAAGTCTTTCAAGAACACTGTCATCTGCAAGAGAAATTTCATCAATCAGCAAAAACTTGCCAAAGTTATAAGCTTCAACTAATGGCCCATCAGCCCATTCAAAGAGCTTATGGCCGCCTTCTTGCTCATTTTCATTTAAAGTAGTTCTATCTCTTATCGGTTGAAGGCTTCCAATGAAATCTGAAGTTTCTGTATATTGATGACAGTTAATACATTTCAGCTCAGTGTTCCTCATAGAGGCTAAAGCTTGACATATCGTTGTCTTTCCACATCCAGTTTCTCCTACAAGAAGAACAGGCTCATTGCATTTAGTTGCCATGTCTACTAGTGTGTATAGTCTTTTCATATGTGAATTCCAAGCAATTTTTCTTAGTCCTCTTGCAACTCCAATAGTCTCGTCTAGCCTTTCAACATCCATTAGAAAGCTCTCGCTTTTTGTGTATTCATCATAAAATTTCGGCATATCAATTTTTATTTTTTTGCAGTTTTTTTCTATCACACTTTTTACAAATTCTTTTTCCTCTTCATTTCTCAGTCTTTCTCCTAATACTGCAAAAGTGAAATGCCCCAATTGTTCGTACCCAATAGGCTCTCTATTGGCTATTTTTAATAGATCTCTAATTGTAATAAACCCTTGTCTCCCCAAAAATGCTCTAGTTTGTTGTCGATGCCTTTGCAATTCCCTCATGACATTAATCAAAACTTGTGCATAAGAAGGTGCTAGTTTTCCTCTTTTTTCCAAAATCTGTATAAGTTCAGAATCAGGCAGTTCAGGAATAAACATTTCTACAAACCTATTTCTAAAAGCTTTGGAAAGCTCTTTTCTCCCAGCATATCCAGTAGGATTCTGTGTGGCAAATAGCCTGAAATGAGGGTGTGGTTTAATAGTGGTTTGTGTTTCTGTTATAAAAAGTTCTCTATTGTCATCAAGAAGCCTGTTTAAAGCTTCTAATACTTCAGAAGGGGCAAGATTAAGCTCATCAAGGACTACAAAATATCCTTCTTTTACAGCTTTTACTAGTGGACCTTCAAGGAATATAAGTCTGCCTCTTTCATCTGAAACATAAGAGCCTATATATTCTTCTATATCAGTATGCTGGTGATTATTTATCCTTAGAAACTCATGGCCTGTTAAGCCAGCTAAATATTTCACCATACTGGTTTTCCCGCTACTTGTGGGGCCTTCTAATAAAATTGCGTTATTTTTGAAAATTATTGCACGGGATAATTGTGTTAAATATTCTCGTACAGAAGGAGTCAAAATAAAATTAGGGTCATTAAATTCAGGTAATGGACCTTTTTCATGCCAAAACCCAAAGAGTTCTATATGTGCTGATGAGGGAGATTTTGGCATTCTTGTAGGTGGAGGGTCAAGGTTTTTTACAATTTTCAAGAACTCAATCCGAGATTGGGGAGACAGCATTGTTTCGAAGAAAATCCTCAAAGCATTAAACAATGATATCTGAACCCCATATAGCGGTCCAAATTCTTGCACATACCTGAGTGCTCTACATAAAGTTCTCATCGAGTACTGAGGAATTTTCCCTCTACCATCCTCAAGCATCCCTTCTCTGCACATTTTTCTAGTTTCAAGATAAAAATTGACGATTTTATCCATAATGCCTCTATCAGCTCTTCCTTCAAGATATCATACAACGACTTCTTTTATATCTTCAAATCTCTCCATTTCTTCAACCCAAATTTCAGTAAACTTAGCCCTTAGTGAGCTTGGTAGCTCTTTTTTCCCAACTTGTTTTCCTGGGTTCATACATCCAAACAGCCTAAAATTTACATGTGGCTTTATTTCTTTGCTTTCAGCTTTTTCTACAAGTGTGATTCCTCTGCCTTCTAAAACGCTATGAAGCCTTTCCAGCATTTCGTTTTCAGCCAAGTTTATTTCTTCTAGAAGAATCCATGACCCTTCTTTTAATGCTTTGACAAGAGACCCTTCTACAAATTGAAACGCAAAATGGGATGCTTTTAGCTTATTTTCGGTGCTTTTGGTTTCTTCAGTTAACTTTGTAAGTTTTTGCATGATTTCTGCAGATAAAGAAATAGTTCCTTTCTGAAGGAGGGTTTGGATTTCTGTATATGAAATTTGCATGTATTTTATTACTTTGTGCCATTTTTGCTGTGTAAAAGATTTGCGAAGTTTATTGAAAAGTTGAGAAAAATTGGGTTTGTCAAGGATGATTGGGATTAGGTCGTAATAGTCAGATACCAGTGGAGATAGTAATGTTGAGACGGCAATAGGTTTAAAGCCGCCAACAATATCTGAAGGATCAGATACTTGGCTAAGGTTATGTACATATAGTTTCGCACCTAATAGTTTTGCTAACTACCCCCCACCTCCGTGAGTGAACAAAAAAATTTTGTTCACTCACGGAGGGGGTTAATTTTTTTTTTTTTTTTAAAAAAATTTATATATAAATTTTATAAAATATTTTTTTTTCCAAATTTAAAAAAATCTTAATTTGCAAAAATTACAAAGCAAATATTAATTTAATTTATAAAATTTATATTTTAAAAAGCAATTTGTTTAAAATTAAATGAGATTTCATTATACTAATTATCACTTATATATAAATTTTTTTTTCCTTAAAAAATTTTTCCTATTAAAAAAATTTTTGTTCACTCACGGAGGGTGGGTTTTTGGGCATAAAATAGGGATTTTTCTAATGGTTTTGTTCACTCACGGAAGGGGGGGTAAGGATTGGACGATGGTTGTTTTTCCATTCCCTGTTTCTCCGACTAGAAGTAAACTTTCTGAGCTAGCAATGCCAGTGCATAAGTTTTCGAGCAGCCTCAATGTATAAGGAGTGCATGCAAAGTTAATTGAATTTGGTTTATTGCTTGTAGGTAATCCTGGAGCTTTTCCAATCTGTATAGAATCTTCAGTTAGTGTTAGTCTGATAGTCCGGTTTTCATAAAATGCTTTTAAATGCTCTTTGTCTATGCTCAAGCATCCAGCTAAGCACTCTATTGCTTGAGCTTTATCTCTTGTTCCGAGTAAAACCCCCATAGCTTCGAGGAATATTAATTCTCTTAAGCTCTCAGTGATTATATTATTCATTTATATACATTAAAATGGTGATGACAGAACACCCGACCTCCTGACCCTTTTTCTTGATCACAATGGTCCAGAGGGAAAGGGCAGAAAGAGAAGGTCAGCAACCTTTGTGTATATAGGGGTAAGTTTTTTTCAGCACTGGAGATGATCCCTAGGACTTTGAGTTTTTTCTCCGAGACAATCATTGGAAAGGGCAGGACCAGCAAAAACCCCAAGAGAACGATAAATCTCTCGAGTAGGGCTCAAAAGGTGGCATCTTCCCTAACGAGAAACTGGGGGAGTTTCGACCCAGATAATGGGCTCTTAGGGCTCCAGGAATCATGGAAGTCAAGATCGGTAGTGAGAATCCCTTGCCTGCGGCAGTGAGGAAGGGTGTCTGCAGGGGTCCATCGGGACAATGAGCATGTAAGGTGGAAATCCCCGACCCTGTCTAGGACTAACAGCTTACTTAATCTTAAAAAAATTATTCATTTCTCTATCCCCATAAATATTTTTCACATGATAATTCACTCTATCGCACAATTTGAACCAGTCTCGATTTACCAATTCATTTCCTTTTATTTCTTTCATAGCTCCGAAGCATTTAATTAATAAATCTCTTAACAAATCGCTTTTGCTGATTCTTAAAGGAGCTAGGTCAAATAAATCACTTTCGTTTAACGGAATTATATGATGTGTAAGCCAATTAGACAGATTATATTGGCTTGGCATTTTTTCAGCTGTGGCAAATAGTCTAAACCCATTTGCTGGCTTTATAATTTGTCCTCTGTTTGGAATGTGTAGTGTGTTAGTTTCTAATAGATGCGAAAAAAGGCAATAGATGTCTTCAGGCATCTTATCAAATTGCTCTAATATGAGTCATGCCCCATCCAAAGCAGCTTGAGTTAAAAGACCTGGGACCCATGTAAACTCACCTGGCACCTCAGTGCATAGATAAGTTCCTAGAAGAGTCTTGCTATCAATCGAGCTGTCAATGAAAAGGCTTATAAGCTCATGGCCATTTTGCTCAGCCAAAATCTGAATCAAGGTAGTTTTACCACTAGAAGGAGGTCCGATCAAGCATAACCCATACTTCGTCTTTAAACAAAGCTCAAGGTCAGCAAGATTTTGTAATACAGTAGGTGTAAGTGTATAATTAAAATTTCCGATTTTTTGTCTTTTGTGTCCTACTGCCTCCATATTATATGATATGGTAAATATTTGGCCTTAGCTTGATTCATAAAGAATTATAATTATTACTTTATCTAATGCTTGAATTTTAAACAAAATTATAATTTAGAATACACCTGTCTTTAGACAAAATAAAGGCCTTATCCTATCTCTATAAAATTAGCTTAGACTTTTATCTAATGAAATGCTTGAAACTGCTCTTGATTTTGCAAAATCATATTCAGCTTGTTCTCTGGGATCACCGAATCCGTTGGAGCTTCGTCAGTGAATTCTCTATCAAAGTTTTCAGCTTGGAGTGGATCCGTGATTCTTGGAGTAAATGGAGTCGGTAATCTTTTTGCTTCCAATGCTACCCAATCAATTGGGGCAAAGAAAGGATGGTTTTTAATTTCATTGAAGCCTTGAGCTCCCAGTCTTCTTGTCGGGTCTCTGTCTAAGAGTTTTGTTATGATATCTTTTGCATTATCTGAAACAGGGGATTTTACAGGGAACTTCAATTTTCCTCTTTGAATCAGCTCATACATTAGATTTACGTTTTGGTCGTAAAATGGAGGAATTCCGACTATCATTTCATAAATTAATACTTAATATGCTACTTTTAAGGAAAAAGCATTTTGCCTATTTTTTTAAATAATTTCCGATATGGAAAAAAAAAAGTATAAAAGCAAACTCATGAAAAGCAAAATTAGTAATTTAGGCTAAATGATTTATAAATTATCAGTGCAAAGAGCCATTAATACACCAAAACTCCACCAATCTGCTGTTATGTTATGGCCAGCACATGAAATGATCTCAGGGGCTACATATTCAGGAGTTCCTACAAAGGTTTGGGTCGATCCATTTTCTCCCAGCATTTTTGCCATGCCGAAGTCAGATAAATAAACATTCCCAAACTCGTCCATAAGGACGTTTTCAGGTTTAAGGTCTCGATATACAATATTTTGCTCATGAAGATGACCAAGTCCAAGCCCTACTTGTGCAGCGTAAAATCTGGCTCGGTCTTCAGGGAATCTTTTGGCTTCTCTCAAATGGTAGAAAAGTTCCCCACCTTTCATGAATTCCATCACAAAATAAATTTTCGTAGATGTTGCAAACGCATATTCGAGTTTGACTAAGAAAGGGTGATTTATATGCTGCAAAATAAGTTTTTCTGTTTTTGTATGCTCAACTTGATCACTTTCAAGTAATGCATCTTTTCTTATACTCAATTATAAAGACTAATTACTTTTAAAACTGACCCTTAACTCTTTATTGATAATAAGAATCCATAGGCTTATAGTAACTAATCTATTTAAATGGTATAGACTTTTCATTGCATAAAGCTGTCCATTATCTTTTCTTCTTACAAGCATCACTTTCCCAAAGCTTCCTCTTCCTAATACTTTTAGTATAGTAAAATCATCTAAAAGTGCTGCAGACGGATTTTCTGTGGCAGCAAAAATGGTTCTGCTTCGCTTTCCGCGAGAATCTTTAGACTCCTCATTAAAATTCGGAACTTCGCCTCTGAAATTGATTGCAGTTTCAGGTGCAGGCATTTTGTTGAGGCCTTTTTTCTTGTCACTTTTAGTAGTTGTAAGGTCTTTCAAACTGATTTCGTTGGACTCTCACACATAAAGAGTACGTCCTGTTAAGTTTTTGAAAGCCTGGCAAAGAGTTTGAATAGCTTGGTCCTTAAGTGGAGAGCCAAACCTATAGTCGTACTCTGATGGAGAATGCAACACAAATTCATCGCCGTGCTTACTGCGAGTGATGCCTCCTAAAGAGGTGATGTCCATTCTTCTTTGGAGCTTTTTTCCTTTTAAATTGAGAAGAGATGTTGAGGTCAGTGCAATTGTGCGTTCCTGGGCTTTATTTCGCTTGTTAAATTTTATCACTTTGAGACTCATGAGAAGGGATTCTCCTGGATTTAAAAGCTTAGGAAAGGCTTTGTCGGTGGAGAGATTCATATAGTCTCGAGATTCCATTTTATTAGTTTGCTTATTATTCGTCAAGTGATATAATAAAAATATATATTGATTATTTTTTAAATAAATATTTTTTAGCTGATACAAGATTTATCTGCTACTATTTCTTAAATCAGAAAAATAAATAGGAAAAAATTATTATATACCATCAAAGAGTATGATAGGTAGAAATAGCTTGTTTATTGCATCTATTGTAGTCAGAATCTTTCTTCTTGTATATGGAGAATGGCAAGATAGGACAATGGACGTGAAATATACAGACTTGGATTATCAAGTATATTCAGATAGTGCCAAATATGTGCTTGATGGCAAAAGCCCGTATCTAAGACATACATATAGATACACTCCTTTGTTGGCATATATTCTTATTCCTAATTGATATATCTCTTTCTGAGGAAAGCTTATATTTATTGTATGCGATTTATTATGCGGGTATTTTTTAATTAAATTGCTTGAGCTTGAAAATGAAAGCCTTTTATGAAGCTCAACCTTTTTGCTAAATCCAATAGCATTTAATATGTCTATAGCCCAACCCCTGTATAGATTTCTTTTGCGAATAAATGTAATAGATAGTTGAGCAACCAAAACGGACTCTCTTAAAGGGACGAGCTGGATCTCTATACCAGTAAGGGTTAAAAGTGGGATGCCAAAGCATGTTTGATAATTGCGAACAAAGTTGACAAACAAAGACACCAATTTTTTAAAATGGCATTAATACTAAATTAATTTTAAATTTGAGATATTCTTTTAGATTGGTAGTGGTTAATATCTTATCTACTTTTTCGTAGAATTTAGGTCAAGCAAGTAAATTAGGTTAAATTAAGTGGGCATAATTATTATAAAAGGGTGAACTTTTTTAGAATATATTTCCATATTTAATTCATTTAAAATAATCTAGTACGAGGAGCTTTTAAAAGAAAGAAATGAGCTGAAGGAAATTGCAAAAGTTTGTAGGGCTATTTGCAGCAGAATTATTAAAAATTCATAGGCTTCTGCATTATGCAAAATAATCAGTAATTTTTATGATAACTCTAAAATATCGGATTTCTGCATATATATAATTTAGCTAGCTTTAATTAATGTTTAAAATAAATATAAATATAAAAGTTGTTGTATTAGTGTTTATATCTTTATCCAATTAATTATAGAATATAAAATACGTAAAAAACTTAGGATGATACTTCCTTATAAAATTGAAATTATTGAGTCAAAAAAATTGTTCAGCCGTTTTGATGCACAATTTAAAAATTTAAGCCATTTATTTTTACTAAAGCCATTTCATATAAGCCCTTTAAACTCAATGAATAATCATCCTCCGAAGCTAAAAAAGTTTAAATAGCCAAGCTCTTTAATTCGCTATAATATTGGAATTATTGAATCAAGAAATTTTCAGCCGTTTTGATGCGCAGTTCGTGGCAAGCTTTTAAATTTTAAAATATAAGCCATTTTTTACTTTCATTATAGTAAATTTCATATTTGCCTTCAAGAACTCATTAATTAATAATCATCCTCCGAAGCTAAAAACTTTAACGAATCAAACTCATTAATTCATATAAAATTTGGCCTTATTGAATCAAAAATTGATTAGCCGTTTTGATGACGAGTTTTTTTTTTATTTAAATTATAAGCCATTTTTATTTTCACTATAGGCTATTCCATATGAGCCTTTAAAAACACCATGATTAAGCATCATCCCTCGAGGCTAAACACTTCAAATAGCAAAGCTTATTACTTCATTATAGAATTGGAATCTATGAATCAAAAACTTGATCAGCCTTTTTTGATTAGCAGTTTGTGACAAGTTTTTTATTTTTAAAAATCAAGACGTATTATTTTCGCCTAAAGTAACTTCATATAAGCCTTTATGAGCTCTATGAGTAAGCATCCTTCGAAGCTAAAAAATTTAAAAATTCTAACTTATTACTTCATAATAAAATTGACTGTTTTTGCATCAGAAAATTGATCAGCCGCTTTGATGCACAGTTAATGACAAGTTTTTAATTTCTAATTATCGCCATTATTATTTTTGCTATAGGTAATTTCATAATCTCCTTTAAGAATTCCATGATTAAGCATCCTCCTGTGCTAAAAAAGTTTAGCAAGTTAAGCTCATTACTTCCTAATAAAATTGGAATATTTGAATCAGAAAATTGATGAGCCGTTTTGATAAGTAGTTCGTAAAAGTTTTTTTGATTTTAGAATATAAACCATTTTTATTATAACTACAATTACTACGCTAAATAGTGAGTTGAAAAAATGTAAAAATCTAAGAGAGTGAAATTGCAAGAGGTCTAGCAGAATTTAATGATAGTGGTATCTATAACTTATCGTTCTTCGCATTTATCAAAGTGCTCAACAATCTCTGATTGAAATTTTAAATTTCAGTTTCTTCATGCAGCAGTCCATAGTGGTACATACAAAAAGTGCATATAGCTACTTGGAAAAATGTAAATCGAAGTGAGTAGGGAATCTTGCAAAGACTGCTGATAGTAGCAATTTATATAATTCGTTACACTATTTATTTCCCAAAGTGATTAGCCAGAGCAGATTTTATTTTAAAAGAAATGGTAGAGCTTTTAGATGGTGTAGAGGCCTAATAGTAATCCATGATTTTATTATCATAGGACTGAAACATTTCAAGCAATTTCGCTCACTTACTTTTTATTTTTTTCTGATTAAATGAGATATTTTTTATGATCGCTAATTAATGAAAATATTTTTAGTCCTTAATGTCAATTACTATGTGTTTAAAAAATTTGAACTTTTTTCTTGCTTGGACTTAAATTCTATAGTAAGATATTTATCAGCGCCTATCTAAAAGGTTATCATAAATTAAAAATTAATTTATATATAAAGCCATTTTAAAAAACTAGCGCGTTTATTGCCAACTTTTTCACTATTTTTTGACATATCACCTTTTAACCATTCCTTGTTTAGAGATCCAACTCGTCCCTTTGATAGAGTCTGTTTTGGTCGTTCAGCTATCTATTTCATTTTGTTTGATAAAGAAATCTACATAAAGTATGGGCAATACAAGAGGATCATCAGATTCTTTAACAAGTTTTTTACTACTAAGCACGATTTATTTTCTAAAAAAAAATAAAATTTGACAAGCTGGGATCCTTTATGGTCTTTCAGTTCATTTTCGTATCTATCCAATAATTTATTCATTTAGCTTTTATATTTGGGTTGACAAGGAAAAGTCTTCAATTTTTACATATAAAAGGTTAAAGTTTACTATTATAAGCGGAGGCTTATTTCTATGACTTATTTTTGTGTTTTGAATTATTTATGGCTGAGAGTTTTTATACGAGACATATTTGTATCATTTTATTAGAAAAGATAGCCGTCACAATTTTTCTCTGTATTTTTATATCCTATATCTCACATACGATTACTCCCACTAAGGGACTGAACTAAAATGGTGACGTCAAGAGCATTTCCGATCCAAAAGGTCGGTCATCTCAAGATAGGCTGTCAACCACCCTGACCAGCATCTCTCACCTGATGCGATGCCACTTCCCTTACCTGACTCAGCTCCTGCGCGTGCTCCGCTTAAGAGTCACCTTACTCGGTGAGGCCTAGTGGATAAAGCCTGAGCCTCTTGAATGCACTTAGAGCAGTGCCCTAACCCTATACTGTTGCTGTGCAAAGTTTTCTAGGTAAACAAAATTATGAGGGAGAGAAATTAGCGGAGCAGCCTCATGCCATTTTATTTATGCTATATTTCACATACAATTTTTCAGCCAAAATTTTTGGGTTATTAGCCTTTATCCCACAGTGAGCACTTATAATATATTTAAGCCTTTTTATGACCAAGAAAAATCTTTATTCCACAATAATTGCAGAGACTTTTATTTTTGTGATATTCAATAAAGTTTGCACAGCTCAGTATTTTATATGATATATAACTTTGCTTCCAATTGTAATCCCGAAAATAAATTTATCTTTTAAAAAATGGATTACTATTCTTTTGTTTTGGATAATTTCAGAAGCTCATTGGCTTTACTGAGGGTATCATTTAGAATTTTTAGGTGAGAGTGTTTTTTTACAAATTTGACGGTGCAAGGCACTTGATCGAAAAATTTTTCTCGTGCGGCATTTTCTTGGGGTTTTTTGTTAAGCATTCCCACTTTTACTTATGCTAAATTGTCTTAAAAAAATTCTACAAAAAATCTCCTAGGAAATGCCACTCGAGGGAAATGTTCCAATCAAATGGCAAGCCAAATTTGGATAGCAAGCTCATTGTTTTTCATTTCAAATTTATGAATTTTATGTGAAATCATTAAAGCTTCTCAAATCGTTCCAAATAAAATAGCAGAGAATTAATCAATTTAAAATGAAAATGTAATTATAAATAATTTATAATTGAATTTCTTATATCAAAAAACATTTTTTCCTAAAGATTCGGGGGGCTAAGTCGAAATTTAATAAAATGGAAGATAGATATATAGGCCTTTGTGCATTATTTCAAGGAATTGGCACAGCAAGTAAATTGCTCCACAAATCTGAGGGAGAAATCAAGCATTTGATATCAAAAATAAACTACGAAAATATCCCATGCCTAAGCAGCTTATCAGAAGTTTTAAGAAAAATGATTAGCAATTTATCTCTAGAAAGGGCTGCTGAGATTTTCAACATTTCCCCATTTGCACTTGAATTTATTACTTCACAAAGCGTAAAAGCACCTTCACTTCAAATAAACTTCGAAGAAAATACTAGCGAATGTGTAGCTCAATTAAAAAAAAGAGTTGGAAGGCTCTATGAAAATGGTGTTAAGCCGAAAATAATCCAAAACCTTTTTGATCTTCCCAATATTTACATGATCCACAGTTGATTTGACTGAAACAAAATGTCTGGCTCCAAAGGGAAAAAGAATTCCTATTTAAAATATAAAATTCAAGTCTTAAGAAGAGAAGGAAAGACAGATGACGAAATTGCTAAAGAATTATTAATAGGAAAACATAGGATTGGTGAAGTTTCTGGAGATCTTGAACGATATGCAATTATTTATGGCCAAAATGAAATTAAAACCGTTTTAAAAATGCATGAAAAAACTAAAAATAAAGAAAAATTAGCAAAGAAAATTGGAGTCCCTGAAAGGACTGTTATAAGATGGTTTAAAAATAAAGCAGAAGGACTAAGATACTCTAAAGGAGGAATTATTGAAAGTGATGAAGAAGGAGATACTATGACAAAATTTCTGGCTCTTGAAAAACACTATTTAAATGGAGGAATAAAAACCAATGATTTGGGTGATAAGGTGATAAAGTGGATCAATAATTTTGAAAGCAAAACTCAGGAAGATATAGGAAATCCTAATAAAAGACAAAAAACCACAGAAGAAGAAAAAATAGAATAATTGTTATAAATTTAAAATAAATTGATAAGTCTTAAAAGTATATAATCAGCTCAGCTGCATATATCTGTATGCTATCAACTAATAAAGGCTTGCCATTGAGATTTATCACAATTTTAAATTATTTAAAAATAAAATGGACAGAAAAGTCCAATTATAATTTTTCTTTCAACATGGGAAATCGTCAACCTCTTTATGTCGGTCAAAATAATCCTCAAGCCCAAAACTTGCTTGAGCCTCCAGCCCATGATGCCATTCCTAATATATCTTCTCCAACCCAAGACCAAACTATGACTCCAACTCCTACAGTAATTGAGCAAGTTCACATCCGTGGAAGCAGTTTAACAGTCCAAGCCGATTCCCCTACAACTTTTTCCCTTTCTTTTACATTTGACGCTCTTACTGACTGCACAATTTCCCTATATTTCTTCGCAATTGAAACTCTTATGTCAACTGGGGTCACTGAATGCTATTATGTTGACACCTCTAGATTCCCAGTTCCATGCACTCATACATTTAGTGCAGGCCTTGATCAAAATTTTCCTCAAAACCTTGCAATTTTTGATACAGGTAAATATTCTTTCCACGAATTAAGCCACGCAGATGGAAAAACTTATCCTCTCGTGATAGAAATTGTAAATTTTACATAGAGAGCGAGTGTTACTTCAAGGATTATTGAAAGCACATATATAAAATTTGGGATGTCTGGGAACCAATATCAGCCGAAGCTTATAAGACAAAAATTGTCTATGAATGAATTGTGCTATGAGCTGCATGATATTTATGGGACAACCACTGGGTGTGAAGATGAAGAAACGCCGGAGTGTGTGGTGTGCCTTACTAATAGGAAAGACACTCTTGTAATTCCTTGCTGCCACATGTGCTTATGCGTAGAGTGTGCAAATATTATGAGAAGTCATCATAATAGTAGATGCCCTATATGCAGGACGAATGTAGAAACCCTAATCAATATAACTGTGCAAACATAATAAGAAATTTCTGTAATTCAAGTTATTTCCAATATTGAGTAGTTGATATATAAATTAGAATAAATATTTTTTATAATTATTTAAAAGCATTCTTTGTTGAAAAGGAAGAAGAAAAATATAATAAATTTATTGAAAACATTTTGAATTTGTTGTAAATTGTACATGCTGCATATTTTTAATGATTAAATTTATATATCAGTTGAGTTAATTATCTCACTATTTATGAAATACGATCAGTTAATTATAACAAAGAATGGCAAGGCAGTTTAATCCTCATACTCTCGATTTATTTACAAAACTTGGGGCCAGTCCTGATCTTAATTTAGGATTAGGATTATTAAAGACAGGCGATAGCCATATTGGTAGCGCAGTCAAAAAGACCTCACATTTATGAGGTTCTCATTTTACGATGGACTACCCACTAGGTATAGCCATAGCCGTATAATCAGCCTCTTCCTTGCCTAAAGGCTTCATTCTTGAGTGGGAGGCTTATATATATCTCGACTAGCTTGATTCAAAGGATTATAATTTTTTGCAATGGATAGTGCCATTAGCCTATGAATTGGTCGCTGACTCCATATTGTGGTTCGGCCAAGGTTATTTTGGCCGAATCAGATTTTAAGCAGGTCCGACCAAAAAATAACCTTGGCCGGACCAAAAATATGGAGTCAGCGACTAATTCATAGGCTAATGGCACTATCCATGGCAAAAAATCTATAACTCTTTGGAGTCTGTTGGGTGCCGAAGTGTCTCCCTTAGGCAACAGCGAGAAAATGACTGCTCCATTTTAGCGAAGGTAGAAACTCCCTGCTTCTCAAAGAGAAGCCCAATGATTAAAATTACATTCTGGGCACCTCCATTTTCAGCCACAGGAAAATAGCCAAAACCTACTCAAATGCACATCTTCTGATACTGCTGATTATCAGCTCAAAGTCGATCCCAGTCCACCTTTGCCTTAAGGTCTGGATTGTTGCATCAAGTTGGTAGGTCGAATTTGTCGTACTTTAATTTATCTTAATTTAGGAACTAACACATCTATTCATTCACCTCAGAGATCTATCACATCAAGTCAATATGATATGTCTCCAAAAGCTAATTCAACAACTTCAAAAAATTTCTATATTACTGAGAACCGTCGTAGCAGAGCTCTTTCAGCAATTTCATATAACGATGCTGCAATAGCGCCACGAGTTAAGTCTCCTATTCCCTTAAATAAACAAATAGGAAGACCTGACTTTACAAAAGCTGCATATGATGTTCATCAAAATCGTTTTGTCTCTTTTGATATGTCTCCTCCTATTTTTACAAAAGTTCGCCATTCGGCGACTCCTGATATTTCAAAATACTCAGGGAGAGATTTCAATAAAATATATGGTGCAGGTTTTTTTCTTTGAGGAAAATAGTTCTGATATAATTATTTTTGGAAAAGAAAATTTAAAATAATAAAATGCTGTTAATTATGTAACCCAGTATATGGAGATTTATCAGAGCAGCCTTCATATGATCCTAACTATGAATTAGTATGGAGAAAAACGTCAAAAGGAATTCCTTTTAACAAAATTCTTGGCAGAAAAACTAATCATCAAATCACTATGAGTGATTTTACAGCAGATTTCATTAACTATTCAAGGGTTGACCCTAAGGTTCAAAGTCCAGTTCTTGATCGAAATCCATCACGACCTTGTGATACAGTTTTACCTGCATTTATGCTAAATCGTGCTGACCGAAACGGACTGAAAATTATGACAATAAAGACATTGAATATGAATAACTACAGAGATCGTGAGCTAAGGCCATTGACTTCCAGTTTTGGAAGTGGGTGAACTCCAGCTCCACCTAAAAGTTCAGGCCACAGAGGAAGATCTCCAAAAATTGTAAAAATGCTTGCGAAAAAGCTAAGGCAGGAAAAAATAATTTATCAAAAATTTTCAGAAAAGGATAGCGATGGTGGGAAATCTGAAAAACCAGCAAAGCTGAGCTATAGTATGAGATAATGGGTGGAAATAATATGGGTCAATCAAATTAAATTAAATAACAAAAAATTGATATTAATTCGTATCTACAGAAAGGATATATTAAAATAGTGAGACACATGGATTTCGCCAATGAAATTTCCTTTAGGGGCTTATATTATTTTTATGAGGTTAGGTTTCCTAATGAATCTTGATCAAGCATTGCAAGGCAAACAGTAATAGGCAATGCACAGCCTCATTGCCTGGCTCAAGGGATTTAGAAGGCACAGGGTTCTCCGCTCTGCAGCCCAAGAATGCAGTCTTTAGGCGTAGCACGCTAAGGAGCAGAGCTATACACGAAGGCAAGTGCCAGGGGAAAGATGCTTCTAATTTGGCAATTGACCAAGAATGCCTGACTTAAGTCAAAGAATTGCTTATGGTGTCATCATTTTAGTTTTTGATTCTAAATGACCATTGGCATTAGGCACCTAAATAATTAATCCAATCATAATCGTATCTAAAGAAAAGATATAACTTCAGAAAAGAATAATAAAGTTTATAATCTGAAAAGCTTGCAGTTTATATATATGGCTCTTGAGCTATTTGATAATTAATTTCTTTTCTAATTTTTTAATAAAAAAATTAAAATACATAATAATTTCCAAACTCACCTTTCAAAAATTCATAAATCACACCATTAATCTACTATTTTCCCACAATTTTTATAGCATTTAATTAATTTACTTTATCAAATCCCATCATGAATCTCCCAAAGAAAGTCCTTTCATATAACAAAAATTTCCTATTTAAAATTTCGTCCACCATTCTTATTGTCCTTGACCTGGAGAAGAAAAAGGGTCTTTCTTTCCTCTTTCTACTTTTCTATATCCCATTCAATAACACTATTAAGACCCAAAATAATTTTTCAGTTTGCATAACGATTGATTATTTTAAAGATGAAAACGAGTGAATTCACTCCTAAAAATCTCAGCGACATTGCCAAGCCATCCGCACTCGTATCATTATTATGGGCAAACCGTGACGAAACTGAGCTTAATGGAATAGAGAAATTTAAAAACCTAGTAAGTTTCTAAAAAGGCTGAGCTTGATATTTCAGGAAATTATTTAAGTTCAGAAGTAACTCAGCTCCTTTCACTAAAATATCTAAAAAAACTAATACTTTCCAACAATCATATAGAAGCTCTTTGGCCACTTCCCGCTACAATAGAAAACTTAAACATCTCAGATAACCTACTAGTAACTATACAGCCTTCAATTCTATTACTTACCCGTCTCCATACCTTAGATATAGGCCATAACAATTTAGTTTCTCTTCGTTCCCTCTCAAATCTCACAAACCTGAAGTGCCTATATGCAGCTTACAATAAAATCGAGAATCTTCAAGGCTTGGAGCGGTTAAATTATTTAATTGAGTTGGAAGTTGAAGGAAATTTGATAACTAAAAAAAGCGACGTTGATTGTTTGAATATAAATTCAAGCATCTCAGTAGTCAATCTGAGACATAATCCACTGCAATCGTAAGACCTAAATAGAGAGCTAAAAGCCCGAGATGCATTTTGTACATCATCTGATTTTCCAGCCAATTTTACAGAACTCCAAGAAGGAGTGTACTATAGAAATCCAGAAAAGTTGAAAGAAATAAAATCAAGCAGATATAGGACTCTTATAAAGAAACATAAAGAAAGCGAAAGAATTTCAATAAGCCCTGACTGAGGATACTCAAGAAGGTCTAGTAAGCATGGAGGAAGTTCAAGGTTTAGCGGCAGAGAAGTTTATGATGAAATTATATGTGAAGAGCCTTGCGAGTTTGTAGATAAGCATCATACGGAAAGCAGGGTTTCTCTAACTCCCCCCCCTCCGTGAGTGAACAAAACCATTAGAAAAATCCCTATTTTTTGGCCAAAAACCCACCCTCCGTGAGTGAACAAAAATTTTTTTTGATAGAAAAATTTTTTTATTGAAAAAAATCTTGATATATTAATGATAATTAGTATAATGAAATCTATAGCTAATTCAGTTTAATTTTAAACAAATTGCTTTTTAAAACATAAATTTTATAAATTAAATTAATATTTTCTTTCCAATTTTTGCGAATAGGATTTTTTTTTAAATTTTGAAAACAAATATTTTTTATAAAATTTATATATAATTTTTTTTTAAAAACAAAATTAACCCCTCCGTGAGTGAACAAAATTTTTTTTGTTCACTCGCGGAGGGGAGGGAGTAAGCAATCCTGCATGTGAAAATGAGATGGATTTGAAAGAAATTACTTTGAGTGATTTTTTAGACGCCGCGAGAGAAGTGAGAGATGAAGAAATATAGTTTTTGCCTTCTATATCCATGGCTCTCTCCACCATATTATTAATTTTTCAGGTACAATTCAGTTTTATAATATAATTCTAAATAGACTATTGATGCTAAGAATTATAGAAACTCCTGTCAAAAAATTAAGCTTACCAATCGCAAAGCTTCAGCTTGATAAAATTGATAAACCAAGCTATGAAAAATGGACAACAAAGCCGAATAATAATATTGAGCCTCTATTTGATGAGCTTATCAGCTATTGTCAACTATATGATGATATCAACAAAGAGGAAGAAGAAGGATTTGGCCATGAAAAATATGAATATGCTGTAAATATAGAAGTTTCCTATGTTTGGCGCTGTAAGGCCGATAAATTCTGATCGGAATTTATCGGTTAGTTGCACCAAATCAATGCCTTGGTCGGACCAAAAAGCGATTTGGTCCGACGAACTTGGAAAGCTCCTGGGAAAATGTCTGCGCTTTCAGCGCTATATAGAGGAAACCTCTATATGCTCAAAATGCGAGAAGATGAAAGAAAAGATTTGATTTTACAAGTAAAGAGGCTTAATATGAGAATAAATGATTTAGAAAGCTTTGTTTTTAGGGCTTCTGCTAAAGATGAAGCTTATAAAGTATTATATAAAGAGTCAGAAAAATATAAGAAACTTTGTGATGATCAAAAGAAAATAATCAAAGAGCTTGAATCAGACTTGGAATTTTATAAGCAACAGGTCCTTGAGATGGAACAAGAATTAGTTGATGAAAAATCTAGCACCTCCCTTTAAACAAGCACGTATTTTTCTTGCTCTTAAAGAAGCTAATTTTAAAAAATTTATAAAAAAATATTTCAATGAATTAAATATATGGTAAGGAAAATTTAGTTTAATTATAAAAATGAAGTTTAAGAATTCAAGCTGCGAAATTGAATAGAAAGAATAGATTTAGTTATAGCAACTATTAAATTCTTGCAAATAATTTATACCAAAAAATTTTAGTATTAGATAACTGATTTCTCTTAAAAATTAATTTCTCAAAAATAGACGCTTTTCTAATAATTTGTCCGCTCTTAAAGTAGGAGTAAGCAAAATTCTGAGCCATCAAAGGATATTAGAGTATTATCTGATCAACTATATCAATTGAGTATTTTAAATAACAATTTTAATCTGAATAAATTAAGAGTAAATCTATAATAAAAAAATGAATATAATTATTAAAATGAAATAATAAGTTTGCATTGAAATTTAATGTATTAATTCGATCGAAAATAAATTATTATCTATTAATATTAGTGCCTCCATCTTTCTAAATAGGCATATTTATTATAAATTGCAATAAGAAACTTCAAGAAGAAAAAGATTCATTAGTTTCTCAAATGCTAGAAAATGAAAACGGCCTGATGGGTAAAATTAGGGAATTAGAACAAAAGTCAAAATCCTCTAAAAAGGTCAAATTTAACCTTTCATTTGACAAAATGAGCAATCGTAGCGCTTTTGCTCAAATGAATGATTTGAATGAGATGTCCTGTCCTAACTTAAAAGACATGAGCTACAAGCAAAAAATAGAAAATGGAGATGTTTTGGTTAACAGAGAAGTAGCAGAATATATTAAAAAGCTGCTGGAAAAAATTTCTACATTTAAAGACAAGCTGAAAAAAGTGAGATCACAAAGGGATAAATTGATGGCGTTTTATGACAAGCATAAAGGTCCGATATAAATCAGGATAAGCTTATGACACTTAATTATACTATTTATAAACTATAAACTTGAATTTAATAGAAAATGAGTTATCTTTTTAAGAGCCTTGAAAACACTTAATCATATGAAGAATGCATTAAATTGAAGCTAATAATTTTTACTCTAGAAATAACTATTAAATTCAGGACTTTCTAAGCCTTCCTGCTCCCTTACCACAATTGCTCCAGCAAACCCATAATAATTAATACACGCATCCCTCACAAACTGTTCTTCCTCTTCTTCCTCAACCTCACAGAGCTCTCCTCTCCACAAATAGCACTTTTCATCAGTGCACAAGCAAACCATTTCATCTTCATTAAGCTCAACCTCATCAAGAACTGTCATTCCTCTCAACTCAGGGTACACGTAAGCTTTCGGCTTGTTTTCTAGCGGCTCTTCAATTATTTCTTCTTCCTGTGTTTGAGGCTCCATGTCAACAGCAGTATCTAAAGAAAAATACCAATTATTCATGCTTGGATTCTTCCCTGATGTGACAGCTGGGCGAGGACATTTCCATGATGCCCAGAAATAGTCTGGTTCTTCTCCTTCATAGACTTCTATATGCTCTTTAGCTTTTTCATATTGTCTAAGATTCCATATGTGCTTTTCTGCGACTTCTAAATAGGCATTTCTATTGCAGCTTGGTAATTCTTTGCCGATCCACAAATAAGTAACGTTTTCTGTCTGAATAATAAAAACACCTCTTGAATCTAAAACTTCTTTATCAGGGCCTCTGTAAAGATTTTGCATCAAAAGCCTCGCGACTATTCTCCTTGGCTGCTCAATTTCGTGTGAGCAGATTGCGAAAACTCTTGGGCTAATAGAAAGCGAGTCGAAGTTTTCAAATAGTCTTTTATGCCACCACATTAGCTGTATTTCAAAGCTTACATTAGGACTGCAAACTCCTCTCTTCTGTTTAGCTTCTTTTATTACCAAATCATAAGGTCTTTTTCTTTTAAAAATTATATAAGCAAGACATACACTTACAGATCTTGATACCCCTTGCATACAATGGACGTAGACTTTTCCACCAGACTGCAAAGCATTATCAATGAATTCTATCGTGGGGTAAAACACGGATTCAATAGGTTCAGTTTTGGAGTCTTTTAAAAAAAAGGTTAAATACGCAAAATCGTCTGGGTAGTAATTTTTGCATACATTTCCTGCACAATTGATAATATGGGTGATCCCGTTCGCCTTTAGCAAATTTAAATCTCTTGCAACTCTATCACTTCCTACGTATAGCCCATCATCTAATTCTGAGCAAATTTTATCATAGAAGTCCAATTTTATTTGTTTTTTCTCTTTTTCAGATAAGTAATGGTTGTTTTCAAGCTCGTCAATTTCTTCTTTACTCCCCCCCCCCCCTCCGTGAGCGAACAAAAAAATTTTGTTCGCTCACGGAGGGGGGGTTAATTTTTTTTTTAAAAAAAATTTTATATATAAATTTTATAAAAAAATATATTTTTTTCGAAATTTAAAAAAAATCCTAATTTGCAAAAATTGGGAAGCAAATATTAATTTAATTTGCAAAATTTATGTTTTAAAAACGCAATTTGTTTAAAATTTAAACAGAATTAGCTCTAGATTTCATTATACTAATTATCACTTATATATCAAAATTTTTTTCCATTAAAATTTTTTCTATTAAAAAAATTTTTGTTCACTCACGGAGGGTGGGTTTTTGGTCAAAAAATGGCGATTTTTCTAATGGTTTTGTTCGCTCACGGAGGGGGGGGGGAGTTAGTGTCATATTTTGGCTTGCTTTCTTCATCTTTTTTTATATTAAGACCTGGAATTGGTATGCCAAGTTTTGGCTTTAAATCAGGCTTCATATCTAGCTTAGGTAAGCTTATTTTAGGCAGAGCAGGAGGCGGGGTGTTTTCTTGACAGGCTACAAAGTAAGGCTCACCTGGACCTATTAAAAAATGCTCCCTAAATTTAGGAAATAGAGGCTTTGCAAGAAAGCTAGGATTTGGCTGTTCTGGGCTCAGCCATTTTCGTATGACTTCAAAGGATTCTGAGTTTTCTGGTCTTAATGCTTCGTTTTCATATGCAGAATTCAAAGACATGACTGACCCCTGCTGGATTTTTTTCCCTTTAATAACGCTTCCATTAAATAGTGATTTCAGCATCTTGGCCCCTCCTTTCGATACCTGATTTTCCAGCTCAAAACCTTTAGTCAGCGCAAATGCTTTGAGCAGTGGATTTGCTCTTTTTCCATTCCACACAAATAATGCATAATGCAGAGCCTCATTTATTTCATTTTTGGACAACAAAAGTGAACTCATAGCAGAATCGTCTGTTGAAAACACGTTTTCAAGGCCTCTTGGGGTTAAATTTGTGATGCTTTCAATAATATTAATAATAGATCCAGGGTGGTCTTCAAAAGAATAGTCTTTGCCACTGTGGCTTATAAGCAGCACTAAATAGCATTCTTGGCTTTTAAATGTCTGGGCTGTGCTCAAGCTTAGAGGCTGTGATTTTATAAGGTCTGGATTATGTGGATCCTCTTGGAACCGCCATATCCTTAAATGATGTGAAAAATCAGTAAGCAAAGCCTCGTTGCCAAGCTTTGTGAAGGTAGACGGACTGAGTGAAAGCAATTCATCCAGATTTGACTGTTGGGTTTCAATGCTTATTGTGCTTCCCATTTTTAAACTTATATGAAGTCTTGATTATATCGCAGTTATAAATGTCAGAAATTGAAGAGGCAATAAACAGGGTCAAAGGAAGAGTAAAAGGACTTTTAATCACCGGGCCTGATGGAAGCTCAGTAAGGTCAACTATGACCAAAGCAGAAGATGCAAAACTCACCGGTTATATCAATCAGCTGGTAGATAAGGCAAGAAGTGTGGTCAGAGACGTTGACCCAGCTAACGATATGACACTTTTAAGGTTTACTTTAAAAAGACATGAAATCCTTGTGGCGCCTGGGAAGAATTTTAGGATCATTGTTCTTCAAGAAATCAATAAGTCAGAAGAAGGAGCCAAGCCTACCTAGATAATAAATAACCATATTACTTTTTATGAACAATAAAGAGCTTAGCTGTTGAATATTTGAGTTATTTAAGAGATTTAAATACAAATAACTACCAAATAATGCTACTTAAATAAAATGCCAAATACTCATCAAGAATTACATTAGTACTCCTCTAAGCCATCCTAGCAAATCAATGCTTGACCCTTCATATTTTCTCACCCAGGGATGTGCTAGTAACTCGTTAATTGTTGCTCTATTTTCTGGATCAATCTGCATGCACCTAGATATGAAATCTACTAATTCAATTGAATAGAGACCATTATTCGGCAGCTGAGGAGGCTGCGAGTTCATCAAATTTTCCACCATTTCAATAAAAGTTCCAGGTCTTGGATAAGGAAAAACCCCTCTGATCAATTCAATCAAAACCAAGCCTACACTTCATATATCCCCTGGGTACGCATACGAAGTCTTCATGATCCTTTCTGGCGACATATAAGTAATTGTCCCCACAAAAGAGTTGCAAAACGCAGCTGAATTGGCCAGCTCCCTACAAATCCCAAAGTCGCTTAATTTGATTTCTCCTTTGCTGTTAATTAGCACGTTGTCTGGCTTGATGTCTCTATGTATCATATGTTTTTCTGTATGCAAATATTGCAGGCCTTTCAATATAGGAAATGACAAAGCATATAAAATTTCTTCAGGAAGCACTGGCTCTTGTCTTCCAGCAAGGACACTTATAATTTTTCTTGAACTTCCTAAGTCCATCAGCTCCATGGCTACTTTGACAACGCCATCTCCAAAGAAAGCGCCATAATAAGATACAAGGTAAGGGCTTGAAAACTCGTCCAGGGCTTTTAAGTCATTTTCCAATTGTTTTCTCCTGTCGCGTTCATATATATTTATAGACTTCAGTGCTAACAAAGTGTTAGTAGGCACGTGGCGTCCAGCAAAGACGACTCCGCTAGAGCCGTGGCCTATAACTTGTCCAAGCTCTATCTCTGAAGGATTTATGCTGAGACTGACTCCGGTGGAGCAATTAGTGATGCCTTCTCGACCAACTTCAAGCCCAATTTTGTAAAATCGTAAGGCGTCGCTGCCACTAAGTAGGGATTACACTTCTACTGAGAGAGAGTCCTCTTCCATAGGATTATCTGAAAAACTATCAAGTTGTAATCCTCTCTTTTGCATTTATTACAGATAATATGGTGTGCTGCGATATATAACTGTAGCTGAATAGATGAAAATGGGTACAATTTTTTTCTAAAAATTCGAATTTTCAGAGTATCTCTTTTATTACAAATATATTTATTTTACAACTCAAAGCAAAATTAGCAATTTTGTTATAATTGATTGATTACTTAATAAGTCCCTTTCTTTCAAATATACATTAAAATGGCGAATAATCTGCCCTCTTGGAGCATTTTATGGCAACGGCAAACTGGGACGGACTCTGAGCCAAGAATCAAGTGAGATATTTATGGGGTAGGTTTTGGCTGCTTTCCTATGGTTGTAAATGGAGGTGCTCAACAACGTTCTATGATCTGAGGATCCGTGGACATTCCTCTACCAAGAGACTGGGGCCCAGGCTTCTGACAGACTCCAATGATCTATGGAATCAAGCTGCTTCAATCTCCCGTAGCAGGACCACAGAAATCCATAAGCAGCAGCACATGAAGGATACAGAAGGTATCGGAAATTACCCATTATTAGAGATAGACCCTCTGGGCTAGAGTTGAAAAGCGGTTGAGCATCCCATATGGGAGTTTTGGTGACTTCTTAACCAATATGGCTAGCGCCTGCCTTGAATAGCCTAACCCTTTCTTCCAACTCAGGATATCGTCAAGGAGTGACTCTGAAGCTCTAATATTATGCTTGCTTAGCACTTGAAGAAGTTTCGCTCTACTTTCTCTATCATTTTCTACAGCCGCTTCTGGTTCTCCTGCAGCATCTTCTAGTTTATGAAGTAAATTTCTCAATTGTTCTTTTTCTTTTTTATTGAAGTAAATCTCTTCGTCACCTTTGCCTTTCTTTTTGAGAATTGAGCCTTCGTAAGGTTCTTTGTCAGAGAACATTCTCATTGTAGTCTGAACGAGCCTATAAGTCTGTCTTGCTCTCCACGCTAACATATTTATGCCATATTTGGCCAATGCTTTTACTTATAAAGAAGACCTTAATTTAATAGAATTCAATAAAGCAGTGAAAGCTAAAGCAATTTAAATTCCTTTCCGATTACAAAATATTAATTAAATTTTATTATTTGATTATTAAAATGGAAGAATTTTATGAAAAGCCAAAAGTAAATTATTCTGTGGGAACTAATTAACCTTCAGAATGCCAGTTTATTTGCTTACTCCAACCCTCCGTGAGCGAACAAAAAACTATTGAAAAATCTCTATTTTTTGCACCATCCAGCGAACAAAAAAATTTTTAATATATAAGCGATCATTGTTATAATGAAATTTAGAGCTAATTCTGCTTAATTTACACAGCTTACATTTTAAAACAAATTAAATTATATTTGCTTTCCAATTTTTGCTAATTGGGATTTTTTAAATTTCGAAAAAAACTTTACTATGATATAAATTTTTTTAAATAAAATTAACCCCTCTGTAAGCAATTTTATTTTCGCTCACGAAGGGGAGTTAGCTGAATCTGTGAAGTTTTGGAAAGCAAGAAGGGAGATTCTTCCATAAGTTTTCATCATGTCTTTATACACTTTTGACTTCATTACTTTGAATTCAGGTAAAACAGTCTCAAAAAGCCGAACAACTATAATTCTGAGTATGCAAGAATGATCAATAATGTCAGCTTCTAATTCTCTTATAGTAGATTCTATCTCAGCAGCTTGATCAGATTTAGGTTTTGAATTTAATAAATTTAAAAATTTTGTTTTTCCAGCTTGGAGGTCTTTCAAATTGACATTCTCCTTTTTTATTTTTTCTTCTATCTTTGCTCTTTGATTCTCGATTTCGGATTTTTTTGAAATTGTTTCTAAAATGGCTTCAAGATCTAAAATTTCAATTTTGACTCATTCGTAAATTTCGTGAAAAGGATTTTCTATTTCATTTTTTTCAATTGGACTGTAAATTTTGCTATAAGAAGGTGTGATTTCGCCTATGTATTCGGTTTCTAAACTTGTCATTTTTGCATTGAATAAACAAAATTGTTTTTGGAAAGAATCAAATTTTGTATGAACTTCTTTAACAACATTTTTAAAATCAAGCAATTTATTGAGATTTTCTTTAAATAAGTTTTCATATTCAGCAATCTGATCAGCCATTTGTGTCGTCACAAAAACTTTAGTGCATTCTTCATATACTTGTTTATATTTATCTGAAATATCTCTGATTGTATATTTAAATTGGTTCATGAGTTTATCAAAATCTGCGGGTCCTCTTAAAAATAGTTGATATTCTTCTGTTGTATAAAAAATATTAATCTTTGAAGATTGTTGCAAAAAATATTCTAACTCCCCCTCCGTGAGCAAACAAAACCTATGGAAAAAAATCACTATTTTTTGGGTAAAAACAAATCCTCAATGAGCCCACAAAAATTTTTTTAATATAAAATTTTGTTATCAAAAATAATTTGATATATAAGTGATAATTAGAAATGAAATCTCTAGCTAATTCTGTTAAATTTTAAACAGTTTGCATTTTAAAAACACAAAATTTAAAAATTAAATTAATATTTGCTTTCCAATTTTGCAAATTGGGATTTTTAAATTTCTCAAAAATTTTTTAACATAGAAAAAAATAGTAACCCCTTCCGTGAGCGAACAAAATTTTTTTGTTCCATCACAGAGGGGGAGTAAGTGTTTTCTCCTAGTTTCTATGAATTCTAATGAAAAGCTTCCCATTAATTTTTTAGGAGGCACAGGAGGAATATAATGGCCAGGTCATTTTTGTGTTAAAATGTTTCTTACTCCCCCCCATCCTTGATCGAACGATTGACTGTAAAAATTCCTAAAAATTGGAAAAATTAACCCCCATCCTTGATCGAACGATTTTCATATCATGAAAATTTTTATAATATAAAAATATATTAGTTATCAAAAGCTTGGGAAGATATACATAATAAAGTTGTTTTCAGAGACTTTGAGACGACAAAAAGCTTCGGAATCAATCGTATGAAGTGATTCAGTCATTAGCCTAGGCTTAAAAACTCGATAATTTAATAAAATAGAGATTTTTTAAAAAAAATAAATTAAAATTTTATACAGTTTAAAAGGGGTAATTAATAAATCAAAATATTAAAAATTGGTATTTTATGAAATTAATTCAATTTTTTGCTGTAAAAATAATTATTAAATATTCTTAACCCTCTTATTTAAAAGTAAATAAAAAAAAATATCTATATATATTTTTTTTTTATATATATAAAATTTTTTCCCAAAAAATTTTGTTTTAAACCCCATCCTTGATCGAACGATGGCGAAACGTTCGATCAAGGATGGGGGAGGAGTTAGTGTAATGAACTCAGAATATTTTCTTAAGCTTTCAAACTGTCCTAAACTATCTTGACCTTTGACTTCATATGTAACTTGCCGTTGAAAATTTTCGTTATTTATAACAGGATTGATAACAAATATTTCAATATTAGCATTTTGAGCTTCTTGAATCCTAGGGATTTCTTGGATAAAATCCATTTTGAATTATTAAGGCTGCAGGCACGAAAATATACACGCTTTAATAAGAAATTAAGAAAATCTTTAAATGAAAAATTATGACATGGCTTAGAGCTGATCCATTCGATAAAATAAAGCAAAGCAATTTTTGGAATTAATTGATGATGCACCAAGCTTCAGTTTTCAGCTATAAATGCACTGATAATGTTTAACAGGCAATAGGTTCTATAGTGTAGTGGTTATCACATAGGACTCTGAATCCTGTAACCCGAGTTCAAATCTCGGTAGAACCTTCTTTTTATAAACTTTCATTTTCCCATAATTCCAATATTTTAATAACTCATGCATATTTATTTATACTTTATTTCCTCGTTAAGTTAATAATCTTTTAAAATGATAATTCGTTTTACAGTTTTATTCAATATAAATAATTTCTCTCAAATCAATAAAATTTTAATCGTTATAAAAATGTTAAAATAGCCTATTCAGATGGATTTTTACCATCGATAAGTTCATGGAATATCAGCTCAAATTTATTCGGAGGATAAGACTCTTTAACAACATTACTTCTTCTTGAACACTGAGCAATTTCAGGAAAAACAGGATCTACAGCTATTCTAAATGCATTATCCAACATTGAAGGAATAATTCTACCAAGCAAAGGTGATGATAACTCTAAACATGGATTTGTATTAACTTCTAATAACCATGGTGTAAAATTGGTATCTAAAAGAAAATCATATCCATAAATTTCAAATGAATGAGATTTTCTTTCCTTATCAATCATTTGAAAAGTCGCCATAAATGTATCTTTTACTATATCTTTTATTTTCGGAATTATATCATTCATGAAGCTTACATCAATTCTTTTTATATCTAATTCCATTTCCTTTAAGAGTGAACAAAACCATTGGAAAAAGATATTTCCGAAAAAAAAAAAACCTTTAAGTTTAAGCAAAAAAATTTTTAATATAGCAGCGATTTTATAAAATCTTTATATACATAATTAATAATTTTTATAGTGAGGTCTCTTAGTTAGGTCTTAAACGTAAATTTTAAAAATTAAATTAAATTTTTCCCTTCAATAATTTTTGCTATTTTTAAACATCCGAATTTCTTTTATATATAATAAATTTTAATATTGCTCAACTCTACAAGTTTACAAATGGCAACTATAGGTCGCTTTTAAACTCGTGGAATTGATTTGGCAGCTTTTGGTATTGAATCATCTCCAATAGTTAGACCTCCATTTTGCATGCAATAAGGTTGGGCTGTGGGATTTATTTTTAAAAAAACTCTTTTAGAGTGAGCAAAATAGCATTGCTTACTTTTAAAAAGGGAATTAAGTATCTTTGAAATTCCTTATATGAAATTTTATTACCATTTTCATATTTTCCATAATCTTCGCTTTTCTTTTGGACTGCATCATTAGTAAGATGGATATATTTATTATCTAAATTTTTAGCAGTATATGCCTTGCAAGCAGTTCTTAAGTATCCTTCTTTATAAAAGTAGCCTTGAATAATCCCATTTACTGATGTTAGCATCGCATAAAGCCTGATATCAAATTTTCTTCTACTTATTAATAAAGGATTTTCTATATATTTCTGCAATATATAAGTATGCTCGCCTGTTCTAGGGAATGGGTTATTTCTTAACTCATTCTTTATCTGCTCTATGCTATTGCATACACAAATTCCATTTCCTCTATTAGTATTTTCTCCGGGTTTAAGAATCCAAAGATTTTGGGATTTTTCCTTAAATTCTTCAAAACACTGAGAAAATTCCGTAAAAATTTCATCATTTTCTCCATTTACTAAATGGAAAGTTAATGGCAAATAATCGAAAACATTTTTTCCTAAGCTTGTATAGTAGGCTTTCATGTTTCTATATAAAGCTTTTTTATTGCAAAGATTGTCATTACTTGGAAGCCTGTTATGGGTAAGTGCAAGATTTGGTACATATTGATGCATTTCTTTTAAAGTTGTATAAGAGCTGCTTTGGGTAATCAAATCAAACCCTAAGACTGATATGCTCACTTCTAAAAAAATGATTTTTTTTCCTAGAAAAACTAGCACCATTTCAAGTGAAATAGTGTAATGGCTATTATAAATAAATTTTATATTTTTTCTCTAATAGTTATATATCAACTTTTACATTATTTGATATATCAGTTTCTATATTCAAGCATGAAACCGATAATGGCTTACTTATAGTAGAATTATCAACAAAAGGAACAGCTTCAGGGATTTTCCCTGAAAATTGTGAATTAAAAAGCTGTGACCAATAAAGATTGACATTCATATTTTCAGCCTCTTCAACTTCAACTCACCATCATCTAGATTGCATTACTTGCTTCACTAATCCACTATTATTTCCTTTTCCTACATAATATTTATAAGTTGTCACCGAATTTTCAGGGCTTACCACATTTATTCCATTACTTTCTTTTAGACATTTATTGAATTCTGTTTTCAAGAAATCTTTGGCTTTGGCGAGCCACTTTTTGTTTTTCATTGCTTTTTTGAAAGAAATCATTGAATTTCTCGCTGGCAATTTTTCAGGAAATTCTTTAATAAAAATCATTGAAGAGTTTTCTTCATGTTTCATTTTCGGTTCAAATCCTTGAGAGCTGATTGATTTTAAATTAGGAAGAAGAGGGGTAAAATGCTCTTCCTTTGAGTTTTCTGGCTTATTTCTTTTTTTATGCACTTTTTGAGCTTTATCTGGTGAACTTGTGGAGTAAATTTTCCTGATTTTTATCAATTTTGGCTCTCTTCTAGAAATTATTGATTTGGTAATTTCATATGAAGAGGCAGAACTGAATGAAAGCTTTGGAGATGGGAGTTGATTGCGGCTTAGCAGAGGCCTGACTGGATCTTCATTAGAAATTTGATCAGGCGTTCTTGTAGTAATCCTTTGCCTTGACTGAACTCTGATTTTTGGTTTTCGAAAAGTAGACATGCAATAATTGTAATTTAAATAGATTTAATTTTAAATATTTGGGCAATAAAGTAATCTTATTACTAATTACTTATAGAGAGTCTATGAAGACTTGCAGTTCATATTGCCTGAGCATAACGTTCCACCGCTTAATTGCCAACCCAGATACTACTTTCCACTCTATTTTTCCTCATGGATGAGGTTTTGACTCGCTACCTGTTAGCCTAGACACTGGGTTACCATGCAGAACGTCAACGGTATAGAAATTTCGAAAAAGAATTATCTGGCTGCAGGACGCAATGAATGATATCGAGTAGGAAAATTGCATGGCACCTCTGACCTTGCTGGGTGTCCCTTCGAATTTGACGAGACATCTTGATTTTGATGTGAGGATGCGATAGGCTAATCCGAAACTGTTCTCCATCAAACTAAGTAAAACCCAGCCGATACACATTTCTGAGCACGGTTCTCACTTCTCCAAGTTCTCCAGGCTTCCCATGAGCCTTCTTGATACTGTTGTTTAGAGGGATTGTTGGCTCATCACACTATTTTTAATGTAAGCTGGAAAAAATAATCACTGAACAAAAAATATATAAATCCATCTTATGGGTATTATTTTATATGAAAATAAAGAATTAGTAAATCTAGTTAACTTTAGGCCTTAGCCTTGCAGCTGCAGTCGCTTGAGTCATAAGCAACATTACGATAGACTTTCCATCCAAGCCACGCTGTAAAAAGTATTGGAAGATTATATCTTGTAGCAAATGGAAGATAAGATTTACTGAAAAGTTTATCATATATAGGAGTTGGCGCATATTTGAGGACTTTATAAGCTGTATATCTGGTGACCCTTCTTAATCCTAACAGAAATTGCCTGTCCTCTATGCATTTGAAAAACCCGTAGATTCTTGGAGCCTCAAGCTTATAGAATTCTCTCATAATAATTATTAAATGGATAAATTTTAATCAAAAAGATCCTGGAATTATAAGTTATTAAGTATCACGTAAGCTGAGTCTTTATCTTGCTTTTCTGATTTCATCAGCATCTTCATATGGGAGCTCATCAAGCTTTTTTTCTATCAGTTCCGCTATAATTTTTTTCTGGTAGCACACATCATTATAGTTAGGAAAAACTTGAGGCTCGTAATTTTTCGATAACCAAATGTAAAGCTCAAATAAAGCATGCAAGTTTTCTAAGTGATCTAGACTTCATGTATTATCAAATTCCATTATAAGCTTTACTTCGCCTTTTCTTTTTAAATTTTTTGCCATTTCTCCTAGTGATCTTGTAAGGTATTTTGAGGTTAATCTAAGAGGAGAATGAGAGAATACATACTGATCTTCAAAATCCAAATGCAAATGCCATAATAGTTCAGAATTATAACATACTTCATCGATGCTTTGAAAAAAATAAAATTTTTCAATAAAAGCAGATTTTTCGAAGCTTTGCAAAACCTTATGATATACAATATCCTTGCTGTTTTGTGTGAGTTGTTCAGCATATTCAGAAATTTGGCTATAAATAGGGAAAAGTCCTGCTCTATTAACTGTTTCTCTTTCAATAGATAGCTGTGTTTCTATTAAAGATTGACTAATAAATTTTGCATCTTCTAGAGACCAAGCTGTAACAAGGCCATTCTTTTCAAATCTTCCAGCTCTTCCTGATATTTGTTTTACTTCTCACTCCCCCCATTTAAATTGGAACAAAATATAGGTAAAATTTCCACTTTTTTGGTAAATAAACCCCCCTTTAAATTGGAACAAAATTTAATTTTATATTAAAAAATTTTTATATAGTTAGTGTCACTAACTATATATAAAAATTATAATTTTTATATAAAAAGTTTTGATATAAGCTAAATGTTTCTTCTTAACTAAAATTAAAAATTTAGTTATATCTTGCTCTTGTTTAAAGAAAGAGTATAAAAAAACTTATTTAAATAAATTTATTATCCTTAATTGCTAAACTTTTTAAAATTTTTTTATTTTTTTTGAATAAAAATGATATTTTTATTTAAATAATTTTGATATAAATTTAATGCGAATTCTTTACAAACAATGAAAATTTACTTATTTCTTGCTTTATTTTAAAAAGAATAGAGTATAAAATAACATTTATTTAAACAAAAATTAGCATTTTGATCGATAAATTTTCGAAAAATATTTTTTTTTATTTTTTTATTAATAAAAAATAATAATTTTTGTGGAAATAGTTTTGATACCAATTAATAGTGGCGTATTAACTAATAATAAAATTTAGTAATATCTTGCTTTGTTTTAAAGGATAAAGAGTAAATATTGTTTCTTAGGATGAAGAGCACGGGGGCTTTTTGGCTTGACGGCAAGCCAAAAAAACCCCGTGCTCTTCATCCTAAGTCACTATAGCAATTTATTAAACAAATTTATTAATCTAATTCGATAAATTTTTGAAATTTTTTTTTTTAATTTTTATATATTTTTTTTTTTTTAAAAATTTTATATTGATTTTTTTTGTAAAAAAAATTTTCTTAACCCTCCTTTAAATTGGAACAAAATTTTTTGTTCCAATTTAAAGGGGGGGAGTCAAGGCCTTAGTTTTCTAATTCCACTTCCATCATTCTTCTTTATATCAAAAAAAATTACCCTTGAAATATTGTAATTCAATCCCATACCAACTGCATCTGTCGATATTAAATATTTCACAGATTTTTCTTCATTGAATTTCCTAGCCTGCTCTTTCCTTGTTTCTATAGGTAAGTTTCCATATATAATAGCGCAGGATCCAGGATCTTTCCTTTCAATGATTTTCTTCAATTTATGGCAAGTTTTCCTAGAAAATGCTATAATGCAGTCTCCTTCTTTTAAATCCTTAATCGAAGTCACTGGCTCGCACACTTCTAGATGGCTAAGCCTATTATACTCAAAAGTTTGTAGTTCATCCCCAGTGATTTTAGCTAAATTCTTTATAAGTCTAAGCGGCCTTTTGTCACCAGTTAAATGAATTTCAGGACTCCAGAGCCCAAGTAGTGCATTTGTTCATGAAGAGCCCCTATCTTGGTCTCCTATCATTTGAATTTCATCAATTAATGCACAGTCATAGCTTTCATCTAAATTGATTGACTCCATTGTACAAGACATGTGTGTAGCTCCTGGAATTATAGTTTTCTCTTCCCCTGTAATAAGTGAACACTTAATTCCTGAAGAATTTAATTTTTCAAAAATTTCTGAAGCCAAAAGGCGAAGAGGGGAACAATAAATCCCTGTTTTTGCCTTTTTAAGATGCTCTAATGCAGAATATGTCTTACCACTATTGGTAGGACCAATGTGGTAGTTAATTTTTCGTGGCGAAATTCGAGCGAGTGGGAATCATTCGTGAGGACTCCTCAAATCAGCGATTTTTTTGAGTCCTCTCAATCTTGACATTTTTGTGTATTTAAAAAGATATGATGATTTGTCTAAGATTTAGGAAAATTACTTTAGGTTTTATTTATATAATTTAAAAATCTATAAAAATGAAAGGAACTCTACATAAGTTAGAATAAAAATGAGTGATGGAAATAAAAGAGGAGTTTTTGTTAGTTGTAAGCATAACTTTTTTTTTCTCACAAATTCCAGCAATAAAGTAGAATTACTTTCATAAAACAGTTAAGAACTCTTTTTTTTGATATTTTAATAAATTTTTTAATCTTCTGCATAAACCAAAAATAAGTTATATAAATAAAATATGCAGCTCGATCCTCCACTAGCAGTTTGCTCCAAAATTCCTTTATACAAGGGAAAAGTGCTATGCACTTCTATTATAACTTTGGTTTGGGTACTCATACCTATAGTTATCTTCTTAATAGTGAATGCAGCAGCTATCATTTTGTGGCTCATATACTTATGCCCTTATATAACTACAGGAATATCTGGGATATGTATATCAAGAAGCACTATCCCTAGTCGTATAAGTACTGTAACTGCTTTATTTATTTGTCTGCTAGTTTATAGCATAATCAATGTCGCATTTTGGGGAATCCTTTTCATGGTGCTCATAATAGCAATTAATGGATACTCCTGTAATTCATCAGACGATGATAATTGCTCTACGTGAGAAGGACTAGGATGGTTTTTTACATGGTTTACTCTCTTTTTTGCAGTTTACTTCTTAGTTGCTTGCTTCCTTTCTATTAGAGGTATTAGAGTTTCAAGAATATTGAAGGCTCAGCTTGCAAATCAAACTAATTCAAATCAAATTTATATGCTCTCGCCAGGAGGTTACACTATGCAGGGTCAGAATTTGCAAGCAGGCTATCAACAATTTTCTGGATCAAATACGGGATATATAAGCCCTTCATATAGAAGCCCTGCATATAATAATGCAGTCTCTTACAACCCATAATTGAAAGGAGGAGTATAAGCCAAGGAAGCAACTTTACAGCTTGTTAAATAAATAAGCATGCTTATAAATATTGAGTTTATAATGGCAATTATCTTCTTTATTATTAATTATTCATGCTAAGAGTTGAATTAACCATATATGCATACTTTAATAAGTTTATGTCTTCCTATAATCTTATAAAATACATTAAAATGGCGACACATGGCAACCTGCTTTGTTAACGCAACGGTCCAGACCTTATAACCACGGCAAACTGAGCAGACTGCGAGTCGAGAAGCAAGTGCAACCTCAGGTAATGTGTATAGCCCTGAAATTATTTAGATCATTATTGGCCATCCATTTTAAAATTAATTTGTACTTGTCAGCTTTTTTGAAAAGTAAATGACAAGTCTCGTTTATGATTTTAAGGTACCTAATCAGACTTATACTGTATAAGGCAGGTGCCCTGTACCATATTTTTCCTGGTCAGTATTCTGCTGGGGTATAGAGATCTATTAAGGTGCATGAGCTATATCCTATAATCTATAGCTCTCTCTTTAAAACCTTATTGCATAATAGATTTCTGTTATTTTAAAATTCAGTTATAAAACATTAAGAATTGCTTGGATTTTCATATTTAATATTTATAAAGTATGTATATTTTTCTTAATAGCAATGATTCGGTTTTATAAAAATACCACAATAAAAATATAAATGGATCCATCCTCATCTATTTTTAACAATTGCGACATAGAGGCTGCAAAAAGAAGGATAAAATGTGACTCAATTTTATTTTTAGTATGCTTTTTTATTCCATGGACTCTAGTATGACTAATTGCAAACGACGAACTTGCCTTGTATTTCATTTTCTGGCTATCCACAATTTTCTCTCCTTATGCATTAACAGCTATTTTCGGGTTTTGTACTTCCCAAAATGAAAATTCCTATGCAAATTGTTACTCTTCTATGCTGAAATGTACATTTATCTATTCCTTATTGAGCATAGGAATTTCAGGAATAGCTTCTCTATGGGTTTTATACATAATTCTGACTTTTCAGTGTGACTCATCACGATCTGAAACATGCGGACTAGATAAAGCTATAGCAATTTTAGTTTTTATTATAGCCTTTTTATATTTTATTTTATCAATTTCAGCTTTTACTTTATGGTGATTTTCAAATAAGCATATAAATTATTTGAAAGATTTGATATCGAGAAGAGTCCAGAATTTTCAAAATCCAGTTTTTGCAGGAACCTATACGACTAATGCTCAATTTATGCCTGTTCCTGGAATACCAATTGGGAGAAATCCAGGGTCTTATTTTCAATATAATCCTGCTAATTATTAGTTAAAAAATTTAGTTTATATGAAAATTATGTAATAATCCTATTAATTTCTATCCAATAGACATATTTCCTTTATGATTTTAGATTCAAAAAATAAACCATAAAAGGGCAATATTTCAAATATCCATTCTATCATATTAAAAACTATTTTAGCTTATATTATCGGCTATATTACAGATTATGAGGGATTTTAAGAAACTCCACTTAATTCAACATCCTTGAAGGTTCAGCATTAGAAATAAACTTTCCTAATTCAATTATAAACAAAATAATCAAAATTTTATATAAATTTCCGAGCTGTTGCGATTCTTGCTGTTTCATCCTTCTTCAGAGCATCATTTTCATAAATTTGTAAACTCATATCGATTGAATTAGAAATTTTTACTTGAGAAGGATCATCTTCAACTTTTAATTCTAATTTTTCTTCATCTTGAGCAAGGATATTTTTCCAAGGATTTCCTATTTCTTTCTTAGAAACAAACTTAATTTCTTTTTTGTCTATTTGGCTCGCTTCAACCTGGCCAACCATAAATTTAAACAAGATTGACACATCAATCCCTTCTCCAGCTAAAATTAGTGATGGAATTTTATTAGACTTTAGAGTTCCCAAAACAAGAATTGCAGCTCATCCAATCAGCTGGCAGCATAACCAGGGAATAATAGTCATTTCAAATACATTTGCGATAGATGTTCACAGTACAGACCAATCTACCATAAGCAATGAAACTAGCAGAAATAGAGAAATTTTCTCATAATTATATGGTTTTATTCTTATAATGATTCAAATATATATAGAAAATAAAACCAAATAGATAAATCCATGAATTTTTAATTGATACAAGCCAAGAGTTTTTTTAAGAACCACGAAAAAAATTTGAGCAAAACTCTTTACGACAAGATACTTTGGCATTGTTTTTATATTTAAAGATTCTTGCACTTCTTGATATAACGGTCGATAATAAACTATTAAGGGTACATAAACGAAAATTGCTACTATAGAAAATATAGCGAATATCAAGTGTTTTCCTTGTCAGCAATATTGATAGCAGTCATGATCTAAATAAGTGTCAAAGATATTATGCCCTGTTGTATGTGTGCATGCAAAGATATTCAATAAAAATGAAAAAATTGGGATGAATAAAGCATTCCCAAGTATAGGCATCAATCCTTCTGCAAGGGCTTTTATATCTGCAAAATACTTTGTTTCGAGGTAATACTTGAATCTTGTTACCGTCAAAATATTTAGAAAAATGCTCAGAGAAGCTAAAGAAAGAGCTAGAATCATGACAATTCAAAAAAATGATCCTTTAAAAGAAATTATATTTGATAGATCGACAGAAGTTGTTTCACTTATATATATAATAATAAAATGTAAGTAAAAATTAATTCTCTTCGAGAAATATTCCTCGAGAGCAATTCTTACTACACGATATTTATTATATAGGATCCAGTTTTCCACGTGGACTTTTATTTACGATACCAATATTGAATTACACGGGTAATTAGATGACTCTGGAAGAAAGGAGTTACTACTTGGCACACTTGAGAAGATTGACCCTTAGGTGCAGCATCCACTGAAGCCAGGTTCAGGAGAGTTAAGCAACCAGTGAAGACTTTCTGGCCTTTTAGTGGATCTTCTAGACTCTTTAAGACAAGATGGCTCTGATGCCGCCACTTGAGAGTTAAAGATTTCGACTTATGGATGCATAAATCATCCTGCTTAAGTAAAATGGAGCTCTTTAAATCTAAATAACTAGTAGTAGCTTCACTAATATACGCTACCAGTGGATTAATTGATATTGGAGGACCTAAATAAAGATATTGAAAAAAATCAATGGCAATAACTAAATAAACCATCATATCAGCAAATTTTATCTTTTTTTGCTTTTTGAGCTTGGGGAAGTCAATTAGTTTTCATCTCTGCCATACGAAAAAGGTCATGAATCCTGATGCAGAAAATATCGAAAAGTATATGCCAAAAAGCAACCCTATGCCTTTTCCAGACCTGCTGACAAGTTTTTTATCAAATGGGCAATCGAAATTATCATCTCTAAGGTCTTTTGGGATTTCGTAGGAACCACCAGGTCATATAATTTGCTGCAAAACAGACAGAGTCTTTGACGATTCTAGATTAAAGATCATAGCTATTTCTTCGTAATATGTTTTATCAGTTTCATTATAATAAAAATTCATTAGTGGTTTGGGAGCAGAATTTCTATCATTAGAGTTTGAATTTATTGAAATAACTCCACTGCAGCCAACAAACCTTTGTTTCCTGAGGTTTTTATTCAATAGTCAAGGATTTTCGATTTCTCCACCTTGATTTATAGTATAATCAAGTCCATTAGCTGCAAGCATAAAAGCGTCAAATGAAAAACACTTATAGCTTGGATCTTCTGGATAGAAAGCTTTAGCTATTTCTGCTTCAATTTTTTCCCCATAATCTCCGTAGTATTCTATAGATGAAAAACTCAAAGATCCAAGCAATAATTCTTTTCTTTTATGCACAAATTCTGGAAGATCATTGAAAGAAGCTTTAGCTCCTCCTATTTTGCTCTTAAAAATTAGAACAATGTCCCCTTCTCTAAAGCCTATGTCATATAAGCCTTCTACTGCATGTAAAGAGGACTGAACGTCCATAAGCATAATACAAATTCTGGCTTTTGAATCATATATATTTTGAAATATGTGTTTAAATTGCCTGAAATTGCTTCTCAGGTAGCCTGGTGAAATTATCCTTTTATCTTCATTATTCAGAATAGATATATCTAACCTTGTGCAATCCTCAACGAATACTTTGTACAGAGAGGCCATCGTCGAATCATTGCTATAAATGACAGCAATATTATTTCATCCAAAATATGTGATGCTTTTAGCCACAATGGTTGCATAATCATAAGGACTACTTGTAATTCTCATGAATTCACGGTATTCAGTTTTATTTGATAGTTCACTAATTGAAGTCGCAGCCCCACAATGGGGAATTTCTAGACCTAAGCTTCTCAAAACTAAAATATATCCAAGAGCTCCATACTCAAAGGAAGGGGAAAGAAACGCTACTCCAAGCTGATCTTTATAAGAAGAAAATTATGCTTATCCCTACCCTACTATTGTCTGGTTCAAGTTTAATTGCTTCGCCATACCATCCCAATGCTGTATTGTGCCCAAGGCACAACAAAAACGCCAACAGCAGTTCCAAAACCTCACCAACAAAAAAACGCCAACAGCAGCTCCAAAACCTCGCCAACATCAGCTCCACAACTCACGCCGGCAACTCCTGAGGCCAACGGTTTTAAAAATCGGCACAGGCCATATTTTTTCTCTTCTCAGGGCATCAGACCCTTCCCCCGTGAGGCAGAATTCCACTGCGGCGACCTTCCTTCAGGCCCGTCACGCAGAAAACTCTGCCGCTGATCTTTATAAGGATTCATACAATTATAATAAAAATTAAAATCGAAAGTGTCAGATCCGCAGTCTGTTTGAAATTGGGTAATATAAAAATTCTTTAAGATGAATGTCGAATTGTTTATAACTCACTGGGCATATAGAGAACCTTCAAAATTTTCAGAATTGTAGACATTATTTGGTAAACCATTTGGCTCTTTTGATCCTGAAGCAATTGAGACTACGATCTCAGTTTCAGAAATTATTGGAGGGGTATTTGTATTACCAGGGTAGAAAAAAGTATTGTTGAAAACTTTAGCATTTAAGCCATCTATTAGAGCTTTTATGATCTTTGAATTATTTTCAATGTTTACTATAGAAAATAAGGGCAATTTTCTATGCTCTGATGTTTTGGACTCAAATAATTGCTTCAGAAGCAGCGAGTCAAAATTATTAGAATTCATATATCCATTTTTATATTCAAGAATCATATCGGTAAACTATTTTATCGCTAGCATTTCATATTCTGCATAAGATTTTGCAGTCTCTAGTCCTTTTTCAACATATATAAGCATTCCATTCTCGCTAGCTGCTCAAATGCTAGAACTTCCTCCTAAAACACCAGCACCTTTTTTATAAATGTTTTTATTTTTTAAATTCTCACTCCTCCTTCTGTTAGCGACCAAAAACATTTTGTTCATTCAAGGATTAATTTTCTTCTAAAAAATTATATATAAGCTTTATAGTAAATTTTTTCCAAATTTAAAAAAATTCCAATTCGTAAAATTGAGAGGTAAAATTAATTTAATTTGCTGCCGTTTAAATTCAGAAGAATTAGCTAGAGATTTCATTATAATAATTATCACTTATATATCAAATTCTTTTTAATAAAACTGTTTATATTAAAAAATTTTTGTTTTCTCTCACAGAGGGAGAGAGTCAATAAAATTAATAAAAATTTCGCCTTCTTCCAAAATATAAAACATTTGAATGCCATTTGGCTTAATTATTTTGCCAACTAAGCTCTCGACACTGTCTCTATTTATTGACTGAGGAAGTATCAACTTTAATGAGACACGATTTTTCAGCATTTTTTCAAGACTTGATGCGATATTTACATTTATCGATTGCTCATCAGAAATTATTGCCATATTCTTTCACCCAAAATAATTAATAGTCATTTCAGCGACTTGTTGATGTTGAGCAGCAGAATTGTGAAGAAAAAATTGCCATTCACCATCAAAGCTGGAATCAAGACTTAACATAAGATTTATAATGCTATTTTCCTCAGTGTACTGGTTTATTATTTTGCTGTAGTGTAAATCGAAAGTTGCGTCTACAGTAAGGAAAAATTGTTGAGCTACTAAAATATCAGCTAAATTTGAAGCAGTATCGATTTCTAGCAGCTGTACATCGAAGTATGATTCATTTTGGTTAATCGTTCTATGTAAGCTACTATTCATATCTGCTTGCAAGTTTGAATTCGTTTTCTCAGAATAAAGCACATAAATCAGCATATCACCAATTGAGTAAGTTATTTGAAACAGAGTAAGGTAGCAAATACAATTCATTTATTTTAATTATCTTTTTTCGATTTAAAATTACATTTTTTGGGTAATTTAACCCTTCTTTAAATAGTAGCAGGATTATTTGTTCAGTTTAAAGGAGAAGTGAATAAAATTTTTCTTCAAAATAGAATCTTTAATTAATATGCAAAATAAAGATACATTTCTCTAATAAAAAGACAGATTAAAATAGTAATTTAAAGAGACCCACTCTTTGAATTTTAAAAAATTATAGTGGCTGCTTAAAATAGTTTAAATAAATTATAATTGGCTGCATACAATTATATGGCTTAAGCTATATATTAACGAATGATCAAAGTTGAAAATTTACTTTATAGATTATATAAATATTATAGTAGGAATTAATTTGATATATATTTATTCGATTTAAATAAAGAGATTTCAAAATAAATTAATAGATTAATTTATATGGAACTCAAATTTTGCTAAAAAATTAAATATTTACTATAATGCTCAGTTAAATAATCAATGCTATTTATATTTTTTTAAGAGCCAGATAAAACTATGCTTCCTCTACGAGGATCTCTTACAGGGTTGGTTGGCGCTTGTTGATTTGCTGTTTCTCCAATGCTTCTTATTGGGTCATATTCATTTGGAATAGGCCGCTTACTCCCCCCTTCCGTGAGTGAACAAAAAAATTTGTTTCACTCACGGAGGGGTTAATTTTTTTTTTAAAAAAAAATTTATATATAAATTTTGTAGAAAATTTTTTTTTTTTTTTAAAAATCCACTTCGCGAGAATTGGGAGGCAAATATTATAAAATTTATATTTTAAAACGCAATTTGTTTAAAATTAAACAGAATTAACTCGAGATTTCATTATACTAATTATCACTTATACATCAAATTTTGTTTTCATAAAAAATTTTTGTTCACTCACGGAGGGTGGGGTTTTTGGGCAAAAAATAGTGATTTTTCTAATGGTTTTGTTCACTCACGGAGGGGGGAGTTAGCATGCCCAGAAGAAGGCAGAATTGTCGGCTGGAGTTCAAGGACTATACACGAAATATCATCTATTGTGACATCTTCTTCCTCTACAATGGTCAATCATCTGACTCTTACTTCTTCACATAGCAGCTGAGCTATGCATGTATTATGAATTGTGATTTGATCTCCGATCGGAGGTGAACCGCATCCTCTTTTGCATTTATCACGATAGCATTCAACATAGTTGACAACATCTTGGTTATCCATCGCATCCCATATCCCATCAGTCCCTGCGACCACAAAAAAATCTGCATAAGGATGCACTTTATGTTTTGTATAAACAGGGGTTGAAATGATCCCTAAAGATGCAGCTCCTTTATCTCCAATAGACCTGCTCATTGTAAGTCCTGGAGCTTTCAAATCTGGTTCTCATACACGATAAGGTCCTACCTGGTTTCCCAGTGCATCAGTAATTCTCTGAACTCTTCCTCCATTTTGTGTAATTCTCTCAAGCTCTTCAGGATCCTCAGGCTTTTGATCTTTAGACAGCTGAACTGCTTGAACTTCTAGCATAGGGTTGCTTTGCCTTCTTTTTTTAACTTTTTCAAGAAGTTTCCTTTCTTCCTCTCTGATTTGAGTTGTAGGAGCTGGCATAACTGATGGCGGAGATGAAGTCCCAAGCACAGCTCGTGAGTCTCCTACGCTTGCAGAATGGATCGAATCCCCAGCTAGCAGCACAAAAACCGCAGTGCTAAATAATAAATACCATCCTGAGAATTTTGAGTCTACAGTATTTTCATTTTTTCGCAGCTCTTCAGTGCATTTTTCTGTTAAGGCAATTAAAAATCCTTTAGGATCAGTCTAAATAAAGCCTACCTGAGAAAATTCTTTGTTCTCTGGTAAAAAATTTTCAACTGTCTCAGAACAAAGTTTAGCAACCTCTTTTCCGTATGCCCCGTGCCCATCAAAAACCCCAAGCAAAGTGCTTGTTTCATCATTGGTAAAAACGCAGTAATCTTGGCATGCCCTTTTAGATGGATCCCTAGGATCAAGACCAGGCAAAACACATTTGGAAATCCACAAATCATATGATGCAATTTGAACTCTTAGGGATGAGAAAAGTACAGGATCACTTAATTTAAAGTGAACTTCTTCAGAGCGTCCTGGCGTTTTGGAGCTTTTTATTAGTATAGTTGCGTCTCTATTATATACACAGAGCATGTCACTGCTTGCTTGCATCATAATCGTACCCTTTTTGGCTTTACCTTGAGCACAGCCCATTTTATATTAAAAAGCAAATAATACTAGTTAAAAAATAATAAAATAAAGTGATTTTTTGAATATCAGAAATCCCTGACTCCCCCCCCTCGAAGTTCGACCAAGATATAGGGAAAAATTCCTATTTTTTTGGAAATTTAACCCCCCTCAAAGTTCGACCAAGACCTATATAAAAATTTACTAGGAAAATAAGCAATTTTTTCAAAAAATTTAAACTATGTGGGGGTGAGCTTGCGATTTTTGTATTCAAGTTCTAAAAAAGCGTTACAAAACCATCTTGCACTATTTTTTCTAACCCTTACACCCTCTCAACCATACAGAAGAATATGATAAATATTTTTTTTTTTAACTACTAAATATATAAAAAAAATTCTATATAATTTTTTTTTAAAAAACATTTTTCTTAACCCCCCTCGAAGTTCGACCAAAAAAATCTTGGTCGATCTTCGAGGGGGGGTGAGCATTGAAAAATTAAATGAAGGCCCTCTCTATGCAATTGAAATTTAGCTTTTTGAAAATAACGGAATAGATTATTATTTTAGTGCAATTCAGCATAAGCAATTATAAGAATTTCACAAATCGAATATCATTATTCTTTGAGTAATTTATTTAATAAAAATCGAATTAAATTTTAAATCAAATCATTATACCTTGTAATACCATTCAGGAGTTTTAGTGGGAGGGTACTGATGCTTATGCTCTGAACATAAGTCTTTTAAAGCTGAAGGATCCATGCAATCGCTGAATGCCTCATAAAAAGGCTTACAACGCTCACAATCATACCCTTTTAAGTTCTTTTTCTCTTTATTTGATAATGTTTTGAATTTTGGAGAATTTGCTTCTTCTTCAGGTTCAATTTTTGGAAAATGCTTCCTGGAAAAATTATAATCTTTTGACTCTAAATTTTCATCAGCTTCTACAATCAATTTTTTCTTTTTATTTGTTATAAAGCCTTCAGAATCTTTAAGTAGATCGGTGGCAGGTTCTATTTTAGAGTTTTCAATTAAGCTGTAATTTGCTGGCTTATCTGGTGATTTCTTTTGAGGGATGATTGACTCAGCATTCGAGCCAAGTGGCATTTGAGTCTTTATTTTTTTAACTGAAACAAAATCAGGAGATAATTTTCTTTTATATGGAGTGTGATCTGGCTCACTATTAGGACTAATTTTTAGGTTTTTTGTCATTTGAAATCCATCTGAATCTTCTTCTGCCTCATTTCTTGTTATATTTAAAATAGGAAAACCATTTTCTATTTCTTTTGTGTGTATACTTAAATTCTTTGGCTCTTCTTTAATATTATATGCATACAATTCTTCGTGCTCTTTTATTTTAAAAGCCAAAGCCTTATTATTTTCGTTTTCGAGACATGGCTCATATGAGTTTTTCTCAAATTTTATTTTTTGTTTTTTAGGTAAGTTCGGGAAAATAAGCGGGACTGATCTCAAGAATCCATCAAGCTTAGCTTGAACTTTAGTTTCTTTCTTCAGTCTTGTGTTAAATCCTGGCTCCTGAAGCTTTTTATTGTCTTTTGACAAGTTCACTTTTAAGGCATTTGATTTCATTTCTAATTTATTTAAATTACAAATTTCTTTGAATTTTTACTTTAGAAAATATCTAGATTTTAATGTAAACTTTTATAAATGGAAACTTTGAGAGCATTTAATGAAAATTTGCTTATAAAGCTTCCTCAAGATCTTCAAGAATTCTTCAAATCATTACCGCTAAGTGAATATAGCGCCTTGGTGACACTATTCATCTTTATATTTATTGTGTGCTTGGTTTCAGTCATTTTAGGCGATCCGTCAAGAGGCAAAAAGGTTGATATAGAAGATTTGTATGAAGAAGAGCCCAGGGGTGAAGACCAAGAAGAAGCAAAGAAAAAAGTCCCAGCTAAACCATCTTCAGTCCAAAAAAAGCCTAAGAAAGAAGCTTTAAAAAAGAAAACTGAGATAAAGCAAAGTGAGATTAAAGAAAAAAAGGCAGCTAGCGCTTTACCTGAAGCAGAAAATGAGGATTGGGTTGTTGTGGAAAATAAAAAAGCAAAGAAAAAGACAGAGTAAAAAGTCAAATAACACATTTTATTTTTAAGACTCGTCAGATAAATTATTTGATGTCATATATTGTTAAATCATTTTTCATTGAGTCTGTTCAAATTGTTAAAATCATAACTGTTTTATCCACTAGTGCTACAACAACCAAAAATATATTTAGGTGCATATAAGAAAATTTATAGCCTGCACTCAGTATTTTTAATAAAGTTAAATGCTCTATAAATTATTAAAACTTATAAAGGCTTTATGAATGGACATTCAAAGCTATCAGGCTACTTAATAGTGCAAAATATTGTATGATATAAAATTAATTCTAAAATTAAATAAATTGCTAAATCTACTAAAGATCAATTTATTCAACGGATTTTACATTTGGCTCCTTTACTTGAATAAAAGAATTCATGGTATTGAAATCTACAGTCATCGTATCAAATTTACTATTTTCATCAGCTAATCCTCCTCTTTCAGTCGTTTCTGGGGCCAGCTCATCAATTCTATGTATTACAATTCCAGGAACTTCACTGCTCACTTTAGCAGTCAATCTTTTATATAAAACAAAGAAAGCACAATGAAGAGGATTGAACAAGAAGAACTCACAAGGTAAGGCAATCATAAAATCAATAAACCAATAATCAGAATACGTTGAGCAGTAATCGATATTCAAAATTATGATCCCAATAATGCTTCCAATCGAAATAAAGATACTGGTTGTGCACGCAATTACTTGGAAAATTGAGAAATTTCTTGATTGGTTATTTAGAATAATAAAAGCAACTGATAAAACTTGGCCTAGTAGTAAAGCTACCAGTACTTTTAGAAGCTCCTTTCCAGAATAATCGTCAAAGCCTCCATCACTACTATTGTAAGGATCATCAATAGGCCGATAAATAGCTCCACATATAAATAGCTCAAACAGCAAAACACCCATGACTTGAAGGACTTTTTGTGCTCTTCTAAATGACCCTTGGGGTATAAAAAGCGTCGTCAATTCGTGCATTTCTAGCATGCTCTTCATTGAGACAGAATCGCTACTCATGTACTTAATTTGTCTGTCTAAAATTACAAAAATAGTGATTAATATCAAAGCCAGCCAGACCACAACAATCATTGAAGCTATAGGCCCATATGTAGTTCCACAGTCTGAAGAGTCCTCAGGAATAGGAATGACAGTACTTTTAACTCTGACTTGGAACATTGAGGTATGGGTTGTGTTGAAGACTACAGTTGATTCAGTAGATTTCAAAATATTGCAGCTATCCGAGGTTCATGCGCTATTATTGTAATAAGCACATTCGAGTGTATCATTATTGACATTATTTATATTAATCTGAACTGCAATTGGAACAGAAAGGTTTGAGAAAGAATTTGTTGAGGGATCTGGGTTGATAGACAAGTTGTAGTTCTGGTAGACTCCTGACTTTTTAAAAGTGATATCAATAATGTCTGATAGATTTCCAGCAAGTGGATAAACAAAGACATTTAAATCATAGACTTCAGTGCTGGCAATTGGGATTGCAGAAGGGATTACTACTGTTCTGTTCTGGATATTCAATGTATAATTTGCTATATTTGATGGGAGCAATCGGTTTGAAGAAAGAAAAGTGGAATTTAAAGATTCCTTAGACTGCCCAGGCAAGGTTGAGCTCATTCAATTATTGTTCACCTTGTCAAGCAGCTCTTGCAATTGCATATAAAATTTAAACTCAGGCCCATAAAATGGAGTGAACATCTCGCAGATTTCTGATACCTGATAATCCACAATAGAGTCATCATAATTGCTGAAGGTTCAATTCAATATTTTAAAAGAAAGATCTAAATAAGTGTCATTTACAAGTGCCTTTTGATTCTTAAGCATACACTGAAGAGAAGTCAAAGCAGTGTCCAAAACTCCATTATTAATATATGAAATCAAGGTAATATAATAATCTAGAGCACCAAACATCGCATTAAAGGTCTCAGCGTCAATTGTTGATAAGCTGTAAAATATAATTTCAGCAGGTATCAGGTCAGGGTTTTTAATCATTTGATTAAACTGACTTGCAGTGGTAGCCGACCCTTGCAAAACTCTTGATGAAACTGTGACAGTTGACAGATAAAAACTGCAAGATCCGATCGAGTCACACACTTTTGCTCGTAAATTCCAAGTTCCAGCTGGAAGATTCACTGATATATATGAGCTTTGAGAAGGCACACTGAGCGCATAATATATAGGGTCAATATATAAAGCAAATTGATAACTCAGAGGAAAATTGCTATCTTGGTCTGTGCAAGAATTAGCAGAAAGAAGCCAGGAATTGTCAGAATTTTTTGATGAAGTAAGATTAGAGCATGAAGGTGGAACATTTGTGGCCCAAGAGATGTCAGAATAGATCTTTGATCCAGACTGATAGGTCATAGACAACGTATAGGTATAAGCAGTTCCTTGGCTCATAGAGTTACCTGGAAACATAATGTAAGAGTTGTTTGTTTGAATTTCAGTAGCTATTGAAGGGCCAGATTTTTGACTTCATAAGAAAGTTGCGCTACTTCCTGTAGAAATATCAGGCAATAATGTAAAATCATGCTGGTAGTCTATGCTTGTTAGTGGCTGGCTAACTGAAATTGAACCAGTCCCATCAGCTACCAGAATTTCTACCGTTCCAGAAGTGGTTCGATTATTTTTATAAATCTTAGTATGAAAATCATAAGTAGCTCCTACCTGCAGCTTACTTCCAGGTATCGTCAGGATTGATGAGGTGACATTTCCAATCAATTGATTTCCTGACGAGTCCAAGCAGCTTCCAGACCCTTGAGAACAATTTCATTCAAAATTCAGCGATGACCCTGGATTATCTGGATCATAAGAGTTGCTAGCATCTAAAACTAAGTCGCTTCCATTGAAAACAGATCCGCTCACTTTATTCAAAACAAGCACCAGATTTGATGGGATAACCGAAATAGTTAAAGTATTCCATCCAGTCATTGTCCCATCAGATGCAGTTGCATTAAAAGTATATTGATATCCAGCTGGTAGATCATTTTGATTTATGATCAAAGTGTTTGGTTGCTTGCTATTAGAAACTACTGAGTCTCCTCCTCCCTCAGTGAGAGAACAAAACTATTGGAAGCATCATATTTTTTGGTCAAAAACCCACACTCCATGAGCGAGCAACAATTTTTTTGGAAAAAATATTTTGATTATAAGTGATAATTATTATAATGAAATCTCGAGCTAATTCAGTTGGATTTTTAACAGCTTGCATTTTAAAACTTAAAGTTTACAAATTAAATTAATGCTTGCTTTTCAATTTTTGTAAATAGTGATATTTTAATTTCCAGAAAAAATTAACCCCCTCCTTGAAGAACAAATATTTTTGTTCACTCACAGAGGGAGGAAGTGAGGAAACGTCTACAGAAGGATTTGTAGATGAAACATAGCTTCAACTATATGATGCAGATGTTGAAGTTGAATTGCAAAAGTTCGAAACTGTCATTTTGAACTGACTCACTACGTTAGAGTAAATAGCAGCATGGTTTCCACTGTCTATATGAACAGATAGTGCAGCTTCGCTGACGACTGATATTGAAGATGTAGTATTAGACATCATTCCTCTGAAATTTGTAATAGTGAGAGTTACATTAATTGTAGAAACAGAGAGCATAGATGCTGGAATAGTAAACTTTGCCCCGGTTTGACCTTTAATGTAAGATACTATTGATGAACTTGAAGGGGTTATTGTAGCTGCTCAACTATAGGTCAAATCAGTCCCTTGAGATCTGTCACCAGATATGGTTAAATCATAAATAGCGCAAGTAAGTGAATATGAAGTTGGAGCGTCTATGCAGGCACTTGGAATAGGTAAATCATACTTAAATTGAACGGTTGGGGTCAGTTGCTGAATATTCAAGTCGCAAAGTGTACCACTTGCTTGGACATTTTGTGGGTTAAGTGCAATGCTTTCATTTTTTAAAGTAGCACCAGAGCCTAGCAAAACTCTTAAAGAGCTTGAAGTCACTCACAAGCATGAAGGAGAAGTTCCTAGCTTCTCTAAAGAATCTTGTAGGAATATCATTGAGCAGTCAGACGATGTCTCTGATTTTACTTTTCTTGAAAAATCCAAGATCAGGCTTAAATAATCCTGGGAAAAGTAGGCAGAAATTTCATATGTATTAAAATAATTTCCACAGACAGCACAATATCCTTGAGATACATAAGTATACCCAGAATTGCATAAGCATGTATTTGATGATGCATCAAAACTTGAATACTGAATGCAAACACAAGTGCTGCCTGATAAATATGACCCCGTATTGCATGAAGTACAAGTTGTAAAGTTAGTAAAGCCAGTGCAGAGGCTATTTACATTTGACAAACAATTATAAGCATTTGTGCATCCATTTGAGCAAGAGGAAAGGCAACTTCCACAGCTGCTATCTTTTACGTATTGCGAAAAAGTGCAAGAAGAAAGGCACAAATTGTCTCTGATGCAAGATGAGCTTGGGGTGATAGGGACATAACTATTTTGGTTTGTGATATATACTGAACCTAAAAATCCTTGAAAACCTTCAGTATATTTATAAGCTTGATACCCACTCCCAATTAAAAATGCATTGCTGCTGGAACTGGTGGAATCAATAAAGATATATGAGCTGTAGGTGCAGGTAAATGTGCCTGCATTTAAGTATAAAGTGAGAGTAGTTGTAAGAGAACTTGACGAATATGATATTTTGTAAGCTGCCCACTGCCAAGATTGCGCAGATGCACTTAATCCATCACATAGCTTTGTATCCAAAGAATAATCCGCTGTCGATGTTAGCGCTATTTTGACTCTTAAAAGATTTGAAGCTAGTTTGAATTCTATTAAAGGATCACCATTGTACTTGGAGACTATGCACTGTTCAGATGTAACCTTATCTGGGTTTATTCACACTTCAGCTGAATGAACAGGCGACAAAAGAATAGGCGTAGAGCTCACACTGTTAGGTGGAAGTGAGGCATATGAACTGGATTTAAAATAAACTCCTCTTGAGTATGATAGGGTTGGATCATAAGAGTCCGGAGTTGGCATAAAGCTGTTAGAGCTTCCAAAATATAGAGAGACTGCTGAATTCTCGCTTGAATATGTGTTATTCCATGCGTAAAAGGCAGCTTTATAAACATTCGGATTAGAGCTCTCACTGCATTGACTATTTGAAGCGGTATATCCGAATGGGCAAGCTTGGGTGCAGGTCCCTAGAAAAAGATAATAATTGGAGTTGCAGGAGTTACAAGCATATAGGCTTGAGGCTGTGCATGTCGAGCATTGGCTTGCACATGTCAAGGTTGATTGGCAGCTTAACGAATTCTGATCCCATGTGCTGCCAGATGGACAAGCACAAGCTCCATTGGTAACTGTAGCTGTTGAATAGCATGAAGTGCAGCTGGTTGAGCCACTTCCATTGCAATTTTTGCAAGTAGGGTCGCACTCGATTGAGCAATCATTACCTCCGTAGCCTGCATTGCAAGTGCATATTCCTGACTTACAGATTCCTTGACCATAGCAAGCGTTTAAGCAAGGGACTGCATCGCACAAAATGCTGGAAGCTGGACATATGAGAACTCCATTATACCCTGAGATCGTCACATTTCCTCCTGTAAAGGGGCATTTAATTGTCTGAGTGCCAACAGTTAAATAGGCTGCATCTGATGTGCAGCTTGCTACTGGGTAGCAATTTCCTTTTAATTTTTCTGTAAAAACGTAGCTCTTGCTAAGCAATGTCGACTCAACACATCTGCTGGTAAACCCTAAGGCTTCCCCATAATATTTATAGCTACTCGAAGCTGTGGTATTCTGGCAAAAGCGATTAGTATAAGGATACATATAAGTGCAAAAATCCACAAACTGTGAAGCACCTCCTATCGTGCTGTCGCTATAATACTGCTCATAAGAAGGAATGCTTGAATAAGACCCCTTATAGCAAGAAGCCTCAGATAAACGAAAGACATCGCAGCCACTGCTTTTTAAATTCGTGCAAAATCCTGGAAATTGGGCTACTCCATTATCTATGCATTTATTTTCAAACCATGAGCAGCCTTGATTTTTGCCTCATATGATGCTTTGAGGATAATCTCAGTTGACAGTATACCAGCCTGAGTCTTGAAACATAGCTGAAGTAATATCAGATAAGACTGAGAAGTAAGAAAAAGAAGGAGACATATAATCATGTGGCATCACTCTCATGTCTCAGTGGGATCCAGCCGATCCAGAGCCTCCTGCATCTTCTAGCTCAAGTCCTACCAAAGTGCTGCAGCCAAATGCACTCTGCGCTTTTGCTAAAACAGTAGGAAAAGTCAAAGCCGTAACACTTTTGCCACGGTTTGGGTAATTAACAGTTTGTTGGTAGCTTGAGTATTTAGTCCCATCAGACTGTTTGTACAAGCTATATAAAGAGCTTGAAAACACCAGAGCATGGGTCACTTCATGTATAGAATTAATAATATTATCTTGAGTCCCTGAGCCAAAAAAATTGGCAATATTGACTTCAAACGTCCCTGCTAAAACGTTATTATTCCCACTGTCATAAGTGCAAGCACCTCCTCTAGCAATATAAGTTGCTGTAGTTGTGTTGCCGTAAATATATAAAATATAATCTGCTGCTACTCCTGTTGTTTGATGGCTTGATGGGACAGTCACACTATTGCATTTCGAAATGCTCAACTTTAAGTTTGACTGCAGAGGATAAACTGACAGGAGGTTTGTGAATCAATTATTGACAGCTGACATAACTGTGCCTTTGAGAAGACTTTCTTGGCTGTCTGTCATAGATAAATCCATATACTCGAAATGAAGTCGAATGGATTGTAAGGTGGAACCTCTTGCTAAGCCTGAAGCGAGCTCTCTTCCTGGATGAAAATTCGGGACCACCTTTGGCTCTCAATTTCTACCTACATCGCAATTAAGCGTGTGCTGACAAAAAGCCACTGTTAGGAGCAAATTGAAACATAACGCTTTCATTCACTTCTTATATAAATTAATTTATTAGACAAATAGCAAATGTTTTCATCCCATTAAGATTAGTATAAATACCAATAATTATTTTTTAGTTAATTAAGCAGAGCTCATCTCTTAGCTTGCATAAAAATGAACTTAATTCTTTCTCGTCAGTAAATCTATATTTACTAATTATCTTAATTAAATACTGCAGCATTTTATATCAATTTTAAATGATACATGATTACGATATTATTAAGCTTACTTCTTTTGAAATAATGATTATCTGTCATTTTATTTGATTTCTCTCAAAAATGCAAAAGTTTTTAATTTTGAAAATCTAATTCGTAGATTTGGTTAGTAGAATAGCATTAAAGCAAAGAAAAAGCAGGAATTAATTTATTAGCATAAGTGAATCTGAAATAAGATATTTATTGCTACAACTTAGTTTCTGGAAATTTATGTCTCAATGTTAATTTTAATATAAATACACTTGCATAAGTCCTGTTCCATATCTTAATTTTGACTGACAGCTAAGAGTAACGGTAAGTAAGCTCAGCCTAACCGTCAAACTGTTCATGTCCCGAAGCCTCATAGATCTCTCTTTCTGAATCAGCCGCTGTGCAGAGCATTTCTCTTCATGCTGAGCCTCTCAAGGAGTCAGAATCCCTCTCACTGAGTTTAGAGCTAGAACCGTAGCTCTACCCCTAACTGCCATTTAATATTTCCATTTATGTCTTAAATATGAAGATAATTTATGGATTTAAGAATAATTTTCTTTCTTGAGCAGATTTATCAAATTCTTTAAGACTTTGGAAATAATTAGCTAGCTCTGAATTTTATTGGCATCCAATATCTTGTGTTCAAGATTATAATTTTATATCATCTTTCAATTAAATTTGATTGAATAAAATATTTGTCCAATCTTAGGTAAAGATTTATTCTTATACTTTCTAGCTATAATAATAAAATGATAAATCTCCTAAAACTTTTCTATCCTCATACAATTTTTATTACTATGAGGTCCAGCTTTCCCTGCAGACAAGTGTGGGCCTACGCTTAGTAATGTTTTGTAATGAACTACGAAGAATGTCCGTGACGACATGAACTTAGGATTAAAATACTTTTTTGTAATTATGCCATCTTGCAGAATCAAACGACACATTAAGCTAATTAAGTAAGTAATATACTTTTTATCCAATTTTCAAGTGTTTTTGTAAGTAATAATAGACATCAGTTTAAAATGAGATTCCTTGCTCTAGCTTAATAAGGCTAAACAATTTAATTCATGAGATTTATAATTTCGGATCTTCTTCCGGCCATATAGGTTTTATACCTTTCAGCTGGTTATCGTAAACTAGAATCTTAAATATTAAGCTTAAGTTCCTTCTTTAGCAAAACAGTTATCAGCAATGAATAAAATAATTGAGATTTTTGTGCATCAGCTTCATATTAAAATTTGAAACTAATAATTATTATAATTAAGATCAGATCAAAATAATAAATAAGAGGAGTATTAGAAGTGTATGACGTATAAAAAATCTAAAACAGTAAGAAAATATTATATTTTCAAAATATTTATTTGGTATTATAAAAAAAGAAATTAATAATGCTAATTTTTTACTTCAACAAAAATTTTGAAAAATATTGGAAGAGTATAGCAGACTCTAATAATAAGCGTGCACGTGGCTCAACATATTTTCTAAAGATTTAATAATAAATTGACATATTATCTCCGTCGACTTGGTGAAGAAATTTAATAATTTATATGGCTAAATCACATAGATTGAGCCTTATTAACTCTCACCTTCTATCACAATTTCCTGCTCTTCCATATGATAATTCTCTTCAGACTTTTAGGCAGCGCGGATCTCCTTTAAACGCTTCTGCTATCCTTGAGAGCTATTTTCGTGATATGACTCCTGGAGTGATCAGAATTCGCCAACTCATAAATTCAAGTAAACTTTTTGATCACCAAGCAGAAGTAGGCATGCCCACTGACCAGCTCAGAGAGCTTGTTGTCAGACAAATTCAAGAGATTTATCTTGCTCAGAATATAACTCCAGAATTAGACGAGGCAGACCCATGAAGGTCGACTCAAGTTTTCTATGTTCTTGGAGAATTTGATGCGTCAGTCGCAACTCGTCTGACAGTCTCTGTCGGTCTCTATGGAGATACTTTAAAATCCTTAGGCACTCAAAAGCACAAGAACCTTATTGATAGAGTTTATGCAGTCCACGACTATGGCTCTCTCTCTGTGACAGAAATGGGGCACGGGTCAAATGTCTCAATGCTTGAGACTACAGCAACTTTTGACCATACAACTAGAGAATTTATTATTAATTCTCCAACAGCCACATCCGCTAAATGGTGGGTTGGTGGGGTAGCTAAATCTTCAAACATGACCGCCCTTTTTGCTAGGCTCATAGTAGAAGGAATTGATAGAGGAATCCATGTCTTTGCAATCCCTATCAGAGACTATAATACACATGAACCTCTGCCTGGAGTTGTAATTGGTGATTGTGGAAAAAAGAACAGTCTAAATGGTATTGATAACGGCTTTTTAATTTTTAAAAACTATAGAGTTCCTTATGATTGCTTGCTAGATAAGCACAGCTCAATTTCACTTGATAATAAATTCAAAAGCCATATAAAAAACAATGATAAAAGACTTGCAATGATGCTTGGAGGGATACTAAGAGGAAGAATAGGGACAATAAGTCTTGCCGAGTATACCATGAAAAATGGGCTAACAATTGCACTAAGATATGGAGCAGTCAGAAAACAATTTGGGAGCAAAACACAAGAATCAGCCATTTTAGACTATCAAACTCATCAGTACAGGTTGATCTCCAATATGCCTAAGCTTTTTGCCATCCGAGCATCAGCAAACCAGATGCTCTCTGATTTCAAATCTGTCAGACAAAAATCAAGAGTCGACCCAGAATGTGAAGAAGTTCAAGAATATCATGCTCTTTTATCTATAGCGCTTTCCCGAGGATGGCGCGGAATGGCGCCATCCTCGGGAAAGCCAGAAAGGCATCCACACGGGAACTGGGAGTTCCACGTGTGGATGCCATTTTGACATGTGGAAGTTTGGATCCCACATGTCAAAAATGGCATCCACACGTGGAACTCCCAGTTCCCGTGTGGATGCTTAGTTGACTTTCCCGAGGATGGCGCCATTCCGCGCCATCCTCGGGAAAGCGCTATACTCTTAAAGGCTTATCCACACAGTTTTCTGCTCTTACTCTAAAAGAATGCCGTGAAGCATGCGGAGGTCACGGATATTCCGCCCATTCAGCCCTTGGCCGTTTACTAAACAACCAAGATATAAACTCCACCTGGGAAGGCGACAACACCGTTCTCGCTCAGCAAACTGGAAAATATCTTCTCAAACAAATTCAAAGGATGTACAAAGGCCAAAAAGTCACAAGTCCAACCCTGCAATATTTAAACCCAGATTTCGACCATATTAAAAATTACAAAGCAAACTTCTCTAACAAAGAAGAGCTCCTCAACGAAAAGCTTCTTTTCGAAATCCTTGAATACAGGGTCAACTACTTGATCCACAAATGCATCAACAAATTGCAGACAAATGCAGCGAAATATGCAGAAGTCATAGATGCTTGGAACAATACACAAGTTTTCTATGTGCAGGAGTTAAGTAAAGCTTATGGAGAAAGAGTGATGGCAAACAACTTGAGATTTATGGCAGATGATGTGTTGGCAAAATGTGAAAATACTGGGAAAGCGTTTAGAAAATTATTGCATCTCTTTATAGTGGAAAGAATTGAAAAGAGCCTGGCTACGTATTTAGAGTTTGCGATTACTCCAAATCAGGCTGATATTGTTAGGGAAACTGAGCTTGAGCTTTGCAAAGAGCTTAGTGATCATTGCATAAATATAATTGAAGCTGTAGCTCCACCAGACAAGATGATAGGCTCGATAATTGGAACTTCTGATGGACAGGTTTACCAAAACATAATAAACACAGTAGAAAGTTATCCAGATGTCTATAAGCAGGCCTCCTGGGCACATCTGTTCAAGGACATCAGGAAGCTAACTAAATTAAATTCAAGTTAATTATTTAATCTATAGCTTGAGGTTCATAATCTTATGTGGTCTAATCATAATTGTTTTATTTGATGTATAAGATATTTTCTGAGCAGTCTCAAGCTTCTCTGATTAAGTTTGCTTGCTTAGAAAGAGCTATAACTGAGAGCCTTTTTATAAAAGAAAGATAATCCTAATACCATTTTATAGGTGAATCGTTGTTGATTTAAGAATAACAACTAATTAAATTATACGGATTTGATGATTTAAAAAACACTTCATATTATGCTTAAGAGCAAAAGTTTTACTTAATTAATCGCTAATTATATGTGAAAATATTATTTACGATAAATCTAATTTGCTCTGACATTTAAAAAAATATGAAACCATCAAGTTATCAGAGCTCCAACATACATAAAAATGGCGACGACGTGACACCCGACCTCTCGACCCTATTTCCTCAGCACACAATCAGGAACAGCCCGGTGTTGGGGATTTAGGTGGAAAGGAGTCGGAAATCCTTTGTGTATGCCGGACTAGGTTTTACTCGGGCCCTACGGAGCTAATTTGTGGGACTTGGGCTTTTACCTCCAGAGCAACCATTGGAAAGGACAAGATCGGCAGCAGTCCCGAGTGGAGGCTGACTCCCTCGTGCAGGACTCAAGAGATAGTATTTGTCCAACGAGAAACTGGGAGTTTCGACCCAGGTGGTTGGCTCTTGGCTCCAGAAGCCATGAAAGTCAAGACTGGTCAGTGTGAATCCCTTGTTTGCGGCAACAAGGAAGGGTGTCCGCCGAGGCTCCATCATGGGCGATGAGCGTGTAGGGGTGCAAATCCCCGGCCCTGCAAGTGCGAATGGCTTAACTTAATCTTAATCAGAGCTCCAATGAAAGTCATCTTCTTCAGCAATCAGCTAAGCTATTGAATGATAAAAACTTCACCCAAGCTCTCGAATTATGCAATTTGATTATTCATAGTAATCCTAACTGTTCTGAAGCCTTCTACCACAAGGGAATCGCGTTGAGCTGAATGAAAAAATATCAAGAATCAATCCAATGCTGTCATACAGCCGTAAGCCTTAATCCAAAAAGTGAAGAAGCTTACTGTTTGCTGGCCCAGGGCTTGCAAAGAATCAAAAATTATGAAGCTGCAATAAATATAGCGTCTGCACACTTTAGCGCGCATTAGCCTAACTTCTTCTCCACAACTTGGAGCTCTGATGAGCAACCTAATGTGGCAAATCAATTTCAAGTTGGCACATCCTGGAAAAGATATCCTTTTGTCGATTTTGAGCTAGCACGCCACCTTTCAGCAGATTTCCAGAACTCCCAAGTTGCAGACAAGAGCTTGCTCTAGGTACGCTAAAGGTTAAAAGCGCTATACCTATGCTTCAGCTATAGAACTTAATCCCAAAAAAATAGATTCATATATCAATAAAGCCGACTGCCATAAGGCCTTAGAAGATTATGAAGGGGAAGTTAAGTGCTATACTTCAGCTATTAAAATTTACCCAGATTCAGAAAATTTATACAACTACAGGGGAAACGCTCTTACTCTCCAGATTAATACAAGTAGAGCTTAAAGCCTTATTAAAATATTTCCAAAAATTAGCTATTATTGTTTTAAGAATCAAATTAATTTAAGAAGCTCAGAAAATAGGTTTAAATAATTTGTTGATATATTTCTTTAATATTTTATATTCTCATTTAAATTCAATTTAAAATAAAGTGTTTTTTTACTATTTATTTCAAATAAATAACTGGTAATTACTCTTATGGCTCTGAGAGAAGTTAGAAAGCTCAAAAGAAATGAAGAAGCGATAGAAAGTTATAATAGAGCAATAGAATTAGGTCCAGCCTATATTAATGCACATATTAATAAAGCAGCGACTTGCGTAGAATGCGAAAATTATGAGGAAGCTGTTAGATCTTATGATGCTGCGTTAAATTTGAACCCTAATGGAGGCAATATTTACTTTGCTAAAGGTAATGCTCTGCAAAATTTAGACATGCATCGCGAAGCTATCAACTGCTATGATGCTGCTATTAGAATTGACTCAAATATTGTTAACTCCCCTTTAAAAGAGCATACATTAAAATAGCGAAAAGGCCTACTCTCTTGTCACAGCACTCAAGGCAAGCTGGAATGAAATCAAGCCAAGAATCAAGTGTAGACCTAACATATATAGAAATTGCCCGAGGATGGCGTAAGATAGAGCCATCCTCGGGCAATTTCTATATGTATCAAGGCAGGAGTTCGATGCTTTCCTGTAATTGAAAATGGAGGAGCCTATCAATATCATTTGGATCAATCGCATTATTTGACGAAAAACTCCAGACCAAGGAGTCTTTTTCCTGGAAATGTCAAAAGTAAGATATTTCGGAATCTGATAGGCTTCAGGGAGTTTATGCTTAAAATCAAGCTACTATCATTGCGCTAGAAATCTACAGGATTTCGGTCAAGATTGAAGCCCTAAAGCAGTAGAGACGGGTGGTGCAGGCTATGGTGACTTCATCACCAATATGACTATTGCCTGTCTTTGAAACTTGACCTAATTTAAATCTCTTAAGAGCAAATTATTTTTTGGGATAATTATTTATAAAAATTATTGATTATGTATATTTATTATTTATACACAACAATTTTTATAATTACACAATCTTAAACAAAGGAGTGAGAATTATTTAAATAAAGCTAATTCACTTAACGAGCTTGGAGAATACGATTCTGCAATTAACTGCTTTAACACAGCAATAAGGCTAATGCCAGACAACAGAATTGCATACATAAACAGAGGAATTTCAATGAATAAGGCTGGAAAATACCAAGAAGCAGTAGAAAGTTATAATATTGCAATTGATATGGACCCAAATGATGCAGAAGTCCACAATGAGAAAGGTATTGCTCTAATGAACATGGGAGCTTTAAATGAAGCGATAGAAAGCTTCACTACTGCTATAAGACTAAACCCAGACTACGCCTTATGCTTCTGCAATAGAGGGCGAGTCTACAATGAGCTAAAAAATGAAAGAGCAGCGTTAGAAGACTTCAAAATGGCATCAGAACTTATTAAACAAGATAATCTAAGGCAATCTCTTCCTAAAAGCAGCTTCGATTTCATCAGAAAAACTTTAAGAAACGACCAAGCAAAACTATTAGAAAAACTTAGAAAATTACAAAGCAATGCAATTAAATTTGAAGAAGAAATCCAAATTGATAGCAGCCTTATTAAAGGCAACTCAGTTTTTAAACATTTGGTTTCTGTACAGGTAGAAAAAATTAAAGAGAAGCAAGCTGAGCTTGTTGAAAAGCTAGCTGACAAAATCAACCCAAGAAATGCAAGTCATCTTGTAAGCCAGCCAACCAAAGAACTGATGGATGAGCTTAAGGATTTGAAAAAACAAATGGAGGATTTGAAAAATCATTATAATGAAGAGATCTCTAAGCTAAGTCAAGATAAAGTTGGGAAAAATGAAATTGAGGTATCTGCCTTAAAAGTCAACCCTGTAATTCTGCAGAATTCTTATCTTTACCTTTATTATTCTGCATTGTATGATAAACTGCATACAGTTATAGCAGAAGCAGAAGTGATCTGTGGAGGAAGTCTTGCCTTGGACAGTTCAGGGCCAGGATCATCAATAATTAGCTACATAATTGGCATGGCCCCTATGTTTGGTAACGTCCTGAGCGCAGCTTTTGATATATGCATTAATACAATAAACAATAACTCTATCAAAAATCAAGCAATTAAGCTGAAAACAGCAACAGGTAGAAATCCCGAGGAAAGAGAAAGTGCTATTAAAAAAACAGCTGAAAACATTACAATAAACATTAAAAGGAAGCTCCTTAACATCAGTAAAAATCAAGAAATTTATTTTTGGCGTAACCAAGGACTGCTGCAAAGATGTCAGGACTTTTTCAAAGTGAATGTTGATCATAACTTGTATCAGAACCCAGAAGAAATATTGGGATGCATTGATGCACTCAAGATTATTATGGCGATTATGAGTGACCAGATTGAAGCTGGATTAACTACTGAAGAATTTGTGCTGCAGGCAAGCTCAATTCCTTCCATGTTAAAATTTACGGACCCCCCCCTCATTTGTCCGATTTTCTAGTCTTTTATCATTTGTCCATTTTTCTAGTTTTTTTTATAGGAAAAAAAAATTTTTTTTAGGACCTCATTGTCAAAATTTTGATAGAAAAAAAAAATTTTTCAGGACCTCAATTGTCTCATTTTCTAGTTTTTTTAAAGTAAAAAACTAGAATTTAGGGCATTCGAAAAAATCCAAAAAAGACTAGAAAATTGGACAAATCATTTTTGACTAGATTTTGGGACAAATGAGGTCCTGAAAAAAAAAAATTCTTATAAAAAAAAAGACTAGAAAATTCGACAAAATGAGGGGGGGGGTTCCTTACTAGCTCTCCCCCCCGTGAGCGAACAAAAAAATTTTGTTCGTTCACGAAGGGGGCTAATTTTTTTTTTAAAAAATTTGTATATAAACTTTAAAGAACATTGTATTTTTCAAAATTTAAAAAAAAAATTCCAATTTAATTAAATTTAATTTGGAAATTTATATTTTAAAACGCAAGCTGTATAAAATTAATCAGGATTAGCTAGAGATTTCGTTATAATAATTATCTCTTATATATCAAAAATTTTTTCATAAAAAAATTATATATTTTAAACAAATTTTGTTTAGCTCACAGAGGGTGGGTTTTTGGGCATAAAAAGAACCTCCAATGGTTTTGTTCGCTCACGGAGGAGGGAGTAAGGAAGCAACCATTGAAGTTCAGAGCAACTCAAGCAATTCAAGTAAAACAAGCAAAAAAGGTAAGAAGAAAAAAAAGAAGTGTGAAGTATTTGCAGTTTTTGGAATTGATTATAAAAATCAATTGCTTACTTCCCTCTCGTGGGGAACAAAAAAATTTTTGTTCGCTCGCGAAGGGGATTTAATTGTTTTTCAAATTTAAAATTTGAAATAATTTTAAAGCAATATTAATTTAATTTTGGAAATTTATGTTTTAAAATGCAATCCATTTAAAATTAAACAGAATTATAATAGTTATCACCCATATATAAAATATTTTTCATACAAAATTTTTTTGTTCGTTAAAGTAGGGTGGGCGTTTACCCTAAAATAGGGATTTTTCCAATTATTTTGTTGGCTCACGAAGGGAAGTTAGCAGACCAGAAATATTGAGGGAAATTGGAAAATTGACTGGGCTGAGCTTAACAAAAATAATAGACTATAGCTGAAAATTGGAAGAACTAGGGCATAAACCATTAGATATGGATCTAGATCTACTAAGTAGCATACTTCTCTCATTTGATGAATAAAATTTACAATAGCACCATTATTAATAACAGATTAGATTATTTCAAAATTAATTAAGCAATATTTACTTGCTCAGTAAGAACATACCTAGCTTTCTCTGAAACAAGGAATTATGAAGTCTTATTTATTTAGTTTAAATTAAATTTCTTAAAAACCAAAAAAGCTATTAAAATTGATCTAATATTTAAATTAATGTAAAAATACTTAATTTCCCATGTATTTCCAAACCATGACGCTATTTATATAAAAATAGTCTTTTAGATGCATAAATCCAATTAATGCGGATTAAATTAGCTTTTCAAACTCTCTTTTAGCTAAAGGCAGCACTAATTATTCATAGTACACATTTATTTAATCAAAATTAATGACTTACTTTGAATAGTCCTTCCATTAGCTCTCTTAAGTCGATCCTTCCTGTTCCTGTTTTATCAAAATCTTTTAGCACAGCTTCCACCTCAGCTTCTTCCAAGGCTTCTCCTGAGCCGCATAATGCTGCTTTTATATCATTTGCATTAACGAATCCTTCATGATTTGGGTCAAAAGTCTCGAAGAATTTCATTACATCTTCAGGATTAGTTGCACTTGTAGAACGACATTTTTCAGTTAGCCTTTGAAATTCAATATACTGTATTTTACCAATGGGGACTTGTTCGGCTTCTTTAATGAGACTTTGAACTTCTTCCTCAGTAGGATTAAGACCTTGCGCTCTTAGACCTCTGCCTAGCTCTTTGATGTCAATGGCACCAGCATGCTCTCGATCAAGGATGTCAAAAATCTCTTTAGCTTCCTCTGATCTGCTCAGCATTTCAAGATTTAATTATAAACGATTGATTTTTTAATATTTGAAAAAATAGAGGGCTTAGTAAGATATTTATTGCTCATGAGACAAATAGCAGACAGATGATGCTGAAATGCTATTCCTGATGATTTTATTCGCTAATAATGCTGATAATAGTAACCTTGCTATTTCAATCTATTTATAACTTTTTAGATTTCAAAATCTGGTTTTTATATATCGTTCGTCACTCTTAATTATAATAAATCAGCTTTGAAAGCTAATTATTATGTTTAAAATTTTACAATTTACTAGGCACTTTGGATCCAAAGTTTATGACCCAAAACAGCTCGAAACTTTTAGGCAGCAACTATTCCTAGTCAACGATCAAGATGAGTTTATAAAAACCATTGATAAGTACACAGCTCACAATTGGGAATGAATTTGTAGCAATGATGCCCTTCCACATCGAGCATTTTCACTCTTAATTTTCAACAAAAACTTTGAGCTGCTTCTCCAACAAAGAAGCTCCATAAAGGTAACTTTCCCTCTCTACTGGAGCAATTCTTGTTGTAGCCATCCCATAGTAGGGAGATCAATATTTGAAATTTGTGATGAAGCCACAGAAAGAGCCAAATTTGAGCTCGGAACTGACCTGTGCCCTCGATCTCTCAAATTTTTATCAAAAGTTCTATATAAATCGCAGTCAGATCAAAATTGGGGCGAATATGAGATGGATTATGTGTTCTTTGTGATGACTGATAAATATTCAAATGAAAATCGGCCCGTGATAAATAGTGAAGAAGTTAATGATATCATGTGGATCAATAGAAGTGGGATTGAGCAGTTTATTGATAGGAAAGATTTGAAGGTAACTCCTTGGTTTGATATTTTTATTAGGAACACAGATTTGCTCAAATGATGGGAGGCATTTGAGAAAGGAAAAATTGAAGACTACGAAAATTCGGATGAAATTTTATGGTATATGATGTAAATAAATAAAATAAAAAATATATTATTTGAAAGCTAAAAATCCTAGTTTAGATCAGAAAAGGCTTGCACACTTTGTATAATTATTTTATTTATATAGGCATAATTAAAAGAAAAAGCATAGACTTAAGCCAAATACAAGTTAATCATAGATTATAAATATGACAATTTTCTAGTCTATATTTTCATGATTTTAACTTAGCCAAATGTAAGAATTTAGAAATTTCCTTACTCCCCTCCTCCGTGAGTGAACAAAAACATTAGAAAAATACTTATTTTTCGCCCAAAAGCCCATCCTCCTTTGAGTGAACAAAAATTTTTTATGGAAAAAAAAATTGATATAAGTGATAATTAGCATAGCGAAATCTAGAGCTAATTCTGTTTAATTTTAAACAAATTGCTTTTTAATGCATAAATTTTATAAATTAAATTAATATTTGCTTTCCAATTTTTGCGAAATAGGATTTTTTTAAATTTCTAAAAAAAAATTGTCTATAAAATTATATATAATTTTTTTTAAAAAAAATATTAACCCCGCTCTGTGAGTGAACAAAATTTTTTGTTCACTCACGGAGGCGGGGAGTTAGACAGCTAATATCGGCAAAATTAATGATAATCGCAATTATTTAGATAAATTTATGAATTTTTAAAAAATAGCAGACTCTATTTATTTACAAAAAATATTATATTTTATTTCCTGTTGAGTTGCATACTTCTGCTTAAATAATAAATCACAATTAAATCAATTTCAATAATAAAACCCTAAATATATAAAATTCAATACCCTCCATATTAATTATTCATAAATAGCTTCATAAAATCGCTAATAAAATATTATATAGGTTTAAGATTTACTTGAATTAGCAAATATTAAAGCTAGATCTAAGAAAAGAATAAATCTTCTTTATTTTAGTAGATCTATATAAAATCTAAAAGAAAAAAATATAAAATGGCTGCTGTGGGGTTCGAACCCACGCGGACGTTGATCCAGCAGATCTTAAGTCTGCCCCCTTAACCACTCGGGCAAACAGCCATGCTGGAGCATTTTTACAGTTTTCATTTATATAGAAGAGATTGAAGAAAATCTTTCTTATCTATAGCATTGATGTTTGCTTCTCGTGCAAGAGCATAAATTTCTTATATACATAATAATTTAATCAAAATCTCTATTACTAGCGAAAAATAACTTAGATGACTAAATGTGCTTTAGCTACGATAAAGGCGACCTAATGTATATATCTTTAGCGTTTTCAGAATTTTTTTTTACTTTTTGGTGAAATTTTGACGGCTCCTGATGCTTTTTTATATGGAAATATTTATTGACAGTTTTCTCTAGTCCAGGATATTTCGACAGTATTTTTGGTCTTGAATCTTGGGCTCAGCCTTTATAAGTTCTCACAGGAGATTCAAATTTTATATCTTTATCAAGCTTTGAGTTGCTAAATGACCTTCCTGCTCGCTTATTTGTAAAGCTAGTTTCCTTTGAGTGAAATTTTGGCGAAATATAGCTTCTCTCCATTATATCAGAATCAGTTTTTGTCGTTGGGGAGTCCATGCTTGTATATTCCTCATTCGCTGGTATTTCTTCCTTTGGTGCCACCATTAAAGCTAAATCTTGGAAAAACTCTGATAATCTTGGAGGGCTATACTTATTTGCTTCTAATTTACTCATCTGCTGGAAAATTAATAGCAGCCTCTCTGTAAATTCAATTTGGTTGATTTCGGAGTGCTTTATGGTTTGAATTATATAGTGAGACAAAAGCAAAATCAGAGATTCTGATAACTTTCCATATAGAATTTCTTGTTGTTTTGTGGGAAATCCTCCATATGTGTTCATAAATTTTAAATGGACTCCTAATGAAAACTTAATGATTCAGAACTGTATGATTTAAACTGGATATTATTTTATTAAAATTTTTATACGCCCTAGAGTCCTAATAATCCAAAATTTTTTTTTATATAGACAACACACCAGTTTTTTATAAAACAACTTTAAATGTATAATAATTAAATGATATAATACTCAATCATCGATAATGATTTGATAGAATAAAACTTAATCCTGAAAGAAAGTACTCAGCTTGGATTGGAGGTCTATACTTTTTCATTTCTAGTTTTCAGTAAATGTGAATTACAAGCAATGAATATAGCGAATGAGGCCTTTTTATATCCATCGTAAATTCCTCTAAAGAAAAATAATGGGAGCTGTTTTGTTGAAGGATTTTGGAAACATTAATCAGCATATTAATAACTATTTAAGCTTTGAATTATTCTACATCTTTTAAGCTAATTGATATCAAGTATTATAAAAAATTATCTATTTTAAAATATCTCTTAAATTCTCAAAATAATAAAAACACAATACATCAAAAATTAGAATTCTAGATCCCACCCAGTGGCGATTCCTCTCCTTATTCTAATATTTCCTGAAACTTGTTCTTCCTGTTTACTAATAAATTCATCCAGACTTGTTTGCTTCTTGATAGCTAAGTCAGCCTCTTTTCTCAAATTCGGAACTTGTGGAATATATGGTGCTTTCAAGATTTTGCAGACCAATTTGTCCCAGTCCATCCCGCTCAATCAAGGATTGCACTTCAAAATTTCATAGCTTCCTCCAGTCCTAAGGACTGGATCCTTGCTTAAAAACTGTTCTATGAGATTTCTCGCATTTGGACTAATTTCTGCTCATGACGGATATACCAAGTTTCTCTCCAAAATTCTTTTATAAATTTCATAGGGCTCTTCTTCATCTTCTGCAAATGGGACTCCTCCACACAAAAACTCATAAAGCATGATCCCTAAGCTTCACAAATCTACTGCAATCCCATATCCCTTGCCAGTAATAAGTTCAGGAGCCATATAATGTGGAGTCCCTACTATAGTGTAAGTTCTCCCTATTACAATTTTAGCAGTCCCAAAGTCAATCAGCTTGGGGTACCCTTCATCATCTACCATGATATTTTCTGGCTTTAAATCTCTGTATACGATATCATGCTCATGCAAATGCTCCAATATATAAATTAAGCATGATATATAAAATCTTGCATCTTTTTCGCTTACAATCCCCATTTGCCGTAAAACGTCAAATAAGTCCATCCCTCTTACATATTCCAGCAGAAAATAAATTCGTTTAGTATCTCTGAAAGTTTTAATTAATTTCATAACAAAAACATGGTCCATTTGTTGGAGAATTCTTCGCTCTAGAGTCAGACTTTCTTGAAGCTCATAGGCATTTATTTTGTGCCTGTCTACTGATTTTAGTGCATAAAGGGTGCGCTTTATATTGTGGACTACTAGTGTGACAATTCCGAAGTTTCCTTTTCCGAGACTTTTGACGACTGATAAATCTTCAATGTTGATTGTGTCATCTTGGAGCTCAATTCTTTTCAACAGCTGCACCCTTATCTGGTCATCAATTATTTCTAGAAAGTCAGCCTTACTGATTACCCAGCAGCTAACCATACCATTAGCTATAACAGTGGCTGACCTAAAATCATCAAAAAGCACTGACCTTTCGCCAAAATAGTCGTGCTTAGTAATAGCTCGGATTTTTAGATTGTCTTTGAAAACTTCCACTTTTCCTTTTTTTATAATAAATAAAGAATCTCCAGGGTTATTCTGTTGAACGATGACTTGCCGATCGATATATTGCTCTATTTTCAAAGCCCGGAGCAGGCTATTCATTTTTTCAAAAGAAAGACTTCTTAAAAGCTGGATCTGTTTGAGCACTTTTAAGGCCTCATTATTAGAGGTTACTTGAGAATACTGCCCACCTATGCAGGCTTCAAATTCTGTTTTACTTATCATAGCAATGTCTACGTTGTCTCCAGCAATTAAATTTTCATCAAACGTACCATTATTTTCATTATTTACAATTTCTTTGTCGCCGATACAGCAAAAAACTTCAGAAAAAATTTCTCGATTGGTTTCTTTTATTACAGTCCCTTTGACAACGATTCATAAATATTCTCCATAAGGAGTTCCAGCTGCAATAACTATAGTTCCAGCTTCAAAAGACTGGATTTTCATATTAGCAATCAATGAATCTGCTTGCGACTTTATAAGCCTGCAAAGCACAGAACTCTTATCGAGTGCCATTCTTTGAGAATTCCTATAAATAATCTGCTGCAGATGGCTTCCCAATGCCTTTGTTAAATTTTCTCTTCAAATAGCTGCACATCTGACATCATCAATCGCAGAAATAGTCGCAGTCCTTGGGCTATTATAAAGCAAAGCCTGCTCTCCAAAGTAATCTCCCTTAGCCATTCTCCTAATTTCCCTTCCATGAGCAACGCAAGATACAGTCCCATCTTTGATTATATAAAACAAATCCCCAGGATCTCCTTCATTCACTATTCTTTGTCCAGCAGAGAATTTAATAGAAGTCAAAGACCCGACCAGAGCTTCTTTTTGTGGCATTGTCAATATCTGAAAGAGAGGGATGCTGTTGATAAAATGCTTGTTTTCATTATAGTTCATTGCATTTAGGGCTTCTATAGCATTTCTGAACGTTCTTCTGTCAAGTCCTCACAGCGTGCTTTTTTCAATAGTCTTTATAGTAGCAGTTCTTGGGGTATCATGAAGCAGTGCGAGTTCTCCAAAGGAATCCCCAGGCTTCAAAATATTTACGCGTTTGCCTTTTATAAGGACTTCAAGCTTCCCAGAAATGATGACGAAAAAATTATTGCCTGACTGGTTTTCCTCAAAAATGATAGAATTTGAGCCTAAGGAATAGTGCTTCATTTGATCAATTACAAGATCTCGTTGCTCATCAGTAAGACTATTGAAAATAAAATGCCGGCTTAAAGACTTGTTTATCATGTTTGCATCGGTTTCTGATTTAATTTTATTTGTGATTGTAGCGGTTGGAGCATCAAGAGATTCTTGTGCTTCTAAGCGCGAATCAATAACGGCGGCCTTTCTTTTCAGATGTTTTCGTGCTTGATCTGAAGATAAGAAGGGGGTTTGACTTATCCTTTTTAAACTAAAAAAAATCTTGGGGCTTGTCTTTTTAAATAGTCTGCAGAAATTTTTGAAAAAGCCAAGAAGACTTAGAATCTTCATTATTGTTTTTCTCTTGGTTCACAGACACTTCTTCTGGGTATTCGCCTTTAATTCCCATTGTTTTGATACCGCAGCCCATTCGTGTTTTTTATATTTCCCAAGTCAATAAATGTGAGGTTAATAATATTTGAAATTATGGATAAGTGCTTTGCGAAGGGCCAGCTAGTGTGGGCAAAACTTAAAGGGTATCCATGGTGGCCTGGAGTGGTAATAATAATTTAGGTAACACAAGCAGAAGAGCCAGGCTATGGGGTAAATGCAGCTGAAAAATCAAGATTCGTCAAAGTCAATTTCATTGGGGAAAACTCACAGTAACTGACATATAGCTCGAACTTATCAGAAAATAACGTTTGTGACTACCAAGAAAACTATGCGAAATATTGCTTCGCCAAGAAAAAGGTGAAAAATAAGCAGTTTCTGAAGAAAAGCATTGAAGCAGCCAACGACATATTGAATGGAAAAATCTCGATTTCAGAGTTGCCAAAAATCAATGAATATATTAATAAAAGCTTATTTCCCCCAAAAATTAATTTGAATGAAATAAAGAAAAAATCATATGTGAAAGAGTTAAAAGACATTGAAGAAAGCCTCGATAGCAAAGAAACAAAAAATAATAGGTGTTTGAAGCTCACAGAAATTCCTTATACACTTGTAACATTTATTCAGAATAAAGTTATGAAACTACAGAAGATTTTAACTGGGTATACTTCAGCGAACACGAGTAAAATGAATATTGATAAAATGACCCTTCACAATTTGTATGAGCACTTTTCTTATCTTTTGAACTCTGATCCAACTTCCTCAGCTTTGAATTCTTCAGAAATTTTAAAAGCTATTAAGCATTTTCATGAAGAGTTTATTGATAATGATGATCATATTTTGAGTGAACTTGCAAAATTGGCCCACAAGTTATATTTGTTTTGGAAAAGGAAAATAATATCTCATGTGCTAGGGAACTCAGACTATAAAGAACCTGAGAAAAAATCAGCTGAAGCTCCAGTAAAAAAAATAAATGAAAGTCCTGTGAAAAATATACATGAAGTTCCTGTGAAAAAAGCTCATGAAAGTCCTATGAAAAAAATACCTGAGAGCCTGAAAAAGACCAAAAGCACTATAATGGTACCAGAATTACAAATTTCTTCAAGCGAGTCAACAACTTCTTCATCCCCTGAGATTTCTTGCCAATATTATAATACAGAGGATGAATTTTGTCCAGATCCTAACTTGAAACAGAAAACTTGTGAGCAAATTGTGAGAGTTTTGACGACAAATGGGTTTGAGACTAATAAAGCTGGGGAGTTAGCAGCTTGTATTGAAAGGAAGTTAAGGCGTAAAGACCCGAGCATGAAATGCCAATACTTGAAGTTTTTTAATTTGATGATTGAAGATATAAAGTTGCTGAGTAAAGAAAATTATGAAAGGAGTGAAGAAATCAAGAAGAAAAATAATTGCGTAGTGTAAAATATGAGTTTTAAAGGCGTCCATAATTTTCAGCAATTGATCATTTCATGGGATTTGTATACAGCATTTCTGGAAAAATGGAGATAGTTGCTGAAATTTTGTAAATTAATTTTAATTAAAATAATTTTACTGTATAACTAATATTTTGAGAAAAATTGTTTTCATAATATTTGAAGCAACATCTTTATGGTTTCATTAAGTTTTATAGCACCAGAAATGGAATTATAAGTAATAATGAGGTGATTTTATTAAAAATAAAATCAATCTGTGTGTATAAGCAAGGAGATCTTTCAACATAAGGATAATCGTCGAAAAATTAATACCTTAAATTAATAATTTTGAGCAAATAAAGATAGCTAAGGCATCATCGTTGGAATGTTTAGAGCCTATAACATATTTCTTTACCTTCAAGGTATATTTGAATAAGTGTCCTCTAAGAAAACTGATTCCGCAATAAATATTGCTGATTTATAAATCTGGAGAAATAAACTTTATTTGATAATGAGCGTAAACTTCATAAGTAAATATCATCTTAAAATTATGTAGTCTAAGATGATCTCTTTATATCTCAATTATAATCATCTGTGCAAAGTATTTTACTCAAATGGTTAAATATTGAGAATAAGCTCCAAAAATATCACAAATAACAAATTCTGATGATAGTTCATTTGCAAATGCCTTTATCTGGCCATATTTAATTATTTTCAATCAGCACTTTTTATACTGATTTTAATTCGTATGTGCATACTGGACAAAAATTGCAAAATTTTAATTGCCTCTATCGCTCATTTGCATTCAGATTTCACATTATAATTATTTTATCTATTATAGATTTATTTATATATTTTCTAAAACTTCCATACTAAGTCCTATTATATTATATAGGAAATTCCCGATGATGGCGCTCAATGTGCCATCATTGGGCGCCTACAGTAAAGGGTCCACACTGGAAATGGATTCCACGTGTGGAGCCCTTTTTGACATGTGGAGAATCCTCACTTTCACGTGCCAAAAAGGGCTCCACACATGGAACATTTCCCGTGTGGACCCTGAACTGTAGTTGACCGATGATGGCGCATTGAGCGCCATCATCGGCAACTTGTATAACAATAAATCAAGATTTTAATATATAAAACCATCTATAGTTAAATAACATTTATGCTACACTTGAATTAGAAGGATTTAATTAAGATGATTTCGCACCTAATAGACTCCAAGGAGCTGATGCATGGAATCAAGCTACTCCAATCGCCCGTAGAAGGGCCGCAGAAATCCATAAGCCATCCACTCGAGAGCCATGAGATAAGGAGGAGACAGAAGGTAAAGGAAGCGGCATCCATTACTGGGATATACCCTCTGGCTGGAGTCGAAAAGTGGATGAACCTCCCGTATGGGGGGTCTTTAGTGACTGCGTGAGAAATATGGCTAACGCCTAATTTTAATATCTAACCTAACTCCTTAATATGGCAACAATCTGAAAAAGTTGAAAAAACATATCTGTGATGAAGCCCAACACCATTATTTAAGATTGAGAAAAAGAATTAGAAGTATCAGTGATTTTCAAAGGACTCCTGTCATATGGAGTCAGATTTCTCTGTCTATTTTCCAGTGATTTCTGCCTTACTTTTTTGACTTTGATTTTTCCAGTTTCAAGCTTTTCAAACAGTTCACTCAGTTGTCTTTGTAAGGCCACATTTGCTAACAAATTATTATTTTTTTCACTAGGAGGCAAAATTCTCTCTGTTTTAGAACCTCTCATTGGCTTTGGAATTGAAAGCTTTTTCTTTGACAATTCTCTGATAAGTGGGAGCTTGACTGGTGAAGACTTCTGTGACTCGTCTGTTTCTTCAGGCTAATTAAAAGTTACAATTGATCTCAGCTTTGTAGGGCTTCTTCTTAAGCTTCCATTATTTATATAATTTCCAAAGGCCGAATTCGTTGGGAAAAACAATGAGGAAAGCTTATAAGCTCTCTGCATAAACAAATCAGCACATGCATTCAAATCTGATGATACTGATGTGTTCATTCTTAAATGTCTGATTTCTATAGCAGTGTTATAAAGACTTAGGCACACAAACGATATCTTGGAAAACAAAGCGTCTTTAGAAAATTCATTATGCAATTTACCTCTTCTTTTTAAGTTGTCCACATTCATTGGCTTTAAATCCAATATATTTCCAACTGTAAAGTTGTTTACCCAATCAGGTACATTTTTAATCCCCAATAAAGTTTTGATTGAAGGACTATCACAGTCTGGAAGTTTCCCATTCTTTATAAATTCAAGCAAAATTTTTAGTGTAGGTATTGACCTTTGTGCTAAACTATAAAGTGCTATCTGCTTCTCAGAATATTCTTTACTTTTCTTATATTGATATGCACATATATGAAACTTATATAACCCAGGACTTCGTATGGATCGCCTAATGATGAACGGCACCCTTCTAACTAGTGGTGTTGGCTCGGACATCAATAGCTGCCAAGTCAACTCACCTGCCAAATAATAGCTCTTGCCAACTGGTAGATTTGGCTTGACAACTATTTCTACCCGAGCTAACTCCAAAAGTTAGAAGATTCTTACAGCTCAGAGCAATCCAAAAGAGGCTTTGAGTTTTATACCTTTGCAGTTGCCTCCACAAGTGAGTTTGCAATAAAAACAGCGTCCTGATTTTTATTTAAAGAATCCTCATGGTTGCCCATTTGGCAATACAAAGCCGCTGCTTGTAAATTAATCTGACACATATACTTTGACTTCTTAATATACCCCATAATTTCTTCTTCACTGAGCCTATTCCAAACTGGGTGTTCTCTTGGACATAAGCACGCTTCCAGATACGAGATTGCCTTGTCGACGCACCCTACCTTAAAGTAGCAATAAGCCATGTTATAAAGTGTCGCCATCGCGTACTCTGGGTCTGGAGTTATTCCTTGCGTCGAAAATTCGTGAATGATTTCTTCGCATTTGGCGAGTTCATTCAGCGCTGAAAAGAAATTTTCAGCCTCTATAAAGAGTCTTGCTGATTTCTCATGAGCAATTAAGTTATCATGGTCTGCTGGAGATTTGCCATCAATGAGCTCTTGATTTTCCATATTATCAAATATTATCACTAATCAAGTTATTCAGCCTTCTTTTCTTCTTCTTTTTTCGTCTGTTTAGACTGGTGAGACTTCTCGTGGGCGGCTAAGTTGCTGGACTGTGTAAACCGTTTGAGACATCCGGGGAATGAACATTGATAAGGCTTTTCTCCTGTGTGGGTCCTCAGATGGGTCCTTAGGTTAAAGTCGAGGGAAAATTTTTTGTTGCAGTATTGGCACTCATATGGTTTTTCTCCTGTATGGACTAGCTGATGCCTTCGAAGCTTGGAATTGTCTAAAAACCTTTTCCCGCACCCTTCATAAGCGCAGACGAACTGTCTTTCTCCATGTGTAGCAGCGTGCTTTTTAAGTGTCCCATGGTCACTGAAAACTTTTCCACAGTCTTCGAGGCTGCACTTATAAATTTTGGGGGTGATTTTTTCTTCTTCCACCTGCATTTCTTCTTCAATTTCATCAAGTGCGACCCATCTTTTCAGCCAAATTTCTGGCCCGTGCTCAAAGACGTTGCTGTAAAGGACCCATCTTGGCTCCCAGTGTTTTGGTCGATTATGCAGTTCGATTTTGGCAGGGATTTGCTCGCTTTTTACTTCTGGCTTTCTCTTTTTTGGCGAGACTGAATTCCCGCTCGAGACTTGGAGAACTGCTTCTTGAGGAGCTTCTGGGTCAGCTGACAGGGAAAGTTTGATCTTTAAAGAGCCCATTTATTATATTCCATTTTTTAAAAACTAATTTATATAGCTGGTGCCCCTTTTATAGATATTTAAGGACAATAGCTTTTAAAAGAAAAAAAATTGATTTAAAATTCTAGGAAAATAAAAAAGCTAAAATTAAATTTAAAAATTTAATTTATATGCCCTATTTGTCAGTTTTAAATTTGACTTTTCAAAATATTTTAAAATGTCAAAAGGAATTTTTCTTTAAAGGTATCTTTCCTCAGAAATCAATAAGGATTCAGGCACTATATCATAATTACTTATTTTACTTAAATTTATAAATTGTCAGTCTTCTTAAATGGAATATTTTTCTTAAACATTTCTATTCTTTATAGTTTCAGGTGCGAATTTTACTAGAAAAACAGTAGAATCATTACTAAAATGAGCAGTCACTCTCGCAGCAAAACCTGAAGCATTTAATAAGCCTTCGATAATTCCTGCTACAAAAGCGGAGCAATTTATGCGTTCCTGGCCTCTAGGCGCACTTGAAAACTGGTTGCAGAGTGAAGGCTCGTCTTCATATATCATGAACATGCAATCATCTACGGTGCTCTGCTCTATGTCTCCAGCTGGTTTGTTAAATAAAGTACGTCAAAATGGGTCTCGTATAAATCGCAGCATATTTATGATGGTGTGCTCTTTAGTTGAGCTCTTTTCACGTAGACACGTTAGCTCCAGGAATTTTAAGCCTAAAGGGTAGCCGAGCTCTTCCAGCTGATTTGTGAGAATTTGGGCATCACGGTTGCTGCGGGACTGAGAATATTGAACAATCTCTGAGAAAAGAAAATTAAAGGCACTTTTAGAGACTTCGCGCTTGGTTTTTACAGGACGATCGTAGATTGATTTTTTCATTTATGTGTAAATTGCTTTGTAATAGAAAGATGAGAGATTTTAATAATTTTGATAAATATAGATTTAAGCAAAGGTTTAATTGTAATAAGAAGAATATAGCAATTCCTAGGCAAGGCTTTGAGAAATTTTTGAATAAGCCTAAAAGATCTTTTAATCATGAAATTATTGCGAAATAATCAATTTTTATAAAAAATTTTAGTTATTGGAGCGTTTTATAGCGCTATTCAAATTTTCTCTTCAGCAGTAAGTTCTCATTAGCCAATTTTAATTATTTTATTGAACTTCACATATCGATTACCCTGGCTATCACATAGATGCAAAATCAATTATGCGAAAGTTTAACTCTAGCCCTTACTCTCTGCAATCTTGATAGAATGACGCCTATCGTCCAATCAAAGATATGCAATTAAATTTTTTATGGGAAAAAAATTACATATTATTTTAAATTTTTTCCTAATAAATAGTTTATAATATAAAGGATGCAATATATATAGTGAATATGATAGAAATTGTATATATATATAATATTTAGAAATAGTTTATGTTGAGATATCTCTAATATTTATTGTTACATATATAGAGAGTTAGACTTGAAGAAGGGGAGGAGTTTTACGTTTATCCATATTGAAAATCGCTCAAGAGGGGACCTTTAAATTGCTTAGACTCAATTTATTTTGAGAGATCTAAGACAATACAACAAATTTTATAATCAAAGCCGAAAAACCGTTTCAGAATAATACCAGCAATTTAAGCACTGACATGCAGAAAACTAGCAAGATATAGAAGCCACTAGGGTGATTTGGTATTGGAAATATATTTTAATAAATTAAAATCCTCTCAACGAGTTATATTTTTTGAAAATAGATGGAGTTTTAATAAAATTTATTTTTAAATTATAAATTTAAAAATACGATATCCGATTTAAATTTATACCAAATAAAGTTTATCTTTCAAGGCGACATATTACTTTCATGTATAGAAATATTAATTTTATTGGAAAAAAGATAAATGCATATTTTCAGTTATGTTTTCATAATTATTTCATAATGGGCTGTGGTGGATCTAAGAAAAGCAATAGAGTTTCAGAACCTCATAAACTTGCAGGCTCAAAAGATAAGCCATCTGGTCTGACTCCAAGAAATGGTCAAAATATAGGTACCCAACAATCTTTATCCGATTCTTTAGGAAGAAATGTCATTACAGCTAACCAAAAGCCACAGGATAAGCCAGCTGCGCCTCCAAGGGTAAAAGATCCAAATTCCCCACCTAAAAAATCTTCTAAAGCTTCAGAAGTAAAACCTCAAGAAAAAGTATCGAAACCTCCAGAGATTAAAAATCCAGAACCAAGTAGTCATCAGCCAAATCCTAGTAATATTCAAAAAACTAAAGAAGACTTAAAATCTGCTGTATTAGAAAACACGGAAATCAAGCCTATCCAAAAAAATAATTCACTCAAATCACTCGAGCCGAGGAAAAGTGAAGGTACTTTGAAGCTTGAAGAATCAAAGTCACAAAAAATCCTAGCTTTTCCCCATCCATAAATTGAGTCAATGTTTGCTTGCTCATAGATAACGGTTATTTTTGTTAAAATTTTATCTATTTAAAAAGAATTTTCCATCTACAAATATGAGAAGGTAAAAAATTATTTTTATATTTTACAATTATGTTCTAGAATGCAAATTTATAAATATAATGAATTAGAGATCTTATCATAATATTATGATTATTATCATTTTGATAAATAAATTTTTTTTGCCCGCTATTAGAGGCTAAAGGTTTTGCTCATAACTAAGGGGAGTAAGAAACCCATCGCAGCAAAAACTAGAAAGGCTGAAATCCCCTGCATCTGATGCTGAAATTATCCAAAGTCAAAGCTTAGTTGACTTCAAGCCTCCCACAACTTATAACAAAGTAATTTGGGCAAAGCAAAAGGTAATTGCTAACGAGCGTCACAAGCCTGCAGTTTCATTCAACGTAGTAATCAATGGAGCTACAGAAAAACTGACCTTCAACGATTTCCCTATAACTCACATAAAATCCAAAAATATTCCCAAAGTCGTAGACTGTATTGCTTATATTTATAAAACCCCAGAAGATATCGAAGAAATCAGAAAAATCAATACTGAATTCAGATATGTATGGAGCCAAGCCGTTATCTGTGAAAGCGAGCAGCTTATGTTGGACGTAGAGCCATTATCTGATGAAATTGGGATCGCAATTGTTAATAGCATGGACGATTTTATGAGAAAGGTGTATAATGATGATAGAAAACTTTATATTTTATTGAAAGAAGTGTTCATGAAAATTGATAAGGATGGAAGTGGATATATCGACATGAGTGAGCTTGCATCAGCAACTGAGCAGCTTGGAGAAAACCCAAATCAAAGTGAAATTCAAAATGCAATGCAAGAAATGGATCTTAACCGTGATGGAAAAATAAATTTCCAAGAATTTGTGTATTGGTGGAAAAGAGGACGCCAAGGAGCAATTTCTATACAAAAAATGGCTGGAAGCATTGCCAGTAGGTTTGCTGCAAATGTTCCTGGGTCTTTGGACCTGCTGAGAAATATTGGAATTGGTAAACGTACTATTGACAAAACTTATTATACAAAAGAAATTTCGGTTAGAGTTGGCAAAGATTTTGCTGACCCTAGCTTCCCTCCCACAAGTGAGCAAATTTTTTTAGTCCCTAATGAAGTGTTTATTTTTATTTTATTTTTTCTAATTTTTTATATATAAAAAAATTTTGTATTAAAAGTTATTTTACGTTTTAGAATATTATTTAATAAAATATGATCAAAAACTTTATATAGCGCTGAAAGCGCAGACATTTTCCCAGGAGCTTTCCAAGTTCGTCGGACCAAATCGCTTTTTGGTCCGACCAAGGCATTGATTTGGTGCAACCAACCGATAAATTCCGATCAGAATTTATCGGCCTTACAGCGCCAAACATAGGAAACTTCTATAGTTAGAGATTTCGATATAATAATTATCACATATATATCAAATGATTTTATATAAAAAATAATTGGCTTGCCCATTGAAGGAAATTTCCTAAAAGATGGATTTTCCTATTGTTTTGCTCACTTACTGAAGGGATAAGCTAAATGTCCACCTAATGCTTGGGAAAAGTGCTAAAAGAGAGCAAATATTGCAGGAAGCTAACCAAGCGTTGTCTTTTAATATGCGTGAAAGTTGGATTGCAGTTGCATTTACAACTAAACAAGGAAACGCCTCCTCAGCTCACTCACAGTTGGCTCAAGAAACTAGCAAAACTGCACTGAGCTCCTTCCTGGCTTCCGCTTATGATGGAAACTCTCTACAAAACTCCATTGGTGCAAGTGCCCAAGCAGTTGGGAACAAAGTATTTGTCGGTGCTTGGATTGATCTGAATAATGAAAAATTTGGCATGATCCATGACCACATTTCTTTATTTGAAAAAGTATTCCGATCCCCAGTCGATGATTATTTGGACTTGTCATTGCAGTTCAAAAATGGGATAAAAAATTTGCAATCTAATGAAATGACTAGCAATGATTTGCTATTTGAAGCATTTCGATTGAAAATCACCTACGTACACTGGGTGAAATTTTTAGAAATGATAATGACTTTGCAGAATAAATGTGATATCTCGACTGGTGTTTTCCCATTATCTTTTCTACTGATGTCAGGAAATATAGAGATGAGCTTTAAAAGTGTAAGTGATATCCCAAGGGCATTTTTCCCAGATCAGAGCGGGGGAACGACTCAAGCATGCGATGTGCTAAATTCGATAAAGCAGATAATGAAAGCTTACATTGTGGACACACCTTATATGGTAAACGTTACCAAAGAAATAATTGATAATTTTGAACAGAAAATTGAAATTATTTTTAGATTCAATAACTTGGGATTGAAACTAGAAATCAACGCTGATGGGCTAAGTGAGTTTTACCAAGCTCTAATTAGTGGGTAATAGAAATTATAAAAATTTATTCTAAGATTAAATGGTTATGTTTTAGAAACAGGTTTTACTCTGCTAGTGATTTGGCTTTTTATAATTTTTTAGTTATTTTTCTATCTTGGCTGGCTATTCATCTTGGAGTAGGAAAGGAAATCAAAATCTTCAGGCTAAGTTAAATTTGTGCCTGCAATATAGTGGAAGGAACCCCAAGGTGGATATAATAGCTATTAATTAAGTTTTATTATAAATTTTAAAATATGTATTAATAAATTAGATAAATAATAAATTATATCAATTGAATAGTGCCATCGACAACTTCAGCGCACATCTCATATAATTGTCTTTGAATTTGAGCAAGAATAATCCCATCCCTTTGTTCACCTAAATTATTTTCAAGGTCTTTATAATTTTGAAGCCTTTTATCACTCATAATTTGTTTGATCATCAAAGATTCCTCAGCTTTTTGCTTTTTAGCTTCGTTTTCAGTTCAAATTTTTCAATTATACAGCACATGCAATATTTTCTGGATAGAAAATTTCTTATAAATCCCAGAAATTCTGCCTAATAACTTTGCTTGGTAATTCTAATTGTTTTTTACCTTGAATTTCATTACTTTCATATTTAAATTCAGTCTTGAAGAGTTTTTGCTTGTAGCAACTTTAATATATCATTTTTTAAAAGCTTTTCTCGTCTTAAGTCCTTTACTTTCCGTCATAACTAGTGAGCAAAACCATTAGAAAAATCCCTATATTTGATAAATTAGGACCCTTTAAAAAGAAAGAAAAACTATGCAAAAATAATTGATATAATTAATAATTATGATAATGAGATCTTTAGTTAATTCTTTTGAAATTTAAACTGCTTGATTAATTTATAAATTAAAATATGTTTTCTTTTCAAATATTTAAAAATCTAGACTTTTAAAATCTTGCTTGCTAGCCAAGGGAGGATTAGAAACATTTAGCCTAGCAATTGCTCATTTTATTGACAGTTTTATTCTTGAATTCCTTTTCTCTGTCTCTACAGCTTGGTTCCATATTTTCATAAATCCAAAGTTCATAATTTTTCTCCCATACTCAAAAATCAGAGTAATCCCAGTCAATTTTCGATCATTTTTTGATTTTTTTAGTTGGACTTTCCACAAATTAAAAGATCTTGTTACTTTGCGTGAAAAAAATCTCGTATATGATCTCACTCCCCCCTTCCTTTAAATTCGAACAATAAATAGGTAAAATTTCCGTTTTTGGGCACTTTAACCCTTTAAATCGGAACAATTTTTTTCAATATAAAAGTTTTATAGGTGAAAATACTAATTTTTACAAAATTAATTTAGCCTAATTTTAATTGTAAATGTGCAAAAAGATATATCTAAATATTTCACATTGAAGTGATTAATTTTTTTATTTTAATTCTTTATATAATAAAATAAATTAAGTTTTCATTTATATTGTTTAGGAACAAATTTTTCTACTTATAGAGAAAAAAAATTAACCACCCTTTAAATCTGAAGGTTTTTTTTGTTCCGATTTAAAGATTAGGAGTCAGCATTTTTTCGATTATTTTATTTTCTCTTAGTCTTGATGGACTTGATATTATTTTGTAGCAAAGAGGGTGATTTAATTCAAAGCATGTCCTTCGTTTTCATTGGTCTAAAGATTTCCGTTTTAGCCTAAATGAAATTGATGTAAGTGTCTTAAGGAGCAATGATGAAGCAAGGCCTTTTGCAAATGATGAGTTGAAGTCTTCATCAGTGTTAGAAATCATTTCAAAGGAATTTTGTGAGTTTTTTAAGGATTGCTGATCTGGATTTTGCAAATTCTTTTGACCTCTAGTGTAAGGAGATAAAAATTTTCTTTGATTTTCCATTTTAAATTAGATAAAATTTAAGTTTGAATACTTATGCTAATTCAATGTATATAAATTATTATCTCATAAAAGTTGGCATCTTCTTTATATGATAGATATTTGACTGAAGTTGAAATTATAATTTGATAAAGTTAGTTTTCATATTTAATTTATTATTTTTTTAAAAACAGAGGCATCATCTATAAAATTGTAATAGCTCGTGAGGTATTTATACCTTTAATATAGAATTCTAATTCTTAGGCAAAAGATTTCCTCGACCTTGTCAGAGAATATTGTAAAGGCAAAGAAAAAATCATTCACTAAAGAGTGCAGCAAAGTTGGAGCATGGATTACCTGCTAAATTTAGTAAGGTTAATCACTCTTTTATGCTTAAACACTCATGAGCGATTATTTATTATAATTGAAATCTATCTTATCAAACTTTTACTATTTAACTCTTCTTAGCTTTATCTAGTTTTTTACACTCTTTTGACTAAAAGAGTAAAGAATTTTTATAAAAATCCAGATTTTTTCTATTTTAGCTAAAATTGCGTAATCTTGAAAATTGCATATCTCTAAAAATAAATTTCTTTATTTTTTAAAAAAATGCAAGCAAGCATGAAAGTGAAAAGATTAAAGAGACTAATAATAAAAATTTGTATGAAGCAAAACCAAAAAATAGAAAAGAATAAAATTCGCACAATTATGAAAATGCCTGATAAGCGAAACTAATTAGTTTATATAGTTTAGAATGGCCTTTAGCTCGCCCTGGGCTGCTATTTTTCGCTCCAACTCATAGAGTTGGTTCGGCTCCAAAAGTTGCGAAGCCAACTCTACGAGTTGAAATGGTATTTATATGCTGGCTTGTCAACTCGCTAAGTTGGTTTGACAAATTTTGGCTCCAAATCAACTGGACGAGTTGAAGCGAAAGCTGGTAGCCTTAGGTGGGCTATAATTTAAAATACTAAATCAAAATCATAAAGACTTTTAATTTAATTCAGCAATTATTAATATTTTTATATTTTCAAATCCTCATTCATGTATAATTAATTATCTTTTCTTATTTATTGAGCAACTCTTAGATAACGATGTCAGTCCTGACTCAAAAATAAGATATTTTTTGCTTGTGGTTGCTAATTGGGTTATGCATTTAAATTAGATTTCTCGACACTATATCTTCAACCAAATTCTGTAATAGTTTTATGATAAATAAATAGTAATTAAATTATTGAAATTCATTTCTCATTAAACGATTATTTATCTTTTTTTAGTTCAAATTTAATTATATAATGCGATCTTATTATTAGTCTGTTATGCTTTTGGCACCTCATAAAAGTTGCGAATTGTTTTGCCAACAAATATTGACAATGGAAACGTAAGAAATAAAAATCTATAGTATCAAGCGAATTTATCATTTCGTGAATAGGTTTATCAGTATTTGTGGCGAAATCACTCTCCGATTCTTCTAAGAGGCATAGAGAATAGTGAGCTAATAACAGGCATTCTATGTGTAACTTTAAAAAAAAATTATAAGGAGCCATTTTTTTATAGCAAAAATTGCTTTCTTTTTTATGTGAAATTTCTTTTGTATGTGAAATTTCTTTTTATGTGAAATTTCTTTAGAAATTTTATCAAAAACTCATCCAGCATCTCGTTTTAGTTTTAAGCTATATATTTTCTAAAAATAAAACCAATTTTTAAAAGACTTGCTATCCTTTAATTTTATCAATAATCGCCTTTGTATACTCAGTCGTTTTAGATCTTCCACCTAAGTCTCCAGTCCTCACAGTCCCTTCAACCAATACCGAATGGATTGCTTTTTCAATCTTCTCTGCATGCTCTAGCAAATTCAAATGCTTTAGCATCATAATCGAGCTAAATAGCAAGGCTGTCGGATTCGCTAAATTTTTCCCTGCAATATCAGGAGCAGACCCATGAACTGCTTCAAAAATAGCATGCTCTTCCCCAATATTTGCACTTGGTGTCAATCCTAACCCTCCAATTAGCCCAGCACAAACATCACTAACAATATCTCCGTACAAATTAGGCATGACCATGACGTCAAAATTCGACGGGTTCGATACCAAAATTCCACAACCAGTGTCCATGTTCTTTTCAAAATAAGGGACTTTTGGGTGCAATTTCGCGATTTCTCGAACTTTTTTCAGGAATAAGCCATCACCCATTTTCATGACGCTGGCTTTGTGGAATGCATGGACTTTGGATCTGCCGTATTTTTCACAGTAATCAAAGGCATATCTGGCGATTCTTAAGCATGCTCTTTCGGATACAATTTTTAGGTTTTCGATGACACCTGGTATCACTTCATGCTCTTTGCCACTGTATTCGCCTTCAGTGTTTTCTCTGATAGTCACTAGATCTACATTTTCGTAGACTGTCCTGACCCCTGGGACAGTTTTGCATGGCCTTACATTTGCATATAAGTCAAGCTCACGTCTGAGATGGACATTCAAGCTTACGTGCCCTCCACCTATTGGAGTCCCAGTTGGTCCTTTCAGTCCGATTTTGTGTTCTCTTATTTGGCACAAGGTATCTCTATTAAACGGATCTTCTCCTGGCTTCGCACTTTTATTGATCAAATCTGCATGAACCCAGGAAATAGGGACTTGTGCAGCATCAAAAATATCCACAACAGAATTTGCAACTTCAGGCCCAATCCCATCGCCAGGCATAAGGACAACTCTAAAGCTACTAAATCTTCTAAAGGCTTTACTTATCATTTTATTAAATGGAGGTAATTAGTTAAGAATAGGCTTCATGGCTGGGAACAACAATACTTCCTTGATGTTATTCTTGTCAGTTAGAAGCATAGTGAGCCTATCAACACCCAAACCCCATCCACCAGTTGGAGGTAGCCCATATTCTAGTGAAGTGCAGAAGTTTTCATCTAAGAATTGAGCTTCATCATCTCCAGCTGCTCTATCTTTGGCTTGCTCTTCAAACAGCTCTCTTTGTTTAAATGGATCATTAAGCTCAGTATAAGCATTGCAGTACTCATGATGGTTAATAAATAGCTCAAACCTTTCACTTAGTCCTGGGGTTGTTCTGTGGTATTTAGCTAAAGGACTCATAATTTGTGGGTGATCAGTGATAAATGTAGGATTTATGCACTGGGATTCCAAGAAATGACCACATAGCTTGTCTAGTTTAAGTTTAAGTTTATTGAATTACTCTCTAGCATCTTGAATGCCTATAAAGTCCCCTTGCTTGAGGTTCAGCTAAATTAACAGCTCTGAACAACAGTAGGTGAATCGGCCTAACCGTCGAACTGTTAAAGTTAATAAGCTCGTTAAGACTTCTCTAGTCAGTGCCAGATACAGCAGTGACCCTTCTCTTCAGAGCCGAAGCTCTCAAGAAGATTGACTTCTCTCACTGAGCTCGGTATATAGGTCCATCCTGTTTGAGCAGGAGCTAGGACCTATCCCTAACTGACATTTTTAATATTGTGCTTGTCTAGTAAACGAGTGGTGGTGCGAGGAGGACTGCATTCAACATGGTGCTTATGACACAGATTTTCAAAGAAAACTTTGGCTTCTTCAGAGTATAAGTCGGCTGGGAATTTTTCTCCAGTAGCTTCTTCTAATGAAGCGATCATAGGAAGACGTCTCCATGGAGTTGAGAAGTCAATTTCAATTTCTCTGCCTTCTGGGCCGTCTGGGTGATATTTTATTTTGTGTGAGCCTTTAATTTCATAGACAATTCCGCTGATCATTTGCTCACTCCTCCTAAGTGATTGAACAAAACCATTGGAAAAATGTATCAATTCCTTGGGTAAAAAAAACTCAGGCTAATTCTGTTGAATTTTAGACAGATTAAGTTTTTAAAACATAAATTTTCAAATAAAATTAATTTTTGAATTCAATTTTTGCGAAATGGATTTTTTTTAATTTCAAAAAAATAATGGTGTAAATATTTTAAAATTAAAAATTTAAATTGTTTTGATCGCACTAGGAGCGGAGTCAGTAATCGTCAACAGGTCATTGTAATCCGCATAAGCCCAATAAAACTCACAAGTCGTGAACTCAGGGTTGTGAGTAAGGTCAATTCCTTCATTTCTGAACTGTTTGCCGATCTCGTAAACTCTTTCCATTCCTCCTACTATGAGCATTTTGAGGTAAAGTTCTGGGGCGATTCTCATATAAAGCTTCATGTTCAGGTCATTGTGATGGGTTTCAAAAGGCTTGGCTGAGGCTCCTCCAGGGATCATGTTCATCATTGGGGTTTCGACTTCAGTGAATCCGCGTGTGTCAAGGAAATTTCTGACCATTTGGATGACTTTTTTACGGGTGATAAAGGTATTTCTGTTATCGTTGTTTATAATAAGATCAAGATATCTTTGACGATAACGAGTTTCTTGGTCTTTTAAGCTGTGTGTAGGGAGCATGTGAAGACAGTAGCTTAAAATATTGATGTGGTGAGGAATAATGCTAAGCTCTCCAGGTTTATTCTTACTCTCACACTTATTCGTGGGAGTTCTAATACAAAATTTTCAAATAATAACTCTTATATGCATAGATTGATATTTACTTATTAACATAAAATCTACTATTTGGAAATTTTGTGCTAAAAAAACCCACTAATGAGCAAGAGTTTGCTTATTACTAGGGCGAGATAGGAGATGACCTAGCTGGGACGCCGGTAAAGCCTACAATATCACCACGGTGAATTTTGCTGGTTATGTCAGTAAAATCTCCTTGGTAATTGGAAGCATCAGCCATTACTTGTAAATGGACTCCATCAGCTTGTAAGTCGTAAAACAGGATTTTCCCATGTTCTCTTATATGGATTACTCTTCCTGCGACCGAGACGATTTCATTGTCAAGTTTCTGGCCTTTTTCCAAGTGTGAATATCTGCGGATGAATTCTGGAAGCTCCATTGGATTAGGATTAGGATTATTAAATTCAGACACGATCCATATTGGTGACGCAGTCACCAAAGATCTCCCGTACGGGAGCTTCTACCACTTTTTGACTCCAGCTCAGAGAGTCTATCCCTCTTGCGAGAGCCCTTCGGTAACTTCTGTCTCCTCCTTGCCTGTTGCTTCAGTCTTGAGTAGGCGGCTTATGGATTTCTGCGACCCTGCTACGGGCGATTGGAATAGCTTGATTCCAAGGATCAACTTCTTGGGGATATCGGGTATCGAAGTGTCTTCCTTCGTCAGCTATAGGAAAAAGACTGTTCCTCTGTGACCTGGGCCGAAACCTCCAGTTTCTCAGTAGAGGAATGCTCATAGTTTCTCGGATCCAAGGACGTTGCTGAGCACCTCCATTTTTAACCACAGGAAAGCAGCCAAAACCTATCCGGATACACACCTCTTGAGCCTGCGCTTGATTCTTAGCTCGGAGTCCGTCCCAGCTCGCCTTAGCCATAAGGTCTGGACTGCTGCGCTAAGAGGGCAGGTTGATACGTGTCGCCATTTTAATGTATATTCTGGAAGCTCCATTGAAATTTGGAATTTGTGAGGATAAGCTTCAATTCCTGCTGCTTTTAAGGATTTTACATATTCGCAGCGGTTTAAAAGATACTGACTTGGATCAATTTCTTCCTCTTCCTTTTTGGCGGACTCATGCTTTTGGGCGGAATCGTGTTTTTCACCTTCTTCATGCTTTTTAGCAGCCTTTTCTGCTTTTTCTTTGGCTAAACGTTCTGCTTTTTGTTGACGTTTAAGCTCGCTAAATAAAAGTTATGCTTTATTAATGAAACTTAATACTAAAAAAATCAATCAATTTCTTATTATTTATATCCAGTTTTCAAGTTTTTAATTTTAGGATTTGGTAATACTTTTTGCTGATCTTCTTTTCTTCGCCTTCACCAGGTTCCATATTAAAATTGGATAATGGCCGTACATATATACGAGCAAAAGTAGGATACAAAAATTTTGCTGATAACAAATTTTTAGCGAGCCTAAACATTTTTCAAATTATTATAAAATTTGATATAAAAATAATTTATGAAATTAATGCGAATTCTTGATCATTTCTTTCATAAATCACGTCGTTTTTCTTAAGCTCTTCTAATAATACAGACAGCAGTGCCGCGTTATCTTGAAACTTTTGGTTTGCAATCGCTCGCAACTCAGAAAAATTCAGAGGTCTATTGCTTTCTTTGAAAGCTTGCAAAATTAGTTCTTTGGGATGAAAAGGGTTAGGATTTATGTCAAAAATTGTAGCTGTAAGGGCTGATTCCCTATTAAAAGGCTCTAAAAATCCTTTGACGACTAAGTTATAAATTGCTTCTTCTGTTTCATTTTCTCCTATTGCAAGCTGCAAAATCTCTTGATAATTAATTTGTGTTTTTCCAGTTTCTCTAATAAGAGAGACTAATTTAAGCTCTAATACATCTTTATTACTACTATAATGCCTCTGCATCTTAAGCGAATTTTTTGGGGTTTTCACAATTCTTGATGTATAAACTTTGTTTCATAGATTAGATGTGTTTTGATATCACTCTATTTCTTCATCGAAATCTTCCATTATATAAGGATTTCCTTTGACTTTTATTCAAGGCTTTTGTTAATTAACAATGCACTTTCCTTAATTCAAACTCTACTGTCGGGTCAAGTAGCCTTGGGCTATTGGGATGGATGACTGACAAGATGGATTGATATCAAGGAGCGTGGGATGAAGACTGGACAGTGTGCTTTTACATGGTTAAGGCCAGAAAGAGAGATGAAATGGAAGTCCGCAGCTCATCTGACTTCAATGAAGGATATACGAGCTATTAAGCGTAATCGCATCAGATGAGTGTTGTGGTCAGGGCAGCGGGTGCGATGTGTGAAGATAAACCACCTTGTATTGCAGCAGTGGGTAATAAAGTCCTCAAGACCTAGCGCAGTGAGCTTTGTCTCCGCCATAAATTGTCTTATGACCTCGAAATAAGCTCCCTTTACCTTCTCTACCCTTTCCTTTGACTTTTATTTGGAAATTGTCGTTGTGAATTTCTAGTTTCCCTTTAACTCTGACCAAGTCACCTACTTTTATAGGAAGTCGGCTTTGATTTCACCCCTCTGCAAAAATAACGCAGTTGATAGTACCAGTTGTGTCATCCACTGAATAAAAGTTACAAACAAAAAGTGTATGCGATGCTCCTAATTTCACATAGATTACGACGCCTTGTGTAACTACTTGTTTTACTGGGTTATGCAAAATAATATTCACAGTCGTTTTTCCTCCTCTTTTTTTGACATAAGATGATAGTAAAAACCATTTGAAAATCTTTTTGGTGAAATAAATAGCATTACAAAATCTTAATAAAATAAAGGGTTGGAAAAGATTTACAGTGAATTTTTTTGCAGAAACACATAAATTGATTAGAAAATCATATATAAATGCTAGAACATACAGCGCATATTATATTGCCTTTTTTATCTTAAAAATATTTACAGAAAAGTATAAAAATGTAAGTTTAATATTAAAAACAGCGATAGCAAGAAAATAAATTAAAACCAAAAGAAGCTTATATTACATAAATACAGACTCCTAAGTCTCAAAGATATAAATAAGTAGCTAAAAATTTTAAAGCCTGAAAAATTCAAGTCAAAAATTTTAATTGAAAAAAATTCATGGTAATTTTGAATGGTCTATTACTGTTTTTAATTATTAAACTCATGCTTTTTGTGTTTTTCTATGAATATTTTTGAGACTAAATAGATAATAAAATATGCGTTGTGCCGTTCTTAATTATATTTAGTTTAAACTTTATATGATATTAATATTTAATATAATATTCTTATCTTTCTCTGTAGACATAGCTTAGTATTGCTAATAAATCAATTTATAGGAATTTTTTTCAACATTTTTTTTAATTAGGCTTTTGCACTGGTATATTTTCCACCAAAAAAATTATTAATGGCTTTTACTGTCATTTACATCAAAAAAGAGGTGGAAAAAATGATCGTAATTTTTCCGCCTCACCCGTTTTACTTGATTTTCATACATAAAAAACTCTGTTTGGCCTTCTGCATTTATTTCTTGTTTTAGGCTTAAAATATTCCCTATAAACAGTCTATAAATACTGGCGGGAACTTTTACAAAGCTTGCCATAAGATTTTCTAAATAAATTATCTTACTCCTCCCCCCCCCCCTCCCGTGAGCGAACAAAACCATTAGAAAAATCGCCATTTTTTGACCAAAAACCCACCCTCCGTGAGTGAAACAAAAATTTTTTTAATAGAAAAAATTTTTAATGGAAAAAAATTTTGATATATAAGTGATAATTAGTATAATGAAATCTAGAGCTAATTCTGTTTAATTTTAAACAAATTGCGTTTTAAAAACATAAATTTTTGCAAATTAAATTAATATTTGCTTCCCAATTTTTGCAAATTAGGATTTTTTTAAATTTCGAAAAAAAATATTTTTTATAAAATTTATATATAAATTTTTTTTAAAAAAAAAAATTAACCCCCCTCCGTGAGCGAACAAAATTTTTTTTGTTCGCTCACGGAGGGGGGGGGGGGGAGTTAGACTATTCTTTCTAGCTCTACTGCGTAGCTGACAGCTTGTGAAATCAGGTGCCAATTTTCTAGCTCAGACGACTTCTTTTCAGCTTCTCCTCTAAGTGATAACCATTCTCCATCTAAAATCCATTCCTTCTGTAGCTCTCTTTCCCTCTTAAAAACTGATATCCTTACTTAAAACCTTTTATTTAATTTGATAATTAATATACATTTATTATTTATAGAAATCAATATTTTTAAATACCAACTATTATAATTTGTTTTCTATTCAGGTATATAAACTCTGCCAATTCTTGTCTGCTCTTCAGTCTCAACAACTCACATGCACTGTTAACATGTAACAAATCATAAGCTTTTTCAAAACTAGCTGCTATTTCGAACCTAATAGTGTCCAAAATTCTGTTGACAAAAAAGCTGAATTCTGGGGCCGGGACATTATCTTTTGCATCTAATACTTGCTGATAATTTCCTTCCATAAAGTATTGCTCCAATTCCACAGCAAACCTTATGAAGTTGTTCTGCCTTTCAGTCCATGGGATTGCTTCTAACTCTGTATGGAACTCGGTAATTTTATTGAAAGAAAGCAAATAAGTTAAATGCAAACCGAGAACCCTCCAAACGTGCTCGGAACTGCCAATAATCCCGGTGTAGTCGAAGTAAAGGACTTTTAGCAAGTCAAAGCATTGCTCAATGCCTGTAGTGTCTTGGAGCTTGATATAAGCTTGCAAACTGAGCTCATATGCAGTCCTGATTAATGCCAATTCTTCAGGGACTTGAACTGGGGATGGAGGCATTGATGGGATACCTATCAAAGCGATTTTTAGGGCTTTGGTATGTCTGGCTAGGTCGGAGGAGTTGGATTGTAGGGTAAGTCTGACGTTTTCAATGGCATTTTGGAGGTTCTGAATGGACATTTTAGAAATTATTTATCTGAGAAGCTTAAAATGAAGTTTATGAAATTTTATTTAATTTTAATTAAGATTATAATTTAATTCCACAATTAATTATCATTAATTATATTATTCTACACATTTCGCATGCAAGTGATTGAGTTTCTTTTTCAATCTTTAGTCCACATTGAGCAACTGGTCTTCTCCTTTTCAAATTTACTTCTTCTTTTAGTTTTGCTAAGATTCTATGCCTATATCCTAGTTTATCAATTTTTATATCATTTTTCAGCACATCTTCAGTGATTGGGTAATTTGAATTCATAAGCATCCATATATGATCCAAATCATCATATCCAGAGTCTCTGAAATTTCTAATTAGAAATCCCAAACTTAATTCCTCTAGCCTTAAACTTAACTTAAACTTAAAGGTTGGCGTCTGCCTTATTGGTTACGCAGTCACCAAGGACTCTCCCGTACGGGCAGTTCATCCGCTTTGCGCCGTCTTCAGCTTCGCCTTGCTCGAATTGGGGCAATGATTCGCTGGGCAAGTGTTCAGCTCTGACACTACCTTTCTTCTCCTTCAGCGCCTGATGCCAGGGCACTTCTGAAGTGAGACTCTGCTTGGACGTCTCCTCCTCCCTTTCGGTCCAGTGTTGAGTGGGCGGACTATGGACTTCTGCGGCTGCTGCTTGTGTCACAAGGTTGGCCACACAAAAATCCCAAAAAATGGAATTTCTGTTCGACCTTTCGGCAAAAGGAAAAATTTGGATCCCGGACGTAACGCCCGGTTTCACGCTAGGCAGTTGCCCGATTGATCTGGGTATTATCTGCAGACCTTGCTGGCTTACCCTTTCCAAAATCCAAACCCTCCTTTCCCTTGAGGTAAAACCCAACCTCGAAATCAGACTAAGGGGTAGGCTCTGTACATTACCAGAATTGCTTACCTAGCATTGCCGTCCATTTCTTGATTGGTAAAAACCTTGCCGGATATAAATAAAATATAAGTCGAGTATGCATGGCCGGAGGCCATGCCCAGACGAAGACGCCATATTTTATTTATTAATTCCTCTAGCCAATTTTCAAGATTTTTACCATGATAGGTGCTGGAAATAACTTGTGATCCTATTGGAGCTGCACAGCAATTAAAATTGCTAGGCTCTGCTAATGATTTTCTCATCCGTAAAATTTCGTCTTCTAATAAAGCTAGGATTCTTACCCTATGGCCAGGTTTTTTTATTCCCATCATTTCTAAATGCTTAAGAGTTAAAGGCTCAGCTGACCTCATAATTTGCCTAATAAAATCCAAGTCCTCATATCCATTATGCAAAAAAGCTTGAAAAAGTGGTTCAAGTCTATTGCTTACCAGCCACTTATAAAGCATATTTTTATTCAAATCTGGTTAGAGCCGGACTGTCAGATAGATTCTGCAGATAGATCCAGAATACCAGAAGAGTCAGGTAGACTCAAAAGTATTGACCGAAATCTCCCCCAAACGAAAAATTCCTATCTGTCACCATAAAATTGCTTTGCAAACTTACTCTTTCACTTTCAGGCTCCAACAAGGATTCCGATTTCACCGACAAAATGACTTCACTTTCCAGCTGCTTTCCACAATTTTCTGATGAAAATTCGACCAGTTCTTCAGTGCTTTCCGCTATTGCTTCTCTGCATTCTGCAGCTGGGACTTCTGGGACTAAAAACTTAACAGGAGGAATATCTTCGCTGAAAATTTCATTTTTATCAATAACTTCTATTTCCTCACTAAGGGCCTGAATTATTTCTAAATTTTGAGCATATTGAATAGGCTTTTTTTCATTTCTATCTTTAATATCTTTATTTGCATTATAAGAAATTAATGCCTGCACTATAGGAAGAAAATTATTTTCAGCTGCATAATGTAAGGGTGTTTTTCCAAAGGAAATGTTTTGAATGTTAGGATTTGCCTTGTGCTTTAATAGGAGCTGAGCCATTTTTAAGTGTCCTTTGACACAGCAATGATGAAGTGGAGTGTCACCATCATTTTGCTGAATATTTGGATCAGCTTTGAATTTAAGCAAAAATTGAGCGATTTTCAATTGGTTGCTGTCAGCGGCTTGATGCAGAGGAGCCTCACCTAGCCGATTTTGAATGTTTGGATTTGCTCCTTTATTCAATAAAAATTCTGATGCTTCGAAATGGCCACATATAACTGTTCGATATAAAGGTGCCCAACCTAATTTTGGGTCAAGCTCATTTATAAGTTCAGGTGACTGTATTAGAGACTTCTTCAGCAGCTCTACATCGCCAAGTCTACAAGCTTTTTGTATTTCATCTAAATTGCTCATATTTTGCTAAATTGCGATTTATTAATATATTCTATTCCGAAAATTTTTAAAGTCTAAATGGCTAGCACAATAATGAAATAGTTGCTTGAGAATTATTTCACCTGCTATATTTGCTCAAGAAAAATCAAATAAAAGCTTTAGGTAATAAGAAATTCCAACCAAAGGCATAATTAAAAATATATAGAAAATTTTTTTTTAAGACAGTTTATTCAATTTGGTTAATATTAAAATAAATTAATTTTCTAATTTTTGCTTATGATTCTTGGCTTTCATAATATTCATCTTGTTCTTCATACAGTGCTTCTGTTTCATCTTCATCATTGTAAGACACAGTTTCTGTGTCTATATCATAGCTAACAGATTCATAATCATCTTCATCTATTTTTTCATTGACATTTTCTGCTTGGGTTTGCAATACTTTGACATCTTCGTAGTCAAGTTCATAATTTCCTACAGTTACAGTGGTTCCTGGCTCTGCATCTTCTAGCTCACTTTCAACGTCTTCAAGATCGTCTTCTACATCTTCTACATCATCTTCTGTGGCAATAATAACTCCAGTTTCGGCTTGATCTACAGCTTCATAATAATGCTCATTTAAGTCTTCTACCTCGTCTTGGTCAACTTCATCATAATCGTCTTCGTCTTCTTCATAGTAGCTTTCATAGTCATATTCCACAGACTCAGTGCTTTCTGACTCGCTTTCAGTTGTATCTGACTCGCTTTCAGTAGAGTCTGATTCGCTTTCACTAGATGTTTCGCCTTCACTTTCATCGTAAATTTCAGAGCTTTCATAAGCTTCTACGTCTACTTCAGTGTCATCGCTATCTTCGTCTTCGTCATCTGCATAGTTATATGTGACTTCGCTGTCACTGCTAACTTCAGCGGTGTCTTGATAATAGGACCCAGTGGTGACAGATTCATATTCGTCTTCATCAATGATGTAGGTTGTTCCTGTTTCGGAGTCAACGACGTAATATTCGTCTTCTTCAAGCTCATCTTCGGCTTCCTTGTATTTTTCAATGATCTCGTCGATATCTTCATAAGTGTAAGTTGTACCGTCAATTGTGACAGTGTCACCTTCGTCCATGTCTTCGTAGATTTCTTCATAGAACTCAATGGTTTCGTCTAAATCTTCATTTGAGTAAATCCTATCACCATCGGTTGTAGTTCCAGATGTTGAAACACTTTCACTGTATGAACTTTCTGTAGACTCCTCGCTTTCTGTATCCTCTTCTTCACTTGAGGAACTTTCAGTAGACTCTGACTCACTAGACTCCTCGCTTGTTTCCTCATCGCTGCTAGAATCTTCAGCATACTCAGATTCGCTTGACTCAACAGTGTCCTCTTCACTTTCGGATTCCTCAGTATACTCGGATTCAGCTTCTTCTGTTTCAGTTGAAGAAGTTTCAGTTGATGAAGTTTCACTAGACTCTGTTGTTTCACTATAAGTTTCTTCGCTTGACTCTGTTTCACTAGTTTCTTCTTCACTAGAAGAACTTTCTACGTACTCAGATTCACCGGATTCCGTGGCTCCATCTTCGCTGGAAGCCTCTTCACTGGATTCTTCAGTGCTAGCTTCATCGCTTGAGCTAGTTTCTGTGTACTCAGATTCGCTGGATTCAGTTGTTTCTTCTGCACTAGTTGAGTCTTCACTATATTCAGTTTCACTTGATTCGCTAGAAGATTCAGATGATTCTTCACTTGTTTCGCTCGAAGCTTCGTCAGCACTTTCACTCTCGGTCGATTCATCTACTGCCTCTGCTTCCTCAGTGCTTGAAGTATCCTCAGTTGATTCGCTAGAATCTTCAGTTGTTTCTTCATCAGTGGTTGCCTCTTCGCTAGATTCTGACTCTGTTGCTTCAGTATAATATTCTTCAGTATATTCAACTTCAGTGGATTCAGTTGTATCCTCACTATACTCTGATGTGCTGGATTCTGAAGAGGCCTCATCGCTAGAGGTTTCTTCAGTGTACTCTGATTCGCTAGATTCTTCAGATGATGCTTCATCGCTAGAGCTTTCTTCTGTATTTTCTGATTCACTTGATTCTTCAGATGTTGCCTCATCACTTGTCTCTTCTGATTGGCTTGTTTCTTGAGTTTCTGTCTCGTCGCTGGATGCTTCTTCACTTGATTCTGACTCGCTGGATTCTGATTCACTGTATTCAGTTGCTACTACTTCAGTATATGAATCTTCACTGTATTCAGTTTCAGTTGACTCGCTCGAAGAGCTTTCTACGTTCTCTCTAGTTTCGTCGGTTGATTCTTCATCACTTGAAGCTTCATCAGTATTTTCAGAGGATTCTGATTCACTTGATTCCTCACTCCCCATTTTAATAGAGGTCAAAATACAGTGAAAATCCTAATTTTTAGGAAATTATAATAATGTGAAATATTAAAATTGTGAATATAAATATTTTACAAAAAATTACTTGTCTTTCAAGGGGTGAGTCAGATGATGCTTCATCGCTTGAGCCTTCTTCATTTTCTGACTCAGTAGATTCTTCAGTTGCTGCCTCATCGCTAGAAGTTTCTTCGCTTGAGGACTCTTCACTTGACTCAGTAGCTGCTTCATCGCTGGAGCTTTCTTCACTTGATTCCTCCTCGGTTGTTTCACCTTCGCTTGATTCGGTAGTTTCCTCATCGCTAGAGGTATCTTCACTTGATTCCTCACCAGTTGTTTCAGTTTCTTGACTTGACTCCTCTTCGCTGGACTCAGTAGCTGTCTCATCACTAGAAGTTTCTTCGCTAGAGGTTTCTTCACTAGAGGTTTCTTCACTAGAAGTTTCTTCAGTAGAAGTTTCTTCGCTAGAGGTTTCTTCACTAGAGGTTTCTTCGCTAGAGGTTTCTTCAGTAGAAGTTTCTTCGCTAGAGGTTTCTTCACTAGAGGTTTCTTCACTAGAAGCTTCTTCGCTAGAGGTTTCTTCACTGGAGGTTTCTTCACTAGAGGTTTCTTCACTTGAAGCTTCTTCGCTAGAGGTCTCTTCGCTGGAGGTTTCTTCACTAGATGTGTCTTCACTTGACGTTTCTTCACTAGAGGTCTCTTCGCTGGAGGTTTCTTCACTAGATGTGTCTTCACTTGAAGTTTCTTCACTAGAAGTTTCTTCGCTAGAGGCTTCTTCACTAGAAGTTTCTTCACTTGAGGTTTCTTCACTAGAAGTTTCTTCGCTAGAGGTTTCCTCACTAGATGCTTCTTCACTTGATGTTTCTTCGCTAGAAGTTTCTTCGCTTGATGTTTCTTCACTCGAGGTTTCTTCGCTTGATTCCTCATCAGTAGCTTCAGTTTCTTCACTAGAGGCTTCGTCACTAGAAGCACCTTCACTAGAGGTTTCTTCGCTAGAGGTTTCTTCATTAGAAGTTTCTTCGCTAGAGGTTTCTTCACTCGATGTTTCTTCACTAGATGTTTCTTCACTGGAGGTTTCTTCACTAGAGGTTTCTTCACTTGAAGCTTCTTCGCTAGAAGTTTCTTCACTAGAGGTTTCTTCACTAGAGGTTTCTTCACTAGATGTTTCTTCACTAGAAGTTTCTTCGCTAGAGCTCTCTTCACTCGATGTTTCTTCACTAGAGGTTTCTTCACTAGATGTGTCTTCACTTGAAGTTTCTTCGCTTGAATCCTCATCAGTAGCTTCAGTTTCTTCACTAGAAGTTTCTTCGCTGGATATCTCTTCACTTGAGGTTTCTTCGCTAGAAGTATCTTCACTAGAAGTTTCTTCGCTTGATTCCTCATCAGTAGCTTCAGTTTCTTCACTCGAGGTTTCTTCGCTTGATTCCTCATCAGTAGCTTCAGTTTCTTCACTAGAAGTCTCTTCGCTAGAAGTTTCTTCGCTAGAGGCTTCGTCGCTAGATGTTTCTTCACTAGAAGCTTCGTCACTAGATGTTTCTTCAGTAGAAGTTTCTTCGCTAGAGGTTTCTTCGCTAGAGGTTTCTTCACTAGATGCTTCTTCACTTGATGCTTCTTCGCTAGAAGTTTCATCGCTTGAAGTTTCTTCGCTAGAAGTTTCATCGCTTGAAGTTTCTTCGCTTGATTCCTGATCGGTGGCTTCAGTTTCTTCACTTGACTCCTCTGCTCCACTGGACTCAGTAGTTGTCTCATCACTAGAGTCTTCTTCACTTGCTTCAGTGGTTTCAGCTTCCTCGCTTGATTCCTCATCAGTGGTTTCAGCTTCCTCACTTGATTCCTCATCAGTGGTTTCAGCTTCCTCACTTGATTCCTCATCAGTGGTTTCAGCTTCTTCACTTGATTCCTCTGTACTGGTTTCCGTTTCTTCACTGGACTCAGTAGTTGTCTCATCAGTAGAGGAACTTTCAACATACTCTGACTCACTTGATTCTTCGCTTGAGGTAGTTTCTGTCGACTCAGATTCGCTTGATTCAGTGGTTTCTTCATCACTAGATGATTCTTCAGTTTCGCTTGACTCACTTGAAGAGCTTTCAGCATCCTCACTAGCTTCTTCACTTGTTTCTTCATCGCTTGCGCTTTCAGAAGACTCAGATTCGCTTGACTCCTCAGTTGTTTCCTCACTATAAGAGCTTTCAGAGGATTCAGATTCGCTTGACTCCTCAGCTGTTTCCTCACTACTAGAAGAGTTTTCAGCACTATCAGATTCGCTAGCTTCTGCAGTTTCATCCTCACTTGAAGTTTCTTCGCTATTTTCTGATTCATTTGATTCAGAAGTTTCCTCCTCGTTTGAGGTATCTTCAGCGGTTTCTGATTCACTCGTCTCTTCTGATGCTGTCTCTTCGCTTGAGCTTTCTTCACTTTCTGTTGCCTCATCACTTGATTCTGAAGTTTCTTCGCTGGAACTTTCTTCAGTACTGTCTGTCTCGCTAGAATCAGTACTTCCCTCATCACTTGAGGAGCTTTCAGTTGTTGTCTCATCACTTGAGGCTTCTTCAGAAGATTCTTCTGTTTCATCACTTGAAGAGCTTTCAGCATCTTCAGTAGACTCTTCTGTTTCATCACTTGAGGAGGTTTCAGCATCTTCAGTAGACTCTTCTTCACTAGTTGCTTCTTCAGTAGATTCTGTTTCACTTGACTCTTCAGTTTGAGTGGAATCGGTTTCGCTTAAATAACTTTCAGTATAATATTCATCCGATGCATCTTCAGTCGACGCATTTTCAGTGCTTTCGCTAGATTCTTCCGCTGTTTCATCACCTTCACTAGATGTTGTTGACTCTTCAGTGGATGCACTTTCAGATGAAGATTCCTCAGTGGTAGTCTCATCTGTCGTAGTTTCCTCAGTAGATTCATCAGTCTCATCTGTGGCTGTTTCCTCAGATGTCTCACTTAATGAGCTTTCTTCTTCAGTTGAGCTTGATTCAGTACTTTCAGTCTCAGAGGACTCTTCTTCAGTTGCTTGATCGCTTGAATCGCTTGATGAAGATTCTTCGCTATCAGTTGATGTTTCTGAATATTCTTCGGTAGTGCTCTCGTCTGATGAACTGGTTTCTTCTTCAGTTGTACTAGTTTCATCAGTTGTCTCTGTCTCTTCAGATGAACTATCACTTGATTCTTCTGAAGATTCTGAACTTGTAGATTCTTCTTCAGTTGTATTAGCTTCATCAGCTTCCTCTTCTGTTGATGTTTCTTCGCTTTCATCGGTGCTTGTACCTTCATCATTTCCATTTTCTTCATTTGATGATGAAGATTCCTCAGTGCTCTCATCTGCAGATGAGGTTGACTCATCGCTTGTGGATTCTTCTTCAGTTGCTCCGCTATCTTCAGCAGTCCCATCACTCTCCGTAGTTTCATCAGTTGTTGAAATTTCATCCGCACTATTAGAGCTTTCACTAGTGTAAGCAGACTCATCAGAAACTGTATCTTGTGAAACTTCTAAAAATACAGAGGGAGCATTTAAAGCTTGTAATTTATTGTTTGTTTTCAATCCTTGAGCTGTATTTGCCAATGCTAGTAAGCACAAGGCGATTATGAACTTCGCTGACATTTTTAATGTTAACCGTTTTAGCTATTTAGAAGCGAAATCAATAAATTTGTCTAAAATAAGGATTCTCAAATGAGAGAAATTGAAGGTTTTGAGTGATAGTTAAGCTGAAGCTAAATAAGAGCATTGTGTAAGAAGCAATAAATTTAATTTTTCCAGATAATTGATGCAATTTATATTAGATTTGATTATTGATAGTGTATTGGTAGTAATCTTTAAATATTTCAAAAATTATTATTATTTTACTAAAAAAGGTTTGATTGTGTCTTATATATAAATTGTCTTAAATTTATGCTTCTAATCAAAAAACTAATCGAATTATTTATGAAATTATGATGGTGCTGCAATGCTTATGTTTTAAGTAATCTGGAATCTACGGCTATCATTATTCAATTCTAATATGGATCAATTAGTAGTTGAAGAAAGTCTGAAATCAAAAGTTTGGTATATATAGTAAATATAAGCATCAAAAGAAAGCCAAAAAATAATAATTAACTACAATTGGGATTGATAAAAAATTTTTAGATTATTTAAACAAAAAAGTAGCATTTTATTGATTTCTATTGAATTTTTTTATTAAATTAAAATAAAGGGAATTTTTTATATTGGCATTGCAAAATTTATTAAACCTTCACAATATAAAATGGATGCTAGGAATAGGGCTACAGTCCTATACATGAGCTCAGTGAGAGGAGTCCTGCTCTTTTTGAGAAGCTCAGCGTGAAGAGAGATATTCTGAACTGAGGCTGTTGCAGATAGGGAGGTCTAGGAGGCTTGGGGACATGAGCAGGTCGAAGGTTTGACCTTATCTACCATTACTAAGGGCTGTCAGTCCAATTTGAGGTCAAGAAACATAATTTATTTACCTTATCCTACTAATTGGTCTGAATTGCTGAGCAAGCTGTTCTGAAATCTATCTCTAATTGTGGATCGTTTGGTCTATCTCTAATTCTGGATTGTTTGGTAGGCAAACATGCCTCGTTTTCTGTTTTTGGCTTGCTTACATTTTCAGATTTTTTGACTAGCCTAGCACGCAGGGAGGCCTGCAGCCCTCTAGCAGCCAAATGATTCGATGACCATCACTATTGCGCGTCAAGCCTCTTCTTGAGGTCAAGGAACGGAACTTATTCAAGCGTATTTGAATTAACATTAACATTTACATTAAACCTTATTTCCAACTCTCATAAAACAATTAGAAAGATATTACTGGTTTTTTTCTTAACTTACCATAAGGACTTTTTAATTAAAATGATTTGCAAATAATTGAAGCATTATTCGTTTAATTCGCTTTATCATGCTTGAGGATCCGACGCTAAAACAATATTCAATAGTTTTCTATGCTGCTTTTATACTTAATTATTACTCGATTTATAATACAAAATTGGGGTTCATTTTTTTGTTGATATCGATATTCCAATATGCATAGAAAGTGCTTGAAATGCTCCGCTGAATATTTAGATGAGCCCCCTCTTCAGTTTTATAAAGGAAAGCAGAAGAAATTACAATATAATTATTCAAATGGAAGAAGAAAGATTAAACCTAAAGATACTTGTAGAAGATTCCAATCGAAGAAAAAGTCAAGAAAAATACCTCGAGTAAAACGAATATCTTGAAGAACTTAGACGTCAAAAAGAATTTCCTAATGCGTATCGAGAAACAATCATCTCGAAATCATCCCTTTTATTAACCAAATTTGGCGATCTAAAGCCCCATCTCAAAAAAATTGAGGAGTGTTGGAATAAAGAGGTCGTTGAGTTATGAAATTTCACCTACTCTTGCTTTTTGCAAATCCAAAAGAGGATCGAAACTTATGAAAGAGAAAAAGTAAGCATGAAACATCTAAAAGAAGAGCATGAATACCAAAGAGAGTTATTGTCAAAATGCCTGAAAGATAATGAGAATGATAAAAATCTTTTGAAAAAACAAGAAGAGATGATCAATTGGTATGTGATAATTCTCAACGAAAATAAAATAACAATCGAAGAAAATTACAGGAAAATACAACAATATAGGCAAGAGTTAGAAGAATTGAGGAAAAATATCAGTAGAAGAGACAGGAATATTGAAGCATTTACTAAAGAGAAAGAAGAAATAAAAGTTGAGTTTGATAAGAAGATTCTTGAAATTACAAATAGAGGGGAAGAAACTCATAGAATACAGTTGCAAAAAGTTGAAAGCGAGCTGAAAAATGCAATAATCGCACTGCAAAACGAGCTGAGTTCTTTTAAATCATTATGCTCTCTAAAAATCGGAACACTTGAAGATGAATTAAAGAAGCAGACTGAAGGAAAAAACAAAGAAATTATTAGTCTTAATGGAACAATAAAAGGTCTTACTTCTGAAAAATTCAAATCAGAAGAAATTATTGGTAAAAAGGATAAAGAAATCACTAATCTACAATATAGAATAAATGGCCTTATGGATGAGAATGAAAAACTAAAGTGTGAAGCTGCAAAGAATAAAGGAAGCACACTATTTTTGATAGATATGCAAGAATTAAAAGAAGAAAATGAAAGGTTGAGTCTTCAGATAACTAATTCACGTAAACAACTAGAAACAGTTCAGGTAGAAATCCAAAGTCTAAAAAAAGAAAATGAAAGATTAAAGCTCCAAATAAGTAATTTTAGTAAGCAATCTAGTAATTTACCTACAAGTAGTAGCAAAGTTATAGATAGACCCCAAACTATGAGTAATCTAAAAACAGCACACGGAGTAGAAAGCAGCGAGACGAGAATTACTAGAAAACAAGAATCTCTTTCTGAAGTGATAGAATATGAAGAAAACGAAAAAGTGGTAGAGGATCCAGGAGAAGCAATTATAGAAATAGTAGGAAATTCTGATCATTCAACAGGCTATTGCATGAGAATGATTATTGAGGCATATGATAACAATTCAAAAAAAGATATGATGGAAATTGCTTACAAATCCTTAAGTACTTTAAGAGAATTTAATGATCCAAAGTATGAAAAACTTACTAAAAGAATTGAGCAAATAATCAATAATGAAGAAGTGGACTTAGAAGGTTATGCTGAACTTGTGGATTTTTGTAAGAAACTGCTTAATGAATAAATCTATTAATTTAATTATTAAATCATTCTTTTGTTATAAAGTTTATTCAAAATAAGAAGCAAGATATGTATTACGATAAGAGACATATATAGACATTGCTTCACTATCTGCATATGCAATTTAAAATTATTCTTTGTTAAATCTGAATTATACTTAATATAAAACTTAAAGTCGAGGAAACAGTAGCTTGATTCCTTCTTGATTAGCAAAATAAGGCTGTATGGTACTCTCGCCAACCTCTTCAATTGAGTTTGGTGACCAGTTTACTCTCCCTCGGTTTTTATTTATAAACTTGTGCTCAGCAGCTTCCTTGAAATTTTTATTTCTATATTCAAGCATTTGCGCAGCTAAATTAAATTCCATTTTCAAGCATCGCTCATAACTTAATTGTTTTCCCCTTTTAAAAGCTTCATGAGCAATCCTCAGTGAGAGTGGGCACAAATCTTCTAGCTTCTTCAATGTTTTTAAGCTCCAGGAGGAATTTGTTTGTCTAAGTCGATACATTATTGTTTCTACGTCGATATGATTATTGAAGCAATATATCAAATCTCTCATAATTGGCATAATTGTTGACTCTTTTTGCCTTGGCTCTACGTGGTATTTTTTTATTATTTTTTCTAAATCTTCGTCTTCTCTCATCTCTTGCAAAATCTTTTCTTTGTCTTCTAAGATGTAGTATTTAGCTAGTCCATAAAAATAGCAGTCAGCGCCATTTATTCTTTCACCAGTTAGTTTCAAATAGAGCCCTAACTCAGGGATAGAGAGTCTGCTTAAATGGTAAGAAGACCCAGCATCAGGACAAAAACCTATAGAAGACTCTGGCATTGCCCAAACTGTCTTAGGGGTGGCAACTGCTATTTTGCATGCCCAAGACACTCCGCATCCGCCGCCCATGGTTAATCCATCCATAAAAGTAACAGTTGTTGTTGGCAAATTGCTTATTATATAGAGAGAAGCATTAAGTGACATAAATACTTCTTCCACACCTGCTTGACCTGTTAAAAGCTGAAGAATGTCGCCACCCACTGAAAAAGCTCGGCCTTCTCCATAAAACACAAGATTTTTTCTTTCTTGCTGAGCCTTGGCGAGAAACCTATGAGCAAACTGTAGCATTTCTAAATTCCAAGAGTTCAGGGCTGATGGGCGGTTTATTTTAATGAAGAGAGTATTTGCTTTATCGACACAAATGACTTGAGAATCTGCTGCTTCTGAATCCATTACCTTGTTTTTATTTAACGAATAATGAAATAGTCTGATTTAGGGAAATCAATAGGTGTTAAGACTATCCGTTTCACACAAGAAATGGAAAATATAAGTAATTTCATATAGCTTGCTTATAATTATTTGACCGAGTATTTTTATTAAGCATAAAAATTCTAATTAAGCCTTTAATGAAATATTTTAGATTAGAAGCTTTATAATATTTTTAGTAGAGCCTTTCTAACTATTATATTAAATATTAGAAAAAAAAGAATGAATAAAAGCATGCTTCAAAAATTAATTATAAAATAATTTGCATACAATCATTGTTTATTAATCTTACAATTTAATTCTAATGTCTAATATCTAGCAGGTATTATTAAAACAGCTTCATTAATACATTAGATTAAGATTTTATTTTTAATATTTTCACATTAAGTTAAGGAATTGAGTATCCAGCAATGAATGGGGCGGCCACTAGCTATTATCTTGCCTTTGCTTCAAAAAGGCAGCTTTATTGAACTCAGATTGAAAATGAGAAAATGAGAGGCTGTCATTTTGGATTCTTATCTTAACAGCCTGTATCAAGGATTAGATCCTAAGGCAGATCCGCCTTCTGAAAAGATCCCCGACGGTCCTAATAAGGAAAGGAAACCTCTCTAGCCTAATCAGGAACAGGAAAAAAATTTGGAAAAAGCAAAACTTCCCTCTTCGACATGCATCTATGAGCTCGAAGGTCTGCTGAAAAGCGACACAGACGCTTGAATTCAGCACAATTGGATGGATCCTTCCAGTTCATAGAGAGTCAGCCCTAGAGTCATCTTCCATCAGCATCACCATTTTATTTCTTTATAATAGGATTTTATTAGAATCTTTAATTTAAATATTTAAATCAAATTTTTTCTCAAACTATGATATTTTAAATGTATATTAACTAACTACTATTGCATCCTTATCGAACCTAATTATCATCATTAATCAAAAATTGATTTTTCCCTATTTAAATTTTACCTGAAAGCAAAATATTTTTTCTCTCTTCAATTCCTTTATTGGTAATATGTGAGCATGCCTTTTCTACACAAATTATTAGAGAATTACAAATTATCAATCTATGACGCTCAAATATATTGCCCATTGGACAAATTTATGCTCACTTTGAGCGCAAATGCACTTACCCATACTGATAGACAGTTTCGAATTTTCCCAAGCCTGGAATAGGAAACTGGCCCACCAATATAGCAGTACACTTGTGCCGAAAAGTACAAGGGATCACAAATTTGTCCAAAGGAATACAGTAAAACTGGCTATTTAATCTGTCTTTCTTTATGGAATTTTTTAAAGCTTGCAGATCCTGCGAAGTATAAAAATGACATATATGATGGAGTTTCCTTTTAATATAAAGAACAGAAAATATAATTGTTGAATTGTAAACAATTAATAATATCAGATAAAAGTAAATGCATAATCCTAATGAGCACTCTTGAAATTTAAAGTGCAAAGATTTTTCAAGATTATTTAAACTTGATACGAAAAATTGCAAATAGAAAATAATTTTTATCTGGCTTAAATATACCATCTTACAGCTCTATACATAATAACCATTAGCTAAATTTATTTTTTACACAATTGATATCTAGATCTATTAATTAGACGTATGGGTCAGGCATGAGCTCTTCTAGAGGGATGTTCGGGTTCACATTATACTTCTTTAAATCTACAGGCCCTACAACTTCATCATCAATAAAGAAGTTTCCATTGGTTGCTTTATTGCAGCTGGTCAAAATGGTATAAGCAGCATCTGACATGATGTCAACTTTTCTTGACCTTTGCATTATAGGTTCTCCTCCTAAGGCAAGTCTTATAGCTGCAGTGGCGATAGTTGTTCTTGGCCATAATGCGTTAACTCCGATTTGTCCTTTATATTCTTCACTCAATCCAACTACACACATGCTGTCTCCGTATTTTGCAATTGTATAAGCCAAATGTGGAGCGAGCCATTTAGGGTTCAGATTAATTGGTGGAGTAATGTTGAGAATGTGAGGGTTTTGAGCCTTCAGTAGGTGTGGTATACAGTATTTTGAGAGCATAAAAGTGCCTCTGGCGACGATGCTGTTCATTAACTTCCCAGTTAATTGGAACAAAATTTTCATTTCTATAGGCAAAATAATGATTTCTATATAATAGATTTGATAACAAATTTAATCAAAAATTTATGTATGGCGTGTTATCTTTTAAAGAGGGTAGTTAAGTAGAATGCTATTTAGCAAAATTAACGCTTTGAATCAAGAAATTTTAAATTTATTTGCTTGATTAGAAAATTTAAAATAATTTTATTTTCAAAAAGAATAAGACTATAAATCAGAGCTGCTATTCAAATTTGAAGGACGGAGTAAGTCATATGATTTCATAGTTGTATCAAGAGTCGGGGTGAGGGCGATGTAAGAAGCGTTGTTGATTAAAATATCTATGCCGCCAAAGGTAGCGACTGTTTGCTCAATAGCAGATTTTACTTGATCTTCGAAGCGAATATCACATCTAATTGGTAAAGCTTTTCCACCTGCCTCTTCGATTTCTTTAGCAGCTGTGTAAATGGTATTTTCAAGCTTTTTGTGAGGTTCAACGGTCTTCGCTAAAATCGCAATATTAGCTCCATCAGCTGCAGCTTTTTTTGCAATTGCTAGACCTATTCCTCTCGATGCGCCTGTAATTACAATTGTTTTTCCCTTGAGGTTCCCAACTTTCTTGAATTCCTTTATGTCAGTGTTTTTGAGGACCCAATATAAAGGCTGTGAAGAAAGGTGTTTGTCTAAGAGCTCAAGCCTTCTCATATTAATTATGGTGACGTATGTAAGTTGACGAATTTTTGACAAGTAAGTTTCTTAATGTGCAAACTCAATAAAGGTGAAAAATAATAATTCTTTAACAAAATTCAGTGGTATAGAGTCATAAAGAAAAATTGGTGTAAAATATTGATAATTTCAAGTTAGAGTCAAAATTTGTAACTTATAGTCTATTTAATATGATTTAAAATCATGTAAAAGCTAATTTCAACTGATTTATTGCTCTAAATTTTATGTAAACAATATAATTTTAATTAGTACCGCTTGCTTAAAAAACAACACCAAAATTACAGTGATGGAACAATGATTTATTGAAAAGTAAACGAAGAAAAACTCAAAAAAATTAATTGGGATATTTCATAAATGTATTTGGTTTTTTGCTTACTCTCCTCCTCCGTGTGAGCGTACAAAAAAATCTTGGTTCACCTATGGAGGGGGTTAATTATATTTTTTTAAAAACATACATATAAATTTTATAGAAAATTTTTTTTTCAAAAATTTTAAAAAAATCCTAATTCGCAAAAATTGGAAATCAAATATTAATTTAATTTATAAATTTATGTTTTAAAATGCAATTTGTTTAAAATTAAACAGAATTAGCTATATATTTCGTAATAATAATTATCACTTATATATCAAAAATTTTTTTCATAAAAATTTTTCTATTAAAAAAATTTTTTGTTTCACTCAGGAGTGTGGATTTTTGGGCAAAAATAGAGATTTTTCTAATGGTTTTATTCGCTCACAGAGGGGGGAGTTAGAATAAACTACCAGACACATTTAGAGTTAAATTCTAGTTAAGACTTCTAAAGCTTTGGAGACTCCAATTTTGGTCCTTCTTCATTTGTGAAATAAGGAATCATGGTAGAGTCTCCTATTTCAACTATGGAATTCGGTATTCAATTTACCGCTGCTCTGCTTTTATTTATCATTTTCTTTTGAATTGCTTCTTTGAAATTCGTTGATCTGTAGCTCGTCATCTGTACTCCTAAGTTATATAAGGTGTGCACCCTTTTAGCTGATTATAGCCTATAAGATCTGATATCTCCTCCACTTCTGACAAGTAAAAAAGAGCTTTAAAAATTTATTTAAATGGGATGGATTTATCAAATTCTGTTTGACTTCATAAAAGGAAAGGAGATGCCGGATTTTATCCGATATTCTAAAATCAGTCCTATAGAAATCAACCTGCATTCTCCAGGAATATTCCATTTTTAGGCAGTCCATATAACTAAGGTTTCTTCCTCTTCTAAAAGACTCATAAGCTACTCTCAAAGACAGCGGGCATAATTTTTGAAGCTTAGAATAAATCCTTAAGCTCCAAGGTGTATTTTTTTCTTTAAGTTTATAAATAATAAACTCAAGGCTGTGATAAATGTTAAAGCACTCTCTCAGATCTTTTAACACAGGCATAATTGTAGACTTTTCGGTATCAGGCTCTATGTGATATTTTTCAAATACTTTTACGATATCTTCCCCTAAAAAGATTTCTTTTCTAACTTTTTCAAGTTTTTCTTCAATGTGGTAATGTGAAAACCCAAACAAATAGCAATCAACTCCATTCAATTTTTCTCCAGTCAACTGCAAATAAAGACCCAGCTCAGGCGGGTTCACTTTATTTAAAAAATACGAAGCACCTACATCAGGGCAAAATCCTATTGAGGTCTCAGGCATTGCCCACACAGTGTTAGGTGTGGATACCCTTATAGAGCAGCCCCATGCAAGTCCTGCTCCTGCTCCCATAGTAATCCCGTTCATCAAAGCGACTGTATGAGTTTCTAACCTCGTCAACTGTAATAGAGTTTCTACTTCGTATCTAAAAATTTCACTTGGCACAATATTTCCTTTCGCAATTCCAAGAATATCGCAACCAGCCGAAAACGCTCTGCCTTCTCCATAAAATATTAGTCCTCTAAAAGTACTTATAAACGCACACTAACAATATTTACTATCATTTTTAAATAATTCTATAAATAGCTAATCTTTACCTAAGCTAATAAAGCCTTTATCATGTGATATATTTTGCTTTTCTTTGGCAGCTCTATTAATAATATAACTAACTACATGTGTCATTTCTGAGTTCCAAGAATTTAGCCTTGCTGGTCTTTTGAATTTTATGAATACGTTGTTATGGCTTTCTAAAACTACTAGTGCTTGAGAGAAGTTGGCATTAATGGACATTTATTAAATATTACAGAAGCAATTAAAGATAGATAAAATTAAATTTAAATAAAATTTCTGCTTGATATAAATTTTGAGACTGATCAAGAATTATTACTAGCCATAAGATGGAATGTTATCATATCAAAAAGGCTTTCTAAAGCCTAATTATAATAGTCCATATTTTTTATGAGAATCTGAAATATCCGTTTCACACAAAACGAATTTTTGGTCTTGTTTTATAAGTTTCATATTTAGAAGCAAAAATAGAACTAATGGAATAAGATAGACTGCAAAAGAAATGGCGAGGTTTTTGGAATAATGAAGGAGTTTACTATGTTTAAGAAGTTTTAGCAATTATAGAAAGCTTAAAATATCGGACGAAAGGAAATTAATAGCTAATACTAATAAATTAATATTCATATTAATCAGTTCCCCTTTCCTTTATTTTCTTAAAGCAATACATTATTACTCTCACACCAAGTTTCTCATAAGCCCATGCTATAACTAAATTCGCAAACATAATCCCCAAGAGTTTCTCTTTGAAGTCCATAGGCATATCATAAATCGCTAATAATTTCCTTGTAAATGTGTCAGGTGTAAGAGTAAAATACACGCTTATTACCCAAACAATAACTACACAGCTACTGAACCAGTAGTTTGCATATGCTGGCTGTCTGTAAGGCGGCCCTATGCTGAAGCTCATGCATACAATCAGAATTTGTGTTGAAGCCAAAATGAACAAAACAGTATTTTCTGGACCTTGCTTTGGGTGCTCTACTGTACTTTCAGTGGGGACAAACCAGTCTTGATGATGAACTGTCAAGTATCCTGTAATCAGCATGGTTAAAGATATCAAAATTTGTCCTAAAATTGATGAGACTACAGGTACCGAAATCAAAGCTCCAGGCGGCATTACTGGCGATAAATAATTATAAGCTGCAGTATAAGCCATAAAAATAGCAAGAGGCAGTATCATAAATAAATCTTGATAAAGAAATTGAGCATCTTGCAAGCTATTATGAAGAGTATAGAGAATCATTACGCACAAAAATTGAATCATACTATACATCGTAATGAACTTAAAGCTTTGGAAGCACGTTACCAGAGAAGCTCTGCCTTCTTTTAAAATTTCTATAATCCCTCTTAGGTCTTTTGAGCTAAACGGTGCAGCAATTGATGCTTCAGCTTCACTGAGACTCAGCCCTACATCAGCTCCTTTTAAGGCTCCACAGTCATTGGCGCCATCGCCTACCATAGCTACAAGGGTGTCGTCTTTTTGCATTTGCTCAACCAGCATGATTTTTTGCTGGGGAGACATTCTTCCAAATACAGCTCCTTTTGATAAAACATAAGGTAAAGAAGGATGCGAAGAATAAATTAAAAATTCTAATAAATTCCCTGTGATTGATAAGCAACAAATTCCGGTTATGTCAGTTCAATCTTTAGGGTCGCCTTCTTCATCTTCTCATACTATGTGCTCTCCGTTAATATCACCTAAAAATACTGGTGAGTCTCCAGGGATGATCCCACATAATTTTCCAACTGCAGAACCAGTAAGAATAGCATCTCCTGTAGACATTACACATCGGACCCTTGCACTTTGAAGGGTTCCTATCACATCAGTTGAGTCAGGCTTTAATTCATTTTGTAATAAAATAAGACCAAGAAATATTAAGTCATTTTCAATTTCACCAAGCTGTTGATCGCTACTATAGCTCTCTATATTTTTATAGGCGCAGGCTAATAGTCTATACCCTTGTCTAGAAAAATGCAAAATGGTGTGCGAAATATTTTCAGGTAAACTTGCACAAAGTTTACAAATTTCTTCAGGGGCGCCTTTTAAATGCAGTTTCAGCTGATTTTCAGCTTCTATAATAACACCCATCCGTTTGGTAATTTGAGAAAAGTGAAATAAATGCTTAATCTTTATTTCATCACCATCATTTCTAATTACACTTCTAATCCCATCTCTTTCTTTAGACTCCCAACCAATGCTTCTAAAAATCGCTATTTCTTGAGGGTCTCCATACATTTCTCCATTAATTGTGGTCAAAGAATGGCAAGTCGCCATACTTTCTTGCAAAATCGACACACAGTTATCTAAATTGCTTTCTATTTTGTTGGTTGAGGCATCATAAACGCCTTTTAAAGTCATGTGGTCCTCTGTTAAAGTTCCTGTCTTATCAAAACATATGATAGAGACTCGGCCAGCTGGATTTACAGCGTGAGGGGATATGCAGTTTACATTCTTTTTCTTCAGCCTATTAATTGCAAAAGTAGTACCTATAGTCATTGCTAAAGGCAGAGCAGGGGGAACTGCAATAGTTATTAAATCAAGGGATAGCAAAATTATATTAACAACAGGGATATTTTCTTCCATAAAAGTACCCAGGCAATAAAAAAATCCCAAAATAGCCAAAATTCCCATCATTCCGATATATTTGAAGGTTTCTGAGATAAACTTAAATCTGTTTGGTTTTGGGAAAAGAATTGATCTGACAAGCTCGCCTTTAGCTGTTGAAAAGCCAGTAGCAATTACAATCCCATAAGAGTTTCCACGGCAGTTTAGGGGCTTGGTGCCAGAGCTTAAAGTATGTCGCTTGTCTCCTCTATAAATTTGCGGGGAACCTTTAGGTAGCGGGTCTTTAAGAACAGGCTGGGATTCCCCAGTTAGCATTGATTCATCCACTAAAACAATTCCACTTACTCCCCCCCCCCTCCGTGAGTGAACAAAAAAAATTTTGTTCACTCACGGAGGGGGGTTAAATTTTGTTTTTTAAAAAAAATTATATATAAATTTTTTATAGATAAAATTTTTTTCGAAACTTTAAAAAAATCCTAATTTGCAAAAATTGGAAATCAAATATTAATTTAATTTTATATAAATTTATGTTTTAAAAAGCAATTTGTTTAAAATTAAACAGAATTAGCTCGTGATTTCATTATAATAATTATCACTTATATATATATCAAATTTTTTTTCCATAAAAAATTTTTTCTATTAAAAAAATTTTTGTTCACTCACGGAGGGTGGGTTTTTGGACAAAAAATGGCAATTTTTCTAATGGTTTTGTTCACTCACGGACGGAGGGGGGGGGAGTTAATAGCACAACGTCACACGGCAAATAAATATTTTCTGGGATTTCTATTATCCGTTGATATAATTTCGGGAGGATCTCCCACATCGGGATATTTTAAACGTCTGGAACCAAAATCACACATGAAGTCACTCAAGTGTGGAAACTCCGCAGGTGGGAAATGGCCTGACATGCGGAAACCCTCCGAAATTATGCGAACACATAATATCAAATCTCCAGGTACCAGCTGGGTGCTATTCGCAACAATCCATTTATTTTCTCTTTTCACATTTATCATACACTCATACAGAGCCATTTCTCGAACAGCTTTAATGTTTCTTTTTGTCTCAAATAAATTAGAAAGCACTGAGACAACTGATAAAATCAAAATCGTCAAAGAATATAGAAAATATTTTTCCACGCACCACAGAACAATACTGAAAACTTGAAATATAAAAAAAGGATGCAAAATTTCCCTATATAATAATTCTCATATTGTGGGCATAGGGACATCTATAAGGCAAGCCCCAAAAATTCTTAACTTTCCTTGATATTGGGCATCAGATGTGATACCTTCCCCTAATTTTTCATGGACATCCTTACAAGGCAATGCACAGCTATATTTTAGCGCTGAAAATGTATGAGACTGCATTGAAAAGTAATACCGGATAAATCTAAACGTAAATGTCTATATGATAATTACTTGAAGTAAAATTGTATGGTCTGCTTGGTTCGGGTCTAAAGCTGATAAAGGGACTTCAAGCGGGGTTATGTCCCGAATCGCTCTTGAGCGGTCTTTGGCTGTGACCACTACATGGGTTGCTTCATAAGGTGCGCAGATGTCAAAACTCAGAAGCTGAAATTTCACAATTCAGATGTGCAGAATATAAAAGAGGCCAAATGAAAGGATAAACCATGTGTACATTAGAGCTTCTTTGGCTTTGTTACGCTTGATGAATAGAAGACGTAGGCAATCTCCAGAGTCTGATTCTGCTTCAAAACTCTTATAATTGTTTAGGTTATTCATTATAATTTATAGTAAACAACTTTAATTAGACAAAAATAATTTTAAATTTTTTTACTTACTCCCCCCCCCTCGAAGTTCGACCAAGATTTTGTTGGTCGAACTTCGAGGGGGGTTGAGAAAAATTGTTTTAAAAAAAATTATATAGAATTTTTTTTTATATAATTTAGTAGTTAAAAAAAAAATATTTATCATATTCTTCTGTATGGTTGAGAGGGTGTAAGGGTTAGAAAAAATAGTGCAAGATGGTTTTGTAATGATTTTTTAGAACTTGAATACAAAAATCGCAAGCTCACCCTCACATAGATTAAAATTTTTGAAAAATTGCTTATTTTCCTAGTAAATTTATATAGGTCTTGGTCGAAATTTGAGGGGGGTTAATTTTCCAAAAAAATAGGAATTTTCCCTATATCCTGGTCGAACTCCGAGGGGGGGGGGACTTAGTTTCTTTTCAAAATCAATTTAATGTAATATAAAAATTTTAAAAATGCTTTAAAATTATTTAATCTCGAATAAGTGATTTTTGTTAAATTGTTATATTAGCATATAGAGCATACTTTCTTTTTAAGGCAGGACTTTGTAAAGCAAAAGTCTTCCAGTTCTGGAAGCTGCCACAATATAGGCCTTGTATTTATTAGCTAATTACTGCTAAAATTTAGAGCTTTCCTCAGCCTAGTAAATTGTTGATTTTCTTAATTTATTTTTCTTCACCTTGCAGACTTTTCACCATTGGAGAAAAGGTCCAGAGCTTTAGGGTCAGTTTCAGTGATGCTGAGTTTTTAAGGGTTACGGGCTTGCTGAGAAGCAAGCAAGGAGTGGGATGCAGGCCTGGTCTGACTGGGCTTCCCCGACATACAGACAAGAGACCGACGACGCAGCATCAGCAGGCCCTTCTGGAGGAGCATTTTGTAACCTGTAAATGGTAGAGGTAGTTCCAAAGGAGTGATAGGGCACTCAAATCATAAGCTGAGCACTGCCAGGGGTTAAGAGGCTCCTTGCTGAAAATTTGGCCAAAGGAGGCTCGGTGAGTCCCCTCGTTAGACTAACGACGTCACCATTTTTGTGACGCTGAATGAAAAGGGCATGGGTGACTTTAGTGCCTAGGGCCACATGAAGCGTAAAGTTAAAACTCGGCTGGCTAGGAGCTGAAATAATCCCCTTTTAACTCCCTTAATTAACTCTCTCTCTTCACCCTGCGAATTGTATTTTTATGTTTAGTTTGGATTAATTTATTACATAAATCATATAGAAACTATTAGTAATTTTTAGTCTTAAAAAAATCCGTTTTCCATTTAATTTTGTATGAAAACGAATATATTTACTTAATAAAATAAACAATGGAAGCAACAAGAGTGCGTCTCAATCTCATTAACTCTCACCTTCTTGGCTCTTTCCAGTTTGAGTCCAAAGATCTTTCCTTACTCCCCCCCTCCGTGAGTGAACAAAACCATTAGAAAAAAATCGCTATTTTTTGCCCAAAAACCCCACCCTCCGTGAGTGAACAAAAATTTTTTTAATAGAAAAATTTTTTATGGAAAAAAAATTTGATATATAAATGATAATTAGTATAATGAAATCTAGAGCTAATTCTGTTTAATTTTAAACAAATTGTTTTTTAAAACATAAATTTTATAAATTAAATTAATATTTGCTTTCCAATTTTTGTCAATTAGGATTTTTTGAAATTTCGAAAAAAAATATTTTTTTATAAAATTTATATAAATTGTTTTTAAAAAAAAAATTAACCCCCTCGTGAGTGAACAAAATTTTTTTGTTCACTCACGGAGGGGGGGGAGTTAGATGAATACAGAGCTCGTGGGAAAAAATTCAATAAAACCCTTCTCCACGACAAAATGTTGGAACCTTTTGGTGAAATGTATAAACTCCAATGGAGCCTTATCAAAGAAAGAGAAGACTTATTTAACCATTGTTTAGCTACCGGCTTATCAAAAGATGCCTTAGAAGAGCGAAGCATTCGTCAGTTTATGTACTTGTTCCCAAAATGTGGACTGACGCTCGAAGAAGATTTAAAGAATCCTCTGAAAAAGTTATCAATTGTAGTCTCATTCTGCACAAATGATATAAATTTGACTTCAAGAGGGCACATGCAGCTCCTTTTATACGCAGAAATGCTTACTTATTTATCAACAGAAAAGCATGCGAACTTGATAAAGCGCGCTTACGAATTAAAAGACTTTGGATGCTTAGGAATGACTGAAATTGGCCATGGGTCCAATCTCGCAAAAGTTGAAACAACTGCAAAATATGATATAGAGAGAAAAGAATTTACAATAACTTCCCCAACACCAACTGCAGCTAAATGGTGGATTGGCAACGCCGGTAAAATCGCAAATATGGCGATTATTTTTGCCCAACTTATTATTAAAGATACGAACTATGGAGTCCACGCATTTGTTGTCCAGGTTAGAGATAACCAAACTCACGAGACACTAAACGGAATCACCGTTGGAAACTGTGGTCCAATGGCTGGGCTAAATGGAAACGACACAGGGTTTTTGATTTTCAAAAATTATAAAGCTCCATATGATTGTTTACTCGACAGATTTGCACAAATCACGCCAGAAGGGGACTTTAAAAGCTCAATTAAAAGCCACGCTAGAAGGTTCGGAATAACTGTTTCGCCTTTGATTTGTGGAAGAATAGTTTGCTTCGCTGGCACTGAAAACTATGCTAGAAATGCTCTTACAATTGCGATTAGATATGCAGCTATCAGAAAACAGTTTGGTGGAGACACTGAAAAATCTATTCTTGACTATCAGCTGCACAGATATAGACTAATGCCGCATTTAGCTACCTTATTCGCATCAAATATGGCTACAAAGCTGATAGCAAAAGCATATAATGAAAGCATGCTTATTATACGCTCCAATCCTGAGTCTAATGAAATTAGCGATTTTAGTTGGCTTGTAACTATATTCAAAGCAGTCAACGTGTGGAATAACCTTAAAACAATTCAAGAATGTAGAGAGGCTTGTGGAGGCCATGGGTATTCAACTTATGCTGGGTTTATTAAGCTCAAGCAAGATTGCGACGCAATCATAACGACTGATGGAGACAGCAATATTTTGATACAGTCAGCAGAGAGATACATCCTGCAAGCTGCACAAGCAGCTATGGGCGGAAAAACTGTTAAATCAAAATATTTGCAGTTTATCAATCTTCAACCTACAAAGCCGAAATTCGAAAATAAAGACCAATTAAAAAATCCTGAGTTTTTGGTATCTTTATTTGAGTACAGGTGCAATTATTACTTGTCTATAGCACTAAACAAATTCCAAGAAAACATGGGGAATTACCCAAGCATGGCAATTGCTTGGGACAATACTCAAGTAAGGCAGCTATTCGTACTCCCTCAGATTTGTGGAGAACTAGTTCTATTAAAAGAACTTATTAACTTTAAACAGGAGTTAGCCCAAACCTGTGCAAATACAGGCGATATTATATTAAGTATATTGGTTCTTTATGCGAATCATATCTTAGAAACAGATTCAGGAGCTCTTAAAACTCAATTTACCGAAGACGAAGTCAAGTGGATTAATGAAATCGTAGTTGAATATTGCAATGAAGTTGGTGAAAACTCTGTTAACATTATTGACGCTCTTGCGTTCCCAGACCATGTTATAGCGTCACCTCTAGGCCATAGCGATGGACAAATCTATGAAAGATATACAAAAGTGGTAGAAGATGCTCCTGAGTGCTATGAAAAACCGAAATGGATAAATATTGTCCAGGAAAATAGAAGGGCTTAAAAATCAAATAATTAAGTATAAAACCTAAATAATCTTAAGGTATTTATTGGATTCCTGATATTATCACCTTAGGTTTATTTAACCCCAAGCCAAGGTATTCATTCATTAAATTATTATAGAGAAGCTTGAAAAAGCTTTTGACGTCACTTGTTTCGCACCTCCCCCTTGCTCATAAGTCTGATTTCACAGCCTAATGTTTGTGTTGCTCCCTCGGATGAAACCTGCAACTCGCTACCCGAAACTAGAGTTACTGAGTCACCGTGTCGTGCGTCGACGAGATTTCCTTTTCCGAAAATACGTAAAGCAAATTTTTTGGTCAGGTTCTCGACCCGGATGAAATTTGTAGCCAAGGGTGCAAGTCCCGGTATTGAGCTTGGTAAATGCCCGATTGGCCAAGCAAATACCATCTGGCTTTGCTGGGTTATCTCTTTCCAAATTCCAAATTTCATCCTCTGAGTCAAACCTTTCCTTGTATGTAATCCTGATGTCGGCTATAGACATTTCGCCTATATTGCCCAATATGGGCCAAAGTTGAAAGCACTTCCTCTCAAATTGGTTTGACCAAATTAGGTTAACCAAACCACCAGGAGAGGAAAACTTACTAAACTCTCTGGTTGGTTTGGCCAACCTAATTAGGTCAAACCAACTGAGAGAAAGTGCTCTCAACTTTCGGCCCATATCAGGAATATAGGCGAAATGTTTATAGCTCGACATTGCGTTCCACCAGACCAAGAAAGCCCGCTGGATACACATACCGAGTAGTGCTTAGGTTGGCTCGCCACACCATTTTTCATATATAGCCCAAGCCAAGGCAATCTAAAAAATTACATTTATAATTATTCGCAATATCGTTTTTAACGTGAAAACGGTTAATGGTATCATCTTTTCAGCCATTTGGTTAATATAAATCTACCAGTCTTAAATATTAATAAATAGTTACTTAAGGTGCGTATCTTGATAATATTAAAGAATTATTCATCCCCGAAAACCCAACTGCATTTATTAAAACATTGTTCAATTGTGTATAAACCGGCTCCTTGGCAAAATTGAGTTCTTTACCATTGATTTTCAATGGGTTTTTCAAGTTCATAATTGGTGCAACTACTCCATTAGAAATCATAAGTAATGCTGAAATGACGTGGAAAGTCCCAACAGCGCACATCATATGCCCAGTATGCCCTTTCACAGCGGTAATATGAGGTCTCAAGTTTCCAAACACTGAGTCAATAGCATTCACCTCAGCGAAATCCCCAGCCTTTGTAGCAGTTGCATGGGCAAGCACTAACTTCTTCACTCTGGCTAGCGAGCAAGCCCATTGAAAACCACCCTTAGCTAGCAATCAAGAAATTTGTTTTAATATAATGTTTTAAATGCAGACCATGCTTAACATTGCTAATAATTATAATAATAAATCTCAAATAAATATATTAATTTAGATAGCCAGCATTTTGAAAATTTGGGTCGCTAACATAGGGGGAGTAAATCAATATCTTCTGGCCTCATCCCAGTCATGCCTAGTACACCTAGCATTGTTCGGTAAATCCCTTCACCTCTAGGTGTTGGCTTGGTTAGATGAAATCCATCACAATTCATGTTGTATCCTTTAACTTCTCCATATATTTTAGCTCCTCGAGCCAGAGCATGCTGAAGTTCTTCAAGAATTACAGCATTTCCTCCGTCAGCACCTGCAAGACCTTCTCTATTTTCGTCTAATGGCCTTGAAGATTCTGCTGGATTTTCGTTGCTCTTGGTATTAATGCAGCCCAGTAAAGCAAATCCTTTTAAGATTACTGGATGGACAATGGTCTCAGCAGCTCCTGCAATGCAGACATCAGACTCTCCTAGCATGATGCTCCTAAAAGCTTCTTGGACTACAGCATGGCCTGTAGCGCAAGCTGGGCTCACAGCCTCTGTATGTCCTTTTGCTCCAAAATAGCGACTGATTATATTGTTAAGGCCATTAATATCAATTTTCTCAGCATAGTCTGCTGGGATTATATCAATATTCGATCCATTTGCGTAAACGTCATGAAGACCTCCCATAAATTCAAAGACAGAGCTGACTCCTGCGCCCATGATGCAGCCAAATCTTTCTCTTTCTTCTTCAGAAGATGGTCTGAAACCACTATCTTGCATTGCTTTGTAGACTGCAGAAAATCCATGGACATTTGTTTTTGTTTTGTTGCACGGCATCATGTTTTTCCAGTACTCGTAATCAACATCTAAATAACCTCCGATTTTTACTGGGATTTGGTCAAGATCAGGCATTAATTGATGATTAAGGGGCTTTACACCTGATTTTCTACCTATAAGGGCATCTAAAGCTTGTGGTAATGTATTTCCAATAGGTGTAGTCAGTCCCATTCCAGTGACAACTACTCTTCTACCAGTTGCATTTCTAAGTTGGTTCCAAGCCATTTTTAACTATAAACGGATATCACACATGTCTTATTAAGATTATATATTTTCATATAAAAAACTTAAGTCAAAGAATATTTTATAATTTTTATTGATATTTTACTATTATTTTTAAACTCGATGCTTAAATTTTTCTTATAGATTTTTTTCTTTTCCTAATCAAGTCTTATTTTGTGTGAAATCTTAAAACGGATCTCACCCTAATTATAAACAAAATGGCAGCCCCTTATCTAAAACGAGTCGTAGTCACTGGACTAAGTATGATTACTCCTCTTGGTTTGAATGCTCAAGCTACATTTTCAGGCCTATTATCAAAACAATCAGGCTTAAAAAAGCTTAGTGCTTCAGATTTTACATTTGCTGATCAACTTAAAGTAAAAGTGGCTGGACGCTTATGGAACTGGGACCAAGAGCCATTTGCAGTCCTTTGATAGGAACTTTTTCATTGTGCCGAATTTTTGGTCGTAGCTTTTTCCTTGTGAGACAATTGCTCCGAATAGCCCGTTAAATTTAATGAAATTAACTACAAGAAGAAGAAAAACTTTATATTACCTTACACTAAAATTTAGAATTGGTCTAAATTGTTTTGAATTGCTAAGCAAGCAGTTCTGAAATCTAGATTTGCTTGGTCTATTGTCGAGATCATAAGAAGCAGTGTTTATTTGAGAATTAAGATTTACTACAAAAAACAATTTTCGGCCAAAAGTACTTGAAGAAATATAGCATGAGGAAAATCTCCAATCAAGTGACATGAGCCCCAAGAGCCTTATTTAGAAAAGTCAAATTTATTGAGAAACCATTATCATGCGCTAGCATTAAATTGCAGCGAAGAAGTTTTAACTGACAGCAATTGGAAAACTACTAATGATGAAGAAAAGTTCAAGACAGGTCTTCTATTAGGATGCCCAAGAACCGATACAGCAACTTTGAGTCCTATGCAAAAAGAAATTACTGAGTCTGGATATGACGCTACTGATAAATTATTCGCGCTTTATGGCATCCCAAGCAAAATTGTAGGTACAGTTTCTATATATCACAAATTAGGAGGTTTTGCTGATACTGTGTGCTCAGGACACTGTTCAGGCAACAATGCGATTGGGACTTCATATCGTGCAATTCAATTAGAAGAAGCCACTGTTATGCTTGCTGGGTCTATTGAGCCAGAATTAGATGCAATTTGGCTTCAGAGTTTGGAAAAAGGAAATTATGGCTATAATTTGGAAGCTGAAAAGAACCCTGAAGGATCTTATTCTTGATAAACAGATTACCAAAGACCATTAAGGGCTCCTCCGATTTATAATATTCCTTGTCGGGTACGGTTTCAGCCATTTTTGGGGGAGTTAGGGAGTTTCTGGAGTTTAGGGAGTTTCTGGAGTTTAGGGAGTTTTTGGAGTTTTAGGGGCTTTAGAAGTTCTGGAGTTATGCTGCTATTGTGATGTGGAGCTGCGCAGGGATGCGGAATGTGCTGATGGTATGGTGGTGTTTGTGCAGATGATACGATGGCGATTGGGTGTTGGTGGCGTTTGTGTGGGTGGTGTTGTGTGCTGGTGCTCATCTTTCTGAGCAAATCTAACAGGATAGGGATAGGTAAGCGCTTTTTCTTCTTCTTGTCGGATACTTTAACGATTGAGATAATTGGCTAGTAAACTGCCTTAAATACTATCTTGCTCCTACTTCGAAAATTGATGCTATGGACATCTGGATTATCTACACTTATAGCTCCTCCTACTTGCCTTTTCAGCTCCAGTGATGAGTGGGTGGGTTATCGACTTCTGCGGCCCTGCATCCGGTAATTGGGGAGTAGCTTGATCCAGGCAGGGAAAAATTGGAATATAAAGCTGCGCCGTCGAAGCCGGAACATTGCGCAGGAGGCGCACGTTGGAGATCAAAGCTAGTTGTCCCAGCAATTAGTGGGCCCCGAGCGGCGAGAGCGTGGTGGTAGCCCTGGAAGAGCAACCCCGTAGGAGACGTTAAACGTGATGGTTAATAAGTTAGTTGGAATATAAAGCTGCAAGGCGCCTGCCCTCATCATATATTAAAAATATTGAACCAATCCCTAGACCCAAGCTGCAACCCCTGGTATTGGTGAAGTCCACCTTTAGGACATTTCCAGGTTTCTTTTCAACCACAAGAATTAAGTCAAAACCTTACAGATATACATAATCAATTCAGACCGGAATCTGGATCAGTTCGTCTTGACCATAAGGTTGAGAAAATTGCCTCAAGAGATTGGATGTGGTATATAACCATTTTATGTATATGGATCCTGGAGGATCAGTCAAACCATTTGATGCAAATAGAAAAGGATGGATTTTAAGTGAAGGAGGTAGCATTATAATTCTTGAAGAATTAGAACATGCATTAAATAGAGGTGCCAAGATCTATGCAGAGCTTGCTGGATTCTCAATGGTTTCAGAAGCTGGAGACCATACAAAGAGAGATGGAAACGGAGTCTATAGATCTATGAGAGACGCCATAAGACAGGCAGGTCTAACTCCAAACGATATTGATGCTGTATTTGGAGATGCTTCAGGCAATTTTGATTGGGATTATGGTGAAGCTTCAGCTATTTTAAGACTTTTCGGAAGAAAAACCCCAGCAGTTACTTCAATTAAAGGAGGACTTGGACATATGCAGGGTGCTTCTAGCTCAACCAACGTCGGAGCGGCTGCAATTTCAGTTCAGCAAGGACTCATTCCACCCATTACAAACCTCGAAAATCCACTAAGTGTTGACGGAGTTACCCCTAATTTTGTAACAAATGTAAGGGAACAGAAACTGAGAGCAGTCGTCGCTAATGCAGTGAATTACGATGGGTCTGCGTTTAGCTCTATCGTGCTTAAAGCTTTTACTAGATAAACATTATTTAATATCGATTTGATTTATTAAAAATATCAGGAATATTTAATTTATAATTATGGTCTCTGCCTTGCAAAACGGAAAGAGCTATTTTAATGAAACTCAGTTCGAGATTGAAGGAATTTCAGGGACGAAAAAGGTATTTCACAATTAGACAGAGGCAGAAATCCAGTTATGATCTACAACCGAAGGGATTTCTGAATTTGAAAAGGGAATGATTTTTTTGCAGTCTGGATTTCCCCAGCAAAAATTGTGGGCTCTGCAAAATCTTGACAAAATCTTCAGGGAAAACTTTGAAGGAATGTTTAATTTTGTGAAGAATAGATTTAATGCAGAAGATTGAGATTTAGAACTAAAAATAGCATTTGGCCAAGGAGTTATCAATGCAGTAAAACAAGAAATTTTTCCCCAAGGACTATGCGAAGAAATTCTTGAAGTCTGCATTTCTATTTTAAGATCTTTAGCCACAAGCCTTCATGAAACATGAATCCAGGTATTTGCCTGTGTCATTTCTAGTGGAATTTCTAATACTCAAATAGAAAAAGCAATAAGTTTCACTATTGACTTATCTGATTTTAACCAAAAACCTGTATTTCGGCATGTTTCTTGCAAGCTATTAAAAATCATTGCTCAGAAAATAAAATTTGGATTTAAAGGCCAATTATTTCAAAGAGCCAAAGCTTTGTCTCAAGATACTGATTCAGAAGTAAGGCAAGAAATGTGCATTACTTGAATAGAAATCTGCAATTATAAATCGCAAAATGAAATTCAAGAAAAAATTTTTTATGAAATTCTTAAGTCTTATTGGATTTAATTTTATAAAAAATTTCATTTAATGAAACAGTATTATATAAAATTAAGGCTTTGGCTTACAAATTTATTATTTAATTATAGATAAATTCGATATAAACTTGTAGACGATGAAGTAATCTCGGTCAAAGTTGAAGCTGTCGTTTGTTTAATAAAAGTTATTCCGTTTCTATCAAAAGATTTTATATCTCGCCATGCCATTCCTGTCATAAAGAAAGAATTGCTTGTGGAAACGCATATTGAGATCCAGCATATATTTTCTGAGCTGATAGGAGAATTATTGATATCCATCAAACCTTTAATTTCTCCTGATATAAGAGAATCCTTTTTAAAGTCTTTATTATTTTTAAAGGATTCTGACTTTATTGTTAGGAAAAACATAGCTTATAATTTTCCAGCTATTTTCTCAATATTAGGTACTTGTCAAATCATGAAAGACATTTTAACAAGGTTTGTAAATGATGCTGAATCTGAAATAAAAATTGCTATAGCGAAAGGACTTCACGAAATCAGTAAACTTGATATTTCTTGTAAAACAATTGCATTTTTAGCGACACAATTGCTGGAAGACCAAGAGAGTCAATTTTTTATTATAAAAAATGCACAATGGTGAGCAAGTAGGATATCGAGTATTTCGATCCTTGGAAAAATAACAAATTCTATACAGACTGGAAATTGAAGAGAACAGATCAAATTTTTAGAAATACTAAACGAAAATATTGTGAATTTTCACATAAACGATTTATTAGAAAATATTGTACCAATTTTACTTCAAAAAATGCAGAATGATAATTTTTCATTAAAACTGCTGTCAGCTAGAGTGCTGTCCAGAATTTTATACCACACACATTATACTTCCCGTAAGCTTGAAATCATTAACAGCATAAAAGATAAATTTGCTCGGTCTTCAAGCTGTTATGATAGGATTTTATTTATAGATTTCATAGAGTTTTCAATGTCTTATCAATCAAAAGAGTATTTTTCCAAAAATTTCTTTGATGAAATTCTTAATATTTCCCATGATCTAATAGATTCGGTTCGATTGAAAATCGCAATGATTTTGCCTATTATTCGTGAAGTAATTCCTGATCGTCAAATATATCAGGTTGAAAATTTAACAGAATTTCTTATAGAAGATTCTTCAGCCAATGTAAGAAATACTGCTATTAATTCTAAAGAAATAATGAAAAGTGACGAATATTCTAGATTGAGTTAAGAAAACTATAGCTTAATAAAGGCAAAGCTTCAATAAAATAAGAATTTGCATTAAAAATGGTTTTATAGCAGATTATTGGATGAGAACTTATCTAATAGAGCTTACAATAAAAAAATATATAGTGACGAAGAACAAAGAGACTTTCAGCAAAGATGCAAGTTTGAAGAAGAGCAAGCGAAATTAGATTCAAAAGAAATAGAAGATAATAAGAGGAGAATGGTCGTAGAATTCGCGTCAAAAGCTAGAGAAGCGCTTAGACAGAAAAGAAACGAAAAAGCAAAAACTCAAATTTCTCATTTAAAAACTCGAAGTGCATCTGGGCAGCCAATATTGGTGAAGCCACAAAGAAATACTCAGCCAAGCATTCCATTGAGAGCTGGATCATCTAGTAGAAGGAAAAATCCATATTAAAATGCATATACAAAATAAATTAATCTCATAAGATAATATAAGTTGATTTATATATCATTATTTTATTCATAATAATAACTATTAGCTTCTTTTATATTAATACCTTTTTATGTTCTTCTGTATTCAAATTATTTAATTCCAACCCTAGAAGTTAATTTACTCCAACTTAGCCTAAATTAATTAAAAAACTAACCTAAATTTAAGAGTGAGCAAGCTTTTCAGTCACCTTAAAAGGGCCAATTATTTTTTATAATTGAAATAGGTTTGATCAAATAATGAGATTTTTCTATTTTATGAGAACTCCATTAATGGAATCGTTTGATTTAAAGATGGCGAGGTTCTCAATAAACCTTCCGGCTACAGATATTAAGATGATAGGTTGGCTCCATGCCATATTAAAGTATATTATATACCTTCCATGCAATATATGACTAATTATCAATAGAGCCACAGCTTGATTTTTTCTAAGTCTATTAAAGCTATTAGGCTTAAAAGTTAAGGAAATATCGCGAAAAAATGGACTAAGGGTATATATCCGGCTTAATTATAGCACATCCCTAACACACCACATCACAAAAATTAATTGCGGGGTTTTGGGCTTTTTGGGTTTTTGGGTTTTTGCGTTTTTGGGTTTTTGGGTTTTTGGGCTTTTGCATAACTTTTCAGATATTAACTCCAGAATTGTTTTAGCTGCAATTTATGCTTTACATGCCAAATTTGTCAAATATGTTAATCAAGCAATTTGTGGACTTTAAATACTTAATTAAATTAGGCACCATAGCATAAACTATATAAGATTAATATATATATCTTTTATATTACTATAATATCCAGAAAATTAAGTATTATTGCAAAAATTCCTTTTGCATTTAATATAGTTTATTTAATTATCAAAAATTGTAAATGCAGGGGTTAGCAAACATTTTTGGTTGTATTTAAAGCAATGTCCATTTTCACACGCAAAGTAAAGATTTTTCCCATATAGAGTTTTGTAATTATAGCCACACTTAATATGCATATTTTATGAAATTAATTATTTTTAAAAATATTTAATATATAAGATATAGCCTTCAAGCACATTTAGATCTAGCTTGGATAAAAATTCTAATCAAGTGTCAGCATTTGATTTGCCATATCAAATTTAGAAATTTTGATTAACCTGGCTGAATTTCTAAATTTATTTTTTAGAAGCTTAAAGTGGCAACAAAGCCTGACATTTAATGCTAATTTATCTCCAAACTAGATCCAAATGAGGTCTCAAACTATATATGAAATTTCAGTAGTCCAGTCTTGGTCAATTTTTATCACTGTAGTTGCATCAGTGTCTTTATTTCAAATAAATACTTCTTTTTCTTGCAAAACATAAATCTGTGTATTTTTACAGAAAAGTATTTTAGTTAAGCCTGCAGTTAACTCAAGCTTCGGTGAATAATCATTTGCAGCAGGATTATATAAATAAACCTTGTCATAATTTCATCCGGTTATATAAATATTTCCATTAAAAGCTGTAACAGTACATTTTGAGCAGGGAACTGGAAGATCTTTTATTCTGTGCCATTTTACCTCAGAAATATTATATTTTTCAGCAAAATTAATATACTTGCTGCCATGCCTTTCTCCTCCAAAAGCATAAACACACCCATCATAATAGCATGTTGAAGTTTTATAAATAGGAGTTCCTTTTGGAAGTGTATGGACTGTAAAATTCTTGCTATGCACTGTAAAAGTAAGGCCTGTATAATTGTTGTCATAGCAATTACCAAAACAAAAAACTTCTTCATCTGGAAGCTGGCACATGGATATGTGCTGGCCAATTGGCTCTTGCAAGACCAATTCTTTTTTCTCCAGTACTTTTCTTTCGCTTCCACCTAAAAAGATGTCAAAATGTTTGATAAGGAGAGTTTTTGTATTATCCTCAAAAAATAATAAGCCAATATAGAGTAAATATTCTTGGGTATTTTCCTGGAATTATTTTTTTCAAAAAATAAAAAAATAGCATTATAAGCAGTAAAAGGTATAAAGTGTTTCAATGAAAAATGCTATGGCAAAGGTTCATTTTGACTTTTTGAATTTTTCTTGGAGATGGCTCATCCTCGCTTCCTTCGTGTATATTATTTGATTTTTTCTTATAATAGAGATAATCCTTATAAAGTAAAATAAATTCTTTTACTCCCCCCCCCCCCTCCGTGAGCGAACAAAAAAATTTTGTTCACTCACGGAGGGGGGTTAATTTTTTTTTTTAAAAACAATTTATATATAAATTTTATAAAAAATATTTTTTTCGAAATTTAAAAAAAATCCTAATTTGCAAAAATTGGGAAGCAAATACTAATTTAATTTGCAAAATTTATGTTTTAAAACGCAATTTGTTTAAAATTAAACAGAATTAGCTCTAGATTTCATTATACTAATTATCACTTATATAGCAAAATTTTTTCTATTAAAATTTTTTCTATTAAAAATATTTTTGTTCACTCACGGAGGGTGGGTTTTTGGTCAAAAAATGGCGATTTTTCTAATGGTTTTGTTCGCTCACGGAGGGGGGGGGGGGGAGGGGAGTTAGCATCTTTTGATTTTTTGTGGTCAAACAAAAATTTTCTCTTTTTAATTTTTGATATGCCTGGCTATACATGTTGAAATCTTCTCGAATTTTCTATTGGCTATCCTACTCCTTATATTATAAAAATCACTCAACCAGTAAGAATTTTTTAATTCAGTGTAGCCAAAAATAATTATTCTGAGTATCAGGCACAATTTGCCTATTAGTAGTAAAGTTTGCATCCTCCTGCATCCCTATCTCAATCTGATGGATTTCTGCTTTCTCTTCCTCTTTTCCTTCTTCCTTAATATCTCTATTGCTTTGATATTCTTCAGTTAAGCTTCCAGAATTTTCCATACTTCTTTCGTCTTGCTGCTTCATTTCACGATTCACTAAATCAGAGCTTCTAACTCCTCACCTTCCATGAGTTAAAAAAATTTATTCACTCATAAAGGGGTTTAATGTTTTCTTTGTAAACAATTTATATAAATTTTTAACTAAATTTCTTAAAATCACAAAAATTGGAAAGCAAAAATAATTTAATCTGTAAAGCTTATGATTAAAATTAAAGTTGCTTGAAATTCAAAAGAATCAGCATAGATTTCATATATTAATTATCACTTATAAATCAAAAATACTTTTCATTACAAATTTTATATTAAAAGTTTTTTGTTCACTTACTGATGGTGGGTTTTTGCCAAAAAAATAGGGATTTTCCAATGGTTTTATTGCCCGCAGAAGGGGTAAGAAAATCCAAGCATTTGTCTACTTCAAGCTTTAATATCTCTTGGTTAATATTTCTATTCGGAATTAAATAATTCCTGTGAATATTTGCAATTATCTTGTTTACTTTATCTTGAGACTCAGTTAAATTTTGAATTTCTTGATCTAGCTCATTTTTAATTTTTATCATGGCTTTTGTATAATCGTCAATGACTGTTTTTATGCTTTCTTGAAGAATATTTTTCTGGTCTCTTAGAAAGCTGAGGCAAATTGAGATCTTTTCTCTAGGCAAAACTGGTGTAAAATTTTCATGCATTATGCCGTTCCTAATGTGATTATATAAGTGAGCTTCGCAGATAAAGGATTTAGGAATTGTACAGTCGCAAGACATAACTGGCTCATTATCACAGCTAGGAATGCTGCATTTAGAAATAAAGATTGGGTTTAAATTAGCCATTATTTGCTTGATATTTTTATAGGGGGATTATGAATTAATTATATGCAAATTTTTAAAAGTAAATTTTTAGATTAAATAAGCTGAAACTTCAATTTGCTCTTTAATACTTCGAGAACCTAACTCCCCCTCCATGAGTAAACAAAACTATTAGAAAAATTCCTATTTTTTGCCCAAAAACCCACTCTCCGAGAGCGAACAATAATTAGTATAATTAGTATAATAAAATCTGTTTAATTTTAAGAAATTTGAGTTTTAAAATATAAATTTTATAAAAAAAAATTAATGTTCGCTTTCCAATTTTGCGAATTAGGATTCTTTTAGAATTTCGAACAAAAATTTTTCTATAAAATTTATATATAAATTTTTGTTAAAAAAAACAAATTAAGAGCGAACAAGATTTTTTTGTTCATTCACGAAGGGGGGGAGTAAGCAGAATTTATAAATTTTGGTACCACAGGAAAAAAAGACAGACTTTTTCGATATTATTTGATAAGAAAGTAAATTCTCATTGCCGCCGTAGGTACATTTACCAAAACTCTCCCATACATTTCCACTTTTCGAAGAATATATTTTCCCTCCCCATTGAATAATAAATATTCTTGATTGATGAGCAAAAACAATTTTAGTCCTTTCTTCATCAAGCTGGCTAAGCACTACAGTATAGATATTTTTAGAAATAAAATAGCAATATAGATTTTTATAATTTTTTCCTGATAAAAATATTCTATTGCCATACCCAAAGCAAGAATAACGATAAGAAGTTTGTGGTAGCATAGCAATATCGGTTCAGCAATTGTCATTAAGCGAGTATTTTCGAGCATAAGCTATTTCTCCATCTGAATCTGAACCACCAAATGCATATATATAATTATTATTATAAGCTATTCCTGCCCCTAAGCATGGATAACCTGATTTTAGGTTTCTTATTTTATCAATTGCTCCGTAATTGAATGAAATTTCAAAAGCTATTCCTGAAAAAATGCCATTAAAACAATTTCCATAGCAAAAGACCTTTTCATCTGGAATTGCACACATTGATGTAAATTTATTAATATTTTCTCCCAAATCTATTTTTGAAACTTTTATTTCGTTATCTGATAAATAATAGATCCCGAGGTTTTTATTATTGAAAAATAATAATTTATCTGATTCAAAAAAGCTTGCTTTCTGGGACTTTTGAGATACATCTTGAGTGGAAAACTGATTATTTTCGTTTCTTTTTAATCCAAAATTTATTTCTTTTGGTAATTCATGCTTGGTTTCTTCTTCGAATCCATTTTCCTCCTTTTTTATTTCAGATTTCACTGAAAGTGTATTATTTTTCCCTGTAATGCCACTACTTGTAGGATTTAGTTGTGAATTCTTACTCCCCCCATCCCTCCCGGAGTGAACAAAACTATTGGAAAAATCCCAAAAACCCACACTCGCGAGCAAACAAAATCATTTTAATATAAAATTATTTTATATAACTCCCCCCCCCCCCTCCGTGAGCGAACAAAACCATTAGAAAAATCGCCATTTTTTGACCAAAAACCCACCCTCCGTGAGTGAACAAAAATTTTTTTAATAGAAAAAAATTTTAATGGAAAAAAATTTTTGATATATAAGTGATAATTAGTATAATGAAATCTAGAGCTAATTCTGTTTAATTTTAAACAAATTGCGTTTTAAAACATAAATTTTGCAAATTAAATTAATATTTGCTTCCAATTTTTGCAAATTAGGATTTTTTTAAATTTCGAAAAAAATATTTTTTATAAAATTTATATATAAATTTTTTTTTAAAAAAAAAAATTAACCCCCCTCCGTGAGCGAACAAAAATTTTTTGTTCGCTCACGGAGGGGGGGGGGGAGTAAGTGATAATTAATATAATAAAATTTCGAGCTCATTCTGTTTAATTTTTAAAAAAAAATGCGTTTTAAATAATAAATTTTATAAATTAATTTAATTCCAATATTTGAGAATTGGGATTTTTTTAAATTTCAAAAAAAAAATTTAACCCCCTTATTGGCTTCTGGAGGGGGAATTAGTAATTTTTTCTTCAATTTTGATTTTTTTTTCAGGATTCTTCGTTCCTTTTTCTTCAATTTTGATTTTTTTCCTAGGATTCTCAATTTTAGACAAATTTCCATCACTTATCTCTTCTTTCATTCTTTTAATTGGAATTTGTGCAGGGTTTGCTTGCCTATCAGAGGGCTCTTCAATTCATTTATATAAATTATTAATAGACTTATTCAATTTTAGCATTTTACTTTCCACTTCTTCATTAATGATTTCGTATAGATTTTCAACACTTTCGCATTCAATATTATATAAAATTCACCTTTCTCCGATCATTATTGAATCATCAGTTATACCATCATCTATATTCTTATATATTTTATCAATGTTCTTTGATGTTGTTTTTATGAAATTTAGGCTGTGTTTAAGCTTCTCAATTTTCTCCAATGTTTTGGTAATTACTTTTGATGTAATGTCTGAAATTTCTGCTCTTTTTCCGTTGATGTATGAAGATATTTCGAACTGGTTTATATCTGGAGAAGGCTCAACCTTTATATGGCTATTTTTCATCTTTTTCTAAATTATAAAAGCTATAAAAATTTTATAGATATTTGCTAAAACAATAGAAATCTTAAAAATATCGATAGAAATAAGAGGAAAAATAAAGAAATTTCAGGAAAGCATGCTAAAATATTTGAAATATTAAAACTCATTGATTGAATCTTCAAATTATGCGTAATTGAAAATATAATTTTTTATGAAATAATCATATTCAGTTAGAGAAAATCTTATAGTTTCACGAAAAGTTTTTTATATTTAATGGCCATTCGGCCCAACATGATTATAGGAAATAAAGTTGATTCAATTCTTTGTATTAAATTTACTTTTCTATAGTGAAATCCTGTTGAATCTTGACTATAAATAATAAAGATGAATTCAGTTTTTTTTAATAAGCATTATGATCTAAAAATTAACTTATTTCAAAAAGAAAACTAGATTTATATTAAAATGCAATTAATATTATTGTGACGCTATACACTTGATTTTTTCCTTTGCTTTGGAGTTAAAAATATAATAGCGGTTCTCACAGCAAAACAGCATTGTAGCTTCGTTTCTAGTTTTATATGATGATGGAATTATATTTGGAAATCCTGCCACTTTCCCTTGCATCCAATCTTTTCCCACATTAGACTGGAAATAATTTTCTTCAGAGTCACAAATAAAAATTATATATTTTAAGCACATTATTATTCGAGGGACTCCAACTTTGAATCTTATATCTCTTCGAGTATAATTGTTACCTTCTATATTATAAGCATATACGCCTATAATTAGAATTAAAAAAGCTTAAAAATAGGTTCGATTTTTATTAAATTTAGAAAAATGAAGCATTTTACGCATAATTCTAAGCCATTTATCTAAAAAGGAATAGTGTATCATGATTAATCCCAGAAATATAAAAATCCTTATTATAATACACAACTGAGCATCCATGAGAAGCTACTGGAAGATTCATCAATCCGAATCATGTTTTTTCTGCAATCGAATATTTTGCAGCAATTGCTAAATCTCCCTCTCAATTTTTCCCTCCAAAAATAAATACCCTTCCTTCAAAATAAGCACAGCTCGAATAAGCACATTGCATAAATTCTGGAAGCAATTCTATCTGATGATTTTTATCTACAATAAAAGCTATTCCAGAATAGCTTCTATCTTCTAGGTAATTCCCATAGCAAAATATTTTACCATCAGGCAGTTGACAGCATGCTGTATATTTTGTCATGTTTTCTGGGATATCTAAAACAACTTGTTCTTTAGCTTTTGTCTGAATATTAAACTTATTTAAAATTTTTGAATTTTCTGTAAAAGAAATTATGGTATCAGATTCTGCTATGCTGCTATTTGGAACTCTAGTTTCAGAAGATTTTTGTCTTTTTTTAGGACTTTCAGCAGTTTTGCATTCAGAATTATTCTCTGAGCTTTCTATTTTGACTTTTAATGAGACATTTTCTCGATCAAGTTCTGAGTCTCCCCATCTTTGGTCAAACGATTCCATTGAAAATTAACTAAAATTGAGTAAATTTTTTCCTATCAATAATTTAACAGCTTTCGTATGGCCAAGTATGAATTTCAATCCATAGTACACTTAAAATCAAACCTGTTTTGATAATAGTAATCTTACTCCCCATCTGTGATTGAACAAAATCATAGGTTAATTCTATTTTTTGCCCAAAAAACCCACTCCATGAGCAAAACAAATTTTTGATACATAAGTGATAATTATTATAATAAAATCTCTAGCTAATTCTGTTTTTTATTTTAAACAACTTGAATTTTAAAACATATATATTTTACAAATTAAATTAATATTTGCTTTAAAACTATTTCGGATATGAATTTTTTTTAAATTTCGAAAAAAAAATCCACAGTGAGTGAACAAAATTTTTTGTTCGCTCATGGAGGGGGAATTAGAAAATAAGCCATCCTACGCTTCAACAATTCTGCATATTATATACTACATAGCTCAGAACGCGCTATAGGCCGTCATAGATTATCATTTGAAGCTTCAATAAGTGGAATTGGCAAGTGCGCTTATAATATTCGTCAACTCATGGAGTAGTTTGGCAACTTTTGGGATAAAAACAACTCCAAATTTAGAAATTTAAGTGATAGCCGAGGGCGATTTATAATGCATCCAGATCTATATATTTTTTTTAAAAAAATTAATTAACCCCAAATCCTTGACCAAACGTGATGATAGCTCGATCAATAATCAAGAAGGGGAGTGAGTTTTTATTTTTAATTCTTCATTGAAATTTTGGATAATTACAAACCTATTATAGAGTAGGTTTATTTTACTCTCAATTACAGAAAAAGGATTTTGGTCCGCAATTACTGTGTTATCCTCAATAAAAAGCCTCTGCAAGGTTTCATTACATGCTGAATACAGTTTATTTAAGCCATTTTGAAATTCTTTTTCCTGGTTTTCTAGTCTAGCTTTAATGTCATTTTTAGCTTCAAACTTTAAATTTGAGGTAAAATTAGAAATAGTATTTTCTAAGTCATTTGATTGCTCTTTCATATCTATTTCAATTTGATTAATAATTGAAATAGGTGAAACAGCAATTTCTTCACTTTGAATTTCTCTATTATATAAATTATTGTAGTTTGCTTCAAGATTATTGCACTTTTCTGTAATTTCATTGGCTTTTTCAATTAACTGCCTAATATAAGAAAAAACAATTTCTGTCAGTTCGTGCTTCCTTGTTTTGGTTTCATTGATTTTATCACTCAATGATTTTCTTAATTCTTCAGATTTCATTTTTGTAGGAATTGCTGACAGTTGGTGAGATGAATCAGTTAGGCAGTGATTTCTAACATGATCGTCACATATAAGTGTAGTTTGGCCTTCACATTTGCAGAGAAATTCAGGAAAATTTGGGCAATTCTCAGCGAAGCATTTTAAACAACTGCTTGACATAATTAATATAATATGTAGAAATTTTGAAATAAAAATAATAAATTTAACGTTCTTTAATAAATTAATTTTGCTATTTGCTTGATTTTATCCTTTGCTTTTGGATTGTATTTGTAATAAGAATTTTCACAGCAAAAATACAACAGCTCTTTATATCGGATTTTATATGATGAAGGAATTATATTTGGAAATCCTGATACTTTTTTATCTTTTCAATTTCTCCCATCTCTTGATATATAGCGATTATTATTAGAGTCACAAATTGTAATTACAAATGTAAAACAGCATATGATCCTTGGTACTCCAACTTGGAACTTTATATCTCTTTCAGCATAAGCATTATTTTCTAAATTATATGCATATATGGTTGTATGATTAATTCCTGATATATAAAAATCTTTATTAAAGTGAGCAACTGAGCATCCATGAGAAGGAACTGGAAGGTTTCGCAATCTTTCCCAAATCCTATCTTTTAGGGAATATTTTGCTGCAATATTTAAATCGCCATGACTATTTTTCCCTCCAAAAACAAATACATAACCATTAAAATATGCACAACCTGAATGTGCACAAGGAGCAAAAGCTTCAAGTATGTCTACGCTATAGTCTTTGTTTATAATAAAAGCAATTCCAGAATATCTGCCATCTTCTCTATAATTTCCATAGCAAAATATTTTATCATCAGGAAGTAGACAATATGCTGTAGAGTATGACAATTTTTCGGGTACATTTAATTCTATGATATTGGTCTCACCTAAATTAATATTTAGCTTATTCAAAAACTTCGAATTATTTGTAAAATGATATATTGAATCAGAATCAAAAACACTGCTATTTGGAGTTCATCTATCTGAAGTTTTTACTCTTTTTCTGCAAGTATCAGCTGTATTACAGTTATAATTATTTTCGGAATCTTCTATTTTGAGCTTTAATGATTCATTTTCTTCTTTAAGATGCTTATTTTCTTGTTTTAAATTTTCAGAATAATTTTGGAGATTTCTTAACTGAGTATAAAGCTGGTCTATATTCTGTTCAATGATGAAGCATTGGTCATTATCTGCATAATTAATATTGTCCTTAATTAAAAAACCTTGAAAGATACCGTTACATTTTCTTATGAGTTTATTAATGAAGCATTGGAATTCTTGTTGCTGATTTTCTAGCTGCTTTTCAATGTTTTTATCTTCAAGATTTAATTTTGAAGCAAAATTAGTTATGATATCTTCTAAATCATTCGATTGGTTTTCTATATTATTTTCAATTTCATTAATGACTTCAGAAACAGATATCTCATCACTCTGAATGGCATTGTTATATAAATTGCTGTAATTTCTTTCAATATACTCAAATTTGTTTAAAATCTCATCAAACTTCTTATTTATCAGCTTCATATACTTTTATATACAAATTTTCAATAAAAAATGTCGCCATAATTTATATTTTTTTTTAAATCTACTTATTTATTTTATTTTATTAAAATATTTGTCTATAATACAAATAAATAAAGCTTAAAACTATGCAAATTTGATATAAATTCGCTCTTTCTATTTCTGATTTTATTGATTTTCGCGGTTAAAATTTTCCTTAGTTCTACAGATTTCATTTCTATTGAAATTCTTTCTGAATGATGCTCTAGGCGTAGTTCATCTAAGATGTGAGGTGTAAAATGCTCTTCACAAAAAAATGCTGCGGGGTCTTTGCATCTGCAGAGTAATATGGGGCAATTCACACAGCCATCGATAAAGCATTTTAAGCAACTAAAAGACATTTTATTATTTTAATAAGTATATAGTTGTTGGGATTTTTGAACCTGGCTTTCACATGCTAATCTATAGGTATATAAATTATATATTTGGTATATTCATATTATGAGAGGTTGTCATTGCATCCGACTTATGAGGTGGTTGCAACACAAAGGATATCTCAATTACATTTTACAATTTTGTAATGAATATGATATAGCATATGTCTTCTGCTCCACAAGTAAAACGACAGCCTTAATTTATTATAATCAATATCTTGGAGTCTTTCATAAGTCTAAAATTAAAATATCTTAAATTCCAATTTATCATAATAATTTTTATAGTCAATAATTTTCTAATAGCTTCGACTATCAAAACAAAGGAATTCATGTATTTAAAAGAAAATATATAAAAATTGAATGTAATAAAATGAATGAGATAAAAGGTTTTTTTAAGCGGATTCCAGAAGATGAGTGGAGAGCAACTTACCAAGAATTCGCAGCTAAATATGATGAAGAAGAAATAAAGCATGCCTGAGCTCAAAACACTGAGCTAAGCTCTCAAATTTTGATCAAAATAGCTGAAAACGAAGCAAGTGAAAAGATAAAGGAGACAAAATAGCTTAGCATTTTATTAATATAGCACACATGAATTTTAAAATAATCTTTACATTCAATATTTATTTTATTAATAAACTATTAAATCCAATCAAAAGCATGCCCAAGTTCGCCATTCGAGTTAAATTTGTAATATCTTGCATCTCCACAAGTGAAATAAATATTCGTTCTATAAATAGTTCTAAATGAAGAAGGATTTTTTGAGAATAGCTCAGTTGTATTTCTAGCTCTATTCCATTTTCCATCATACACTAATAAATCACCTTCGCTTTGCAATAAATAAATCTTATTATAAAGAGACAATAATAATTTTGGTTTTTCTCTTTCAAGAAACTCTTTCACGATATCGTATGTGTCATGATGTGGATCATAAATATAAATTTTAGAAAGAGATGGCCCAGCTATATAGATTTTATCTTCATAAGCTAGTGTTGTGCAAAAATTAGAAACCTCTGGCAAATCAGCTATAGGCTTTCAAGTGTTACTATTAAATGAAAATCTTGAGGCTTCTTTAGTTTTTCCATCATCATTAGATCCTCCAAAAGCATAGACTGAGCCTTTATAATAGCAGACACTTGTATGAAAGCAGGGTCTTCCATAATCTCTCATTATTAAAGAAAAATCTTTTTCTATTATAAAAGTAATCCCAGTTGCATGTCCATTATAAAGATTCCCATAGCAAAAAATGACCTCGCTAGATGTTTGGCACATAGCAATATAAGTGCTTATGAGCTCTGGTAAACCTGAGAGCTCATGATCTTCATATGTTGTGACGATTTCTGTTTCTTTTAACTCGTTGAGATTTTTTGTTCTTAAGATTTTGGATTTTTCTCTAAAATAAGCTGTTTTTGTACCTGGGAAAATACTTTTGCATTTTCATTCATTATTGCTATTTAGTTTTGGAATTTTTCTCGGGCTGTCATAATGATCATATTTATTACTCGACTTTGAATCAGAATGCTTTTTCGGAATTTCTACGTCGGTGTCTCTTGTTCATCGAGAATTTGTAGGCTTTTTTGCTTCTTCATTCTTACTGCCCCAACTGTCAGTTGTGTGTGATTTTTCTCTTGATCGTGAATGAGAGTCCCTTTTAGAATCTTTCAATTCATTTGGTGCATTTTCAGCTCAACTATCTCAACTCTCTGTAGTATGTGATTTTTTATTTTCGCGAGAGCTAGAGTGCTTTTGAGAAGCTTCTGCTTCATTCCATGCATCTTCAGCTGCTTTTGGGTCCATAGGCTTTTTGGGAGTTTCATATTTTCTATCCCAACTGCTAGTTGTATGTGATTTTTCTTTTGAATGTGAGTGCGAGTGCTTTTGAGAAGCTTCTGCTTCATTCCATGCATCTTCAGCTGCTTTTGGGTCTATAGGCTTTTTGGGACTTTCGTACTTCCTATCCCAACTGAGAGTTGTATGTGATTTTTCTTTTGATCGTGAATGCGAGTGTCTAGAAGCTTCTGCTTCATTCCATGCATCTTCAGCTACTTTTGGATCTATAGGCTTTTTTGAACTTTCATTTTTTCTATCCCTAATTTCAGTAACATGTGATTTTTCTTTTGATCGTGAATGCGAGTGCCTTTTAGAATCATCTGCTTCACTTCATGGATCTTCAGCTTTTTTTAGATCTTTTGGCTGTTTTGAATTTTCATCCTTTCCATCCCAGGACTCAGTTGTTTGAGATTTTTCGTTAAATGTCTGATTTGAGTGCTTTTGAGGAGTTTTTATCTCTTTTCATGCATCTCCAGCTAGCTGTGGTATTGTAAGCTTTTTAATCTTTTCATTGCTTTCATCCCAGCTATCAGTTGTATTTGCTTTATTGGATTTTCTTGGAGGTTCTACTACTTCTTTATCTCAGCTTTTAGTATCTACTGATTTTTTGTATTTATCAATATGTTTTTCTCTATTTTCTTGTGCAGACTCATCTTTTGGCTTTTCTTCAGCATTTTTCTTAAATATGTCTTTATCGCTATTTCTTAGTTTCAATTCTTCCTCAATTTTACCCAATTTCTCCTTTAGTGATTGATTATCCTTGTCCTTTAAGTAAACTTCTTTTTGTAATTTTTCTATTTCCTCATTCAGCCTTTTGTCTTCTTTTTCTTTATGAATCCCAAAATCTCTGAATTTCATCTTGAAGCTTTCAAATTGATCCAATATATAATTCTTTTCATGAGTTTTCTGGTCTATTTCCTTCTGAGCAACAGCAAGATCCCTGTGCAGTTCGTTAATATCTGAACTTTTTCTATTAATTCTTTCTTCCAATTGTCTAATTTTTTCTAACAGTTTTTTATTTTCTTGTTTTAATTGCTCGCTTCCCAATTCTGTTTTCATTGAATCTGGAGTGTGTATTGAATCATCAGGTGATTTTTCAATTAAATTATTTTCTAGTCTGTTTTTATTTGTTAATTGTGGAATCTTTTCTATATAAGAAGGTTCTCTTTGTTCAGTATTTCCAATAAAATTTTCGAATTTCTTTATTTCTTGATAAACAGAGTCATAAAATGGAAAGTTTGTATTTTGCATTAAATCCCTGCAGTCACTTTGATTAGAAAGTAGATCTATATTTAATTGCTGATAATGCTCAGGGAAAACTGAAGATCTACAAATAAAATTTACGATTTCTCTATATTTTTCTGTAGATATTCTATTTTCTTCAATTAGCAATCCCATGTTAGTTTTCATTTCATTTATGTGTTTTGTTGTCTTAGCAATCAATACTCCTATTTTTGCTGATATTTCAGTATTAATACTCGCCAAGTGGTTTACTATAATTCTTTTTGAACTTTCGTCAAGCTTTGGAGGCTCAGGATTTTTAATAACAATTAGATTGTGCCCATAGCTACTCAGACAATGAGGGGTTAGGTGATTACTGCACATAATTGCTTTTGGTGTTACGCAACTGCATTCATACTCTCCAGGGTTTGAGCAGTTCAGAAAAGTGCATGATACTTCTGCCATATATATTTATTATTTTTCCCCGAAGCGAATTGAAGCAAACTTATTATATCTTTATAAATAGAACGCAATCAAAATGAATAATAGCCAAGTACAAATTAAATTTAATTTACCCTAGGATTGTTCATTGGCAGACTCTTGCCAATACGGTGGCGCAGCAACATCGGGTTGACCAACCCAAGCTATATCTGATTTCAGGAAGCTAGCCCTGTTAGCGCACAGATGGTGTCAAGCGTCTCAAACTCTCAGACATCAATTTCAAGCCTATATCAATAAGGAGTAATGTGCAAAAGGGTATTTCCCTACTGGCAAGGAAAGCGGTGAAGTGATATGGATGAAAATAAACCTTTGGAGCTTCAGGGAGTTTTTCTATAAGTAATTAAGTAAGTAAGCATGGATTTGGATTAGGATTAGGATTAAATTAATTATTGGCGTACTATTTCAAACGCCTTACACTTTTAACGAGTCTTCAAAAATTTAAATCATGAATAGATATGTTTTCTTTTTTGAGGTCATCTTCAATATTTTGGATTTCAAAGAAATGCTTGTGTTTGCTGTTTTCTCTGCTAGTTCGCAATTTATCATCAATACTTCTTAGTGTGATCTTTGTTAAAAAGTCAATCTTTTCTCATTTTTCTTCACCTAATTCTTCTAAAAATTTTAATTCTGTAACATCTGAAATAAGTCAATTGTATATGCTTGTATTGTTAATATATCTGCCTATCATATCTTATAATCTTTGTATAAATTTGATTCTTTCGTTTTTATATTTTATGCATTCGTTAAGAATATGTTTATCTGTTTCCTTGACTTTACATAATTCACATAAATTCGAAGTGTTATCTTGATTATTTCTGTTTCTCAATAGAACTAATACTTTAGATGGACCAGCACCATATCTTCAAGCAGCCTTTATTCTTGTTTCAGTAATTAGGTTTTTATTCAGTATTCAGAATTTTGGGAGTTTATTCGTGGTAAAAGTTTGATTCCTTAATTCTTTAAACATCTTTAATGTTACTTTTTTATTTATTATGCTCATGTTTTCGTTTCTTCAATAGATTTTGAGTTTATCTTTGACATTTCCTTTTCAATTTTTGTCATTTCAGCTAATCATGTTGTTATTAAAATCGAATGGTTTTGTAAAATTATATTTTTGAAGCAACTCTTGGTAGATTTTCATTGTCGGTATAATTGCATTATCGAAATTTCTTAGGAAATGGGTTGCAATCTCAGATATATGTGTTAATTCAAAAATTTTTTGTAAAAATATCAATGATTTTTGGTCAATATATTGTTGTATTGTTGGAATATTTAAATCAAGTAATATGGGCTCAATAGGTGTTTTGTCATAAACATGGCAACATTCTCTTATAATCTTATTGAATGATCTTTGAATTTGTTTAATTGCAGTTTTGCATTTAATTCTTGAGCATATTTCCAAGACCATATGTGCATCTTGGTAAGAATATTGCTTTGAAGCAGTTTATAAGAGTTTTACTTGGGATGTTAAGCATTCTTCTAATCATAGGGATTAGAGAGCAAGTAGATATTTTTGCTTTATCTTTGAGGTCTTTATAATGCGCTTGGTCGAATCCTGTACCTCTTATATTTCCATTCATTATTTTGCCTAAATATTTATATTTTTCAACAACTGGTATTTCATGATTTTGGTATGATATTTTAGGTAGTTTACTTATAATATTTTTCCTATTTTTTGTTATGATTGGCATTATTGCTGTTTTTTCCGGTCCTATATTCAAGTTCATATCATTATCTTTTGATCATTTATCAAGTTTATTTAAAATGTTTTCAATGTCTTTTCAATCTTCTATTACAAAAGCTGTATCATCCGCATATTGAAAATTGATTTTTGATTTTAATTGGTGATTGGGGAGGAGTTCTATATTGATGTCATTATTTTCCTTTTCTATATCATCTATATATATATTAAATAACAATGGTGATATTGCACTTCCTTGTCTCACACCTCTTGTTATGTTTATTTTTTCTGTTTCAATCCCATTTATGACAAGTGTAGTTTGTTCACCTTTTAGCATTTGTGAGATTATTTTTCAGCTATCATTTTTTATATTTTTTGCTTTAATTTTCTCTAATAGTCTAATTCTATTAACTGAGTCATAAGCTTTTGAGAAATCAACAAATAATATATATGAGTCTCTACCTTTTCCAATCCTGTAATACTTACGATATTCCAGTGTAGATTTTAAGAGAAAAATCTGAGTCATGCATGACTTTCCTTTTGTGAATCCATGTTGTCTTTCTGAGATATTAACCGTATTTTCAATTCTTTTTAGTTCTGCTTTGTCAAGAATCTTCATAAAATTATTCATTAAGGTTATGGGTCTATAGCTATTAAGTTCCTTCGGATTACCTTTTCCTTTGTATATAAGGATTGTTTTTGCTTCATTGGCTTTGTCTGGGATTCCATTTAATTTGCAACTATTAAGGAAATGTGTAATTGCTTCTGCCATTATATCTCCACCTTTCTTTATTATTTCATTTCTTATATTGTCTGGTCCAGGAGCTTTTTTGTTTGGTAATTTTTTAATGATTTTCTGGATATCTTGGAAATCTCATAGTTCTTCTTTTGAGCATCCCTTTTGTGGTATGAATTCTATTTTACTTTTAAATTGATTTTCAAATTCTGTTGCTCAAGCTTTAATCTCTTCTTTGTTTAATGATAATGCGATTCTATTTTTATTCATCTGACGTTTTATTTTGTTTCAGGCTCCATATGGATCTTGCATACATTCTTTCAATCTGCTTTCACTGATTTTTTCATAGTTAGATAGTCTTTTTAGTTTATTTATTCATGCCTTTTTTACCTTTTGTAGTTTGTTAGCAAGTTCTCTATTATTTTGCGTTCAGCAAAATTTTATTCATTTCCTCGAGTCATTTATTCTATTTAATAAGATTTTCATTTCTGGGGTTCTAAAATGGTCTGGTTTTAAATGTTTTAGTAGGTATTTTGATTCTTCATCAATTGTTGATTTGATGTTATTAAATATTGCTAAAGGATCAAGAGTTTTGTAGATTCCTTTATTCTGGAAATTGATTCAGATTCTGTGTTGGAACGCTTCTAATTCCTTGCCTTCTAATTTATATCATGGAATCACGGATATTTGCTTTGGTATTATCTGGACACTTTTTATATGAGATAGTAATAATACGTGATTGGTGTTTAATTGTGGAACTTCTATGTATTTAATCTTTGATAGGGTTTCTGAAATAATATAATCGATAATAGTGTGTCTATTATTTCCTCTGAAAGTTGATATAGAAGTTTCATTTAATATATGTAAACCATTGTCTCTAACAAATTTGATAAATATTTTTTCCAGCTAAATCATTTATATCTCTGATAAGTAACCTTCTATGTGTGCATTGAAGTCTCCAAGTAATATACATTGATTAGCATCATTTTTGTTTGCTTGAATTATTTCTTGAACATTCATGATGCAGTTCATATATTCGTTAATTGATTTTTCATTTTCGTGGTTTGCAAGTACTGGTGCATATATGCATATTATCAAAAAATCTTCTATCTTTGCTGCAGTTATTCTATGGTTATTAGTTTCAATTCAAGTTATTTCATTTGCCAGTGAATTATGAATTAATAAGCCAGTTCCACCTGATCCTCTGTAGCCTACTATAGGTCCATTATTACCTATTCACACAAAACCATCAATATAAACTTTATCTTTTAATCAAGTTTCAGCTATTCCTAAGATAGTAATATCGTTTTCGATCATAACATTTCTTAATTGTCTTCGTGATAGATCGTCTTTTCCAATTCCTGAAATGTTGATGAATCCAAAATTTTTTCTTATTATTTTTTCGCACAATCTTCTTGGATTTGGAATTATAATTTCCTCTTCAACTTGAACGGGTAGGACATTATTTTTTCTTAAGGGAGAATGGGTTATTTTCAATCATTTTTTTGGATCTGTGAGATTATCAGATGCTTCAATAAAGAGAATTGTGCATAGAGGTCTAATCATATCTTGGAACATTCTGCTCTCTAGTATTTGTATCTTTTTATTTTTGTAAATTTCTTTTTCATCTTTATTGATGAAAGGATTTTCAAACTTTTTCTTATTTTGGGTGTTATAAATTGAAATCAAGGGTTCAACTATCAGTTTTTCTTTCTTTTCTTTTTTATGTAAGAATGGGTTTTCGATTTTAGAAACGTTTATTTCAGGAAAATCTGTCATCAAAGTGGATGAATTTATTTCTGATGATGGAGAAAGTTTTGGAGATTTGGAAGCAGTTTCATTATAGGATTGCGAGGATTCCTTAATAAGCTTTCAATTTACATCTTCTCTTTCTGGTTCATTTTTCCTTATTGCTGGAGTCTTTTTAATTATAAAAATTTTTTTGATTGTATTTTTGTGATTTTCTTTTAGAATAGTTCTTCCTATGATTTCTATCGGCTTTATGATGCTCTTCTTTAGAGGAATATATGTCTTGATATCATAGTTGTAGGCATTAACTGGTTCATTATTCTGAGTTTTAACAGGAGGATGAATGTTTTTTTTGGGTGGCTTAATTGTTGAGATCTTGCGTGTTTTTAAGTTGTTTTCATATTTATTATCAGAGACTAAGTATTTTTGATCGATTAAATTTAAATTTCTTGAACCTTTCTTGACTTTCTTAGATTGCTTAATTCTTTTTCTTTTTTCTCTGATTTCAATAATTTTATCGTGGTTTGATTCAAGGTGTCCGATTTCGTTACAAGTGTTGCATTGCATTGTTCCTGCGTGATTTAATCATACTGAGTTATTTCCTATTTTCAATATATCTGTGAGATCTAATGCTTGCTCTAGTGAATTAAATTCAGCATATATTGTGTATTTTGCTTCTGGTATAAAATTAAGACTGTGAAACTTGCCTTCATTTTGTATTGTGTTATTCATAATTATTTCTTTTATATCGCAGATTTGCTTTAATGATTTAATTGTTTCCTCAATCGATATTCCAGGAGGTAATGTAAAATTAATCCGATACCTATTGTAGTTGATTTCACCACCTAGTCATAAGATTCCGATTGGTATCATGATGTCTCTTCCTTTGTATTTTAATTCATATGTGATTTGATTCAGTAAATCTTGTTGTATTGATTTTTCTTTAGGAATCAGGATAGCATCTCCTGAAGGTAATCTATGACATCTTAGGATTGATTCTGGGGGAAATTTTTGGTTAACTGAGATGCAGAATGCTGAAAAGAGCTCTTTTTTCTTGTTTTGGTTGCAGTCTTTGAGAAATTTAGACAAATAAAATTTCACTGACAATTCTAAAAATTTGTTTTCTTCAAGCTCTGGTAGGAAATGAGTTGAGGAAGAGAAGCTGTAGATAACTTTGTCTTCTCCAAGACCAATGACAAGTTTTTCTTGTCCATTAGACAGAGAAGAGGGTGAGTTTGTACTTGCATATTCTTCCATTTTTAAAAAGTTAGTAAGCATGGTTGATATATAAATTATAAAATAATAAAATACATGAATTCCTTTAATTGCTTTATTTGCAAATCTTTGCCCTCCTGGAAATGCAATTGCTTGAATCCTTGCACTTTTGGCTGCTGGGATCATATTGAAGATCACTTAAAAAGTAATTGCACTAACCATGAAATCATTATCATTCCAAATACTCTAGAGCCAGTTATAGCCCAAAACTTCATTTAGATCGCTCTGAGCTACCAAGGGTAATACCAACTGGTGAGCTGGCTCGGAAAACAACAGTATTAATCAGCTCTGCCAATTAATAAGCACCACTTGCCAACTTGTAAAGTTAGCTTGGAAACTATTGTTGCCTAGCAAATTCCACCAACTTGCAGACCTTATAGCCAGGGTGATCCAGATGAGGTCCTGGACTATATTATTGAAAAAATTAAAAATCTTCACCAAATAAATATTGAAGAAATAACTTTAAAGGCAAAATATTTTGACGAAAAAATCGATAAAATTTTAAGAAAGATAAATGAAAAACGAGAAGAAGTCATGTACATAGCTGAGGATATAATAAATGAAAAGTCTCAAATTCTAGATAAATTGAAAACATCTCCACTACATTTCTGGGACTATGAAGTTATGCTTTTCGTGATGTATTTGTGCTTTTTCATGCATTCAAAATAAAAAATTTGATATAGAAGTTTCCTATGTTTGGCGCTGTAAGGCCGATAAATTCTGATCGGAATTTATCGGTAGGTTGCACCAAATCAATGCCTTGGTCGGACCAAAAAGCGATTTGGTCCGACGAACTTGGAAAGCTCCTGGGAAAATGTCTGCGCTTTTAGCGCTATATAGAGGAAACCTCTATATATACTAGCACAGAAAAAATAGATCATTTTTCCTAAAAACATTTCATAGATTTCTAAAATTACAACATACTTTGGCTAACTTTATTCAATACATTATATTTAAAATAAGCATTTATAATAAGAAATATATTCAGAAAATAAATAATGATAATGTTCAAGATTGATTGGTAGATATTTCTTAAATTTAAATTAATTAAGATTATAAGAGAAGCTCTGTGAAGGCTTCTCGGGCAGACAATATTCACCTCCATATCGCTTTGCCGCAACTTGCCAGCTGAGCACGACTTCTCACTGCGCCACTCCTCACGGACAAAGAATTGAATTCGCTACCCGTGAGCCAGAGGCTCTGGGTCACCGTGCGGTATGTCAATTGGCTTCGCTTCCAAAGATTAAAAAAAACGAATTTTCTGATCACCTAGGCCAAGATGGAAACTTGCAGTCTGGACGCGATGCCTGGCATTGCACCGGTAAATGGTCCTGATTGGCCAGGATTAGCCCTATTGATTTTGCTTGAATCCCATTCCAAATCCAAGTCTCATCTTCCTCCAAGATAAAACCTTCGCATGAAGTGAGCTGCGTTCACAGTAGTTCGACGCTGCGCTCACCAAACCAAGTAATGCCGAGGAGGATATAACGCATATTTTTTGTATCGCTATGGAATAATATCTAAAGAGGTAAAGTAGCGATCTGGAAAGTTAGCAAATGCTATTTTTATGGCAAGCTCATTTTTGGCTTGGCATAACGGAACCTAGTATAAAAAATTATCAAATTTTATCTGTACTTGTCAGAAAAATGTTGGTTTCCATTTTCTTTTTTACTTGCCAAATTGATACCTTACTCTTTTGGCGTTGCTTCTCAGCCATCTCGAGCTATAAAATTACCAATCGTCATCCTCCCTTTCACAGGGTTTCTGGGCATCCTAATTGCAGGTGCTAAGAGGGTGGCCGGTTCACCGCGCTATTTTAATGTATAGATTAGACATCATGGAAATTGAATTCTAAAAATGAAAGAATCTATTGTTGCTAGGGCTTCCAATAATTATAAGTTAAGATTGGCAGAAATCAACTTTTTTGACTATGAAAAATTAGAAAATGCCTTTATTAGATTAACCCTTTTGCCCTTAACAAACTAAGGAATTTTCACATCGTCTCTAAAATACCTTGGTCAATTTTTCTTTAGGCAGCAGGATAGTGTTTGCATTAGCCGCCCAACTTTCATAGCTTTGGAGCCGATAGCTCGACGAAATTCAACTTCTCAATAGACAAAGATCACTATTTGAGGCCTGTTTAATGAGCTTATCACCTAGTCGGATTTATTTGAGTCCTGCCTTTCAACCCCTTTAGCACCCAGGAGGCAAAACCCTGAGTTCTATGAATTATCTTCATGAGACCCAATTAAAGTCTTGATTGCATACACAATGAATTTCTACCCATTCTAGACCCAAATCTCACACTAATCATTATATGAGGAAATTGGGCTGCTATATCTGCGATCTGTCAATGCCATTTTTTAGGATATAGAAAATGCCCGTTAATAAATTCGAAGAAGCTTATAAATTTGGAGAAAGTAAAAAGCTAAAGCAAATAAATGCTGAATTAATTTCTTGCAAAAATGAATTAAAAAATCTAAGAATCACCTTTGAAGCAAAAGAAAAAAAATTCAATGATATTTACGAGGATAATAAAGCTTATAAAGATATTATTAATAAATGAGATTTGCAAATAAAAGACCATGAAAATCAATTGAAATTTAAAGATCAATATTATGAGGAGCTTATTAAAGAAAAAGAAGAATCATGAAATAAATTGATTAAAGAAAAAGAAGAAAACTTTATGGTCGAATATATACTGTTTTGTATGAAAAATTCCATTGTGATTATCCTATTTTTATAATTTTTTTATCTATTCAATTATAATAATTTCGAATAAAAATTTGAAAAACGATTATGAAATCTTGATACCAAATGCAAATATACATATCATTATAGAAAAGGAAAGCAAGATAAAAGAGCTTGAAGAAGTAATCAAGGAGAAAGAAAAAACAATAGAAGAATTAAACAGGAAGATCCGAAGATCTTCAATGCAGATAAAAACAGAAGAAGAAATTAGAGGCGATAATAAGGCAAAAGATTTAATTAATAAAGTATTTCAAAAGAGTGGAGAAGTAAGCAAGAAAGTATATGGAAATGATAAGTTTGTGAGAGAAAAGAAAATCAAGACGCATGGAGAAAGTGGATATGAGCCTGAGCCTCATAAAAAAGCAAAATATAATAACTAGATATATTCATTGGAAAAATGCATTTAAGTAAAATTAAATAATATAATAATAAAATGTATATGATGTCTATAATATCTATAAATAAAATTTATAATTCTATCAATTATAATAAAATATGCTAATAAAATACTTCTTTTTCCTAAAAATGAAGGATTAACTTTTAATTTTTAATTATGATGACATTTAATAAATGAGTCAAATTTGCTATCTATGCGACAAACAAGCTATATTAAAATGCGGATGCACTGAAGCATGCACATTAATTTGCAATGTTCATTGAAAAGATCATATTTCGAGCAACTTCTTTATAAGTCATGCTCTCAACCCTATAGAAAAAACACTCAAACCTGTTATAGTAAAGCAACTTGAACTTTACTATGAAAAGAGCTATGAAGCTATACTTGCAGCCATAAACCATTTCAATGCAAATGTCGAAACTTTAATTGAACAAATTAACGATTCTAGAGCATCAATACTCAAATTAAGTGAAGAAACTCTTTCTAAAAATTATAGACATCTACAGAATTTAAAGAATTGCCCTCTTGAATATTTATAGTGGCTTACCTATTCTATGAAATGCTTTCATCTTCAATCAGAATTTAAAATAACTATATACGTATGCAAGCCAAGTATCTAGCAAAATATTTAATGGACCATATCTTATGAAGAAGCAATTTATTTTTTAACTTTAGATGAGTGTTCCTCTATTGAAAATTATTTGATTGAGCATCATTATTTTTCTTATAATGCTTTAGAAGATGCCATTCTATTATTTAATAAAAGGAGAAATTTCATAGGAATAAAGGAAGAATTAAAAAAGACAAAGGAAGAGTTAAACCGACTTAGAGCTAAAAATTTAATCGATTCGATGGATGTTGAAGCTTATAAGCAGATGGTTGCAAAATGAGATTCTCAAATAAAAGAGCATGAAATTGATTTAATTAGAAAAGAGATTCATCTGAAGTGAATGAAAAAAAGCATCAAGAAGAGTTCTTGAAAATGAAAATCGAATATGAAAAATTGTTACCTGATGCAAATAAAATTTATTTAACAGAAAAAGAGGAAAAGATAAAAATACTAGAAGCAAAACTCGAGGGAAAAAATAAAGAGATACGATATTATATTAAAAAACTGGAAGAGGTAGAAGCGAAAGTAAAACGAGAAGAAAATTTAACATTGGAAATGGCAGCTAATAGGATTATAGAAGGATCAGCTAGAAAAACTAGTAAATGAAACGATCATAAAGAGAAAAAGAGTAATGCTAGCAGAGATAAGCATAAATATTCAGATATTAGTCATGATAGAAATGAATCTCAAACAAGAAAAAGACAAAAATATAATTAATTTATACTTAATTTTTCCAAAACTTATTCAGAGTTTAATTAACAAATATTTTATTTTTAAAATAAATTTTACAGATTATAACTGTTATTTTTTCATCTTTATCTTAGATCTTGCTGATGGTGCAATTGTCTTTGATTTTTTACTTATAGATCTAGGCTCTTTTCTATTATCACAACTCTGAATTAATATTTCTATCTTTTCTTGTATTTCGCTTTGATTTCTTTGTGAATTTTGCTCTTCTTGATTGATTGCTTCAATTTTTATTTCTATAAGCTCTTTTAAATCACTAATTGAAGCTTTTCTTTCTAAATTACTTTTTTGTTGTTCTTTAAGCTGTTGATTTCCATAGTTTATTATAGATAATTTAGCTTCTATATCATTTTGATAGGTCCTGAGCTTTGCTTTTCGGTTTGAAATTTCTTTAAACTTAAGACTCCATTTTTCTAATATAGTGCTAACTCCCCCCTATCCTTGATCGAACGAATGACTGTAAAAATTCCTAAAAATTGGGGAAATTAACCCCCATCCTTGATTGAACGATTTTCATATCATAACAATTTTTATATATATATAAATATATTTAGTTATCAAAAGCTTGGGAAGATATACATAATGAAGTTGTTTTCAGAAGCTTTGAGACGACAAAAAGCTACGGAATCAACCATACGAAGTGATTTAGTCATCAACCTAGGCTTAAAACCTTAATAATCTAATAAAATAGAGATTCTTTAAAATTTTTAAAAAAAAAAAATTTTAATTCAATAAGGAATAAATTAAAATTTATACAGTTTAAAGGGGTGACTAATAAATCAAAATATTAAAAATTGGTATTTTTATGGAATTAATTCAATTTTTGCTGTAAAAATATTTATTAAATACTCTTAAACCTCTTATTTAAAAGTAAATAAAAAAAATATATATATATTTTGTATTTTATATATATAATTTTTTTTTCCAAAAAATTTTTTTTAACCCCCATCCTTGATCGAACGATGGCGAGCCGTTCGATCAAGGATGGGGGGGAGTAAGCTCATTTTCAAGTTCGATTTTTTTCATTTCTTCATCTCTATAATTTTTCTCAGCTTTCTTTATTCTCATAAATAATTCTATATTTTTATCTTCCGCAGTCTCAGATCATGATATTCCTCCTAATCTTCTTTTTATATCTTGCCTTTCAAGCCTTATTAATTCAATCTTTTGCAAAAATTCATTTTTTTTAACTAATTTCTGTTTTTTTAATTTTTTTAAGTTTTCTAATTCGCAAAACTTTTCTTTCAATTTTCTTTCTAAGAAAGAAATTTGTTCATTTAGTCCTTCTTTTATTTCTGCATCTTTATACATAGAATTTCCTGCATCAATCTCTCTTTTTTCTAATGAATTTTTAATCCTTAGTTCAATAGATTTTATTTCATTTTCTAGTGTTTTTACATTGTTTCATTCTTCAGTAAAATCACGCTTAGGTTTCATCATCCTTGAATTTAATTGCTCTCTAATTTTATCAATTTTATTTTTTCTTTTAATTAATTCATTTCTCCTTATATAGATTTTCTCTTCTTTTTTGCGTACTATATCAAACAGAGAATTTAGTTTTTGTTCTAACTCCCTCATCCTTGGTCGAACGATTGACTGTAAAAATTCCTAAAAATTGGGGAAATTAACCCCCATCCTTGATCGAACGATTTTCATATCATAACAATTTTTATATATATAAAAATATATTAGTTATCAAAAGCTTGGGAAGATGTACCTAATGAAGTTGTTTTCAGAAGCTTTGAGACGACAAAAAGCTACGGAATCAACCATACGAAGTGATTTAGTCATCAACCTAGGCTTAAAACCTTAATAATCTAATAAAATAGAGATTCTTTAAAATTTAAAACAAAAAATTTTAATTTAATAAGGAATAAATTAAAATTTATACAGTTTAAAGGGTGACTAATAAATCAAAATATTAAAAAATTGTATTTTTATGGAATTAATTCAATTTTTTGCTGTAAAAATATTTATTAAATACTCTTAACCCTCTTATTTAAAAGTAAAAAAAAAAAAATATATATATATTTTTTTTTATTTTATATATAAATTTTTTTTTTAACCCCCATCCTTGATCGAACGATGGCGAGTCGTTCGATCAAGGATGGGGGGGAGTAAGGAATCTAAAGCTTCAAATTGTGTATCATCAATACTTACTCCCCCCCTTTAAATTGGAACAAAATATCGGTAAAATTTCCACTTTTTTTGGTATAGAGGTTTCCTCTATATAGCGCTAAAAGCGCAGACATTTTCCCAGGAGCTTTCCAAGTTCGTCGGACCAAATCGCTTTTTGGTCCGACCAAGGCATTGATTTGGTGCAACCTACCGATAAATTCCGATCAGAATTTATCGGCCTTACAGCGCCAAACATAGGAAACTTCTATAAATTAACCCCCCTTTAAATTGGAACAAAATTTAATTTTATAATAAAAAATTATATATAATTTTTATCTAAAAAGTTTTGATATAAGTTAAATGTTTCTTCTTAACTAAAATTAAAAATTTATTTATATCTTGCTCTTTTTTAAAGAAAAAAGTATAAAGAGCATCTTATTTAAATAAATTTATCATCCTTAATTGGTAAATTTTAAAAAAAAAATTCATTTTGTTTTTTAAAAAATTTTCAAAAAAAATTTTTGTTTTTTTTGATAAAAATGATATTTTTTTTATTTGGATAGTTTTGATATAAATTCAATAGGAATTCTTTATAAAATTTCAAAATTTACTTATTTCTTGCTTTATTTTAAAGAATAGAGTATAAATAACATCTTATTTAAACAAAATTAGCACTTTGATCGATAAATTTTCCAAAATTTTTTTTTTTAAATTTTTTTTATCAATAAAAATAATAATTTTTGTGTAAATAATTTTGATACCAATTAATAGTGGCGTATTAACTAATAATGAAAATTTAGTTATATCTTGCTTTGTTTTAAAGGATAAAGAGTAAATAGCATTTTATTAAACAAATTTATTGATCCATTCGATAAGTTTTTGAATTTTTTTTTTTAAATTTTTATATTTTTTATATTGATATTTTTTTTTTAAAAAATAAAACTAACCCCACTTCAAATTGGAACGAAATTTTTAGTTCCAATTTAAAGGGGGGGGATTTAGATAAGAAAAACTATATTCTGGCTCTTTAATCATTATAGTTGGAAAGTTCATTGGTATCGGCGATAAAGGCAAACTAGGGGATGCAGATGATGAATAATCAGTACTTGAGCAGGTAAATATTTTAGAAACTTGTTGAAGAGGATTTTCTGGGGCTTTTAGGCTTATCAATTGTTCCATCCTGAAATTTTAATAATTTTGCTCTAACGATGTGTCATTATTATCACTGGTTGCTATAAATGCTATTAAGATATGAAAGAAGTTTATCATATTAAATTTATAGTTTTTTGTGATCTATAATTATACGAAACAATGCTCAGTAAGGAATCCTGCCGATTCTAAAATTTTTATTTCCTTGCTGGCAAACATTATTATAGTTGCCTTAAATCGTAAAGCAAACAGATTTTATAAAAGCTGACAAGCTAAGGTACCAACATTGCAAGCGCTGCTTTCAATGTTTTTTTGTTTAAAGCTGCAAATGATTGTCGAATAAATACACAGAACTTCTTTAAGGAATAAATCAACTAATAAATAAAATTTTTATGTCTAAATTTACGATGTTATCAATAAATCGTTTTACTTTACTAACTCCCCCCCCCCCCCTCCGTGAGCGAACAAAAAAATTTTGTTCGCTCACGGAGGGGGGTTAATTTTTTTTTTTTAAAAAAAATTTATATATATAAATTTTTATAAAAAAATATTTTTTTCGAAATTTTAAAAAAATCCTAATTTGCAAAAATTGGGAAGCAAATATTAATTTAATTTGCAAAATTTATGTTTTAAAACGCAATTTGTTTAAAATTAAACAGAATTAGCTCTAGATTTCATTATACTAATTATCACTTATATATCAAAAAATTTTTTCCATTAAAATTTTTTCTATTAAAAAAATTTTTTTGTTCACTCACGGAGGGTGGGTTTTTGGTCAAAAAATGGCGATTTTTCTAATGGTTTTGTTCGCTCACGGAGGGGGGGGGGGGGAGTAAGCTAATTAATATATAGGCTATCTGATTTTAATGGAATTATTGGATTTATTTTTATTATATCTCATATTAATATTGCAAAAATTAAAAGGAGTTACAGTTAAATTATCCATTACAAAATAAACATCGTATATTAAGAAAATATTTATATGGAAGCAAGCCCATCTAAATCTTCTCTTTCATTGCAACAAAGCACAATAAAAACCAGCACATGACTTCCGCTTATTGCTAAAAAAGCCCATTTAACGTCAAGAACTCCGAAGCCTAAATCTTTATCCGCTCAAAAGCAATTATCGTACGAAGAATCTAATAAAATCGGTTTAAAATACTATAAACTACCTGAAAAATATCCTCAACCATTTGATACTTTTGCCTCATACAAAAATAGAGAGAAGCAAAAAATTCCTCTCTTGCATAGGGATGCTGTTGCAGGGATTCTCAAAGAAATTGACCAAGATATCCAGCCAATTTTAAAAAAGTTTGGAATCTTTTATGCTGCTTTAAGCGAAAATCACCCAATTAGAGGAAAAGCAGCTGTTACGACAAGAATCCCATTGAGATTTTATGGACCAAAATCATATGCTCATCATATTCAATTGCGCGTCAGAAGTCCAAATTCACCAAATGATTCATCAAGATTTTATAATAAATCGACACTTTTGGCAGTAATTTTCCATGAATTAGCCCATTTAAGACATATGGATCATGGAAAAAATTTTATGCTGTTTTTAAGAGATATTTTTTGTTATGCAAGATCGTTAAAACTTTTCCCAAAGGGAGAAGAACATCAATTACCGAGCTGCCGTGAATGAGAGAAACTTATTTTTAACTCTTACAATTAAAATAGTTTATTTTTCAAATTAATGGGATAAGCTTTAACTATTAAAATGGATAATTAATTTTAACTAAATATTTTATAAAAAGGATAAGAAAAGAGGAAAGGTGACTGATGAAGAACTGTTAGGAATTTCGACAAAAAATCGTTTGTAAAAAATAATGACTGCTTTAATTATTTTGACTAAATTAATATTTTATTTATAGTTACATCATTCCGATTTAAAGAATTAAAAGTATTTTAATTATAGATATAAAAAGGTAAAACATGCTCAAAAATATCATTGTTTGAAGTGAAAATAGTGAAAATCATTTAATTATAACTCAAATTCTAGCATAACAGCCTAATACACCACAATCTTCAACTCAAATCCTATCCCATATCGTTAAAGACAACTAATTATTTTCTAAATATCTCCTTAGATTACCGAGGCTTTTCTTTCTTGTGTAAGTACAAGGCTAATAAAGACACACCTTTGACTTTAACAACCTTGAACCTAACACCAGGGATATCTCCGACTGCATGTCCACTTCTTCCGAATCCTGCCACAAGTACTTCGTCATTTTCATCAATAAAGTTAAGACAGCCATCATTCGGCACGAAAGCAGCGATTTTTTTGCCGTTCTTCTTAAGTAGAACTCTCACACACTTTCTGACTGCAGAGTTTGGCTGCTTGGATTCAATACCAAGTTTCTCAACCACAATTCCTTTAGCATGAGAAGTGCCAGCGAATGGTTTCTTGTATTTTGAGTTAAAGTGGGATTTTTTGTAAGATTTATCTGCCCATCTTTGCTTGATACGGCGGACTTTGAGCTTACGGCCTGCTAGAATACCCTTTGGCTCTCCTGAACCCATATTTATTCTTAGCCACTCTATTTCTTGCAATAAGAGGACAGCAGATGAAATTTGAAGGAAAACCCGAAAAATAAAAAAATTAGAGAAAGGAAATAGAATAGAGAAGGTTAGAAAGTGTTAAAGAAAGGAAAATAAAAAAGTTGGGGAAATATACTGGAGATTAAAGAAGATTTTATTATTAGATATTGATTTTAGATATCAAGAAAAATTAAATTGAAATTTGAAGATGATTTTGGTTTATTAGAAAGCTATACATAATATTTAATGGAATCTGATTTAAATAGTAGAATAAGATTGAAAAATTATTGTTTGGGATTCTTCCACACTAAAAAATTCTAAATATCTGAATTATTGGACTCTTTATAAAATCAAGTAAATTGATTGAATAAATTTTGAATTTATTTCTGATAGTAAAATAATAATTTTTATTTTTCATACATTGAAAAGAGATTTTTATTCAGACTTTTTGTCTACCATCTAATCCGTTTTAAATATAAACAATTAAATAAGATGAGCAGCCCACAACTATGGACCGGATTTCAAGCTTTGGGCATACAAGTAGCTCAAAATGCTATCCAGAAACGTTATTTTGCACTCAAAAGAGTCTTGATTACAGGTGCTTCATCAGGAATAGGCAAAGCTTGTGCAATATGACTTTTAAATCAAGGTGCTAGAGTCGCATTAATAGGCCGTGATCTAGAAGAATTAGAAAAAATAGGCCATCAATTTCCAAATCAAGCTGTAGCAATTCAATGTGATCTTGCTATAGATCGTCAGCAATATGATATGGTTTTAAGTGCAGTTGAAACATTTGGTGGCCTTGATATTCTTATTAACGCAGCTGGAATAATTTTTGAAAATGATTTAGAGTCTACATATCCTCAAGATCATGATTATATTATTGATATCAATTTGCGAGCTGTCTACCACATTATCCATATGTGTCAAAGCTTTTTAGAAAAAAGCAGGGGTTGCATTGTAAATTTATCATGTGAATGGGGAAATAGACCCCAGCAAGGTATGATTTCTAACTGCATGTCAAAATCAGGCCTTGAAATGCTAACTAAATGCTTAGCTTTAGAACTTGCTCCTGTTAGAGTAAATGCGGTGGCTCCTGGATTCACTTGTACGAATTTATTTAAATACGCAGGACTTACACCTCATGAAGTTAGTGTCTTAAAAAGCAGGATGATGAAAACAAACCCAATGAAAAAAGTTGCGAATCCAGATGATATAGTTAAAGCCATTATCTTTTTATGCTCAAAAAGAGCAGCTAATATCACAGGACAGATTTTGAAAGTAGATGGAGGTCAAAATTTAACTTCATCAATAACTATTGATTGGCATTGCTTATTTTATTTTATTTTATTTAATTTATATTTTTTATTTTATTATTTTCGTCCAAATAAAATAGAAAATTATTATTAAATTGGCATGACACCATCACAATGAACGCAAAATTTGCAGCAACTGGAACTCAGCCAATCCCAAGACTTGTAGATTGGGCAAGAAAAGAAGCACGAAAATTTCAAGGTGAGGAAATCCATGATGAAGATTGGGTTAGAGAACACGAATCTAAAAGCAACTGGAGCACAAATTTAGCTGACGCTCATATTAAGGTCACTGATAATTATAGTAAGCTTGAAAAAACAGAAAATATTCTGAGCAATTTAGAAGAGCAAAAAGACGAAAATGGGACAATTTATACAGCAGAAAACCCAAAGGCTGCCAGAATGATTGGTGCAAGACAAACTGTAGGCCCAAAGAGTGGCGCTGTTGTAGGAGGCAATTTGTTAGGAGTTGGATTAGGAGCTCCAAGATTGACTTCGCCTTAATTAATTTAACGGATAATAGACTCACAATTATAAAATTATTAAACAAATAAACTTCAATGTTTATTTTAGCTATATATGAAATTTTATTTTTTATTTAACCAGAAAATTATTTAAATGGAATTCTCAGAAATTTACGTTTGGGGGTCAAACCATTACGGGCAGCTTGGCCTCGGCCCAGATTCTCAAGAAAACAAGCATGTTTCTCCTATAAATTGTAGCTTTGGAGTTATAGTAAAAGAGCTTGCATGTGGTGATGAGCATGCTGGATTTATTGCTAATAATGGCTTAATCTATACAATGGGAAATAACTCATGAGGTCAACTTGGCATCGGAACAAAAGCTAAGCATTTTTTCCAGTCACCTTGTTTAGTAGAGTCCTTATCAAATAAAAAGACAATAAAAATTTCTTTTGGAGGAAAACTTTCTGCTGCTCTAACTGACGATGGTGAACTGTATACATGGGGTTTTGGAAAATTTGGGCAATTAGGTCTTGGTGACAAACAAAATCGATACTTCCCTAATCAAGTGCGCTTAACTGGTGCTGCAATATATATAAGCTGTGGGTATCAGCATACTGCAATAATTGTATTTGAAGAGGATTCTAAATGTAAACGACTTTTTATGTGTGGAGCTAATGAATCTGGGCAGCTAGGAACTGGAAGTACACATAATGAATTATTTCCTGTTCCTATATCATTTTATGAGGATATTAAAAATGCTTCAGCTGGATATTCGCATACAGGAATTTTAACACAAAATGGAAGTGTTTATATGATGGGCAGCAATTGTTTTGGGCAGCTGGGAATAGGAAATAAAAAGAATAGTCTTCAGCCAATAAAAATAGAGAATTTTGAAGGTATAATAAAGCTTTCATGTGGAAGATTTTCCGCAGGATTGTCAGAAAGAAATGAGTTGTATATATGAGGAAGTGGGGTTTTTGGGGAATTTTTGGTACCGGAAAAAATCGATTTTTATAGTGAAATTGTGGATTTTGATATTTCTGGATGCTACGGGGTGTGTAGGGATAATAGGAATACGATGTGAAGTTGGGGTGATAATAATCATGGAGAATTGGGGGTAGGGGATTATAGAAGTAGATCGAGCTTGACTCAAGTACGAGGCATTCAAGGAAGGAAAATTAAGCATATAAAATGTGGAGGGTCTTTTGTAATTGCAATTGGAAATGATAGAAGCAATTTTGAGTCTATTGATGTAAGCTTTGATAATAGATCAATTACACCTATTGTATATCGATCACAGTCAGCAACTCCATTAGACTCAGACCGCTGCTTTTCATTGCCTTTAAAATCTTCGAGAAATAATTTATCAAATGATTATAATTTTACAAAAGTATCAATTATATAATAAAAAAAAAATTTTTTAATACAATAAAATGGACCATGATTATAGAAACACTCCTAATGAATTTGATAATTTCCAAAAAAGATACGAATTGCTCAAACAAGATTTTCTTATAGAACAAGAAATGAGAAAAAATGCTGAAAGAGAAGTTGAAAGATTAAGAGACATTGAAATCAAAAACACAGAACTTTTAAAAGAACTGGAGCAAAGAAATAAAATTGTTAAAAGCGCAGAATACACATCAGAAAACGAAAGAGGTAAGAGATTTTATTTTGAAAATGAAATCAAAGAGAAAATTAAATCTGAAGAAGAATTAAGAGACCAAGTAAGGATTTTGGAAAGAAAAATCCAAGAAATGGCTGAAGATTATGATCAAATTAAAGGTGAATGAATAAAAAATAAGAAAACTGAAGAAAATTATGTAGCGCAGATTGGAGAAATGCAGGAAAGAGAAGAAAAAATGATGAGTGATGTTGAGAGTCTTGAAAGAGAAAAAACCAAATTTTTACAAGAAATTGCAAGCTATAGAGACTCCAATCAAAATTTGCAAAAACAGCTGAGGGAAGCAACAAGAAAACTTGATGATTTAATTCCATCAATAACAAGCTACCAATACAAACTCTCTACACTTCAGCAAGAAAATGACGAATTAAATGCATTTATAAAAGAAAATCGTCATCTTGCCAATAAATATTCTCTAACTCAATCTACAGCATCTCCAAGGTCGCTTCGTAACTCTATGAGTACCCCAGGATCTCCTAGAAACATGATTTCAACTACTCCTCCTACATTCTACCAATCTTCTCCTCACTCAAAATCTAACTCAAATGTTAAAAACAGCTTACTCCCCCCCCCCCCTCGTGAGCGAACAAAAAAATTTTGTTCGCTCACGGAGGGGGGTTAATTTTTTTTTTTTAAAAAAAATTTATATATAAATTTTATAAAAAATATTTTTTTCGAAATTTAAAAAAAATCCTAATTTGCAAAAATTGGGAAGCAAATATTAATTTAATTTGCAAAATTTATGTTTTAAAAACGCAATTTGTTTAAAATTAAACAGAATTAGCTCTAGATTTCATTATACTAATTATCACTTATATATCAAAATTTTTTTCCATTAAAATTTTTTCTATTAAAAAAATTTTTGTTCACTCACGGAGGGTGGGTTTTTGGTCAAAAAATGGCGATTTTTCTAATGGTTTTGTTCGCTCACGGAGGGGGGGGGGGAGTTAGAAGACATAAAATCCAAGCTAAAATCCATTCATTCCAACAAAAATTTAATAGAAACGCGTATGCAAGCTTTTGAAGAAAAACTTAAAAATCTTTAATTATTGTATTTTGTTTTAAATATTCCCCATAAGCTTGGAAATTTCCGTTATCAAATACCTCCATTCCTCTGACTAGCACCTTAATAACTTGTCCCATCAATTCTCGCCCTTCATAAATGCAGCTTTCTTTCATAGCAGAATAAGTATGGCAGGAAATCGATTGATAAGGGTTTCATATTATTAAATCAGCATATTTGCCTCTTTCTATGCTACCTCGCTTGCTTTCGATTCCTAATAATTTGGCTGGGTGCATTGAAAATCATTTAGCGAGCCTTACTATGTAATGTTCTTTTAATGAATCATTTGCATTGACTGAGCTCAAAGCTGTTCATACAATTTGCATTGAAAAACCTAAGCCATTTATACCACTTAAAGCTTTTCTGAAGCTTCCATTGTCCAGATTTTTGTATTCGCTGGGTATAGAAGCATGATGTGATGATATGATATCAATGCCCTTGAGCTTCAGCAGCTCCCATAGTAAATTGCAGTTAGCCTGATTTCTGATAGGAGGGTAGTCTTTAAACCTAGTATCCCCGTCTTGTATATCTTTATCACTAAAGGACATATAGTGAGGACAAGTGTCACAAGTCACAGTTGATTCGTTTGTAGACTTATTTTGACGAATTTTATTAACTGCAGCAGCTGACGATAAATTGCAAATATGGACTTTGCAGCTTTCTGCTTGTAAAACTTCAAGGATCTTTTTAACACCTTTTAGCTCCCATTTGTCAGGAATATTTGCTACATGGTTTAGATAAATTCGATCTTTTTGGATAGTGACTTCCATGTGTGTGTTTAATGGCATTGGTCTTTTCCCTTTTAGCCTCTTTTGTATAGAACTCATAGGAGGAGCTGGCTGAGCCGCTTCTTCTTGTGGAACAGCTTGCAAAAACTCTCTAAATGAAAAGTCCGAAAACGACGAACTTCTTCTTCTAGGTAATTGCTTTGAATACACAGTGGAGCCTGCAGTCTGATATGTAGTTATTTCTGCTTTGCTGATGGCTTGTATATCAGATTCAATGACCTTGATTCTATAGTCTAGATCTTCATAAATGTCATGATAACTGCTTTGTCGACGTTTTTTGATGTCTCTCATAATGGTTCTTCCTCGACTTCTCATTGTGTCTTCTTCTTCGATGTCAGGCATATGATTATTTAAGTCGAATTTATTGCTAATTCGAAGTGGCTCTGCAATTTTTGAGGAATTTCTAGATGAAGAAAAGGTGGGAATTCCTGATCTGGTTCTGTTTAAGTTCCATCTAACAGGCTCTTCGTTAGGAGAGCCTTCTTCGTCTGGATAGATTGATTCAGGAAAAGCGGCTGCTGAAAATTCCATATCCTTTGTAACGATGACCCCCCCCTCAATCTTCATGTCTATTGCAACAAAAATTTTTCGAAAAAATCTTCATGCCTACTGCAACACAACATTTTTGTAAAAAAAAATTAATGCATTTTTCTCTAAGTGAGTTTCTCAAAAAAACCATAAAACAGCTCTACTGTAGGTCTGTCATGACCTTTCATCGAGTTTTGGACGGCTATTGTCATCGCTCGCCATTTTATTAAACTTATCTAGCTAAAAAGTACGGAAAATTTTAAGATGCGTATCGAAAATTTGTTGCAAGAGGATTAGGATTAAGATTATTACAGACAGGCGCTAGCCATATTGATGACGCAGCCATTAAAGATCTCCCGTACGGAAGGTCATACTGCTTTTCGACTCTCCAGCCCATAGGATCTATCCCTCTTACGAGTGCCCTTCCGGCACCTTCTGTCTCCTCCTTGCCTTGGGAGTTCAGTCTTGAGTGGGCGGCTTATGGATTTCTGCGCCCTGCTACGGGCGATTGGAGTAGCTTGACTCCAAGGATCAGCTCTTGTAGTCTATTGGGTGTCAAAGTGCCTTTCTTCGACAGCTACAGGAAAAAAAGACTGTTCCCCTGTTGCCTGGGCTGAAACCTCAGTTTCTCGTTAGAGGAATACCCATGGGTCCTCGGATCCAAAAGGACGTTGTTGAGCACCTCCATTTCCAAACACAGGAAAGTAGCCAAAACCTACCCGGATACACACTTCTTGAGCCTGAGTCTGATTCTCGGCTCGGAGTCCGTCCAAGTTCGCTGTAGCCATAAGGTCTGGACTGCTGCGCCAAGAGGGCAGGTTGGCACGTGTCGCTATTTTAATGTATTAAATTGTTGCAAGAGACATGAAAATTATTATTTTTTTTATATAAAATTTTATATTAAAAAATTGCATTTTTGTTGCAATAGACATGAAGATTGAGGGGGGGTCATCGTTAATATCAGCTGCAATTCTTTCTTCTAAATTCATATGTCGGCATGGTGATGCCATATGCAGCATTCTCCCTTGAGGTATTGATGGATCAATAATCAAAGGCTTCCCTGTATCTCTAACCTTAGATAAAAGTCATGGCAAGTCATTCGGCAATGAAGCAACTTTGTTACTAGGTGGGTATAAATATCCTTTAAAAGCAAAAGCGCTAGATTTTTTAAGCTTTTTTATGTCCTCTAAATTGTTAGAGTCAATTCTTTTGATTAAGCCGATATCGCAATATAATTCGTCAATTGGATTTGTGATTTCTGTGTGTATGGATTTTTCTTCTAATAGTAAAGTGACTCCACCTGATGCAGCCATTTTAGTGATGTTCACGTAGGTTTCTCACTCAGGTCTCACACCAATTTCAATAATCCCAGGGGAGATATAATAATTTTCGTAATTGATTGGGTTTCATTCTCGAAATTTTGAAAATAAAGCAGAGGCTGGAATATTGTCATCCACGATAATAACATCACTAATTTCTTCGTTTTCTATAAGAATTATACCGTAGAGAGGGTGTCTTGATTTGTAGCTTACTATGTGACGACTGATAAGTGCAGACTTTACCATTATTATAAAATTACAGTAAAGGTTTTCTTTTAGGATTAAAAAATATAATATATAAAACAAGAATTTTGAGATTTAGAATGCATGCTTAGAACCTTACATTTTCTATTGCCTTATAGTAAATTTTTTGGAGAATGCTTTATTTATATTTTTCAGTATTAACTTGTGAAAGGTTTATTATATTTGATAGATTATATCTAGATCAGATTTTAAGTGTAAAATTAACTGATTGCATTGTCGGATCTTCTCCTTACCCGCCCCGTCCGTGAGCAAACAAAACCATTAGAAAAATCCCTATTTTTTGCTCAAAATTCACCCTCCATGAGCGAACAAAAATTTTGATATATAAGTGATAACTAGTATCATGAAATCTCAAGCTAATTCTGATTGATTTTAAAAAATTCTAAAAAAACAATTTTTTCTTTAAGATTTATATATATAATTTTTTTTAAAAGCCCCTCTTGTGAGCGAACAAGTTTTTTTTTTTCGCTCACGGAGGGGGGTGGAGTTAGGTTGGCTATCTACATTAAAATATATAAAGAAAAGCCATTTTTCTTTATCATAACATTAATTGATAGAATATAAGTACAGCTATAACTTATTTCACTCTGCCAGTTAAAATTCTCAAATCTTAAGCTTTATAAAAATGCATTCGTTTGAAATAGCATTCATTCCTACCACAACTGGCATAAAAATAATTAAATTCAGCTTGAATTTTAATAGAGCCAGAAGGCAATGAGCTAGTAAACCTCAATTTTAGCAATAAGTCGAGAATTAAGCCCTTAAAAACAATCTTATCTTGAGCTTGAGGGGGCTTATTTAGTTAAATATTTTTATTCATATTTCAGTATCAGAATTCTCATTTTTGACATTTTTCTTTTTCTAACAAATTTAAAAATTTCAAAGCTTCATTTTTTCAATTTCATGAACTCTTCCTTTTGAAATATTTTTGTTTAGCTTTATGAGTTTTTAACTAAATTAAATATCCTCCAAATTTTGTAGTTTTCATAAGATATCGCTCATCTTTTCCGCCATTTACAAATTGAATGAATTCCACTCCAATCAAGGCTCAGCTTCTGAATAATTCAGATGAAGAATTGCATATTTTAACACCGATTCCACAAAGAGCCATGACGCCACTAACATCTCCTTTCACTCAATCAATTCTTAAATTATCCCCAATTCGAACATTCGCATCTCCTGAATCCAACTACAATCAAATGTAAATTCCAAATAGTTCATTTACTCCTAAAACACTTTGGGCTACCCTAGGAAACTTATCCCCAATCTGCCAAGAAACATCTCGTCCAGACCTTTTAGCAACCACAACTCGATTTATTCAAAAATTAGATTTTTCTAAGGTTCTTGAAGGATCAGCACGATTCAAAGCAAATTCTCTAGAAGTTGAAGTAAAAGTCCACGATGACATTATTGATGACGGAAGTCTATTGACTTCTCTATCAAATTTCAAACCAAAAAAGCGACCTCGACACTTGAGCAAGACTGATAAGAAAATCTGCTGTAATTGTTCAAAGTCAAGATGCCTGAAACTATATTGTGACTGCTTTAAAGCAGGAACCTATTGTGATGGGTGCAGCTGTGTAGATTGCTATAATATTCAGCAGCACGAAAATATTAGGCTCAGCGTCATTAACCAGATTTTAGAAAAAAATCCGACAGCTTTTAAGCCAAAGATTAAAACAGTCTCAATTAAAGGGGAAACCAAAGAAATGCACAATTCAGGCTGCCATTGCAGCAAATCTGCATGCTTAAAGAAATATTGTGAATGCTATCAAAGTGGCATTTTATGTGGGCCGAGTTGTCAATGTTTTGGGTGTATGAATACAATGCAAAACGAGAAAAAAAAGAAAAACACACAAGTTTTTAAGGTTGGGCAATTATTTCGTAATTAACCAGCTTATAAAGTCCATGAGTTAAATGGGAATTCTTTAGGTCTTTGGATCCAGTTTTTAGGGCTCCAAGTTGTGTTGACAGTTTCAACACAATGGAGGGTATATGCATGTCTGGAAACATTTGATAAATTATCATCACTCCAATGAACTAAGCTGCCATGCAAAACAACAACGGTGCCTGCTTCTACTTCTAAACAAACTCCTCCTTCTTTTGAGTACTCGTAATCATTTGTATATAGCATTTTGCCATCTTTTCTTTCCCAATATGTTTTGCAACCGTATTTATGACTGCCAGGAACTGCATATAAGCAAGCATTTGATTTTTTGGCATCTTCTATAGCGACTCAGAGTCCAACACATGACAGTGGGCTTGTAATCAGATAGGAATTATCTTGGTGTATTTTTACTTCTGCGCCAATTCCAGGCGGTTTCATGATATACATGCTTTGGGCTATAACTGGTGCATTATATCCTAACCCGTTTAAAATTCTTCTAAATCTGACGTTATAGCTAAATCGTTGAAAAACTGGATCTAAGTCATGCATTGCGTGACCTAGCTTATTAATCGAGTTTCTTTTATTGTTCGCTGGGTCTTTTGCGTTTTCTTCGAGGAAAAACCCGATCCCATAGGCAGAGTCCATAAAATAATTATCTGCGACCCTTTTCTGGTCATGAGTAGTAAAAATTGGATGATTCGAGCTAGGCTGCCAATTATCAATAAGTTGGAAAGCTCTTTCTTTTAAACCGTCTACATCAGATTTTGGAATGAAATTTGGAAATACCAAATATCCATTTGCTGCATAAAATTCTATTTCGCCTTTAGTCAGATTTCCTGTATAGCGTCTGCAGCGCTATCGATTGCCTTTGCGAGGGTTCCTTGCGGCAACTCGGAGCTCTGACGAGCCACCTAAAGGTGACAAGCCAACTACAAGTTGAACAAAGCTTCCCATTTGCAAGGATTTGTCAAACTTGGAGTTGACTTGTCACCTTTAGGTGGCTCGTCAGAGCTCCAAGTTGCCGCAAGGAATCCTCGCAAAGGCAATCGATAGCGCTGCAGACGCTATAAATCGTCTGATTAACTTTATCATATTTTTATTAAAAATATAAATAATTCAGAAAAAAATGTATTAATCTGGTGCGAAAAGACTCCAATGCTCCATTTAGCATTGATTAATTTATATTATTTTTACTAAAAGTTAATATATATAAATTAAAATCATTTTCCTTCTGATCTATGCTGATTTGAGCCTTAAAATGATTATAATTAAACCTCACGAAGAATTTAAATAAGAAATAGTAATTTAAAAATTATGTCTCAAGCATCGAAGTATTGGGAAAAATACCAACAAAAGCAAGCTCAAATGAAGGCAAACTTAATGACTTACTTACTCCCCCCCCTCCGTGAGTGAACAAACAAAATTTTGTTCACTCACGGAGGGGGTTAATTTTGTTTTTTTAAAACATTTATATATAAATTTTATAAAAAATTGTTTTTTTCGAAATTTAAAAAAAATCCTAATTCACAAAAGTTGGAAAGCAAATATTTAATTTAAATTATAAAATTTATGTTTTAAAAAGCAATTCGTTTAAAATTAAATAGAATTAGCTCTAGATTTCATTATACTAATTATCATTTATATATCAAAATTTTTTTCCATAAAAAATGTTTTTCTATTAAAAAAAATTTTTGTTCACTCACGGAGGGTGGGTTTTTGGCCAAAAAATGGCGATTTTTCTAATGGTTTTGTTCACTCACGGAGGGGGGGGGAGTTAGGTGATTAAAGTGATAATTTCTTCCGCAGGTGCAATATCAGAACCTCCCTTTTAACTCCCAAGTGGTGACGTCAGCAGCCATCCTGTCTAGCAGGCATTCCAGAAGACATCGCCAAAAGGGCCAGAAATCCTTCACTGGCAGCGTTGCCTCGCCTGAACCTGACTCCAGCGCGTGTTTCGCCTAAGGGTCACCCTCCTCGGGTGTGCCAAGCTGTAAAACTCCTATGCCTTCTACCTAAAATCCTTGGGTCGCTGTTTTATCCTATGCGATAAGCCATACTCGACATTGTGGATAAAGGTTTACCGTATAAACCTAGCCCCATAATAATAAATATGGCGGAGGAGGAATGGTTTACGAAGTAAATTAAATTCCGTACGTAGCCATTTTATTATTATTCAAACTTAATGACAGATAAACAAGCTTATATCGCGTCTTTAGAAGCTCAGCTAGAAAAAGTTACTCAGGCTCTCCTTATAAATCAAGGATTCGTTGAAAGAGTTGAACAACTACAAGCCCAAATAAACACCTCAGAAGACAGAATTATAAACCTTACAAGGCTTGTAAAGCTCCAGCAAAGCTATAACGAAGAACAAGAGAAAACTAAAACCGCGGGCAGTGACATAATCAAAATTGACACAAAAATAAGCCAACGCCTCGATATACTTGAAGAAAAAGTTAGGAAGCTGTTTGAAAAAGCCAGCCAAGATATAGAAGAAAAACAAATGCGCTTAAAGCAAGGCACAGACACAGAAAATTACGATAAAGAAATGAGTTTTGGACGACTTAGTGAGGGATTTGGAAGTTTAGTCGATAAAATGATAGAAATTGAAAAAAGGAATAAAGATGCAGTAGAATCAGCTTGGAATGCCCAGCAGACTTGCAATAAGCTATCTGAAGATATGCTAGAAAGAATGGCAGCTTGTGAAAACAAAGTAAATGAATTAAAAATGATCAAAGATTCAGGAAATATCGAGCACATAGCAAAAATGAGCAGGATAGAAATAGAAAATTTAATTGAGGAAAAAGTTTCTGCAGCTGTTGATAAAATTGTAGCAATTATTAAAACTTATGGGAAAACTCAAGATGAATTTGAAACAAAAATAAAAAAATTGAATGAAAAAATCAAAGGAATTGTTGATGAAGTCAAAGAAAAACCAAAACAAATTTTGAATAAAAGTCTTGATGAGCTGGAAAGAACTGTAAGCTATGAAAAAAAAGTCCCAAAGCTTTCAGTTAAAAAATCAAAATCAGTTTCTCCATCAAGATCATCATCAGATTCAAGACGTCCTCCTACTCCAAAAGGTGCAAAAAATCCAACATCTCCTTTAAAATCGCCTAAAAATTCTCACAAATCTTCCATAAGCCCTCCACGAAGTCTACAAGGAAAGCCAAAAACGCCCCCAAAGTCCCCAAAAAATAAAACCTACCCTAGATCTCCCAAAATCCATGAAGATAGCAAAGAAATTGAAGAAGAGAAAAAAGTGACAATGAAAAAGCCAGAAACGAAAACAAAAAGAAGAAAGCATGCAGAAAAGAGATCAAAACTTGAACAATTATACCAGCAGCTCTCAGCTCGTAATAGCTAATTAAATAAACTTTCTTTTAACTAACTTAATCACATTTTCCTTCCCATCTTACTGAAAACTCATTATGCCATTGATTTGTTGTAGGTATTTCAGGCAAAGAGCTGTATGAAATAACAGGGACTCCTCCTCTTAAGACGCTGCTGTAAAACTCCCTAGTTTTGGATTCGCTAAATGAAGATTTCATTTTTGCAAATAATGATTTTTTTGGGCTGATGCAAACTAATGAAGGATATGATTGTATTCCAAATAAATTTTCTAGCTCTTTATATGTACCTTCTTCTGTCCATAAGAATTTCACATCTTTTGGCTTTGGTGGTATAGATAATTCATGAAGAAAGTCTAGCAAGGCTTATGCTTAATATTCAAATTTATGATAAGAACTATCAAGCTCACTTGAGGATGTTAGACGACATCTCCAGCTACTTCAGGACTTGTTGTACAGTTCCTGTTCTCCAAATTCCCAGAGTCCTCTTTTCCAGTTGTTTTCGTACGGCTCGCACCATAAGAATAAATAGGTTTTCGACTTGATCATTGCTTGCTGCCATTGATTCTGCTGCTCAGTCGCTTTGTCTAGATCCTTGGCAGGACACCCATGACTCGGTGTTGCGACAGTGAAAAGCTTTTAGGAGATGGAAAGTCTAGCAAGGCAATACGGTTTTCTTTATTGCTATTGGATAGCGTAGGAACAAATGAAATCATACAAAGAGATTTCCCACATAAATCTTGTAATTGAAAATTGCTAGTTAACTGACTCCCCCCCTCCGTGAGTGAACAAAACCATTAGAAAAATCGCTATTTTTTGCCCAAAAACCCACCCTCCGTGAGTGAACAAAAATTTTTTTAATAGAAAAATTTTGTAAGGAAAAAAAATTTTATATATAAGTGATAACTAGTATAATGAAATCTAGAGCTAATTCTGTTTAATTTTAAACGAATTGCTTTTTAAAAACATAAATTTTATAAATTAAATTAATATTTGCTTTCCAATTTTTGCGAATTAGGATTTTTTTAAATTTCGAAAAAAAATATTGTTTATAAAATTTATATATAAATTTTTTTAAAAATAAAAAATTAACCCCCCTCCGTGAGCTAACAAGATTTTTTTGTTCACTCACGGAGGGAGGGGAATGAGGAATTTTTGGCTGAATTTGTCATTCTTCATATGTCTTTTCAACAATTGAAATGATCTCTCACGAAATTAATGACTCCACATGATAACTGGCCGATTTTTCCTCTTTTGGTAGTAATTCTAAAGAGGGAAATTTATTAATACCATATTTTTCTGCTGATTTTGGGTTTGCCAGCACATCAATTGTCGCCACGTTAATTTGACCTGTAAAATACAGCGCGATTTTTGGCAAGTTTTGAACTAATTTTAGCGAAATTTCTCCATTAGATTTGTAAAAGCAAACAAGCCATATAGAAATTTCCCATAGACGGCGCTGTTTGCCCTTGATTTGCCCACTGGGGAAATTTTTTGGTTTGACCAGTCCCATATAGTTTGGTCAAACCAAAAAATTTTCTCATCGGCAAATCAAGGGCAAACATCGCCATCTATGGGAAATTTTCTATATCTTATCATCTTTTAATAATTTCTCCTCAAATTGCCAGTCATCATAAGCCCAAACACCATTTTCAAGATTTGGGTAATTTCCTTGCCTAGGCCGATTATAGGAAGATTTAGATTCTATTTGTCGAGCATTTTCATCTTTCTTTTCATTCCCAGAAGTTTGGCTTATTGTAAAGTAATTATAAGCCTCTTTTAAATTGTCATCAAAGCTTTTTCCGGGTATAAATTTTTGAGGTAGTTGAGATTTGTCAGCGCCAAAAAACTTAATTGTGGGATAAAAAGTTATAATTAAATATGGCTTCTCGACCAGGGCATGACCTTCCAGCCATGCAGCCTCTAACAGATATTTAATTATATCCGGCAAGGTTTTGCCAAACCATAAATGGACAGCAATGTGATGTAAACAATTCCGGAAGCGTTTGGAGTCTAGCCCAAATCCCTTTTCAGAATTGAATTATATTTTTTGGGATAGGAAAAGCTTGGAGCTGGAAAGGAGTAGCCCAGCAATGCCTTATGGCCATCGGACAGCTCTTTAACGTGAAAAAGGAACGCCGTGGGCTGCAAGTTGAATCTTTTTGCTGACAGTCCAGAATTTCTATTTTTGGAAATTTTTTTTTGCAGGCACCCATGTCGAGGTTCGAGAGCTGGAAGGACAGCCGTCAAAATCTGAATGCCCAAAGTCTAAAGCCATTCTGAGGTGAAACCGAGATGATATTGGACGTTAAACGATAACCCTTTAATTAATGTAGTAGTGCATGTAGGATAGAAAGTTATCTCATAGCGAGAGCCGATACTTTCATCCTTCGGGCTACATATAATTACCGGAAAATTTTGACAGTGTGAGTATTCTTAGGGAAGTTGTTTGAAAGTTTTGATAGTGAGAAATTTGCTTTGTAAAAATCGATAAATTTCGATCAAATGCTTTATGGGGAAAAGTTCCTTCTAGGGAATGTCGACTAACAAAGAATTTTCAGATTAAAGGCGCTCGCTGCATCCTTCGTCATATCATAGACTCCAAATTTTACCTTTCCTTTATATTCCTCGACAGCTTTATTTCATTTGGGCAGCAATCTTTCACATCTGAGATCGTTTGAGGATATAAAGTTGATGAACCATATATCAGTAGATTTTAAGACCTTTTCTTCAAATAGATCTTTGTCAAGTACCAGGACTTGTGTGTTATCAAAAAAGGAGGCTAGCACTAAGATGCCTGGAAGAATAATGAATTGGATCAGTCCCATTTATATTACTTTTATGAAGAGTTTCCTTACAACAAAATTAAAAAAAAATTTCACTTGGAAAATAAAATAATATAGCTAAATTAAAAGACAAGAATTATAAATTGATTAAATGAATATATAAACGTTAACTTGAAGGGAAAAATTCAAGATTTAATCAGCAAAAATTGCCAAAAGAAGTTCAAGCCAGAAAATTGATTATTTTTAAAGGAAATCACAGAGAGTTAGGATATCTCTTTAAGTATCACCTTTGACTGTTATTGACAACTTAGATTTAAAACAAAAAATGATAATCTTGGACAGATATGTATAAATGTCAAATTAGCATTTTATTTTCATTATTGAATTTTTCTTCTGAATTAGACATCTCCTGAATTTAATTATTCTTTGGTAAATAAATATTATCAAGATAAATATTTTTTGGTACTTTAAATCAATCAAGGTTCATTCATTATAGCTCTCTTTTCTTTCACCCTTATTCTCATTTTCAATATCGATTTTTGGCTTATTATTAAATAAAATTGAAGTTACTTAAGTATTGCATTATAATTATTACATGCATGTAAAAACTCAATTTTTTTTACCCTTTTATTTGAATTCTTTGACTTTCACATCATAATAGAGAGTTAAATATTTTGAATTTGTCTTGAACACATTAAAGAAGTATCATTTACAAGATCACTCAGTTTTACACTGTTTCTTATCTTTATCATGATAACTAGATAACTAGGTATTTATTAAGAAATGTGTTATTTAAACGATAGCTCCAGCATTTGATGAAACTCTAGGCCATAGATCTGCACATTCTTTTGTGACTGGTCCAGAAACACCAGAACCTTTCATTTCTCCCTTAGGGTTTACAATGACACCAGCATTATCTTCACAGCAAATGAAGATTCCGTCTGATCTTCTCCATGGTTTTCTTTGCCTAACAATAACGGCTGGCATAACTTTTTTCCTCAATTCTGGCTTTCCTTTCTTTACAGTGACTAAAACCATATCGCCAACAGATGCAGCTGGCAAACGATTGAGTCTAGCACCAATTCTGTGGACGGCCATTATGTAAAGAGTCTTTGCTCCAGTGTTGTCAGCACAGTTGATTAATGCACCTACAGGAAGGGCAAGAGTAACACGCAGCTTGTTACCAGAATTACCTGCACCTCTTTTACTCATTTTTATGGTAAAATGAATAGGGATCGACGCAAAGTAAAATTCAAGATGTGAAAATCAAAGTATGAGGGACTGACAAGCTCAATGTGAAAATTTTGTGAATTTTGTGCAGTTTAGATAATTTTTAATTCAGGATATGCATGAATTCTAGCGAATGAAAATACTTGAGATGAAACTTTGACTCTAGGCATTTACAAACTTTATTTGTAAGCAATACTAAGATTAATGCACTCTAAAAATTACTATTTATATCATCATACTCCTTCTCCATTCATGAGCGAACAAAAATATTTAATTCGCTCAAGAAGGGCGTTAATTTTTTAGTAATTTTGAAAAAATTGAATTTAATTTTTTAACTTTATTTTTTAAAATGCAAGCTGAACCTGAACCTGTAAATTAAGGGGTTCACACCCCAGAATTTGCTCTTATGAGCAAATTTTAGTTAATTCTTAAATATTTGCTAGCCTAGCTGCTCCTCTGGCTTGCCCGAAGTATGTGTCGAGCTTAGTCTGATGTATGGGTCTCGGTCCTGTCTGCTCCTTCAGTTTCTCAGTAGGTCTCAGTCTCAGTACCACTTCATAAAATCTCTTTACGACCCTGTCAACTTGAGTGGGCATTGCTATTTCCTTCACTACAGCTTAACTAAGCGTTTCAGAGAATTCGTTCCTATACAAGGCTATATCAAGTAGCCTAAAGCCTAGAAGGGAGGTGCTGATTTTTGCCAAGTCTCAACGAGCCTTTCTCTTGGCTCCCTATATATTATACATTCCTCAATTAGGTGGGCTTCGTCGCCGACGACCCCACAGACTGGGCAGTCTGGGCTGGTTGCCAATTTCCTTATGTAGATATTGGCAGTTGCTGAGTTAAAAGCCTGCCCTTAGCCTATGTATGGCCCTGAGAATGTATCAGTCCTCTATGTTCATACAGAGATAGAGTGGCCTACTCATGGTCTGATTTCCCTCCTGTAGGTAGGTGTACAGTTGTGTGTGGCCTTCTTTGTCTCCTTCATAACTCTCATGTTGCTGACGTACTCTGCGTATCTAATCTTATTCTGGACTTCGGCCTTTCACTGCCTGTCATTACCGCTCCTCGGGCCATTTAAGCAATCGGTAATAGAATTACCCTCTAGCTGCTCTACGCACCTGGCCTGCCATCCCAGGCCCTCTTCGACATTAAGGAGCATAAGGGCTCTAGTAAGCCAGTTGCTGCTTCTTTGGCATCTTAACCTAAAATGGAGGGACCTAGCAGCAATCTTCCCCCGAAGGGAAATTCATCCTATCTCCATCAAGGCTGTCTCATTGGCAGTGCCGCTCGGAGCTCCTAGGAGCCTCCGAGCCATTTTTCCTCTGAATTCTCTCCATATGATCTCACTTCGGCTTCGATGTGCTTTTTGCGCTGCACTCACTTGCGTAGTTACCAACGGTAGTTACAGTAGCCTGCAATATTGCTGCCTTATGCTTAATGGCGACATCCCTCAAGGAGGCTAGCATGCCAAATTGAGCCATGCAGCTTGATCTGGTCTTTGAGATGGTATTGTTGAGCCCTTTGGTGCCGTTCTTCCTTGTCTGGACTATGTAGTCGAGATACTTGAAGTTTTTGCTGGCTTTGAGATGCTCCCCTCTGATGGTCAGAGCCTGCCTCCTGAACGAGTCAGGCATGTGCATTGTCTCGGATTTGTCTGGGTTGATAGTCAGCGAGAATCTCTCCGCTCAGCTATTGCATATGTCCAACATCCGCTGGAGTTCCTGAGCCGTTGGAGCTATTAGAGCAATGTCATCTGCGTATAGCAATATTCCGATCTTGGCAGAGCCTAGAGGTGTCTCTAAAGTGACCCTAGCCCAGCGTCTTTTATATTTGACGAGCTCATTCGGGATGAAGTTGAAGCAGATCGGAGATGAGCTGCCTCCCTGCCTAACACACCCTTGCCTATCGAGATAGCCCGGGTGTGTTCCCCATTTATGATAAATGTGCTGGTCTCCCTAGTGTACATGGCTTTCAGGATGGTAACTGTCTCCAGGCTGATATCTCTCGATAGCATGACCCGGTATAGGTCCATCCTCTTGACTGAGTCGAAAGCCTTCTTCAAGTCAAGAAAAGCACAGTGCAGCTGCTTTCCTGCTTCCTGTGGTAGTCCACAATGGTCTGTAGCTTAAAGATCTGATCAGCTGTTGACGACTTCTTGGTGAACCCTCCTTGCGCAGGATCTAGAATCTCTTTTCTTTCAGCTTCAATTGTGAGCCTACTAGTCAGGATCTTGTCTATGGTCTTGTAACTAGAATTGAGTATCGTGATCGGCCTCATATCCTCTGGCATTTTTGACCCAGGCTTCTTTGGAATCAGGACAACATAAGCACTTTTCATGGCATCTGGTAGAGCCCCAGACAACCAAATTTTTTTAATAAGTAGGGTAATGATGCTTGTCACTGCATCCCCGCCTTATTTTAGCAGTTCAGCCGGGACTCCGTCATTGCCGATTGCCTTACCGTTGCCAAGGCTCCTGATGGCAGCCTCGACTTCAGCTCGCTCAGGTGGGTTAGATTCATTGAGCGGAGGAGGGAAACTGAGTCATCAGAGGAGTACATTGCCTCCCATCAACTGACCAAGGTCTCCGTCTCAACGCTCGAAAATTTAGATGGCCTCGCCCTCATTGATCTCTTAAGCTTTTGCATGGAGCTTCAACAGCCCTTCATGTCCATTGCTGCCTGCTCAGCTTTCCTTTCTTGCCACCGAAGTTTCCTCTGCCGCTTCACTTCTCTCTTAAATTCCTTAATCTGAATATTCTAGAGCTTTAAGAGTGACGTCCTTCTCTGTCCCTTCTCCATCTTTAGAGCTTTCCACCGTGTCTTTCTAGCTGTCCTTAGCATTCTAAGTGCTCCCCAGGTAAGAGAGTGCTCTAACCTAGGGCTTGTGTAGCCCAGAGTGCCGGCTGCTGCTGACAGCAATGCCTCACTTATTCTGACATATAGTAATATCGGTTTGGAGTCAGCCCATTGATATGCTAGAGACTCTGTCTGCAACCGCTACCTGATAGGCTGCTGCATAGTGCTTATTGTTGAGCCTGTCTATTCTTATCCTTTGCCTTCTTTGAGTGTCTATAAGGTTGACAAACAATCGAAGGGAGAGGGATATGGGGGCATGGTCTGAAGATATTGGACTGTCAAGATGGACTTTGTGGTTGGTGGCCATATCTGAGAGCCCTGCATCAAGAAGGGCATAGTCCAGACAAAAGGGAGTTCCCATTGGGGTGAAAGTATGTTGGCCCGTCCTGAGGGAGGATGATCAGATCCCACTGCTTCGAGAACTTTTGCAAGTAGCTCCCGCTCTCGTTGTCCTGGTCTGAGCATCAGCCTCTAAGATGTGCATTAAAATCGCCAAGAATCACAACTGGGAGGCACGTCTGCCTAGCTTCTGCTACGGCCAGACTTAAATTTTTATAGAATTCGTCAGTCTCATCTGGGTGAGAGCCTTCAACTGGGGCATAGTCCCCAATAAATGTCAAGACCCTCGTAGAGACACTGACAATCCTCGATTCCATTACAATTTTTGGTGATAGATTAGCTATATCTTGCCTATAAGCTATTGCGGCTCCATGAGCCTGACTTGTCCCTGAGGTGTAGATTCACTCGTAGTCCTGAAACCGCGGCAACTTTGAATAGTCTGTGGTCTTTGTCTCTGTGACTGCAATCATTTAGGGTCTCTCCTCGCTCAGCAGCTGGTTCAGCTCAATAGCTTTACTTAGAAGCCCATAATGTTGACGTGGATAAGCTTAAGCTCACTCGCTTGCTGATTTAAAGAGGACTTCCTATCGTGCTGACTTGCTTGATATCAGGCGGGCTGTCCGGAATTCTTTGCATTTTTTGATGCCAATTTGTATCAAAGGTTGTCTGCCGATATGAAGATGGAGGAATAGCAGGAGCTGAAGGAAGGCTAGCTTAGTCGGAGTACTTAGAATTAGTTAATTTAGTGTTAACTATTTTCATGGCTTCAGAGCTGTTCTGGGTTTCGCCTCTTCCCTTCTTGGATTTGAGCCTGCATCTTGCTGCCATAACTCTCTCATGCCCTGCTTCATTGTGGCCTCTGTCGTTGCAAACGGTACGGACTAGAGCTCCAGCATGGTTCATCCACACAGTCTGGCCATCGATCACAAATTCTTCAGGGAACTCCATCGCCTGCTCAAGGGTAGCAAACTTGGCATAGAGGACGTACTTGGAGTCTGGTATAAAGCTCACTGTCCTCCTTTCCTTGCCTTCAGTAATGGTGTTTTCCATGCCGACCTCCAAGATCCTGAAAAATTGGCTTAGCTCTTCCACAACTCTCTCGATGGGCATGCCGATTGGGAGGCTTGTCCTGATTCTGTACCTGCTAAAATTGATTTCCCCTGGGGGCAAGTATGGTCCGGCTGGGAAAATACCTTAACTTATTAACCATGACGTTTAACGTCTCCTACGGGGTTGCTCTTCCAGGACTACCACCACGCTCTCGTCGCTCGGGGCCCACTAGTTGCTGGGACAGCTAGCTTCGATCTCCAACGTGCGCCTCCTGCGCGATGTTCCGGCTTCGACGGCTGCTGGGAAAATTACCACCCTTCCTAGTGTTTTTGACCTTGACATACCCTGCTTTGAGAGTGGATTCATATTTCGCGCCATCAGTAAAGGTGACCGCGCCATCTCCCCGATGCCATCATTCTAGCCCTTAAAATGTCTCCTGGCCTAAATAGGGCTTCCAAAGCTTGCGTGAAGGAGATATAGAGGCCTCTTTTTGCTTCCCTGCTCGGCTCTCTGAGGTGCTTAGTCAGATAAAATTTCATGGTTTTAGCCATGTGGTGAGCTTCCGCAAAATTGGGTGCTGCGTTAGTGTCAGACTTGAAACCGAACAGAATGCCATCGCGCTAACGTCCAGGAACTGTGGAAACCAGCCCTGGGGTGCATTGGGGTGTGCCTCTGTCGCTTTCCTGCCTGCCATTTTATTAAAAGTTTAAAAAATGCAAGCTATTTAAATTTCAATAGAATTAGAAAAAATTTCATTATAATAATTTATATTAATTTTTTTTTTCATTTACGAGAATGGCTTTTTACCCAAAAATAGTAATTTTTCCAATAGTTTTGTTCGCTAACGGGAGGAAGGGGGGGAGATAAAGAAAAACTTAAAAACTTTCAATAATTAAAAGAGCATTAAAATAAATAAATATTAGAAATAGGAAGATAAGACCGCATTCTATAAGTTTGAGATGAAAAACAGTTTTGGAAATTATTATTAAATTATGATTTATTCATTTCAGTATCAAGATTTCAAGTTTTTTTAGTAAATTAACTTTATTATTTTGGATCATTCAACAATACGAGCTTAAATTTTTTATTAAATTAAATAATAGTAATATTTTAAGAAACTCTCGAGTAAATATCCCAATAAAAAGAAATGAATGAAGAGGAGATATACGAATCCTGAGTGTATTTATTTATTAAGAAGGCGAATGATGTTAGTTAAATATCTTAAATATCCTTCATAGTTAAAGAGAAATATGAATTAAACTTAGTAGTTCATGTCTGTACTAGTAGTTCATATCAGATAACTGTGTGGCTTCTTTAGCTGTCCACTTGCAAAATAGATTCTTTCTTTGCTCCGATCTTAATAATTTTGTCAGCAGAAAAGAGCAAAGGTAGAAACTAATTTATTGAAGGGTTTTAAATAATTATAAAACTACGAATATAGCTATGCTAAAGTTAAACTTAAGCTAGATAAAAGCACGAAATAATTTATCATGAATTTATTATAATATTTTGAATTATAATTCTGTTAGATTTCATTTTCCAATACAAAATAAATGGCTTTAATTTAAGGTAAATTAATGTAATTTGAGGTATTAAAAATAATCAGATAGTATGCAAGTTGATATAGAAGTAAAGGAAATCAGCATGCCATTAGCTGAAAAAGCTAAAGAGCAGCTTGAAAAATCACCAAGTAGCGCGGTAACGAGCTATTCAAATTCTCCATGACAAAAAGCAAAAAAAGAACCACATCAGAATTCACCAAAATTTCGAGAAATATTCGAAAAAGATGTAAAATCTCTTATTGGAAGCTTTGCATTGTCAGAAAATAAACCCGAATCCTATCTCTATTTAGAAAAAATTCTAGCGGTAAAGGACAGATCTCAAAGTTTAACAAATTCTTTTAATTCAAGGAAATCAGAAGAAAATCAAAAGAAAATCAGCAGAATACAAGGCTATTCAACCTGCCATGGTTGCGTATTATTATAACACAAATTTAATTAAATCTTTTTAAAATGGATATTTCAGGGAAAAATATATTAGTTTCAGCGTCTGGATCATGTGCAGCTGCTAATTCGATCCCAGTTGCGTGCGAGCTTATGACAGAAGAAAATTGTGTAGTCAAAATATTGCTAACAAAGAATGCTGAACGATTTTTCTTTAAAGATTGAAATGGATGTGAAGTCATAAGAGATGATGGATCAGAGAATTTTGGAGAGGACACTGAATACGGTCCTGAAAAATTATATGAATGAGCAGATGCACTTATAATTGCTCCTATTGGTGCTAATACATTAGCAAAAATTGCGATTGGGATGCATGATAACTTATTGGTGATTTATAAATAGACGAAAGTTGTGCAGCAATTTATTAATGGAAAACCGTTGATATTAGCTCCAGCTATGAATCCTATGATGTTTTCAAACCCATTTACTGCAGAGCATATCAATAAAATCAAAACAGTTTATACAAATTCTTATTTTGTAGATACCACAACAGGAATTTATGGCTCAGGAGAAACTGGAATGGGTGGGCTTGCTGATAGTTGGGATATAGTTACTGCTTGTAAAAGCATGATGCTATCATCAAAAAGCTAAAATTAATTTTAATTAAAATTGAAGTGCCCTTGCCTCTACAAATGCACCAATAAGTGATCCTAGCTGCACCTTTTCGCTAGCCCCACTACTTAGTCTCATCTCAATCTCTGACATTCTTTTGATCAAAAAAATTTTCATTTTTTCAGGAAAATCAATTTTGATCATATTTTTATGAATTTCTCTGATTATATCGCTCAATGCAAAGCCTAAGGTAATTCGGTCTTCATTAAACTCTGCATATATTTCAGTGAAATTCATAGATAGCAGGATTTCGCATAGCCTATCTATTAGTCTAGGATTAGGGTTCCCAGTGCATGAATATACGGCGTCTGAGTCAATGACCTTAAAAGCCATAGAAGTGCTTTGCAAAATATTTAAATTCTTCCTCATATCCCCTTGCCCTAAATCCAAAAGCGCATTTAACCCATCATCAGTCAAATTCAGCCCTTCACAAACAGAAATTTCTCTAATTCTAGTCGCAGCCACATCATAAGGTAGCGGCATAAATCGAAACCTTGTGCATCTTGATTGCAATGCTGGGATAATTTTCGATACATAGTTCCCTATTAAACAAAATCTTGTAGTTTTCGTATATTTTTCTATGATTCTTCTCAAAGCGAATTGTGCTGCATTTGTCATAGAGTCAGCTTCATCTAGAATCACGAGCTTTACACCTTTACTAATAATTTGTTGTGTGCTTGCAAATGCTTTAATTTGATCTCGGACTACATTGATTCCTCTGTCATCAGAAGCATTGAGTTCTAGTGCCATAGATGAAAAATATTTCCCATACATTTGTTTGGCAACAGCCAAGATTGTGGATGTTTTTCCTGTGCCTGGAGGACCATAAAAGAGTAAATGAGGAAGCTTCTTCTCTTCAACAAAACGAGTGATTGTAGAAATGATTGCTTCGTGAGCTACAAGGTCCGATAAACTGTTAGGGCGGTATTTTTCGACCCATGGAAGATCACTTTCTTCGTCTAGTTGCATAGCAGTTCCCGCCATTTTAAGTATTACTCGTATATCATTACCTAAAGGGTCTTTCTTAATATAAATTCAGCCTAAATTAATTATTTTATTTTCTCTTCTTATACTCTTGTTCAAACACTTTTGCTGTCGGAAAATCATTATTTATCAGTCTGATTTCTTCTATACAAGTATTCGGATTTTTCTCTAGAAAGGAATGGATAGTGGAAAAGAAAATTCCTGCACATTCGACTTTAGGAAATGAAAAAATCCCACTAGAGATGGCTGGGAATGAAATCGATTTCATAGACAGTTTCTGGGCTTCTTCTAATGCGTTTTCTATAGTTTTTGATAGAAGATCAGCCTCATGCTTGTTGCCATCTATATAAATTGGGCCGACTGCATGAAATAAACGCTTACATTGTAATTTTCCAGGGGGAGCTACGATTACACTTGATACTGTTAGTGGTCCGTTATTTTTAATATATTTATTGCTTTCTTCTTGTATAGTAGCTCCTCCATGCGTAGATATAGCTTCAGCCACACCACCTTTGTGAATTAAATTAACATTTGTGGAGTTTACTATAACATCAACTACTTCTAATGTAATATCTCCATGCATTATAGTGAGTTTTGTTTTGTTTATGAGATTCGATAGAAGCTCTTTTGGTATAGTAGCGATACCTAAGGGGTTTGAGCTACAACAAGCTCCCATTAATATTTTATTTTAAAATTTTGGAATTTATCATAATGCAGAAAAGGATTGAAGGAAATTTAATTAAAATATAATTATTATTTCAATTATATTGATAATTAAGATAGGGCCATGAATTATTAAACTGAAATAATACTTACTCCCCCCTCCGTGAGTGAACAAAACCATTAGAAAAATCGCCATTTTTTGGCCAAAAACCCACCCTCCGTGAGTGAACGAAAAAAATATTTTTTAATACAAAAATTTTTTATGGAAAAAAATTTTGATATATAAATGATAATTAGTATAATGAAATCTAGAGCTAATTCTATTTAATTTTGAACGAATTGCTTTTTAAAACATAAATTTTATAAATTAAATTAATATTTGCTTTCCAATTTTTGCGAATTAGGATTTTTTTAAATTTCGAAAAAAAATATTGTTTATAAAATTTATATATAAAATTTTTTAAAAAAAAAAAAAATTAACCCCCTCCGTGAGTGAACAAAATTTTTTTTGTTCACTCACGGAGGGGGGGTTATGCATTAATCATATCGAAAACTATGCGCAATTTTAAAATTCAACTATTATTTATAAAAATATTTAAATTTTGCTGTAAATAAAATAAATATAAATCAAGATATGCATAGCTTCCTTTTTATTAAATCATCATTTGTAATGCGTGAATCTTTAGAATTATAATTTTAAATATAAATTTTGTTGAATGCTATAGCAAATCTTCATGTTATAAATGAATTTTGGGTACATAAGTGCTCGCTAATCAGTTTTCCCCAGCATTTTAATATGATACAAAATTCACTTAACGGAAATTATCACTTAATGAATTTTTATGTTTATAATCTAAATAATCACTAATAATTAACAGCCTATGGAAGACCCTCTATTACTTAAACAAAAACTCGAATTTCTACAGATGGAACTTGACGATTTAAAAGCCAAAGAACAACAGCAAAAAAGCATGTATGAGTCAATGATCAAAAGTTTGACATCAGACACAGACCAAATTTTATCTGTAATTTCTATTTAGAATAAAGCTTCAGAAGAACTGCAAAAAGTTGAATCTCAGTACCAAACCCAAATTCAAGCTATGAAAGCCAAACATAAACAAAAAATCAATGCTTTAGAAGAAAAGCTAAAAGATTACAAAGAAAAAAATTACGAATTAGAAAAGGCGTTTAAAGACCAGAAAAGCGAATATGATGAAGTAATTTTGCAGTTAAAACAAGAAAATTGCAGTTTAGCCTTCCAAAAAAGAGAAATTGAAGGAAAATTGAAAGAAATATGCGTAAAGCCAGATAATAGAGTAAACGATAGGCTTATTAAGGAAAATGAAAACCTGAGAAAAGAAATTGATAGGGTAAAAGAAGAATCCGAAGAAGATATAAAAAAATCTCGAGAACAGGCCCAAAAACATATACAAGAATTAAAAGAAATTTATGACCAAGAAAAGATAAATTTAGAAAAACAATGCCAAAAACTTAGCCAAGAATTGAGCTTACAAAGGGAAAAAATCGAAGCAGAAATTCAAGCAAAAAACAATCAGACATTAGGGCAAAGGCTTGAAGAAGTCATTGATGAAAGCACTTACCAGATGGAAGAGTTGAGAAGAGCGAGAGAAGAAGCAGGAGAAATTGTGGGTAAATGGAAAGGTGAGCTAACCAATTTAGTACAGCATGTCAGAGAGCAATTAAATAAATCTCCAGATTGTTCTCCTATAAAATCTGTTGACGAAAGCCAAGACCTCTTAAAATTTGCAGAATGCACTCGAGAAGAAATCAAAAAACTCCGCTCACAGCTAATCTGTTTCCAAAAAGTTATAAAAACGCTAGAATACAATGAGGACAAGCTTCGACAACAAGTAAGAGAACGCGACGACGAAATCGATAAACTCAAAAGAATAATCCGATTCAAAGCCAAAGATGAAAAAACTACTGATTATCAATACTTAATCAAGCAGCGGGATGAACTTACAGAGCAGTTGATAATAAAAGAAACTGAGCTCTACAAGATTAAAAAACAAATTGGCGACTTAAGATGTGAAATGAGCTCTTCTACAACAAAACCGCCAGTTTATTCCCCAAGAAGCAAACATTTTCGTTCAAATACAACAACCCCTAAAGAAGATTTGACTGAGTCAGTGCTTATTCCTTGCAAAGAAGAATTATCTGATAATAAGATCAACAACAATGCTATGTCAGAAGATTTTCAAAATTATGGAAAGTTGCAAAGGATGATCAACTGCTCAAAATCAATGGAATGCGAATTTTGTAGGAAAATTCTGCCCACAGGATCATTTCACGACCATATTTTAAACTGCAAACTTGAAATAGACTCATCCTCAGATACTAGCCAAATAAATAATGATACCCAGCTTGATAAAATTGAAGAGCTTGAAAAACAAATCAGCCATTTAAAAATAAGTCTAGGAAAAATAAAAAATCAAAAAGCAGCTGCGCTGATTGAAAATGAAAAACTATTACTAGGGCTTAAAGAAGCCAAACTTAAGTGGGTGATGGCTGAAGAAAAAAGTGCAGAAATCCAACTTGAGATGAAAAATGAAATGAGGGGCTTACTGGACGTACTTATTAAGTATAGACAAGCAGTGATTTTGCCTCCAGCACTATCAACAGAAATAGAGCTAGCAATCCACAATAGTGCAAGATTTTTCGGAGGAAGAATAAACGTGAAAAGCAGATCAAGAACGTCACCAACTCGCCAGAGAGTTAATTAAAAAATTGTTTATATTACATCTGATTAAGTTCTAAAAGTTGATATGTAGCAGTAGCATGGTTTATGTCATTAAATTTCATGCTTTGAATTACGTATTCTTGTGGAAAGCCAAAATCTAGCAGTTTTTTATATATTTTGTTTTCATCAACCTTATGTGGATGTGCAGAGGTACCTGAGAACCTTGGCAATGAATGATTTTCATACCAGTCATCTGACTCTTGGATAGCAAACCATTGATGATTTTTCATTTCTTCTAAAGAAATTCGTAAATGTGGGATGGGGTTTAACATTTTTGCTATTAAATCTTGGGCTTCCAAAGATACATGTGCAGGCATGGTATATTTACAGCGCAAAATTAATTTGTGTAGGTCTTGCATTGTTTTTGCTTTAAAAGGGACTGTACCACAGAGCATGGCATATAATAAAACTCCCATGCTTCAGAGATCAACATAAAAAGGCTCATACTCATGGTCAGCAATAATTTCTGGAGGTAAATATGCAGGTGTTCCGCACTGCTCATTTATTTTTTCACTAGGTTTTACAATTCGGCTGACCCCAAAATCACATAACTTTGCTAATGTTAAATCAGCTGACAGCAAAATATTGTCTAATTTTACATCTCTATGAATCACATTTTTTTGATGACAAGCCTTAACCGCATCTATAACTTGGCTAAAAATTTTTTTGGCCTCTGTTTCAGTCAGTCTGCCTTTGGATTTAACAAATTGTAATAAATCTCCACCTCCAGAGTATTCCATCACAATCATTAAATGCCTTTTTGATTCGAAAACTTCTAATAATCGAATAACATTTCTATGCTTAACTCTTTTCATTACGAAAACTTCTTGGAAAACTTTCCGCCGAATTCTTTCATCTTTTATATGGGATTTATCGAAAATTTTGATTGCTACTTTAAGTCCAGTTAATTTATGGATTCCTGAATAAACTTTGCCAAAAGCACCTTTACCTATTTGGATACCAAGCTGATAAAAGTCTACAGAAGTAGCTGGCGGTAAGCCTTTTCTTCTGAAATTTGTAAAAATCGTTTGAATTAAATTTTCTCTTTCTTTTTCTTCAGCCTCTAGCTTCGAGATTTCAACTCTTTCAAAGCTTGATCCTAAGCTTGCGTTTGAATTGGGTAAGTCATTTCTTATAAACCCATTTTTCAAAGTTTTTTCTTGAGAATCATTGAAAAATTTATCACTAACACAGTCCTGGGATGTATTTTTGGGGGAAATTTTATCGTTTTGTTTTCCTTTAATTGAATAAGGATTTATGAAATTATTTTGGTCTGAACTTGGTACTTCTGATTTATTTCTTCTGTGTCCTGGTTTTGTAGTTATTTTGATTTCCACTGGAGTTTTTGATTTTAACTTTTCTTCAATAGGAGATTCTCTGCGAGAGGAAATATTGTTTAAAGCGTTTTTTATGAATTTTGTGAATTTATTGGCGTATTCGTGGTTGGGATCTCGAAAAATGTTCGGCTCTACAGAGCATCTGATTTTAGGTGAGCGACTTGATATAGGACTTCTCTTAGAATTACCAGAAGGACTGACCATTCGTGATCTGTATTTAGGTTTCTTTAAAAAGTCCAAATAATCTCTTACGATATTTTTCTTGTCTACACGGTTAGTTCGATGGCAATTTGGAGTTGTTAAACGATTATCTCCCATGTAAGATTTTTAATATTTTATCAGTTTCAATAATTTAAAAGGCTAGAGTGCAGGGTTAACTAAAAAATATTTCTCAAGTGAATTCAGTATACCGTTGTGAGTTTAGACCATTATTTTTGGTTTTCTTTATATACTTTGATTATCAAATGCTATTTGAATTAATAAAACATTTATTTTAATCAATTCTATTTATGTATTACTTTAGATAAGTACCATGATTTTTTTGTCTTACTCTTTATATGAGCATTTTATCTATTAAAGCTAAATAACTATATTGTTAGTCATAAAATTATGTCATTGAATATTAATAGTATCTATTGTGTCCATTTTTTAACTTCATTTAAGACTGGAAGACTGCTATAATCTTTGATTTCTATGCCACCTCGAATTAGTTTCCCATAAAATCTCGAAACACGATTCCTTTCAAACCTGCCATTAAACAACGTAAACTTCTGCTTTTTCATTCTCATGCCAACAATTGAAGGGTAAATTTCACTTGTCCCGAATACATTTTCAAACTCGGAAAAATCTCCTCCTTGTGCCCATAAAAAATTAACATTTTTGTCTTTAGGGATATCTTTTAAATCGTTTAAAATCCCTAAATATTTTTCAATTTCTTTTAAGCTGCTATTGAGCTTTGGCACAAATAAAATAATGCAAATTCATTCTCTGCAGCTTGAATCTAAAATTCTTTGAGAAGTTAATTGCAAAATCTGTGCTTGCTGTGGCTGCGATCATTCTTGAGTATAATGAACTACTTCAGAAGGTTTAGAAGATGATTTGCTAGTTGTTTGTGGAGGTGGAGGAGGAGGAGGATTTAAAGTTTTATATTCACATGATTTGGATTCTTGGCCGCTTTGAGAAGTACAGCTTCTTCAATTAGCAATTTTTTCTTTTTCCATTGGTGCGCGAGAATTCGCAAAATCTGTTATAGACTGAAAATTCGGCGACTGATTAAAATCTATAGGATTTGATTTTTCAGCTCCAAACATTTTAATAGCAGGCAGTTTAGAAATACCAAACCTCTCACTAAATCCCTCATTCAACTGTGAAAAGTTTCCACAGTAATTTTTTAATAAATTTAGTCAAGTATCTTTTGCACCAAATAAATTCATTTTTTATATTATTTTTAAGTATTTTTATGTATTTAACTTATTTTTCCTTTTGATAGCGCTACTTTTGACTGCTACAAAAATATTTACTTATAAAATTTAATCATTTGAAGGAATAAGAGATACCTCTTGGGCTATATTAACCATTCCATATTGTGCTAGTCCTTCAAGTTTCACGGCAGACTTTTTGAATACAGGAGGATAATTTTTACTTCGATTATCTTCTGAGCTATAAAACAAAATCATCCATACTTCTTGAGAGTTTATTACAAATTCATCAAAGTTAGCTGCTGAGAGATCTATTGCCTTCTGCGCATTTGCAATTAAACTTGAAAGAATCAACAATAAAAAATAGTGATAAATCATTTTTGTTTGATTTGATTTATAAAAATTATATCTTTCAACTTCTTATATTAATACTCTTTAAGAATTCCTATTAAAGCAGGCTTCTAGCTATTAAATTTATAAATGGATTTTTTTAATTTTGATAATAAAACTGATCACTTTTACTTTTATATAAATATATATTCCTTAAATTAAATGAACCCTCAAAACCCTAAAAGAAACCTATCTGACTTTAATGAAGCAGAGCTCGAAGAAAAAGCCTTAATTCTTGTTCCTGCTGGAGTAGGTGACCTTTTATACCACTGTGCTAAACAAATTTCCAAAATTTTTCAACTAGATGCCATCTCCCCAATTGACCTTGAACCCTCAATAAAATCAACATGCAAAGCCTTAACTTCTTCCTCAAGAGTCGAAGTCTTTATAAAAGAGAAAAGCAGGCTGAAATTTTCAGGAAATAAAGAAAATTTTGAATTCCTGGAAATCAATTCAAAAAATCTCCCTGGCTTTGTGGCAGACACCAACCTATATCAAATTATAAACGACCCTCAGAAATCAAGTTTTTATGCAAGCTTTACTGAAAATTGATTGCCAGGGAGAGACTGAATAAACTCTGATGAAAACTTACAAAGCATCTGTGCAGTTCCTATTTCCAATGCTGATAAAACTGAAGTATATGGAGTGGTAGTGTTATGCAACAAAATTGATCCTTTGGGCCTGATAACTAATTTTACGTCGAATGATGCGCTTATAGTCCAATCAGTTGGTATGATGGTCTTTGAACTAGTAAATTCTAGGAAAAAAGAAAATCAAGTCTCAGATGAACTAATAATTTCAAATAATGAAAAAGACCAATTGTCAAAGTCACATAGACATAGAAGGCCCAACCCTATAACAATCGAGCATGATAATTTTAATATAAAAATTAGTGACCCTCCGCAATCTGACTGGAAAACTATTGTAAAAGAAGGAGAAAAAAATAAACTCTTGCAACAATGATGCAAGCAGGTTTTTGCAGTTTCCAACTTTGCGCAGAGCAATCACCTTTTAGCTAAAAATATACTCCAAAGGCTAGCTACTGAGAATGGCGTTGATATTTTGGTTATTTCGTCATTAGAAATAATCAAAGCTTTAATTTATTGTGAAGGGGTGAATGGTTATTACAAAAATGATGGAGTAATTTATGAGTATTCAATAGCACAAGGAAAAACTAGCTGCTCTTTGTCAGCAGAGATGCAAGCCTTGTATGAAAATTCGATTAAAACAGGTAAAGCATTGATGTTTGTTAAGGAGTATGGAAGAGAAAATATGATGATGGTTCCTTATGTTTCAAATGAAAATGCATTTGTAATTGAAGTATGAAATAAAAAAGATGAAACTTGGACATTTTTCAGCAACTTTACTAAGGAAGACAAGAATATTATAGGAGAAGTTGCTAGGGTAGTTTTTAAAGCTTTGAAAAGTGATAAAAACGAAAAAAGCCACGATGTCACCAAACTCCGGCATTTAATTCGGCATCATGCTACAAGTATCAACACTTATTCAATTATCAGCACAATTCGTGACGCTTCTCAAAAGCTACTTGACTGTGACCGAGCTACTGTTTATATTCGTGAAGGGAATTCTTTAGTCGTCAAAGTCCAAGGCTCAGAACAAGAAATCCCTACAAACTTCGAAGTCCCTCTAGGCAAAGGAATAGCAGGCTATGTCGCCCAAACCGGCCTAACAGAAATTATATGTGACGCTTATCAAGATTTCCGTTTTAATCATGAAATTGACGATCTCACTGGCTATCGTACTCACGATATTCTATGTATGCCTGTATTAGACTGCAATGGTGAGACAATCGCAGTCCTCCAGATGTTAAACAAAAATGAAGGGATTTTTGACCAAAATGATGAAGACATTTTGGAAATTTTTGCCGAGCTTGTAGGCGTTGTTTTGCAAGGCTGAAAATTATTTGATAAAAATATCGAAGAAAGGACAAGGCTTATAAATATATTAAATAGCCTTGGGAATTATATATTAGTTGTAGATGGTAGTGGAAAACTTTATTATAATAACAGATCATTTGAAGAGATTTTAGGAATCACTGAAGCAACTGCGAAGAATTCAAGCTATATTTCATGGCTAAAGCATAATAGACAGCTAGTTCTCGACATCAATGCAATATTTCAAAATCCCAAGAAAAAAATATACAAAAAATCACAGAGACTGATAAAAAATCCACATAAATATCATGTAGGAAGCGGAGAAGAGCTTATAATTGCAGGAGAAGACTCCTTGCCTTTTAATTATACACTAGTTCCTTTACAAGATTTTATTACTTTAGAAACTTCAGGTGTTGTTATAATTCTAGAAGATGCCACAGCGATTGAAGAGCTAAACTCTAAGCTCGCAGCCATGCAAAACCAATTAGACGTCCTTACAAGCTCAGTTCAAGCTGAAACATCGCTACAAAAATGCATCCAAAAGCTTTCAATAATATCCCAAGATTTCGACCACAACTCAGATACTTATTTACAAGTAATTGATGTAATAAACACATTAAAGCAAGGAAACCTCAATCGCACTGAAATAAAGATACCTATCGATATGCATTCAAAAGGAAATGAGCTTATAAGCATTATTAATGAATACACTGATACTAGTGAGCAAGGAGGGCTAAGAAGTCCTGTTATTAGAGAAAGAAAGTATAGTGGAGATAAAGATGGAGAGCTGGCATCAGAACTAGAAGAACTTAGAAACTGGAACCTCAATGCTTTTGATATAAGCTGCCATCTAATTTATATCAAAGCTATGCTACAAAACTTTGATTTAATCAATATCTTTGATATAAAACATGCTAGGCTGGCAAACTTTGTATCAAAAGTAGAAGAGAATTATCAGACTTATACCAATCCTTACCACAACTTTTACCATGGCTTTACAGTCATGCATTCAAGCTATTACTTATTGTCAGCCACTGCAGCAGGTTTGGTCTTCAAAACTCAAGAAATTTACGCACAGCTAATAGCTGCTCTATGCCACGATATTGGTCATACAGGCCATACCAACAATTTCGAAATAAATAGGGCGAGTCAATATGCGATTACCTATAATGATAAGTCAGTCTTAGAAAACCATCACTCTGCCTTAACTTTTCATATATTACAAAATGACTCTTGTAATATCCTTGAAGGGGTCCCGACAAATATGCTAAAAGGGGTCAGAAAATTAATGATAAGATGTATATTGGATACTGATATGGCCATACATTTTAATATGATTTCTAATATGAGTAATAGGTTTAAAGATCTGAATGAGAGGCCTTTAGGATCTATTGACGATGACTGCGAAAAAACTGCCGCATTTATAATTCATGTGGCAGATTTAGCTCATAGTGCTAAAAATAATCAAACTTATACAATGTGGTCAAAACTTGTATGTGAGGAATTTTATAAGCAGTATAGAGAGGAAGTGGCAAATTGTCTGCCATTGACGGAGCATATGAAAGATATTAACCAGCCTTTAATTTATTATAAAAATGAAATTGGTTTCCTCAAAGTCGTTGCCAAGCCACTATGGGATTGTGTAGGGCTTTGACTCAGCCCTGAAATCAATTTTTGCATAGAAAATGTAAATGAAAATATCAAAAATTATGAAAAAAATTTGGAAGAACTATCAAAAAAAGAATAATACACAAATTTATAACTAGAAAATATAAATAATAGATTTATCCTAAGTCTTGCTCATAATAGAAACTTTTACAAGGCTAGGAATTGTTGATCTCCACGACATTTCCTTATCCTTGTATATATTAAAAGGATAAAGCTTATCTTTCCACTCGTTAAACAAAAAATGGTCATTCGGCCTGGTTGTGCCCCACACAAACTTGTCGAATTTTTTTTCTTTTTCATCAATCCTTTTAATTTTTTTAATAAATGCATTAATCAGTCCTTCCATATACTCCGTGTATTTATTTAGCCCTGCAAGACTTGTTCCTTTGAGAATTTTAGGGTATAAAGATCTTGAAGATATTTTTAAAATAATGCTATTTAGTAGTTGGAGCGGGGTTGCTACTTTTTCAGCAGCAAACAATAAAAGTATCGAAATTAAGATAAAAGTAGCAATTGCAATACTGATTACAATCCAAAAAATTTCTACATAGGTATCGCTAAAATCATCGCGCATGTCATCAACAGGCTTATCTACTTCGGATTTTATTGCACAAACCATTATTCAATGAGTGATATTTTGTATATCATTATATGGCCTTACTGGGTGAAGAGTGGCATAATAATCAGTTGAATTTGGGCCTGTGAATTCCAATAGATCTCCATATGTTTCGTTTGTTAATTTCCATCACTTTTTTTGTGAAATCCCTGTCTTGTCTTTATCATAAATTTTCAATTCTTCCCCTAATATCATCCAGCTCTTCGGGCGGCTAAGCACAAACCCTTCTCCTGCTGTGATTAGCAATATAAATCCGCTATCTAAAATCACAACGCTATTTAGCCTTGACATTATATTATTCAATGTTATATCAACAGCTGTTACTCCATAAAAGTTATCAGAACTGTCTAGAATTGCTTGGGATATAGTAATCATTCAAGTCCCTTCAGTGGTTCCTTGATATGGCTCTGTTATAATTACACTATCAGGGTGATCTTTTGCTTTATAATATCATTCATTTACGAGGGGAGAATAAGTTCTATCAGTTGATTTATACCCTGGATAATAATGAAGAATTTCATCTGTCTCAAAGCCTGAATAAATGAGGGTAAAATATTCTCGAAATATTAAAGGGTAGAACTTGTCCATTGCTGCTTCTAAATTTACAAGAGTTTCGCCAGCTGAGCTTAAAGAGTCTTTATATTTGGAAAAGAAAACTCCAGATTCATAAGTATAAGCTGTCCCATTTATGGTTTCTGTGATGGTATCAGGAATAGCGTCATCCCATATAGGATCATCACTTTTGATAGGTGGAGAGCTTGAGCCAAAACCAAGCATCAATTCGTCAAGATTTTTTTGATAGTTTATATAGTTGATGAATGAATTAAAGGACAAAGAAGTAAAATTAGCTTCGTCCCAGCCAAGATTTGAGAGGTGCTTTCTTGTATTATGATGTATTACAGTTCTTGTGCTGGAAATCGTGGTATTTCTTAGTCAGTCTAGCTGAAATATAGTTATAATGATAAGAATCCCTACAAGAATCAGAGAAGATGTAATAAAAGTACTGACAAGCTGTGTGGAAACTGGTCATTTGGTATATTGCTCACGAATACGCATTAGGAGTCGTTATATTTATAATCATATTTAATAGAAACTCTTTAAAAGCATATGAAAACCTAAGCATACTTGCTAAATAATAATATTCATTAATGATTTTTAAAATATAGTTAAAAAATTGAGGATTTATTATTGTTATTTTCATATATTTAGAACTACTTTAATTTACACTCTATACGGGTAAACATTGAATCTTGGAAAATGACTGAAGCTTAAAATCGATAATAGCCATGAAACACAAATAAAAGCTACGCACATTATCAGAGGAATAGGGACTGCTGCATCAATAAACGCTGAAAGCATCAGTGGGCCAATTATGCTCCCTAAAATCTTACAAAACAAGGCAATTTCATCTGCATAAATTTCTAGAGCTTCTCTATTATGTATATTTACAGAGTCACTTACAAATAGTCAAGAAGAGGTAAGTAAAATTGATGAGAAAAACTTGAAAATCGATATAACTATTATAAGTGCCACAAAAATTCCCAAAGGCATAATCGCATAGTTTATAGGGACAAAACCCATTAATAATCCAATCATAATATATGATATTCCTCTAATAGTTTTTCATAGAGGCACTGACTCAAGTAATTTAGGCATTGCATAGATATGTAGAGTGTACCCTATTATATAAGACGTCCCTAAAATTACCCCAATTTCAATATTTTTCATTCCGAATTTTATCATAAACCACACAGTGAAAAATTCTTCCACTGCAGAAAAGCATATAGAAAAAATCGCTAGATGTGTCAATGCATACTTAGGTGCTTTGCTGTTCCATAGATAGTCAAAATCTCTTTTAAACCGATCTTCTAGAGAAATATTTTGTACAGGCTGCTGAGGATGAGTATCCTCTTCAGTTTGCCCTTCGAAATCCTCTTCAACAAAAGAAATATGGGTATGTTTAACATTTTGGACCGGCCCAGCTCGCTCTGGTTCACTATTTTCTGGCTCTTCTCTTTCTCTAGCTGATTCTCCACCTTCATTATCAATATGGAAAACTTTTCCAACTTCTCCTCCTCGAGCACTCATAGGCCATTTACCATTCTCAGTGTTTTTTACAGGGTTTCTCGGAGAAAAATAATGAATACCATGACGACTTGAGGATTTTGGCTCTTCTGAGTTTGCAAGCATTAAGTCGATTCCTGAAACTTGCAAATAGCTTGGCAGGTCTTCCTCTTCTTCTTCTTCCTCCTCTTCATTAGGATTTTCTTTTCTTTCAGTAATAGGACCCTCATCTTTCGCTTCTTCATTCTTTTTTGTTTCTTCAAGCTCTACATATTTTCCTGTATTCTTTTGTTCTTTTTTAGGCTGTGTGACAGGGTTTGGCTTTTGCTGATTTTGAGCTGGTAAAGGATTATCCGCGAACTGAGTTGAAGCCAAAATAAAAACAATAAATTCAATAAACCCAGTTACAATACTAGGGATAAGAAAAGGATGATGATTAATATACTCACTTATTCTCGCATCATTTTCTATTGTGATATAAGAAGTTGTCCCTCCGATTATAATTCCAATCCCGATTCCTATTGTTTGTACTATAATGGAATTGGGTGCAAGCTCAATAATACTGCATTTTTGATATTGCGAATTTATTTGGACCAAAATTTTAAATGGTGTATTATTTGGTAGAAATTGATCAAATGCCTTACTGTATATACTATATAAAATGTTTCAAATAAATTTCCTGACTCCCCCCCCCCCCCCCGTGAGCGAACAAAACCATTAGAAAAATCGCCATTTTTTGACCAAAAACCCACCCTCCGTGAGTGAACAAAAATTTTTTTAATAGAAAAAATTTTAATGGAAAAAATTTTGATATATAAGTGATAATTAGTATAATGAAATCTAGAGCTAATTCTGTTTAATTTTAAACAAATTGCGTTTTAAAACATAAATTTTGCAAATTAAATTAATATTTGCTTCCCAATTTTTGCAAATTAGGATTTTTTTAAATTTCGAAAAAAATATTTTTTATAAAATTTATATATAAATTTTTTTTAAAAAAAAAAAATAACCCCCCTCCGTGAGCGAACAAAATTTTTTTGTTCGCTCACGGAGGGGGGGGGGGAGTGAGAGAAATGCCGCACTATAAAAATTCATGATCAAAAGACATGGAGCCAATGGAAACATAAGTAACTTGATAAAACTTTTCCATGCAGGACTGAGAGAGCTGCCTTAAAAGAATTTTGCTGAGAAGCTGAGTTGTAGAGCAAATTCCTGCAAAAAATCGAACTGTCAGCCCAATGAAAAGGGAGGTGCAGAATCCAAATAAAATTGTTAATACAGCTGAAAAAAATAGTAGAAAAGAAGCAATACAGTGGGTGCCATACTGAGGTGCTGCCCAGTTAGTAAATCTTCACGCCACAAGTTTTCCGAAACAAAATGCAAAAGTTAGCAATCCAGAATAGTAACCAATTTCTTCTAAATCGTCTGATGTTTTTGTTTCAAGAATAAAAAATCCAGAAATCGGAATTGTAAACTAATTAGTCATTACTGCCGCATTTATACTTGTCGAAAAAAGTATCAAAATAACAATTTTAACTTGGTTCCATGGGATTTCACGGACTTCTTTTTTCCCCATATTTATAATTTGAGTTATATATTTGAATTAGAGCCTTATCAAATCCAAGAACTGAAAAATTGAAAATAACTCTTTAAAATAGTAGTTCAATTGATAGATATGAAAACTATTTCTTTATTTTTAAAGGCTAAGCCCTTTTTCATTTAAATCAGAAATAAATAATTTAAGCCAATTATAAAGCTACATCTTTAACAAGAGTTCTTTAAGTTTATCCTAAAAATTAATTGTTTATCCTCCTAACTGTAAATATCCGTTTTTATAAATATGAAAACTCACGCACTCTTAATCTTGAGTTTTTTAATTATCAGTTCAGCTATAAAAGCAGCTTCTCAGCGCACAATAGAAAGCAATATAAGTCCATCTTTTCATTCCACAAATAATGAAGCCTCATTTGTAAAGGACCAGCCAAGTATATTTTATATTAGATTTTATTCAATTAAGCAGTAGGACTTCTGAAGTAGAGAATGATAATTTATTCTATAGAAATAAATTAGCGATAGTAGGAGTTTTGACTTTTCTGTCAGTATTGCTATGTTTTGGAATAATTCAAGCTGCGAATCGCCTAACTCCCCCCCCATCCTTGATCGAAAGACTCGCCATCGTTCGATCAAGGATGGGGTTAAAACAAAATTTATATGTAAAAAAAATATATATATATATATTTTTTTTTTACTTTTAAATAAGAGGGTTAAGAGTATTTATAATAATTATTTTTATAGCAAAAAATTGAATTAATTTCATAAAAATACCAATTTTTTATATTTTGATTTATTAGTTACCCCTTTAAACTGTATAAATTTTAATTTGGTCCTTATTAAAATAAATTTTTTTTTTTAAATTTTAAAGAATCTCTATTTTATTTAGATTATTGAGTTTTTAACCTAGAGTGATTACTAAATCACTTTGAATGGTTGATTTCGAAGCTTTCTGTCGTCTCAAAGTTTCTGAAAAAAAATTCATTATGTACATCTTCCCAAGCTTTTGATAACTATTATATTTTTATATATATAAAAAATTTGCATGATATAAAAATCGTTCGATCAAGGATGGGGGTTAAGTTCCCCAATTTTTTAGGAATTTTTTACAGTCAATCGTTCGATCAAGGATGGGGGCGGAGTAAGCAAACGAAAAAATGCTGAATATTTGACAATGAAGCAAAACTATAAACAGTATCAAGGATTGATTAAATTCAGAGAATTTTACAGAAATTATTCGAAGGAAAGCCTTAAATAATAATTAAACAAAAATTAATTTGTAAATAGGTCTAACTGCAACTGTCCCCTTCGTATTTATCTTATATCATAAAATTTGTGCTTAATAATGCTTATTATGCAATGGCTTTATTAAAAGCATTTATGAGCAAAAACATAAGCTACTTAAGAAGTCACACTTGCGACTAGGAGAAAATCAACTTTTCAAAAAATCAATTTATGAAAAATTATCTGGAAGTAATAGAAGCTTCACTAATATAATGAAAATGGAAATTTTCAGCATGTGCAAGACAGCTAAAATCAAAATTCTGAAAAGATTTGAAATAAAAATTGAGAGCTTTGCTATAATGTCTTTATTAAATCGAATTTATAACTAGTTTAAAACTTCACTGATATAATTTTAGAATAGATACAAAAGAGCTCTTATTAATTATAAAAAATTATGAACCATGTTTATTAATATTCTTCAGAATAATTCTTACTGCGCTACCTATTTCAGTCGTGGCTTTCTTGCTTATTTAATAAGTTGCTCAGCATTTACTTTGCCATTCTCTTCTAGAGGTAAGATAGACAGAGCCTTTTTCCACAACTGATTAAATCTAGGACATTTCTTTTCCAGCTCTTTTTATAAGGCTGTAAGGCCATTTATGAGCCACTTGCTGGAAAGAAAATCTCTTGGAAAAAATTTTCTTGCCTAAGCTTTAGCCCTCTGCGTACTCTGCCTAAGAGTATCTTTCACCTGGAATTTTAAGAAGTAAAATTCCTCTTCTCCTTGCATCAGATACTCTATTATCGCTCTAGAATGTTTCAGTTGCTGTTGAGTAAATCTTCCATGGGGAAAACTGAACTTATGTTAGCGCCGTACATGGATAGTTTTTGGAGAGAATAAGGCTCCTAAATGGTTGAGTGAAGGCACTTTGACTTGTATTGAAGAGGATTATCAGTTATTGGATAGCAACAATAATTTCCATCAAATTGCATATTTCTATTAGCAGAATGCTATTTTAATTGTGTATTTATTTGAATATGCTATTAATCCAATTAAAGAATTAGCTATATCCCTGTCAATATAAACCCTTGATAGACTTTCACAGGATAAGAATTTTAAAACAAAGCATTTTTGTGGAAAAATAATCATTTTTATACGATTTTAAAATAAAACTGTTATATCTTTAACCATTAAAGATATTTTATAAATTACTTATCTCTTTTAATTGAATTCCTAACTATTATTATCTTATATCTCAGCTTTTATAATAAATAATATTTTTGCTAACTAAGAAGCTAGAAATTTGTTTATCCTTAAATGGAATCGCAAGCATGCATTAGCAGCCCAGTCCAAAAGCACATTGAATTTAAAACCAGCTCAATATCAAAGCTAATTTCTAAAAGCCTCCCCAATGAAACAAAGCCAGCTAAATCATCCTCAAAAAAAAATCATAAAATAGAACCATTCCCAGCTTTAATCAGAGAAGAACGAGAACTCATTCAAAACCTCCTCCAGCAAGAAAGCAAAAGGCTGCGACGAAAGCTGCAGAAATCAGAAAGAGACGTATCTCATTTGCATGATGCACATAAACTCGATTCAAATTCCCCAGATAAATATAATTCAGATGGTTTTCTTTCCACAAGAAATACATCAAACTTGCCGAAAGATATAGATCAAATTATAAATACTGCCTATTCAGCTCATTTTCTTCCACAGATAAAAAGTCCTTCAAACAGGTTCAGAATACTAGAAAATTCTCTTTCAAAAGAATCCCTGAATCAAGCCTCTTCTAAACTTATAGGCGAACTGGATGATATTGACCCAAAACAGCACGCACTTGGACTGTCACTTGCAAAATCCCTAGAAAACTATGATGGTGCCGCAATAATTGGCACAACTGGCCGACAAGATGTGGTAAATTTAGCATCTTGGTACGAATTTATGAAGAATAAATATCTAGACAAGCTTAGGCAGAATTTGAAAATCAGAATTGACGAAAAAGACGAAAAAATAAAAGAATGCAAAGCAATCCTTATCGTTGGGATGAAAGAAATGATAAGACAGGTTGGAGTCCAATGCACAGAAAGAGGAGAGCTGCTGAAAAATATGATGGCTTCTTATGCAGAAATCTGGGACTGCACTATTGAAAGATATAAAGCAGAATTAAGAGAGCAGCAAGAGGATTTTCTTAATGAAATCAATGCTCTGAAATTTGAAGCAGAAAAAAATGTTTCACAAATCCAGATGAAATATGATATTGTTTTGGCTGAGAAAAAAGTACTGGAGAGAAATGAAGAAAAATACTTGAAGAAAATTCAGGACTTGCAGAGAATTTTGGAAACGAGAGGACTTGAAGCCAATTTTATACCTCAGATTTCAGTAACTGGGAGTCCAAATACTGATAGAAATGCTCCAGGAAGAAGAATCCAAAGCTTGGTATTGCAGTCTAGAGGCTCACCAGTGGGATCGAGAGAATCAAGTGCTGGGTGCTCTGATAAGTCAAATAAAGGGATTACCAGACTTGAAGCTCCCATTAATCCTTTTGCACTTGAAACTAGCTATGACAGTAATACTAGTCGAAAAACTCCAGTAAGCCAACGAAAAAGATCAGTCACTTCGTTTGGAGATGAAGATCAAATCACTTTTTCTGAGTCTCCAAGAGAAGACTCTATGCCTTATAAAGTTTTTTACAAAAAATTAAAGCGAAAGCCTAAAAGATTGCTGCTGAAACTTGCTAAACTTACGAAAGATCATATACTAAAATCGTTAAACGTTATATATTATAGAGCAAACGACGAGATATTATTAATTATGATAATTTTTCCCTTATCAATTATTATATCAGTCTCATTTTACTTTAAAATGAACAAGACTTAGTCTATTTTGACCAATAAAATTTATTCTAAATGGCATACAAAATTCTGATCTGCCTACTGAATTTAATTATTTGCTTTATAATCAATTTTCAAAAGGAGAAGATGTAGCTACTTTTGAAGAAAAGTTATCAATATTTTTAGCTACTTGTGTGAGGCATAATGAATGTCATAGAATCACCACGTTTCTGAGGCTTGTTGGAATGGGAGAATTTATTGAAAAAAAGAATTATTCATCTCACTCTTTTAAAGTCTTTTTAAAAGCTTTTGATTTTATGAAGAAATCAGACATAGGAAAAATGCCCCAAAATCAAGAAGCCTCAGTCACACAACTTTACCCCACAGCTAGATGCATAGGCTGTATTGTGGCAATTATGAGTGAATTTGTCCAGCAAGAGAAATTAGCTGAAATTGAAAAAGTTTTAAAACAGTCAAGCATTCAAGACCCGAAACATATAAATCCCGAAGGGCTGGTCGATGTTGAAATTATGTATTCATATATCCTCGATGAGTTTGAAGCTATCAGATGAAACATTTTCAACATGGTCAACTTTTTGCACCAAACAATCACCGTAAAAGATGACAGGTTTTTCTTAACCAAAGAAGAAGTAAAAATCCTAGTTTCCTCTGTAAATCCTAATAAATTCCAACTTATCCACAATGAAGGTGAAGATACGCAAATTTTGAAACATTTAATAGTGAAACTCCCAAGAGAGGAAGAAGTAATCCCTCTTGACAAATTCATAGACTTGGCCATTGAGTGCCTAATGCTAACAGAATCGAGCATTGACGAATTCTTAGGCGACACTAAAGACTTTGAAGACGAAAATGTTGAAGACTACATCTTCTCAGACTATGCGACGATTTCAGAAACTGTACAAAATGATGACTCAATCTGGGCTGACCGAATTGTCAGACATGTAGAAAACCACAAAGGTCTCAATAACAAGGCTTCTCTTACTTGGTGGAAAATCATCAAAAAAGAGTTCTTGCAGTATTTATAAATTTTTATAATTATCCTTGGACTATTTTTCTAAATTCTTCAAAATTGACGCCTCCGTCTTTATCATAATCAACCTCTCTTATAAGTTCATCTGCATCCACATTTACTTTTCCAGCTCTCCTCAATGCACTTTTTAAGGAAATTGCTGTGATTTTTCCTGTATTATTTGGGTCAAAGTGCCGAAAAGCTGACCATAATTTTTCTTCATTAATGATGTGTTTTGATTCCAGCGTCGCAGCCAAAAATTCGGAATAATTTATTCTTCCGTCTTTATTGTAGTCTAAATTTCAAAATAATGCTTCAATTTCTCTTGTTTTGGGGTGTTCTTCAGAATTAGCGATTACTGTGATAAAATCTGATAAAGTAATAAATCCATTTTTATGTGTATCCAAGCTGTTAAAAGCTTCTTTTAAATCTTTTATTTGGTCATGATTTAATTCATTAACAAAATATGCTAATACTTCTTTTTGGAAACTGCTTGAAAGCTTGAAATGTTTTAGTGATGCAATTATTCCAGGACTCACGTGAATTTCGTTGGTTTCTGTAAAGCCAAATCATGGATGGCATAAAGCTTCTTCAGCAGTTATTCTATTTTTTGGCTCCAAAGCTAGCATTTTTCTTATCAAATCTTTAGCTTGACTGCTCACACCTCTTCAGTGAACAGATTTGAATTCATAGCTCCCTTGCAAAATGTGAGAATACAGCTCCTCCTTGTCTTTTCCTACAAACGGATGATCCCCACACAGCAGCATAAACATGATTACCCCCACACTTCACATATCACACATAAATCCATACGAACCTTTCAATACCTCTGGAGCCACATAATATGGAGTTCCAACAATTGATGTCATGCTTTTCGAATTGCTGCCAAACTTCTGTGATAATCCAAAATCAATTAATTTTAGTTCAGCATCATGATCCTTGCTATCAAACATAAAATTTTCTGGCTTTAAATCTCTGTGGCATATATTAATTTTGTGTAAGTGATTGACTGCTCTAACTCCCCCCCATCCTTGATCGAACGACTCGCCATCGTTCGATCAAGGATGGGGGCTAAAAAAAAATATATATATATTTTTTTTATTTACTTTTAAATAAGAGGGTTAAGAGTATTTAATAATTATTTTTACACCAAAAAATTGAATTAATTCCATAAAAATACCAAATTTTTAATATATTTTGATTTATTAGTTACCCTTTTAAACTGTATAAATTTTAATTTGTTTCTTATTGAATTAAAATTTGTTTTTTTTAAAAATTTTAAAGAATCTCTATTTTTTAGATTATTGAGTTTTTAAGCCTAGGTTGATGGCTAAATCACTTCGAATAGTTGATGTGCAGCTTTCTGTCATCTCAAAGCTCTGAAAACAACTTCATTAGGTGCATCTTCCCAAGCTTTTGATAACTAATATATTTTTTAACATATAAAAATTTGCATGATATGAAAATCGTTCGATCAAGGATGGGGGGGGGCAGTAAGTATTTTTATCATTAATTCAGCTGCATCTTTTTCTTTGTAGTGTCCTTTATTTAAGAGGCTGTCTCAGAGTTCACCGCCTTCGCATAATTCCATAACAATGTGAAAATATCGATCATCTTCGTAGCTTTCATAAAGTCTGATAATGTTCGGGTGGTCAAGTCCGACCAAAATTTCGACTTCAGTTCGCAGTACTTCGAAGTTTTTTACGAGTCCTTTGTCTATAGATTTTATTGCTACTTTATGATGTGGGTTGGATTTTGGTCAACCGACTCTGACTATTCCAAAAGTCCCCGTGCCTAAAACTTTGCCGGAGTTATACATGGATTTTATGCTTAGGATAGAGGTGTGCCGTTTAGCAGACCTTCTGTTTATCTGCGGGCGTTCTATATAAGTTTTATTACAAAGACTTCCCATTTCCTGAATTAAAAGCTATTGGTTTATTTATATTTTAAATAAGAAAATTTTTGAAGAGTGTGGTGAAGGACAACCATCAGAGACTGAAGACATAAGAGATGAATAGTGAGTGATGCATTTGGCTAAGCATAGTAGGCAAATTTCCAGCCTAAAAGATTTTGTTTATGAAATTATGAAATATTTCAATGAGCACAGATAATCAGATTTGATAATTTGAAATTTAGCAGAAGTACTGAAAATTTATAGAATATCGATAAAATGTACTGAATTTTTAAATTTTCTGAAATCTGCAGTCAAATTTAAATACAAATGAATTTTGGTTTAGAAAAGCACATTTTCTATTATTGTGAAAGCGCTAAATAAATGAGTGAAGGAAATAATAATGATAAATCGAAATAGAATTTGCATTTTAACAAATTTCTATAAATCGAAAAGCGAATATCTACTGAGAATATATTGGAATATAACTTTAGAGCCTTTGAATACTTCAGAGGAAGTAGGATCGGTTTTAGGATTTTATGTGCAAACGCATATATGAAAAAAATGATAACTACTTATTCAGACCAATCTTCAATAACAAAATTTAATTTTGATTATTGAAATAAAATAATTAATCATGTTTTTAAAAGGATATCAAATAAATATGTAAGATTCTTCAATTGCTTTGAGCCCTTCATTTATATCAATGAGGTTTGTGGATTCTAAAATTGACTGTTCACATCGTTCTTTTCTTCAATATGAGTATACTGGAGCAAATCACTTGCAACCTCGTTAATTGCAAATGACTGCGTAATTGATATAGAATTTTAGAATACAATTGCTAATGGATTATTTTACTATAATTAATTATAATGAAAATATATCAAATATCTTAAAATCAGAATTAGCTTGATAATAACCTAGAAATTAATCATACAAATTAGCTTTTTAAAGCTTTATTTAAATCAATAAAGCAATTATTGCACTGTGACTTAAATTGCATTAAATTAAATCAGCAACAGCCAAAGATTCTTAAATCATAATAGAAAAGAGCATATAGCCATAAAATCAATTTTAAATTTTCATAACTCTGAGACTGAAGGTAACTTATTCTCAAATAAAATGGATAGCTTGCTTCAATTAAATATGAAGTCCTATTTTCATAAGACTTAAAAAAAACTAAACGTTTCAGTTTCTTTAATACTGCACTTCATGCCCAATTTATATCTTATTTATTTTGCTCATTGCATGAATCATTGATGCATCGATATGGATATTTTGCCAATTACGATTCCTTTCCATTTCATAGCATATCTCTATAAGCAAAATATACCAAGCTATTATGTAAAATTATCAAAAATAATCGTTTCTAAAACTTAATTGCTCAGATTGCCGATAGAAATTCTATTAATGCAAGCATCCTGATGCCTCAGCAAAATGATCGATAATTCCAAGTTCCGAGACAAAAACTGTAAGTTGCTTGGTAGTCAAATGTGATCAATCTGATACTTAATCCTTAATCCTCCACAAACTGTAGCAATTTTTCACAACAGTTACATAAAATATAATTTAACTAACTTATTAGCATGATAATCTTAAAGTGCCCTTCTCTCTCCTAATCTTTTAGAACAATGCCCACAATGGTGAGTTACGTCAAATAAGCTTGGAATACAAAAAGGAAGGCACGAGCAAAAAGGAAATAGGCAAAAGAGGATAAAGCACATCAGCCAAACCATCATTCCTGGGCTTCTCTCAGTTTTAGTTAGAGCAGTTTGATGGCAGTATGGGCAAGTAACCTGTATTGGGTCGAAACCATATATAAAAGTAGGCACCCGTGATTCGATAATAACAGCTGCGGCCACTGGCTGAACATTAGGTGCTGAAGCATAAACTGGTTGTCCTGGGTAAGGTTGGCTACCGGGGTATGGCTGATTAGGATAAGGATAAGGTTGACTTCCTGGATAAGGTTGGGCTTGGTTTTGATAATTTTGATATGGCTGCGCTCCAGGTTGAGCTTGATAACTTTGATACTGTGGCTGCATTCCAGATTGATATGGAGCCTGTCCCATAGGATAAAAGCCTGGCTGATTTGGGTCTTGGGGACCAGGCTGATAAGAAGGTGGGTATGCTCCTGGCTTTTCTGCGCTCATATTTTATATAAGGAAATTTAATTAAGAAATTTGTTTAAGGAAATCAATATGAAATAATTTTGATGTGCCTATTCAAATTTCCGATTAATTAATTCATCTACAATTATACTAATTTTGCAGGATGTTTACTAGCTAAAGAATGCAAAAAAATCAAATTAATTGATCCCGATATAACTTTATGTAAGTATTGTAAATTTCAAATTTATTAAGTATTTTTTAATTTATTTTAAAAATGTAAAATAGAAAATTATGGCATTTAGAGCTTTTGAAACGCAAATAATTTTAATGTTTTAATTATCATAGTTGAATAACTATTAAAAGTTAGTTTTCTTTCATAAATTTGTTTTTTATGATAATATCTTGATTAAATTAGAGTATCAGCAAGCATTCTACTTTAAAATATGTTTGCTTTGCTTATTTATGAAATATAAATATTTTTATAAGGCTTTAAACCCTCCCAAAAATAAAAACAGATCGTGACGATTAAAAATAATGCACACCAATTTTAGCAATCAATAAAAAATTATGCTTGACTGAAAATTCTATTCATTGAATAACAATTCTAAATCAACAGATAGCTAAAGAAATTCATTCTAATCAATCTCAAAATTATCTGAATAATGAGTGAAATTAGCAGCATTTTAACTGATCATCAGCGTCATTCTTAAAATTCCAGGCACATCACTTCTAATATTTTATTATTTTCTTATCTCTCTTCAAAATTGAAAAATAATGTCTTCTCTATTCTATCAACCCCTCAATCTATTTATCTCTTTCATAAACTCTTTCCTATAACTTTAGCATGCTCAAACATAATTCCTTCAAATTTCTTCACATTGTAATCTGACAAAATTTTTATTAAGCTCACTCTTTCATCTTTTAAACTTTTCAACAAAATTTTTAGAGCTTCTCATTTTCTTCTCTTGTTCTGAGAAAAATTATAAATAGCTCACTTTCCCCTTCTTCCCCAATACTTTTTTCATATAATTACTTATTTAATAATCTTCGGAAAATCGCTTAAAATCTAGACTCACCTGCATCACAATTCCTCCATTTCTAGAACCTTCTTTTAAGTATTTAGACTAAAGGCTATTGCGAATCGGTAATATAATGTCGACCGAGACCTACGCTTTCAATGCGGATATCCAACAGTTGATGTCCTTGATCATCAATACTTTCTATTCAAACAAGGAAGTGTTCTTGAGAGAGCTCATTTCCAACTGTTCAGATGCCTTAGACAAGATCAGATTCATGTCACTTACAAACCATGAAGTCTTATCTACAGAAAGCAACCTCAACATCAAAGTTATTCCAGACAAAACCAACAACACACTCACCATCATTGATTCTGGCATTGGGATGACCAAAGAAGAAATGGTCAAGAACTTAGGAACCATTGCCAAGTCTGGCACAAAGGCTTTTATGGAGGCTTTAAGCTCAGGTGCTGATATCAGCATGATTGGACAGTTCGGTGTCGGTTTTTACTCAGCTTTCCTCGTTGCTGACAAGGTCACTGTTATTAGTAAAAATAATGATGACCAGCAGTATGTGTGGGAATCCACAGCTGGGGGCACTTTCAACGTGGCTCTTGACGAAAATCCAAACTCTGAAAGAATCATCAGAGGAACCAAGGTCATTCTCACTCTCAAAGAAGACCAATTGGAATTCTTAGAAGAAAAGAAGCTTAAAGAGCTCGTTAAGAAACATTCACAATTCATTGATTTCCCTATTGAACTTTATGTCGAAAAAACTAATGAAAAAGAAATCACTGACAGTGAAGACGAAGAAGAAGACAAAAAGGAAGAAGGAGATAAGCCTAAAATCGAAGAAGTCACTGAAGAGGAAGAAAAAGAGAAGAAAAAGAAAAAAACCAAAAAAATAAAAGAAGTCTCTCACGAATATGAACAAGTCAACAAAACCAAGCCACTTTGGATGAGAGCTCCAGAATCCATCACAAAAGAAGAGTACGGCGCTTTTTACAAATCTTTAACCAACGATTGGGAAGACCACCTTGCCGTCAAGCATTTCACTGTTGAAGGACAGCTTGAATTCAAGGCTTTGCTATTTGTACCAAAAAGAGCTCCATTCGACCAGTTCGAAACCAAGAAAAAGAGAAATAACATCAAGCTCTACGTCAGAAGAGTTTTTATCATGGACGATTGTGACGAGCTGATCCCAGAATTCTTATCTTTCATTAAAGGTGTAGTTGATTCTGAAGATTTACCTCTCAACATCTCCAGAGAAACTCTCCAGCAAAACAAAATTTTGTCAGTCATCAAGAAGACTTTGGTCAAAAAATGCCTTGAACTTTTCAACGAAATTGCAGCTAATGAGGAAGACTACAAGAAGTTCTACGAGCAGTTCTCAAAGAATCTTAAACTCGGCATCCACGAAGACACTACAAACAGAGTTAAAATCGCTGAGCTGCTGAGATATCACACAAGCAAGTCTGGCGACGATATGATTTCCTTAAAAGAATACGTTTCCAGAATGAAGGAAGGACAAAAAGATATTTACTATATCACTGGAGAATCAAGACAGTCAGTTGCAAACTCTCCTTTCATTGAAGCACTTAAGAAGAAGAACTATGAAGTCATCTATATGGTTGACCCTATTGATGAATACGCAGTCCAACAACTCAAAGAATTCGATGGAAAGAAACTTAAGAGCATCACCAAAGAAGGTCTCGATCTCGACCAATCTGAAGAAGAAAAGAAAGCTTTCGAAGAATCCAAAGCCCAATTTGAAGGCCTCTGCAAGCTCATCAAAGATGTCTTAGGCGATAAGGTCGAAAAAGTCATGGTCGGCAGCAGAATTTCTGACTCTCCATGTGTTTTGGTCACTGGAGAATACGGCTGGACCGCTAATATGGAAAGAATCATGAAAGCTCAAGCTCTCAGAGACTCTTCCACCAGTGCTTACATGCAATCAAAGAAGACCATGGAAATCAATCCAAAACACCCTATTGTCGTTAAGCTTAAGGCTAAAAGTGACGAGGACAAGTCAGATAAAACTGTCAAAGATCTCATATGGTTACTTTATGAGACCTCACTTTTGACATCTGGATTCAGCCTTGAAGAGCCAAATGTATTTTCTAACAGAATTCACAGAATGATCAAGCTAGGATTAAGCATTGAAGATGAAGAAGGAGAAGAAGCCGCCGCCGTTGAAGAAGATTTACCACCACTTGAAGGGCCAGCTTCGAATATGGATGAAGTCGACTAAAATCATTAATCATTTCTTTAATAAAATTTGTGTTAAAAAATCGTAATATTAGCAATAAAAAATAAATATGCAAGGGTTGAGAATTGCACAAGGAGACTTTGTAGTTGAGCAAAATGGGAAGATCACAGATAACTACACATTAGGAAGTCTCCTAGGAAGAGGAGATTATTCGAGTGTAAGATTGTGCACTCATAAAGCAACAGGTCTAAAAAGAGCTGTAAAAATCCTTCCTAGGAGTAGAATGGCAAATGAAGAAATTTCTGCTTGCTTAAATGAAGTCTCTATCTTGCGAGCCCTTGATCATCCAAATATAATCAGAATCTATGAGTGCTACCAAGGTGACAAGAATTATAATCTAATCACAGAACTTTGCACAGGTGGAGAACTATATGAAAAGATTATAAGCTCTAGTCATTTTTCTGAAGCAGTTGCTGCAGGCTATATGATACAACTGCTATCTGCACTGGCGCATTGTCATGAAAGAGGTGTTGTTCATAGGCAGCTTAGACCTGAAAAATTGCTTTTAGACACTTCAGATCAGGATGCGTTTTTAAAGCTGGTCGGTTTTGAGTCAGCAAGATTTTTAAATCATGGTGACACATTATTTGAAGGAGTTGCGAAGTCTTACTACATTGCTCCAGAAGTTATAAATAGAAACTATAATGAAAAAAGCGATTTATGGAGCGCTGGAGTGATCCTTTATATACTTTTAACAGGCAGTCCTCCGTTTAGAGAAAGTAGCAGAGGTAGCGAAACGTATGAGCAGAAAATCTTAAAAGGAGAATACACTTTTCCATCCCCAGACTGGGACTCTATTAGTGCTGAAGCTAAAGACTTAATCACCAAGTTGCTTACGGTTGAAGTAGATAAAAGACTTTCAGCGAGAGAAGCATTGGAGCATCCTTGGTTTTCTAATGCAAACAGAGAGCCAATAAATTCAGAAGTGGCAAGATCGATCTTTTCCAATCTCCAAAGTTTTAGAGCTGAAAGATTGCTTGAAAAAGCAGCATATACCTTTATTGCTTCTCAACTTTCAACCAAAAGAGAAAAAGAAGAAATGATTGAAGTTTTTAAATCGCTGGATAGTGATAATAGTGGAACTTTGTCAAGAAGTGAGCTTATTGAAGGCTACCAAAGACTATTTGGAGATACAACAGAAGATGTAGAAGCTGAGGTGGATAGAATTATGCAGCAAGTAGATACTAATCAATCTGGAGAAATTGATTATTCAGAGTTTATAGCCGCAACAATTCAAAAAAGCCAACTCTTATCAAGAGAAAGACTTGAAGCTGCTTTTAAAGCTTTTGATTTAGATGGGAATGGAACTATTTCAGCTGACGAGTTAAAAACAATTTTAGGGAAAAATCAGGATTGCAATGATTCTGTGTGGCAAAGCATCATTAGTGAAGTTGATCAGAACGGCGATGGAGTCATTGATTTCGGAGAGTTCACAGAAATGATGCTTAAGCATACTAACTAAACAAACCGCTTAAAAATCTATGATGATTCTCTAATATTTTTCCTCAAATTTTAATTAAAATGGTTGGATTCTTGCTGTTTCACTTTCCAGCTATTTCTTTTGCTCTCAATACTGTAGCTTGCATTGACTATTTCTGTTCATCCTCAGAAGGTGACAACTGTATCGAAGTCTACTCAACCGAAGTTTTACTAAAATCATGCCCAGAAAATTATGTATGTGAAAGCTACTCCCAATTTAAAGATTATTCAGAAAACTGGCAAAACGTCTCTTGTGTCGCCCAGTCTTCATCAGTAGACCTTTGCTCTACCTCCACAACTGGAAATATATATACCGGACTTTACTGCTGTAAAACAACTAACTGTCATACAGGGAGCTGTATAAATGATCGATGCGTAGGTCGCTCTATTGGTTCTACATGTTCTTCCAATGAAGATTGCACCTCAGAAGCCTATTGCAAAGATTTTACCTCAACAGTCCAAGGAATTTGCACAAAAATTCAGTCAAACTCTGCTTGCTCGACAGATATCGATTGCTATGTGGGTTATGGCTGTAACCAAGGAAGCTGTACCCAGCTCTTCAGCCTTGATTATAATTCAAAAACTTCAGACAAAAAATTCTGTAAAAGCGATTATGCAACGACTGGGTACTGTGATGCTATAACTGTTTGGTCACAAGGATACCAACTTAACAGCCCTTTTGAATGCCAAATTGGGTACATGTGTGAGTATAAATCACTGATTTATGGGTCTATTTTAGATCAGCAGCTTTGTGTTTGCAGTGGAAATGGCGACGATGTAGGGTATTGTGGGTTTAATATGAATTACGAAAGAAATCATGCTGAAAATTTATATTCAGGTTTAAAATACACAAGTAGCAACTGTGCTGGGACAAATGGAAGGACAGATGATGTGAATATTATGTATCAGTGTGGAAGCATATCTAGAGATCAGTACAATTTGTGGATAGAATTAAAAAACCAGTATGATTATTGGACTCTTTACAGCTCAGGGGCAATTGATTCTTGTGCAGAAGATCTTGGATTTTTCGAGACTGGCAGCTCAACAAATTTATTATTATCCGCAGCTTTCTTACTTGCAGAAATCTTTACCTAATTATTTTAAAATTTACAAATAAAGATTGGACTTGTAAGAAGAGATTGATTTTTTCATACGCTCAATTTCGCTTTCATTACATTACATTAGAATTTATATCGCTTAACGTCCACTACGAGGTTACAACCCCAGGTTTATCACTCGCCTTTCGTCGCATCGGGCCCACCAGTCTGCTGGGGACAGACTCGCTTCGATCACCAAGGTGCTTCCAGGGCAAATGTCCACGTCTTCGACGGCTCATGAGTGAGCTACTTACCTGCACATGGGTTGCTTTTCCGAAAAACCCAAAAAATGGATTTTTCTGGTCGGCTATCGGCAAAAAGGAAAAATACAAAGCCTGGGACGTAACGCCCAGTTTCACGCTAGGGAGTTGCCCGAATGGTCCAGAGGACTTTGCTGGGCTTCCCCTTTCCAACTTTGTACCCTCCTTCCCCACGAGGAAAAATCCACCCCTGAGATTTAGACTAGGGCTAGGCTCTGAAAAGCTACCAGAATTGCTTACCTAGCATTGCCGTCCATCTCTGAAATGGTAAAACCTTGCCGGATATAATTAAAATATGAGTCGAGGCTGCATGGCCGGGAGGCCATGCCCAGACGAAGACGCCATATTTTAATTATATATGCTCAATTTCGCTTTCAATTTGTAAATTTGTGCCTTTAAGCTCGTTTAATTTTGCTAGATGGGCCTGCTTGTGCTCTAATAGTTTTGAAATTTGAGTAATAAAAGGTTTTAAGCCTTGTGCGTTTTCATCAGAGTTTTGAGAGGCTAGTTGTTCAGCTGCAGCTTGTAATTCACCTCCCCACGTTTTGATTATGTTTTCTACCTTTATTTTTCCACTATTTTTAATTTCTAACACTTTTTTTTCATATTTTGGATCACTAAGTCTGGAAACAGCATATATTCCTTTCCTTTCACTGCTCTTACTATCTATATCTGAAATGTTTTTTCATATATACTTCATCATATCTATTTGTGGAACTCTATCTAAAGCAGCTAATTTTTCCACCAATTGTTCTGAAGGGTTTTGTTTTATTTTTTTCTGTTTCAGGCTGTCAAGCTGATTTCTTAATGTTTTGTGCATAAGAGTTAATTTACTTGCATGGTCAACCCAAGCATTTTGATTTAGCGAAACCTTTCTTGCATGAGCATTGAACTCAGTCATATATTTTTTTATTAAAATTACCATCGCCTTTTTCATTCTGAGCACAGTGCTTCTTGTGGCATTATTAGGATTCAAAATATATTCATTTGCTAATGGAAAATTCGGGAGTTTTACACTCATTTCTTGCTTTAGAGAATTCGATAAAGCAGAATCTGAGACAGCTTTGAGAAGAACCCAGACTCTTTCCCCTTGGGCCATATCGAGAACAGATTTTCCTAGTAATGTGTTTTCTGGGATGACGCGGCTATCTTGTAAATCTAGTAAAAGGCGGTATGATGATTCTTTGTATTCTCTTTTCATATCAGGTGTTCGAGGTGGCCAGCAAAAAACGAATGATGACATTTGGTCTTGGGTCGTGAGCTTTGTTAACAAAAAATAGAGTATTGATTCTAGCGCTTTGGTGTTTGCTCTAATTTTATTTTACTTTCGAAATAGCTCTGGGCTGAGCTGAATTTTCATGTCTTTAGGAATATCAAACTCATCATATCCTAAAAGCTTTAGACTTGTGATAGTCAAATTCTCTATGGGTGTTAAAACATCATAATCATTTGGTTCCATTTTAAAAAGTTTACATATTAGTGCCTTATTCTTTTAGGATCAGTAGATATAGACATCTTCAGGATCCTAAATAAATTTAAACAATCTAATTAACTTTTTCTTCTTCAAATCTTTCTATTGGGGCTCTTGGCACTGGAGAAGCTATCATTAGCCTTCTATATGGGTGATCTAAATATGTTTTACTTTTATCAAACTGATGACGTAGGCGAGCCATCTTGGCACGGGTCAGCCCCGTCCAAGCCTTCTAACAACTCCTGCTTCACCGGCCTTGCTGCACGTCTCACCCGGCGCGTTGCCGTCGCCCTTGTCGCTCGACTCAGCTCCTGCGCGTGTTCCTGAGGACAAAATACCACTATTGAGTAGTTTCCTAATTCTTCTTCATCGTTACTATTAGGAATTTCAGCTTTCAAAAACGGTGGCAAAGACTGTGCAGGGGCATCATTTCCAATCACCAAAATATTGAAATAAACTCCTCTATCTTTCGACCTGAAAATATACATAATCCAAAACAAAGCTATAGTGTCACAGATTTCAGAAAAAATATCAATCCCATTTCTATACGAGCGGTCAGGAGTATAAATCAGCTGAATTCCCAACACCAAAAATACTATTGTGAATATGTTCTGTGCAAAGTAAAAATATGCCAAAATTACAAAGGCTTTGAGCATCGAAATTTTTTGCCTGACCACTGGGATTATTTGAAAGACATTTTCACTGATTAAATATCCAAGTTTTACTTGTAAAGCTTTGATGTTAATGAATGAATATTTGACAGTGAGGTAAAATAATGCAATAAGCATAGCTATCAAAACAATAACCAGCTCGTTTGGGTTAATAACGTACGCGCTATATCCTAAATATACAGCTCCCATAGTCATAGCGACTACTGTAACTTCTTGCCTGTCAAGGACATCTCTGGTTATTCCAAAACCTTTACTGATCAATATAAGTATCACAAATATAAAAGTGTTGTATAATGTATAAGCAGAAGTAGCTGCTAAGCTCCAATATGCACTTTCAGATGATCCTTCACATGAGATATAATAAAGAAAGGAGAAGAAACTGCAGAGGGTCTTGAAAATAAGCAATAGAATCATAATTCTTTGAAGGGGCTTGGTGAAGCGTTTATTTTTGGACCAAGTATTAATCATTCATCAGATTGTGAAAGACAGCCACACTACTGTAAGTGCAACAAGAAAAAACGCTATTGTTGGATTATTATCGCATCCCATTTAATAAATTATAAAATTGTACCACATTATCAGTAATTAGATTCTTTTATATAAGATCAGTTTTATTGAAATTTATAAGATTTTTAAATTTTTAGCTTGAAAATTTTCATATAAACAATTTCATGTCTTTTTGTGTATTGAAATCTAAAAAAAAAACAATTTTAAGAGTTATATGAAAAAGGTATACCAATAAAATATTTTGATTTTATTATATAAGCTGGTTTAAGCTAACAACACACTATTTATAAAAAATGGTTCAAAAAATTAAGCCTGTTCCAGCATCTCCAATTGCTTCAAAAATTGAAATTGCTACACAAACTCCAGTGGTCTTGAAGGAGCCAAACCATAAGATTACTAAAAGCACAAGGTCAGGGCTGATCTTCCCAGTTGCAAGAATTCAAAATAACATAAAAAAGGGCAGGATTGCAGACAAGGTATCTTTGAATGGATCAGTCTTTATGAGTGCTGTGCTTGAGTATCTTACTGCAGAAGTCCTAGAAATATTGCATTGCGTTAAGTGTTTAGGTGTCTAAGGGACAAAGCCAAAATGCTGACTTCACGAACATTTCTATCCAAAGTGTTGGACAATCCCAAATAAACTGCCTACAACCTGATAGGCGTCTCTCATCTGATGCGATGATGATGTCGCCTTGTCTCACTCAGTTCCTGCACGGGTTCCGCCTAAGGGTTATCCTCCTCGGATGTGCTGAGTGGCAAAACTCTGAGTCTCTTGATTGAACTGTGGAGCAGTTCCTTTCGTTATCCCTAAATTTAAACCACCTATTGCAGAGCAGAAGTTCTCTAGGCAAAATCAAGTCCCATAATTAAAAATTGCATGAAGAAGAGAAAATTAGCAGAACTAATTTCTCTCAAACCGAATGCCATTTTATTTATATACTTCCTAGAAACAGCTGGAGATAAGTGTTTGGAAAGAAATAAAGGAAAAAGAAGAATGATTCAGCCTCGAGATATTTGTCTAGCTATAAAAGATGACGACGAACTTAATCAGGTCGTAAGCAAAGATGCTGTGATTCCTGGAGGTGGAGTAATCCCTTATATTCGTGAAGAGATGAAAAATAAAAAAAAATTAAAGAAAAACAAAGCCCAAGAAGTTGTCACTTGTGAGGCGTAATTTTGAGCATAGTTATTGCTTACATTTTGAAATAATAAATAATCTGTTTAAATAATACTCTAAGATGCTGGAAAATTCAATATCTAATATGCGAAAAGTTTAGATAGTTTAGCTTTATGATGCATACTATTTTTAAAAATAACTCTAGATAGAAGTTAAGGCTGGGTATTGTAATATAAAAATCAGATAAAATTATGCTACTATAAAAGTTTCTGAATTATTATTGTGCAATTCTATGCATGAAATTTTTAAATCTGCAAGATCGGCCTATAACTCATTTTAAATTCACTTGGATTATTCACTGAAAATCCGTATCTTGATACTTTTTACCTGAACATCACTAAACTTATAAAATGGATATTACAGCAATTGAGTCACAACTCAAAGATATTGACGCCTCTATCGATGTCAGCTCCTCACTTCTCAAGCTTCAGCAGCTTCTAGGAAACCAGGAAAACGTTATCACCCTTTTAGACCAAACTCCAACAAGAATCCAGCTCAAGTCAATCTGCAAAAAGCTTCAAAAAACCTTACTCCAATCCAGCATTTACCATCTAATCCTCAGCTTAGACTCCAAATCTAAGTCAGATATTCTGGAATCCGGCAAATGCAAAGCCTTACTGGACTTAGAAGGCAATTTTATATGATGGGACGATAAATGTGCAAAGCTCTTTAAAATCGTTAATTTAGAAGCAGCAAATCTGTTTAGACTTATGGATAAACAGAGTTTAAATAGCATATACAGCAAGCATGGCAAAGCTTTGCTAAAGGGTGGGAAGCCGATTGTTATTAACTCCCCCTCCATGAGCGAGCAAAACCATTGAAAATTCTATTTTTCGCCAAAAACCTGAACAAAATAATTTTTTAATATAAAAATTTTTTATATAGTATATAAGTAATAATTATCATAATGAAATCTCTAGTTAATTCAGTTTAATTTTTTAACATCTTAATTTTTAACATCTTGCATTTTAAAACTTAAATTTTACAAATTAAATATGTTTTAGCTTTTAAATTACGATTTTTTAAATTTTGAAAAAAAAGCTTCTATAATTTATATTATATATATTAACAAAAATTAACCCCTCGATGGCGAACAAATTTTTTGTTCGCTCATGGAGGGGAGTAAGTATCGGCTTAATGATGGAATCACGCTTCTAACAAGCAGATGTACAGTAATAATAAAAAGAGCTGCTTATAATAGAAATGAGCCGACTGTTTTAATTGAAACTAGGCTTGCTAAGAGATGTTGTGTAAAAGACTTTAAACTTCCATTTACACTGAGCTCAAGCCTTATAACAAATAGTCCCGCTTTTTGCTATTATTCAGATTTGTGTGCATTTTCTCCATTTAATCCTCATCAGTTTGCACAACTTGAAAAAATTTACCCTTCCAATTATAGCAACAAGAAGCATTTAGATGAGCTTGAGTTTAGCTTTGGGGACACTCCTATGGAGAAGCTTAAGCTTTCTCCATTTTTGGTTGCAGATCCGCTAACGCTTTGCAAAAAAGCTGGAGGGCTACCTCATGTAAAAGATTTTATACTTTAAATAATATTGATTTGAAAAGGTTTTTAATAATTAGATAAATCTTGATGTCCATTTTAAATATCTCATGAAATTGATAATTTTTATTGCCAAGTCTTATACCAAATAGGACTTTATTGCTAATTTAAATATATAAATATGGATTTTCTTATATTGAAATTATAATTTTGATAAATGATTTTAAGAAAAATTTCAAAAAGGATTTTTACCTCAATTTATTCGCCCCCAAGAGACCCAAAATTTTCAAATTTGCTTAATTCAGACATGTCCTTCTTCGAATCTATACTACCCCCTCATCAAATCGTCAAAGACAATCTTGAAGGCTTCAATACAGATTTTATAGGTGTATTTATAGGGAAATCTTCGCTAGTTTTAAAGCCGAATACAGTAAACCAAGTCCAAGATATAATCACTTATTGTGCCAAACGAAAACTAGCTATATGCCCTCAAGGAGGAAATACAGGTCTTGTAGGTGGAAGTGTCCCAGTCCATGACGAAATTGTTCTGAGTTTATCCAATATGAATAAACTAGTTGAAATCAATGAATCAGAAGGAACTGTACTATGTGAAGCTGGAGTCATTCTAGAGCAGCTCAATTCTCAATGCGAAGAAAAAGGATATATTTTCCCTATCGATTTAGGAGCAAAAGGATCATGCTTTGTCGGAGGAAATGCTTCTACCTGTGCAGCAGGCAACAGATTATTAAGATATGGCTCCCTTCATGCTAACATTCTTGGCTTAGAAATTGTGACAGGAAAAGGAGAAATCTTAGACAATCTCAGCTCCTTTAGAAAAGACAATACTGGATATGACCTTAAGCACATCTTTATAGGCTCTGAAGGAACCTTAGGAGTCATAACCAAGCTTCTTATAAATCTCCCTCCAAAGCCTAAATCAGAGCAGCTTGTTTACTTAGGTGTGAATTCTTTTGAAAATGTCTTAAAAATCCTTAAAAAAAGCAAAGAAATTTTAGGTGAAATTATTTCTGCATTTGAATTCCAAGACAGATTTTCTGTAGAAGCTTCAATCCAACATATTCAAGGAGTTCATGACCCATTTGACGCTCCTTATCCTTTTTATGTTTTGATTGAGACAAGAGGGTCTAATGCTGAACATGACTCAGCGAAAATGGATTTATTATTAGAGTCTATAATTGGCAATGAGGCGGAAAACGGAATCCTTCCTCAAGATAAAAGACAGTCTAATGACTTATGAAAGCTAAGAGAAGTCATCATGGAAGCTGTTGCTAAGCCAGGGTATTGCTTTATGTATGATATTAGTTTAAAGCACGAAAATTACTATGATATTGTAGAAAAGGTAAGAAACTTAATAGGAGAAAAAGCCTTAACTGTAGGATGGGGACATGTAGGTGATGGGAATTTGCATTTAAGCATCACCGTGCCTGATCGGCATGATGTGGAGGATATCCATGGAAAATTAGAAAATTTCTTATTTTCCTATCTAAAAGAGTGCCATGGGAGTATTAGTGCGGAGCATGGAATTGGCTTGCAAAAGCGCAATAAACTGTCTATATCACGCTCCCCAGCAGAAATCCAGTTCATGAGACGCATAAAAAATGCATTTGACCCAGAAGGCATTATGAATCCATATAAACTCTTCCCAGATAATTAATAAAATGGAGCTAACTTGGAAGAACTTCGTGAAGGTTGCTGCTTGTGCTATTGTAACAATTGCGGCATACACATTTTTTACAGAGCCAGTAGGGTCGCAAAAGCCATCAGATTCCAAGCAATCTCCAAACAAGCCAGCTCAAAAGCCAAAGCCAAAGCCCAAGCCAAGAACTTCAGCCAAGCTTTCCACATCTCAAGATAAGCCTGAAGTTAAAGAAGAAGTCAAAGAAGAAGTAAAAGAGCCTGAAAAGCTTACAAAAGAGAAGTTTCTCGAAATTAATGATGAAATATACAAAAGATCTAAAGAAAACTTTGTCCAAATACAACAAAAATTCATAAATGAAAGACGCCAATTCAAAGAAGATGAAGCAAATTACAGAAAATCTGCTGAAGAATATCTAGCAAGTGAACAAAGTATAGTCGCAAAGTCCGCAGAAGAAGTTCTCATCGGAAAAAACATCAACAATGATCTTTATAAACAAGCAGAAGCAGAATTCGGCCAAGAACTTGCAGCAGTTGCCCAAAAAGCCGCTTTCCAAAAAAGTCTGTCTCAATCTGAGACTGTTCCTGAAGCTTTAACTGTTGAATTATTAAAAGAAATCTTACAAGCTCAGACTGATTTCGCTTCAACTATAACTATAGATGAACAAGATCCACTTGCAAAGATTCTTGCCCATGCAAAAATTGAAGACTATTTAGCTGAAAAATATAGCTTTGAAATGGCAGAAATCAACGCAGCCAAAGAAAGACACCAGGCTCATGTCAAGTCCTTGTGGAGGCAAGTTAATAGGAAATATCAAGCATTAAAGATTTTTTAAACTCTTTTAGGATGATTTTGGCCTTCTTCCCATGATTTTTTCAGCATTTGCAGTTCTGTTTTTAGGGACTCTTCTTTCAATTTTTGCTTCAAATGGCATTAATGCAGGTCTGACGGTGACTCCTACGCCTTTTGGAACCCATACATCAAAAGTGCTGCTGCCTCGACCACTGACTGCTACCCATCCTAATCCATGTATAACGATGTCTTTATTAGCTTTTTCTTTATCACTGCTTGGTATCTCTACTCGCGTTTTCTCAAATTCGATAGTTTCTGGGTTATCAAAAGCATTAATATTAACATTAAATATATTATTAAGAGGCCCGTCGTAATGCCTTAGGTTTCCCTCGGCCTACCTTCACCCGTTGTTGCTTCACCGGCTGCTCACCGCCAATCGATCACGATTTTTAGTGTGTTGCTCCTACTGGACGAGGATGTGCACTTGCTACCCGTAGTTGGATGAGTTAAGCCTTCAGCAGTACGTCAGCAGAGGTTGCCTATTCCGAAAATTTGAAAAACAAATTTTCTGGTAGGACTGTCGGCCAAAATGGAAATCCAAAGCCTGGGACGTAACTCCCAGTTTCATGTTAGGGACTTGCCCGATGGACCAAGTATGCATCATTGGTGCTGCTAAGCTTCCCCTTTTCAACCTTGGAAAACTATTTCCCCTGAGGCAAAAATCCTGGTATCAGAATGAGCTGCGATCGGCCAAGTTCGACGTTGCGCTCCACTGTGCCAAGGAAAAATTTAGCCAGATATATATCCCGAGCGCCAATTTTCCTTTTCACAAGGGTCCCCGGGTTCTAACAGACTCCCGGCTACAGGTGTTGAGAAAAAGGGCTGGTTCGCCGTCGCCATTTTAATGTATATGAGTTATCAAAAGCAGGGGAAAGCAAATTACCAGCTTGTCGTTTGTAGACGTCTTCAACTTTTTCAAACTTTGTTTTGTGGACTGTGCATAAATTATTTGTAAAAAATGTCATGAATTTTAAGTCTCCTTCAACCATATCAATTCTTGCCAATGCTCCGATCCAAAACGAAAACTTAGAGTGGCACACAAACACCAGAGGATGGATACGCTTGGAAGGGATCAAGTTAAAAATCGCCTCAGGATTAGTTAAATGGGAAGTCATTTGGGAAACTGTAGGAATCCCTTGTGTATCGAAAACTGTTAAAGCTAGCGACCTACATTTTACTGGAATCGGAGCTTGTGTTGTTCCTGCAAGCTTAGAAACTGTCAGGGCATCTGCAAGCAGCGGCTTTTTGTACTTTTCTTCTGGCAGATTCCAAGTCATTTTGGTCAATAAATTCAAAAATGAAGATTTCCCTGAGTTTGTAGCTCCAACCACATAAAAACTGGCATCTGGCAAAGTTTTCTTATACTTAGCCAGAAGCTTAATAACATCTTTCATTCCTTCCCCTGTCTTTGACGAAACAACACAGACGTCTGCATCCTCAATTAAATCTCCAATTTGTTGTTTTATTCATGTCTCAATTCTTTCTATCTTGTAGCTCTTAGGTAAAATATCGACCTTATTGCCAATAAGAATTAATTTTGCTTTTTTCTTTTTGGCTTCGTCGATGACTTCGGCAATGAAGCTTCCATTGAAATCGATGACATCAGTCATCATCATAATAACGCAGCCGTGCCTCATTTCTGAAAAAATCAAATTTATTACTTCTAAAGAAGTCGCATGGGTAACAGCACACAAAGTACCATCAACTTTGTTGTGCACTGAAAGATTGATGCATCTGACACATTTAATTGGCTTCAATTTAGGGGTTTGTGCATATTCGTGCATTGGAGTAGCAGTCGCAAGTGCTTCTTCGATTGCATTAATATCAGTAATCTCCATAAACTGTGGCTTTTTTGCCTCAATGCTCTCTTGGATCTGTTCTCTTTTTGACTTTTTTTCTTCTTTTTCTTCTTGTCGTGCTTTCCTTTCAATTTTTTCTCTTGTCCCTCTCAGAGTGCTCTCATTAATTTGTTTCAGCTGCTCCCTGAAGTTTCTTTTGAACTCTTTCAGCTTGAAATCTTCAGTCTCTTTCTTTTCCTTTATTATTTCTTCTAATTTTTTGTTCTGGGTAAGAATATTTTTGTATTTTGTCTCAGAAATATACCCTTGAAGCTTAGGATCTGTGTGTTGTAAAGTGATTCCGCATCCTTCGCAGTTTGCAAAGAGCCTTCTCAAGTAATTTCTAATTCGGTACATTTTGGTGTGAAAATGGTCCTATTTATAAGGAGTTTTCAAAAGCGAATTAATAAGAAAGCATAGAGGATATAGAAAGGATTGGGAATATTTAAATTAAAATTAGTTGAATTTTTATATAAAAGATGGATGATGAGACCTATTCAATTATTCTTTTTGTCATGGCTTTGCTGTACGCTATAATATTTTGCTGGTCTGTAACACGTGCAGAAAAAATGAACTCTATTATCCAAGGCTGGCGGCCTACGAAGTTCTTTTATATTGCAATTTTAGTCCAAAGCTTTGTAAGATTTTGCACTTTTGCAATTTTGACTTGGGTTTTTCCAAGGAGAAAAGTCAGCCAAACGATCCTATTTATACTTTTCTCAATCCCAGACTGCATATTCTTGGTAACCTTCACACTTCTGGTCTTGCAGATGATAAGCATATTTTATTACAGTCATAAAGAAAACGACTTGCAAATGGTTTTATTAGTAGAGTTTACACTGCCTAAGCATCACCAAGCACAAAAACTTATTGGGGCTGGTATTGTATTGTGGCTGGTCTTTCAAGGAGTGCTGTATTCATTGCTGTTTTCAGAGATACTCTATGATAAATACGTCCAGATTGAGTTAGCAATTTTAAATGTTTTAAGTGCCTCATCAGTTTTATTGTTATTGCTGTATTTGGTTATCACTTATTCAAGGACTCCTTTTGATTCAGAATCTTCCAAGTCTAATCTGATAAAAACCACTATGATTGTGCTGTTCTGGACCTTTGGAAGGTACATGAAAGGAATAATTGATCTTATGGACGGATATTCAGATTTCGATGTATTAAGCGAATTTACTAGCTCCCCTTTTAAGTCTTTTTTGCTCTTAGCCATATTTAATTATTTATTTTCTTTTTAAAATTTATATATTTTTCGGATTTAAAAATTAATGTTTTATGATGCAAGTTTAATAGATTTAGTTTAGATCTCATTATTATAATTTTTAATTTATATCAAAATATTTTATAAAAAATTATTTATTATTAAAAAATATTTTTGCCTCTAATGAGGAGTTAATTTCCCTAAATAGAGATTTTTCTTCAGCTTTATTAGCTAACTAAGGGAAGAGTAATATAAAAGATGACCGATTCGTGGCAACTGTTTTAACAGTTACCAGTTGGCTTACGAGTGAAATTTTCTGCTATGTTCTTGTATTACAATATAGATTTGTAGGGATTTTATCAAAAGATAATGATGGAAGTTCTAGCGGTATTTCGCTCCAGCCCCAGAAAAACGTAGGAGAATATTCCAACACAGAATATTTACTTGAGGAATCTACTGAAATTTCAGCTCCTACATTTAATACGATGAAAATAATGATAAAAGAAAAATTTGCATCAAGATCAAATGGGTTAGGAGAGCTTTACAAGTGTGTATATAAACGGCTGGAACTAGCATACAGGAAGATCGAGTTTCCAAGAATAAGTGCTTATGTGCTAGAAGAAGTAAATGCTGAAATCGAAGCCTTGAAACTTATGAATGCTAAATATTTTGTACCAATTTATGGATTAAATAACCTAAATCCTACACTGGGGATTGTAATGGAATATTATCCTAATGGGTCTTTATATCATGCACTTCATGAACAAAATATCGTATTCAGCCTACAAGAGTGCTTTAATATCATAAGTGCTGTAGCTCAAGGAGTAAGAGAAATCCATTCAAATAACAAAGTTCATGGGCACCTTAGCTCACATAATATTTTGTTAGACCAGCAGAATAATCCTAAAATTAGCGATTTGGGAATGGCGAAGTTTAAAAAATACGCAGGGGTGGTCAAAGGGTATTCTAATAAATCGCCTTGGAGTAGTCCTGAAATATTAAGAGATCCTTCACAGACCACTAATAAAGTTACAATTTATGATGATATATATTCATTTGGAATAATTTTGTGGGAAATTTTTTCAAATAAAATCCCTTTTGAAGGCCTTTGTTTTGAGGATTTGCAAAGAAAAATTGGCCATGAAGGATTAAAACCTGAAATCTCAGACAATTTTCCGAGTGAATTTATAAAAATCATTGAAATGTGCTGGGATATTATTCCAGAAAAAAGGCCAAAGTTTAAAGAAATATGTTTGATGCTGAAACGAGCAGTAACAACTAATAATTAATATTATAATCCTGTACTTATTTACTACGCATTTATGTAAAGATTAGGAAATTAAAGTTTGGCTAGAATGCTTTAAATACGTTTTTATATCTTAAAGAGCCAGAACATTTTAAAATGACAATGCTTGTATGTTAAATAAATTTCTCATTAAATTAATTAAGATAAATATAAACCTTCTTGCCAACATTTATGGTCACATAAATGAGTCAGATCATCTTACAGTTTAAAATGTCTACTCCTTAAGAAAATTTGAATTAAAATTAGCATAATTTCAAAGTACTTACTGAAGGCCTTAGTTTTGCTTTGGCAATTAAATTCTTACTCGCCATATTAAGAATGGATATATTTTATATATTTAAAAGAAATGTTATTATTTAAAAACTTACCGCTGCAAATAAACATTTATTTCTTTTGAAAAAAATAAAAAGTTCGATAAGCCATTAAATTCGGTTTCTTTTTATTCATTTTTAGATTTTTTTTAAAAACCTAGGAATATTTCATTTAATTAATTACAAATAATTCAATACTAAAAATCTCTTAATAAGTTATCCAGAGTTAGAAGATCTAACTGGCGAGGTTTTCTTCAATGATTTGTTATGATCAAACATTGCATCAAGAAAATCCCGAGCTGTTAAAGATTCAAACTTTTCTTTATGCCCCGAAGTTTTCAAAGGTGAAAACTCAGAATGTGTAACAAATCCCTTTGGATTTTGTTTTCGCTTTGATTCTTTAAAGTCTCCTTCTATTAGCTTTCTAATATAAATTCTCTCAACTGGGATTAAAGCAGCTATAGAATATTGAATATCAAACTCTTTTGATCCTTGCTCTTGCCGAATTGTGGATTTTGATCGTTGCTGACTATCACATCTGAATTCAAATGGTTTAGGCACCGTTGGTTTCCAACTAGAGTCAGTTGAATCAAATATCATTGATTCTTTTTCTTGAGTTATTTTGGGTTTTGATCGACTGAGTGATCTAATTTTAGATAGACTGCTTCTTGTATGCTTTGGTTTATACATAGCTATTAAATAATTCGAAACATGGAATCTTCTTAATGCTCATTTTATTGGAATGAAAAGTGAGTTAAAGAGAAATATATGCTGATTAAAAATGAGAGGCCAAATTAACATATAATAAAGCTACTAAAATAATTATTTAAAATTATATATTATTCTCAAAATAATTTTAAATATAATTTTTGAAAAATAATTTAGTCATTTCTTATTAAGTGATAAATTCGTTTTTTAAGTTATTAAATTATGTGAAAATTCAAAATTATAAGACTCTTAATCCTCTTTAACCTTTATAGCTCAGAAACCCCCTTTAGCTGAGAGAATGCTGAGAACTCTCTAGGCTCAAGTGAAAGAGATTCTCGATTTCTGGAGAGTTCTAGCTAAAAAAATAAATAACCTGAGCTGAGTCTGCATCGGGTGTGTTTGTCAACTCCCCGAGCTGGTTCGTCAACTTTGAGTTGGAGAACCTATTTAGGGTTGCTCAACATCTCCCAGCCCAAGACCATCTAAAGAGGTTCCTGGGCTATATCTAGCGAGTTGTATAAAAATTTTGAGATAAAATTAATAATTGTGATAATGAGATCTCCATCTAATTATACTAAAATTTTAGACAGCCTGCATTATGAAACTTAATCTTATTAAATTAGACTAGATTTCTCTTCTCAAATTTTGATGTTTTTTTAAAATAAGGAAATTAAAACCCTTCCATTGCAAGCAAAATAATCTTGTTCATAGTCAAAGAGTTATTAAATTAAATTAAATTAAGCCACTGGATAAAGTGGCATCATATTAATACCACAAATTCCATATCCAGATGAAACCTTAATTCTGATATACCCACTTTCTCCCCACCAGGTTCCCCATGAGTTTCTAACAATCCAGTAATTAGGATTATTAGCAATGTTATACCCCACAATATTTACCGCATGGTTCAAAGAGGTGCCGCAACTTCCTGTTACAATCCCTCCTTTATAATATGTCCATGCAGCCTGGTCCGCTTGCACAGCAACACTGACTGGTCTAATTGACACAGCATTCAATAAAGCTTGGTAATCATTCGCTTGTACGAAGTACGCATTCTTTATCCTTGCAGCTGGCTGACTCTCAAGTGATGTATTGCATGACCCTTGAGCAGCCTTATAAGGATATGCTGCTCCAGTTGTAAGTCCTTTTTGAACTACATAAGGATAAGAATACACAATATTTCCCCCATAGCAGCCATAGTTACCCCAAGGTCCAGCACAGTCGACCATCTGCTGCTCAGAAAGAGAAATTAATGGATGACCTGATATGAACCATATGCTTTCTACGCCAGAAGCAGTAGAAAAGGCCCAGCAGCTTCCACATGACCCTTGATTTTTTATTGGAGTTACTGCTCCTTTAGCTCTCCAGTCAACAGAGGATGGGATTTCTAATAAAGGGTCGAATGGCTCTATCTCTTCTGGCTTGAGTGTGGGGACTTCATAGCTATTTGATAGATAGACTTGGCCGAATTCTTCAAACGACATGTCAGCAAATTGGTTTACCCCTAAAGTCCAGTCTCTCCCGAGCATATTGTGGACTCGGATAAAGGCAGTGTTTTCACGGAAGTTTTTGAAACGAATAAGGTACTCGTTGTGGGAACTGTAAGATTTCCCGTAGTCTTCCATGTATTTTTGGAACTCTTGCTCTTCTAATGTGTATTGGTAGAGAGCAAGCTGAGAAGAAGGGGTGTTGAGTAAACAAACAGTTCCTATGATACCAATAAGAGTAGTTAAACTTAAGGCAAGAAGCACTTTACGCTTTTTGGTAGTAGTGTGCTATATATTAAAATGGGCGATGGCGAACCAGCCCTTTTTCTCAACACCTGTAGCCGCGAGCTCGAAAGGCAGCGGGGACCTTTTGGAAGGGAAATTGGCGCTCGTTGAAGTATATCCGGCTAGGTTTTTACTTGGCGCAGTCGAGCGCAACGTCGGAATAGGCCGGCCGCAGCTCACTCTAGTACCAGGTTTTTTACCTCAGAGGAAGATGGTGTTCAAGGTTGTAAATGGGAAGCTCAGCAAAGCCAAGCACTCTACTTGGTCCATCGGGCTACTCCTTACTCCCCCCCTCCGTGAGTGAACAAAAACCCTTAGAAAAATCCCTATTTTTTGCCCAAAAGCCCACCTCCCGTGAGTGAACAAAAATTTTTTTTATAGAAAAATTTTTTATGGAAAAAAGTTTTAATATATATAAATGATAATTAGTATAATGAAATATAGAGCTAATTCTGTTTAATTTTAAACGAATTGCTTTTTAAAACATAAATTTTGCAAATTGAATTAATATTTGCTTTCCAATTTTTGCGAATTAGGATTTTTTTAAATTTCGAAAAAAATACTTTTTATAAAATTTATATATATAAATTTTTTTTTAAAAAAAAAAATTACCCCGCTCCGCGAGTGAACAAAATTTTTTTGTTCACTCACAGAGGGGGGGGAGTTAGCATGAAACTGGACGTTACGTCCCAGGCTTTGGATTTCCTACCAAAAAATTCATTTTGAATTTTCGGAATGGGCCAACTCTGTTGACGTACTGCGAGCTGGCGCAACTCATCCAACTACGGGTAGTGAGTGCACATCCTCGTCCTGTAGGAGCAACTTTTTGAAGGTCGTGCTGCGATGTGAGCAACCGAGAGAAGCGTTAAGGGGTGAAGGTAATCCTTCGGGAATTGCGGCAGAGTTTAATATAAGTTAATTAAGTGTAAGTGTAAGGTAGTAGTCTGCTCACGATCAGCAAGATAAAAACTGTCCATTTTTTATTTATTAATTAGATCAGAATTAATGAAAATTTGTAATTTATTAATAAAAAATGATTAATTAATACTGAAGGGAGCTAGCTAGAATATGGAAATTATTTCTGAAATAACCTTCAAAATTTTGCGCTTACAACGCAAAATGCATGAGTTATTAGCAGTTAAATAATATTTGTCTATTAAAGTAAACTTATTAATAAATATAATAATCCTGATTTATAATCAGAAATAGGTTTTTCTGATTTTTACTATATATGATAACAGAAAATCAGAAATTTATTTACATCTAAAATTTGGCAATATCAATTATTAACTCCCCCCCCCCCTCCGTGAGCGAACAAAAAAATTTTTGTTCGCTCACGGAGGGGGGTTAATTTTTTTTTTTTAAAAAAAATTTATATATAAATTTTATAAAAAAAAATTTTTTTTCGAAATTTAAAAAAATCCTAATTTGCAAAAATTGGGAAGCAAATATTAATTTAATTTGCAAAATTTATGTTTTAAAACGCAATTTGTTTAAAATTAAACAGAATTAGCTCTAGATTTCATTATATACTAATTATCACTTATATATCAAAATTTTTTTTCCCATTAAAATTTTTTCTATTAAAAAAAATTTTTGTTCACTCACGGAGGGTGGGTTTTTGGTCAAAAAATGGCGATTTTTCTAATGGTTTTTGTTCGCTCACGGAGGGGGGGGGGGGGGAGTAAGCAATGCTATATTATTTTAATTAAGCAGCAATAGAATGTTATGTCTTCTCATACCAAAAATTAGCTGTTTACTGGCTAGGTTAAATAAAAATAAAACTTCTTTTTATTTAAAAAAACCTTCACATTAATTTTCAAATAAAATTAAATTCGCAAATTTCAATATGACAAAATGATGTATTATACTATAGAGAATAAATGGTAAATTTCTAAATAGTTGAGTAAAAGGCAATTTGATTATGAGCAAGAGGACGACCCATATTTTATTCATCAATCGAAAATTCCTAACATCCCCCAAGGGGAAATCATAGACAATAAGCCGAATGAGCGTGATTCCAGTTCTAGCACAGTAGCTACAAAATCTACTCATAACTCTACTGACTCCATCAACTTCCATCAAGAACCGAGCAGGCCTACTGCAATCGCCCATTATGGTGACACCTCCACTTCTCCTCAATCCAAAGGAAAATTCGAGCCTATGAACATTTTAGAGAAAAATGACAAAAAAGGCATGCAAAAGCACCTGGGCAACTACGATGGTGGTGAAGAAGATAGAATCGGCCAAGAGAGTTGCAAAAACAAGTGTGTAACGTTTTAATCTCTTATTCAATTAATTTTAAATCGATTTTAGCTCTTTAATCTGTATTTTCAGACGATTTAAGAACTCATTCGACAATTTTGGTTTAATTTTTTGGCTATCTTGAACAGCATTAAATTCAAGTCTTTTTTCGAATTCTTCAACTTCTCTATCAAGAGAGTCTGAATTAACTTCATCTTCCCTCATAGGCGAAGTTGTAGCTGTTGAAGCTTTACTTTTCTGCTTTTTTTTCGAAGCTTTAGGAGAAGTGTGTGGTTTTCCTTCAATATAAGAGACTAGCTCGTCAAGAGATAAGTTGTGGAGAGGCTCGCCTCTGATTTCTTCATCAGAGTCAGTAGCTGAATCTTCAGAAGAGTTTTGAAAATTAGTGTCGAAGGGCAATGGCTTCGTCAAAGGTGCTGGAGGGTTGGTAATCACTGCAGATGCGTATTTCAGCTCTTTTTCCATCTTCGTGATAATTTGAACAGCATAGTGTCGAGGGTCTTGAGTTTTTACGTATTCGATCAGGCCAAGATTATTTTTTATAAGTTTATCATAAAAGACAAGCTTATTGACAGCATCAAATGACGTCTTCTGAGCAGCAAACATACAGCTCACAATTTTACCAATTTGTGTAGCTGCGTTTTGCAACGTATGATAAGCTTCACCAATGCAAATGGCCTGCAGCATTTTGCTTTTCCCTTTGAGCTCGAAGATTTGGTCATTCAAGGAGTCAATAAACAGATGAACCCCTTCAAAAAGAGCAGAATTAAGCTCGCTTCTAGAGGTTTCTGAGTAGATTAATTGTTTTAGTTCGTACCTCAGCTTTTTGCTGAATACCCGGTCAACAACTAAATTGTAAGTTTGGCGCTTCTCTAAAGGATTTTTAGAGCAAAGACGTTTATTTTTGCAGGAAACATAGTCATTCAGAAATTCAGTGTAAATTTGTCGAATAGAATCCATTACTTCTTCTCTCAAGTCATCAGCATTCTCTGGAATCATATCTGTAGAGCTTTCTGGGGGGTTTTCTGAGACTCTGAGTACTGAAAAATCTTTGGGGGAGTCTGAATTTGGTGATCCGTCTTCAAGTGTCTGTGAAACTTTTGATACTGTTGAAGTACCTTTTAGCTTTCGCTTATTATTTTTCTTGCCCATTTTTATTACATTTTAGATTATTCAGGAACATCCTTATGAATCCTTACCAGATGGATTTTTCTTATCCAAATAAATTCAAAAAAATCTGACTATTTAAAGACTAACACGTATAAAAATGGTAAAATATCATGAAAAGCTATTACTGCACCTAGTCAAGTCTGGGAAGATTCCTAATCACATTGCGTTTATAATGGACGGAAACAGAAGATGAGCACTCAACTCGGGAATGAACAAAATCGAAGGGCATCAATTTGGGCTTGAAAAACTTCTTGAGGTTTTAGAGTGATGTATGGAGCTAGAAATCAGAATAATTACAGTCTTTGCGTTTTCAACTGACAATTTTAATAGAAGTACTGAAGAAGTTAACGAGCTTATGAGGCTGTTTTCATTAAGTTGTGAAAAAATTACAGAAAAATCTAGTGTAGTTATGCAAAAAGGAATTAAAGTTAAAGTTTGTGGAGATCTAACTGGGTTTCCAAAAGAGCAAAAAGATGCATTAGAAAAAATTCAAAAAGAAACGAGCCATAACTCGCTCTGCAAATTAAATATTTGCTTGGGGTATGGAGGAATGGAAGAAGTAGCTCAGGCTATGGAAAAAGTTGCTTTAAAAGTTAGTGAAAATGCTGTTAAAGCTGATGATATTACAAGAGAAATGATTGAGCAAGAGCTGTACATCCCAGAACCTGTAGACCTGATGGTAAGGACTGGAGAATCGAGGCTCAGCAACTTTTTGCTATACCAATGCTGTGAAACTACAAAGTTTATAATGCTAACCAGCATATACTGGCCTAGCCTCAAAGTTTGGCATTTAATTTGGATGATTTTTAAATATCAATACATTTTATAATATAAATGGCTAAAGAAGCTTTAATTGCGTTTTTGCTATCTGCTTTAGCGCTGACTTACATCTCATTTTATATATTCTATTATATCAGACCCCCAAGAACAAGTTTATCAGGAGATGTAATAAATAGCTTAGGCAAACTTGATATCAATAAAGAATGAAAATGACACAGATGAATATCGCATTCCTAACTGCACTACTGAATATTGCTCATGAAATGTATTTATTTCAAATCAGCAGTTCAAATTGAATCATTCTAATTTTAATCAATTAATTGAATCTGCAGATGAACAACTAGCAACATTTTTAGACCCAAATGACCCTCCCTTGAAATGTATGCCAGAAAAATTTGGGTATAGCCGTAAGGACGCAATTAATATATTTCCAGACATTCCTTGGCCTACTTGCGCAGATAAAATAAAAGTTCATAAAAAAATAATTGATATTGATCCATTCACAAATAAGCTTACCATGGATTGTGACAAAGAAGAAGGGATTTACTATTTGGGAATTGATCCAAATGATGAAAGACTTGGATATGAAAAATTCGAAGGGTCTGTGAAAGAATATCACGGAAAGCCAGTAGAGCTAAAAAATAATGAGGAATGGGCATTTGGGTCTTGTGACACAACTAAAAAAACTATGCTAGAAGGCGCAGTTTATTCTCATAGACCAAATGCTACATCTATAAAAAGAACAAAAGAAAAAATGAAAGAAATGCAAGAAAGAGCTAAAGAAAAATACAACTCTCGCACCACAAAACCATTAACTGTATTAATGCTTGTTTTTGACTCATTATCGAGGAGGCACTTTTACCGCAAACTTCCACACACTCAAGAATTTTTAAATAATATCGACTCAAACAAATTCAGTGTTTTTGATTTTAAAATCCACAATGTAATGGGTGATAACTCTCTTCCTAACGTATATACCATTTTACAATTAATATAAGCTAGCCTTTGCTATATTTTTATTTACTAAATGAAATAAAAAATAATCTTAATATTTATTGTATGGAATATCCTGTATGAACCGGAAAAACCTTAATTGATTTATCAAGACAAGAAAAATACGAAAATAAAGTCCAAATGAAAGATCTTATTGGGCCTGACGCTTTTTGGTATTACTTAAAAGAAAAAGGCTGGATGACTTTATTCAGCACAGAATTTTGTGATGATTATTTTTCATTTAAAACAGGACGAAAAATAGACGCAGATCATGTAATGGCGATGTTTTGGTGTGCCGCAGAAAGATTTTCTGGGTTTGATGACCTTGGACAGACTCAAAGATGTATAGGGAACCAAAATTCCCATTACCACAATTTAAATTATACATATCAATTTGTCCATAATTATCAAGGTCTTAATAAGTGGGCCCACATTATGAGTCTTCCTGGGCATGAAGACTCAGGGACTGTTATATCAACTTTAGATGATGATTTAGTCGAAATTTTAGGAAAACTGCTAGAAGAAAAGGACGAAACTGTTATATTCCTTATGGCAGATCATGGAATGAGATATGGAGACTGGTATAAGCTGCTTGAAGGGTCAATTGAGCACAAATTGCCTATGCTGTTTATGATTGCTTCTAACTCTTTGTTAGATGACATTAAAAACAGCTATGACTCGCTTTACCACAACTCATTTAGGCTCATTTCTAAATTTGACCTTCATAAATCGCTGAAGCATTTAGCTCATCTTCCTTATTATAGAGGTTACACAAAAACATCAGAAGACTATCTATCTTGGGAAGCAGACAGTAATAAATCAATGAGCTTATTTTTAGATAAAGTGCCTAATGACAGAAGTTGTGCTGATATTCATATTGAGCCATTTTTCTGCTCATGTTTATCCTTTGAAAAAATTGAGCCTGATGTATATGACAGCAGCGCAGAGCTTTCAGTAAAAAATAAAAAAATCCGAAGACTGCTTATAGATATCGCAAATTACGTAATAATTTTGGTAAATGAAGAGTCCACAACTTCATTTAAATCCCATAGTTTTCACATATGCCAAAGAGTGACTTTTAAACAAATAGAATCAGTTGAATGGCTGAAGCTTGACAATAATAAGCATTTCTATAAAATTGTCATAACAATTAACGAAAATCCAGCTGTGAGGTTTGAAAGTGTAGCAATGGTGACTTCTGAGTATGTCACTGAAAGACGCCTAATTGAAGGGTTTTTATTCCAAAAAGTCTATTTAAACGGGAAAAGGACTTTAAGAATGATCTATATCAGAAGACAAGACGTTTATGGAGGACTATGTGAAGAGATGTGCAAAATCAAGCAAATCCAGCCATCATTATGCATATGCCATAAGCTTGATACAATAAAATACAACGAGCCTAGCCTAGTCGATACACTAGCAAAACCATACACAAATTATGAAGGCTTAGCTGGAGAAAGCTGTACAGAAACATGTTCTAAAGTTGGAAAACTTTGTGATCCAATTGGAATTAATTTATTAAACACCTGCAGTGAAGCTATGAGACTATTAAATTGTAAAAGCTGCTTGGAATCAGAAGAAAGCTCACTGCCAGCCAAGCAGGATGGGGTCTGCTATTTATATAAAGGAACAAGATTTTCATGTGCTGCCAAAAGTTCACTTTTAAACAGAGCATGTGCTTGCAAACACAATTAATAAATTAATATTAGAATATATTATCAATTGAATTTTGTGTTCTTTTATGAGGAGAAATCCTGCTTTTTGAAGGGGAAAGGTCTGTAGATGCTCGTATTTTTTCAATAGGGCTTAGTTTGCTTCTGAAGTTTTCTAGAAATGGGAGCTTGGCTTTGTCTAAGCTTGAGGTTTGGATTTGCTCCAAGGCTCTTTGCATTGAGGAGGTCATCTGCTCTCTTTGGACTTTGTCAAGGCTGCCTAGGCTAAATAGATTTTTTTGAATTAATCCAATTTGGGCTGAGGATAGTTTGATAAGTTTGTGGAGAGTTTTTATGCTTTCGTTTACATCTAGAATGTCCTGACAAGTGGCTTTTGATTCCAAGCAGCTGTGGAATTCAAGTTTATCAGTTTTATTGGATAGTTTTCCTTGAATATCTAAAGTAAGTTCCTTTAAAAACTCATAACGGCTAGTTAAATCAGCAATATCTTTATGCCTTTCGCTTATATCAGCAATTTCCAAATTAAAATGTTGAAAATTTGACTCGAAAGTTCCACATTTCTCTGTAAGTGATTTAATTTTTTCAATGATCCCATTGAAATCTACATTTACTAAAGACTGAGATGATATAGCTTCAAGCCTATTTCTGATTTCTTTTACTTCAAACTTAGAAGCCTTCTCTAGAAACGCTTCATCAAATTTTAGTAGAGCATGCTCAAATTCACTTTGAGCTTTATTTATCTTTGATAACTCTTTTTGCAGGCCTAAAATTTTGATATTGAGTTCGCTAGTTCCTTTTGTCAAATCATATTTTGAAAATTTTTCTGCAAGCTCTTCTTTAATTCTCTCAACTTGCTCACTTGTTGCTTTTTCAGCAAGCTCTTTTTTATTTAAATAAATAAGATCTTTAGTCTGTCCTTTATAAAAATTCAATCTTGAATCTAATTCAGAAACATAGGTTTCAATGTCACCGATTCTTTTTTTCATCTTGGCATTTGTATTAGAGTTGCTCTCATTTGTGCAATACTTTTCAAGCTCATTTTTAAATTTAAACTCAACTGCATCAATTTTTTGAAAGATTTGGGCTTTATTTAAATACTCAACTTCTAAATTTTCCTTTAGCTTATAAAATTCATTTTTCAAAACTTTAAAATCATTGTTATTCACTAAGTTCTTCATATTTTCAGATAAAATTGCTGCATACTCTTTTGTGCAGAATTTCGAGAAGTCAGAGTGAATATTTTCAATATCACTTAAATCTGATTTATTTTCCATTCCTTTCTTAACGTCAACAATTGCAGCTCCCAAAGTTTGAAGCTCGCGATAACAAGCTGCAATATTTTCTTGAGCTGCTTTTAAATCATACTTTGTTTGCTTTCTTGTTTCAAAGTCTTCTCTATAAACTTTTTTTCTCATATAATCAATTTCGTTTGATTCCATGTCATTTGACATTACTTGACTTTGCCGTACCACCTCGATTATATACTCTCTAAATGCCTCTCCGAATAATTCTGTTGCAAAATTATCTAACTTATGCTCAAGTGCCTCTATTCTATTTTCCATATAATTAATAATCGAAACTTATACTTTATTAGGCTGATTTAATGCTGTTCACTTACGAATTAGCTTACTCCCCCCTTCATGAGCAAACAAAATCATTGGAAAAATCCCTATTTTTTGCCCAAAAACCCACCCTCCGTGAGCGAACAAAAATTTTTTAATTTAAAAAAATTTTAAATTTATTTATAAGTGATTTTTTGTGGATTTTTTAAATTTCGAAAAAAAAAAAATTTAATATAAAATTATATTATAAAAATTTTTTAAACAAAAATTAACGCTAATCCGCAAGCGAACAAAATTTTTTGTTCGCTCACGAAGGGGGAGTTAGCATTATAAATTAAACGATTAAAATAGCTATAAGCGGGCAACCCACTAGCCTTTGCCTCGTTTCGGCTCCAAAATAGCCTTCTCCCTCGCCCCACGAGACAAAAGAGGGAAAGAAAGGCTGCCATCTTGAATTTCCGACCTGAGCCACTTGTCCAAGGGATTAATTGCCTAGGGCATGAGCCACTATCTGTAGAGTCCCCCGATGGTACCAACAAGGGAAGGCCTTGTGGTAGGAAAAACCTGCCTAGCTCTTTTGACAGGGACAGGAAAACCTTCGAGAGAAACAAATCTTCCCTCTTCGTCAAGGAATCCCCAGACCTGAAGGTACTTCAAAAGGAACGGATACCCTGCTTTCAGCTTCATCAAAATGCCCAAACTGCTCCATAGAATTGCGTCTCGGAGTCCAATTTCAGTTAGCGTCACCATTTTTTTCTTTAGCATTTATAAGGATAAGAATTAATAAAATAGAGAATAAAACTCAATACCTTAGACTAATTTATTCCTCTTCGCTAGTCCAAATAGTCAAGTTGTCCTTAATCAGCCCCAAAATTGAAGTAGCCTCTTTATAAGCCCTTTCGTCAAGTTCTTCCAAAGTAGGCAGAGCCTCATCAAAAGTTTTCTTGGCAAGGTTGATAGCTTTTTCTTGCTCCTTCATAGCTTCATAATAGAAAACTGAAAAATTGAGTGCAAGTCCGAGTCTGACTGGATTATTTGCTGGAAGGCTTGCAGCAGCTGCAGAAGCCCTTTCATAAGCTGAATGGCTGTTTTGAACAGCTGATTCGTCGCCAGATTCAGCTAAATATCTATATTTAATTATTAATAGCTATTTCGCCATCCTTTCGCAAAGCAAGACTATTTATAAATAAATATTAAAAATGTTTTTTAGTTCTTGAATCAGTTTTGCCAATTTATTTTATATTAAATATCTATAGTAATCTCCTTTCATTTTCAAATAGAAGACTTCGACTTCGTCTGATTCTTTCCTCGCAATAAGTTTTTCTTCAATGAGGTGACAGACCTCAAGACAAAGGTCATGAAGCTCTTTTATGACTCTTTGCCTGTATTCTTCAACGACGTCCGACACAATTAAAATGGCAAGCCATCCGACCCGTCCTTCTCCTGTACCCTCAGGGACTACGGGGTTAAGAAGTAAACGGGGCCTGGATATTGTGTCCATGGTGTTTTTTTTTTTACCTTGGTCGGGACACCACGACAAGGTTTTTTACCTCTCACAAAGACAAGAAGACCAGAGCCGCATAATCAGGAGTCAAACTTCAGGACTAGAAGGAAAGTGAGGAAGCTTGTAGTGGAGCTTAGGGGACCTGAAGGAGATTCCGGGAGGCTACTTTTCACCCTCCCCAGAAAGGACGGCGCCGGGTCACTAGACCCTGATCAAGGAGTACTTGGGTGAGTCTCCCTGTTAGATGGCGACGTCACCATTTTTTGGTGACGTCGACAGAAAATGGAGTGAGCTACAGAGCCGGTGCATAGGGCGCAAGCCTGAAGCTGGCAGCGCTGGGTAGAGGCTGAAATAAACCTCCATGACCCACTAAACTAATTAATCTAATCTAATCTAATCAACGACGTCCATATGGTCAGAACCGCGAGAGCTGAGCTTTTCTTTATATGAGTTTAAAATGCGAAGTGCATTTCGGCGCTCACCTACAGCTTGCTTGTAAGCGACGCTGAAAAGGGTACGTTCTTCGTTGTTAAGGGCACCACCAGTTTCATCGATAAGCTGCTTAGTGGAGGCTATCATGTCTGCATAGCGCTCTGCATGCTCAGCAAGCTTGGCATTGTACACAATTTCTTCTCTTGACATTTTTTAGTGTATAAATCAATTTATACCTATGAATTTATGCGCGTAAAAAGGGTTTTTGGTTTAGGAAAGAAAACAGGCATAATATGAATTAATAGAAAATAAATGCATAATTTGCCTAGCTTAATAATTTCTGTTGGAGTTTAAAAAAAAATCATAATTTTTGTTGGATTTGATACTTAGGAAGCTTGAAACTGGTGATATATTGGTATATGACTATTTAATTTAATTTCAAAACATTTCGTTATTTTAAATAAGATGGGCGATTTATATGGCCTTTTGCAGGAACTTCAAATTGAAAAAACCCTTATAACTCAAGATGACATGAAAATCCTCTTGCACGGGATTCCAGTCAGCGAAAGTGAAGACGACTTAAGTGATCATAGCTCGATCCGATTTACACCTGAGCCAAGAGATCTACAAGGTGTGCCACACCACCGAGCAGCTGAAATAAGGCACCTTTGCCAAGACTACGAAAAACAAATTAGAGACTTAAAGCTTCACATCAGAGAGCTTAATCGAGAAAAAGACCATCTAGAAGAAACATCAGAAGTTCAGCGGGTAAACTTCAGAAAAGAACTACAGGTTCAAATTGATGTAAAAAATGCAGAGATTGAGTCTTTAAAAAATGAAAACAGGAAATTAATTTTAGAAGCTCCAATAATAAAAGAAAGAAGTGATCTCCTTAAAGACCAACTTAAAGAGTTAGTTGTGTCTGAAGAGCATTATTATGAGCTTAAAAGAATCCCTGAAGGAGAAAGGAGCTTAAGAGACTGAATTTTCGTCAAAGTTTATGATCTAGTTGACGGATACAGAGGAAACTATGATAGAATCAGAAAAGAAGTCGAGTCCTTGAGGGCTGAAAACACAATTTTGTCAGAAAAAAAGCAAAGACTTGAAAAAGACCTTGCGCATACTGAAGCCCATACGGGGAGTTATGTAAAAGATTTAGAAAGAAAGTATGCTGAAATTACTGCAGAAAATAAAAGAATACATACTGTTGTGGACCAAGTAAAAAAACTAGCAGATGAAAATGGAGATAAAGCAATCAGATTTGATGAAATATCTAGAGAACTCAAGAAAACAATGGAGGAAAGAGCAAGACTTACAAATCAAGTGGAAGCCCAAATAACACAAATAAGGCAGCTAACAGAAGATCGAGAAGAAGCTAAAGCTTTGCTAGATGGAAGAAACAAAGAATTTGAGCTGCTAACAAAAGATAAATCATATTTGACTAACTCACTTCCTCTCCTGGAAAAATCTCCTTGTTTCACCCTTGTGAACAAAATAATTGTTTTATATAATTTTTTTTATGACAAATTTTTTGATATATAATGATAATTATTATAATGAATCTCTAGCTAAATCAGTTAAATTTTAAGCAACCCCAGTTTAAAAGATAAATTTTGCAAATTATCTTAATATTTAAGGATTTTTTTAAATTTTGAAAAAAATTGTTAATATAAAATTTATATATAAATTTTACCCTTTAGTGAATCGAATTTTTTGTTCGCTCATGGAGAGGAGATTAAGCAAAACACTCAGCTTCAGGATAAAATCCAAAGACTTGAGGACAGAAATGATCGCCTCGAAGTCGAAATCGTAGAAGCTAAAAATGCTGCTCAAAACTATTTAAATCGGCTACTAGATGCCAAAAATGAAAAAAGCAGCGATTTTGAAGAAAGATTTCGAAAAGAGCTCCAAAACATGAGGGACAGGCATGAAAAAGAAGTTGACGACCTTAAAACCAATTTAAATGAAGTTCACACTAAAAGAGTCGAGTATCTTAAAGAAGCTAAAGAAGAGGCCGAATTAAAATTGTCGCGGCTTGAGCAGGACTATAAAGATAAATGTGATGCATATGATGCTATTATGATTGAGTTTAGAAACATGCAAAAAAAGCTGGAAGAACAGCTGCAAGAGCTAAGAAGTGAGCTACGGCTAAAAACTGATAACTTAGAAAGGACTCACAATGTCTATGAAGATACAATAAAAGCTTTAAGACATTCTAAAGCAGAAAATGAGATGCTCAAAGAAAAAGTTGACGTTCTAAGGCAAGAGTTTTATAAAGCTGAAACTAAGTGCACCCAGGAAAACGCTGAATTAAAAGCTGAGCTTGCAGTTGCTCGAGAAAATTTACACCAATATGCTCTAATTGAACAAGAGCTGGATGATGCTATTAGAAATCAAGATGTAGAAGGATTTCAAGCTCCAACCACAGCTAAAAGAAGGATTAAACAAAGTTTAGAGCTTGCAAAGCAGCTAAAAGAAAAGCAAGTACTATTAGAAGCTGTAAGAGGAGAAAATGCAAAACTTCAAAGCGAATTTGAAAGGCTAGAGTCCGAATTAGATTTAGCCAAAAGGCTTTTAAACCAAACTGAGCAGCCTTATGCTTATCTAATTAGCCAAATTGAAGGGAAAGAAAAAGAAGTTTCAGATTTAAAGAGACAATTAACAAAAGCTCAACAAAAGCATTCAGAACTTGGAGCAGAATATGATATTTTAGTGAGGAGAAATGAAGAGCTTGAAAATGATATCAAGCAAATTTTAACAAAAAGAGATGCAATCGAATCCTTGAAAGGAATGCTGTCTCAGCTTGTTGAAGATGGAAAAGAGACAGAAATAAAAACGAAGCTCAGAGAAACTGCTAGTTCTAAGACTGCACAGGCAAACCAAAATACTCCAGGCTGGTTTACAACACTGAAAAAAAAACTAGCTCTGTCTTTCAATTGGAACAAAAATCCTGTTCCAATTAAAGGTTGTTTTTTAAAAAAAAATTTAAATTTTTTCGATAAAAATTCTTTAAAGTTTTAAAAAATAAAAAATGAAGAAAAAAATTTATTGATTCAGTGTGAAAACTGTTTCATCTTAAACTTTTTCTAAAAAACATCTTAAAAAGATATAAATTTGAATTTTAATTTATTTTTTGAAGTATTAACTCAAAAAATAATAAAATCAGTGTAAAAAACTGCTTAAATAATAATATTAAATTTTATATAAAAATTAGTATTTTCATAGATAAAATTTCCCTATTGGAGAAAAACAAACTTTGTTCCTATTTAAAGGGGTTTTAAAGTACCTAAAAAATGGAAATTTTTATATATTTTTTTTCCCAATTTAGAGTAAATAAATAAGCTATTTTATTAAATTTTTTTAAGTTTTATATAATAAGCCATAACTTATAGAAAAATGCTTTTATCAATCATTATTTATTGAAAAACGTTTTTATTAGCCATGATTTATTGAAAAATATTTATATCAGTTATGATTTATTGAAAAATATGTTTATCAATCATGACTTATTGAAAAATATTTAATAACAAAAAATAATAAAGATGAAATAAAAAAATGAATACGAAAGTCTCAATAATAATTTAAATTAAATTCTATGAGAAACTTAATTGTGCTATGTTATAAAAAATTATAGTTCCATAAAAATTGACTTATTCTCCTCTTATTTTAACAAAATAATCACTTTCAGCTAAAGGGGTTTTAGAAAAATTGATTTATATGAAATTTTTCATACTAAAACATATAGATATAATTTTCAAATTTTCCTATAAAATTTTATTTAATTGAACTCCCTTCTTTAAAACTATTAAAATTTAGATTATTGTAAAAAAAATACACATTTAAAACTTTAATTTTTCAAAAATATAAATTTTACCGATACATTGTTCTATTTAATGAGAGGAGTTATTAGTGTGTGCACACTCTTCAAACGTTTTTTCTGTAAAATGGCAATGGCACATGATTTAAATAGCGAGGCCGGATTTGAACTTAACAGTCCCCATAACAATCGGATTTTGTTATCAAATAAGATAGTTCCAGCTTCCAACGCATTAAATCTGTCTTCTATGAGCGTTAAACTGAGTGTTGACAATAATGACTCATCATGCAGAATATGTATGGAACATGAAACACCGAAGTATCCCTTGGTTTCTCCTTGCCTATGCTCAGGCTCAGTGAAATACATTCATGAAGAATGTCTTAAAACATGATTGGTGGCACAAGACAAGATTAAGACTAAAAGGCTTAAAGTCTCCCAGGTTTGATGCCTCAGCACGCTTTCGACAGCCGACAACTGCTTGTCGGGGTGTCGATTAGCTACTTGTAGAACTTCTGTCTTCTCTCGGAACTGGGCTTGCACAGTCTACCCTGAGTCTTGACGGATTAGGAAGACTCCCGTGCTTCACTTCATTAGGGTGCTTTGGAAGTAAAGGTTAGCACGATACCTCCTGTCGGCCACCTTTGGAGAGGTGACACCAGGAAAAAAGACTACGGCCATCTGGAGCCAGGTGTAAAGACCTGTAGTCAAAAACCATCCGGATAATCAATACTTCGGATTGGAATGCCACCAGCTTACTTCCAAGAACTACCTACCCCATACGGCACGCTCTAGGCAATTCTAAGAGTCAGAATTAAAGGGTTTCTGCCTTGGTTTTGGCTATAAACCCATTTTGGCGCCCGGTATGGTGCGATCTCCGTAAGGACATATTTCGTTACTACCATATTAATTATATGCACAATGCAAGGATCTTGCAGAAAGTGCTTGCGAGATATGCAAAGCCAAGTATAAAATGACGTTCAAAATATCAAGCCAATGCTCGCCTAAGCATAGCTTAAAACAAGGTTTCACTCATTTTCTTTTTATTCCCCTTTTATCTGCAGTAATAGTAATGCTTTTTGTAATTATCTATTTGCTTATAGACAAGTATAGATCAGACGCAGATGATAAGCAAAAAGGATACATGATGGCATTAATTATTATTTGTGGTTTATCAGGAGTTGTTATTTTTTTACTGATCTGTAACTCTATTAAAGAGTCTTGCATTATTGCGAAGGTTACGGACTGGTCTATTCTCTCGCAAAGTGAGGAGATAGAAGAAAGCATAGATCCTTCGAAGCAGGAAATATCTAGCCTTTCAGCCATAAATAAGCAATTTTTTATGCTTCCTTTCTTAGGCAATCTTTTTGTTTTTATGAAGCTAAAATACATTAAATTTTATGATTACAAAGAATATAAATGTTTGAAATGATTTTTTTTTTTAAAAATATTTATTTTAGTTTGAATATCTATCTATATTAATAGAAATAATTTATATAAAAAGTATATTTTCATATAAGAATTATTTTCTTTTGAAAAGTAAGGATGATATTGTAATTGAAAGGATTGCATCAATTGAGACCAACGTACTGCTCATACCAAAAAAGATTAAAATAAGAAAAAGAAGAGTCCAGACCCCAACTCTAAATCCTCCAATGGTACCGGTGTACCGAGCTGGGCAAACAGTGGCATTTACTCCAAAGCTTGTGACTGAAATTAGCCTAATGTCAGCAAATTCAAGCTTAGCTATGAGGAAGAAGGAGTCAAAAAATAACACTCTTTGGGATAATGATCAAGTATACAGTATAGGAAAGCTCGAATCCAGCATGATCTTTATCTCTTCAAACCCAAATGTGTCAAGCCCATAAACTTTCATATACTTCCTGAATGATAATTAATTAATTTTTTATTTTTATCAAATTCTCCTTTATTATGATTTTCTTATCACATACGCAGCTTCTATATTAGTCACCATATTCCATATATTTTTGTTACAAATGACTTTCAAGCAGAACCTTGGAAGATATTTTTTGGTCATGATGTTTCTCTTTGCTGGGACTTATAAGATGATCCACCCTGGATCTTATCAAATTTCAACTCTTGGAAATATTGTTAAGATTGGGAACTTCATTAAAGTGAATACAGGCTATGAGGTGCCAATCCCTGCAGAATTTCTTACTCTAAATTCAGAATATATAGTCTATGCTATCGGTGGCCTGCAGATTTTATCCAGCTTACTAATCCTCTTAAACTACAGAATTGGCACAATCTTCCTGACTTTTATGATGATCTACTTTTCAGTGACGACAAATAACCCATTGAATTATTCCAAAAGAGAAGAAAAAATCGTAAACACAATGATGGTTTTCCTTAATATCGGAGTAATAGCAGCGCTCTTCATTTTTTGCAGCAAACCAGCTAAGCAAAAGATAGACTAAGCTAATTATTATTTGGCTCACATTAAATAATACGATTAATTTTTCTGTCATAGTAATTTAATGAAGGTAAAAGATAAGGTAGTTTCTAAATAGAACAGCGTTGCATATCAGATATTTCTTGTTCTAGGGCTTGGGATTATGTTTGCTTGGTTCGGGATTCTTAACTCTCTTGACTATTTCTTTGCGATCTCTGGAAAATCAGTTCTGTTTTATTCTTATATGTATTATTTCAGTTTGCCTTGGTTTGTATGCCAGACTTTTATTTTTTTCTTTGCGTATAGGATTTCTTACACATATAGAGCATTCACAACCTTTGGGATATCTTCGCTGCTTTTGCTTCTTATTATTGAATTTAGCTATATTTTGGCAGATGACGCTGCTTATATTACAGTAGCTGTGCTGATATTCTTATTAGGATGCAACACTTCAGTGCTCTCTGCAAGCGTGATGGGGCTGGCTTCACTTCTTCCTGGGAAATATATTGGAGCTTTAACACTAGGAATGGGTTTTGCAGGGCTAATTCCCTGCATCGTAAAATTGCTTACACTTTGGATTTGGGGGCCAAGTACATGGGAAAGCTTCCTTGTGCTGATGCTGATGTCGGTAGTTATATCATTAGCGTGCATTGGTGCAGTTTTGGCACTAGAAAACAATAAATTTGCCCAATACTATTTTTCTGCATCAAGTTCTCCAGCAAGTCCAACTTATTCTCCTAAATTGACAGATAGATTATTAAACCGAAACCTCAATAAAAAGCTAAATGAAGAAAGCCACGTCCTTGTTGCGTCTCCTAGGAATTACTCAATAGGAAATATAATAAACAATACAAGAAGAGATATAAGGCATAGAGAAAGAGAGATTGAAAAGGAAAAAGAAAAAGAAAAAACTAATAAAGTCGTGGAGTTCAATTTTAATTGGGATGAGTCTGAAGAGAATGAACAAAGCCACCAACAAGCTCCGGCTCAGCCAAAAATGAATTTTGAGATAAAGGCGAAAGAAGTTGTAGAAAAGCAAGTCGAAGTTCCTGAAAAAGAAGAAGTTTATGGAGCTAAAGCGAGCGTATTGGGAGTTGTTAAGCAAGCATATCTTCCTTTAGGGTTGCAATTTGTGAACAATTTTATTACGTGGATGATGTTTCCAGGGGTTATCATTTTTGCGATACATGCTGAAGCTAGCCTCCCATGAACTATTGTTTTTCATTGTGCCTTGTTCAATATCTTTTCCCTCTTACTCCCCCCCTCCGTTAGCGAAAAAAAACCATTGGAAAAATACCTATTTTTTACCCAAAAACCCCCGCATAAGCTAACAAAAAAATTTTTTCATTGCAAAATTTTATATGAAATAAAAATTGGTATATAAGTGATAATTATTATAACGAAATCTCTCGCTAATTCTGCTTAATTTTAAAACAAATTGCATTTTAAAACATAAATTTTACAAATTTAATTTATTTGTTTCCAATTTTTGCAAATTGGGATTTTTTTTAACTTTGGAAACAAACTTTTACTATATAAATTTTTTACAAAAAAAAAAAATGAACCTCCTCCGTAAGTAAAAAAAATTTTTTGTTTGCTCACGGAGGGGGGAATTTAGGAAATTTCATGCCGAACTATGGGATTTTAGATATAAGAACCTTATCCCTCATTATTGTAGCTAGATTTGTGTTCTTCTATACAACCCCTCAAACTCTTCTTCATTGTGTATTTTATGATGTTTGCGATAATGGCTCTTGCTATTATATGTCATCCATCTTTGCTAATTCGATATTTAGATATGTCAATACCAGCATTTTCAGCTTCACTCATGGGTATTGCTTCACTTGTTTAGCGATTTTAGCACCAGGCTCAATATCTAAGAAATCTCCCGATCGCGATAGCGAATTAGAAATGGCAGGACACTTAGTTTCATGCATGATTGCATTCGGAATGACAATAGGGTACATTTTATGTGAAATAATATATATGGATTATGTTCCATTTAATTACTGTGTCGAAACCACAGTCAGTTAATTAATTCACTCCTCTAGGATTTAATTAATAAATCATATATTTAAGGATTTTTATACTAAACTATGCACTCTTTTCCTAAAAGCTGTTCCCCATTCTTTCAGCTTCATAGGTATAGAAGTTTCCTATGTTTGGCGCTGTAATGCCGATAAATTCTGATCGGAATTTATCGGTTGGTTGCACCAAATCAGTGCCTTGGTCGGACCAAAAAGCGATTTGGTCCGACGAACTTGGAAAGCTCCTGGGAAAATGTCTGCGCTTTCAGCGCTATATAGAGGAAACCTCTATATTAGATAACTGAAAAGTGACGCAAACACATCTTTGTAGTTCTGGTGGGTAATCATAGTCATAACAGTTCTATCATTTTTATATTTTATAATTTGGACTGTCATCAATGTTTCCCCTCTACTAACCCCGTCAAGAGGTGGCTTAGAATCATCTGCAATTGAATAAGTGACTATTACTACATGGTCATCCTTTTTCAAAATTGTTTTCTTTTCTAAAAAATCACCTTTATACCCGAAAGTTGAAATATAAGTATACACAATGACTTCATCTAAATTTTCCCTGATGTTTTCTATATCTGTTATAGATTTAGGGTACAGGTTCAATGATAGTGCCTTTTTGATAGTGTGCATTTCACCGAAGTACTTTTGATCGAAAATTTTGTAAATAGTGTTCCCATTTGGACGAAATTTAACGGTTTTTTCGGTCAATGTCTCACTATAAAAAAACGATTCGAACAAATTTTTCCCTAGGAGATGTCGCACTATCAAATTTTCACAGTCATTTGGCATGGAACCATAGATTTATCTCACTTTTTTCTTTCTTTTGCGTCATTCAGCTGTTTTATAATGATATTTGGGGTCACATATTTGTCAAAATAAATTTTGGAATAAAATACAGGCAGGTTTTCGCAGTATTTTGAGCCTTCCAGCCTTTTTACCATAATATGTTCCGTTTGAATTATAGAAAGCCACTTTGGATCCTTTTTCAAAGAAGCCCAATACTCTACAATTTCTTCAACTCTATCGTCAATAATTTCTTCTGTTTCAGTCAGATTAAATCCTAAGCTAGACTCATGTTTGCCTTGAAATTGCTTTGGGGTTCTGGTAATTGGGGCATTGTCTTTAGAATTAGGTTTAATTGTTTCAGCAGGTGGAGAGTCTCTTGCTTCGCAGCAGCCCATTTAATAATAATATACGTTTTTATATGTTCTGATTTATCAAGGTTTATAAATATAAAAAGAATAAGGTTTTATACAATAATTTGATTTGGATCATATTGATATCCATTGTTTTAGGAATTATTTTGTAATTTAGTAGCAAAAGAAGTTAATTAAGAAATCATTTTATGATATAAAAGATTTTCGTTGAAAAGAAGTTTATTAGAAATTTTACATTCAAATTTATTGGAATTTGTTTTAGATTAATAAAAATTGTTTAAATTTGTTGAACAACTTATTTTATTTTAATTTGAATAAGTTGTTGAATTAATTAAAAAATAATGGAATTTTGATCTTCAAGGATTGAAATTAGACAATTAGTATACATTTAATTTTTTACTTACTTTAATATCTATTTTGCGGCTACACGGATTTTTTTGGTTAACTCGTTATATAAGAAGAAAAATATTAAAATCTTCCAAACAATTATAAAATAAATCAATATCTGAAAAAAAATTAATTCATAATAGACGTAAGAGTAAGCAGAGCAAGCAAAGTATCTTGGTCAAGTGTTCATGGCTTGCCAAAACAATAGCTGAATTCAAGACAGCTTGCAGCACCTTCGTTAACAATCCATTATATAGTGCTGATGCTCCTTCATTTTCCAAAATATCCTTCAGCGCATCCACAAAGCTCAGAGTTTTCTGGTCTTCCAGCTGAACTCTTGTTCTCAAAGTCAAAAACGGATAAGTCACCATCGTTGCAATAAACTTTGTCAGTGCCCCAAATATAAAATAGACTCCCGCATTGAGTTTTTTCTGTTTGAATCTTCTTTTCATATGTTCATAAGTAACAAATTGAATCACCGGATTCAAAATCAGCACCAGGCTTGTTCCCATGCCTTTGAATAAGCCTTGTATCCCTTCATGTTTTATTATTGACGAAAAGCAGCTTGAAATGCTTTCTTCTTTTTCTGACTTCATAAGTTTTGATACATAAAAATGGCGACTGGAGAGCCAGCCCTTTTCCTCAACACCTGTAGCCGGGTATCCCGGGGACCTTGTGGAAGGGGAAAAGGCGCTCGGAATGTGTATCCGGCTGGGTTTTACCTTGACACAGTGGAGCGCAATGTCGAATTTGGTCGACCGCAGCTCATTCTGTCACCAAGGTTTTTACCCCGAGGAGGAAGGGTCTTCCAAGTTGGAAAGGGGAAGCTCAGCAGCACCAGGAGTCTTCTCCTGATCAATCGGGCAATTCCCTAGCGCGATACTGGGCGTTGCGTCCCGGGCTTGGATTTCCTTTCTGGCCGACAGCCATACCAGAAAATTTGCTTTTCAAATTTTCGGAATGGGCAACCTCGTACCCACAGCCTCAAGCAAGGCCGCAGAATTCCTAAATCTGCCCCAATCAAGACTGGAGCAAGGTTGTAGCTTGCAAGGAGGAGACGACAAACAGAACAGGCTAGCTGTAAAATCAGAGTCCTGTAGGCGGAAGTCGCAAAGCGGAGGAAACCCTCGAGGGGGTCTGGGTGACTGCGTTAACAAGTAATAGCTTAGCAGCTGATAATCTCCTAATTAAGATTAAGATTAAGACTTCATAAGTCTTGTGTTTACAGTCCATATAGGAGTATTGACAAGGATGGTTATAAAACTTGCAATTACGCTTACAATTAAATCGTCTAAAACTGTAAGCCCGCGCTTTCCCTTTGATAAAAACACTTGCATTGCTTTGTAGACTAGGAAGTAGACTCCTTGGCTAGTGGCTGTACTGATAATAGAAGAAATAAAACCGGAATATAGAGACATTAGGTTTCCGTTGGTTCTGAGCTCTTTGAGGAAAAGTCTAAGGGTGGTTTTTGAATGAGTTGACTGCATACGGATTCGAATTGTGTCTAAAGGATGCAGGAACAGAGTTGCAATGATCGCACTTAGAGACCCGGAAAGACCATGAACCAGTGATTCTTTCATTTATATTAAATTTTAAGCAAGTTTAATTGCACAAGCCTATATTTTCTTTAATTTTAATTTTCTTTATTAAATAATTATGAATTACTATTTGATTAATTGATATGAATTAATACACCAATTATTGCTATAGAAAAAAATCAGTTTATATTATAATTTTTCTAACTCTTCCCACATTTTTCTATTTTGCTCTATAGCATCTACATATTCTTGCGTTTGTGGAATATGAACACACAAAAGTTTCCATAGCGGATATATAAAAGCGTCAATAAAGCCCATTTGATTTTGCTTGATCTTTTTAATGTCGTTCCCCACCCTCAGGAATTCAGACACCGGGAGTCCTCTTTGTTCTTCTTGAATGACTTGCTGGTTGAATTCTTGTATAATTCTTAAAGAGAACACTGTGGCTAAGTCGAATTTATAAGTAGGATTGCCTACATCTGAGGAGTGTAGCAGCATATCCATCACGTTTTGCCTATGGACTGGGTTTTCTTTGTTGAATTCTCGCATTGTTCGGTCGAAATTTTCCATCACAGATTTATGCTTGGCCATATCAGTGGCCAAAATAGTAGGGATGATGAGCCTTCTCATATAAGTCTGGTCTTCATATGACAAATTGCAAAAAATATCGCACCCGCTCAGTTCAAGAAAATGAATCAGAGTAGCCGCATGATGATTTTCCAAAACTGAAATGTCGTTGTATCTGATCGCTAGTTGATGTCGGGAATTAATCATAAATGCGTTGGTAACACCTGGGTGATTTAGGTCATGGCCATATGATGAGATAAGTAAAGCAAAGCGTTCACGGTTGTCGAGGAGATCTTGGTATTTATTTACATGCTCTCCTATAGAATGGATCATCTGGACTACTGAAAAAGCATGGAAAAAGTTATGGAATGGGTTATCTTGATAATTTTCACAGAGTGCGTATATAAGTCTCTGCATTTTGCATACGTCAATATGAAAGGTATCTATTCCTTTTTATAAGCAATATGTATTGTTTAACAGAAATATTATATAAAATGAAATTTAATTAAAAAATGCATAGTAAATCATAAAAAATATGCAGAATATACTCCCTCAGTTCAGCTTTTGTATGGCTAAATGCTGAAAAGTCCTTCAATCTTAATTCAGCAACTTTAGTGTAATCAGGAGTAAATGGACGATTTTCATTGTAAGGGAAATTTTCGACGTTGGAAAAATAGATCGGCGAAAGGATGTCATTGTGAATGGCTTCGAGTCATCTTTTACGCAAGCCGTCATCCATTTCTCGGACGTTTAAAAACGTTTGTCGGATGAGATCGAGTTCTGTTGCGGTCACACCTCCTCTTCCTTGTAGAGAAAGCTCTTCAAGTTTTGCAATGATTCTTCTTTCTTGGTCTCCAGTTTGGCTGGGATCACTGGCCAATGGCCTACGAGTTGAAGCTGAGCACCCTATTTTAAAAAATGTGATAAATTGGAGTTAATTAACCATAAATTGCATGCTCCAATGGATGATAAAGCAAATTGACTGAATAAAACATTATTTTTTTAAAAGCTGGCATTGCCAGAGTGAGAAGTTTGGGATATTTGAAGATGATGATTGAGAAAGCTGCTAACCGTCAGCTCATTTTTTAATAAAAATCAGCTGTAAAGCTGAGTTAAAATTATCTCAATTTTGGACTTCAGGAGCTTAAATCTTAATAAAAAACCTTGTATAAGAATTTAGATAGATTTCCTGGATAAAAATATTCAATTCTTCATATTTAAAGATAATGTAAATTAATTGATACAAATAGAGAAATATATATTATAGACCAAGATATCATTTTGGTTGAATAGACCTGAAGTGCTTTATAAAATAACTTAATGTTAAATTGATATGCATTGCAATTTAACATTAAAGTTAAAGCCTATATGTAATTGAATAGCTTATGATACACTAAAATAAAGACTCTTTATCACTGGTAAATTTGATAAAAGCTTGTCATAATTAAGCAAAAGCTTAATAGTTTAATCATATTAAAATGGCAGGCATTCAAGATCCCTTCGCACTTAGATTTGAGAATGAAGAAGACAGCGACCCTCAAGAAAAGCCTATACAAAAGAAAGCTCAAGAATCTGGAAAGCGTAAAAACATAACCCCAGAGCCTCGACAAAAGAACGAGCCTACTGATGACTCTCAGTCCTCAAGCAAATCCAAGACATATGCTAAATGAGGGTTACTTTTTGCGAAATCAGAAATTGCTTTATATGATCTCAAGCAAGTCCTTTATCGCCAAACACTTATTGAGCTTGGGCTTATGATTTTAGCCTTACTTATCCTTATTGTTCACGTGAAATTTATGATCATTATCCACATTTTGCATCTAGTTCGTCCTTATTTTGCGTATAAGCTGTTAATCGCTATGCCAAGAAGCCATCAATTTTATGAGAAACTGCCTGATGATTTATCAAAGATTACTAATGATCTACAAGGAAAAGCATACGATGAGATAAGAGAAAGTTCAAGGCAAATAGCCATATATCTTGCGATTTCCGCTGCTGCAGGAGTGCTTGATATTATTGCTTTGCTGATTAATTTTGAGAAATTTTACAGTCATGACACTCTTGCGGTAGTTTATTTTGTGCTTTCTTTTCTTTTCATATGCACAGATTTTTTCTTGCCATTGTGGTACTGGACACTTCAATTTACTTTTCCTAGTGATGTTTGGCTTGATTTGCTTTTATTTGCAAAGGGAAGCTTGAATGAATCAAAGCTTTTGGTGATGGGCATACTTAGGAGAACTACTTAATCTTAATGATTTAAAATAATTGAAACTGATTAAATAATATTTAGAAATCTGTTGAAGTAATTTAAATAATTCCAAATCTAATTTTTAATTATTCAGTATAGGTTTTGTGATAATAAATAAATCATTGCTAGCTTAAAGTAGAAAATAAGCATTATTGATATAGAAAATTCCCTTTAATAGCCCTATCAGTGAGTAAATTGCCTGCTGAGTTCTCAATTTGGCCAGACCAAAACTAATAATTTTGGGCGGGCCAAGCTTTAATTTTAACGGGCAATTCACCCACCGATAGGGCTATTAAAGGAAAATTACGTATATGATATCATAAGATATACGTTTTAAGCTTTCAATTTGATTAAAATAATTACTTAAAAACAGCATAATTTTTAGCTAAAAGATAATTGCAACTTTAAATTTATATCCAAAAGTGAAAAACTCAATCATAGAGAAAACATAAAATAATATTTGCTCTTAAACATCTTTCCGTTAGATTTAATATTAGTAGCGCCTCTACAATTAATAAATTGCCATATTAAATAAATGGATTTAATTTCTTCTATGATAAATATCAGTTTGACTCTTTACTTCCCTCTCCATGAGTGAACGAAATTTTGTTGTTCGCTCACGCTGTTGGGGCTTTCAATTTTTTTTAAAAAATTATATATAAATTTATACTAAATTTTTTTTTCGAGATTTAAAAAAATTTGATTGGCAAAATTTGGAAATAAATGTTAATTTAATTTGTAAAATAAAAATTAAATGCAAGCTGCTTAAAATTAGCAGAATTAGCTAGAGATTTCATTATACTAATTATTACTTATATATCAAAATTTTTTAATAACATTTTTTTTGGCTCACCTAGGGTGGGCTTTTGGCAAAAAATAGGAATTTTTTCATGGTTTTATTCGTTCAGTAGGTGAAAGCTAGATCTTTTATATTAGCTCTTAGAGCTGCTCAATAATAAATTGTCTAATATATTTAAAATGTTTATAAAAATTCCAATTTAAAAACACGACTTTAATTTTCATGTAACTCCTATGGTAACTTGCCAATTATAATTAATTAATCTCCCTAATGGATCCTGTAGCTCAAGTTGTTATTCAAACAAAATATACTGAACTCAGACAGTCCCTTTCCTCATCAAATGTGACTATTAACTACCCAGGAGTTTTAGTTAAGGAGACTTATCATGTTGGACATCGACTTGATGGGAACAAAAGATCTATTTTTGCCCAAATAAGAGCAGCAACTCATCGACAATTACAAGTTAGGCGAGCTATAAAAACGTATGTTCTTGATGATGCAGTCCTTGTCGGTGATTTAAGTGACATTGTTTTTCAGCGTCATCAAGGCATGCTCTTTTCTTCAATTATTAATGAAATTACCACACTTTCTCAGCTTCGGCATACAAATATCGTACCTTTGTATGAAGTATTCTTGGAATCTAAATATATTCACTTGGTTATGGGAATGTGTAAAGGAGGAGAGTTATATGATTTTATATATCAAGAAAAAAGAGCAACTGATGAAAAAGCACTCTCAGTGGTTTCTCAGATTTTAGACGCTGTTCAGTATATGCATAGCCTAAAGATATGCCATAGAGCGCTTTGTATAGAAAACATTATGTTTGTTGATAGGGAGCATACCAAGATCAATATTATTGGATTTAGCAGCTCTGGGAAGATCACAGACCAACCTTTTACTGAGAAGTTTGGAAGCCCATTCTATATGGCCCCTGAAATATTTAGTGGAAGATATACTGAGCTTTGTGACATTTGGTCAATTGGCGTAATTTTATATACAATGCTTTTAGGTTTTCAGCCAATTCAAGGCGAGACGCACACTGAGCTCGTCAAAAACATACAAAAAGGAGCTATATTGAAGCCAGAACAATTCAAGCAGCTGCCTCACGATTTAAAGAAGCTTATTAAAACAATGATTACCAAAGAAAACCGACCAAGTGCCATTTACGTCCTAGAAAATTCAATTTTTCAAAGTAACTACTTGCAAGATCAGCGTGCAATTTTCCAAATGCTTCTAAGGATCGCCCAATATGATGATGAGCCTGAAACCGAGCTCAAGGTTCGTCTTGCCTCTAAGCTAAAATATGCAGCTTGCAAAGTTCTTGACGCTAATCAAAAGCTTTACGTTACTCCTCACCTAGACAGAGCATGATCAGCTATGGATACAAATAGAGCTGGATCTATTAATGTCGCACAGATGAAAGAAAGCATGGCCAAATGTGTTGGGGAAAATATAGATGTTGACACCAGAGCTCAATTAATTTTCAGCAAAATTGATATTTTCAATACTGGATTGATAACTCATGAAGAATTCATATATTTCGCCAAAAATATGACAGACGCCCAAGAAATTGCTAATGCGTTTAAGTTGATTGATCCTAATTATTCTGGCACAGTCAACGCTGAAATGCTTGCTCCTCATTTATCAGGGATTTCAGTCAGCCAGATCGAAAATATGTTAGCTGAAGGAGTTGGGAAAGAAACACTAGAAGTTGAAGAATTTATAAATTTAATTGCGAAATATGCAAATTAGCTAATTTATTCAATTTTATAAATGGAGCTAATAAACACACTTGAAGGCCATGAAGGACAAGTTTTAGTAGTAAAATTTAACGCTGATGGAAACTTTTGTATGACTGGCTCAAGTGATCGCACCCTTAAGCTGTGGAACCCGGCCAGAGGTTTATGTATAAAAACTTATTCAGGAGCCCACAACTATGAAGTCCTGGATGTGGATATTACTAATGATAATGGGAGATTTGTATCTGGAGGAGCCGATAAATTAGCATTTATATGAGATATATCAACAGGGAAAACGATAACCAAGTTCCAAGGCCACCATAATAAAATCAAAGCAGTTGCTTGAAATAGGCTGTGCACTGTGATTGCGACAGGTTCTGAAGATGCAACAATAAAGCTATGAGATGTGAGGGCAAACTCAAAAGATCCTGTCCAAACTCTATCACAGTTTAAAGACTCTGTCATTGGGGTGTATTTGACTGAAGATCAAGTCATCGCAGGATCTCTTGATGGATTTATAAGGACTTTTGATATAAGGTGTGGGACTCTAAGCGTGGATGATTTAAAAGAGCCTATTTTGGGATTAGCATTGTCTCGTGATGGTAATGCAACTGCAAGCACACATATTGATAATATAATTAGAGTTACTGATAGGACGAATGGGGAAATTTTGAATGCTTACTCTGGGTCACATATGTCAAATGAACATGCTATAGCTTGCAAGTTTTCTGCTGATGATAGAGCAGTTTTGGTTGGGAGTGAAACTGGAGAAGCTGCTTGTTATAGCCTTTCTAGTGGGGTTGGGGTGAAAAGCCAAGCACATAGCGCTCCTACAATAGGAGTAGATACACATCCGAGAGATTCGAAGCTTTTTGTCACATGCTCATTAGATTGCACGTCAAAATTTTGGAGACTAACAAATGCATAGTAAAATATGACACTTTTATTATAAATCTTAAGCTTAATTACTATTTTGGCTTAATATTTGTATAGCTGATAAACTGCCTTTATATAATTAAAAATATGGCGTCTTCGTCTGGGCATGGCCTCCTGGCCATGCAGCCTCGACTCATATTTTAATTATATCCGGCAAGGTTTTACCATTCTAGAGATGGACGGCAATACTAGGTAAGCAATTCTGGTTGTGTTCAGAGCCTAGTCCTAGTCTATTCTCAGGGGTGGGATTTTTCCTCGTGGGGAAGGAGGGTACGGAGTTGGAAAAGGGGAAGCTCAGCAGAGTCCTCTGGACCAATCGGGCAACTCCCTAGCGTGAAACTGGGCATTACGTCCCAGGCTACGTATTTTTCCTTTTTGCCGACAGCTGACCAGAAAATCCATTTTTTGTGTGTTTCGGAAAAGCAACCCATGTAACAAGCAAGTAGCTCATCCATGAGCCGTCGAAGCCGGAACACTTTCCCAAGAAGCACTCTGGTGATCGAAGCAGGCCATCCCAGCGACCTGTGGGCCCGATGTGACGAAGGCGAGTGATAGTACCTGGGGTTGTCACCCCGTAGTGGACGTTAAACGTTATAAATTCTAATGTAATGTAATGATAAACTGCCTTTATCAATAGGCATATTACATTAACACAAAAATTTAAATTTCTTCAGTTATTAAAAACGAATTATTAAAATTGCGTCATCTGGTGTTCTGTGAGTTGATTAGGACGTAGAGGAGAAGAGTACATTGTGGCAGTTCTTCATGGTGGATTTTTTTGGTTTAGAGGCTGACCCTTGACCTTTTTTTCCTGGCTTGCAGACATGCCTACTGGTGAATGTCCTTCAACACTCCATGGGAGGAATTACAGAGCTTGTGACACAACTCAGACAGGCCAAAGGCGATCCACCTATGCTCTAAGCCCTTTCGGAGGTTGAGGGAGTTTTTGCTACTTGGTTGGGCCTATAAGGTGAGCTGGGCGATCTCCCCGAAAGGCTTCCTACGTCACCTTTTTGGTGAAAAGAGGACTAAAAGGCACGGTGAGGATAGTGCTTACTCCCCCCCCCCCCTCCGTGAGCGAACAAAAAAATTTTGTTCGCTCACGGAGGGGGGTTAATTTTTTTTTTTTAAAAAAAATTTTATATATAAATTTTATAAAAAAATATTTTTTTCGAAATTTAAAAAAATCCTAATTTGCAAAAATTGGGAAGCAAATATTAATTTAATTTGCAAAAATTTATGTTTTAAAACGCAATTTGTTTAAAAATTAAACAGAATTAGCTCTAGATTTCATTATACTAATTATCACTTATATATCCAAATTTTTTTCCATTAAAATTTTTTCTATTAAAAAAATTTTTGTTCACTCACGGAGGGTGGGTTTTTGGTCAAAAAATGGCGATTTTTTCTAATGGTTTTGTTCGCTCACGGAGGGGGGGGGGGGAGTTAGCGCCAACTCGAAGGCTGAATAATCCCTAAAGACTTTCTAGAATTTTAATCTAATCAGTTATTAAAGCTTATTCTCAGCTCTATCTCTTAAGTTAGGATCCTCGATTTTCTTCAAATAATCCTCTAGATATGGATCTTCAATAGCAGGCGCATCGTTGTCTATAGCCCAAAAGTTTGGCTGCTTACTCCCACTCTGTGAGCAAACAAAAAATTTTGTTCCTTACTAGAGGGATTATTTTTTTTTAAAAATTATATAATAAATTTTTATAGTAATTTTTTTTCGAATTTTCAAAAATGCGATTCACGAAATTGGAAAGCAAAAGTTAATTTAAGTTGTAAAACTTATGTTTTTAAAAAACAATCTGCTTAGATTCAACAGAATTAACTAGAAATTTCATTATACTAATTACCATTTATATATCAAAATATTTTTTTGCTGTAAAAATTTTTTTTTTACTCCAAAAATAGGGATTTTTCTAATGGTTTTTTCTCACGGAGGGAGGAGCTAGGGTAATCTGCATAATAAGGCCCGGTTCCTTGAGATAATCCAAGCAAAGGTTTTGGCTTATAATACCCAGCATCATCTCCATTGTGAAAAGCTTCTGGATAAGCTACATTCAAGTTGAATTTGGCTGAGTATTGCCTTGAAGGCCATTGAGATATTGCAGGGAAAAAGGTGAATTCAAGTCATTCTTCTTTTTCTTTACTCCTCCTTTTTAAAATTGTAAAAAAAATCTATTCCATTTCGGGGGTTTAATTTTTTCTCTATAAAATCATTATATAAATTAAATGAATTTTAATTATTTTATAAAAAAAGCTAGTCGATTCATTCAAAAGCTATTTAAATAATCTTCTACTTACACTGTTTAAATTAAATTAGGTCAAAACTAATTTTATAAAAAATTAGTTTTCTATAAAAGTTTCTTATTGAAAAAATTTGCTACATTTGAGGGGTTTAGAACCAAAAAAATGGAAATTTTGCCAATATTCTGTGCCAAATTTAAAGGGGGAGAGTTAATAAAATAGCTGTATTTCTCAGGTGGATAACTTTTGGCTGCTTCAAATTCTTTTCTTACCCTCTCGATGTGCTCAAAATAGTTCTTATGATTTGCTGTCGCCCACCTCAATCTACAACAATTGAGAAGCCATAGTCTCCTAAGACAAGATCTATAGATGCGGCTGAATCTTTGGGCCTCAGTGAGTGTTGTAGGGTCTTTGACTGAGTAAGCACACAAGTTAAGCAAAGTTCTCCACTTCCAATTGACTCTGTTGTGGACTTTGCCACCTATCATTCCTCCTACCATTTTTTATATGAATTCAGAATTTTCGATATAAAATATCCAGGATTTCAATTTTCAGTTTTTTAAAAGAGATTTTTGGTGTTAATTTATTCCTGCTATTGTTTTATATTTTTATGATAATAAAAAAATCTTTGAAATTCAGCTACTTTTATCCATTTTGCTGCAGAGAGCAACATTTCTATTTCATTTAATGTATTTTTAACTCAAAAAAATTCTTTAAGATGAGAAGCATAAAAATGAGAAATAGCTAACTCTCTTTGAAAGACTAAAATTTTTGATACTCACGGAGGGGGGTTATTTTTTTTTTTTTTAAAAAAATTTATATATAAATTTTATAAAAATTATTTTTTTTTTCGAAATTTAAAAAAATCCTAATTCGCAAAAATTGAAAACAAATATTAATTTAATTTGCAAAATTTATGTTTTAAAAAGCAATTCGTTTAAAATTAAACAGAACTAGCTCTAGATTTCATTATACTAATTATCATTTATATATCAAATTTTTTTTTCCATAAAATTTTTTCTATTAAAAAAATTTTTGTTCACTCACGGAGAGGTTTTTTGGGCAAAAAATAGGGATTTTTCTAATGGTTTTGTTCACTCACGGAGGGGGGGAGTCAGAAGGTTATTTTTTTTAGTAAATTTATATAAAAATTGAAGTTTTATAAAACACAATATTGCAAAAAATAAGCTATAGCGCTTTCCCGAGGATGGCACGGAATGGCGCCATCCTCGGGAAAGTCAATTAAGCATCCACACACGGAAACTGGGAGTTCCACGTGTGGATGCCATTTTTGACATGTGGGATCCAAACTTCCACATGTCAAAATGGCATCCACACGTGGAACTCCCAGTTCCCGTGTGGATGCCTTCCTGGCTTTCCCGAGGATGGCGCCATTCCGCGCCATCCTCGGGAAAGCGCTATACTTAACTTTAGAATTCAAGCGCTTAAAGATTCATTAGATAATCACAAAATTATATATTATTAAGCAAAATTATTTATATAGTTAAAATTTTTGGTCACTTATGGGTGAATTTTCAAAAAAGAAATAATTATTTAAACTCTTTTTGTGACTTGGAGATCTATACTGTGAACTGTTTCTATGACCTCATGCTTTGGTACTCCGTTATTTCGACCAGCAATTCCCTCATGCAATATCGGCTTTTCTGGCTCAGTTGGGAAATGTATAATGCATGCCAGTCCAGCTGCTATTAGCATTGCAATCACAGGAGCAATAAAATAAATCCAGAGATATTCAAAGTGTTCTGAGTCTCCAGTTCTAATTCCTTGGATAATATTGACTGTAAAGCAAATGGTAGGGTTAAAGCAAGCGCCAGAAATATGTCCTACTGTGATGATCCCAGCCGTAATTCCCCCTGACACCACCAAGCTTCCAATTAGTTTATTATGAGGCCAATAGGTTAAACCCAATGGACAGAGAATAATATGGATACAGAAAATTAATTCAGCAAAAAATTTCTGAGCATCATTATAGTCATCACCAGTCTTGAAATAAAAATCTGAGTCATAAATCCACCATGCTGCAAAGACTCCTGGTATTGCGCCAATTATTTGAGCTAGTAAAGACCATAGGAGGAATTTTTTATCCTTTAGAATAAGATTATGGGTTCCTTTTTTGTGCAGTAGAGAGGCAATTTGAACGCATGGGTTAAAATGAAAAGAATGAATCATATTCGTGCCTTGAACACACATTCAGAATGCGGGACCAATTAAGGTTGCTTCATAGTCTTTTGCCACTATTACGAAGGTAAGTAAAAAGGTTCCGTAGGCCTCTGCACAAAATTTATGTTTTAAGTTCATATATTATTACTCCATTAATTTATGGTCTTATTAATATTTATAGGGATGTGAAACAGATACTTTAATTTAATTTGAGTCAGAAGACAAGCCTAAAATCTAAAAATCTGTTGCACTTAACTAAATATGTTATAATAATTATTTAAAATATTTTCAAAAAAATAATTGAAAACTAAGATATTTGAAGATCTATAGTATATTCTAAGGGCTTTGTAAGATTTTTATAAGAAAATGAGGTAAGGCAATATAAAAAACTTCTTTCAAAAGATTGCTGCTTGATAGAAAAATTAATTCAGTAAATTTATTTTTTAATTGAGAGGCTGGAATCAGGCAACTGTATAATTTAAAGACAAGTCAGGAAAGCAGGGGATAAATGAAGTTAAAACAATAATTTATACAATATTGATATAAAAATGGATTATGTTGATAATATAAGATTGAATGAAGTGCCTTATTGACAGAATCTATCAATGAATCTTTAGAATCACCTTTTTTTCGAAAAAGAATATGCAAAGAAATTAATAATTTGATAAGGTGATGACAAGTTTGTTCATTTTAATTTTAGATAATTTATTTATCTTTAATCCATATTCCTTTATAATTAAAAATAAGCATTGCAAGTTCTGAGAAATTACTGCTAAATAGTTAATTAAATGACATTAATCTTAATAATAAAATCTTCTCAATAGTAGAAATTTTAGCGATTATTCATATTTTATTCTTAAGCATGGTGCTAAATCTTTAAGTCATACAGCTTAAATCCCTGCATTGCAATCTATATTTTATATTTAAATACACTAACTTTAATAATAAACTTTAAATTGTTTACTAAACGTTATTAGTCCCGCTTGGAGGTTCAATTGCATGAGCAGTCTCAACCTTAGCACGTTCGTACTCGTTTTCACCAGGCTTCTCATTATTATCGCTTGCCGATTCGATTTCACTTACTTGCTTTACTATCGGCTCCTCCGGTGGGAAATGTATTATACATGCTAACCCTGCTGCAATAAACATCGCAATCACAGGGGCTATAAAGTAGATCCAGAGGTACTTAAAATGCTCTGAATCGCCGGTTCTGATTCCTTGGATAATATTAACTGTAAAGCAGATTGTAGGATTAAAACATGCACCAGAAATATGCTCTACTGTATGGATCCCTGCGGTAAGTCCTCCAGCCACCACAAGGCTTCCAATTAGTCTATTATGAGGCCAAAAGGTTATACCTAATGGACAAAGGATAATATGAATACTGAAAATTAGTTCGGCAAAAAATTTTTGGGCGTCAGTATAGTCATCCCCAGTTTTGAAATAGAAATCTGAGTCATAAATCCACCACCCAGCAAAAACACCTGGAATTGCTCCAATAATCTGGATAAAGAAAGACCAGTACAGGTAAGAATCTATGGGTTTTAGCTTGCCAAGCATTTTCTTATGCATCCAAGAGGCTAAAGTGACACAAGGATTAAAGTGGAAGGAGTGAATCATATTGGTGCCTTGGACACACATCCAAAATGCAGGACCCATTAAGTTGGCTTCATAATACTTGCCAACGATGACAAAAGTGAGCATAAAAGTTCCGTAGGCCTCAGCACAAAGCTTCTTTTTTAAGTTCATGGACTATTATTATTATTCCATTAAATTTGTGGGCCTGTATCATATATCCTTAATAAATGTCGATATAAAAGTAATTTAAATTTACTACAACAAGTCTTAAAATTGAGATAATTTGAATTAGCGTAGAAATAAGAGAAAATAATCTATTGTCATGCAACAAAAAAATTATGGCTTTAATTATGACTTCATTTTTAACTCTTTTTTGGCCAGTGACGTAATTAGAATTTGGGATAATTTAAGGAAAAATCACAAGAGAGAATTAAATTATTACGCTCTTGATAATTATTGAGAAAATTAAATTAAATGCTTTTAAATTTTTGAGAAATTGAGAGAGAAAAAATATTTAGGAAACTTAGAAATTTGAGAGTGCAATAATTATCTACGCTAGGTTTAAGGGTAAAATATGCTTAGAAACTACTATAATGAGTATTATTTACCTTTAAAGAGACAATAACAGTTAGAATAATTTCGACCATATTTTTGAAGACAGTAATATTTTACTTTTAATTGCGTTTTTCAATTATTTTAATCATGAAGGGCTAAATCTTATAAATCAGTGAGAAACAGAACAGCCCATTATGAATTATTTTTTATAAATGGCGAGCAAATCATTGGCACTTATCAGTATCTACTTAGCATTTTTCACAAATGCGATAATCTTTACAATTGTACTTCCATATGGAAGCAAAATGGTAATGAGTTTTGGGTTAGCAGACAGCAGAGATGCAGCTGGGACTTGGGTTGGAATTCTTACATTTTCCCTCATGTTCGGGACTTCTATATCATCTCCTTTTTGAGGCCAACTTTGTGACATCTGAGGAAGAAAGCCAATAATAATGATAGCAATGCTATCAGTTGCTGTTTTTTCAATCATTTTTGGTTTCTCAGCCAATTTCTTGTTTGCACTTATATCTCGATTTTTACTAGGAGCAATGACACCTATTGCAATTGTCGGCAAAACTGTTATCTCAGAAATCTGCACTAGCAGTGAGCAGTCTTCAGCAATGGCTTGACAAAATATCTTGTGACAAATAGGCATGATTGTGGGCAGCATATTAGGAGGATTGTTTGAAAGTCCTCAAGAGTCTGGATTAGTTTCTTCTGGGATTTTTGCTGATTATCCTTTCCTTCTGCCCAATGTTGTGACTGCGATTCTTGCTGCACTTTGTTTGCCGATGATTTATTTAACTCTCTGGGAAACCCTTGACAAATCTCATAATAGGCTTAGCCTGATAAATGAAAATAATAGGTCATTTTGACAAATTGCAAAAGATCCTATCTGTTTAAAGCCGCTTTCTGCATATGCCTGCTTTTCTAGTAACTCAACAGGATTTCATGAAATAGTCACTTTATGGTTCTGGGCAAATATTAACAGCGGAGGATTTGAGATGAACCCTAATGAGATTGGGCTAATTCTAGGGGTTGGGTCTTGCCTGGTTCTTTTTATACAGAAACCAGTACATAACTTTATATGTGGAAAGCTGGGAATGGTGAAAACTTTGCATGCATGTTTGCTGCTCCAAATCCCTTCTTTAATGATTTTTCCACTAGCAAGTGCGCTGAATAAAGACAACACAATAAAATGAGTCATGCTTTGTTCTATGTGTGCATGATGGTATCTCGTCCTCAACATTGGGTTTACTGCACAAGTCATAATTGCTAATAATTCAATAGTCGCAAAAGAAAGAGGAAGAATGAACGGGATTTCGATGACTGTGGGAGCTATGGTAAGAGCTTTTGCACCTTTAGTGTATGGGTTTATTTTTTCTAAAACTGTAGAAAGCTCATGGATTTTCCCCTTTAATTATGCAGCATCTTTTTATATTATGGCTTTATTAGCCTGTCTAGCTTATTATTCAAGCAGAAATATCCCATCATTTTTAAATTCCCCAATAGAAGAAGCTATAGAAAACAAATATGTGTTGATAAATAATTCTAAAAGCAGATAATGCTTTAATTTTCATATGAGCCAAATTCAAGAAATCTCGAAATTTATATTTAAATTTATAAAAAATGGATAGCAGATTTTCGGTTTATGTCAGGGTTCGACCAATGATAAAAGAAGATGTTGTACTTTTTAAAAAAATCAGCCAATCACCAGAAGTTTGTACAAAATGCCATGAAGATAGCACCCATTTATATTTGGTAAAACCCTATTTTGATGACAGGGAGTTTGTGTTTGATCGTGTTATATCTCCTGAAATCTCTCAGCCTGAAGTGTTTGACCTTGTAGGTCGAAATGTAGTAGATGAGGTAATTAATGGGTATAATGGTACCATGATTGCTTATGGGCAAACTGGCACAGGCAAAACATACACCGTCTTCGGCTCTCGATCTGCAATTGATTATTATGGAGAAGGCTATCACGAAGAAGGAGGAGTCGTCCCAAGATCTATTCATAGAATATTTGAATTTATCAACGAAAACATCGAAGAAGCCCAGTTCCAAGTCACTATTTCCTTTATGCAAATTTATATGGAAACCATCACCGATTTATTGTCAAATAAACCTCAGCCCAAAGGAGGCCTCCAAATCCGTGAAGACCCTAAAACTGGCATTTTTGTAGGTGGCTTAACACAGAAAATAATCCAAAACGAGCAAGAACTCATGTACATAATCCAAGAAGCCGCAAGAACAAGGTCTACAGGCTCCACCTCAATGAACAAAAATTCTTCTAGAAGCCATACACACAATTAAAATGGCGAGCCATCCGACTCCTGTACCCTCAGGGATTACGGGACTAAGAAGTAAACGGGGCCTGGATATTGTGTCCAGGGTGGGTTTTTTTACCTTGGTCGGGACACCACGACAAGGTTTTTTACCTCTCACAGAGACAAGAAGACCAGAGCCGATGTATCAGGAGTCAAACTTCAGGACTAGAAGGGAAGTGAGGAAGATCTTTATGTGGGGAGCTTCGGGGACCTGAAGGAGACTCCGGGAGGCTACTTTTCTCCCTCCCCGGAAAGGACGGCGCCGGGTCACTAGACCCCTGATCAAGGAGTACCTGGGTGAGTCTCCCTGTTAGATGGCGACGTCACCATTTTTTTGGTGACGTCGACAGAAAATGGAGTGAGCTACAGAGCCAGTGCATAGGGCGCAAGCTTGAAGCTGGCAGCGCTGGGTAGAGGCTGAAATAAACCTCCACGACCCGCTAAACTAATTAATCTAATCTAATCTAGAAGCCATGCAGTGCTCCAAATCTTTTTAGAACAAAGGTGGATTGAAGAAGGCCCTCCAAAAAAGCGAAGGGTCAAGCGTGGGCTTTTAACAATAGTCGATTTAGCTGGAAGTGAAAGACTCTCTAAATCCGGCTCAGAAGGTCTCAGACTAAACGAAGCAAAAAACATCAACAAATCAATTTCTGCGTTAGGAAATTGTGTAGCTGCATTATCTTCAGATAATGCTAATCTGTCACATGTCCCATTCAGAGACAGCAAGTTGACAAGACTTCTGACTGATTCATTAGGAGGGAACAGTAAAACCACTTTATATGCGTGCGTCGGGCCATCATTATTGAACTATGATGAGACTTATTCTACCTTACTTTTCGCAACAAGGGCGATGAGGGTAAAAACTTATGCAAAATTGAATGAAAATGTGGATTACAAAATAAATGCGTCAACTGAAGGGATTATTCAGAGAAACCAATTGTTAGAATGCCACAATGCTGAGCTGAAACAAGAGCTTGAATTAATTCGCACGAAAATGAGAGAAGCGTCTCCATCGCCAATACCTGGAGAACCATCATATTTGACTGGATTTACACAAGAAGATTGCAGATGTGAAGAAAAACAAAGGGAGCTTGTCAGCAAGTTTACCCATATGATTCAATACTTGCAAGCTGAAATTGCAAGGCTGAATATTGTTATAGCTAATATTCACAATGAAAAAGGAGAGCCGTCGTACCCAGAAGAGCTGATAGAAAGGCTGATGATGGACCCAAACTTCAGAGAAAAGTACGCAAGCTTGCGATTATAAGTAATTTATTACTGTCTAAATAAAAACTGCTTAAAATAACATGCTAGGAAAGTTTAGATAACACAATATCTTCAAATTCTTGTAGGTCGATTTCGCCGTCTCCATTTTGGTCAACTTGGTCTATAATGTCATTCCATACCTGTTCACTGCTAGATGCGCCGCCTTCGAGTACTTTTCTTAGTTCATCTGCTGATATGGAGCCATTTCCATCTTTATCGAACATCCTGAAGGCTGCTTTTAAGTTGTCTTAATCTTAATCTTAATTATCTATAACGCTTTACGTCCACTACGGGGTAGCCAGCTCCAGAGCTGTCACCATATTTTTCCACGTGTCGGGCCCAGAAATCTCTGGATCGATCCTTTTGATCGCCAGGGCACGGGTAAATAAGGCGTTCCGCCTTCGACGGGCTTCGCTGCCGCCACGACTTTATTCCGACTCAGCTCCTGCGCGTGTTCCGCCTGAGGGTCCATCTCCCTTGGATGTGCTGAGGGGTAAAGACCTGAGAGTCTTGATCGCACTGAGGAGCAGTTCCTCTGGTTATCTCTAAAGTTAAACCGCTGTTGTGTGCAGAAGTTCTCAAGGTAAAACCCAACCCCATAAATAAAATTGCTTGAGTGAGAGAAAGTTAGCGGAGCTAACTTCGCTTGAAGCGAAAGCCATTTTATTTATTGCTTTTAAGTTTTCAGTTGACATGACTTTTCTTATATCTAGAGTTGCTTTTAAAAATTCTGAGTAATTGATATAGCCATTGTTATCTGTGTCAACTTCTTTCATGACTCTATCTACATCAATGGCAGCTTGCTCAGCTCCTACTGTTTTTGTGTAAGTTTGCAAAAGCTCATGTCGGCTTATTTTGCCATCTCCATCTCTGTCCAAATTTCTGAAAACTTCTCTAATTCTTCTAGCATAATAGTAAACTGCATTTTTTTAAAATTATTTTTTGATGCATTTTAGCATTTCTAATGTGAACGTTCGGTATAATTCTTTGATTATACAAAATGTTTTTTAAATTAAAAGGAGTAAGCAGCTTTGTATCCTGAACAGAAATACATTGAGTTGTAATAAAAGTATATACAGCATCCCTCAATTTATTAGAGGAATGAAAGTTGTTTAGTTTCAACAAAACTTCTTGAATTATATCAGAGCTTGGCAAAGTTCTGTAAGCTCTTTGTGTAATCCATGGGTGTTGGATTGCTTGGCTTGCTGATAGCCTTTCATCGTTAGGACATAAAAGTCTGGAAATAAAGTTTTTAGCCTCACTTGAAATCCTTGGCCATGGGTCTGACTCCATATCAAATTTCCCAATTTTTACTTTTCCAAGAATTTCTGTATCATTTCTACCTTCAAAAGGTGGCTGCCCAGACAATAGTATATAAGAAATGACTCCGCAGCTCCATACATTAAAATGGCAACTGGAGAACCAGCCCTTTTCCTTAACACCTGCAGCCGGGTATCCCGGGGACCTTGTGGAAGGGGAAAAAGGTGCCCGGAGTGTGTATCTGGCTAGGTTTTACCTTGGCTCAATGGAGCGCAATGTCGAATTTAGTCGACCGCAGCTCATTTTAACACCAAGGGTTTTTACCTTGGGGAAAAAGGTCTTCCAAGCTGGAAAGGGGAAGCTCAGCAGCGTCAGGAGGTCTCTCCTGATCAATCGGGCAACTCCCTAGCGCGATATCGGGCGTTGCGTCCTGGGCTTGGATTTCCTTTTTGACCGACAGCCCTACCAGAAAATTTGTTTTTCAAATTTTCGGAATGGGCAACCTCGCATCTCACAACCTCAAGCAAGGCCGCAGAATTCCTAAATCTGCCCACTCAACATTGGAGCAAGGTGGTAGCTTGCAAGGAGGAGACGACCAACAGAACAGGCTAGCTGTAAAATCAGAGTCCTGTAGGCGGAAGTCGCAAAGCGGAGGAACCTTCGGGCCTGGGTGACTGCGTTAACAAGTAGCAGCTTAGCAGCTGATAATCTCGTAATTAAGAGTTAAGACTCCGCAGCTTCACATATCGCATTTTTCGTTATATTCTCCAGTAAGTACTTCTGGAGCCACATAATATGAAGTTCCCATGGCATTTTTATAGTGGTCACTGTCTCTATTCACAATGGCTGCTCCAAAGTCTATTATCCTTGATTAAAATAATTCATTTTGATTATATCTAAGTACTCAATTTCTGTAATTTACCTAAAAAAGCATAATTTTATATTCATAGTCTCATTTTGTTCTTCAAGCAGAATATTCTCAGGCTTCAAATCTCTATGAATAATAAAATTATCATGCATATAGGACACAGCTGACAAGATCTGCTGCATTATTTGTGCAGCATGGACTTCGTTAAAAGATTTTCTTTTAACAATTTCTGCATAAAGCTCTCCGCCGCTGCAATATAGAGTATCCACCTAAGTGGATCGCCATATGCCAAACGTCTCCCGAGACAGTGAAACCAATCATCGATATGGCAAATCTAGATTATCTGGATGGATTTACAATTTCAAGGATGGCTTCACAAATCCCCCGATCGTCTTGGGAGACATCGGACAGATGGCGATCCACTTAGGTGGATACCTTATATTCCATAACAATGTACAAACGTCTTTCGTCCTCGAAAAACTCATAAACTCTTACGATATTAGGATGATCTAGCTGTTTTAGGATTTCTATTTCCTGGTCAAGGGCTTGGCGTTTCAGGTTCTATAATTTTTTTAGAGATATTATACATTGTATAAACTCTGTTTTTTATCATTATTTTTTGAAAATAATACCCATATAAATTTTATTAATGCGAAATCATTTTGATAAAATTTTATCACGGGCGTTTCCCTCCACGCGAAATTAAATCTTTTCGAAAAATTTTCACAGCTCGTTTTTGTCCTGTATCTCTGTGAAAGCAGGTTTTTACTTCTCCAAAAGCGCCGCTGCCTAAATTTGACCCAACTCGGTAGATTTCTTGAAATTTGTTGGTGTTTTCTTGAACAAAGATTCCTGGGTCAACTTTAATTTCGCTGACATGGCTAATGCACTTTTCATCAAAAGGTTCTGGTTCAATTTTTGGCTTTGTCATGATTGAGCAACCCATTTTATTAAATTTTTTAACACTCATAAACGGAATGGAGCAGAAACCAAATTTGGTCTTTTATTATTAATTGATGATATCAGATTTACAATTGAAACTGCTTTAAATAAAGCAAATTTAGATGAAATTGCTGAATGTTATAGAATTTTTTATATACTTAAAACTTAATAAAAGTGCATTATTCTTCATGAATCAGTTCAGATTTTAATAAAAAATCTTTTTTCGATCTTAAAAATAATAAATGCAATCAAATTAAAATAATCCCCATAAATGTAAAAAACTATCCATAAAATTGCGATAAAAGATATATAATAGCGCTATATTCCTATGCACTTCACCTCTATAGCTTTTGTATCAACACTCTTACTTCCATGAACTAGCAAAACATTAAAAAATCCCTTGTTTTGAGAAAAACGCAACTCATTAAGCGATTTTATATATAAGGGACCATAGAGAAAAAATTATAACTTAAAAATAAAATTAGACGATTAGCAAAATGAGAAAATTTAGAAAATTAAGTAAAATATTTTAATTTTAAAATAAAAATAAAATAAAATATATAAGTTATACTATTATAATGAAATTTCTTAAATTCCCTTAAATTTTAAACAATTTGCATTCTAAAACTTGAATTTTTGCGAATTTTTAAATATGGAACATTTTTATAAATAAAAATAACTCTTCTCTACTCCGTGAGTAAGCAAAACGTTTTTGCAAAGGAGGGGGAGAAGTTAGATAAAATCATAATCATAAAATGGTTAAACACAATAACGTGGTTCCCAATGCACACTTTCATAAGGATTGGCAAAGCTACGTTAAGACTTGGTTCAACCAGCCTGCACGCAAGCAGCGCCGTCGTAAAGCAAGAAGTCTTAAGCTTGCCCAATCAGCTCCAGTCCCTCTTAAGACTTTAAGGCCAATTGTTCAGGGCCAGACCATTAGATATTGCTCTAAATCTAAAACAGGGCGTGGATTTTCACTCGAGGAACTCAGAGGGGCTAATTTAACTGCTCAATTTGCCAGATCGATTGGAATTAAAGTGGATCATAGAAGAAGAAACAAGAGTGCTGAAACTTTGCAGAGAAATGTGCAGAGATTGGAGCTCTTCAAGTCAAAGCTCACACTTTACCCACTCAAAGCTGGTAAACCAAAGAAAGGGCAGGTAAATGATGCAGTAAGTTCTTAACTTTAATGCATTTATCGAATAAAAATTGTAATTAAATTATGAGAAAAGATTGGGATATTTTTTATAAATCTCATGCTGCTAAGAGTGAGCAAAACAGTATAAGCATTTTATGTTATAAGTTTTTTGGGTAAAATATACTCAGTTATTTTATCGAAAAACAGCTTAAAACTTAGATTAACTTGCTAAATTCCCCTTCTCAGTGAGAAAACAAATAATAGAATAAGAAATATTAGCTTAGACTATAATATATTTCTGGACACAAAGAAATAATGCGAGGAAGCCTATCAGAATACTCTTACATTCCATCAAATTAGTATTATATAATTAACCATCTTAAATAATTTACAGCTGATTTGAATTATCTGGGTATCTATTTATAATACCAAGTAAGATTCTTTACTTATTACGGATTAATTGCATTAATTAATTAAAATATTCAATTTATTCATGCTCTTCAAGAAATAGCATTAATGTAATAGCTGTAGCTCCAAGCATAAGTGAGCTAAACTTCGCTCATTTATTTTTGGAGATCGCAAATTCCTCTACTACAATTTCAGACGCTGAAATATAAAGAAAAGTGCCAGTTGTAAAGCTCAAAAGCACCCCAATCATAAAAGTTGATATATATTTCATCACAAGCATTCCCATAACAATCCCAATCGGACTTGCCATTATAAGCAAAGACACTGACGCAAAAGCATGCTTTTGCGTCATGTCTCCTAGGCTAATACACAGCGCCAAGATTTCAGGTACTTTGTGTATAGTCACTGCAATGGTCAGATTCATTAAATCTTTACTGTTTTCTTGGAGTCCAATAGCAAACCCTTCAAGAATTCCATGAAGGGATAAAGCAATGATAAGGAGCACTGAGCTTACATATGAAGTGTGCCATTTATTGCATTTATCTAAAAATGGTTTTCTAAGCTCTTCGCAGACTGATCCACAATTTTCTCCGCAGCCTGAACCAAGATGACATACTACTCGGTCTCTTGTGGAAATGACATGCTTCAGTCTGGTTTCTTCTTCGTCTATACCTGGCTGATGGTTGTGGACGCCAAGGTCAACATGCTGATTCCCATGTGTCACCAAGTGATGATCAGAAAAGGCAATTTTATCGATAAAAAGTATAAAAAAATACCCGATCAAGGCTATTAAAAAGCCAAGAGGCAAAACTTTAAATTCTTGGAGCTTTTCGACTCCTTCTGGCAATAAATGCAATAAGGCAATTGCAAGAAATGTTCCACCTGCAAATGAATTAAAAATCCCTGTCAACCGGCTTGGGATTTTTTTTCTGAGTAAAAGTTACAATGCATAAGCAGTGAGACCTACAAGGATTGATAAAAATAGAATAAGGCTTAGTGAGAGAATTTTCCAATTGTAAAGATCCATTTTAATCTATATAATTAGTCTATCCTATGTATTTTAAATTAAAATTATAGAGCGTTATAATAAAAATAATAAATTCAGTTTACTAAATTCTTAACTAAATAAAGATTCGTGAATTTGCTTCCAGATTTATTAATTATACTAGAGCCTCTTGAAACAGTCTATAACGATGATACTAATCCATGTTAAATATAGAAGCTGTTTTGAGCAGCAAGTGGATTTCAGTTAGATATCCGCGATCTTTATTTCATCAAATATATACGACATTTTTATACTTTTTAGTATTTTTCTTGTTAAGCCCTTATATATGATCCTTCCTTCATATTTTAAAATAATGCCAACTTGATTAATTTTTATTATATAAGCCAGTAAGGCATTTCCATATTTTAACATGAATAGCATCAAGTTTTGAATTCAAATTAAAAGCAAACTATTCTTTTAATATAAAAATCCTATGCTTTTCTTTGAGTATAAATTTTACTACTTTTCTTATTTAAATTGCTTTAATTTCACTTTTATTATAATATTTCTCTTTATTAAAAATATAAAATTTTACGTTTCGAATTCTTAATATTGAATCTGGCAGCTCGAGGGATTTAATTTTCAAAGCGACATCATATAAAGATTCATAAGCTGATCCATGTCTCCAACTTGACTGCTAGTATTTTCCTTTTTAATCTTATGATTATTCAGCTGATAATTAAATAGGTCTTTAGCAGCATAATCATAATATACAAACCAGAGATCGCTCCCGATCTCATATTTCTTAAGTAGCTCAGCTTGACCTTGCTCTGTAAACCACTCCCGATACTGGTCTACAAAGGTTTTATGAGAGAATAAAAAATCTTTATACTTTTTGCCATAGGACAAAAATCTGTTTCCTTTTTCTGGTTTACCTTTATTTCCTAACTCCCCCTCCCATCCTTGATCGAACGATTGACTGTAAAAAATCCTAAAAATTGGGAAAATTAAACCCCATCCTTGATCGAACGATTTTCATATTATGCAAATTTTTATATATATAAAATATATTAGTTATCAAAAGCTTAGGAAGATGTGCATAATGAAGTTGTTTTCAGAGCTTTGAGACTACAGAAAGCTGCGAAATCAACCATCCAAAGTGATTTAGCCATCAACCTAGGCTTAAAAACTCAATAATCTAAATAAAATAGAGATTCTTTAAAATTTAAAAAAAAAAAAAATTTTAATTCAGTAAGGGACAAATTAAAATTTCAAAATATTGAAAATTGGTATTTTATGAAATTAATTCAATTTTTTGCTGTAAAAATAATTATTAAATACTCTTAACCCTCTTATTTAAAAGTAAATAAAAAAAATATATTTCTATATATTTTTTTTTTAACCCCCATCCTTGATCAAACGATGGCGAGTCGTTCGATCAAGGATGGGGGGGAGTAAGTACATATGCCAGAATTTTTTTTCCTCTTTACTTACTCCCCCCTCCGTAAGTGAACAAAAAAATTTTGTTCGGGAGTTGATTTTTTTTTTAAAAAACATTTATATAGAAATTGTTTTTTCTAAATTTTAAAAAAATACTAATTTGCAAAAATTGTGAAGCAAATATTAGTTTAATTTATAAAATTTATGTTTTAAAACGCAATTTGTTTAAAATTAAATAGAATTAGTTCGAGATTTCATCATACTAATTACCACTTATATATCAATTATTTTTTCTTAAAAAGTTTTTTCTATTACAAAAAATTTTTATTCGCTCACGAAGGGTGGGTTTTTGGACAAAAAAATAGGGATTTTTCCAATGGCTTTGTTCACTCACGGAGGGGGGAGTTAGAGATTCCTCAATTTTCTGAAAATGAAACTTCATATAGCTTCTGAACGATCTTAGTCAGTACTTGTCTTTTTCTTCTGTCTTTTTCTTAATTGGATCATTTGGTCTGAGAGGCTTTCTTCCTCGTTTCTTCTTACAATGTACTTCAGCTGAAATTTCAGGAGAGGCTTGCTGGGGCAAGCTATTATAACTCTCCTGACTTAAATTAGGAGCATATGCGAAACCGTTTAGGCTTAAGTCATATCAATTACCCATGCTTTCAGGGTATAAAGAATAATTATAAAAAGTAGCTGGGGCGTTATTTTGCATGTTTTGAACAAATTCGGACAGGTCTTGGTGAAGGCTCATACACACTTTAAGGTAAAATATATTCTAATTTAGTGACATCATGGTATTCAAAATGAGAGAGAGTTAAATTAAGTAATCAGAAACGAGGACTTATTTCAATACTAAGGTACCAAATGCATATATTTGATATTAATTCTTTTATTTGATAAGAGAATTAATAAGACTCACGATTTTTATGTGATTATCCTTGGGTGAAAAAATTCTGAGTTGGAGAGGAAAATTAATTTTTGAGTCTTTATAAATAAGAAATGAAATTAAATATATTCTGACCGTTTTAATTTTTATTTTAGCGATATCTGATGTTTATAACGTATCGACAATATTTGGAGATAATTTAAAAAACCTTGACATTTATGAATTTTTAGGATTGAAATTTTTAAAAAATTACTTATAATAAAATTTTATAAATTAATTATTGAGGCCAAAACTGTCTATAAGCAGTGAGCTGCTGTAATTAATAAAAGACTGGTGTAATTCATGAGCAAGGATGAATCTTCGCATATTATAATTTTTATTATAGCAAAGGTATTAAAATTTTTCAATTTTTTCATAAAAATTGTTAAAAACGGAGATTGGGTGAATTATAAAGTATATTAAATTTTATTTAAAAATTAAGGAAAAGTTTTAAAATATAAATTTGAAATTTAATCAAAATCAAATAATTTTTATATTTGGGGATTCAAAAACGCCAAACTAAATTCAAGAATAATTTAAAAAAGCCTGCTAATTTCACTATTATCTAAAGAAGAGAAGTGAAGGCCAAAATAGTACGAACTTAAGTGCTACATGCTTTTTTATGTAAGAGAAATTTTGTCGAAACTTTTTCCTAATAAATGCTGTAGGTTTTTTTTGAAACAAAAGTATCACTATCAAAAATTTCGACAAATCTTCTTGAAGAAAATATCACACTGTCAAAACTCCTAATCAAATGATATTTTGAGAACTAAAGAATTAGACTTTAGTTGCTAATATTATTTAGCAATGAACTATATAAACGAAACTTAGCAATACAGCTGGGGTTTTCTAATAATTATTATTAAATAGAAGCCTTATCTCATCTATATTTTTTAATAGCTTGCTAAAACAAGATTTTAAATTAATTTTATTTATAATTTCTTACCTAATAAATTTTATAAACAATATATATGATTAAATATTTATACTGCTTCAGCAAGCTTTCATAATAATCTAAAATTCATTCCTTTTAGAAAGACTTCCTCCGACTATTGTTTTTCTTATATTTGAATAAGAAACAGCTCCAATATGACTAATCGTCGCCCTTGAAAGCTCAGCTTGCTTATTAAACTGGTGTATCGAAAACTTATAAGCTTTTAATTTTTCTCTATAACGATGCGCCTTGTTTTCAAGCTCGGCACATCTATCATTCAGCCTTTTTATTTTCTTCTCGTTTGCTTCATTTTCTATCTTATATTTTGATTTTTTAGCTGCTACTCTATGGAACTTCTTGGTAAGTTCGCATAAGCTATGCTGTATAAATTTATTTTCAATTCTCATTTGTCTTTCATCTTGGTTTAGTGCCACTTCTAGCTCTTTGCATTTTTTCTTAGATTCATCAAGTTGGCTATTAAGTGATATTATGCTATTTGTTCTATTCTGAATCTCAGCAACAAACGATTTTTTTTCATTATTCCAAAGTTCCCATGAGCGCAATACTGATACAGTTGCTGACCTTTGGATTTCATCTTCATCTAAACTCAAAAGCGATTTTATTTTGTCTTCAGAGCTGCATGTAGACTCTACTAATCCTTCTTCAAGGTCTGGATCTTCTCACCCAGTTTTGATTCTTTTTTCTATAACTTTTTCAATTGCTCCATTTTGCAATTTTTTAATTTCTTCTTTAAGCTGATCAATTTCATACTCTTTTGCCAAAATTTCTTGTTTTAGTTCAAATTCTTTTTCGGCAAGCCCTTTGTTTTTTTTTGTAAGCTTCTCATTGGTGTCAATTAATGTGAAGATTTTTTCTTCTTTTTCTTTAATGTCAGATTTTAGTGTTTTTGTTAAATTATTGGCTTTTTCTAATTCTTTTACCATATAATCACTTACAGATTTTAAGCTTTCTAACCCCCCCCCCCCCCCTCCGTGAGCGAACAAAACCATTAGAAAAATCGCCATTTTTTGACCAAAAACCCACCCTCCGTGAGTGAACAAAATGTTTTTAATAGAAAAAAAAATTTTAATGGAAAAAAATTTTGATATATAAGTGATAATTAGTATAATGAAATCTAGAGCTAATTCTGTTTAATTTTAAACAAATTGCGTTTTAAAACATAAATTTTGCAAATTAAATTAATATTTGCTTCCCAATTTTTGCAAATTAGGATTTTTTTAAATTTCGAAAAAAATATTTTTTATAAAATTTATATATAAATTTTTTTTAAAAAAAAAAAATTAACCCCCCTCCGTGAGCGAACAAAATTTTTTTGTTCGCTCACGGAGGGGGGGGGGGAGTAAGTCAACTTGAGTTTGGCTTAAGTCTTGGCTTAAAGAATGGTTGGTTTGGACTTCTTCTGAAAGCCGAGACCGTATGTCTTCAAGCTCGTGGAAAATCTCATCATATTCAGACATCTTAGAGAGGTTAAGGAGTGATGAGTCTCCTTCAATATTTAATCCGAAAGGTAATAAATTATCTGGAATTTGATGTCCAGACTGCTGCAAATTTATTTCAAGCTCAGAAATTCGTTTATTCTTTTCGGTGATTTCTTCTCTAGCTTTTGATAGTAAAATCTTGAGTTCTCCAACTGTGTATTCACGGTTTACTTTAGGCTTATTTTTAATAGCTTTAGCTCTGATGCCAAATCTTAACGTGCTTATAGTTTCACTCTCATTGTACGGAGATGGTGAGCAGGTGACAATAAGTGTAGTTTTTGAGTTTCCTCCTAAAGAATCTTGCAGAACTCTTGTCAGCTTGGAATCCCTGTAAGGAACATGTGTTGATTTACCATCTGTTAAAGCTGATATCACTTGCCCCAGAGTTGTTAAAGATTTATTTATATTTTTAGCTTCCTCAAGTCTTTTCCCTTCAGCTCCTGTTTTTCCTACTTTTTCACTTCCAGCAAGGTCGACCAAATACAACTTGCCTACTTTTGTTGACAAAACTTTCGTATTTGATTGTGCGATTGTAATAATAAATATTGAGTGAGATCTTGATGATCCAGCATTCATATGAGTATAGCCAACTTCTCGATTTTCTAGCCCCAAACTCATTAAATCGTATACTTCTTGGTCATCATTTACATATTTCTCAGATAATCCTGAGATATAAATCCCTCTTATTCTGTCTTCATGAATTTTTAAATTATTTTTGTTTGGTTCAAGTAAGTCTTTAATTTTCTCCATATATGCATTTATAGACTATTTAATCCAAATAAAAAAGGGGTGAAGTCCATGAACGTGTCTTTTAATAGTCTTTATGTCATCGGAGAAAATTGGTTGGAAATTTTAAATATATGCCATTTGTTCGAAATTTAATGGTTTTTGGGTCAAATCTCTCGCTATCAAAAAATTTTGAACAAATTTCCCCTAGGAAATGTCGCACTATTAAAAAGTGCAAGATAATTTGGCATGAAGCGAAATAAAAGTTTGCTTAAAATCGTTGATAATTATATTTAATTAGGTATATATTTCGCAGTATGATACTTTAACTTGGAATTCCAAGTAATCTTCAGAGTTTCCAATAGACTCAAAAACAGTGCTTACCATTCTCGGAATAATACCCATCATTTCTGGATCTGAAACATCAGAACCAGACATGGTAAATGTTTTACCACTTGAAGTTTGGCCATAGGCAAAAATTGTACCATTGAATCCTTGGGTTACTGCTTCTACAATAGGCTTAGCTGAGATCTCGTATTGTCCATTGGAATTTTTTAATAGATCTCTAATATAGAAAAAATTTTTAGTTTATGAAATTGAAAGCTGCTTAAAAAATCCTAATCTAGTATATACTGAAGATTGAGAAGATGAAGGGTCAAAAACATGGTCAAAATTAAACTTCAGAGGCTCAGCATTTTCTGTATGGCTTTGTACAGTCACAGTTTTACAGTCAGAGCTAAAATCAATGCATGTTTGCATCGAAATTTCTTTTTCTTTTTCATTGAGCGGACGGAAACGGCATATGACTCTTATATTTCCTAAGTCAGAATCTGCATGCTCTTCCATTTTTATAGATCAGAATTATAAAAAACTAGGTTTTTTAATCAATTTATTCCATTATTAAAATATTTTTTTTTTCAATCAATAAATATATCGCCACTAATTATTAAAGCCATTTATGATCAAAAAGTCATTAGTAATTTTGTCCTTTAATCTCCGTCAAATCTTAGAATGCAGCCGAAAGTTCTATTAAATAAGTTTAATATTATCTTTTGCCAGAACTGCTTATTGGGTTTGCGTGTGGAGTCTGCACGCTTGAGCGACTCCAAAATTGAAAATTATTCGAGAAATTGAGTCTAATAAAGAATTTACGCCAAAAAAATGCTTTATTAGTAAAATATTCATATAAAAAATAAAATGGGTAGATTATTAAAATTCTTTGCGATCAAATTATAATAATTAATTTTTGAGCAGAAAGATACCTTGCAATATAAATAAATTAACTCAAAGAAGATTTTTATTCAGCAGGAAAAATCTGGTTAGATTTTTATAATTATTTACTCCCCATTTAATTGGAACGGCATAATAAGCTTAATAATAATAAAAAATTAATTAATTGTTATGATGCAACAATTATCATAATTAAATGGGAAACTGTGCTCACTCCCCCCCCCTTTAAATGAAACAAAATATAGGTAAAATTCCTACTTTTTTGGGAAATTACCCCCCCTTTAAATTGAAACAAAATTTTATTATAATAGAAAATTTTATAGGTAAAAAATCATTATTTTATATGTAAATACGTTAATACCCTATTTAATATGCTTCAAACATAGGCATTGTCATAAAATTATAATGTTATTAAATATAATTTACTCAATTTATTGTCTCTTTAAATTTATATAATTTATTTTCTATAAAATTTTATCTCTGAAAAAAATTTTATATATAAATTGTTTTACAAAAAAATTTTCTTAACCCCCCTTTAAATTGAAACAAAGTTTTTTGTTTCAATTTAAAGGGGGGGGGGGAGTCAGACAAAAAATTCTAACAAATCCAAATCAAAGATATCACGAAAGATTTCTTTTAATCTAAAATCTGTAGCATCAGATCCCACTGCAAAAACTTCAGGACTTATCTCTGTAGGATCAAATCCATACTCCACTGGCCCTGTTGCTGACAAAAAATCAGCAAAAATTTTTCTTACCCCTAAAGCCTCTGACCAGTCCAAAGCTTTTTTCCGAACTCCTAATGGAAGGAAAAAAACTGCAGCACAAAACTTTTTACGTAGCAAAGAAACAAGTGAGGAATATAAAACAAATCAAATAAAAAGCGAAAATGATTATCAGATTATAAGAAAAGCTATAGAAAGCATTATTCTTCTGAACTCATTGCCAAAAATGATTCTTGAATTGGTTATCTCAGAAATGAGCCTATATTTCTTACATAAAAATGATATTTTATTTAGCCAGGATGAGTATGGAAATACTTTATTTATTGTCGCTTCAGGAAAATTAGGGTTATTTGCTGATGAAGTTTCTAAAGGATCTCTTAAAAGAGGGCAATATATTGGAGAAATTGCCCTAATGCACAGCTTTAAGCATGGAGTGACTGTAAAAGCTTTAGAAAATTCCTTACTTTGGGGGATTGATAGGAAGAATTTTAGATTAGTTATAGAAAGCATAAGCACAAGTATTTACAATGATAATAAAAATCTGATAGAAAATTCTCAAATATTCAGACAATTGACTATATCCCAAAAAGAAAAAATTTTAGACATAATTATTACCCAAGAATTTTCAGATGGAGAAATAATCGTAAATGAAGGAGACTTAAGTGAATTTATTTATATCATAAAAGAAGGAACAGCTATATGCAAGAAAAATAACATAGATATTAAAGAACTTAAAAGAGGAGACTATTTCGGAGAGCAATCTCTTCTTTATAAAACCAAAAAAACAATGTGTGTAGTGTCCAAAGGAAAAGCAAAAATTTTGTGTTTAAGCAGAAGCGATATTTATAGAGTCCTCGGAGATTTTTTACAAAAAATTTTACATAAAAACTGCATCAAAAAAGCTATAAAAAGAAATGAAATATTACAACAGCTGAGCGAAGATCAAATTTGTGCTATAATTAATAAAGTGAAAACAAAGAATTATATGAAAGATGAAAATCTGTCGATTTCAAGTGAAAAGGGGCCTCGTTTACTTTTTATATTAAATGGATCCATAAAATCAATCCATACAGATAGTGAATTTATACAAGGCCAGTGTATTGGAGATAGAGAAATGCTAAATCCAGAGCAAATTAATGATGATGAATATATAAGCACTGCAAGCACTGATATAGCTGAATTGACGATCAGTGAATTTCAGGAGTGCATAGGAGGAAGTTTAGAAAATGTTATTAATCAAAACGATGTGATAAAAGTGCTTAAAAATGTAGCTCTTTTCGATCCTATACCGAACCATAAATTAGAGCAGCTTGTTAGCGTTATAAAGATTTGTGCATTTAGAGATAAACAATCTCTATATTTGGAAGGAGCAGAAGCGGACTGCTTTTTTATTGTGATAGCAGGTAGAGTTGATATATTAAAAGGTGAGGGCAAGGTTAATACATTCAAAACTGGACATTTATTTGGTGTAGAAGTTTTTAATCTGGATAAACATAGAACCTTCACTCTGCAGATGGGTTTTGCCCCGCTATAAGGGCTTTTTCCTGACTACAGATGCCTGCAGAGGGTCGAGATAAGCGGCTGGAGCAGAGATCAGTGAATGCTGAGATGAAGTAAGTGGCGAGCAAGTCTTAAACCTACATTCTCAAGCGGCATGGGTCGTTTACTGGTCATCGGCAACAACTGGAGAGGAGGTTTTGGAATCTCGAGGATGAGAACTGTGCAATAAGTCCATAATAGCTGAGATGCCACCTGATGATACCCTCAGGTGAGCTCGATCAGGAATTAAGATTATAAGTAAGGATAAACATAGAACACAGAGTGCAATATCTCATGGAAACTCTACTGTTTATTCTATTGAATATCAAGAATTCATTGATACTATTAGTGAAAATCTTCATAAAGTTATTAAAAAATATACACAGCTTCATATTGAAGATTTTAACTTGAGAAATTTTTATGTCATAAAAAGCCTGAGCAATAATAAGCATACCCATCTTTTTCTGGTAGTTCAAAAATACACAAAGCAACTATATACACTAAAAATTACAGAAAAATCTCGTGTTTTTAATCACAACATTTCCGAAAAACTATTACTATTACGATATCCATTACTTTCGAATATATTAGCTCACAAAGAAGATGAAGAAAGAATTTATCAATTAGAAGAATTCGTCAAAGGATCAGATTTATATGAAATTTTAAAAGAAGTAGGCCCATTTTCTAATAAAACTGCAAAATTTTATGCAGCCTGTATAATCTTGATAATAGAAAAATTGCATGAATTAGGAATTATGCATAGAGATTATAAACCAGAAAATATTATGATAGACGAAGATGGTTATCCAAAACTAATTGATTTTAATGCAGCAAAAATCATTAATGGGCGCACTTACACTGTCATCGGAACTCCGCACTACATGGCACCAGAAGTTATTTTAGGTATAGGCTACAATTTCTCAGCTGAGTACTGGAGTTTAGGAACAATTATTTATGAATTTTTATATGGAAAATTACCTTTCGGCGAAAACTATGACGATCCATATTCAATTTACCAACAAATCCTCCAAAATAGCCTAGTATTTCCTGACTCACCAAGAATAAAATCAGAAGTAAGGCATTTAATATCCCAGCTTTTAAGCAAAAATCCAGCATTACGGAAGAATCACGAATCCTTGAAGCTTCACCCATGATTCCACAGCATAGACTGGGAAGAATTATCCGACCGATCCTTATCCTCACCATACAATCCTCCATCGCACAATATGTATTCAGAAATAGCCGAAGCAATAAGAAACAAAGAAGACCCTCTTTATGTGATGATGCTGAAGAATTAATGCTAAATTATTAGTTAAATAATATATAGAGTTATTTATTTTTTATTGCTTGTTTGTAACTCTCTATTTATGATTAGACACATTTACATTTCCATGACTGTAAATTGACAATAACAGTGTTGCGATTTCTTCTAAGACAACCAAGTCTTCATCTCTGGATTGATGAAGGACTTTTACGATCAGTTGGTAGAAGTTATGCTTATCTAGAAGCTGTCTAGGCTTTGGGTGCCTTCCTACGACTCCTAAAAGCAGCTCTAAACAGTTTTTTATTTTTCCTGGCTCTTTTCGACTGTCACTTAGTTTGATAAAAAGGTTCTGCAGAAAGGATTCTCTGTATCCGAATTCTTTGCATAGCTTTTCTGAACTATTTATATAATTTATATGGCTGATATAGCAAATAAAGGATTTTAATATAAAATTATCTTTAAAATAGCATAAAATAGTATAATTTTTAGCATGCACTGCAAAGATTGAACAGAATGCAAAGAATCTGAAAAAGTTTCTATTAATTTTTGTATGAAATTTTCATTTATCATATATTCTTCACATTTTATAGGCTCCAAATTTACTCATAAAGCAATTGCGTCAAAAACTGGAGGGTATTTAATAAGCAGATTGGAAAATATTGGCAAAACATTGTGGTTATGCAAGTGGGCACGGCATGCAGGTGATGCTGATATGAAGCTGCACAAAAGAGATATGCTGATTTGGGCAGCTTTTCCTGGTTGGTCAATAATTTCTAGGATGGTTGGAATTATTCCAGCAAGGACTGCTTGCTCTTGTCGTGCAGGACTCATCATGCACAAGTAGTTAAGAGCTGTGAGTACAGCTAGTCTAATTTCAGGGGCTTGATCTTTGTTTATTATTCTTACTAAATCTGCAACAAATCCTATACAATTAAAATTAAATTTATTTCTTCAAATTTAGCTTTGCTTTAAATGCAATTTTACTATAAAAAATATATAAAAACATTTTTATATAATTAGCTCCCAATCGATATTATAAATAAAATCCTAAATTCTAATAAAATCGGCTTTTTATTTAGTATAAATTAAAACTTAATCAATCTAATATAAATATGTTTTCAAGCCTGTTTTGAAGAGTCCTATCACTCGCTAGATAAGTTAACGCCCTCAAAATCTGCAGTTTTGGCTGAATTGGCAACGAATGCATCGTCGAAATAATAATTATCAGTGTATCTTCTTCACAAAACTTCATCAGCACACTTCTCGGTCCCTACATATCTTTTACAGTTGAAAACGCCAATATTAAATCTGCAGTTTTCTGCAAATGAGTCAAATGGTCTGGGTTTCCATTCAGATTGTCAAGTGTCAATGCTAATCTTTCAATGACCCCACAGCTTGCCCATATTCTTAAGTATTCTTCTCTTTGCTCTGTCATCAATTCTAGCAAGCAGTCAATCCCTAGTATAATCAGTTCATGGTTTTCTTCATAATTTGGGTCCAATAATTTTATTATTGCTTCTATCCCTCCAGACGACAGCATAAGCTTTATTATATGCTGACTAGATTGAAAAAGCTGGCCAATTAAATAAGCTGCTTCAATCCTCAGCTCTTTATAGTATTCTTCACCTATATATCGGAGTGCTACTGTAAGCAAGCCTGTACAAGCAGCCATTTCTTGCATATTTTGATCGTTCTCACATAATAAATTTACACATTGAAGAGCGAGATGAAGTGTTTCTGAGGCTTCTAATTCGTCTAAAATTTGTTTTAGAATAGGAATAGCAGGGGATGATAATTCTTTTAAATTAGGATGAGACTTTAATAAATCTAGAAACTCAGGCAAAACAGCATCAAGATTTTGAAAAGTATCAAGTGCATCTAGCATTTTTTCGAGCTCATTAGCTTCTGATTGGTTTCATTGATGAATAATTGATTCTTCATGCTTTGGACTCTGTTTTCTAGTATCTTTCAGCTGATTTACAGCTGTGAAATACCCAAATTCATTAGCCTCCACTTTTGTGCTTTTATTAGTCAAATTAAAATTGCTATACTTTTTGCTATCAGTCGGCTTGATTTTCAGCTCTTTGACTGTGCTGATTTTTTCTTCATATTCGTGATCTTCATCCACAAGGACTTGTTCTTCAAAAATCAGATTTTTTTCAGGAGGAGATGGGACTTGGATATCTAAATTTATAGGGACTATGGTTTGTATATCTTCATCAGACTCTTGAGTTGTGTTAGTTATAGGCTCAACTTCTTCATGAATTGGGATTTTTTCATTTAAATTTGGCTTTATCCAAGGATGCATAAGCAAAGTAGGTGCATCAACTCTTACAATGGGCTCTTTTTGGAAACATTTTAATAAAAAATCTTTTAGGTCTGGGGAAATATTTCCAGGTAGAGGAGGGCAGTCGTCTTGGACTATTCTATAAAGTGCTGACATAGTTTCTAGCTCGAAATAAGGAGGATACCCTGTAAGCAGCTCTATTACAGTGCAGCCTAAGCTTCAGATATCACATGCAGTTGTACAAAACCCAGTCTGTTCTACAATTTCTGGGGCCATCCAGTAAGGAGTCCCCACAATGCTCATACTTTTGGTGCTTTCGGTCAATTTCATAGCTACTCCAAAATCAGCCAATTTTACGACGCCTTCTTTAGTTGTCAATAAATTTGCGCCTTTTATATCTCTGTGGACTACACCTTGAGAATGAAGGTAGCATAAACCTTCAAGAACTTGTTTTGTGAAATGCGCTACAAGATTCTCTTGGAAAGGACTGAATTTTTTTATAATGGCGGCTAATGAGCCGCTTTCGATAAATTCCAATACTATGTTGAGATACTGATCAGAAGATATAACATCTAAATAAAAGGATTTTTGAAACTCCTTATATAAATTTTTTTTTTGATATAAAATTTATATTTTTGGTGAAAAATGCTTTCTAATTGAAAAAAAAGGTATTTGGATATAATACAATGAATGGTAACAAAATAAAACTAACCGATATATTTAACGATGTTTTGGTGGGATAAACGTTTCATTAGGTTAATTTCTTTGTGGATTGAGGATATTTGATCTTCTGACACATTTACGACTGAAATTTGTTTTATTGCGACTATTTGAGCTGTTTCTTTGTTAAGGGCTTTATAAACTTTTCCAAAAGCCCCTTTGCCAATGCAATCTCCAAGTTGCTATATAAAATTTACATAATTGCCAATTGTTTTGCTTTGAGGTTTGTCCATAATAATCTTATAATTAAAGCATTACAGAAATTTGCATTATCCTAAATTAAACACTATGAAAACCATCCAGCAACATTTTCTAATATAATTATATTTCTTAATTAAGTTATACAATATTCCACTCTGATTTATTATTATCATCAGAAATAAATGTCCAAGGAAGCATGCTCGACCGACCTAGAGCATGCTTAAATTAAGTTAGTTATTTCTCCCCAGGTGAGGTTCTTGGCTCAGCCGACCTTGAGCTTTTCCTCAAGCCGGCCCTGCCATCGGGCCAACGGACTCAGGGCTCCTGGGATAGGATGGCTGGCGAGATAGACCGGCATCAAGGCCTGCGGGACGAAGACTGGGCAGTGTAGGCTGCACGAGTCTCTGCGCAATTCAGAGTTGGCAGAGAGGTGGATCGTCTAAGCAAGATGGAAGCAAGTCCGCAGCTCATCGGACTCCGATGGAGGAGACGCGAGTTAATTGGGTGCAATCGCATCGAAGACGGGTGCTCTGGCTAAGACAACGGGCGTGAGATGAGGAGATAAACTACCTCGTCGTCGCTAGCGATGGTTAATTAAGGCCATATGGCCTAGCGCGGTGAGCTTTGGCTCCGCCATAAAATGGTCTTACGACCTCTAAATAATATGATGATGATGATTTATTATTATCATATAAAAATAAGAAATGCTTGTTTTATCGTTTTTTAAAATCCTTAACATTAAAGAAAAGATAATATTTGATTTTTAAACAAGGATTAAAGTTAATATAATTCCTGATATTTATCGGAAAATGACCAATATCGATTTATACAGTAATTGAAAGCATAACTTTAAGAAAAAATTGTTGACTGGATATAAGTTTAAGGTTTATTAATCTATTAGATAGAATCTTATAATAAACTAACATTAAGAAACTGAATCACTCAAGCTATCTGTCAGCTGATGTTCTTCATAAGGCTGAATGTCTCTTTTTTTCTTTTCTTGATGTTTTTTTCATCATATTTTGAAAAGAAAACTATCATTGAAGCGCCGAAAATCGCTAAATATGAATTCCAACCAGAGGCCAACCTTTCCTTCAAGAATTGATCTGAAGACACATAATAACTAGCTGCGCAAGAGCCTAAGCAGTTATTACATGAGCATGAACGAATATTATATAGTTTGTGAATGCTAATAGACTCTATAAACACTTAATATAGTTTTGCATTAAAAAAATTAGCTTCCTTTAAAGTGGAACAGGATTTTTTGTACCAATTTAAAAGGGGGAGCTATGAAGAGGAATTTGAGCTATATATAAATTTATATTAGTTACAAAAATAACAATTTGCATAAATTTCAAGTAAAAGTGTAATTGATTGATAAGTTAATGCTTTATAATGCAAGGTATTAAAAACTTAAAGGATCAGCTAATAGCCTCATTAATATTAATCGCCGCTTATATGTGAAAATACTTTATATAAAAAGTTTACTGCTCATGGAGAAGATTAATTTCCCGAAAATTTAGGATTTTTCAAATAGGTCTTCTAGCTCATCAAGGGAGGGAGTTACCAATTAAATAAGTTTTTCAATAGTTTATATAGAGTTCTTGAGACATCATATAACGATTATGTTGTTTGAATCCTATAAGCATAAGATGTAAGAAGTGTAAATAATTTTTATGTATATATGCTAATCAATATTAGTTAGGCAAATACATATCTATTATCCATGATATATTTTTATAGAATAAAAATGAATATCAAGCCAGATAATACAAATCATATAAATGTTCCATAAATAGAATTAAGCATAGTTGATATGGAGAGAAGACTTTCATGAATTGAAAATGTCAGATTATGATAAATTGAGATATGCTCATTGGATGTGTGCATTTGATTCTTTAGGGCTTGGAGCTACATAAAATGATTAATAAATAAGAAAACACAGTCTTATTAATGGTTAGTAATTAGTTTAATCTATGCTAATAATTAAATAACAGTTTTTAATTTCTCATTTTTGTGAAGGCAGAGTATTAGCTCATAGGATAAAAAGATTAGCTATTGTAAAAATTAATATTAAGAAGCTGAGCTATTCAAACTGTCCGTTAGCTGATGCTCTTCATAAGGCTGAATATCTCTCATTTTCTTTTCTTGATGCTTTTTCCAAGCATACTTTGAAAAAAAGATTATCATAGAAACCCCAAGAATCACCAAATAAGCAATTCCAACCAGAGGCCAATCAAGCCCTTCAAGAGTTGATGGAGAAGACACATAATAACTTGCTGCACAAGAGTTCAGACAGTTATTACATGTGCATGGCTGAATATTATACCCAAACATGCTCGTCACATTTGTATTACAAGGCAAAAGTTCTAAATCCAAAGCTTCAGGCCCATCAGAAAACAGAAAAGTTGTCCAAATAAACTCAATAGAAATCCCTTCATACCCTTGAAATTGTAAAAAGCCTTCAGGACTTTGCATTGCTGAAACTTGTGTGACGTAAGGGCATTTTTGGCAGGATTGATAAAGTTCGCAAGATAAAGAATTTGTGACTGTGAAATTAGTAAGCATTGTCAGGACTTTTTGCTGGCCCCCATCCTTGATCGAACGATTTTCATATCATGCAAATTTTTATATATGGAAAAATATATAAGTTATCAAAAGCTTGGGAAGATGTGTGTCTAATGAAGTTGTTGTCAGAGGCTTTGAGACGACAAAAAGCTACGGAATCAACCATCCTAAGTGCTTTAGTCATCAACCTCGGCTTAAAAACTCAATAATCTAAAAATAGAGATTCTTTAAAATTTAAAATTTTTAATTCAATAAGGAACAAATTAAAATTTATACAGTTTAAAGGGGTAATCAAAAAATCAAAATATTAAAAATTGGTATTCTTATGAAATTAATTCAATTTTTTTTGCTATAAAAATAATTATTAAATACTCTTAACCCTCTTATTTAAAAGTATATAAAAAAAAATTTTTTTAACCCCCATCCTTGATCGAACGATGGCAAGCCGTTCGATCAAGGATGGGGGAGTGAGGACTTACAGGGTTAGGGACATATATTACTGGTCCCGCTTGAACAAATTGTGCTTGATTAGGATTGCATGTAAAGTGGCATCACATATATTTCATATTAGACGCACAAATATCGCATCCACCCACAGTGTGCCCAAATGTCTCGTCTAATAGAAAATATTTATAATTCATAGCTGCATTCTGGTCATCATTGCAACAAACTTCTTGACCTAAAAATGTGGGACATGCATATGGAGCTGTGAAATTTTCCATAAAAGGAGGGTATGGTGGGCTTACTGGTTTCGGAGTGTCACAATTATAAGGAGGTTGGTCACAATGCTGGGTGAAGGAGCACAAAGCAAGGGCCTGAGTTGTTAACAAACTGAACAATAACTTCTCCATATTTATGTATAATCAATTTAAGCGATTTTAGATGACTAACTCTATCAGTTTTTTTGATATCTCATTAGGATTGATAGAATCTATGGCTAGTATTATTAAAATTTGCTATATATAATGAAATATCACTGGCGATAGAATTTCAGAGGAAAATTCTTAGACCATGTGAAGATTTTTTGGAAAAATTAATTATTTTCTTTCTGCCCTTGAATGAGTTTTCTGTCTGAATAGTTTTGTATTTTTACTTATCGCTAAATATCCTGTATTATTATACGATGTCCTAAGCGAAATGAGCAACTTAATTCTTTTTTCTAGTTTTAACTGAAGCCAGAACAATAAGTTCGCCCAACATGCTAGCGAAAAATTAAACTCTCAATCAGTTTTACTATAGTTAAATTTTGTTGCCTTACACTATTTTACGGTTTTTTGGTTTGCCTTGATCTGCTTTCAGTTCTTATTCATCTCAAACTAGCAAAAATAACTTTAACGTAAACATCAAATTAGAGAGCTCTACTTGATTGATTTTAGCCTGAGGAAAAATTAAAACGCTATCAATCCTAAACTCCTATCTGTATAATTTGAAGTCTACGATAAAGATATCTTATCACCAGCATTCTTAAAAGAGCCTAAAATGAAAACTTATCATAATGAAATTTTTATATTATTTTACTATTGGGTTATCATGAACTCTTGGCTGCGGATAAAAGCTTTCAAGCACTCTAAACTGCGCTTTCAACGTAAACTGAGCCAAATCAAAAAATGTATTAGCAATACTTTTTTGTAGGTATAGACTGTCTATTTGCCCTTCCAAAAAACTCCAAGTTTTACTATAGTCTGGACTATCAGTAAGAAAATATACTTCAGTAAACAAATAAGCTTTCCCATATGCAGCTCTTGCCGCTAAAAACTGTGGTATTACATAATGGTAAGGCAATGGCTTTTCTCCGCTCAGATTCAGCACTGTATCCCATGTATTTAAAAGAATTCTTGTAGTATTCAATGCATTGCTAGGAGAAGCACTCAGTGTCATAGCTTCTTTCCACACGTTTTTATAAGGAATTATGTATTCCATTCTTCTCTTTGTGTAGAAGTAGACTTTTCCCTTTGTATTCATAACTTTTAAGTTAGGGGACGACGATTCTTCATTTAATTGCTCTTGCCAAGACTCCATAAGATGGTGCACTAGGGCAATCGGGCCTTCTGGGAAGAGATGTCCTACTATTGCCTAAATTGATGATACTGGTGACACTGAGATTTCTTTAGCAGCGACTTGAAAGAGGTTTTGGGAAAATCCAAGGGTGGGGACAAGTTCTTGGCTTTTTAGTAAAATAAGCTTTCTTAACTCAATAAGTTTTCCAGCAGAATTCATGAAAGATTATTAATATTAAATCGATATGGAGAGTTAGAAAAGAAAAATATAGCTCTGTTTGAGATTGATTTTCTCTGGACAAGAATTCATTTTTGGTATGAAGTTGGCTTTGTGAGTGAATTTATCCTACAGTAACAGCAAAGCAAGGAAACATAACTATGGACAGAAAAATATTGGAAGCTTTACATCAGCCAAATGGGCTTTAGGGAGTCTTGCTTATCCAAGTTGATACCCTTGAGAGCTGAAAGAGAAGCTGCCGATGTCCAAATACCTTAAATAGATAGACCATTTGCATCAAATCCGCTGCGTACAGACAAAGTTGACTTGGGAATCCAGATGAAAGGATATGGATTTAGAGTTAAATGAAGCATAAGAAACCAATTTTATGGTATACAAGCTGCTATACTGTAGAATAAGACTAATTTAGCTTTTTTTAAAGGCTATTTTTAGATGAGTTAGGGTTTTCAATTCTAGAATAGGTGGATCATGAAGAAATCCAAAAAGTCTTAATCACTATAGGGTACAATTTCTATGAATATTTACTCCAACTTTAAGAGCGAGTAAAATCTTGGAAAATCCCTATTTTTGAGTAAAAGCGTTAATGCGATTAAAAATATTTATAAATTTTTTGTATAAATATAATCAATAGTTATTATAACGATGTCTCTAGCTAATTGCTTTGAATTTATTCTTAAACATATATTTTTATAAATTTTTCTATTCAAATAATTGCAAAATGGCATTATTTAAAATTCTAAAAAAACTTTATTTATATATATAAATTTTATTTAAAGGGGGAGTTAGAAGCATTGCTAGCAAAAAATTCATTTATAATCTGCCCAATAATATAGCTATCAGAATTTTGGAAAATTCAAAGAAAAAATTGCTCATCTATAAAATGGAGAAACTCAAGAAAAATAATGTTTTAGACAAATTAACAGATCCGAGTACTTTATAGGCATTCTCACAACTTAAAATCAAGTCTGTTTAAAAAAAGTCTCTAAAATAGTTCTTACAAATTTAATGATTTTGATATTCCAAAATTTAATTTCCATATGAAAATTAAATATGCTAAAAAGGTCAAAATGTATATATTCCATAATTCAACTTCATATTTTATGGATAACTATATTTATTACTGAAGTAGTTCATACAAAGATAGAATCTACTTCAAATGTTCGCATTCGAAGTGTCCTTCAAGGATCACAATCGACTGTAAAAATAAAACCTACTTTATTTCCAAAGAACACCGAGGAAAGCATTTTCCTAAAACGAGCATACCTTCAGTCGATATAAAGAATTTTGTTGAAGACCCAATCGCAATTGGAAAAGTCGCTATCAATGTAGCAAACACTGATAGAAAAACAAAGAAGGCAGCTATTGATGTCTTCTTCGAAAATTCTGAGTATGCAAATACGTTCGCTAGCTCCTCCAAATATAAATAATATTGTTTAAATTCTCGAAGATTAATTTTTTTAAAAAATTCCAATTTGCATCAATATAAAGAAAATCATCATAATCTTTTAGATCGCCAACTGTTTATATCAAGCATAATATTGGAATTTAATAAAAATAGTAATCAATTGTAAAAAATTTTTTTATTTAATTATAGAGACTAAGGTTTGATTTTATTATCATTAATCCTTTTTCAGAGTAAGGATGCTGTAGATAAAGGATTTGCAATAAGTGCTTATGTTTTTGAAAATGTACTGACATCTCTTAAAGAATCCAAGAAGAATTATCCGACACTTCTCAAAATGATAATACTCGTAGAGTCTCATGATAAAGTCATAAAGATGCTTAAAGAAAACTCTAATTTTATTGAGCGATCTCAAATTTTCACCAAAGGTATTAAGGATAACGAATAAAATTTAATAAATTAATATGAAATTATTCTACTATTTATGAAGAAAATATATTTATTCTCCACCTGGATTATCAATTGCTAAAGCATTGCAATTATGGAGAGATATTATTTTCTGAAACAAGAAAAGCAAATTTTTGGTTTATTGGCTCTCGTTAATTGTAAGTATTTTTTATGGATTTAACTTATACTTTTAATAAAGTCCATATCCTGGGAGATGCTTATAATAACTTTCCGAAATAACTATATATAGCTGAGCAACATATTTCTTTTGCTACTATAATTAATAATTTTAGTTATTTAAATGATACTCTTGATCTTTGCAGCCTGGTGTCTCCTTGCCCACCAGTTGGTGTCTGTTGACTTAGCCCATCTTGAGCAGTCGATCTCTTCCCGAGCTCTTGCATAGACCGATTCAGTCCTCTGCTATCTTGAAGACCTCCTCTTGACATATTTCTGATTTTTCTGCTTGCAATAAAATCAATATCTATTAGCGTCTTTGATGACAGTTCTACCACATCAAAAGGTTTATAATTATAAGCTGCTTGCTTATCAGGCTCCCCTCTAATAGCTTTCCATACAAGTTCTTGCCGCTTCGAGTATAGCTCAACTCTGTTAGTCACAATTCCATAAGAGAATTTTGTAGATTGATATACTAATTCTCAATAATTATAGATTTTTATAAGAAAAAATGCACAAATAAACTGTGATGGGCAACTTAAAGGAAATCTCTATAATCATCTACAGCAAATTCTTCAGTTTTTATTATGGTATACAGCTTCTTCACAAGGTTTATCAATTGTATATGATATTGGCTCAAATCTCTTGCAGCTCCCATAGCTCTATTAAACTCCACACTATTCCAGTGCTGCATAAGTGGCATCCAGGTATCAGGGCAATCCATTATCCTTGGGAACTGTGTCAAAAATGGATCAGCTACGTTGGGGAGTATAAAATCCTGTCCAGTTTTCTGTGAAAACAAGTTTGCGACATATTCTCTATATATATTTATCATCTGTAGCCCTCCTTTATTTGCTACACATACATTAGGAAGACTTTCCAATAACCCTTGTTCTGGTATATTTAGTCTTCTAAACTGTCTAAATTCTAGCATTAATTCAGACCTTACCGAGCTCAGCCCTGTCATTTTCAACAAATGTCTCCATCCTTTCCTATAAGTCCTTATATCTTCAGTCGACACTTCTTGCAGATTTCCTGGGCTGCCTCCTTGTATAGGAATTCTATGGTCAGTTCTCAGCATTAAATTTTGGTAGGAAATCTGTGAAAACCCACAGGAAAATTCTACTGAATTTTGGTCTTTTAGCATTATGATGATAAATTCAAAGATTAAAAATACCTTTGAGGGGTCATAGCCTTTTCCGATTCTGGCAGCTATAAAGTTGTATTCTTTGTCTTGGGGAAGCTCAAAAGCCCATCTGTCTTCTATATCTTCACGCCATTGAGCTTCTACATGACAAGTATTTCCTATGAAATCCATTTTATCAGTATGCCAAGAGGCTATTCTTACAACCCTGCGCAAAATATTAGCCCTAGCCACAATTGAGGCGTCTGGGATAGAAATTCCAGAAGCCCTATTCATAATGATATAGCCTCCGGCTTCTATTTCATTTTGTTTTAGATGTGTAGCTGACTGGAGCTTAGACTGAGTCACTGTGTTGCTGATATCTCTAAATTGGATCCCTGAAGCATCTAAAGCTGGAGTTATGCCGGTTGATGGTAAGTTTTTCTTTAATTTGTGTCTTTCTGCTATAAAAGATGGGATAAAATGCTTTGGCATTCCTGAAAATGCTTTAAGAAAATCAAGAGGATTGATATTTCTTGCTTTTCTGATATTAAAAAGCACAGCACTTGCTTTGTCGTTATTGTAAACTTCAGGGTTTCCGCCAACCATAATTAGCATAAATTCATCAATATAGCCTATACCCCTATATAGATTTCTTTATCGAGAAAAATGCAATAGACAATTGAATGGCTAAGACAGACTCTGTCAAAGAGACAAGCTGGATCTCTATATCAGAAAGGTTAAAACGTGCCATTCAAAAAATGGTTGGCAAGTCTGAACAAAGTTGACAATAAATGCGGCAATTTTTTAAAATGGCTTTATTATTAAATTAATTCTAAATTTAAGATACCTTTTAGGTTGGCGCTGATAAATAGCTTACTATAGAATTTAAGTAAAGCAAGAAATAAGTACAAATTTAAAGTACATAATTATTATAAAAGTTAAGAATGACAAATATTTACATTATTTTAGTGCTCATAAAAAATAATCTAATTTTATCAAAAGATATAATTGAATGTTTTTATTAGTTATTTAAAAGATAAAGACTATAAAAAACATCTTTATCAGCTTTCAATTTCAATTTTTGTGAATATTAAATAATTAAAATATTTGAGCGTCTTCAAAAGAAACCGTTTTATAATGAGTATGTACACTGAATTTAATATCATTTACTTGATTGAACCTTAATTCTATAGGAAGCAGGAAATGGTAGATAAGATACTTATCAGTTTCAGTCCAAAAGGGATCTTAAATAAAAATTAATACTTATAATATAGATGCTTTAGAAGTTGGCTGGTTTAATTGTCAAAATGGTTCAAACTTTTCAAAAAAATTGGCATGCCATTTTTAACCCTTCCTGCAATAGAGATCCAGGTTGTCCTTTGATAGAGTCTGTTTTGGTCCTTCAACTGTCTATTACATTTTGCTCTATAAAGAAATCTATATAGAGGTATGGGCTATATCAATTTTTCCATCATGATTTGTATCAGCAAGAGCGACAAGGTGAGAAAGCTCTTCTTCTGTGATATCGCAGCCCATTTGCTGGAAAACTGACAGTAGCTGAGGAGTAGTTAAGTAGCCTAGCTTCATAAAATCAGCTTGCTGAAATTTTTGGCGCATATCTTGAAGTTCGTCTTCTTGTTCCATGATATTTTTCTTTATCATTTCTTCCATAAACCCTTTGAATTCTTGCCATTCGATTTTCCCGTTTTGGTTTGTGTCAATTCTTCTCATCATATCTTTAAGCTGTTGACCATTGGGGACTATACAATATGCTTTTAAGCCTTGCGTAATTTCATTATAATTCAAAAATCCATCTTTATCAATGTCCAGCATCTTAAAAAGCTCATTAATTTCTGCGTCAAATTGCTGGCCTAAGTCTAAGTTTCGGACTCTTTGGTCATTCTGAATTCGTGCTCCAGGAACTTGCATTGCAAATTCATTGATAGAGATTTGACCATTTTTGGAAATATCAATTAGGTTGAAAACTTCTTCCAAAGCAAGTCTGTCTACGCTAAAGCCAAAATCAGTGCAGGCTTTGAGGAATTCTTCTTTATTGAGAATTCCATCTTGGTCAATGTCGTATCTTTCAAAGACTTCTTCAGCAGAAAGTCCTGCTCTAACCAGCTCGTCATTTAATCTTAAAATTGTAGGATTTGAGCTTGATGGCATTTGCTGTCTAGAGTTATTCATTTGGGGGCGACTTGGGGTATTTGGCTGTGGTGGCCGGAGATTTGACCGAATATCAGGCCTTGTCTGAGTTTGTCTTAAAGCTTGATTTAGCTTATCTAAATCAGTCTTATTAGGATCTTGAGCATCAGCTGAAATTTTTAAGAGGAATTCTACATCTTCTTGTGTTAAAGGAACGTTTTGGTTTCTTAGACATTGCAAGAAAACGTCACGGAGGATTATTCCTGATGACCTTCCAAATAGATTTACTATTGTCATATTGTTTTGCTTTAAAAACATATTATTTTTTGAATTAATTAGCATTTTTTATGGATTAAATATTTTTTTTTCTATTTATTTAAAATATTGTATCAAATTTAACAAGGCTTGGATTTTGAGGCTGATTTCCTGGAGGACCTTGTGAAAAAGTCCCTGATACTTGTTGGACTTGGAATTGGCCTGGGCTGGGGCCCTGAGCAGTTATAGCTCTTTGCAGCATTCCTGGTGGCTGTTGCATATTTGGAGGTACAAGTGTATTTGGATTCATGCCTCCTGCAGGAAGAGAATTTCTTTGATTTATTGCTCTTGGGTCCTTTTTAACTTGCTCAATTCTTACTCCAGACACAGCATCTCCAAACCTAATATTCGGAATTTTCCCGCTCCCATCATCCAATAAAAGGCACAAACCTTGAAAAACATCCTCTTCTGAAGGAGTCTTCAGCTCCTGGGCAATAATTCTTTTGAGATCTTCAAAGGTAAAAAACCCTGTATTTCTTGGGTCTACTTTTCTAGTTAAATTTTCTACCTTTCCAAAATCTTTTTTAATGCAGTCTCCTATGAAATCAAGGCATTGGTAAAGATGGTCTAAAGCTGTTTGTGTGAGGATTCTATATTGTGGAGCTGGTGGCTGGATCCCAACTGACCTTATATTTTTGACTGCCCATTCAAAGTCAGCATAATTTGCTTTTCCTTGATTTTGAATTGAAAATTGGTTTACCAGCCTCTGGCCTTCAATTGATGCAGGGTCTACGCCTAGTTTGAATAAAGCATCTCTGAAGTCTTTGATATTCATCATACCTTGTGGATCTATATTATAGCGTCTGAAGTACTGTAAGCAGTCCATTCTCATAGCTGCAAGTGATTCTCTTATTCTGTTTAATATTGGTCCTGCCCATTGCAGTTCCATTGTATCAACAGGGACTGGCTTTTTCATAATAGTGCTAACTAGCTCTGGGATTAAAATTTTTCCTTCTCTATTTCTATCAAGCTCAGCAAAAATGGCTCGATATTCGAATTCAGTGAGCCCAACCCTGATTTCCATAAGTGCTTTTTCAAGCTCTGGCCTTGTTATTTTTTTATCCATATCTGCGTCATATTTAGCAAACAAATTTCCGAGGTTTATTCTTCTTTGTTCAGCAATAGAGCCGATTTTTAGAAAAACAGACTGATTAGGGGATTCCTGCCTCATAATGAGACTAATTAAATGCTGAGCAGAGCCTCTGCCATCAGGAAGCTTATTAATTCCTTCCCAAATAGCATCAAGCTCTTGAGCATTCAAAGGCGTATTATTGTGGATAAAAGCTTGATTGAAATTTGCCTTTGTTAAATGCATGTCTCCATCATAGTCAAATGCACTGAAAACTTGGGCAGGGTTGACTCGCAGCTGGTCCCATTCTTTTCGGATTTTTTCACAAATTTGAGAAAGAGTTGGCTTGGGGTCTGGCAAGATTTCTCTGATCCCGATTCTAGAAATTAAGTCTCTTAGAGATAAGCGGCCGTCTTGACTTTTAGATAAATTGTTATCATGAACAAGAGAGGTAAGCTCTTCTGGAGAGATGGGAAGGTTTAAAGTGTCTAAAGCTCTACGAATATCACGTGCTGCCACATAATGGTCACCTTGGTCGTATGGCTGAAAGACTTGGGCCATTGAAATTCTTCTTGACATTATAGCTTCTCTTACCTTAAGGTTCACCATCCCGACCTTATCTTCATCTAATTTCCTTATAAATTCATTATAATAAACTTTTCCTTCCTTTCCAAAATTATCTGAAAGCTTCCTTAAATCTTACTTACTTAATTATCTGGTGTTTAAGGTGTCTAGTGCCGCAGCCCAAAAGGACCTATGGCAAAACTAGTGACGTAGGCGAGCCATCTTGGAACAGGTAAGCCCTGGCAAGCCTTCTATCAACTCCTGCTTCACCAGTCTTGCTGCACGTCTCACCCGGCGCGATGCCGTCGCCCTTGTCTCGACTCAGCTCCTGCGCGTGTTCCGCCTAAGGGTCATCTTCCCGTGGAGATGTGCTGAGAGGTAAAACCCCGAAATCTTGAGAGGACTGAGGAGCAGTTCCTCTGGTTATCCCCAGAGTTAAACCGCTATTGCTGTCCAGAAGTTCTCGAGTGAAAACCTAACCCTATAAATAAAATTCCATGAGGGAGAGAAAATTAGCAGAGCTAATTTCTCTCGAACCGAATGCCATTTTATTTATGAAAGCTTCCTTAAATCAATCGGAGAAATTTCTGGACAAATTTGCTTTATACAGTCAATAAACTCAAAAATTTGTATATATCCAAGAAACTCCCTATCTTTCATTGAAAAAATAGTTTTTGTATCTAAATTATGTGTAACTATTGAGCTCCTAATCTGAAAAAGCAGCCTCGTCATATGTTTTTCTTCTTGAGCAATCTCAGGGAATAATCCTTCAAACTCAGTTAATGATATAACCCCATCCTTGTGAATGTCCAGCTCATTGATAAGTTTTTGCATTTCTTTAGGAGGCATATTTACATTAATAGACTGCATTGCATATTGGAATTCTTGTGGAGAAACACTGTTGCTCATATCAGAGTCAAATTTACTGAAAACTTGTTTTAAGGTCATGTTGCGGGTTTTTATGTAGTCTTTGACTTGGTTTAGATATTGCTGGGCCCAATGAGGAGGTGGAGGAGCCATAGCTTGCTGAGAAGGAGGAAGACGAGGGGCTGATGGAGGGAGGCTGGTTAAGTGGGGAACTATTTTTTGGAAAAGCTCTTCATAGTTTATAAGCCCAGATTTTGTTTTGTCGAGATCAGCCCAAATTGCATCTAATTCACGGTCAGCTATTTGTATTTGTGATGAGTCACAAACAGTCTTGAAGTGGGCTTTTGATATCATTTTATCTCCATAAGTATCATAATCTCTCATCGCGTCTAACAAATTAACCCTTTTCAGCTCTGCAGCTCTTCTTATTTTCTGATACACATTTACTGAATACTCAGAGCCTCCTCCCACAATCCTATTAATAAGTTCCCTCATTGGAATCCTTCCATCTCTTGTTTTAGGCAGTGCCTGTAGCAGCTGATTATATTCTTCAGTGCTTAAATTCGCCCCTGATTTTGATATAGCTTCATATAAAATATTAGGAAAAGCTGTAAAATCATTATAGAGATCATATTGTCTAAAGTGCTCCTCTACATTAAGAGATCGTAAATCCCAAACGTCTTTAATTTTGCTATAAATTAAGTCAGTCCCAGTCTTTTTTGCTGTTACGCGCTCTATTAAATCGACATAGCTGAGTCTATTGTCTCTTGTTCTATGTAAGGAGTTTTCTGTGACCAATGCTGTAAGCTCATTTGGAGCAAGAGGAAGTCTTAAAGAGTCAAGGGCTTGGATCATTTGGTTTATGTGGATGCATTTGTCACCTGTGTAGTCTAGCCTGCTGAAGATTTCATCTAGTCTTATGTTGTTAGCTTTGATAAAGTCGCTGACTTTTGCATTTATTGACTCTATGCTGTGCTGCTTTGTATTTGTAGACTAGTTATTATAAATTTAGATAAAATACAAATTAGACTGATAAAGGATACAAATTCTTGCTCAAGCTTGGCTGTAAACTCAGGGTAATAAATTCTTCCATCATTATCAATATCCATGTATTTAGCTAATCTTTCCATATCACTTCGGGTAAGTCTTGGATAGATATCAACAATTGCTGCCATAAATTCTTGGTAACTTAAAAAGTTATTCCTATCTCTATCAGCTCTATAAAACAGCTCTCTTAAATTTGACCTGCTTATTTTCACGGCTTCCCTTATCTCTTTTAGCACTTCTTCAGCCCGCATATATACTTAATTAAATGCTATATTCTGATAGGTCCGTGGTGAACTGTTGGCTGACTAGGGCCTATGGAGGGTGAGACCAATCGAAGTTAGATGTCTGGAGTGAGTGTCCTGGGACTTAGGAACCCTTTTTTTCCCAGCCACTTCCAACCGAATAATGCAATGGATAATGCGGGAACTTTAGATATGAGCTTGGGAGAGAAGGAGCACCAGTTAATCATCTATAGTCCCACCAAGTCGTAGAGGAACTTGTGTACGCTGACAAGGTACAAGTCTAGCCTGTTAAGAACTCTGATAGACGACCCACGTACCAATTTTTGGTGGTTGGATTGAACAATGGCACTAGGTGGAGCTAGTACTTGTGCCAATAAACTTGATGCTAACTTTAGACGGACGGAGGTCCTGAAATGATGGCCAGTTTATACCTCACCCAAATTTAATCTAATCTAATCAGCCCACGCATCAGTTGTCTTCGTTCCAAGAATTCTTTCAAATTCAGTTATAATGAGTCTCTCCATTAGACTGACGGCATCACCATTATGGTGACGTTGAAGGAAAGGGTGTGAATGGCTTTAGTACTTAGCATCACGTGAAAGCGAGGGGCTGAAATTCTTCCATCTTTATTAGAGTCGAGCTCGTTCATTAAATTCTGTAGCTCAGTCTGAGATAATTGCACGCCCATTCTTTGGAGAACTTGGGAAAACTCAAATGGGGAAATTGAGTTGGATCGGTCTATGTCGAATTCTGTAAACATGTCTTTGATACTTAATCCCCCTTCTGTGAGTGAATAAAAAAATTTTGTTTGCTAACATAGGGGTTAATTTTTTTTCGAAATTTAAATAAAATCCCAATCGCAAAAATTGGAAAGCAAATATTAATTTAAATTTGTAAAATTTATGTTTTGAAATGCAAGCTGTTTAAAATTAAACAGAATTAGCTAGAGATTTCATTATAATAATTATCACTTATATATAAAATATTTTTTTCATAAAAATTTATTGCTTGCTCACGGAGGGAACTTTTCCAATGGATTTTCTTCGCTCAAAGAGGGGGAGTTAGACGTTTTTGGCTCATGTAGTTACGGATTATTTCAAAATAACGATCAGCCCAATGAGGAGGAATTCTATTAGAGGATTGGGAAGGATATCTGGGATCTGGTTGAGATTGATAAGGAGGTTGGGAGAATTGAGGATCTTGTGGGCGAGAGTCAGGGAATCGATTATCATAAGGCTGTGTAGGGAATCTTAAATCTGGTCCTCTTTGTGTTGGTGTTTGAGCTGGAAATCTCGAGTCATATGTCTGCGATGGAAATCTAGGGTCATCTTTTGGAGTTCCAGCTGAGAAATTCTGAGGTCTATAAGGATCAGCTTGGAATTTATCAAGTGGCTGCTGTCTAGTCAATGGAGCATTACGGTCTCCGTAATCTTGGTAAGGCTTTGGAGGATCATAAGGAGCTGCTAAATTCTGGCTTGGGTTTGCCAAGTTATCATTCCCATATGTTTTTGCATATTGGTCTTGCCTTTGATAAGGATCAGACGTTCCATATGTTGACTGAGTTACCATTCCTCCAGTCATTTGATAAGATTAAGATTAAAGGGCTTAAAGTCTTCCAGATTTGATGCCTCCGCACGCTTCGACCAAAAGAACCTGCTTGCTGGAGTCTCCAGTGATCTTCTCGAGGGATCTGGGGCTTGCACCGTCATCCCTAAGTATCGACGTTAGAAAGACTCCTCTGTGCTTCACGTCATTAAGCTGCTGTGGAGGCAAAGGTTAGCCCGATGCCTCCTGTCGTCCATCCTGACGTCAGGTAAAAACGCTATAGCCCTCCGGAACCGGTAGGGAAAGAACCCGTAGCCAAAAACCATCCGGATAATGAAAACTTCAGACTGGAAACGGCCACAGCTGACTCCCAAGGTTTACCCACCCCATACGGCTGCACTAGGCACGCTAAGGGTTAGAATTAAAGAATCTGAACCTTGGTTTAGGCTGTAAAGCCATTTTTGCGCCTGGAGTGGTGCGACCTCCGTCAGGACATTTTTCGTCGCATCACCATATTAATTATTCATTTGATAAGAATCATTAAGCTTTGTCAAGCGGCCTAACAAATCATGATACGAAATTCTTCCTTGGGCATCATGATCAAAGCTTGCACAGAGCCGACTCAAATCATCTTTAAGAATCGTAATCTGGTTTCTTGTAAAAACGCTCATAAAATCATCAAATGTAACATACCCTGTTGTACTTGGATCAAGCCCTGCAAATACTTGTTGCAAATTAATCCTCTTATCAGCTGTCTCATTCTTTATTCTTTGTATCAGTTTGTCCACAAATGAAATTTGTATCACTGTATCTTCAATTTTCCCTATAAATGCTTGATAGCTGATTTGTCCTGTCTTTGAAGGGTCAAATTCATCAATTATTAATTTCAGCTGCTCTGGAGATATAGCTCTTTCTGTCAAATAATGGCAAATTTCAGTGAACTGGTCACTAGAAACCCTATTAGTTCCATACTTATCATACCTCGCAAACACATTTTTTTCCAAATTCAGTGAATTTTTGTTAACAAATTCTGCCATATGTTCAAAAATTTCTTTTTTCAGCCTTTCTTCAATATTTCTTGCAGAAATTTTCGGTGAAGTAGGGACAGTAGGTTCTCTTAGTCTTAATTTATTAATCAAAGCTCTTTTTGTTACTTTCTGCAGTGTTGGATTTGAGATATTTAACTCTTTTGCGTCTGGATTTAACAAATGAATCAAATCTAGCAAACTGTTAGGGTTTACTTGGATATTCATAATTTTTAGCCCTTCTACAAGGTCAGGTCTGTATATATTTTCATTAGAATCCACCCTGAACACCTCTTCTATTTTTTTCCCTGTCCTTTCAAAAAAGCCTTTCATGTCTTCTATTATTTGTTCAGAGGTATTGATTTCTTTGCCTTCTACCAAGGCTGATATGTCAGCAATGCTCACTCTTCCATCCCTTCTCAGCTCTCTGCCAAGTCTGTCGATTTCTTGGGCACTTATGTCCATAGTTAGCATATTTAAAGCATTTGATAGCTCTTCATTTGTCATTTTTCCATTTCTGTCAGGACAGTATGGGGTAAAAGCTTCTCTTATAGTGCAGCGGTTTCTTGTAGCATAGTCGCGGATCTGGGAAAAATATTTTTCAGCCCAGTGCTTGTTGGAAGGGGTTGGTGGAGATTGATAGGCGGAGACATCGATTTTTTGAGGCTGGTTAGCAATTGGTTGGTCAAAATATGGAGCGAAATCGCGGAGGGAGACATAGCCTTTTCCTTTGTCGAACTCTTGGACGATATAATCTAAGTCTTGCTTTGTCATATAGCAGCCTAAAAAATCAAGACCTTGCTTGAACTCACGCAAAGGAATGGTTTGTTCGCCTGCAGCTTGGTCATATACTAGCTTGAACACTTCTCCAGGCTTTTTCCCTTTTAATGCTTGCTTGATTTTTTCTTTATTCGCCTCATCTTTTTTCTCAATAACTCCGATCATGTTTTCAAATTTATTCATAAACTGCATAAAAGTGATATTCCCAGTCCTGTTGACATCAATTTCAATGAATAGACGGTCTATGTCAATAGGGTCGAGCTCGATTCTCATTAATGCAATCATTCTATCAAATTCATGTCTGTCAATAGAATTGCTTTTATCAGTATCATATTCTTTGAAAAACTCAATTAAAGTTTGGCCACGATTTTTGAGAAAAGTTGAAATTTTTCTAACTTTTTTAAAATGTTTTTATTAAAAATAATATTTTTGGATAATAAAAAAAATATTATTGAAAAGTGAGGATTAAAGAAATCTTGAGTGACTGACGTTTGAATTTGGTCAATTGGCATTCCAATTCTTTCTGAGAACTCAGATAATGAAATTTTTCCATCTTTATTTTTATCAAGCTCCTGCACAACAAGTGTTATGTCGTCAGCTGATAAACCGGTGATCCCCATTTGAGTTAGCGCTTGTGAAAGCTCATAAGGGCTTAAACTGCCATCATGGTTTTTGTCAAACTCATTGACAGCTTGAGAAACAGTTATCCTGCGAGACTGTATATATGACTTTATTTTTTGGAAAACCGCCTCAAGATTTATAGTAGTTTTTGGCTTTGGAAGTCTCCTAACCAAATCATTCAAATCTAGCAAATCTTTGTCCTTCGGTAGCTCAGAAATCAAGGTATTCGATTCAATAGGCGGCATTGTAAACCCAATCCTATTCAAAAACGCCAGAAAATCCTCTTTTGTCAGTTTTTTCATATTTCTTGGGTCCACTTCTTTCAGTTTTTCTTCAAAATTCAGCGATTTGTCCATACAATGTTTTCCTAATCTCTCAATTGTCTGATTATACGATTTTCTTTTATCAATAGCAGCATCTACTGCATTAATGAATGACTGATAATTAACTAATCCTTCATGTCTAACATCATATTCATCACCAAGCATTAAAGCTTCATCAGCTGTAAGTCGAGGAGCTATAGTGCTTAATCCTCTCTGGAAATCTGCCATTCGGATTTTATTAGTCCTCTGAGGGTCATATCGAGAAAAAACGTCATCGATTCTGATTTTTCGTTCTTCTATAATTGAGGCGATGTTTCTATAACAGTTGTCTTTTCAGATGGGGTCGACTTTGGGAACATTATATTGGCCTTTAGGAGTATCGTAGCCTTGGGGTTGTCTGGGATCTTGAGGCCGGTTGGTATAGGATGAAGGCGTGTTGTCTCTGCGGTTGTCTGGTGGAGGGTATCTTGGGTCTTCTTTTGGAGGATATTTGGGATCGTAGCGAGGATCAGGATTTTTGCGGTCGTCAATAGGAGGCCGTGCATATGGGTCATCTTTACGAGGATTTCTGGGGTCGTCAATAGGAGGTCGTGCATATGGGTCATCTCTACGAGGATTTCTGGGGTCGTCAATAGGAGCTTGTCTTGCATAAGGGTCATCTCTTCTAGGGTTTCTAGGATCGTCAGTAGGAGGTCGTGCATATGGGTCATCTCTTTTTAGGTCAGGCTGTCGTGCATATGGGTCGTCCCTTCGAGGATTTCTGGGGTCGTCAACAGGAGCTTGTCTCGCATAAGGGTCATCTCTTCTAGGATTTCTAGGGTCATCAATAGGAGGTCGTGCATATGGGTCATCTCTTTTTGGTGTAGGATTTCGTGCATATGGATCATCCCTTCTTGGATTTCTTGGGTCGTCAACAGGGGCTTGTCTTCCATATGGATCATCTCTTCTAGGATTTCTAGGGTCATCAATAGGAGGCTGTCTTGCATATGGGTCATCCCTTCTAGGATCTATAGGTGCTTGTCTGCCATACCCTGGCTCATTTCTTCTTGGATCTTCTATAGCAGCTTGTCTAGAAAACCCTGGCTCATCTCTTTTGAACCCTCGGTCATCAACTGGTCCTTGTCTATTCGCCCCATAATCGTCTCTTTTAGGGCCTCTCGGATCATCTTTTGCATAAGGGTCATACCCTTGTGGGTCCCTATTCATAGCTCCTTGTCTCTCAAAACCTGGTTTTTTTGCCTCATAAGGAGGCTGCCTTGTGTCATAATTTTCCCCAGGCCTTCTATCAAAATCCCTTGGCTTCTGGTCATACGGCCCTGGCTTATCAAATTGTGCATCATAAGGATCTCTAGGCTTTGCATATGGATCAGGTCTTTTATCATAAACATCTCGTCCTCCAGGCTGAGGCTCATAGCCAGGCTTCAAATAATCTTGTTTATTATCATATGGATCAGGTCCCTGCACTCTTAAATCATAGCCTTTTGTACTGTTAGCGGGTGCTCTATTATCTCTTATTGGCGGATTTCTGTTGTCATACGGGTCTCTAGCCATGCCAAATTCAGACGGTTTTTCAGGTCCTCTCGGGTCTCGACTTCCATAGTCCGGTCTCCCTTGAGATGGGCCTCTATTATCAAAATCTGGCGGATTTCGAGTAACTTCATTCATAGCTTGTTGTCTTGCGAATTTCGGCCTTTCTGGATTTCTTGTAGAACTGTCCATCGCTTGTTGCCGTCTGAATCCAGAATCATCGTCAGGGCCTGGGCCTCTGTAAGGGGCTTCATAGCCTGGTCTTCCTCCGTAGTCACCTTGGTTCTTCCCGTACATTTTATAATTTATAGCGGCCTATTTAAATTTAGTTTCAAGAAATAAATTAACTAGAAGCTTTATAGTCCTCGTATTTCCTGTGTTCTTGATCTGTCCTTTCTTTTACTTCTTTTACCCATTCCATTGCTTTTCTCCATGCTATTGTGCCGAAAAGGACAATTAAATTAAAATGTTTTAAAGTTTTCCAAGCTAGGGCTTCTAAATACTTGCGACCACAGCCGCCTACTTGTAGGGAGAAAATTCAGCATCTAATTGAGTGAGGTCATATTTAGGGATAGGGCTTGCACTGCTTTATCAAGAGTATCGACAGGCTATGGAGACTTATCCATCATTTCGCCATCAAGTGCTATGAAGGTATCGGCTAGCTCTATATCTCCTGTCTCTATCCATGAGGAGTAGAGACACCCAAGTAGAAATGAGTCACGCCTTCAGTGTCGGATGAGAAGACTGTAGCTCAAAGCCATCAGATAATTAATATTTGGTCTTGATTCACCACCAATTCAACTTAAGTTTACCCACCCCACCACTCAAAGGCAAGCTAAGAGTTAGAATTAAGGCCCGGATCTCAGGTTCTGCATAAAGTGACAGCAATGGTTTGTCGTCGCTAAGGATATATTTAGTCGCCGCCAAATTTATTATGAAAAGGACAAGAAAAAGGGTTCCTATTAATCGGTAGCTTACTATAGTTAGCTTGTGGCCTGTCATAGCATTGGGGAACTATATATAAATTACAGCTTGAAAATGCTCAAGTGCAGCTTTGACAGGAGTCCAGTTGTACCAAATGGCGACAGGAACGAAAAGTGGGTGTATCATTCCTGTATATCCCATTCCTATAGTCGCAAATAATTGGCTTAAAGCAGCAATTTTATTCCCTCTGCTAGTTTTTATTCCATTTGGGTCTACATTTGTAATCATTTTATATCCTCCTTTCAGAAAATCCTGTTTATAAGTCCACAATATAGCCCATACCCCTATATAGATTTCTTTATTTAACAAAATGCAATGGAGGTTTAAGGACCAAGATAGACTCTCTCAAAGGGACTAGCTGGATTTCTATAATAGCCAAAGTTTATATTGAACACTGATTGCTTTTTATAAAGTTCTTAATGGCTTATAATAATTTATCTTGACAAGTCTGAAAGGGTATCTTAAAACTTAAAATTACTTTAATATTAAAGTCATTTTAAAAAAATTGGCGCATTTGCTTGTCAAATATTTTCCAATCGTCAACCATTTTCTGACGTGCCACTTTTTAACACTCTCCATTATGAGATCTGGCTCCTCTTTTCGAGAGAGTCTGTCATAGCCGTTCAACAGTCCATTACATTTTGTTCTATAAAGAAATCTATATAGGGGTATGAACTATATACCATAAAAGTGTGGAAATTGTCAAGCAGCCATAAATAATCCCATTAAAAACGGATCCAACCCATAAAATGTTCCAGTTCCTGCTACCCATCCTAAATAAACAGGTGCAGCTCCTGCAATTGATCCAATATGAGTACTAAATCTCGTCACCCTTTTAAGTGGGGTGTAAATCATCAAATATCCACTCCAAATACTTAACGCTGTCAATTGAGTCATATATCCTAAAGGTGCTAATAATGCTAGAGATGCTCCTCCTAAGCTCAGTCCTATCGCAACTGCTGCAGATCTTGGTATTGTCCCTGATGGAATTGGCCTTCTCATAGTTCTTGTCATTATTTTGTCAATAGGAGCTTCATATGCTTGGTTTAATGCTTGAGTTGAGCAGGCCATCAAAACTGCTTAAAATTTACAGCTTCCAGACATCACAGACAGACTGTTTAGTAAAGTAGGCGAAGGGCAGCCATGGCAATACATTAATGTACATACTCCTGCATTGTACAGAGATAGCACAGCCTTTGTAAGCTCCTATGTTGAGAATACTTTAGTTTCTTTTAAGTAAAATAGTGCCCTTGTATTCATTATCTGTGCATTTTTCTTAAATAATTTTCGTGGAGAAAAAGATGCGTTCGATTGAAAATCGGCATTTTTTGACTCTAAAAGTTAGGCAATTGCTAGGGTTTTCAAGCATTTGGAATGAATTGGTAGTAAAGGGATAATTTCTTTTATAAAAAAACCAAAAATACCAAACAGGGAAATGAAGTTGTTAAAGAATAGACAGAGTGCATTATAATTATAATGACTTAAGAAGATAAAATTGCTTAGATTATGATAACTAAATATAGCTAGATCCTTAAAAGGATTATCCACATAAATGGATTTGTGAAGAATCAACTCATATTGAAGAAAAAAGAAGTTTTATATGCAAAATTTGATTTAAAATTGTTTTCTATTACTATTTAAGTATTTCATCTTAAATCAGAATAATTTCCCCTTCAATTAAAACATAATTTTATATAAAAATAAATTAACATAATAATACTAACTAGCAGAAATAAAAATTCTTTCTCGGCCTTAAATCTATATCCCACATTTGGCCTAATTTTTCTTCAATTTTTTCAAAAAATAATTTATTAATTTTGCCTATTTAAGAGAATAATTAATAAAACAGTAAGTAGTTAATTGAATATCAGGATAATAAAATATCAAAATGGAATTATATTTTCAAATCAAATCAGATTACATGAATGATGGGGTTTCTCAAACCGTGAAATTAATTATATGGAATATTCTGAGAAATCCAAATATACCTTGTGAAATTAGAAATCAATCTCTTTACAGACTTTTGGTGGGCGTATGTGAAGAATTAATATTCAATGAGATTGAAGCTGTATATTGAAGTATTTTCTTACTCCCCCCCCTCCGTGAGTGAGCAAAACCTTTAGAAAAAACCCCTATTTTTTGCCCAAAAGCCCACCTCCCATGAGCGAACAAAAATTTTTTAATAGAAAAATTATTTATGAAAAAAAAATTGATATATAGGTGATAATTATTATAATGAAATCTATAGCTAATTCTGTTTAATTTTAAAAATTTGCGTTTTAATACAAATTAAATTAAAAGTTTGGTTTTCCAATTTTTACGAATTAGGATTTTTTTAAAATTTCCAAAAAAAAAATTAACCCCCCTCCGTGAGCAAACAAAATTTTTTTGTTCACTCACGGATGGAAGAGTTAGAAGATTATGTATGAACTGAAATAGATGATTCATTACATGATTTATTATTATTTAGTGGGTTTGCGGTAAAAAAGGAAATATGCGACTCTGTGGAGCCTTTTTTGTTTTATCTTGAGACTTCCCATGACAAATTTTTAATAAGTTATGAAATCTGAGAGCAAAATCATTCCCCATTTATACAGATTGGTATCTTGGAGTTGAATTCCAAGTACCAAAAACTTACATCTTTTGATAATAGAGACAGCGGCGAGCTCTTTAATTTCAATTTTTATGTTGACGACATCCTTCATGCATGTCCTCCATATTCAATTCCTGAACTGAAAGCTGAAGCTGATGATAAAAAAGATGAAAATGAAAGAGCAGAATCTTTCAGATCAAACTCCTTTTCACTTTTTTTTGAAAATAAACGAATGTCGTCGTCTGATAATTTATTACCATAAATAAAATGGCATTCGGTTTGAGTGAAATTGGCTTCGCCAATTTTCTCTCCTCAAGCAATTTTTATTTATGGGGTTAGTTACCTCGAGAACTTTTGCACAACAATAGCGGTTTAAACTCTGGGGATAGCCAGAGGAACAGCTCCTCAGTGCACTCAAGAGGCTCAGAGTTTTTACCTTTCTGCACATCTCTACGGGACCCCTAGGCGGAGCACGCGCTGAGTAAGGCAAGGTATTGACAACGCGCCGGGGGAGACGTGCAGCGAAGACTGGCGGCGAAGCTTTGATAGAAGGTTTGGGCGATGGGCTGACCTTCGTGAATGCAAGATGGCTCGGTGATGTCACTAGTTTAGCTATATCCCTTTTATAAGGGTGCAGCACTAGACACCTTAAACACAAGATAATAAGTAAGTAAGATAATTTATTACCAGATTTAGCTACAAATGCTAGCACTGGACAAAGTTCACTTGTGTACAACCCAGGGCTGCTTCAAAAGATTGACAGCATCTGTAATGTTTATTTGAACGTTGATATTCCCAAAATTGTAACCGATCCGTCAAAAACAAAGAAAAAGAGAAGTTCATTATTATCGCTGTTGTCAGATTCAGCCCAAAACTAATATATACAAAGCTAACAAAATGTTTTGTTATTATTTTAATTAATACCTGGTATTTTATTTCAGTTATTTTGAATTTCAAATAGAAAATTTATTTTTATATTAGTTTGATATAATTTCTTTAGAATAGTTATAATCAGGAATAAAATAAAATATGAGGTTATTTTATTTGAAGAATTTAAATTAGAATAATTTTGGGTGATTTAAAAACGGCTATAAGATAATATTTAAATTATTTAAACTTGACTTATTATTTTTAAAAATATTCACCCAAATTTTCTATATCTTTTGTGTGAATTTTTTTCAATTAATTATGAATCTGGAATTTTTACTAATAATTAGAAAATTTTGCATTTAATTATTATCCTCAGCTTTTCCTCCAAATTTTATCCCATCTTCCAGCAGCTCAAATGCCACAACCTTGGCAAGACTTTCAGTTTTTTTATTATTTTTCAAAAATCCATCTGTTATCCAAAACATTAAAGAGTTCAGCACAACAGGAATTATTATCATGACCATCACCAGTTCCAAATTTGGATATTTTTCAACTGGACTTAATATAAACTCTCCAGCACTTCCTAATAATTTATGAAATATAACCATTAAAGCAACAAGTAACGTCTTCATAGTCATAGCAATTATCAGTCATAGTCACAGTTGATAAGCCCACCACCCCCAGCGAGGAGGAGCACCATAGTCTCCAGATTTAAACGAAAGACATGAGCAATATGATAAAATGTGCTCAAGACTGTGTAACAATAAATAGCAAATCCCCATCCCAATTAATGTGTCTATAGTAAAATTTAAGAAATATCAAGTGCATTGGTTGGATTCTTCTTCAGCATTTCCAATAAAATAAGCAGCTGTAAGGTTAAGACTGTGTAAAAGACAAGTACTAGAAGCTTGCTTTGAAGTGTCCATAAACCAAATTTTCCATGATCTTCGGTTTTTTTCAATGTATCTCTTAACTGCCTAAGGCTTACTTATTAATGAACAAAATGAAATTGTCCCCAAAATTGCTTGGATGAGCCAGCCAAATTCTCCAAAGAGGTGGCATTCTTCAGATGTATCCAATAAAAAAGAAGCCATTTAAGTATTTAATAATGGCATATCAATATCTTTATGGGTTTAATCCAATTTTAGCTGCTTTAAGTGCAAATCGAAGAAAGTTTTTTAAGCTTTTTATGACTGAGCCTATTTTTGAAAATAAAAAAATCCTGGACTTAGCAAAAGAAATGCAAATTACTACACAAGTTATCACAAAAGAAAAAATTGAGAAGTTTGCGTATAATAAACCACATCAAGGAGTGATCCTTAAAGCATCTGAATTAGAGCCAAATAAAATTACAGATCCAAGTTCTTTATATGTGACAGGAAACCATAGTCAACTTTGAGTTTGCCTAGATCAAGTCACAGATCCACAAAATTTTGGCACTGTTCTTCGTGTAGCTGAATTTTTGAAAATTGAAGGGGTTTTGATTCCATCAAAAAATACAGCTCCATTGTCAGCTACAGTCGCAAAAGTAAGCTCTGGGGCTGTTGATTGGATGAATATTTGTAGTGTGAATGATATCCCTTTATTTCTATCTCAAGCAAAATTAAAAGAATGAAAAGTTATTGGAACAGGCAAAGGAGCACCAATTTCAGCCCTCCACACATTTTTAAAGCCCTCGGATAATGTTATTATCATATTTGGTTCAGAAGGGCAAGGAATAAGGCCCCGTATCTTAAAAGAATGCCAAGAACAGTTTTGGATAGAAGGCCATTCAGAAGCAATCGATAGCTTAAATATTGCTACAGCCTCTGCTATATTTTTGCACAATTTAAAAACATATTTAAATAATTCGTAATAAATATGTTTACAACTACAAATCAGGATTATGGAAAATTATGGGTATCTACCAAAGGCCAAGATCCCAGAAAAACTACCACTCAGATAAAAACTTATCGAGAGATCGCTGAAACTGATTTGATGCAAAAAACTGGCTTAAAGCTGCTTAAAGCAAAAGCTATGAAAGAAAAAGAAATTGAAGATCTAGAAGTAGGTGAACCCAATCCACATGTGTATGACCCATGCGTGCCTCAACCTAAGATCACCTCATTGAATGTAAAAGCAGAAGAAATGAGATACCCAGAAATAGGTATTAATGTAGGGCAAAACCCGAAATATATGACAAGAAATAGTTAATATGGAAGAATACATCCAAATCAAAATGATCTGCCTGCAAAGTATTTCCCTATAAATAATAAATTTTCTACAAGTTTTGTGGCTGAAAGAATTCCAGATGCAGGGCTAAACACATTTAAGAATCCTAGCCGAGTTCATTATTTGTTTGATTCTTAAGTATTAAGCTAAAGAATTTGAAATTGCTAATTATAAAGTTTTAATTCATTATTCCAATGATTAAGTTTTGCGCTAACAAATTTAAATAAAGTCTCAAAGCTATAAAAAATAATTTCTAGGCCTTTGCTTTTTATAGCCCTTAGAGGGCTATATAGGGGAAAACCCTATTCTATTAAGCATATGTGCTCAATTTAAATTTTGCAAGCATAATTGTAATAATATCAAAATTTTGTATATTTCTTAATAGTGCTACTTTTCTGTATAATAAAATTTGAAAAATAAAATTTTAATGCTAATTGTTTTCTTAAAAGATTATTGCCTATACAAAGATGCATTTTAATTTCCTAAACTTATATTTTGAGCCGGCCTATAAAAAACTCGGACATTTTTTATTATTTTATTTACCTTCTCTTACTTGTACTTTAAAATAACCTTGACTGATTATATTACTTATATAAAAAATGCTTAATGATTTAAATTAATAACTATGGTGCTAGAGCTGATTTTTATTATAAATTAATATACATAAGATTATGAGTATCAAATTTTTTTTTGTTTTACTCCAGCCTTTATTCTCAATTGCAATAAACTTCTTATGCAATCCATCTTGATGCCCTCAATTATCAGTAACTATTACTTAGAAAGGAGACGGAGTTTGCAATCTAGCATGCATGGTTTCATTTTGCAACTTTGACTCAAATTCAACTATAAATCCAATGACAAATCCAGAAAATTCTGATTGTTATCGATTGTGTATTGATAATTATTCTTGTTCACCTTCTGATCTTGGAAACGGAATTTGTAACCAAAACTGCAATAATCCTACTTGTGGCTATGATTTTGGAGATTGTGGGTACTGCTCTTCAGATTGTAAAAGATATTTAGGTTTTCAAGATGATTTAGGCATAGCATGCTCTAGCTCTTGCGATAATGAAAATTGTTATTATGGTTTAGGAATTTGTAAAGATTGCTCAGCTGGCTGCAGCAGGGAAATGCTTGGGGATGAGATTTGTGATAAATCTTGCAATGTGTCTTCTTGTAATTATGATTTTGGAGATTGTAATAATAATCAATGCAATTCAGGCTGTGAACTTTGAATGATAGGAGACAATAATTGTAATAAAGAGTGCGCTAATCTGGCTTGTAACTGAGATGGAGGGGAATGTGACTGTTCCAAAGGCTGTCATTCTTATATGAAATCTAACGGAGTTTGTGATGAAGTTTGTGATAATTCAGATTGCGATTATGACGGAGGAGACTGCCAAGAATGTGCTCCTGGCTGCTTAATGTCTATGCTAGGAGATGGAGTTTGTAATTCTGCTTGCAATGTAAATGATTGCCATTATGATAATTATGATTGTGGCTGCTCTGAAGGCTGCGGTATAGAAAGCTATGGACAATGCAAAGATTCCTGCATGAATTCTATGTGCAAATATGATACTATTAGCGAAACTTCTAAATGTCAAAATTCAAACCAGATATTATTTGCTTTACATTATGGGCTTATATTTAAAAATCTTGTAGCAAATGCAAGTCCAGATAACTGTACAAGTAGCACAAACTGCTTATCAACAGAGGTCCTTGATTCTAGTTCTTGTCACACAAATTGTAAAGGAGCTCATTGCATTTATTCATGAAATCAATGTGAAGTAATTACATGTGCAGACCAAAATTGTCTAATATGCAATACTAATAGTTTAGGAGACTGTTTTGTATGCAACTCAAATACTTATCAATTTTATGGGTTTTGTTTAGCTTCTTGTCCAGGTGGCCATCAAGCTGTTTATTTGATAGGCAATTATCCAGTTTGTTTGATTCCTAAGGATTATTCAACAAAAGATAATCCAGCAGTCTATTATGTAACTTCAAAAACAAGCACCGATGCTTATGAAGGAAATGGGACTTTTAACAATCCATTTGCATACCTTTCTCTAGCTCTTGCTTCAATATATAATAGGCATGCCATTATTTATCTATTAAATGATGGGGATCATTATTTTACCTGTGTCAATACATCAAATCCTGTGAGCACAATATTATCTGATGTCTGCGACCCCTTATCAAAAAGCTTTAGCCTTGAAAACCTTGTGATTGATTCATATGATGGCTCTATGATTGCTATAAAAAAGAAGGCAGACCACGATTTTTTTACTTTTAAGGTGCCAAGTACTACTACTCTTACAATAAAAAATGTTGTATTCAATGGCCAGGATGTTCTATCAACTTGCCCATCAGAAACGAATCCTTATTGTTCATACTGTGCTTATATTACGCTAAGTTCTGATGGACACTATTACAGCGATCAAAGGACTGTAGTTTCTAATTATTTAGACTCATCCATATGCAACACATTTCACGCCAAAAGTCTCTTTAGTTTATACTTAGGTGCTAATTTAGAGATGAAAAATGTAAATTTTACAGATTGGAGAATGGAATTAAAAACTTTAATAACGAGCTATGGAGCAAATATTATATTCAACAACGTAAATTTTGATAATATTCGATGTATGTGAGGTGTGACTGCAATACAGCTAGGGCAAGCAACTCCAGAACAGGAAAAAAATGCAGTGATTTATTTTCTTGACTGTGGAGATGCAAATTATAATTGTGGAAGCTTTGAGTATACAAATGGAGTTGTATCAAGGCTTAATAATGGCTATGAGTATGGCGTAGCACAGTTTTCAGGATTTTTAAGTGCAGATAAAATCAGGACTGTAAAGCTGAAAAATGTCACTTTTGTTAACAATATTGCATATAATCCTTCTATTGCATCCACTGCTTATTCTCTTATAAAATTGATTCTATACAGATCAATTGAAATTTCTCAGTGTGTTTTTGAAAAAAATTCAGCCAATTTTGGACTCATTTATTTAGAACCACTGGCATTAGTGTTTCGTAATGATGTAAATTCTAATAATGAGCTGATTGATTTATTGCTTTATCATATTTACATACATGACACTATTTTTAAAACCAATTATGGATTATACGGAGGAATTTTAACAGCAATTTATGAGTCTCAACTGCAAAAAATTTTAATCGAAAATTTAGTTATGGATGGAAATGGAGTTGAATCTGCAAGTTTGATTAGCCTTTATAATCAATTATATCCTTATTCACAATATATTACCGATACAAATGAAAATATATATGACACAAATGGAAATTTTGTTGAGGCAACGTTTAAGAAGCGAACTTTTATTATTAAAAATTCTATAATTACACATAATTACTCAGGAAGCTATACAATATTTTATATTATTCATCTAGTCAATGTGCATATGTCTAATATTACAGTAGAATCTAATGGAAATACAGAAACCCAAAATATCAATACCGTTCTTTGAAATTACTATGTATCTGATAATACTTTATACCCAAAAACTATGGTTTCTGATCCAGCTAGCTTAGAATTTATTTATCTAGCAGTTTTTAATCTTGTATATAACTATGAAATATCCGAAAGCATTTTCAAAAAAAATGATTGCAAAATTTGAAGTCCATCATTTTTTTTCTCTTACTGTGGGAATATCACTATTTCAAGCTGTATATTTGAAGAAAATATTGCACTTTATTCGCAGGGAATATGTTTTAATACGGCATATACTCGAAATATCCGAATAATTAATTCAACATTCAAAAGTAATATAAATAGTTATTCTCATGGATTTGGACCAATATGCTTGGATATGAGCTTAGAAAATACTTTGATTGAAAACACAATGATATATAATAACTCTGCAAGTTTTAGCTCAGGTATTTACTATAGAGGTGACTCGCTAGCGTTGAATAACGTTACATTTGAATCAAATACAGCTAATTCAGGACTTGGAGCTCTTTATTTCTCAGTTTTTACAGGATTACTTACTCGAGCAATTGATATAAAAAATTCGTTTTTTAAGAAAAATAAAAGTGGAGATGCAAAAGGGGGAGCGATTTATATATCAGGCACATCATTGTCTCAAGATGATATTAATTTATCGATAACAGATACTGAGTTTCAGTATAACTCAGCGCCAAGCGGTTCAGCAATATATATAGAAAACGATGCAACTCTATCAACTAATTCTATTGTCGACTCTTGCATATTCGCTTATAATACTGCTAATAACAAAGGAACAATAGCTATTTTTTTCCAACTTGGAATATTAAAATTTTCAAATTCTGTATTTCTTTCTAATCACGCTGACCTTGGATCTGGTTTATATTTTGCTGCTTCAGAACAGTCAAGCTCTGATAAATCCAAAATAATCCTAACCTCCTGCAATTTTACTGAAAATTCAGGACAAAATATATTATGCTCTGAGAATATTGCAATTTTCTCTTATATTGAATCGGCTAAATGTTTATTCCAAAATAATGAGGGGTCAGCTATTTATCTTGCCCATGGCTATTGGCAAGACACTAATACTATTATAGCGAATTCTACAACAAATGCAGGAACTGTTTATTTAGCACTATCTGCATCCGCTGATTGCCAATTAACAGAATTTACTAATAACACTTCAACAAGTTATGCAGGTGCATTTAGAGCTGAAGGAAATTCATATTTTTATTGCAGTAAATGTATATTCACTAAAAATTCTGCTGAATACGGAGGAGTCCTTTACTTTGACCAGCTGTCTTATTTTCTCATTGAAGATTCCATTTTCAATAAAAATTTTTGCTATAAAAACGGTGCAATTTTATATATAATTGGATCAGCTGAATACAGTATTTTGAAAAACTCATTATTATTTTACAATTATGCAGAGTCAGAAGGCTTGGTTTATTCAATTACATCAAATATTCAAATTGAAAACTGTGAAATACATGAAAATACAGCTAGTGGGATTACTCCAGGAATTTACTTAACTCTTTCTAATGCTACTATTTCAAATTCTCAATTTAAAGACCATGAAGGAAACTCTGGAAGTTTTGTACATTTAACCTCAGACAGTAAACTAATTGCTACAAATTCAAGCTTTACAAATGGAAAATCTTCTAAGTCAGGTGGATCAATTTATGCGCTTTCTAGCTCTGTGAGTCTTACTGACTGCTTATTTTTGAAATCAGCTTCACTTTCTGGGAATACAATTTTAGCATTTTCTACAGCTTTAAATATTTCTCAATGCCAATTTTTAAATTCTTATAGTTCAGGCTCTGGAGGAGTTATAAGTGTTTTTGGAAGCAAAATTTTTATTGAAAAATCTTTTTTTGAAAATTTTAGTTATTCTGCGATTGATGGATTAGAAATAGAGACCTTAGAGATTAGAGAAACAAGCTTTAAAAATAGCCTAGGGAAGGTAGGAGGAGTCATTAGCTGTATAAATACTGATTATGTTTATATTGATTCCTGTATTTTTGATAATAATATATCAATATATGGCGGTGCTCTATATTTTATATTTACTTCTGACATTATTAATAGCCAACCTTATGAAATAGTTTCAAATGAATTTAGAAGGTGCACATCATCAGTTGGGGGAGCAATTTTTGTGGATAATGTAAATATTGATATAGTCGCTTGCATAAATTATGTAGGGACTCCCACTTGTGGGTTGTTACCTGTGAAGCCACCATAAACGCGTTGGTTACATCTGAGATTTCTTTCCACGTTTAGAAAAGGAATCCGCATGCGGGATTCCCTACAAAATTTGCGCAAGGAGAATATATAAAATTATGCAAATTTTATGAAAATAAAGCAATTTCAACTTCAAAATCATCTGAAACTAGCTATGAGTCAGGAATTGGAGGAGCTATAAAATTAGGCTGCAGCTATTCTGGAAATTGCAGTTTTAATATATTTTCTAATGATCTCGTCAGAAATTTAGCAGAATATGAAGGAGGAGCAATTGTTTGAAAAGAGGTCATGCCGCAATTCAAAAATAATTCATATCAAGACAATGAAGCAATATATGGTAAAAATATTGCTTCTTATCCAGTAAATATGGATATTCTAAATACGAACTCAGATGATGGACTAAAAGATTTGGCATCAGGGCAGTTAACTATAGCACCTTTAATTATCGCCCTTGTCGATCATTTAGGATCAATTATTACTACAGATAACTCTAGTGTCAGTGAATTAGTATCGACATCACAAGATGTATTTTTATCAGGCGAGCTTAAAGTTATAGCAGTTAAATAGTTAACTTATATTGAAAAACTCCTGGTGGCACCCACGGGGTGCGCTTCTCCACCTTGATCCGTTTTGTTGAGCCGCCTACCGCCACCCTCTAGGGGTAAACTCATCGTCGCATGAGGCTCGCGTAAACGGGAGTGTAGTGGGCTGGGCCACTGTGTTGTATGTTAGACTTGGGATTGCCCTTCCAGAAAATTCAAAGAAAGGATTTTCTGGTCTAGCTATCAACCAAGATGGAATTCATCACCCAGGACGCAACTCCTGGGATCGCGCGAGGAAATTTCCCAATTGGTCACCTTGATCCAGAATGGGCTGCGGCTGACCAAATCCGAAATTGCGCTCCACCCAAACGAAGTAAAACCTGGATGGATATGCATCATCGAACGCTATTCTCTCTTTCGCAAGATCCCTGGGTCTCCCAGCTGCAGGTGCTAAGAGGGTGAATTGGCTCGCCAAGCCATTTTAATGTATATAGCTTAAAGTTATAGCAACTGAAGGTATTTTTAACTTTTCTTCATTTGTAATTTCAGCAAAACCTGGCAGCAATTTTTCTATAGAAATTCAAACAAATGCCATTGATCCCTCAAAAAGTGTCAAAGCTAATGATGGACTAATATATAATGCAAGTATACCGGTAAATGTGGCTTTAAGAGATTGTGTACTGGGTGAAGCAACTGTTGGGGTTAACTGTGTGGTTTGCGCCAAAGAGTTTTATAGTCTTGACCCAAAAAATAATAAATGCTTGACTTGCCCTAATAAAGCTGTGTGCTATGGAAATTATACAATGGCTCCGAAGCCAGGCTACTGGAGATCTGGAATGATAACTCACGCGATTCGTGAGTGAACAAAACCATTGGAGAGACCTTATTTTTGGGTAAAAACCCAACCTCCGTGAGCGAACAAAAGATTTTTTATGAAAAAAATTTGATATATTAGTGATAATTAGTATAGTGAAATCTCTTGATAATTCTGTTTAATTTAAAACAGTTTGCATTTTAAAAACATAAATTTTAATTAAATTAATTGGTATTCGAAAAATCATATATATATATATATTTAATAAAAAGAAATCAACTCCCTTCTTGAGCAAATAAAATATTTTTATTCACTCACGGAGCGGGGAGTGAGCACAAAATTTTGGCCTTGTCCTAATAAGAATGCTTGCATTGGTTCTGATCCAGTAAATATTTCTTATAAAGGGAATTGTGAGGAAGGTTACACTGGAAATTTATGCCAGAGTTGTGAAAAATGGTATGCTAAGATAGCAAAAAATCAATGTGCAAAATGCCAAAGTCTTGCTATAATTACTGTAAAAGCTATCGGAATATGTCTGGGATATGTTATACTTTGTTGTATAATAATCAGAATTTCAAAAAATTCTGCATATAAACCAAAGTTGCTTACTCCCCCCCCCTCCGTGAGTGAACAAAAACCATTAGAAAAATCCCTATTTTTTACCCCCAAAAACCCACCCCTCCGTGAGTGAACAAAAATTTTTTTAATAGAAAAAAATTTTATGAAAAAAAATTTTGATATATAAGTGATAATTATTATAATGAAATCTAGAGCTAATTCTGTTTAATTTTAAACAAATTGCTTTTTAAAAACGTAAATTTTATAAATTAAATTAATATTTGCTTTCCAATTTTTGCGAATTAGGATTTTTTTAAATTTAGAAAAAAAAAATTTTTTATAAAATTTATATATAAATTTTTTTAAAAAAAAAAATTAATCACCTTCCATGAGTGAACAAAATTTTTTTGTTCACTCACGGAGGGGGGGAGTTATATAGAATATTTTCTTCTCTAGTTTTCAATAAGAAGCAAATAGCAGTCTATCTATAAATTGGCACTTTTGACTTTATTGACAAGCCAACACTCTTAGTTCTAAATCTGCAAAATTAATTAATTTATACTTGGAGAGCAAGCTCATAAATTTAATACAAACTAAAATAACTAGTTAAGAATGATATAATTCCTATAGATAGCAGGGAATATGCTATACGAGCGTTTATATAAAAATACTGATTAATTATATTCAACTTATAGCAATAACAACAACATTTAGTCTATCCTGACCTAGCTATGTGAAAGAATTATTTTCTGTCCAAAATAATGCAAGCTTTATAAGTAACCAAGTATTTTCTTTTGATTGTCTTTTATACTATTATGAAGACTTTAAAGGAGACAATATTATTTATTATCAAAAACTGTTCCTTTTAGCTATTGTGCCTATTTCTATTCCAATTATTTCAGCTACATTTTGGTTTTTGATATATTTATGGAAGCGATCTTTTGAATTTTTTATTGAAAATTTAGTTTCCACTTCTATTGTAGCAGCATTTTTAGTCTATCCTAGCATAATTAAGTACTATTTAAGCTCTTTTAACTGTAGGGAACTTGACTATGGCAAAGAGTGGCTTATAGATGATTTGAATTTGAGATGCTGGGATTGCCAGCATATTTTATACATAGCTGCTATATCTTCTCCAGCTCTTCTTATATTTGGGATTGGAATGCCTGCAATTATTTTATTTTTAATCTCAAAAAATAAGCATAGACTGAGCAGCATTGATGTCAGGATCAAATATGGATTTTTATTCATTGGGTATAAATCTAGAAGCTATTATTGGGAATTTGTGATTATTTGCAGAAAAATATTAATTATTTGTTGTTCTCTCTTCTTATCAACTGTTTCTGTCAATATTCAAGCTCTTACTGCACTTTTGGTAATAGTAAGCTGTCTGTATTTGCATTTTAAAATAAAGCCTTATATTGGAGATAACTTAAATAGACTTGAAGCCATTTCTATTTCATGCTCAGCCATAACAATTTATTGTGGAATGTATTATTTATCTGAATCTCTTGATAAATTTACTGAATTCATATTTTTCATTATAATTATTCTAGCAAATTTATATTTTATTTTTTACTGGATTATTACAGCTGGAGAGTCCTATATTATCAAAATAATTCAAAAAATTCCATTTTTAAAGAAAATAATAAACCCTAAAATCTTTTTTCGAGAGGACAAAGCAAATATAATAGGAGATTACGAGTTAATCGTAAGCACTTCCCATAAAGAGAATTTAAATTCACAAGGGATACCTTTTAAAAAAATCAGCATGATGGATTTATTTTTTGAAAAATTGAAAGGATGTATGACAATTAAAGAAGAAAGTTATTATGAAAACGACAGTAATGAAGACAAAAATGAAAAGAAAAGCATTGAGGAGGGAGATCTTGAAAATATAAACATAGAAGAGAAGAATTCTGACTTCCCACTTTAAATTGGAACAAAAATTACTCTTCCAATTTTAAAGGGTGTCTTTTTTTAAAAAAACACTATTTTTTAATTTTTTCTATAAAAATTTTTGGTATTTGAATTTATTTTTATGGACAATTAATAAAAAAATTAATTGATTAAGTATGAAAACTGTGTAAATAGCATTCTACTTGCCATTTGTGTAGTAAATTAGATTAAAACTAATTTTATAAAAATCAGTATTTTCATGAGTAAAATTTTTCCTATTGAAAACAAGTTTTTACCAATTTAAAGGGAGATTAAAGTAGCCAAAGAATGCAAATTTTACCGATGTTTTGTTCCAAATTAAAAGGGGGGAGTGAAGAGAATCGTAGAGAGGGAAATTTTCAAGAAGAGAGCAGTTATTAAGAAAAGAATTAATTAAATGGTTGATTCATTAAGTTATTAAAAAGGAACACTGTAGATCAACAAATTATGAAAAAATAAGAAATACAATTTAGATTATTAAATAGATAATTTTTCAAAAAATTACATTATGCATTTTTATATAATAGATGGCAGGAATTTATCGTAAATTTAGTGATCCGCTTCACTAATAAAAATTAAGTCAAGAAAATAAATTTCAAACTTAATGCTTAAAAAAAATGAGCGCAAGGTCTATTTATTCACTGAAAAGATATTAAAATACAAAAGAAGTATTGATTATTTATATTAAGTAAGAATGATATAAAAAATAGCACCAAAATATATAACTCCTTGAATTAAATAAGAATACATATATAATAAATTTGTGAGATCATCAATTAAAGTAATTTTTGCTCCGATTCAAGAAAGGATTCGATTCTAGCGAATAAGGATAAAATGGCAAATTCTCTTATATTTAATCATCGAGTAATGATAGGAATTTTCATCAGATTACTTTATTTTAATAATTTCAATTATTTCAGCATCTCTTCGAAATAATTAAACTCTTAAAATGCTTGATTGTCCTAAAAATATAGCTTATTTCTTAACATGAAAGACAGATAATTGCTTGTTTATTCCTGCCTTGAATGCAAATCTCTTGTTGATGGCTTCTGTCATCAGTAACAATTGCTTAGATATGAAATGGAATTTGCGATCTGAAATGAATGGTTTTAATATATAATTTCTATACAAATTCAATACAAACTTTGTATAAACGCTGATAATTCTGATTGCTATCAAACATGCATAGCAATTTTTTTCTTCCTTTGATCTTGGAAAGGAATTTTAATCCAAGCTAACCATTAGAAAAATCGCTATTTTTTATCCAAAAGCCCACCTTCCGTAAGTGATTAAAAATTTTTTTATAAGAAAAATTTTTTATGGAAAAAATTTTGATATATAAGTGATAATTAGCATAATGAAATCTAGAGCTAATTCTGTTTAATTTTTAAATAAATTGCTTTTTAAAACATAAATTTTATAAATTAAATTAATATTTGCTTTCCAATTTTTGCGAATTAGGTTTTTTTTAAATTTCGAAAAAAATATATTTTTTATATAAATTTTTTAAAAAAAAAAAATTAACCCCCCTCCGTGAGGAACAAAATTTTTTTGTTCACTCACGGGGCGGAGTTAGCAATTTAGAATGCCTATATCTATCAACAAAACAGTGGTATCAATCACCTAATATAGCCATCTTTCTGATGGTTCAATATTTCCAATTGGCTATACTAGGAAAACACCAATGCTCAGCTTTATTAAAAGATTATTGTCTATATACATATTAAGATGAACTTTAATATAACGATGATTCCCCTCAATCTTCATGTCTATGGCAAAAAATTTTTTTTTATTTTTTATATAAAATTTTATATTAAAAAATTGTATTGTGTTGCCATAGACATAAAGATTGAGGGGGTGTCATCGTTAAACAACTTGTATTTTGAATAGACCTTTAAAAAATTCGGACATTTTTTATTATTTTATTTACCTACTCTTACTTGTACTTTAAAATACCTTTTCTAAAAAGTACTTAATGATTTAAATTAATAATTATGGTCCTAGAGCTGGTTTTTATTATAAATTAAAATAGCATAAGATTATGAGTATCAAATCTTTTTTTGTTTTACTCCAGCCTTTATTCTCAATTGCAATAAACTTCTTATGTAATCCATCTTGATGTCCTCAATTATCAGTAACTATTACTTAGAAAGGAGACGGAGTTTCCAATCTAGCATGCATGGTTTCATTTTGCAATTTTGACTCAAATTCAAATATAAACCCATTGATAAATCCAGAAAATTCAGATTGTTATCAATTGTGCATTGATAATTATTCGTGTTCACCTTCTGATCTGGGAAACGGAGCATGTAATCAAAACTGCAATAATCCAACTTGTGGCTATGATTATGGAGATTGTGGGTACTGCTCTTCAGATTGTAAAAGATATTTAGGCTTTCAAGATGATTTAGGCATAGCATGCTCTAATTCTTGTGATAATGAAAATTGTTATTATGGTTTAGGAATTTGTAAAGATTGCTCAGCTGGCTGCAGCAGGGAAATTCTTGGAGATGGGATTTGTGATAAATCTTGCAATGTGTTTTCTTGTAATTATGATTTTGGAGATTGTAATAATAATCAATGCACTTCAGGCTGCGAACTTTGAATGATAGGAGACAATAATTGTAATAAAGAGTGCGATAATCTGGCTTGTAACTGAGATGGAGGGGAATGTGACTGTTCCCAAGGCTGTCATTCTTATATGAAATCTAACGGAGTTTGTGATGAAGTTTGTGATAATTCAGATTGCGATTATGATGGAGGAGACTGCCAAGAATGTGCTCCTGGCTGTTTAATGTCTATGCTAGGAGATGAAACTTGTAACTCTGCTTGCAATGTAAATGATTGTCATTATGATAATTATGACTGTGGCTGTGCTGAAGGCTGCGGTATAGAAAGTTATGGACAATGCAAAGATTCCTGCATGAATTCTATGTGCAGATATGATACTACTAGCGAAACTTCTAAATGCCAAAATTCAAACCAGATATTATTTGCTTTACATTATGGGCTTATATTTAAAAATCTTGTAGCAAATACAAGCCCAGATAATTGCACAAGTAACACAAGCTGCTTATCAACAGAGGTCCTTGATTCTAGTTCTTGTCACACAAATTGTAAAGGAGCTCAGTGCATTTATTCATGAAATCAATGTGAAGTAAATACGTGTGCAGACCAAAATTGTCTAATTTGCAACTCAAATAAGTTAGGAGACTGTTTTAAATGCAACTCAAATGCTTATCAATTTTATGGATATTGCCTGGCTTCATGCCCAGGTGGTCATGAGGCGGTTAATTTACTTGGCGACTATCCAGTTTGCTTGATTCCTAAAGACTATTCAACAAAAGAAAGTCCAGCAGTCTATTATGTAACTTCAAAAACAAGCACCGATATTTATGAAGGAAATGGGACTTTTAACAACCCATTTGCATCCCTTTCTCTAGCTCTTGCTTCAATATATAATAGGTATGCCATTATTTATCTATTGAATGATGGGGATCATTATTTTACCTGTGTTAATACATCAAATCCTGTGAGCACTGTGCTAGCTGATGTATGTGATCCATTGTCAAAAAGCTTTAGCCCAGCAAATCTTGTGATTGATTCATATGATGGCTCTATGATTGTTGTAAAAACGAAGGCAGACCACGATTTTTTTACTTTTACAATGTCAAGTACTAATACTCTTACAATAAAAAATGTCGTATTCAATGGACAAGATGTTCTATCAACTTGCCCATCAGAAGCAAACCCTTATTGCTCATATTGCGCTTATATTACGCTAGGTTCTGATGGATACTATTACAGTGATCAAGGGACTGTAGTTTCTAATTATTTAGACTCATCCACATGCAACACATTTCACACCAAAAGCCTTTTTAGTTTATATTTAAACGCCAATTTAGAGATGAAAAATGTAAATTTTACAGATTGGAGAATGGAATTAAAAACTTTAATTATAAGCTATGGAGCAAACATTATATTCAGCTACGTAAATTTTGATAGTATTCGATGCATGTGAGGTGCGACTTCAATACAGCCAGGACAAGCAACTCCAGAACAGGAAAAAACTTCAGTGATTTATTTTCTTGATTGTGGAGATGCAAATTATAATTGTGGAAGCTTTGAGTATACAAATGGAGTTGTATCAAGGCTTAATAATGGCTATGAGTATGGCGTAGCACCATTTTCAGGATTTTTAAGTGCAGATAAAATCAGGACTGTAAAGCTGAAAAATGTCACTTTTGTTAACAATATTGTATATTCTCCTTATGTCGTATCCACAACTTATTGTCTTATAAAATTGATTCTATACAGATCAATTGAAGTTTCTCACTGCATTTTTGAAAAAAATGCAGTCTATTTTGGGCTCATTTATTTAGAGCCACTGGCATTAGTATTTCGTAATGATTTAAATTCTAATAACGAGCTGATTGATTTATTGCTTTATCACATTTACATTCACGATTCAATTTTTACAAATAACTATGGAATAATTGCAGGCATTTTATGGGTTGATTATCAGTCTCAGCTACAAAAAATTTTATTCGAAAATTTGACTATAAATGGAAATGGAATTTTAGCAGGATCTTTGATTTATATTAATAATCTGTATTATTCTTCTCAATATCTTACAGATACTTCAATATCCATAACAGATGCAAATGGAAATTCTATAGAAGCAATATATAAGAAGCGAGATTTTATTTTTAAAAATTCAACAATTGCCAACAATCACTCTGGTTTATATGGGATTTTAGATCTTGATCAATTAGTGAACATACGTTTTTACAACTTGACTATTGAATCTAATGGAAGCCTGGAAGCTCAAAATATCAATACTATCTTATGAAACTATTATGTAGACAACAGTGATTTATATATAAAAAACCTTGTCACAGATTCTAATGGCATCGACTGTTATTCTTTATGATCTATTCGCAATTCTTATAATCATGAAATATTAGAAAGCACTTTTAAAAACAACCTTTGCCAAAATTCAAGCCCAAATCTAAGATTTGAGGTATCTGAGAACATTAATATTATTGGTTGCAGTTTTGAAGGAAATATAGGGTCTTCTTCTTTTGGGAGTTGCGTATATTCTTTTCTTGGTGGAAAAATGACAATTAATAATTCAGTATTTAATGACAATAAAAATAACGCTCCTGGGGGATATGGGCCTTTATGTTTTGTACAGAGCTTTGGGGATACTTATATTTCCGATACTATAATTTCTAATAACTCAGCAGATTATAGCCCAGGACTATATTTTACAGGTGGCTCATTAATTATAAATAGCATAATATTTGACTCAAATATAGCCAATTTAGGGCATGGAACTCTTTATTTTTCAGATTTTGAAGGAGCAATTTCTCGTGCAATTGATATAAAAAAATCGGTTTTCAAAAATAATAAAAGCTTAGACGTAAATGGAGGCGCGATTTATGTCTCAAGCACATCATTATCGCAAAGCCAGATTAGTTTATCAATTTCAGATACTGACTTTAAGTGCAACTCTGCACTGTCTGGCTCAGCAATATATATAGAAAATAATGTAATTCTTACAGTCGATTCTATTATTGAGTCTTGCATATTTGCTTATAACACTGCTAATAACAAAGGAACAATTGCGAATTTTTTCCAATATGGAATATTATATTTTTCCCTATATTGCTTATATAGGCTGGCGCACCAAAATTTTCTTCAACGTTTGAAGAAAATTTCGCATCAACTCTCTATATTTTTCACGTGTAAAAATTTCAACATGCCAGACTAGATAAGCAATTTAGGCAACGCATAATATTAAAAATTTCAAATTCTTTATTTTTTTCCAATTACGCTGATTTTGGATCTGCTTTATATTTTGCTGCTTCAGAACAGTCAAGCTCTGATAAATCCAAAATAATCCTAACTTCTTGTAATTTTACTGAAAATTTAGGACAAAATGTTTTATGTGCTGAAAATGTCGCAATTTTGTCTTATATTGAAACAGCTAAATGCATTTTTCAAAAAAATGAAGGGTCTATTATATATCTTGCTCATGGATTTTGAAAAGATACTGAATCTATTATAGCAAATTCAACAAAAAATGCAGGGACTGTTTATTTATCGTCATATTCAACAGCTGACTGTGAGTTAACGAGCTTTACCAACAACACTTCTACAAAAATTGCAGGCGCTGTCAGAGCTGAGGGTAGCTCATATTTTCACTGCAACAAATGCCAATTTTATAAAAATAGTGCTAAATATGGAGGAGTTCTCTATTTTAACCAATTATCTTATTTTTTAATCGAAAATTCAATTTTCAGAGGAAACTTTTGCAAAGATAAAGGTGGAGTGGTCTATATAGTCCGAGCTAAAAGCAATAGCATTTTAAAAAATTCCCAACTGTATCATAATCATGCAGAATCAGAAGGCTTGATTTATTCAATTGCGTCTAATATTAAAATTGATAACTGTGAAATATATGAAAACACGGCTAATGGGGTTACTCCAGGGATTTATTTTACACTTTCAAATTTCACTATTGCTAACACACAATTTAAAGACCATAAAGGGAACTCTGGAAGCTTTTTGTATTTAGCCTCTGATAATTGATTGGCTGTTGTAAATTCAACCTTTCTTAATGGAAAATCTTTAACGTCAGGTGGGTCAATTTATGCTCTTTCAAGCTCAATAAATCATATGAATTAAAATGGCGGCGCGTGGCAATCTGCCCTCTGGCACAACAATCTGGACCTTAAGGCCATGGCCAATTGGAACACATCCTCTACTGAGAAATCAGGGGCTTCGGCGTGGGCCATAGAGGAATAGTCTTTTTGCTAGCTGCCAAAGAAAGGCACTCTTGCACCCGATAGCTAATCTCTGAACTCAAACAACTCCCAATCGCCCGTTGCAGGGCTGCAGAAATCCATAAGCCACTCGTTAAAGTCTAAAGTACAATATTAAAATGGCAGTTAAGAGATAGGCCCAATGTGCCTGCTCTGCAGGTAGGGACCTATGCTCTAGCTTATGTGAAGGAGGTCAACCCTCTGGAGAGTCTAGAGTGAAGTGAAGAGGTCAATGCTGAGTCTGGTATTGATCAGAGAAGTCTTGAGTGACTTGTTAACATTAACGGTTTGACGGTTAGGAAGGTCCACCTGCCGTTATTCAGAGCTGTTAATCAAGTTGGACCTCACTGAAGGGGACTGAATACAAAGAGATTTCTATTAAAGTTAAAGTCTAAAGCCTCAAGACAAGGAGGAGAGAACTGCACCGGCCATGGCTAGACCTATCAGGCAGCTTGTCGCAAAGCGGATGAACGTCCCGTACAGGAGATCTTTGGTGACTTCATCAAAAATATAACTAGTACCTGTCTTTAACCCTAACTAATTCTAATCAAGACCTATAAATCTTACAGATAGCTTATTTATGAACTCATCTTCTATTACAGGCAACGCAATACTAGCATTTTCAACAGCATTAAATATTTCTCAATGCAAGTTTTTAAATACCGAGAGCTCAAGTTCTGGGGGGGTTATAAGTGTTTTTGGTAGCAGAACTTTTATACAAAAATCATTATTTGAAAATTTTAAATATTCAGCAATTGAGGGATCTGAAATGGAATTTTTAAAGATCGTGGAAACAAGCTTTAAGAATAGTCAAGGAAAAATAGGAGGAGCAATTAGTTGTACAAATACTGATTATGTTTATATTAACTCATGCGTTTTTGATAATGGGACATCAATTTATGGTGGGGCTTTGTATTTTGCTTTTACAGACATAGCCCAGGCCTGCTTTGGATCGCTCTGGGCTTCACCTTGCCGCCTCAACCTGTGGGGTTGACTCGGGCAAAGTCAGTTGCCAATCAATCCCAAAAGTGGCAAACGTCGCTATATTTTTACTGTCAGTACATGGGGTTGACTTTGAAACTGATATTTTCTGATTCAGCCCACAGGTTGAGGTGACAAGGTATAGCCCAGGGCGATCCAAAGAAGGTCCTGGACTATAATACAATCAATAGTAAAAATTATGCTCTTTTACAATAAATAAAAATTTTGGTACTGCTTACCATTTTTCTATATTATGTAGTGAATAGGAAAATGGCTAACCAGTAGCAATGCTTCTATTGATTATAAATGGTTATATGAAATAATGTCTACGGAATTTGTAAATAATACATCATCAGCTGGTGGGGCAATTTATCTAGATAATATAAATGCTGATATTAAATATTGTAGATTTTATGATAATAAAGCACAAGCAATGAATCAATCATCTGAAGCTACTCATGATTCAGGAATAGGAGGAGCTATGAAACTAGGATGTAGTTACTCAGGAGAATGCAATTTTAATGTATTTTCTAATGATTTTGTAGGAAATATAGCAGATTATGAAGGAGGAGCTATAGTATATATGAAAAGAAGTCATGCCAAATTTCCAAAGCAATTCTTTTGAAAACAATAAAGCAGTGTATGGTGAAAACATAGCATCTTATCCTGTTACTATGAAAGTTATGAATACTAATTGAAACGGTAAATTAAATAATTTAGCATCTGGACAGCTAACTACAACCCCACTAATAATTGGCCTGATCGATCACTTAGGCTCAGTTGTTACTACAGATGATTCTAGTGTAGGTGAATTAATATCGCCCTCACAAGATGTAATTTTATCTGGTGAACTTAAAGTTACAGCTATCAGTGGAATTTTCACATTTTCCTCATTTATCATTTCCGCAGAGCCGAGCAGCAATTTTTCTATAGAAATACAAACAGACGGCATCGATAGTTCCAAAAGTATCAAAGCAAATGATGGCCTTAGTTATAATTCAAGTTTACTTGTAGATGCCACTTTAAGAGATTGTGTATTAGGTGAAATTACAGTTGGAGTTAAATGCATAATCTGCCCAGAAGATTTGTACAGTTTAAATCCAAAAAGTGATCAATGTTTGCCTTGCCCTGATGAGGCTATATGTTATGGAAATTACACAATGGTCCCTAAGCCGGGATATTGAAGATCTAGTATGCTGACTGACTCATTTTGGCCTTGCCCTAATCCAGATGCTTGCATTGGCTCTGACTCACAAAATATTTCTTATACAGGAAACTGCCTTGAAGGATACACTGGAAATTTATGCCATAGCTGCTCAGAAGACTACGCAAAAATAACAAAAAATCAATGTGAAAAATGCCAAAGTCTTCCTATAGTCATCATAAAAACGTGTGCGATTGGTATCGGATATATAATAGTCTGTTGAATAATGGTCAAAATGTCCAAAAAATCTGCATATAAACCTAAATCTCTCACAAGCGTATATATTAAAATATTAGTCAATTATATCCAGCTAGCTATGATAACAACTACTTTTAGCCTATCCTGGCCAAGCTATGCTAAACAGCTATTTTCTGCACAAAATAAAGGAAGCTTTATTGGTGAACAAATTTTTTCTTTTGATTGCCTTCTATATTATAGCAGAGACTTAAGAGGTGGCACAACTGTGATTTTTTATCAAAAATTGTTTTTTATGGCCCTTCTGCCTATTTCTATTCCTATTATTTCAGCTATTATTTGGTCTTTGATATCCTATTGTAAAAGAAATTTTTCATTATTTGTTGATAATATAATTACTAGCTCAATTGTGGCTGCATTTTTTGTATATCCAAGCTTAATAAAGTATTATTTTAGCTCTTTTGATTGTAAAGAGCTTGATTATGGCGAAGATTGGCTTGTAGTGGATTTAAGTTTGAGGTGTTGGAATAGCCAGCATGTATTTTATATAACAGCTATTTCTCTTCCTGCTATACTTTTATGGGGGATTGGAATACCAGCTGCATGCTTGCTGCTGATTATGAAAAATAAGCATAGGCTGAGCAGTATTGATGTTAGGATCAAATATGGATTTGCTTTTAACGGGTATAAATCCAGAAGCTATTATTGAGAATTTGTTATTATTTACAGAAAAATAGTAATTATTTGCTGCTCTATTTTTTTATCAGCTGTATCAGTCAATATTCAAGCTCTTACTACACTTTTTGTATTAGTAGTCTATCTTTATTTTCAATGCAAAATAAAGCCCTACAATGGAGACGATCTGAATAGGCTTGAAACTGTTTCTATTGCATCTTCTGCTATAACAATTTATTGTGGAATGTATTACTTATCTGAGTCTCTTGATCAATTTACTGAAATGCTATTTTTTATTGTCATTATATCAGTAAATGCTTATTTTGTTATTTATTGGATTATTAAGGCTGGAAATGCATATATAGCCATAATAATTGAGAAAGTTCCATTTTTGAGGAAGAGATTCCATCATAAAAATTATGAAAATATAGATATAGCGCCTGACTCCTTATTGATTTCTAAAAAAATATTCTTAAAGAAAAATTCCTTTTGGCATTTAAAATGTTATATTTAAAAATGACAAATAGAAGATGGACTTTTAGATTTTCTTAGAATTTTTCAATCAATTTTTTAATTTATGAGTCATTGTCTTTAAAGATCTATAAAGGGGCCCGCGCTATATTGGAAGTAATAATAAAAAAACAGGAGATTTTCCATATGAGATGATTCTGAAGTCTTCTCCAAGCGAAAACTTAAATCATCAAGGGATTGATTTTAAAGAAATCAAGATGAGGGATTTATTTTTTGCAAATTTGAAAGGAGGGATGCCTATTATATATGAAGATGACAGAGCTAATTTATTGTTGGGGTTGGAGAAAAATTGTGTACTAGAGGGAGTGATCAGGAAAAGATTCATGCTGCATGAAGTTGTGCTTTATCAGAGAAATTTGTTATTTGGATGAAGGAGGAACATTCTAGAGAATTTGGAGATGTAGATAACGAAATAAAGAATTTTATCTATAGAGTGATGAAGAAATTGAAAAAGATAGCATTGAATATAGCTATATGGAAAAGAAAAGTATTGGAGGGATTAATACAGAAGAAAATAGCTTTGAAGAAAACTGCTTTAGGCTTAACAATTCAAAAGGTTTAGATTGCAAAGAAAAAATTATAGAAGAAGTAGAAGGCGAAGGAAAATTTCAAATTATCTAAATTTTAGAAATAAAATATTTTTTGAATAAGTAAGTGTTTTTTTTACTAGAGGTGTAAGAGCCTGCTTTCTGAAATGATTCAGAATTTTAATCATTTGATTTTGCTTAAGTAATATGAATTAATGAAAGGAAAAGTAAACTGTTTTTAAAAAAATACAATTTTCATATATCATAGATCTGGAAAGTATTAATTTCTTAAGAAAAATATGATAACGGACAGTGGAATTTTAATTCTTTAAATATAAAAAGGAATAAATAAACTAAAATTCTCGATTTTCTTTTGCTTTAGTTAGAGCATTATATCAATTTAATTATGGGAAAGAGCTAAAAAACTTGAGAAAGAGCTAAAAGACTTGAGAAAAAGCTAAAAAACTTGAGAAAGTTTTGATGAATTTATATTATTATTATTTCGAGCATTAAATATTTTAAACAATTTTATTATGATGTATATATAGAAAAGTAATAAAAAATTTCCTAATCCTCCAACATTATAATTGAGACAATCTCGATCTTAATCTTTCTAATATATTAGCTTATATTGTTTTATAAATAATTTTAGAATTAAAACCGAATATAATTTTTTTGCTTTGTAACTTTTTGAGACTTAATTTGCGAAAAATGAATTTAATCAATAAAAAAATAGGCTTATGATTATCTGCTTTCTATTCTTTATCTTTCCTTCTTGGTCTTTAGCGCTGAACTTCCTGTGCAACCCAACATTATGTCCACCATCATCTGTAATTTCTACTTAGAAAGGAGATGGAATTTGTGATCTTAACTGCATGACTTCATTTTGTAATTTTGACTCAAATCCTTCAACAAACCCAAAACAAAATCCGGAAAATTCCAATTGCTACGAATCATGTATAAATAATTATTCCTGCTTACTTTCTGATCTTGGAAATGGAATATGCGACCAGAATTGTAATAATCCGGTCTGCGGGTACGATTTTGGAGATTGCGGGTACTGCTCTTCAAATTGTAAAAGTTATTTTAGGCTTCCAAGACAATTTAAATGCAAATTGCTCAGAATCTTGTAATAATGAAAATTGTTATTATGGTTTAGGAATTTGTAAAGATTGCTCAGCGGGTTGCAGCAGGGAAATGCTTGGAGATGGGATTTGTGATAAATTTTGCGATGTTTCTTCTTGTAATTATGATTTTGGAGATTGTAATAATAATCAATGTAGTTCAGGATGTGAACTTTGAATGATAGGAGACAATAATTGTAATCAAGAGTGCAATAATCTCGCTTGCAATTGAGATAGTGGAGACTGTGACTGTTCCCAAGGCTGCCGTTCATATATGAAATCTAATGGAGTTTGTGATGAAGCTTGTGATAATTCAGCTTGCGATTATGACGGAGGAGATTGTCAAAAATGCGCTCCTGGGTGTTTAATGTCTATGCTAGGAGATGGAACATGTAATGCAGCTTGTAATGTAAATGACTGTAATTATGATAACTATGACTGTGGCTGCGCTGAAGGCTGCGGTATAGAAAGTTATGGGCAATGCACAGATTCTTGCATGAATTCTATGTGCAGATATGATACTATTAGCGAACCTTCTCAATGCCAAAACACAAACCAAATTTTATTCGCTTTATATTATGGATTTATCTATAAAAATATTATTACAAATGTAAGCCCAGATAACTGTACGAATACTACAAGCTGCTTGTCTACTGAAGTCCTTGATCCAAGCTCTTGCCACTCAAATTGCAAATCAAAAAATTGCATTTATTCATGGAATAAGTGTACAACATATGCTTGCTATGATTCTAACTGCTTAATTTGCAACTCAAAATCCGCAGGAGATTGCTTTAGGTGCAACTCTCAAACTTATCAATTTTATGGATATTGTCTTACTAGGTGTCCAGATGGTCATGAAGCTGTTACTATGCTTGGAAATTATTCAGTTTGTATGATTCCTAATCTAACCATTAGTAGCAGATACAGTTTTTTACCATGGATTAATACTATAAAATTATCAAAGAATTCGCAAAATAATTTAATTTATAAGCTTAGCTTTTAGAGATTGCACATAAAAATATTTATATACAAGAAATTTTTCTTTCTCTGAGAAGGATTTCCCATGTAAACTTTTCTGATATTTTCTATCGCAGACAAATGGGAGTAAGGATTACTCAACAAGAGATAATCCAGCAATTTTTTATGTGACTTCAAAAAACAGCACTGACATATATGGAGGAAATGGAACTTTAGCCAACCCATTCACTACTCTTGCTGTCGCTTTAGCTTCAATTTATAACAAATATGCAGTTGTTTATTTACTTAATGACGGAGATCATTATTTAATCTGCGTGAACACCTCAAACCCTGTATACTGATTAACAAATGACGTCTGTAGTCCTCTAATCAGAACCTTCACCATAAAACACCTTCTAATTACTTCTTACTCCTTCTGAGATTAGCAGAACAATAGGAAATCCTATTTTTGATTAAAAATAAGCGAACCTTTTGATGAAAAATTATTTTTTATCTATAATAATTAGTTTAATTAAATCTCGAGACAATCTGTTTAACTTTCAAAAGGTTGCATTTTATAATTAATTAATTTTTCAATTTCCAATTTACTCGAAAAAGCCCATCCATGAGTCGGGGAGTTATGATAATTCCATGATTGTAATAAAGAACAGGGCAGATTGAAAACTTCTTTTTTTTACTGTGCAAAATTATATGACACTTGTAATAAGAAATATTGCTTTTAACGGAAAAGACCTTACCTCAGGCTGCCCATCCTCATCAGCAAACCCTTATTGTACTTATTGCGCAAATATCACATTAGGTTCTGATGGTTACTATTATAGCGATCAAGGTGTTAAAGTTACTAGTTATGTGCCTTCAACATTCTGCACTAACACTTATCACACTAAAGCATTTATTAATGTGACAAATGCCAATTTAATTTTGGAAAATGTAAATATATCTGATTTTAGATATGAGCATAGATCACTAATCTATAGTTCAGGAGGAAATCTTACATTTAAAAATGTAAATTTTGATAATATAAGATGCTTTTGACAAGTAGTTACCACAACACAGCCTGGACAAACACCTACAACACCAACCAAAAATTCACTATACCCATTACAGAGAGTATAAACCCTCCTATTAGTTAGCATTATTAGCAGGAAAGATTTTATTTATAGTATTTAGGTATAATTTATTTCTTGGATTGTGGAGACCCTAATTATAATTGTGGAAGTTTTGAGTATACAAATGGAGTAGTATCAAGGCTTAATAATGGCTATGAGTATGGGTCAGCCCAGTATTCAGGATTTTTAAATGTAGAAAAAGTCAGGACTGTCAAGCTGAAAAATGTGACTTTTGTTAACAATATTGTGTATACTCCATATGTGGACTCTAATAATTATTCACTTGTAAAACTCGCCCTATTTAGGTCAATTGAAATTTCTCATTGTGTTTTTGATAAAAATATTGCGAATTATGGGCTTATTTATTTGTTTCCGACTACATTGACGTTTAGAGACGATGTGAATTCTAATGGAGAGCTAATTGATTTATTGCTATATCATGTTTATATATAGCCCCTGAAATATTTTAGATCATTATTGGCCATCCATTTTAATTTTCAAATTAATTTGTCCTTGTCAGCTTTTTTGAAAAGTAAATACGAAAATGACAAGTCTCCGTTTATGGTTTTAAGGTGCCTAATCAGACTTATACTGTAAGGGGGAGGTGCCCTGTACCATATTTTTTTTCTGGTCGGTATTCTGCTAGGGTATAGAGATCTATTAAGGTGTATGAGCTATACATGATACGACTTTTAAAAATAACTTTGGATTAAATACAGGGATTTTGTCAATCAGCTATCTGGCTCAGCTACAGAGGATTTTATTAGAAAATTTGGTTATAGATGGAAATGGAGTTCAATCAGGACCTTTGATATCAATCAATAACAATTATTACTCTTCTCAATATTTCGATGATACAAGAGTAATTGCCAGTGATGCCAATGGAAATGTATTCGAAGCAATATTCAAGAAACGAGATTTTATATTTAAAGATTCTATTATTACAAACAACTACTCACTCTCCACTACTATAATAATTGCATTTTTTAGCTGTTAACGATGCGCTTATTTTTTTTATGAATAAATATATATATTAAAAAATGTTTTCAGCATTCTAGAAATTTAATTTGCTAATATTGGAATGAATCATTAATTTATAAAATTATACATAAGAAAAAGGCTTTCTGAAATAATAGAATAAGCTAAAGATTTGTTATATAATCATCATTAACTCCATAAAAATTGAATTTTTCCATATATTGCCTGCTCAACTAGGAGAGTCAGGAGGAAATGGAATTTTCGATATTAATCAACTATTCAATATAAGAATGCAAAATCTCACTATAGTATCCAATGGTAGCACAGACACCCAGAATATCAATACAATTATATGAAGCTATTTTGTAGCTAATAGCGATATATATACAAAAAAACTCGTCCGAAATCCAGTTAATATAGATTGTCTTGCTTTATCATATGCTTCTTATTGCTATAATTATGAATTATCAGAAAGTACGTTTAAAAGCAATACCTGTAAAGCTGGATCTCCATCAATAAATTATATACAGGTCTGAAATACAAATATTAACGATTGCACTTTTGAAGAAAATACAGCCAGCTCTTCTTATGGAACTTGTATATATTCTTTAGGTTCTATAGGCATGTGAATAACTAATTCAAAATTCAATAATAATACAAATACCCATGAGCAAGGAATTGGAGCTTTGTGCCTTATTGAAAGCTTAGCAAATACATCTATAGAAAATACAGTGATATCAAATAACTCCGCAAGCTATAATCCTGGAATTTATTTTAATGGTGATTTATTAATGCTGAATAATGTAACTGTGGATTCAAACATAGCAAGTTCAGGGCTTGGCGCTGTCTATTTTTCAGTATATACAGGAGCAGACACTCATGAAATTGATATAAAAAAGTCTATTTTTAAAGACAACAGAAGCCTCGATACTAAAGGGGGAGCTATATTTATATCAGGCAACATATTATCGCAAGATCCGATTTCTTTATATGTGAAAGATAATTTGTTTATATCCAATTGAGCACCAAGTGGCTCAGCAATATATATTGATAATAGTGTAGCTCTTTCAAATGACTCTATTATAGAATCCTGTACATTTGTCTACAATACTGCTGAAATCAAAGGAACGATCGCCAATTTATTTCAGTATGGTATTCTAAATATCATACATTAAAATGGTGTGGGCGAACCAACCATCCTTTATATCTATAGCTGGAGAAAATAGGGAACTTTTGGAACCGTTTGTTAATGTGTATCCATTCAGATTTCGCTGCTAGAAAATTCAATTTTTTCTAAGGGCAGCCAAATCAGACTAGAGCACGATGACGCATCCCTCTGCACTCCTGATAGTGTGCGAGCTCATTTCTGGCTTAAAATATAGACAGACGGTAGTTAGTCGTGAAGCAAGGTGGAGATAAATAAACTTTTAGGTATTACATGGAGTTTCTCAATAATCTAAACTAATAAATAAAATATTCTCAATATATCGCATTCTTATTTTGTCGCTAATTACGCTGAGCTAGGCTCTGCTCTATACTTTACAAGCTCAGAAGAGTCAAGCCCTGATAAAACAAAAATAGTATTGACTTCCTGCATTTTTACAGAAAATTCAGGGAAAAATGTTTTATGCACAGATGATATGACAGTTTATTCTTATATTGAGACAGTTAGATGCATTTTCCAAAAAAATGAAGGACTCGCGATATCTCTTGCCCATAGCTATTGAAAAGATACTGAATCTATTATAGCAAACTCAACAATAACTGCAGGGACTGTTTATTTAACCTCAAATTCAACAGCTGATTGCGAGTTAACGATATTTACTAACAATACTTCAACAAAATACGCAGGGGCAATAAGGGCTGAAGGCAATTCATATTTTCATTGCAACCAATGTAATTTTTTTCGAAATAGTGCTCAATATGGAGGAGTCCTTTATTTTGACCAATTGTCTTATTTTTCTATTGAAAATTCAAAAATTTACGACAATTTTTGTACTGATAAAGGCGCAGTAATATATATAATTGGATCTGATGAAAATTGTGTTTTAAAAAATTCAAAATTGTTTAACAACCATGCAGAATCAGAAGGCTTGATTTATTCGCTTACATCAAATATTCAAATTGATAGCTGTCAAATATTTGATAACACTGCTAACAGAATTACCCCAGGTATTTATTTAACTCTTTCTAACGCCACTATTACAAATTCTCAGTTCCATGACCAAGAAGGCAATTTTGGAAGTTTTGTATATTTAGCTTCAGTTAGTGGACTAGTTGTCACAAATACAACTTTTATGAATGGAAAATCCTCTTCCTCAGGTGGATCAATTTATGCTCTGTCCAGCTCTTTGACTTTAGAAACCAGCCTTTTTGAAAATTCAGTTTCGAGCTCTGGAAATGCAATATTAGCTTTTTCAACAGTCATGAGTATTTCTGAATGCAAATTTTTAAATACATACAGTTCAGGTTCTGGTGGAGTTATATAGCTAATTGCATATTTTGATATCTTAATTTTTTTCTTTAATTTAATATGCAAATAATATAATTAAATCATAAATAACGTTAATAAATATCAATTTAGTATAAATATTAATGGGAATCGTATTTTTATTGAAAAATCAATTTTCGAAAATTTCACCAATTCAGCAATTGATGGAACAGAAATGGAATCTTTGACAGTCATAGATACAAGCTTTAAAAATAGCCTAGGGAAAGTAGGAGGAGCAATTAGTTGTACAAACACTGAGTATATTTTTATTGAATCCTGCGCTTTCATGAACAATACATCACTTTATGGTGGGGCTTTATACTTTGAAATTAAGTCCAATATGATGAATCGTCAGCCTTATGAAGTTATTTCTTCGGAATTTATAAATAATACAGCTTCAGCTGGAGGAGCGATTTTTGTGGATAGTATCAGTATCGATGTTAAATCGTCCAAATTTTGTAATAACACCGCAATTAATTCTTATAGCATGCTAGAATCGAGTAACGATTCAGGAATAGGAGGAGCTATCAAGCTAGGGTGCAGTTATTCAGGAGAATGCAATTTTAATGTATTTTCTAATGATTTTGTAGGGAATATAGCAGATTATGAAGGAGGAGCTGTTGTTTGGAAAGAAGTCATGCCAGATTTTAAAAACAATTCTTTTGACGACAATGAAGCCGAATATGGTAGCAATATAGCATCTTATCCTGTTACTATGAAAATTATGAATACTAATTGAAATGGGGGACTAGATGATCTAGCATCTGGACAGCCAACTACAACCCCACTAATAATTAGCCTCATTGATCACTTGGGCTCACTTTAAATGTTCCGTCTCAGCCTGAAAGTATATCCGCAAAGTCTTGCCAACTCAGAAATTGACAGCAATCCTAGGTAAGCAATTCTATGCCGTTTCAGAGTTATTTTCAAAGTTGGATTTTACCTGAAAAGAAAGGGAGGGTTCGGGGTTGAAAGGAGAAGCCCAATAAGGTCTACAGGGATCATTCAAAATCACTTGGGTAAATATCTAGCGTGAAACCAGGAATTATATCTTGGCATTGAACTTTTTCCCATTTTTTGGAATTTTGAAGTCCAACCAAAGTAGCAGCTGCAGAAGTGATAGTCTGCTAACTTAACACTGGATACACAAGGCAAGGAGGAGGCGCAAGAGGAAGAGTGAACACTTTGGTCGTACTGTGGCATGAGGAGCTGAAGGAGGGCAAAATGGTGCTGATCCATCTCCTGGGAAATCATCTTGTTTCCAAACCCAGATTACTCCGATGGTGTCGTAAAGCGGATGGACCTTTATAGATCTTTAGTGACTGCATAAGCAATACGCAGATACCTCTCTAATAAGATTAAGATCACTTGGGCTCAGTTGTTACTGCAGATTACTCTAGTGTAGGTGAATTGATATCACTTTCACAAAATGTAATTTTATCTGGCGAGCTTAAAGTTACAGCTGTCCGTGGAATTTTTACTTTTTCTTCGTTTATCATTTCCGCAGAGCCTGGCAGCAATTTTTCAATAGAAATTCAAACAAATGGAATTGATGCTTCAAAGAGTATTAAAGCAAGAGATGGATTGACTTATAACTCAAGTTTGCATATAGATGTAGCTCTAAGAAATTGTGTTTTAGGAGAAGCGACAGTAGGTGTTAATTGCATTGTTTGTCCGAAAGAATTTTATAGCTTAGACCCAAAAAATGAGCAGTGCTTAGCTTGTCCTGATGAAGCAATTTGTTATGGAAATTACACTATGGTCCCAAAGCCAGGGTATTGAAGGTCTGATATGCTAATTCCCTCTTCAGAGAATTCATTGCAAAAAGGTGGGTTTCTGGCCCAAAAATAGGGATTTTTCCAATGTTTTTCGCTTAAAGATGGGAGTAAGCATCAAATTTTGGTCCTGCCCTAATTCAAATGCTTGCATTGGCTCTGATCCACAAAATATTTCTTATACTGGAGATTGCCGCATAGGCTATACTGGAAATCTATGCCAAGCTTGTTCCGAAGGCTATTCTAAAATAATGAAAAACGAATGTCAACAATGTCAAGCTCTTTCTATAATTATCATAAAAACGTCAGGCATTACCCTTGGATTCCTCATACTTTGTTGACTAATGGTCTGAATGTCAAAAAATTCTGCATATAAACCTAAATCTCTCTCAAGTATTTATATAAAAATATTTATCAATTATGTCCAGCTTATAATATACATAAAATGGCGTATGGCGACCGATCCGTCCTCCCAGTGACGGTAACTTGTGTATATCCGGGCATGGCTTTCAGGAGAAGCGACTTAGCCCAGCAGTATCTGGACCCTGGTGGTGACCGGGGACAAACACAGACCCGCTGATCGTGGCCAGATCCTAGGGCAGTCAGTAGCATCTCCTTTTTCCAGCAGCGCTCAAGCCAGTGGGTGCCCGAAATGGAGCAGGGCGACTTACCTGCTCAAGCTGCTACTGTGGTCTGCCCCGAATCGCGGAAGCGATTGAGAATTTTCTCAAGCGGATAAGCTGGGAAAAGGGGAAGCAGATTAGACGACAAACGCGGTCTCTCCAGTTAAAAGGGTCCTTATAAGAAGGACGACCTGACCAGCCGGAGACAGAGACCTTAAATACATATCGTTAATTTATTTATTTATGTCCAGCTTATATGCTCATTAAAGGCTATATATATAGTGAGATATCAATTTCTAATCTATTTCTATAGGAAATAATAAAATAATAGTAAATATTACTAATCCGAAATGATATTTAAAGAATATCTTTAACCACAACTTTTAGTCTATCTTGGCCAAACTACGTAAAAAGATTATTTTCAATACAAAGCAATGCAAGCTTTATAAGTGATCAAATCTTTTCGTTTGATTGCCTTTTATATTATAATAGAGAAATCTGGGGAAAGGACACTGAAATTTTTTATCAAAAACTATTCATAATGGCCGCTTTACCTATTTTTATTCCATTAATTGCAGCTATTTGTTGAGGCTTGGTTTTAATATGCAAAAAAAGCTGCATTTTATTGATAAATAATATAGTAACTACTTCAATTATAGTGTCATTCCTGATACATCCAACTTTGATAAAGTATTATTTCAGCTCCTTTGATTGCACTGAGCTTGATTATGGTAAAGATTGGCTTGTTGATGACTTGAATATAAGATGTTGGGACAGACAGCATGTATTTTATATAACTGTTATAGCCATTCCAGCTATTATTTTATGGGGAGTTGGGATACCTACTACTTGCTGTTTTTTAATAATGAAAAATAAGGACAGGCTGAATAATATAAACGTAAGGATCAAATATGGGTTTCTATTCAACGGGTATAAATCGAGAAGCTACTATTGGGAATTTATTATAATTTACAGAAAAATTATAATTATTTGCTGCACTGTATTTTTATCAACAGTATCTGTCAACATTCAAGCTCTTACTACTCTTTTTGTTTTAGTAACCTCTCTATATTTCCAATGTAAGATAAAGCCTTACAATGGAGATGATTTAAATAAACTTGAAACTATTTCTATTTCGGCTTCTGCAATAACTATTTATTGTGGTATGTATTATTTAACTGAATCCCTTGATCAATTTACAGAACTCGTATTTTTCATTGCTATTGTTTTAGCGAACTCATATTTTGTTATTTACTGGGGCATTAAAGCTGGAAGTGCCTATATTTCTATGATAGCTCAAAAAATCCCATTTTTTAAGAAAAAATTACATTCTCAAAGCTATAATATTATGAGCGACTCTACCTTTAGGGATGATAGAAATAGTAGAATTGGAGAATCTTCTCGCAATCTAATTCTAAGCTCTCCTAGAATAGAATATTTAAAACAGCAAGGTATAAGTTTTAAAGAAATTAGCATGATGCAATTATTTGTAGGAACTTTGAAAGGAAATACATCTATCTGGGGGAAAAGAGCTGAAAACAGTATTGAAAAAGACAGCATTGAAGATAGCGAAATTGAAAAGAAAAGTGAAGAAAGTGATATTGAAGAAATAAATATAGAAGAAGTAAAATTAGATAAAGAAAATCATTATGAAGAGAATAGTCATGAAGAAGTTAATGAAGAAGAAGTAAAAATTGAAGAAGAAGAAGAAATTGATTTCGATCGAGTTGTGATTCTTGATTCATTTTTAAAGAAAGATTCATCGAATGATTTAACAATAGATCACGATTACATATAAATACAAATTTTGGAGCAAAAATAACTATAAAATCTAAATATTAACAAATATTTTGAAAAAATTAGCACAAATAAATTATTTGGTTATTATCACTTTTCTTTGATCTTGGTGAATTAAAAAAATAAAATTTACACTATCAATCTATAATGAATAATATATTTATAACTTATTTTATAGATTTTACGGGCATTTTACTCAGCTCAAACATTTTTTAACAGCTTTATTTTAGCTATTGTAATGCATGACTTTTTCTTATCGCTATGAAATGAAGAATTTTTTGTTGTTGATATATTGATTTCTTATATCCTATGCACCCCGTATCTCTCTAATTCTGCAAAAGCCTGCTGCTACCCCTCATCAATTCAATAGAGCTCATGTGTTGATGCAAAAATGCAACCAAATCAAATAAGGAAATACTCAAGGAAATTCCTCTGGGAAAAATTGTGCAAATTCATTGACGTTAAAAAATAATGGGAAGCAAGTACAGATTATATTGCTCTTTGATTGAAATAATGCTTTCAGTGCAACAAAAAATTTTCATTACTTTATGGAATTTTTTTATTCATTTATAAACTTAAAGTTATAAAACGAATAGGACAGTAAATAAAAAGAAGCATAAAGCGTAAAAATTTTAAGGTTTCAGCTTTTAACAAGAAAAATATCAAATTCTAGTATGATATCAAAGTTATCATTTAAATCGACCCTATCTTAATCTTTTGTGGCAAATTTGAATAGTTCTAACATTTTATTATTTTTATCTTAACTTAACTAATAAAGTCAGAAATTATTTCTGATTTAATAATATAAAAAACTCGATTATGAAAATCAATTTATTCTTTGCATTGTTTCCGCCTTCTTGGTCTTTGATGGCAAATATATTGTGCAATCCATCATGATGCTCTCCTTCATCGGTAACAATTACGCAGATTGGAGATGGAATTTGCGACCCGAAATGCATGGTTTCATTTTGCAATTTCGACTCAAATTCAACCACAAATCCTATGCTAAATCCTCAAAACTCTGACTGCTATCAAATATGCATAGATAATTATTCTTGTTTACCTTCTAATCTGGGAAATGGAGTTTGTGACCAAAGCTGTAATAATCCAGCTTGTGGCTATGATTTTGGAGATTGTGGGTACTGCTCTTCAGATTGTAAAAGATATTTAGGCTTTCAAGATGATTTAGGTGTCACATGCTCTAATTCTTGCGATAATGAAAATTGTTATTATGGTTTAGGAATTTGTAAAGATTGCTCAGCGGGTTGCAGCAGGGAAATGCTTGGAGATGGGATTTGTGATAAATCTTGCGATGTGTCTTCTTGTAATTATGATTTTGGAGATTGTAATAATAATCAATGTAGTTCAGGCTGTGAACTTTGAATGATAGGAGACAATAATTGTAATAAAGAGTGCGATAATCTGGCTTGTAACTGAGATGGAGGGGATTGTGACTGTTCCCAAGGCTGCCATTCTTATATGAAATCTAATGGAGTTTGTGATGAAGCTTGTGATAATTCAGCTTGCGATTATGATAGAGGAGAATGTCAAAAATGCGCTCCTGGGTGTTTAATGTCTATGTTAGGAGATGGAGTTTGTAACTCTGCTTGCAATTTAAATGATTGCCATTATGATAATTATGACTGTGGCTGCTCCGAGGGCTGCGGTATAGAAAGCTATGGACAATGCAAAGATGCATGCATGAATTCTTTTTGTAAATTAACATTAAAATTATGTTATTATTGAAAAGCTCCTCATAGCACCCGTGAGTATGCTTTTCCAACTTGATCAGATGTTGGCCTCCTGCTGTCACCCTCTAGATGTAAACTCATCGTCATCTGAGGCATGCGTCGAGCCGCAACTGAAGTAGGCTGAGCCATCGCTTCATATGCCAGACTTAGGCTACCCTCCAAAAATTCGAAAAACGAATTTTCTGGTCTAATTGTCGATCAAGATGGAATGTGCCGTTCAGGACTCAACACGTTAATCGCGCTTGGCAGTTGCCCGGTTGGTCACGTAGACTTTACTGGGCTTTCCCTTTCCAACACTGGGCCCATCTTACCAAAGGTAAAATCTCTTTGGGAATGAGCTGCGGTCGGCCCTATCCGATATTGCGCTTCACCAAAGCCAAGTAAAACCTGCGGGATACAATCACCGAACACCTATATTCTTCCATAAGGTCCATGAGTCTCCCCAGCTATAGGTGCTAACTTCCCCCCCTCCGTGAATGAACAAAAACATTAGAAAAATCGCTATTTTTTGCCCAAAACCCACCCTCCGAGAGTAAACAAAAAATGTTTTTATTAGGAAAAATTTTTTTTATGAAAAAAAATTTGATATATAAGTGATAATTAGTATAATGAAATCTAGAGCTAATTCTGTTTAATTTTAAACAAATTGCGTTTTTAAAATATAAATTTTTTAAATTAAATTAATATTTGCTTTTCAATTTTTGCGATTTAGGATTTCTTAAAATGTCGAAAAAAAATTTTTTTATAAAATTTATATATACTATTTCTAAAAAAAAAAGCCCCTCGCTGAGTAAGAGGGTTGGTTGGTTAGGTACGCCATTTTAAAGTATATAGCTCTTGCCCGATGATGGCACATTGAGCGTCATCATTGGCATTTATTATTTCTTCTTTTTGCAGATATGATACTATTAGTAGCACTTCTAAATGCCAAAATACAAACCAAATTTTATTTGCTTTACATTATGGGCTGATTTTTAAAAATCTTACTATGAATGTAAGCCCAGATAACTGTACAAATGCTACGAGCTGCTTATCTACTGAAGTTCTTGATTCAAGCACTTGCCATTCAAATTGCAAATCAAATAGCTGCATTTATTCATGAAATAAGTGTACAACGTATACTTGTGCTGATTCTAACTGCTTGGTTTGCAATTCAAAAACCCTATTCCTTGCAATCGCCTTTTTAGCTTCTAAATATATCTGATCCTTTCTTCTAAAAGTCCAATAAAGTTTGCTTTATTAAAAACTGTTTTTAATAAATTTATTTCTAAAAAATTCTGTTAAAAATAATAACTATTTTCCTTAATGTTATTAATTATAATCATTATTTTTTGCAAAGCTCTATATATAAATTATTTTTCTAAATATTTGCTTATATATTTTTAGCAGAGTTAGGAGATTGTTTCCAATGCAACACAAATACTTATCAATTTTATGGTTATTGCCTATTTAAATGCCCAAGCGGTCATGAAGCTGTCAATTTGCTAGGAAATTACCCAGTTTGCTTAATTCCTAAAGATTATTCAACAAAAGATAGTCCAGCAGTTTATTATGTAACTTCAAAAGCAAGCACCGACATTTATGAAGGAAATGGGACTTTTACCAACCCATTTTCTTCCCTTTCTGTAGCAATAGCTTCAATATATAATAAATACGCAATTCTTTATTTATTCAACGATGGGGTTTATTATGCTACCTGTGTCAGCACATCAAATCCTATAAGCACTGTTTTATCTGACGCCTGCAATCCTTTTATCAGAAGCTTCAACTTTACAAACCTCGTTATTACTACTTATGAAAATTCCATTGTTACCATAAAAAACAAGCCAGATAACAAATATTTTTGATGAATTATAACCAATTCGACGACTCTTACATTAAAAAATGTAGTTTTCACTGCTAAAGACCTTCTTTCAGCTTGCCCTTCATCGGTAAGCTCTTATTGTTCTTATTGTGCTAATGTTACATTAAAATCTGATGGGTATTATTACAATGACCAAGGTGCTAAAGTCACCACTTTTATGGCTACCACAAATTGTAACTCAGTACACACAAAAAGCATATTTACTATGTATTATAATTCTAAGCTAGTCCTGAAAAATGTAAATTTTACTGATATTAGAATTGAATTAAAATCAATAATTACAAACTATGGAGGAAATTTGACGTTAAACAATGTAAATTTTGATAATATTAGGTGCTATTGGACAGTAGTGACTACGACTCAGCCAGGGCAAACTCCTGCAGCTCAAGGAAAGTATGCAGTGATTTATTTCTTGGATTGTGGAGATCCTAATTATAATTGTGGAAGTTTTGAGTATACAAATGGAGTGGTATCAAGGCTTAATAATGGCTATGAGTATGGGTCAGCTCAATTTTCAGGATTTTTAAGTGCAGATAAAGTCAGGACTGTCAAGCTGAAAAATGTGACTTTTGTTAACAATATTGTGTATACTCCATATGTGGACTCTAATACTTACTCCCTTATAAAGCTCGCCCTATTTCGGTCAATTGAAATTTCTAATTGTGTTTTTGATAAAAATATTGCGAATTATGGGCTTATTTATTTGTTTCCAACAACATTGACGTTTAGAGATGATGTGAATTCTAATGGAGAGCTAATTGATTTATTGCTATATCATATTTATATACATGATACTACTTTTAGAAATAATTTTGGATTAAATGCAGGGATTTTGTCAATCAGCTATCTGGCTCAGCTACAGAGGATTTTATTAGAAAATTTGGTTATAGATGGAAATGGAGTTCAATCAGGGCCTTTGATATTAATCAATAACAATTATTTCTCTTCTCAATGAGCCACTGATACAAAAATAGCTATCAATGATACAAATGGAAATTTGGTTGAAGCTACATTTAAAAAACGAGATTTTATATTTAAGGACTCTACAATCACCAATAACTATTCAGGAGGAAATGGTATTTTCGATATTACTCAACTATTCAATATTCGTATACAGAATCTGACTGTAGAGTCTAATGGCAGTATAGATACTCAAAATATTAATACAATTATATGAAGCTACTTTGTAGCTGATAGCAATCTTTATACCAAAAAGCTTATTTCTAGCCCAGCTAATATAAATTGTAATGGATTATGAATTGCTTCCTATTGTTATAACCACGAAGTATCCAAAAGTACATTTAAAAACAATGTTTGCAAAAATTCATCCCCATCAATAAATTACGAACAGATTGTGAACGCTAATTTCACCGATATCATTTTTGAAAAAAACACAGGCAGTTCTTCCTATGGAATTTGTATAGTCACTGATTTATCTAGCAATATAAAAGTCACTAATTCGGTATTCAGTAATAATACAAATACCAATGCTCAAGGAGTAGGAGCTTTATGCTTTGTTTCTAGCTTGACTAATATTTCTATAGAAAATACAATAATATCAAACAACTCTGCAAGTTATAACCCTGGAATTAATTTTTCAGGAGGCTCATTAATGCTCAATAATGTAACTGTGGAGTCAAATACAGCAAGATCAGGGCTTGGTGCTGTTTATTTTTCTGTCTCCACAGAAGTAGACACTCACGAATTTGATATTAAAAATTCTGTATTTAAAGAAAATAAAAGCCTCAGCACAAAAGGAGGAGCTATATTTATATCAGGCAACATATTGTCACAAGATCCGATTTCTTTATATGCGAAAAATAATTTATTTGAGTCCAATTGAGCACCAAGTGGATCAGCAATATATATTGATAATAATGTAGCTCTTTCAACTGATTCTATTTTAGAATCATGCACATTTATCTATAACAATGCTGAAACCAAAGGAACGATTGCGAATTTATTTAAATATGGAATCCTTGTCGTCTCTAACTCTTTATTTGTCGATAATTACGCTGAGCTTGGCTCTGCTTTGTATTTTACAAGTTCAGAGCAGTCAAGTCCCGAAGCATCCAAAATGATCCTATCTTCATGCAATTTTACCGAAAATTCAGGGAAAAATGTTTTATGCACTGATGATATGGCAATTTATTCTTATATTGAGACTGCAGAATGCATTTTTCAAAAAAATGAAGGACTCGCGATATACCTTATTCATGATTATTGGAAAGATACTGGATCTATCATAGCAAACTCAACAATAACGGCAGGGACTGTTTATTTAACCTCAAATGCAACAGCTGATTGTGAGCTAACAACTTTTACAAACAACACTTCAACACAATATGCAGGAGCAATTAGAGCTGAAGGCAAATCATATTTTCACTGTAACCAATGCACTTTCTACCAAAATAGTGCTAAATATGGAGGAGTCCTTTATTTTGACCAATTGTCTTATTTTTCTATTGAAAATTCAAAATTTAACAAAAATTTTTGTACTGATAAAGGAGCAGTTATATATGTAATTGGGTCATATGAAAATTGCGTTTTGAAAAATTCAGAGTTATATTATAATCATGCAGAATCAGAAGGCTTGATTTATTCGCTTACATCGAATATCAAAATTGATAAATGCCAAATATATAGTAACACTGCTGATAGAATTACTCCAGGTATTTATTTGACACTCTCTAATGCTACCATAACAAATTCTCAATTCCATGACCAAGAAGGCAGTTTTGGAAGTTTCGTTTATTTGGCTTCTGATAGTGGACTAGTTGTTGAGAATTCAAGTTTTGCCAATGGGAAATCCTCTTCCTCAGGTGGATCAATTTATGCTCTTTCTAGCTCTTTATCATTAAAAAATAGTTTATTTGAAAACTCAATTTCTAGCGCTGGCAGCGCTATATTGGCTTTTTCAACATCTCTAAATATTTCTCAATGCCAATTTTTAAACACTTATAGTTCAGGTTCTGGAGGAGTGATAAATATTTTTGGGAATAATATTTTTATTGAAAAATCATCCTTTGAAAATTTTACTTATACAGCTATAGATGGCACAGAAGTGGAGACTTTGAAGATTATAGAATCAAGCTTTAAAAATAGCTTCCTCCCCCTCCGTAAGTGAAGAAAAAAATTTTGTTCACTTACGGAGGGGGTTAACTTTTTTTTTCGAAATATATAAAAATCTCACTTCTATAAAAATTGGAAAGTAAATATTAATTTAATTTGTAAAATTTATGTTTTAAAATTATACAGAATTAGCTCATGATTTCATTATAATAATTATCACTTATATATCAAAAATTTTTTTTGAAAAAAAATTTTTGTTCACTCACGGAGGTGGGTTTTCGGGCAAAAAATAGAGATTTTTCTAATGGTTTTGTTCACTCACAGAGCGGGGGGAGGAATTAGGAAAAGTAGGAGGATCAATTAGTTGTACAAATACTGGCTATGTTTATATTGATTCCTGCACTTTCGAGAATAACACATCACTGCATGGTGGAGCTTTATATTTTATTTTTACATCTAATACAATCAACGCACAATCTTATGAAGTTATCTCTACAGATTTTTTTAATAATACATCATCGGCTGGAGGAGCTATTTTTGTGGATAACATAAATATCGATATTAAATCATCCAGATTTTACGATAATACAGCATTAAATACTTTTGAAACATATGAAAATACCCACGATTCAGGAATAGGAGGAGCGATAAAATTAGGATGTAGCTATTCAGGACAATGCGATTTTAAAGTTTTTTCAAATGATTTTGTTAGGAATACTGCAGAATATGAAGGAGGAGCTATCGATTGACGAGAAGTTATGCCTAAATTTGAAAATAACTCATGTGAAAATAATAAAGCAGAATACGGTGACAATATAGCTTCTTATCCTGTTAGTATAAAAATAATGAATGCTGATTGGAATGGCGAGCTAAAAGATTTAGCGTCTGGGCAGCCTACTACAACTCTATTAATTGTTAGTCTTATTGACCATCTTGGCTCAGTTGTTACTACTGATAATTCTAGCGTAGCTGAAATAATATCTACATCAAAAGATGTAGTTTTATCAGGAGAACTTAAAGTAGCTGCTGTCAACGGAATTTTTACTTTTTCTTCATTTATAATTTCTGCGCAGCCTGGAAGCAATTTTTCTATAGAAATTCAAACAAATGGTGTTGATATCTCAAAAAGTGTCAAAGCAAATGACGGACTGAATTATAACTCAAGCTTGTTTACAAAGGTAACTTTGAGAGAATGTGTTTTAGGAGAGGCTACTGTTGGCGTTAATTGCATTATTTGCCCAAAAGAATTTTATAGTTTAGATCCAAAAAACGAGCAATGTTTAGCATGTCCTGATGAAGCAATTTGTTATGGGAATTATACAATGGTTCCTAAGCCAGGGTATTGAAGGTCTGATATGCTAATCTCTCGTTCCTATATATTTTAAATCTAGAAAAATATTTAATATATTTTTCTATAAATTTATTTTTAATGTTTAAAATAAAAATAACTAGATTATTTTCGAATTTAAAGAGACAGTCTAATGGTTTCAGGATAGAATTATTTTTTGGATTGAAAATTTAAATAATAAAATGTTTTTATAAATAGAAAATTTAATAAAATTTTTGAAATAGAGACGATTAAGCACAAAATTTTGGTCTTGTCCTAACTCAAAAGCTTGCATTGGCTCAGATCCCCAAAATATTTCTTATACCGGAAACTGCAAGAAAGGTTATTATGGAAATTTATGCCATAGTTGTGAAGAAGGTTATTCAAAAGCAATGGAAAACGAATGTGCGAAATGTCAAAGTCTTACCATTATTATCATAAAAGCATCTGGAATTGGCCTTGGATTTCTCTTACTCTGCTGACTAATGGTTAGGATGTCAAAAAATTCTGCTTATAAGCCAAAGTCGCTTTCAAGTGTCTATATAAAAATATTCATCAACTACGTGCAGCTTATAACCTTAACCACAACTTTTAGCCTCTCCTGACCTAGCTACGTGAAACATTTATTTTCTATACAAAATAACGCAAGCTTTATAAGTGATCAAATCTTTTCTTTTGACTGCCTTTTATATTACAATGAAGACTTAAAGGGAAAAAGCACTCCGATTTTTTATCAAAAATTATTCGTTATGGCTGTTTTACCAATTTTTATTCCATTTATTGCAGGTATTTGTTGATCTTTAATATCAATATGCAAAAAAAAGTGTGCTTTGCTGATGAATCATATTGTGACCACTTCAATTATAGTCGCATTTTTAGTACACCCAAGCTTAATAAAGTATTATTTTAGCTCTTTTGACTGTACTGAGCTTGATTATGGAAAAGATTGGCTTGTTGATGATTTGAATTTAAGGTGCTGAGACAGCCAGCATGTGTTTTATATAACTGCTATTGCTTTTCCAGCTATTCTTTTGTGAGGAATTGGGATCCCAACAACTTGTTTATTTTTAATTATGAAAAATAAGGAAAAACTTACGAATATAGATATCAGGATTAAGTATGGATTTCTCTTTAATGGGTATAAATTTAGTAGCTATTATTGAGAATTTGTAATTATTTACAGAAAAATTGCTATTATTTGCTGCTCTGTGTTTTTATCAACAGTATCAGTCAATATCCAAGCTTTAACCACCCTTTTCATTTTAATAGCCTGTCTATACTTCCAATGTAAAATAAAGCCTTATAATGGAGACGACCTAAACAGGCTTGAAGCTATTTCTATTTCAGCTTCAGCAGTAACAATTTACTGTGGAATGTACTATTTAACTGGATCTCTCGATTGGTTTACTGAACTCATATTTTTCATTGTTATTATTCTAGCAAATTCATATTTTGTAATTTACTGGGGAATAAAAGCTGGAAATGCCTATATTACAATCATAGTTGAAAAAATCCCATTTTTGAAAAAAAAATTTAAAAATCATAGTTATAATATTGTGGGGGGCATTTCTTTGAGAGTTAATAAAACCGGCAAAATTGGAGAATCTGCACATCAATTAATTCTAACTTCTCTATAAGAATAAGCAATTTACATTGCAAAATTTCGCTTTGACATGAATGATTTATATTTAAGTTTTTAAAAACCTAAAGAGAGAAATTAATGATTTTATTTAAAAAAAAATTATTTATTCGTGCAAAAATAATTTTTTTAAGTGGTTAAGCTCTTCTAGAAAGGAAATATTAAACCCTGAAAAGATATCTTTTAATGAAATTAGCATGATGCAGCTATTTGTAGGAAGTTTAAAAAGAAATATGAGTATTAAAAATGAAAAAATTGAAGAGATAAGCAGTATTGAAAAAAGCGGAATTGACAAGAAAAACACTGAAGAAGATGACATAAGGGAAATAAATATTGAAGAAAATTGCTTTGAAGTAAAATTCGTAGAAGGAAGCAATGCAGAAGAAAGCATTTATGAAGATGGAAGTGTAAAGGAAGATAAAATTCAGGGAGAAGAATTGAAAATTGATGAGGATTAAATGATATTGGATCCGCTTTTACAAAAACACTATATCCGGGAATTTCTAATGGTTTTGAATGAACTATAAACAGAATATTTAGTATAATATCACATATAGAATAATTGAATATTAATAAATTAAAATTAATATTGCAAATTTAACACCAATAAAAATGGCTATATTGCATGCTCATTAATTTTGCTTGAATTTTAGTGCAATTAATGCGGAAAATAATTTTATTCCCTTTCTGCAAATGATTAGATTTAAGATTAATTATAGCGGGTCACTGGGGTTTATTTCAGCCCCTACCCATTCACGAGTTAGCTTTATGATCAGATGGCACTTGAACCAGCTCCAAATAACGCCATTTTTCCATTGCCGTTACCAAAAAATGGTGAGATTAGACAGTCTAACCCTTTCAGGTCTTGATTCTTGAGAAGCCATTAAGAATGCCTGGTACTTGATATAGTTCTTAAGTTTTCAGCTATTATTAAAGAAAATAAATAAGATAGAAACTTTTAGAAGACAATATAAAACGACTGATTTCAACATATATTTGAAATACATTAAGCTTATTGACATATTTTAACTTATCACTCTCTTTTATATTAGAATTATTCTAAAATAAAATCTCTACGCTTTGCTACATAGATAAGCAGGAATTATCAATTATTACTTCTTTATTTTAACTGCTTTTTGTCTATAGGATTTTTTCTATTGGTTATTATTATTATTATTTGAGCTTAAACGATCCTCTTCAAAAATTTGCGAAATTTATTTATCTTCTTCCTTAGCTTCTTTCTCTGGATCATTTTTTATACCTCTAATTCCTTTTCACTTTGCAATTTTTTAAATCACTCTGCAAAGTTTTCTATTGATTCATTGCTAATAAAATCTCTTTTATAATCATCATATTGAATGCTATTTAAAATCTCATTTGCCTGGATATCTTGCATCAAATTATAAGCTCTATCTAAATCCTGCAGAGCTTCTGTTTCTTTTCCTAATGCCTTAAGGATTCTAGCTCGATTGCAGAAGTACACAGGGCAATTAGATTTAATTTTGATTACTTCATCATAACATTGGATTGCTTCGAAATATTGTTCTTCATCTTCAAGAGCATTAATTTTATTTATGTAAGCTGCGTCACAATAAAAATCATTTTTAATTGCTTGGTCATAGCATTCTATTGCTTCGAGATGTCTTCCTAAGGCATAAAGAGCTTTGCCTTTATTATTGTAAATATCAGCATCAAAAGGGTCGTTTTGGAGTGCTTTGTCATAATACTCTATTGCGTCAAGATTTCTATCTAAAGAGTAAAGAATTTTACCTCCACTATTTAAATAGGCAGAGGTTTTATAGACATAAGCAGGTGTCTTTTCTTCAAGTCTATTTGCTTCATTAAAGCATTCCAATGCTTCAAGATTTCTTCCTAAATCACTAAACGCATGACCTTTGTTAGAATGCACTTCTGGATCATTAGGATTGAGCTCAATTGAGTTGTTGTAGCATTCTATTGCCTCAAGATTTTTTCCCATAGCATGAAGAGCAAGTCCTTTATTATCATAAATATTATAATCTCTAGGGCTTAGTCTGACTGCTTTGTCATAGCACTCTATTGCTTCAAGATTTCTTCCAATTGCATAAAGGGCTTTGCCTTTATTATTGTAAGTTTCAGCATTGGTCGGGTTGAATTTGATTTCTTCATTACATCACTCTATTTTTTCTAGGTTTAATCCTAAATAATAAAGAGAATACTCTTTATTGTTGTAAAGAAACACATCTTTAGGGTCAAGGCTAAAATTTTGGTTAGGGCATTCAATTGCTTCAAACATTTTACCTACCCTTCTAAAAGCTACATGTTTATCATAGTAAGCAAACTCAATGAACACTTTTTGATCTAAATTAAATTTGCAATATTCTCTACAAGATCCCATGCTATTTAAGATGTAAAATCCTCCTTTATTATATGAACAAGTAATGTAATTGTTATATCCAGTAATAATTGATTTTGCTAACTCCCCCCCCCTCCGTGAGTGAACAAAAAAATTTTGTTCACTCACGGAGGGGGGTTAATTTTTTTTTTTAAAAAAAATTTATATATAAATTTTCTAAAAAATATTTTTTTCGAAATTTAAAAAAATCCTAATTCGCAAAAATTGGAAAGCAAATATTAATTTAATTTATAAAATTTATATTTTAAAAAAGCAATTCGTTTAAAATTAAACAGAATTAGCTCTAGATTTCATTATATTAATTATCATTTATATATCAAAATTTTTTTCCATAAAAAAATTTTTTTGTTCACTCACGGAGGGTGGGTTTTTGGGCAAAAAATAGCGATTTTTCTAATGGTTTTGTTCACTCACGGAGAGGGGGGGGAGTAAGCGCTGCCAATTATACTCACTTCCAAATTCACTTTCATAGATAGAGCCACGAGGCTCAATAACATATAATCTCTCATCATTTGCATTTATCATGATCTTTATTTTAGCATTCCCAAATTTATAATCAATATTTGATCAAGAGTCGGTTCCAACTGTATATAGCTTAAGATTTATGTCTCAATATCCAGAAATCACAATATTACCATTAAATAATACTCCATGATACTTAGAATCCGTCCCTCCAATCGGATTTATTTTCCTTCAGCAATATAAATCCATATCAAATCTACTGCACCGGCCTCCAAAATCTTCCTCTGATCCAAAACAATAGACGTTTCTGTCAAAATAAATAGCGATTTCGAAATTGGGATCTCCAGCTGGAAGGACTAGGAATCCATAATTTTTGTCAATTATAACTGGATTTGATTCAGAAAAACAAAATAACTCGCCATTTGGTAGTTGAGTAATCGTTTTTTCAGAATTTAATTGAAATGGAATTTTTAGTTCTTTTTCTTCTTCTTTCTCATTTTCAGTGTCATAAATAAGCAAACTATTTTTTCCATCATAGTCTGAAGTAACTCGATAAAGAGATGTGGCTTGATGGTAAACTTTGACGTATTCTTGATAAGCTTGTGCAATTAACGGATCAAGAGTCTTATTTTCATACATGGAGATCGTACTTCTAAAGTCTTGTTCTGCTTGTGCACTGTTAGGCCTGGCTAAGACAGCAGATATTTTAGTTCTTACTCCCCCTCCGTAAGTGAACAAAAAATTTTGTTCACTCAAGAGGGGGGTTAAATGTTTTTTTTAAAAAAATTATTTATAAATCCTATAAATTTTTTTTTTCTTCGAAATTTAAAAAATCCTAATTCGCAAAAATGGAAAGCAAATATTAATTTAATTTAAAAATTTATGTTTTAAAAGCAATTTGTTTAAAATTAAACAGAATTAGCTCTAGATTTCATTATACTAATTATCACTTATATATCAATTTTTTTTTCATAAAAAAATTTTTGTTCACTCGCGGAAAGTGGGTTTTTGGGCAATAAATAGCGATTTTTCTAATGGTTTTGCTCACTCACGGAGGGGGAAGTTAGCTTGTTCAATTCGCAAAATCGCCTAATGCTACTTAATAGGCCTGAGTTATCAGCTTGAACGGTTTTTTCAATTAACCTTTTAAATTCTTCCAAATCTGAATCCAGCTTTCTTAGCGTCTCTTCAATACCTTTTCTGTGAAGTTCTTTTCTAAAAGTAGCAAAGAATACCTCCTTCAAATACTCTTTCTTAGACTTTTCTTTTTCAAGATACTCAAGAACTGCATCTTTAGTTCATTCACAATGCTCCATGAGAATCGAATCTATCATATGATCTCGATTGGGTAATTTAAGTAGCTCTTCAAGATGCAATTTGCAAGAGTAGATTTCTGCAGAGAAAGTTTGGCATATATACTGAACTTCGAGTTCACAGCCTTTCTTAAAACACAGACGTGACATTATTATTAGACTCATATCTAGGAATGCGCTTGATGGAAGCTTAATCTACTAGGATTAAGCATATATTTGTAAGTTAAAACAGGATCTGATCTGTGTATAACTTTTTTTAAAGAAAATTTATTATTCTATGTTTATCCATGTACCTAAATAATAATTATAAAATTTAAGCTATTTTACTGCTCTTGTAGAAAAATGCTCTGACTGAAATTTAAGTTGACTAAATAAAGCGACTGATTTAACCATGAATATCTGAGCATATATTATTGATATATTTTAGCTTACTACTCTCTTTTAAATTAGAATTATATTGCTTTTTTTATTATAAATCATTAGATATCGTCAATTATCGTACTACTTCATTATTTCAAAAGCCTCTTTTAATATTATTAAATCTATTTATTATTATATTATCTTGGCGATCCTCTCTAACAATTTTCGATTAGTTTACTTTTAATTAATCGCCTCCTCAGCCTCTTTTATCAGCTCTGGATAATCGTTTTTATATTTTGAAATTCTATTGACTTTTCTGCAGTTTTTGAAGTAACTCGATACGATCGATTTCTAATTCATCCTTAATAAAATTTCTTTCATTAACGTCTCATTGATTGCGTGTAAAAATCCCACTTGTCCTGCTTTCTTGAATCAATTCACAAGCCCTATTAAAATCCTGTAGAGCCTCTGCTGCTCAGCCAAAGATACATAAAATGGCGACACGTGTCAACCTGCACTCTTGGCGCAGCAGTCCAGACCTTATAGCTGTAGCGAACTGTGATGGACTCCGAGCCGAGAATCAAGTGCAGGCTCAAGAGGCGTGCATCTGGGTAGGTTTCGGGTGCTTTCCTGTAGTTGGAAACAGAGGTGCTCAGCAACGTCCTTTGGATTCAAGGATAATAGGTATTCCTCTACCGAGAAACTGGGAGTTTCGGCACAGGCCACACGGATTGTCTTTTTCCTGTAGCTGTTGAAGAAAGGCACTTTGGCACCCTGTAGACTTCAAGGAGCTGATTCAAGGAATCAAGCGACTCCAATCGCCAGTAGCAGGGCCGCAGAAATCCATAAGCATTTAAAGACTGAAGTCTCAAGGCAAGGAGGAGACAGAAGGTACCGGAAGGGAAGAGGGATAGACCCTCTGGGCTGGAGTCGAAAAGCGGTAGAACCTCCCGTACAGGAGGTCTTTGGTGACTACGCCACCAATACGGCTAACTCCTGACTTTAATAATCCTAATTCTCTGCTTCCCACCCTTGTTTCTTAAGTGCTCTAGCACGGCTGCAGAGATACAAAATATCATTTGGTTTAATTTTGATTGCTTCATTATAGGAATAAATTGCTTCAAGATATTTTCCCGCATCCTTAAGAACATTGCCTTTGTTTCTGTAAGCAGAATCACAATAAAAATCAATTTTAATTGCTTGATCAAAGCATTCTAATGCTTCAGAGTTTCTTCCTAAAGCATGAAGGGCTTTGCCTTTATTGTCATGAATATCAGCATTTCAAAAATTATGATTGAGTGCTTCGTCATAATTCTGTATAGCTTAAGACTCCTTATACATTCTTTAGCAGTAATACTTATATCTATTAAATACGTAAAAATGCCAATTATTATAAAAAGGCTAATTAAAAATTGACAAATATGAGCTATAATCTGGATTTGTCAGTGCCAAAAAAAATTGTCTATTTAATAGGCAAAGCTCCTAAACTAGCCAAAATGGGACTGAAGCTATATTGCTTCAACATTTCTTCCTAAAGCATAAAGAGTTTTGCCTTTACTATTAGCATACACAGAGATTCCACTGACAGAAACATGCTTCCTTTTATCACGTCTGATTGATTCGTCATAGCACTCTAGTGCTTCGAGATAGTTTTCTAAATCCTGAAGTGCACAACCTTTATTAAAATAAACATTTGGATCATAAGAATAAAGCTTAATCGCTTTGTTGTAGCATTCTATTGCTTCAAGATTTCTTCCTATAGTATAAAGAGCAAGTCCTTTATTATTGTAAAGATTGTAATATCCAGGGCTTAGTCTGATTGCTTGGTCATAACACTCTATTGCTTCAAGATTTCTTCCGATGGCACAAAGAGCTTTGCCTTTATAATCGTAGCATTCTATTGCCTCAAGATTTTTTCCCATAGCATGAAGAGCAAGTCCTTTATTATCATAAATATTAAAATCGCTAGGGCTTAGTCTGATTGCTTGGTCATAGCACTCTATTGCTTCAAGATTTTTTCCAATCGCATAAAGGGCTTTGCCTTTATTATTGTAAGTTTCAGCATTGAATTCGATTTCTTCATTATAGAGCTCTATTTTTTCGAGGTTTATTCCTAAATAATAAAGAGAGTACTCTTTATTGTTGTAAAGAAGCACATCGTTAGGGTCAATGCTAAAATTTTGGTTAGAGCATTCAATTGCTTCAAGTATTTTACCTACCCTTCTAAAAGCTACATGTTTATCATAGTAAGCGAGCTCAATAAACACTTTTTGATCTAAATTAAATTTGCAATATTCTCTACAAGATCATATGCTATTTAAGATGTAAAATCCTCCTTTATTATATGAGCAAGTAATGCAATTGTAATTTCCGGTAATAATTGATTTTGCTAAGCGCTGCCAACTATACTCATTTCCAAATTCACTTTCATAAATAGACCCACGAGTCTCAATAACATATAGTCTCTCATCATTTGCATTTATCATGGTCTTTATTTTAGCATTCCCAAATTTATAATCAATGTTTGACCAAGAGTCGATTCCAACTGCATATAGCTTAAGATTTCTGTATCAATATCCAGAAATCACAATATTACCATTAAATAATACTCCATGATATCTAGAATCTTCCCCTACAGTCGGATTTATTTTCCTTCAACAATATAAATCCATATCAAATCTACTGCACCGGCCTCCAAAATCATTCTCTGGCCCAAAACAATAGACGTTTCTGTCAAAATAAATAGCGATTTCGAAATTGGGATCTCCAGCTGGAAGGACTCGGAACTCATAATTTTTGTCAATTATAACTGGATTTGATTCAGAAAAACAAAATAACTCGCCATTTGGTAGTTTTGTAATCATTTTTTCAGAATTTAATTTTAATGGAATTTTTAACTCTTTTTCTTCTTCTTTCTCATTTTCAGTGTCATAAATAAGCAAACTATTTTTTCCATCATCATTTGAAGTAACTCGATAAAGAGATGTGGCTTGATGGTAAACTTTGACGTATTCTTGATAAGCTTGTGCAATTAATGGGTCAAGAGTCTTATTTTCATAAACGGAGACCGTTCTCCTAAAATCTTTTTCTGCTTGTGCACTGTTAGGCCTGGCTAAGACAGCAGATATTTTAGTTCTTAGCTTGCTCAATTCGCAAAATTGCTTAACGCTACTGAACAGGTCTGAGTTATCAGCTTGAACGGTTTTTTCAATTAACCTTTTAAATTCTTCCAAATCTGAATCTAGTTTTCTTAGCGTCTCTTCAATACCTTTTCTGTGAAGTTCTTTTCTAAAAGTATTAAAGAATACCTCCTTCAAATACTCTTTCTTAGACTTTTCTTTTTCAAGATACTCAAGAACTGCATCTTTAGTTCATTCATAATGGTCTATGAGAATAGAATCTATCATATGATCTCGATTGGGTAATTTAAGTAGCTCTTCAAGATGCAATTTGCAAGAGTAGATTTCTGCAGAGAAAGTTTGGCATATATACTGAACTTCGAGTTCACAGCCTTTCTTAAAACACAGACGTGACATTATTATTAGACTCATATCTATGAGTGTGCTTGATGGAAGCTTAATCTACTAGGACTAAGCATATGTTAGTCAGTTAAAACAAGATCTGATCTGTGTATATATAGAAATTGCCCGAGGATGGCGCAAAATAGCGCTATCCTCGGGCAATTTCTATAAAGAAAATTTATTATTCTATGTTTATCCATGTACCTAAATCATAATTATACAATTTAAGCTATTTTACTGCTCTTGTAGAAAAATGCTCCAACTGAACTTTAAGTTTACTAAATAAAGCGGCTGATTTAACCATGAATATCTGAGCATATATTATTGATATATTTTAGCTTACTACTCTCTTTTAAATTAGAATTATATTGCTTTTTGGTTCATAAATCATTATATATCAGCAATTATGGTGCTACTTCATTATTTCAAAGGCCTCTTTTAATATTATTAAATCTATTTATTATTATATTATCTTGGCGATCCTCTCTAACAATTTTCGATTAGTTTACTTTTAATTAATTGCCTCCTCAGCCTCTTTCATCAGCTCTGGATAATCGTTTTTATATTTTGAAATTCTATTGACTTTTCTGCAGTTTTTGAAGTAACTCGATACGATCGATTTCTAATTCATCCTTAATAAAATTTCTTTCATTAACGTCTCATTGATTGCGTGTAAAAATCCCACTTGTCCTGCTTTCTTGAATCAATTCACAAGCCCTATTAAAATCCTGTAGAGCCTCTGCTTCCAAGCCTTGCTTCTTAAGTGCTCTAGCACGGCTGCAGAGATACAAAATATCATTTGGTTTAATTTTGATTGCTTCATCATAGAAATAAATTGCTTCAATATATTTTTCCTCATCCTCAAGAACATTGCCTTTGTTTCTGTAAGCAGAATCACAATAAAAATCAATTTTAATTGCTTGATCAAAGCATTCTAATGCTTCAGAGTTTCTTCCTAAAGCATGAAGGGCTTTGCCTTTATTGTCATGAATATCAGCATTTCAAAAATTATGATTGAGTGCTTCGTCATAACTCTGTATAGCTTAAGACCCCTTATACATTCTTTAGCAGTAATGCTTATATCTATTAAATATGTCACGAAATGCCAATTTTTATAAAAAAGGCTAATTAAAAATTAACAAATATGAGCTATAATCTGGATTTGTCAATTTTAAATTGTAATTGCCCAAAAAATTGGTCTATTTAATAGGCAAAGCTCCTAAACTAGCCAAAATGGGACTGAAGCTATATTGCTTCAACATTTCTTCCTAAAGCGTAAAGAGTTTTGCCTTTACTATCAAAATACATAGAAATTCCACTAACATAAATATGCCTCCTTTTATCACATCTGATTGATTCGTCATAGCACTCTAGTGCTTCGAGATAGTTTTCTAAATCCTGAAGTGCACAACCTTTATTAAAATAAACATTTGGATCATAAGAATAAAGCTTAATCGCTTTGTTGTAGCATTCTATTGCTTCAAGATTTCTTCCTATAGTATAAAGAGCAAGTCCTTTATTATTGTAAAGATTGTAATATCCAGGGCTTAGTCTGATTGCCGTGTCATAGCACTCTATTGCTTCAAGATTTCTTCCGATGGCACAAAGAGCTTTGCCTTTATAATCGTAAGTTTGAGGCTTGATAGGGTTGAGTTTGATACTTTCATTAAAACGCTCAATTTCCTCGAGGTTTTGTCCTAAACAATTAAGAGAGCATCCGTTATTATTGTAAAGAACTACATCATTAGGGTCGAGCTTAAAGTTTTGATTAGGGCATTCAATTACTTCAAGTATTTTACCTTCCCTTCTTAAAGCCACATGTTTATTATAGTAAGAAAGCTCGATAAGTTCTTTTTGATCTAAATTAAATTTGCAATATTCTCTATCAGATACAGAAGAAGTTAAAATATAAAATCCTCCTTTATTATATGAACAATGAATACTTGAGTAAAATCCTGCAATTATTGATTTTACTAACCAATGCCAAGTATACATATCTCCAACTTCACTTTCATAGATAAATCCACCACATTCAATAACATATAGTCTCTCATTTGAATCTACTAGGATCTTTCTTTTATGAAGCCCAAATTCATAATTAATATTTGATCAAGAATCGATTCCAATAGAATATAGCTTAAGATCTGTATCTCAATATCCAGAAATCACAATATTCCCATTAAATAATACTCCATGATATTTCTCGTCCATCCTTGGTATCGGATTTATTTTACTTCAACGATTTAAATCAAAATCAAATCTACTGCTCATAACTCCAGGATCATCGCATCCTCCTCCCCTATCTCCTCTTTCAAAACAATAGACGCTTCTATCGAAATATATAGCTATTTCGAGATTAGGATCTCCAGCTGGTAGGACTCGGAACCCATATTTTTTGTCAATTATAACTGGATTTGATTCAGAAAAACAAAATAACTCGCCATTTGGTAGTTGAGTAATCGTTTTTACAGAATTTAATTTTAATGGAATTTTTAACTCTTTTTCTTCTTCTTTCTCATTTTCAGTGTCATAAATCAGCAACATATTTTTTCCATCATCGTCTGGAGTAACTCGATAAAGAGATGTGGCTTGATGGTAAACTTTGACGTATTCTTGATAAGCTTGGGCAATTAATGGATCAAGAGTCTTATTTTCATAAACGGAGACCGTACTCCTAAAATCTTTTTCTGCTTTTGCACTATTAGGTCTGGCTAAGAGAGCAGATATTTTAGTTCTTAGCTTGCTCAATTCGCAAAATTGCCTGACGCTACTGAATAGATCTGAGCTTTCAGCTAGAACTGTCTTTTCGATTAAACTTTTAAATTCTTCCAAATCTGAATCCAGCTTTCTTAGCATTTCTTCAATACCTTTTCTGTGAAGTTCTTTTCTAAAAGTAGCAAAGAATACTTCCTTCAAATACTCTTTCTTAGACTTTTCTTTTTCAAGATACTCAAGAACTGCATCTTTAGTTCATTCACAATGCTCCATGAGAATAGAATCTATCATATGATCTCGATTGGGTAATTTAAGTAGCTCTTCAAGATGCAATTTGCAAGAGTAGATTTCTGCAGAGTAAGTTTGGCATATATACTGAACTTCGAGTTCACAGCCTTTCTTAAAGCACAGACGTGACATTATTATAAAACTCATATCTAGGAATGCACTTGATGGAAGCTTAATCTACTAGGACTAAGCATATATTAGTAAGTTAAAACATTTAATGGGCCAGTACAACTTTTAAGAAATTTTAAGGGCAGATAAAATCAGACTTGTAAAGCTGAAAATGTGACTTTTGTAGGTAATATTGTGTATATCCATATTTTGATGCTAATACTTATTCCTTATAAATTTGCAATATTTTGGCTGATAGAAGTGCCCTTTTATTAGACTAAATTAATATTAGACACATCTCATTTCCCTATTTCAATTAATTTAATCTTAAATTTTAGAATGCAAATAATATTTTCAAAGCTACCAAGGCCTAAATTTCTTAATGAATAGCAGATTAAGTTCAATTCTTAACTAATTATCTAAAACTTTCCAAAAGATTATATTATTTTTAAAAATGGGATCATTTTACTCCAAAATCTGACAGATTCTGTATAGTGATAAAGGGAGACGAATTTTAATTCTTGGGCTTGATGCATCTGGAAGAACAACCATGCTTTACAAGCTTAAGCTTGTTGAAGTATTATCCTCAATTCCAACAATTGGCTTTAGTGTTGAAAAAGACCTCAATCGAAAATATAATTTTCAAATCTGAGATATTGATGGCCAATTGAAATTAAGAGATTTATGGCATTCCTACTATAAAGACACAGAAGCTGTTATTTTTATCGTTGACTCACCTGATCGAGAAAGAGTTGAAGAAGCTACTGAAGTGCTTCATGAAATGCTTGAGAATGAGTTGATTAAGGGTATTCCTTTGCTAGTCTTTGCAAACAAGCAAGATTTACCACATGCAATGACAGTTTTAGAAATAGCTAATAAATTGGATCTCCATTCTATTAGAGGAAGACCTTTGCTCATTCAAGCAGCATGTGCTATTGCTGGAGAAGGAATTTATGAAGGATTAGATTGGCTTAGATCAATTTTACCAATAAAATATTAAAATCTTATAGCATCTGAAACTTTCCAAAAACTTAAATAAGTTCTTAATTATTATAAAGCCTTAAAATCATATATATAAAGAAAAGTAAAAATATAAGATATTGGCTGAAAAATATAGCAATGGGGTTTATATTAGCATAGAAATATGTTTCTTTACAATAAAAAATTTTAAAAGTCCTGAGTTACTTTTTTTTATTTTTATAGGAAAGCTTGCTTTAAATAAAAATAACTGGTTTGCAAATTAAATTAATTATAACAATGCATTATAATTGCATTCTACCAAAATAGAAAACAAAATAATTAAATTTATATATTTTTAACTCTAAATTGACTAGACAGATTTAGTTTATCTATTAGTTTAAGCAAGCAGCAAATTATTAAATAAAAATTATATTTATTAGATAGTATCTTAATATAGCTAGGCAGGCTCTAAAGGATAGAATACAAGCTATTTTCTGCTATTCATATTTAGCCAAAAAATTCAAACCTATATTAGCATTTGTTAGCTTAATTGCTGAATATTATGGTAAAAGCCAACTAATAAATTCAATTCTGGCTATATTTAAAACCTTTCTAATTCATTAGAATATATTTTTGGAATTTTGACCCAAATTTTTTATGATAGGTGAGAAATTATTTCGAAGCATTGAATTACTAAATTATTGGAATTCTAAAATTAATTTATAGTCGGCTTCCAAATTAATCGGTAAAATCATTTTTTATAGACCAATTATATATGCAATCTTATGTCTATTATTATAATTATGAACTTCAGGCTATTTTACTGCTTGTTATTGCCTTCATTTTCCTTGATGACGAATTTCTTGTGTAATCCATCCTGGTGTCCTCCATCATCAGTAATTTTTACTTAGAAAGGAAATAAGAACTGTGACCCAAATTGCATGGTTTCGTTTTGCAATTTTGATTCAAATTCCTCTTCCAATCCAATATTAAATCCTGAAAGCTCTGACTGTTTTGAAACGTGCATTGGAAATTATTCATGTTTGCTTTCTGATCTTGGTAATGGGATTTGTGACCAAAACTGCAATAACCCTATTTGTGGCTATGATTTTGGAGATTGTGGGTATTGCGACTCTGACTGTAAAATTTATTATAGGTTTTCAAGATGATCTAAATTTAAAATGTGCTGAGCCTTGTAATACGCAAAATTGTTATTATGGATTAGGGTCTTGTCAGGAATGCTCTCCTGGCTGTGATAGTGAAATGCTTGGAGACGGTATTTGTGATAAATCTTGTAATGTTGCCTTATGTAATTATGATTTTGGAGATTGCAATAATAATCAATGCAATACAGATTGCGAAGGCTGGATGATAGGAGACAATAATTGTAATGAAGAATGTAATAATGAAGCTTGCAATTGAGATGGAGGAGACTGTGATTGCTCTCAAGGCTGCCTTTCTTATATGAAAAATAATGGAATCTGTGAAAAAAGTTGTAATAATACAGCTTGCGATTATGACGGAGGAGATTGTGGGGAATGTGCGCCTGGGTGTTTAAAGGACATGCTTGGGGATGGGGTTTGTGATAGCGCTTGCAATATGAGTGACTGCCATTTTGATAATTATGACTGTGGCTGCGCTGAAGGCTGTGGTATAGAAAGTTATGGGCAATGCAAAGATTCTTGTATGAATTCTTATTGCCTGTATGATACTATTAGTGAGACAAGCCAATGCCAAAATCAAAATCTTGTTTTATTTTCTTTGCATTATGCTTTTATTTCTAAAAACCTTACTATAAATGTCAGCCCAGTAAACTGCACAAACACAACAAATTGCTTGACTTCTGAACATAAATTAAAAAGGCGACACCTGTCAACTTGAAACAGTCCAGACATTCTGGCTACAGCGAACTGGGACGGACTCCTAGCCAAAATCAAGTGCAGGCTGTGTATCCGGGTAGGTTGGCTGCTTTCATGTGGTTGAAAATGGAGATCCCTGGCAACGCCTTTTTGGATTCGAGAGCCAATGGACATTACTCTGCTGAGAAACCGAGAGTTTCAGCCCAGACCATAGGGGAACAGCCTTTTTCCTGTAGATATCGAAGAAATGCACTTCAGCACCCGATAGACTCTAAGGAGCTGATCCATGGAATCAAGCTACTCCAACTGCCCGCAGCACGGCCGCAGAAATCAATAAGCCACCCACTCAAGACTGAAGGCACAAGGCAATGAGAAGACAGAAGGTATCAGAAGGGGAATCCACCTGGAAAGAACCTCTGGTCTGGAGTCAAGAAGCGTTTGAATCTTCTGCACAGAAGGTCTTTAGTGACTGCGTCACCAATATGGCTAGCGCCTGACTTTAATAGCCAAACCTAACCTAACCTGCTTGACTTCTGAACTGCTTGATTCTAATTCATGCCATACGAATTGTAAATATGCTATCTTCCCCCCTCCAGCGATCTAAAACATTTTGTTCACTCATTGAGGCGATTAAGTGTTTTTTTAAACAATTTATATTTAAATTTTATACTAATTTTTTTTTGGAATTAACACTATCCCAATTTGAAATAATTTATCTTTAAAAATGCAATTAACTAAAAATTTCATTATACTATATATCACTTATGTATCAATTTTTTTCATATTATGCTCTCACGAAAGGTGAAATAGAGATTTTTCCAGTGTTTTTGTTCGCTCACTGAGGGGGGAGTAAGTGCATTAACTCATGAAATATGTGTTCGTCCTACACTTGTGCTGATACTAATTGCTTATCTTGCAATTCTAAAACCTTAGGAGATTGCTTTAAATGTAATACAAATACGTATCAGTTTTATGGATATTGCCTTACTTCGTGCCCAGGAGGACATGAGCCTATTAGCTTGCTTGGAAATTATCCAGTCTGTTTAATCCCCAAAGATTACTCGACAAAAGAAAACCCTGCAGTCTATTATGTGACTTCAAAGACAAGCACAGATGCTTATGAAGGAAATGGGACTTTTTCCAATCCATTTGCGTCTCTTTCCCTTGCTTTAGCGTCAATTTATACGAAATATTCAATTATTTACCTTTTAAATGATGGAGTTCATTATTTGACTTGTGTTAATTCTTCAAATCCTGTAAGCACATTATTATCTGATGTTTGCTATCCTTTAAATCGCAACTATAACCTAACAAGTCTCTTGATTTCCTCTTATGATGACTCAGCAATTCTATTAAAAACCAAAGCAGGTAGCAAATTTCAGACTTTTACAGTAACAAATATTACAACTTTAACAATAAAAAATATTATTTTCAATGGGGAAGATATATTATCAAGTTGTTCATCAGTAAACCCTTATTGCTCCTATTGTGCTAATATTACATTAAAATCTGATGGATATTACTACAATGATCAAGGAGTCAAAGTATCTACTTTTCTTTCTTCATCTGCATGCAATACTTATCATAACAAAATTCTATTTGATATGTATTTTGGCTCAAAATTATCATTAGAAAACGTAAATTTTACTTCCTGAAGAATGGAATTAAAATCAATAATAGCAAGCTATGGAGGCAATGTTACATTTAGTAATGTCAATTTTGACAATATTCGATGCTCATGGGTGCCACAGATGCAGCCTCCCCCAGGGCAAGCTCAGCAGGATGGTAAATATGCAATGATTTATTTTTTCGATTGTGGGGATGAAAATTATAACTGTGGAAGCTTTGAGTATACAAATGGGACTGTCTCAAGACTTAATAATGGCTATGAGTATGGGTCAGCCCAATTTTCAGGTTTTTTAAGTGCTGATAAAATTAGGACTGTCAAGCTGAAAAATGTGACTTTTGTTAACAATATTGTGTATAATCCTTATATTACATCTACAACTTATTCTTTAATAAAGCTTTCCTTATTTCGGTCTATTGAAGTATCTAACTGTGTTTTTGAAAAAAATGCAGCTAATTATGGGCTTATATATTTATTGCCCACAACTTTAACCTTCAGAAATGATGCGAATTCTAACAGTGAACTTATTGATTTACTGCTTTATCATGTATACATACATGATACTATTTTCGAAAATAACTATGGGCAATATGCAGGAATTTTGACAATTACTTATAAGAGTCAGCTGCAAAAAATTTTACTAGAAAATTTAGTGATAAATGGAAATGGGGTTTTATCTGGACCTTTGGCACTAATAAACAACCAGTATTATTCCTCAGATATACTAACTGATACAAAGTTCTATATAAATAGCACAAGTGGAAATTACGTAGATGCAGTATTTAAAAAGCGGGAATTTATTTTTAAAAATTCAATAATTATTAATAATTACTCAGGAGGCAATGGGATTTTTGATATAACCCAGCTTGTCAATATGCGTATATATAATTTGACGGTAGAGTCGAATGGAAGCTTGAAAACTCAAAATATCAATACAATTCTATGGAATTATTATGTAGCTGATAGCGATATATATATAAATAGCATTGTTTCTAACGCTGCTAGTATTGACTGTCTTGCCTTATGGTCAGCTACATCTTGTTATAACTATGAAATATCAGAAAGCAGTTTTAGAGATAATGTTTGTCAAGAGTCAAGTCCAGCTGTGGTTTATACACAAGTGGAGAATGCCAATATTACTGGCTGCAATTTTGAAGGAAATGTTGGAACTCTTTCTTCAGGAATCTGCGTAGTATCTACACTTGCTGGAAATATGTGGATTACTAATTCAATATTTAATAACAATACAAACAACCATTCTCAAGGGGCTGGGGCTATGGTTTTTTCTGAGAGCTCTAAAAATATAACAGTTATGAACACAATAATATCAAATAATACTGCAAATTATAGTTCAGGAATTGGTCTGAAAGGTGCTTCGTTGATTTTGAATAATGTGAGATTTGAATCAAATAAGGCCATCTCAGGACTCGGAACTCTTTATTTTTCAGTTTATACAGAAGCTGACACTCATATATTAGACATAAAAAATTCAATTTTTAAAGAAAATCAAAGTCTCAACGTAAAAGGAGGGGCGATTTATATAATAGGGAATTTGTTAACACAAGAGCTTATCTCTTTATCAATAACAGATACTGTTTTTAAAGGTAATTCAGCTCTGAGTGGCTCAGCTATATATATAGAAAACAGTGTAATTCTTTCAGAAGATTCAATTATAGACTCTTGCACATTTACCCAAAATTCTGCACAAGCTAAAGGCACTATTGCTAATTTATTTCAATATGGAATTCTTAATATCTCAAACTCTTTGTTCACTTTTAATTATGCAGAACTAGGGTCTGCTTTCTATTTTGCAACTTCAACAGAGCTAAACTCTGAAAAATCAAAAATGATTATGACTTTATGCAATTTTACATATAATTCTGGAGAAAATGTTATATGCACAGATGACATGGCAATTTATTCTTATGTTGAAACAGCTAAATGTATTTTTCAAAAAAATGAAGGGCTTGCAGTGTATCTTGTTAATGATTATTGGAAAGACACAGAATCAGTTATAACAAATTCAACTATAGCGGATGGAACTGTCTATTTAACGTCTAATTCTACGGCTTATTGTGAGCTTACTTCGTTTATTAATAATACTTCAACAAAATATGCAGGAGCAATCAGAGCTGAAGGAAACTCATATTTTTATTGTAATAAATGCACTTTTTATCAAAATAGTGCGAAAAATGGAGGAGTCCTTTATTTTGACCAAATGTCTTATTTTACTATAGAAAACTCAGTGTTCAGCCATAATTCCTGCAGTAAAAGAGGCTCAGTGATCTATATTATAGGTTCTGATGACTATTGTAGTTTATCTTCCCCTTTGTGAGGAAACAAAACAACTTTTTTAATATAAAAATTGTGATAAATATTTTGATTTATAGGTAATAATTAATATCATGAAGTCTCTAACTAATTCTGTTGAATTTAGATAGCTTGAATTTTAAAGCAAAACTTGACAACTTAGATAATATTGGGTTTTTTTAATAAAATCACTATAAAACTTTATATATTTAAGAAAAAATTACCCTTGTGCATGTGAGAGCAAACTTTTTTGTTCGTTCATAAGGATACGGAATTAATAAACTCAAAATTGCATGACAACTATGCACAAGCTGAAGGCTTAATTTATTCGCTTACATCAAATATCAAAATTGATAACTGTGAAATATACAATAATAAGGCTGATGGGATTACTCCAGGAATTTATTTAACCCTTTCAAATGCCACTATTACAAATTCCCAATTTCAAGACCATCAAGGAGACTATGGAAGTTTCGTATATTTGACTTCAGATAGTCGATTATCAGCAGAAAATACAGAATTTATCAATGGAAAATCTTCATCATCAGGCGGATCAATATTTCTTCTGTCTAGCTTTACAAATCTGACTGGCTGCTCCTTTCTAAACTCAACTGCTAGTTTTGGCAATGCACTATTAGCATTTTCCTCAGTTTTAGATGTGTCTGGATGCAAATTTTTGAATACTTACAGCTCAGGCGCAGATTCTGTAATAAATTTATACGGAGGAAATGCGTATATTGAAAATTCATTTTTTGAAAATTTTACTTACTCAGCTATTAATGGACTAAAAGTAGTTTCTTTAGAAGTAATAGGCACAAGCTTTAAAAATAGCCAAGGAAATATAGGAGGAGCTATTTCTTGCTCAAGCACTGATTATGTTTATACCTAATTTTTTGAATAAATTTTATCATTTATTTTTTTTCTAAAAATATTTATTAAAATTAATAGATATATATCAATTCCTGCAATTTCAATAATAACACATCTATTTATGGAGGAGCTCTGTATTTTACATTTACAGATAATACCATTAGCAGCCAAACTTATAAAATAATTTCGACTGAGTTTGCAAATAATACATCATCTGCTGGAGGAGCAATTTATCTGGATAATATAAATGCTGATATAAAATTGTGCAATTTTTATCAAAATCAAGCCATAGCGACTTCTCAAACATCTGAAAAAAGCTATGAGTCAGGAATAGGAGGGGCTATGAAACTAGGATGCAGCTATTCTGGAGAATGCAGTTTTAGCGTGGCTGATAATAATTTTGTGAAAAACCAAGCAGAGTATGAAGGAGGGGCTATAGTTTGAAGAGAAGTCATGCCAATTTTCAAAAACAATACATTTACAAGTAATGAAGCAGAATATGGCGAAAATATAGCTTCTTATCCTGTAACCATGAAAATAATCAATAATAATTGAAACGGTGAACTAAAAGATTTAGCCTCAGGACAGACAACAACTATATCCTTATCCTTATTTTTGACGGGTTTTGCTGAAGCCACCCAGCGTCATATGTAGAGTTGGCTTCGCAAGCAAACGTTGGTTTGGCAAGTCGACATATGGCATTGAAAACCGTCAGCAGAGTCCAATCCAAAGCAGGAATCAGGCTATACCCCTTTAATTGTAGCTCTCATCGATCACTTAATTCCCCTTTAATAGAAAAATCTACATCACTAAATTTTTTTAAAAATAAAAATTTATTCAATTTTTATTTTTAACTAATTATAAAAATTAATCACTTATGCTGGGAAATTAGGCTCAGTTGTTTCCACAGATGACTCTAGCGTTGGAGAAATAATAGCTTTATCAAAAGATGTAGTTTTATCAGGTGAGCTTAAAGTCGCAGCAGTAAGTGGAATTTTCAATTTTTCTTCATTTGCAATTTCAGCAAAGCCTGGCAGCAATTTTTCAATAGAAGTCCAAACAAATGGTATTGATGCTTTAAAAAGTGCAAAAGCTGGAGACGGACTGACTTATAAGGACCCCCCCCTCATTTGTCGAATTTTCTAGTCTTTTTTCTATAAGAATTTTTTTTTCTTCAGGACCTCATTTGTCCCAAAATCTTGTCAAAAATGATTTGTCCAATTTTCTAGTCTTTTTTGGATTTTTTCGAATGCCCTAAATTCTAGTTTTTTACTTTAAAAAAACTAGAAAATGAGACAATTGAGGTCCTGAAAATTTTTTTTTTTCTCTATCAAAATTTTGACTAGAAAATTGGACAAATGAGGTCCTAAAAAATTTTTTTTTTCCTATAAAAAAAACTAGAAAAATGGACAAATGATAAAAGACTAGAAAATCGGACAAATGAGGGGGGGGGGTCCTTAACTCAAGTATATTTTTAGATGTCACTTTAAGAAATTGTGTGCTAGGAGAAGCTACAGTTGGTAATAACTGTGTGGTTTGTCCTAAAGATTTTTACAGTTTAAACCCAGATAATGATCAGTGCCTTTCTTGCCCTGATCAGGCTATTTGCTATGGAAATTATACGATGGTTCCTAAGCCAGGATATTGAAGATTTAATATGCTACCTCTCCATCTGTGGTGAGCAAAACCATTAGACAAATTCTGTTGTCTAAATTATCTAAATACCAAAATATTAGATATATAATTATCTTATAATTTTATTAGATTTTAAAAATAAAAATTTGGTGGCTTTCAAAACAATTTTGCTTAATTATTGAAGGATAGTAAGCAAAAGATTTTGGTCTTGTCCTAACTCAGAAGCCTGCATTGGCTCTGATTCGCAAAATATTTCTTATACAGGAAATTGCTTAAAAGGATATACTGGAAATTTATGTCAAAGTTGCGCTTCAGGATATTCACGCCAATCAAAAAATCAGTGCTCAAAATGTCAAAGCCTTACTGTAATTATTATAAAAACATCTGGAATCAGCTTTGGATTTCTTGTTCTATGCTGGTTCATAATAAGAACTTCACGAATTTCTGCATATAAACCAAGATCATTATCAAGCATTTATATCAAAATTCTTATCAATTACGCCCAGTTAATATCATTAACAACCACTTTTAGCCTTTCCTGGCCAAACTATGTAAAAAAATTATTTTCTATCCAAAGCAATGCAAATTTCATTAGTGACCAGATTTTTTCATTTGACTGCCTCTTATATTATAATAAACTTTTACAAGGAGAAAGCAAAATTTATTATCAAAAATTGCTAATTATGGCCATTTTGCCTATTTCTATCCCTCTTATTTCTGTTATTTATTGGCTTTCCATATCATTAGCTCAAAAGTCTTTTGCGTTTTTCCGAGATAATATAATCACAACTTCAATTATTGCGTCATTTTTAGTCCATCCAGGCTTAATCAAGTATTATTTTAGTTCTTTTGACTGCACAGAGCTTGATGACAATAAGTATTGACTGGTAAATGAATTAAATTTACGATGTTGGGATAGCCAGCATATTTTTTATATAACAGCTATATCTCTGCCTGCAATTCTTGTATGGGGAATTGGAATACCAACTGCTTTCTTATTTTTGCTAATAAAAAATAGAAGTCAATTGGGCAATATTAATATGAGGATTAAATATGGATTTCTGTTTAATGGATACAGGCAAGAAAGCTATTATTGGGAATTTGTGATTATTTACAGAAAAATTGGAATTATTTGTTGTTCTGTATTTTTAGCAACAGTTTCAGTCAATATCCAAGCCCTTACTGTGATTTTTTTGTTGTTAGCTTGCTTGTATTTTCATTGCAAAATAAAGCCTTATAATGGAGATGATCTGAATAGGCTTGAAGCAATATCTATTTCGGCTTCAGCAGTTACGATTTATTGTGGGATGTATTATTTAACTGGATCTCTTGACCAAATCACAGAGCTCCTGTTTTTCATTATCATAATTTCCGCAAATTTATATTTTGTGCTGTACTGGGGATATAAAGCGGGAAATGCCTATATTCATATTATAATTGCTAAAATATCATTTTTAAAGAAAAGATATCGGGTTAAAGACTATAGTAGAGTAAATGATTTAAGCTTAAGAGAAGAAAAAGGAAAGAAAACAATTGAAGGAAATGACCCAGAAAATTCCCCAAATACCATAGATTTCAGAGAAATTGCAATGATGGATTTATTTTTAGGAAAATTAAGGGGAGGCTACACCAGCAGAGATGTAATAAATCAAGAAAAGTTTGATATAGAGGAAGAGCAGAAGGATGACGATAAAATTAGCATGGATCAAATAATTATTTTATCAGATAAAATAGTTTCAAAAAGCGCACCATGCGAATGAACTGAGTTTGCCCAAGACTTATAATACTATTTCTAAATTTATTGCACATCCTTTGATTAGCTATATAGTGATTATTTATCCATATTTAATGATATCATAAAATCTCAAATATATTGAGGTTTTCAATGATTTTTCTTAAATTATATAAATGAAATACCAATTATTTTAATATAAACGATATAGAAAAGAGCTTTTCTACTACCTCTTATTTTATGTTTTAAAATAAGTTTTTATTATTCAAACTTAATAATTTTTAATTGATGAATAATCAATAATAGATTTTCAGATATAAAATAAATAAATTAAATATTTTTAAAAAATCAATATTGATTATAGTCTGACTGCAATTCTCCTTCCTTATCTCATAATTATTTATAAAATAAATGGCTGAAACTCTGGCTCACTTAGCTACACATTATCTCGACAAAATAGGCTGGGGGAAATACCAAAGCTATGTTTTTAAGCAGTGTTTTTTGGTAATTTTAATATCAGTCATACATGAATTTTCAATATCTCACTATGTCAATAGGATATTATGGGTCTGACCTTGAAAAAGAATGGGGAATTTCAAATAAAGAAAAAGGCTTGATGGGAACAATGTTCCAGCTGGGCTGCTTTATGGGCTCTTATTTACTAGGTATTTCTTCAGATCACAAAGGTCGTTCTTACACATTGAAACGATCTTCTTTATTTTTAATGATTTCTTGCTTTATTGTTATTTTCTCAACAAATTATATCACAATTTTGACTGCTTTATTTCTGATTGGGATTGGAGGGATTGGCGAAATGGTTGTTCCTTTGGTAATTTTTAAAGAATTTTGCCCTACACAAAAATTGAACAAAATGACAAGGCTAAATTTAGGATTTCCTATAGGCGGGGTTATTTTCTGCCTACTTGCAATTTGAATAGAGTTTATTGACACTCCAAATATTCACAATTGGAAATTTATGTCAATTATCCTATTTTTTCACTGTTTAGTAAGATGTAATTAATTTTTAATCCATTTTTCCTCGGTAGAAATTTGTCGAAATTAAGGAGTAATATTTGACTATTAAAAGATTCCGGAAAAATGCTGCTGGGAAAGTGTGTGGCTGTCAAAAAGTGCAGAGCAATTGTATATAGCCATTTACTCCCCTCTTTAAATTGAAAAAATACCCGTTACAATTTATAGGAGGGCTTAATTTGTTTTTAAAAAAATATTATATTAAAAATTGAATATAATACTTTGAATTTTAATTTATTTTATGAATTAATTTTGAAAAATTAATCTATTCATTTTGAAAACAGTTTAAATAATATTCTGCTTATACTTTTTCTATTGAATTAGATCATAAAAATTAGCTTTACCTATAGGAAAAATAATTTGTTCCAATTTAAAGGCAGTTTAAAGGACCCAAAAATTAAAATTTTAGTGATGCTATATTCAAATTTAAAGGGGGGATAGTCACTTGAATTCTAAAAATTGATATGGACGAGTCTCCTGGGTATTTAATTGTTCATAGACACACTAGTAAAGCTGAAGAAATTTTGAATAAAGTGAAAAGAATAAATGGGAATACTGATGAATTGATACAAATAAATTTGCAAAACGAAGAAGAAGTTAGTGTAAATGTAGCTGATCATAAAACACAGAGCAGGATAAAAAAAATATTTTCCAAGGAATATATTAAAACTACATTACTGCTATTAGTCATATATTTTGCTATGCTTTTTGGGACATTTAGTATAGTTTTATTTATGCCAACATATCTTAAGTCTCCCCTTAGTTAACGAGCAAAAATTTTTTACAATAGATTAATATAACTTCCCCCCTCCGCGAGCGAACAAAACCATTGAAAAAATCCCTATTTTTCCAAAAAAACCACCCTCGGTGAGCGAACAAAATATTTTTAAATTAGTATAATGAAATATCTAGCTAATTCTATTTAATTTTACACACAAATTATATTTCAAAGTGTAAATGCTATTAATTAAATCGATATTTGCTTTCAACTTTTTTCGAGTTCGGATTTTGTTAAATTTTGAAAAAAAAATTTCCATAATTTGTTTTAAAAATATTAATCCCTTCTGTCAGTGAACAAAATTGTTTTGCTCGCTCACTGATCGGGGAGGGAGTAAGATCTTTAGCTAATTATATATTTTTAAGTAGCTTGCATCTTATAAAACATATATTTTAAATATTAAATAAGTATTTATTTCAAAGATTTACAAATTTTGATAATTACTTTATATAAAAAATTAATCTTGGTAAGGAAACAGAAAAATTTTGCTTGTTCAGCAAGATCGAGTAAGCAGTTTTCAATTATTCCTAGGTGAATTATAATTGCTATTCAAAACATGGCTGGGATCCCCTGCCTATATGTAGCTCCTTTTTGTGTCAATTCAAAATTATACTGTAATGAACTGAATATTCTCACACTTATATAGTACACTCTCTTAGTTTAATAATGCCAAATATAATCAAATTCCTAATAGGAAGAAAATACACAATGATTATTGGCCAAATTATTTCTTGTGTAACCATTATTTTCTTTGCTTTTATAACAGAAACAATTCTTGTATATTTTATATAGATTATTATCGCCACTTCTATTATGTTTGGTATTGGATTCCTTACATACGCTGCTTTATTTTTAATAGCAGCAGAAAGCTACCCAACTGAGGTCAGAAATACAGCTCAAGGTCTATTCTTTGCAGCTTCTCGGGTTGGGTCTGTTTCTGCACCTTTTATAGGAGGTGTAATTCTTGACTGGAAAAACGGCCAAGAAATATCATTAGTCCTATTTGGGCTATTTTTTCTGGTTTCAGCAGCATGCTCTCTCTATTTAAAAGAAACAAGAAAAGAAAATGAAAAAGAAGTTTTAATTGTGATAGAGGAATAATTTCCTATACAAAAAAATAATTTTCTATAGATTTCGTCAATGTTTTCAATAAATCTTAAATTCCCATCTTTAATTAATTATATGAGTAAACCTAAAGACAGCCTTACAGCCCACCTAGAAAAATCAACAATTTCCAATATAATCCAAACAGCAAGAGCTTCATTAAAAGACCCTTCAAGGCCTTATACCCCTGCTGAGTCAGTTAGAACTCTTTTTACTAATGATGGGACATCAAGACCAAACTCAAGCTATTCTTTGAAAGCTATGGCTGCCGATATTGCTCCAAAAAGAACTGCAAGACAAAATAACTATGAGCCACTCCCACAGCCTACAAGGAGAAACATTTCAAGTGGCGGGTCTAAAAAAAGCACGAGGGAGCCTGTGAAAACAATTCAAGAAGACACTTTTAATGTTGACGAGACAAATATGAAACATCTGCTTGACGAGAGGCCAGATCTAAAAGAAATTTATGAAGAAAATAAAGAAGAAAAGAGCGACTTATTAAGCGAAATAAAAGAAATTATAGGAAATTGCTTTTTAAGCGAATTTAGGGTGTAAATCATTTTTAAGCAAAAAATTTTTTAAAATAAAGAAATTACAAGCATTCTTGAAAAAATGCATCAGCACCCAGAAGTCCGAACTTTATATGAAAATGATGACATTGAAGCTTTAACTGTAAGAATCACTGAGTCTTTAAACTCCCTCCGCTTTGCTACCAAAAAGCCTAAATGAGCCCAGCCACAAGTAATTTTAAAGCTTTTAGGGCTTGCTTTAGAAAGATTTGAGAATGAAATCAGGAAACTTCTAAAGCTTGAAAGGTGCTTATTGCAAAATTTAGTTGACCACGATTTATTGTACAAAAAAAAAGAAAGCGGGCTAGTAGGGACTTCCATAGCAACTGCTGCTGTTAAATTGCTTTATCAATATTCTAAAAATAACCAAAATGATGCAATTTTTGTGGAGGAAGGCTTGCTAAATACACTCCATGCAGCGGTTACAAAAGTGGTTTCTAATGAAGACAGCGTCCCACACGATATCATGCTTTTTGTGCTTGGGATTGTTAAAAATCTGACCTCTAATGCCAAAATCCAAGAATTGGCTGGGAAAATTAATTTTATTGCGCCTTTAGCGTCAATGCTGCCTTGTCTGTATCTAGATGATGATATTCCAGAGTAAAATTTATATAGCAACCCTAAACAAGTCCATTTGTTAATACAAATTACAGGGATTTTAAGAAATTTAGCATTAGAAAAAACAAGCTACCAAAATATTTTGCTATTCCACGTAATTGAAAAAATTGCGAAAATAATGCAAATTCATATAAATTCTCAAGAATTAATATCAAATTCGTTAAGGGCGCTCAGCAAATTATCAGTTCAGCAAAAAGTGTGTAGCATTTTGCAAGAAAATGATGAAAATTTAGTAACTATTGTAAAAGCCATAGAAAAATACAGAGAAAATTTGCCAATTATAATAAGAGGCTGCTTTGTGTTAGCAAATATAACGATGACCCCCCTCAATCTTCATGTCTATTGCAACAAAAATGCAATTTTTTAATATATAAAATTTTATATAAAAAAAATAAATAATTTTCATGTCTCTTGCAACAAATTATATACATTAAAATGGCGACACGTATCAATCTGCCCTCTTGGCGCAGCAGTCCAGACCTTATGGCTACAGCGAACTGGGACGGACTCCGAGCCGAGAATCAGACGCAGGCTCAAGAAGTGCGTATCCGGGTAGGTTTTTGGCTGCTCTCCTGTGTTTGGAAATGGAGGTGCTCAACAACGTCCTTGGATCCAAGGACCCATGGGTATTCTTCTAACGAGAAAACTGGGGGTTTCAGCCCAGGCCACAGGGGAACAGTCTTTTTTCCTGTAGCTGTCGAAGAAAGGCACTTTGATACCCAATAGACTACAAGAGCTGATCCTTGGAATCAAGTTACTCCAATCGCCCGTAGCAGGGCCGCAGAAATCAATAAGCTGCCCACTCAAGACTGAACTCCCAAGGCAATGAGGAGACAGAAGGTACCGGAAGGGCACTCGTAAGAGGGATAGATCCTATGGACTGGAGTCGAAAAGCAGTAGAACCTTCCGTACGGGAGGTCTTTAATGACTGCGTCATTAATATGGCTAGCGCCTGTCTGTAATAATCCTAATCCTCTTGCAACAAATTTTCGATGCGCATCTTAAAATTTTCCGTACTTTTTAGCTAGTTAAGTTTAATAAAATGGCGAGCGATGGCAATAGCCGTCCAAATCTCGATGAGAAGGTCATTGACACACCTACAGTAGCTCTGTTTTATGGTTTTTTTGAGAAACTCACCTAGAGAAAATGCATTAATTTTTTTTTATAAAAATTTTGTGTTGCAGTAGGCATGAAGATTTTTTCGAAAAATTTTTGTTGCAGTAGATATGAAGATTGAGGGGGGGGGTCATCGTTAGTAACAAATTTCGAAAAAGCCAGAAAAGTAATAGCATATAGTATTAATTTGATACTAGAAATTGCAATACAAAAGAATCTTGGTGATATGAGGCCAGATTGTATAGACTCATTAGTCAAAGGTGTAAGGCTAATAGCTAATATTATCACTGATAAAGATGCTGGAAAAGACCTTACACAAGCAGATAACATCGGAAAATGCTTATTTACTATATTAAATTCTTATAATTATACAGACCATGAAGAGCTTATTCTCAATACAATCGCTTGTGCTACAAATTTGCTATTTTATGACCAGCCTCAGTCTCCCTTTATTTCTGAAGATACACGTACACTTATTCTCTCTAAGGTTGCCCCTTTGATGGTGCAAACTCTAAATGCAGAAATAACCCTTGAGGCTGTCAGAGCATTAGGGAATTTAACTAGGCACGAATCTGTCTGTAAAGAGCTGAATATATTTTTTCCATTAAATTTATCAATTTTTTAATTTTTTAAAAAAAAAATAAAAAATCAATTAATTTAGCATAATCTGCAAATAATTGATATTTTAATGCTCTTAATGGACCATTCTGATGATAATGTAGTTTACTACACCTTAGGCTCTCTCATTAATATTTCTTCAGTTGCCAAACAACTATTATACTCTGAAGCGTTTTTTGAAAAAGCTGGGATGCAGCTAGAAGCTATGGCTTTATCAGAGCCAGAATTTTCTACTCAGATTTGCATGATTTTAAATAATTTGTGTGTGGTTTCAAGAGGGATGGTGCCTTGAGAAAGTGTGGCTGGAGAAGATAACGTAAAAAGAATAGCTGGAATAATCAGAGAGCTGAAAATGGCTTGTGATCAATTAATTGCGAATGGAGAGGAGCTGCAAGACTTGCAGAGCATGCTGGAGCCGCTGCAAGAAATGATGCCAAAGCCGTTTATTCCTTGTTCTTACCCAGGATGTGGAAGAAAATTCCCGAATCAAATCAAATGTTAGTTATTTCTATTATTATCCACTACGATTTTGCCATCGCGCCATCTTCCTCCAGCCCGCCAAATAGTGGCCACCTTGACCTTGCTTCATGATGAGGACTCCAGTCTTGAGGTTTGGGCTTTGACAACTCTTCTTTGATTTTGGCTACCTGCTTAGATCTGTCAGGCGCCCTAAAGGTCCTAGTCTCCACCTGGGTTAAGTTGCATCCTTCTGGAAAATTCAATTTCCTAAGGCCAGGAGTCCTGTAGGAAAAACACCCAGCTCTTGCTTCCCTGACATAGCTGAGATAATTTATTTTATTTTTAATTTGATTATCACCTATGCATTTAAGGTCAACTTTCTCTTTTTCTCAAAGTCTCTTTCTTTATATCAAACAACTGCACCAAATACTTCTTTATTATGTATTGCAATAATTTTCTTATCATGCATATGCATGTCATTTCGAATTTGGTACGTGAAAACCAAATATGCGTTTCAAAACGCAGATTTTAGTGCGGCAAATTCATAATTTGAAATTTCATATGAAAATGGCGCTTATAGCATCCATAAGAAATTTTATCAACGGATTATATCAATTCACCCAGCAATCTCTCTCTTTAAAACTCCTATCAACAATCGTTTCATCTAATTTTTCTGACATATCTGAAATAATTTCACCAACCTCATAATTGAATTCCCGAACCAGGAATTGCTCCAAGACCATTGGCGAAGAAGACATGAAGATGAATAAATACATATTGATAAAAATAATTGACCCGCACACAGGTAGATTAAGGCTTGTTTCAATTATTATGCTAAATTTATAAACTCTTTCAATATGGAAGCTCAGCCTAAAAATAGATGGGTAATGTCAGACTCCGAAGACGAAGAAGAGGAAGAAAAGGTCGAAACCGAAAAAATTATTACTTCTCTTCCTACTGTGGAAGAAGCTAAAGCTCCAAAGCAAAAAAAGAAAAAAAGATCCAAGCCAAAAGAAAAAGAAGAAGAAATTGACCCAAATCTGACGACCAAAATAGTTATAGAGCAAAAAACTGAGGCAAAAAATTTAAGAGCTGATGGTACAATGGATATTTTTTTAATTTTTGAAAAAGAAATCCTTTAATTTTCTTATAGAATGATTTTTGGTTAAAGTGGACAGTTAAATTTATGTAAAATTAATTATTTTTAAATTTTTTTTCATTGACATGTACAACTGCTTCTAAGAAAGAAGTTCAGAAGAAAGAACTTGATGAGCTTGAGTCAATTTTGCAAGAATTTGGATTGCAGCCACAAGAGAAGGGAAAAACAGAAGCAGAGATACATGAAGAAAATAGCAAGCAAAGCCAACAAAAAGGTAAGGCTAAAGTGTCCAAAAAAGAAGTTTTCGAAAACGTTCGTGCAGAAATTAATGCTAGAACGAAAAAATCGAAGAAAAAAGATAAAATGAGTTATCCTAGATAATCGTAAATTCATAGTAATTTGTGTTAAGAAGATCAAGCTGCGATTGATTTTTTTTTGAAAATCATTTATATTTAAAATAGGGTTCAGGTCCAATGCACTTTGATAGTGAGCTTCACCGAAGTGCATTTGGTCGAAAATTGGTTGAATTTTTTTTGATAGTGAGACATTTGGCCAAAAAAAATGTTTAAATTTAGACCAAATGTCACACCATTTAAAAAGTTTCGAACAAATGTACTTCCTAAAATGAACACTATAAAATACACTGTCATCTGGCATGGAGCCATTTAAATAATCTTAGTTATCTTGCTTTATATTATAAAGATGATAAATTTTTTTATACCATTAATAAAATCTAGCGATTTTTTTTATAATTTTTATTTAATTTAAAGATCATTTACAACTAACGAGAACTCACTTGGTGCATTCGATAAATATGGATCCAGCATGGCAATTTGGTCTACATCAATTTTTTCTTCTTCCTCTTTCATTTCTTCAGCGCTGCTATCTTCATTATTGTTACCTTTAGGATGGCTTGCTTCAACGTGGCTTTCTTCAGAACTATTCTCTTCTAACTGCCCTCATTTAAATTGGAGCAAAAAATCCTGTCCAATTAAAGGGAGGCTTTTTTTTCTAAAAGCATATTAAATTTTTCTCTATAAAAAATTTAAAATATCCAATATTTTTGAATTTTAATTTATTTTATGAGGTATTAATTAAAATATTAGTCTATTCAGTATTAAAATTTGTTTAAATTATTTTACTTCACTTTTTCCAATAAATTAGATCAAAAAGAATTTTATAAAAATAGCTTTTCACCTTGATAATTTTCCTTTTCAAATAATTGTAACAGTTTTCAGGGTCAATACACCCAAAAAATAGATTTTATCTATATTGATTCAATTTAAAGTAGGGTACTAAATATATCCCTTCAATATCATTTTCCCCGATGCTTCTCCTTTCAATTTCTTGCTCATGGAAATTAATCTGCTCATGTCTTATAATAAGCCCTCCTTTTAAATTTCCTAAAAATAAATGCATCATATTAATATCTTTAAAAGTAATCCCTTGGGGGTTTAGATTTTCCTTTCGCGAAGAATTTAAGATCAGTTCACGTGAAGAGTCTCTAATTCTGCTTGTATTGTTATTATTTTGAAAGGAAACACCACTCATGATGTGGTAGCTTTCGGTCTGGAATTTTTTCTTTAAAAATGGGATTTTTTCAATTATTATGGTGACATAGGCATTTCCAGCTTTAAAACCCCAATAAATCACAAAATACGAATTTGCTGAAATAATGGCTATGAAAAATAGGAGTTCAGTGAATTGGTCAAGAGATCCAGTTAAATAATACATTCCACAATAAATTGTGATTGCTGAGGCTGAAATAGAAATGGCTTCAAGTCTGTTTAAATCATCTCCATTATAGGGTTTTATTTTACATTGAAAATATAGACAAGCTACTAATATGAAAAGAGTTGTTAAAGCTTGTATGTTGACTGAAACCGTTGCTAGAAACACAGAGCAGCAAATAATCATTATTTTTCTATAAATAATTACAAACTCCCAATAATAGCTTCTAGATTTATACCCATTGAAAAGAAATCCATATTTGATTCTGACACTTATATCACTGAGCTTTTCTTTATTTTTTATTATCAGAAACAAACAAGTAGTAGGTATCCCAATTCCCCATAAAATAATAGCTGGCAAAGAAACAGCTGTTGTATAATACACATGCTGCTTATCCCAACATTTCAAGCTTAGATCATCAACAAGCCAAACCTCGCCATAGTCAAGAGTTGTGCAATCAAAAGAGCTAAAATAATATTTTATTAGGCTTGGATGGACTAAAAATGCGACGATAATTGAAGTTGTCACAATATTCTTCATAAACAAAGCAAAAGTTCTTTTACATAAAGATATCAAAGATCAACAAATAGCTGAAGCTATCGGAATAGAAATCGGCAAAAGAGCCATAACAACCAATTTTTGATAAAAAATAATGGTTTTGTCTCCTTTTAAGTCTTCGTTGTAATATAGCAAACAGTCAAAAGAAAAAATTTGGTCACTTATAAAGCTTGCATTATTTTGAACTGAAAATAATTGTTTTACGTAGCTTGGTCAGGATAGGCTGAAAGTCGTGGTTAATGCTATAAGCTGGATATAATTGATGAATATTTTTATATAAATACTTGAGAGAGATTTAGGCTTGTAAGCAGAATTTTTCGACATTTTAACCATTAGTCAGCAAAGAGCTAGAAATCCAAGCCCAATCCCTGATGTTTTTATAATAAGTATATATAGACTTTGACATTTGGCGCATTGGTTTTTCATTATTTTAGAATAACCTTCTTTACAACTCTGGCATAAATTTCCAGTGTACCCTTCAAGGCATTTTCCTGAATATGAAATATTTTGTAAATCAGAGCCAATGCAAGCTTCTGAATAAGGACAATGCCAAAACCTTGTACTAAGCATATCAGATCTTCAGTATCCAGGCTTCGGGACCATTGTATAATTTCCATAACATATAGCCTCATCAGGGCAAGCCAAACATTGTTCGCCTCTAGGGTTTAAGCTGTAAAAATCTTTAGGACAAACCACACAGTTAACACCAACTGTGGCTTCTCCCAATACACAATCTCTTAAAGTTACGTTTACAAGTATACTTGAGTTATAATTAAGGCCATCATTTGCCTTACACCCCATTTAAATTGAGCAATATATTGTTTAATAGGAAAATTTTATCGGTGAAAATATGAAAAGTGCAAGTAGTATATTATTTAAACATTTTCCATGTTGAATCGAATTATTTTGAATAATTCTATATAAAAATAAATTAATTTTTAGTTTAATTTATATTTTTTTAATTTTAAACATTTTAAAAAAATTTATTTTGTTTTTAAAAATCTTTAGACAAATTTATCGGGGAGAGCTAATGCTTTTTGTAACATCAATACCATTTGTTTGAATTTCTATAGAAAAATTGCTTCCGGGCTCAGCAGAAATTATAAACGAGGAAAAAGTAAAAATTCCACTGGCTGCTTTAACTTTGCTTTCGCCTGATAAAACTACATCTTGTGATGAGGATATTAGCTCGCCTACACTAGAATCGTCTGTGGTTACAACTGAGCCTAAATGATCAATTATACCAATAATCAATGGTGTGGTTGTTAGCTGCCCAGATGCCAAATCCTTTAGTTCGCCTGTCCAATTAGAATTCATAATTTTCATGCTCACAGGAAAAGACGCTATATTTTCTCCATATTCTGCTTTATTGTTTTCAAAAGAATTGCTTTGGAATTTTGGCATTACTTCTTTTCAAACAGCAGCTCCTCCTTCATATTCTGCTGAGTTCTCAACAAAATCATTAGAAAACACATTATACTCACAAATTCCTTGATAGCTGCACCCTAATTTAATAGCTCCTCCTATCCCTGACTCATGGCTTGTTTCAGATATTTGATAAGTCGCAATTGCTTTATTTTCATAAAAATTGCATGATTTTATATTGGCATTTATATTGTCCAGATAAATTGCTCCTCCTGCTGTTGATGTATTATTTACAAATTTCGTCGAAATTATTTCATAGTTTTGGCTATTAATGGTGTTTGATGTATGGTCAAGCACAGATGCCAATCCCCCCACCCCCACCCCCCCCAGTTTGGATGTATACATCACACCCCCACCCCTGTATGGATCACACCCCCACCCCCTGTATGGATCACGCCCCCACCCCCTCAGATAGTATGTATGGATCACACCCCCACCCCCCTTGCATCTATGGATCCCACCCACATCCCCATTCCATTAATAGATGCCACCCCACCCCCACCCCCTATATAATGTAAACTGTATTATGTATTAAAGGCAAATAAAACATATTAATTGCTCACAGCATAAAAAATTTAAAGTCATAGGGATGAAAAAAAAAAATCGGATACAGTTTGCTAACGAGGAAGCATATTTACAATGAACCTTCAAGCGCATACCTCGTGTTTTAAATCATATAAAGGTCAAAAATTTTCATAGAATACAGGTTAGCTCCCCCCGCCATTTAATAACGAACAAAACAGTCATTTTTTTTTTTCCATAAAAAATTTTTCTATTAAAAAAAATTTTTGTTTGCTCACAAAGAGTGAGGGACTTTTCTAATGGTTTTGTTCGCTCACGGAGGGGAGGAGTTAGCAATAGTTATTTTTTCGCATATTTAGGCGTTTTCTCTTTATGTTGCCATCATTTGACTTTTTTATTATTAACCCTTTATTGAAAATTTTTATATATAAAAAATCATAGATATTTAATATAAATTTTTATATATTTTTTTTTTCCCAAGAATTTTATAAGTTAGACCCATTTAATAACGAACTAAAAAAGTGTTCGTTTATTAAATGGGGGGAGTAAAAGACTTTATAGAGATATCAAAATATTTTTTGAGTCATTTATTGATTCCTTTCTATGTAACAAGTTATTTGCAATTATTTTATTTTAAATGTATTACTAATATATTGGCTATATCAGTCTATGCTAAATATACTTATGATCATTAATATTTATTTATGAATCTATTTATGAATCCATTTATGAATTAACTAAAATTTTATTGTATGTCTTATTTGTAAGATTTTATACTTATATGTTTACCTATATGGCAGAGGGGGTGGGAGGTGGGATCTATTAACATATATACTAGGGGTGGGGGTGGGATCCATGCATGGGGGGGTGGGGGTGGGGGGGGTTGGCATCTGTGCTTGACCAGATGTAAAAGTGGAATATAGCGCGCCACCATAAATAGATGTGTTGTTATTGAAATAGCAGGAATCTATATAAATATAAGCGCTGTTTATAGAATTAATGGCTCCACCTACTTTTCCTAGGCTATTTTTAAAGCTAGTTCCTATTATTTTCAAAGATTCCATTTCACTGCCATCAATAGCTGAATAAGTAAAATTTTCAAAAAAAGATTTTTCAATAAAAATTTTGTTCCCAAAAATATTTATAACTCCTCCAGAGCCTGGGCTATAAGTATTTAAAAACTGGCATTGAGAAATATTTAAAGCAGTAGAAAACGCCATTATAGCATTTCCGACACCAGAAGTGGAGTTTATAAATGTGCTATTCACCAAACTAACAGAACTAGAGAGAGCATTAATAGAGCCACCAGACTCAGAAGAATTCCCATTCTTAAAGCTTGTATTTGTAACGACTAATCCACTATCTGAAGCTAAATATACAAAACTTCCAGAGTATCCTGCTTGGTCTCTGAACTTAGAATTGGTAATAGTGGCGTTTGAAAGTGTTAAATAAATTCCTGGGGTGATTCTGTTGGCGGTGTTATTATATATTCTGCAGTTATCGATTTTTATATTTGATGTGAGTGAATAGATCAAGCCTTCAGATTTTGCGTGATTTTGAAATAGTCGAGAATAGCTTAAAACACTATATTTGTCCGATCCAATTATGTATATGACTGCACCTTTATCACTACAAAAATTGCTACTAAAATTAGAATATTCAATAGAAAAATAAGACAATTGGTCAAAATAAAGGACTCCTCCATATTTAGCACTATTTTTGTAAAAATTGCAGTGGCTGCAGTGAAAATATGAGTTGCCTTCAGCTCTGATGGCCCCTGCGTATTTTGTTGAAGTATTGTTCAAAAATGTCGTTAATTCACAGTCAGCTGTGGCATTTGCTGTTAAATATACAGTTCCTGCAGTTATTGTTGAGTTTGCTATAATTGATTCAGTGTCTTTCCAATAGTCATGAACAAGATATATCGCAAGTCCTTCATTTTTTTGAAAAATACATTTAAAAGTCTCAATATAAGAATAAATGGCCATATCGTCAGTACATAACACATTTTTCCCTGAATTATTAGTAAAATTGCAAGAAGTTAAAATAATTTTGGATATGTCAGAATCTGATTGTTTACTCCTCTAGATGAGACAAAAAAATAAAGTTTTTTGAAAATATATAAAATTTTTAAAATATTATTTTTTAATTTTAATATATTTTATTATAAAAAATTAAATAGCATCTAATTGAGCTCCAAATTCAATTTGGTTTAAATTTTTTAAATTTAAAGGATTAATTGCCAAAAAAATGGCAATTTTGCAGAATATTTGCCCAATTTAAAGTAAAGAGTTAGAAGGTGCTAAATATAAAGCAGATCCAAGCTCAGCATAATTATAAATAAATAAAGAGTTCGATATATTTAATATTCCATATTGGTAATAATTGACAATTGTTCCTTTAGCTTTGGCTGTATTTGAATCAAATATGCAAGAATCTATAATTGAGTTATTTGTCAAAACTGTATTGCTTTCTATATAAATTGCTGAACCACTTGGGGCTGAATTTGATAAAAACTTGCTATTTACAATTGATAAGCTTATGGGATCTTTTGAAACATACACCAAAATGGCGTCGAACCAACCTGTCCTCCTAGCACTGTAGTCACGGTCACCCAGGGACCTTATGGAAAGGAAAACAGCATTCGCTGAGGTGTATTAGGCCGAATTTACTTTGTTTGGTGGAGCATAATGTTGGATTCCCACATGCTCATTTCTGGTCAAGGTTTTACCTCTGGGAAATCGTAAGCTGTAGCTGGAAAGGAAAGGTTCAGCAAAACTCTCTGACCAATCAGGCAATTTTCTAGCTCGATACTAGGCGTTGCGTTCATGGCTTAGAGATGATTCTTGGTTGACAGCCTGACAAGAAAATTCGTTTTCTCATATAGCAGAGGCCACGTCACTCCGATAAGAGTGCACACTCATTCCGAGGAGCGAAACTGATAGGTAGAGACAGGCATTGAGCGGCACAAGGTAAAGAAAACACTCCGGTGCATAGAAGCTTCACTTATAATCTTAATTAACTTAAGGGATCTTGCGAAACTATTGTGCCTGAAACATAAATTGCGCCTCCTCTTACATCAAAACTTTTATTTTCTTCAAAAACAGAATTTTTTATATCTAGTGCATTTGTATCTGCCCCTGAAAAAACTGAAAAATAAACAGATCCAAGCCCTGCTCGAGCTGTATTTGATTTTAGAGTAACATTGTTTAGCATCAATGAACCTCCTTCAAAATAAATTCCTGAACTATAATTAGCTGAATTATTGGATATAATCGTATTTTCTATACCCTTTGAGGATATTGCCCCATTAAATTATCCATTATATTAAAGGATCAATAAGGATTCCTAGGGTATATATAAACATTTTGTAAACTTTGGAGTAAGCATATAGCTCCAGCTCCCTGAGGACTACTATTGGTGTTATTGTTAAATGTTGAATTAATAATTTGCATATTTCCTGCATATAAAGTCAATAGAGAAACTCCTGAGGCTGAAGAACCAGAATTTCCTTCAAAAATGCAATTACTTATAATGAAGTTCTCGATGTATGGGTAATACAAAAATGGACCTGAATTTTTGCAAGTATAGCATTGCCCTTTATTTTTACACTTATGAAAAATTACGTCAGAAAAAATATGTCATATAATAAAAAATAAAATAGATAAATAAATAAGGCTCTCATTTACTTTTGATTTATTTGCAAATATAACATTTTAATAGTCGATTTTAATTTGGGGTATTTTTTTTCGAGAGCAAGCTAAACCTTATTATCGCGATAGACGATTTATTTTTTTGTACAGATGAAATTTTAAAAAAGAATTTGAAAGTAAAATTAATTTATAAAATTTATGATTCAGAGCGCAGACTACTAAATTTGAGATTATTATATAATCATTGCTTTCTATCAATATTTTTGTATAAAAATTCTATGTTTACTTATTCGCAGAGAAGAAGAAAAGTTAAAGAATCTAAAAGAGGCCTGCCGTTATATTTTTTATAAAGATACTTTCTGATAATTCATGATTAGTGATGGTAGAAGCTGATCATAGAAATAAGCAGTCTATGCTAGTTGCATTTGGAACAAGAATTTTGGTGTATAAACTGTTGTCAGCTACATAATAATTCCATAGAATTGTATTAATATTTTGAGTTTCCAAACTTCCATTAGACTCTACAGTAATGTTATAAAACCTCAAATTGACAAGCTGAATCATTTCAAAAATTCCACTTCCTCCTGGATAATTATTAGTGATTATTGAATTTTTAAAAATAAAGTCTCGTTTATTAAATACTGCTTGCGAAATATTTCCATATTCATCTGTTATGCTGACTGTTGTATCTGTAATATAATCTGAAGAATAAACCTGATTGTTTATTAATATTAAAGGTCCTGATAACACTCCATTTGCATTTATAAATAAATTTTCCAATCAAATTTTTTGCAATTGAGACTGATACGCAATTGATAAAATTCCTGAAAATTCTCCAAAGTTATTTTTAAAAATAGAGTCATGGATATTTACATGGTAAAACAATAAATCCATAAGTTTATTATAAGAGTTGACGTCATTTCTGAAGCTTAATGTAGTAGGCTCTAAATAAATAAGTCCATAATTAGCTGCATTTTTTTCAAAAGTACAGTGAGAAATTTCAAAATACCGAAATAAAGCCACTTTTAATAAAGAATAAGTCGTGGAAATGACATAAGGGGTATATACAATATTGTTAACAAAAGTCACATTTTTCAGCTTTACATTTCTGATTTTTTCTGCACTTAAAAACCCTGAAAATTGTGCTGCCCCATATTCATAGCCGTTATTAAGTCTAGAGACAGTCCCATTTGTATACTCAAAGCTTCCACAGTTATAATTCGGATCTCCACAATCCAGAAAATAAATTATTGCATATTTTCCAGGAGGCGTTGCTGACTGTCCAGGCTGAGCCTGAACCACCTGTGACCAATATAATCTCATATTATCAAAATTTACATTGGTAAGTGTTACATTTCCTCCATAACTTGTAATAACAGATTTCAGTTCCTGTCTAAAATTAGTGAAATTTACGTTTCTCATGACTAGTTTTGAGCCTAAATACAAATTAAAAAAAATTTTTGCATGATAAGGGTTACATCACATAGAAATTAAATAAGTAGTAAGTTTGACTCCTTGGTCACTATAATAGTTTCCGTCAGACCTTAGAGTGGTATTAGCACAATAAGTGCATAAAGGATATGTTGATGGGCAGGCTGCTTTAATATTAGCGCCATCGAAAACAATATTTTTAATTGTGATAGTCGTTATATTTGATAGTGTATAAACAAAAAATTTGGTTTCAGGCATAACTCTCATTGTAATTGTGGAATTACCATATGGGGAAATCGAAAGATTTGTTATATTGAAGCTTTTGTTTACTTCCTCGCATTCTTAATTGAGCAATCTATTGAAATTTTCCTTAAAATTGGGAAAAAATAATTCCAACGATTTATATATGATTAGACATGAAAAATCCACTTAAATTTAACTGTTTTTTTTATATTAAAGATGCTATAGATATTTGTACCTCAGCAATTATAAAGCGAGTTTTTTAGCATATTTTCTAATATATTGCATACTCTATCTCTCATCTATATTGAATAAAAATTTTTTTCGGAATTTTTTGACCTTTTGATCAAATTATGATGAGCTGTTCGATAAAATATAGGGGTATTTAGAGGATTGCAGACATCAACTAATATAGTGCTCACAGGGTTTGCTGTATTAACACAGGTCATATAATGGTTCCCGTCGTCAAAAAGATAAACAATTGCATATTTATTATAAATTGAAGCCAAAGCAAGAGAAAGAGACGCAAATGGATTGCTAAAAGTCCCATTCCCTTCATAAGCGTCTGTGCTTGTTTTTGAAGTTACATAATAAACTGCAGGGTTATCTTTAGTCGAGTAGTCTTTGGGAACTAAACAAACTGGATAATTTCCAAGCAAATTGACAGCTTGATGGCCACCTGGGCATGAAGTAAGGCAGTAACCATAAAATTGGTATGTATTTGTGTTGCATTTAAAACAATCTCCTAAATCTCACTCAATGGAAAATTTTTAGCCTAAAAAGTTTTATTAAATAATTAACAATTAAATTTATTTTCCATACAGGTGAGTAAGCTTTTTGTATTACAAATTAAGCAATTGGAATCAGCACAAGTGGAAATTGCACATGTATTTCATGAAAAAATACAAGCAGCTCTCTTACAGTTTATATGGCATGAGCTGGAATCAAGGACTTCTATCGGCAAGCAGCTTGAAATATCTGTACAATTGCTTGGGCTTACATTTGCTGTGAGATTTTTATAAATAAGCCCATAATGTAAAGCAAATAAAATCTGGTTTGCGTTTTGGCACTTACTTCCGTGAGCGAACAAAAAATCTTGCTTACTCACAGAGGGTTAATTTTTTTTTATATATAAATTTTATAGAAAATTTATTTCGAAATTTAAAAAAACCCTTTCAAAAATTGGAAAGCAAATATTTATTTAATTTGTAAAAATTTATGTTTTAGAACGCGATTTGTTTAAATTAAACAGAATTAGCTAGAGATTTCATGATACTAGTTATCACTTATATACAAAAATTTTTTCCATAAAAATTTTGTTGCTCACGGAGGGTGGGTTTTCGGTCAAAAAAATATGATTTTTTTTAATTTTTTTTTCTTACGGAGAGTGGAGTTAGAAGTGCTACTAATAGTGTCATATTGGCAAAAAGAATTCATACAGGAGTCTTGACATTGTCCATAACTTTCTATACTGCAGCCCTCGGCACAGCCACAATCATAATTATCATAATGGCAATCGCTTACATTGCAGGCAGAATTACAAACTCCATCTCCAAGCATAGACTTTAAGCAGCCAGAAGCGCATTTATGGCAATCTCCTCCATCATAATCACAAGCTGGTGTATCACAAGCTGCATCACAAACTCCATTAGACTTCATATAAGAATGACAGCCTCTCGAACAATCACAATCTCCTCCATCTCAATTGCAAGCTTGATTATTACACTCCCTATTACAATTATTGTCTCCTATCATTCAAAGTTCACAGTCTGGATTGCATTGATTATTATTGCAGTCTCCAAAATCATAGTTACAAGAAGAAACATTACAAGATTTATCACAAATCCCATCTCCAAGCATTTCCCTATTACAGCCAGGTGAGCAGTCTGTACAAGATCCTAACTCCCCCCTCCGTGAGAGAAAATCCCTATTTTTTGACCAAAAAACAACATCTGTGAGCGAACAAAAATGTGTTTTTTATGAACAAGTTTTGATATATTAGTGATAACCATTATAATTAAATCTCTAGCTAATTTAGTTTAATTGTAAACAACTTGCATTTTAAATCATAAATTTTGCTAATTAAATTAATTTTTACGAATTGGAAATTGTATAAATTTTTAAGAAAAAAAAATTATATAAAATTTATTATATATATATTTTTTAAATAAAAAATAACCCCCCCTTCCTTCTCGCGAGCGAAAATGTTTTGGGGGAGTAAGCCATAATAACAATTTTCATTATTACAAGAATCAGAGCAAATTATATTTAAATCGTCTTGAAAGCCTAACTCCCTCTTTTTAAATTAGAACATAAAATCTTGTTCCAATTTAAATATTTTTCCAAACTCCCTCTCCGCTTGTTCACATAAATTTTTTTTAAATTTATATAAAATTTTATAGAAAAATTTTGCTTTCGAAGTTTAAAAAACATTTTTACAAAAAATTAAGAAATAATAATTAGTTTATTTGCAAAATTTATATTTTTAAAATACAAGGTGTTTATTCAAACAAAATTAGCTACAGATTTCATTATAGTAATCATCACTGATATATCGAAATATTTTTTTATAAAAAATTTTTGTTTGCTCACCAAGTTTTTGGAAATTAAAAATATATAAAGTGAATGCAATGCAATATCTTTAAATTTTTATTTATTTTTATGAAGATTAATTCAAAAATGTGCAAATAATATTCTAATTGAACTTTTTAATTAAATTAGGTCAGAATAATTTCCGATTGAAAAAAATTGTTCTCAAAAATTTAAATTTACCAATATTTTGTTCCAATTTAAGGGGAGTAAATAAAAATTACAATTTGAAGAGCAGTATCCACAGTCTCCAAAATCATAGCCACAAATTGGATTATTGCAGTTTTGATCACAAATTCCATTTCCAAGGTCAGAAGGCAAGCATGAAAAATCATTTATACATGATTGATAGCAATCAGAATTTTCAGGATTAAGTCTTGGATTTTTAGTTAGATTTGAGTCAAAATTACAAAAGGAATGCATGCAATTTGGGTCACAGATCCCATCTCCTTTCTAAGTAATAGTTACTGATGATGGAGGACACCAAAATGGATTGCATAAAAAATTCGTCGCCAAGCACAATGAAGGCAGGAGAAAAACATTAAAAAAAAAGCCATTCATACCTTACTAATATTAATAAAATATATTTAATCATGATTTAAAGTAGTTTAACAATTTTTATACTGATATGGAATACTAGATGATAATTATCACAAAATCTTTTTTATTAGGATAAAGAATAGCTGCTGGTTATAGTTAATTAGGATTAAAGAGACTAAAAACTCTGATTGTTATACAGATCTAAACAAGTAAAAAAATTATTGAGATAGAGTGGTAACTATTAAAATTTTGATGACCTTGCTTTGAATGATTTAGATGTCATTAGGCTCAGTAGGTAAACAATATGCAATTGATGGATCTTTAATAAATCTGATTTTTAAATTATTTGTTTATTTAAGTAAATATTTATAAACTCCTTTCTCTCAGTAAGTGCAGGAAAAAATTTAATAGAAAAATGTTTTATTGGTAAATTGTCAAAAATGAAATATCTAGATAATTCTGATTTATTTTAGCAGCTTTAATTCTACAAACTAAATTAATTTAATTCCCAATTCTTTACTAATTGAGATTTTTTAATTTTGTAAAATAAATAATTTTTTTTAATTCCTAACAGATATTTGCTCGCTCACAGAGGGGGAGTTATCTTAAAAATTAATTTGTATCAGAAAAGCATCATGACCTTGTTTTTAAAGTAAAAATTTTAAAAATAGAAACGCTATGCAATTTAATTCTTATTTTTGAAATCTTGAATGATTCTTACCACTTTTGATGCTAAACAATTCGATTTTTTTCTAATATAATTAAGACTATTTTTATATATAAAACTTGGAATTAATTATTTAAGTATCGAGAAAGCTTAAATTATTACATTAGATCTATACAGTTACAAAGTTATTATATTTTTAAAAGTTTTACTTAAATTAAATTTTATTTAAATTTTGTTGAAATTTATACTATTGTAAATCATTCACAACTAATGAAAACTCACTTGGAGCAGCCTTAAGCAAATCTTGATCAAGTACAACAATTTCTTCCATATCAATTTTTTCTTCTTCATAGTCTTTAACCTTACTTTCCACTTCCTTAGATGTGTCATGCTCAATATCATTTTTCTCATTCACATATTTATCTTCAAAGCTGTTTTCTTTTATATCAATCTCTACTCTCTTATTTTGTTTACTATTATTTTCTTGATTGCTTTGCTTATCTTCTTCAAAATCTATTTCTTCAATTTCTTTATTTTTGATAATGAATTCTCCTCTCAAATTTCCTAAAAATAAATCCATTATACTAATTTCTTTAAAAGGTATGTTTCGGGGATTTAAATTTTCCTTTCGATAAGATCTTAGCATCAGTTCACGAGCAGATTCTCCGATTCTGCTTGTTTTAGCATTCCTAAAAGAAGAGTCACTGATGATATTGTAGTTTGCGGGATGGAATTTTTTCTTCAAAAATGGGATTTTTTCGACTATCATGGTTATATAAGCATTTCCAGCTTTAATACCCCAATAAATCACAAAATATAAATTTGCTGAAATAATGGCGATGAAAAATATAAGCTCAGTAAATCAATCAAGAGACCCAGTTAAATAATACATTCCACAATATATAGTTATTGCGGAGGCTGAAATAGAAATGGCTTCAAGTCTGTTTAAATCATCCCCGTTGTAAGGCTTTATTTTGCATTGAAAATATAGGCAGGCAACTAATACAAAAAGTGTAGTCAGAGCTTGGATGTTGACTGAAACCGTTGCTAAAAACACAGAACAGCTAATAATAATAATTTTTCTGTAAATAATTACAAACTCCCAATAATAGCTTTTAGCTTTATACCCATTGAATAAAAATCCATATTTGATTCTGATATTTATATTGATGAGTCTATCCTTATTTTTCATAATTAAAAATAAGCAAGTTGTTGGTATCCCAATTCCCCATAGCAGAATAGCTGGAAAAGAAATAGCTGCTATATAAAACACATGCTGACTGTCCCAGCACCTTAAATTCAAGTCGTCAACAAGCCAATCTTTGCCATAATCGAGCTCAGTACAATCAAAAGAGCTAAAATAATACTTTATTAAGCTTGGGTGGATCAAAAACGCAACAATAATTGAAGTTGTCACGATATTGTTCATAAATAAAGCAAAAGATTTTTTGCATAAAGATATTAAATATCAACAAATACCCGAAATAATTGGTATAAAAATAGGCAAAACAGCCATGATAAACAATTTTTGGTAAAAAATCACGTTGTCCCCTTTTAAGTCGTCATAATAATATAAAAGGCAGTCAAATGAAAAAATTTGGTCACTTATAAAGCTCGCATTATTTTGTACAGAAAATAAGTGTTTTACGTAACTTGGCCATGATAAGCTAAAAGTTGTCGTTAGAGCTATAAGCTGAATATAGTTAATAAAAATTTTTATATAAACGCTTGAAAGAGATTTGGGCCTATATGCAGATTTTTTTGTCATTCTAATCATAAAACAACAAAGTATGAGGAATCCAAGGCCGATTCCTGATGTTTTTATAATAATTATAGTTAGGCTTTGACACTTTTCGCATTGATTTTTCATTGCCTTAGAGTAGCCTGATGCACAGCTTTGGCATAGGTTTCCAGTATATCCTTCAAGGCATTTCCCGGTATAAGATATTTTTTGTAGATCAGAGCCGATGCAGGCATTTGAATAAGGACAAGATCAAAATTTTATGCTTACTCCCCCCCCCCCCCCTCCGTGAGCGAACAAAAAAATTTTGTTCACTCACGGAGGGGGGTTAATTTTTTTTTTTTAAAAAAAATTTATATATAAATTTTATATAAAAATATTTTTTTCGAAATTTAAAAAAAATCCTAATTTGCAAAAATTGGGAAGCAAATATTAATTTAATTTGCAAAATTTATGTTTTAAAACGCAATTTGTTTAAATTAAACAGAATTAGCTCTAGATTTCATTATACTAATTATCACTTATATATCAAAATTTTTTTCCATTAAAATTTTTTCTATTAAAAAAATGTTTGTTCACTCACGGAGGGTGGGTTTTTGGTCAAAAAATGGCGATTTTTCTAATGGTTTTGTTCGCTCACGGAGGGGGGGGGGAGTTAGCATATCAGACCTTCAGTATCCTGGCTTAGGTACCATTGTGTAATTTCCATAACAAATTGCTTCATCAGGACATGCTAAACATTGCTCACTATTTGGATTTAAACTATAAAATTCTTTTGGGCAAACCACACAATTAGTGCCAACTTTAGCTTCACCTAATACACAATCTCTTAATGTTACATCTACAAGTATGCTTGAATTATAAGTCAGCCCATCATTTGCTTTAATACTTTTAGACGCATCAATACCATTTGTTTGAATTTCTATAGAAAAATTGCTTCCAGGCTCAGCTGAGATTATAAATGAGGAAAATGTAAAAATCCCATTGACTGCTGTAACTTTTAGCTCGTCTGATAGAACTATATCTTGTGAAAGTGATATTAATTCCCCCACACTAGAGTTATCTGTAGAAACAATATAGCCTAAATGATCAATAAGACCAATAACTAAAGGGGTTGTAGTTAGCTGCCCAGATGCCAAATCATTTAGTCCTCCAGTCCAATTACTGTTAATAATTTTCATACTCACAGGATAAGACGCTATATTTTCGCCATATATCGCTTTATTATTCTCAAATAAATTATTTACGAATTTTGGCATAACGTCAAATCAATCAATTGCTCCCCCTTCATAATCTGCTGAATTCCCTACAAAAACATTAGAAAACACATTAAAATTGCATTCTCCTGAATAGCTACAACCAAAATATATTGCTCCTCCAATCCCTGACTCATGAGTAAATCCAGATATTTGAGAAGTCATAAATGCTTTATTTTCATAAAATTCACAAAATTTTATCTCAATGTTTATATTATTCAGATAAATCGCTCCTCCAGCTGACGACGTATTATTTACAAATTCCGTAGAAATTATTTCATAGTTTTGGCTATTAATAGTGTTTGACGTAAAAGTGAAATATAAAGCGCCACCATAAATAGATGTGTTGTTATTGAAATAGCAGGAATCTATATAAATATAAGCGCTGTTTATAGAATTAATGGCTCCTCCTACTTTTCCCAGGCTATTTTTAAAGCTAGTTCCTATTATTTTCAAAGATTCCATTTCACTGCCATCAATAGCTGAATAAGCGAAATTTTCAAAAAAAGATTTTTCAATAAAAGCATGATTCCCAAAAATACTTATAACTCCTCCAGAGCCTGAGCTATAAGTATTTAAAAACTGGCATTGAGAAATATTCAAAGCTGTCGAAAATGCCAAAATCGCATTCCCAACACTTGACGTGGAATTTATAAATATGGTATTTGCCAAGCTCACAGAGCTAGAAAGAGCATAAATTGACCCACCTGACTCATATGATTTTCCATTTTTAAAACTTGAATTTTTTACCACTAAGCCACTATCTGAAGCCAAATATACAAAACTTCCATAATTTCCTTCTTGGTCATTAAACTGGGAGCTCATAATCGTGAGGTTTGAAAGCGTCAAATAAATCCCTGGAGTAATCCTATTAGCTGTATTGTCTCATATTTTGCAGTTATCAATTTTAATATTTGACGTCAGTGAATAAATTAAACCTTCTGATTCTGCATGGTTATAATATAACTCAGAATTTTTCAAAACACTGTAGGTTTTAGAGCCAATTACATATATAACTGCACCTTTATCAGTACAAAAATTATTGTTAAATTTTGAATTTTCAATAGAAAAATAAGACAATTGGTCAAAATAAAGGACTCCTCCATACTCAGCACTATTTTGATAGAAAACGCATTGGTTGCAGTGAAAATATGAGTTGCCTTCAGCCCTGATAGCTCCTGCATATTGTGTTGAAGTATTGTTCGTAAAAGTGGTTAGCTCACAATCAGCTGTTGCATTTGAGGTTAAATATACAGTTCCAGCAGTTATTGTTGAATTTGCTATAATAGATTCTGTATCTTTTCAATGGTCATGAACAAGATAGATAGCAAGTCCTTCATTTTTTTGAAAAATACATTTAATTGTCTCAATATAAGAATAAATTGCCATATCATCAGTGCATAAAACATTTATTCCAGAATTAAGAGTAAAATTGCATGAATTAAAAATGATTTTTGACTTTTCAGGGCTTGACTGTTCTGAAGCCGCAAAATATAAGGCAGATCCAAGCTCAGCGTGATTTGAAATAAATAGACAATTTGAGATATTGAGAATTCCGTATTGGAAATAATTCGCGATAGTTCCTTTTGCTTCAGCAGTATTTTGACTGAATATGCAAGACTCGATTACTGAGTCGTGTGTAAGAACTGCGCTATTTTCTATATACATTGCAGAGCCACTTGGAGCTGAATTATATGTAAATAAATTCTCTTTTATTATTAAGTTAATAGGATCCTGCGACAATAATGAGCCTGATATATATATTGCGCCTCCTTTCACGTCATGACTTTGATTTTCTTTAAATAGAGAATTTTTTATATCAATTTTGTGAGTATCTGCTCCTGTAAAAACTGAGAAATAAACAGCTCCAAGTCCTGAGCTCGCCTTATTTGACTCTAGTGTTACGTTAGTCAATATCAAAGATCCACCTTCAAAATAGATTCCTGAACTATAATTAGCAGAATTATTTGATATAATTGTGTTTTCTATAGAAATATTTTCTAAGCTTTCAAAAAAAGATAAAGCGCCGAAGCCCTTATCTTCTCTCCAAAAGTAATAAATAAAGTGAAAAACAAAATTTTTTAAAAAAAAATTTATATTAATATTATTGATAATTAATTTTAGGCAGCATAGGCCTTAAGTAATAATGATTTATATAATTTTTTTTTATTTTTAGATATTTGGTATTCAAAAATTAAATAAAATAGTTATAATGAAAAAAAAGCCTATTTATCTCGCGAAGAGAGCTAGAATTATTATTTGTGTTATTATTGAAGGTAGAGTTTATAATTCAAACATTTCCAGCACCTACGGTTAATATACAAATTCCTTTATCTGAAGAAATAAAATGTGACGTTGATGGAAAGTGGTCTCCGAGATGCACTCCCTATGGAGCAGGTATGAATCATCCTGATGAAGCTGAGAGCAAGGCTTTTGTCCTTTTGAAGTAAATCTTCAGGCTTGGGGATGCTTTGCCGAAGAATAAGTTTGGTTTCTCCCCGGCGGTTTTCTTACCTGCTATATGGGCTAGACAGATTTTACTTATCGGGACTATCGGGGCATCAGACAGAGGGTTGCTCAACCTAATTAGCTGATCATTAGGCTAGGTAAGTTTTGCCAGAAAATTTCAAATGGGTGGAATTTTGGTTTAGCCTTACACCATTTACACCCTTCTGTATACTAACTAGCATGGCCACTTTTCTTGGAGTTAAGGTAGTCCATCTCGTAGGGAGCCTTCTTATGGCAAGTAAAACTTAAACTTAACTGTATCTGAAGATCCTGAATTTCCTTCAAAACTACAATCAGTAATTCTAAGGTCCTCAATCAACTCATAATATAAAAAGGGGCACGATTTTTGACAAATATTGTTTATAAATATACTTTCTGATATTTCATAGCTATAGCAAGAACTAGCTGACCATAAAGCTAGACAATCTATGCTATTTGGACGAGAAACAGCACTTTTGGTATACATATTACTGTCAGCTATATAATAATTTCATAGAATTGTATTTATGTTTTGAGTCTCAGAACTTCCATTTGACTCTACAGTCATATTATATATCTCCAAATTAACAAGTTGATTGAGACCAAAAATTCCTTTTCCTCCTAGATAATTATTATGGTGGTGACTAAATACATCCTTAACGATGCACCACCTGGTCGTAAAGTCACTTATAGACTAAATAAAGGTAAAGCGCTTTAACTTTTAACCATAGTTTGTTTTGCTTCAAGGGTGCTTCCTTTTTCCTGATATCACCTATCTTCAAGGTGACCGACAGGAGGTAGCGTTTTTGTGCATCAGTAAACTTGTTTACTAGCTGCACTCAGCTTGTTATTTCCCAGCTGAATAGTAAACTGATTGCAGCCAGCAAAACAAGTTTGCTTGTGTTCAAAAAATTCCAATGGTCAATATAGGTTGATCTTTGCCTCTATAGCACGATAACCCCAGATGGGCTCTGACAGAACAGCAAGTGCTTTAATTCTATTTTTCCTCCTGAATAATTATTTGTAATTACAGAGCTCTTAAAGATAAATTTTCGCTTTTTAAAAATTGCCTCAACTAAATTGGATTTTGTATCAGTTATATTTACAGCTGTGTCAGTCAGATATTGATTAGAATAATATTGGTTATCCACAATTATCAAAGGCCCTGACAAAACTCCATTTCCATTAATAAATAAATTGTCTAATAAAATATTTTGCAGCTCAGACAGATAAGTAATTGATAAAATTCCTGCAAATTGTCCGTAATTGTTTTTAAAAATAGAATCATGTATATACACGTGATAAAGCAGCAAATCAATAAATTCTTTATTAAAATTTACATCATTTCTGAATACTAATGCTATTGGTTCCAAATAAATAAGTCCATAATTAGCTGCATTTTTTTCAAAAGTACAGTGAGAAATTTCAATTGACCTATATATAGCTAGCTTTATCAAAGAATAAGTGCTAGATGCGACATATGGAGAATATACAATATTGTTAACAAAATTCACGTTTTTCAGCTTTACGGTCCTGATTTTATCTGCACTCAAAAACCCTGAAAATTGTGCTGCCCCATACTCATAGCCATTGTTGAGTCTAGAGACAGTCCCATTTGTATAGTCAAAGCTTCCACAGTTATAATTAGGATCTCCACAATCCAGAAAATAAATCACTGAATATTTACTTTGTTGTGATGCTGATTGTCCTGGCTGGACAGCTTGATTTCAATAGCATCTAATATTGTCAAAATTTACATTACTAAAGGTCACATTTCCTCCATAACTTGTGACGATGGATTTTAATTCCATCCTTCAATTTGTGAAGTTTACGTTTCTCAATGTCAATTTTGATCCAAAAAATAAATTAAATATAGTTTTAGCTCGATAACTGCTGCAGGTTGTCGTACTTAAATAAGTAGAAAGCTTACTACCAGTTTAGGAGTGAACAAAAACATTGGAATTGCCTTTTGAGAAAAAATTAAACATTGAGAGCAGGCAGAACAATTTTTATATATTTTGTGTATAGAATATTTTTAATACATAATTAATAATTTTTATAGTAAGATCTCGGCTAATCTTGCATTTTAAAATAAATTTTAATAAATTAAATTTAAATAAATGGATTTTAAAATTTAAAAAAAAATTAATCTATTTGAGAATTAGCCAAAAAATCTTGATATATTTTGAACAGGAGGGAGTTAGTCCCTTGGTCACTATAATAAAATCCATCAGACTTTAAAGTAGTATTTGCACAATAAGTACAATAAGGATTCGATGATGGGCATGCAGTAAGAATATCTTCTCCACTAAAAACAATATTTTTTATCGTAAGGTTTGTAGTATTTGATAATGTAAAAGTTAAAAATTTGTTGTCTGGCTTCTTACTTACTTAGTTACATAGTTTTTAAGGTGTCTAGTGCCCACACCCCTTAATGAAAAAGGGTCAAAGCGACAACTAGTGACGTCACCAAGCCATCTTGGATATGTGGTCAGCCCACACCCAAGCCTTCTATGAGGCTAGTCGCCAGATAAATCGCCGCACATCTCACCCGGCGCGTCGCCGTCGCTCGTCCAGACTCAGCTCCTGCGCGTGTTCCGCCTAAGGGTCATCCTCCCGTGGGGACGTGCTGAGAGGTAAAACTCCGAAATCTTGAGTGCACTGAGGAGTCGTGCCTTTGGTTATCCCCAAAGTTAAAACGACTATTGCTGTGCAGAAGTTCTCGAGAGAAAACCCAACCCCATAAATAAAATTCCATGAGGGAGAGAAAATTGGCAGAGCCAATTTCTCTCGAACCGAATGCCATTTTATTTATCTGTTGTCTGGCTTCAGTTTTAATGTAATTGTAAAGTTTTCATACGGGGCAATGACCAAGCTTGAGATATTGACACTTTTAGATAAAGGATTGCAGGCGTCTACTAATACAGTGCTTATTGGGTTGCTTGTGCTAACACACGTCAGATAATGAGTCCCATCATTCAACAGATAAATAATGGCATAATTATTATAAATCGAAGCCAAAGCTAGAGAAAGTGACGTAAAAGGATTAGAAAAAGTCCCATTTCCACCATATATGTCAGTGCTTGTCTTTGCCGTCACATAATAAACTGCAGGATTTTCTTTAGTTGAGTAGTCTTTGGGAACTAAACAAACCGGATAATTTCCAAGCAAATTAACAGCTTCATGCCCACCTGGGCATGAAGCAAGGCAATACCCATAAAATTGGTACATGTTTGTTTTGCATTTAAAACAGTCCCCTGCACCCCACGAATTGCAAGATTGACAGTAATAGTCACACTTAAAAATGTCTTGGATAACCGTTCTGCCCTCTTAACGCTTGCAGCTAGAGGGGAGCCTGGGGACTTTGTGGAGAGCAGCATGCGGTGAGAAAGTTCGACTGGGCTTTACTTGGCCTGATGGAGCGCAATGTCGGGCTGAATGACCGCAAGCTCTCATCCAGGATAAGGCTTTACCTGAGAAAGGGATACTTGGAAGTTGGAAATGGATAGCCCAGCAAGACCACAGAGTGTTTGTTTGGCCCATCGGGCAATTTCCTAGCGCGATGCCATTAGCATTAACATTAATTAGTATTATGAGAGGCTCGTCGTATTTTCTGGTAGGACTGTCGGCCAAGATGGAAATCCAAAGCCTGGGACGTAACGCCCAGTTTCGCGCTAGGGAGTTGCCCGATTGATCAGGAGGTACCTTCCCGATGCTGCTGAGCTTCCCCTTTCCAACCCTGGAATCCATCTCCCCTGAGGCAAAACCCTTGGTGTCAGAATGAGCTGCGGTCGGCCTAATCCGACGTTGCGCTCCACCGTGCCAAGGTAAAACCTAGCCGGATACACATTCCGAGCGCCTTTTTTCCCCTTCCACAAGGTCCCCCGCGAACGCAGGCTACAGGTGCTGAGAAAAAGGGCTGGATCGCCGTCGCCATTTTAATGTATCCTAGCACGATACCAGGAGTTCCTCCCTAGGCTAAAATCTAACCAGAAAATTTAGTTTGAATTTTCGGAAAGGGCAACCCTATTAGCATACAGAACGGCCATCTAGCGTCTTTGCTTCCGGGTTGTGAGTGCAAACCCATCTCTAAAAGGAGCAGCACATACCTTCAATTCGTACAATCTGACTGGCAAGCAAAGGAGTGTAGCGAAGCAAGAGCATGAAAATTCGACACCGCTCGATGAGAGCTACTCTATAAAAATCTAAGTCAAATTAAGACAGTTATAGTCAGAGCAAAAATTGTATGAACATTTATTCCACGAATTAATGCAAGCAGCTCTCCTACAATTTGAGTAACAATTGTTTGGATCAAGAACTTCTGTAGCCAAGCAGCTTGATACGCTTGTACAATTATATGTGCTGACGTTTACTGTAAGATTTTTAAATATAAGCCCATAATGTAAAGCAAATAAAATCTGGTTTGTGTTATTACTTAGCTTAATATTAGTTTTTAAGGATTATGGAGCCCACTCCCTTTTAATAAGGATTAAGCCCAACTAGTGGCCATCCTGCCACTTAAAATGGCGTACCGTATAGGCAGGCTTTCCTTGACATGTCTGTCCCTAGTCAAAGCCGCACTTCTCACCTGGTGCGTTACTGTCACTCTTGTCCTAGCTCCTGCGCGTGCTTCGCCTAAGGTCACCTTCCTCGGTTTGCTGAGTTGGTAAAGACCCGAGCCTCTTTAATGGGCTAAGAAGAAGTCCTCTAGTCCTATGCGACTAAAGTTAAACCGCTGTTGCTGCGCAGAAGTTTTCTAGGTAAAAATAAAACCCATAAATATTATCATGAGTGAGCAAAGCTAATTTTTCTCGAGCTATGTGCCATTTTATTTATGGTTTGTGTTCTGGCACTTAGAAGTGCTATTAATAGTATCATATCGGCAAAAAGAGTTCATGCAGTAATCATTGCATTGTCCATAGCTTTCTATTCCACAACCATCAGCACAGCCACACTCATAATTATCATAATGACAGTCATTTACATTACAAGCAGGATTACAAACCCCATTTCCAAGCATTGACTTTAGACATCCAGGAGCACATTTTTGGCAGTCTCCTCCATCATAATCACAAACTGATGTATCACAAGCTGCATCACAAATCCCATTAGACTTCATATAAGAATGACAGCCTCTCGAACAATCGCAATCTCCTCCATCTCAATTGCAAGCTTGGTTATTACACTCCCTATTACAATTATTATCTCCTATCATTCAAGGTTCACAGTCTGGACTGCAATGATTGTTATTACAATCTCCAAAATCATAATTGCACGAAGAAACATTACAAGATTTATTACAAATTCCATCTCCAAGCATTTCCCTATTACAGCCAGGTGAGCAGTCTGTACAAGATCCTAAACCATAATAACAATTTTCATTATCACAAAAATTATAGCAATTTGTACTCAAATTATCTTGGAAGCCTAAATATAAAATTTACAGTCTGAAGCACAGTATCCACAATCTCCTAAATCATAGCCACAGATTGGATTATTACAATTTTTATCACAAATTCCATTTCCTAGGTCAGAAGGCAAGCATGAATACTCGTTTATGCAAGATTGATAACAATCAGAATTTTCAGGATTAAGCCTTGGATTTGTAGAGGAATTTGAATCAAAATTGCAAAATGAGACCATGCATGCGGGATCACAAATCCCGTCTCCTTTCTAAGTAATAGTTACAGATGAAGGAGAGCATCAAGATGGATTGCACAATAAATTCGTCATCAAAGAAAAAGAAGGAAGGACCAAAGCAAAGAAAAATTTTAAGCTCATAATTTTATTATTAATTTTAAGCTCCAATAGATTTTTTGCAACTTTCTTCTTACTTACCCCCCCCCCCCCCCCCCCTCCGTGAGCGAACAAAACCATTAGAAAAATCGCCATTTTTTGACCAAAAACCCACCCTCCGTGAGTGAACAAAAATTTTTTTTAATAGAGAAACTCTTAGATAATTAATGTACTTCGATAGCTATGGAATCATATAAAATATCTAGGCAGCTTAATTATTTGTCTGCTCGGATCATTTTTCTAGAAAATTCTATTATCACTGACAGGCTATTTGCAAAAATATTAATTATAGTTCACTACAAGTGAATTTTAGTAAAACAAAGAAAAATATTAGAATTTAGTATTTATCCTATTATAAGGTGCAGAATCTAAAATTTAATTTATAAATAAATTTGATCTAATTTTTCTCTATTAAAGGCTCTATTTTCAGCGATTAATATATATTCTTTAAATTTTTTAATTTGTTGAAATTATTAAATTTTTCATCGCAATTTTTTATATCAGCAGAATAATATGAAATTATGAATAAAAAAGAAATTATTCTAATTAATTTAGGTCTTTTTCATATGATTTATACTTTTGCTATAGCATTCTTGTAATTTTATAAATTAAATATGCAATTTCTGTATAAAAAATTATCATAGCATTTTTCAATAAAATAATAGCTATTAGCCTAACATTTGAGAAATTTGAGCTAAAGTCTTATATTTATGACAGTTTCCAAATTAAAATACTCATAATAAAATCCTTGCATAATGAAAGCTTAAAAATTAAGGTAAAAAGTTCTTGAGAAGCCTCTTAATTAAATTTAAAATTAAAATTTAAAAAATCATTACTCAATATCAAGATATAAAGTTTTTACAGCTAAATAATTGATTTATTAATAACAAAACCCTTGAACTTAAACAATTATCTGAATTCATAATAAAAATCATATCCCTTTTTGGCATTCTAAAATTTAAGATTATTTACAAAAATTTTTGGGGTTTATTACTGGATTAGAAAATTAATAAAATTTATATCTACTTAAATTTTTTCTATATATAAAAATGTGGCGAACAAACCCAACCTCTTAGCACCTGTAGATAGGGAGATCCAGGGACCTTGTGGAAGAGTGTTTTAGCATTCGTTTTATTTGATTTGGTGGAGCGCAATGTCCGGGCTGCGAACCACAGGCTCACAATCACAAGGCTTTAACTCGGAGGAATTGAAGTTAGGGGTTGCAAAGAGGTGTCCCAGTAATATCAGTGAGGTTCCTCCTGATTGATCAGGATTATTCCCTACCAGACTTGCGTCCTGGACTACGAATTTTCATGACCTAATCTATCCGACTAACAGGGAGCATGCTTAGGCCCAAGATCAAGAATTTGAAAATTATGAGAGACAATTGTCAGTGAAGCAAATGAGTTTAGCGTAATGGAATAAGGATCTTCAGATCCCGACAGTGAACTTTTGAATAATCCAACTAATTGTAAATGCAAGCTTAAATTTTTTCCTTCTATGAAAATGGTTCTTAACTTCTGCAAATCTAGAGAGATAAAATAATTTATTTGCATGATTCACCCATTTTACTTATACATAATCATACTTATATTTATAGATCATCTACGATTAATGAGAAATCGCTTGACCCTGCTTTTGTTAAAAACGGGTCGATTATAACAATTTCATCCACATCAATTTTTTCTTCTTCCTCAATTTTCACTTCATCTACACTAACTTCTTCATAATTGCTCTCTTCTGCGTGATTAGCCTCAACGAATTTTACTTCAAAACTGTTTTCATCTATGTTTATTTCTTGAATGTCACCTTCTTCAATGTTTTTCTTTTCTTCAATTTTATCTTTTTCGACAATATTTTCAAAATTTTTATCATTAATTGTCATATTTCCTTTCAAATTTCGTAAAAACAGCTTCATCATGTTGAAGTCTTTGAAAATCACCCCTTGAGGGTTTAAATTTTCCCTTTTAATAGAACTTAGGATTAGTTCACGTGAAGATTCCCCGATTCTGCTAGTTTTATCTTCTCTAAAAGAAGCATCGCTCATAATATTGTAGTTTTGAGTGTGGAATTTTTTCTTCAAATAAGGGATTTTTTCGACTATCATGGTGAGATAGGCATTTCCAGCTTTAAAACCCCAATAAATCACAAAATACGAATTTGCTGAAATAATGGCGATAAAAAATAGGAGCTCAGTGAATTGGTCGAGAGATTTAGTTAAATAATACATTCCACAATAAATTGTGATTGCGGAGGCTGAAATAGAAATGGCTTCAAGTCTGTTTAAATCGTCCCCGTTATAAGGTTTTATTTTGCAATGGAAATACAGGCAGGCTACTAATACGAAAAGAGTCGTAAGAGCTTGGATGTTGACAGATACCGTTGCCAAAAACACAGTGCAGCAAATTATTATTATTTTTCTATAAATGATCACAAATTCCCAATAATAGCTTCTGCTTTTATACCCGTTAAATAAAAATCCATATTTGATCCTGATGTTTATATCGTTGAGTCTGTCCTTATTTTTCATAATTAAAAATAAGCAAGTTGTTGGTATCCCGATTCCCCACAGCAGAATAGCTGGAAAAGAAATAGCAGTTATATAAAACACATGCTGACTGTCCCAGCACCTTAAATTCAAGTCATCAACCAGTCAATCTTTGCCATAATCAAGCTCAGTACAATCAAAAGAGCTAAAATAATACTTTATTAAGCTTGGGTGGACTAAAAAGGATACAATAATTGAAGTGGTCACAATATGATCCACCAGCAAAGCACAGTTTTTTTTTAATAGTAATATAAAAGATCAACAAATAGCTGCGATAAATGGAATAAAAATTGGTAAAATAGCCATGACAAATAATTTTTGATAAAAAATGTCTGACTCATCTCCCTTCAAATCTTCATTGTAATATAAGAGACAATCAAAAGAAAAAATTTGGTCACTTATAAAGCTTGCGTTATTTTGTACAGAAAATAGGTGCTTTACGTAGCTTGGCCAGGATAGACTAAAAGTTGTGGTTAGTGCTATAAGCTGGATATAATTGATGAATATTTTTATATAAACACTTGAAAGAGATTTAGGCTTATATGCGGAATTCTTTGACATTCTTACCATTAGCCAGCAAAGTATAAGAAATCCAAGCCCAATTCCTGATATTTTTATGATAATTATAGAAAGATTTTGGCATTTTGCGCATTCATTTTTCATTATCTTAGAGTAACCTTCAGAACAGCTTTGGCATAAATTTCCAGTATATCCTTTTTTGCAGTCTCCTGTGTAAGAAATATTTTGAGGATCAGAGCCAATGCAAGCTTTTGAATTAGGGCAAGACCAAAATTTTATGCTTACTCCGCTATATTATATTGATCATTTATTTGATTCAATTACGACAAATTTTTGGAATTTACAAAAGTATAGATGAACCCAAAATTATTGAAAAACACTAATGATGTCCAAAATAAAAATTTAAATGATAACCAGATTAGCATATCAGACCTTCAATAGCCCGGCTTAGGCACCATTGTGTAGTTTCCATAACAAATTGCCTCATCAGGACATGCTAAACACTGCTCATTCATTGGGTTTAAGCTATAAAAATCTTTTGGACAAACGACACAATTAACCCCAACCGTAGCTTCTCCTAAAACACAACTTCTTAAAGCTACATCTACAAGGATACTTGATTGATAATTAATCCCATCGTTCGCTTTTATACTTTTGGATGCATCAATTCCATTTGTTTGAATTTCTATAGCAAAATTGCTGCCAGGCTCCGCAGAAATTACAAATGAAGAAAAAGTAAAAATTCCGCTGATGGCTGTAACTTTAAGTTCGCCTGATAAAACTACACCTTGTGAAAGAGATATTAATTCGCCGACACTAGAATAGTCAGTGGTAACAACTGAACCTAAATGATCAATGAGGCCAATAACTAGTGGAGTTGTAGTTAACTGCCCAGAAGCCAAATCAGCTAATCCGCCATCCCAATTTAAATTCATAATTTTCATGCTAACAGGATATGAAGCTATATTTTCTCCATATTTAGCTTCATTGTTTTCAAATAAATTATTTTCAAATTTTGGCATGACTTCTCTTCAAACTATTGCTCCTCCTTCATATCCTGCTGAATTTCCTGTAAAATTATTAGAAAATGGTTCAAAATGAAAACTGTACAGTTAATTTTTTTAGCAGTTTTGCAAACATAAAAATGCAAAAAGGCATAAATAGAATTTTTTAAAACCATAGTGCAAAAGTGTACATGATTTTTTTCGCACTGTCAAACCTAGGGACACAACAAAAGAAAATATGCTTATTGGTATATATGAAATTATTAATTTCTTTATTTATTATTATATATCCTTATGAACATATTTTCTTTTACCGCGTACTTTTTGAAAAAAATTTTCTATTTGTAACTTTTTACATGTTTTTTAAAATTTTCACTTATTTTTGATGGCTTGAAGGTCAGCTGTAAAAATTAGGCGTACATCTTTCATCTTCACTCTTAGAAAACACATTAAAACTGCATATTCCTGAATAGCTACAGCCTAACTTTATCGCTCCTCCTATTCCTGATTCATGCGTATTTTCAATCAGTTGCAAAATATTCCATGCTGTATTATTGTAAAATTCGCAGGATTTAATATTAATATTTATATTGTCCAAAAAAATTGCCCCACCTGCTGATGATGTATTATTTAAAAACTTAGTAGAAATGATTTCATAAGGCTGGCTATTAATTGTATTAGATGTAAAAGTAGAGTATATAGCTCCACCATAGAGTGATGTATTATTTTCGAAATTGCAAGAATCAATATAAACATAATCAGTATTTGCGCAGCTGATTGCTCCTCCCACTTATACATTAAAATGGGGACATATGTCGGCCTGCCCTCTAGGCGGAACAATCCAGACCTTATGGCTACAGCGAACTGGGACGGATTCCAAGTCAAGAATCAAGTACAGGCCCAAGAGATGCGTATCAGGTAGGTTTTGGCTGCTGCTCCTCCCACTTTCCCTGCACTGTTTTTAAAGCTCGTTTCTGTAATCGTTAAAGATTCGATTTCTGTGCCATCAATCGCTGAATACGTAAAATTTTCAAAAATCGATTTTTCAATTAAAATATCATTACCAAAAATGTTTATAACTCCTCCAGAACCTGAACTGTAGGTGTTTAAGAATTGGGATTGAGATATATTTAGATTTGTTGAAAAAGCTAATATTGCGTTTCCAGTAGTGGAAACTGAATTTTCAAATACAGTATTATCTAGGGTTAAAGAGCTTGAAAGAGCATATATTGAGCCACCAGAAGCATAAGATTTTCCATTTTTAAAGCTTGAATTCATAACAGTTAATCAGCTGTCAGAAGCTAAATAGATAAAGCTTCCATAATTACCTTCCTGATCATGAAATTGGGAATTGGTGATTGTGGCATTTGAGAGCGTCAAATAAATTCCTGGGGTAATTCTATTAGCAGTGTTATCAAAAATTTGACAATTATCTATTTTAATGTTCGATGTAAGAGAGTATATTAAGCCTTCTGATTCTGCATAATTATTAAACAGTTTAGAACTTTTCAAAACGCAATGTTCATCTGATCCGATCACATATATAACTGCGCCTTTATCAGTACAAAAATTATTGCTAAATTTTGAATTTTCAATATTAAAATAAGATAATTGGTCAAAATAAAGGACTCCTCCATATTTAGCACTGTTTTGGTAAAAATTGCAGTAGCTGCAGTGAAAATATGAGCTGCCTTCAGCTCTGATTGCCCCTGCATATTTTGTTGAAGTATTGTTCGTAAAACTTGTCAATTCACAATCAGCAGTAGCATTTGAGGCCAAATAAACAGTCCCTGCTGTCATTGTAGAATTTGCTATAATAGACTCAGTGTCTTTCCAATAATCATGAATAAGTGAAATAGCAAGTCCTTCATTTTTTTGAAAAATGCATTTAACAGTCTCAATATAAGAATAAATCGCCATATCATCAGTACACAACACATTTTTCCCTGAATTTTCTGTAAAATTGCATGAAGTCAGAATCATTTTAGATTTTTCAGGATTTGACTCTTCTGAGCTCGAAAAAAATAAAGCTGAGCCAAGTTCAGCATAATTGGCAACAAATAAAGAATCCGAGATATTAAGAATTCCATATTGAAATAAATTTGTAATCGTTCCTTTGGATTCAGCAGTGTTATACATAAATTTGCAGGATTCTATAATAGAGTTATTTGAAAGAACAACGTTGCTATCTATATATATTGCTGAACCGCTTGGTGCTCAATTAGAGATAAACAAATTGTCTTTTAAATACAAAGAAATTGGATCTTGGGATAATATGTAGCCAGATATAAATATCGCTCCTCCTTTAGCGTCAAGACTGATATTTTCTTTAAATACTGAATTTGTTATTTTTATTTCATGGGTTTCTGCTGTGTAAAGTGAAAAATAGATAGCTCCAAGCCCTGAACTGGCTGTATTTGACACAACAGTCACATTGTTCAGTAGTAATGAGCCATCTGAAAAATAAATGCCAGGATTATAGCCTGCAGAATTATTTGATATTATCGTATCTTCTATAACTACACTTGTCAGGCTATCAATAAAACTCAACGCTCCACAGCCTTGGGCAAGACTATTTGTATTATTATTGAATGCCGAACTAGAAATTCTTACATCTCCTGCATTTTGAGTTACTATGCAAATCCCATACCAAGAAGCGCCTATATTTCTTTCAAAAGTAATATCAGTAAAATTAGCATTCTGGACTTGATAATAATATATAGATGGACTATTGTATTTACAAATATTATTTATAAATGTACTTTCTGATATTTCATGATTATAGCAAGAGGAAGCAGACCACAAGGCAAGACAATCTATATTAGCTGGACTGGAAACAAGTATGTTTGTGTATAAATTGCTATCAGCTACATAGTAACTTCATAGGATCGTATTGATATTTTGAATGTCCAGGCTTCCATTAGATTCTACAGTCAGATTTTGCAAACGCATGTTGAATAGTTGAGTTATAGCAAAAATTCCATATCCACCTGAGTAATTATTTGTAATAATTGAATTCTTAAAAATAAAATCTCGTTTCTTAAATGTAGTATCAACAATATTTCCTTTTGTATCATTTATAGTTATAATTGTATCAGCAATATATTGAGAAGAATAATAATTATTGTTGATTGATATCAAAGGGCCAGACAACACTCCATTTCCATTGATAAATAAATTTTCCAATAAAATCCTTTGTAATTGATTCAGATAAGTAATTGACAAAATTTCTGCATATTGTCCAAAATTATTTTTAAAAGTTGTATCATGTATATAAACATGATAAAGTAATAAATCAATCAGCTCTCCATGAGAATTAACATCGTTCCTAAACGCCAATGTTGTCGGAAACAAATAAATAAGCCCATAATTAGCAATATTCTTATCAAAAACACAATGAGAAATCTCAATTGATCTGAATAGCGCTAATTTTATAAGAGAATAAGTATTAGATACGACATAAGGGGTATATACAACATTGTTAACAAAAGTCACATTTTTCAGTTTTACATTTCTGATTTTATCTGCACTTAAAAATCCTGAAAATTGTGCTGACCCATATTCATAGCCATTATTAAGCCTTGAAACCACTCCGTTTGTATACTCAAAGCTTCCACAATTATAATTAGGATCTCCACAATCCAGAAAATATATTACTGAGTCCTTACCTTGAGGTGGGGGGTTTTGACCTGGCTGCGTTGTGAATGTAACTGTTCAATAGCACCTGATATTATCAAAATTTACATTATTGAGTGTGATATTTCCTCCATAGCTGGTTATAAGTGATTTTAGCTCCATTCTCCAGTCAGTAAAGTTGACATTTCTCAGAACTAGCTTGGAATTCAAATACATATTAAATAAAGTTCTTGAATGACCAGTGTTGCAAATCGACTGGGGGATATAACTAGAAACTTTGGTGCCTTGATCACTGTAATATCCATCAGACTTAAATGTAATATTGCCACAATAAGAACAGTAAGTATTTGTCTCTGATGAACAATTTCAGAAAATATCTTTTCCGCTGAAAACAACATTTTTTATTGTAAGGGTTGTAGAATTTGTTATTGTAATTGTGGGGAATCTGGCTTCTGGCTTTGTTTTAATCATAATTGTGGAATTGTCATAAGAAGTAATTAGGAGGCTTGCTAAGTTGAAACTTCTGTTCAGAGGGTTGCAGACATCAACCAATGTGGTACTAACAGGATTTGACGTATTCAAACAGATAAAATAATAATCTCCATCATTTAATAGATAAATGATTGCGTATTTATTATAAATTGAAGCAAGAGCCAGAGAAATAGAAGTATAAGGATTGATAAGAGTCCCATTTCCGCCATAGATGTCAGTTGTGTTTTGTGAAGTCACGTAATAGACTGCTGGGTTATCATTTGTCGAGTAATCGATAGGAAGTAAACAAGCAGGATAATTTCCTAGTAAATTAACAGCTTCATGGCCACCTGGGCATCTAGTAAGGCAATAACCATAAAACTGATAAGTACTTATGCTGCATTTAAAACAATCTCCTAAGCTTTTTGTATTGCAAATTAAGCAATTAGAATCAGCACAGGTATTGGTCGCACACATATTTCACGAATTGATGCAAGAGGATTTCTTACAATTTGTATGGCAAGAGCTTGGATCAAGAACTTCAGTAGATAAACAGCTTGTTACACTTGTACAGTTATCTGGGCTTACATTGATCGTAAGATTTTTAAAAATAAACCCATAATGTAAGGCGAATAAAATCTGGTTTGAGTTTTGGCATTGAGAAGTGCTACTAATAGTATCATATCGGCAAAATGAATTCATGCAGGAGTCTTGGCATTGTCCATAATTTGCTATGCTGCAGCCATCAGCACAGCCACAATCATAATTATCATAATGGCAATCGCTTACATTACAAGCAGAATTGCACACTCCATCTCCAAGCATAGACTTTAAGCAGCCTGGAGCACATTTTTGGCAGTCTCCTCCATCATAATCACAAGCTGGTGTATCACAAGCTGTATTACAAACTCCATTTGATTCCATATAAGAGTGACAGCCTTGAGAACAGTCACAATCCCCACCATCTCAATTGCAAGATAGGTTATTGCACTCACTATTGCAATTATTGTCTCCTATCATTCAAAGTTCACAGTCTGGGCTACATTGATTATTCGTGCAGTCTCCAAAATCATAATTGCAAGAAAAAACATTGCAAGATTTATCACAAATCCCATCTCCAAGCATTTCTCGGCTACAGCCAGGTGAGCAATCATTACAAATTCCTAAACCAAAATAGCAATTTTTATTATCACAAGAATCAGAACAGCCTGTGCTTAAATCATCTTGGAAACCTAAATAGCCTTTACAGTCTGAAGAACAGTACCCACAATCTCCTAAATCATAGCCACAAATAGGATTATTGCAATTTTGATCGCAAACTCCATTTCCAAGATTAGAAGGTAAGCAAGAGTAATCGTTTATGCATGATTGATAACAATCTGAATTTTTAGGATTTATCATTGGGTTTGTAGTTGAATTTGAATCAAAATTGCAAAATGAAACCATACAGTTAGGATCGCAAATTCCATCTCCTTTCTATGTTAAAGTTACCGATGAAGAAGGGCATCAATATGAATTGCATAAGAAGTCTTCTATCATTGACCAAGAAGGTATCAGTAATGAAAAGAAAAAGTTTATTTTCATACTTTTGTTCCTTTATTTTTATCTGGTAAAATTCATCAGTTTTATAAGTTAACCTTAAGTAAAACCTTAAAATTATGATGGGCTTAATTTTAGAAATAAAATAGTAAAACAATAATGTCCCAAAAGGTTTGCATATTCAAAAGCTACGATTTATAACATATTTTAAATCAAAAAATAAATTTATCTGGCACCCTATGCTTTTTTTACTTATTTATTATAATAATCCTTATTGATTTATAATTTATTGGCATTTATTGTTACTGCTTTGAGCAATGTTATTTTGCAAAGAAATGCTGCGAAGTTGTAGAAAAGTTTAGGTGTCTTCCGCTTTATGATGAGATTGGGTTAAAACTCTATTTTCTCAATAGAGAGTTCCTTATTGATTCTTAAAATAAATATGGTATAGCGTCTAAATATTTCCTAAACAAAATTTGCCAATTTGATTCAAAAAGTCATTTTATAACCCAAAACAAGTTTCAGGCCCTTAACTCTAACACAGTGGCCAGAGTAGCCGTAAAAACCTGCAACTTAAACTTTAATTTCAATAATTTTATTTAATTATGATTATTATATTTAAGGTTCAAAAATTTATTACATTTATTAAATACTTGAGAAAACTTCTTTCAAGAAGCAATTTCAATATAAAATTAGAAAGAATAAAAATATGAATCGTTGCGTTGCTTCATTTCTTATGCCGAATTATTCTATGAACTCTTTTCATGCTTAATTTTTGAATTTGAAAAAAAATATTATACCATACCACCTTCTTAAGTATTTTGCTTTTCTCCTCTTCCTAAAGACTTTGTGGGCAGTTAAATCATAGCCTTTTTAATGCTCATTATGATAATACATATATTTGAATTGCTTAGCAAGACAAAAAAATTCAATTAAATAATTCTTTATATTTTCATATTAAATAGTCAAGTAAAATATGTTTGGAGTGTTCTTGTTATTGATCCATATGGTATAATGATGATTATTTAGTTTGCAAGCTAAACAAAATAATAAATATATATACTTAATAGGTTATAGCATTTAAATTATGCATCCTGAAACTTTCAGTCCATTCGCATGGCACACTTTCTGAAGCTATTTTATCTGAAAAAATAATTTTTTCCTCGATATTAATTTTATCTAAGTCCTTTTGCTCGTCTTCTATACTAAAATCTTCTTTATTTATCATATATCTGCTGGAAGACCCTCCTTTTAGTTTTCCTAAAAATAAATCTATCATTGAAATTTTGCTAAAATCTATCATTTTTGGAGAATTTTCTCGATCAGCTATTTCAATTCATTTCCTTTGTTTTAAGGTGAAGTTAGTTGTACTGCTCGAATCTTTTACTCGGAATTTTTTTCTAAAATCGAATAATTTTTCTTTTATAATAGCTATATAGGCACTTCCTAATTTAAATCCTCAGTATATCATGAAAGACAAATTAGCTAAAACAATTATAATAAAAAACATAAGTTCAGTAAAGTAATCTAGAGATCCAGTTAAATAATACATTCCACAATAAATTGTTACTGTTGATGCAGAAATAGATATTGCTTCAAGCCTATTGAGGTCATCTCCATTATAAGGTTTTATTTTAAATTGAAAATACAAACTTGCTACTAAAACAGAAACAGCAGTAAGTGCTTGCATGCTAACTGAGACTGAAGCCAAAAATACAGTAACACAAATAATCCCAATTTTTCTATAAATAATCACAAATTCCCAATAATAACTTTCTGGCTTGTATCCGTTGTATAGAAAACCGTATTTAATTCTCATATTAATATTATCTAGCTGACCTCTATTTTTTAGTAGCATAAATAAACACATTGTCGGCATCCTGATTTCCCATACAAGAATTGCAGGTAAGGATATGGCGGCTATATTAAAAACATGCTGGCTACCCCAGCATCGTAAATTTAAGTCACTTATCAGCCAATACTTATTGTCATCTAGCTCTGTGCAATCAAAAGAGCTAAAATAGTACTTTATTAAGCTTGGGTGGATTAAAAATGAAGCAATAATTGAATTTGTGACTATATTGTTTCATGCTAATGAAAAGGATTTTTTTACTAATGACACAAAAAGCCAATAAATAGCAGAAATGAGAGGAATAGAAAATGGCAAAATCGCCATAATGAACAATTTTTGGTAATAAATAGCAGTTTCTTCTCAAAAAGCTTTATTGTGATATAAAAAACAGTCAAATGAAAAAATTTGGTCACTTATAAAACTTGCGTTATTTTGGATAGAAAATAGTTCTTTTACATAATTTGGCCAAGATAGGCTAAAAGTGGTAGTTAAAGAAATCAGCTGAAAATAATTGATTAGAATTTTGATATAAATGCTTGATAATGATTTTGGTTTATATGCAGAGTTGTAAGAAGTTCTTGTTATAAATCAGCAAAGTATAAGAAATCCAAGGGCAATTCCAGTAGCTTTTATAGTAATTACAGTAAGGCTTTGACATTTTGAACATTGATTTTTTGATTGGCTAGAGTACCATTTTGCACAGCTTTGACATAAATTCCCAGTGTATCCTTCAAGGCAATTTCCCGTATACGATATATTTTGTGAATCAGAGCCAATGCAGGCATCTGAATTAGGACAAGGTCAAAATTTTTTACTTAATTTCCGCTCTGGAGCAATTTTTATTTTTTAGCTATACACTAATAAAGGGTATTTTTTAATAAAATTTTTAATAATAAATCTTATTTAAACAAATTATTTTTGATTTAGATAAATTCATTTTAATTTAAAAATTTTATTTTTTAGAATAATTTAAATTAAATTCTCTATAAATTATCTATAAAATATTAATGCAAAAAATTTTTGCTTTATAAGCAAAGGTCAGTGCTTTCTTAGAAATTTAGCATGTTTTTTACTGGCTAACTTTTAGAGAGTTAGCATGCTAAATCTTCAATATCCTGGTTTAGGAACCATCGTGTAATTTCCATAACAAATAGCCTCATCAGGGCAAGGAAAACATTGATCATTTTGCGGATCTAAACTGTAAAAATCCTTTGGACAGGCAACACAATTAACACCAACTCTAGCTTCTCCTAAAACACAATGCCTTAAAGTAACGTTAACAAGTATACTTGAATTATAAGTCAATCCGTCTCTAGCTTTGGCACTTTTTGAGGTATCAATTCCAGTAGTTTGAACTTCTATTTCAAAACTTGTGCCAGGCTCCGCAGAAATCACAAAAGAGGAAAAATTGAAAACTCCACTGGTCGCTGTAACCTTAAGCTCACCTGATAAAATAACACCTTGAGAAAGAGATATTAATTCACCAACACTGGAATTATCAGTACTAACAACAGCGCCTAATTTTCCGCCTTATATATAATCATATTATTATAAAAATATTTTTATTTAATGAAAATTTTTTGACTTGAAGATATTTTCATAAATTATTTATTAAATCGAAATTAAGTGATCAGTAAGAGCAACAAACAGAGGGGTACTTGATACTTGCCCAGACGCTATATCTTTGAGCTGCCCTGTTCAATTCGTATTAATAATTTTCATGGATACTGGGTATGAAGCAATATTTTCACCATATACTGCTTTATTGCTTTTAAATGTATTACTTTTGAAATTTGGCATGACTTCTTTTCAAACTATGGCTCCTCCTTCATATTCTGCTTGATTTTTTTCAAAATTATTATCAGATACATTAAAGCTGCATTCTCCTGAATAGCTGCACCCAAGTTTTATAGCTCCTCCTATTCCTGACTCGTGGCTAGATTCAGATGATTGAGAAGTCGCAATTGCTTTATTTTCATAAAAATTGCATGAATTTATATCGATATTTATATTATCCACATAAATTGCTCCTCCAGCTGATGACGTGTTATTTACAAACTCAGTAGAGAGTATTTTATAAGTCTGACTATTAATTGTGTTATCTGTAAATGTAAAATATAAAGCTCCGCCATAAATGGATGTGTTATTAACGAATTTGCATGAGTCTATATATATATAGTCAGTATCTGAGCAGCTGAGTACTCCTCCGACTTTTCCTTGGCTATTTTTAAAGATTGTATTTATATACCTTTCGTAATGAATAAAGAGTTTAGAGAATCACTTCAGCCTTCTAAGAGGTCAGCCCTATGGAGTTTTTTTAAAATTTTTCCTAGTTTTTTATGATAATGTATAGAACTTTTTAATATTAGTCGCTTTCCTATTCATTATATAAAATAGAAAAACTGTAATATACTATTTTTATTTATTGTAATAGTGTATAACTTCCAAAGATTTTATTTCCAATCCACTAATAGCTGAATATGTAAAGTTGTCAAATAATGAATTTTCTAAAGAAATTTTCCCCCCAAAAATATTTATAACAGAATCCGTGCCTATACTATAAGAATTTAAAAATTGGCATTGAGAAATATCTAAATTTGTCGAAAATGATATAGCTAGAGCATCCTTATCGATAGCTCAAGCCTCAAACTCCAATAGCCAAAAAGAGAGTTTCTTAATCAACTTAAGTTGGCAAATCAAATCTCAATTTGGATAATCTGCAGTATCTTGTCAAATTGAGAGGTAACTAGTCAACTGATGTTGACTAACTCCCCCTTCTTGAGCGAGCAAAATTTATATATAAATTTTATAATAAAACTTCTTTTTCAAAATTTAAAAAAATCTTAATCCGAAATAGGAAAGTAAAAAAAATTAGATTAGTTTGTAAAATTTATGTTTTAAAATGCAAGCTATTTAAAATTAAGCAGAATTAGCTAGAGATTTCATTATAATTATTAATTATATATCGAAATAGTTTCTTAAAAAATTTTTTGTTAGCTCAAGGAGGGTGGGTTTTTTATCACATAATAGGGATTTTTCCAATTTTTTTTTTCGCTCACAGAGGGGGTAGTAAGTAAAATCTCTATTTGGCTATTGGAATTGAAGGCTTAAGCGATTCATAAGGAGGCTTAAGCTTCAATATTGTATTAGCAATATGAGAAGTCGATTTTTCAAAGATGCAGCTTTTGAGACTGACAGAGCTAGATAAAGTGAAGATAGATCCGCCTGATAAAGAAGCAATTCCATTAGTAAAGCTTGAATTTGTTGCAATTAATTCACTGTCAGAAGATAAATAGATGAAGCTTCCATAATCTCCTTGATGATTATTGAATTGTGAATTGGTAATAGTAGCATTTGAAAGAGTTAAATAAACCCCTGGCGTAATCCCATCAGCCTTATTATTGTATATTTCGCAGTTATCAATTTTAATATTTGCTGTAAGCGAATAAATTAAGCCTTCAGCTTGTGCATAATTGTCGTATAATTCCGAGTTGCTCAATCCTATCTTAAGCTAAAAAATTTTGCTAGAAATTTTATTTTTATGGTTTGAAAGTAAAACGGAATTTATCTTTTAAAAGAGAGCAGAGGCTTCATTATATTAATCATGTTTATATATAAAATAGTTTTAAATCTTCCAAAAAGGGATTAAGTAGGGTTGGTTCTATTAAGGAGGGAAAGTTAGAATATTATAATCATTTGAGCCTATCACATAAATTGCTGACCCTTTTTTTTACAATGATTATTACTAAAAACTGAATTTTCTATAGTAAAATAAGATAATTGATCAAAATAAAGGGCTCCTCCATTTTTAGCACTATTTTGGTGAAAAATGCAGTTATTACAATAAAAATAGGAGTTTCCTTCAGCTATGATAAAACACAAATAAAATGGAGAAGTCACCAGCCCACCCTGTCAAATACCTATTTGAGGTCTGGTGATCTTGCTGAGGCCTGAAGCCAAACCGAATAGGAAACGGAGTTTACATATACTGGGCATTTGTGCTTCGGTTGAGTTTTGCCTCCGTCGTTCGGCAAAGAAGACTTTATGTTTTTCAAATGGGTATTTGGGAAAAAGGCTTTTTACCCCGAGAGACTACTAGTGCGACAACGAAGGCATAGTTGGCACCGATACGATCTAGTGAATTATTCCTAGCTGGACTCTAGTCACTCAAGCAGCAGCTGTCAAGTTCCAACCTGCATGTTCCAAGGTTTAGAGACAGCATTAAGAGCTAGGCCTAAAGCCGGAGGAAAGCTATAGAAATTGCCCGAGGATGGCTCCACACGGGAAAGATTTTCCGTATTGCCAGAGAATGGCGCAAATAGCGCCATTCTCGGGCAATTAGTATATCTCAGGTGGAAATGCTGACCTGCCAGGAAGTTTCGCTAGCAGCTGAATGAGTCTTCTAAAAAGACTCGCCTCAGTAAAAATATAAAAGAATGAGGAGCCCTAATCTATAATTAATCTTAATGTCAATGTCTTCAGCTCTGACTGCCCCTGCATTTTTTGTCGAAGTATTATTAATAAAAGACGTTGACACACAATAAACTGTGGAATTCGACGTTAAATAGACAGCTCCATCAGTCATCGTTGAATTCGCTATAATAGACTCAGTATCTTTCCAATAATCGCTTACAAGATAAACTGCAACCCCTTCATTTTTTTGAAAAATACATTTTGCCGTTTCAATATAAGAATAAATTGCCATATCATTGGTGCATATAACATTTTTTCCTGAATTAAGATTAAAAGTGCAAGAATTAAAAATCATTCTGGATTTTCCAGATCCGACATTTGCTGAAGAAGCGAAATATAAAGCAGACCCAAGCTCTGCATAGTTAGAAATAAATAAGGAATTTGAGATATTAAGAATCCCATATTGAGATAAGTTTACAATAGTCCCTTTATTTTGAGCAGAATTTTGGGAAAAAGTGCAAGAGTCTATTCTTGAATTATCTGAAAGAATTACACTACTTTCTATATATAGTGTTTTCCTATGGATGGCGCTATTTTGGCCTTGATTTTCCCACTGGGAAAATTTTTGGTTTGACCAAACCATATGGTACTGGTCGAACCAAAAAATTTTTCCAGTGGGAAAATCAAAGCCAAATCAGCGCCATCCACAGGAAATTGCAAATATATCGCTGAACCACTTGGTGCAGAATTTTTCATAAAAAAAGTATTTTCTATAGACAAAGTGATAACTTCTTGTGTCAATAAATTGCCTAATAGATAAATTGCTCCTGCATTTACACTGAAAATTTGATTTTCTTCAAAAACCGAATTTTTTATTTCAAGTAAATGAGTATCTATTTCTGTATAAACAGTAAAATAAATAACCCCGAATCCTAGCATGGCTCTATTAGCTTCAAATGTCACGTTATCCAAAACTAATGAGCCACCCATAAAGCCAATCCCTGAGCTATAATTTGCACTATTTTTTGATATAAATGTATCCATAATCGTTACATTTTTCAAGCTATATAGAAAGGTTAAAGGTCCAGCTCCTTGAGAATGGTAATTTGTGTTATTATTAAATATTTTATTAAGAATCCACATATTTTCTGCATAAGAAGATACTACACAAACCCCTGATTGATAAGCAGAGCCAATATTCCCTTCAAAAATACAGTTAGTGATATTGGCGTTCTCAACTTGTGAGTAGACCAGAGACGGAGTGGAATTTTGACACATATTGGCTTGAAAAATGCTTTCAGATATTTCATAGTTGTAACAAGTGGAAGCTGACCATAAGGCAAAGCAGTCAATACTAGCTGCATCAGAAACAATTCTTTTTGTATATAAATTGCTGTCAGCAACATAATAATCCCATAGAATTGTATTGATATTTTGAGTTTTTAAGCTACCATTCGACTCTACCGTCAAATTATATATACGTATATTGACTAGCTGAGTAATGTCAAAAATTCCTTTTCCTCCAGAATAATTATTAGTAATTACAGAATCCTTTAATATAAATTCTCGCTTCTTATAAATCGCTTCAACATAAGTTCCATTCGTGCTATTCATTGAGATCTTTGTATCTACTATATAATCTGAGTATAAATACTGATTGTCTATTTGCATTATAGGTCCTGATAGCACTCCGTTTCAGTTGATCACATTATTTTTTAATAAAATGTTTTGCAGCTGAGACTTGTAAGTAATTGAAAATATTCCCGCATAATATCCTGTGGTCTGCTAAAAGGACTTTTGCTACCACAACACCTACCATGAGTGTCCTTGGTCAAGACAAAGCGGCTGGAGCAGAATCATTGAAGGCTGAGATAGAGCAAGTGGCGAGCATGCCCTACCCTAAGTACTTAAAAGCACCACCCGTCCACGTGCAGCAACAGCCGGAAAAGAGGTCCTGGAGTCGAATGATGGATACCGTACAGAAACCGTAAAGTAGTTAAGATGTCATCTAGTGACGTCCTAAGGTGAGCACGATTATTCTGATCATGAATTTAAATATTAATTCTAATTCCTGCATATTGTCCATAATTATTTTCAAAAATAGTATCATGTATATATACATGAAACAGCAGTAAATCAATTAGTTCATTATTAGAATTTACATCATTTCTAAAGATTAACGTTGTTGGTGACAAATAAATGAGTCCATAATTAGCAGCATTTTTTTGAAATACACAGTGAGATACTTCAAGAGATCGAAATAAAGCTAGTTTTATCAAAGAGTAACTTGTAGATGAAGCATAAGGATTATATACAACATTACTACTAAAAGTCACATTTTCCAAATATACAGTCCTAATTTTATCAGCACTTAAAAAGCCTGAAAATTGTGCTGCCCCATATTCATAGCCATTATTAAGTCTTGAGACAATTCCATTTGCATACTCAAAACTTCCACAGTTATAATTTTCGTCTCCACAATCAAGAAAATAAACCACGGCATATTTTCAATCTTGTCCTGTTTGGCCTGATTGAGCTGATGTCTGTGGTATCCAATTGCATCGAATATTGTCAAAATTTACGTTATTAAAAGTAATATTCCCTCCGTAGCTTGCAATTATTGATTTTAATTCCATTCTTCAGGAAATAAAATTTACGTTTTCTAATGATAATTTAGATCCAAAATACAGATTAAATAATGTAGGGGAATGATAAGAAGTGCATGCAGACGAAGCCAGAAAAGATGAAACTTTGACTCCTTGATCGTTGTAGTAAGATCCATCAGATTTTAGTGTAATATTAGCACAATAAGAGCAATAAGGGCTTGCTGAGCAATTTGATAGGATATCTTCCCCATTGAAAATAATATTTTTTATAGTTAAGGTTGTAATGTTTGTTATTGTAAAAGTAGGAAATTTGCTACCTGCTTTGGTTTTTAATAGGATTGTTGAGTTATCATAGGAGGAAATTAGAAGACTTGTTAGGTTATAGTTGCGAATTAAACGTAGTTAGTTAAAAGTTATGCTGGCCATAAGCGGGTAAGCCCACTAGTCTGAGCCCATCATGACTCCAAAAGTTTTCTGACCTGAACACCTGCCCAGGGAATTAACTCTCTTGGATAGAGTCACCTTCTGATTGATGTCTTTATGATCCCAACAAGAAGGACTATGTGGCAGACAAAATCTCTGACATGGACAGGAAAACCTTAAAGGAGAAACAAAACACTTGGTTTCAGCAGGCTTCTCTTTGAGATGTCTATTTCTCACGCCATCATTTGCACTAATCCACGCTCTATCAGTAGATGCCGCCTCGGATTACTTTCAGTCGCGCCACATTTATTTCTTTGTGACTTAAAGGGTTGCAAGGATCAGATAATAGTGTGCTTACAGGATTTGATGAATTAGCGCAAGTCAGATAATGAACTCCATCATTTAATAAATAAACAATAGAATATTTGGTATAAATTGAAGCAAGAGCTAGGGAAACTGAAGCAAATGGGTTGGAAAAAGTCCCATTTCCTTCATAAGCATCTGTGCTTGTCTTTGAGGTCACATAATAAACTGCAGGGTTTTCTCTTGTGGAGTAATCTTTAGGGATTAAACAGACTGGATAATTTCCAAGCAAGCTAATAGGTTCATGTCCTCCTGGGCACGAAGTAAGGCAATATCCGTAGAACTGATATGTATTTGTATTGCATTTAAAACAATCTCCTGACTCTGTGCTCCACATAAAAAAATATATGATTTTATTTTTTTATCTCCATAAATAACTATATGTTAAATAAAATTTTGGCTTGGTAAAGGAGTAAGCTTATAGAATTGCAAGACAAGCAATTTGAGTCAGCACAAGTGTATTCTGTGCACTGATTTCAAGAATAAATACAGCTGGAAGCTTTACAATTTGTATGGCATCTACTTGAATCAAGAGCCTCTGAAATTATGCAATTTGTTGTATTTGTGCAATTTTCTGGGCTTACATTTATACTAAATCCTCACTAACTCCCCCCCCCCTCCGTGAGCGAACAAAACCATTAGAAAAATCCCTATTTTTTGGTCAAAAACCCACCCTCCGTGAGCGAACAAAAAATTTTTTTTTACATATAATTTTATATATAGTTTATTATATCTATATTTAATACAAATAAAGAGGATAATATTGAAAAATAATTATTAAGTTTGTTTGATATATTATTCAAAGGGTTAAAAAAAAGAATACCATAAGTGAAAAGGTTGAATTTAACAATTTTAAATTTAAGACAAAAAAATGAATAGAAGAAATCGATTAGATAATTAACTTCTTCATATTAACTTGATGGCTGAAAATCTTTGGATGATTAACGCCATAAGAACCCGTCAACTCAAATGATTTTCTGACAAGTTGAGGGCTTACAGCATCTCACGCCTTTGAAGCAATGTTTATCAGTTGCTGGCGATCAAGAGCTTTGAGGTTTCCAGTTCTTTTCGATCTTCTTTCAATCTGCTCTGTTTGGAATTTGATTCTGAAATCTGTTGTTTTTGATTTGAAATTTGCAATTACCAGTGCGTCAAGTGGTTGCAAATACTTTGTGCACCCTCCAGGGATCACAATTTTGGTTGCATCTAAATCTGAAATTGCATTAGAAATCATGATAGTTTTATGACTTCCAGCCTGATCATAAATCAGCAGTTGGTTTTCTCGTCTCAGTATTGTTCTGAGGTAGTCATTAAGAATCTGGTCAGAAATGTAGCCAGATTTATTTGATTTTATGATGACATTTTCTGGAATATTCAGTCTTTCTCTTACAAGGTTCGGGATCTGGCCATTTTTCTCTTGAAAAATGAGCAAAGCAGGCATTTTTTCTCCATCAGCTCTAATCATAAGCATAACAGTGATAAAATGGTTCATTTTAGCTGATTGAACGCCTAGAATTCGTTGAGTTCCCTTGAAATCATAAGTGAACTTGCTTTTTACATCTCAATCAAATCTCGTTTCATCGAAATTGTAAATGTTAGATGGAACGAATTGAGGAAGCAATGACGCTAAATCATCTAGGTATTGCCTGACAAGTTCTGCCTCTTTTTCGATTGGCTTAATGCTTGAGGCATTGATTTTTCTGAAAGATAAATTATTTCTGGTCCTAAATCCTTGCCACCATTTATCTCCACAGCCGAATCGCGCCAATCCCATTCTGCCGCCAAACTTTTTGCTTTCTCCTCAATCGTTGATCTGAGAACCTGAATACCTTGCTCACGGATTGCAGTAAACCAATGAACTAGTTCTTTCTCTAGCTCTGGAAATTGAGTGAAGCTTTCTAATTTTAATTTTTTATCAGATTTTACTGATTTCTTCAACTCATCAAGCTTATTCACCCATTCGGAAATCGAGCTAAAGGAGTTGACATGAAACTTTGCAGCAACATCTCTCATGCTCATCTCATTTTGGTGTTGAATGTAAAATTCAGCAATTTCAACTTTCTGCCAAATTTCAATGTACTTTCTTTTCCCTTTGTACATTTTTATTATGATTTATAGAGAATTTGCTTATTATATTTAAATAAGAAAATATATAAAATATTTTAACTGAATGCATATATTTATTACTAATAGGTTTATTGATTATTAAATTATTGAAAAATTAAGCTGTGTTTTACCTTTAAATCAAATGGTATTCTTTTTTTTTTGGAAATTCCCTTACTCTCCCCCATAATATTTTTTTAAATAATTTTCAACTTATAAAAAAATATTATTTTACAATTAAAAATTTATATATAATTTTTTTTAAAAAATAAAAATTAACCCCCCTCCGTGAGCGAACAAAAATTTTTTGTTCGCTCACGGAGGGGGGGGGGAGTAAGATAATAAAAAAAATCTGCTATTAGTTAACCAAATGGTTTTTCTATTTACTTATAAATATGAATACACATAAATTTTTTAATATAAAGTAAGGTTTTTAGAAATAAAAGCATAATGCAAAGAAAATAAAACAAGATTTTGATTTTGGCATTGGCTTGTCTCACTAATAGTGTCATACAGGCAATAAGAATTCATGCAAGAATCTTTGCATTGCCCATAACTTTCTATGCTACAGCCTTCAGAGCAGCCACAGTCGTAATTATCATAATGGCAACCACTAATATTACAAGCGCTATCACAAATCCCATCCCCAAGGATGGACTTTAAACACCCAGGCGCACATTCCCCACAATCTCCTCCGTCATAATTACAAGCTGTATTATTACAATTTTTTTTAAAGATTCCATTATTTTTCATATAAGAATGGCAGCCTTGAGAACAGTCACAGTCTCCTCCATCTCAATTGCAAGCTTCATTATTACATTCTTCATTACAATTATTGTCTCCTATCATCCAGCTTTCGCAATCTTTATTGCATTGATTATTATTGCAATCTCCAAAATCATAATTACATAAGTCAATATTGCAAGATTTATCACAAATACTGTCTCCAAGCATTTCACTATTACAGCCAGGAGAACATTCCTGACAAGACCCCAGCCCATAATAACAATTTTTAGTATTGCATGACTGAAGACAATTTAAGCCTAAATCATCTTGAAAACCTAAAATAAATTTTACAATCAGAGGCGCAATACCCACAATCTCCAAAATCATAGCCGCAAACAGGGTTATTGCAATTTGGATTACAAATCCCATTTCCAAGATCTGAAGGCGAGCAAGTGGAATTTTTTGTGCACTCTTCAAAGCAGTCTGAGCTTTGAGGATTCAACCTTGGAGTATCAGAGGTATTTGAATCAAAATTGCAAAAGGAAGACATGCAAGTTGGGTCACAAACCCCATTTCCTTTCTATCTCCCTATTCGAAAAGAATTGGCAATTTTTTTATTTTTTTTGATCAAATTAACCTCACAAATAAAATAAATTTTTTAATTAAAAATAATTTTAAACAAATAGCTTTTACATCCATTTAATTTAGATATATTTCATTAAAATAATATATATAGTGTTTTTTTTGATAGGAGGGAGTTTAGCTATAATATTAAAAATTGGCACCTTTAACAGAAAAATTCATTTAATATTTTTTATAAAAATATTAACCCCTTTTCAAAAAGAGGGAGTAAATAAAAGCTACCGACGACGGAGGACACCAGGATGGGTTGCACAAAAAATTTGTGGACAAGGAAAATGAAGGCAATAAGAAAAAGTAAAAAAATTTGAAGCCCATAATTATAATATTAGAAATAAGATAGAGTATAATTGGTATAGAAAAATATTATATTAATCTAATTAACGGTATATTATTTTAGGAATCGATCTATAAGCGGTTTTCAATAATTATTGTTTGCTTCGGTCAAGATTTGGGTTTCCTTAAGTAGATTGTTCTTGAATTTTCGACTAGCGAAAATTAAATGCTTATTAGCAATTTTTGAAACGCTTAGTCAAACAAATCTATCAAAAGCAAAACTAAAGTTTTCATACTTTAATATCATTATTTTTATTCAACAGAGCCATTATATTTGCAGATTTAATGCTAAAAAATGACTGAAAAAAAAATTATTAAGAACACTAAATAAAATTTTTAATTTATTTTACGCTTATGACTGCATCATATAACCTTAATTTATTCACTTGATTCCCTAGCTTAGACTTTATACTGATGTTCCATGACTATTACACTTTTAATATAGCCACTGGAGGACTTGGGGATTGATTCTAAAAATTTATAATTACCAAAATCATTAATTATCAAATAAATATTTTAATCAGCAGAAATAAAATAATTTCCTGACGTTGGATTTCGACGTCAGCAGCATCATATAAAAGTGTGATTAGGTGAAAAAAGTAGTGAGGCCGCATAGCGGACTTTAGAAGGTGCATATCTGAAATTAAGTTAATTAAGATTAAAATTCAAAATTAATTTTTTGCTGAAGAAATTATGTAAAAATTTTGAAACTTCTCTATTAGCACCATTTTAAATTATATAAATCGCCTTTACTGAATACTCCAGCCAAATTTCTTAACAATTAAAATTATTTAATAGGCTGAAAGTACTTAATATGATAAATCTATTAAGAGCTTATTAGATTATCATCATCTAATTCTGACCTCGTTTCTTTTAAAAACAAAGCACAAATCCCTGCTAAAAAATAAGCTATCCCAAAACACATCAGACACATTACTTGTCCTCCATCTAAATCAATAAGAACTCCAGCTATTAAAGGAGCAGATACTCCCCCTATTCTTGAAGATGCAAAAAATAGCCCTTGGGCTGAATTTCTTACCTCAGTTGGATAAACCTCAGGAGGAATTGTAAATAACGCTCCATATGCAAGACTGTTTATTCCTGTCATTATCATAGTCACGATTATAATCTACATGAATTATACAAGAATAATATCATTTGCCAGGCTGAACAAAAATATAGTGACGCTTATAATAAACAATGAGTAGGAAAGTGTTCGAGTGCGGCCAAGCTTGGTGTTAACTAAATATGAAGCTAAAAAATTAGTAGGGACTCCTGACACCTGCTGAAGACCTATAACTGTATATTTTGTGATTAATGAATAATTCTTAAGAAATCGGGGCATAAATAAGAGGAGACTAAAAGTCCCAAAAAGAATGAGAAAATATATGATTGATAGTAAAATACTGGACTTTAAATATGTTTTAGATAGTAAAATTCTTATTCTGCTATGATTTTTTGATATATTTTCCTGAATTTCTATTTTCCCTATTTTCAAATCCGATTTATTATTTTTCGCCACATTTTGTAAAACTTCTTTTGCTTTTTGTGGCTTTTGGTTCACAGCTAAAAATCCAGGTGTTTCGTCCATATCAATTCTGTCAATAAAAATCAAAATCTGGCAGAAAACCATAATAATTGTCAGAAATTTTCAGTCCTCTAAATGATTGCTATCAATAATTCTGATAATAATTACAATAATCGATATTAAAAGGCCTCCAATCGGAAACCCTATATTGAGCATAGTCGCAAAACTCACATTTTTAATCGGACAAAATTCTTTAAAAACCACCGGTGTTAGCACTAATTCCCCAATATTTCCTATGCCAGAAATAAAGCACAGAATATATATTTCAATAATATTCTCAGAAAAAATCCATAAAAATCCTCCAATAATGAGCAAAATTATGCTTCTCTTAAGCGAAAAAGAACGGCCATAATTATCAGAAATGCTTCCTCACAAATATGACCCTAAAAGAGACCCAAGCTGATAAATTGTCCCCATTAACCCCTTCTCTTTGTTAGATATGCCTCACTGTTTTTCGAATTCAGATCCAAAATAGCCAATTGAAATCATACAAACCTGAACATTTGCATAGGTCTAATTCAACTTTACGAGAACACAGCGCAAAAAGAGTTTCCTTTGATAATTTCCTCAGCCAATGCTATCTATGTATTGATTGACTGAATAGGCTGGGCTTTCATTCATATTTAGGAATAATTTTTATTAATAATTCTGATGATTTTTTATATATAGAGCTATTATAAATGACTGAAATATGCAGAACTGATTAAATATTTAAAAAGCATGAAATTGGACACATAGACTTAAGCTAATTCTTTTCTCTAAAAAAATCAAATAATTTGAATCCAAATAATTAAAAAGCCACTTATAAATGAAATTTAAGAGCATTACTCAAATTTTATATATTTTTTAAGATTGCCATTTCGTTATATTTTTATATTAGTTTATGTATAGAATCATTATATTTATATTAGTTTCAGCAAATGCACAGAGATTCACAAGAATTCCTACAACAGACTCCCCTCCAAGTGAACGGCAGTATTTGGTATTAGACTACTATGACAATGGAAATTCGATAATTGCGTTTGGAGGAAATTTTGGTTCTGTATCAACTTATAACGATGTTTGACAATTTTCTTTGGATTCTCAACTGTGAACAAATTTAAACCCAGTTTCAGAAATAAGTCCTGGTAATCTTAACTCAGTTCCAAGATATTTTCATGGTGGTTTCATAAACTTAGATGATGATAAACTATATATATTTGGAGGAAATTCTATATCAGGCCCACAAAACGATATGTGGACTTTTGATTTGGTAAATCTGCAGTGGCTGCAAATTGATCAAGGCGGAGAAATCCCTTCCCCAAGATATAGATTCGGATACAAGAAATATAAGGATCCATCTGGTGCCCTAAAATTTGCAATATTCGGAGGAACAATACCAGAAGGATATGATAACAATTTATATATGTAACAGATATTTAGCTTTGATATATATTATTTGGATTAATTTTATATAAGATTAATATACTTTTATGGAGAGAAATTCTATTTACTAGTAGATTAGTATAATTATTAAATCATTTTAATAAGAATAGAAAGCTTAACATGAGAAAAAAAGCCATATCAAGGCAGTGAAGTTCCACGTCTAAATGGCCCTGTAATTGAGTATTGAAATCAGGCGATATATGTAGCAGCTGGAGACATTTCTGAATTTTTACTCTCCCCCCTTTAAATTGGAACAAAAAATCGGTAAAATTTGTATTTTTTGGGTACTTAAACCCCCTTAAATTGGAACAATTTTTTTTTTCATTAGAAGAATTTTATTGATGAAATACTAATTTTGATAAAATTAGTTTCGACACAATTTAAATTAAATGCTTTTTAACAGTTTTCAACTGAATCGATTAATTTTTATCCAAATTTTAAAAAAAAAATAAATTAAAATTCAAAGTATTTTGCTCAATTTATAATTTTAAAAAAAATAAAATTGAAGCAATTTAAAAGAAAATTCCCCAATTTAAAGGGGGCAGTTAGGCACATCAGAAGAATACTCTCGACAATTTTTTAGATATGACTTAGCAAGCAATAATTGAGTCAACATTACTAACCCATCACATACTTTTGAGTATCGCTACTTCACAGGGAGTATCTTATATAACGATGTTTTTTATGGGCCAAAAAAATACCTATATAGAAATTAGATCATTTTTTTTAAAAAACTCAATTTTATTAACTATCATTTAAGCTAAATCTTTTTCTCAACATAAAATTATCATTCCTTTTTATCTTCTATATGGATGGTCAGATGAAACTTCTGATGACGTTACAAATATCATGAAAGTCGACCTGAATGACCCAGAATATATATGAACCTACCAAGAAGTAGCGCCTGGAGAATTTTTTGAAATTGTCCCTAGAGACTCATATGGATTTACAATGCACGACCATTATCTTTATATGCTAGGAGGATACTCAGCTTTAACAGATCTTTTACTAAACTCCTTAATTGAATTCGATTTAGATACAGACCCTTTAGAGTATAAAATTATAAGCTATGAGTATGTGAACCCTAATGCAAGGAAAAGCCATTCTATATGTGCCCTAGGAGGGTTTTTGTATCTATTTGGAGGTGAAAATAATGGAGAAGCCATGAATGATTTGTGGGTTTTTGATCCTGATAAAGCAATTTGGAGCTCTATTGTTCCGCAAGGAGATATTCCATCAGCAAGAAAAAATCATGCAGCAAGTTCTCAAGGAGATACTATGGTTGTTTTTGGAGGGTATGATGGGGATTTTTATTTAAATGACTTGCATCTGCTTAACATTTTGACTGATACGTGAAGCAAAATAGAGCCAGCTTCTACAGTAAGGCCAAGCGGACGCAGTAATGCTTGTATGCAAATTAATTTTCCTCATATTTTATATGCCTAGAGTTATTAAATAGACTATTATTAGGGAAGATATAAAAATTTTCTATTATTTAAACAGATATATTATATATTTGGAGGACTAACAAAATTTGGCCTTACCAATGAAATATGGGTATTTGATACCTTAACCAACGAATTCGGATTAGTTTATGACGGGTACAAGATAGGTCCTGAGCCTGTAAAAAATCCGGCATGCGATTTCCGAATCGACCCATATGGCAATTCAATTTTATTCACAATGTACGGCTCCACACACGGAGAAAAACCATTAGGAAGAGCTGACATGTTCAATTTCACCACAAAAATATGAACAAATTTAGCCAAAAGTCCTAGTGCATCTGACCCTATAAGCCGAGATGAAGCCATAATAAAATCTATAGGAAGTTACATAGCAATTATTGGAGGCCAGAAATGGGGCACTGACCCATTAAAAAGTGTCTATATCCTTAATATACCAGAGCATACATATCAATTTGTAGGGAATTTGCCTGATTATTTTTACGCTTCTGCTTATATTTACTATAAAAAAAGCATTTATGTGCATGGAGGAGGAGCAGTGCTAGGGAAAACTATGAGAACTTCTATAGGAAAAAGCAATTTTATAGAAATTAATATTAAATGTCCCAGTAATGCTGCATGTGTATGGACTTGTAGCCCAGGGACATACCTTGATAATGGCGAATGTTATATGTGCCCAAAAGGGTCTTATAATGAAAAATATGGAGCTAAAGAGTGCATACTTTGTCCTCCAGGGACTTATAACCCATCTAAAGGAGGCAATACATCAAGACAGTGCTACCCTTGTGATGAAGGGACTTTTAATGCCAACTATGGAGCTCTTATCTGTAGAGACTGCCCCACAAGTAAATATTGTCCTATAGGTGCATCTTCACCATTAGACAAAAAGACAGTTTCTTCATATCTTTCTTTGCAGCCTTCTACTTACTCTTCATATGATACTTCTCTGATAATAAACCTCCTTATTCTTACAGCTGGTTTAGTTTGTATTGTTACTTTATTATTTACAGTTCTTACAGAGGATGTTAGAAAATATTATAGTTATATTGATATTTATCAGGATATTCATAATCATACTTTAAATGCTACAATGTATATGAAATCAACTAAGCTTGGTGGAGCTTTTACGCTAATTTTCATATTTGTAGCAGTTGTAATGATTTGCAGTGAAGTATTGAACTATAGTCTTGATAATGTTACGGAGATAAAAAATCTGTTACCTTCAGTTTCGCTAGAAAATGATGTTAAAGAGTACCCAGCAAATATAACAGTTTCTGCGCTATTTTATCAGTATGGAGGGAATTGTGTAGTTGGGATTGATTCTTGTAACCAAGGGATTTCTTATACTCATCACTCTATATAGCTTATGAATCTTTATGGATGACCTATTTGAAAATGTAACTACCCTACGGGCTTCAGGTCTTGTGCATCTTAGATCAGACTCCTCATTATTTAAAAGTCCCTAGTTTTAAACTACAAAAATAAATAGCGACATAACCGACTGTCCTCTACCGGGCCTGCTTTGAGTTTGAAGACCTTGGTGATGAGCCATTAAAAGCTTTATAAACAGCAATAAGCGTACAATGCAAAATTTAGCTTTTATAGCATTTGATCATGAACAAATCGGCATTGTTTATTTACAAATTTATCCTTCCGAAAAATGCAACTCGACATATATATTTTTAATTTTTAAATATATTTAAATTTTGCTAATGAACATCATATATAGCCATTAATAGCTTCATAAAGAATGATCAGCGTCCAATACAAACATCGGCTTTTATAGAGCAATGGCCGTAAACAAATTGGCACTATTTATTTAAAAATCTACTTTATTTATCCAAATTTATTTTTTGATGTTAAATTCCCAAAAACAGGAAAAAAATTAAGTAAGATATTAATCAGTCCTAGTCTCAACGGATATCTTAAATTTAAATTAATTTAATAATAAAGCCATTTTAAAAAATTGGTGCGTTTGCTTGTAGTCTGTCTTGGTCATTCAACCGTCCATTACATATTTCGATAAAGAAATCTATATAAGGGTATAAACTATATCTTTTGAAAGATCTAAGCTTACATGTTCCAAAGTCCAGGACAGAAATTGCCAAGTCACTTTTTGGTGCACCCAGTGCATTATCTTAATTGACGCATATATAGAGTTTTATTTACTCCCCCCCCCCTCCGTGAGTGAACAAAAAAATTTTGTTCACTCACGGAGGGGGGTTATTTTTTTTTTTTTAAAAAAAATTATATATAAATTTTATATAAAAAATATTTTTTTTCGAAATTTAAAAAAATCCTAATTCGCAAAAACTGGAAAGCAAATATTAATTTTAATTTATTAAATTTATGTTTTAAAAAAGCAATTTGTTTAAAATTAAACAGAATTAGCTTTAGATTTCATATTACTAATTATCATTTATATATCAATTTTTTTTTTCCATAAAAAAAAATTTTCTATTAAAAAAATTTTTTGTTCACTCACGGAGGGTGGGTTTGTGGGCAAAAAATAACGATATTTCTAATGGTTTTGTTCACACGGAGGGGGGGGAGTTAGTTGAAAAATCAAGCTACACCTCTGCAATTAGCGTAAACGTGACTGCCTCTTCTTCAATTCCTCACGAGAGGAGCAGCATTTTTCAGTCAATTATTCCAGCTGATAAGACACTTTTTAGAGGTTTTGACGCGACTCAATTTTATTTTACTATGACTCCTTCGCTGTTTAGGTCTTATGTTGATGACTGGACTGACGAGTTAACTGGCTATCATGTGTCATTGACTTCTCCACCATCACCAGGCTCTCAGTATGAGGTAAAAGATTTGCCTTTTACCTCAAGCTTAAAGCTCAAAATTTGACTGAAATTAAGTGAAAATAGCTTATATACTGAAAGAATTCCAAAGCAAACCTTTATAGCACTTATCAGCGGGCTTTTAGGAGCAGTTTTCGGCTCCTTATCTGCAATCGGTATCACAATGGCTGGCATTGAAAACATTTTTATCATCTACAAGCGAAAATTCCGCCGAGAAAACGACGTCTTAGGAATCGGAGAAAAAAGAAGCAAAATAATGACCCAATTTGAAAAGAATACTGACTATTTTATTTCAGTCCATAGCCCTCCTGAGTCAGAATACGACTCTTGCTGAGACACCGAAGACAAGCGGCTGAACGAGTTTTCACGCGCGGATACTAGCAGGCCAAATTCTTTTATTATGAAGGCAAATAATTTTTCAATAATAAATCATTAATTTTAAAAATTTTTTAGCAAAAAAATTTAGGGGGTCTAATAAATGTCCTCAGTCGAAGAAAAAGAGCCGATTATTCAAGCTTTTCAAAGGTTTTTAGAAATTGAAAGAGAAGTCCAAGGTAAGTTTCAAGCGTTTATCCAGAATTTTGAAGAGGAAATGCATGAGTTTTTTCAAGAGCATTTGCTGCCTTTATCTGGTGTTAAATTTGTGACGACGAAAATAGAAAAACTGAAACCTGAGCCTTTGCAGCTTCCTGTGAAGCGGCCAAAAGAGCATGCTCTATTTAAAAAACCTCAAATCCCAGTCAAAAAAGGGGAAAATGAGCTGAGTTCCCATATGGAACTCATAAAAACCAGAGTCCGCGACCTGTATGAAAAAAATATTTCACCCTCTTTAATTTCCAAACTTTTTAACCTTTCCCTAGAGCTCGTCCATTCCTTAGGCGACTGAAAGCAAGTCCCTTCAGAAATTGCTTCAAAAATGATAGAAATGAAAAACGACTGTATAAAACTGCGAGACAAAGGCTCCAGCTTAAAAGATATAAGCAAAGCTATGAGAATTCCAAAGAAAAAAGTATTGATTTTATATGGAGAAATAACACCTAATGATTTATTGAAGTCAGCTGAGTCCAAAAAAGTCATTGTAAAAAAAATCGCAGAAGGGGTCAGTAAGGTGGCACTATCCCAGGAACTAGGGATGCCAGTTTATAAGATACAGAATTGGCTAGATAAGGTAGCTAATGGAAGAGAGCTAAGCGATGAGGATTCTATACATTCAGAAGGAGAGTTTCAGAGAGACACCATTAGAAATTCCATTTTTTACTACTACCAAACTAATAACAAAGACCTTGCTGCATCAATTTGTAACACAAAACCAGAAAAAGTAGCAAGATGGGTGGATAGGTTTGAAAACGGGGCGGACCCAGAAGCTTTGAGATTTAAAAAACCAGTGAATGTGCAAGAGCAGAAAGAAATACATACAAATTCTCTAATTGCGGATTTTTTGAAGAGAATTAATTAAATTTAATGCAATTCTTAAAAAATTTAAATATGAATAATTCTTTTCAACCTCAGCCAGCTTATGGGCGGCCTCAGACTACAAATCCTTTTACAAATTCCTTTACACCTGCAGGCCAGCAGCCATTCCAGCCAAATTATGCGGCTCAAACTCCTTCTCAGTATCAAATCGGAAATCCTCAGCCAAGCCCATTTGGACAAGGTATGGCTCAGAATAATCCTTTTGGAGGCAGCAGGCCAGGGCAACCTAACCCTTTTGTGGGGAATCCTCCACAAAGTTCTTTTAATACAGGTATGAATACTTCTATTGGGATGCCTAGCTACAATACTTTACAAAGCTCTATCCAAACTCCAAATAAACCATTTACAACTGGCACAGGGCATATGTCTCCAAGCCCATTCACAGTGACTAAGCCTCCTACACAAGTTCCTTCTATTTCTACTAATCCTTTTGCTCAAGGTCCAAATCAAAGTTTAGCCCCGCCATCTACAGTTAACCCTTTTCAGTCAGTCCAGCCTCCAACAACCCAGTCTCCTTTTCAAGCTCCTCCTCCTGTGCAATCTCCTTTCCAAGCTTCTCAGCCGTCTCCTTTTCAAGTTCCATCTACAACTACCCAGCCTCCTTTTTCTGTGCCTCAAATGACTTCTTCTGCTTTCCCTTCTACTTCTCAGCAAGCTTTCCCTCAAGTGTCTTCTACCCAGCCCAAGCCTCCCCAATCCTCCTCAGCTGGCTTTTTTATGAATCCATCAGGGTTTTCTGCCACTTCTACCGCCCCACAAGTAACTCTCCCTTCTACAGCCCCTCAAACTTCTACTCAAGACAGCTCAAAAATATCGAAAGAGCTAGAAGACAGCAAAAAGCAGATTTTAACTCCCCCCATGAACGAGCGGCAAATTTCATCTTTAGAGGTGCTAGTATTTTTTTAAAAAAATTATATTATATGTGAATTTGCTTATAGCAAAATTTTAAAAAAATCCCAATTAGAAGAAATTGAAAAGTAAAAATTAATTTAATTTGTAAATTTTGAGAAGCAAGCAGTCAGATTAAACAGAGTTAGCTAGATTTCATTATTAAAATTAATACTTATATTTTAAATATGTTTTATAAAAATTTTTATGCTTTCAGGGTTTTTTTGTTTTTTTAAAAAAGTTTTTTCAATGGTTTTGTTCTCTTACGGAGGGGGATTAAGCAAAAGAAGAATTCAAGACTTATTCCAGGACTGGAAAACTGAGCTCGACAGTCAAGCACTTGCATTTAGAGAAGTCACTGAAAAATCCATTGGCATTGAAAAATCAGCTTATGATTGCCAAAAAGAAATAATCACACTGAGAGATGTATTAGATAAGGTAAAAAGCGATAGTAAGCTAGCTAATGAAACGATGGACTTGATTACTGCTGAACAAAACGACTTGTCAGGAGCTTTAGATGTAATTGATAAAGAGCTGGAAAAAATCCTGACACAAATGAATATAGGTGGATTTTTTGGAAAAGGACTAAGGCATGATGATAAGGAAAATATGGTTAAAATATTTAATATCTATGAATAGCTAAGGCATATATATCTTATTTTATATAAAAAAATAAGAAAATAGAAATATTTTTATCAGAAAAATTCAATTAATAGGAGATATTTATAAGGCAGCAGACTCAGTGAAGCTAAATATAAGTGACCTTGAAAAAAATATGCAAAAAATCACGAAAAGTGTAAATGATACATTTGAGACTGAGCAGGAAAATGGACTGGATTTAGAAACAATTTTAGACACGTATTTAGAAGCTTTGGACTGGATTGAAGTAAACGCAGTCAATTTAAACTCAAAAATTGAGAATTTAGAACACGAATACCATTTAAGACCATCTGTATAATTAATAAGCTATCTATGCATCATTAATCTTTCTATTCCAAAAATAATTAATGCTGATGCAAAAAATAAGAAAAAATACATGATTTCCATTTTCTTTGCTTGCTTAGTTCTTTCAAGCTTAGAAAAGCCTGTGGATTCCATATATATTACTCCAGGTCCTTTGATTTTCAAAAAAGCCCAGTCATATAGTAGCATATTAGCAAAAGACATTTGTTTTGACGAGTGAGAAATTTTATAGATTTTTAAATTGAATAGGCCATTTTTCTACTGAAAGAATATAATAAAATCATCAAAATGGTATAACATCTTTTGAAAATGCGACCAAAGAGTTAAAAGCAACTGAAATTTCTTCTTCTAGCCCCAAATTTTTTTCAGTCAGCATTCCAGGCGTCTGCATAAATATAATCCCATCCCCACTCACTTCTTTTCAGTCTTCCTTCTGCAAGAAAATTATCATTTCTTTTTTTTCCTGCATCTCAACCCCATCTGTATAAGCTAAAATTGCATTCGACCTAGTAATTATTGAATCTCCTATAACTTCAGGATTTATTGCTATTATTTTCCCTCCAGTTGATTTGCTTAGTCCTGCATATTCTATAGCTCCTTTTCTGTTTTTTATTCGATAGTTATAAAGCATTTTTGAAGAAAAAAAGTTCGAAATCTTGGTTCAGCAATTTTCTTTGATTTTTTTAATTGAGAGTTTTCCTGAGGCATAAACAATATTTTGTATTTGTGTATAGTAAATTATAGTGAATTTAATCGACAAAAAATTTTAGGAAAACATATGAATTTTAGTAAAAATAAATTATAATTAAAATAATATGTATATATATACAGTTTGGTTTTGTAATAAAATTAATTGCAAAGATTGATCATTATCGCCGAAGACTGAAAAGTTATATTGGTCTTTTTTAAGAATTTCTTCCATTATAAATGGAACCTGTAAAAGTATTTTACAATAAAAAGGAGTATTTAGAAACACATACAGGCAACAAAGTTTGCAGGAAATCCTTGATAAGAGGAAGCCATAACATTCACTTGAACGGAAAATGCATTATTTCTCCTGGAGTTGTAATAAGAGGCGATTTAGCACCCGTAAAGATTGGAAAATATACGATTTTTAAAGAAGATGTAGTTTTGAGACCATCTTATAAGAGAGCTAAAGGAAAATTAAAATATATTACTATGCAGATAGGAGAACATGTACTTATTGAAGAAGGCAGCATTGTGTGCGCTAGTAAAATCGGCAACAATGTCCACGTTGGGAAAAATTGTATCATATCTCATAGATGTGTCCTTAGAGATAACTGCAAAATTGAAGATGGGGCCATTCTCAGCCCTGACACTGAAGTGCCGTCATTCACAATTTATGGAGGAAAACCAGCAACTTATCTTGCAGATATGCCTGATAGCACTGTGTTTATGCATACAGAACTAACCCAAGGATATTATAATAGATTTCTCCCATTAGCTTAATAATTAAATACTCAAATTTAATTGTCTAGCAACTCTATTGCACCCTGCCAGGCCTAAATCCTGCGCTGTAATAATTGAAATCGGGATTTTTTCAATAATTGCTAATAATCCTGAGTCTTTTGCAAACAATCCTTCAAGGAAATCAGGGGATTTCGAAATCTGCTCTGCGTAGGTATATATTAAAGTCCCATACAAATAAAGACCTCCAAACGGCAAAAAAGCTGCTATTAGATTTCCACATTCATAGCCAAGGTATCTTGCCCATGTCCTTACTGATAACTGTGCTAATTGGTTAGTCCCATTAAACCCTTCATGCATCATGGTTGCTACCATTTTGCTCGGATCAGAGTTAAATTTTTGGTCAAAAGCTGGGTCAATTAAATCTGGGAATTCTTCTCTTAAAAATATATAAATTATCTGAGCGAATTTTCCTGCAATGCATTCTTCGACCCTAATTCCAGTGTTTTCTAAATTATTTGCGTCTTTGTATCTGCGGTAAAATTGCATGAATTTTCAGTCGATTTCTTTTTTTGGGGAAAAATCGACCCAACCTCCTTCTGAAGGAGATAATAGGTATTCTGAACCATTTCAGACCTGATAGCAAACGCCAAGACCAGTTCCGAGGGACATTAAGACTTTGGGCTTGCCATAGCTGATTGGGAGATCTCTTATAGTTAGCGATTGATCAGAGGTAATTTCATGGATTCCATGTCCTGCAACTACAAGGTCATTTAGGAAAACGATTTTATTGATACCAGTTTCCTGCTGAATTTCCTCGGCGGAGATAGGGACTCTCCATCCTGTGCTAGTGGTAACCAAAGTGTTTTCATAGATTGTCCCAGCTGTCCCAATAACACCAATTGAAGGTTTCTGTAAGTTTTCAAGAAAATCATTAATACAATCAGTAATTGACAAGTAATTTTTAGTGGAATAAGTAATTGATTTTTCTTCGATATTTTCTTTACTCCCCTACTATCCGTGAGAGAGCAAAATCATTGGAAAATCCCTAAATATTGTAAAAATTCATGGCCGTAGCGAAAAAAAAATATTTTCATGAAAAATATTTTTATATATAAAGTGATAACTAGTATAATGAAATCTCGAGCTAATTCTGTTTAATTTTTAAATAGCTATCATTTTAAAACATAAATTTTGCAAATTAAATCAATATTTGCTATCCAATTTTTTGCGAAATAAGTATTTTGTTTTAAATTTCGAAAACAAATTTTACTACAAAATTCATTTTTTAAAAAAATTAACCTCCTCCGTGCGCGAACAAAATTTTTTGTTCACTCATGTTCACTCATGGAAGAGGGGAGTTAGAGAAATTGATTAGTTTGAATCTGGCATTTGTTCCTCCTATATCTGCAGTTAGGATTAAATCCATATTTCTCAAAATATTTTCTTAAATAAATAAAATAAAAATATAGTTATTAATTTTAGAATAAACAAAATTAATAAAAGAACAAAGTTAAAAGTTATGCAAAGTTGCATTTAATATAATAATCTTTGCTAAACAAAAAATTAGTAATTATTGCTACATTTACTTATAAAAAACTTAATATCTCTCACTTCCCCTTTTAAATTGGAACAAAAATGATTTTAATGAGAAAATTTAAAGGCGAAATACTTAGTTTTATAAAATTAGTTTTGACCTAATTTAATGAAAATGCAAGTAGACACTTAATTTTTTAATTTTTGATAAATTCTTCATATAATAAATTAAAATTCAAATATATTAAACATATATGTACTGAAACTTTATAAATTTTTTTTCGAATAAAAAACCTCTTTAAATTGGAACGGGATTTTTTGTTCCAATAAAAAGGGAGTCAGATAAATTACTTTCGTCCACTCAGACTTTAGTTAGAAATGCTGAACTTTTAAGCTTATATAAGATTAAGATTAAGATTACGCTGGTATTTAAGGTCCCTACTACGTCCGAGGTCGCATGCCACGGTTTCCCGTATGGTGGCAGAGCGTTCACCAAGCCCGGGCCGAAACCCCCGGTTTCTCGGTAGAGGTATTGTCAAGGGCCGTCTCATACCGGCTTTGCTGACCACCTCCATTTCCAACTTGGATCGTTGCCTAAGTTTACGCCAACTCCGCTTCGCCGTCCGCCAGATCTGCCCATTGAAGGGCACCTTTTCAACTGGAGAGACCCCCGTTTTGGTGTCTAACCCGCCTCCCCTCTTTTCCGGTCATCCCGAGAAAGAACTCAACAGCTTTCGCCATTCGGGGCGAGCCACTAAAGCAGCTTAGGCAGGTAAGTCGCCCTGCCTCATTTCGGGCACTCACTGGGCTGAGCGCTGCTGGCAAAAAGAAGTCACGAATAACTGCCCATGGGTCTGTCGCAAAAAACAGCGGCTCTCGCTTCGAGGTCCCCAGACGTTGTTGGGCTAATTCCTGGCTCCAAAAACCATGCCCGGATATACATGGGTAACCACCACTGAGAGGGTGGGTCGGTCGCCATACGCCATTTTATGTATATAACTTTTAAGCTTATAAATAGCAGGAAAATATTTAATCTTACCAATGGACTCTTAACAAATGATAAACGATTATATTATTTTATATTCCTGTAAATAGAATGGGTAGCTGCAACTCAATGAGTAAAATTAAAAACTCAATCAGGCCAAAGCCTATGCAATCTTTCGATAAAAGAGAATTCCCTCGTGTAGGAACAGTTAAAATCAAAAAAAGAAATCACATTGGCAAAGTGACAGGAACTCATGATCTCACTTTTGAGCTAACTGAACCAAAGTTGGTGATTTCAAAGTTACTAAATTTAGGCAATCAGCACGCTTAACGGAATATTAAAGAAAAAATATTTTTAATGCTATTTTATAAATTTTTCTTATTAAAGTTTTTTATAGCAATGCTCAATTCTTTTTCTTTTATTTAAAAAATTAATTATTTTGTTAAAAATCACTTAAAAATCTTTTTACATTAGATTTCCCTCAATCAGCAAGTCTGAGCATCAGCTTGTATACTCCCAGGCCTCGACCCCCACAAGGAGCAAGAGAAAAAATGCCAAGACTGTTGTCTTTTTCTTTGTGACGGAGACAGCATTTTTCTTGCAGAATTCGATGGTCATGGCACTTATGGAGAAAAAGTGGTCGAATTCTGCGGCAACATCGTCCAGCGAGAATATAGCACCTCAAAATTTATATACCAGGTAACCTTTATTCAGTCAAACCCCTCAAGTTTTCTTACAAACATATAGCGCAAGTACACTATTAGCTCGCTGTTCTTCCAACTTCTCCCGTGAGAGTTGCAGAATTGGTTTTGCTAATAAATGTAGGTAAAACCAACTCCATGAATAGTAGATTTATCTTATCGGGTGGATTGCCATCCCTGGAGCTGGTTTTATCAGCATTAATAGCAAATCAATTCCCCAACCCTTATGGAGAGTTGGGAGCAAAACAGCTAATAGCGTGATCATGTTATAACTCTTAAATGTGATGAAGATATCAGAAAACCTTCAAGCGGGATAGATGTTTCTCAGTCAGGATCTACAGAAGTCCTTTGTCTTATCTACAATAATACAGTTTTTTCTGCTAGCGTAGGAGATTCCAGGGCGGTTTTATCGACTACCTGTCCTCCGCTGCACCCGCCTGCCCCACAAGCGGTTTTAGGTAAAGAGCGCCAACTACTGGAAGAAGCTAATAAAAGGCGAAATAGTGTGGCAAACCCGCTGATTCATCCTGTACAATTAACTAAAGACCAGAAGCCAGAAGACCCTGATGAATTGGCAAGAATTTATCAAGCGGGAGGAAGAGTCCAAAGATTGACTGACCAAAATGGAAATAAAATTGGGCCTTATAGGGTGTGAGAAATGAACTCAAACTCCCCAGGACTCGCTATGTCGAGATCTATCGGAGACTCAGTAGGGACAAGACTTGGAGTCGTGGCTAACCCTATTACGACTGTACATCATATGAGTTTAGACGATGACTGCTTCATTATAGCAGCATCTGACGGAGTTTGAGATGTATTTTTATATAAACTGAATATAAATTCACACAATAATTATTTTTATTATACAAAAAAGTTTTTGGCCACTTCGTGGCCATCTAATTAATCCTTCAGGCATATTCGAGAACAAAGACGCCATTAACTTTGTTGAATACTATCGAAATAAATGCAAAAGAGGGATGTCAGAAAGACCAGTCGACGATAAAATAAGCAGCGACAATACTTGTATAGCACAGTTATTATGTGAAGAAGCCAGAATGAGATGGTATGCAATTGTTGAAGAAGAAGACGTCATTATTGACGATATCTCATGCGTTATTATAGAGTTCAGAAGCGATAGTGTAGCTGTTGCGAGAGAGTCAGGAGACTTGCCTGATGCCAATGGAAATCAAGGAGAAGATGCTGGGACGCATCAGCTGAAAAGAGCTCCGACAACGCATGATGTTCAGGTCAGAGACCCGAGGAGAGGCTCTGTAGTTGTTGATAGAGTTGATATGAATAATTAATTTTTATGGATTTATATACACCTTTCTATATAGAATTGGCCACTTTTTTAGCATTTTCAGCTAAAATATATGATTTTTTTATTATTCATATTTATATGAAATATTTCAAATGCAGCCAACGGGACCTGAAAAAGTTCTAAAAGGCGAGAAAGCGAAGAAAGGAAGAAAATAGATTTCAATACCAGTGAAGTGTTAGAAGAAGGCAGAAAATTAGAAATTATTAGAAGAAATCTGCTGATAAATCGCTTTCGGAACAAAAAAAAAGTATTCCAATGTAAAGTCCCAACATTTGTAGCCGATGAGGAAACTAGTGTTTCACCAAGGCACATAAGCCAGGACTCTGGGGTGAGAAATGATATTGCTATATTTAATATAAATGTGTCTGCAATTAAAAGCCAAGACTCAAGACCTCATACCCAAGGAAAATATGAGACAAAGTCACTTATCAATAGGAGAAACTCAGAAGTCAGGTCAAATCCTGAAGGAAAAAGAACGAAAAAGCAGCCAATTATAGAATTTAGGCCAGAAATTATTGATGTCATTGACAATAAATGAAGCAACATCTCCGTTGTGGAGCCAGAAACTAAGTACTCATTTTTAGAAAACAAGCCCAAACAAAGGACTGCAATTTATTATGTGGAGGATATTTTTGATCCAGAAAAAAGAGAAAATGCAAGACCTGTTACTAGTGAAAGAAGAAGCCGATGCGAATATAGCAATTCAAAAATAAATCTCTGGCTTGACTAAATGGGTTATAAGGCTAATACATATTTTCTATATAAATTTACAGTAAAGTTAATTAATTATAGGATAGCTTTTAATGAAAGCACTAAAATGTACTCAAATTTTATTAGCAGACAAGCAAAAAAAAGCCCAAAAAATATCCAGCTTTCATTTAGTCAGCCAAAACAAACCAAAACAGGCCGTTTAGAATTTTCTATCCCAAGACCTCTTCGAACTCGAAGGTCAAATGAAGCCTGGACTTATTTTGCCTGCGGAAATCAAAGTATTTTTGACATTTCCGATCTATGTAATTTCTAAAAAAAATACCTACCTTCCCTTATAAATACCATTCCTTCTTATATTATTTCCCTAATTTCATCACATTTAGAATAATTATACAATAAATTTAGCTTATATCACGCAATATATTCAATATTAAGCTTTCGCTCCCAGCGAAATCCACAATTTGATAGAACCCTTCACATTGATCATGAGTAATCATAGTAATGGAATTCAAGTAACTTTTCATCTCCATAGCTCTTGATATGTCACATTCCACATGAAGCCGAGGATTTAGCTGTCTTACAAGCGCTTTGTACCCAATTTCAGTCTCACAGAACAAGATTCTGTACTTTTCAAGGGTCTCGATTTTTGCGAGCATGTCCCGGATTTCGCGCTCTTCGTCATCAGTTCTGACTTCAAAGACTACGTAGACTCGGCAGGACTTGCCGAGGGCTCGTAAGGTTTCCAGTCTTTCTGAGCCGAGAACTAGCTTGCCATTGATACAGATTTTGGGGCGGATGTCTTCTTGAGGTCGTCGAGCTGGAGGTGGACGAGTTGGATTTGTGCGCTTTCTGCATAGAATACAGATGGTAATGACGAGGATGATTAGAGTATAAAATATTGCTAAACCGATTTTCTTTGTCTGGTACTCTGCTGGCAAGAATAAAGTTAGATCTTTAAAGCCCATTTTATTTATTTGGTGGAAGTGTATAATTAGGGGATTTTGCGAGTGAGAAATTCCGCTTTGTGAGTAGACTTTGCTTTAATTTTCTATGCTCAATGACATAAGGAAAGATTTATATTTATATAGTGATAATTAATATAATGATATCAAGTTTAATATGGGTATATGGACAGTTTTATAAAGAATAATAGTATTAATCAATTATCTGAAGCCTTAGCTTTTGAAATCAAAATTCTAAATACCAATTTACTCGTTTAGTCAAAGTGTATATTTTTGTAGAAATGCTTTGTAAGGAATTTTATTTCAATAGCTATTTAAAAAGCTCAATCAATGATTTAGATACTTAATATAGCATATATCAAGATATGTTTAAGAACTCAAGACTACCCCTTCATTTATAAGTTTTAATATTTAAATAAATAATTTTTTACATTTTATTTAATATGTGCTTTATATTTAATTTAAATAATTTTTTCGAAGGAAAGGTTTGCTTTTTTTAAATTTATTGTCATTAATTATTAAGGGGCATCTTACTCCCCCAGCCTCCATAAAGCGAACAGAATTTTTGCTTGCTCAAAGAGGGGCTTTTATCAAAAAAATTATTTTTCAAAATTTAAGGCCTCAATTCGCAAAAAAAATTGGAAAATTATTTAATTTATATATTATGCTTTAGAATGCATATTTTAATTTTAACAGAGTTCATTATATAATTATAACTTATATATCAAAATATTTTTTTAAAAAAATAATATTTACAAAAAATTTTTTCCTAAATAGGATTTTCCCTATAGGTTTGCTCTCTCACGAGTGGGGAGTTAGATAAAAAATGGAAATTAAATCAGCCATTAATTAAATATATATTACATCAACAGATGGTAAAGCAAAGACCTATTAAAAAAGCGAAAACAAAGAATGGGGTAAAAGAACCTCAGCTTCCTATTAACATCTCTGTATCTTCAGATCTAATCAATCCTTACATCGAGCGAAACCGAGAAGAAATTTTAGATGCTTGTAGGTTTAAAAACTTCCGAGTCAGTCTACCCGAAGAAGATGGCTTTTTCCTGCCTCCTAACTATATCTATACCCACCATATGGATTTTCTCTATAAAACTGACTCTCCAGAAGACCCTCTTTCGCCTAGCGAAATTTCTGAATACTGCAAATACGCTGACGACCTTATGACCAGTTTTCTCGATAATGCTCCTGATTATCATCTTACCTTAAACGTTCTAAACTACCCCCTTTCTCGAACTGTTACTATCGGTGACATGATTAACGCTATAAAAATAAGCCCTTATAACATAGAATTCAAAAGTTTCCTTGCTGACTACGAATATTCTACTATCAATAAGCTTACAAAGCGGCCTAAAGACGAAGAACTAATTATGGAGACAATTAATTATTTAAAACGAGGACTATCAATTAAAGAAACTTATCAAAAAATGAGGGATAGAGTTTCATTAGAAAGGGTCAGAGAAATCCATAGAAATTACAAGCTTGATGGAAAAAAATACATAAACAGGGTCTTAAAGAAAAAAATTTCTAAGCTTCGGCCAGAACATATAAGCTTCTTAAAAGAAATTTCTGAAGACCCGAGGAATACTGTGCTTACTGGGAGGGAAAGGAAATTGCTACTTTGCCATCATTTTGGGATTAAAATTAGGACTGATGAAGTAAGAAGGGCACTCAAAGATATGGGATATAGTATGAAAAGGGTCAGAGGACACGTGCCTGAAGCTGATAGGATTTCTCATAAAAACGCCAGGTGTAGGGTGGTGCAACAGCTGATTTTACTGCAAAGGGAGGGGAAACAGCTTATTAGTATTGATGAATGTCAAGTAAACAGAGGAGAAACTGCTTACTACGGCTGATCTAAAGAAGGCCAAAAAGCTATGAATATCTGTGGAAGAAAAGGCCCCCCTCTCCAAATTGTTGTAGCATGCAGTTCACACAAGCTGCTAGGATATATGGTCAAACCTAACAAAGTAAACGAATTCGGCTACAAGCATTTTTTGCAAGCCATTATTGGCAAACTAAAAGAAATGGACGAAAATTACAAAGAAAAATATTTTTTGTTTATGGATAATGCTTCAGCTCACAAGACAAAGATGATTAAAGATTTCTGTGAGCTAGAAGGGATCACTGTGCTGTGCAATGCACCTATGACACCTCAGTTAAATCCAATTGAATATATCTTTTCTATGTTTAAGAATAACTTGCGAAGGCTGCCTATGAGTGAGCATAATGATTTAATAGAATTTATTTATCACGCTTTCAGAAAAATCCGGTCAAGGCACATTTATAATACCTACATTCATGCAATCAGATCCTATAAGCCAGCCCTGATGTTTGAGTCCATGCACGATCCAAGAGGTCACAGTAGAGTAGAGGCTCACATTAAATTCGCGGGAAGGCACGTCAAAACGCTGATTAATTTTGCGAAACTTCAGACATAATATGTATAATTTATAATAATGAAGTTAATTATCTACTTCTTTTTTTGGCCTTTCTTTCCAATAGCAGCTCTAAGCTGTCCTGGATGAAGCTTATTAACTGATTTAATATACAGTAATTAATGAATGAATTAAATAAATATATTGCTGAGATTAAGAATAGAGTTTTATATTATAGAATAACTCCGACCGCCACAGTTTGTCTCATATCTCTGACTGCAAATCTTCCCAATGGTGGGTATTCAGTAAAAGCCTCAACGCACATAGGCTTGGTAGGTATCATATTTACAATGGCGGAGTCTCCAGTCTTGAGAAACTTAGGCTCTTCTTCTAAAACAGCTGCAGACCTTCTGTCGACTTTTTGCTTTAGTTCTTGGAATCTGCATGCAATATGTGAAGTGTGACAGTCTAGGACTGGAGTATAGCCAGCCGCTATTTGTCCAGGATGGTTCATAATAATCACTTGAGCAGTAAAATCAGAGGCTTCCCTAGCAGGATCATTATTGCTATCAGAAGCTATTCTATTTTATCACAAAAAAATCTTCAGATAACTTTCTAAATCTTATTTACTACAAAACTAAGAAATCCTTATAACTAAGACAAATCTTCCTTTCTTCATCAATTGTACGTATCCTCTCTTAATCAAATTAAAAGCGACATTCTTTATACTGAACCCTATACTATCTCCAGGCTCAGCCCTCTGCAGTTCTTCATGATGCGTTTCTATAGACTTCACTTCAGTTTGGATTCCTGAAGGAGCAAAAGTAATGAAAGTCCCAGGGGTTAAAACTCCAGTTTCAACTCTGCCAACCGGGACTGTACCAATTCCTGATATTTTATATACATCTTGAACTGGGAGTCTAAGAGGCTTATCAAATGGTCTTTTTGGAGGAATTACATTGTCAAGAGCTCCAATTAAGGTTGGGCCAGCATACCATGGCATATTGGCTGAAGGCTCTATCATATTGTCACCGAGCCATCCTGAAATAGGGATAAATGGAATTTTAGCAGGGTTGTAACCAACCTTTTTTAGATAAGTGCTTACTTCGTCTTTGATTTCATTATAGCGGATGGCAGACCATTCTACTGATCTGTCATCCATTTTATTGACAGCTACTATCATTTGTCTGACTCCAAGGGTGTAAGCTAATAAGGCGTGCTCTCTTGTTTGGCCATTTTTTGAGTACCCAGCTTCAAATTCACCTTTGCCAGCTGCGATGACTAGTAAAGCAATATCAGCTTGTGTGGTGCCTGTAATCATATTTTTGATAAAATCCCTATGTCCTGGAGCATCAATAATAGTATGCCTATAACTAATAAATTTTGGCCTAAATAAGCCATTTTTTAATATAGTCAAATTTAATGTAATTAAGTTCAAAGTAAAACTTGTCAGTTTGGAATTTAAACAAGGAAATATCAATTGTAATCCCACGCTCTCTTTCATCTTTAAGCTTGTCAAGCACCCATGCATATTTAAATGATCCTCTTCCCATTTCGGATGCTTCTTTTTCGTATTTTTCAATTGTTCTTTTGTCAATCCCACCACACTTGTAGATAAGATGGCCACAAGTGGTGGACTTGCCTGAGTCGACATGTCCTATAACTACAATGTTTACATGTATTTTATCTTTTCCCATTCTATATTTTTTAAGTCAATATCAGACCCGCCCTATTTATATTGAAAATCAGCCAATCAGATTGCAGGGATTTAAAAATGTGAAAAGTTTTATTTTAGTTGAAACTTAAAAAAGTTCACACTTAGCTTTTAAAGCAGGAATAGGAAAAGTGGGAGGATATAGCCCAGGAACCGATATTGATCGGCCTGGGCTGGGAGAATGAATGCCTAGAAACTTCCCGAGTTGGTTTTCCAAGCAAGTTGACGAGCCAACTCGGGGAGTTGATATAGACTTTATATCGGACCTATTTGCCAACTCCCGAGCTGGCTCGTCAACTTGGGTTGAATAGCCAACTCGGGGAGTTTCTAGGCATTCTTCCAGCCCAGGCCGATCAATATCGGTTCCTGGACTATATTTAATAAGAACAAGAGGGTTTATTGAAAACAAGGGCATTTATTTGAATTTTTAAAAAATTAAAAATTATTTTCTCTTATGTATTTAAATAACTTTGATAAAAATAGCAATAAAAGAAGAAGAATGAGATTAATAGTATTTTTAAAAGTAATAAACAATTATATTTTTTATTTCAGAAGATATCGGAAAAAATAAACTATATAAATTTTCACCTTTAATGATATTTATCTAAATTATGCTAAAGCGGCTCTTAAGCTGCTTTTTGCATTAAATAGCTTTTTAGCTCTTCAAAGCCAATCAGCCCATCCCCATTCTCATCAGCTTCAGCTAAAAATTTTCCCCACTCAGACTCTTCTATATCAGGGATACTATCTTTAAGCTCTTTAAGTGATAGTTTGCCATCTCCTCCTTGGTCATAGATTTTAAAGGCACTTTCAAGCTCATTTTTCTCAAAAGCTTTCTTCCAGTCCTTAGAAGCTGTCACAAATTCAGTATAATCTAAAAAACCGCTTCCATCACTATCGATTTTCTTCAAAATTTCTGATATTCCAGGCGGTGTTGTGATCCCTAGCTCTTTATAACCATCAAAAATTTCCCTTTGGCTCAGTTTTCCGTCCTTATTTTTGTCCATCTTACTGAATAAATCTGCAAATTCTCGGTCTTCTTGGATACTAGTTATTTGTGAGCTTATGAAGGTCATAATGGATTTTTCAAGTTTGCCTTGGGCATGGAATTTGCTGAGGTTTCCTAAAGCTTCAATGCTGAGTTTAGTCTGAGGAAGCTCATCGCTGATGTAGCTTTTAAACCAAGCGTGGTTTAATACATGTTCAGCGCTATATCTTGGTGCTGGATCTACAGATAACATATTTCTGATTAAGTCTTTGGCGTTCTCTGATATTGATTTTCAAGCTGGCTCTTTGAATTCTATAATTATTTATATTGAAATTATCTGTAAATAATAGTTTTTTTTATTGTATTTAATATGCTCTTAGATAAGAATTGCGATAGTCAAGATTAATTTAACAATATATAAATTGCCGTTATTAATAATTTGAAGCATATCTTCAGTTTTTTCAGCATAAAACGGTGGAGACCCACAAAGCATCATATACAAAATAACTCCAGCACTCCATATATCGCATTTTTCGTCATAAGACCCTACAAAAGTCTCAGGCGCCATATAAAAAATTGTCCCAACAGCTTGTCTAAGCTTATGGTTTGGTTGGATTTTTTGAGAAATTCCAAAGTCAATAACTTTTACTTTGGCATTTGGCTCTGTGCTTTCAAGCAGCAGATTTTCAGGCTTTAAATCTCTATGGGCAATACCATTTTTATGGCAATAATTAATAGCACTCATAAACCCATATGCATATTCAGCTGCGATTTTTTCACTTAAGTTTTGCTTTTTCACAATTTTATCAAACAAATCGCCGCCAGTTATATATTTTTACGATAAATAAGTATATTTATAGAGAGAGAGATTTAGATTAGAGAGGTTAACCGGGGTTTATTTCAGCCCTAGCCAGTCGAACTTCAGCTTCGCGCTTCATGTGGCGCTAGTCACTAAAGCCACCTAACGCCCTTTTTTGTCGACGTCACCATTTTTAATGACGTTGCCATCTTTCGGGGAGACTCACCCGAACCTGCTGGACCAAAAATTGCAGCAAAGGACTCTCTTAACCCCTGGTAGTGCTCAGGGTATGAGGGACCGTCCCGTGCCTTCTTCTGGAACTACCCTTGCCATTTGCAGGCATCATATTGCTCCTCCAGAAGTATCCGATTGGTACTGCGCCGTCGGTCTTCTCGCCTGTGGGCCGAGGAGAGGCCCAGTCAGCCCAAGCCAACACCCACCCCGGACAATCACCGTCAGCAACCCCGTGGCCCTTCGGGGCCACTTTTTTTAATTTGTGACCCCAAATTCTGAATTCTTTTTTTTCTTGTCGCAGTACAGCAACGTGTCGCCACATTGCCTAACTGCAATTATATATATTTATAGAAGATTTATTAAAATTAGCCTATTTATTATAGAAAATAATAAAAACTCAGTTATAATGAAATAACTTTTTTTTGACTCGATAAGCTCATAAACTTTCATGATATTAGGATGGTCTAAGTTACGTAAAATTTCGACCTCAGAAAGCATCTGGACACTTGCTTCTTGAGTCATTTTAGATCTCGGCAGCTCTTTCATGGCTCTTTCTATGCCTGTCCGCTTATCTATAACTTGATAAACTGTCCCAAAGCCTCCGCTTCCTAACTTTTTCAAGACTGTATAATATTCTTCGGCTGAGCCTTTCTTTTGAGAAACGAAGTCAGCTTTACTAAAGCTTTTTTTAGCCTTGGGAAGAGGAAGACTTGGGTTTGGCTTTTTCTCTGGAGAGTCAACTTTTGAGTTGCAGCAACCCATTTTTATCCAATCAAGATTTTTAATATCTAGTCAGAATCGAATAGACGTATATATCGATATTTATAATTAGAATAATAACATTATTTTTTACCTCTAGCTTTGAAAAACAGGATAAATAGTTCAAACTAAAAGTGCTTGTTTATACAATATTATATTATATTTAAACAATCACCTCTGTGAGTGAATTACCTTTTCCCTAAAAATGTAATCCAACCCAAATAAAAGAATAATAACCGACACCTTTTGACTTAAAAAAGACCTATAAAGCCATTTTTATTTTATTTAAAATTCTAGTTCACTGCTAATCATCACCGAATGCAAAAATAGGAGCTTGAATTATATAAAAATCTAACTATTAAGCTTAGAAGATGTTTAATCTTGCCAAAGGTCCATGTTGGGTGATTTCTTTGACGTTGATTCCATCTGGCACAAGTCTGCCTTCTGCTCTAAGCTGTTCGTACTTCTCAACTGTATGCTTGGTGAAGCCCCATTTGTCGCTTTCAATGATTCTTTGTCTGCCTGGGAACTTATATCTGGCCCTGTTTAAGGCTTCATTGGCATTTTCCACATCTCTGTCCTTGACTCTGACTGACATGATGACGTCTCCTATCCTGACTCTTGCAACCTTTCCAGTTGGCTTGCCGAAGGCACCTCTCATTCCCATTTGGAGTCTATCAGCTCCGGCACAGGAAAGCATTTTGTTGATTCTCAAGACGTGCCATGGGTGACATCTGATTCTGAGGTGGAAGCCTTCTTTGCCAGTCTTCTTCAAAAGGTATTTGTTGGCTGTAATACGGGCTGCTTCGAGAGCTTCTGAGGAAAGATTTTCGTTTTCATCTGAAACGAGATGAATGCACTTACATAGTATTATTAAATTTTTTATGAAAAGTAAACATAAATTTTGTAAAATAAATTTGTTATTAATAATATATAAATTGGGAATTTTTCAATAAGAAAGTTAGGGAAGAACTCGCAATCAGCCTTTTTGAAGCCGTTGTCGTAAATTCTGATTCTTGGATCAGGGACACCTCTGCAGTATCTGGACTTAGGATAAGGCTTGTTTGATAAGTACCTATAGCATCTTGCAGGTCTACGTCCCATATTTACCACTAATTATATAGAGAAAGAGAGCTAAGCTATAAACATAGAGATTTAGCCTAAGTTTTTATGGTTTATTATCTCATTAGTGCTAGTAAGCTTAAATTTATAATAAAAGTATCCATCAGCTCTCAATAATCAATTTTTTTATTAATTTAAATAGAAATCAAACAATCATATTCTATAATACACCCTAAAGTCTTTGCAAATATCAGCCTGCAGCATAAGCCTATTTCAGATAGAAACCATACAGACTAAATTAAAAATTTTGACATTAGAAAAAATCAATAAAAGCAATTTATCGATAAGTAGTTCTATACTCATAAATAGTTAAGTTTAAGAGCTAACTGATGCTACTAATTCTTGAATATTTGTGCTTACCTCATCTCGCTTTTTGGAAAGAGTTTCCAGCTTCCTTCTGGCTTCTTCTAGCTCAACCTCAGTTCTTCTTATTTTATTCGTCAAATCTACGACCATTTCGTTCTTTGATTTTCTGATATAAAGTTTCCCCACAGGCTTATAAAGAAGTGCTTCTTCATTTTGTCCTGAAATTTCATTAAGTGTAAGCTCTTGTCTTCTCCTTTCATTTTCCAGGGCAAATGCATTGGCTTCAGTTACTTTTAGCTGGTTCACAGTTTCTGAGAGCTGGGTAGAGAGCTCGAACATCTGCTGCTGAAGTTGAGGAGGGACGTTCATTTTTTGTTTTAATAAATATTAAATTTTACTCTAAAATAAGCAAAATTTATAGAGAAACAGAATTTACTATTAAAATAATGCTTCTTATACTTTATAGCTGGCGTGGCAGTTAGGGCAACTTGATTCCATATCACCTCTAATTAAATGACATATAGGGCACATTTTATCTGAAGAATCATTCAGCGAAGCACAGCGATCACACCTCCACTTCTTTTTTGGAAACACCTTATCAGCTCCACATATGCATTTAACTTTTATTTGCAAACTTTGGGTCCCACTAGAATTAATATTTTGATTGTGATTTCTTCCTGATGGGAGCGTTTGCTGAATATTGACGTTTGGATGTTGAAATGATGAAGGATGGGATAACTGATTTGGGGAAAATCCTTGGTTTGGCTGAGAATCACTTTGAGAGAATAATCCTGAGTTTGGAGGAGGTCTCGGATGAAATGAGGTATCATTTGAAGGGCAAAAATTGGGAAATCTAGGTGGCGGAGGTATAAATCTAGGATTAGGGATAGTTTGATCGAAAGAGTTTCTGCTAGGCAAATTTAAACTTTGATTCGCAGAATGTCCCTGAGGGAAAAAAAATTAAAATTTTATGCTGCCCATGAGTTAGTAAACCATTAGCCGTCACCTATCTTGACTCCAAAAGGCCGCAATATTGGATTTCCAAACTGAGCTACCTAGCCAAGGGATTAGCTCCTCAGGACAGAGCCACCGCCTGCAAAGCGCACTGATGTTGCTTATCAGAGAAGACCATGTGATTTGCAAATTTGTCTAGGAAAGACAGAAAAGCCTTTCGGGGGAGAAATAAAACTTTCCTCTTTGAAAAGTCATCCCAAAAATGAAGGCCTATTTTAAAAAGGACAAGAGTCTTTTCAGCATCATTATGATGGGCCCTACCTACTCCATAGGAATGCATCTCAGAGTCAAATTTCCGTCGATGCCACTATTTTATTTTCTGAGGGAAAGAAATTCCTTGATTTTTGTTAGCTTGAAATGGCCCTCCTGGACTTCCTGCTTGATTTTTTATAAGTGGCGAAGCAGGCAGGGTTTGTTGGCTATTTGCAAAATTAGGAGGTGGCTGAAAAGGAGGTTGCTGAAAAGGAGGTTGCTGAAAAGGTGGTTGCTGAAAAGGAGGCTGCTGAAACTGAGGAGGCTGAAGCTGAGGAGGCTTAACTAGATGAGGCTGAATTGAAGGAGGCTGAACTGAAGGAGGATGAATGGGAGGAGTACTATTTGTAGGATTTCTAAGGTTATTTTGGGACTGATTTAAAGGAATAGATATATCAGGAGAATTCATAAATTTAGTAGGATGCACAGGGCTCGCTGGTTGAAATTGAGAAGGACCAAAGTTATTTTGAGGCGGAAATTGGGGCATGTTATTTTGATTTGCAAATTGGGGAGGGTTTTGTGCTGGCTTATAAGGGCCATTTACTTGCACGCTTCTTGAAGGATCACCGAAATTATTTATAGGCTGATAAGGCGAAATGTTTGGGAGCAAAGTTGTTGGGCTTATCACATTAGGATTTCTAGCTTGCTGATAAGGCTGAGCTAAGTTGTTGGGATTTATAGGTGGGATTCCACCATTATTTGGAATACATTGTGGCATAGGTCCTCTGTTCATTGAAATAGATGGTGGCATAGATTCTCTGTTCATCGGAATGCCTGGAGAAGCAGATTTTTTATTCATAATAAGGTAAATTCCTTGCCCAGTGCATTGGTATGCCTTGCTGGATAATTTTTTTTGGATTTAGAAATATCAATGCTATATGGCGTCTAAATAGGGTTATAATATAATTAGTATCAGATCTAATTCAATGAAAAAAGAATATCATGCATTCACATATGCACTGTCACTATCTATAGCAATTTCTCCCAATTTGTCGTCTTCATAATGAATCTCGAATTTTTCAGACTCTAATCGATAGCAGCGCATAATACTCTGACAAAGTTCATCAAAGCTTTTTGGTATTGGTTCAATACATTGGCTATAACTCTCGAATTTGGTACAGGTTTTTGATTTGAAATTTCATGTCCAGAACTTTACTGGGGCACACAATGCTTCTTACTGGGCTGATGATGGGTAGACTAGCATATAAACTTCCATCCCTTTATAGTCAAAATGCTCCATTTTAGTTTAATATTATAGAATTAGGACTAGCATGCATAAATTTATGATATAAGGTCAATGCCTCTGAATTGTTTTGTACTTTTATTTTCCAGGCATAAGTTTCCTAGAGATTATTAGCGAATTGGCTCTTCAATTTTTTTGATCTTACATTAAGTGTTAGCTCTTTCCTTATACTTATATTTTATGATAGCATGCCACACGGTGACTTTAGCTAGATGGCAGTCTGATATCTGGCTGGAGGGCTATATTGTTAAAATTATCATTAAATATTAAATTTTAGTCGAAATAAGCTAGTAAAAACTTGTCAGGAAAACAGATATAATTAAATAATGCTTCAGCTGGCTATATTGCATAATAATTGTTGCATTGAGGACATAACAAATCTTTAAGATTTCTTGATCTTCCACATATTGGGCATTTTGCGAATTTATAGCTGTTTAGTGAGAAACAGGTTTCGCACCTTCAATTTTTGTTTGAAATTGATTTTTCAGTTGGGCATATACATTTAGGCTTAATTATTAGAGGAGGAGGAAGAGTAAGAGGAGAAGTAGGATTAAATTGGGCTGAAAGCCGATTTGGGGGAAATTGCTCTTTAATAATTAAGTAAATTCCTTGTCCAGTGCATTGGTATAATGCTTTCTCATATGCCCTGTCACTATCTATAGAGATTTCTCCTAAATCATCGTCTTCATAATGAATCTCAAATTTCCCAGACTCTAATTGATAGCTATTGATAATCATCTGGTAAAGTTCTTCAAATCTATCGGGTATTGGGAAGATGCAAAAGTAACCCTTGAATTTAGTATAAACTTCCATCATTTAAAAATTATAGAAAAATTAAAAATTAAATAATTTTATCATATCTATTTTTTTAAAATTTAATTTGAAAATTATCAATTTTATTATAAGCTGACGCCTAATTAAAAACTGCCAATAAATTACTTTTTGCTTATAAAAGTTGTTTAAATAATTTCTATATATTAAAATCTATAAAAACTTCTATTTTCCAGGCCTAAATTGCTTATCCTCTTTGTTTTTACAAATTTTAAAAATGTCCATCATAGAAGCTGTGACATGTATGCTGGAAACCTACCTTGAACAAACAGCTATCAATAACTCCCCCAAGACTTCCTCACTATTTTTTTCAAAAAAAGTCCCTAACATTTCAATCAGCAGCTACCTCAGCCGACTCAAGCAATATATGAAATGTTCCGAAGAATGCTATATTCTCGCCCTTATTTATATAGATCGAATTACCTCCAAACACAGAAGCTTCACCATTAACACCCTTTGCATCCATAGACTGATACTAACATCAGTCATGGTCTCAGCCAAGTTTGCAGAGGACACATTTTACAAAAACTCTTATTACGCCAAGGTCGGAGGAATTCCTTGTTCAGAAATGAACATGCTTGAACACCAATTTTTGATGATGATTGAGTTCGAGCTTTTTGTTTCTGATGCAGAGTTTAATAGCTACTCGACCACGCTCATCAGTCATTTCGGCCTAAGCCAGAATGAACTGACGGCTGATACCATCAAAAATGACCAGGGAATGGTCAAAGAAGGGGTGGCATCAAATGTTTAGAAAAAAATCGTAAGAGTATGTATACAGCTTTCCTGGTGATGGCGCGCAATGCGCCATCACCAGGCCATGCCGGAGAGAGATTCCTCGTGGAGGAATGGTTTCCACGTGTGGAACCCTCTTTTTGGCTCGTGGAAAAAGAGGGTTCCACACGTGGAACCATTCCTCCACGAGGAACCTCTCCCGGCATGGCCTGGTGATGGCGCATTGCGCGCCATCACCAGGAAAGCTGTATATATACATAATCTAATAGATTCAAATTGACAATATTAAATATACTAGTGCACATAATTAGCAATGCCTTACTTTTATATAAAAAAGGATTTATAATTTATTTTAACTAGTATAAATGAGCTGCTTCACTTTTCTTGAAAAATTCATTCTCTCAAGATGCTACCCACCCACACCTTCTAATGAGCCTACACTGGTTGAGGTAGAAAGGCCTTCACAGCTAGATTCATCACAAATGCCGAGCGAGGCTCCTAAGCCTATAGAAAAGAAGCCGAACAAAAAAGAATCGGATGTGGACGAATTGTTAAAAGAAATTGAGCCGACCTATACAGCTCCTAAAAAAGTGGACTATGTGGTCATGACTAGCAAGCAACCTGAAAACAATCCTAAAAGAGGAACTAGGTTTGATATGGAAGAAGCAGATTTCGGCAGCTGGGGAGAAACAGAAGAGTTTAAATTCGACTAAATTAATGTATACTTGCCGTAATAAATAACTACTTTTCTCTTATAAATACACAAATGCTGAATTTAATATAATTATAATATAATTCTCATCCCTAAATTGTCAGCCTAGCAAAAATACTGATTTTGCATTATAAATTATATAATTAAAATATGGCGTCTCCACCTAGCAAGGCCTCCGACCATGCAGCTTCCGAGCACATATTTTAATTATATCCGGCAAGGTTTTACTAACCCAGAAATGGGACGGCAACGCTAGGTAAGCAATTCTGGTACTGTACAGAGCCTAGCCCTTAGTCCAAATTCAGGATTATAGAGGTTTCCTCTATATAGCGCTAAAAGCGCAGACATTTTCCCAGGAGCTTTCCAAGTTCGTCGGACCAAATCGCTTTTTGGTCCGACCAAGGCATTGATTTGGTGCAACCTACCGATAAATTCCGATCAGAATTTATCGGCCTAACAGCGCCAAACATAGGAAACTTCTATAGGTTTTACCTCGAAGGAAAGGAGGAGTTCAGGTTTGGAAAGGGCAAGCCCAGCTAAGTCTATAGGGAATACCTAGACCAATCGGGCAAGTGCCTAGCGTGAAACTGGGAGTTACGCCCCAGGACTTGAATTTTTCATTTTTGCCGAGAGGTCACCAGAAATTCCATTTTTTGGAATTTTTGAGTGGTCAACTTCGTACCCAAGCAGCATGCCGCAGAAGTCCATAGCCCGCCCACTCAACACTCAAGCCGCAAGGAGAGGAGTAGACGTCCAGGTGAAATCTCACTTCATAATACCATGCCACCAGGAGCTGAAGAAGAGGAAAGGCAGTGTCAGAGCTGAGCTTGGCCAGCGAATCATTGTCCTAACTCGAACAAGGTGAATCCGAAGACGGCGCAAAGCAGGTGAACCCCGCATTGGGGTCCTTGGTGACTGCGTAATCAAAAGGGCAGACGCCTTCTAATTTCTAAGTTAAGTTAAGCATTATAAATTATGCCAGAACAGCAGATGATTCAAGGAAAAGAGCTATATATTTCTTAAATAAATTATTCAACAGCTAATTTTGAATTTTTTCTTCTACTAAAGCTGATGAAGTTGCTAATTGTTCTCCTATAAACTTTGTATATCGCCCTTAGCACTTTTCTAATAGTTTTTGCATCTCCGCAGTACACAAAATCTTCACAAAAATAAAGCTCGCTTGGAAATGAAGGCTTGGTCCTCAAAATCTGAAACGCTTTAGCTATATTATGCCGACATGCAGCTTGGCTGCTTACTTTATAATGCATCCCTTCAATAGGGTTTCTCTCCAGCTTTGATATAATTTCGCATAAGAAAAGGCCAGTCCGAAATTCCTGTATATTGTCTGCTTCTAAGTTCAAATTTTCAGGAAGCTTTATATTTAAATGCTCTAGCCAGGAAAAGCCCTCAGGACATTGATATTTGGCTTCTTCTGAGCTGCTGTTCAAGCTTTTGAAAATAGACAAAGCTGACCTTTCTGTAGACAGTAGCCTTCGTGATTGAGAGCCTGCGGTTTCTTTAGACAAGTAAAAGCGTGGACTATATATAGGAGAAACCATAGGAGAATCCTCAACATTTGTCAGCAACTTGCTTTGGTTGAGTTTCTGTGCTGAGGTACTCCTGGATAAGGCTGATCCAAGATAAGGGCCGTTGCTATGATAGTTAGTGCCTCTTTTACGTGGAGGAAGTCCATCAGAAAATCTTCTTAGGTCCTCTAGGAGTCCTAATATTACCCCTAAATTTCCTTTAAGAATTTCAGCTTCGCTGAAGACGTACTTTAAGCTCATTCTTCGTTCAATTCTTAAAGGAGCCAGCGCACGCTTGATATTGGATAAGGCTAATTGCTCAGTTTTGGGGGAACGGAATATCCCTGTTATTGGCTTTTCTAGGATTCGGCTTACGAGGTCGCATAAGAGGACGCCAGAAATTAAGTCAGGGATAAGCTCTTGGAAAGTAGAAGGAGCGTTATTTCTGTCGACAACGCCTAAGGACATAATCCAGTCTAAAAGTGATGCTTCCAATTCTTGAATTTGTAGAGGAAAATAAGGCAACTCAGCTATGTTAGGAGAAATAGGCAATAAATTAGGATAACTCAGCATCAAATGGCAGAGAAGTCCCCAAATAGCGTTAATATCACCTTTTATAACGTTTTCTGCCTGATAAAAAAATGAAACTGGGACTTCTCGTGCCACTTCTCTTAAGGTATTAAAAGCAATTTCAATATTTTCTTTAGCTTCAGCAAGAGTCCTGGGAGTTTTGTATTTAACCAGATTTGGTATCTTTGTGATAATCGAAGCAAGCTCACAGAATAGCACCCCATTCCTTAAGTTATCAGTAGTAAACTCCCTACTCTGAGTTGATATAAGATGTCCTAACTCTAATGAGACAAGCCAATCAATAGTCCTATCAATAATTTCTTGAGTAATCATGATAGGAGCTGTATGAATATTTTCATATGTAGGAGTCACAAGCAGTGAAGGATACTCTCTATTTAATTTTTTCACCGATTTTGATGATGATAACACGTCGCTATTTCTTGTCAAAATTGGCTCAAAGTCATGTTTCGGCTCTCTGGGAGTTCTCGGCACCAACAATTGTTGCTCATTTCTAGGAATTCTTCTATAGAACGTCAAAATCTGATAAATCAGCCCTAAAATGACTTCAATATTCCCAGCTAAGATTTCTTTTTCACTCCACAGATAAGTGCTGTCCATCTTTGACATTCCTCTTAAATACTTAAGCGCCTTGCTTATATTAGCAGCTTTATCTGTCGGCGTTCTTGTTTTTCTATTAATTCCTTTTACTTTTTCTTCCCTTCCTTCCAGCACATTTACTAGGTCTCCAAATAAAACTCCATTTGTGCATAGGTTCATAAAGTCGCCATCAGACGAATTTGCGTCTATAACATGCAGATCTTTGAGTAGACTGACAAGATTAGTCCCTTTATATGCTAAGGGCTCAAACAGTCTTTTTGAAACTTGGTTTGGCCTGTCGTCAGTGCTGTTTAGCACTTGATTGAGGTTTTTCATTTTTAAATCCTCGTATGTGCTCATCAGCTGCTTGTTTACTCCCAGGGTTGGCTTTACAGTTGATAAGGAGGGAGTTGTGATGCGTTCGTTTGACTCGGAAATTCTTGGACGGTCAGTCATTTCGGATTCCTGGGTAAAAATTACACGTCCTTCGGTTTGGATTCTTCTGAATATGGAACGAAGCTTATCATAAAAAGGCATGTCAAGAACCCTGACAAACCATTTTAAGAGCGCAAAAATTTTGGAATCGTCTTGGTAAAGCAGCTCCGCAGTCAGATTTCTTAGACTTTCAGGCAAAATTCCTTTGATTTCTTTGATAAGGACTCGCAAATTGTGAATAGCTTTGTGCTCTGGCAAAGCTTGGTCTCTGTAGATATTTTGGAAAGGGATTTTATTCAGAATTTGGGCTGCAATGTCACACAAAGCACAGCCGCCTTTTAAATCGTTGGAATTTGACACCAGCAAGCATGAGGGGATGCTTAAAGAATTGACCCAGTCAATAAGGATAACATTTTCTTGGTTGAAATACTGAGTAGTTTTGTTTGACATCTTCAGCAAAAAATAATAAATTAATGTTCAAAATTATGTGATTTATTATTTTCTAAGCCGTTTGATTATTAAATCAAATTTCACTTGATCATATTAGAGAATGTTTAAAAGGAAAATCAGGGCTCATGGATCTAGCCAAGACTTCGCTGAGCCAGCTTCAAAAGCATCAAAAGAATTCCTTAAGGTTGGCAATCGCATCAGAATTTCTAGTAAAGATGAGGGACGTAGAATTTCGAAGAGCGAGAAGACCAGCCCAGTCACAACAAGAATAATTAAAAATCTTGCAATTGAAATTCAACCCCCAGCTCACAAAGACCTTCATGAATATGTAAAGAAGAGAATCGAAGGCTGAAAGGAGATCACTCCTGATCGACAATCTCGGACTCCAGCACGAAGTCCTGAGCTAACTCCTAAACAAACCTCAAAACCTGGACACAGAAGAGTTGTTTCGGATAAAATAAGCAGTATCTTCAAGATACGCTCAGTATTGTGGATTAAATTAATTTAATAATAATAGTTTTTGAGCTGTAGGCTAATATTTTTTGAAATTATAGAAAATAGGTACTGCCCTGCTTGGACAAGCAAAGGATATCAAGACGAAATGGAAATAATTCTTTTCAAAAAAATACTCCAATAAATTCTAAAAACGACCGATCTCTGATAGAAGTAAACCAAAGCTTGTTGCAAGAAAGACACACACCAACACACTTATATGAAAACCTAAATGTCTCTGCAGGGTCTTTTCAAGAGCAAGAAGAAGAAAAGGAAAAACTGGTGAGCTATATTTCAAGTTACTTTGGCAAACATTTAGACGACCCGCCAACAACCTTATAGTTTAATAGATGAAGTTGTCTGTCAATATTATAAATAATTCCTAAAAAAATGATTTAATTATGTGCTGATATAGCAGATTTTATACAAATCTTGACCCTATAAGGATAGATTTTTATAAAATTGGGAAAATGATAGGAAAAGGTGCTTTTGGAAAGGTTTTGCTAGGTGTCCATAAGCTGACAGGAATGAACGTAGCAATTAAAACTATCGAAAAAGCTCAGCTAAGGAATGAGCACGCAAAGAGAAAAGTATTCCAAGAAGTGTATATTTTGAAAAAAATCAGAAACAAATATGTGGTAAAAATTTTCGAGGTTTTCGAAAGCTCGAAGCATTTTTTGATTGTCATGGAATATGCAGGGGGTGGAGATTTATTGCAATTTGTAAAGCAAAAAGGGAGGTTAACAGAAAATGAAGCTAGGAGAATTTTTGGACAAATTATTGAAGGTGCAATAGAAATCCACGAAAATGGGGTTTTGCATCGAGATTTCAAGCTTGATAATATTTTATTAGATTCACAGTATTCTTGCTGTAAAATCTGTGATTTTGGGGTAAGTAAGCTTGTAAAAAAAGGACAAATAATCAATGAGCAATGCGGAACCCCAGCTTATTTAGCTCCTGAAATCATTGTAGATAGAGGTTATGAAGGATTTTGGGCAGATATGTGAAGCTTAGGAATCTTGGCGTATGCAATGCTGTGTGGAACTGTTCCCTTTAAGGCTCACAGTATTCCAGAGCTAAACAAGCTGATTTTGACAGGAAAATACAATCTGCCAGACTATTTAAGTGAAAATGCCAAGGATATGATAAGAAGTATGCTGCAGCTTGTCCCACACAACAGGATCCCATTGGACTCTTTGCTAACTCCCCCCCCCCCCTCCGTGAGCGAACAAAAAAAATTTTGTTCGCTCACGGAGGGGGGTTAATTTTTTTTTTTAAAAAAAAATTTATATATAAATTTTATAAAAAATATTTTTTTTTCGAAATTTAAAAAAATCTAATTTTGCAAAAATTGGGAAGCAAATATTAATTTAATTTGCAAAATTTATGTTTTAAAACGCAATTTGTTTAAAATTTAAACAGAATTAGCTCTAGATTTCATTATACTAATTATCACTTATATATCAAAATTTTTTTTCCATTAAAATTTTTTCTATTAAAAAAATTTTGTTCGCTCACGGAGGGTGGGTTTTTTGTCAAAAAATGGTGATTTTTCTAATGGTTTTGTTCGCTCACGGAGGGGGGGGGGGAGTAAGGCATCCATGATTCCGATCTTCTGATGAAACTGAAGAAGAAAGTGTATCCCCACGATTTATAGGAAACATCGAGCCATCTCGAGAAAAAAGATTCAAAGTTGATGATTTCATCTTAGAAAAAGTGGTGGCTTGTGGTTTCCCAAAAAGTTTTGTCTTGAATTCATTAAACTGCAATGAACTCAATCATGCTACAGCAACCTACTACCTGCTGCATGATGCTATACATTAATTTTGTTATGAAAAATTAATTTTTTATATATTTAGCAAAGAACAACATCTAGAAATCTGTTCCATTCACTCGGCCTATTTCTTTGAATTGCAATCGATAAATTAGTAATTTTCGTCAGTACATGGTCTAAGTTGTCAAATTTAGGGTTTATGATCTGTGTACGTGATTTTTGGTTCACTTTTTCGCCAATTATCATCATTTCCAGCAGTTCTGCATACTCCTGCACTGAAGAACTGGCGAGTTTTCCTAGTTTGTAGCTTCTTTTCAGCCTCTTAAAGACGATCCCGATTTCTTCGTGCTCTTCATAAATAAGTGGGCAGAAGTGCTTACAAATCCCTTTATCGTCGTCTTCTAGGCACTTTAGAACGAGCAGGGAAGGAACACTTACGAAGAGCTGTGAGTCCGAAAATTCAAGCTGTTCCTTGAAAGTAGGGTATTTTTCAGCGTGCTTTTCAATCATATTGTAGATGTAGACGACTTGGTTGCATCTTTTGGAATTTAAAATGTACTCTTTTCCGCGCTCCCAGCTTCCTTCAAAGTTGGTTAATGCTTCAACGAGTTCTGGATTGTTTTTAAGCTGTGGGTCAACGACTTCAATGTTTTGGTCGTATTTTCTAAATAATGTGCGAAATGCTGTAAAAGCCTGCCTAATTTTATCAGCCAATTTTTTTATTGGGTGACTTTGCATAGGATGCATTCTTCTTGAAATCCCCTCTGCAGCTAGCAAAATATTAAGTGATAAATCATCTCTTCCTTTTCCTTCCACATTTGCAACTGAGTTAATTTTGCCAATAATCGTTACAAACTTATCCCTCAGGCCATTAAATTCCTCGGAGTCCAAAGTCACCCTTCCTCTCGCCTTTTCTTTTACCTCAATCAGTGACATTTCCCTTTCCAGCTCAATGGCTTGTGTGATAAATCTCCTTGCGTCGGTTTCTATTACCATCAGCTCATGGACATACAAATGCTCGAAATCCACCCAATTTGTGTCAAAATCTTGCAGAGCCTCTGTTAAGTCGCTAATTATTTCTCCTACCACACCTGTGGACGTTTCTTCACAAATGCGGTTGTAGATTTCACGAAAGATATGCTGGATTTTGCAAAATGAATGGAATAATTTGCTGCCTGCATCTAAAACTTCGCTTGAAAATAAATATTTTTCCCCATTCACATACAAGTAAGGAAACCCTTCCTGTGCTGAATCCAATATTTCAGTAAGAAAGCAAAGCGTGCCTTCTTTATATAAGACTTGATAGGCCTTTGAAAAAGCCTTCCTATAATCACGAGAAACACAGTTCACTTTAAAAACTTCACAAAGTCTTTCAATTTGATTTAAAAATTTTTTGCAAGCTCTTTGGCCTTCTTCTGAGTCGAGATCGTACTTTTGGTCTTGATTTTGGATTAATTGGGATGCGCATATAACTGTATGTTCTAATAAAAGGAAATCAGAAGTCCTACGGAACTCTTCAATGTCACTCAAAGGCCTTGCGGGAGCTGTTGAGGCTCTTAGCGCCATGTGCTTGCTAGAGATTTCTTCTAAAGACATGATATCTTCCTTGTCTGACGAATTGTTGTCGCTTGAATTTTCTTCAGGTTCTGAAGAATCAAGGGGGTCGCCACTGAAATTTTGCTGGCTTCGTGGAGATGTAGGACTTCCTGAAAAAGTGACGATACTTTCGTTATTTGAACTTTGATATTCTGAGAACTGATTTTGCATTTTTAGTTTTTATGTAGGTTTCAGTACAGTCAAAAGACGTAAAAACAAGGAAAAAAACACCCTGGGTTGGTGAGGAGAGAAATTGATATTTATTACAACAAAAATATGATTAGTTTAGGTTTAAATTCCTTCCCTTCAATAGTGTGCGCTTAAAGGTTTAATTTTATTTTGAAAATGATGTATACAAATTGTTTTCATTTTAAAAACCCCAATCCACAATATTTGTAAGAAAAAATCAATTTAATTTAGAAAATTTGTGTTCAAACTCTTTTTAAATAAAATATTATTAGCTAAAAGGCATTGTACTGTTGTTAATTATATATAAATATTTTGTATACTTTTAAGTTTAAGTTTAATGAACTTCTCTTGCACATTTAGTGTCTTTTAAGTTTTCTTTACTTAAGGTTCAGCTACAGTAACAGCTTTGAACAACGGTAGGTGAACCAGCCTAACGTCGAACCGTTAAGCTATTAAGCCTATTCAGACTTCTATAGTCAGTGCCAGCCTCAGCACAGACCACTTCTCTTCAATCCGAGACTCTCAAGAAGCTTAGCTTCTCTCACTAAGCTCGGCCATGAGTCTAGCATGGTGGATGAGGACTAGGGACCCATCCTTAACTACCATTTTAAATATTGTATTTTGTATACTAAAATAGGATTTTCATTGTAATCACTATTAAAGGGAGAAAGAGTAAGGAGAATTAAAGGAATTGATGAGATCTTATAGTTTTTATACCCGATTACAATAAATAAAAGCATACCTACTGGTAACCTAAGTCACTTACTCAAGGCTATAGCCTAAAGGCAAGGAGGAGAAAGAAGGATCCGGGAGTGGCATCCACTTCGGGGAAAGACCCTCTGGAGTCGAAAAGCGGATGAATCTCCACTACAGGAGGTCTTTGGTGACTGTATAGCCTAACCTACTGGGAACCGTTATCCTATTTTCAAATATAAAACAGAATAATGGTAATCAGTATGAATGCTTTTATCCATTGCAGTTAGGCTTATTTATAAATTAATATATCAGCAAAGTTATTCGAGATGTAAAAGCTGTTTAATAACTTTAATACTACAGCCTGAATATAATTTGCTACTTCATAGGGGTTTTATAATAATATTTAAATTTTGAAAAATAACATTTTAAAAAAGTGGATAGTTTATAATATAGCAGTTTCAGTTTATATAACTAGAAAAAGCAAATTTCTGTGCCAAAATATCAATAAAATATATGAATACCCAACACTGCAGGAATATAATAGGCTGCTGAAAAGGCCCAAAAGAAAAAATCTATAAGAAAGATGAAAAAATTATCAGAAAGCATTACAATTAAGTCTCACTAGAAAGAGCTGGCCCTTTCATTATGGATACTAGCCTGCACAAAAATCCTTTATTCAATAAATCATACTGAAAATAGAAATTGAATACATCTAATAGTTTTAACATATTATAGATATTTTAAAGTCCTAGAAAGCTGCTTACATCTTTTAATAATAGTTATATATGCATATAAGAGAAGTCTACTGTTGGTATCCCAAAGGCCTCGTACCTTCCATAGCAATTCACCTATTACCCTCCAGTTTGCGCACAATCTTTCACCTTCTTAGTCTTCCAGAAGAAGCCTACACTTATTTCTTTGAGTCAGAAGATTTTATCGCTATGCTGAGCACTATGGAGTTGTTTCTATAAAAAATCAAAAAAGTCTAATTATCTGATGTTCTCTCTCCTATTTTATTATTATTTAATTTACTCATTAAACATTAAAGAGCAATGAGAAAATCTTGGGTAGCATAACAAAGACATTTCTTGTCAGCTGTTTTCCACAACAGAATATCTTTCTACAGACCTGACACCAACACCATTAAACCCTCCTATTGCATAAATATATTGACAATCACTACAAGCAACTCCACTCAAGCTGCATCGTGCTGTGTTCATAGGAGCTAGCTGCATCCATTTTCCAGCCCTTATATCAAATTTTTCCATTGTATTCAAGTACCTCAATCCATCAAATCCTCCAAACACATAGACCCCATCTGGCAAGGTCACTGACGCCAGTGCTCTTCTCGCTTCTTTCATATGTGGCAAAAAGCTTCAAATTCCTTCTTTTATGCTAAATCTTTCAGCAGAGGACTGTGAAGTCATATCTGGGCCTCCATATCCGCCTATCGCATATATGTTATTATCAGGTCCTAGTGACACAGAAAGCTCATCTCTCCTTAATTTCAAAGAATTTACTGTTATTCATCGGTCCCCACTAAACATTTCAGCTGTTTTTATAGGAACTCCATCGCTTCCACCAATAACGTAAAGGTCGTCTAAATATGTTTTACTTGAAATCACTGTTGCCCCAAAGCCACTTCTGGCTCCAGTCAAAAAAATATCACTTGTCCTCCAAAAAACTTCTGCCCTGTCAAATTCTTCACATGTGTCAACTGGCTTACTTTTCTGTATAAAAATTACAATTTTGCCGCCAAGGGCGATAATTCTGTTTTGATACTGAACTGCTGCAAATTGAGTGCGCGCTGAGTGGTAGTCTCCTATTTCTTTTCATATATCATTGGCTGCGTCAAACATTTCGACTTTTGAAGCTGTGGACTCAGAAAACCCGCCAATGTTGTAGATTATTGATTTAGGTACCTTACAAAATGAGGCTAAATCTAAGGAGTGGACTGAGGATAAATCGTCTTCAAAAAGATTTTTGGCTGAAAATGGCTCGATTGGGATATTTTCTGGGGAAAAATCCAAAGAAATCCTGTTAAGGTCCCTTCTTGTATTTCACCCAGTTTTAGTGTCCATAGAGCTTCTTATAGTGACAGGAGATTTATCTCTGATAAATCTTGATTGTGTAGTAATTCTCATTGTCTGAGCTTGGGCTTTGGATTTAAACTTCTGTTCAGTGTTGAAAGGATATACATATGATTTTATTATTTGTGCAGTTTTGGTTATTGTTGAGTCATTATCAGTAACTTCGCTTTTGGGTTTAATTATCGTTTGATAATTTGTTTCTTTTTCAGAAAACTCCAAAACGCCACATATAATTTTCCCTAAAATTTGTTTTTCATTGTCTTTTGAATACTCAGAATAAGGCTTATTTTTTGTAATAGGATTTATCTCACAGCAGGCACTTTTAATGACAGCTTCTCTTTCTGTCACCTTAGAAAGCACTTCTAAATCCTTTTCAGCCTGCACTTTTTCTATTTCCTGCTTTAAAGTTTGCAATAAATATATTTGTTTTTTATACTCAAACTGTTTTTCTTCAATTAATCCTTGTTCTTTATTCAAAATATTTTTTATTTGTGTTATAGTCTCAGTCTCCCTTTTATTAATTTCTCCTCTTACCATATCATACAAATCTTTGTAGTCTTTTAACAGTCTTTCGCACTCTGAATTAAGTAGAAATTCAGTGTCCTTGAGCTCTTTTTCATTTTTCGATATATTTTCTTCAATGCTTCTTACTGTTTCAGAGATTTTTAATAGGCGCTCTCGCTCGTTTTGAGCTTCTTCTAAAATGCTGGCGACTTCATGAACTCTGTGATGGGGTTCGAGAAGACAGCGCACACACATAAGCTTTCGATCGTCTTTGCAGAAGGCTTCAAATGGTCGACTGTGGTCTGAGCAGAGCTGTGAGCTTGAAATTGCTATTTGAAGCAAAGCTTGGTTTATTGGAAAATCTTCTGGAGAATCAGAATTATTCAATTTTCCACATAATGGGCAGGTCACTTTGGAATCACACCATAGCTCTGTAATGCAATCAGAGCAATATGAATGGCCACATTTAGGAAGGATGCGAGGCGTTTTGTGAGTTTCGCCAAAAGGATTGATACATCTTGGGCAGTCCATTTTGATTTCAAACAATGATAATTTAATTAAAGCTTTGATAGCGAGCTTAGAAATTTAAAATGCATTGATTTATCTATTATAAGCATTTTTAACCTAAATAAATATTTGAGAAATATAAATAATTTACCTAGCCTTTATGATTATTTATTTATAGCTAAAAATAATCCAAGAGATAACTTATCCATAAATTTCAGCTAAAGGCAAATGTAGGCTTAAAAAGGCAGCAATTCTGAGAAATGAAATTAAGTTTGCATTAGGCAAATGGAATGAGTCCATAATTAACCATAAATATGCAGAACGAGGACAAAAAGATAGTTGATCTTTACATCCCAAGAAAGTGCTCTGCAACCAACAGACTTGTCGGACCTAGCGATTATTCAAGTGTTCAGTTAAATATAGCTGATGTAAACGAAGACGGAGTTGCACTCAAGACAAACCAAACTTTTTGCATCTCAGGGAGAGTCAGAAGACAAGGATTTGCTGATGGATGCCTTAACAGACTTTTCAAAGAGAAAGGACTCTTGACTTTCGCTAACTAAAGGAGCTAAAAAAACTTTTTACTTTAAGCTGCCTTATTAAAATATAAAAAAAAATTTTAATATAATTATTAACTTATTCCTATAATTGATTTAAACTTAAGCTAGCCAATTTTAATTTAAAAAGTGTTCGCTTTATAATAAGAAGTAGTAAGTAAGTTATAATCTTCTTCACAATCTGACTCATAACTAATCATATGTATCGGGCTAGATTGAAACTCAAAATTGATAGGCTAATTCTTGAGCTTAGCTTTTTATACTCTTAAATATGCATTTTAAATAAAATTTCTTAATTAAATTTGCTTATAGCATCTGTAAAATTAATCAAGTTCAGTTGTAAAAAATTTAAGAAATTTGCTGAGGAACAAACCTATAAGGGTGTATCAAAATCCTCTGGTCATCGCTCCCACTGATAATTTTGTCATGCTTTATATCGAAATCCAAGATTGTCTCTTCATGTCCGATCCATTTTCTCAGCCCATTTCCATTTCTTCCGTCATAGCATTTCAATTTCCCTTCCACAGTCGATGCTACAACTTCAATGCCTACCCAGATTGCCTTGACTATTCCGCTTCCCATGCTGATTGTAACTCTACACTGAAGACTTTCTAGCTCATAAATCTTGATCTCCCCAGTCATACCCCCAGCCAAAAACAGGCTCATTTCTTTACAAAAATCCACTGCCTCTACAGAGTCTTCAAATGCCTGTATTTTTGTCAAAATTCTGTTTCCTGCTCTATTTGCCAGACAGACACAGCCATCTCTACCTCCTGATAATATAACATTATTGTCTTGGTACATTACTATTGACACTATTTCTTCTTGGTGAAAATCCCTGCCTGAAAATGTGCACTCACTAGGCCTTTCAGAGTAATTTTCTTCTTTCATGTCCCACACCTTTACAGACCCGTCTTTTCCGCCTGAATAAAGATACCTCCCATTGGGTGAAATCCTGCACATGTTGATAGGATGTCCATATAAAACAGCTAAAGGTGTGTTTTTCCTTATATGCCAGACCCATATAGACTGGTCCCCACTGCTTACAGCAATAACAGGCCCTTTAGGATGCCACTCAATGTTTAGGATTTCGTCTGATGGGCCTTCAAGGGTAGCTATAGGTTCATCTAGGCTTGAGATCTGCCATATAGAGACTTTAGAATCCATGCTTGCAAGTGCAAGATATTCCCCATCATTGGAAAACCTCGCTTGGACTATTGTGTCTGTGTGGAAGGCCAATTCTGTATAGTCATCATTATGAAAAAAGAAGGCTTTATCATCCACTCCGCCTGTAACAAAAACTTCTGGATTTGTGGGATGAAAATGGACAGAGCAAACTGAGTCTGTGTGGGCTTCGAGCTCTGAAATGGGGAAGATCCGGGTTAATGTGTCACTGTCTTCAGATCCCACCTCTTCAGAGGATTTTTCCATGTGCTCTTCCATATTCATGTCCATTTTATCACAAGTTAGAATTATTATGCAAAACTACGATTATTCGCAGCGGACTGTATTTTCTTCAGTTACCAGAACCTTTAAAAAGATGGAGAGTGAAGTATAGGTCCAGGGTAGCGGTGAAGAGATCCCAGCCCCATAATAAGTGGATCCCATCATTTTAGGAAGTCAGGGGTGGGTTTTTGTCTGGCTAAGACCCTATGAAATACGTTTTTCTCAGCCCATTGACGAGAAACCGAAGTCACAGTGTAAGCTCATACTTCTGGGGAAGGAATATTTGCATACATATAGTGTGGTAGTCTCAGAAGGAGGTTTAGGACGGTAAACTCTGATCCTAAGCGCTTCCAGGGGTTTAATAGTACTTGGTCGCTGAGGCAAGACATAAGCATAGCCGCGTCGTCTCCCCGAGAGACTGATGACGTCAAAAAATAAAGGGCGTATGTGCGATAGCTGGTGCGCTAAGGACTGGTAGAGGCTGAAATAATCTTCTACTACAATTTAATCTTATCTAATAATCTAATCAGTCACCAAAGATACCAACTGTATAAAGCTAGGCCTTTGGTGGTAGTCCAAAATCATCATTCTTCTTAGAATATCCTTTACTTTGCCATCATAAGGTAGATTTTCTATTTTATTGATCAAGTCACTTTGGTTTTCAGGCAAATTCAGGTCGATCACACTTTTTAAGCTTGCCATTTGCAAAATTGTTAAGCCTAAAGACACAATTAAAATGGAGGTTTTCTGGTAAGGTTAGTTCCCTCATTTTGGCTCATGAAGTATAAATTAGGTTCTTCTGAGAGTTTTATCGATTGAGGCGTTATCCTCTGGCACTGGATGGTGGATTAAGAATGTTCTTTGAAGCTGAAGGTGACTAGAAGTTCTAATAGTGTTAGAAAAAAGAAGATGAAGTTATTATGAACTACTTACTAACTAGATAAGCCTAAAGAGAAAACATCAGACTTTCCAGGGTTGAATTTAACTCTGCTTGGCCCATTTTTCGATTTATAGTCATTAAATGCTTTTTGGAGCTCAGGAGAGAAATATCCAGACGTTCCTTGTATCGTTGCCTCTTTTGTTATTGTCGTTATCCCATTAGTAGTCTTGCTTACATTGAAATCAGAGATTTTATAGACATCGTCTGAGATTAAAATGTTGTGTGGCTTGATGTCTTGGTGGTAGATCTTCATATTTGATAGCACTGCAAAGCCTTCAATTAGCTGCTTGATGGCGTCCCATAGTTCAATTTGAGTATAATTCCTACCTTCTTTTTTTCTCATATCAATGTCATTCATAAGAGTTTTTTGGCAATAGTCCATGATTATATTCAGTCTGTGATATTCTCTTTCATTTTCTACTACTGTATCCATAAATGACCCATAAAGCTGCAGAAAAGCCTTATGCCTTGTGTCGCTGAGTTTCTTTAATATTTCAATTTCTGTGTGATAATTAAGCAGCCATTTTCTTTCAGTCGATTTATAATATTTTACTGCAACGATTTTGGATTCCCCATTATCAAGTCTCAAGTTGGCTTTCAAAACAGCTATTGAGTTGTTGTCTCCTTTCCGTAAAAAGTATATCCAGTCAGTTTCTTGTATGACTAGCTTTTCTCCTCACTTATCAATAATCCCAAATGTTTTGATTTCTTCATCAGAAAACTTGCCTTGGCTTTCATTTTCGCCATTTTCTGTTAAATTAATAGCAGTTGATGTAGAGCTTCCAGTGCCTTTAATTTGGATAAATTCATTGATTTCTGCTTTTAAAGGCTCATCTAGGTAGTCAAAACTTTGGAGATATCTCAGGCATTTGGATATTTGAGAGTTTATAAATTGGTCAGTGCTGCTTAAATTGTTTTCAATTAGATTAAGAGCGAGGATAGTGAGAATATGGGCAAGGTCTTGGAAATCTCAGTGCTCGGGTGAGGCTTTATTAATTTCTGAGAGAAGAGCTATAAGAGAACTGAAATCTGTAGTTGAGAGCTGAGTTCATGATAGAGCTTTAAACTTGAATTCCAAAGCAGATTTAGCAAGTCTGCAATCAGAGAAATTCATTGAGTATTGATTTATAAATATATTCTTTAGCTTTAATTATCATTAAAATAGAAATCTCCATTTATTCGTTGCATTCAATAGATTTTATTATATTATTCACTCAGAGAGCTCTTGAAAGCTTTGTGAACTTAGAATGCAGGTAATAAATTGATTTGAAATGTCTTCAGAAACTTCTTCGATTTTAAAATTTTGTTTCTTTAGAGTCTGAAGAGTTGCGAAGCACTTTTTAGCAATTTTAGAGGTAAAATCTGAGTCATAAGAAGCTTTCATCAAAAAGGCACAGCTGCACAATGTGCTGAGTTTTTCTATGATTTCTGTAGGAAGCTGTGAGTCAGATATTTTTAATCAAATAGATTCGATTTCTCCACACGTCAAAGATGAATATGAAGCAAGTTTAGAAAAATCTTCAATTAGAAAAGGATATGTTTTCTGGCGGATGTAGGAAATAACTAATGGCAATAGTTCATCCTGCATGACTTTTATCATCGAATTTGGTTCTGTTTCAACCATTTTGCATTCTATATAATCTTTTGATATAAAAAAGTTTTAATTAAAAGCTTTTAACCAATGGAACTAACTCTGGAGTTTAATACAAAAGAAAGAAAAACTAAAATTAATCGCTAAAGATTCTCATAGGAAATATAGTTATTTAATATATTTACTAACTCCCCCTTTAAATTGGAACAAAACATCGGTAACATTTGCGTGCTTTAATCCCCCTTTAAATTGGAACAAATTTGTTTTTCAATAGAAATTTTAACGATGAAATACTAGTTTTTATAAAATTGGCTCTAGATTAATAGGCAAAATGCAAGTAGAATGCTATTTAAACAGCTTTAAAACTGAATTAATTATTTTTTATTTAATTTTTTCATAAAATTAAATTAAAATTCAATCAATTTATATTTCTTAAAAAAAAAATAAATAAAAATTTAAGATAATCTTTATAAAATTAATTTGACCTAATTTAATGGGAAAAATGCAATTAGAATGCTATTTAAACTTTTTCATGCTAAATTGATTAATTTGTTTTAATTATTTCTTCATAAAAATAAATTAACATTCACAGTATTGTGTTCAATTTAGATTTTAAAAAAAAAATTTATAGACAAAGATTTAATATAAATTATTTTTAAAATAAATTAGCCCTTTAAAATGGAACAGGATTTTTTGTTCCAATTTAAAGCGGGGGGATTAAGTCTATGGCCGTATTTTGTGTGGTGGTTTATATATAGCATTAAAACAAGGTAATATTTTTCGCTTTCTAAATAAGGCAGTAGATTTATAAAATTTTATCTTAATCGTAAATATAAAGTCATTGCTAGTCATTTGATAGCAATTTTTTCGTCGAAATATTTTCTCATAAGACAATTGTTTAAAAAATTTCTAGAATTCTATCAGGCAAATAATTTTAACAAAAAATACCTAAGGAGATGCCACTCAAGAAAAATGTTGCGATCAAATGTTACGAGCCATATAAAGTATATTAATTATCTTAAGTCAAAAATTCAATGTATATATCATGCGGAACGTCTTAAAATAGTGCTTGGATGATCTGGGCTGGTGCCTGGCTAGGACTTCAAATCCTAGGGAGGCTAGCGCCTCAGGCGTTCGATTCGCCCTTCTGAGCGTTTTTATTATTCATTTGACAACCCTAATTAATTAAAATCCAAACAGATTTCTTCGATATTTAATGAAATTAATTATGGCTCTTGCTCAGCCTCTTTTTCTATCTCCTCTTTGCTTACCTCCTCCCTAACTATTTCAAGCGAATCACTTTCTTTTATTTCTTCAGTTTTATTTGTTTCTTCAGGATTTTCAGCTTGTTTGTACGTTTCTTCAGGGTTTTCATGCTCCTCTGTTTTACTTTCTTCATTAACTTTATTATCTTTCTTTATCCTCTTATTCATAGTTGCAGTTGCCCCTTCCAGTTCATGTAGCCATTTTGGCACACCCCTCTGGACCTCCTGGACGACCTCTTCTTCTTTATCTGTCTTCGCAGAAAATTTTTTATCAATCGTTGCCATCAAGGTGTCCATATCTTCTGAGCTCAACTGGTACTTGCACGCATATTTCGACACCAGCTCAGCTGCATACATAGTGTCAACCTGAAAAGTTAGCATAGTATTTCCAAACACCCCCAGCTGACAAAACACGATATTTTTAATGCGATTTTCAATTGATTCCTGAGTTTCATTTTCATGAAGACCGTACACTTCATGACTCTGTATATCTTCATCAATCGCAGACTGAATAATTCCTTCCCAGAACTCCATACTTGCTCATATAGAATGCGAAATAATAAGATTTTGCAAATACTCAAGCGGGGCGTTTGGTGATCCTTGGGCTTTGCGGAAAACTTGTGAAAGCTGGATGAGGTTTCTGGAGGTTCTTATATCAGTGGTTAAGGCACATTCGTTGAGGACTACTAGTAGAAGTTCTCCCATCTGTTCGAAGCTTTTTTCACTGAGAGAGACATCTCCTTGTGTCTTTTTCTGGCCGAGAACAGAAGTAAAACATTGTCTTGCAGAAGGATCTTTGATTATATTTCTAAATTGATGGAACTCTTCTGGCGAAAGATTCTCCGCGTTTCAGGTTTTCTGTAAAATATTGCTGATTTCGGACTTGTACACGTCTTGTAGAGCATTTAAAGCTTGAGAGTCGCTGGTGGTGATGCTATGTGGAATCGTCACAATGGGTGCATTATGCTTTACTTCTTTAAATGATGGATGAGTTCCTTGGTAAGGCTCAAATTCTAATAAGATCATTTTAGGATTATTTGAAGTGTTTTCATCAATGAATTGGTTGATGTCAGCTTGAATATTAACACTTTCCATGGAATGAGCCAAATTATCAATATCATACTGTAGATTCCTTAAGCAGCTAGTCTCGTAAACTACCAGTTTCCTCAGAGAGTCCTTCATAGCTTCCAACCTCTGCTCTTCTTGCTTTTGATAAATTTCAAGAATCATAGCCATCATATCACAATAACGGGTTTGATAGGAATTATAAGCATTGACAGCCTCAATGTTCTGCTTCATGCTGTCTTCTACTTCTTTCTTGCTCAGAATCAATCTTTGTACGAGTTTTTCCCTTTTCACTTGAGGGATTGGCTGCTCAAGCAAAATTGTGAGCTGCTCGCATTCCATGCATGCTCTGACATACCTCCCTTTAGATTTTTCAACTCTTTCCTTTAGCATTGCTTTGTCCTTTTCAAGTTTTTTCCCTTCTGCACTTGCTTTTTTAAGGGTATTTCCTTGATTTCTTAAAAGTTCTTTAAAAGGCTCGACCAAGTCATTGGTAATGCTTTCTGCTAGTATTTTAGCTTGCATGGCCTTATTCAGGTTATCATTTTTCATTGCTGAGATAGCGTGAGACAAGGTGCCTTGGCTGGTCACAAAATATGGATGATTTCCTAATCGCTCCAAACCTCTTGCATATGACTCTTCATGCTGTGCCCTTTCTTTAAGCAGCTGAATGAATTCTTCTCCTCCCTTCCGCCTGTGTAGACAATGATTGTGAACTAGTTCGAATTGGTCGTGCAAATTTTCGCGGAAACTCATTTTTAATTGATTTTACTATTAAAATAGGCTAGATTTAGCTTAATAACTAGGGGATGAAGTAAAGGGCTGCATCTCTAAGGTCCATTTAGGAATAAACATATGAGCTGCCCTTTCAGCCCAGAATGGAAGTTTGCTTCTAATAAGCTTGGCTTTTGCTATCAGTTGCTCGCCTTCGTTTTCTCGCTTGGAAATTTTGTTAAGCAGTCCTCCATACTCTTCACAGACTAACGCTTCGTCCCAGTCTCCTCTCTATATAATTGTTACTCCTTCTAAAATGCTCATTGCGTTGCTCAACAGCCCTTCTGCATGTAAGAATTGTTTTTGGTCTCTCAGCAGTCTCCCAGTCAAGGTAAGCACTCTTCCTAGTTTTGTCTTGTCGACTTCTTCGTATAATTTTAGTGCGCATTTAAGCCATGCTGCAGTTTCCTGAAATCTAAATTACTTGTAATGTCAAGCCGTCTCCCCACCCCATTTCTGCCAAAGTTGTAAGCACAAGCCCACTTTCTTTCTTTTTAAGTCCTGGGTTGTCAGGGTTTGGCTCATAGGGCTCACTGAGATTTTCAAAGTATTGTATTGCTTTTTTGAAGTTAGGAATTGCGTGCACGTACTCGATGACTGCATTTCTGTTTTCCTTGATTTCTTGAGTATTCAATTTATTAGGATTAGTGAATTTTCTAGGGTGGACTAGTTGGGCATAGGCGAAATTATATAAGACTTCAGGCTGAGGGTCTTTGTTAAGTACAAGTGCTTGTAAGTGCTCTTTTGCTGTGATGAAATCTTCCCCTTTGAGAACTAGGGATATTCCAAAAAGATAATGGAAAAATTCAGAAGGGGTGTTAGCCAACACTTCTCTGCAAAGGTCAACGCATCTTCCAACGTCGGCCTCTAGTAAATACATTGCCAAGGTTTCTTGTGCTGCCAAAAATAGATCTGGGTATGTCTCTGCTTTTGATTCATAGTGCTTTACGATGTCTTTCAATGCTTTTTCACACTGCTTTGTTTTATTTTGCTGCTTATATACAAAAGCAAGCTTTTTCAAAGTGAAATTATAAGCAGGCTCAGCAAATAACCCTCCATTTTTGAGGATTTCTAAGCACAGATTCAGCTCGATCTCAGCCATCTGGTATCTTTTCGCATTTATATACTCTATAGTGTTTCCACACTTTTAGCCTCCTCTTTGTCCCAACGTCTCCCAAGAAATCTTGGGTTGACTCCATCAGCTTATGTTGATGAAGCCAACCCTCAAAGTGGCAAATCCTCAAATTAATGTAAATTTGCCACTTTGAGGGTTGTTCACAAGCTTATGTTGGTGAATCAATCCTTGGGAGACATCTGGACAAAAACGTGGAGACACTTTATTGCTCTCACAAATTCGTTCAAACCTCTTGCTTCTTCAATCCTAGGCACAGGGGGCAGAGTTGGTCCAATTCTTGAAAAATTCCTTATAAGTAGCCTCCACATTTATAAGATTTAAATGGACAACTATCACGTGCTTCATCCCATCGGAGAAGGCTCATTCGGCAAGGTCTTCAAAGGCCGAAGAAAATTCTCAGGCCAGATCGTAGCCTTAAAGTTTATTACCAAGCGTGGAAAAACAGAAAAAGATTTATCAAATCTCCGGCAAGAAATCGACATCCTCCGCGGGCTGCATCATGAAAATATCATTCTTATGCTTGATACCTTTGAAACTCCTCACGAGTTTTGCGTTGTTACTGAGTTTGGACAAGGAGAGCTTTTTGAAATTTTAGAAGATGATAAAAATCTGCCAGAAAATGAAGTAAGAAAAATCGCTCAGCAGCTGGTGTTTGCGCTGCATACAAAAAATGGCGCAGTGAACCAGCAAAATCTGCTAACATCTGTAGCTGGGGAGACACAGGGACCTTGTGGGAGGGAGTTTTGGAGTTCTTTATGTATATTCAGCCAGTCCCTACTTGGCTTGGTGAAGCGCAATGTTTGATTGGTGTACCGCACTTTTTATTTGTGTGAATCATGGAGACAAAAGGGAATTGCAAAAATATTCTGCCTTGATGAAAAGTCAAGGATTGTGAGCTTGATGCAAGATCTTTTGACGAAATTGACTCAAATTATAGTGTTAGTGACAGTGAAGACAGTTTGTTTTGAGATGAAGAGTTTTGGGATAGAGTTGAAGAAATTCTTGGAGATGAAGGAACAGTTTCTGAGGACAGCGAAGTTGAAGAGGATGAAGAAAAAAAGTAGAAGAGGATGACTGGGAGCAAGAATTGCTGCGAGCTGTTGGAGGATTGGAGGGAATAGTGATGGATGAATGGGAGTTGATATTGACCTCTCATTCAATTCGATCACTACCCTACGAAATCGACAGCATAGAAAAGAAGGAGGCCAAAGAAACTAAAGAAACCAAAGAAACTAAGGAAACCAAAGAAACCAAGGAAACCAAAGAAACCAAAGAAACCAAAGAAACCAAAGAAGCCAAAGAAACCAAAGAAACCAAAGAAACCAAAGAAACCAAAGAAACCAAAGAAACCAAAGAAAAACTAAAGAAACCAAAGAAATCAAAGAAACCAAAAAACCAAAGAAACCAAAGAAGCCAAAGAAGCCAAAGAAACCAAAGAAACCAAAGAAACCAAAGAAACCAAAGAAACCAAAGAAACCAAAGAAACCAAAGAAACCAAAGAAACCAAAGAAACCAAAGAAACCAAAGAAACCAAAGAAACCAAAGAAGCCAAAGAAACCAAAGAAACCAAAGAAGCCAAAGAAATCAAGGGGGCCAGAGAAAGCAAGGAAATCACAGAAAACGATGGAAATAAAGAAACGGTGACAAATTCAGTTGTCAAGGGGGAAAAACACCAATAGTGGTGGGAAAACTGGAAGAGGAGGAAAAAAAGCGCAAGCAGTTTGGTATAAATCGCTTATTTTTGGTGAAAAAACCCAATTTTAAGTTCAAAATGATCCATAAGGATCGTTAGGCAGAAATTTCTGCTAGATTCTATAAGATAAGATAAGATTGGTGTACCGCAGGCTCACATTCAGTTCAAGGTTTTGCCTCGGATTAAGATAGAGTTCGGAGTTAGAAAGGTGCCTCCCGCCAATACTAGTGAGGTTCCTCCTTGCTGATCAAGAACGTTCCCCAACACGATGCCAGGTGTTACGTCCTGGATTACGAATTTTCATCTTGACCGACAGTTGATCAGAAAATTTGTCTTTTGAATTTTCTAGAAGCCAAACCCTGTTGACTTATATGGCACGATGACCCAAACTTTCCTACTGTCAGGGAGCATATATGCTGGTAGGAGCAAGACTTTGAAGGTCGCGAGACAATTATCAGCGAAGCAGACGAGTGGAGAGTTATGGCAGGGAATAAGGTTCTTCAGATCCGACTATAATTAAAATAAGTATAAGTGTAAGGTATTTGCGCTACATTATTTACATAGCAATAGGATTATTCACAGAGATATGAAGCCACAGAATATTTTGATTACTGCGAACGGGACAGTTAAGCTATGTGATTTTGGGTTCGCTAGAGCTATGAGCTCAAACACAATAGTTTTGACTTCCATTAAAGGTACTCCGCTATATATGGCTCCAGAGCTTGTACAAGAGCTGCCATATAACCACACAGCAGATTTGTGGAGCTTGGGGGTCATTATTTATGAGCTGTTTGTGGGACAGCCTCCATTTTATACGAATTCTATATACACTTTGATCAATTTGATTGTGAAAGATCCTGTGAAGTTCCCTGACAACATGAACCCTGACTTCAAGTCTTTCCTGAAAGGACTGCTCAATAAAGCTCCCCAAGAAAGACTTGCGTGGCCTGATTTACTGAACCACCCATTTATAAGGGAAACCAGCGAAGAAAAACTAGCCAGAGAGTCCAGGACTAATAAATATCTGAAATGGGCTGGGATTGAGCACCCTTTATCTGACTCAGCCCCTAAAAAGCAAGCTGCATCTGTATCAGAAGGATCAGATATCTGGCAAAGATATGAAACTATGGCTAGTGATGAAGCAGGGGCTACAAGGCTTAGACATGATGCACAGTTCCTTGACAGAGTGATGTCGCTGTTCCAAATGAATGCTGATTTCAGGACTGCAAAGGACAGAAAAAACAATATAATTTCGGCTTTGAGAGCGATAATTTTGATTGTATCCAAAGCTAAGCTTGAAGACCCAAACCAAGACATTTTGAAGTCTGCAGCGTTGACTAGTGGACTAATTGGACTAATAAAACGATGCATTAGACTTGATCAAGGATCGCCTGCGCCAGTATTGACAGACATGGTATCTGAAATTGTAAGAGCAGCTGGGCTGATTGCAAGAGCTACCTTCAATAAATCATTAGGCATCGAGCCAAATATGGTAAAAGGCTTTATTGTGCTGGTACCTCAACTGCTGTACTACCCAAATGGCCCAGGCTCAAACTGTAATATAGACCAAGCAATGACTTTGCTACAAGTCAACACTGTAAAATCAGTCGGAATTATCCTAAACCAAGCAGGACTAATCCCACTCAGATGCATTTTTGTCTATACAGACATAATAGAAACCAACACTTTGCATGAAATTTGTCTGCTCATAAAGCAAGGGATCTCTCAAGGTGTAAGCTCGCTCCACAAATCAGCGATCCAAGCCATCCAAGTTATCATCCACCCTTCAAGCGGAGATGTGATTCCTTTTCCTTGGAAGCGCGGAGGCCGAAACGAACTTGTTGACGACTACAATGCAAATTTCCACTTCTTCGAAAACCTCAGACAAGTTGTGTGGAAAGCGTTTAACCAATTTGACTGACTCCAGTGCTTAGTTCAGATCTTTAACTCAGACGACGAAGGTAATGTCACGAAACTGTCAGTTTTAAGGGTCCTACTACAAATGATGAGGATTTCTAGAGACGCTGTCGACGTCGTGCTGCCTCACAAAGGAGCGATGAATCTGCTCTATGGGCTGATTTCAAATCCAGATCCAGTACTTGCGTCGATTTCTCTGCAGATCTTGACACACATGCTAAAGCAGATCGCAGCTTATAAGAGGAAAAATTTGGACCTTGAAGTTGATGTAGGATACCTATTAGAGTCATTTGAAGAAAATTGCCTGGTTCAAGAATCTTATATAATTAATTATCAATTTAGCTATCACAGAATGGACAGGGGATTTGCACTTGTGCGTGCTCGTCATCCATAAGGATCCTAGCCCATCTCTCCACCAGAGGAGAGCCTTGCACAACCAGCTAAGACATTCTTAGGGCTTATTCTCCAAGACGTAACTCCAAAATTATGTTACTCATTTTATCATCTTGTGATTTGTGGCTAACCAGAATCATAGCTAGCATGCTCTTTCCAAGAACCAACTGAGATAAAATCCTATGTTTCAGGGATTAGCTGTCTAAGATATGAGTTTAACCACCATCGATATACACCAAGGATGCTGGACCTGTTTTTCAGCTTAGTTTCCCACTTTGATGTTGAAAAAACTACTCCAAAAGGTCAGGCCGGGTCGGCGGCTCTGCCTTATAATGTATACAAGAATTTTACATAATTGCTATGAGCTCTGCATGCTTACTGTCAGAGATACTGCAGAGCGGAAGCCCAAAGCACGTTGATATGATCATGCAGAGACTGTCAACACCTGCATCTCTCTCAATAATTGTAGAAATTCTGACCCCGAGAAATAACAGACAAGAGGAAGTTAAGAGAATTGAAGGGTCAGGGTATGGGTGTTTGTTTATGGGCTTTTCTGATGGGATTATTTTGCTTCTGCAAAGGATGCTCGCGAAATCAATTGCAAACGACAATGTTAGAGAATTCATTATGGGGCTTAATCAGTCTGGAGTCCCAGCACTGATTGTGACGCTCATCAATGGTCTGAATGCCAAATGTGAAATTTCCCCTAAAGGACTGATTTCGCTTTTAACCTTTATTCATGATGCAATTTATGAGCAGTTCAGAGTCCTCTTGCAGACTCTAATTCATGACGGCATCATCAAAGTTTTAGCATCATATTTGAAAGAAAGCCAGCTTGCCAGCATCCAAGAATGGCCAGTTGTGTGCGGAGGTGGGCCAAGTGCAGTCAACCTTATTATTGCTCAGGTTTTAAGAATTTTTAACCTGCCACACTCCATGCAAAACTATGCAAAGGAGCTCGAACAGTTCAATAAAGAATGTGCTGACTCTGAGATTATAACTTCAACGCTAAATATTATGAAATTCCTGTCAAGAGAGCACTTGGGGATCGCAGTTTCATTGCTATCGAAAATGATAGTGAATACAGATGGCTCCAAGCCATTTGCCCAGCAGTTTGTAAACGCAGGAGGTAATTTAAGTTAAGTAAGAAAACTCTTGAATGTCTTTGTCTTCTGTTTTCTAAAGCCTTTTACTTGGGATACGACTTAATTGATCGGTAGTTACATGACCATTAGAACTTCAATTGCCTCCAGCTTCAAAAAGCACTTTTCTTCCACTACCCAGTGCCAGTGGATAGTACCTCTATAAGGTAAACTCTCAGAAGAACCAAAGTTCCTCTTCACTGAGCCTAAGTAAGCGAACTACCCTTACCAGTTCACCTCCATTTTAACTATTCAGGAGGTATGAATATTATAAGTCAATACAACCTTCTCGCCCAAGACAACCCTACCCATCTCTTAGTCGATATTTTATCTCTCATAAGCCAACTAGCGAGGCTACAGCGAGAAAACTATGAGCTAATTCACAATGAAAACATTTATGGAGACTTAAGAAAACTCATAGAGCATCGAGAATCAACTGTGAGAAGCAAAGTTTGCAACCTGATAGGGAATATTTGCCGGCACTCAGCCTTCTTCTATGATTATATCTTAGAGCATGGGCTTATTGCATGCGCTATAAACTGCTGCAAGGACCCAGATAGGACCACAAGAAAATTCGCTTGCTTTGCTGTTGGAAATGCAGGGTTCCATAATCAGAAATTATATGAGCACTTAAGACCTTGCGTGCCTTTGCTAGTGGATTTATTAAGCGATGAAGAAGAAAAGACGAGGGCAAATGCAGCTGGGGCATTGGGAAACCTTGTAAGGAATTCTGATTTGCTGTGTATGGATTTAATAAGACACGGAGCATTAAAGCAGCTATTGGAGGTTGTCAGAAGCGACCAAGCCCAATCGCAGTCGCCTAGGCAAGTCGCTTTGTTTTCAATAGGGAACTTGTGTGTTTATCCCCAGTGTAAAGAAGAATTTGAGCGGCTGAATATTCGGTCAGTTATAGAAGGATACTTGCATCATAAAGATCAACAGGTCATGAAATATGCGACAAGAATACTTCAAAAATTGGGCAACTAATAAGTAAGATATTGAGGCTATTAATATAGATAAATTATGCGTGTTTAAGCTTTAGCAGGAAAGGAGCATTTCATTTAGAAATAAATGAAAATAAAAGAAAAATATTTATATGAATAAATTATTAGATCTTTATTACTTCTAGTCAACGATATTCATTAGTGTTCCTAAATAATTAAAATGGATAAGTCCGTTCTCCCACCAAACTGGGAAGAAGCTAAAGACAAGAGTGGGAAAGTTTACTATATAAACAAGGCAACTAACTCTCATTTTCCAGAAAAAGTAAATATCGCAATATTGAATAAATTCGTATTTATAATGTGTTTAATATATAATTTATGATCAAAATAAAAAATCTTAATTGGTTTCATGAAGAAGGAGTAACATGACTTCATGGGAGAGACCATCAATTGACGACATCAAAGAAGCAGAAGATTTGAGTCCTCCAAATCGACTTTCAGACCCAATAAGGAAGTGCTTATCCTGCCTCAAGCCTCAGTTCGACATTGACACCGAGGACATAAAAACACGAGTCTTAAAAGCATTCAATCCGACTTATTCCAAATTTATTGAACTAATTGAGTACAGGACAGATTTATATGGACCATTTTGGATATATACAACGCTCATTGTTCTACTGGCTTCTGCAAGCAATTTTTCATTAGCCATAGGAGGAGAGACCAAGAACAACCTTGAGTTCATCACTGGAGCCTGCACTTTTATCTATCTCATCGGATTTCTAGCACCTCTCTTGATATGGGGATTATTGAAATACTCTGGAAGCCAAATCAAGTACTTGCAAGTCCTATGCCTTTATGGTTACTCATTGGTGGTTTACGTCCCTTCAGCAATGCTCTGCATTATTCCTGTCAGTTTCTTGAGGTGGGTATTTGTTCTATATTCTATGGTCTCTTCAGCATGATTCTTAGTCGTGAACCTCAAGCAAGAAATGGAAAGCTACACTGAGCTCAAACAGAAATACTCACTTCCCATTCCATAATTGATTAAAAAAAATTTGTTCGCTCAAAAGAGAGCAGATTTTTTTTTTTTAATTTTTTTCGAAGCAAAAATTTATTAATTTTTTGAAATTTATGTTGTTTAAAATTCAACAGAATAAGCTAGAGGTTTCATTATATAATTATCTCTTATATACTAAAATATTTTTTCATAAAAATTTTGTTTGTTCAAGAAATTTTTTTTCCTAAAAATAGGATTAATCTATTTTTTTTGCTCATGAAGGGGTCAGTGCTCGGCTTAATAGGAGTTCTCCAGCTTGTTCTTGGTCTTACTTTCAAAATGTACTTCTTCGGGTACATCTACAGTGAATCTTAACTTAATTTAGTTTCTGGGTAATTCAAATAAATGGGAGTACCAACATTCTTTAGATGGCTCACTCTCCGCTACCCTAAATGCGTAGTGGACGCTAACGACTCCAGCTTAGCCCATGACCTTCCCCAATTCGACTGTTTGTACTTGGACTTGAACGGGATCATTCACCCTTGCTGCCATCCTGAAGGTAAACAGCCTGAGTCAGAGTTTGACATCTTTCAGAACATTTTTGTGTACATTGAGGACCTCACAAGGCTCGTCAAACCGAAAAAACTGATTTATATGGCCATTGATGGGGTTGCGCCAAGAGCCAAAATGAATCAGCAAAGGGCCAGGTTAGATTAGTTTTAGTTAGAATGGGTCTTCGTGGCTTATTTCAGCCCCTCTCCACCTTGCCAGCTTCAGGCTCCTCGCCTTAGCACTAGCGCCATTTTCTGTCGACGTTCCAAAAAGTGGTGATCTCAGCAACTCTTGGGGAGACGCAGCTTCTTAGACAACTCCTAACGGTCAGTGTCATCTTCCCGGAGATGGGAGATAGGAGGCACCTCGATTCATCTTTCCAATCCCATATACATAAAAATGGTGACGACAGACCACCCGACCTCCTCGACCCTATTTCCTCAACAGCAGCAGGCAACGGCCCAGTGTTGCGGATTTAGGTGGAAAGGGGCCGGTAATCCTTTATGTATTATCGGGCTGGGTTTTCTTTGGGCCCGAGGAGCTAATTCTCGGACTTGAAGTTTTTCCTCCAGGACAACCATTGGAAAGGGCAAGGTCGGCCATTGTCTGAAGGGCAATATGACCCTCAGACCCTGCAGACGGTATTTGCCCAACGAGAAACTGGGAGTTTCGACCCAGGTGGTTGGCCCTTAGACTCCAGAAGCCATGGAAGTCAAGACTGGTCGCGCGAATCCCTTGCTTGAGGCAACAAGGAGGGTGTCCGCCGAGGCTCCTCAGGGGCGATGAGCGTGTAGGGGTGCGAATCCGCGGCCCTGCAAGGCAAACGGCATAATCTAATCTAATCTAATCTTTCCAATCCCCATTAAACCTTCACATCCAAAAGCATGGAGTTGTCTTGCGTACTCTGTTCTACTTGTCTTTGTGTCGGTAAAGAGCCCCTGTCGTGGAGTCCCGACCAGGAGTAAAAGCCACCCGGACACAAAGTTTCAGGTCCCATCCCTCTTAACCCCCAAAAAACTTTGAGGGTATGGGAAAAGGACGGGTCGGATAATTCACCACTTATTTGCATGCAAAGAGCCAGAAGATTCAGAAAAGTTTTAGACGAAAAAGAAAAAGTGTCATCTGCGAATCATGAAGAAGCAAAAGAAAGCTCAGGTTTTAAGTTTGACACAAATGAAATCACCCCTGGCACACCTTTCATGGAAAGACTGGCTGAAGCCTTGCACGGGTTCGTGATGAGAAAGCTAGAGGGAGATTGGAAACATCTGAATATCATTTTTTCTGACTCAAATAACCCAGGAGAAGGGGAGCATAAGATTCTTGAATTTATCAGGACACAGAGAGCGCAGCCGGACCATAACCCGAATATAAAGCATGTCATATACGGAGCCGACGCTGATCTGATCATGCTTTCCTTGGTAACTCATGAAGCTCACTTTTACATCATCAGAGAAAATGTGATGGACTACAGAAAAGTGTTTTGCAAGATCTGCGGCCAGCCTGGCCATTTTGAGTATGATTGCAAAGGCTCAGCACGCATGAGGGTGGACGAAAATGATACCCTGCAGCCTGTCATCGCATCTGCAAAGTTCCAATTTATAAGACTTCCTGTGCTTCGGCAATATCTTTATTATGAATTTCAAGAGCTTTGTAGGTACCCTATATACGATTTTGAAAGGGTTTTGGACGATTTTATTTTCTTGTGCTTTTTCGTGGGGAACGATTTTCTCCCACATTTGCCATCTCTGCAGATCCGAGACGGCGCCATTGATGGGCTTATCTATCTCTATTGCAAAATCTTTTACAAACTAGGGGGCTATTTGACAGAAAATGGGAAAGTTGTGCTTTATAGGGTCGATATTTTATTTGCAGAAATTGCAAAGGTGGAGGATGAGTATTTTAAACAAAAATCAGAAAGAGAAGAATATATGAAAAAGAGAAACCAACAGAATGCGCCAAGGAAAAGGAAAGCTGAGGACGCTAGTGAAGAAGATAAAAATAGCATGGCAGCTCAAAAGCTATTGGAGGAAATGGAAGAGGAGGATGCTGTTGTTGACAATATCAGGCTAGGAGAAGAAGGGTGGAGGTTGAGGTATTATCAAGAGAAATTTGAGGTCAGCCCTGAAGAGTTTGAAAGTTTTAGACAGAAAATACATAAAAGCTACATGGAAGGAATTTCCTGGGTTTTCCAATATTACTATGATGGCTGCCCATCATGGGGGTGGTACTATCCCTTCCATTACGCTCCATTTGCCTCTGATTTATATAACTCTCATTTGATAAAAATTGAGTTCATACAAGGATCGCCATTTCAACCATATGCACAACTATTAGCTGTTCTGCCCCCTGCCAGTGCTAAAGCTCTTCCAGAGCCAATTCGGCCACTTTTGCTTGATCCCAACTCAGAAATCATTGACTTTTACCCAGACTCCTTTAAATTCGATATAAATGGCAAAAGGTTTGCATGGCAAGGAGTTGTTTTATTGCCATTTATTGATGAGAAACGACTTTTAGCTGCATTAGAGCCTAAGCTGAGCTTACTGAATGCTCAAGACACATTAAGAAACACTTTTGGTGACACACTGCTGTACACTCCAAAACTCCATCCCGAGTTTACCTTAATTTACACAGGGACAGCTCCCAAATTCTCTGAGCGATACCAAGTCCCAGTTGGCTCAAACGTTTTGCTTTATGTCGTCACAAACCCTCCTAAGAGGCCTCATTCCTCTCAAAGACTGCCTGGAGTTGTTGAAAGCAACCCAGAAGTGGACGAGCACGTATTTAGATGTGGAGATCGGAGACAGTTTGGAGGATTTACCCTTATCAATTTAGTCAGCAGGAACCTGACACAAGATGTTTACTCCCAGTCATGGAAGCAGCAAAGAGCTGATCCGTTTGCAAATGTAAACGCGTCTTATAACAATAATAGAGGAGTATCGATGCCTGTGCAAGAGAAGAAGGTGCAAGAGCAGGTTCCTGCTCCTGTGAAGGGAGATTTAGTAGCGAATTTGAAGAGACTTGTAGAGCTGTTAGCACAAAAGAAAACGAGTGAGTAGAGATTGAAATTTTTTATGAGTAATATTGATTTTCATTCTATTGGGACTATTATGCTAAGTTTAATATAAAGTTTGTTTGAAAATTTAATCTTAATCATTATCTTAAGATTTAATTTATATATTTAAGAAATAAAAATGATATACCTGTATGATTTCATCATAAATAGTAATGCTAAATAATCTTCATGAGAGATATCAATTATTTTCCTTTTAAGAAATTTTTTATCAATCTGCAATTATGCATTAAGAAATGTTTAACTATCTGCTGGTGGCTGCTGGGCGACTTGAGGTCTGAGAGTGGTCTCCAAATTAATAGGCTCTCCCATCATTCTTTCCCAAAGATTCAGCACATCGTCACAAGCGCTTTCGAAGTGAGAGGTCGCATCATAAGATTTGCTCACAAAAAGATTGTCAGCTCTACCATCTTCAGTTGGCTCAAAAGTGTCATAAACCTTGATAAAAGACACAAGCACGTCTCCAATCAGCTGATAAGCAGGCTGTAATTCTGCCTCTGGGGCATCAGTCTCTACACTTGTGCTGCAAATCGCAATGTAGTACCCTTCAGAGCATACACAGTGGGAGCTTGACATGAATGAAACATAAATATCGTTGCGTCTTCCTACTTGTCTTTGCGGGATTATAATTTGGCCTGATGGGGCGTTGTCACTATTTGGAACTGGGTGGTTGAGGATGCAGATAGCTCTGATGACTCTGCCAGTTGATCTTGCTTTGTCCAAGCTAAGAACGTATGAAGGGTCACACAGAATCAATGGCGCTCTCGCTACTTCTCCTTCAGCTCTCACTCCACAGACCTTTCCGTCTTCTCCAAACAGAATTTCATCAATAGGCTTGTTAAGCATATAAGTTCCTCCATAAATAGCAGAAAGCCTAGAAAACCCTTCAGCAATCCCACCAATGCCATAGACTGGGTACAAGAAAGGAGAATTTCCATAGAGCCCAATGCTGTCCATATAGAGCTTAGCTTTCATAATCAAATCGTGACTTGGCTGATCCAAGAAGGCGTCACTTGTATAGAGAGCGACTGCATGCCCAATAAAGTCAATGGTATTATCTTCCAATCCAAAGGCAGCAAAAAGTTCTCTTCCTGGCTGTCTCTGCAAATTCATGTTCTTGTGAGTCGCTGGGTCATTTGGCTCGTAATTTTGGACGAACTTGAAGAATTTCTTGCATCTTCTCTTTTCAAAAAGTCCCATCAAATCGCTTTTGAGGGCTTCTGAATCTGTTGCAGGGACTTTGTGAACCTTAGCTTTTGCTTTTGAAAAGACACCACCAGCTGAAACTTGCATGACATAAGAGCCGTCAACACATTTCCATTCTAAGTTGTTTGCCACAGTCTCGGTATGAAGAATAAGCTTGACGAGCTTGCCATTGGCCATTGTGAACTTAGGGATGAGGTCGACGTTCCATTCCCTGTTCGCTCCAAGCTCTGCTGGAGGTTCTGTGCCTGGGTAGAAGACTCTGTAAAGATTCGTCAAGTTTAGCGATGCTGTTTCGCCCCCATAAAAGTTGTTCCTGTCTAGATGCAAGACTTTTTTGCCGTGGGCTGACAATAGGCCAGAAATGATACATTCTGTGAGCCCAGTCCCTAAGACAATCGCATCGTATGTTTCTTCCATTTTATATTGCAACAGACTTACATTATCCATAAAAACATTTTAAATTAAGTCTCCTTCTACTTATTTTCTTTGTTCAAGAATAATTTATGAAGTTTTATAGGCAAGTGCCTTTAGATTTTTAAGTTTCTTTGTTATCAGTAAATTTATGCATTTTATTTTTCAGAGAAATCCCTTAATATTCTGCAATATTTTCTCGCTTTTCTTCTTATAAGAGATAGCCTGCATAAGTAAACTTCTCAAAAATAAATTTTGTATGCTAGAAATATACGCGCAAACTCTGAATTTGGCTGAATTTTGTTTATTACAGAGGTAAGTTATTTTGCGAGCAATAGCTTGGGCTAAGTAGTAGGAAATTTGATTCAATTAATCTCATCATTTATTTTCAAATGCTGCATTGCTTATAAAAGTAAATGTGCATAGATTTTAGTCTTCAAGTTTAATACAGAACATATCTAGAGTGCTCTTAAGTATACTTTTTAAGACATGGCTTGATAATTTTTAAAATAATATCTTAATATCAGGAATCTTCATTAATTAAATAGCGTAAAATAATCTTCAACTGATTCATAAATTTGCTTATATGCTTCTAATAATGGCCTTATTTTTGTTTTATTTAAAATTAATATCTCATTTTTTTCATGAAGATCTATAAAGTAGTTTATATTCACGCAGTCTACAGAGAGATCTTATAATCATATTATATATCCATAAAAACTCTAATTCAATCTTAATTAGCTATAGCATTCGCATTTGCTGCCAGGTTGCCTTTCCAATACCTCCTTCAAAACTACACTTGGGTGATTCATATGATTCCCCTCCAGAGTGGACTTCCTTGGTCTTGTCACGGTGAAATCGCAAACCTGGAAAATATGACTTCGAGTTTAAGTGTTTATTTTGAATTCATCAGGAACCCTAGGGGTTTAAGCATTCACTGCTTGTGGTAGGTATATGCAATTGCATTAATTATACTTCTGGAAAATGCATTCCATATTCTATTAAACTTTACTGTTACACTAAACAGCATTTCTCTTGCTTTCTCCAATAGCTTTTACCAAACCTTCAACATCAGCAGCATCAAAGATTAGCAGCAGCAGCACCATCATCCAATATCATTTATATCAGCAACAGCAAAAATAATTCATAGTAAAAAAAATTATAAAATCTTCATACAGTCTCCATGATTAATCATTGATTATATTTCCATCTCCAATTCAACTTAGATTCAGTGCTAGAAAGGTCCACTCCAAAGCAGAATCCTTCGTCGAATTGCAAACTCTTCACAAATTCTCAGGAAAAGCACATCCCAAAACTTTGGGAGCAAATGCGCCATTATGCATGAGAAATGATTATTAGAAAATATCATTTCCTAATGTTAGGAGTCTGAGACAAAAACCATCTGCCCTTTAATTCTATAACCTTAGCCATGTTTACCAGAACCGAATCTTATAATAAAATAAAAAAGTTATAAGTTTCTGTTTGGAAGAAAAAAAATTAAGCGACTCAATATGCTAATAATATAAAACTTTAATTACTTATGCACTTTAATTCTAAGTTTTGACTCTAAAAAAAATAGATTTCAATGGCCTAATGGATGCTTTACAATGTTTTATCAAAACACCCAATTTAAAGAGCCATATACTTTCAGAAGGCTAAAATCCTTACCAAACTTAAAGAAATTAGCAGTTTCAGGCTCAATGTACACACCCAGAACTGGGATCAAAGGAAACCTCACAAATCAAAATATTAGAAAAAGAATTGAAAGGTGTATTGCCTATAGTATTGACTTTGATAGGCATCTCCCATCACTTAACTGAATGACAAATTCTATTGAGCAATTAAATACTTGAAGGCCAAGCCATGAGGAACATAAAGAGACTGTCCCTTATGCTCATCCTCTTGAAAAGCTTGCTATCACTTGGAGAGGGGAGCACCTTGATAAAGCAAATATCATTATAAAATTAAACGAATATGAAAGATCGTATAAGAAGCCTAGAATTTCCATTACAAGTATACCAGAAGAGTTGGTTGAAGAGCTGGCAAAAACAAATTATGGAAGAAAAATACTGAAAGATGCATCAGTAAACATGCCACCAAGAAAGCTGTACTCGCTAGATAATTATCAAAAAATAAAGCAAGGATTGAGTGATCGGGATTTATTAATAAAAAGAAGTGCAAGAATTAATTCTGTATATAAATCACAGTAATTAAAATATCTATTCAATTATTCGGAATGTTAGTTAATTTCTAATAACATTATTGATCAGCAGGTTTTATTATTTGATGTGATCTTCTTAATTTAATGTTATGGAGTTATGTTCGGCCTCGCAGCGTGAGCAGCTATTTCTACCTATATAATTATGATTAAACTTAAATTTGATTAAATTTAATATACTGAAGAGGTACTTCTAATTTATCTGAAATATTCTCACTCAAGAAGCATTCCTTTATAATAAAAATTATTGCGATTTTTAATGCTGGAATTTTTGGTCCTTTTTACCTTAGCAGCTGGGCAATGCGTCATAACTCAGAGGGAAAGCATTGAAATATGCCTTCTAGATTTGTCTAAACAACGCGCTCCAAATAGTAGTGGGAATCTTGTTATACAGCTGTCATCAAAGGATATATCAGTCCCACTTTTGCTACTTATAAACAAAAATTGGGATCCACTATTTCGCTTTAATGCTACAGTTGATAATTATCAAGTCAATGCGTCGTATTCTGATTTCGAAGCTTGAAGCCAAAACTTGCCAAACAGCTACATAAAACTGCCAAACAGTTCTCTTAACTCGAATGATATTTTGCATATTGGAATTTACTCAGAGGTTATGGGCGTTACATATACAATCTCATGAACTCAAAGCCAAAGTAATGAATGCACGCCACAATGCGTTGCTAGCAATGGACGATGCACAAATAGTGGGTCGTGCGAATGCGATAGCGGGCCTTATTCAGGCTATGACTGTGGCGTTCCATTCACGGGATTGATGGCGAATGACACTGGAGAGGATTTAGAAGTCATGGCTGGGTCATGAGCTTTTTTTTATTTTAATCTCTCATATACTAAAGATTTTACTCTGAAAATATCAAACCCCAGTGGAGATCCAAGGTTTTATTTTAAGTTATTCACTGAAGATCAGTACCTCCCTAGCATGTTCTATGCTTGACTTCAAATGTGGTTTGGCGACGATGAAACTGCGATTTCTTATGATTTCCCAAATGGGGAAAATTTACTGTGAACTTTCTCAGTATTATGTAGAGGGTCAATCCCATGCAAGTTTACTTTAAAAGAAAGCACGTATTCAGACTCAAGTAAAAACTACATATGGTTGGTCGTAGCAATCGTTGTCACAGTCTGCTTAGTCTGTTTTTTAATTCCAATTGCAATTCGAACGCTAATCAGATATCGGTCTATAAGAATGGCCCAGATAATTGCAGATAGAAGGGCTAATCCATTAACTCCTGAAGAAATGGAAAAACTCTTCCCTGAAAAAGAATGAAGCACACTTGGAAAAGAAAAAGAATCATGTGCGATTTGTTTAGAAGATTTCGAAGCTGAAGCAAGAGTCAGAATGCTAAGCTGTGAGCATTTTTTCCATACGAAATGCATTGATGAATGGGCACAAACAAATGCAAAGTGTCCATTATGTAAAAAGAATTTGAGCCAAGAAAACCTAGAGGCTCAAGAGTCTGAAAGAGTTGATCAGGCAGAAAACCTTCTTGAGCCGCAAATTGTACCACGTATAGCGTTTGCTAGTTCAATTGATAACGATGAGCACGATACAAACCAAGAAACCCCTATAATTGAGCCTCTTCAGAAAGAGCAATCTGACAAAACAGAAATCATTGATATAAATTAAGAAATATTAATATTCGGCTTTTTATTAAATTTAGTCACATAAAGACTGTAAATATCTATTCAATATACTGGGCCATAAATTATGTTTAACAAAAAACACAAGAAAAGCAAAGTAAAAATAGAAGATTTTACAGAAGAAAACAGCCAAGTAATTATTAAGCACCAAGCAACCAAACGAAAACAAAACCGATGAATTCCTCAGCCAATCCAATCTGCTGCTTATGATTTTGATGAAATGAAAAAATCAGAAGAGGAGCAAGCTAAGTCTAATAAAGAAGCGATGGAAATCATTGAAAGCGAAATTGCAGTCCCGCCTGAAAAAAAATATTATGCGTTGGCATAATTTTGGGAGGATTCCACATGTTGGGGACATTTTCTCAATTGGAACCAAAATCCCACATGTGGAGTTTCCATCCACCACATATGGGATTTTGGTTCCTCACGTGGGAAAATGCCCTAACATGTGGAAAACTCCCAAAATTATGCCAACGCATAATAGAAGAATTTGCAAGAAATCTCAAAAGCTCTGGCTATGAAAATGAGCTGAGATCAGATATTACAAAATTAACTGAAAGTATCAGAGAATGCGAAAGAGATGAATATGAAGATTTAGGGAGAATTGGCAATTTTAGCGATGAAGACGACCCCGAAGTCCAAGAGTGGACTAGAGAAAGAATGAATCGAGGTAAAGTTTTACCCAGGGCCAAGCTTCCTTTTATACCAGAAGAAAGCAGAATCAGCAAAAGAGTTGATGATATTGATATTAATGAAATGCTGCTCGAAATTACTGATTCGCCCCTCACTGAGCGAGTAAAAATAATTTGTTAATTTTGTTATATATAAATTTTATAGTAATTTTTTTTTCGGATTTAAAAAAATCCCATTCGCAAAATTTGGAAGGCAAATATTAATTTAATTTGTAAAATTTAAGTTTTAAAATGCAATTTGTTTAAAATTAAGCAGAATTCATTATTATAATAATCATTTATATCTCAAAATTTTTTTCATAAAAAAATTTTGTTTGTACGCGGAGGGCAAAAAAATAGGGATTTTTCCAATGATTTTGTTCGCTTACGGAGGGAAGGGGAGTGAGAAGAGAAAGCACGCAGAAGCAGCAATAAGAATGCAGAATGAGAGGCTAAATTCAATTCAAAACTTAAAAAAAGAAGCAAATGAAAAATTAAAAAAGCTAGAATATGAAAGCTTTGGACAGGTGGAAAAGCTAGTTCTTTTGGAAGAGATCAAAGAGTTTTGGCTCGAACATTTTGATGAAGATTTTGAAAGAATAGAGAAGTTTAAAAAAGAATTAGAAGATATTGGCTTGGATAATGTTGTACTTATAAGGGAAATTATTCAGAAATATAATCAAAGTGAAGAGTAAATAAAAATCATAAGCGCTTTGCTGTGTCTTATTAAATTTCAGAGTCAATGAAATCACTGAAAAAATCCATTTTAATATTAAAAATTAATTGGACATAAATTTATATATAAATTTTCTAAACTGATTTGAATAATTCCTTAGAGTATCAGTATCCTTAAAAATTAACAATAAAAAATATAAAAATGATTCTATAGGTCAGTTATTTATGAATTGAATACCACCTTAAAGTACTTACTCCCCACCCTCTGTTTGCGAGCAAAACTATTGGAAAATTTCCTATTTTTAGGAAAAAATTAGCCCTTGGTGAAAGAATACATATTTCATTTATGAGAAAATATATAATTAATAATTATTATGATTAAATCTCTAGTCTGTTTAATTTTGAGCAACTTGTATTTTAAAACATTAATTTTACAAATTTAATTAATATTTGCTTTAAAATTATTTCAAATTGGAATTTTTTAAATTTCGGAAAAAAATTACTATAAAATTTATTGAGAAATTTTTAAAAAAATTAACTCTTTGTTGCGATCAATATTTTTTTCAAAATAATATGAATTTTCCTTTTAATTTTTAATAAGCAAATCTTGTGCACGATATATAAAAACGAAACAGTTTAATTCTTGCAATATAATAATAGAATTAGTCTTGTTTTAATTAAGCACTTACTCTCGAATATAAATATCCATTTTATTTGATTTGGAGATAATAAGGATAAACATATGCTAATAGAAGTTCTTATTATTTCGATTTTGGCTCAAACACACGCAATTTCCCAAACTTCAAATATAATATACCAGCAGTTTACTGTCAACACTTCCATGGTTCAAAATGACTTGATCATTGATCTTTCACACAAAACAAAGCTTTCTCCTGTACTGCTTCTGGCAAAGAGGAACTCAAATCCAAGCTTTTATTTTAGTGAGATTGGCGAATACAAATGAAGTGCGGATTATTACGATTTTGACTCTTGAAGCCGAAACTTAAACTCAAGTTATATCATCGTTCCAAAAGAAAATTTGGTTTTAAATGACATATGATACCTTGCAGTATATTCTCAATATTTAAATTTTGAATATAGCTTATTATACTATTCAAAAGAGATAAATGCATGTTTACCTGCTTGCAGTGGAACGAATGGCGCTCACTGCTTATCAGGAAATTGCAAATGCGCATCTCATTATTGAGGCTATAATTGCAATGTTTTGACATCAAAAATTGAGACAAATTCATTTTCAGATCTTATTGAAATAAATGGAAACAGCTGAGAGTTTAAAACATTCGATATCGATATCAAAGGATCTAACGTTCCAATTAATTTTTTCCTATGAAAAGCACCATTGGCCATGAATTGACCACGGAGTTGCTTTTTTGGTCCGACCAAGTAATCTTGGCCAGACCAAATTAAAATTTTTAATCAATTTTGATCTGACCAAGATTACTTGGTCGGACCAAAAAGCAACCCTGTGGCCAGTTCATGGCAAAATAGCGCTATTCATGGGAAAATATTATATTTACATGGCCTTCACAATCAATTTTTTCCCAGAAAATAGAGGTTTTCAAATGGTTTTGCTCGCTCACCGGGGGAGTAAGACTTATTTTAGCATCGAGATAAAAGAAGCTCAAGGTGATTTTCTCCTCTATTTCATGAGCTATGATAGCAAAAGTATCTTGCCAAGCATGTTTTCATCTTCCAATCAAATTTACATAGCAGGACTTTCTAAAGGTCTGTATTATATAAACGATGCAACAGACAGTGATTGGATCTTTTCTGCCTTCTGCAATAGCACAACTCCTTGCAGCTTTAAAGTGAACATCGAGGATCATTCTATAGGCAGCTCAACCCAGAAGTCAATATTTTGAGCTATTTTTACCTCGATTGCTGCGTTTATTGTCATGTGCATTATCATTCCAGTAACAGTTTGTGTTTGTGCACGACATCGAAGAAATAATGAAGAAGAACAAGTCTATGAAATCACCTGTGAAGACATGGAAAAAATGTACCCATCGCAGAAATGAAAAAAATTGCACAGAAATCAGGATTCCTGTGCAGTGTGCTTGGAAGAGTTCGCAAGAAATGATCGTGTAAGAGTTCTTAGCTGCAGACATGTATTTCATGTAAAATGCATTGATATTTGAGCTGTAAGCAAAGCAAAGTGCCCTTTGTGCAAGAGAAACTTGAAATACGGGAGCTTGTATGAAAGCTTACAACACTTAGTAACAACTGAGAATAGAAATCAGGGAAATAGGCAGGCATCACAGAGCCAGGAAAATGAAGAAATGAGTATTGTTGATGAGGAAGATGTGGTTTTGGAAACAGCAGTAAATGAAGCCAATTAATGCGGAGAGAAGTTAGATTGTTAATAATTTATCGAAATAGACTATGTTTTTAATAGACTAAAAGAATAATGATAATTTCATTAAAGCTTTTCATCAATCTCTAAACTTGCCCTATAAACTCATTGCTTAAGATTACTTAGATTTGGATCTATGCCGCGCTCTTTGCCTATTATAGTTATCTCTCTCGTAATATCTATTTTCGTCTTTATTCTTTCGTTCTTCATTCCTTTCTTTATCTTGATTTGGCTTTTGTGGAGGCTTGGATAAGTCGATATGCCTATAAAGATCTTTATGTCCCCTCAGTTCTTCAATACACTTCCTAATCGCAGCAAACCCTTTGTGCTGCTTCCCTTCTAAATGAGAAACTTGTCTTCTCTCTGTATCAGTCGCGCTCTGCATTGCTCCACAAATTTCACAAATCATGGCTTCTTGATCGTCTTTTTGCTCTTTCAGCTGCTCGATTTCTTTGATCAATTGTTCGCTTTCGTTTACCCTCCCAGCCTCAGCTAACTGTTCTGCCTCTCTCATTCGTCTATCAATCAAGGCGTTGAGAGAATTCTTTTTGTCTTGATTTTCCATAGAGCTTTCTACGTCTGGGAGAGGTGCTTCGATTCTAGCCAAGCTTCTACGAATTCGAGCATCGACTGAAGCTACAAGCTGTTCTAGTAAAGCTAAAGTTGAGGATTACCTAATAATTCTTGCTCGTATTTTTTTTGATAATACAGCCTATTTGGGTCGTTTTGATATTGCTGCTTGAAAAAGGAGTCATGGCGTTTTTTACATCTGCCGATATCATTGCGTGTGTTGATGAAGAGCTCATGAGGACAAAAAGCAACGAGAAAATACTTGCAAACGTCGTTGTCGTCAAAATGGTCACGCTTTTTGAGACGCTCTGAACGAGGCAGGTCGCGGTCTTTACCGAACATTTCATCCAATTCTCGACGGAACTCTTCTACCATTTTATCATGAAGTTCAGATAAGAAAGATTTCTACCTAAGGAGAAAAATAATAAATTATTATTAAGAAGCTCACAAAATGCCATCCGCTATATTTTAAAAAGCTAATAGAACTGATTGAAGAACTTCTAAAAATTTATGGAAAAAGAGCTGCTATTTTATGAGCTTTTAATAAAAGCTGCAAAATCACTTGAATTTTTTGACTGCAATTGTTCAGTCAAATGAATAACTTGGTTGCCATTTGATTTTTCATCATTTTGGTTATTTCTCTCTGAATTGCTTGAATGTATATTTGCTCCACCTCCTCCATTCAGATCATTGTGCTTTTTCAGAGAGCCTAAGAATAAATCCATAATGTTGAGAGCTTGGAAATTAGTATTCTTAGAATTCAAAACACTTCGATTGGGGGAATCTGGGATATCAAATCCACCACTTTTATAAGATTCTCGCAAAGCTGAATCATGAATTATATCATAAGTCGACTTATGGAACTTTTTCTTAACTCTCCCTTCTCTATGAAATAGCAAAACCATTTGGAAATTAAATCTCTATTAGAATAGGTAAAATATTTTAATATATAAATGATAATAATTATAATTAAATCTCTAGCTAATTCTCCCAAAAAAGCCTAATGGACTATATAGGGGAGTCATATACAATATGAATTAAATTTTTTTACTCTGAAATAGTTTTGAAAATTAAAAAAAAATTTAACCCTTCTAAAAATTTTAGCTACTCATAGACGTGAGTAAGGATTGGAATTTTTTCAATTATCAAGTGGATTCAGGCGTGCCCTGCCTTGAGGATTCAGTAACCCACAAAATAGACATTGGCCGAAACTATTAAAATGAAAAAAAGAAGTTCAGTAAAATAGTCAAGGGTTCCAGTCAAATAGTACATCCCACAATAAATCGTAATTGCAGAGACTGTGATAGAGATTGCTTCAAGTTTATTTAAAATATCTCCATTATACGGCCGAATTTTTAATTGCATGTATAAGCAAGCTAATAATACAAAAAGAGCTGTAAGAGCTTGAATATTAACTGAAATGGTGCCTAAAAATACTGACTCCCCCTTCGCGAGGAAACAAACAAATTTTGTTTCTCAGAGGGGGATTAAATTTTCTTCTAAATTGCAAAAATTGGAAAGCAAAAATTAAATTTAATTTTGTAAAGTTTATGCTTTAAAAAGCCATCTGTTTAAAATTTAATAGAATTAAGTAGAGATTTCATTATTATAATTGCCACTTATATGCCAAAATATTTTTTTATAAAAAATTTTTGCATATAAGGTGGGTTTTTGGCCATAAAAAAAGATTTATCCAATGATTATGTTGGCTCACGAAGAGGGGAGTGAGCAACAAATAATAAGGATTTTCCGGTAGATGATTACGAATTCCCAATAGTAGCTTCTTGTTTTATAGCCATTGAACAAAAATCCGTACTTAATTCTTACATTAATATTTGTCAAGATCTTTTTGTTTTTCCATAGTAAAAATAGGCATAGGGTAGGGACTCCTATACCCCACAGAAGGATGGCTGGCACAGAAACAGCGGTTACATAGAAAATATGCTGGCTGTTCCAGCATCTCAAATCTAAATCGTCTGCAAGCCAATATTTTCCATAGTCAAGTTCTTTGCAATCGAATGAGCTAAAATAAGCCTTCAATAAGCTCGGGTGCATTAAGAATATTGAGATAATTGAAGTGGTCGCCATATTGTCCTTAAATAGGTTGAAAGATCTTTTCAGTATGTTTAATTAAATGCTAAAAGGCCATGCGCAGATAGTCACTAGCCTGACTATCTGAAGTAAACCCGCCTAAGGAGTAGCTCCCTAGGCTAGAGCCGCCTCTTGTGAATGCCATTAGTCCCTATAGACAAAAACTAAGCTGGAAGCAAAGCGGTATAGCCCATCTGGTAACCTTCGGGGAAGAGAAATAAAACTTCCCTCTTCGGCATCTCAAGCCCGAAGCCCTATACGAAAATGGCATAGGCACTATTTCAGCTTTATTGGGATGGGCCCAGTCTGCTCCATAGGGAGTGCACCTCAGATTCAGACTTCTGCCAATGTCACTATTTTATTTACTCCTTTTAAGTAGGGATATCGAGATTCATACGCACCCTGCGATAATTGGGATGCCAAATGGGATCACAGCCATAATAAACAGTTTTTGATAGTAAACTTCGTTGTCTCCTTTCAAGTCGTAAGTGGAATACAAAAGACAGTCAAAAGAAAAGACTTGGTCACTTACAAAGCTTGCATTGTTTTGCACCGCAAACAATTGCTTTACATAATTTGGCCACGACAAATTAAAAGTTGTTGTAAGCGCTATCAACTGAACATAGTTGATGAATATTTTGAAGTGGACACTTGCCATCGATTTAGCCCCCCTTTAAATTGGAACAAAAATCCTAAAATAATATTATATTGAATTTTTCTCAAAAAAATATAAATTGAGTACAATACTTTTTATTTTAATTTAATTTTATGAATATTAAATTAAGTAGAATTCCATTTGCACTTTTTCAATTAATTATATCAAAAATTATTTTATAAAAAATAGTACTTTCATATTTAATTTTTTTTTAAAAAAATATAAACGCACAATGATTTTATGAAGAATTGAATAAAAATCAATCTATTCAGTGTGAAAAATATTTAAATAGCATTCTATTGCATTTCCAAATTAAAGGCGTTAAAGGACAAAAAATAGAACTTTACTGTAATTTGTTCCAATTTAAAGGGGGGATTTAGGCTTATAGGCAGATTTTTTTGTGGTTCTTATGAATATGCAGCAAAGCATAACAAAAGCCAGCATAATCCCAACAGTTTTTAAAATACTCAGAGTGGCTCCATCGCACTTAATGCAGTGATCTTTAGCTTGCTTGGAGTAGCCTTTTTCGCAGTTCTGGCACAAATTTCCAGTATATCCGGTGGCGCATTCTCCTGTATAAGAGATTTTATAAGGATCAGAGCCTATGCAGGCATCTGAATTAGAGCAACTTCAAAATTTGTCACTAACTCCTCTCTATCAAAAATTTTCTGATACATGGTTTAAGTTAAATTTTTTTTTAAATTAATTTTTTTTATATTATTTAAATTTATTTGCAATATTATTAGTATTTTTTATTACTTATAAATAGAATACCTGATTGCAATTTTTTTAACTTCCTATAAATAAAACTGAGCGAAATCAAAAATTTATTTAATTAATTTGGCGTGATTAAGCATGCCACATCTTCAATATCCTTTCTTCGGCACAATCGTATAATTTCCATAGCAGATTGCAGAGTCTGGGCAGTTCAAACATTGGTTGCTTTTTGGCTTCAAGCTGTAATATCCTTCTGGACAAACAACACAATTAATGCCAATAGTTGCTTCTCCTAGTGCGCACTCTCTTAAAGACACACTTACTAGCAAACTTGAATTATAAGTCAGCCCATCATTGGCTTTGACACTTTTGGACGAGTCCACCCCGTCAGTGTGCACTTTAATTGAAACATTACTTCCTGGTTCAGCAGAAATGAGAAATGACGAGAAATTGAAAACTCCATTGACTGCAGTTACCTTGATATTTCCTGACAGAGTTACATCTTTAGAACGTGAAATTAGCTCAGCCTGGCTATAGTTATCTGTGATCACTACTTGATTCAGATGGTCTACAAGCGCAAGGATTAGTGGAGTCGTTGTGAGCTGTCCAGATGCTAGCCCTTTCAATCCTTCAATTGTGTTTGGATTGAGAGTGATAATATTTACAGGATAAGAAGCAATATCACCTCCATAAGCAGCTTCATTATTGCTGAAAGTATTGCTATCAAGAACAGGCATTTTATCCCTCCAACAGACTGCCCCTCCATCATAAACAGCTTTGTTTTCTGAAAAAATGTTTGAGCCAATATTAAAATTGCATGACCCTGAGGAACTGCATGCTAAGTTTAGTGCACCTCCTATTCCTGATGTATGCAGACCTGTGGACTGGGATGCTGAATATACTGAATTTTCGGTAAACTTGCACGAATTGATATCTATATTCACATTATCCACATAGATAGCTCCTCCACAAGAAGAGGTGTTGTTCGAAAATTCAGTTGAAGATATACTGTAAGTTTGCTTATTGACTGAGTCAGAAGAATAAATAAAATATAAAGCTCCTCCTAGGACTGCTGTATTGTTGCTAAAAGTGCATGAAGCAATATTTATGGATTCAGTAGCTGTGAAGCTTAATGCTCCTCCTGTCTTACCCTTCCCGTTGATAAAGCTGCTCCCTGTAATGCCCACAGATTTTATTTTTATCCCGCCAATGGCAGTATAAGAGAAATTTTCGAAATAGGATTTTTCAATGAAGATTTTACTATCATAAATATCTATAACTGCTCCATCTCCTGAACTATAGGAATCTAAAAATTTGCTTCCAGAAACACTCAAAACTGTTGAAAAACCCATTATAGCGTTTCCAGATGCAGAAGTTGAGTTTTGGAAAACACTGTCAATGACATTTATTGAGCTTGAAAGTGAAGAGATAGATCCACCTGATACCAAAGATATCCCATTCATGAAAGATGAGCTCTCAATTCTTATTTCGCTGTCTGAAGCTAAGTAAACAAAACTTCCATAGTTACCTGTCTGGTCGCTAAACTTACAATTCGTCACATTTACTTTAGAAAGTGTGGAGTAGATGCCTGGAGTAATCCCATCTGCAGTGTTATCAAAAAACTCGCTATCATCAATGTCAATTTTTGACGTCAGCAAAGCAATTAATCCTTCAGCTGCTGCATGGTTTTTGAAAAGCTTGGAGTTACTTAAAGAGCTGGATTGAGAAGAGCCTACCACATAAATGGCTGAACCCTTTTCAGAGCAGCAATTTTCGCTGAATGAAGATTTATCAACATTAAAAAAAGACTCTTGATCAAAATAAAGCACTCCCCCATACTGGGCAGTGTTTTTACTAAATATGCAGCTGCTACAATAAAAGCTGGAGCGTCCTTCAGCCCTTATTGCACCTGCAAAATTGCTTGACGTATTGTTGAAAAAAAAGGTTGACTCACAGCTGGCTGTTGAGTTTGAGGTTAAATGTAGAGCTCCTCCTGAGTGCTCTGAAGAGTTGAATGATCTCGAAATGGTTGATTTAGTATCTTTCCAGTGATCATGTATCAGATAAAGGACTGGCCCTTCGTTATCTTCAAAAAGGCAGCCAACTGTTTCAATATAAGAGTAAATTGCCATATCGTCAGTGCATATCACATATTTCCCTGAATTATTAGTAAAATTGCTGGAAACGATCATCATTTTTGATTCACTAGCACTTGTTTCTAATCCAGGCGAAAAAAACAGAGCAGATCCTAGCCCAGCATAATTAGAGATGAATGAGGAGTGAGAAATGGTCAGAATCCCGCTTTCAAAAAAATTCCCAATAGTGCCTTTAACTTCTGCGTTATTTTGAGAGAATTTGCAAGAATCTATTACTGACTCCCCCCATCCTTTATCGAACGATTTTCATATCATGCAAATTTTATATATATAAAAATATATTAGTTATCAAAAGCTTTGGAAGATGCATATAATGAAGTTGTTTTCAGAGACTTTGAGACGACAAAAAGTAATGGATTCAACCATCCGAAATGATTTAGTCATCAACCTAGGCTAAAAACTCAATAATCTAATAAAATAGAGATTCTTTAAAATTTAAAAAATAAAATTTTAAATTCAATAAGAAACAAATTAAAATTTATACAGTTTAAAGGGGTAACTAATAAATCAAAATATTAAAAATTGGTATTTTATGAAATTAATTCAATTTTTTGCTGTTAAAATAATTATTAAATACTCTTAACTCTCTTATTTAAAAGTAAATAAAAAAATATATATATATATTTTTTTATTTTATATATAAAATTTTTTTTAACCCCTATCCTTGATCGAGCGATGGCGAGCCGTTCGATCAAGGATGGGTGGAGTGAATCCTTTGTTAAAGAAACACTGTTTTCAATGTATAATGCGGATCCACTTTGAGCTGAATTGGATATGAAGGAAGAGTTCTTTATAGTTAAATTGAAAAGCACTTGTGTTTGCAATAGGCTGTTCAAATAAATAGCTCCCCCTTTTGCATCTAGACTTTTATTTTTCTTAAAGGTGGAATTATAAACTTTCAAGAAATAAGTATTAGCTCCAGTATAAGGTGAAAAGTAGACGGCTCCAAGTCCTGAGCAGGCAATGTTTGAGTCAAATATCATGTCGCTTAAAACTAAGCTCAAACCTTGAAAATAAACTCCTGTTCCATGGATAGCATAATTATCTGACATCAAAGTATCGTCAATTGTAACATTTTGTAGACTTCCATTGAAACTCATTACCCCAACTCCTTCAGTGTTATTATTAATGTTATATGTGAAAGTTGAACTTTTTATTTTCATTTTGTTCGAGCCAGTCGACTGGATGCATATCCCCATAAGAGACGAGCCAATATTGCCTTCAAAACTGCAGTTTGTAACGGTGGTGTTCTGAGTTTGTATAAAATTTATAGAAGGGCTCGAGTTATTACAAAAATTCTCATTGAAACTGCTATCAGAGATTTTATAATTATAGCAAGATGTCGCAGATGAAAGGGCTAGGCAATCTATATTATTTGGAGTGCTTACGAGCTTATTCATGTATACAGAGTCGTCAGCCACGTACTTGCTTCACAAAACTGTATTAATATTTTGTAAATCTCTGCTTCCGTTGGATTCTATAGTCAAGTTATGGATATTCACATTGAATAGCTGGCTGATATCGTATATTCCATTTCCACCAATATAATTATTTTTGAAAACAGAATCCCTTAAGATGAACTCTCTCTTTTTAAAAAGAGCATTAACCAGATTTCCATCACTACTCGTTATGCTGAAGATTGTGTCTGCCAGATAATCAGATGAATACTTAATCCCCTTTTGGTAAATTATTGAAAACCGAAATTATCCCTACTTAAGCAGCTAAATTTTATATAAAGTATTTTATATAGAGTGCTTTGATGCATGATAGTAATTATTTTTATTAAAAACTTAAGCTAATATCTTATTCAGGCATCTTAATTCTGAAACTAAATTCAATAAAATTATAAGTATATTCTTAAAGTTATCTAAAGATTTGAAAAAACTAAAAATTATTTCTACAAAGTCTAAGCATGAAACCCTTTTCATGAACGATCAAGATGTTTTTGATCGCCCATAGAAGGAGCTAGTATTGCTGAATGATATTAAAGGTCCTGAAGTCACCCCATTATTGGTCATGGTGATGTTTTCTAGTAGGATCCTTTGCAGTTGGTTTTGATAAGAAGCTACAATCATACCATAATCAGCATAATTGCTTTCAAAAATTGAATCATGAATTCATACATGATAAGGTAGCAAATCAATTAATTCTTTAAATGAGTTTACATCACTTCGATAACTAACCTTCCTATTTTAGAGCAAAAGAAACTATGAAAAATGCATATTTTTTGTAAAAATTAATCTTTACTAAACTGAGAAAAATATTTTTAATATAAATATTTTACATATAATTAATCATTTACTGTAAATTCCTGCATTCTTGATATAAATTTTATAAAATTAATTAGATCTTTCTTTAAATATTTGTAAATAGGATATTTTGAAACCAAAAAATCTTTTTATGTATAATTTATTATAATTTTTTTAAAGTAAAAATGAATCCCTTAAAAGGAGAGAGTAAGGTATCTTGGATACAGGTAAATAAGGCTTGAATTCGCAGCGTTATTAAGAAAGATGCAATTGCTAACTTCTAAAATTCGAAATATCGTTAACTTGATTAAAGGGTTTGAGTTATATGCATTGCTGTAGCTGTCCTTGGAAGTCGATAGAAAATAAGCAATATTATTGGTAAAATTCAAATTTTTAAAACTTGCCTTTCTTATTCTATCAGCAGTGAAAAATGCCGAAAACGTAGCATATCCATATTCATAGCCATTGTTAATTCTTGTAATAACGCCGCTTGTATAGCTAAAGCTTCCACAGTTATAGTTTGGGTCTCCACAGTCCTGGAAATATATCACTGAGTATTTCTTCTGATAACTATTTGAACTTCCATACATGCACCGAATGTTATCAAAATTCACCTTATTGAGAGTCACGTTTCCTCCGAAGCTAGATATTATAGAGTTAAATTCCATCCTCCAGTTAGATATGTTCACATTTTCTAAATATAATTGGGCACCTAAGTATAAATAAAATAAATTTTTTGTGTGAAAAGTAGCACAAGTTGCTGAGGTCAAAAAAGTAGTAACTTTTGTGCCTTGATCGCTATAATAATTTCCATCAGTTCCCAAAGTTATGTTGGCACAGTATGTGCAATATTGGTTGTCTGGTGGACAGGTAGATAAGATCTCCTTTCCGCTAAAACTAATGTTTTTTAGTGTTAAAGTTGTAGTATTTGTTACTGTAAATGTCAGGATTTTAAAACCTGGCTTTGTTTTTAAAACAATTGAGGAATTGCTATATGGAGCAATAAGAAGCTCAGTTAGATTGAAATTTCTAATTAAAGGGTTGCAGCTATCAGGAAGCAAAGTTAGCAGGGGATTAACTGCGCCAATGCAATACAAATAATGCTGTCCGTCATCCAATAGATAAATAATTGAATATTTTGTATATATTGAGGCTAAAGCTATAGAAAGAGTTGTGAATGGGTTTGAATAAGTTCCGTTTCCTCCATTGGTAACGTTGTTCAGCACTGAAGTCACATAATATATTGCAGGATTCTTCTTGGTTGAACGGTCTGGGATTATGGAGCAAATCTTATAGCTTTCAAACAACTGAATAGATTCGTATCCAGCAGGACAATAACTAAGACAGTACCCATAAAATTGATTCATATTAGATTTGCACTTAAAGCAACTCCCAACAGCTTTAGAATAGCAAGATAAGCAGTTGGAATCTGCACAAGTATTGGCAGAGCACTGATTTCAAGAATAGATGCAGTTTTGGCTATTGCAAGTATCATAGCAGTTTTCTGTGTCAAGGGCTTCGCTGGAAGTACAGTTTGTAATGCTTGTGCAGTTTTGCACACTCGCATTTAAAGTAATGTTTTTATTAATAAGCGTATAATGTAAAGAAAATAAACTCAAATTTTGGTCTTGGCATTTATCCCCCTCCATGCGTAAATAAAACTATTGAAAAAATGCTTATTTTTTGGCAAAAACCCCCACCTTTTGCAGCGAAAACAAAAAAAAATATAAAATTATTATAAAAAATAATTAATATACATAAGTGATAATTATTCTAATTAAATCTCTATCTAATTTTGCTAAATTTTAAAACAATTTGCATACATAAATTTAAAAAATTAAATTGCTTTTGTGAATCGGATTTTGGGGAAAAATTACTATAGATAATTTGAAAAAAATTAACCCCCTTTGTTAGCGGTCAAATATTTTTTTTTGTCTAGAAGGGAGCTAGAATTTTCATTTATTGTGTCATATTTACAATAAGCAGTCATGCATGCATCTTTGCATTGTCCATAACTTTCTTTTGTACACCCATTAGCACATCCACAATCGTAATTATCATAAGAGCAGCTACTTACATTGCAAGGAGCATCGCAGTGCCCATCTCCAAGCATAGATTCTCAACATCCACTAGCGCAGTTGCCGCAGTCGCCTCCATCATAATCGCATTCTGGAGTATTGCAAATTTCGTCACAAGTTCCGTTAGATTTCATATAAGAATGACAGCCTTCAGAGCAATCGCAATCTTCTCCGTCTCAATTGCAAGATTCATTATAGCACTCTTCATTACAATTATTGTCCCCAATCATTCAAAGCTTGCAGCCAGAGCTGCATTCATTAGCAGTGCAATCTCCAAAATCATAATTGCAGGAGGAAACATTGCACTTTGAGTCACAATTTCCATCTCCAAGCATAGAGCCATAGCATCCTGGGGAGCAATCTGCACAAGATCCAAGATTATAATAGCAATTTTGGTTATTACAAGATTGAGAGCAGCTTGAGTATAAATCGGTTTGGAAACCTATATAACAGCTTACATGAAGAAGAGCAATACCCGCAATCTCCAAAGTCGTAACCACATGTGGGGTTATTGCAATTTTGATCACAAATCCCATTTCCAAGACTTGAAGGTAAGCAAGCGAAATTTTCGGTGCAAGACTTATAGCAATCAGATTTTTCAGGATTCAGTTTTGGGTTTATTGAAGAGCTTGAGTCATAATTGCAATAGGAAAGCATGCAGTTTGGGTTACAGATTTGGTCACCTCTCTACATTAAATTTACTGATGAAGGAGGGCAGAGAGAAGGATTGCATAAAAAATTCACCATGAGTGAAAATGAGGGCATAAGGATAGCTAAAATTAGATTGATGTTCATAATGCTAATTTTATAAATTAATTAATATGCATTGTGCATTTTCTTTTTGGCACTTCACCTATCAAGAATTAACAAATAGATATGAGGTGATGGGGTGTTCAGGTGCCAAGTCATTATAGATTTTATAATGATACATATTTAATAGGAAATTGAGAGTTAAAAAACATCAAATAAATACTTTTGGGAGGATGGGGATATAATATATGAGGTCTCCAGAGACTTAAATGAAATTTATTTGTGAAATTCATTATAAAATTAGCAATGCTATTTGTCAATCAGTGCATGTATTTTGTTTTCTTATGGAATTTTATTATTCTTAAAGAAAAATGAAGACCGTTCTCAAAATAAAAAAAAATGTTAAATATTTTTAATTTTTGTCTGCCCTGACATTAAGACTCCTGGCGACAATGGTGAATAGGAAATGCACGCATTCTGACAAATTTTCAAGATTTTAAGAATTTTTTGCTGTTCTCATAATTTTATAATTAAAATTAGACTCTAACTTCCTCTCGGTGCGGTCAAAAAATTTTCTTTATCACACAGAGGGAGGTAATCATTTTTTACATTCTTTTGATCAAAATCGATGAAAATGCACATTTTTTGGTCGTTATTCGCACTTTGTACAAAAAAATAGTAGTGGTAGTTTGTTTAGGGATGCGTCAAAGATCCAAAGTATGCAACTTTGCAAAGTTAAAGATTGTGGAAGATTCAGATGCATGGTCAGCTTAAAATCATCATTGCCTCTCTTCGGCCATGTAGGATGAGGCAAGTGCAAGCGTGATTACATAGAGAAATAATGTATGCAGCCTGCAAAATTAGAAATTTAGCTGGCGAATTAGTATTTGTTAGAATCTTTCTGAAAGTAATTGTGCTTGAAGCTTTATTTTTTGTTTTTGGAGTATTGAATGAAATGCGATTGCTTTATTAATAAAAAGAGAGATGCTATATAAACAGCAATAAAATCTTAGGAATAATTTATGAATTCTTACAAATTCTAAGTAAATCACTTATGCAGTTGCCACGATAAGCTTGGCTTGTAAAGCAAAATACATATCTAACAGATATACAAATATAAATCTTCTTTGTATTCTGTGCTCCGATCCAGCCAATTTAAGTTTCCAAGTGATTATTTTTTGCATTCATCCTATATAGTGCTCTTGCGCTAAGGAAAAGCTCAAGCTTTTTGGCAGGAGCTTGCCATTGTGGCTATATCGCTTATGGTAACTTAATCATAGTCAAACTTGCAGTATCTATCTTCTAAGATTTTGAAAATGATTTAATTAAGACATTATTAAACGTTATTAAATATTTGATTGATTAAAATTTAAGAGTTCAAGCTCTGGTTAATCAGGATGGTTCACCCACAGCAGACAAAAATTTTGAAGATTGTATTGGGTAAAGACTTTAAACAAGAAAGCACCCAATCTTTAAATAATTGAATAAAATATATATCATAAATTAGCTTAATTAAAAATGTATTGCTTTTATTTCAAATATTTTCTAATAAGTAAAGATATTATTTCCTTTTTTTAAGAGTATATTAACATTTAGCTTTAAACAATTTTTATGAGATAACAGTTTAAGATTATTTCTTATGCTTTCATGCTGTTTATAGTGCATAGATAGTATTTATAGTAATATTTGAGCTGACAATTATATAATTTACGCACCATAATTGATCATTATGCACCAACAGAATACTGACCAGAAAAATATGGTCCTAGGCACCTGAGTTAATAACGATGACCCCCCCCTCAATCTTCATGTCTATTGCAACAACAATTTCTCGAAAAAATTTTCATGCCTACTGCAACCCAACATTTTTATAAAAAAAAATTAAGGCATTTGAGTTTCTCAAAAAAATCATAAAACAGTGCTGCTATAGGAGTGTCAATGACCTTCTCATCGAGATTTGGACGGCTATTGTCATCGCTCGCCATTTTATTAAACTTATCTAGCTAAAAAGTACGGAAAAATTTAAGATGCGCATCGAAAATTTGCTGCAAGAGGATTAGGACTATTATAGACAGGCGCTAGCCATATTGATGGCGCAGTCACCAAAATACCTCCCTTACGGAAGGTTTTACCGCTTTTCGGCTCCAGACCAGAGGGTCTATCCCTCTTACGAGTGCCCTTCCGGTACCTTCTGTCTCCTCCTTGCCTTGCGGCTTCAGTCTTGAGTGGGCGGCTTATTGATTTCTGCGGCCCTGCTATGGGCGATTGGATAGCTATTTCCAAGAATCCTTGGAGTCTATCGGGTGTTAAAGTGCCTTCTTTCAACAGCTACAGGAAAAAGAACTGTTCCCCCTGTGGCCTGGGCCGAAACCCCCAGTTTCTCGGTAAAGGAATGCCCATGGGTCTTAGGATCCAAAGGATGTTGTTGAGCACCTCCATTTCCAACCACAAGAAAGCAGCCAAAACCTACGCGGATACACACTTCTTGAGCCTGCGTCTGATTCTCGGCTCGGATTCCGTCCCATTTCGCCGTAGCCATAAGTTCTGGACTACTGCGCCAACAGGGCAGGTTGGCACGTGTCTCCATTTTAATGTATATAATTTTGTTGCAAGAGACATGAAAATTATTATTTTTTTTAATCGATTTAATTGAAATTTTTATTTGAACCTCATTTTGATTGTTTAAGCCGTTTCAAGAGATTTTTTTCTGAATTAATTTTGAATTTATGCTTGATTAGCTGGCCACTCTTTCGATAAAAGCAAATTTTGGAGTATAAGGGGCGTTAAAAATTACTGTCATCATAAGGCCTCGATATAAATCTATGGTCTCGTAGAATTCTGAAATCAGGATTCATTGACTGTATAAAATTAATCAATATTAATAATGTCTTTATTGCTTTCAACTAAATCTAAAACTTCATGGCAAGACCAGTCTTTTAGTTTTGCTTAATCTAAACTTTCTTTTTATGGATGAACTCTGCATCTTTTATAACTATAACCATTCTTTTTCATAAAATAATAAACTTGGTTGACTAAGAAATTAAAAGTATTATCTGCTTCATTTGCTATTTTTATTTTTTCTGAAACTGAAAGAGTAGGATCTCAGTCTTAATAGTTTTTAATAGTTGCATTGCTTTATTAGAATATATTTATATTTTTCTCCCTCTTTTATCTTCTTGATGAGACTGGAAATCGTTTCACTCTCGCAATATTTTAGCTACAGTTTTTCTACTAATTCAATTTTTTTTGCAATTTGAGTGAAGCTATCCAATGGGCATTACTGATATAGACTAAATTCTTTGCTTATCTTGGAAGTTAATTTTTGAGTTTCGTCATCACTTTATATCTTTTTGATTGGTGCGTAGATATTATTATCCTTTATTTCTTCGTGAGCTTCGATGGCTAAGTCTAAAAGGAAAATAAAAAATTCCCCAAGAATGAATCGTTTATAAAATAATGTCTGGAAGTATGCAAATATTTATTAAGACCTTGGAGGGCGAAACACTTGTGCTTGATGTTAATTCTTCAGATACTGTTTATGATGTCAAAACTAAGCTTAAAAACCTCAAGCGCATCTCTATTAATAAACAAAGACTTATTTTTGCGGGAAAAATATTAGAAAACATAGGAACACTTGCAAGTTACAATGTTCAAAGCGGATCATTTTTCCATTTGGTTTTTAATAGTAAAATAATGAGTCCTACTTTATAGGGTTATTCTCTCCATTTTAAAAAATTAGCTTTTCATGTATTCGAGTTAATTGAAGATAAAAATAATATTAATGTTTTTATATTTAGATAGTGCTGCAAATGTTATAATTACTATCAATAACTATTGGAGTTATATAGCTATCAAAATAAAATAATTCCCATTTTGAAATTGATTAATGCACACTTAATAATTTAATTCTTCTAAAGTATCAAAAGTTATTGCACATCTTCTTTCAATAAACAGGCAAATTTGATTGGTCATAAGCATAGCAAAAAAGAAAAGAGATGAGATGAGATAAGATGATAGGCTTTGACTACTATTAATAAGATAAACTTAATTGCAGTCATAAGATAAAGTTTAAGAAGAGAGGTATGGGCTTGCATATTCAGCTTCAAGGTTGTATTCAAATAAAAACATTGCATATGCTCTATATAATATTATAAAGAAGGCTTATTAGAACTAATTTTATTCTAAATCTGCATTTTTTGGAGTAGTTCAATACGCTCTCGGCCTAATAAGTCATTAATAAAATTGATCTCATTTTCTGAAAGTTTTCATTCATTTTTAGTGAAAACACTACCTTGCTTTTCTTGCTTTAAACTATAAGCCCTATTAAAGTCTTCCAAAGCCCTTGCTTCTTGTCTGAGATTATAAAATGCTTTAGCTCGTTTGCATATATACAAAGGATTATTGGGTATAATTTTGATTGCCATAGTATAGCATGGTATTACTTCTTGATATCTCTCTAAAACAATAAGAATGTCTGCTTTATAATTATAAAGCTTGTCGTTATTTGGATTGATTTTAATTGCTTCATCATAGCTTTCTAATGCTTCTTGATATCTTCCTAATTCATTTAAAAGATATCCTTTCTTTAAGTAAATATTACTATTTCTTAGATTAAGTTTGATTGCTTCGTCAAAGCATTCGATTGCTTCTGGATATCTTCTTAAATTAGTAAAAGCGATGCCTTTTTTATCGTATAAAGTCGCGTTATTTGGATTGATTTTAATTGCTTCATCATAGCATTCGATTGCTTCTAAATATCTTTGTAAACTATGAAAAACGAGGCCTTTATTATCGTGAATTTTAGCATTGTTTGGGTTGAGTTTGATTGCTTCGTCATAGCATTCTATTGCTTCTTGATATCTTTTTATTCCACAAAAAATTTTGCATTTTTCATTGTATAAATCAACATTGTTTGGGTTGTCTTTGATTGCTTCGTCTAAGCTTTCGATTGTTCATAGAATTTTTCCTAATTCTTTTAGAGTATTGCCATTAGATTTCATTCATCCAGAAAATGAGGATCGAGCTTAAAATTCTGGTTACTGTATTTTACTACTTCAATCTTTTGACCTGCTCTTCTAAGTGAGGCATGCCCATTAATGTGAGCAATATCAATAATGGTTTTTTGATTTAAATCAAAATAATAATATTCTTTAGCCAATTCAGAATGACTTGAGATGTATATTCCTCCTTTATTATATGAACAATACACTTGAATAGGATCGTAATTGATTGTTGATCTCCTATTCGTTTCCATTTCAAGCAATTTCCAATTTCGCTTTCACAGATTGATCCAGGGCATTCAATCACATATAGTCTGTCTGTGCTTATCAGAATCTTTATTTTATTCTCTACAAAGCAATAAGGAATTGCCGAAAAAGATTCATTACCAATTGAATATTGCAAAATCTTTTTATTTTCCTTTCCCGAAATCACAATATTTCCATTAAATATTATAGTACTGCACATATAATCATGTTTCGGCATTGGAGTTAATTTAATTCATTGGTTTCGATCCAAATCAAATCTGCAGGAAAGATTTAAAATCTTTTTTTTAAATCCTCCAAAGCAATAAACACTGTTGTTGAAATAGATACATGATGAGAAAAGGCAAGGAGTTCCAGATGGCAGAACTTCGACTCCACCATTCACATCAATCAGTACTGTAATTCCAGAAATCGGATCAGATTTGCCATAACAGAATAGCTTGCCATTTGGAAGTTGAGTTATGCAAGTTTCGAAGTCTAGTTGCTCTGGAATCTGAAAGGTTTTGATTTCTTCTTGGGTATTAGATTCAGTGTTATAAATAATTAAATTAGTTCAGCTTTTTTCATATCTTTTTGAAATATTAGAAGGAGTGTTAGGGTGTTAGGGTGTTAGGGTGTTAGGGTGTTAGGGTGTTAGGGTGTTAGGGTGTTAGGGTGTTAGGGTGTTAGGGTGTTAGGGTGTTAGGGTGTTAGGGTGTTAGGGTGTTAGGGTGTTAGGGTGTTAGGGTGTTAGGGTGTTAGGGTGTTAGGGTGTTAGGGTGTTAGGGTGTTAGGGTGTTAGGGTGTTAGGGTGTTAGGGTGTTAGGGTGTTAGGGTGTTAGGGTGTTAGGGTGTTAGGGTGTTAGGGTGTTAGGGTGTTAGGGTGTTAGGGTGTTAGGGTGTTAGGGTGTTAGGGTGTTAGGGTGTTAGGGTGTTAGGGTGTTAGGGTGTTAGGGTGTTAGGGTGTTAGGGTGTTAGGGTGTTAGGGTGTTAGGGTGTTAGGGTGTTAGGGTGTTAGGGTGTTAGGGTGTTAGGGTGTTAGGGTGTTAGGGTGTTAGGGTGTTAGGGTGTTAGGGTGTTAGGGTGTTAGGGTGTTAGGGTGTTAGGGTGTTAGGGTGTTAGGGTGTTAGGGTGTTAGGGTGTTAGGGTGTTAGGGTGTTAGGGTGTTAGGGTGTTAGGGTGTTAGGGTGTTAGGGTGTTAGGGTGTTAGGGTGTTAGGGTGTTAGGGTGTTAGGGTGTTAGGGTGTTAGGGTGTTAGGGTGTTAGGGTGTTAGGGTGTTAGGGTGTTAGGGTGTTAGGGTGTTAGGGTGTTAGGGTGTTAGGGTGTTAGGGTGTTAGGGTGTTAGGGTGTTAGGGTGTTAGGGTGTTAGGGTGTTAGGGTGTTAGGGTGTTAGGGTGTTAGGGTGTTAGGGTGTTAGGGTGTTAGGGTGTTAGGGTGTTAGGGTGTTAGGGTGTTAGGGTGTTAGGGTGTTAGGGTGTTAGGGTGTTAGGGTGTTAGGGTGTTAGGGTGTTAGGGTGTTAGGGTGTTAGGGTGTTAGGGTGTTAGGGTGTTAGGGTGTTAGGGTGTTAGGGTGTTAGGGTGTTAGGGTGTTAGGGTGTTAGGGTGTTAGGGTGTTAGGGTGTTAGGGTGTTAGGGTGTTAGGGTGTTAGGGTGTTAGGGTGTTAGGGTGTTAGGGTGTTAGGGTGTTAGGGTGTTAGGGTGTTAGGGTGTTAGGGTGTTAGGGTGTTAGGGTGTTAGGGTGTTAGGGTGTTAGGGTGTTAGGGTGTTAGGGTGTTAGGGTGTTAGGGTGTTAGGGTGTTAGGGTGTTAGGGTGTTAGGGTGTTAGGGTGTTAGGGTGTTAGGGTGTTAGGGTGTTAGGGTGTTAGGGTGTTAGGGTGTTAGGGTGTTAGGGTGTTAGGGTGTTAGGGTGTTAGGGTGTTAGGGTGTTAGGGTGTTAGGGTGTTAGGGTGTTAGGGTGTTAGGGTGTTAGGGTGTTAGGGTGTTAGGGTGTTAGGGTGTTAGGGTGTTAGGGTGTTAGGGTGTTAGGGTGTTAGGGTGTTAGGGTGTTAGGGTGTTAGGGTGTTAGGGTGTTAGGGTGTTAGGGTGTTAGGGTGTTAGGGTGTTAGGGTGTTAGGGTGTTAGGGTGTTAGGGTGTTAGGGTGTTAGGGTGTTAGGGTGTTAGGGTGTTAGGGTGTAGGGTTAGGGTGTTAGGGTGTTAGGGTGTTAGGGTGTTAGGGTGTTAGGGTGTTAGGGTGTTAGGGTGTTAGGGTGTTAGGGTGTTAGGGTGTTAGGGTGTTAGGGTGTTAGGGTGTTAGGGTGTTAGGGTGTTAGGGTGTTAGGGTGTTAGGGTGTTAGGGTGTTAGGGTGTTAGGGTGTTAGGGTGTTAGGGTGTTAGGGTGTTAGGGTGTTAGGGTGTTAGGGTGTTAGGGTGTTAGGGTGTTAGGGTGTTAGGGTGTTAGGGTGTTAGGGTGTTAGGGTGTTAGGGTGTTAGGGTGTTAGGGTGTTAGGGTGTTAGGGTGTTAGGGTGTTAGGGTGTTAGGGTGTTAGGGTGTTAGGGTGTTAGGGTGTTAGGGTGTTAGGGTGTTAGGGTGTTAGGGTGTTAGGGTGTTAGGGTGTTAGGGTGTTAGGGTGTTAGGGTGTTAGGGTGTTAGGGTGTTAGGGTGTTAGGGTGTTAGGGTGTTAGGGTGTTAGGGTGTTAGGGTGTTAGGGTGTTAGGGTGTTAGGGTGTTAGGGTGTTAGGGTGTTAGGGTGTTAGGGTGTTAGGGTGTTAGGGTGTTAGGGTGTTAGGGTGTTAGGGTGTTAGGGTGTTAGGGTGTTAGGGTGTTAGGGTGTTAGGGTGTTAGGGTGTTAGGGTGTTAGGGTGTTAGGGTGTTAGGGTGTTAGGGTGTTAGGGTGTTAGGGTGTTAGGGTGTTAGGGTGTTAGGGTGTTAGGGTGTTAGGGTGTTAGGGTGTTAGGGTGTTAGGGTGTTAGGGTGTTAGGGTGTTAGGGTGTTAGGGTGTTAGGGTGTTAGGGTGTTAGGGTGTTAGGGTGTTAGGGTGTTAGGGTGTTAGGGTGTTAGGGTGTTAGGGTGTTAGGGTGTTAGGGTGTTAGGGTGTTAGGGTGTTAGGGTGTTAGGGTGTTAGGGTGTTAGGGTGTTAGGGTGTTAGGGTGTTAGGGTGTTAGGGTGTTAGGGTGTTAGGGTGTTAGGGTGTTAGGGTGTTAGGGTGTTAGGGTGTTAGGGTGTTAGGGTGTTAGGGTGTTAGGGTGTTAGGGTGTTAGGGTGTTAGGGTGTTAGGGTGTTAGGGTGTTAGGGTGTTAGGGTGTTAGGGTGTTAGGGTGTTAGGGTGTTAGGGTGTTAGGGTGTTAGGGTGTTAGGGTGTTAGGGTGTTAGGGTGTTAGGGTGTTAGGGTGTTAGGGTGTTAGGGTGTTAGGGTGTTAGGGTGTTAGGGTGTTAGGGTGTTAGGGTGTTAGGGTGTTAGGGTGTTAGGGTGTTAGGGTGTTAGGGTGTTAGGGTGTTAGGGTGTTAGGGTGTTAGGGTGTTAGGGTGTTAGGGTGTTAGGGTGTTAGGGTGTTAGGGTGTTAGGGTGTTAGGGTGTTAGGGTGTTAGGGTGTTAGGGTGTTAGGGTGTTAGGGGTGTTAGGGTGTTAGGGTGTTAGGGTGTTAGGGTGTTAGGGTGTTAGGGTGTTAGGGTGTTAGGGTGTTAGGGTGTTAGGGTGTTAGGGTGTTAGGGTGTCTAGGGTGTTAGGGTGTTAGGGTGTTAGGGTGTTAGGGTGTTAGGGTGTTAGGGTGTTAGGGTGTT